AGTATCAATGCACCCAGTGTTCCATCAATCCATCCACCACATTCAAGCCTCAGCAAGTGTGAAAAGAGGAACCGAATCGGCGACGGAAACAATCTGGAGCCTCGTATGTATTACGGCCCTTGTAGTATACACTACACAACCAGAAACCAAGAGCCAAATCAAGAAAATAGAAATATCTATTCGAGTTGTGAGAACCCCAAAGAGGAATATGAATATAGTACAAGTCCATCACAGACGCAAGAGTAGGACATCATCAAGCATGGAATAAAAAAGGTAATTCCAAGTTCATGGCGAACATCACAAGTCGCAACATACAAAGATCGACATGACGCGTGAACATCTCACCAGCAATTAACAGTTAAGATTAGAGAAAGGAATGGGGGGAAGGGAAGGCCAGAGTTACATCTCAACTACATACATGTACAAAAGCAAGTAGATGTAGAGGTAGATGTAGATGTAGACTCTCAAGCTGATCCTGGATGATCCAATAGACAAAGACATAAAGAGACAGATGGGAAAGAAAGGAAAGAAAAAGTCCGGATCAGAGCCGATCTGTTCTTAGACGATCGGGTGGGTATCACAGTTTACCGAAACCGAGGACGGGGTCTACCATCTGTATATGCGAGGCAGATCCCAGACTCGGACAGACGTATCGTTGGACGAAAGACAGTAACAAAGATGAGAGGGATACGCTTAGTAGGCGATCTTCTCCTCGTAGATGGGGGGTTCGCCCTTCTCGATGTTCCACTGGATCTTGCAGTTCTCGTCGAGCCAAGATTCGTCATCCGTGATGGGGATGACGCGCATGGTGTGGGCGACTTCCTGGCTACTGATACCGAGGGGATCACGGGGAATCCAGAGGAGAGGAGCCTGAGAGGAAATGGAGGGGTGGCTGTAGGCGTCACGCTCGGCCTCCTCTGAGTAGGAGGGAAGGTTCTCCGAGGTGGGGACCAGCTTGCGCATTTCGTGGTAGCTGTTGAACCGGTCTGGGCGGAAGAACTTTGTAAAGAGGTTGGCCTTGGGAGGGGTGGATGGAACCTCGGTCAGACCCTTCTCAGCCGAGTCGACGTTGCCGACGCTGTTGTTCACATCGGCGACGCCGCTGTCGCGGGGAACCCCTGTGGAGCTGGTGGGAGCGTGCATGTCGTCGGACTTTTCATCGGGGTTGAAGTTGGTCTTCTCGGCCGCGAGGAGAGCCTCCTCTTCGGCCTCGAGGTTCTTGGGCAGGTAGTTAAGGAGAGGCTCCATGGCGCCATTCATCGAGATGTGGAAGAGGATAACGAAGACGAGGAGGATGATCTCTAGAATCAGAGGACCAACGGCAATCTGGTTGGCACCGGAGGCCATGGCGAACAGACCGATCAGGCAGACCATCAGAAGGTAGCAACCAACAGTGAGGTGCTGCAGACCACGGGTGTAGCATCTACCCTGGGTGTCGATGTTTGCGTTCGACACGTACAGGAGGTTGTACCGATAGGCGAAGTAGAAGAGGTACAGACCGATAGTACCGAAGCCCATGACCAAGGGGGCAATGCAAGAGTAGGTAATAGCTATGAAGAAGTCAGAATACTGCGTCAAAGAAGCAATAAAAGGGTTTAAACTCACCAACAACAGTCAACAGAGTGACGCCAGGGTAGACGGTACCCCATCCAAGACCAGCCAAGTTGGACCAACGATTGTACATCTTACGGGGAGTGCTGTCCAGGAACTTGCCCAGAATCTTTCCAAGAATCAGAGGAACAATCTGGAGCAAAGCACCGGAACTGAACGACAATCCTTGGAGGATAATGTAGGAAATGTAGAAGTTGGCCGAGAGAGGAATGTTCTCGGCCAGCAGTGACGCAGCCGAAGAAGGGTTTGAGATGATCTTAGTCACAACACTGGTGGCTGCAGAGGCGAGAGTAACGACCAGGAAAACCTGCACAACCTGGAAAGCGAAGAACCAATTCTGAACGGTCAATTCGACGGCGGCAGCACTGGGCTCACCACCCCACTTGGCCATCAAGCGAAGAATGATGGGGACCAGAGCAATCAGGATGGACATCAGGACAACGGGCAAAAGACCGGTAATAACACCCTTGATCCATGAGGGGACATCGTTGATGAAGCTCAAGAAGTGAACCTTGTCGATTAGAGCGTTGATGTTAGAGATGGCACCAACAGCAGCAGTTGGGATGGCCCAGAAGATGATCAAAACACAGACAAAGGCAATGGTAGCGGCATGACGACCGAGACGCTCCCACCACTTGATGCGAAGGTTGGCCCAGATAACCTGAGAAGGATCCAACCCGATGTAGCGAGGGCTCATGTGCAGAGGGAGATTGTGAGCGACAGACTGGTAAGAAGCCTGGGCATCGGCCTGGTGGTAGAATTCAACAAAGATAGAAGAAACCAGCTTGACGTCACTGGCACGGTGCTTAGCCTGCAATTCCTCGATTTCAGGGGTGAGACGCTCAATTTCGGCACGGCACCAGTTGATAGTGTCAACCTTCTTGCCGATCAGCATCTTGAGACGGTGAGTAGGACGGTCTTTGGCCTGAACCCAGCGAGCAGCGACAGAGCCGGACTCATCATCGAACTGGCCATCGCCAATTTCAGTCTCAGGGTTCTCAGCGCCCTGCTTCTTCAAAGCCTTGTTGCGAGCCTTGTTAGCCATGACAATGAGCTTGGTCTCTGCACCTTCAAGCTTCATCGCAGCGCTATCACGCTCCTTGACCTTCTCCTCGAGCTCCTTGGTATCAGAGGCAATCCAGACATTCTTAACCTTGTCGCGGCCGAAAGTGGCGCGGACCTTCTCCTTGTTCAAGAGATCAGGAGTAACCGCAGTGAACAAAACGGTGCGCGACGAAATGCGATTGGCATAGGCAGGAGAGAAGAGGTAAGCCTGGCGCAAGTTGATATAGAAGATATGCTCGCGAGTAACCAAGAAGAAGACAAAAGCAACAAAGATCCAAGAGATAAAGCAGTGCGCAAAGTAGCGCCCAGCAGAGTCCGAGTTGATGTTCGAGATAGACAGCAAGTTCAACTGAGTCTGGCCACCACCACCGGTAGCATTGACAGGCCAGAGCACAGGGAAAGTCATGCAGCAGCCAACAAACAGCAGTATGGAGCACATCTTCAGGAATCGCAGCAGCAGATAGGCGTCCATGGAGTGGTGCTGCAGAACGTATGTATCGGGGAGCCTGTACATGGCCTTGATCCAATTCACCAAGCCGGTCGGGGTATCGGGGGTGCGCTCCCAGCCGCGCAGGTATCCAATGTAGGTTCGTGGCATGTACATTCTGCGATTGGTCTTTCGCAGGAAGATGAACAGAATCACCATCACGGCGAACGACACCAGGGCAGGAACGAGAGTCGTCACCAATCCTGACGCCGAGGGCGACGCAGTCGACGGGTCGTCCTAAGTTCGCAGTCAGTAGACAAACTTCAGCCTTTGCGACCAGGCACACGTACCGCGCGAGCCATCAGCCGGTGAACACCGACGTCGGCCATTGTGAAAAATGAGATCATGTAGATAGTATATTCAGAAAAACACACGTCTATGTCGTGTATGTGTATGTGTATGTCTGGGGTTGAGTCTCCCCAGGTGTATGGAGGAAGGGAAAAAAGGATAGCTTAAGGTTGCGTGAGGGGCATGTTTTACGATCGATCTGAGCCTACGTAATTGGATCATCTCTACAGGGGGGTTTTTCTTACTTTTTTTTTTTCTCTATTTTTTAAAAGTATGCGCTGACGACCTAATGGCTCTAGTGTTACTCCCCTGTTCGGGCCTCCACTCCTGGTGGCGAGTGATCGATCCAGACTTTCAGCTTTAGGGTACGCCGAGATGCGACCTGTGATAGTCGGGTTCCTCGAGTCAATGACTCCATTGAAATCTCTCGTGTACGTTGTCTTGTTTTTTTTTTTTTGTTTTTTTATGGTAATGCCTAGAGATACACTGTTAACCAGCAGCGCCGCCACCCCCCCAAATCCCCCGGAGAAGACCGAGTCACCGCCACAGAAAGCCACTATTCTATCTCCAAGCTACTTCACCCGACGTCGATCATGACGCTCGGCCGACAGGGATGTTCAATGGTTACGCAAGGCGTCGTGCGAGACAAGATTTCTCCCGTGTCAGTTTCACACATAACACAACAGTCATTCGGTTCGATCAGAGTCTTCCCTTGGGGAATCCAGGGGTCGTGTCTCCACTAGATGAAGAGGTCCAAGTCCGGAAAAGGCATTCACGTAGCACACCGCCAGGGAGATAGGAAACGAGCAGGTTAGAATTCCATTTGATGAAACAATGAAGGTTGCCAGCTCAATAATGCGGTCTACCATACATTGGAAATCTCAAAGCCCGACATATAAGGATTGTCATATGAGAATTGTACGCTGGCAATAGCTGGGCCGCTAAGAATAGCTAGTGGGCTGCACTATTGACAAGGATCTGAGCCGAGATTTGCAGACTTGCTAGTTTCAATGTTTGCCCTACTGCAGGTGTCTTTCTCATTTCTTTCATTTCTCGTGTCTCTTCCATTCCAGCCCTTGACGCACCCCAGATCGCAACAAGGCTGCATTTTTGCGCCACAGCGGAAAAGGGGGAGTCGGGGGGGAAATCCACATGTTCAGTAGCTGGAATGCGCATGAACCATGGGCACCGTGTCATGGATTCAATCCAATCAGCCATCATGATAGTCAGTTAGTGCCCATAACTAATAGAGATCGGCGATCACTCACGTTAAATTTTGTGCGTGCGTAGTGTTAGTGTACCATATGCATAGCGTTTGCGGTGTACGGAATAGTTTCGGAGTACCAATTGTTCGGTGTCTCCCAATGCCCAAAAGCAGAATGGATCTGTCCCGAGGTTACAAGCGAGACGCTTTTCCTGGGTCCACTCCCGCACCCGTGGACTCTATGACGATTACACTTTCCCAGTATTCCGGACCCGCTGAGCTTGTGATATCAGATATCATTGAAAAATATTAATACTAATAATAATAATTATGATGATCATGCATTTATTGGCTATGAAGCTCCTCTTCAAAGACGTTGACCCCGCGGATAGGTGTGTGCAGAGAGAGGAAGCTCATGAGGATCTCGTTAAATTGGAATTGAAGGTCGGGTCGGAGTTGCTTGTGACATTGGAGCAACTCGCCTGTCGACCAACCGCGTTCGGGATCCCGTAAATCGGAATCATATCCTTCCTCCAGCAGTAACCAGAGGAGCGTTTCGCAAGCTGGATCCTGGTCCAGGTGATGCTGTTTCACCATGGCGCACACCTGTGCCAGGAACCGATCGGTTTTATCAGGGGAATCTTGAAAATACCAGAGTGCAGCGGTGATATAGATGAGGGCTGCTGTTCGGCTGACCTCTTGTGTCTGTGCGTCACGAACCACATATATGCGCCAGGCCTGCGGGACCTGGGAGGGACGCGGCCCACTGGATAGTAGAGAGAATAGTGGGCTCTCCATTTGGAATGCTTTGAAACGGTGAGGTGCTTTGGAGAGGTACCCGGGCGTGCTTTGCCGTTGCATAAGATTTTCCGCTCCACGGAGAAATGTGAGTAGCCAGTTCTGCTCGGACTGGTTGATCTTTGGGATCTCGGGTGTCATAATGTAGCGCACGTAGTGTATGAATGTTTCCACGGGCATGTTGGTCCCTGTTCGCGGCCGCATAAGTTGAACGGCTCGATTGACATGATCTTGCGCTTTCTGTTTACTCCCGAATCGTTCCTCGTGCAAGGCCATTCCAGCCAAGGCCATTGCAAGGTCATCCGGTTTCACTTCCATGGAGCCCGAGGTTGCCTCTTCGATAAGTTTGGTGGCTTGGCCGACATGGCGCTGTATTTCCAAGCTGTCTGTCATGCCGTATAGTTGTGCCTTCCACCGCGCGCAGTATGCAAGGACAACCGCCTTGAATGAGAGAGGGTTTCCCATTGCCGTACGGAATATTTGGTTCTTTAAGTAAAGGTTCTGCCCGGACCAATATGTTAACTTGTTTGTCCATAAGTCAGCTAATTCGAGATCTTCGCGGTCGTATTCCATCGGGAGACTGTCGAATGGATCTTTTCGAGAAGCATCGAGTATCGTGACAGGCGAACCAATATGTAGTGGTAGAGATTGAGAGGGTGGTTTCACATTGGAGAATCTAATTTGAAGTTGCTGCACACCATATTAGCATCCAGATCCATCACCGGTATTTAACCCTGCAGCTAGGCTGCCACAACCTTGACTGGGAGCGAAGGAAAGCGATTTCCATACCGAAAATTGACTGTCGGAAGGTTCTTGCGCTGTCGAAGACGTATCGGATTCCGTGTCGGCAATGAGTCCTGCATCTGCCTTCATCGGCCATGCGATACCACCGGAAGCTTGTTCCGCAGAGCCATGCGACATCTTGCGCTGCTTTTTTTTCTCTTGTACGTGATGGCGCATGACATGGGCGCGCTTTTCTTTAGAAGATGAATTCGAGTCGACAAAATAGAAGTGTTGACTCTTGGGTGGCTTGTTCTTTGAGTCGGGGGCGCGTCGTCGGCGTCCCGCTTTCGAGGGTTGAGGGCCATTGCCAGAGGGTGCTATCACAAATTCTATGTTAGTCACTGCCAACTGCTCTCATTTCTCTCGTGCGAGAAAAAGCAAAAAAAAAAGCATACCCGAAGCTTCCGCCTCAGGCTGGCCCGGAGGGGCAGCACTCGAGGCAAGTGTTGACTTCACCAACGGCTCCTCGTTCCCAGACATGTCGAGATGCGAGAGATAGAAGACTTCCTTCGACGTGCAATATATCACAGCTGCATACCGAACCGACGATCAACAAAATTCCTCCAGTCAAGGACTCGGGATTCGGAAGAAACCATCGCAAGCTGCACGTCCTATAAAGGTCACAAGGTCAGACCTATGAAGGAAGGGTTTCGGATGGGAGGGAGGAAGTGACCGAAAGAGGCAAAAAGGTAATTATACATACGACGTAATGCAAAGCGAGGGGGTGAGTAATTCCCCGAGGGGGGAATGCGATATGATATGGGTCTTAAATGCAGATGCAGGTGCTGGGGGGTTTTCAACCAGCAGACACCGGGATCCTTGTGGGCCGACATAGACCCATACGGGAAGATGCTCGGATCAGGTGTACATTTGGCAGAGAGGAATGTCAACGGTTGAGACCAGGCACTCTCTCAAACGCAGCCACTTGCCTGGATGGGACGAAGATCCGACCATTCCCAGCTCGGGTGGAGGGGGCTAGGTTAGGTAAGCAGCATCTACTATTACCCGATTCGGACATAGGTCTACATACATAGGCCCGCACCTTGTTTGCTTCTTCAGTCTGATGTATCTGATTCAGTAGATTGGATAATGCAACTAGGTACACGAGATAGATCTGTCTAACTGAGTCAGTCTTAACCCTGAATGTCAAAAGTACCAGGTCGGCTGCATGGTGAAACGCAGGTGCCAAGCTTGAGGCGGCGGTAATAAAGACTTAACACGAGCGATAATACGTCGTGGCTACACTAGTGACTTGTTGCATGCAACCTTGGCGCCTTTAATTTCCAATCACATTCTTACTACATTTATAGATTGAATCGGATGCGCCTGGGAATCCTATCACATACCTTAGATCTGGTTCAAGCCAACTGATACAAAAGGAGTATAGTTGCATACTAAGTCAGGTAGCATAATTGAGCTTGATAAGACGACATCTCCAGACTGTGTTAATATAGCCTAAGTTGATCCAGTTGCCCCTATTTCACTCCAATATCTTTACGAACGCACGAAAAACCCGGCAACTTTTTTACTCCACCGCGACTTCTTCACGATCACGATGCCAAGATCTCTCCACTGACCTATTAACCAATGGCTCAGTTCAAAATGAACGAAATGGATACGCGCCACGTTGTTGACTAGCACCGAGGAAGACATCGGATTCGGATTTCAACTGCCTAACTCAGCACGCAAGGAGTTAGATCCGGTTTGAGATCTATCAGCTCAGCCACAACCGATTGTTTGTTTTGAGATTGACTACCACACAATCTCACAAAGAGCTGAATATGATGTCAGGCTCTTGCAGGGCTCCATCTGACTTAACATTCAACAATCAAATTTTCAACAGGATCAAATTTAGATTGCCGGGTTTGCCGAGGGGAGCAAGACACGGCTGGAATGACAACAGCAATTTGGAACGTCACCATGTTCCTTGGGTCCACCTAAGGGCCTATTCCTCTCACCCGTCTGCAGATCCTTCGCCGAGATATACAGTAGTTTAAGGTAGATCACGGCAGATGGGTGTTATCCGAATTTGGTGGCATTTAACAGTAGGGGAGTCGTTCATGAACATGTAGAATGGTTCGCTAAGATTGGCTCCTGCTTGATCATTGCTGCACGATCCAGCTCGAGTTTGATGACTTTGAAGCAAAAGATATTGCGATGTCATTGTCAGAATTTCTATAACACAGACTATTGTGTCTTATATGACGCTCTCACTTTGCTGTGCGCATTTTTAATTCCTTTTTCCCATGCTCCACACCCCTTATAACGGTGAGATGCAGTGAGATAACCTTTCCAATCTCCCCAAAGAGAGTGATGTCTCTGTTATCATATAGCCATTCTAGGGATGTTGCATATAGCGGTGAGGGGAATAAGTTTGGCGATTCCACGCCAACCAGGAGAATGCCTAATCCCCTCAAGTTATAACCGAGCATGCGGTATATTTTTATGTGTCCGCGGGGGCCGTGGGCCGCGGGATTTTGACACGCTACATAATAATAATATTATATAAGCACCTACATGAGACTTACATAAGAAACCACTTAACGCGTCGGATAGGATTAACTGTTCTGCCGTGCACGCGTTCGCGTCGCGCGTTGCCCAAGGAGACCCGCGAAAAACTAAGATAGCAATCCCACCGAGTCCACGCTATCACCTCTCCACATTCAATTTTCAGACGTGAGAGCTTGATACCCCTTTCAACTGGCCGCATTCAGGCCGTTCGCTCTCTGCCATGTCTTCGTTATTTGACGCTGTAATTCAGTCCGAGCTAGGCTCTGGTCCTGCTCGTGAGAACTTTCAATCCGACAATCTCCCTAGCTCTCGGCGCTCGGAGAGCAATGGTCCAATGAGTGATATGAATGCTTTCCCCGATGACCGAGTTGTGGGAGCTGGGAACTCAGCAGTCAGCCGCCTTCGAAACCCATACGCCCCTGGCCCCCCACCCGTAATCGACGAGGCAGGAGAGAAGGTTCAGTCAAGCTTCGAGGACCTGCTAGAGACATTCGTGGACGAACCCCCATCATCAGCGCCCCCCTCCTCGGGACAAGTTCTCAGCAAGAACTATTACATTGCGCAGATCAAAGGAATGAAGAAATTCGAGTTATCGACTCTCTATGTTGATTTCACCCACCTCACATCCTGGGAGAATCCTATCCTTGCAGATGCCATCGCCACACAATACTATCGATTCCAACCCTTCCTCACCAAGGCGCTCCATAACCTCATCGCCAAATACGAACCTGAATATTTTGTCTCCCACCGATTGACCGCTAGCGCCTCTTCGCAAGCCAGCGCTTCCGTTTCCAACGCATATGCGAACGTTTCTGAGAACCCCGACCTCGAGCGCCAAATTCGCGAGAAGACCCGTCATCAGCAGACCGACAAGCTGTTTGCCCTTGCATTTTACAACCTGCCTCTAGTTTCCAGATTGCGACAGCTTCGGACAAACCAGATTGGAAGGTTGTTGTCCGTCTCGGGTACCGTCACAAGAACGTCCGAAATCAGACCTGAATTGTCGCTCGGAACATTCATTTGTGAAGGCTGTAAAACTGTCGTCCCGAATGTTGAGCAGACCTTCAAGTACACAGAGCCAACAGAGTGCCCGAACAACACCTGTGGCAACCGAGTAGGATGGCGCCTGGATATCGGAAAGAGTACATTCGTCGATTGGCAAAAGGTAAAGCTGCAGGAATCATCGCACGAGATCCCCACTGGTAGTATGCCACGGACAATGGATGTTATCTTGCGCGGTGAGATGGTTGACCGTGCCAAGGCCGGTGAACGCTGCATCTTTACTGGTACCTTGATTGTCGTCCCCGATGTCAGCCAACTTGGTCTTCCCGGTGTCCGCCCAGAAGCTGTCCGTGACAACGGTTCTTTCCGAGGCAACGAGGTCGGCGGTGGTGGTGTCTCTGGATTGAAGTCGCTCGGAGTCCGCGATTTGACTTACCGTCTGGCCTTCCTTTCTTGCATGGTTACGCCCGACACTACTACTCCCGGCCAGAAGCCAGAACAGCAATTGAGTGGCCAGTCAAACAACATCTTGGCTTCTTTGAACCAGAATCAAGAGGCTGATACCGGCGATGAATCAGCCCAAGAAGCTTTCCTGCAGAGTCTCACACCCGCTGAGGTGCAGGACCTCAAGCAGCTCGTGCACTCAGAATACATCTACTCTCGATTGGTGGACTCAATCGCACCGATGATTTGGGGCCATCGCCAGATTAAAAAGGGTCTCCTTTTGCAATTGATTGGTGGTGTTGCCAAATCAACAGAAGCCGAGAGCTTGCAGCTCCGTGGTGATATCAACATCTGTATCGTCGGTGATCCCTCCACCAGTAAGAGTCAGTTCTTGAAGTATATCTGCTCTTTACACCCCCGCGCAGTCTACACCAGTGGTAAGGCCTCTTCCGCTGCTGGTTTGACTGCCTCAGTCGTGAAGGATGCCGAGACAGGAGAATTCACAATCGAAGCCGGCGCCCTGATGCTTGCAAACGGCGGCGGAATTTGTGCCATTGACGAGTTTGACAAGATGGACATCCACGACCAAGTCGCTATTCATGAAGCTATGGAACAGCAGACCATATCTATTGCCAAGGCTGGTATCCACACTACTTTGAATGCCCGCGCATCTATTCTTGCCGCTGCCAACCCTGTCGGTGGTCGCTACGACCCCAAAAACACCCTTCGCAACAACTTGAACTTCAGTGCTCCCATTATGAGTCGTTTTGATGTGTTCTTTGTCATCCGTGACGAGCCTAAGGAGTCCGTTGACCGCAACCTGGCCGAGCACATTGTCAACGTGCACATGAACCGTGACGAGGCTGTCGAGCCCGAGCTCAGCACGGAACAACTGCAGCGCTACATCCGCTTCGCCCGCACATTCCGCCCTGTTTTCACCGACGAGGCTAAGGCCCTGCTGGTCGAGAAGTACAAGGAGCTGCGGACCAACGATGCCCAAGGCGGCATTGGCCGCTCCTCTTACCGTATCACAGTCCGTCAGCTCGAGTCCCTAATTCGTCTGTCAGAGGCCGTCGCCAAGGCCAATTGTGTCGAAGAAATCGTTCCAAAGTTCGTTATTGAAGCCTACGATCTCCTCCGACAGAGTATTGTCACCGTCGAGAAGGACGATGTTGAGATGGACGAGGAGGTGCCAGGTGCCACAAACAACGCCGATGAGGATCAGGAGATGGAAGATGGCGACAACGAAGGCGACAGCCCTATGCGCGATGTCGAAGCTCCCCAAGCCCCCGCTCAACCTGAGCGCCAAAAGACAAAGATCACCTATGACAAGTACGCTAAGATCTTAAACAAGATCATCAGACGTGTACACGAAGACGAAGTCAACTCCGGCGAGGGTGTCGAGCAAGACGACCTTGTACTTTGGTACCTGGAACAGATCGAAGGCGAGTTGAACACGGAAGATGACTTGGTGCGCGAGCGTGAGTTGGTCGTCAAGGTCATGAAGCGCATGGTCAAGGTGAGTTCCCATTCTTTTTTTATCGATCTTTGCATTGCCCCAAAAAATAAACCCACTGACCAACTCTTTTTATAGGACAAACTCCTGCTGCGCATCTCTGGATCCGGCCTCTCGGACGATCCTGCGCCCCGGCAAGATGAAGGTAGAGTTCTCTATGTCATGCATCCTGACTGTGTCTTCGAGGAAATGTGAGCATAGATACTCCGCTCTGCTTTCGTTCTGTAGGCCGGTTATGCGTTTCTTCTATGTTGTCTGTCTTATGGTGCTTGATTGTGTTTAGCATTTTCAACGGGTTAAATACAAGGAGCAAGGGGGTTACGAGTGATGATATCCGTTCTCTTTCGTCTTATGTTGCTTGATAGGACATGAATGATACTGAATTATAAATTCAAACTGCCTTGATCAACCCACTGTAAATGTAACTTGATGCGGTCGACTTGATAATGACTGTGGAGACATAAAGGCGGTGGGCGTTATTAAATTAGCAGAATGAGGCGGTAAGGCAACGGTTCCAGCACTGTGGAGTGCATTTGACCAATTAGCGCCTTCTGAAATCTCGATAGCATCGACCATCTAAAGATAAAAAAAAAAAAAAAATACAACACCGCAACTCATCAATCATGTCACACGTCATGGAGCATCCCTCTCGAGCTAAGAGAAGAAAGCTCGATGAGCCGAAACCAGCCGAAGAAATTAATATTACATCCGCAGCTCAGCTTCGGGAGCTGTTGGCCGTTCAGCAAAATGCCCCGTTGGCGAGACAAGGTGAGCCAAACAAGCAACCACTTAAAGCTAACGAGAAATTGACCTTGTTGCAGGTATTGTCAAGTTCAAAGAGTTCCTGGTGTCAATAGGACAAACAGAAAAGGAGCATGATAAAGCGCAGAAATTGCGTGTCCTCAAGTCTTATTGCGACAAGCAAATCAGCACCCCCGCAAAAGAGGATGAGACTGCAGTTTGCTTCCCAGACCTCATTGCATCCTGGGCCTTTGGCGATGGCAACAACAATGAGCCCCTGTTGACCAATGTCCCTTCCGTTCTTGCCATCTTCCTCAAGACTATCTCCTCAGAGCTGGAATTTCGGGATTTCGGAATCGCGTTGTGCAAGCATCTCTTGCAAAAAGATCAGCTGCGACTTTTCAACCGCGGTCTGACGGCAACTAAATCCAAGGAGCACCTTATCTCGCCCTGTCTTCGTCTGCTCACTGAAATCGTGACATTCGACGGAGGCGCAGTGGCGCGCCAGCTGTACCTTCGCCGTTACATTACTTTCAAGCGAATGGAAGTCTTCTTGACTCCTAACAAGGCACAGGAATCCGAGGATGAATCTCACAAGTCAACTCTCAGACGCAATGCCCAGCGATATCTGCTTGCGAACCTGAGGGTGCAGCATGCTTCCGAGAAGGGCGATATCATTGAACAGCACAAGATCACCCGGTCTTTCCTTGAGCATATCCGAAAGGATCCTCGTGAAACCGTAATGGAGATCATCAAGGCTATTGAAAGAGATATTGTGCAAGACTCTGGTCTGCCCCGGAAGTCGAAGAGCAAGTTCTTCAACCGCCACAACCTCGAACGATTGGTTACCCTCTATGGCTATGACCGTGAGTCAGACGAGCCCAACCCCAATGGAGTTTCCATTGCCAATGAGATCCACCGCATTATGATGAACATCTGTAAGACTGCAGGACTTGGAGTGCTTTTGCCTGAGACGGGCTGGTACCCCGTTGGAACTGACCCCGAGACTCTGCCTGCCGATGATGATGCATGCATTGAATTGGGACTTGATTCTCCAATCCATGTGGACAAGTACAGAGAGTCTGTCCCTGTGCGGAACGGTTCTCTGTCGTTCCTCATTCAGTGTCTTCGCCCCGATGTGGATAGTCTCCAGATTGAATTGCTGGTCACTATTTTCAAGGTGGCACCGGAACTCATCGCCGATTTCTTTACCAGAAAGACTATGTTCATTTCGGACCCGAAAGCTACGCCATCATGGATGGCTGAGTCGGCCTTTCTCTTCTCAACCGTTCAATTGCCTGTTCCGGCCAACTGTGGCTGGAAGGAAAAGCAGCCTATCCTGCCCCCGCCAGTGTCAATTGCCATCGAAAACATCCTCCCTCGGCCTCTCAGTCAGAAGATCATGACCCGTTGTTTGAACCAGAACGCCGAAATTATTACTCTTTTCGCCGTCCGGATTCTGACTCTCGCTTTCACCAAGCTGCGGGCTGTTTTGAAAATCTTCCAGGGAGAACATGGACAAGGACAACTTTTCTGGAACCAAGCATCTTCCAAGTTGCTTGCAGAGTTCTCTCACCGTTGTCCCTCCATCAAGGACGTCGTTGTTCTCTTTCGACGAACTGCTAAGGAGGACCTGCAGCAGCAAGAGGCGGTTGCAGAGCTCCTGACATGCTACTACGAAGTGATGCCGGATATTGCTCTGGAGGAGAACTTTGATGTTTCTCTTGTTTTGGTAGATGTGCTGAAGCGACTGGAAGAAAAGGATACCAGCGTAGATGATTCCGAGTCTCTTTTGAGTCAACTGCAAAGCCTTCTTCAGATCGCTCAACAATCTGCTTCACTGCGTTGGTGGCAAAAGCCTGCCAACATGCAATATTCACCTTTCACCTCGATTCTGAAGGTCCTCATGGACACTGCGGACAAGGACTCCTCGCGACGCATCTCGACCCTACTTAAGACTGTTTTGGTTGAAAACTCTGTCTTGCAAAGTTCGCCACATGCATTCGCATCTGTTTTGTCAAGCCTTGAGAATTCTGAGCATGAGGCTCTTCATCAGCAATTGGTCTTCTTTGACAACTGTGTTTCTCGTGTTGCTAAGAAACCTGTGCACTACATTGACATGCTTGAATCTCTTTCCAAGGATGAGTCTGGAACTACCAGCGCTCTTGTGGCTGTCATTGTTGAGCAGTGGCCGTTCGTCATCAAGAGTGGTGATAAGTCCACCGAAATTGCTGTTGGATCATGGATTGCAAGCCTTCTGGGCAACCTCAAGCAAGCCGGTGAAAGCACCAAGGTGCTCAAGGCTGCTCGGGATGCATTGGTTGAAGCAACCGAGACCAAGAAGGTCAAGTCGCTTCTGAAGAAGTCTTTGAAGGGCACAGAGGATGCCGACACGGAAGAAAAGATGGACATTGACTCTGGCTCCAATGTGCCATCAGCCAAAAAGACTCCTACCGTCGACCTCGACGAGATCTTCGGATTCCTGCCCACCGAAGGCACCACCCACAATGCCTTAAACAGGTGGGACAGGGAAGAAGTTGAGCAAGCCGTGGACCAAGGTCGCGTTGCCGAGTTGATTCTTTGCCTCTGCTCTCAGCACGAAGAAGTCCGGAGACAAGCCTTTGCCAACCTTGTGCGCTTCATGGCGAAACTCAAGGAATCCAAATACGCTGAATGGCGCACAGTCTATACCCTGACTGGAGAGCTCCTCGAGACTGTCAACACCATTGGCATGGAGAAGCCTGTTCCTTGGATTGTTGGTGAATGTGCTGCAAACTGCCTCGCGGTTCTCACCAATCCTCTCCATAAGGTCTACGGCAAGGTCAACAAGTTCCTGCAGAAAGCACCATTCTGGGAAGTTGAAAAGATTCCTACATACTGGGTCGACAAGATCCTTCTCCACGAGCCTGAATTGGATGACGGCTATTTCGATGAGATCGACTGGCTGCTTGGACTGTTCGTCAAGGCACTTCGCACCGAGGCTGTAAGTCAACTAAGAATTGCCCCACTTACAAGAGGAACAGCAGCTTACTGATTGAATATAGGATATGGAAGTCTACAGACGTGCTAATGTCTTCGAGCGCATTCTCTCCCTTTACCAGTCCCCCACCCTCGGCCCGACAGCTCGACGCAAGATCCTGCACATCGTCTACCGTGCCGCCCAAGTCGGCGGTAGCACTACTCTGATTACCCGCTCTGGCGTCATCAGCTGGATTCAGATCCAAGTTGCCGAAGCCAATTCAAAAGAGGCTGCCCAGCTGTCGGCCCTTGCCAAGTCACTGTATGGGACTTGTGATCGGGGGCGTGTGGATAGTTGGAGTAATGGAACTCTTTCACGTGTCATTGATGAAATTCAGGCACAGGCATAAATGTTGGAAGTCTTCTAAATTAATAGATTGTTTGCATTGGCACAATAGGGAATTTCAGCGTTCGAGTTTTATGTCCGGTTCTGCAGTAGGGTTTACATTGGTCATACATCAGCTAGCTAGGAATTCCAGCAGGAACAAGAAATGAGCTGTGAATACTGATGTAGTCACAAGACAAGACGACAGATATGTCGAATTACCAAAATAAAACATCGAGGTCGCCGTAGTCTAAGTACTACTCATATCGATACAATCAGCTGAAAAGTGCCGGCGGGTTTCCCCTTCTGGCGTATCCCACTAAAACCGTACGCTGGATACCTCTGCTTTTCTTTCCCCTCGAGCACACATTCACAGCACATCAGATCCCAGTTTCGCCTGAAATACTTCTATTTGACCGCAAAGAAGCTCAGGTGAAGGTGTTTGACAGTGCAAGGTTCACACCCGAGCTCCGCCTCAGACACCGCCATCGCCACAAGGTGGCTTGTGGGCTTCTCCTCATCCAACCTCTTTTCCCAGATACAACCATCTACGCTGCCCTACTCCCATTCCGATCTTCCTAATCCTTTGATTACCTCGAACCTACCTCATCACCTGCTACGGATTCTTATTTTTCTCAAACCAATGAACGCATCATAATCGCGAAGAAAGCCCACACACGCACACCACGACAGAGCCGTCATGGCGCGACGGTATGAGATCGCCGAGCTGATATGGCTCCGAGAATCTCCCCTCGTCGTAAAGCCTTCCGGTCTACCTCCGATTGAAGAATGGATGTATGTGGCTGCTCCCAATTCCTCAGCTTGTCCCGCACTGTCCACATCAAGACTGACCGCACCATCCAGGCCCCAACCAGACCCAACAACGCAGCGCAAGCAGCAAACCCCTCGTGACCCCAACAACCCCAATGAATCTGGCACAGGCCGCCGGTCTAGCTTCTTCGAAGCCAAACATATCTCCCGGGGATCCAATTCAGGTACGAATCCCTCCCTTGTCGATCACTGGCGTCGTGATCAGTTTCGCTCTGGTCAACATTACTCACCCGATATGCCACCAGAGGATATTGTACTCGGCCCTCCCAAGACTGCGTTCGCTTCATCCCGTATTGGCGGCAAAGGCTCCTTTGATTTGACCCCGGAACGACCAGTTCGGCAACCCGAGGTGGATGAGAAGAATGACAGATTCAACTTCCGAGATCGATTCTTCAAGGACCGCGATGCTACAGATAAAGATTTTGCTGGACGAGAGGGTAAACCGGCGCCACTGAATGGCCGGCGCGGGGAGAGAGAAGACTGGAATGCTGGGCGCCCGCGTCGCACATTTGGTCCAGAAGATCAGGAACGCAAGCCGAGACGAAACGGGGAATTCGACCGATGGGAGAATAAAGAAGGCTCTCGCGATCTCACCACTGAACGAACCTCCCAGAAAGAGGGCAGATTCCCCCCGCGCAAAGACGGGCAGACCCCACGATCTAAATACGAAGGAAGCTGGTTCCGCGATGAGAATAACCCCAACATTAACAGCAATAACCATGAGGGTGCCGAGCTCGATGAGGACAAACCACCTCTACGCAACCGGGAATGGCGCCAGAACCAAACCCGACATGGCACTGAGCGCGAATGGAACCGCGGTGCCAAATTTGAAACAGAGCCTGAGTGGTTGGATACCAACGACAACGAGCCACGACGAGCACATACCCAGGAAGACTTTGAGCGCTGGAAGGAGCGTATGAAGGCTGGATCTGGAGGAGCTTCGCAAGGCCCTCCACAGGCAGAGGAGAAGAGAGAGGCGCATGCTGAACACAAGGCGGAGACCCACCGTACCGATGGTGAGATCTTCAGCAATTCCGGCACTCCTTTCATGTCGGACAATTCTATGGAACGCTTCTTCGGTCTTTTGGGAGACTCGAAACAGCAGCCTCAAGCTCAGCCCCAGCCCCCCGAGGTTAGCACCCCCAGCTCCGCCGAGTCGATGACCAAGAAGGAGCCTTTCCCCTTCCCAGGAAAGCCTGGAAAGTCATCTCGTTTCGCTGGTCTATTCAGCCCCATGCCCGAAAGCCCTGCCAGAGAGCCCGTACCCGAGCCCTACTTCCCCCCTCAGCCGGCACAGACACAGGCACCGCCACCGGTACTGGAGAGCATGCCCCTTCCTTCCCACAGTGCCGACCAAGAAGGTTTCCAGCGCATTTTGCAGATGCTTGGAGGTCAACGGTCAGGAAACTCTACGCCTCAGCAGGCAGGTCTTTCCCAGCCGAGACATTCATCGATCCATGCAGAGCAACAACGAGCTGCTATGGCCATGTCATCCCCCTCCAGGGAATCCCATAACCAAATAGACTTCATGGGCTCTGGTCCAGAGATTCCTCTATCCCAAGCTAGTGCCAAGGATCCTCAGTCAATGGAGAGAGCACACTTGCTTCGCTTGATGCAGCAGGTTCGAGTAGGCCCATCGCCCGCTGGCAACCCATCCCAGCAATCTCCCGGTGCCGGTATTGCTCCTCCCCCGGGCCTGATGCCAGAAGGCATGCCACGCCCCCCCTCCCGGTCTTTCCGCACAGAAGCCCCTAAGCTTCCTCGATGACCCGGCGATTGCCAACATGCAACGCCCAGATAGCGAGCAGCTCCGACGCCGCCCTGCCAATGGCCCACCCATAGGCTACTTTGATGACATGCCCTTCCCCCAGGGTAACCAGGGCCCTATGACTCCTGGCGGTCCTATGACCCCCGGTGGCTCACGGCCTCCGCAAGGCCCCCCAATGGGTCTGCAGCGACCCCCAGGACTGGACCATTTGCCTCCTCCGGGATGGTCTGGTCAGCCAGTCCCGCAACAGGGCAACGTACCAAGCCCCATGGGTCCTCCTCCCGGCATCCCCACTCCTGGCCGCGGCATGAACCCCAACTTTCCGCCTGGCATGCTCCCTATGCCCGGTAACGCACCCCCGCTCAACGAACGTCAAGCCTTCCCCCGTGGCCCACCTCCCGGCATGATGCCGCCTCCGGGATACATGAACGGCCCTCCCCCAGGCTTCCCTCCTATGCCACCCAACCCAGAGGCCATGATGGGACTCGGACCCGGTGGCCAGGGACCTTTCGGACCAGGCAACCCAGGACCACAGGGTCCTCCTTCATCCCGTCACCTGCTTGAAATGTTCGGCCAGCCCAACGGCGGTGACCCCCGTGGCGGCATGGTCGGCCCAGGCCCATTCAGGTAGACGGCAACGTACTAGAAACAGACATTGTTTACATTTACTTACCTATCCACTGTATCATCCGCAATTTTTATTTTTATCTGCGCCAGTTCTTGGAAAGTTAATGTAATCAACTCGTCAAGATTTCCGTTTCTCATCTACGCCCACCAAAACCACACAGAACGCACCCCCAATTTGAGGAATCAGAATACCCTTTCAGCTCCTTGTCCCGTTTACCCTTTCTCTTCTCATGTATTTGCTGATGCCCTTGGGCACACCGATGCCCATGTCTGATAACTGCTCTCCACCTTCCCCCCGCGTTTAAGCTTTTGCTGCGTTGGTTCTGGCTACCTTGTGATTTTCTTTACTGTATTCCTTACCGGGGCTCTAGTTTTTCTTACTCTTCGGTGTTCTTGAAGCCTCTCAATGAGGGAGTGCGTTCTCGCTGTGTCTATGGTGCTGGCTCTATGGAATGAATGAATATGACCGTCTCATCTATTGCGGTTGTGGAAATGTTTCGATGGAGCTTTCGGTGGATTGGTTTCTAGCATCTACTCTCTTTGGTCTTTGGGGTCTGGTCTTTTGGTTCTGGTCGTTGGCCTTGGCTGGTCTCCGGTAGATCTATACCCCGTTTCTGTTCGAAAGATGATGGTTTAGCATCGAATCTATCTATTGCTTGGTCAGGATTTTGACTTTTGTAGTGTGGTCGTAGGCTGGGCTTGGTTTCTTCTGCTAGCTTCATCGTTTCCTTGGTCTGAGTAGGTGGGATAGATTCCTATGGAAACGGAACTTACGAGCTCAGAGCCCAGTATGAATACATTGGCCCTTTTCTGGACGGCTTTGTTGGGCACTCTTAAGTAGACAATATGTCAACTGCCTCGTCCTGATCCACAATACTGGCATTCATCTAATGGTCTTATTCATCTGGACTTTATTATTATATCACTGGCCATTGGAACATAACCCGCGGCCTGTTGCGTCTTGTTCTTCGTCTGCCAATTCGACAGCACTGGAGGAACACTATGTACAGATTTCTCCAACAATGCCATTTTATACAAATTCAGCCTATCAATAATACAATCAATTGAAACTGATATAGGCGTCGACCTTGGAGGGGTCAAGAGCAACGGCAGCGTTGTAAACAGTCTGATAGATAGCGTTGTGATCAACCTGAGCGCTGGCAAAGCAGCAAGGCAGAGCCTTCTTAACGATGGGGCTGTAGAAGCGCTAGAGAGAGAAGTTAACAACTTATCCTTGACGAAGAGATATCACATTCAGGAACTTACAGAGTTCTCGTCGTTAAGGTTGGTCAAGAGAACTTGCAAGTCATTGCGGCTATCCTTGTCGAACTTGGCAGCGGCGTCGATGAAAGCATCCTCCATGTCAATGCCAATAATAGCAAGCGAGGGGTAGGCCTGGAAAAGAGCAACCTGGATAGTATCTGCAAGTGCCTTAGTGGGCTGATCGTGCTTCAGGTCTCCGCTCTCGCTGTTGACGGCTGAGGTGAACGTGGAGATGACGTTCTATGAGATGGTATATCAGCACTCTTTCGTTTCATCATTGTTCTACACCGGAAGATGGCGTACATGGAACTCACGTCGGCAGAGACACCATTGGTACCGGCGTTCAGATGGTTGACCATAGTGGCAGTGCGTTTGAAGCCAAGATCGAGCTGGTTTCAGGCGAGCCTGGGTAGCGGAGGTGATGTCGGTGGCATTGACAGGGGGATTGACTGAGATTGCCGAGGCAGAGATGGCCATGAAGGCAGCGAGGAGGATGTTCTTGATGTGCATTATGAGGTGTGTATAGGCAGGAAGGGTATAGAAGTAGGAAAGGTCTTTTGGATTGAACTGTATTGGGATACTAGGGGTGTCGGGCATGCCTCGTACTAGTGGCGCCAGATACACAGTAAACCCATCAAGGCTAGTTTCGAGATCGATCGTTTCTTCTGCAGAATATGTGGGGAAGCTTAGCCACACGAATTGGAAATTCCGAGATGGATCTCGGTGCCGTTAAACTCAAGATTGTGATCGACAATATCAAGACCCGTACCGAACCACTCCGAAGACTGCGAGAGCACCTCAGATCTCTCATAAACACATGGGAAATCCCCGAGATCTTGTCTTGGCATTTTGCTTTGCCTTGACCATTTTGATACGGTACGTTTGAATATGCATCCGTGGATGCTTCTTTGATCTGTAGGTTGCATAGTATTTAACAAAGACCGCATGCTTTTCCTGTGTAACCTCACTCAATAACTCATTTCGATCTGTTCTTATTGTTCATCACTAAATATTACTGCCTGTTGAGATCAAATTGTTGATATATAAGGGCTCTGGTGTCCACGTGACAAGGGTTGACCGCATCGGGATATCACGAAGCCTCATGTAGTAGCAATGTGCAGGGAGTACATAAAATAAAGCAAGCTGAAAGTAGCAATCTATCATGTATTTTCAATTTAAAAATAGGTATTTGCACTTGAGTCAATGAGCAAAGTGGTGAACCATAAAAGGCTTCAAGGCGTACTGTACTCTACACAGCACCTAGGTCTGTAACTCGTATTTTGCATATTAGCCAGGTATCAAGGCGGTGATTGAAGTGCTGTTCTCTTTTAGGTAAGCGCAGCTTTGATACAAGTATAAATAATGACCATTTTATTTAATATCGATGTCCTCGTCGTCGCCGCCCCGATAACATCCGAACACGCTTGAGTCGAGACATCACGTGCCAATCGTGCCCTCGATACATCTGGTGCCTGGCCATTCAGAGTAGTTTGAGGTGCACTCATCTACGCTGAGAACCTTTCACGATCCTTGATCTTGCTGTCATGCTAATTCCGCCCTAGTGACTACGCCTTCGAATCAAGTGATCTATCGCCAATTTTTCTGTACGCTGCCGCAATTGCTCTTCATTTAATAGACTTACCCATTCTGTCTTTGAGGTTAAACGAGAGAACACAAGTGCTCTATTGGACTCGGTATTGGTCAGTCAATCGACAAAATGGATGCGGAAGTGTTGGAGGTCCGTCTTGTAATTGACAAAAACCGTGTGAGCAAACACAACAGATCTCCACAACACACAGCTTGACTAACACTTACCTGCTTCTTTCTGCGACAGGCTGCAAGGATTCAAACCAGACTTGTGCCCCGGACTGTACCTCCATCTACGAACGCTCCAAAGGGTGATCAGCTGACGACGATGTCGCCCAATCCTCGTGTCAAACGCAAGCGACACTCGATGACTCTACGCTCTGAGAGGCGTCAGAGTTTCGAACATGATGTTTTGTCTTCATCCTCCCCGTTGTCATCTCCCCCTCCTCTTCGGTCATAGAAGCCGGTCGACCAAGTACGCGTGACCCATCGCTGGCCGGTAAGTCTTTCAAATTCATCCTAGGTTAAATGTCGTCCCGAGTATTGAGCATTCTCTGACCAACACGGTACAACTAGGAAGCGCTTCAGTTCATGAAACAGAAGAACCGCAGCTTCCCGAGACCATCCACGCCCCACGTCCCAGGGCTTATACAACTCCCATCCAATTCCCAGTCACACCAGCTAGCACCGGAAATCGAGTTTGGGCAACGCGCCATCCACCCAGCCAGGATTTCCTCATTTGGGCAGAGCCCCACATGGCACAAACTCCCAGTCCCATCCAAGAGGACGAATACATGGCCTTCAGTCCCCAAGACGAGGACAAGGAAAACTTCTTTGCCACACGCTCTGATCTAAGCTCTTCCGAAGATCGAGCCCAGCAGCCTCACGCCTTGGACCAGAGTGCAACAAGCCACCGCGATGCCTTTGGAATCCCACTAGCCCACCAGATCTCTGACTTTGTCGAGAGCAACGCGACCAACCCCCAAGCCGAGTCTATTATCCGCCCTCAACGCCAGGTGTTACATCCCATCTTGGTTCCAGAGCTAGACGAACCTGAAGAGACTTCTGCACTCTACGACGACAGTATTACCCAGACTCAACTTCGCCAGATTGAGGAGGTTGAAGGAAACTACCAGCGTGGCGACCAGAGCCGTGCTCGCAACAACCTTCATGCTGCTTTCCGCTATGGCGTACGCGTTCAGGGTCGGACTAACTTCGACACGGATATTCGTCGGATTCTGGAGCCGCAGCGTCGTGAAGCTCGTCGTAACGCTCTCGATGAAGATGAGGATGAGAACTAGTATGTCATATTATGATTTGTTGAGCATGAGCCTGCTATTAAGTGATACCTGCGTGTCGGACGCGCTCCGATATTGAATTTTCTTTCATCTTTTTTTCGACTTTGCTATTATGCTCAATGATGTTTACGAGTAGCGATTTGTCGGTCAGCACATTTTATGTTTATCAAAGACCTTTCTTTCCTAATCTATCCCAGTCATGCGTCTAGGCAGTTCTCTAGGACTACCAGGTACTAGAGCCACGTAGAACGCCTAGAAATGGAGAGAAAAAGAAGAAGATATCTTAATTTGCCTCGTGTGAGGCTGATACTGTATTCGTATGTGGCATCACTGAAGATAAAAATATCTTCAGAGCCTGAGATACCGACCTTATGTTGAGACATCCAGCCTCTTTTTTTTTATATCTCTAGTGCCATCTAGTAAGAGGAGATTGAGAATGCGGTCTTGCTCATGGTTGCTGTGAGCATGTTGATACTTTCATCCAAAGAGCCGGGTTCATCGATCCCACGAGCTCTGCATAGAAGTTCGCGCAGGTTCCGTGAAATCACACTTGCATTGTGCGTGCTTTGAAAATCAGGATATACTACTCACAAAAATCCAATACATCATCTTCAGCCAAAGACCCATTGATAACTGCATTCCATTCCGGCAAAAACGGAATCCCCGAATCCCCAAATTCCCAAGTAGAGAAGATATTTTGAGTTGAATCAGCAATGAAATCTTGCTCATGTATTCCGAGTTCGGGAAGGGACGTTCCATTTGGCACCGTATGTGTAGAAAGTAGCTCAGTCCCTTGACTCTCGACATGTCCAGCCCCTAGAGACTCATTATCATCATTATTCGAGTCATCACCAACTACTGTTCGCTGTGCATTCCTTGACAGCAAAGTCTGACGTCGCAGCAAAGCAAGGCATTTCCATATACTACCATGTCCAGTCTCACCCTGTGTCTCCGCCGAGAAACCACTCAGGCTTAATTCATGCGGGAGAACTCCCTCGACTAATGCCCATGCACGTTTTGTATTCGGTCCACAAGGATTGTTACAGAGGCAGCGTAGGACATAGGCAAGGGCGTACCACGGGGTATATGTTGTGAAGAGCCACTTGAATCCTAAAGAGAATTCGTTATTCAATAGGATGTAATTGCATTCCATTGAATCACATGCCAGCTTGAATGAAGGCTTCAGCGTTTCTGTTTTAGATTCAGTTGCCTGGAAGTCATTCTGTTTCTGCAGGCTGATTTCTTCCCGTAGTTGGAGCATGAATTCCATTTTCTTGCATGCGGTTGCGAGATGCTGCATTGCAATGCGTGAGAGATGACTTGCCGTGGAAGAAGTAGTCTCATATTTAGAGGACATGAAGTTAATCCTCTCTTTAATCATCTTTCTTTTTGCTGTGATGTCGGAAAGAGCATGCGCAGAGCTTTGTTCCCGAGTCCCAAGGATTGGATGTAGTAATCTACATGAATCGGTTTGGATGAGGAAGAAAGACATTTCTGTCCAACCCGCCGACTCCACTGGAAGTTGAGTCATGCTGGGGAATAATTGGTCATCGTTTATATTCAGGGGGAGTCGTAATCCGCGGTGGAGCACATCGAGGGTCAGTTCGAATCCTTGATCTTCTGGAGCGCGAGAGTCGAGCACGCATAGATGCCACCACAAGCGGAGACGCATCTCTGTGTCGAATGGGCTTAGACGGAGACAGGCACCATCTCGGTGTATCCCAAATGATTGGGCTAATCTGATTGCGAGCCCGTTTAAAATCCATACACTCCGGCCGGTTTCGTGAACCCGTAAGCATGTCTAGCTGATGTGATTAGAGCTTATTCAACTGGTACAGGATTCCTAGGTTTAGATGCGCACAACGTAGATTGCAAGAGCTTGTAATAGCGCCATTTCTGGTCGCTTCATGGCTTCTGGGCTCAAGAGAAGCTTATCCAACGTGGTTTTGCAACGTTCCAACAGTACTGGTTGCCCCAGTGGGAGCTCAATAGCCTCGTTATCGTGACTCAAAGCTGTGGTTGCAGCATAGTAGATGGCAAATGTCAGCGCAATCATAGACGACCTCGCCGATTTGGGGTCGAGAATTGTTGATATTACGGCGGATTGGGTGGTCGGTATATGCAGAATCTTGAGTACTGGGTCCACTGACTTGACATACACGGCCCATAACTGAAGGGCCAATTGCGGCTCCGGATACCATTGCAAGATACCGGAAGAGACGCCTAAGGAGGGGCCTGGCTGGATTGACGATGTCTGGGCACTTGTAATATTGGGTAATTGTAATTGAGGAGAGGAAGCTTCAATATTTGAACCTGATTTGGTTCTAATGCGTTCTTCCTGCGATCTATAAGTAGGCTATCTCGGGAAAGCCACATCTTTACTCACGTCTTGAAGGAGGTCTTTGATATTTGAGTTGTTCACGTATTGAACAACATTCCCGTCATTGAGTAGTAGCTCCCATGTCTTGCTGTCGCTTTGAGTCGGCGGAGAATCTACCCCAGGTTGAACTTGATGATCTGAGTCACTGGCAGCAGATACCCCAGCCTGGCAAGCACGGGACAAGGTAGACTCCATTTGAACAAGGCGATCGGATATGTTTTGCAAAGTAAGAGCCCTTGGTTCATGCTCTTTCTTCGGATAGACACAAGTCAAGCCAGCTTTGGAACAATGGGCACAAGGCACTCCTCGGTCACAACGGACCTTGCGCCGATGACAGTCTAGGCAGGACCGAGCACTAATTTTGTACCCTCGATCGCCTGTGTAGCTCTTTTGTACTCTATGCATCATGAATAGAGTACCAGTCAAGAAGAAAATGATTTGGCGTGGAGGCGTAAGGTATCGGAATCCTGGGTCCGAGGCTCCGCACATTTGCCGCCACCAATCTCGGCGTCCTCGGTGTAAACTCCGAACTACAATATCGGTCAATTATGCATAATCGTCTCACTCTTGAAAAAAAAAGCACAAGCAAGATGATGTATCTCTTTAGTATATTGGCTTTAGTAAGCTTTGTTTCTTCCAATATATAGCAAGTATAGTTCATTGACGGTGTCAGGGTCCAACTTTGTACACGTTCTGAATGCCGTGGGTAAGGGCTTGTAATTAGCTTTTATGTTGTTTCCCCAAAGTACAATGCTATTCATTATTCTCTGATATTGTATTTTTCAGGCATTATCTCGGTAGTGGGCCTCCGTGGTGCCGAAATGAAACGCAGACTGGAGGAGTATATAACTCCTAACTCTTTGGACTCTGGTTCTTGATATTTCCTGAAGGCTTGTAAATACCGTCAAATACGAACATTAATGCCTAAAATGAGTAAATCAGCACCCAATCCAACAGCTCACGCCAACCCAGAAGAACCCAGCCCATCACAAGAAGCTATCCGAGAAGGTGGATATGGCTGGGTCTGCGTGGCATGCGTGTTTCTCATGAATGCCCACACATGGGGTATCAATGCCGTAAGAAGAACCTCGCTGCATACTTAATCTTTGTTTCTCGTATCAATTTCTAACACCAAATACAGGCATACGGAGTATTCCTCTCATACTATCTCTCCAGCGACATGCTACCTGGTACATCATCTCTAGAGTACGCTTTTGTTGGAGGGCTGAGCATAGGCTGTGCAATGATCATCGCACCTCTCGCAACTTATCTCGCCCACCAAATATCACCTCGCTTCGTTCTGAACCTCGGCACCATATTGGAAACAATATCCCTGATTACCACGTCATTTGTCAAAACCGATTGGCAGCTGTTTCTCTCACAGGGCATTTGCTTTGGATTTGGTATGGGGCTATGCTTCTGTGGCTCTGTGGGAATTCCTTCACATTGGTTCAAAAGAATGCGCAGCTTGGTTAATGGGATCGCTGCTGCTGGCTCCGGGGTTGGTGGACTTGTCTATTCGCTTGCTGTTGGGAAGATGATACCCGAGCTTGGATTTCCTTGGGCAATGCGTATACTGGGAATTCTGTGTTTTGGTGTGAATATCATATGTGCTAATCTCCTTCGTGTCCCTCCAAATTCACCGGCTGCATTGAATAGCGGGACATTCCGGCTATCTCTCTTGGGTAGACTGGATTTTGTCTTATTGTTAGGCTGGGCTTTCTTAGGCAGTTTGGGGTATGTGTGTCTGCTGTTCAGTTTGCCCAGCTATTCAGTTGCCATTGGTCTCACCCAGAAACAAGGCAGTCGGGCAGGCGCGCTGCTCAGTCTGGGTCAGGCCTTTGGACGTCCAGTTGTTGGGCTCTTGAGTGATCACCTTGGCCGAGTCAATGTTGCTTTTGCTTCTTCGCTAGCCTCGGGATTGCTGTCGTTGGTACTCTGGATCTTTGCAGGTTCCGTGGGGTTGACATACTTCTTTGCTGTAGCTGTTGGTTTGTTCGCCGGTACATTCTTAGCGGCTGCTGCACCTCTTACTGCTGAAGTCGTTGGTCTGGAGGATTTAGGGGCTGGCCTTGGTATCTTTTGGCTTTCACTTGGGCCACCCACGGCCGTGGCTGAGGTTATTGCGTTGCAACTTCGGGATAGTCCTAGTGAGCCGAAACCATACCTGCGGATCCAAATCTTTGTTGGACTCATGTACATAGGTTCGGCTGCTTCCTTGGCTGGACTGTGGTTTGAAATGCGGAGGAAGAAAGTTTCCCGGGGTGGGAAGATCTAAGTTAGCCAAATTGTTGTGCGTCGCTTCGATGTTTATACAGACTTTTTGGGTGTATGACTTACTCTTTATCATCAACTCAAAGTATTATACTTTGAGACAAGAACGCAATTTAAATAAATAGTGGCTTCACAATCAAAACTTTTTTGTCGTCAGCCATGTTGATAGGGCCCAAGGACACATCTACCGTCGGCTCATTCGGCGTGATAGGAATTGCTCTTGAGACCGTTCACTGCCGATTTCTATAACCTCAGCGAGCCCTAGAATTTTATAATGTCCAGTATGTTGCTCTTGTCATTCAGAGTGTATAGGAAGAAATAGATGATCTAATACGTCTTGTAATTCGAAAGCACACATTTGCCCGCGCCCCTTTCTCTGCCTTTAATTTTGATGGCCTGGCTGTGCGCTTTGGCATTTTCCAAAGGCTTTCGCTTCTTAGATGCCGGCTTCGAGTCTCGCATACTAAGACACTCGGAAATAAGCAAAAAAGATGTGAAACAAACTGGTTCAATTAGGGCACAAATCATTCATCAAAGGGTACACTTGCTTTGAGGTTCGTAAAGATATTTTTTATCCTTCATATATGGGTTCATCTCTTTTTTTGTTCTCTTTTTTTTTCCGTTATCGAATGCCTCCGGGTTATCATGTTTGATATGCAAAAATATAGGTGTGAAATGTTTTGTGGCTTATGAAAATAGAAGACTTGATTAAATAATACGACAATGCTGTAACAAAAATTCCTTTCTGAACTCTCCGGTCTCATTAAGCAAGCGAGCGATACAGAAACAAAAAGGAATGGAGCAAATCTCTACATAAAAATCGCCTCTTGAAAATACCGCATAACAGCAAAAACGGACATTCACGACCTGAGCTCCGTACATATCGCGCGGGTCATCTGTTGATCGATAAGTATATCACTTTTGGTAGGTCCAGGTAGCATTCTCATCACCAAGTCAAATGGAAGAACAAGTGGCCCCCGTACACCGTATCGTTCGTATACTTCACACGCTGCGTGCAGTCGAGGACAAGGACTGGCATATCTGGGGCTCCAGGCTGACATTTCGGGACTTCAGACCATACTCAAATCACTACATGATATATGGGCTACTTGGTGATTTGAATTAAGACGACTAGCTTGGTCTTATTTCCACTGATTGGCTTTGAGCTCGCATACCACCACTTAGCTTCGTTTTGGAGTTTCTGGAATGACTCTGAGACCTCAGGAACTAGCGAAGACCACATGTTTGTCGCGGTATTCACTTAATTAATTTGGTTAAACCAATAGTCCGGTTCTTTGCTGCAGGATGCTCCGCGCACCCATATCGAAAGGCCGTTCATCCAATATCCTAGCCAGGTACAGAGACCCATTCGGGAGAGACAAATCGCCATAGTAGATTCGAAAGTTCCTGCAACTTTTCATGCTGAGCGAGTGCAATTTTGTATAGGATCTGTTGTCGGCGGCGGTAAATTGTTTCTCGCGCTCTCCGAAAGATATCAGGTTCCTTTATCAGTCTCTAGAATATGTTCCGATCAATTCCTGGAACGTTAGGATATTGATAATAGAAGTTATCAGGTGTGTCCATCCTTTGTTTGATTATGTCAAGGGATGCTGCAAGCCTCTCAAGGGTTGGCGAAAGGAGAATAGTGACTTTGTCGGGGCTGGAAAGCTCTTCTTTGGAATAAGAGGTATCTAGTCCCATCGTGCTCTTACCAGCCAGATAAAGCGTGTTGGCCATGTTGAATGTGCAAGGAAATATGAAGAGTATGTGGGTTTGAGCAAGATTGTTGAAGATGGAAGGTACAGAAGGATAAGCCTGTGGTCGTTGGATTTGGGTCAAATGGTTCTCTTGGACATTGAAACTGAATTCCAGGCAGCTTGATCGTGGTATGCACCTGTAGCAGATAGCAGTGGTCGTAGGTTCTTATACATTGGTACTCAATACGCGACTACAGCATGAGCTTCCAGGGTTGATTCGAGTCTAGTTAGATGTGAATAGAGTTTGCTGTATGTATTAAGGATATTTCTCTGAAAAAAAAAATTGATATTATATATAAAACTTATATTTATGTTTGTAGGCGAGGGTGCCAAATAAAAATGCAAAAGAAGAGGTCGTGCCCGGGATCGAACCGGGATTGCCAGAATCAGAATCTGGAGTGATGACCATTACACTACACAACCAATTTATGTAGGTTGGCTTGTCTTTTAATTACATAAGCCAGAATCTTTTTTTCGTGCAGCTTACCCTACACTAGTCCTCATTAGGAGAATTCGACACACCCCTGCCATCTTACAGATAGCGCTTCCCTAACCTGCAGCTGCATGGCAACATAAGCCAACACATACTTGGAGCAAGTCGGCGCTTCGCTCTAGAATCCTTCGTCCCCCTCCGTGCCTCCCCGTGACCGCGGGGCACACCTCAAATAGTCTAATCGGCCCCGGGTCTTTTCCTCCCCCACACACCCACCTTATCCCAATGTCTCCCCAGCCGTCCTCCGTTACGGCTCTTTCCGCGCCGGGCAAGGTCCTTCTGACTGGTGGTTATCTTGTCCTCGACCGCGCATACACGGGGACCGTCTTCGCACTCGATGCGAGAATTCATGTGGTTGTGCAGCAGTTGAGGAGGGGTCACCGGCGCGGGGCATCAGGGTCTGGTCCTGCTGTTGGCGAGACGCAGAGTGCCGCCGAGGACCAGGAGGGAGAGAATACTGTTGTAGTGCGCTCCCCGCAGTTTCTTGATGCAGTCTGGGAATACGGTGTGCAGCGATGCTCTGATGGTGGGGGTGTCAAGGTCATCCCTAAGGGCGATGGGTATGTTGAACCCCTATAGGGTGATTGTTCGGGGAATTTAATTTGGCCAATGCTGACCGGGGATTTCTTCTAGACCGCGCAACCCATTTGTCGAGACGTCATTGAGCTATGCCTTGACCTATATCAGCTATGTTGCTGATTCCAAGGACTTTGGGTCTTTGTCTGTGACGATCCTGGCGGATAGTGATTACTACTCTGAGACTGCTACCTCAAAGGGACCGGCATCGCAGGATAGAGCTGGACGCTTTGTGAACTTTGGTGTTCCTCTGTTCGAAGCCCATAAGACTGGATTGGGCTCTTCCGCTGCTCTGGTCACTGCTCTTGTTTCCGCATTGGTTATTCACCGCACTATGCAGGCTGAAGATCTCGGCGCTGGTCGCGATAAGCTTCACAATCTGGCCCAAGCAGCCCATTGCGCAGCTCAAGGCAAGGTGGGATCTGGGTTTGATGTCGCCAGCGCTGTCTACGGATCGTGCCTTTACCGACGATTCTCACCGTCGATTTTGGAATCACTGGGTGATGTAGGATCACCTGGGTTTGAGGAGCGCTTGTTCCCAATTGTCGAAGACTCAGATACGGAACACCCATGGGATACCGAGTGCGTGGACTTTGGCATGCAGCTTCCGCGCGGGATGCAGCTGGTTCTGTGCGATGTGGACTGTGGTTCCGGAACCCCATCCATGGTTAAAAAGGTCCTTGAATGGAGAAAGGCCAACCGCAAAGAAGCGGATATCCTCTGGGCTAGCCTTCAGAATAACAACGAGCGCCTCCGCCAGGAGCTCAAGCGTCAGGCTCAGCACCCAGATGCCGCCGGGGACTTCTCAGATATCCGTACTCTTCTCGAGCGTACGCGCCAGCACATTCGCACGATGACCCGCCGGACGGGAGTGCCCATCGAGCCAAGCGTACAGACTGAGCTGCTGGACAGTGTTTCAGAGCTCGAAGGTGTCATTGGGGGGGTGGTTCCCGGAGCTGGAGGTTACGATGCCATTGCGATCCTAATTCGGGATGATCCCACCGTTGTCGCGCGGCTGAGAGATCATCTTGCGAACTGGACGAGCACAGCCGACGATGATTTTGGGGGGAAGATCGGCAACGTACGACTATTGGGCGTGCGGCATGGTTCCGAAGGCGCAAAGAATGAAATGCTTGAGCAGTATGCCGGCTGGGTCTAGGTCTAAGATATGATCCTGATCTGCAAGCACCAGGCAACCAATCTGTGATTTTCAGCATTGCTAATCGGCTGCCCTATTGCATCCTGGGCCAGGTCCTCCAGAATACAGGAGAATTAATAGCAATCAGTGAAACATCGACTCGGATGTTCAAATCCCTATCCACTCTACGGTCCACCTCTCTCTTCAGAGTCCCCCAGCATATGCACCACGAGCTGGCCGAGGATCCCCCATTTTCGACGTCAGAGGTGCGTGCGACCGTGTTCAGGTATTTCAATATGGACTGGATTGGGGAATGGTTTCGGGTATTTCCCTAGCATATGAGAATACGTAGACAATGAATACACATAGATTCTTGACAATTATAGATGTGTGGAGAACACGCATCATGTAGCTCTTGGCCTGGCAAAACTAGTTTCCCCGGATCGCCAATTGAGATCTTCAAATAAATTCTTCAAATTGACAAATTCACATTCTTTGTATAAGCAAACTATTATTCTGTTGATTCGCTTGAAGAAAAAAAGGGGTGCGGGAAATAGGATTCAGTTTCACCAGGGTCTCTGTCGGCCAGTCTTTAGGTCCGCCGATCCCCTTTGCCATCTCTCCTCCTTCAACTCCTCATATAATGTCCTTCTTTTGCACATCTCCATAACTGTACAGAATTATCTTTCAGACCAAACCCCACACTAGTGAGGCACTATTGCGCCTCCCGCTGAGTCGACTCCTCACATCTGGAACCCAACTCTTTCCCTCTGTCTTCCTCTGTCCTCCATTCCATTCGCCTCCCCCGTTGCCCCTCCCCCTTTCCCTGAACAAATAAAGGGAAAGTCAGCCAATTGGTATTATTGGGGTCTTCCAAAGAAACAATGTCTACAACCGATCGCCCGGAGTCGGGAGCCCTGAACCCCAAAGACGATGACCACCCGACTACATCTCCGGCCACGGACCAACAGCCAACAGCGCCAAGTACAGATGCAACAGACTCAGCCCAAACAGCTCCCGCCAATGTCGCTAATCTGCCCACTCCTGCGACACAGCCACTCGTACCCCAGTCAGGTCAAGCTGCCGTCGCGAACCACCCCGCAACCAACCCCGGCACAGGTGGCGAAACCGCCCCCGTGACAGTGACGGCGACGACTGGCACGGCCACTACCTCAACATCCAACGACACATCCTCTGCCGTCGCTCAGCCGAATCCTACTGCGACAACGACAACATCAATGGATACCGAGGAGCCCAAGACCGTGCAGGAGCTGTCGACTGAGCAGTCGGATGACGGCTCCAGCAAGGAAGTCGAGGATGCGGGTCCATCGCTGGTTATCACGCTGCTCTTGACGACGGGTTCGCGCCACCCATTTACCATCGATGGGAAATATTTACGCAAGCGATCGGTTAATGTCGAGAACTCTGACCCATTCCTTATGAGTGTTTATACGCTTAAGGAGTTGATTTGGCGTGAATGGAGATCTGGTAAGGATGACCTCGGCATGATTCATCATGGCTGATAATATGAGACGAAATGGCTAACATGGCGTTTTCTTGTTTAGATTGGGAGACTCGTCCCTCGTCGCCAAGCTCTATTCGCCTGATCTCCTTTGGAAAGTTGTTAGATGATAAGTCGCCTATCTCTGGTATGTTTTTCGTTGTCTGGCCGTGGCCGTGGCTATGTTTGTTCTATTTTCTACGAATCTTTACTGACTACCATTCGCAGACTCGAAGTTTAGCAAAGAACACCCCAATGTGGTTCATATGACCGTTAAACCGCAAGAAGTTGTCGACGAGGAAGATGCAAAGGGAGCCAAGGCACAGTACAACCGGGAGCGCGAGGCCAGTGAGCGCAGTCCAGGCTGTCGTTGCGTGATTCTATAATCTATAAAATCTCGTCCTGCTGGAAGCACGGTCCGACTGATGGAACTCAGCCGCACTGGCTATCATCGACATGTTCAACCGAGGACTCTCCGATCTCCATATCTCCAGATTGATATCGCTGTAGAGTGACTGTGCCTGGGTACTCTCCTGCTATCTCTCCTGTCTACCATACAGTCAACATCCCCCACCTCCACAGCGATTTACCTAATCCTGCCTGGATGCAGGATCAATCGGTCCTCGCATCCTCGACTCTTATCATCGTCGAACATGTGCGCTCCGGAAGCGGCGTTTGGACATTTGCTTCTGACTGGCATGGCCTCTTCTCTTTTGTTTTCTTCCCTTCTCATTAGGGTCGAGCAAGCATCGTCCCCCCCCCCCCCAATCCCATCTGTACAGGGCCACGAACCATTCCATTCCCTCACTGGAGTGCTTCCCAACCTACCCCCTCTTCCCTTATACTCCTTTCTTATTACCTCCTATCTCTCCCTTTCACTGTTCCTCTGGCGTCCTGCGTCTTGCTGTCACTATTATTATCATATTCTCATTCTTACTCTGCCCGTCCGCCTTCCCGATTTCTCTCTATATACCCCCTCCAATCCGACTTCCCTTTTTCATTTTTTCTTATCACTATCTGTATTGCCCTTGCTGGCTTTCGTGTATTTATGACTTTGACTTTTTTTTACTGTCCATTCCTTTGTTTGATTCTCTCTTGGTTTGGGATTGGTTTTTCGTAGTGTACAGGGTAGTATTCATGGAGTTCATATTTGATCTGATACTGAAGCATCCATCTTTACAAGTATGTGGAGCGTAGTTGTTGATTGACTGGTACAAGCAGTATAGTTGTTGTAGGTATGGTATGGTAGTATGGTGACTCCGGAATTGGTCGTGATATGTGTATTTCTTAGATAACTTGGCTGTTCGGCTAGACAGCTTAGCAGAAATAGACCATGGAGTCAATGCATTGACAGTGTCGCCCTGTCTGATTCAAGAACAGACAGGAAAAGCCAACCGGTAATGCATCAATCCAAATATCTAGCACTCTATTCAGAAATAAGATAGGAGGATGACGAGGGACATGAGGAAGAGACTAGTAGAACAGTCGACCGGAAGAAAGCACAAAAAACGTAAGAACACCATTCATCAAAAGCTCATTTAGAAATCCATCTTCAGCCTCTTCTCCATCTCATCATGGAAGGTAGGCGGCTCACGGAGGTCATCACCTACAACAGAAATAAAGTTAGCCACACAATCCCCAACATCATCGCCGAAAGACCACCAGAGCGAAACATACCCTGGTAAATATCCTCCCACTGAACCTCCGTATCCCGACCTCCAAGCATAAGAATATCCTCATGCACATTGCCCCCACGAACACCACCAAGCACAGCAGGCCGGAAAGTACCATCACGTACGATCTTCAGCTCCATACCGCGGCGAACGGGCTCGGCAATTCCATACGCCCGACGCAGACCTTCCATCTTCATTGCGTCCTGGGTGGCGCGCCACGCCAAAAGGCGGGCTTCGAGCGGGTGTGTCGATGAGGGAATGTCGCCGCTGGCATTTGTCGAGGAGGCGTGTGCTGTGGCTGGGAGCGTGAGCTTGTTGCGGAGTGTGTCTGGGAGACCTGGGGCTGAGGGGGCGCCCTTGGAAGGTCTTGCGGCGGTGATGGAGCCTGCTTGACGGGTTGTGAGGTTGCTGGTTTGGGATGGGTTTCCGCTGGGGGGAGCGATGCGGAGAGACTGAGGTTTTGTTAGTTTGGGGTCTTGGGGATAAACTGATGTGTATTGTTTGGAAGCTGGTGTATTTTGAGATGGAGCTTGGGAGGTGTCGTCTAGCTGCTGGCTGCTGGCTAGTCTCCACCTCCAGGGTGAGGCCCAAGGTCCGTAGCTTGATAACGTACCATGATGGCGGGTAGAGAAGGGTAATTCCTCGAAATCAGAGAACAGATCACAAATTAGAATGTCTGAGAGTATTATCAAAACTTGTCGAAAAGAAAGACAAAAGTATCAAGAGAAACGAAGAGATGCAAGATGACACCGCCGATGATGCTTCAGGCAGAGAGAGGCAGCGCGTCCAGCTCCTCCGGCAACCGACAACCACCAGTCCCGCAGATCACATGACCCCGACAATTCCATCAATATTCTCGACTCCATCCCGGAGAGCAGTTGCAAGCCACCCAAACCCGCCCACATGCCTCAATTACTCTCCCCGATAGCCCTCCGGGCCCTGCGGACTCTCGTCAGCCGTCCAGCAACAACCCCCCTTCGCCGAACCCTCACAACCTCCACCCTCAAGACACCTCAAACCTCCCTCACCACCCGCTTCAACTTCACCCCCGTCTTCCGCACCTCTACACTCTCCGCTCTCTCCCTGCAATCCTCCAAGCGCCGATTCTCCAGCTCACCCATTATCCGCGCTACATACAACCAGGTCCGCCGCGGTATTCGCACTGGTCAGCGCGCGCGCCGGGGTCGGTCACCTGCGCTTGTTGGAACACCTGGACTTAAGGGTGTTTGTCTTAAGACTGGTATTACCAAGCCTAAGAAGCCTAACTCTGGCGAGCGGAAGATTGCTCGTGTGCGCTTGAGTTCTGGAAAGATTATTACTGCTTATATCCCTGGTGAAGGTAAGAATATTCCAATTGGATTGGATTGGAATTGGTATGTTGCGAGGGCATTTTGGCTAATGTATTTCGTGTTTCAGGCCACAATATCCAGCAGCACAGTGTTGTTCAGGTTCGTGGTGGTCGTGCCCAGGATTGTCCTGGTGTGAAGTATACTCTTGTTCGTGGTGGTATGGATTTGGTAAGTTTGGATTACTTGGCCTATATTGTTGGCTCAGAGCTCTATATGCTGGTATGAGGTATGAATGGTTGCTAATTACTGTTTGTAGGGTGGTGTTGGAAGCCGTATGACCAGTCGTTCAAAGTACGGCACGAAGAAGCCCAAGACCAACTAAGATGGTTTTTGCATGGGTTGAATAACCTGCTGTCAGATTATACAATTCTGCGTTTGATTTGACTTTCTGCTCTGCTGGGCAAATCTGTGTGAATATTGCATGTACCACTACCATTGCGTCTGTTTATTATCATCTATTATCTACTTTTGACGCTCACGACTAGGATCAATTGTAATCATGATGTTTTTGAAAATCTTAAAAGTATAGAAAACCAATGGTCCCTGGAATACCACTTTACTCCGGTGACACATGCAACAAACCCAGAAATAGAAAAACGCTCGATAATCCATAGTAAAACATGTCAGACATCGAAATGAAAGCTCTTGGTACTTGGGAGGGAATCAAAATAATCAGAAACAAGGGTAGGATAAACCTGCAGCTTTCCGCTCAAGTTGAAGATCCAAGTGCTTTCTCCACTACAAAAAAAGTGGATATAGTGCTATCAGACATCACTCGACTCGAGTATGGTGCCTGCAGAAGCAGTGCAGATAGGCGAGACTGTCAGCCCCAAAACGCAAGCTTCATATCTCAACAACCGACCCGCGTATTGTCGCTAAAGAGGACGACTGGGTCGGCTACAGCAGACCCAAAGATACAAATAAGCAAATCAATCATCCTTCTTGTTCCATCCTGCTGGCTTTTGCATCTTGTTAATGTCAAACCACCGCTTGGTACCTGTATGATAATTAGACTGTATCTATGAGATCAGAGATGCACTTACAAGAGTAATCTTTCCAGTCAAAGTTCTCCTTTGGCTTGCAGGAGCATCTGAGGTCCAATCGAGTTTGCTCCTCAGTGGGACAATGCGTGAATGGGACATGGTAGTAGGCGATCTCGTTCCAGAAGTGGATCTCTTCCTTCTTCAGCATCAGAGAGGCGGCAATCGAGTGCACGGGTGCGTCGCCCCAGCGCTCATAGAAGAAACCGCCATCCTTGTCGAGAGATGTGAAATAGTCAATGTATTCCTTGGATCGGAGCCACTCCAGACTGCCAATCTCGAAGTTTGACCACTGCAGAAGAGTCAGTGGTGCTGGGGATTTGAGTTCATAGAATGTACTCACAAAGTGACACTTGTTGTAGGTTTCACCATTGTCGCTACTGACAAACTCCATAGCATTTCCCTCGGGAATGTACTCGGGATGGTTGCCTGTGAACTTCTTCACACTATCCCACAGGGTGGGAATAGTCTCAATATACTCGTACAGACTGATGACGAAACTGTACTTCTTGTTGTTCTCCTTCATGAAACGGAACGGATCAGAGGGAATGTCACAGAAGAGCTCAATGCTGGGCTCGACACGCCAGTAGTACTCGTAGTTCATCATAAGCGGGTGACGGAAGAAGAATCCAGACTCGTAACGGCACATGTGGCGATAACTCTCAGAGCCACCGTAGATGATCTTCTTGCGATCCATCTCCTCGCGCGCGGCCTTGGCCTTGTCCTGGTCGATCCAATCCGGGTAGGACCAGTGCTCCTCGGGAATCTTGCCATAGTGGGTGGTACCGGAAACCAGTGAGGTAGTCACTTTCTTGAACTCCTCATCGAATTCATCATCGTTCAGGAACACCCAGTCGTAGTTGTAATCACGGTTAAAACGGTCTTCGACAGTCCGGATGGACTTGACCATATCCCACAGGTCGGAGTTACGAGCCAAGGTGACAAAGGTGGCATTTACTCGTCCGGCACGATTCGTGCCAAGGACTTGTGGTTTTTGCGACTTAAAGGAATCATAGGTCGGGGGTGTTTCGCCCGCAGGAGAGGTATAGGTGGTGCTTGGGATGCTGGGGAGAGGGATCGAGGATTTGGAGATCACGAAGAAGACCGTCAATCCCTGATCATTGTTAGCAAATCGTTGCGATCAAGTCAGCGAATACATACCACGACGGCGAAGAGGAGATAGCGCGCATATCGAATAGAGACGGACATGATGTGGGGGCGAGGACGATTCCCCAAGACAGAGACAAGAAGATCACCAACTCAGTAAGTAGTCAGAAAGAAACATCCAAGAAGAAAAGAAACGGCCCCAAGGTAATTTCCGAAAGTGCAGGGACCGGAGACGGGTGGATGAAAATGAAAAGGAAAAGAGGCCGCGCAAGACAATGACAACCGCTTTCAGCCCAGGTGTCACGCTATTTAAGACATTCTTTCAGGGGAACTTCTTCAACTGTGATGCAAGGCCTGGGCAGAATCTTGATGTCAAATTCTATTTCGGTTTGAGAATACCACCTCGTGATGCATCTATAACGGCTTGTATACTCCGTAAACGTGTTATGTTCGCTAAGAACATAGCCATTGTACACGTACTACCATGTTCACTCATGTTGTGAGGTCACCAACTGTGGCAAACACACCAACTATAGACTCTGTAGTTCAACTGACCCCTCCATCCACCCGATACATCGAGTTCTGCAACAAATCCACGCCTTGAGGCTGCATCAGATCGACAGTGGCTTGGCATTGATGCCTCAGGCCCCAAGACTCCAGAACTTCGCCCCGACCATCGCACTCTCATCATATCCCCCCCCCCCCACCAAGTTCACCTCCCCACCCTATCCTCTTCATGTCTTTCTTTGGTTTCAATACCAACCTACCTCGGGACCGTGATGGTCCTGGGGCTAGGGGGTTCTTCGAAAACCCAGACCCTTTTGCCGAGGTCGCCAGAGCTAACGCGCTCGAGGATGACGATGCGTGAGGACCCCCCATTGCTATCGAGATTGACCATTGTACTCATATTCACTCAGAATCGACTTCGAGGATACCTACGATGGCTTGGGAGACCAGCTGCCCGACGATCAGGATGAGTTTAACGATGACACGTTTGGCGGAGCTCCCGATAAATCGGTTGGAAGAGACTTTGATTTCTTCGGGAAAACCGCCCAGGTGTCCGATGCGATTGGCGAGGAGCAGGTTCGCTTCAGTCTGCAGAACCCCAATGCTCCCCGAGTCGCACCCCAGCCCCAGCCACAGGTTCCCGTCCAGCAGGCCCCCGGCGTGGAGACCGTCAAGCGTTCTGGATACGAGAAGTACTCAGATCCCGGGTACATTCCAGATCTGCAAGCCAAGTCCAGCGTCTGGGGTGTTTCTCAGAAGAAGGCCGAGCCAGCACCGAGCCGGAAGATGATGAGCTTGGAGGAAGTCGAGGCGCAGATGCGTCAACACCCTCAGCATTCGAGTCCAGCTGCCCAGGCGTTTTTGCGCTCTATGGTCGAGCCTGCGTACCCTCCCCAGCACCAGCATCTCCCAACTCTCCCCGATGGGTTCCCCGCGGTACCTCCGGAGTTCCTGCAGGCACAGTTGAAACAAGGCCATCTCCCCCGCAGATGCACCCACCCCCTGGTATGCCAGAGCTCTATGGCCCTGGACCCGTTCCCACTGGTGGGCCCCTGCACATGATGCAAACCGCCAACCTCCCCCCGCAACACATGCCACCTACTGGACCCCGCCATGCCGGTCCGCCCCAGGCCCAACGCCCTCCCCAACCTCAGCAACCTCAGCCTCAGCAGGTGCCACCGCCCTCTCGGGGCTCCAACAATGCCATGCCCGTGATCACCAACCCGCAGCAGCTTATGCATCTGACGGAAGAGCAGCGCAACGCTTACCTTGTGGAGGATGCCAAGCGGGCGAAGCGCAACCATAAGATATTCCTCTTGTCACGAGGCAACGGCTTGATGACACCGCAGGATAAGAACTTCATCACCCGCATTCAGTTGCAACAGCTCGTGGCAGCTGCTGGTAATGTGGCAGACTCGGATCCCGAGGCTGTACTGGCCGAGGACTTCTACTACCAGGTCTACAGCCAGATCCGTGGTGCACCACGCCAACATCCCCACCAGCCTCTGGGCCACTTTGCCCAGACATATCTCCTTCAGACCGGTAACCGACTTGGTGGACATGGCCGACGGAACTTCCAATCCGCCGACAACCACATGCAGCGCATGCAGCAGCAGGTTCAGCGTGCCGTTGAGGCGGCCAAGGCTAAGCCCAAGAACAAGCAACTCATCATCGAGGGTAGTTTAGGCAAGATTGCCTTCAGCAACGCAAAGGCCCCCAAGCCTATGCTGAACATCAAGCGCCCTGATAGCTCAGAGGGTGCCAAGCCGAAGAAGCTACACTCAAACTTGAGTCTCAGTGACCGCAAGTCGATTCTTACCAACCTTGAGGGTGTTTACAGTGCATTGATGGCTATGGAGGATATGGAGCGCACGATGCCTCCACCTCCTGAGGAAGGAGATGCCGAGGCGATTCAAGAACACTTGGAATGGAGACAGAAGCTCCACTCGTTGAACCAGAAGCTGTGGCACTCATTGAAAGTGATGGAACCCATTGTACCAAACTCGACGACACCACACCCCTTCATTGCGTTCTTGTCATACCCCAAGGGAAAGAAGGCCATTCCTCGCATATTCCGTCACATTGACCAGGAACAGCGTGTCACTATCCTTACAATGATTGTTGTCCACCTTGACAGCCTTGATGTGGTTCACCAAGCTCAGCCCGTGCCCGGTGAGGCTCAGCCATCGCTTGGTGTGCGCGAAGCCATTGACTTGTTCTCCCTGGCTGTCATGCCTTGCTTGCTGGGCTACGTCAACGAAGCGCCTTTCAACATCATCATTGGTCTTTTAGGACTGGTCATCAACCAGACCCACGTGCACACTGTGGCCAGGACCAAGGTTGGACTGGGCATTTTGACTATGTTGCTCAGTCGCGCCGAGATTGTCAAGGAGGCTGGCCAAGCTTCCGAGCACGACTGGCAACAGTGGGTGGAGAAGTTCAACGTGCTCTTCGATACATTGGAGCCCGGCTTGAATGACATCTTCCCCGGCACGATCAGCTCCGGAGACGACATGTACGTGTGGCAGTTCCTTGCTGCCGTCGGTATTGGTGCCAGTCCTGAGCAGCAGCAACGCTTGGTTATCGCTGTCAAGTAAGTATACCGTCTATATATTTTACCGATATCAGTACTAACTATTTCCTCCAGGGATCGTGTGATGGAAACCGTTGGATACAGCAAGACTCTTCCTGCCGACATGGGCAGCCAGCGTCTCAGCAACGTCAACCTCTTCATGCGTGCTATCGGTCTGGATGTTGAGCTCCTTGGTTGATAGCCACTCTGTCCTGGGTAATCTTATTTTGATTCGGACCCGGCATAACCCTGTCGGTTCGGTTAGCTCTCACTCCATAAATACCCGAGTTGAGAGCCGACCCCACGGCCTCAGCAGGCCCGTACTAGTCCTTGAGACTATTCCACATGTCTGTTGCTGAAATGCAACTCTCCATCTACACGAGCATTGAAGTCTCATGATGAACGATTAGAAGGGGATACTGGCCCACAAAAATCGGGTTGTACTATTGTGCCCATGCTTTATTATTTTCAATACCAATTTCATTCAATTCGAACATCTATAAAAAGGAAGACGTGAAGAATGCCGAGCCCCGGGAGCGGGTTGGACCCTGGATCGGGATGGGTCCAACGGTTCCTGAAACGGTTAAGGACAGATCGTAACCTCACAACATCTGATCGCGTTGGATATCACACGTTCCTTTCACATTCTCTCCTGTTCGTGCTGTTTCCGCACCCGGAGATTTTCGTCGGATGCATATCATCTCTATTTCCAGTGAGAACAGTTCACCGCCAGGACGATCACCCAAAACACGGCATATATTCGAGTAAACAATTCACAGATAGCCTCAATTGAGTTGAGAAGAACCAGTTTAATCAAACTATGTAAATTAAGCCCCTGAAATGAGCCTCGTAGCAAGTAAATGAGAAATTAGAACCCGTCGATCGACTGGGCCGCGTCATAACAGTCAGATGTGGGAGGGCCCTTCACCCCCCCCCCCCCCCCCCCCCCCCTCCAATTTCCCCTTAAAAGCTGCCCCTCGTCCGCATTCTACTTTTCCCCATCTTTGCTTTTGTCTCATTTTACATCTTTAATCATGCCTGCTGGTTCTGTTCTTGTTGCTGGGTGAGTCTATCATATACTCTATCTGGATGTCTGATTCAATTGGAAAGCTAACTCCCCCGCAGTGGCACGGGCTACATTGGCTCGTTCACCACCTTGGCCCTGCTCGAGGCTGGCTACAAGGTCGTCGTTGCTGACAACCTGTACAACTCTTCGCCCGAGGCCCTCAAGCGTGTTGAGCTTATCTGCGGCAAGAAGGCTGAGTTCGTCCAGCTCGATGTCACCGAGGAGAATGGCTTCGATAAGGTGTTCGAGGCCCACCCCGACATTGACAGTGTTATCCACTTCGCTGCCCTCAAGGTATGTACTAGAAGCCCACCAAGAAACAATCGCAATTAACAATTATCCCCCAGGCTGTTGGTGAGTCCGGCGAGAAGCCCCTGGACTACTACCTGGTCAACGTCTACGGCACCATCAATCTCCTCCGCTCCATGGTGAAGCACAACGTCACCAACATCGTCTTCTCCTCCTCCGCTACCGTCTACGGTGATGCCACCCGCTTCCCCAACATGATTCCCATCCCCGAGGACTGCCCTCTGGGCCCTACCAACCCCTACGGCAACACCAAGTTCGCTGTTGAGACCGCCATCACCGACGTGATCAACGCTCAGCGCAACAACGCCACCAAGGCCGGTAACGAGGCCGAGGCCAAGAAGTGGAATGGTGCCTTGCTCCGCTACTTCAACCCCGCTGGTGCGCACCCCAGCGGTATCATGGGCGAGGACCCCCAGGGTGTCCCCTACAACCTGCTCCCTCTCCTCGCGCAGGTTGCCACCGGCAAGCGCGAGAAGCTGATGGTCTTCGGTGACGGTACGACTACTCCCCATTCCTATATCAGTGGAAGAATTGATCTAACATCCACAGACTACGCCTCCCACGACGGTACCGCCATCCGTGACTACATCCACATCCTCGACTTGGCCGACGGCCACCTCAAGGCCCTGAACTACCTGCGCGCCAACAACCCCGGTGTGCGCGCCTGGAACTTGGGTACCGGCAAGGGCAGCACCGTCTACGAGATGATCCGCGCCTTCTCCGCTGCCGTCGGCAAGGACCAGCCCTACGAGGTTGCTCCCCGTCGCGCTGGTGACGTCCTCAACCTCACTGCCAACCCTACCCGTGCCAACACCGAGCTCGGCTGGAAGGCTGAGCGTACCCTCGAGCAGGCTTGCGAGGATCTCTGGCTCTGGACCAAGAACAACCCCCAGGGTTACCGCCAGCAGCCTCCTGCCGAGCTCCTTGCTGCGCTGAAGAAGTGAATTTTACTTTAGGGTTTGCTTCTTTGGATTGGTTGTGAGCGTGGTTTAAAATGATCTCTGTTTTTCTGATATAGATGATCTAGTTCTAGTTTTGGTAGAATACATGAAACGAATTTCTTTTTTGTGATTGCTGGTACATATAAGTAAGTTATAGTCTTCGATATGTATGCTTATGAATTGACAGTAACGTTATAGCTTCAAAGTAGACGTATAGATGTCACCTCAACATCTATACCAACATCTACTTAACTTATACATATCAAAACGAACACCCTACTTATTCCCATTCCCCTTCCGACTCCTCCTAGACCCATCACTCTTCCCCTTCTTCGAACTCTCCTCCTCCCTCGCCTTCTTCTCCCCCTTCTGCTCCCCCTTCTGCACGCGAACCTTCTCAGCCTCCTCCTCAATCTTCTTCTCAAGCGCCCGTCTCACAGCACTATCTTTCTCCGCCTCCTCAATCATCTTCCCACTAAACTCCCACAACTTCTTTCCAACCTCATCATTCTTAACATCACTCCGCGCATAATCCACCTGCCGACACTCCTTAATCAACCACCCGCCATCCCCACGTCCATACTCCGCCTCCATAGATGCATACAGTATGCTCTGCGCGCCCTGCTGCGGCGATTTAAGCACCAGCCACCAAATAGGCCAGGTAATCAGGTACAGCGCCAGTCCCCAGAGTGAACCTCCTGTAAGCCAGCGTCTTGTCCCCGGTGTCCGGCAGAGACCCGGGTCAACCATTATCACGCGCGTGCAAGGTGGCAGACTATCAGGCCGTTTATAAGCGTTCAGATGGCGCTGGAAGGAATGCGCGAAGATGGTGAGGGATAGTTTGGCGAGAGCGTAGACATTCTTCGGGGGTGGGATGACATCCTGAGCCTTAGACTTGGAAGTCTGAGGTTTCGGACGTGCCATACCCTCCAACTGCGTAAAGTCTGCACCGATATAGCTAGAGCAATTGGCGAAGATGACCCGCACATCACGGTGGGCGGGTTGAGCACGTAGTGCTGGACTGAGGATGCTGAGGAGGTGGAAGTTTGCAAGGTAGTTGACTTGCCATTCGCGGTCGATGCCGTCTAGTGTTCGGCCACGGGCGTGGGTTGGCTCTGCGATGCCGCCGCAGAGGATTATACTGTCTAGTCTGCGGGGTGGGATGTTGTCGATCCATTTTGTGGCGAAGGTGCGGACGCTGTGGAGGGAGGCGAGGTCGACTTGTTCGGCGTAGATTAGTTGGTTGTTTGTTGTTGCTCGGAGATCATCGATATATTCCATGAGGAAGAGGTCCGATGGTGGTTGGCGGGTTAGGAGGATTACTTGTGCGCCGCGGAGGGCTAGTTCACGGACTACTGTTGCCCCTATGCCAGATGTGCCGCCCTTTTTGGTGTTAGTTTATATGGTAAGGCAATTGAGTGTGTGGATGTACCTACTGTCACCATTATTACTTTTGACCGCATCATTCGTTCCGATGTGTTGCGGGCTCCTTCGAAGTACCACTTCAGGACGGCCAGGACTAGGAGCCATGGCGCATATTTGATGAATGACCAGGCATGTGGGATGGATGAGATGCCCTCCCGGAGACCCTGGGCGATGATTGGAATGGGCATGTTAGATGAGAGATGAAAGAAAGAAGAAGTCCAAGGGGATTAATTTCTCCACGTACGCGTTCTCTTATCGCTTATCGCTTATCATATCTCTGGAGCTTCGTCCTTTCATTTTCTTAACTGCATTGAAACTGGCTGTTCAGCTTCACCTTTAGCCACGTCTAACATGGAAGAGATAGATGAAGAGGACTATGTGCTCCTTCCAGAGCAGCAGCGCCCATTCACCTCCGGCGTCCGTCGCAAACGCGTGAAGTTCGTCCGCTCCTCCGATCTGGATACCACCACCACTCCAGCTTCCTCTACAACCTCCGGAGCAAGCATAGCAGACACATATCTTTCTATTGTGATGAAACAGTCAAAATCAAAGACATCACCAAGTACACCAACACCAAGGGAACAACCACCCTCTCCGCGCACAACACACTCCGCGCCACCACCCACCGAAGCAGCATTCCCTCCACCAGCAGAAGAAACAAAAGCAAGACCAGAAGCAGAGCAAACATCAAACCCATACCCCGTCAATAATTGCGAAATCTGCAACCTCCCTCTTACCAACCAAACAGACCAGCCCCACGAAGCATCCCTAGCCCACCAAGTCTGCCTAACACACTCCCACCCTCCCTCCCACCTTGACCGGACCCGCCAAGGCATGCGCTACCTTTCAACATACGGCTGGGATCCAGATAGCAGACGCGGTCTAGGTGCACCCGGCCGGGAGGGGATAAGGGAGCCCCTAAAACCTCGTCCGAAGAATGATACAGCTGGGTTGGGGACTGGGCTTGATGCGGATGGTGATCCGTTGCCGCCTAGACTGCCGCCGCCGCCGAAAGTGCAGAAGATGAATGCTAAGCAGAGTGCTAAGAAGACTGCTGCGGATCGGGCTCGTGGGGAGAGGATGCGGAGGTTGCTTTTCTCTAATGATGAGGTTGTGAAGTATCTTGGAGAGGAGGCGTGAAATGGTTATTTTACACTTTTTTTAGTTTTATGTTATGTGATACCCCCTATGTATAATTTGCAGCAAATTTATATCGTATTTAGATATATTGAGTATGACCTTGTATATATTTATTGCTCAGAAAGAGTTTCGATATGTTTTGTTGATTCCTGTTATTGACTTTCAGACATTAGATCAAACTACGTGATATAAAGCGGGTTATCAAGTGTATAGACAGTGCTATACGAAAACGGCGAAAATTTCATGCGAAAGACGCACTCTTTCTACAACAGTGGCCATGGATCCTTTCAATTCCCCATATATGTATGATCTGAGTGGCTCATCCGAGGCACTTAAACATGGGCAAAAAAGAGGTGGTGAGAAAAGAGGCGAAAGAAGAGACGTTAAGTGAGAGCATAAATGATGCATGAATTGGCAAACATACTTCGAGGAATTTGTAAAGTACTAGTCCAATACTTCATAGAATTGTGAACGGACTCTGACCCCTGTTTTAGCATAATTCTGCTCTATTTAGCTCCAAATTAGTTTATATCTAGCCCCTGGAGCGAAAGAGGAATCTGACTGTGCCATACCAACAGTTGATGATGAAAACACCAGTGTATATACTTTGCACTAGAAATCAGATATGAATAAATTCTACATAGCAGATATTGAAGTACAGAAAAATCCCATAATTTGACCAAGTTCGAGGCACCCCGTAGATGAGAAGAAGAAATGAAAACCGCTGACAATAGCGCCTTGAATGCTCGGTACCAGACCAGACCAACAAAAGACAGACAAGGAAAAGAATGGTATCACAAAAGCGAAATGAGACAGCAGGACACAGGAGGCAGGGTCGAATAAAAGAGAGAAAGAGATAATTCGGCACTACTTGAAGAAACGATATTTCTTGTCTTTCTTTTCCTTCTTCTCCTTTTCTTTGTCTTTCTTTCCGCTGCCGGCTAATGCAGGGCTGCTTCCATTCGAGTTGATGGAAATACCAGCCATCAGCGCTTCTGGTGGAGCAGGAGGGTTCAGGTGCGCTGTAGGCACAGGCTTCTTCTTCTGTTGCGGCGGGGGTGTAGGGGTTGGGGGCTTTTCGCGCTCGAAGAGGTGGGCCGGAGCGGTGGGCTTGGGCCGCTCCATTGGCAGATCGAGACGGCGTCTGTCGACGCTGAGGTCACCCACTTGGCGCAGGAAGAGGCCGGGGCTTAACATGTGCGTCGTGGCGAGGAAGACGTCCCTGTTATATGTCGATGAGATTTCATGACAGGCGCGTGACTCGCCGTAGGTGGCGCCGCCGGCCATGAAGACGATGATGCGCTGACGGGGTTGGTCGACGGATCTGGTGCGTGCCCAGGTCGGCTTAGCGCTGCGCAGAGATGCCTGCTGGGACATCATTTCCTGTGCTGCCAAGGCGCTATCTGCCTCGGTATGCGGCCGCGTGAAGGGGAAGACGTTTGGGTCTAGGGTGCCTCGGATTTGCTCTTCAAGCATCTGCTTGATAGCCAGGTCATATCGACTTAAGCTTAGCTCCTCCGATTCGGGGACTGGGTTTCGTCGGTTGAAGAGAGGTTGCACTGGTGGCTTTTCGTCGCGAAGAGGCTTTTCTACTCGCACGCCCAGGAGCTCAAGGTTGGCGATGACATTGCCGTCTTGTGAAGGGAGTCCGGCATGCGCCATGAGTTTGCGAATATCACCACTGAGAAGTCCACCGCGGTAGATGATGTACAGGAGCAGTAGGCGAAGTCGGTCTGGGGGCACGACCGAGTTGTCGTCAAGGAGCTGTACCAGTTGCGCTGCCAGATTCTTTGCTTTTTTGTAGTTTTCGTCGAGGCCTGTGGCAAAGGACTGCTGGATGGAGCTTACTTCCAAAAGCTTGCGGTCCTGGAAATACTTCATACATTCTTGCGCCATGTTGAGGTGCAAGGTGTAGGCATTCTTTCCTTCTTGGAACTCTCTGAGTCCAGCCAACATGTCCTTGATAGTGTTAACACTTTGCTTGGCGTTACTATAACCTATGTTAGCACTCTGTTCGCATCACGTAGTTGGTTCAAACTCACTCATCGGCGAACTGAGGGTTTGCTGCTCGAAATTTGGCGAAATCCTCACCCAGTTTCCCAAGCACGTCCTTCATATGCATATGGCGGTAATCCACCCAGACACGATCGTCTTCTCCAATTTCCATTTCCTTTACTTCCTCGTTCTTGCCGCCTGCGTTGATCACTGTTTTATAAGTTACCTTATCCCCATCCTGGATTGGCAGCAAATCATGAACCATGGCCTGATATGTGAACTCGTGCAGGAGAGGAGCGAAAAGGTCCATAGAGCGGTCCACTACAATGAGCACTCCCCGAGGACGGTTTGTTTGGGGTGGGAAATCGCGTTGGAATTGCGCGAATTGATCCATCTCATTCTGAATGAAACGAGCCAAGTGCGAGCACATAACACCAGCTTCGTGAGTAGGAGACCGTGGTCGATAGTACCGAATGATAGGGTATTCACCCAGCGAAGCGCAAAGCGAGACGATCTTGGTACGAATTAGTACGGATTCAATTATTCTGTTCTAATCCCCCTACCTTTTGAGCCAAATCCTCCAAGTGGGGTCGGATCAAATTGTTGCAGCCGGGGTGAAAGAGGACCGGGAAGCTCCAAGGGTCTTTGAATGTGATGAGGTGTGATTCTCGAGGGTAGAAGTTGATGTTCATAACGTGGAATTCCGCGATGCGCTCACGCGCCATCTGGGATCGGTCAATCCGAGCCCTCTGCTGCGGATCGAGGACTATTAGCTGTGTCAGCCATACCACGACGCGCAGAACTCGGCTTGGTAGCCCACTGACATGACGTCCACACCAGGAACGCTTTCCTGTATCGCCCCACCTCAAAATCTGCCATCAGGCAATCCACGATGTAGGACTCCGGCGACAAGATATACACCGCGTCCATGTCGGTATTGGACGGCCGCCGGTGCTCGATCTGCTCGATGTCTGCGGGGTGACGTTTTATTTAGCGGAACTGCTCTTCGGCGTCAAGACACGACGTATGCTCACTGGAGACATTGAGATTGAGAATCTCCTCTTCCTTTGCAGCACTCTCAATCAATTTTCTGCTGGTCTCATCCACTACCAGGACTTTCCACTGTAAAGGAGACGCTTCCGTCAGTCTCCGTAGAGGGGTCAATAGGAGGGGTCGAGCTCACGTCGTGGCCGCCGGCATTGCGGATCGTGTTGAGTATAACTAAAGGAGATCAGGGTCAGCTATGGCTGTGGCGAGAGACAAGAAGCATGAGCAGATAGGCCTACTGTCGCGTTGGATGTTAATTATCGAGGTGCCCATGCTGGCGGGCCACAACTTGGGGCGTCAGAACAAGGCTGTAAAAGTTGAGAATAACAGACAGAAGCAAAATTCTGCGAAGCTTAAGGCCAGAGACCAATATGAGCGAGGTCCAAGGTGGCCGTCGGAGGTAAATGAAGGAGACGGGGTTGGTTCCCCACCATTTGAGCTTCGCAGGTGATGTGGATCTCCGTCGATAAGCAACTTTTTGTTTCCTCAACTCACCCGAGACCTCCCTTTTCCTTTCGCTTCATTGTCGCCAGTATCATCTTCTCTTTGACTGGGATTGAACACCCTAGGAATGCAGCCATGCACCGGAGGTAGTTCCCTGTTCTGCGCTTTGCGGCCCTTGACTCGCCCTGCTGTCCGATCATTCACAACCACTTCAATCCTTCAGCGATCAAAGAAATCAAGGAAACCTGATCCTCAACATGGACACCCGGTGCCACTCGGGAAATCCCACAAGGTGTGTTCTCTTCCGTCCCATGCCATAGCCCAATTCTGATCCACTGCCTCCCTAGTCATCACTCTTCAGTCACCCAATAGGAAAAGTCGTTCGACAAGATATTGCAGCCGCAAAAGGGTTCGTACAAGTGGTGGAAACAGCGCTTCGCGATTTAAAGCACAAGCTTAAACAAACCGGCGATTCAGAGGAGGGATGGGCCCAATTCGAACGTCAGATCCTAACCGCGGCCAGAGTGGAGGATTCCAAGTTGAAAAACACCTGGGGTCAACTCCGCTCTGCAAAGGTAGCGCTGCAGAGGGCATATCTCGCCACTGGAACACAAGGTCTACGAGATGAGTTGCAATACATGCTCTACGCAGACAACCTCACTGCCAAGTTTTCGACCCCCGTCTTGGAAGCGCAAAAACAAGTGACCGACCTACGATATCCGGCTGAGTGGTATCCGCGCGCACGATCGATACAACGAACAATTCACCTCCACGTCGGACCAACAAATTCCGGAAAGACATATCATGCTCTCCAACGGCTGAGAAATAGTAAGAATGGCTTCTACGCAGGCCCATTGAGGTTGCTCGCACAAGAAGTATACCATCGGTTTCAGTCAGAAGGGATCCCGACTAGTCTTGTTACTGGAGATGATGTGAAGGTCCCCGAGAACGATGAAGTGCCGCGCATCGTGAGCAACACGGTAGAGATGGTCAGTCTAGGCCAGAACTACGATGTTGGTGTTATCGATGAGATCCAGATGATCGCCAATTCTACACGAGGTTGGGCGTGGACTCGGGCTTTTCTGGGATGTCAGGCCGAAGAACTGCACGTCTGTGGCGAGACCCGTGCAGTGCCATTGATTCGGGAGCTTTGTGCGCTCACTGGAGATCTCTTGGAAATCCACCGCTACGATCGTTTGAACGGCCTGGAAGTGATGCCACGCAGTCTGAAAGGTAACTTGCATAACCTTGAAAAGGGTGATTGTGTTGTTGTCTTCTCTCGAAAGGGTATTCACGCTATGAAAGCGAACATTGAGAAGACCACCGGAAGACGTGCTGCTATTGTTTATGGTGGCCTGCCAGCAGAGATTCGGACTCAGCAAGCGAATTTGTTCAACGACCCGGACAATGATTATGATTTCCTCGTCGCAAGTGATGCCATTGGTATGGGTCTTAACTTGTGAGTTCCTTCGCTTGTTTGAATTATGGTTTATACTAATCCACTGTAGGAGCTGCAAGCGTATCATTTTTGACACCCTCGTCAAGCGTACCCCGACTGGTCTTCAACGGCTTACTGTGCCTGAGATTAAACAAATTGGCGGACGTGCTGGTAGATACCGGCCTGCCAATGTCAAAGAAGGGACAGATGACGGGGCCAATGTAGGACTTATCACTTGCATTGAAGAGGTTGATCTTCCATATATTCAGCAAGCCCTTAAATTGGAGCCTCCACCATTGACTGCGGCTGGAATTCTCCCTACAGATACCGTCTTCATGAAGCTCGCTGCTTACTTCCCGACTGGTATCCCCTTCGAATATTTGATCAAACGAGTCTTGGAGCTTGCTCAAGTGAGTCCGTTGTTTTTCATGTGTGATCCTAAGGGTCAACTAGAGAACGCTGAAATTATCGACACCGTGAGAGGACTACAGATTGAGGACCAGCTGAAATTCATGGCTTCTCCAATGGATCACAAAGATGACAGCTCACGAGATGTGACGGGTGCATTCGCGGACTGCGTGTCCAATAATGAGCATGGACGATTGTTAGATATTCCCCATCTCAACTTGGAAATCATTGAACAACCTGTGTCCGGAAGCAACGACTATCTACGTGAGCTGGAGAGTCTCCACAAGGCCCTCATTTTGTACCTGTGGTTGAGTTTCCGATTCGGTGGTGTCTTCACTGATCGAACTCTCGCCAGTCATGTCAAGGAACTTGTCGAAGAGCGCATGGTTCGTGCATTGACTGAATTCTCCGCCAACAAGAAAATTCGCAAGGGTGCTTCTCTGAAGCGACAGATTGCTTTGCAGAAGCAATTGCTGGAGCAGGAACGTCTTGGTGTCAAGGACTGGATGCGGCCCAGTGGTGAAGGTGGCGATAATATGGAAATCAATCTGCCGGGAGAGAATGCTTCGGAAGCTGCATCCTCGGAGGGCGTCTCTTCTGAAATGGAAGACTCGCCGACTGAGAGCGAATTTCCCGAAGAGGAGAGCGTATCTTCGGACATAGAAGATTTGCCAATTGAGAGCAAATCTCGCAAGGAGTGAGTGATAAGTATTATTGTAACAACAGACATGTATATTAGATGTACAAAACCGAATCTCCAATAGAATAGAGTATTGATATTTAGTGAACTCGATTAGTCTAAAGTCTACACATCACAGTTATAAACAGTTGTAAGGCTAACGCTTTCCTAGTCCCTTTTGCTCACTGAGGTTTTTCACTATAAATATGCCCTAGCTCACTTTCCAGTCACTTTTTGTCACCCCGATTCTCTTCCATTGCTTTCGACTTAGGCTCCAGAATTCTTCCTCCTTTTACTTTCAAACCTCTTCCACGCCGTATTTCCTTCCTCCTCTTCTACCTTCTCCCTCTCCTAATTTCTTCCTCTTGCATGCTCTTCCTTTTCTGACATATTCTCCCCTCTTTTCAAATCGTAAGTTGAGCTTTGGAGCCTTTCATCCGAAAGGTTTGGGTCCTTCTTTTGATCTCAAATCTCATTCCAGCGTCTTCCTGCTCCGTTATACTTGAACCTCTGATTGCTTTGTCTCTACGCTGCCTCCATGTGCCTACCGGTACCAGATACCAGTTCCACGTGCTTTCTCCGTCACAATCCTCATCCACTATACCTGTAATCATATTTCTGTATCTCATTCTGACATCTCATTGTCCTTTTAGACACGAACTCAAGTGACCTCAGTCGACTGATTCGTTCGAGCAGCAAGATGGAGCACAATAATCTGAACACCGCCAAGGGCAGTGACAACCGAGCCAGAGCCCAAGATGGAGATTCTGACGGGATGACTGTGGAACCCGATGGCCAGATCCCTCCGAAGTCATCAGCTACAAGCACACTCAAGCGGACAACCGGAACGACATCTTTGGCAGCGACTCTGCTTCAATATCAGCGAATAATGCAGCAATACCTATGCTTCTGGGATCGGAGATCAAAAACAAACTCAAAGCATTGACGGAGATAGTGAGGAATCTCCCCGCAAAATATCAAGCCGAGGGCATTTTAGACCTCAAAGCATGTATCTTGGCATCCAAAAAGTTCCAAGTGAATGCAAATTTCGGGAGGAATTTTCAAGTTAGTTGTAAACGTATGGTGGTAGATTTATGGCCATATACAAAAGTCTTGGCGCTCTTATCTTATCAGTGGCAAGTTCGGCCGTACTAATTTTCCGCGCTCTTGAAGATCCATCTGCGACAGCTTAGCATCCAAGAGCAGTGCAGTGTTTTGCGCACTCGCTAATTTGAACGCTTGGTCTACCAGTACAGTCCTTGAAACTTTCCTGGATTGCCATATCTCGCATCGAGCCCAAGATGGACGATCTCGAGTCTCTGGAGCTGTTGTCGCTCGTGTCGCGAGTGACAAACGAGCTCCAGAACTACCTGGGTATCAGCGACAAGACCCTCGCCGAGTTCGTCATCAACCAACATCTCCAGTTCAATGGCTCTTTCCCCGATTTCAAAAAGTCTCTCGACGAGATGGGCGCCGAATTCCCGCAGAGTCTCATGGAGAGTGTCGACCGTCTGGTGCTCACCATGCACCCCAAGTACAAGGGAAAGAAAGCAGAGAATGGGAATGGAGACGTGAATGGAAATGACGACATGGACCTGCTCGATGCCTTAGAAAAGAAATCTCGCGTGTTCAAGGGCCTTGCGGTCCCCGATACCGAGAAGCGATGGGAGGAAGAGGATTACACAGATCGCCTAGCGGCAGACGAGGCTGATGCTCAGGCAGGTGCGATGGACGACACATTCGCGATGCTAGAAGGATTGGCTGGAAAAGCGAAGCAGGACACGTCGCACGCAACAAGAGATGACCGCGACAGCAAGAAGCGGAGTCGCAGCCCTGAATATAACGACCGTGGACGGCACAGAGACAAATATCGCTCGCGGTCACGGTCACGAAGTGCTCAACGCTATGGCAAAAACGATGACTACGTGGATGAATTTGGCAGATCTATTGGCAAATACGGCAGCAGGGACGACAGCCGCCGGAATGGTCGCAGTGACCGCCGCAGACGTGACCGCGACAGCCATGATGACTTTCGCCGTGCTCCTCCCGTCGAGCTGGATGATAATCCGGTACTTTACAAGGTCTACGATGGAGTCGTCACGGGCGTGAAGGACTTTGGTGCTTTTGTCAACTTGCAAGGCGTCAAAGGAAAGGTGGACGGTCTTGTCCACGTTTCTGCTATGCAAGAAGGAGTGCGTGTGAACCACCCTTCAGATTTGGTCTCGCGTGGACAACCGGTTAAGGTCAAAGTCGCAAACATTGAGGGCACTCGTATTGGACTATCTATGAAGGAAGTGGACCAGGCCACGGGCATGGATCTTGTACCCCAGAAGCGCCTTGCTTCAGGTGCCAATATGGAACGTCTCGACGGTACACTAGGGAATGACCGATACGGCAATCTCAGTTCTGATGTGCCTATCGTTGAGGAGTCTGGTAGTCGGCCGATGAGAAATCGCAAGCGCATGACTTCGCCAGAGAGATGGGAGATCAGACAATTGATCGCCTCTGGTGTTGCCTCTGCAGCGGACTATCCTGATATCGATGAGGAATACAACGCAACTCTCACCGGTGAAGGCGCCTTCGAAGAGGAAGAAGATGTCGACATCGAAGTCAAGGACGAGGAGCCTCCTTTCTTGGCTGGTCAAACGAAGCAATCCCTCGAACTTTCCCCTATTCGTGTTGTTAAGGCTCCTGATGGATCAATGAACCGCTCTGCTATGGCAGGAACCAACCTTGCCAAGGAGAGACGAGAATTGAAACAGCAGGAAGCACAGGACAAGGCCGCTGAACGGGCAGCCGACGTCGACCTCAACGCACAATGGCAGGATCCAATGGTTGCACCAGAGGAGCGGAAGTTTGCCGCCGACTTGCGAAGTGCTCAACAGCCAAAGCAGGACGAGGCAGTGCCGGAGTGGAAGAGAGTGACGATGGGCAAGAACACCGCCTTCGGAAAACGAACTACCATGTCTATCAAACAACAACGAGAGAGTCTGCCTGTATACAAGTTCCGCAAACAGCTACTGGATGCAGTCAAGGATAACCAACTGATGATTGTTGTCGGAGATACAGGTTCTGGAAAAACCACACAGTTGACACAGTATCTTGCCGAGGGCGGCTGGGGAAACAATGGAATCATTGGTTGCACCCAGCCTCGTCGTGTTGCTGCCATGTCCGTGGCCAAGCGTGTGGCCGAGGAAGTCGGCTGCAAGCTTGGAGCAGAGGTTGGATACACAATCCGTTTCGAGGACTGCACCAGCCCAGACACCAAGATCAAGTACATGACCGACGGAATGCTTCAGAGAGAAATTCTTCTGGATCCTGATCTCAAAAAGTATTCCGTCATCATGTTGGACGAGGCTCACGAGCGTACTATCGCGACTGATATCTTGTTCGGATTGTTGAAAAAGACAATCAAACGCAGACCTGATCTCAGACTGATTATTACGTCTGCCACTCTGGATGCCGAGAAGTTCTCTGAATACTTCCATGGCTGTCCCATTTTCTCGATTCCCGGTCGAACTTTCCCCGTCGAGGTCATGTATTCCAAGGAACCTGAATCGGATTATTTGGATGCTGCTCTTATCACTGTCATGCAAATTCACTTGACAGAACCCCAGGGAGACATTCTGCTCTTCTTAACGGGACAAGAAGAAATCGACACAGCATGTGAAATTCTATTCGAGCGAATGAAGGCTTTAGGGTCTACTGTTCCAGAATTAGTCATCTTGCCTGTCTATTCTGCACTTCCCAGTGAAATGCAGAGTAGGATTTTTGATCCTGCCCCAGAAGGTGGTCGAAAAGTCGTCATTGCAACCAACATCGCAGAAACCTCTATCACAATTGACCAGATTTACTATGTCATCGATCCCGGATTCGTGAAGCAGAATGCCTACGACCCGAAGCTCGGTATGGACTCTCTGGTTGTGACTCCCATCTCACAGGCACAGGCCAAGCAACGAGCTGGTCGTGCCGGACGAACTGGACCAGGAAAATGCTTCCGACTGTACACCGAAGCTGCGTACCAGTCCGAAATGCTTCCAACCACTATTCCCGAAATCCAGCGTCAGAATCTCTCACATACTATTCTCATGCTTAAAGCAATGGGAATCAACGATCTTCTTCATTTCGACTTCATGGACCCCCCTCCTACCAATACCATGTTGACAGCACTCGAAGAGCTCTATGCATTGTCAGCCCTGGATGACGAAGGTCTTCTTACTCGACTTGGTCGTAAGATGGCCGATTTCCCCATGGAACCTGCGCTTGCCAAGGTGCTTATCGCCTCTGTGGATTCAGGTTGCTCCGAGGAAATGCTCAGTATTGTTGCTATGCTGTCTATTCAATCAGTCTTCTACCGCCCTAAAGAGAAACAGCAACAGGCCGACCAGAAGAAGTCCAAATTCCACGATCCACATGGCGATCACCTCACCCTGCTGAATGTCTACAACGGCTGGAAGAACTCGAACTTCAACAACGCCTGGTGTTTCGAAAACTTCATCCAAGCACGACAGATTCGTCGCGCCCAAGATGTTCGCCAGCAACTTCTAGGTATCATGAACCGCTACAAGCACAGGATTGTCTCCTGTGGCCGTGACACCATGAAAGTACGACAATCCCTATGCACAGGTTTCTTCCGCAACGCAGCCCGCAAGGATCCCCAGGAAGGATACAAGACCCTGGTCGAGGGCACACCTGTGTACATGCATCCCAGCTCAGCAATGTTCGGCAAACCCTCCGAGCATGTCATCTACCACACCCTGGTTCTCACAACCAAGGAGTACATGCACTGCACGACAGCCATCGAACCAAAGTGGCTCGTGGAGGCAGCCCCGACATTCTTCAAGGTTGCTCCTACAGATCGCCTGTCGAAGCGCAAGAAGGCAGAGCGTATCCAGCCTTTGCACAACCGCTTTGCTGGCGAAGATGATTGGCGTCTGTCTGCGCAAAGGCGCCAAGGCAGAGGTGGCGGTGGCGGTACTTGGGGTTGATTTTTGAATTTATTAAAGATACCAGACTTGGTTGCCAATGTGTTCTCTTTCTTTGCTCATGACTATTTATATATCTATCTCTATCTATGTACCGTACCATCTTACAATTGCATGAGACAAAAGATAGCTTAGGGTCTCCTTTTGGTCTTGGTCTACTGTAGCGAATAACATGATTGTGGATGGACTAGTATAGTCAATATCTGCGCCTTTAGTATCAATCAAAGATGCGATAGGACCTGATGTAAAACAGTAGTCTATGGTATAGTATTGGCGAAGACTTGGAGCGAATATTTCTTTTTATGTTGTTTTTTGTCCCACTTTAGCCACTTTTTCACCTATTTTATGCTCATTTTCGAGTGCCTCTGGTCATTTTATAGATTGAATGAAGGATTCCATGAATATATCTCTCTCCTTCCTATAGAGGTCTAATGCCATCAAGAGATATGGTATATTATAGGAACTAACTTAAAGTTTTTGTTATACATCTACCTTTATACATGATCTAGATAATTAACCCGAGGCACTCGGAAACCAGCAAAAAAAGGGGGGCGAAGAGAGAAGTGTAAGAAGAGGTATAGGAATAGGCATAAGACCAGAGGCCACTCAAGGGGAAAGGGGAAAACGATGTGTAAAAGTGTATATTTACTTCAAGGCTATCACATACTGTCCAATGCTTTCGCAGCCCTATGTACGTGCCTATATCCTCTTGAAATAAGGGATCCCATGACAGTATTAGTACGCAGGTGGGTATAAAAGAGCATCTGTTTGTTAACTAATTAACTAAATGAGTGTCTCATGTCCATCCTCTTCTTTGGCATTAGAATCTCCGCCACATTGAGCAATTGCAGAGTTGGGCGAATAGCAATAAGAAGAGCAAACTGAATAGCAACGCCTCATTGCCCTCCTGCTCATATCACCCCCCTGTCTTTCTGTTTCTTTCTCAGACTCTCCCCACGGAATTTGAGGTTCACCGGGTCTTATCCTTCTCACGAATGCCATCCCAGAACCTGGCAGCTTGTTCAGCATTGTAAGCCGAGATTTGAAAGCCACCCCCAACTGTCTCAGTGACATCCCCGAACATAGATAGCAGCTCTTTCATCGTATTGGTGCTTGTAAGAGCCTTCTGGCTCATTACAGTGCTAATTTGACGGGTCTTTCTCCTTTGTGTTGTTAGGAGGAGCTCGTCGATTGTGCTCTTGGTAATGAGCTTGACGTATTCAACCTGACGAATTTGGCCGATACGGTACAAACGGCAGTAAGCCTTTTGAAGAAAGTTATTATGTCAATGTTCAAGTACAAATTAGTTTTATAACTTGCCTGGTCTTGGACAGCTTCGTTCCACCATAGATCTACTAGGATGCATTTGTTTGCCATCGAAAGATCAAGGCCCACGCCACCAGCCTTCAAGGAAGAGATAAGAACATGGGTCTTATCATCTTCTTTGAAGGTTTTGATCTGGCTTTCTCGGGAAACAAAGGACATTTGCCCGGTCATCTATGATATGATGTTAGTATAGTTGGCTGATAGGTTGACTTCCAATTCTGACCTTGGCATATCCCCAATCATTGTTCACGCATAACCACTCAATGAGTGTGACTGATGATAGAAATTGGGTGAAAATCACAATCTTGACCGTTGGGTCTTGTTCCACCCAATCTTTGACAAGCTTTTTGATGGCCTCAAGCTTTGTGCTAGGCATTCTGTCGCCGATGATCTGAATCCAATCGCACTTCTGGTCCATTTCGTCTTCACTTGAATTCCCACTCGAATCTCCATCCGGTTTATGATCGAGTAAACGAACATTAAGGGGCCTTTTCTCGATTTTGGAATTCTTTTTTTGCCGTTTGTGCTGGGCCTTTGCCTTGGAAGTCCTTTTCTTTCTTTTCGGGGTGTTGGTCATGAATTCCGTCTCGATATATTGAGCTGGCTCGGGAGGCTCAGACATATCAGGGTCATTTATATCCTCGTAGAATCCAGCCTCGTTGATGGGGGCCCTGCAAATACAACAAAGTCGAGCGACTGTATCCGTTTTTCCATTTTCATCCGGAAGCTCGTCAAAACATTGCTCGCAATAGAGGTGGAGACACGGCGTAAGAACGAATGACTCGACAGGTGGTGATCTGCACCGTGGGCATTCAGTACGCTCAAGGCGCTCGTTCCAGTTTCCTCGGCCATGAAGAATTTCCAATTTAGCCCGCAGCACCTCTTGTAGGTTCTGACTGCTTGCTGGAGGTCGTGGGCGATCAAATGAGCTCTCCACCCGAGGGAGAGCAGGGGCCCAGAGCAGGGGAGCATTGGACTTCATAGCTATGAGGGATTTGGTTATCTTGGCGGAATCGGAATCCCCTTGCCCTTTCACAAGGTGTTTCATGTTCTCAATGACTCCAGGCTGATTGATGATCCTCTTAACGATGTCTTGCACGACAAGTAGATGACTTGTAAACATTCTCAGTTTCAGGACCATCGTGAGAAAGCATTTGAACTGCTTTCCTCTGTCTCTGACCAAGCCTTGTAGTATGTTAGTGCCAATTCAACGATTGCCGAAACTTGCGGTCTTACCATTGATCATTTCGAGGAAGAACTGATGCATCCTTTCATAGAGGTAAGCCTCCGCTGGATTATGGTCAAGATATACTTCGTTCTCAGAAATTCCTGGAAGGTGGATGAGCGGCAACTTGAACATGCGACTGTCATGCGTTTTGCGGTGCAATACAAGACGAAGCATGGCAATGAGCCTTTCACGGGAAACTGGTTGTCTCTAAATTTGATGTCAGTGACAGGAACTTCAATGGGTATTAAAACAGGAATTTGGAGAGGAGAGGGATAAGTAACGTTGCAGTAATTCTTTTGGAAAGTTTCAAATGGGCTGCTAGACGGGACACCGATGAATTCGAAATAAGGATAGAACTCCTCAATGCAACTAAAGCAAGTAAGCCTCTCACTCAGTATCTTGGTGGTTAACTTACTTATGCAAAGGAGTTCCACTCAAAACCCATTTGTGTTTCGCACTTAGAGCCCGGACAGCAATAGAGGTCTTCGCATCTAGGTTCTTGATGGCGTGGGCCTCTATGTAAAGCATTAGCGCATTAGTATGGAAAGGAACTTCATGATGATTAGTTACCGTCAAGAATGATCCGATGCCATCTGGTTGCGTGGAAGACACCAAGATGCTCAGCATAGAAACTCTTCCACCATTCTTCGAGAGCCTCGTACTCTGCAGCATTTTCTGGTGGCTTCATAGCCGGGTAAGAGGCGTTGATCTCGTAGTATGTGGTCACCCTGTATCATGTCAGCTTAAGTCAATCAATGATCCAGGCATTATCCTACACAACGTCCTGCTTCTGAAGCCAAGCACCTAGGTTGCCCGAAATTCGGGGTCGTGCACCGGCGTGGTACGCGATCGGTGTGACCGTGTTCTTCTCGCAGTGTTTCTCAAGTTGATCCAGCCTATGAAGATTAGTCTCATGGGTTTCTCTAGGGTCGGACAATAAATAACAAACCAGTGAGTGACCAGGTTTCTTGGGACAACGATCAAAGTCGGGCCTTCTTCTGCAGATCGTCCCTCTACGAAATTTGCTAGCAAAGTAAGCGACTGGTGACAAGGTTATCTCGTGCATACTCACCGATTGCTGTAAGTGTTTTACCCAGGCCCATCTCATCACACAGTAACCCACCGTTGGGCTCGGTATCGGAGTTCTCACGATCACGCTGTCTATGTCAGCTCGTTCTGTAAGTAGAGACCTCAAACGTTCACTTACCATCCAAGCAGTAGAGATAAGCTACGCTGTTAGTCCCATGCTTCTGCAAAGCTGGTGGTCACTTACCTGGTAGTGGTATAGACCCGTCGCTAGTCCTTTGATTTTCCAGGCCTGGTCAATAAACTTCGCGGAAGGTGTAAACTTCTTTGAAGCTTCAATGCATTTAGCCCTGTCCGACTTTGCCTCTCTTTGGTCGTCAATTGGCAGCGCAGCGATGATTTCTGCTAGGGCCTTTGACTTGTCCTTGTTTTCAGACTTAGGAAGTTCAGACATTGACGCATTCGCCTTGGCACTGGCGACGAGATCATGATAGAAAAGGTTATCAATGTCAGCATTGGATAACCTGGTCGTCTTTTGTTGGGTCTTTTTTGACTTCTTCGTTGACCATTTTTCGGCCTGTTTCTCACGCAAATGTTGAAACCCAATTTTGGACGCACGGTTGATTTCCTTTTTCGAAATCTGAGCCTTTTTTGCCTGCTTTGGTGTTGGCATGGGCACTGGATTGGGCTTTGGACTCTGACTTTCGGGGACTTTTTCCGGAGACTGGTCATCGTATAGCACCTCTTGGGCATCCGATTCCGAAGTTTCAAGTAAGCGATCAAGATTCTGCATTTCCTTTTCATACAGGACCTCCTCGGCAAAACGCTTCTTTCTTTCGATCTTGGTTGTTCGCATGCGATCTTGTTGCCTTGCTTTTTCGAATCTAATTGCGGCTTCGAGAGAAGGAATCTTCAGACTAGAGTACCATATTTGGGTAGCTTGCCATCTGATACAATTAGCTCAATATGATCAGGGCCATATGGGAGGGGGACTTGCTTGGTTCCATCGTCTTCGTCGGACTTGAAAGCTTGATCTTCTTCCTCAAAGTTGTCATCATCTCCGAATGTAGATTCCGAAGTTTCTTCGCCTTCAGCGGCCCGGGCATCGTTGTTGCCCCCGCTCTGATGTTCTGCTGATTTGACGCCACTTGTATCATATTGAGAATACAGAGATTGTTGGTCCTTCTGGTAGTGACTTTCAGGGTTCTTCTTGTTGGCCTTGAGGATCTTGAGAAGAGCTGCACTTGGCTTGGGTATTTTTCGCTGCTCTGGACCTGATATATTGTTAGCTACGCCCATACCATGCATAGTGCTGGCAGTACTTGCCGTTATCCGGTTCAGCTGACTCCTGCTTGACAAACAGAAGACTTTCTTCCCTAGTGCCCTGGTCTGGGCCTTGAGGATCCATGATGTGGATCAAACGGATATGTAGAGAAGGGTCACGTTGATTGGCACCTGGAAATGAGATTTGGTGTGAGAATCAGAATGGTGATTCGGGTGATGTATTGTCGTGGAGCAAGCACGTGAGATTTGGGTCTGGAGCAAAGTGTCAAGGTAGCGTAGCAGGAGGAATTGGAAGTCGCAGTTATCTGTCTGTTTCTCAAGGAAAAGGAAAAATAAGTAGAAAGAGGTACTAGAGTCAGGTTACAGATCGAAAAGCGATCGTTAACCGTTTGGAGAAAATGATGCAATTGTGAAGGCTGAAAAAGGATGGAGGCTGAACTATGAAGGCTTTTGAGGCTCAGTGTATCAGATAGTGAATGTATCACACAATGCCAGATGCAAGATGCAAGAGTATGACGATGTAAGATGAGAGGTAGAAGAGGATGAAGGTTCTGGGATGAAGTTGGAAGAAGTAAGAGAAACGACGTAAAGGAAGATTTTAATGGAAAGGATTGTAAAAACAAGAGATATAAGAGGATGGAGGTATAAGTAGGTGTAGAAATATGAGCCGAGGAGAGTGTTGTGGAAAGAAGAAGAAAGACTAGAAAGCATTGGACTTACCAGCGTGTTGATTAGACGTAAACGCCAAATTGATCTAGTCAAGAGAATCTTTCCAATCTATTGTATACAAGCTGAAGATGTAGTTAGCAAATAAAGCAAAATACGTGGAGATTTAGAAAGGAGTTAGAAAGACTAGGATGACAAAAAGTGAACAGAAACTGAGCGAGGGCATCGGAGTATGTCAAGTAATGGAAGATCTCAGGAAAAACGAAACTGGCTGAGAATTTGTTGCCCTTACGACCGTGATGAGTAGATATTGAATTGATAGAGTCAAAGGAACATCCAATGTACTGTGCACAACCGTAAAGGTAATTAGCAATGGAGGGAGATGGACAGTAGACGGCGAAAGATGTGAGGACCGAAGTAGAACAATTTCAGATAGGTATTAGATGTATGTAAGAACAGAAGCAGAGGGTGTAAGAAAGGAAGTGGGAAAATGTTAGATATAGTGAAGGTGACAGTGAGCGGGGAGTGAGCGAGGGCATTCAAAGTCATTGAGGATTTTATGAACACCGAAAATGATGGGTTGGAAAGTGTAAGACTTAGGTCTGTGAGAAGTAGATATTGAGCTGATCGAGTTTAGACAAGATTTCAAGGCACTGCGTGGAATAGAAAAAGGAAAGTAGCAAAGAAACGGAAAGATGGTAAGTGACCAGAAAGTGAGTGAGGGCATGAAAAGCAACTGAAGACCTCGTGAACACGGAAACTGACTGATGGGAAAGTGTCAGACTTCTAACTGTGGTGAGTGGACGTCGAATTGATCGAGTCGAGAGGACGCTTCAAGGCACCATGTATAATAGAAATGATAAGCGGCAAAGGAAGTAATAGAAGAGATGGAAATTTGTAGGAAGTCAGCGATGGCATTCAGAGTAATTAAGACCTCGTGAACAACGACTGTGGTGAGCAGAAGTTGGAGTGAGGACAATATTTCAAGGCACTGGAAAGAAGGAAAGAATTGAAGAGATAGTAGCAAAGAAAGAGATATAGAGTGTAATTTGCGAAAAAATGAAGACGTTTTCTGAATATATTCATTTCGTCAATAACTATTATAGGAACAATGTTAAGCTCTATGCAATTCCCTCGAAAATGGTCATGAAACTCCATACACATTGCTCGCAACAAGAAACCCGCCAAAGCATGACGCCGAAAATGATGAACCAAATGAAGTGAGAAGAAGAAAAAGACAAAACCCGCAAACTCCCAAACTCAAGGCTTTTCAAGCGTTGATAACTGCACAGGGTATCTGTATGATGTCGTGACGACCTCGATTGAGGCATCCGAAAAGGAAGCAAAAGTCCAATTCGAAAAGACCAGGAACAATGAATATTAGACAATAACCTCAAGGTTACCTCAAAAATAAACATCGCGCCAGTGGCGACAATTCGCCACAATCAAGTGGGGCCAACCTAGTTCCAACTAAGCCTTCGGCTTCTGCGCGATGATGCTATAACTCGTCGTGGCCAGACGCATAGTATCCATCTTAACAAAAGCCTGCCCATCAAGACAAAGACGATTGATAAGAGTCTTGAAATGCTTCGGCAAGACATGAACTTTGACAAGCGCCAAAATAGCCTGGCGCAGGGTACGGAAGTATCCATCAACGGTATCAATCAGCGGCGATTGAAGGCCATCAATGCTAGCATTCTCCGAGCGCACAACCTCAAATCCAGCCACTTTAAGCGCAGCCTCCAGACTCTCCTGGGTAGGAGTACCCACAGCACCAATGAGCGGCTTGACACGGCGCATCAGCTCAGCGTGTTCGGGGTTGGTGGCGTCATAGTCGGGCAGACTAATCCAGTCCAACAGGGAGATCTTCGAGCCGGGCTTGACGACACGGAAGATCTCGCGGAACAGGGCAGGCAGGTCTTTGCATAGACTCAAAGCCTGGATCTGGTAGAAGGCGTCGAAGCTATCGTTCGCGAAAGGCAGGGGCAGGTCATTGAAATCCTGCACGACGAAGTTGTTACTGTTTCCAAGCTGCTTGTTGTAGCTAGACGCCTGCTCAACCTGATTCGGGTCGATGTTGAGACCGGTAACAGCCGCGCCAGTATGTTGCGCCATATGCGCAGCGACGCGACCACGTCCACATCCCAGATCCAGAACCTTGTCGCCGGTCTTGAGGCCGATATCTGCTGCGATGGAACGCTCATAGAGGATCTGGTTCTCGAGGCAGTTTGCTTTGCGGCTCATCCAGGGCGGGATATACATTTTCTCGACGTCACCGAGGGCGCAGAGGTGGTTGAGGACTCCGTAGTAGGATTTTAGACAGTCGCCGACTTTCTCTTGGTAATTCGGGCCTAGCGCTTCGGTCATTTGCTTCTCGTCGGACCAGTCGAGGTTGTAGATGACATAGGAGGCCATGAAATCGTCGACTTCTTTCGGAGTCAGGTGCGCTAGGTGTCGGAATGCCGACCAGAATGTTTTCCATCGTTTGGGGGATGCTGTGTCGAGGTCCTTGCCGGGTTTTCCTAGCGAAGCCAGCGCATTCTGCTGCTTCACTTGCGCGATCTCGTCGACCGAGGTGTCGCTTTCAGAGCCTCGTTCACGCACTGGGTGCTGTGGTGTTTCAATGGTGGTTGCCATGACCAAAAACGTTTGTGCAGGATCTATAAATTAGATTGTGGAGGAGGTATGTCCGTATAGTACAAGAAAAGAAGAAAGAACCCCAGATCTGGGAAATCGCAATTTATAAGCGCATCAAAGCCCAAAGACCCCTTGCCCATTGAAAACTCATTCGCCCAGAGTTCCGCCCATAGTGGATTATCACCAGACATGGAAGCTCCTACCGGCTATCCCGGCATGGTTCAATCCCACTCCCCGAGTATAAAGGCAGTCTGATTTTCCGAGCCGAACCAGACTCTCAATTGCTTCATCTTTTTTTTTGCCATCTTCCCCTTGGGTATCACCCTTCTCCCTAGTTTCCGAATTTACCGTGATGGCCTTGCCAGGCACGGATGACGCGGGAGCGGACCCTTAAAGGAAATGAGTATCGTCATGGGGACGACGATCTAGACCCACTTGTATAGATAGTATGGTAATGTATGCCAACATCATCGTACATATCGAATGCGGGATGTACATTCAGCCCAGGCCTTACAACTTACACTATAGACGATATGTACACGCACAGCCAGACTCTATAGACTATACCATGACCTCACCTGTCAAGTAAACCTTACTTACATGACATAGCTATCCGTAGACATATAAAGTCTCCGAGACATTACTATACAATAGCCACTCGGAAATCGGCAGCCTTTTGAACGAGCGTGTTATTAACAAAACGATTGATTGCTAAGCAGAAGAAACCCTTGCAACGGCACGTAATATGAGGGACTTTATATCGGCCCCACATAGATCGTCCGGTAGGGCCGTATGGGAAAGTTGCAAGCCGAGAGCTCCGAGACCGTATATCCGGATCACGTGGTGGCCTAATCTGGCAATATGCTCCATAGAACAACCGCAGAAGAATTAGAAGCCTTGGCGTTTCTTTGGCTTCTGTCACTGTTTTTGTTCATAATATGTATAACGGTTCATGGTATGAAAGTGGTCTACATTATTCTGCGTGGTCGGAAAGTCTGTCATACTAGTACTATTGTCACAGGTACTATACGCATGGATTCATATGCAAGCCACGGCACAGGTGTACAGGTGGAGTATTGTGAATTTGTCACCAAATACTACATTTACGTACTTTGTAGGTAAAGTCACAGCAAAATCTTTTTTTTTTTTCGTGGACCCATATTGTGATAGTCGGTGATGATGAAATCCAAGGCCTCTATTTCCTGTTTGGGTGCCCGTTTAGACACCTGAGGCAGACGTTGTTTTGATTGTTCGTATTTGATGCAATCACCATTACCATTTACCGTTTAAGAAATGAGTCATAGCTGTAAACCTACAGTAGCTCCGAGCTGAAATTTCATTCCCAGTATAAATTACTCTACTGAAATTTAGATGTTGTATTGTAGTTCCGGTTTGGCTATCTTTATAACCGGTTCATGCCATTTATGTCATATCTCAACAATCCACTCTCCAAAGATCAGCCTACATGCGGTATACAGTAGAGTAGCTATCCATTAAAAGCAAGACCATATGATCCCATACAACCCCTCCCCCGGACACGGGCCTACCTGTACCAAGACGAAGTGGGACTCAAACATCCTGGGTCCCAACTTGTCAACCTTACGGTAAAGTTATCTAAAACCCATGTAAATGTAACTTTTACCCAGTGATCGACAAAACTACCCCACGAAGGGCGCTTGGTTCTGTAGTGCGCACTGACTGTCTCAAGGTTATCTCGAGTCCGTAACTCGTGACACATTTTCGAGCTGATCTACATGTACTTGTACATCTGTGCATAGTAACTATACTCGGCGTTTGAAACGAGTCGTGACGAGGCGGGGTTGCTGTCATGCTCTACAGTATATATAGGGCTTCTAAGACTGCAAGACTGATGCAGGTGTAGTAAGGTATCTAAGCCAGAGGACTTAGTATATCCAGCTTATAGGTTGCTGATAACGAGTACAGTATCCTATGATGACCCAGCTCAAGCTCTACCTTACCATGTCAGCACGAACACTTTCCGCTAAATTTATTCCCTAAAAAACCCCAGCATCGGAATCCTCCGATAACTATACATGATAATCGACAGCAAATGAGTACAGTAGGATTGTAATTTTCTAGGAGCGGCACGCCCTGCGAGACGGCACGGAACCGATCGACAGCGCGGTTCGTGCTCGGCCATGTGTCCGAGTGTCAAGACCGCCGATTTGACCCGCTGATGTAAGATTGGAGGTCTGACTTTTGGCAGGTTACGGCGAGATTGTTAGACGGGTGAGTATGGTTAGATACGTGTAAATAGGCATGGAATGTTGGTCTGGCAGAGTTGGTAGTGTGTAGGGAGGCCCCCATCAGAAAGATATGTCATGTTTTTACAAGTACCTTTGACAGGTTGACTGGCTAGTATAAGCCGGGCAGAGAAAATATGTTGCAGTATGGTATGCAGTATGGTATTTTGTTATTTCAGCTTGAGTTGAGACGGACTTTATTATCGGCTGATCATCCCGATGTCAGATGCACGCGAGGGCAACGAAGCCCAGTGAGAAGAACTGTCATCGTGAAAGATATTTGGATACATCTGAACAGTGAGGGATAGATTGAATGATTTCAAGCAAGATCGGGGGCCAGCATCATCCAGCAAGCGATTTATAGAGTTATACAGATATACAGATTAACTTTCATATGTTGATGATATGCTACACCCGAAATAGAATAAAATTGAGCTCCAAGAAGATGCATGAACGAACAGACAACAAGGGCTTTGCAAAGTGTGTGATCACAAACAAGATATCAGCATGGCTGTCGTTTACGATACCGTAGGTGCAGGAGCTCAATTGATCACAGCTTCAGCTTATGTTCAACCTTTATTGGCATTTCTTTTCTGGGTAGGGAACAATCCGAGACTGTCTATCTGTAGGCGTTTCTGTAGACTACCGAATCTAAAACAATGCTATCTTGTCTACATCTACCCCTTTCCGGCAGGAAGAATAGATGGGCTCAAATGACTGTGTTGAAGCTTCACACCTTTTGCCTTGCTCTATGGAAACTATTGTGTAAATGATGGGCGAATTCTAGTCGATGGGCTAGAACTCTTCTGGAGGACTAGGGTGTAGTTGCAAGGCAAAATCCTGCTGCGGGTATATGTGCTCGCCCCGAACAGCTCAGCGCGTCTGCAAACAAAAATGAGTTACGCAGGCTCATCAGGACAATTGAGACTTAACAACCATTTTCCCATCTCAAGCCGAATAGAGCTGTCCTAAGCGTGGCAATGGCAATCTTTGCGTGATGGATCAGGAATGCAAAGTCGATAATGTCATTGTAACGGCTACGAGGCGAAACCAGCAGGCAAATTTGATATCATATGCACTGATCAGGTATCAGGATGAGTTTTATCCATGGTAGCTGACAGGCTAAACGAGGGACTTTCGCATCCCTAAAACCCGAAAACGAAAACGAACTAGATCGAACCCACCACAAAGCAACACCTGGAATAAAAGGAGTGAAAAGAATTAACTTATTGTTTGGGCCTGAAAATCACCCAAAATCGAACGGCCAGGAAAATTCCAGTTGCAAGGGACCCCCGCCAATAACCGAGAATCCCGGCGAAGACCCCTGCCAGAAAGCAAGCCTTGCAGCAGTCTATGGTGAAAGATGATGCGACAGAATAATCTTGGGTCGATTTTGGGTGTTTTCAGACACAAACGATGAGCCAATCCAAACCCTCTCGACATCGGTATTTCAGGCCAGATTGCAATAGACGGGAAGTGACCTGTGGAAAAGGAAAACTGAAAACAAGATTTGAAGGGGGTTTCAGCCCCAAGACCAATGTGCAGGTCATGTTTGAGTCAAGGGCTGACAGATACGACCGGTCGAGAAGAAAGACGTGACGTGTAAGGGGGACAAGGTTTCGCACCAAACAGACGGAGAGAGAAGACGGAGAGAAGGGTGAAGAGTCCGAAGTCCGCGCAAAACCTGCAAACACCGCGTTAAGGCCGAGTCCGAGTTTCGGGGAAGGAGCAATTGGCCTCCGAAGAAAAAGAATCGGAAAGAACGTGACTCACCCCAGGTACTGCCCCCTTTACGCTTGCTCTGATTGGCTGACATATCTATACAGGTCAGGTGCAGATTCAGTACTTTGTCGCGTGTATACTTGGGCTCTTAACTGTGTGGTGCCATATGCATCAGATATGAAAATACTGGTTTTGATGTATATACATATTTATCTACAAAGTATAGATCTATTCAAATTGACACGTATAGTTGAAAACAAATCAAATGAATAGGAGTGAACACTGTGGCTATACACCCGTCATAGGTACATCTAGAGGATTCTCCGGAGAAGATCGGCTCTAGGCCCACTGTGAAACTCATGTCAACGATTATTTCTCACCCCTCGCTCTTTTTTCAGGCTTCCGTCTTTCCTCCATACATCTCTCTCTATTGAATAATTTAATTTTACACTTGCGCGTTCATTGGCGACCAGCTGTCGTCAAATGAACCTGCACTCTCACTATCTATTTGAGTGCAAGGTATGCAAATTCCATCTACTCGAAGTACCCATCTAACAATCCCAGCATTGCCTCTTTGCTCTGAAGAGGTCACCCATCAGATAAATGGTTTTCAAACCATTCACCCACCTCGCGCGCCAGAGTTTCACCAAAGCCTTCACCCATGGCTATGCTCAATCAGTAGTCGCCGCGTCGCAGTCCTACGCGTCGACCGCGCCCTTTAACCCGCTCGCCGTCCAGCCCGCCGCCAAATTCTCCCGTACAACCCAACTCCAGAATGCCTTCTCCAACGCGTCCAGTTCCTCCGGCGCCGGCGCAAAGGCCAGCCAGGGCGGTTCCGGCAACGGCGACTTCGGTTTAGCCGCTTACTATGCCGCCTGGCAGCATGCCCAGCAGACTGGCGATGACAGCGATTGGACTCAGTTCGAGTTCAAGCGCCGTATTGGCTGGAAGCCGTCTGAGGAAGCTGACGATGTTCCTGAGAATCGGGCTGCATCGCCGGAGACTGTTCCGCCGCATCCGACCAAGGCTGCTATGAATGATGACGTTAGTGCACAGGTTGAGGAGGCTGTTGCTCGTGAGATTCAGATTCAGGAGGAGCAGGCTAGAGCGGAGGAGGCTGCTGAGGGTTCTGCGATCGTTGAGTCTGATGTGTCGGATGCTGTTATCGAGGCTAACCAGGTTGCCTCGGAGCGCATTGTGCAGCTGGCTGCTTCGAAGCAGTTTGCGGAGATCCCTGCTGCGTTTGAGACTTTGCTGCATGATGGAATTACTCCGACTGTCGAGGCTTATAATGCCTTGCTGGTCGCTGCTGTTCGTCTGCACCCTGATGCTGCTCAGGCTATCCCCAAAGCTCTGGATGTCTATTCGGACATGCTTCGTCGTAGGGTAATTCCCGATGAAGAGACTTATGAGACTCTGGTCCAGCTTCTGGTCACCCGTGCTCACGATATCATCAAGGCCAAGGAGGCTTTGGAGAGTGAGCGTGTGCGATTCGGTGGTATGGAAGAGCCTGGCAAGTTCATGCTTCAGTCTAGTGAGATGGAGCGCGATATCCTTGCCGAGGATACATCTCTGTCCATTGCTGTCAAACTCTTCAATACTGCTGTTGCCCGTCACAGCCGTCTCGTGTTCCCGCTGGATATGTACCGTCACCTTATCATTGCCTGTGCCAAGGAGGGTAGGGTGGAGGATATGATCCGCATTTACGCCCACATGGAATCGCAGAAGATGACCCCTCATGCCACGATTTTCCCATCAATGATCACTGCCTTTGCTTCTGTTGGCGATCTCCGCAGCGCTGTTGAATGCTACAATGAGTACCGCGGTCTCGCTGTCTCCGACGACAACGGAATCTTCAGCATTGTGCAGCGTCAGGATGGCCAAGTCTATGCTGCGCTGATCCGCGCATACTTGTCCAACGGCAAGGAAGAGGGCGCCATGCAGTTCCTCGATCGCATTCGCTCCTCGTTTGACGAGGTCACTGAAGGTCGCCAGGACCGCTGGTCTGCAGTGGAAACCGTCATTGTCGAGGAGGCACTTGTGCAACACTTGATGAACTCGGGCAACCACAGCAAGGCATTGGAACAGGCCAAGGCCCAATTGCATGATGCATCCCGGGATCAGGCCATTTCTCGGATCTGCATGGCTGCCGCCGATGCAGGCGATCTCCCCACTGCATCTGAAGCATATGATTCTCTACCTACTGCACCCGACGTACGACAGAACCCAGCTGTCTCGCTGCTGGCTCTTCACGTTCGTCAAGGTAATGTGTCGTCAGCCCGTTCCTTGTGGATCATGTTGAACACAGTGGGTCAGGCAACCCCGGATCTGGTCCAGCCGACCGCTATGTATGCGGTCGCTCTGCTCAAGAGTGGAAATGTTGAAGAGGGTCTCCATCAAGCCCGTAACATGTTCACGCGTATTCGCAACGCGTCCTCCACACACGTCGTCCGTGAACAGATTACTGAGTCTCTTCACCTCTTTGGTCGTGTTCTCATGCAGTCGGCCGCTGTTCTTTCTCCTCAAGCTTCCATGACTCTGTTGTGGTCCATGCTCGAGAACGGCGGTCTGGTTTCTCCTCTTGCTGAGCACGCTGTCGCTAACCTGGGTCCCATTGGTATTTCGCAGCTCAAGCCTGCCGACTTGACCCTTGCTTTGCAAGTGCAGGCCGGTATGCTGGCTAGCAACAGTGCCATGCTCTTTGATGTTGCCCATCCCGTTCGCTTCGCACACATGCTCGACGTCGCTCTGTCAACTGGTCTTCCTATGGACATCAACACCGTTGGCTTGGTTGACCAGGTTGTTGGCAAGCTTTTCGTCAGCCGTCCCGATGTTGTCAAGAGGTGGCAGGACCACCTGGAGGCTAGCTCCCAGGCCTCTGCCGCTTCTCCCAAGATGTTCTCCGACCGCCAGAGCCCCGTCTCCATGACCGAGACTTCGATTACGACCCCGTCTGCCAATGCTGAAGCTTTTGATCCTTATGCGCATGCGACCGACTTCCGTGGTTCTGCCATCATCGCCGAAAAGCTCGAGAAGACCAGCGGACGTGCCGAGACTCACCTCAACGAGGCCTTGACACGTCTCAAGAACATGCGCCGTATCGGTCGTCACCCTCGCTACATCACCTACGCTAAGTTGATTACCGCTGCGGCCAAGTCTGGTCGTATGACTCTGGCCCACGAGATTCACAGCATGGCTCGGTCCGACGTTCCCCTCGATATGAACTTCAGCGTTGTCAAGTACGGTTGGGTATCTATTCTGGATTCTATGGTCGCCGCTTGCCTCACCCTCGGTGACCGCCAGCTGGCCGCGCAGTACCACCAGGAGCTTCTCACCTTGGGTTCCGCCCCTTCGGCCAACACCTTCGGTCTTTACATCACCACGCTGAAGGAGTCCACCAAGACTTTCGATGAAGCCACCGAGGCTCTGAAGATCTTTCACCGCGCGGTCGCCGAGGGCGTTGAACCCACCTCCTTCCTGTACAACGCGCTGATCGGGAAGCTCGGCAAGGCCCGTCGCATCGACGACTGTCTCGCCTACTTCGCCGAGATGCGCGCCAACAACGTGCGTCCTACCAGCGTGACCTACGGCACAATTGTCAACGCTCTCTGCCGCGTCAGCGACGAGCGCTTCGCGGAAGAAATGTTCGAAGAAATGGAATCCATGCCAAACTACAAGCCCCGGCCCGCTCCTTACAACTCCATGATCCAATACTTCCTCAACACAAAGCGCGATCTCAGCAAAGTCCTCGCCTACTATGAGCGCATGCAAGCCCGCCACATCCAGCCCACAATGCATACATACAAGCTCCTCATCGACGCGCACGCCTCCCTAGAGCCAATCAACATGGCTGCCGCCGAAGAAGTCCTCGAGCACATGAAAGCTGCAGGTCAATACCCCGACGCCGTGCACTACGCCTCCTTGGTTCATGCCAAGGGCTGTGTCTTGTACGACCTAGCCGGCGCCCGCAAAGTCTTCGACACCGTCATGTCCAACCCCCGCGTCCGACCCCAGCCCTGTCTCTACCAAGCCCTCTTCGAGTCGATGGTCGCCAACAACCGCGTCTCCGACACCGAAGAGGTCGTGCAGAACATGTCTCAGCGCAAGATCGAGATGACAGCTTATATCGCCAATACTCTCATCCACGGCTGGGCTACTGAGGGTAATGTCTTCAAGGCAAAGGCAATCTACGATAGCATTGGCATTCAGAAGCGCGAGCCTAGCACCTACGAGGCTATGACTCGTGCCTTTTTGAGTGTCGATGATCGTGCCAGTGCTGCTGCTATCGTCCAGGAGATGATGTCGCGTGGATACCCGTCTGCTGTTGCCGGTAAGATTGTTGATCTTGTTGGTGTTTCTTCTTCTCTCTGAGTGTTCTACACTTGACCTTTACCCCTACCTCTACCTCATACGTCGTTTAATTTCTTCTTTGGTTGCGAGCCTACATTTATCCGGCAGGGCTGGATCCCGTGTGTGGAATATTTCCGGTTCGGCGTCTGTAAGGCGGCTGTGGGATATGGATATGGAACATCTGATCTGGTTCTGGTTCTGGTTTTGGTTTTGGTTTGGATCTTTTCTTGATATGGCATCCAGCGTGCACTGGCGTTTTTCATCTGGCGTTAAAAAAGGCGTGCATGGATGCACTGTATACCATTTTGTTTTTGTTCATAGACGCCTCTCAACTCTCCTACGTCTTAGACGCAGAAATATGAAAAAAAGTGAATGAGTCAATATTCCACAGTAACTTGGTAAACCTAATCGGGTGGCATGACGTCTCGGGAATCTGGAGATTCCCGATCGAGAAACTTCCCTTTTAGTTCCGGTTACTCCCACTTCTCCTCCACAAACTTGACCTTGAACTTGTTCTTTGGCTCTGGGTTCGTTAATGACACTTATTTTATGTCCAGCAGCTCGCTTGGCTTTTGACTCATCCCTCCGTTTGCGAGTCTTTCCCCGCCAACTCCGTTTCCCTTTGCGCTTTTCCTCGACTGTGAATCAACCTCAGCAGGCAAGAATGGAGCACGAGGGTCAAGATACTCGTCGGCCGAAGAAGCTTATCTGTATGTTTCCTAGCGTTGGCAATGAATCCCTAGATTCCCCCTTCAATCCACAGCGCACCATCCAGTCAATCCAATGCAAACAGCTAACAAACCCCCCCAGTCGCACCAGGCGACATAGCCCCAACCCCAGACCTAAAAGCCACCGCTCAATCCCACTCCCAATCTCAAACCTCCATCTCGGACATCCGCAGCGAAACCTCAACCCCAACCTCTACAACCGAAACCCAAATCCTCTCAAACCCATCACGAGCCCACCAATTCACCACAAACCCACCCCTAACAATCTCCCAAATCCACAATACAAACCCCCTCCACCAATTCCACACCTGGTTTCGCGATCCCCGACTCCCAGCATCCTCCGCACCGGAAACATGTACCCTTGCAACAGCATCCATGCCCTCGGGTCGCGTCAGTGCCCGAGTTGTCTACCTGAAAGAACTAGATGAGCGCGGCTGGGTGGTGTACAGTAACTGGGGCAGTCGCGAAGGGAAGGGAGGACAAGTCTTCGGCACCGGAACCGGAAGCGACGAGCTACCGGCAATGCCAGAACCAGACTCCATTCAGCAGGAAATCGGAGTCGGAAATAAATGGGGCGCGCTTACATTCTGCTGGTCGAATGTCGAACGCCAAGTTCGCATCGAGGGACTCCTTGAACCGTTGTCTCGCGAAGAAAGCGAATTATACTGGCGCACCCGCGAGCGAGGGAGTCAAATTGGTGGCTGGGCTAGTTGGCAATCTCGTGTGCTGTGGGATGCACAGCCGGAGATGTTGGCTGAAAGACAGCGCAGGAAGAGTGTTGCGACGTTGCAGGAGGGTGTGGCGGGTGACATCCCGCATGATATTGAGCAGACTGATATCGAGGATGGGAGGTCTCTGCTTGAGACAAGGGTCAAGGAGATGGAGGCTAAATTTGAAGGTGTGAAGGATATCCCTCTGCCGCCTTTCTGGGGTGGTGTCCGACTTGTTCCTGAGTCTGTGGAGTTTTGGCAGGGACGACGGAGTCGTTTGCATGATCGGTTTAGATATGTTCGCATTGGGAGTGAACACGGGGAAGGGGCTAGCTGGAGGGTTCAGAGGCTTTCGCCGTGATCTTTTCAGATCCGATTTTCATATTTAGATGAAGATGATTGTTAGAATGTTAGTGTTAGAGCGAGAAGTGCGCCGAGCATCTTATATATCCATATCAGTCTTATCGTCTTATCCATTCACTTATCAGCCTTGGCGCGAATCTCCAACGTCACCCGATCTCCAAACGCCTCGATATCCCCTGCATGATCCCAATTCAACAGGGAATACGACGAAACAACTGCCTCCGGACAGCACAAAGAAGATAAAATGTCTTCACCAACACCAACACCCAAATCCTCCACGTCCCCATGGATCATCCTCGCCATAACGAGTGGAGCGTTCGCCGCGTTGAACGGTGTTTTTGCGAAATTGTACGTGTTCCCATGCTGCACGGGTGCAAAAGTGCAGTCATATCCGGATACAAGATCGAGACCGAAATCGATCTTGAACCTTGGGATACTTCGAACCTTCCGGCGCTATGTAACTCAAGACCCCTAGGCTTGGGACTACCAATCCTGGAACTAGACTTGGAACACATGGGACAATTGGACTAAATGGGATGAAAGCTAATACCTATGTCTATGTATAGAACAACAGATAACCACACCACATCATTCGCAACGTCCATTGCGCACCTCCTTGGAATGGAATCTTCGCCTTTTATTGAGATGGTTGTTCGAGGTGTATGTTATCCACCCACCCCTGCTTCCACTTACCAATTACAAAACTAACAATCCCCCGTTTTGGTGTATGCAGGCATGTCTAGGCCTAAACATCCTCTGCAACATAATAATGTGGGCCCTCTTCACGCGTGCCCTAACAGCCGGACCGTCAACAACGAAGGTGTCTATCACGAATACAGCGAGTAATTTCCTTGCTACGGCATTGCTTGGTATGATTGTCTTTAGTGAGGCTGTTGGGGGGCTTTGGTGGGTTGGAGCTGGGATGATGGGGGCTGGCTGTATTCTTGTTGGTATGAGGGAGGGGGCTTGACTTGTTTTGATTTTGTCTTTGGATGATGGTTAGGGTTGGATTAGATAGCTATGCAGAGTAACAAGTGAGATCTTGGTTGATTTGTGTCCCTTAAAGGGTAGAGCTTTATATTTTGATGTTAAAGGGGATTGTCTGAGATAGGGTTTTGAATAGGAATTTATAATGGGTGTCAGGTAAGGACAATGGATAATCAGTTGATCAGCTACAGACACGGCTTCGTTTTACGTATCTGACACTCGAGATTAGCTTCTCTGCTGATTTGAGCCCAACTCGAGAAAGATAAGCAGGGTGGCACAATCTCGTGGGCTTCGTTTGATATTAGCTGCGGAAATGGAATTGGACTGTAGATATATACAACTAACGTGAATGGCAGCTTTCCATCATTTTATGGGAATAAGAATAATGCTCAATCAATAGAAGTGATTGTTGTCAACAGTGGAAACACGTCAAGTCTATTGTTTACTTTCTCAATAGGAACAGTGCCTCTACACAACTCCATTGTTTACCTTTTTGGGAAACCCTACCTACTCTATCTCCCAACTTCGGTTGTGTCCTGTTTACATCTCTTGTTTACAAACCTCCACCGTCTCATAACCAAGGCAGTCATCGTGATCATGGCTTCTCAAAGCCCCCATGATCTTGTCACCGTCCACAAAATCCAATCCTCTCCCACGCATCCAATTGCTCACACCAAAAAGGTCAAACGCAGCTATCCTCCCATCATCCCAATCATCATCGTACCAACCAAAGACAGCCCCAGCAGCCCCATCCCAGACTGGTTCAGACTCGATTCTCTCCCCGAAGAGCTGCTGGAAGAAGTCTCGAAGCACCTATCGGTTACCGACCTCAAATGTCTCCGCCTGACCAGCCGCCACATGTACCGTATCAGCCTTCGGGAATACGCGCGCGAGGGTTTCCGCAAAATCACGACCGACTTCACTAAACAATCGCTGGATCGCATCTATTCCATTCTCAAAGATGATGTCTTTCGTCCTCAGATCCGCGAAGTTACTATTCAGTGGGCCGGAATCGACCGCAAGGCACCCAAGGCTCTGGTCGAGGCCTTCTGGGGTGCTTTTAACCGTTGCGAGAACTGTAAGATTTCGGAAGCCTGTCTTCTATTTCTCAACCTCCAGACTCGAATTAAATGATATTTGCAGTTAGCGAGTTTTATGAAGAGGTCTACTTGGAGGCTTTGCTTCATATGTTTTATTTGCCGCTTGATGATTTGTGGCTCTAGTAATCCCAGGAGAATACGACTATGCAAACTTGGAACTTTGTCAATTGTGAAATGAATATGTGGCCAGGAATCAAACACTATTACTGATACCTCTATCCTCCATTTATAAGATGTAAACATGTCCTCACTGTGGGAAATGCACAGGGGCCTTCTCAGAGCTTTCAATGGCCTGCTCCAACCTCTTCTCATACTCTTCCATCTCAAGACTCTTCTGATCATCTTCATCCAACCCATCACAGCCCTTACTTTCTACTTCGCCTTCAGGCTCAAGCCCAACCTCAACAGTCTTCCCCTCCCCACCACGGGCCGTATTAACAGACATAATATCCCTATAAAGACCAATAGAACCAGGCAACTTGACCCCATCAACACCACCCGCCCAAGAACCGAGCATCAAACATACGATACTGGACCGCCCACACATGTGGCTCGGCAATTTCCATCGCCATCTCCCATGATGAACCTTCACCAAGCTTTACAGAGCCACCAACTGGGACACATGGACGCTGCGCTCTCAGCTTGGGACTGTGCATATGAATTATTCGGCATACTAGGTCAACAGTATCTATATTTGAGTGGAAGGTCTACCGGCTTTTGAGAAGTGGCAGAAAAAATTGGCTTATTGGATTCAGTTTGATGATTGTTTTCGGGAGTTCAGGGAGATTCGGCGAGCCAATGTGAATGTCGGAACCATGAGGCTGAATCTTTTTTATGTTCCAAAATAGATATAGACTCTGTGGGAGAAGACTATGGCTGACGATGCAATTTGGGTTAGATATGCTGCTGCTGAGATTTCATATCGACGACTGCTTGGAGAAAGGGATGTTCTACATGGCTGAAAAGAAACTTCGATTGCTTGCGGATCAGGCAATGGGCATGGAGCAAGTGTATGTCAGGGATCTCTGGTGCATACTTGCTTGTGAAGAAATAGGAGATTAACAAAGAGCGAAAAAAAAATCCTGGATGGTATCAATCACAATGATCTGTGCGATGAAAGTCTTGAGTTCAAACAAGGGATTACAACCGAAACAATCTTCCCAACCATGCAGAGAATGCTTTGATTTTCTGTGTTTATGCTGGAGACTATGAGAGAGGCGAGCAAATGGCAGATCTTGTTCTGGAAATCTCTCTGACGTTCGTTGATGAGCTGAATGAGGATTTCCTTAATGGCGCCTTTCGGCTCTGTCACTACAGCGCCCTTTTGATGAATACTCTCCATCCAGAGCATGCCTTCTCGAGACTTCTTCAGGTAAGAAGGGCGATTGAATTCTCCAGGACCCAAATAGCCGATGTCGACGCACGCATCAGAAGTTCCTGGGCTGGGTGGGCACGTGAGATCTTGATCAATCTCGCAATCCTTTGTCTTCGCTGTAGAAGTGCTGGGGTTCCTGTTGCTATGATGACACAATATGACCACGGTCATCCAGCTGACATCTCTTGGGAAGAACATGCTCTTCTCTTCACAGAAAGTAGTCGAGCACGTGCAGTGCTTGAGTCATTGCAGGGACAAGCAAAGTAGGGAAAGCTGTCAGACTCTCGGGCTGGCGCTTTCTTCGATGCTGTTCACAAACGACGGGCCCTGAGGGCATTGCTTGCTCTTCAATCTCGAAGTCCGGAGCAAGAGGGTGAGATATTACAACTTGAGCTGGATTTAAAAGATCCGGAAGACGCGGACGAATTGTCCCCTGCAACAACGTTTACTGAGAGTGCGAATTCTCCAGCTCATCCGCTACTACTCTACCAATGCCTCAATGAGAATGCTGTGGTTATCGAAGCAACTTTCGGTCCTCGTGGCTTCCTTGCCTTCGCAGTGACTCGAGAAGGTATCCAACAAGTACACTACGGATCAACAAGCACAGTCGATATGTGCAGACCAGTCATGCAAATCATGCAGATAATGAAAGAAAAGGCGTTTTATCTCTGTTGCGGAGTTTTTGTTGTTGACTATGAAGATGATTTTGGAGCATTTGGATTGGTCAAGTCCGTTTTACTGGGCGCCTTTTATGTTCATGGGAGATGGGAGTTTTCGGTTTGGGGAGAGTTCGTAGTAGGTATAGAGTTGGCTCGAGAGGATAAGTAACATTATGTAGCGAACGCCTCACTATCAAGATACAGTATAATCACAGTTCCTCCATTTTCGGGTGTCAGATCATTGGTCGATCTTCTCTATCTTCCAACTCGACTACGGCATCATCATCGGTGCCATCCAAGATGCCGGATGGCTCGGACTGTCTTGGCGGATTCCGATCACGCAGCCGGACCGGCCGGCGAGATACCGTACCAGAGACAAACCCGGCAACTGTCTGGATCAGTCGCCATAGACGCTCTTCCAGTGTTTCAGTTGCAGGGCTGTTTAAGTGCCCGCCGAGTCCGGAGTATTCCGATGAGCTCGTTGCTGCGATGGTGTGTTCTTCGGCTTCAACCTTGAATTGGTATTTCAGACAGTCTTTTACAGTGACTAGGCCGGTTAGACGGCCACGGTGTTCAACGAGGATCACGCGTGGTCCCATCTTCTTGAAGATTTCCATGACAGTCTCCAGGGGATGGCGCGGGTGTACGGTCAACGGTGTGTGATCGACGTACCGCGAGAAGTCGACGAAGGCAGCTCCTGCGCTGCGCTGGATTGCATCGAATGTGTCTGACCGTGTGTGATGGGGGACAGAAGCTCTCCGTGCAACAGCTGCTTCGGCTGCTTCCTTGGTGAAGACACAGCGGGCGTTTGGTGCCACCATTCCCTGGTTGCGGGCACGGTCAATAGCATATCGGAGCTCGGTACGTCCGATGTATCCAACCAGGATTTTGCTGGTGCGGTCTTCCACGACGGGGAAGCCTTGGAACTTATTGTCGTTGAGGAGATGCTCTGCTTCACGTACTGGGAAGTCTGATGCCGGCAGTGAGAGCGGGTCCGTGGTCATTGCATGAGAGACAGGCACGTTAAAGACATGGTCTTCTTTGTTATCTAAGAATGGAAAGCCATTGAACCAGATCATTCTGTCGGCAATACCACCACTGCCGAATCGATCACCGACGGCTTTGGTTACTCCTACCACGATCTGCGATGGGTTAGCAGGTTACATTGGCAGTGATCCTTGGGTGTACATACCATGGTCGGCAGGATGTAAGTCAGTGCACCAGTCAGCTCGAACATAATAACCGTAACGGAGATAGTTAGATGCATGATACCACTGAGCGCTGCACCTGCGCCCAGGAACGCGTACGTTCCCGGCGTAATGCAAGGTACATCTGGCTCGCAAGAGGCGAAGAATGCAGATTTGGGGAAAGATTCATGTAGTGCCTGCACCATGATACCCACCATGCGACCAAAAGATGCTCCCACAGCCATTGAAGGCACGAAAATACCAGCTGGCACTTTGCAACCATAGGAAATGATCACCAAGCCTGTGCGAAGAACAGTTGCAATGGCTAGAGATAGGACCATCGGCCAACGGTTTTTGGCTCTGCTTAAGTCAGTATAATTTCCTTGACATATAGGAGGCATTCATACTCGCAAAGTCCATCATAGTCGTGGCCACCCTCACATTCGCGGAACAGAATCTCCATCATTTCGGTCATGTTGATCTTGAGGAACATATTGGGATAGCACAGCACTGCAGTCAGTCCAGCAAGAACCACTGATTCTGTGATAGGCCACTGGGACAGATATTTCTTGCGGAATGCGGCCACCCTAAGATTCCATTTCATCACGAATGCACCGTAGAGTCCACCGAAAACTCCAAGGCCAACGAAGAAGATCAGTTCAAAGAAATGCCAAGTTCGATCATATTCCACCTGAAACATGACCAATTGGCCGGTTCTAAATGGGTTGACAGCCTGAGAATTTAGCAGATATCCAGTCATTAGGTAGATCGATACATACCGCCAGCACACTGGTAGCAACCAAAGCACAAAAGTAACTACGCCAAAGAGTCTTGAGGGGGAAGTAGTTGGCCATTTCCTGTTGACATTAGTATCATTCCATGAGTCTCAATTGCATTGAACGAACCTCCAGGGAGAACAGCACTCCTCCGATAGGACTTCCAAAAGCAACAGCTACACCAGCTGCCGCTGAAGCAGTCAATATTTCTCTTGTCTTTGAGGCATTTTGTTTGTATTTGCCGAAGAAGCGCGAGATTACGTTTCCTGTACACACAGCAAAGTGTACACTGGGTCCCTCCTTTCCTACAGAAAGACCCGATGCGATGGCTAGCGGAAGTGCAATTGACTTGATCAGAAGAGTCCAGGCACCCAGGAAGCCCTTCATGACAAAGCCAGCAATGATGCATTTAATCTCTGAGATTCCAGATCCTGCCGCGTAGGGAGCAAATGACTTGACCAGAACCGCGGCGATGGATGAAAGTATTAACTATATCAAGGTTAGGTCATGGACCAATAAAATAAGTATGCGACAAGCTTACCGCGCCAAAGAAATAGATGACATAGTTGAACAGCCAGAATGAAGTCCAATGCTTCCATTCGGGGCAACCTATAAGCGTCAGTCTCACTGTCCTAGTCTCCAACAAGCTTGCTGGACATACCATTCTCTGCGCCCCAACAGCAAAACTGCTCATTCAAATAGAATGCAGTAGTACAATGGCCCAACTTAATATCGGAAAGCCACTCGGTAATAATATTGAGCACAGCCGAATTCAATCCAATGGCCATGCCAACAAGTGTAACCACAAGCCACGCCTGACCTGCGTCGTATGATTCATACACTTTCCGCCTCCAGCCAAGGATGCCTTCTTGATCCCAGAACCTCGTCCCGCTGCGCCGCTTAGCGCGCCGCCGCGATTGTTCATAGACAGCATCTTGAACCCAGTCTATAGTGGTAAAGTCTTCATAGCGCTTGATCTCACTGATCTCTTCTGTGATCGCGGGGGCATGGGGGTCGGGAGCGGGTTCGGAGGCGATAGGAGAGGTAACAGAGCGGGCTGATGGCCTGCGCGAATTGCGGCGCTCTGAGTTAACTGAAAGCGACCGGGAAACGGTCGGCGAAGGGCGCATTGAGGTCATGACATCGATCGAGGGGATAGGATCAGCATAGTCAGTTTAGACTCTGGAGGCGATGAGCTGTCTATGGTGCGCTTCGCCGTAAAAAGACGGACTTCTAGACTTGAAATGGGATCCTCAGGCCAGCCTTGAGGTATTGCTGGACTCTATTCAAGCTGTGGGGATCTTGGGTAACTTGTGAACGGAACGGAGCTGTGGAAGTAGATGAGGTGACAAAGCCAAGTCGCCAAGTATCGATAACTCTGATAACGCGGCCACGCGTTTAGCTCTTTCTTGACTCCACGCTGGCGCCCTTTTGCAACTTCAACGGGTCAAGAAGTTGAAATTGCTGGCGCGTACTGCGATCTTTACCTCATTTGCCAATTTACATCGTCATTATGCCTCCAAAGCCTATGGGAGATCCGGATGAGATCACCGGACAGAGCGCGCTCCCCAGTACGTGTTGAACTACAGCTGCTCAGACAATCTGGCTAAAATTTGTCTATAGTTTCACGAATCAAGAAGATCATTCAGCTAGACGAGGATATCGTACAATGCTCGAACAATGCGACTTTTGTCATCGCCAGGGCTACCGTGCGCCACACCATTACTACACTTCTACGGACATCAACTGACGCAATTACAGGAACTGTTCATCCAATACCTGGCTGAACAAGGACACAACGTGGTCAAGTCCGAACGAAAACCCCGCAAGACTGTTCAATACAAAGATCTCGGTGGGTGATGATTCGTGGCAGAGACCGACAATATGCTAATGAATGAGCAATAGCCGCGGCGGTGTCACACACCGACAACCTCGAATTCCTATCCGACGTGATTCCCAAGACTACAACGTACAAACAATTCAAGGAGAAGAAGGCCAAGGATGCGGCCGATCAGAGCGCCATGGAGAAGGGCCAACGTACCCTCAATGGCGTTGGTGCTGCACCCACTTCAGCAAATGGCATGGGCACAGAGAATGCTACTCCCCAGGGAGAAGAGTCAAAGACAACGTCTCCCTCGGTTCCTCGGCCAATGGTCCCTGTCAGCGCGTTGATTGCGGACCGGACAGTTGAACCCATTTCGAGCCATGACCATGACGTGGAGATGCAAGATTGATTGCTCCTTGCCCTTCTTATTCTGTTCTCTATTTATGATTTGCATTGGAGTTGGTTCTGGGTTATGTGGTCGCATTGGGTCGGTTCGTAGATATTGACAGCGGGTACACCGTAGAGAAGTCAGTCTACCAAAATGAATAATTAGCAAAGTGCCAGTTCCAATAGTTAAGTGCCAATATATAAAATAAGACGATATACCAGTACTAAACAATATAACTATATTGTTCAGAAATGGTAGGGAGTGAACGGGAACCGAGCAGCCAATGAGCGGCCCCGTGATTCCGATCGCTAGCGAAAGCTCTGGCTCCAACTTCAACTTCCGACTTCATCCACCCTCTATCCCTCCACCTCCCTCCACACTCGCGGCTCAATTCCCCCCGTGGTCAATTGCCCTCAACATGTCGCTCTCCTCCGCTTCCAGCACTTTGCTGCGCACCGTCGCCCGCCAGCAGGTGCCCACCACCCGCGCCGCCGTCACCTCCTGCCAGCGGAGGGGAGTTGCCGATGCGAAGTCATCCTTCGAGTCTCCCTTCGCCAGCGCTAACGAGCGTGGCTCGACCCTGAAGATCCCCAACTTCAGCAAGTACAAGTCCAACAACTCGCCTCGCTCCAACCAGGTCTTCTCCTACTTCATGGCCGGCTCCCTCGGTCTGGCCACCGCCGTCGGTGCCAAGGCTACTGTCCAGGGTAGGTTTTTTTCTTTTCTTCGATTCGAAAAGAGATGGGAATAAAATATGAGGGAGATTGGATTGAGCGAGATTCCGAATATCTCGAGTGGTCCGAATCCGGGCGTCCCTGTACAACAATGACTGACGCGATATTTTTATCCAGACTTCCTGGTCAACATGTCTGCCTCCGCCGATGTCCTGGCCCAGGCCAAGGTTGAGATCGCTCTCGGTTCCATCCCTGAGGGCAAGAACGTACGTGTTTATATCTATCCCATCCGGTGGCTTCCTGTGGCCAAGACCCTTATCTAACACACTCCAAACAGGTCATCATCAAGTGGCGTGGTAAGCCCGTCTTCATCCGTCACCGTACCCAGGGTGAGATTGATGAGGCCCGTGAGGGCAAGTGGGAGTCTCTCCGTGACCCCCAGCCCGATGAAGACCGTGTCCAGCGCCCCGAGTGGCTCGTCATGCTCGGTAAGTTCACGCCAGGATCGGGACGATCAATCCCACAATTCACATCCTAACACTCACCAGGTGTCTGCACCCACTTGGGTTGTGTCCCCATTGGTGAGGCCGGTGACTTCGGCGGCTGGTTCTGCCCCTGCCACGGTTCCCACTACGACATCTCCGGCCGTATTCGGAAGGGTCCCGCCCCTCTGAACCTGGAGGTCCCCGCCTACAACTTCCCCGAGGATGAGGTTCTCGTTATCGGTTAAGCGACCCTTTTTTTCAATACACCCCCGAATTTGATCGTCGCCTTCCGAGCGACTTGTCTCATTAGAATGTGTGGATGAGATAAAAGATAGAGAGGGAAGATGTGTCTCCTATCTATCTGTGTATGTGCTTGTGCGTTTTGGTTATTTCCCTTTTTTAGACAGAGCGGCCGTGTGTCTTGTCAAGATTAAGAGATCTGTGTTTTAATATGGACAAAAAAAAATGAGCCTCTTCTTCCCTTTTGTTTCATCCTCCGAGTTCATGCTCCGAGCTATGGGCTCTCGAGGTCCCTGCAAGCGCGCGCTGCCATTCTTACTCGTGAGTTTAGATGCTCGGGCTGGCAGTTTGTCCTGGCAGTGCAGAGGATGTCCGCGGTCTCCTTGAGTACATACTTATGTTCTATATTAGTGTATCGTCTAGTCATGTTATTTCCTATGTTCACTTCATTCCAAGGATTGAATGTAGGAGTCCAAGCAAGTAGAAGTATTACCGATATGGGATAGTTAAGATGAGATCATTCAATGTTTTGCTATATGCTCAACTCGCTAGAAGCTGCAATAGTAGTACACTAGACTCGATTCTATCCAAGCGAGTCTATTCTTCATTCAACTGTACAAATATACCCATTCCAATCAACGGAGTGGGTTCTCAAATCTCTAATACTAACATGTACTTAGCCATGTCGATGTCTATGGCCATGCATGTTCGAATAAATCACCAATACCAATTACCCAGATCTAATAAGGGCAAAAAGGAGGCCCATGAGAGCAGCACCAGTTGCAGCACTCTGAAGCGCGACTGTCGTAATATCACGCTGGGAGACAGCTACACTGCGCTCACTGAAGAATTCATGGAAGGCTGACTTCCAGTATTCGACAGAGGTAGGCGGGTGAGAGATACCCGACAGACGAGACTGAAGTGACTGGGCTGGAGTAGCGCTCGCATCCGATGCAACTCCAACCACTGAGGGGGCAGCCGCAGCATCATTGGCAGCATCAGGAATACTCTCCTTCACAGCCGCGGGCACATCCTCAATTACAGTGGAAGGTTCGGTATCAGACGTAGCATCGACAACCTCAGACGGGATAGCCGAAAGTGCACCAGCGGTCTCAGCCAAGAAAGCGCGATTAAGCTCCTTCTCCTTCTCAAGCGCCTCGACAACCTTATCCTCAAAGCCCTTGACAAGTCTCTTTCTCCGCCACGGCTCAACGAGAATCTGGAAGACGAGGAACAGAAGTACGTTGACACCCATCAGACCCCATGTCCCCCATGTCGACATGCGGCGGATTTTATCGGACCAGACTTGTTCTTCGTGGTAGCGGGAGAGGATGCTCTTGCTTAGTTGTGCGGCTGCTTCTTCGGCTTCGCGTTCCGCTGCTGAGAGGGCGTGCGAAGTTTCTGTTTCTGCTACTTCGTTTGTGTGGTCGTTGCGGTACAGGAGGGTGAAGCGTTCTAGGTCCGTTGGGGACCAGGCGTGTTTGCGTTGTAGGAGTTCGTTTACTTCGCGTTGGGAGGTTGAGCGGCGGTTTATGGCGGAGGCGTAGTCTTCTTTGGCTTGTTTGACGTGGGATCTGGCTGTGCGAAGGCGGCTCTCTGTTTTGTTATTAGTTGCTGTATGGCCTAGGTTGGGTGGGTTGGGTGCTTACCTTGGAACTGGATGTCGTTCTTTAGGGCTTCGATGCTGGAGTAGCCGGTCAAGTCGTTCAGCCTTTGACCTGCCACGAAGACATTTGATTGCAGGTTGTCCATCATTGTGCTAAATTGTTTGGACATTTGGGAGCGCCGGCTTTCCAGGTAGGAAGGAAGACCTCCACTCTTTGCCTCGGCCTCAATGACATCTTGCTCATGCTGTGCATATTTCTCCTTCTCTACTTCTGCCTCCTTCGTATTTGATTGTTCCGCTGTCAAACCGGGCTCTGTGTGAGGGGGAGCAGCATGAGAACTCCCCACCTCAACACCCGGGATCGGGGCCGGATCGCGTGAACCAAGCTCTAGCTCTCTCTCCCTAATGACCTTCTCAGCTTCACTAGGAAACTTCTCCCTGTCGTCAAAGGCAGCATATGTCTCTGGCTGTCGGCGGAATTGACATTGTACGCAGGCGGAGAAGCTCCGCGGAGTCGGTCTGGTGATGGGAAAGGTTGAGGTTGCCGGACGGAAATGTGCTCGCACCGGGGAGGATCGTGTTAATTGCAGTTGAAGGTTGGACCGGAGTGAGTGCTTGAGCAGTGTTGGCATGGACTGCATGGCCGGTGTATGGGCCACTGGCTCGTGGCGAGGGGAATGGTTGTAAGGCAGAGGCCGGGAGAAGATCTCGGGTTGGCCCTCGGATAGCTTATCAGATTGGAGCCGGTTGCAGAGCCCTGAATATTGTTCATGTTGAACCCTGTAGACATTTTAAATGTTATTTTAACTATTCCTAGTCAAATTTCTGGTGTTTCAGGTAGTATTGAATGAAAAAATATCTGCTGGTTCTTCGTTTGGGCTGCCATTCAACCGGTCCGGTGCAAATATATATATCCGCTGTGTATCATTACAGACCACCATTACTTGAAAATAATTGGTATGAGACTTCCAAAGTTGTTTCGTAGTTACGCTCACAAATTTACAAAAAGAGAGATATATATAAGAAAACCAATTAGCATGTACTACCTCGATACAAGAACTGCAGTATGAAATCCAAAGCCTAAGACTAGCCCAACCTCGAATCCAAAAATGACAAACTACCAAGAAGATAGAGAAAAGAGAGAAGAAAAATACAGTTCGCGACAAGTGACCAGTAAAAAAAACAGATTCAGAATTACTTAGAACATTGCTTCGTCAAAGTCATGATGCAGTTCTTACAATAGAAGAGGTCCAAGATCCAAGGAAAGGAAAGCAAGGGAAGCACGCAATACATAGAATAGAGGGTATAGTAGCAGATGACGACCAAAACTGACTGATATGCGAGAGCAATCATCGCAAATGCAGCATCGTCTTGTCTTAGCACCCGCCACCTCTATTCATCGCTCTGCACCTTGTTATCACCCTTGACAGCCTCGGCATACGTCGGCGGGGCCTGCGAGCTGCTACCCCCTTGCTCACCACCTTCATGCTGATCGTGTGACTTAGTCGCCGAGCTCGTCTGAGCAGACGCCTGCTGCCCATTGGCGACAGTACCATATGACCGCGGGGCGGGGTGCTGATGGGGCTGGTGTGAGACATAGTAGTATGTGACATTCCCGTTCTCGAGATCCCGGCGCTGGCTTGCGCCACCAGGGATGGGCTCGTAGCTTGCCCCATCAGGGTCTTGTTCTGGATATTTGACGATGATGTACCATGCGTGGATGAGGCCCGGGAGGTAGCCCAGGAGACAGAGGGCTATGTTGATAACTGAGTCGGCGGTACAGATGCCTGCCTTGACCCATACTGTTGAGACAGTCCTTGATCAGCACGGTCATGACTCTATGTGGTGTGGTGTGGTCTGGGGAATATGGGAGTATGAAGCTGCGACTTACCTGCAATAGGTGGGAAGAAGACGGCGAGAACCGCCAGGAAAATATCGGAGCTGCACATGGCTGTGGTCTGGGTGAGTATCAAAATAGTAATCGACGTGGACGTCTATGATTTTTGCGATGAGTTCGATGCAGTGGCAGCCTGCTTATCCCCGATCAGATGATGTCAAGTCATGTGACTGTGACTACAGTCAGCGCGAGAGTCTTCAAGAATAAAGTTGTCAACGTCCCAAAGTATGCACCATTTCCTGCAAGGATATATCAATCGTGTTCTGACTACTATCAATTATCGAAATGCGACTTATCCAACACTAGACCGTAAAAGCGGGGTGCATCCAACTTTCTGTACAAGCGGTAAGTACCCAGTACAAGCTACGGTTACTGTCCCACTCCCACTAACAGGTACCGAGTACCTTCATATCCCCCCCTCGCATGTTTCCGTGATAGCTCACAATGTGGTACAACTACGGTATTCTGTGCATGATGCAAGGCAGTCGGAAAATAAGGTAACGAGGTAACAACATGGTAATTTGAAATTTGCCAGAGACGGCAGCGTTGTAGCGATCGTCCCTCGGAGCCGCTAACGTCCCTAGCGAGGCTGGGAGATGAGTAGTGTACGAGAACTCGGTAATAGTGTACTCTACACAGAAGAAAGTAAGAAGGTACGAAAAGCCCCTATCTGAACCCTAGTAATTGAATGGATATTGAATATTGAATGGAAGGCTCAAAAATAGGAGAGAAGAGAAAGAACCGTTGAGGTGTAAGGTAAAACGAGTAAACAAACCGAGCCCCCCTTTTTTAGCATGTAAGATGAGCTGTAACATCCGAGTCTAGGTATCTGAGGTAACTTATGCCTGTGCATATGTAAAAATAACCAAAAACCCAGTGTTTCATAATTCCCTTTTTCCCAGCAGTTCGTCTCCCTTACCCACTAAGCCCAGGCCACTTCCAACTTGGTCCATAGGCAATCTCATTTCCTCTTCTCCGTCTTCCACTCTCGATCTGGGCTTCGTTGACCGTTCATCCTGGGTCCTCTTTGACCCAAGTCACTCGTTTATTTTCTTTCGCGCGTTTTCTCTTCTTTTGCCAAGCTTGAGGTAGTCACGGTGGCCTGGGGTCGACCAGTTTCGTTTCTTTTTCCCGTGCCGGTGCCGAATTGAACATTTCCGATCGCAATTGACACATTCCACGGCATATCTATCTGGGCAGCTTCTTCTGTATCAGGGCGACAACTTTGAGGTTCGCGCCCGACATGTCAGACTCTTGTATCTCCCTCTCGGGATCAAGCGCCTGTCCTGCCTGGGCTAGCTCGTCCATTTCCACTAATTCCAGCCTATACGGGAGCTTGTGAGTCATCGCGCGCCGGAGAAGTCGAGGATACTTGCTGACAGACAGCTAGTCCATTTCTCAAAGGCGTCTCGAATCTGACCGAGTTCGATAATTCATTGAAAGACTATGTTAAGGGGTCATACATTTCATTGAAGTATGTTGGCAACCGATGGGGTATCTGAGCAGAGAGATGCTGACTGGCGCATAGATATGACGAGTTGTTGGGCTGTGAAGGCCTCAATACCAGTTCACCAAACGACTACTATGCCCAATACACAACCAGTGTGATGTGCAGCAGTGTCATCCAGAGCTCCATATCCGACTGTGATTTATCAACTGACGATGCGCTCCCGATTTGTGTCGACACATGTGCGCTTTGGGCGCGAAGTGAGGAGGAGACCATGGTCAATACCGATCTATGCACCAGTACCGACAAGGACTATACGAGCCAGATCTACTCCGATTTGATTATCTGCGAACAACCATACAAAGCCCTGTCTGGAAGCTGCATCGAGGGAGCCGAGAACGAACCGGACGACTGTGGATTTGCTTCCAACACCATTGGACTTTGCACCTACTGCAAGAATGGAACCGATACCTGCTGCACAGCATCCAATGCCACGAGCCGCTGTGATGGAGTGACGATACCTACTACGACTCTGCCACCACTCACTTCGTCTTCCACCGCGGCTCCCGGTGGTCACCATGGATTGTCTGGTGGTGCAATTGCTGGAATTGTGATCGGGTCCATTGCAGGAGCAGCCATTCTCGCCGCTTTGGTCGCCTTCCTTTGCATCTTCATGCGCCGCCGCCGCAGGAACACCCCGAATGAAGGTGGATTGAACCAACCGAACCCGCAACGCAAGGGAGGATCGCCATCTATGCAGCAGGCTGGGAGTCCGACCGCCTATAATATGATTCCAGGGGGCCGAGTCACACGCATGTCTGCCTTGCGCGAAATGCCCAGCTCCTCCTCACCTGCATACTCGCGCACTTCCGCGGCCATGTACAGTGGTGCCAAGTACAGTGACACAGATTCAGAGGGCATGGGTGCTAGCCCTGGAGCCATGTCCAAAAAGATCCCCCCTGTAACTGGGAAGCGTCTTGGTTCGCTCTCGAGTGGCTCTGCTCTGGCTGGACTAGAAAGCGACAGCTCGCCTCGCTCCGGTACCAATACCACTTATCAATACTCTTCCCCTGAAGGGGTGACTAGCGGTCAATCCGAGCAGCTGTCATACTTCCGCGACTACTACTCGCAGGATGACATCCACGCTGGAGACAAGGTAGCCGTCCTCTGGGCATACTCCCCACGAGCAGGCGACGAGTTTGAACTCGACCGCGGCGAGATCCTCAAGGTGATTGGTATATGGGACGACGGCTGGGCGACAGGAGTGCGTCTTCCCGAGCGAGCCGAAGACCACGACATCAGCCACCGCGAACAACGAGACAGCGGAGTCTCCAATGGCTCTCACTTGCCTTCGCGCTCGTCACCCACGCCATCAGGCGAGATCAAGGCCTTCCCCTTGGTCTGTATCTGTCTCCCGCAGCACTGGCGTAAGATCATCGACGGTGGCCAGGAAGACGATGAAGTCTGAGCGCGGTTCTCGGTTTCCATCCAAATTACGTCTTTCACGACAGCGTGCTGATCCTTTTTCTATCCTTCCAGCTTCGCAAGTTGGTGTTGGTTTGCGTTTGTACCGGGCTGGCCGCTTCTGATCTCAATGTTTTTCTACTCGTATTCGATATACCCCCCTTTCTGACGGTCTCGTCCTTTTTTTTTTTCCCTTTGGTTCTTCTACTGCTATTCTCTCCCTTTGGGAACCGGTCGCTGGCGCATCGGACTTGGTGGGAATACCTCACTTGGTCTCTTTACCCGTACCCTCGGTTTGCCATTACTATGGAATTCCTCAAGTTAGTCCTCGGATATCACTTAATGTACATAATTAGACAAATCTACAAGCTTAGGGTCATCTCCACACCCCACATCTGCTCAGTTCTTACCCGGACCGGCGTTGGCTTCGATTCGCAATTACTTTACTAATCCTTGCCCCTCATCTCGCCATACTCCGGAACACTTTACATATATCACTTGTAACTTCAACTCTCTTCTGATCCTTTCCGTTTTACCACTCAGTGCCCGAACTCATATGATGTCCATCCCAAAGATCACCCTCTACACAAACCGCGGCTGCCCATGGGCTCACCGCGCCCACATCGCTCTCAAGGAATCAGGACTAGACTACGAAGAAGTCACAATCGACTTGACCAAGCCTCGTGAGCCGTGGTATCTGGACGTGAACCCTGTACGTAACTTACAACCTACCTATACAACTAAACCAAAGATAAGAAAAGAAAAGAAAAGAAACAAACTAACAAAACAATTATAAAAACAGCGCGGCCTTGTCCCAAGCTTGTCCTACAATAACCAAATAATCACAGAAAGTGGCATCGTAGCCCAATTTCTTGCAGATGCCCACCCCTCGCACCTCCTGCCACCCTCGGGACCGGCTGAAAACGCCCTCTACCGCGCTCGCGCGGCCTTCTTCATTGATGCGTTCTTTAGCAAGGTCATTCCGCATTTCTTTGCTAGTTTGAAGGCTGCAAATGAGAGTGAGAGGGATGAGGCTGCGACTGCTTTGGTTGAGGCTGTTGTCAAGGAGGTTGAGCCTTTGCTTGAGGATGGGAAGGGGCCTTTCTTTGGGGGGAGTGAGAGGTTGACTATTGCTGAGGTATGTATTTGCATAGATATGTGAGATATGAGATGGATATGGGTATATCTCTCTGGATTTCTGATGGTTAATCCTTTCCCTTTTGATAGGTTCAATCAGGATCCTTCCTGCTTCGCATCCTTGGCTTTGCTAAGCCTGAGCATGGCCTTGTTAGTGCCAAGTTACCTGCTTTGTTGGAGCGGGCGCCGCGCTTTAAGCGGTGGGCTGAGGCTACTGTTGCTCATGAGAGTGTTAATTTCATTTGGGATGAGAAGGCGGTTGCTGATAAGATGCGGGCTAAGTTTGCGCCTAAATAGATATGTAGCTACTCTGTAAGTTGATGAATATAAACATGAATATGTATTGCTGCATGCAGATATGTGCATGCATGAATTACCGGTGGGCCGGGAATTGTAAAAATAGACAACGTCCCATGGTTGAGTGACTGGGGACTTTTTGGTGTACGTCAGTGGCATTTACATCTATTGCCCTGTAAAAGTGGACATCCTTGGTGCAGTATATGTACTCGGTACTCTACATGTCATGCAGGAATATAAGTGGTGTGATATGGTACTCGGTACTTCCACGATACAATCGAGTGGATAGTTTCAAGATCGGAAACACTTGTACTCCTGTAGATACCGGTCCAATGGCAGTGGTAGTTCCCTGAAGCGTTCCCTACCACATGGCAAATCCACTACATCCTTGAATCACCGGGATACAGCCCCAATGAGACCATGACAGCCTACGCTACTCCTGGCTGAAACAGGTACTGGGTACTTTGTTTATAGGTGTTCCGACTATATCACGTGCAACCACCCCACCAAGGCAACACCTACAATTCACCCCTCAAACTCCATCTTCCCCCAACTCCGACTTTCTTGACCTCCGTCTTCGATACCTGTAAGTAATAACCAGAGTTGTTCTCATGGCCTTGAACAGCCTGGGAGTCTGAGAACCTGAGAGACTTGAGGGAATTCAGCTGACATCGCGTGCCAGTAACCCGTCCCTTTTCATTCACTCTACATAAGCAATCATGTCGGTCAGTATTACCTCCCTCAATGTCCTGCCAAAAGTACACCAAGTCTGACTTGTATCTTGCGCAGCTCGCATCAGGGTAAGCCGTTACATTCTCCCGCCGCACCGGTTTCCCCCTCATCTCCCTCCGTTATTGACACTCCCTATAGTGTCCAGGTCCAGGATGACTGCATTACCTCCTTCCAAGACTTCAGCCGTAGCCACGGAAAGACCAAGTACATCATCTACAAGATCGCCGACAACAAGAAGGAGGTTGTCGTAGACTCCGTCGGCAAGGACCAGGACTACGAGGTCTTCCGCAACGAGCTCGCCGATGCCAAGGACAGCCAGGGCCGCCCCGCTCCCCGCTACGCAGTCTACGACGTCGAGTACGAGCTGCCCGGTGAGGGCAAAAGGTGCGCATACTCCCAGCCAACGCACGACACATCGCTAACCAGATCGCCACAGATCCAAGATCATCTTCATCTCTTGGGTTCCCAGCGACACCCCCACTCTTGTAAGTGTCTCCTCGTTCAACAGATTGAAACACAGAAAAGAAGCAATCGCTAACAACTCCCAGTGGTCTATGATCTACGCCAGCACCCGTGAGGTCCTCAAGAACGCTCTCAACGTTGTCACTTCCATCCACGCCGACGACAAGTCCGATATCGAGTGGAAGACAGTCCTGAAAGAAGCCAGCGGTGGCAAGGCATAGATGATGGCGCCGGCTGGATCCGGGCTGCGCGACGGATAGGGGTGCGCCCTCGACGGCGCTGCGGAACGATCAATTTATTTCCTCACTCCGTTCTCCCATTTTCTTCTTAGTTGCAATGCAAGACCGTTACGACTTGGCCTGTTTCTGTTCATTTCGAGGCCTTCAGATCATGCAGTTTGCGGATTTCAATCCAATCTCAAAATCTATTTTCTTGACGGACATATTCTTTTGAACTTCAACGGTGCTTGATCTTGAATCAACAGTATAAGTGATCTTGTTGCTTATGACCGAGTGCATATGATACTTTAGAGACTCCTGGTACTGTATAGATTAGTTGGATATCGTATTCTGGTACAACTGGTGTGTAGGCGGGTAAATATTCCGAAGCAAAAGGCCGTGCAAAGGGAAGAGAGAGCAATTGCATTAAGGAACATGCTAGTAATTAACAAATAAGCAAGGAATAAGCACAACCTATACTAAAAAACAACATCATGCCATGCTGAGAAATGATGATGCTCCTCACTGGCAGAATCGAGATGACCGGGTTCGGCCAGCCAATCATCTGTCAGCCAAACCCAAACCGCGCTAGTCCCGACCGGATCCTCGCCTTTCCACCTCAAACCACAAGAAACGTCTTCAAGTCACCCATCCACCCCCTCCACTCTCTCCAAAGCCGTGCCCTGGCGTACCTCCTGGCTCTACCCGTCTCGGCCCTCCATTAACCTCCTCAATTGAACCGATTTCGACGTGGTGCTCCCACCTCCCGCCTGCCGCACAATGTTTCTTCGCACCGTCTCTCGCGCTGTCCCTCGCAGCACCGCGGCCATCCGTGTCGCCCCTGCCTCTGTGAACGTCATCCAGACCCGCGCTGCTTCTGAGCATGCCATCGCCAACCCCACTCTCGCTAGCATCGAGAAGCGCTGGGAGGGTATGCCTCCTCAGGAGCAGGCCGAGCTCTGGATGCAGCTTCGCGACCGCATGAAGGTTGACTGGCACCAGATGACCCAGCAGGAGAAGAAGGCCGGTACGTACTGTCTCTGGATGAGTGGTTTTGGACAAGACAAGCTGTCATTCCGTCTACCCCGTCGCTTCCGAGGTTATACTCGGAATCCCCGAACCGTGACTGCACGATCGATCTCCCCATTATCGCATATGACTAACTCAATTCTTTGATATAGCTTACTACATTGCCTTCGGCGCCCACGGCCCTCGTGCCCAGAGCCCCAAGGGTGAGGGCTGGCGTATCTTCGGCAAGGTTGTGCAGCTGACCGCTGCCTCCGTTGCCCTCTTCTACGCCGTCCACGCCTTCGCTGGCAAGCAGCCCGCTACCATGTCCAAGGAGTGGCAGGAGGCCTCCAACGAATATGCCCTGGTAATACCCACCCTCTATCCCCCCCTCCTTTCCGACCGTCGAGAGACATTCCCGACATCCCCTGGAAACTGTATCCGCAGTATCAAATGCTAACCTCCCCCACAGAAAGAGAAGATCAACCCCATCCACGGCATCAGCAAAGAAGGCTACGAAGGCAAGGGTTTCGTCCAGAGCCCCCCTGCTGAGAAGTCATAGATGTACCAGTCCGACCGGGAATGAAGCGATATCTGAGCAGGACGGACGACGGCACCCATACGACATAGATGTCGATTTTCTCATAAGCTACTCAAGCTACTCTGGCCATGTTCACCATGTCTATTTACCAGAGGATGGGCCCTCGCCCGTGCGCGCGGCACTCGATAATTCCCTATTTCTGTCCCTTTTGGCAAGCATCCGAAAATGCGTGTATCCCGTACTGTGCTATAATAAATGTATCTCTTTTGTAGCCATAGAGAATGTGTCTTCTTGATTTTGTCTCGTTATATACTGTTGTGTTGTATATGTTGTGGCCCTGTGCTCAATCCGAATGGCGTGGTGTGTCTACGGAGTGATTCGGAACAGACGTAAGTGCGGAGAATCCCTGTAGCAACAAGGTACATGTACGGCTAAATTCCAGGCATTGGGTATTTAGTGAACAGATATCTACAGAGTAGAATATGTGAAACAGTTCGACTATATAAAGTTATTAGGTATTATTATCAATTATCAATCTTATACTCTTGAGACTATAAGGTTATGTGGTTGACCCAGCACGTCAGAGATTTCCCGAGCTTGCAGCTTCTGTGCTCGGACTAACGGGCCATTGACCCTTACGATGCAGTCCGTTCCAACGCTTATATCTCCAGCTTTTAGTGACTTAATTAATGATTTCGATTAGCTGTCTGGGGTACTATTAGTATCTATGTACTGTCACAGACTGTGGCTCCCTGCTTCCGGATGCCAAGCCTCGGTGTGTGTGCGTGAATTCCAGGGCAACGGGATGAGCTCCCTCAACCACCACGCTAGTGTAGAAAGTAGTAGACTTATGGGAGTTGAAAAAAGAAGAAAAATAAGAAGAATGACATCCATGCAAACAACAGTATGTAAAGAGCTTCCCTCGTTGCTCAAACTCCAATGTAGTTCTCGGTTCATCACGGGATCGTCGGCAAAACCGCCCCGGAAAGGCTAAGGGCGACCAGTCCCCGTCCACCAACCTCTTCGCTCCCTCTTCTTCCCTCTTTTCCCGTTCCAACCTCACCTCTCCCTTTCCATCACATCACGCTCTTCAACACCTCCATCATGTTCAAGAGGTATGATACTCCACAGTAGATGGCTTCAATTTTTCTTTTCAATACTAAGTTTCTTTCTCTTCTAGCGGTCTTGCCCGGTCCTTCGGGAGGGTTGCCCGTCCGGCTCCCATCGCCCGCGCCTTCCAGCCTCTCCGCTCCTCTGCCCTGCCTGCTCTCTCTGCCCGCTTCGCCAGCTCCGATGCTGCTCAGTCCGGCAAGGTCCACCAGGTCATTGGTGCCGTCGTTGACGGTACGTGTTGTCGACTCCTGACGGAACGGGGACCTCGCGAAAATCTTTTCCCTGGACCCAATCCATCACCAAATCCATCGCAATCAACCCCAAATCCATCAACGAATTCGACGCTGACATGCTATTCGCCATTTCACAGTGAAGTTCTCCGGCGAGAAGCTCCCTGCCATCTACAACGCCATCGAGACCACAAACAACGGCCAGAAGCTCGTCCTCGAGGTTGCTGTACGTAATCTGATTGGCTGAACCTTGATTCAATCCCATCAAGCTAACATACACCCACAGCAACATCTTGGTGAGAATGTCGTCCGTACTATTGCCATGGACGGTAAGCTACACCTCTCCCCTTCACCCCTTTCCTGGCCACCGTGTCGTTCTCTTACCCAAAGCGGTGGAGAGGACCCACCGTGTGCGCCCCTACGCCATAGCAAAGAGCTTCAACTGATGTTCTCCAAGGTACCGAGGGTCTCTCCCGTGGTGTCTCTGCCCACGACACTGGTGCCCCCATCACCATCCCCGTCGGTCCCGCCACCCTCGGCCGTATCATTAACGTCACTGGTGACCCCATTGACGAGCGTGGTCCCGTCAAGGCCACCAAGTTCGCTCCCATCCACGCCGAGCCCCCTCCGTTCGTCGACCAGTCCACCGAGGCCGAGATCCTCGTCACCGGTATTAAGGTTGTCGATCTTCTCGCCCCCTACGCCCGTGGTGGTAAGATTGGTCTCTTCGGTGGTGCCGGTGTCGGTAAGACTGTGTTCATTCAGGAGCTGATTGTAAGATATTCCCAACCCGAGAGAAATGAGATCTGGCTAACTAATTTGCTCTAGAACAACATTGCCAAGGCCCACGGTGGTTACTCCGTTTTCTGTGGTGTCGGTGAGCGTACCCGTGAGGGTAACGATCTGTACCACGAGATGCAGGAGACTGGTGTCATCCAGCTTGAGGGTGACTCCAAGGTCGCTCTGGTCTTCGGTCAGATGAACGAGCCCCCAGGTGCCCGTGCCCGTGTTGCCCTGACTGGTCTCACCATTGCCGAGTACTTCCGTGATGAGGAGGGTCAGGATGTGCTGCTCTTCATTGACAACATTTTCCGTTTCACCCAGGCCGGTTCCGAGGTGTCTGCCCTTCTGGGCCGTATCCCCTCTGCCGTCGGTTACCAGCCCACCCTGGCTGTTGACATGGGTGTCATGCAGGAGCGTATCACCACCACCCAGAAGGGTTCTATCACCTCCGTCCAGGCCGTCTACGTGCCCGCTGACGATTTGACTGACCCTGCCCCTGCCACCACCTTCGCTCACTTGGACGCCACCACTGTCCTGTCCCGTGGTATCTCTGAGTTGGGTATCTACCCCGCTGTCGACCCTCTCGACTCCAAGTCCCGTATGCTCGACCCCCGTATCATCGGTGACGAGCACTACAACACCGCCACCCGTGTCCAGCAGATGCTCCAGGAGTACAAGTCCCTCCAGGATATCATTGCTATTCTCGGTATGGACGAGTTGTCTGAGGCTGACAAGCTCACCGTCGAGCGTGCCCGTAAGCTCCAGCGTTTCCTGTCCCAGCCTTTCGCCGTCGCCCAGGTCTTCACTGGTATCGAGGGTACCCTTGTTGACCTGAAGGACACCATCAACTCCTTCAAGGCCATCATTGCTGGTGAGGGTGACGACCTTCCCGAGAACGCCTTCTACATGGTTGGCGACTTCCAGTCCGCCCGTGCCAAGGGTGAGAAGATTCTGGCTGAGCTCGAGGGCAGCGCCTAGATGTAATTTTGTCTATTTGCTAGCTAGCGCGCCGTCTTACAACTTCCCCTCAACATCTTCAAGCCTCTTTCTTCTCTCTTCCTCTCTCCCCCCCCCCTTGTCCCTTGACTTTTCTCACTGGTCTCCTGGTTATTTGTTCATTTAATTTCCTTTGTCAGAACACAAACTCCTGTCCTGTTTGTACGCGACGACACCAATTTCCCCTTTGAGAGACGTGTATAGTACCGATCTAAAAGTGAGAAAACAATCCAACAGAAAGGGACTTGATCACTCATTTCACTTCCGTTGCTTGTCGCATTCTGCGGTGGTGTTTTTCGCGTTCTTCGTGCGACTTGTTTGTGTCCTTTCTAGACTCGTCCCGAGCAAGGAAACCTGTTTAAAAACGGGCTATGATTATCGACCGGTGATCGGAGCTGGGGAGTCGTGTGACTGGGGTTCTTTTGAGAAAGGAGGGTTGCGGAATGGAGTTCTTGTTCATGTTCTATTTGGGTCGTTCGTGGTTCGTGGTCTGTGTCTATCTTAGCGAGTTGATGGGATTTTCTTAAGCCGGTCTGTGGATTGGATACCAAACACACAAACCCCCTCGGCCGGCGTGTTTCATTATTTTGTGTATTTAGAGTTCAAAACCATGATTCTCGATCTCTTTTCCTTTGTGATTGATCTTCTCCTTGTCAATTGTCCTCATTGCAATCGTAACTGTAGCTGTGTCTGCAGTCCATGTGGGAATGAGTATTGTATACTCCGGATGATAACCGTCTGAATGGCTCTTGACTGTTCATTCCATTCAATCTAATCTCGAGTAAATTGACAGTGACTGTCGAGTTTTCATCTTACTACGGAAAGGCAAGAACGTCTTACTCGGGTGTCTAACCCAACCTATCTGTCTACTCATCTACAGGCGGTCATGTTATAATCAATGCAGAAAAAGGATGTATGACATCCTGGTAGACTAGAAATAGAAGTAGATAGAGACAGATCTGATTAGGAACCAAATGCAAGACAAGTAGAAGTAAATGTAGACGTAAGAAAAGATGAAGATGTAGCTGTAACTGGGGAGTACCATCTAATACCAGGACAACAGGTTATGATTCGACAATTTGACTGTATGCATCGAGATAGCAAGACTTGAGTTTAGATGTTCAAGTCAATTTCATCACAGAGTGCTCTCCAGAGCGAGGACCTGTTCAAGAAAAGTAGTCAGCATCAGAACACAACCATCACAAGACAAGCAAGCAAGCAGCAGCAGCAGCAGCAGCAGCAGGAAGAGAGATAAAAAACATACCAAAGCAGTCCTCGTAGGAAGATAAACCTGCACAAAATTGGCGCGCCCGTTCCAAGGCATATCAGTAGTAAAGAAGCGCGTCTCCTTGACATTCCTCCCAAGCCCGCCAAAAGCAGCATCATCAGAATCAAGCACTATCCGATAAGTCCCAGCAACCTCGACACCAACCCGATAATCCGTAAAGCTCTGCGTAGGATTGAAATTGAAAATCCACAACAAACCCGCGCGCTCAAAGACAAGAACCTTATCAGCCTCGTTCTTCAGACTGATATACGCCTGCGGCGAAGCGAGCCAGCCGTATTTCTGCTCGGTGAGCTGCATGCCGCGGTCGAACTCGTTGAGGAACTTGTAGCGGAGCAGGTTGTCTTCTGTTAGGTTTAGCTGGCGCCGCGCGTACCAGAATGAGTTGTTGTTTCCCTCTCGGGGGAAGTCCAGCCATTCTGGGTGTCCGAATTCATTGCCTTCAAAGTTTAGGTAGCCCTCGCCGCCTAGTCCGTGGGTTATGAGGCGGATCATTTTGTGTAAGGCCATGCCGCGTTCGATAACGGGTGTGAATTCTGTTAGGGTGGACATGTGGGTGTACATTTCTTTGTCGCAGAGCCACATCATTAGGGATTTGTCGCCGACGAGTCTGGTTGGGTTAGCTTGCGTTTTCTGTGGTTCTGGGATGGTAAGTGGGTGGCTTACGCTTGGTCGTGGCTTTCGGCGTAGGCGATGGTCTTCTCGCCGTGGCGGCGGTTGGTTAGAGTGAAGGAGAGGTTGCCGATGTCCCATTCGTCATCTGAGGACTCCTTCAGGAGCTTAATGTACATGTCGGGGATTGCCATGGCAAGACGGTAGTCGAAGCCGACACCGCCCAGCTTGTGGGGGAGACACAGGGCCGGCATGCCGGAGACATCTTCGGCCACTGTAATACATTCAGGGTAGAGCTCGTGCAGCATCTCGTTTGCGAGAGTGAGGTATGTGACACCCTCCTCGTCGACGGCCGGGCCAAAGTACTCGTGGTAGCCACCAGAGAAGCCTCTGTTTAGGGGTTAGCAGAGAGTTAAATCATGAAAGTAGACTATACGTACGTTCCAATGCCGTGGTGTGTGTAGAGCATGCTGGTGACACCATCGAAACGGTATCCGTCGAATCCGTACTCCTCCATCCAGAAGCGAAGGTTACTCAGCAGGAAACGCAGGACCTCGTGATTACCGTAGTTGAACAGACGGCTGTCCCACAGCTCGTGACGACCCTTGGCACCTCCGTGGAAGTAGAGGTGATCAGTGCCATCAAACTCGTTGATTCCGTCGATGACGTTCTTGGACGCATGGCTGTGAACAACGTCAAGAAGAACAATCAGACCCATGCTGTGAGCGGTATCAACGAGCTCCTTTAGATCTTCGGGGTTTCCATAGCGACTGCTCGCTGCGAAGAAGTTATTGATCTGGTAGCCGAAACTGGCATAGTAGGCATGCTCCATGATGGCCATCAGCTGGATGGCATTGTATCCCAGATACTTGATACGGGGCAACATGTTCTTGGTGAACTCCTTATAGGTAGCGACTTTGGTCTCTGGGGACGAGATGCCGACGTGTGCTTCATAGATTCGCAGGCTTGCAGGTTTCTTGGGTCGTGGGTGCTGGAACTTGTATTGCTCGTTCGCGGGCGGGTTCCAGAAGACGGCGTCATATGCAGGTGATACATTCAGGTCTTGGACAACACGCTTGATCCAAGCGGGGATTCGGTAGATGCGTTCTCCACTGGGGAGGACCATACTGATCTGTCAAGCATTAGCGGCCATCTAGCTAGAGGATTTGGCATGAAGGACCAACCTTGATCTTGCTGTCATGGGGAATCGCGGGAGCGCCATCTTTAGCTGGAACGGTAACGTCCCAGATACCGAAGCTGTCCCTCGTCATGGGGTTGGCATTGGGGTCCCAGTTGTCTGCTAGTCTTAGCAAAGCACCTCAGATAGCTTCATCTCCAAACGTACTGAAATCGCCAACCAGAGAGGCCTCCTTGGCATTGGGTGCCCATTCCTTGTATTTGATCTCTCCATTAGGTTGCGCATGCAGACCGAACGTTTCGTAGCCCTAGAGCTGAATGAGCATGGAGTAGCGCTGTAATCGAGGATCCATTCACCTTGCTGAACTTGTCCAGGCCACCCTCGGTCTCATTGATAGTTTTGGCCCATGTCTCGACGACCTGGAATCTGTGCTTCAAGACATCGCGATGGGGTTCCAGCCAAGGATCCAGCTGGATAACACCTAGAAAAGCATTAGAATATAATCTCCGATCGAAAACCAAGCTTGCTATCATCTGACCTGTTCCATCCATAGCGTAATTTGAGCTTTCAATTGCAGAAGTCATAACTGGGGGCGAAACTGGAGAGGTGGAGAGAAGACGGGGAGTCGAGATCAAGGAAATCCTGCGGGGGTCTCAACATGTGACATCAACCCCTCAACGCTTTGTCCTCCCAACTTTTTTAGGTGGAATTTTTCTTCTGGGCGATTTCGGATTTGAGCTACCTTTAATCTTTATCATGAGTATTTGCAGCGTGATAGCTTGATAGCATAGCTTGAGTGCTGCATTGAGCTCTGGTGGGGATGTGGAGAGCTACCGGGAACGGATCCGCTGTCCGCTCCTGTTTCCAGCCATGAGGGCTTTGGGCTTAGAACCTCGAATTTTGCTACAATAGTACCTTTATGTTGGCTGCAATAGTGGCCAGGTATAGTTGATCAGTTTCAATATGATCTCCATACATATTAAAATTCAGGGCGTGGGTGGTTTCTGCCAAGCCCTAAGAGACTGAAGCTAAAGAATGCGCCTATGGACTACATATAGAATGACAATTCTAGGAAAACTAGTGAGGGTCTTTTTTCAGACCCTTCGGTTTCTATTGTACACAGCCTCGCCTTATAACACACCGGGCGTTTCTTTCTTTAAGTTTACTTTCAGGTACTGACCCCTGCAGGTACCCACCAGTGTTCCAAATGCGTACAACTCAAATTTTGCTGGTTCAGCTGTGGTTAGTCTTAAATTAAATTCGGATGATTGAATTGGGTTGTTTAGCCATTTGATGCCACTTTATTATCCGATTTGTTATCTTTCGGTCCTCGCGCTTTGAAGTAGTCGTTGTAGTTAAAGCGCAGGCTATTATAAGCGTAGGGACGAGCTCACTGTCGTTAACTATACCACTGAATAGGGGTTACAAGTCTCCAGAGCCACCAAAGTTGGTTGAAATCATAACTACTGCTCCAATTGTGAGAGTGATTGAGATTGTCCTCTGTACCCTCATCTTTACTAGCCTAAGCACAACTCGAGATAGTTCCGGGCTATTATGGGAAGGAAGAAGAAGAAGAAGAAGAAGAAGAAGAAGAAGAAGAAGAAGAAGAAGAAGAAGAAGAAGAAGAAGAAGAAGAAGAAGAAGAAGAAGAAGAAGAAGAAGAAGAAGAAGAAGAAGAAGAAGAAGAGATAGATACTGGCAAAGGGTCAGCAAACGGAAGAGGCCTAGAATCTGCGAATGCATACAGTACATATCCTGACAACATCTATTGTAGGCATATATTAGCCATAACTCTATTGATAGAGCAGCCTGATACAGTAATATTTCAACAAGACAAAAGAGGCGGTCAAAGATCAACTTAACCGGAGATATTGGGTTGGATGCTATGGCAATAGACTGCCGTGCTCATTCTACTACATGGGTCTTAGACATACGGTAGTTTCCAATATTCAAATTTCGATATACGACTGAACTCGCAGATCTGTATAAGATGTCACTCCTGAGTTTCCAAGTGTGTCATTCCTCGTATAACTCTCATCTCGCGTACCATCGGTCACCTTAGCGCCAATAAACATGATCACAGCCCCTCTTTTGTCAGCCTCGCAGAGACACTCAAATTGTTATATCTCTTGAAAGAACATGTGAGGGCTCTGAACTTGAGCGGAGATTTAACTAAATGTGGTGATAAGGTGCCCACTAAATTAAAAGTGTCACCACAGGAACCTTAGATTTACATATTATACTTCAATCTTATTACCCCCTAAGCAAAGCAAGCTCAGCGATGATAGTTATGCAGTTAGTGGATGACCCGGGGCAGAGAAATTTAGCGAGATGTGCATTCACAAAATTAAATAGTTTGAATATTAAAATGATCACAGCCTGAGAAAAAAGAATAGAAACAAGAGCCAACCTTCGCGCCAGCAAAACCTTTGCATAAATTTCACATGCTGATTGCACATGCTGGAATCTATTGTGCAGTCTCTAGGAAGCCATCAGGTCTCTGGGAGAGCTTGCCATATGTTTCCTCAAAAGTTGAATCTTCGCCAACACAGATTCGATAAGAAATCCGAGCATATTGCTTCGCTTGAGCCTCAAGACCAGGCGCTACAGTTTCGTAAGCGCCTGAGAGAATCATCCAACAGCCGACGACACCATCGGTCATCAATCCCCATTCCTTCACACTCAGTGGTGTTCCTGCAGCATGAGGTAGCTTCCCGCCGTCAATAACATAACCCAGTGACTCTAAAGCCTTCAATCCAAACTCAACAGTCCTTTTAGGCTTATGAGATGCAGCAAAAATAGCCGCAAGGCTCAGACATGGTTTCCAGAGTGCAAGACGAGGAACCACAGAAGCAAGCTGGGTGTATGTTTCCGCAAGCCCGGAAATTGATTTTTCGATCCGCGATGAATGCTTCGCACCCAGATTGAATAGCTTCTGCAAGTCGGCTTCAAGTCTCGTTCGCTTTGACATGACAGTCTTGTCGGTTTTTTGAATTTCTTGACATATGGCACAATCACATTCGAAGCCCCAGTGTCCCAAGTCCATTGGATCTCCCTTGGAATCACGCGTGAACGGGGATTTGTACCAGAACGTAAGTTCAGTGCCAGGGGCAAGATCTTTTGTGGCACGAACAACCATCATGTCTCCAATGAATGAGCGACGAGCATTACTGAAGCAAGAATGATTGACGTATGATGCCAGACGCCAAATTCCACATGAATGGAATTGCTCATTGGACTTCTTGGCTGTTTCATCATTTCTCATGGCGCTCATGTGACTCTCGCGAGAGGAAAGAGGACATCCGAAACAGTTGAGCTGAATTATTCTTCCAACGAGAAAGCTAGATAGGGTTACTTCTGATTTAATATTATGGGTAGCAACACTTACGTATCCACGATAGGTATACCATCTATCTCTTGGACAGCCACGGGTTTGTATGCGCCATGGTGAAGATCGATAAAGGCGGGCAGCACAGAAGGATTTTTGTAAAGTCTTTGAACAGCCAATTCAATGAGCTCTGCTTGAGTTCCAAGAGTCATAGTATCGCTCTGTGCATTGATCAGAAGATTTAGATCGTGGGTTGTGCTTTTGGCATCATGAAAAGCGTGAGCAAATGCTTTCTCGCAGAATAGCAGATCACCCGCCTTGACTGCTTCGATTGTGAATAGACCTCTTCCATGAGACTTGGTTGGTTGCACAGATACAGGACCAATAAAACTGCCACGGTCGAGGTGCGGTGGTTGACGTTTTCTTGCCTCTAGATGAAGTAGCCTGAATTTATACTCGCCGCTAGTTTGCTCATCAAGCCGGGCAGAGGCTCGCTTGAATTCCTGCGCAGCACTACTGTTCTTCGGATATCTCTCGCGGAGCAACTTATGAGCTTCACAGGATTCCTGAAATCTTTGAAGATTGTATAGAGCCTGAGCTTTCCGGAAAAGAGCCTTTTCCGATGGGCTGGGTGCGCATGCTGCTTCTTCAACATCAAGGAGAGCTGCATCAAACCGATGAGTTTTGAGGAAGGTTAGTGCACGATTGAGCTGGGTTGCCACGGCTACCTCGGATGAGGGATGTGAGTTCAGAGCCTCCGTGTAACTGCCATCATGATGAGCCACCACCTTCCAAGCATTGACAATCCAGATCTCACCATTCTATCGCAGCACGATAACTAGCCTTATTGAAAAAGTCATTTCCCTTTAGCTTCCAAGAATTGGAAGACTCATCAGCCTCGGAAACCTTTCTTCTCCAGGAGAGTGGAACTAGACTGTCGAATTCTGGAATAAACTTGACATCGGACAAGTGGTCGACTCGAAGTCCGTAATCACCGTCTGACATCACTTTCACGTAAGGCTCTTTCACAACAATCACTGTTCCTTTATTGAGATCATTTCTTCCGGAAAGCTCTTGCCCTTGATTGTACAGTTGCAACATGAGAACGCTCTCCTCTTCGTCCTCCACGATGACCATAGCAGCGGTCAACGTGTCGGTCGGGGTGATGGTTCGTAATAAAACATAAGTTCCTCGGTGATGAGTTTCAAGGCAAAGGTCTTTGATCATGACTCTGTTCAAGTCCTTGAACGAAGTAGTGCATGGAGTGTAGGCCAAAGGTAGAAAGGAAGATCGAATGTTCACAGAGCTCTTAGGTTGGCGTTGACTGCTCATAAGCCGCCGAAATGAAAATTGCATTAGTATCTCATTTCGTGACTTTTCTGAGCTGGCTGGCCGACCCTTGAGATTTCGGGCATTCTTGAGAGATTGCTTGTGTCCATTAAGAATCCGTAGGTACGCCGGAACATTTGAGACGTTATAGGTATCCATGACGATAAAGAAAGACGGAGCAATATGCACCTAATAGCCTCGAAGACAATTTTCAGCACTGAATGGAATTAGGTGTAGCTAAACAAAGAACACCAGAAATGCGTTTCTATGGTGTTAAATATGAGAAAGCAGATGGAGGCGTCCGGTATGTGTTGTCGGGGGGTGACCAGGGGGAGAGGTGATGAATGCGCTGTCACAGTGGGGTGACCAGGGTTACTACATGCGCCAAGTAGCAAACAATGCATCAAACGTACACGTAGGAGGCTGTGGATAAAAAGAAGAGCTCAACTCATCAAAGCCACTCAATTTACCATGCTTTGCCAAATCCCGAGTATACTTAGATGCAGCATCATTCGTAGAATCGGCAGACATCGTACGACCCTGGGTCAAATGACTGGTCTAATTTACTCACACATGGGAGGAAATAAAGGCCCCAATGTATCTTATTGAGCAAAGAGATCCAAAAAAAAGACGGTAAACCCATTCTCTTTCATTCTCAGATCAATTTACAGGCGGATTTACTGAATTGTGTCTAGATTTTCTAAAATGCACATCAATTAGGAAAGTCTTGGTGGTGGACTTGGGATACAGGATTTATTCCAACAACTTTCGAAGTATCGGTCTATTAAAAGATCTCCGATGACTAGAAGTGGCAGGGTGAGAATGTATTCCACGTCCTAAGAAAGGGGCTTTCCCTTGAACAGAGAGTCAAATAAAGTACTGTATATAAAAGCCAAATATTCAATATTCTTTGTAGCAAGAGAAATCAAAAGAGGTACCTACGATCAGTTGCTCCTTTGGTAATGAAATAGGCAAAGTCTTAGCACTCAAGACATACTTCTGATCGCCGAGTAACTGGCCTGCCGTATATAAATCGTGTAAAGCGAACTAAACCCTTTGCAGATCGTATATGGGGGCCAAAAGCCCCACACGGCTCAGCCTCAAAATGCCGGGACTTCAAGTCATTGCTTCTGGGTTCATGTCCAGCTTAGCTGACATTCAAAATGCCGCAAGTAGTGAGATTGGCCCAGTCTCATCAAATTTTCGCTATCCGACTATTGGCCGAATCCCTCTATGAGGCAACTCGCGCTACAGCCGCATCATCGAACCAGGCCCACAATGAGCTTGCTTTACTCCTGACTGTTCTGAATACGACCGAGACATATTCCTCATTATCTGAAACGGGCTGTCCACATATGCCCGTCTTAGCCAAAAGATTACAGAGCTGCCATGATATTTTGGTTGATTTGCAGAAGCTGCACCTTCATCCTGATGCCCTCGGTGCGCAAAGCCAGATAAATGAGATCCGGGCGAATCTCTCGTCACTAATTTTCGGATTGAGTGAGATAAATACAAATATGATGATGTTTGTTACTCTTTTAACAATGTTAGATTTCGAAATCAAGATTAACCATGCCACAGATCGTCCCAAAAGAGCATAAACAAATCCCTGACGAGACTTATTGATGCAAATAGCACTGAAGCCCAGGAGCTATCAGCTTTATCTGATCATCTGGATGAAGATGTCTCAAAAGCCGAGGCTGATCAGGTCTGGGCACAACTACAACATTGTTTGGACACTGCTGGTGTCAGGCCTGAAATGTCGACTCAGAATCGCGAATATATCATCTCGTCACTTAAAAAGATGAGGAAAAGCGAGAAAAGGTCTGCCATCGATACCGCGGCAGCTCCAGCAGATATCTCAACGTCTTCCCCCAAGGCGCTGTCTTTGATTCATAAAAGAAGCCTGGATGATACCAACGACTCGCTAGAAAACCAACCCAATGGACCCCCAATCGTTCCATCTCCATCAAGGGAACCCAAACCACCAAGGAGGAAGCCATTGGCTTCATGCCTTGGCCTTTCAAAAATACCAGTCGTGATAGAAGAAAATCTCCCGATCCCCGTGGTCTTTGAGGTCCAAGACTCCGCCGGTATCCGGAACCAACCTCTACCACATGAGGACTTCCCGATACCAGCCTGGACGGAATCAACAATAGAAAGTGTGATCTCTTCAAGAGAGCACACCAGCCAAACTGACTCATCAATTCCCTCAACACCTTCGATTCCCACAACCCACGAAACGAACCCAACAACCCTCGAGCCTACCCTTCATGCTCTAAAAGTAGTCCAAAGCAAAAAGCCAAACCGAATGAGCCGAATCATGTTCCAAATGACAAACTCCAAACAAAAACTCATAACTGCAATCCAAAAAGGCGATCTCGAGACCCTAACAACCCTCCTCACAAAAGGCGCCGACGCAAAAACCACAAATCACGAAGGCCAAACACCCCTAATGGCAGCCGCATCCTACGGCCACGAAAACATCGTCCGCCTCTTAATAGAATTCGGCGCCGACATGGATGCCCAAGCCCATGACGGCGAAACAGCCCTAACAACAGCTGCAGGGCGCGGCTTCGAGCGAATAATCCGAATCCTCATCGCCAGTGGCGCGAAAACCAACAGCAAAATGGGCGCAAGGACAAAAACGCCATTATCTCAAGCAGCAGCGTTTGGCCAAGACCGTATTGTGAAGCTTCTTCTTGATTGTGGTGCAGATATCAATGCGCTGAATAACACGGGCCACACCGCTTTGGGGGTTGCTGCGCTGAATGGGAATATGAGGGTTGCGCGGGTTCTGTTGGATCGGGGGGCTAATGTTGATAAATCGGGAAGTACTTGGCAGTCGCCTTTGCTTGAGGCTATTAGGCAGAACCATGCGGAGATGGTGGTGCTTTTGATGGAGCGACGGGCGAATCCGTGTGTTCTTGGAGGGTTTCAGAGGTATGAAACTGCTTTGACTTATGCTGCAAGGTTGAATCGGACTCAAATTTTGGGGATTTTTAGGAGGTATGGGTATGAGAGGGGTCCTGTTCAGTATTGTTGATGCTTGGGGCTATATATGAATCTTCTTTCATTGATTGTTTTCTTTACTTTTAACGTAAAAGCCCTAGCCCATTCCGTGAGGTTTATGGGTATCCTACTTGTAATACTTGAATTGGTACGAGTAAGGTCTTCAGCTACTATATTCTTGGAATGATCTATAGTTCTCCATTATGAAGTCGCCAAAAAGGTTGATGAGGTAGATGATGCGACAGATAAGACTAACAACGAGGCCTATGAGGATTAGCGAACCATGAAGCGGAATTTATGAACGACGAAAGAGAAAAAAACACAACCTGACCCTGAATTCAGCATACAGTGAGGATAGCATTTTTATGCAGCATATTTTGTGCTGCGCTAGATAGCAACAGAGTATCTTTTCCTTCCAGTCTTTTCGATGTAGTTATACTGTATTCAACATGATAAGTACTGAGTTGTGGCGTTAATTAAACGGCACATTAAGTGAATAGAGGACAAATCTAGACGATAAACGCGTGTAGTGTGTAGAGCATAGTATACAGCATACATAATACAGTATCTGAACTTTGTCTTATAGATTAGACCGTGAGTCTAAATAACAACCCAGACCAACTACGCTATTATCTAGACACGCCGAGCTTAGTCACACACTTAATCTCGTTCCCCAATGCAAATGTCTCGTAAATATCGATACTCCTAGCTAGCACCATGTCTGTCGTTTCTAGCATAGCTCTACGATCCACATCAGAACGCCCCTATGGCTATGCCTACCAACGCTAACCTCGTATAATAAGATCAATGACCCTTGGATGACGAATGTAAGAGAATGAGGGCCAACAAATCGGCCGTATATTCGAGCGTAAAATCCGACAGATCAACAGGAAGCATAAACTAGACGACTCAGCCTTCCAGGCTGGCAGTGCCTTACTGAAAAGAGAGTGGATCAGCAGAGCCCCGAGCCCCACTACGCTGATTGGGTTGGCGCCCGGGATCCACGTCTTTGGGGCGCAAAAGATTCCTAAACCGCCCCCAAAGCCAAGAAGCATCTAATATACGGGCCATTCCAAGGTTTGGGCGAATCTGGAGCCAAGGCACAGAATAGGACATTCGTCTTATGCTTTTCACGTCCAACGTATTCTACGCAAAAAGTCATGTATCTGTACATTCAGCCGCATCCCTGAGCCTTGTCAATTCAGTTAGAACACTGTAGTCTTGCACGAGATTAGCTTTTGAATACAGACAGTTTGCTCTTTTAACTAGTCATTCAACTGTCCACTATTTCTTGGCTTCTGCCTTCCCGCAGAAATGCCCGGGCAGTGCAGGTAGCAGCCATAGTATCCACTTCAAACCCTGTATCGTAGCCTGTTCTCGTAGTCTCGACGATCGCATTTGACTCTATTTTTAACGGATGGGAAGACTTAAAGCTCCAGCCCTTCCCTTGTCGCGGATTTTTATTTTCGTGTCACGCTGGACTCCCCTTGCATTATTTTCTATCACACTTGGACTCCAACAACAAACATCCCTTCGCAATGACTGAGCCCCGCCACCAAAGTACGTTCAAAAACTTGCAATCCAGCTAAAAGGACCGTCTAACCAAATCTTCAGCACCAGCTCCTATGTACAGCGAAGATCCCGAACCAGTCTACTCAACACCTATCGCACACCCTACCCCAATCCACGCAATGCAAACCGGAGGCCCTGTTAGCCCAACCTCAGAGGCAAACGCATACCAAAGCCAAGGCCAAAGCGAGAGCCACTCGATCCCAGACGCTCTCCACGGCCCAACACCAATCAACGGACACTCAGAGAAACAATACCCACACCAGCCCGACTCCATCGGCCAAGCGCCAGACTATGACGCCGTAACGGGACACGAGAAGGCATACGCTGGTCAGCCCTTGCCCCAGCAGGGCCCACCCCAGCCAAATCAGTACTATACGCCCTACGGCCATCCCAGTGGATATGCGACCGCAGTTCCACTACATGGTGTTCAGTCTGCGCCTTGCCCGGTAGACTGTCCTGTCTGTGGGGAGCGGGAGATGACTCGTATTAACCCGATTTCTGGGGGAACTACGCAGTAAGTATTTTTCTTCCTTTTGATCGAATTTGCGATCGCGGTTACGACTAGGAGATGATAGCTAACCACTTCATAGTGGATGGGCTGCTATTCTGTGCTTCTGTTGCTGCCTTGGGTGTATCCCTTACTTGATGTCTTCGCTCAAGGATGTTGAACATTCCTGCGGGAAGTGTAATGCTAAGCTGGCTGTTTGGCATAACAGTGGACGGGTCCAGGTTCTGCAAAATAGCAATAGAAAATAGGCGATTGTTTTCTACTTCTAATGCTTTTGCTTCTGGTTGCGATTCATCTTTTGTGTTTTTTTTTTTTTTTTTTTTTTTTCAGAATGATACCACTATGTTTTGACGTCATTGATATTTTGACGAGCACCCATTGTCTTTACTCTTATATTTTATCTATTGATTTTGAACAAGAGATCCGATAACCATCCCCTAAGTAATAAAAGTATCAGATGAGGTGTAGAAAGAATGCACCTGACTCCGCCAAGCCGAGCTCGTATTCGATGAGGTCACTTGACCCAAGTTTTATCTCGACTGAGTCCTCAAAGTGAACTAAACTAATTCCATCGCTCTTCAAGATGATGCGCCTCATATTGACTGCGACGGCCATAATAACCGGCTCGTCGGTAGTCTATTTCTACGTCTTCCATCAACGCTTGGCATCCACGATCCAGCACAAGGCCCACAGAGGAACCCTCACAGCCTCAACCAACCCAACAGGAATAGAGTCAATTCCTGATGCGGTTTTCACGGATCAGTATTTCACAATCGCGGATAGTTCATCCAAATCCGTCCTGAGAGCTTGTCTCCCCGAAAATGAGTCAACAGAGCAGCTGTTCAAAAGACTAGTGCGCCGCAACATGACGGCATTCTCCCGCTTCCCGCAGGCTCTCATGCTGAAGATGGCCCTCAGGACTCCAGAAGAAAAACACAGTTTCAAAAGGTCTCACATTTCTTGTCTGGATTTCAAGGAAGGCGATCTTGCCTGTGGGATTTACCGAGTCAAACTTCGCAAAGAGAATAGAGTCGAGTTTGAGATGCAAATGAAGACAATGGATTTTGTAAATGGGCGGCTGGCAATCAGCTGCCAAGAAAAAGAAGATTCGATCGTGTTTAGAAGCGAGACGGTTATGTGGAGGAAAGCAGACGAGTCTCGCATCATGCCGTTGGAACGACCGGCCATAAGATGGATGCATGAGACTGCGATGATGTGGTTGATTGACTCTGGAGCTCGGTATCTGATGGATTTAGAGACCTAACGTTTCAAGTTGAGGCTATCTTTGTTGCTATTGCTTGTTCTTTGTTTGGAGTTGGGACAATAAGGTTTTAGGGGAATAATGACTCAAATATAATGAAATGGGTATCAGTCATGAAATGTATGAAAGAAGGTTCTAGTATGTCATTTAGACTAAGATTCTTGGCCCTTAAAACAGCAAATAGTAAACAAAAGAAACCCAGTCAAACAATGCCGTTGACCCGGTCATCGCTGCTCTATTGTCTCTTTTTCTTTGTTCTGAGCTTCACCAAATTTCTTTGAGAGGTTACCATGCAGGTGTTTCGCGACGGAGTACGTATTATTTTCGAAGGCTTTAAAACTCAAGCTTGCCCCAAATTCAGTATGCACTACCATCTTCCCCTTGTGCCCCAACCTCTTCCTACACTTCATCAAGTACTACTCTCACTATGTGCTATCACACTTATCACCACTACCAAGTTTGTGGTCATATATCCAACTGGACCGTTGAAAGTTGCCAGGAATTTACTAACAAAACGCGCCTCACAGACCCAGTGCACACTTGTTCCTGTACAGAGATCCAGATAGATCACGATATGACAGATTCCACTCAGCCTAACATGTGCGTACAGTGCGAACGAGAATGGGCCAATATAGTATCTCACGACGACAACCAGGGTCAAACATGCGAGGCTCGCCCTGTCGTCAAGGGCCTACATATTGAGAGACCGCTAGTTGAGATCAAAGCTCGGATGGTGAGCGTTCTCCCTTTTACCATTCGTGAAGATGCACCCCTGAGTGACCTTGGCTCGATTATCAGTACAGAGTATGAAGAGCAGGGCGGTGTTCTTCTAGATCCTTTCTACGACGTCATTGATACTCACCAATCCCGCCATGTGCACAGGGCTGACAGTATTGCTAGCCCAAAATCTACCAACTCGGCTTCACCACTGTTGCAGCACAGTCGCATGGAAACACAGTCTAGCTCGTTGGATCTGCCGCCTGCTCTTGTTGAATCTTTCATCTCATCTCTGTCTACTTATGACTACTTTACTTCCAATTATGATAGCTCTGAGTATGAAAATTCTAGCGAGGGCAGTACTGACCAGTTGCCTTTTGATGAAGAGCACCGGATTTGGCAGAATGGTTTGATTGACGTTAAGATGATCAAGCCTCCTTCTACCGATGATAGCTGCATTGCCAACTTCGATGATTCCAACGAAGATATCCTAGAGTTTGAACATGCAGACCTGCACGCTACCACTGAGTCTGATGAAAGCGACTGCGCTTTTGTTGATGCCCGGTTCAATATTACATCCAGTGTTGATGAATATACCTACGCCACCAGTGAGGTGGAGTATAATTCCTCCAATGGGTGGATCGCTAACCTAGAGCGCACCGCAGCATGCATTGAAGCAACAGTCGCAAAAAGGATCGAAGAGGACTACGAAAGATACCGCTGCAAAGCTATGATTTCGAGTCTTCTCAACAAGGCTTCGTTCTTTCAAGACCAGGCTTACAAGAGCGACCAAAACGCTGAGCTGGGCATTGAGGACGACCATCACCTATGGGATACAGAGCCCATGCTCAGACCCGATTACGCCGATGATAATAAGGAAGATACACGCCCTATTGTCAGAAGCGCTCTCCTGCATGTCTACGATGGCATCTTTTCCACAAATTCAGAGCAGGAAGCCGAGAAACAAGGTCTCTTTGCTTTTGCACCCATCACCAACATGCCCGGTGAGTACGAGGGCTTTATGAAAGGTTACTCTGCAGCGGAGGTGCAGGACATGGGTCTCCAATTCCCCCAGCATGTCCGCGGTTGCTGCGATGAAGTTGCCGCCCAATGGCACCTATACTACGGTGCATTATACGCAGTTTCGAAAGAAGCAGTCAAGAAAAAGGGCCTTGAGGAGATTCATCCTGCTCCTGAGCAACTTGGCAAGTACTACGCTATTATGAAGGCTGACTCCAAGAAGGAAGCTATCGATCTGGGAATGATTGATCCACAGCATGCTCGCGGCTGTTGTATTGATGCCTTCTTCTCTATCCCACCGCGTGTAGCTCATATATACTACGGCGCGATGGATGCCGCTTCCACGGAGGAAGCTGAGAGTATGGGAATGCAGCAGCCGCGGCCTATGCCCGACAAACTTGATGAATACAATGGGGTTGTTAATGCGTATTCCATGGAGGAAGCTGAGAAAATGAAGCTTAAGGATATTCAGCATGCAAATGAATGTTGCACTCTTGCTCGGCATAGCCTCCCGGAGCGGATTCAATACCTGTACTATGGGTACATGTTTGGACGTTCTGAGGAGGCTGTGATGCAAAGGGGACTGAAGGATCCGCTTCGTATTCCTGGGTTCCCGGACAAGTACTCTGGGGTTGTTTCTGCTTTCTCGGCTGATCAAGCTAGGCAAATGGGCATATTTGAGCCCTTGCGTGTGATGTGGGACTCTGAAGTCCCTTTGATGGCGGAGTTTGAGGAGTAATTATTGTCCTTTCTCTTTCATGCTCTTTTTTTCTTGTTTCTTTTGTTGGATATTATTATAGAAATAGAATGAGAATTATACCCTTACACAATAATCATCTTTGTTTTTGTAAGGCATTTACTAATTGATGGAAGGCTCTCTTTTGTGATAATATTTAGTACGCATTAGGGTTACTGTGCTGAAGCAAACACCAGACCTCACGATATCTTGAGACAAAACGCTACACGACGACATAATCGACTCATTTTTCAGCACTAGCTCTTGCAACGGTATCATCACCCATTAACGCAGCTGAGCTCCTCACCCATAATCGCTCATCGCGCATCGCGCATCAGCTCAAAATATGGCTTCCCAACCTCTATTCGAGATACGAGATATCCCAGGCAAAGGCAAAGGAGCGATTGCTTTAGAAGACATCAAAGGAGGCACCTTGATCCTATCCGAGTCAATTCTCTGCATGACCCCTCGAATCTGGGAGGGATGTTCGAGAGAAGAAAGACAGTCTGGATTTGCAAACCAGCTGCGCGGCTTGAACCAAGACCAAATGCAAGCTTTCTTCGACCTCCAAAATCGTTATTCTGAGGATGGTCTGATCGAAGGTATCATGAAGACCAACGGAATTTGTTCAGAATCCGATGCAAATACAGCGGGGATTTTCCTCCTCTGTTCTCGTTTCAACCACAGCTGCTTGGCCAATGCCGTCTATTCCTGGAACACCACGAACTCCTACAAAACAATCTACGCCGTGAAGAACATACCGCAAGGCGAGGAGATCACTGTCAGCTATCTCGCAAATGAAGAATGGATGTCATCCCGCGATAGCGCCGTCGTAAGATATCTTTGCACCCCAGATTCACCTATCGCTGTGTTGCTTGTGATGCATCCCGTGAAGAAGTCGTAGTGAAGCACATCTGGCTAAGCAATGATATTAATTCCTGACTATCGTTTCTCCACTTTGAAAGGCTACGAACAGTAACTTGGATTTTGATGACGTTTAAAGAAAAATATCACGGAGTGATGGTAAGGCAATTGTGTCGAGTCGGGCTAGGTAGTAAGAATGGCCAAGGCCCTTCTATGAAGCTCTCCCTTACCTATTGCCGGCGTTCGGGGCTGAAAAGAACAACTTCCATCCCTCCTGGAAGGAGCACGAACATGAGAGGTTATCCACAGTCCTTTCTCCAATTGTCAAACCGACCGTGTGTCCAAGATGCGCCGGAGTCAAATAGGTGTGCTTTCCCTGCTCAATCACTCTGATATTATGGACACCGAGAGAGCGCAAGGACTTAGAGTCGCTTGTAGGAAGTTCTCTAAATAGTCCAGCTCCAGATCGATTGAGCACAATGATTGCTCACGTATGTTAAGGCTTACGCGACACAGTAACGCCAAAGCCACGTAGCTTTCGACAAGCCGGAGACCCGGGGTGTATTCGACTAGCTCAGTGAGAGGAGTCACCAAAGAGTTCCAATGGAAGCGCCTGCATGAAGAATAATCGGGAGGTTCGAGGCCGGTGAGCTAAATAAGCTTCAAATTCAAGCTGCGATCCTTGAGAGCTGCCAGTACCAGCTGAACATAGTGCTCAAAAGACTTTGGCTCTCTCATACTCGAGACCTGGTGGTAATCACTCTCCTAGTCCTCGCCGCCCTTTGTTTCACAAAACACCAATGCCAATTCTTTCAAGTTATAGAAAAGATTTAAAGCAAGACTTATCAAAGTCAAATCTCTTCCTGCCTCTATGATCTCTTGTTGCTCGGCACATGTCCGTCGTATCGTCTTATACACACGCGTGTACGAAGGATGGTCGCCTGAGAGATATTCCAATTCATCCCAGTCCTCACGACCGTTCACGTCGTCGTAATCTTCGCATATATCGGCATAGTAATCAGGGGTGAGGATCTCTGGTTTGAAAATATCATACTCTCGTATTTCTGGCTGAACATCAGTATTTTCCATGTATGATTGGTTCGTAGGTTCTTATCAGGATTAAGCAACATAGGGGCGACGTATTCAAGGGAAACGATATGCCGATGCAAGTTTGATTTTAAAATGTGTTCCAACAAGTCAAATCCATCATTCGAGAACTCAATGCTAACTGAACTTACGAATAGTGCTGTCTCGGTTGAATCAACCACGGCGACGCAAATTGAAGTAGATTATACTCCGTATCAAGCGTTCAACCGTGCGAAATTGACACTACTCCATCCGAATTTCCCAAATAGGAAGTATAGAGGAACGGAAAGACCGGATACACTCGTATACAATATACTAGTACGTCGCTTACAGATTGTAACGTTGGAGGCATGCCAAGGCACTAAAGATGCGCTTCCCTCACATACCCTGCACCAAGAGCCCAAGTCCGCCCAAGCTCAAATTCCGGCCTAGGCATCAGCCTATCGCATATCTCGGCTAGGCTCCAACTTGGCATACTTAACCTTGGAACTCAAGTTCGAAACTGCCTTATACCTGACCAGATCTCCACCCACACTTCCGTCGTGATCTCCGATTAGTAAACCGGCCCGGCAACGGGGATAGGGGTGGGTAGGGCTAAGATTAGTGATGCTCATTGGTTGTTAAGAGATCACCAGGGTTCGACCCACCTTCCGCCCCCTTTTCCGCCCCCGGTGTCTTGGAGATTGCCGAGGATTGACCCGTGCATAGTATAAAATCTAGCCCTATGGAATTAGCACTGTTGGTTGGGTCCGCGTAAATGTAAAAGTTTGCCCGAGGCAGTCGAAGGGCCTAAGGTCCCTTGGTTTTATAATGCTGACCTTCTCATGGAGTTAAGAGGACCGACATTGGTCAAAAGGCCATGATGGCCATTGATGTATATTAAGACAAAGTAGTATGGGTTACGAACAGACGCTGGGTTCTCCGGACGGAGCCCTCCGTCCAGAATAACACTTGCGGCTCTGATAAAAAAGCCTCGCCGAGAAAAAGATTCAGCCTCCCGTAAATTGTGCAAGCCGCTACTCCGTACTTGTGACGCCAAGATATTGCCACATTTGCAACCGAAGTACTCGTAAAGCTGCAGGACTAAGCTTGACGGGAGGACGGAAGCCGACAGCTCCTGGATTTTGACAAGTGGAATCATCATGTTCATGGATCACACGGATAGTAAACAGTGGCGAAGCACCGACAATTCCCTTATGACCCCACGAAACTCATTTTAACATATTGGACAATTGATAGTTGATACACTAAGGTTATTCAAATACATAGAAAAGATGAGCAACGTCGCCGCTAAATCAATAGCTCGCGAACAAGTAGCATACTAGCAACCCACCATGTCAGCTGAGAGGCCGCATTGTTGACAGTAGCTGCGCCCTTTTTAGGTGGACAGCTGATACCAGGGGTAGGAGCAGCGCACTGTGCTGCGGTGAGGGTGGACGAGATACTTGAGGCGGCCGCCGGTGCGACACTGACCTTGCAAGGAGCAGGCGTAGGCGCGGGACTCGCGAGCACGGCGCATTTTTCGCCTTCATAGTAACCCGATTGGGCTTCCAGGGTCTTTGTGACGTTGAATACAAGAGCGGAGGCATCACCGCATTTGTCATCGGCAGTGAGAGCGGTCAAATTAGGCTGGCTTGCCCCTTTCTTCGTAGTAAAGCGGACGGATTGGCCAGTCCATGGGTTGTTCAAGTTGACTTTGGGCTCACCGTCCGAAGTGGTCTCGTTCGCCGACGTCGAGCAGTTGGTCCAGTCCATTTCCCAGACAAACTCCCAGTCATTCTCGGTGTTCAGCGTGTTTGCGATGCTAGCTTCAAGGAATGCCACAGAGCCCGTTGCATACGTTGTATTGGGCAGATGTTGTCGCGCCAGATTGCTGTCCAGTGTTTGATTCCCCGGCGGGAGATCCACTGGCCACAATCCGTAATAGATATAGGGATAGAGTCGATCAATCGCCGCGGGGTTCTGAATTGCGAAAACGATGGGGGTGAGTGTCATCGGCCCAAAGGTGCCGCTTCGCGGAAAGACCAAGTCAACCTCTGCGAACCCAAGGCCCGTAGTCTCGGCTATCCCCAGTGATGCCATCAGGCTGAAAGCGAGGACCTGCTTCTTGATATCGAACATAGTGAGGATTCGAGGATATTAGGGTTAAGAAGCTCAGGTGTGGTTAAGCCGATACCACTGGACAGTCCAAGGTTGATAGCCAATATCAACTGATATCAGCGGCAAAATCCAACGTCCAAAGGGAAGAGATCAAAAAAAGGGAAATTTGGGTGCAGTAGGGCGAAGTACCCCAAAGTGACCCAAAGTGAAAGGGTCGTAATTTCGTACGGGCAGCAAACCGAACTACTCGCGCTAGGGAGACTAGAAGGTTTCGTAGTTCGTAAAAAGAGGGTCCCCCGGAAGTGGGTGACTGCAATATTAAAATTGTATAAAAATTACGTACGAGTTTCTGAATACCCTGTACATAGCCTTAGATCTCATTTCAATTTATGAACCTCCCAGCCCTAGAATGCATTTGGGCAGTGGAGCCAGAAGCTTAGAGGACCCTCGCGACTCTTGGCGGCCCCTAAATCGCCCACTGCAACCTTGGAAATGGAGATCTCATACTCTGTGACATTTACGCGACAGATCTTGGCGCAATTTGCTGAAACACTGGATTACTAGATCGCGTTCTCGGATTCGAAGAAGGTATATCCGCATGATTATCTAGTTCGTGATTCAATCACACCCGGGGGCCATGCTAGATGGGTCCTCGTATACAGCACAGAAAGTTGTGAGAAGATATCATCTCGAGTCGGAGGTTGGGGGCGAGAAATTTGTGTATTTATTCAAACTACTGGACGCTCCCTGGAGCTTTGATAGAATCTTTGTGCCTCTTAGCCTGAGGAAGTTGCTTCGGGGGTCTCTGTTCCTATTAGTCACTCATTTCCATTTGTCTATACACTCTTTTGATCCGATCTTTTATCACTCTTGTTTTTTTTTTAAAAAAAAATCTATCTTTATCACATTACACTCTTTACTACCTCTATCGCGAGGGCGCTCAAAGCCATGACACCCCTTCTCAATGGCGTGGCTGCAGGCTTACTGCTGTCTGCCGCGGTTGTCTCTGGGCATGGAACCTCTAGGCAAGGTGCTAGTCCGAGCTATGAAGGGTTTAATAACATCTGCCCTGAGCGATGCATTTTGACGGGTCCTGACCCTTCCAATTGGTCAAGCTACCACGAACTGAAATAGCTAGACAAGTGTGACTAGCCTATGTTCTATGGCTTCAACCTATACGACGATGTCGATGATACCGAGTCTTATCACCGTATCTTCGCGTGCATAAGTATATGGAAATGACTTCAGCGATAACTCACAGGCTTATATATTACTTGCTCGCCCTGTGCAAAAGCACAAGGTCAACTATGAAATCGGCTGGTCCTTATACTCACAGGGTACCGAGTCTGAGTACCGCTCTTTGATCAAACAACTGCGTGATTATATTGCCCGTGGACATGTTACTCCTAGCAGGACAGCTATGCTGTATTCGCGTTTTGGTGCCACTTCAGCTAGTATCTATATTGGAAACAGTCTACAAAACAAGGAAATCAGCGAGGTGGCTCTGTAGTCATTCATTGACGAGTTCCACAAATTCAATAGGCGCAGAGACAATCTAGCTATGCAACTCTATAGACCACACTATGATTCTCAGCACGTCTTTGGTGTTGACATTGACTAGGAGTATCCAATTGTGAGTACAGCCTTCTGCATACTTTCTTTCTAAGGCAAATAGTGTGATCGGCCACTAACAAAAACAGGCACCCGATACTCCTGGAGTCCCCTCTGGTGATAAGAGTGAAGGAAACAACTTCCTTGCTTTCCTTGTGGTTTTGAAAAACCTTCTGGGAGATAAGTCTGTCTCTATCACTGCTCCCGGCTCCTATTGGTACCTCAAGGGCTTTCCTATTGCAAAGATCAGCAAGGTTGTTGACTATATCGTCTTCATGACTTATGATTTGCACGGCCAATAGGATGCAGGAAACCCTAATGCTCAGGCTAGCTACGATGATAGTAGTTGTTTGCGAAGCCACGTCAACCTAAGAGAGACCCGGGAATCTCTTTCCCTGATCACCAAGGCTAGTGTGGACTCTAGCAAGGTAGTCGTCGGTATCAGCAGCTACGGAAGATCCTTCAGGATGGCCGACGGAGACTACGATAGTCCCCTTTGCAAGTTCACTAGAAGCCGATTGCACTCTAACGCCGACAAAACGGAATACACTGATACCGCTGGCTACATATCAAATGCCGAGATCAATCAACTCCTCAAACACAACTCATCCCGCGTCAACAAACATTACATCGATGCCCACAGCAACAGAAACCTTATAGTCTACGACGATACGAACTAGGTGGCTTACATGAGCCCCGAGATCAGGACTCAACGCACCAAGATATATGAATCACTTGGCATGGGCGGTATAGTCAATTAGGCCAACGACTTGGAACAATTCAACGATGCCCCTGACGGTGTAGATGGTTGGCCTAGTATAATCCTCCTAGCAAAGTCCGGCAAAATCACACCCCGGGGTGCTAGTAAGCGCATTGGCAACTGGACGGATATAGGCTGTGACGACGAATACTCGGTGGAAACAGCCTTCAAGTCTTCCCACACCCGCTGGGAATAGCTTGACGCCGACAGTGCCTGGAGTGATGTGATTGCGGATTGGAAGGACTACCGAGATAACTATGACAGCGAGGACAGAGAGGCTTTCTTAACCCATATTTCATACCTTCTTGGCGGACTACCCGTGGCCAAGTGCTATTTGATTGATGGTGACAACAACTGTATGTAGAGCTTGAGCTAAGAAGAACGATAAGCATAGGCCCGGTGCTGTAGCTGAGCTTATCTAGACTTCTTTTGCGAAGATCCATCAGGTAAATACCGTTCCTCTATCCTTCTCGCACTGCCTAGAATAATATCTAATATGAGGTGCGCTCAGATATATGCCGAGTTCAAAGCTGCGCTTATTGCCGATGCTGCACTTTTCATTGACAATACTCTCCCGGACTTGGAGAATACATTTGCGCCTGTTCCGCCGAAATCCGATGATTCGTGGCTGAACACCTTATTAGGTCTGGTCGCCCTAGGTGTGCCGGTGGTTGGTGGAAAGCTCTTCGATAGTGGTACGTCTTTGGTGTCTCCTATCTTTTTTTCTTCCAAGGTTTCTGACTTTGCTGACTCGACATTAGTGCTCTCCAAGATACCCGCTATGAGCGCCGAGAGCGACGTCTCCCCAGATCACTACAAGTCGGTGATGAATGCCATGCTCACTAGCCCTGTCACAATTGCAACGAATATGGAAAGCAGCAATGATCCGTAAGTCATCCAAATTGGTGGTTTTTTTTGACATTTGGTGACACCATGCTAACCACAACACCATCATCAGGAAGGACTGGACACCCGAGAAGCAAGCCAAGTTCTCCAAGTACATGGGTGACAGTCTTAAGGGTTGGGAATACATCTTCACACAAGATCTTGAAGATCAGCGAAGACGGGTCTTTTCTGTCGGTGGGCATTGAAGGTAGGTTCCGTGACAGCGTATTGGGGACGCTAAAACTATAAAGGCAAAGCTAACCCGATACAGGACTTCACAGTTCCGCCGTTTACAATGCAAAACGGGGACTCAAGTTATGCCGCGACACTTTGTGGTTACTTCAGCAGGAAGGGGAAACCGGCCCCATGGTTAGCGTTGCATACCTTGATGTGTTTCAGTTCTGTGTTTCCAACGGTGACTTTGCTCGTGCTAGCTGTTTTGCAGCCTTGCACATGCGACACAAGGTCTTTTTTGCGGGTGAGGATGCGGATGATCATGAAGGTGTCAAGAGGTTTATCGAGAATCCTCAGAGACATGATTTGGCGAGATACTCTTCGTCTGCTTGGGAGACTGAAGTGCGAGAGCGTCGGTCATTGGATAGTCAGGAATTGAGCATTGGGTTTGGCAATGGGTTTTGCAAGGTTGAAGTGCACCAGCGGTTGAGCATACACCGGGAGGTTATTGATGGTTTTCCATGTGGTTGTAGTTTCGGTCATGTTCTCAGATAAATAAACCAATGCTCCATCGGCCCTTTCAGATTGAATACGTAGTCTCTGCCTTATAGAAGAATAAAAATAGAAGGAAAGAATTGGTCTGATCTAACCATCAAACATGATCTAGAAAGGCGAAAGCCACAATAGCGATTGCATGAAGTGGCATTAATTCCGGATGTAGTAAGGTAGAAAATCAGCTCAATTTGCAAATAAACGCAGTGGTATATCAAAATTAGTTTCCAAAAGTCTTCATCACACTGGTACTCCCCTCAGCACCCAATCCCGCCCTCTTAGACATGTACAGCACACTCAAAGCCGCATTTCCCAGATTCAACGGACAGTGAAGATCACGAGCCTTCTGCGAGGCCTTCTCTAGTCGAGAAATAGCAGCATCAATAGTCTCAGAGCCAGCGCCCTGTTCAGTATGTCCCTCAATCATCTCCAAACCCTTTGTCATGAACTGCCGACTGGCTCCAGCAGCATCACTGACAAGGGTGAAGAACTGCTTGAGATCGACATGGAGGTAGCGGGCAAATGCAATAGCCTCAGCGGCTGCAACAAGATTGGTAACTTCCATTAAGTCCAAAACTAGCTGGAGTGCTTCAGCAGTTTCCTCGACGGACTTCGTGCTAGAGGCCTTTGTAATTGGGTTGGCGAAGTACTGGCGCACCATGGACGAGTCATCCACTGCTCCGTATCCTTGCAGTAGAGCAGAGAGATAGACCTGTTCAGCGGTCGAGCAAAGAGGAGTAGGGAACTGGCTTTGGCGAGCAGAGGTAGTGATAATGCCCTAAAACCAGCAAACAAGTCGATTAGCAGCCGCACATATGCCAACTCGGCAAATAAGAGGTCCTCACCACATCCTTAAGAATAATAGTCAAAGCACTAGCACCAGGATGCCAATCCTCCTCCAGCATACGCTGCAAACGATTCTCATGCATCCAAGTCCAAGAATCAGAAGCCTTAATAGCATCAGCAGTCTTAACCGCATCGAGACCTAGCTGCGCCGCAAAGCCCTGTGCCTCACTAGCACCAAGAATATGAATTCCCGCCAGAACCTGGTGCACCATCTTCATGTTGCTACCTGCACCGATTCCACCCGGGACAAGGTACAGCTTGTTCGAGTCGGACATAGCCTGCAACAGGACTCGTCCACTCTCCAATGCGGCATCTGATGCGCCCGCCATGATAGACAGTGTACCATCAGCGGCGCGCTTGGCTCCGCCTGACACAGGCGCATCGATGAAGAGAATGTCGCCGCGGCCGCAGGATTGGAGCTCTGCCGCGACGGATTGGGCGTAGGTAGCTGGGACGGTGGAGCAGAGGAGGAGGGTTGCATTTTGACCAAGGGCTAGTTGGAGGTTTAGCAAGTTAATTGCCTTTTCTAATATCTACCATGTCTGTATTCAACTTACCTTTGACAATGCCACCCTCGCCGAAAAGCACGCTTTGCGCCTGTGGTGCTGATGCGACCATACAAACATAGAACTCCTTGTCTTGGGCGGAGTCAATTAGCGACGATGCTGGAATTCCGCCTACAGCCTTGAAGCGCTCCACCGATGCGGGGAACACATCATATCCGTGGACTGGGTATCCTTCCTTCACGAGGTGGGTGGCCATGCCGAAGCCCATGGCTCCAAGGCCGACGAAGCCAACGGACGGTTTAGACATGGTGGTATATGAACAATGGTGGTTATAGAGACAAAGAGAAAGAATATGAGCACTTTAATGGAGGTAAATCTTTTGAATATCAAGGATAAAGAGCTGCCCGCGTGGGGGTTTTATGTGAGGGGAACTTGTCTGGAGAAATGAGGCAAAGGTGGGATGATTCGGACTTCATCCGAGTGCCGTATACTTCTCTTGGCTTTAGCCTAAACCGAGCCGAGTTGGAATATTTGGATTGTATCCGAGTTTCCGAGTTGCCGATTGGATAATTCAGGAATTAAGGGTCCATATGTCGGACCATTTCAGGGTTGCTGGGGGTGGGTATAGGGTCGGAGAGTTCGCCGAGCATGTTTACGACTCCGAAATTGCTTCAGCGTGGAACAAATTTGGCACATATTGGTCGGATATTTCTACAAGATTGTATAGTCATATTTAAATAGACTAAGTTTCTAAGTAGCGTGTCATCAACCAAGATTGCTGCGGTATATCAATATGTGCTGAGGGGATCTACTTCTACTAAATCACGACCTTAAATCATGCTCATATGGGACGCAGTAGAAGATGCTAGTGAACGCACGAGGGGTAAGGCTAAAATCGATCAGAGCGATCAAAAGCAAAAGATAAAAAGGCAGAACAAGGCAAGTTTACTAATTCTCAAAGGAGGAACCCCAAACGAAGACATGACAAGAAGCAGGCTACGTTCTTTACAACACAAATATAACACAGCCCCAGGAAATGGCAAACGCACTAGGTAAGTGAAAAGTTGTGATCTTGTGTTCTCACAACAGAGTGTGTTAGATTATAGGCCCCTCAACTTTGCCATCGACTGTATCCTCCCTCCCTCCGTCCTCCTTCATCATATTCCCCTTGCACGCCCACCATGGCTGAAATAGAATTTCTCCCCGAGGTTGCTGGGGAAAATATTACTACTGGCTTTGACTAGGGTCATTTATCATACTACTCATTATCCCACTCGGGACTGGCTCATCATCAGAAAACTGCAGTGAGCTCCCAAAACCGACCAGGTTTCAACTTGTGGATCAGCTTAGATTTCGAGTATCACCAATATGAATATCCCTGCAGTTACTATATACATTCTGCTTGGCATCCTGCCATTACTCTAAAGTACATCAGGACCTGTTGCACAAAGCTCAAGGTGATCGAACCTATCGAATCATAGTGGCCAGTTGACTGGCTGTGAGCAAACTAATCTACAAGCTATACAGCCGGGCCCCGGAGATGTTTCCTGGGTCACACCTTACTTGCGTGGGGACGAGATTCCAGCGCGCCAAGACCCACCCGCTGGCACATACACCCCCCAGGGCCTCATACCTGGACATGCAGACGTTACTGCTGCTGAGAAAGGCGACGGACATGGCCTTGGATCGGTGACATATCATCAATATTCTGAGGATCCGGCTGCGATAATCACCGGAAATGAGAATGTCACAACTTCTTCGCCGTCTTTGGCCTCGTCGTACTCGAACCTTACATCTTGTGGTCTCACCAACAGCTTTGAGCTCACCAGTCCAGATTGGTTCCATCTTCTGATGGACTTGCTGGAGACAAATTTTGATGCAAATGGGACACTTACGACAACCATCGGTGGAGTTGAGTATACGCAACCATTGAACGATACCTAGTGCGTTTCTGCGGAAGCTTAGCCTTATCAATGCGATCTCTCCATATTTTACATATCTTGTTGCAGTGAAAAGCGGCGATTTACTTGGTGTAGTAAAGACATAACCAGTTGCTCGGCCGGGTCACGGACTACCGCGTTAGTGTTTCTCTTGCTTCGTGATCTATATTTTTGCGAGAAACGAACGAATGGGGCAGATAACTCGGAAATTATGCGATTAGCGCCCCGGATAATTTGTTAAAAAGTCCGAGGCAAGCAAGGTTAGATTTCACCCAGACATATGTAATGGCTAAGATATCAGAAATTAGCCTCAAAAGGTTGGAATATAACACCTCCAATCGCGAAACAACAATCGTACACGCGACAGAGCAATTGAGTCACGTATAAGCCAGAATTCGATATCAAAATCAGAGCCAACCGGACATCACTCCGCCGTTTCCCCCACATTTCTGACGTAGTGGGCAATTCGGCCCAACTCCGAGGGTCGGACAGCGTGCGACTTGACCCTAAGACTATAAGTAGCTTAGCATTGAAACTACATTTATTGGCGTATCCTCTTCTACCTCTCCTGAAAATATCCCAACACTCCAAAATGTCCCTCAAAGAAAACCGCGCCCTGCGCATCCTCGACCATGCCGCCACAAACCACTACGGCATCCCCGCAATGTGCTGCTACAACGTAGAAGGTATCCTAGCAACAGTGCGCGCAGCAGAAGCAAAGCGCTCAGCAGCAATGATCCTCCTCTTTCCCTGGGCAGTACACTACGCGGACGGAATCCTCGTGCACGCAGCCGCCGAAGCAGCCCGCAAAGCCAGCGTCCCAGTGACCGTCCACATGGACCACGCGCAAACCCCCGAGATCATCAAGTACGCCGCCGACCTGGGCGGCTTCGACAGCATCATGGTCGACATGTCACACTACGAGAAAGCGGAGAACCTGGCGCTAACGCGCGAACTGGTGGATTACTGCCACGCACGCGGGATCGCGACAGAGGCGGAGCCTGGTCGGATTGAGGGTGGTGAAGATGGAGTTGCGGATACGGCTGATTTGGAGGGGCTTTTGACGACGCCGGAGGAGAGTCGGGAGTTTGTTGATACGGGGATCGATTGGCTTGCGCCTGCCTTTGGGAACGTCCATGGTGAATATGGGCCGCGTGGGATTCAGTTGGAGTATGAGCGGTTGCAGTCTATTAATGCGGCTGTTGGGGGTGAGGTTCGGCTTGTACTGCATGGTGCTGATCCGTTTACTCAGGAGATCTTCCAAAAGTGTATTGATTGTGGGGTGTCCAAGATCAATATTAATAAGGTCCTGAATAATGAGTATGTTCGGGTGCAGTCGGAGATGGCTGGGAAAGTGCCTTTGACTACTTTGCTCGAGGAGGCGACGAATGCTATGCAGAAAGCCGTTGAGGGGTGTATTGATCGGTTGGGATCTGGGGGGAGATACCCGTCTAGATAGATAGAATTGAGCTTAAGTTACAATGGGTTGTATCACTGAAGACGAAGTATTCTGATAGCGAGGTCCGCTACCGAATTCTATGAATTAAATTTCGTGGTATATAAAAGATTCCCAGAAAATGAAGCGCGCCACCAATTGATTGCCAAGGAATTCAAGTACAAAAAGAGCGGAAGTGACCAGCATAACTATTTGGTACAAAGGGTATCCAACATCGCACGCGACATATCATCACTTCGGTACTGAATTTAACGTCGGAGACCGAGACCAGCAAGAGGTCCCTTGATCATAGGTCCAACAAGAGGAAGACCACCGACAAGGTTGCCAACGGGGCCAGCAGCAGCAGATGCGCTGGGAGAGGGAGTAGCGCTGGAAGAAGCAGTAAGAGAACTGCTCTTGGATGGGGCGTGGATGAGAGGGTGAGTAGGGCTAGGAGCAACGACGGAGGCCTGAGAAACCATGGGGACCTCGGATGCCATGGGAGCTTGAGAGACCATGGGGGCTTCAGAGACCATAGGAGCCTCGGAGACAATGGGGGCCTGAGAGGCAACGGGAGCGGGAGCAGCAGCGGAGGCCTGAGATTGCATGGCGTCCTGGAAGTTCTGGATAGGGCGGGTAGGCTCGGCCTTCATGGCGTGAGAAGCCTCGATCATAGCGGAGTGAGTAGGCTCGGCCTTAGCGGAGTGGGTAGGAGTAATGTGGCTAGGCTCGGCGTTGACAGCAGGAATGGCTGGGACCAGGGGATTGGAGGGAGCCTCTGGCATCTTGTGCTTCGGGGCTTCAGGCTTGGGAGGGATATCAGCCATGGGCTCGGCTGCTGGCATATCAGGCACTGGCTCGTTGGAAGTTTCCTTCACGGCGTGGGTAGGGCTAGGGGTGCTAGGGTTTTGGGCGGACATCTTGGCAGACTCGGCCTGCTGGTAGGCCGCCATAGCACCGGAAATGCCGTCGCCGAAGTCGCCAAATCCATCATCGTTATCTTCATCGGTGACGGTAGAAGAGCCGGATGGGCCGAAGGGGAAGCCAGCAGTCATGTCGCTCATGTCGCCGAAAGCATCAGCAGAGTTCGAGCGACGAGCAGCTGGGGCGGCGATGGCGCCGACGGCGAAGAACGCCAGGGAGAGATATGTGTAGTGCATTATGTGTGGTTGGTCGAAACCCTAGTTTGAGGCGAATAAACGAAAGAATAAAAGGTCAGAGAAAAATGAAAGACTTGTTCGCGATCGGGTGAAAGGGATATAATGGCTTTTATGTAGAGAAGTATAGGATGTTGGATGTGTCTGTTATGGTTTGCGATCTGCCGCGTCTGCCATGCCTCACGCCTATATTGATAAGGATCAGCATCGTTGGGCTGGTGGGGTGACGACTACAGCATAGCAGAAGGGTGCATTATGCCCGATGGGTATGAGAAGGCTGGAGAAAGGGCTGGTTTTGGGACCCAAGTCCCGAGCTATGTTTGCTCTCTGGAATGATCGGCCAAGGACCTGCCCAGGGAAGCTTGTCAGAGGTTGAACAGAGCTTGTTCAAGCGGAAGTAACTGTCGATCATCGTTTCGCAACATAACCAAAGCGCGCAACAGCGCTACCTGCATGATGTTGAAAGGAAAGAGGACATGGTGGCGCACTCCAAGCTCCTGATTTTAGCGTCAGATCAATTTTTGTGGGGTATACTCGGATAAACAGAGGAATAGGTCCAAGCTGCAGCTTCTTTCCAATTGAAATGTTAATGTTCTTAACTTCGTCGTCCATCATCATCACCGGTTTAATATTGACACTAGGAACCTTTACTAAGGGACCCTCTTTAGCCTAACAGAATCACCTAATCACTACAAAGGCCTGATTACAGGACCAGCAAATCGCGTGTAGGGGTGTCTGGCACGCGAGAGTTATTCCCCTAGCAACCCTGTTCACCCCTTGCTGCACCAACCCCAATGACAGCATTGTACCAGCCTACTTTGAACCAAATAAGGCTGGTTGTTGTTATTACTCCTTTCAATAACATACTCTGGATATCGCGTCATACATTGTCGCTGTCCCAGCGCATTATTCTTATTAAGTTAGCCTGCATCATGCATGATCCTGCCCCTCAATTAATAGCCCTGGCTTGATATATCAAACATCGTCTGCTGGATGGTTTTAATCAAAAGCTTAGAACCATTCTACTGGATAAGATCATTTTTATTTGGCCTGTCTCTCGGTTTCTTAGAGGAAATATGGTAGAACGATGGAATTATATGCCACTTATGACAATACATTTAGCGCTCAACGCTATCAGTGTTGACAGTGATACTGCCTCTTCTGGTTACGATCGTCTTGTTCTCGAAAGCCATCGACAATCTTTCATATTCTCCGTTTTTTTTTCCTACCTTGGATGCTATAGTCGAGGGAGCCCCGACTGTGGTTTGAAGTAATTATTGCAACGTGGGAGTTCAGGTGGAGGAAGCGCGTTACCCAAACCCTCTCGTCACTAGAACAACATAGCAATTGCACAATATCAGGGCTAAATTGCTGATGCATGGATAGCGAGACGCTAGGTTGTCTCTCATAGTGCCATCGCAGCTATAATGGTGCAATATACCTCTCACTTCAAAACAATCGTGAGTTACGACGCAACTTTGTACGCATAGAATTGGATTGCTACACGTCGAAAAACAACAGCCGGGGAGATCATGATACTTTTCCCGTATATATCTTAAGTTAACCTCAGATTAGTTAGTGGCGTTACACAAACTCACTAAATACGCACCAAATACGTCTTCTCTTACTACGATGATGCCATTTCACCCCAGCAATCACACTAACGTTAGCTACTCCAGCTTAAAAGTAGACAAACTGGCCGGATTTAATTAACACTTCAGTATAATATAGTGATTCTAGGGCGACATCATGATCCCAAGGATACTTTCGAATACGAAGAATGCTACGAGCACGGTCACTTCCGTCATTGAAACTGACCCAAAAGAAGAGAGAGCTCTAGTAAGTCCCTCGAATACAGCCACATGTTCTCTAAAAGTGATAATTCTATAGGTATGGCGCCTAGATCTATTCTTCCTAACGATCGGCTTCCTAGGCTACGTCTTCAAGTATCTAGATCAGACCAATATTGTGGGTTCATCTGGGACACTTGAAGCAGTATCGTTCTAATTAGCTGGAGGAGTAATGCATACGTCTCTGGAATGGAGACAGATCTCAAGCTGTATGGAAATGAGCTTAACTACTTTACGACTTTCTTCAAGTACGTTGCCCTTTCCTGCATTGAACTGCTCCTACTAACGTGAATAGCATTGGATATATGATCATGCTTTATCCTTCGTGCATCATCATATCCCATGCTGGTCCGTCAATTTGGCTACCTGCATGCGAGGTAATTCACACATACGAGGTTTTCTATATCGAGTGCTCTGACAGTCTTGCCAGATTATCTGGGGCGTATTGACATGTTGTTTATCAACGGTTACCAGTGCAAAACAGGTAGATATGAACAAACCATTAAACAAGTATATCTAATGAGGATACAGGTCTATGGTTTGCGTTTTCTAATCGGCTTCTATAAATACTCATTGAATTTGTAAGACGATGAACATTACGTCATTGATCATCTTGATCATACGACCCGCAAATAAAAGTGCCTACATGGCCGGTTGGTATATTAATTATGCTGGGGCGTGAGTATCCTTTTCAACCTTGGCACAATTACTCGGACTAATAATGACAGAGTCTCAACTATGCTTCTTTGCGCTTGGGCAGCTGCACATCTAGAAAATGAACCTCAAGTATGGACGGCTCTCTTTGCGACTGGGACTCTTTTTTCGTACCTGTTCAGTGCTTTCTTGCCTATCGCTGCGTATCCCGCTGCTGAGACACCACATTGGAGAATTGGTGCGAACGCATCGCAAATATGTTGTGTCTGTTACGGTCTAGCCCCGACGATATATTCAACTTACATTGAATTCAACTCAACTTAACATCCTGCCTGCAAGAACCAGACTAGAGCATGTCAAAAGGCAAAAAGCAATCCAAAGCTAGTCAACAAAGTCTGACATCAGATTCTAAACCCCTTACCCAATTAGGCATGAGACGGCAAACCCGAGATTCTATATATTAAAATCACAAAAAATGATGCGCGCATGGGCTTAGCGCTAAATCCCCACAACGAATAGCAACTAATATATGTATGCACCCAAATAGGAAGGACACTAGACCCCTGTCTGCATGTCAGTCCCATTTTAATTCAATCCATCTACCAACCGTAACTAAAGAACACGTCGTAAGTCCAACTAAGGAAATTCTAAACACTTTCAACACATAATCATGATTCATGATTTATGATTCCAAGGCGAAAGTACTAAAATGCAGGATCACAGACCTATCCACACAACAAATTGACCCATAAATATTGACATCAGAAAGTTACAGCACAATGTACTTTGTCGCACCAGTTCAATCTCACTTCTCTAAAATTCCCGTCACAATAGCTCTAACGCCCAAAAGCCCAGTCTTGGGACATCCAATGCCGAGCTCACGATAAACAGTAATATTATCCACGGTAGTCTCGTAAAGTTCGAAATCAATACGACGCGCAATATGAGCAAGAGCTAGGTAAATCTCGGCATAGGCAAGACTTTTCCTGTTAGTCCAAATGGACAAGTGTACACCGCAAGAATGTGGAGTCGATTCCTGCTAGGGGCGGGGATGGGATGGGAAGTGGGAACTCACTTTATCCCGAGACATTGTCTGCTTCCCTTTGTGAACGAGACAATAAAGCGACTTAGGTATTCGCCTTTCTCTGCGGCGCGCACCCAGCGCTCTGGGTCGAACTTTTCGGGTTCTGGGAAAAGCGCTGAGTCCATGTGGACGAAGTAGTTTGATTGGCTGACTGGAGTCTGGATTTTGCATGGTGAGTGTATGTACATGTATAGTGCATGTGGCAAAGGAGCAATGGGTATTGTTGACTTACTCCGGCGGGGATGGCCCAGTCTTTGTAGAGCATGGGCTCGGTCGGCGAAACCCGAGCTAGGCGAGCTGTCATGCCATGGCTAAGGCGAAGGCCTTCGTTTACAACGCCCGTCTAACAAACAAGTTTCGAGTCAGCAATTTTCCAATCCCCAGAGAAAAGAGTAAGATCCCACCAGATAAGGCAACCCCTCCAAATCCGTCCACGAGGCCCTAGACAAAGGCGTGGCAAGTACACTCTTCAACTCAACACGCAGTTTGGCCAGAATATCCTTATCCCGCGACAGATAGAACATAGAAACAGCAATTGCCCGGGCAGTAGTTTCGGTCCCGGCACCAAGAAGCAAAGCAGACTCATCCTCAAGGCGATCAAGAACACGCTCATGGGCAGGCACATCCAAACTAGTCAACGCATCAAAAACAGTCGAGCGCCCCTTGTCCTGGCCCTCAATCCCATTCTTCTCCTTCTCCTTCTTATCCTGCTGTTTCTGCACAGTCTCAGCAGCCTGTCTCCGCAATCGATTCTTCAAATCAAACAGATCAGCCATGCAGGGCTGCAACCAACGCAAAAGCGCCGGCGGCGCAGCTCTAAACGCCGTAATCAGGAACGGGAAGAACCGGTTGATATGCCACATAACCATCAAACCGTTCACCGCATCTGCGAGATCATTACTGCGGCAGCCGGCGCTGTCATCTAGGTAGCCATGGCTCCAGCCGTAGGAATATTGGGTGATAACATCGGCAGTCAAGGCTGCGAAATCGAGATGAAGACGGAGGACCGTGCCGGCCTTGTAGGCATTTTCGAAATTGCTAATGAGTTTGTCGACTTTCTCGTGGATTAGTGGGGTAAGGCTTTGCACGCTGCGTTTGGAGAAGTAGTTGTTCAGGATGTTGCGGCGGAAGCGGTGGTGGTCGTGGCCAATTGTTCCAACTAGGGAATATGGTGCGCCAAAGGCCACGGCGTATTTGGGGTCTTTTGCTCTTTTGCGTGCGCTGCCTGCATGGATTTCGTCGTAGTAGTATGAGTCTTTGATGTGGATTTCTCGTGGGTTGATGCGCACGATTGGGCCTAATTTGTGTCAGTTGGCTATATCGTATACTTCCGACCCATTGTTGGAGGGATATAGTTACCATATTCCTTGTGCATACGCTCGATTTCCCAGAGGTACATGCCACTCTTGATAACATCGTAGTAGAACTCATAGAGAAAGGTAGCAGCGGCAATCTTCGGACCAGGGAATTTCGACAACGGATGAAAGTATAAATTGTAGATAGTTCTCAGCGCAAAAAACCCAAGAAGCGACGCCACCGCGGTCCCAGTATATTCCATCATGGTGATACAAAAGCAAGAGGAGCGAATGAGGCTCAACTAACAGTATAGTATCGGAGAGGAAAAAGATTGAAGGAAACGAAAAGGAAAGAAGAAGAGAATGGAACCCACAGAGGACCTGCAGAGTAATATAACGTACAGTAACGACCTAGTGCAATAAATCCAACAAAAATAATTTGAAAACAAGAGCTTCCACACGACCAATCCACGGCTACCTAATTCCAGATAGCAAGACCGGGGAGCAGCCAACGCCAACGCTCACGGCCCCCACTAACAGACTAGGTATACATAGAGCACACAGCGATTCGTCGAGTCAGTCATCCGATCTCTCGCCCTCATGCAGGCTGCAGGCTAAAGGCCGCCGGTCTAGGGCACATCTCACGCTAGGACTAGGACCGGCGCGAACACAATAGGCCTGTCCCGCCAACCCCGGTAATTACAACAATGGATGGTGTATCCGTATGTCGGCTAGCCAATGCGAACACCAATGTGATATGTATGCAGCTAGGTACCGCATGCATGGTTTATGCCAATCTACCCTTTCATCCACATCCCCTCATGCGAGCCAGGATTCGAACGGTCCAATTAAAGATTGGGATGGAGTCGAAGTGAAATAGGCTGGGAAGTAGGTGGGTGCATCGCACATGAAAAATGCGAACAACGGAAAAAGTAACTATGGAAAATAAGAGAAAGCGAGAGCGAAAAAGACAGCAAAACAGAAGAAAAAAATAGAACGATATGGACTATCTGGTAATCGAAACCAGGACCTCCCGCACGCTCGCGAATGCGAAGCGGGCGCACTACCAACTGTGCTAACAGCCCAGATTAGTAATCACGTGGTCTCTCATTACGATGTCTGAAGTCACGAGTGGCTGACCGCTTTGGGGCTGAACATATAGCCGCCGGGGTAAATGCTCTGGGGTTCGCTTAGCATTGTTTGGATGGGGTATAGATGCTGATGTTAAGAAATAAAGAGTGTGTATTTACAGAAACAATAATGATACAAACAAGGGTGAAAGAGAGTAAAGTGAATACACAGTTGCTATAATGCCAAATGGACTACCAGTGCATTCCTGTAAGAAACAAAGGTCCACAATTTACACCTATGAAAACATCCGTAAAAGCGGAGAAAAAATAGAACAAGTATAGAAGAGAAACATAGGAAAAACAGCTGGAAACACATTGGACAGAAAAGAAAATTCCGTACTCCATTTTAGATCCAAATCTAGACAGCCAACATCTTCTTGACCTCGGCAATGGCGCGACCGGGGTTCAGACCCTTGGGGCAAGTCCGTGTGCAGTTGAGAATGGTGTGGCAACGGTAGACACTCATGCTGTTGTCAAGAGCAGCCTTGCGCTCAGCGGTCTTCTCATCACGAGAATCGGCCAGCCAGCGGAAGGATTGAAGCAGAATGGCGGGTCCGAGGTACTCCTCGCTGTTCCACCAGTAGGATGGGCAGGAGGTTGAGCAGCAGGCGCAGAGAATACATTCGTAGAGACCGTCGAGCTTCTTGCGGTCCTCGGGACTTTGGCGGAATTCGAGACCCTGATAGATGTTAGATATGCTTGGCTATAAGCGTAAATGGTTGACTTACGTCTTCGGTGGGGGTGTCGCGCTGGAGATATGGCTTGATGGACTTGTATTGCTTGTAGAAGTGGGTCAGATCAGGGACAAGGTCCTTGACGACGTAGGTGTGAGGCAGAGGGTAGATGCGAGACTCGGACTTGGTGTCCGTTGGAATGCGGCCTGTGTGGGTTAGCTGAGTCGAGCCTGGAGAGATCGTGGAAGCATACACAAGCAGGCGAGGGTGTTGACACCGTCAATGTTCATCGCGCAAGAACCACAGATACCCTCACGGCAGGATCGGCGGAAAGTCAGGGTAGGGTCAAGTTCGTTCTTTATCCGGATGAGCGCATCAAGCATCATGGGTCCGGTCTTGTTGAGGTCGAGGTCGTAGGACTGCATCTGAGGCTTCTCGCTGGGCTGGTCCGGGTTCCAGCGGTAGACCTTGAAGGTCTTCATCTTGGGCTGCTCGGTGGGAGTAGGCTCAACAGTCGCATAGGTGCGAGCGAAGGCAGGGCGGAACATTGGCCGCGACGCCGCGAAGAGGCGCGAGGTGGTGCGGAGGGAGGCCATGGCGGGCGATCGGAAGGTGAAAAAACACCTGGAAGAGGAAAGAGGTGGGAAGGAGAGACAGCAATGAGCTGAGTAGAGGTGGAATAGAGCAGAAGAGGGGAGATAATCAAATAATCAGTAATAAAATGGGATCTCTAGGGATCTTAGCCACCAGAAACCAGATATTCAAGACAAAATGAAGTCCAAAGGAGTCTCTACACTAACCTCGGGTTTGAAAGTCGGCTACTTGCTGACTCATGCACTTTCCACCAATCACATCGAAGGTAATTGCAAGCGTCGGGCGGACACGGCGTCGCTCCTTGAAGGGAATTGTCTACTGCCGACAACTCTTCCGACTGCCACGCTGAATGGACTCAATGGAGCTTGAATCTAGTGCCGAACAAGATGAATTTGTTCTCTGTTATCTGATCTACCTCTGTCTCCCCCATTGACCCTGGATCCCCCAAATCCACAGACTGGTTGCCTCAGGCTCCAAGGCTACTCCCGGTTTGGTTGCCGACAGGGTAACGGCTACTCCGCTGCCTCGGAATCGATACAGCCTCACATGTCATGGTCATTATCAGAGACATTATTATTTTATTGACTTTATGTTTCTAGCTCATTGTTGACTACTAACCCCGATTGACATAGTTCTGATGCCACTCATAGTCCTGGTCCTTCAACAGATCCCGAATGGCATCTCGCGGCGACACAGGATCCCGTCCTAGCAAGTCCGCCATCAGAGGATCGATTGTACTCGTCTCCCCCTTCGAAATCGCATCATACCAAGATGTCATTGCCCGGAAGAAACCCTCCGATTTCCCTCCTTCGTCGGTCGCTGCTTTCAGCGTGACAAATTCGTCCGGAGAAACAAGCTTGAATTGAACCTGTCGCCCGGTCGTCTCGTTGATCAAATCCACAATTCCAGAGAATGTGATGGTCTGTTGTGCGGTGAGAAGTACAATCTCCTTGTCATGTCCTCCGCGCATCATCAGGCGTGCTGTGGCTTCGCCTAGCTCTGCTCGCAGGGTGAATGCTACTGGTCCATCGGATGGGAGGTAGACGGTTGATGTGCTGGGATACCAACCCAGAAACACTGGGAAGGCGTCGGTGTATAAGCCCTCGCGGATGGACGTGAAGTTGATATCAGCCCTGGCTGATGTTAGTGGTGCTTACATCTCACGGTCGGGCCTGGGCTTACTGTCTCATCATCTCTTCTGTCAGCAGATGGGCTTGTTGGACATTCGCCTTGGAATCTGAGCCATATCCGCCAAATGCGAGAGATGTATACCACACCTGCTACACATGTCAATTAAGTAATGTGCATCGAGAGATCGATCAACTTGCATGTTTCACATTCATCTTCTTCGCTGCATCCACAAAGTTCTGGTGCTGCTTGCGACGTTTCTCAACATCAAAGGTATCAGTGCTCACAAAGAGCAGATTATCCACGTCTTCAAATGCAGACTGTAGCGATTGAGGGTCCTCATAGTTGACCACCCGAAAGGCGATCCCCCGGCCTTCGAATTGTTTGCGGTTCGCCTCTTTTGAGGATGCTGCTGCGACTTCTGACCCGGGGACATTTGCGAGGAGGTGAGAGAGTACCTGTGAGCCAAGGCCACCGGTTGCTCCTGTAACGAGATACTTGAGAGTCATGTTGGGACGGATGTAGTAGAATTAATTGTTTTTCAAGCGAAAAGCCAGCACAACAAATCAAGTGTAGTCGGTTGAATAAATATTATATTTTCGATATAGGCAATGGCCTTTTATACATTTCCTTTCCATTAAATGAGGGAGAAATGATAGCTTTACGTCATAGCTCGAAACGGTTCTGAACATTAGTAAGCTCGCGCTATTGATAATCAGCGTATGCACGCTATCCCACTACGCCAAAACCAGGTAAGATCATGCATCTTCGCGAATGAGAAGCTTTCAACTAAGCTACTTACGAGAGATCATTTCATCCATTCCGAAGGCTCGCTTTTCGTTCTGTCCGAAGCCGTGAAGTAGCCTGACACACAATGAGAGGAGACTATATATTTTCCGCTATCCCACAACATCGTCGACAAAATGTATGCAGCACAACCTCGAATCCAAGAATAAAGAGACAAACTTTTGAATTAAATAAATTACACTAATAAGATCCACCCCCCATATTAGCTAGCCCTACTCCCAGGTCTCTTTCCACCCTCAATAGAAGATCCCGAACCACCCCTGGACCCCTCAGGACTCTCAACCCTCGTAACATCAACAACATTAGTAACCCGAATGCCAGGCCCCTTCAAATGAGCCGCACGGACACTGTCCGTATCCCCATTCCTAATCCCATCCCTAGTCCCGACAGAAACCTCACTAGGCATCATCTCATAATCATCACCACCAAGCTTCGACCAATTGATGAGCCGCTTGTTATCGCGGTTACTAGACGTAGCACCACTAAGCGGCTTCGAATGACTGTGCAATTTGGTCGACCGCGAGCGGGTGTGGCTGGATGTGTATTCGGTAAGGTGGGCGAAGAGGTTGCCGAAGACTGGTTTCAGAGCTGGCACCGAAAGGGCGATTAGGGTTCCTGCTATTTCGGCGTTTTCGATGCACAGCATCGGATTGTAGGCCCAGCTGCCGTCGGATGCCCATTGACCTATTGCTACTAGCCAGACGCGGACTGCGGAGATGACAATTACGCTGGAGGGGTTATTAGTTGGTTTTGTTTTGTTTGAGATGGCGTGGTAAGCGGTGGCAAGGGACTTACAAGACACCGGGGAACATGACGATAGAGAGTTTGATCTTCTTCTTTAATGAGACGTGGAGTCCCTTGATGAGGAATGCTGGGATGGCGAACATGAGGATGTCGCATGCAAGGGAGAGACCTGAGTTCACGGAGTAGACCAAGCCCCAGCTGAGGCAGTTATAGGTCCTAGGTTCTGTTTGCCATTCGTACGGCCAGAGACCTGTTACCGGTCTGCAGTGGAAGATCAAAAGGAAGAGTTGGGGTAGGTAAGCGGCGAAGAGGAGCGGTGCAGCGATGATGATGCTCATGTGTAGTTTTGTTGAGCGGGCAGTGAGGCGGTAATAGAATGCTAGACCGGAGAGACGACATAGGAAAAGGGCTGTTGTGTATAGGACGTGGGCGACGAAGTCGAGAACTTCGGTTTGGCGCACTGTTGGCATAGACAGGACATATTGGATGTATTCAATGTGTCGGCCACTTCCTAAGTTGATGAGGACGATTGAGAGGACGACAATTATGATATAGAAAATCTACCGTAGAGTAAATGTTAGTATATCGCATAGTCATTTCGTGCATGCGCTAATTGCTGTAGCATGCATTATGTGGGCGCGTGCAGATCTGGGGTGAATAGTGGAGGACGTACAAATGTCAAGATGGCCAATGCATCGTCCAGACCGATTTTCTTGACGATGAAAGCTCGTGCGTATAGACGTAGGATCATCAAAATGCCTGTGAAGCAGATCATGAAAATTATTCCCACAATGGCCGAGTGATCGCGGGACTGGGCGAGGTATTCTAGCGAGACATTGCTTGGAATTCTTCCTGCTGCAGATGCAACAAGGATATCGGCGGGAATCGTCATGGCGAATGTTCAAGCGAGTGACATGATCAGAGTGTGTAGTTATCTTGATCGAAGCATTGGTGTAATTGAAGGTGGGATAATGCCTATGCAAAAGAAAGGTCTAATGAGTGTGAATGCTTGAGGAAACTGGACCCGGAAGCGGGTCTAGTTTTCAATAATAGTTGTTCTGAGAACCAACAAGGTGCTGGTTCTGGGTGTGCCGAGCCTAGGATATCAATCTGCGGAGTGGATCTTAGACTCCGAGGTTCTGGTCAAATCAGAACCGTTTCTTCCAGGATAATGAGACCATTATTATTCATTGACTTCACGTTTGACACATAAGTTTGTTTGACTTTAGCTAAAGTATAAATCATCGGGCACAAATTCTCCGTAGGTTCGAGATGATTTTGTATATGAGAATGCTGTAATATTGTCAACAATAGATGCATGTTCCAGATGTTCATCGCTTGGAAATGCCTACCTATTCAAACTCTACGCGTCTAGTGGGGGATCGTTGTGCCAGTGGCGCAGGGGTTTACTGAAGGATAATGGCAAAATACGAAACTTAGTGATTCTCTTACGGTTTGTGTGTCTGTAGACTTTCAGGGGTAGATAATGTTCGTATCACAACCTAACACATAGTCAAAGAGCCTCAGAAACTTCTCAATTCCAATACACCGAAGTGTAACCGAGCTTCAAACGGGGGTTACCAACCAATCAACAACACCTAGTGGAGCTGGATCGATCGTTCGATCTCACGGAACAAAAGTCGGTTCCGACGTTGCAGAGTGGGCCTGCAGACTCTTCATCGTGCGAGCTACGCAACTGATTAGGCAGGTGGGAAGCTATAAGTCGCGCTAGTATAGATTGATCTCATATATCGCGCACACTTCTGATGCCGGCGGAAGAATAAAAGCTTGGCCTTAGTTGGAATAACGCCACAGTCGGACCCGACTCATCCGTTTGGAACACGAGAATCAATAGTTTCATTTGAATGGAACGCCCTAGAATAGAAGGATAGAAAGAAGCGAGGAAAACACGCCTAAATGGTCAAACTTTGACCAAGGGATTAGTCATGACACGGGCCCACCTCAGCGGTTTGTGTTGGCGTTGGAGTATATCTCTGCGAACTCCCCAAGATCTTCACTCCCACATGGTTTTTGGTGGAGTTTGATCATCCTTGTCATGGCGCCTTTACTCCAGACTTTGGTGAGCGGCCTTGCCTTGGCAGGCTCTGTCGTTGCTGTTCCTCACAAGCAACACGAGGAGACCGACATCTTGGTCGAGTCTCAAATCCTGACCAACCCCTATGCCTATGACTTCCCTCGTTTGGGTGCCCCTGGGGCTAAACTCTTCCCTATGCGCCGTTGCCACGGCTTTAAGCTAGAGGAGGCTACCGTTGATCAGATTCAGGAGCAACTGACCAATGGTACTTTCAGCAGCGTTGAGCTGTTGGGATGCTACCTGGACCGTATTCACCAAACGCAGCCTTACTTGAAGTATGTCATACAAAGACACCCCTCCTAAAAATGATATATCTGACCTTTCTCAGTGCTATCCTGCAATTCAACCCGGATGCTTTCTCCATTGCCCAGAAGCTCGATGCCGAGCGTGCTACTGGCAAGGTTCGCGGTCCCCTCCACGGTATCCCCTTCATTGTCAAGGACAACATTGCCAGCAAGGACCGCATGGAAACCACCGCTGGTAGCTGGGCTCTGCTTGGTAGCGTTGTTCCCCGTGACTCTTACGTCGTCAATGGCCTCCGTAAGGCCGGTGCTTTGCTTCTTGGCAAGGGTGCCCTGAGCGAGTGGGCTGATATGCGCTCCAACAACTACTCCGAGGGCTTCACTGCCCGCGGTGGTCAGTGCCGTAGTGCCTACAACTTCACCGTCAACCCCGGTGGTAGCAGCACTGGTCCCGGTGTTGCTGTCGGAGCCAACCTGGTTCCTATTGCCCTTGGAACTGAGACTGATGGCAGTGTTATCAACCCTGCTCAGAGAAACTCCATCGTTGGCATTAAGCCTACTGTTGGTCTGACCTCTCGCGCCGGTGTAATCCCCGAGTCCCTGCACCAGGACACTGTGGGTACCTTTGGTAAGACTGTCCGTGATGCTGTCTACGCCCTCGACGCCATCTACGGCATTGACACTCGTGACAACTATACCCTCGCTCAGAAGGGTCTGACCCCCAAGGGGGGTTACACCCAGTTCCTGAGCAAGAAGGGTGCCCTCAAGGGCGCCGTCTTCGGTATCCCTTGGGAGTCCTTCTGGGCCCTCGGCGACGCTGACCAGATCTCCCAACTCCTCGAGCTGGTCGAGCTGATCAAGTCCGCCGGCGCGACCATCATCAACGGCACCGAGCTGCCTCACTATAAGCAGATTGTCTCCCCCGACGGCTGGAACTGGGACTACGGTTCCACCCGTGGCTTTGCCAACGAGTCCGAGTACTCATACATCAAGGTCGACTTCTACAATAACCTGCGCGACTACCTCTCCGAGGTCAATAACACCAACGTCCGCACCGTCGAAGACTTGGTGCAGTACAACACCGACAACTACGGCTCCGAGGGTGGTCTCCCTGGCATTCACCCAGCCTTCGGCTCCGGCCAGGATGGTCTTATCGCCTCCCTCGAGAGCAAGGGTATCATGAACGAGACCTACTTCCAGGCTCTGGAGTTCTGCCAGCGCACCACCCGCGAGGAGGGCATTGACGCTGCCCTGAAGCACGGCAACCGTACTCTTGACGGTCTTCTGGTTCCCCCCGACGTCGCTCAGAGCATCCAGATCGCCGCCCAGGCTGGTTACCCCGTTATCACCGTTCCGGCTGGCACCAGCGATGTCTCTGGCATGCCATACGGTCTTGCCATTATGAACACTGCGTTCTCGGAGTCGACTTTGATCAAGTACGCCAGTGCTATCGAGGATTTGCAGAAGACTTCCGGCACCAAGTGGCAACGCTCTCTGCCGGAATGGCGCGGATACCTTGAGCGCAACTTGCCCGTCATCATGTAAAAAAAAAACGGGGACTTAATAGCGGCATGAAGTCTTTGTCTCTAAGCTGTATACTATCACTGATGATATAGATTATATTAATGAGTAGATGAATTCATTTGAATTGATTCTACTTTAGTTTGGATATTCGGAAATCACCCGACTTACGAGGTTCTTCTAGAAGAATAGGATCTTTCTTTATTGGGAAAAATGACCGTTGATAGCAGCTTAGCATTTAATATCGAGTGAGTCCACCAGAATTCCCCGAAATTACTGCTTAACCTGGTGGCTACCTTGTGGGTCTGATATGGCTATGATGGGTGACAAACCTACTCCTACCCGGGTGTCCGGATCGACCCGCACGCAGGAACAAGCTGATCGTCGCAGTTCTTCCCATTGACGCGAAATAAAGAACCCTGCGATCGACATTGTGCACGGAGATGGGAAACCTATTCTCTCTCCCAAACGGTCGCCAAGACGGAGAATCCTTCACGGAAATATTCTCTCCAGAGTCTCCCCTCAGAGCCCGGAGCAGCCAACGACATGCTCAGATAACTTAGCTCTCACGCCAATTTTACCCCCCGGAGATCAAGCTGAACCTAGAGTAACGCCGACACCACAAATGGAACAAGCTTACTCCATCCAGTTACATTGTGGAGACTTCAGCCACAAGCGTGAAACAACCTCATGCACCGGTGCTGATCCTCTAACGCTGGCTGAATTTACGGCGTACCAGCCTCGAACACTTTACTTTAATTCCTGGAAAATGCCATATTTGCCGCTGCACAATATAGCCGTGGCTGAAATTACCCATTTGACCGTTGGATACATCCAATTGGCGATCAATGCCACCATCCACACAACCTAGAACGCGTCTCTTTCCAATTTCTTCCACCTTTCCCGGGTCTCCCACGAGGACCCCCCCTGAAAGATATGATGCATTCTGGGATCTTTCTCCGCAATGATGTGGTCCCATGGTCCCATAGACTACACCATAGGGTTTCGGTCGCCATTCGCCGGCCCACGAGGCCTCACTATCTTCCAAACAACAAATGAACCAGGAGGTTGACCAGTGTGGGGGTCGGAGGGTCGAGCTTCTTCATGCAAGTTTGCTAGCCTACAACAAGTGCAAGCCTTAGTATGCAAGTACCTCAGCCATCTATATAAGAATCATGCCCGACAGGCCTGCCACTTTTTTCTTCATCCTCTCCAACTCAATTCCCCGACAGTGCCAGACCTCAATATGAAGTTCACTGCCATCCTCGCAGCTCTCGCTGCCCAGGCTGCTGCCATTTCCGTCTCCGGTGCTGCGGAGGGTTTCGCCAAGGGTGTTACTGGTGGTGGCTCTGCTACTCCTGTCTACCCCAGCACCACTGCCGAGCTGGTTTCGTACCTTGGTGACTCTTCCCCTCGTGTCATTGTCCTCACCAAGACCTTTGACTTCCGCAACACCGAGGGTACTACCACCGGTACCGGTTGCGCTCCCTGGGGAACTGCTTCTGCTTGCCAGCTTGCTATCAACAAGGACGACTGGTGCAACAATTACGAGTCGTCTGCTCCCTCCGTCTCCGTGAGCTAGTAAGTATCCTCGTTCTACTTCAAATGATCCATACTAACGCACTCCCAGCGACAATGCCGGTTCCCTCGGTATCACCATTGCCTCCGACAAGACCCTGCTGGGCTCCGGTTCCGCCGGTATCATCAAGGGCAAGGGCCTCCGTATCGTCAGCGGTGCCAGCAACATCATCATCCAGTGAGAAACCCCACAAGAAACTCAATATGAACCACCCACTAACGGAACCAGGAATGTCGCCGTCACTGACATCAACCCCAAGTACGTCTGGGGTGGAGACGCCATCACCATCGACAACGCCGACTTGGTCTGGGTTGACCACGTTACCACCGCCCGCATTGGTCGCCAGCACATCGTCCTCGGCACTTCTGCCTCCAAGCGCGTGACCCTCTCCAACAACTTCATCAACGGCGTCACCGACTACTCTGCCACCTGTGACGGCTACCACTACTGGGGTATCTACCTCGACGGATCCAGCGACCTCGTCACCATGAAGGGCAACTACATCTACAAGACCTCCGGCCGCGCCCCCAAGGTCCAGGGTAACACTCTTCTGCACGCTGTAAGTGACTCCACCCCAAACACCATCAACCAACCCCCAAACTAATATGCAATCCAGGTCAACAACTACTGGTACTCCAACTCCGGTCACGCCTTCGAGATCGGCAGCGGCGGCAACGTCCTCGCCGAAGGAAACGTTTTCCAGAATATCCCCACCGTCGTTGAGACCCCCATCTCCGGCCAGCTCTTCACCTCGCCCGACACTACTACCAACGCCAAGTGCAGCACTTACCTCGGCCGTTCGTGTCAAATCAACGGATTCGGATCTTCCGGCTCTTTCAGCCAGGCTGATACCAATTTCCTTGTTAACTTCGAGGGCAAGAACATTGCCTCTGCTTCTGCTTACGGCACTGTTGTTTCTAGTGTTACTTCTAATGCTGGTCAGGGTAACCTGTAAATCAATCTTAAATGATTGGCTCAAGTTGAGGTTGAGGTCCTTGGTTGTGGGTAGGCCTGTTGGTTGGATTTATGTGCTTCCTTTTGGATCTGGTGGGGTTTGTGAAGGTTGAAAAGAACATAATTGATTTTGATTATTATTCTATTCTATGTCTATCATTCATTACAATACGTTATACGTTTTATATTCGTGAATTGTGGATTCACAATTTCAAGTAATCGGTCTCAGTGGCAAAAGAATGAGTTTCTGAGTTTGCCCATTTGTGCTCAATCCTGAGTTCATAATAATAACAGGGAGTACACAGCTCTGCCAAAATCCACCAAAACTCCTCCAGTACAGTCTCCAGGAACAATTCAATCAGTTAATAACAAAAAGACCAGGTGCAGCAAGAGTCACCTTGGTCACCTCATAGGAATTTACAAAAGGTCCATCAGTCGTGGTAACAGCAGCAATGGTCAAGCCATTCATCTCATGCGCTTCATAAGGAAACAAAGCCTCCGCCACAACCTCATTGCCTGTCCGAGTAACAACCTGCAAGGGCTCCACAACTGGCAAATTCTGCTGGTTGATATAGGTCATCCACAGGGAGCTGTCACTGATATTCTGGTGATCAACGAAGGAAACCAAAACATTGCCAGTTCGCGCACCAGGAATGCGAATAACATGCAATGGCTCGAAAGGCTCGAAAGGGAAGGTGTGAACGTTGGGACAACTGCCAGGAATGGCGAAGTTCTGAACAGCACTGAAGGCAAAGTGGACATCGCCGGTGGTCGGGTACGGCAGTTCGCTGGGGACCTTGCCCTGCATAATGCGGAACCAGCCTTGTTGCTCGCCCTTCTCACCGATCAGGGAGGAGATTTGGCGCGCCAAGGTGAAGTCACTGCCCAAAGCGTATCGTTCGACCACGTCCTGCAGGACTCCCAGGGCAACGTCGGTGAACTTGACGGCAATCTCAATGGCTGCGTCGAAGTTATTGACGGGGATCGAGTACTGGCATGGAAGCATTGGCTCGATGCCGAAATGGGCGAGGTGGTTGTTGGAATCCAGAACTTGGAGTTCTTCTTGCTATAGATTTGATCAGCCACCGTCACCCGCAAATACCAAGTGAGAAAGCTTTCATACAGCCAGGATAACTTCCAAACCACTCAGAATGAATTGCTTGTCATCGTCACTTGCGAAGCGATACCCGGGAACTTCTGCAGTGATGTTTTCGATCAGAGCATCGAAGAAGGAAACCTCAAACATGGCATTCATTGCGATCATCTGGAGGCTGACTATGCCTCCTTCGCTGATGCTGAGGGGAGTAGGCCCGTTGGGAAGAGTACCGTGTGCATTCTCTTCGATTGTCTCCAGCTCGCTGGGACTTGGGGTGATCAGTCCGTTTGGCAGGTTCTTGTGCCCGGACACATTCAGTGGGGCGGCAAGAACATACGAGACGCCCAAAAGGATCGGGAGGATATGAAAATGCATGACAAGTATACAGGTGTAATGTGTAGAAGTGGGTTTAGTAATTGTACGGGAAGAGATGAGAGATGTGAAAAGAAGAAGGACGGAGGTTAGGGTTGTATAGATGGAAGGGACTACGCGGTGGAAGGTTCGCCGAACGTCAGTGTCGAGTCAATTGATTAGAAAAACCTATCACGGTGTAAATTGGCAATATTGGAGTGATCCTGTAGATCATTGAATTAAACAAACATATTCTCGTTCATAAATACCAACTCATCACTTGACAACTAAGCACGCTCCACATAGGATGTCGTCTCCTTCTCAGTAACCTGAATCTCCTTCTCAACCTGGTGCAGATCAACATGTGCGACAACGGCGTCATCACCGTCGAAAATTCTAGCCAGCTCCTCCAGAGTAGGACCACGAGTCTCAATATAGAAGAAGTAGACAAAGAGGAGCTCAACGAAGATCCAGACAGTGTAGATGAGCGACAAGTTCCAGTGATGAGGCAGGTTCTCCCAAGCAATGGGGTTGGTGTAGCTAAATCAGAATGTTAGCTTTATGATATCAGCCGAGATAATGCCATATACTTACTTTCCAAGGACCAAAGCGGCCTGCACAGTCAAATTCATGATCATCATACCCTTGGCACGCAGGCGATAAGGTAGAATCTCAAGCGAGTATGCAACAAGCAGACCTGACCAGGCAATGGAGTATACGACAGCGTGGAGCCAGACGAAGACGACTTGTGGGTATCCTGCGCTCTTGACATCCTGGGTTCGCTCGTAGACGGAAGATACAACAGTCCACGCGAGGAACATGAGAACCATACCTAGAAGGAATATTAGCATTTATTTTGGCTGGGCAAAGGAATTATTGTCTATACGTACCAACTGTAGAAATGAGGAAAAGAGGTCGTCGTCCGAACCGATCAACGAATAAAGCACTGGTCACAGCGACAATCAAACTGAGCAGAGTCTTACCACCATCAAGCTATAGAAATTCAGTAAGCAGCTCAGCAATCAGGGGGCAAAAAACGAACCGGAATCTTCTTGTTCTGCTCAGTAATACCCATGCTGTTGTAGATCAAGTTGGTATAGTTACTGAACAACGCATTGCCACTATATTGAGAGATAATTCCCAGCGAGACCAGAATTGCCAGACGATAACGGTTACCCTTGGTCCGCATAAAGTCGAGGTAGCTGCTGTTCTTCTGATACTGCATCTCCATGCTGATAGTCTCCTTGATCTCGCGGTATTCAAATTGGACGGTGGCGTTGTTCTTGTCTCCATTTCCGTGGTAGTAGGACAGAATATCCAAGGCTTCCTCGTAGCGCTCTTTGGAGACGAGCCAACGGGGAGATTCGGGGACCCCTAAGCATGGTCAGTTAACTGAACGATGCAGGCATATCTGAACACGTACACCAGATGAATGCGATCTGAATTAGGGCTGGGAAGATTTGGAGGATGGTCAAGCTACGCCACGACCAGTCGTTGGGGATGTTCATAGTTCCCCAAGCAATCCATGCGACGACTATATTCTGTAAGAATTTGCCCCTGAAAGAGGAGTTGAGGAGCCATACCCAATGCACCAAAGTTCCAAAGACAGTTGTAGATAGTAGTGACGATACCACGGTGTTGGGGGTGGCAGATCTCGGCAAGGAGAACCGGGGAGGCCATCTGGGCCAGACTGCCACCGAAACCGAGGAACAATCTACCGGCGACATACACTGAAGAGTGTTAGCACCCATCACAGCACCAAGAATATAGGTATAGGTCAACATACTGCCATAGTTCTTGCAGAATGCACCGAGCAAGCCACCGAAGATCATCAAAACGCACCCGATGATAATTGGGAGCTTACGACCCCATCGATCGGCAATAAAAGGACTATAAAAGTCAATATCTCCATTTAACAAGAAATATAAGGTGACTTACACAAATGGGAAACTGACAAGACTACCAATTTGGTAGGATGCATTCATCAGTCCCAACTTGGAGCCAACGGGAGTGTGGAAATAGGTCTGCCACGCATCAATGTTCTGGGAGGTATTGAGCATCATTCTATCCATAATTTTGTCAGTTGTGCAGTATGTAAAGATGAAGCTGGACTATTTACCCATCATATCCAGTAGTCGCAGAGGCAATACACAGCACCGCAGCCCACCAATAAAGCTTGCGCAGGCCTGGTTCCTGCCACCAAGTGACTCTCTCCAACTCAGGCTTCTCATTCTGAGCAGCTTGTAGCTCAGACTTGAGCGTCGACGCTCCAACTGCGATAGGCATTATGTCGTTGACGTCTGCTTAGACAAGCGCAGGGTAGATAATAGGGATTGGAATGTCCACCAAGCTCGTGACACAACAATGCAGAAAAGACTACAGAGGGGAGGGGAACATCACAGTTTTTAAACGGTTCGAATTTGCAATCTCAGGATATTTGTCGATGAGATTAACCGGTTAATGAGAGGTGGCGGCCTTGGCTGGGTTGCATGGGTTCATAGGTCCTCCCCGGATTAGTAGGCAAGGGACGTTGGAAATGCAAAACCAAAGAAAATAGGCGAGAAATTTGGCATGCGGGCACAGATCTCTTGCAGGGCTAGCACTTGAGATGGCTATTTGGCCAGTGGGCGGCCTGTCAGGGCCCATGAATACTTCCCAGCATAGTATCATCCCCGGGTTTAACTGTCTTAGGGCCTAGGCTAATTGTGCTTAGGAGGTGATAGGGGATATGATTGGTGCAAACAACGCCGTCCCAAAGTCGCGTGAGATTTAGCCTCGCTTAGGGCAAGGCCAGTTCTTTGATCTCTCCCCGGTTTGCCGGGCCGAGGCCCACCAGACGATCAACCTGGGGAAGCTCTGGTGGGGGATGCGATGCATTCTACTTTGAGGGTAAAATGGTCTGTTTGTGTACAGAGTTTGGATATCTGGCTTTTACGTCCTGAATACCAGACATGATCAGGATCTCACTCACTCCGTGCCCAAATAAGCAACCATCTTAGCCCGCGGGAAGCTAATGGCAGTGCCAAGGACCCCCTGGAGGGCTGTTCATTTGCGGGGTGCGCCATCTCCAGACTCTCGCCTGACAGCTCATTGCTATTTAGCCGGTATGCTTTCTTGGCAACGCCATCGAGTTGTTACAGGGATGGATCTTCAGCTTCAAGCAAACGCCAAAAAGAGAAGAAAGCGTAGATGGCAGACACTGACCGCCCTGGTTTGCGCGTGATTCGCGGCCTGTGAGTGGTCAGAATGGTGGCAGAATAAAATACAGGTCACCTTCCCGAAGTATTCAAAGTATTCAACTTCCATCGTTGCCAATTATCATCTGAATATGGGCTCATGCTGCAGTTCGCCACAAAAGCTCAACATGGCCAATGCCTATAAACTCTCACAAGAGCAGATCGATCACTTCATGCGGTTTGGGTACGTGCGAGTACTAGACTGCTTCTCACAGGCCAAAGCAAACGAATGGGCAGGCGATGTGTGGTCGAGACTCGGCTATTCGCCAACGGACAAGTCTACCTGGACAAATGAGATGACTTGGATGAGCGACACCAAACAAGAAGCCGTCAAGACATTTGCCCCAAAGGCATGGGCCACCATCTGCGAACTTCTCGGCGGCGAAGACCGCGTAGCACCCGAATCGGCCACCTGGAACGATGCCTTTATCATTAATCTCGGCTCGCCCGAGACCGAAGGGCAATGGTCCAATCCTGCTGATCTGCCGGGGTGGCATGTGGATGGCGACTTTTTCACGCATTTCCTTGATTCGCCCGAGCAGGCTTTGCTAGTCATACCTCTGTTCTCCGATATCAAGGATCGTGCAGGTGGCACTATGGTCTGTCCGGATGCGCTTAAGTTTATTGCCCAACACATGGTATGTGGTTGAGCCTCCCATCTACTTGGCGTCTTTTCTGACTTCCTGTATCGAGTACAATCATCCGGAGGGTGTGACTCCCTATATGCTCCCACGTGGCGAACAGCCTCTTAGTAATCCTATGGAGACTTCTTTTTATTCGGATATTGTGAAGCAGTGCTCGGAGTTTCATCAAATGACTGGTAAGATTGGCGATGTTATTCTTGTTCACCCTTTGATGGTTCACTCGGTTTCTGTCAACGGCCTGAGACATCCCCGTGTCATCACCAATCCACCGGCTCAATTGAAAAAGCCATTCAATTTTGACCGCAGTGATCCTACCAAGTACAGTCTTGTTGAAAAGAAAACTCTGTCCCTATTGGGTAAAAAAAGACTAGCCGGTTGGAAGATCCAAGGCCAAAGGGAGTATGTTACTCCTGAGAGGCTGAAGTAACCTGTCGGCACATCGAACAACCCATGTCAGCCTGAGTCCTGTGTTCTGTTTAGCCGAAACAACCCTTATGCCTCTACGAATTAGTGTTTAGCCTGAATACACCATATTGTTACCGTTATTTCTCATGATTTGTGCTGATATCTTGTTACCTGTCACTTTTTCTACTCCATCAGGTTAGTTCATCTCGTATTGTTTCACGGCTAAGTTTGTGGCGATCAAGACATGTTTTATTTTAGATATTGATTAGGTTTATGCGTGCCTGCGCCACAGGAAAACAGACGAGATACCTCCAACGAAAGCAACGCCGGTGAGGACCTCCCACAGCACTCGGAAAGCCGCGACCGAAGCAAGTGTGACTGCTTCTCTATGCTCACTTGACATCTTGACCTGGTTCATCAGGATTAAATACCCATTCGCCGTATTGACCAAGTTCCGGTCCAATCCAATACCTGTGAGTTCCTGCCTAAAAATGTTCAACAAAACAACGCCGCCAACGGGAACAGCAAATGCCATGCCCATGGCCCTCATATAATGAGAAACGGTCGTTGGCAGAGTCGACAGAGAAGGATCCTCGTCATCATTGGGCACATTCTGGACTCTGACATTATAGCTCGCGAGTAGAAGACCGTGGCCCAACCCTGCTGTGAACAACAAGAACACCCATCCCGCCGCCGGTGTTGTGCTATCCAACAGAATGGAGCAACCTCCTGAAAGAATAATCAAGATCCAACCGCTGGAGATGATCCACTGCGTGCATCTTGACTCCCTGGCAAGAATCACGCCAACAATTGCGGCGGGTACAATTTCCATCCCAACCATAGCCAGCAGGGCCACAGCCGACAACGTGGCAGACATATAGTGGGTGGACATGAAGTATAGCGGGAAGAATTGCAAATGAGCAAAGACCTATAGCCACAATATGTGAGTACATGGAATCAGCACGAAATAAAACCCAAGAATAGAAAACTCACCATGAAGCCATGCAAAAAGCAACCGAGATAAGTCATGACCATCAATCTAGAGCGAAACACCCTCCTACCAAACAGCGGATGAAGAGCCCACTTGAATTCATAAAAAACAAGCGCAAAAAAAACAGCAGCACCAACAGCAATCGGCACAATAGTCTGCCACTGCTCCCAACGATACAAACTTCCACCCCAAGTCAACCCGACAAGAACAGCTCCAGATCCCAAAAAGGCCATAGTAGCGCCGGACCAATCCAAAATGCGCAACTTGCGCAACGGAATACTCTTCGACACGCGCAAATCAACGGCAAATGGAATAGCCAACAAGCCCAGCGCGCAGAAGATGAAATTAAAATACAAAGCCCAAGTCCAGCTGGTATTATCAACAAAAATACCAGAAACAACAGGACCGAGGATGGTGCCGCACATCCGCGTTAGCAAGATATAGCACGAATACCGGGAATGGATTGACTGAGGTGTTGATTCGGCCATTATCACGAAGCAGAGACTCATTGCGCCGCCACCACCGATTCCTTGTATCATGCGGCCGATTATGAGTTCGATGAGGCTCATTGATCCGCAGCAGATTCCTGTCCCGATCGTTGCGAATACTACTGCTATTATCCACACCGGGCCGTGGCTGAATACTTCGCTCGTCATTGTGAAGTATAGTTGGCTTGTTGCGCTGAAAATGAGATAGACTGTGTTGACCCATAACGTGCTCGCGAGGGGTTTTCCGAATGTATTTGATAGTTCCTGATAGCTTTATTAGCTTTCTTCCTTTTGATCCTCATGTTGTACCAGGGGTGAATGGCTTTGACATACTGGTAATGCAGGAATCAAGCTAGTCGCATTGAAAGAATCCATCATGGACAGAATGACAATGCAGACAAAGACCAGCCATTCCCGCACACCGAACCGCCATGCGTGCTCTTCGGGTAAAGGCTCGCTCTCGAATAACTGAATCGAGCTTCCTACCGGTGGATAAGGCGTCACATCGTCGACAGTCAAGACACTATCGCGCACTCCAAAGTCGATTTTAGACTCATTGTCGAAGATTTCAGACGCGATCGAATGCCGTCCCATTTGATGCACAAGTGCTAAGTATTACCTTGGTGAAAATATGCCTTGGTAAAAATATGTTTTGGTCGATGATATTCACAGCTCCCAAATCAAAAAGCGAAGTCTCGGCGAGAAACGCATAGCTCAGCCTAGCATAAATCACAAGTTACCAACATGAGCGTAGGAGAGCAGCTGCACCTATTATGGGGATAAGGGCAAGCTTCCTTCTTCCCCTCTACCCCTTGAGGAGCGCGGAAACCTTGAAAGGAGCGTGGTTGGTTGAATTCCGCATAACAAGGGATGTTCAATGTTCAATGCCAGCGCGGCGATTGGACGGAGATCTGATCTTGCTTGGCAGGAAGGAGAATTAAACCCTCTGCTACTGTGGGGAATAGAGGCTCTGAGCTCCTGGGAATGATGGGTTACAGGGTTTGGTAAGCCCTAGATGTGGCATTCCAGCCTTCCTTCAAACCCCTTGTTGGATCTGAGTTCCACGTACAACGCCGAACATTCCGTTTGTGATGCAAGGTATTCTTCTACGTGACATCACTCCACTTTAGAGTTATGGCACCATTGGGTTATTGGTCGCGTGTCATGCGTGGTGTGCATGGGACGAACAGAAGGTTCGAGTGAGCTGCGATGTAGGTTTAGGTGTAGATGCAAGTGCTTTGATATCAAGACATCTGAACCTTCAATACCACCCCAGCTTTTCCAATTTCGCGCATAAATGTAAACTAATACTTCGAAGGCAAGACATATCCCCCAATATTAATAAAAACCGCGTAGCCCTCCCCCAGCCATGTAGGAAACAACCTCATCCTAGGACCCTCAAGCTCTCTCAAGAATCTACCAGCAACCTAAAAAGGGACCCAAATCAGCATTAATACCAATAACAAGACCCAGACAGTTAACCCCAAATCAATCATACCATAATACAATCCCCATCCCTCCTCCAATTTAAAGCAACAAGCGCAATAGCCTCAGCAACCCGATCAGGAGTATTCTTCTCCAATCCGGCCTCCTCCCACCGCTGCGCAAAACCAGCAGTGATATGAGTCGGCGTTAGAAATGGCGCAATGGCATTGACTCGGACTCCGTATTTCTGTGCCGTTGGTTGACATGCGCGTAGAAGACCAAGCACGCCGTGTTTGGAAGCTATGTAAGCTGTTACGCCCGTCCCGCCGAAATAGCTTGATGTCGATGCAACGAGGAGGATTGACTTTTGGGATTGGGGGCTGGGTGTGAAAGTGGGTGTCTTCATATAATGTAGTCCCAATCGAAGTACTACATGATTTCCAAGAACGGGTCATTTAGTTAGCCTTGCAATGGCTTCGCGTAGTAACTGCCTCCGCTGGGAAACTGATAGGATTGAGAATTAGAAGGGAGGAATATACTATTAAAGGTCCCCTTCAAGTTAACATCAATTACCCTCCCAGCCTCATAACTCTCAAGTAACTTCCCATCCTCATCAACATCCTCAAGGTCAAGCACTGGCCTGGACTCCATGATACCAGCATAAGCAACGATAATATCAAGTCCACCGAAACGGGCAATCGTCGCTTCAAAACATTCCGTCAATTCAGTCCAGTTGACGATATTAGCCGGGAAGAAGGCCGCTCGGTCTGGGTGTGCGAGTTGTGTTATGATGGTTTCTTCTGCTTCGATACGAAATTGGGATAGGTCAGCTAGGACGACGTTTGCACCTTTTTCGTTGAGGAGTTTTGTTGTTGCTAGACCGATACCGTGTGCTGCGCCGGTTATTAGGATTGTTCTGTCTTTTGTTTCTGTGAAGAGGGTGTGGTTGAGGCTGACTTGGGACATTGCTGTTTCTGTCTGGGGTGATGAAGTGGGTAGGTAGATCTTGGTGTGGTGTGTTCCCGGGGAGAAGACCGAGATGGGTGTAAGTCTGTTTTATACATCTATAGAGGTGGAGAAGCAGGATGCGGGGTATTGATTGCGATATTTGCCGCGGTTATGCGTGCAATTTATGTATGTACATGTACTTGAAGCTGGACATAATCATAAAGATGAAACACTGCTGGCGCCGTCAGTATGTACAAGCTGGGTAAGAATATGTACTTCAACTCTGACTGTCAATCGTTATCATGAAGGGTATTTCAATCTGTTTTGTCTCGGTCACCCGGTTTCGATATTGGCATGTCACTCAAGTCTACTCTTGATCCTGCCCGCGAAGGCATGCGCGATTGGGCCATTGACTCGCTCGTGCTGACGGCATGGAAGGAAAAGTCCAACTCGCCGACCAACCCTTTGACGTGTCTAAGAATAAGAAGTCAGCAAACCGGATGAGAATGAGTGTAGAGCCCTTTTTGAACATACCGGAGGAGTCTGTCAACATCACCAACGATACACCTGGTTGAGATCTGTAGAACTGCAAATGCAGCGAAACCAGGCTCTGCGATATGCCTGAGGCTCAAGATGTCCTTATCAAGCGCTTCCAAACGTTTCGTAAAACTATAGGGTCGGGGGGCCTTAAGGTATGGTGGAAGAGGTTGTCGGTTCGTGATACTAGCGGACAGAAGACATAGCAAGGATGTGACTTCGTGCGTGGTGACCTTTGCTGTTCCAACCAACCGTCTGAAATCGAGCATCCAGGCGGTATCGGTAACCTCATCGCCATCGCCGAGATGCATCAACGTATCAGACGCATAACCGAGCAAACTGAGATAGTTCACAATACTTATAAAGAAGATAGGTCAGTACTCAAATCGAAGGGAGAGCATTATCTTTACATACTTCTCAACACAGAGAATGATAGAGTCATACTGCTTCTTAGGGAATTGACCACCGATTGGGACTTCCCACCGTAGGAACTCCGAGTACGTCCGAAGACCAGCAAGCATAAGCATCTGCTTCGAAAACACCTTGTGTCGGGCTTTCTCGAGTTTCCGACCTGCGGAACTCTTGAGAAGGTAATCGCCTTCGTCACCACGCATGCGACCGGAAATAGTTTCATGGATAATAGAATAGTAGTTCGCCAAAAGATACAGCGAAGCACCCAGACTCTGTCGGAGCACCGAATGCTCCGAGATCGGATACGGGAAGAATGTCCAGATGAACGCGACAGCGATACCACCCGAGACAGTAGCAAGCCGATACGGTGCTAGTAGGTAGATGGGGTAGAAAGGCTGTCCGTTGGAAGTAGCGACTGCTTCTCCCACTTTGCGAACTTGAAGTTCGTAGCCGATGATCATTGTCGTCGTGACAATGCTGATAATGCCCACGACCCTGAAACGGAAGACCTTGATGGGGATGTAGAATGCAATGGACACAAAGATAAACAAGAATACGATGACACCTGGTGTCTTTTGGTCTGGAATATACCAGATTAGAAGACTTGCAACCATCGCAATTGTCGTGCCTAGAATTCGCAACACGAAACTGAAGATACTTTGCCCTGATGTTGGGGACATGCTCAGATTCACCATGATCATGGCCCACACCAAGCGCTGTTGAGTGAAGAATATCTGAGTATCATGTAGGAAGGCGATAATTGCGATAGTCATAGTAGCACAGGCAACGCGGAAGCCGTATGTCGACTCGAAAGAGCGAAAGAACCACGGGAGGACCCGGATCTTGTCTCCAAACTTCTGCCACACAGTACTAGGTGGAAGGTGTTCCGGGTCCTTGCGAAGCCGGTATGCCTCACCAAGTTGAAGGATGTTGTTCTGGGTATGAATGTCACCCATGTTATCATCCTCGTGCGAGTCCTCGGCACTCAAGACGGATTTGGCCCATTTCCACAATCTCTTGCCGCCAGGAATGACCAGCCGAGTCTTTGACAATTTTCCTTTTGCAGCGACATGATCAGCATAGCGCACAAAGTCCAAGACGGTTTGACCAGTCGAGTACAGCAATTGCTCCATCTACAATTTGGTTAGCTGGCGCAGCACAGAGCTCCACCTAGGGGGAAGGGGTCTTACATAGAGGAACAGATACAGCTGTCGTCGACTGCGCTCTTTCTGTGTAGCCGAGGTATCCAAAAAGTCGGACTCCAAAATGTCAGGACTGGTGGGATGATCGAAGAAGTCGGGTGGTAGTGTGATTCCCTTCTCCTCTGCCCAAGTCTGCAAAGCGAGACGCTTTGCGCTTCGAAACTCTCCAAGCTTCTTCTCAAAATGATCCGTGAACGCTTTTTCGCCGGGGGCGGTATCCTGCGCTGTTGCTTCCACATCCTTGCCTTCCTCGGTCGCATTATCATCCAAGGTGTTTGCCTTGGCCGTGCGCTTTGGTGGCTTTGTCAACAAGAACACATAAGACGTATGCAGAAGTCCTTCGTCAATTGTCTGAATCATCGTGGCAAAAGGATCATGTACCGCTCTCATGATATCATTCCACTCATGCACAACGCGCTCTCGCACATCTTCCGGAACTGCATCCAAATTGGCATCAATAGGCTGATTCCATCTGTTATAATCCGACAATCGCTGGAAGATATCGACGACAAAGCTCAGCCCAACAACCGGAATCATGATCTGGCGAAGATGACGGAAGATCGCTTGAAGATCATCCGGTCCCAGTTTGCCCAATGCAACTTCACGCTTCGCAAAAGTGAGATCACCATGGAGTTTCGCATGAAGATCTGTGATCTGGCGGATCGCACCGCGAATCGCTTCCGCCTCCGCGCTATAGACCTTTCCTTTCTTGCTAAACTTCTCACGGGCATCATCAAAGGTCTCGGTGCGACCGAACATGTCATCCTTTTCCAAACTCTCAAAATATACAGCATGAGCTTTCAGGGCGGAGCGAAGACCACCAATGTAACCGGCCATTTGCTTGAAGACAGCCTGACGTGAAGTCATAGGAAGGATGAACAGAGACGTGACGGTCGAAATAGCAAGACCAGTTAGGCACGACTCCAGCAACCGCTTCACCATAGCAATTGCAGCAGCCATATTCTGCATCTGCGGTGAGTAAACTGAAGCAATGTTGCAAAACATGGCGTATATAATGACGGGGAATTGCAGCTGTGGGTACTTGGCGCGGAAGGTATGAACCATCCAGATCTGGAAAAAGAGCCAAACACCACTGACTGCAGATGCAGAAGAGTTGTAAGTGCCACTAGAGGGAGTGGTTGTATGTTGCCTAGCTTTCACACTTGAATACATGGTCAAGAGCGCAAAACAGGCCGCTATGCAGACAGCAAGAACATCAAAAATCATCATCTGGATGAACTTTGCCCGAGGCATGATCGCAAAGCCCAAAATAGAGATGATGGCCATTAGATAGCCCAGAGTCGTGAACTGGTGGGCAACTGGCATGGCCTGGTAACTGTGACCGAGGTTAGATAACACGGTCTGGAAAATCATCGGGCTGGTCACTCACATAGCCACAGCAATAGTTGGAGGAAGTCCACCCCTAGTGCAATAGTTAGCGAGCTATACCCCAGAACAAAATATCTTCCAAGGGCACAGGGGTACAGGGTACACAGAGACATACTTCATCATCAACAAGACAGTCGGCCGATCCAACCCAGTCTTCACCCAAATTTTCTTGCAAAAACCAACAAAAGTCTGCTTCTCCTTGGGAGGCTCATCCTGCGCGTCCGAGTCAAACGAAGCCGCCGACTGGCGTGACGTCGTTCGCGACGCCATATTTACACGAGGTTGACGCCGTGCAGGTCTTGGCTCAGATCTTCAGGAAGGAGGTGTCATGAACACGTGATCTGAGCACGGTGGCCAAAATGGCATCAAGTATAAGTTGGAAGCGCTGTACACAATGCAAAGCTCTCGAACACTGAAGGGACGTCGGGACAACCTCCCGCCTCCCAAGGTTTGTGGACCGCGGAAACATTACCGCAGTGGAACCGAGAACGGTTCTGCGTTGGCGTAACCTTCTACTTGTAGATCGGTGGATGAAGTATATAAACTATCGACGGTGTAGGTATAAGTTAATATGCAGGCATGGATGGTTGCACGAACTACTGATTGTACTTTTGTTCATTGATCTTAGCTTGGATCTCGGTCGTGGGTCGCGACAAATGTCCCGTACTATTGCTAAAAATTCAATGGGCGTCGGGAGGAGTAACCGAGTGAAAGTAAACGATGTTAGCCCTCTTATTTGGTTTCTTTCCATTGTAGAGATGTTTGGTCATTGTGATGCCCTCAACCATGCCCTATATCCTCGATGCCTTGAATGAAACCCACAAACCTCCATGGACTTTCCTTCTTCCTCTACCATATCCCCCGTCCCCTTCTATTACTCCGCAAAAGTGTAGTACTCGATATGCCTTTCATCCTGCATTTGGCCTTTGATACTCCGATCTCTGTATATCTAGGACCTCGGCCTGGATACCTGGAGTGGACAGAGATACATCGGATCCAAACGCAGTTCTTGATCTTCTGCCAGCCTCCATCTTTCAGCCAACTTGTCCTTCTCCAAGGAAAGTTTTCATGATGTTTTTTAATCTCAACACCATGTTGACCACCATGATGGTGTCTTTCCTCATCGAAGGCGCCATCGCTGCTCCCACCGATCTGGACGCGGCTCGGTAAGTTAGAGACATGACCCAAGCTCACATATCACCTCTGCCCCTCAATAGACAAACAGCTATGAGCCAAACTGACCAGAAAAATAGCCCCGCCAATCAAGGAAAGATCACCTCGGAGATCAGCGGCGGTCCCTACTCCGGCGACCTGACCTGGTTCTACACCGGTCTCGGCGCATGTGGCCGCTGGAACGTCGAGACTGACTGGATCGTCGCCGTTTCCCGCATTGTCTTTGACCGGCAGGCCCGTGGCACCAACCCTAATAACAATGGCCTCTGTGGTCAGAAGATACACATCCAGCGTGATGGTCATACCGTCGAGGCTACCGTTGTTGATCGTTGCGAGGATTGTAAGGAGAATGATATCGATGTTACTCGTTCTCTCTTCCAGCAGTTTGACAACCTCGACCGTGGCCGTATTGATATTGTTTGGTGGTGGAACTAGGGCTCACTGAGGGGTTACTTTCCAATGGTATTTGACGATGGCGGCCCTCAGCTGCCAGGGTCAGACTGTGGATGGCCTCTTGGTGATTTGTGATTTGTGAATGGGAATGGAATATGCAATGATGATGAGGATATGTTCATGACTTTGATTTTCGAGGAATTTTCGAGCTTCACGCCGAGAGGCATGAATCGTTAGTATTCGGGCCACTCTGAATCTACCTGTTCCTTCCACGATCGTAGACCACCGCGGATATCACCAATAAACCGCTGTCCGTTCTGATCTAGTCCTAGCTCCTTCATCTTCTTCACCACAATCTGTGAGTCATTTCCTAGACGGCAGACAACGTAGATCGGATTACTGGACTCGGAGACGAGTTCAGACGGTAACCAAGAAGGCAATGTCGGAGCTTCCTGCTCGGCATCGGCCGCCTGTGGCTTCGTAAGCCCAGAGGCAAGAATATCCGAGATAGGGATGTTAAGGCTATTTTCCAAGCTGCAGATTTCGAATTGTCCCTTATCTCGCACATCGATTACCGTGTGTGGTTGTGACACAGCGGAGACACCAGGATACTTCTCGTAATACTCCCGTGCAGAGATACGTTCCTCGGGACCAAGCAATGATGGCAAAATTACAGAACCACAAAAGAATACATAGTCCGTCGATCCGGACTTGATCGTGTCCAACGTGACTGTCGCCTCAGCAGAGCACACTGCACAGTTTGCTCGGCGCGAACGAAGACGAATTGTCCGGACCAGGGGACTCGAGTATGCAGAGAAGACATGCAGAGCTGGAGGATTGCGAGGAGTACTCGCAGCACCGCCCGCGACATCAGCATCAGGCGCGGTAATGACCTTGATCGCCTCGAGGGCCTGCAAGACACCCATAGTCCCGACAACCGGGCCCAAGATACCACCATCAGCACAACTGACTACACTATCAGCCGGTGGCGGCCTGGGAAACACACAGCGATAGCACGGTCCTCCAGACTTGTCACCCGGAGCTCGGGGTGGGTCGTTCAACACCATAAGCTGGCCCTCGGTCCGCAAAGCGGACGCAGAAACCAACGGTTTCCCGGTAAGAACTGCAGTATCCGAGATCAAATAACGTGTTGCCGGGTTATCCGTACAGTCGAGGATTAAATCATAATTCTGGAAGATCGCAAGCGCCTCGTCGGGCATGAGGTGTGTTCGGTGTGCGATGTACGTGGGATGCGGGTTAAGCCTAGATGCAGAACACTGTCAGCAGAGAGCTCAAATCTGCGAACCAAAGACAGCACTCACTCGCGAAGCGACTCAATCGCACTATCCACCTTATACTTCCCAACATTCTTGGTCCGGTGCAGCACCTGGCGATGCAGATTCGACACCTCGACCGTATCCCCATCAATCAACCCAATAGTACCAACGCCAGCACCAGCAAGATATTGCGCAGCTGGACATCCCAATCCTCCAGCTCCTACGAGCAGAATCCTGGCCGATCGAAGTTTCAGTTGGCCTGCATTTCAGAAGAGTGCAATCAGCCCAATTGCCCGAGATCCCCAAGACGCGCATAAGCCGCCATCGCTCACCTTTAAGTCCAACTTGGGAAACAATCATCTGTCGTCCATATCGTTTATATTCCTCTTGGAGCAGTGGCCACCGTCGTCCGTGGCCATTCCGGTCGTTGTGTTCGTTTCCCGCGGTTGTTGTGGTTGCGCTGTCTGATTGCGCTGCTTGTTCGGCGTTCGCGAGGTCGCGTTTCAGTCCAGCGAGTTGTTCCTCTGTTGCTGTGATCTGGGCGCGCAGGGATGCGCATGTTTCTTCGAGGGAGCCCATGGAGAATGTTGAAGAGGAATTTGACGCGAGGGGAAATCGATAAGTTCCCCGCGGCTTTTTTTGTGGGTCCGAAGTATTCCGCATATTCACGGATGAACAGATGAACAGTTGTAGATATGTTTATAATTATGCGAATGAGACTGAAACATAAGGCGTAGTCATTCAAATCAATTCTTGTTTATATCTGCCAAGTGTATGTATATATTCTACCATGTCTTGACCCATGTATATCCGAAATTGTCATCCAGTTATAGTCATTTCAATCCCTGCGCTCTGCAGTCGTAGTCGTAGTAGTTGTCACAGCCTCTGCATTCTCCTCGTGCATGATCTGAGTCTTCTGCAGAGTGTGCTCGACATCCGCGCGTCGTTGCTCCTCATCAACAGCACCGAAGATGAGATCCATCTCCTCGAGGGTGCGGCCCTTGGTCTCTTTGAAGAATACGATGACAAAGATGCCCATGGCGAAACAGAAAATTCCGAACATGAGGAAAGTCCTCCACCCAATCTTGTTGATGGCGCGAGGGGTGATCTCGGTAATGACGAAGTTGAACAGCCATTGGGTGGCTGCACCAAATCCAACACCATAGGCACGGAGGCGAGTTGGGAAGATCTAGAAACAACGTTAATTATGTGTGATTCAAATTGAAGAATCAGTGAGACAAAGCTTACCTCTCCAAGGTACACCCAGGGCGTTGGGCCCCAAGACGCTGAGTATCCAATCACATAGAGATAGATCATAGTAACCATAGCGATGGATGCGGAGGAGACTGAAGTAGCCTTCGCGTTGGGGGGATGAGTGGCGAGGACAGCGCCAATGATGAACATCATGCTAGCCATCCAAGCAGCACCGCCGATCAAACTCTTCTTTCTGCCCCAGCGATCGATACCGACGATCAGGAAGATGGCCGTTGCGACCACCTTGACTGTTCCATAGATACCAGTGGCGAACAGGGAGGAGTTGGTCTTGCTCAGTCCAACACTGGCAAAAATCTGAGGGGCGTAGTAGCCAATACTGTTGGTCCCAGAAAACTGCTGCCAGAACATGAGAACAAAGGCCAAGAAGAACCGGTAACGGTTGGTCGGCTTCAGGCATTCCTTCCAGGTCATGCCCTCAGTAGCAACGTTCTCCTCCTGGATAGCAGCAGTGATTTCAGCAAACTCCTTGACAACCTCTTCGCTGGTTTCAGAGTCATTCCGAATATAAGCGAGAGAGTTAAGAGCCTCCTCACTGCGGCCCTTCTTCATCAGCCAACGGGGAGACTCCTTAAGGAAGAATAATCCAATGAACATCAGACCACCAGGGACAAGCTGAATAGCAACAGGGATGCGCCATTGGCTTGTACCCTCAGGGACATGAAGGGAAACACCATAATCCAACCAGTAGGCGAAGGTACTACCGATGACCAGGAATTCCTGGAAGAGACCGGCGACACGACCACGGATAGCCGGGGGACAGTTCTCACTAACAAAAACTGGTGTGATACTAGACATGCCACCGATTCCTAGACCGGCAATGACACGGCCGCCGTAAATCATGCCAATCTCGTGGTGGGCGCCGACCTGGATGGCTGCTCCGACCAGGAAGATCATACAAAAGATCATCAACGAGTATCGACGACCCAGGCGGTCATTGATGTAAGCAGCGAAGATGGAGCCGAAGAAGCAGCCGGCTGTAAGGAGTGATACCACATTGGAGGAGATCTGGGCGTTCTTGTCGTCGCTGAATCCGGATGAATCGACGGGGAGGCCGAAGTCCTTTTTGAAACTCGAAAGTGCCAGGACTGAGCCCATCACACCCGTGTCATAACCTGAGAAGACTTTTATTAGCAATGCTTCATAACAGACAGGAAGATGACTTACCGAACAGCAGGGAGCCCATATAGGCCACCGAGGTCAGGATATAGACCCGATAGTTCTTAAAATTGACGAACCCCATCTTGAAGGTGAACGGGTTATATTCTGTGTCAAAATATCACCAAAACAAAAGGATTGGAAAGAAATGACCCAGAAAGAGTCCGCAAAAGAAGAAAGCAAAAAAGAGGAGCTGGCGGGATCGGGTCACATCGAGCTTTATACTCAAAGCCGACAAATAACGGACTAATGCAACGCCATGAGAAATCAAGCAAGACAAGCAATCAAGTGGCTTCATTGCCAGCTGGTCCATGCCCCAAGCCCCAGAGTCGAGCTAAAGTGTCTGGGGTTGCGGATGTGGAGGTTGGGGAACGAATTGGGGAAATTACGGCGGGGGCCCCCGCAGTCTGCAGTCAGGGCGACAGTTTCTCCATCCATTCAGACTGTCTCTACGCCTTGCCGTGGGGGATAGCCATTGGCTTTGGTGTGGACGGCGTGGCTTGGTGGAGACTTGGTGGTGGTGATGGCGCTCCAGCCTCCTGATTGATGGAACTTTTATACCTTGTCTGTCCGGGATCTCCACTGTCGCTCTATAAAACCTGGGGTTATGGCATGATACCTACATTTGGGGGTATCTACTGCTTCATTTGACTATGACGATGATATTTTATTTCATCGTCGTCATTCTTTCTACAGTCTGAGTCAACTATAGCTGGGTAATCTCCTTTCTTTGGTTTTCCCCCTTGCTCAATTGCCGCCGGCGACTGCTTTCATTTGCCGATGGCCCCACGGTGTCATTCAGTCACAGAATCACAGTAGATCAACCACAAAAAGAGAAGCTAATCATTAAATGCCAACCTTAGTGCCTGTTCAACTCGCTCTATTGGCTCTCAAGTATGATCTTACCATCCTTACCCTTACTCCGTCGGATGTATGACCAATCTCCTTCTCACTTCGGCGTCGGAGTGGGTATGGGGTTGTGAATGTGAATATGCCGGCACTCATCCCTGTGCAGGGTCAGATTCGGAGATTGTTTATTCTTACGTGCCGAGCAGAGCGGGATCTCGGCAAAATTCATTGCCCAGACGTCACAATCAATGCGCTAGACAACTCTATTTATAGCCCTGTAAGAAAGAATACGTTGTGCACTGCACATTGTGACAGTGCAGTGCATATTAATATTACCACCCCATTGGATCACAGGGGTCAGACAGGTTGGGACACGGACCCTTAAAACAGAATATATGGTGCCAGGCTCTACCGTTATCATATATTTCACCAAGGAATCGGGGATAAACTAGATAAGCGTAAGATTATCAGGCAAAAAGGGCAAGGCATAGCGACTTCATGTCAATCTCATCCGCAGGGTACCGAAATGGCTATCATTTGCTTGGAGTGCTCGGAAGGTTGGCAGTAGGAATGGCTATCTTGTGTATAGCTATTTCCATCCAGCTCAAGCACCTTCCGCTGCACCTTACTAAACATTTGTGGCATCCATCTCCCCGCAATCAAAGGATGTAGAATAGCAAACCTGGATACCATCTCATTTGCATTTTTCCGATACTAAAATTATCAGAAATAAGCTCATTTTACAAAGAAGACACCGAACTGGGACCAGAGAATATGGAACCAGAACTGGTTTGGCTAGACGTTATGTGTGAAATTCTCATTAAGCTGCATTTGCTCATGTTGTCTCAATTTGAAAGGAAAGCAGAATAAAACAAGGCCTGCTAGAGAAATGCCACGAGCAATAGAAGGCTGTTCATCTTACTTCCTTTCAAGATTTCTAATGCAGACAAAATCCCTTAAAGTCATTCCATTTATTGGCTGATTCCCAGAAATTGAACTAGTTGAAATCTAGACATTCTGCAATTCAGAGATATCAATAGCTATTATCGAGCTTCACAGATGCTGTTCTTGAAGGTGAAAATGAAGAATGAATCAATCAATCACTCGTCGTCTCATAAGACTCCTTCTCGGCCTTTCGCTTCAACCACCGGCGGTATGCAAACAACGCGATGATCCCAACTACGACCAAAAATACGATGGCAAAGACAAGAACGACACCGCGATTCTTGTTTGCCCAATTGTCTCGTGCCACAAGGAGGCTCAGGAACGGAGAGGGCAGCGGAGTGGGAGAGTTCACGTGATGAATCAATTTGATGGCAGCCATTTTGTCAAGTCTGCAACAATTCAGGGATTAGCTGTTGCATATGTCAGATTGGTATCTTGAACTGAGCTTCCTAGTCAGGCCGGTCGATCGGTATCTCTGAGCCTTGCTGCACAGGATTGTCTTACTGGGTTTTAGATTCAGCTCGCTATCCAGTATTGGGATATCAATTGATTTTTTTTTCTATATGAAAGGCGCGTCAGTACTCGTGGTATCTTTAAGTTGTAGATTAACAAAAGCAAAAGAGTCACCATCCATGAAAGGATCACCTCTTGTTAATGACAACATGAAGAGTGAGAGTCATGCAAGTGCGAGCGGAGATGAACCTACTATAAAAATTCCTGGATAACGATCTCCCAATGAAAAAGGAACCCAGAGAGAGATAGGTAGTCAGATTGCGACGCAAGATCACTGGTCTTTGCGGCAGACGGCGATTGCCTAGAATTAGATCTGATTGAATAAGCCGATTTGAACGATGAAGTTGAAATCATCAGAGGAAGATCCGGCACGCAACGGCTCTGGTTATTTCATGATGCTGACTGAATGGTGACCATGCATGGGGTTTATTTACCTTTTGCTACAAGGGAACCATATCTGATTGGCTTCGGGTGATAATCAACCATGGCTAAGCGTCAGGAATCATAGGAAATTTGTCGTCCCCAAAGAAATATATCCGGGGGGCTCCGCTGTTAAACTGCTGTATACCTTATCGTATAGATAGACTGCACACACGATGAAAATCGATCATTTTTTGGCCAATGCATGGGAACCCACGTCCAACACGATATATCAATTCCCTAGGTAATCAGCGTAGGAAAACCAATGAGACCACAAAGGATTAGAGATTCTCTTTCATAGACCGCCTCGTCATCATATAACCATTCCTTTCATTCGGCTTCTATGAGTCTGGGATCAGCCGATTTTATATGATCGGATCTATGATGGCCTGAGGAAAATGCTTGTGAGAAGGCCAAAGTCGATAATTATTCGATGCAGCTCATGGTTTCAAATTGTCCTTGTCACGAATAGGGTTTCAGACAAAAGAAACTTTGACGATGTGCTGTGCGCATCATCAGCGTGAAATGGGTTGACATCATGTTCTTCGATCAAGAGCAAGCAACGAGCACCCTCAAACATGTCAATATTGGCAACGTATATTATGTGCTGTCTTGCTCTCATCTCAACATTGTTCATTCCATTTCAAATCCTAGAGAACGTGTAGAAAGGTCAAAACGTGCATGTCTCAGGTGACTGGGCTTTAGATATTACCCAAAAAAGTAAACGGACACACTTCAACCGCCGATATGACAAAACAAAATTCTGATTCGCTACCTACTCTAACCTGTTTGTTTGGACCTCTTGCTGTCAGAAAATTGTGCCGTTCCAGACTGACCCTATAATGATCGCCCAGTGGGCCAAGGTTCGTTTGCGGGACAGGCCGCTCGTTCATACTGATGGATCATAGCCCTGACTCTGGAAAAATCTAGCCAATATACGGACTGAACACCTGCTACCCACTCACGTTTTTGATGTTGCCAAGCAATCTAATGCCGAGGTTCTTGGCAATCCCTCCTTTGTTTGCCATACAATGGTGCTTGGGGCTTCGAGCGATGAAGGAACACAGACGATGCAACAAAGATGGAAAATGTTCACATAAAGCCAGATTGACACAATCACTTGCTTGGGATTGTTCAAACTCTCCATGGGAGGTGAAGAATACTTTATTCTTTAAAATTTCAACGGGGCACCACCTCGTATTCGGCCCATAGGGCGCCAATCACCGTTCTAGTTGATCACGATGGACTGCAACCGAGATCTGTGTTCGGGACATGTGGACACAATCGGCTAAAGGCTTCTGTTTTAGGTTATGATTCAGACAGGGATGTGCGAGGTACAACACAGGGCTTCTGTGCCCCGTGTTCTACCAATGATCCAGGCACCAGGGGATAATATGATTGCCAAAATGTATAAACTAATTTGGACATTGTGTTTACACATGTACTTCAACTTAATGTAACTTGTTCCAAATTACACCCTCCTCCGAGCCTGACACTTGACACTCCCTTCAATTCTTCACCATTTCACACAGGACCGCTAGAAAGCACGCTAGGAAGGGTGTCAATCTGCAGCCAAAATAGTCTGTAGATCTAATACCTCACCCAGTATAGATCATCAGCTGCGGTCACACCAGGGTCCACAATGAAGGGCTCTGAATGGCCCAAAGCATGGGCTGAAAAAGACTCCGACGGAGACGAGGCTCATTTGAATACGAGGTTAATCCTAATTGTTCCCAGGCCCCAGAACAGTCGAAGGAATCCACTCCCCGTAATGTTATATTACAAACACGATCCCCTCCCGCACGTCTTTTCGAAGTCTAATTCTCAATTCTCATACATCCTCTCTATTGTCTTCTTTCTTGGGTTCAGAAGACTTAAGTCATCAAGTCGTCATGTTGATGTTACCACTATATGCCCTTTCTCTCCTCCAACTGGCAAGCGCATGGACGTTCCGCTACACCAACAAAACAGACGACACACTTATCCTACGTGGCAGCGATGACAAGAACTGCACAGTCATAAGCCTTGCCGAGGGCAAACTATTCACATATGACCCGGAGGGATCTGACCTCTGCGTTTCGATATACTACGATGCCGAATGTAATTCACGAGCCGGTTACTCGTGTACTTCCTGGAGGAAGAATGCTAGTGCTTCTTTCTTCGGTGCCGATATCGCCCCCGAGAGACCGGCTGTTTCTACTAGCACCACTGCACTGCCTACTTTTTCCACAACTGCACCTCCCTCCACATCGACATCAGCATCCGTTTCCGAGTCTGTGACGAGCACGCCGACTTCAACCACAACACCTACCGATGCTGTCATAAGTGAATCTTCTTCTAGTCTATCCGGTGGAGCAATTGCTGGTATAGTGATTGGTGTTGTAGCAGGCCTTGCTATTGTCGCTGGTCTTATCTTCTTCTTTATGCGGAGAAATCGGAAGAATAACGCACCACCTGTTGTCCCACCCGGTAGCTATGGGCCTCATGAAGCTGAAGCTACTGTTTCCTCTTTCAGTGGTGCTACAGAGAAGATGGAAGACTCTTCTAAGAGGTCATTTCGTCCTCCGACTGGTTCGAAGGTTGTTGAGCTTGCTGGTGATGTTGGGACCTATGAGCTGCCTAATAGTCCGATCAATGAGATGGATGGTCGCTCTGCGACGAAGCCGTCCTATCGGGTTTGAATAGGCAATGTGGCGAAGCTTGCGCAGAGGGGTTGTGGTCTCTAGGATGTGGTGCTTGGTCTTCTTTCTGTTAATGGCGTGTGAGGGCTCGCGGTTTCAAATGTTTACATGATTGAAGTTCTATCTTAATAAATAGTGCATAATTATTTCTCCCCTGGAGTGTATGCGGAACAATATTACAAGGACTGAAAGTATATAAAAATATGTTGATTTACAGTAATGGCGCCCCGACCCATCAAACAGGTCACTGGCATGACTAAATACATTACCATTAAAGAATTAACATGTCGCTAGAATGCCATGCAAAGAAACCTAAATCCAAACTAACTCCCTTCGTCCCCTGATCATATTTACACAGACTTGACAGGGTGAGCCTCAGTAGGCTCTTGACCCTTCTCAAGAGCCACACGTTCGACAGAGGAGGCAAGAGATCCAGACTCGCCCTCATCGACATGCTGCATCTCCTCGTCAGGGCGCCAGAAATCCTTCTTTCCGTGAGCAGCACGGTTGACCCAAGGAGGCAAGAAACCACCCTTGAGCTTCCAGGACCAAGGATCAGACTCCTCCTTGTTAGGGGGGACGATACGGCCACCGCTGACCTTCTCAAGGATCCAGGCAATGCCGTTGAGAGTGATGTAGCTGGTGATACCGGCAATCAGACCGTAGGCAATACTGTACGTGAAAGGCATGATTGCGATGGTTAGGAATGCGGGAATAGCATCGCCGTAGTAGCGCCAGTTAATTTCGGCGGCTGCCTTGGCCATCAATGCACCAACGATCACGAGTGTGCAACCAGTGGCCCAAGGTGGAATAGAGGCGAAGATTGGAGCGAAGAAGACTGAGATGAAGAAGGCAATGCCAGTTGTGCAGGATGTAAGACCTGTCTTGCCACCTTCAGAGATACCCGCACCGGACTCGACGAATGCTGTAACGGGAGGGCTTCCAAGTAGGGATCCAATGGAGATGGAGATGGCGTCGACCATGTAGGCCATGGCGCTGCCCTCGAAATCCTGAGTCTTCTCATCAATGGTACCGGCAAAACGGGCCATTGAGTACATAGTACCAGTAGTATCCAGAATATCGACATACTATAATCTGTTAGTGTGGAGCTGATTGTGTGAAAATGTGTGCCACATACTAAAAATGTAATGAAAGCTAATCCAAACTGGCCACCCTTGCCGGAGAGGTCCCAATCCTGAGCAACAAGAATGTGTTTGATCGGATGGAATGTCACCACCTTTTTGAAGAAGTCGAACTTGCTCGTGCCCAATTCCGTGTAAGGGAAGTAGGTAACGGGAGTAGTGCGAGGCCACGAGATAATCGAAACCAAAAGAATACCAATAATAACAGCACCCTTGATGCGGTACATCATCAACAAAGCAGTCAGAATTCCACCACAGAAGATACCAATCCACATGGTAGGGTTACGCATCTTCTCGCTGCTCATACACAATCCGGTCTCCGGGTCGAAGTACTGAGACGCACATCCAGCCAATTCAATTGGTGTGGATGAAGCACCCTGGACCAATCCAATACCGGCATCATACGTCAAACCAATCAAGGCGAGATAGAGACCGATACCGACTCCGGTGGCGAGTTTGATCGAAGATGGAAGCGCACGCGCTAACCACTGTCGCATACCGAGGAGGGTCAAACCAAGGAATACCCAGCCTTCGACGAAGACAGCAGTGAGAGCTGTAGAGTATGAAACCAAGCCAGTACCACGAACACCAACCACAGTGTAGGCGAAGTATGCGTTCAAACCCATACCGGGGGCGAGGGCGATGGGCAAGTTTGCAAATAGACCCATACAGAATGTAGACAGCGCGGCAATAGCTGCGGTGGCGGTGACGAGGTCCCGGTTGACTTCCTGTGTGCACAGAGCGTATTCGGCATTGGTAGCGCAGGCATCTGCCAGGCCCTCTTCGGGGCAGACACAGGTTCCACCGGTGGCAGAGGTGATGGTGCTGTTGACGGAGATAATATATGCCATAGCGAAGAACGTGGCGAGACCGGCGCGAATTTCAGTGAAGAAGTAGCTCCCCTTTCTCTCCCTGGGCTATCACGGTGTCAGCTCCCATCCCACACTTGCCTCTGGCCTCTGATGTCACACGACACGCAGAATATGGAGTATAGAGTATAGATCGTAGAATTGTAGAAATCCTTACATGACCCGAGCCCTCGAGACGGAACCATCTTCCCACGGGACTTTGTGCAACCCGCAGGTTGGTATTGTGAATCCAATTCTTATAACTCATCATGAAAGGCTTGAGAGACGAAGTATCACGTCCTGTACTGGATATGGGACAGAACCCGTCGTCTAGACGGAGTATTTAAAGATGTGCCTGCAGAAGCAGAAGAAGGAGAGAATATCACATCGAAGCGAAAAAAGAAAGAATAACCAGCCAACCACACCATGCTGATAAGCCAGGCAAAAAAAAAAATCTCATTTGGGTCTGGTCCCAGCTATCTCCGCCTACATGGGCCTTGGCGGCTTGGCGGAGTCGCTTTCACCCGTGAGATGCCGGAGTGAAGCCCTAATTGGCTGCGAACTTGCCGACAGCGTTGTGTCTATGGGTCGAGCCTCGGCAACCCGATGGGCCCGGGAAGAAAAAAAAATGTGTCAGGCAAACGGTTCTATGACTCTTGAATTAGCTATTAAAATCCGAATATCTTCATACGATTATCCGATTGTTTTGCTTCACAATTCCATACATGCCTGAAACGCCAAGACGCCAGTGCGGCGCTCAGCCCTCTTGGGCTTTTATCTTATCATCTCATATTAGTCGTGGAGATGATGTGCAGGGTCCATGTCGATAAGACGGAGGAAGCCGAATGCACATGAACTACATCGCATCGTTTCCCCAGTCCTTGCCTCGTGGCACTGGGCCCTGGGGCTCTGGGGTATTATGGATCGGTCGATTCCGATCGCGTGTTATCACAAAAGCTTGATTGTGCGATCTGGAGATATCGGACTTGCTCGGAGGCGGTTGACTTGAAAGAGATCCGCCGCTCGTAGTTTGCTGATTGGGATGCTCTGTATCTGTCGGAGATGATGTTGGTTTGAGGGTTGAGCGCCGAAGCTATCTATCCAGGTGATCACATTCGTGCGACATCGCATCACAAGCATTTGAATGCTCACACAATAATTCACACAAACCTTGAAAGAGAATTTTGAGCAGTTGCTTTTGACGTGTTCAAAATAAGATCTAATTTTGGAACACTTGTTAACATGCCCATACATGTTGCCACTTTACCCCTGATTGTACCTGAGGCATTGTAAAAGATGAGCTTTTCTATTCTACTTCCGTTCAATAACTAGATCATATTCTACCTATGCTTGTGCACATACATCAATTCATTAGCTTGGTGACCTTTCTTCCTACTCTGCCTTAATCACCTCCTCTTAGTGTTCTCTTTCATTCACTGCCTCTCTCTTGCTTCCTCAGACGTCATTCCTATGCAGGTTAGTTTCGCCTCATGGCATCTTCCATCGAATCTTATTTTTTCACAAAGGGTAATCTGGTTCATTTTTGTTCCATTGACATGACAACACCAAGTGGTTGTTATGTGAAGCGTGAGTGAAACTAAAAGCACAGGGCAGCGTCCTGCTTATAACCTTTACTTAGACCGCCTCGACTTATCCATTTAACATTGAACGATCTTTGTTACGATTCCGATCGATTGACTGTACCTCCAATAAAAAGCCATCCGTTGAGAATCTCTGGTCAAAGCCATATCATTCTGAGGTTGTTAGGCTCCAAGTTCAACTCTGGCCATGAGAACCCATGTGAAAAGTACAAATTGCCTGAAGAAGAAGAGAATGTGAGCCTTCAATTCTGTGTCTCTTGCTCTTGTGTTCAAGGTAATTCATTTCCCATTCATTTTGGTTTCAATGCATAAATATGACTGATTAATTCACGACGACAAAAATCCTTTTACGCCAAAAATGTGACTAAGGACAGTATCAGCCCAATAAAGTCTAAACGCCATTCTGTAAAATTAATTTTTAAACATCTTCGGTGTTTTCCTTCTCGGCTTGTGTCTCAGGTTTCGATTTAAAGACCGGGGCGAACTTCGATCTCTTCCGCAACGAAGGTCCCCACTTGATAAATGCCAGAGGAATAGGAACCATGATCAGTGCAAGGCAACCGAGAAGAGTACCAGCCCACTGCACACCCAAGTTATTGAACATCTGCTTGGAGAACAGGGGGAAGGCAGCACCGACGGCTGATCGGATAATTGTATTAGCGGCGAAAACGGAAGCAGCGCTAGGATTAACGTTAACATGGAGAACCACAGTCCCGAAAAGACCAAGGCAACTTACAATGTCAAATAGGAGTCAATCAGATAATTGAAACACTGCAAGAAGATCACGTAGATGCCGAATCCAGTCACGATTCCGCTGGCAGTAGGAGCCATCCAGTGGATTGAATTTGTCCAGCCGGTCCAACCAAACCAGAATAGGCCAACACAGAAACAGATACCGCCAACGATTGCTGGGGGGAGTCGCCACTCGGGAATGGGAATGTTGCTGTTGGCAGCTAATTTCTTGCTATAGGCTTTCTGGTCCCATAGAATGTAGGCGCCGGCTAGGAATTCACCAATGATCAGAGCGATAAATGGAAGACTGCCAACACCCAGACTCATTCCGTGTACACCTTGAAATACGACCGGGTAGGCGCCGAGTAGTGCGTACATCAAGCCATATACGAAACTCATCCAGAGGGAGATCTGCAAAAATTAGTGTTATGTTGTACCTTGTGTAGAAGTATAACATACCAGGAAGACAATTGGCTCAGTAAAGAGCATACGGAATGGACGACTGAAGTTGTTCGTAATGAGCTCACCCCAGTCGAGCTCGATCTCCTCTTGTCTGGCCCGAATACCCCAGTTGTGAGTCTGTCGTCGAAGAGTAGAAGCTTTCTCCACTAATACAGCGGGAGCATATGTCTCCGTCAAGAATAGAAGACAAAGTCCAGTAGCCAACCAACCCATGATGGAGGCAATGTACATAGTCCATCGCCAGCCAAGATAACTGGACGTAATAAAGCCACCAACAAAGGGCGAGGCGAATGGTCCAACGAACACAGCCATGGCAAACATGGCAATAGCCACACCTCTGTTCTGGTTATTATATATATCGGCAAAGACGGCCGGCACGATGGCGATGGGGCTAGCAGAACAGAAACCAGCAAAGAACCGAGTGAGCATCAACGTCTGGACATCTTTGCTTGTCGCTGTCGCAATGGTAAAGACAGAGTACAGAAACATTCCAATGCAGATCGGCCATCTTCTTCCGATAAGCTCACTAGCTGGCGCCCAAACTGTTGGTCCAGACGCAAAACCTAGGACGTACAAAGTAACGCCGAGGATAGCTACCTCCGTGCTGATGTGGAAATGGGGACTGATCTGGCCGACAGCGGAGGAATATATGGCACTGGCAAAGGAGGACACAAAGGTTGTATAGGCCAGAGTCACTGAGATACCGATCTTCTTGGCTATGGGCCAGTTCTGGGGGTGGAGAGGATCATTTGCATCCGTAAATTCGACAACATATTGTTCCGGGTCTGGGAGAGAGGGCGGGTAGGGCTTTCCAGCTCCGAGAGGAAGCCATTTTTCTCGAGGTGTGATGCCGATGCCTGAGCCTACTGTTGAGCGATGCTGTAGTCTGTATGTTTCGATACGCTCTAGTTCGACATTGTCCAGGTTGGTCTGACGACGTGAGAGCTCAGGCTGGAGGCATTGATGACCTGATGAGCGGCGGTCGGAGCTCGTCACAATAGTACTGAGTCCATCGCTTCCACTGGGGCTAGTATCTCCCGGGCTGTGAGACGATGCTTGAGGATACTCCATAATGTTGGGTTATTGTTGAAATTCTAGAGCCCCGAGAGTAGGATGGCACGGTCCATATATACTGGACATATACTGGGTATATTAATTGGAGCCAATTAACTGATGTATCATTTTCTTCGTGCTCTACTATGGTCGAGGGCGTCATCGATCGGTGATTTGGCCGGGTTCCCGTTATATTGCCTGATTGGGAAATACGCTCCGGGTGGTACTCTTAAAGTTCAAATAGTTGCATATATCCGATGCAGATTCAGACTCATCGGCACTTGTGGATGGCATATATGACTAGTTTGCAATTGCATTTCGCAGTTTGCACTTCATAGTTCAACTTCATTGTCTAATGACGTCACGTATCAGCTATGTGAATAAAGTTGTGATGATCGTGCACAACTCAATCTGGCCAATCAGGTGACTGTCAACATACTCACTTTCTTTAGACTGCAGCGAATTCAATATTCAGCCACATCCCTGCAGAACACTATTGGCCAGTAACAAGCTCTAATTCGGATAACCATTTCGCCCAATTGATGAGTCACTGCTCATTAGCCTCGGCATAACACTACATCCGCCGTGTTTCACCTAGTCCCCGCAATCGGCATTAACGTTGTGAATTGCGAAGATCACCATAAAGATGGGGGCTGAGAGCCATCGGAGGCTCTCCTCTTCAACCTCAATTCAATCTCGCTCCATTCACCTTTATTTCAATCGCTAACCGTCCTCTCTCCCCCATATCCTCTAACAAAACCATCCCCCCCCCCCCAAGATCCCCACCATGGCGGGTACGCACGGCTCCTGCAACCCCGCGTTCGACCGGCTCCGCGATCTTCTTCAAGAGCGACTGGACTCAGGCGACGAACTCGGCGCATCCCTCTGCGTCAACATCGGCGGCAAGAACGTCCTCGACATCTGGGGTGGATATGCAGATGCGGCCAAGACACGTCCCTGGGAGAAGGACACCCTGACCCCAGTCTGGTCTTGTAGCAAGATTGTCTCGGCCCTTGCAGCCCTCACACTGGTTGACCGCGGCCAGCTAGACGTCGAAGAGCGCGTCTCGAAATACTGGCCCGAGTTTGCCGTCAATGGCAAGGAAGACGTGAGAGTCTGGCAAATCCTCAGCCACTCCTCCGGTCTAGCCTCATGGGAGAACCCGGTTCCAATCGAATTCGTCTACGATGTCAAGGCTTCGACTGAGAAGCTCGCGCAGGAGGCGCCTTGGTGGACCCCTGGTGAGCACCATGGATACCACATGATGACGCATGGTCACTTGATCGGTGAGCTGGTGCGTCGTATTAGCGGCAAAGGACTGAAGCAATTCATCGATGAGGAGATTGCCGGGCCGCTCGGCGCGGATTTCAGACTTGGTGTCCCTGAGAAGGATTGGGGCCGGACTGCTGATATCACTCCTCCCCCGCCCCCAGCTGGTATTGAGCTCGCGGATCGTAACAGTATCGCTTTCAGGGGCTTGACCAATGTTCCTCCTGTTGCGGAGTATTCGATGACTCCCGCGTTCAGACAGGCTGAGCTTGGCGCGGCGAATGGGTTCAGTAATGCGCGTGCTCTGGCGCGGATCGGTGATTTGGTCTCTTTGAAGGGCACCGTTGATGGAAAACAGTATCTTCAGCCTCAGACTGTTGACCAGATGCTCCAAGAACGTGTGGCCGGTATTGATCTTGTCCTCGGTGTGGATCTTCGGTTTGCTCTTGGTGTTGCCCTGACACCGGCGGAGCCAATTCCATATGTTCCTGAGGGTACCGTCTGCTTCTGGAGTGGATGGGGTGGCTCTATGATCATGATGGACTTGGAGCGCGGGATAACTCTCGCTTATGCCATGAACAAGATGTCGGAGGGTACCCTCGGCAATGACAACACCATGGCTTATTTCAAGGAGGTCTATGAGATTGTGAGATCTCAGTCTTCTCTGTGATGTACAGCACGTTGCAACAAATCAATGAATATGCAATGAAATTCAAATATCGTCTTGAACAGACTAAGAAAGCCTCTTTGAGATAGTTTTACCACTGTATACATAACCTTTAGAATGTCTCTCGGTGATATCCATGGAGTGGACCTGCCAAGTTGACAGTTATCTGGCCAAGAACTTTAGGTGGACTTCTTGGCCTTGGAAACCTGCTGCCTAGCACCACCAGTCTCGGCGAATACGAGTTCATCCCGCTCCCAGACGAGCTCCACAGCAGTACCCGCAGGACCAACAAGAGCAGTCAAGAGAGTAACCTTGAACAAGAAACTGATCCAAGAGACAACACCAAGTTGCTTATGAGCAACAGTATACAATTGAATCGCCCAGAGCAAAATACCAGCCGAGCCAATCAAATAATCCCAACGCAGGAAAACGTGAACACCATCACCGACATTGTCAACAGTCAATCCAGACCAAGGAAGAGGAATTGAAAACACATTGGCCGGATGAAGCGTCTCGAGAACAGAATCCGCAAACAGACTTGGCACGATAACCGTAGCCAAAGACACAATCCAAGAAACAAGATGCGAGAGCGACGCATTGATAAACGCAAATGCGTAGACCCAGCGCAGACTAGACATGGACGCACGCTGGTTCTCCGAGAAGAAAGGCGACAGAACAAAGTACGCGACGGTAGTCAGAATCGAAACGTAACCGGGCCAGGGGTGCCACATTGCAATGGCGATTTGCTTCACATCTACTGGGATGACAGCAGGAGCGGGTAGGACCATGATATTAGTTGGGACCATGAATCCGACTACGAAAATCAATGGGAGCGCTGCGAGGACCGCGCGCGGCACGCGGATGTTGTCTGCATGGGGACGGCGCGCAGTGATTGAGCTGCCAAGTTGGAGAGCGCAGATCAAGGGTGTAGCGAAAGCGAATGTCAGGACCTGAGCTGCGAGGCCGAAGACCATTGGGCTACAGCATTCGGTTAGCCGTCGGTCTGGTATATGACTGAGGTGGATCACATACTAAGCGGCGATAGTGCCGACATTACCCTTTCTCCAGGACTCGAGAACGACAAGAGTCCATGCTGCGCCGAAGGTACCCGAGAAACCAATGCTGTGAAGCAAAAGTCCTGGGTTCGAGCCATCGAGCGAGGGATAGAAGAATGCAGTCAATAGCGTTAGGAGCTTATCGACAGGCTCGACGCCGGTGTATACTGAGCGCAGAGGCGCATTAATACTAGGGAGCTTGCCGGACTCCACAGCTTGCTTTCCCAATTCATCGAGGCCGTTGATATGAGAAAAGTAGAAAATCGCGTAGAACACGAACGCGCTTAGGCAGAAGAGTACATATCTCATGGTGACTGTGAGGATGATCGGAATCCATTGAAATCCGGGGTTCTGCGAGTCACTTTATATGGGTCCCGTGACTGACGTGTGAGACCGAGGCAAACAAAGTCGACTCGTTGATCGTCAACACATGTGGTTGTTTTTTTTTTTTTGACTGTTGAATGTGGGGAAACATTTTTTTCCTTCGTAATATCTTTACTGGTATAGGACTACTACTACATTACATAGACAGGGCCAACCTACTATACCTGTATTATAAGTGTAAGTGCCGAATGATGTATCACGATGATATAATTCGTGCGATAATCGACAATAAAGAACTTTTTGATTCCTACAATCTTGTCACCGTCTTACTCTTATTATTACTTAATTTCTAACTCTATTTCTAGCCCGTGCCTAGACCGTACACCGATGAAAATATACTAATTTGGTGCTGAACCTGTGGGTTTACATGGCTTGGTGGCAGCTACAGTATAGCTCTGTCCAACACATGTGGTTTATTGTGGGGAAACCTCCCCTTAACATCTTGCATACCAGGATAGGTTTAGCCAGGGTCCGCCTACCCCTTCGCTCTTGGCATCACCCCCCATGGCACCATCGCTACCTCCCGAAACCCTCTTGCTTGTCTTTTCTTTTCTGGAAGACGATATTGTCGCCTGTGCTAGTGTCTGCCGAGAATGGCAAGTCGCCGCCGAGAGCATCACCTTCTCCAGCCTGCTTGCAAACTCCGCGAATATTGAAGATCTTTGTCGCATTGTCGGACGCACCAGCACACCATGGCGACCCTCTTTTGTTCAAGAGCTGGAATTCAAGTGCATTTTACCGACGTACGGTATCCAATCTCGGGCCTACTTCGAGACCGAGTCTGATCGCCATTCGAACAACAAGGCGGTTACGCAAGCCATATCATCTCTCTTCGAGGTCCTCAGTTCATGGCCCGATCACAACCGAAATGAAATGAAACTTGTTCTCTTTTCCCGGTCTCCAAGTGATTGGGAAGCTGAGCCTGACTGGGACCAACGGAAAGCCCGAATGCAGCAGAACCGGGCTTTTCCAGAAAAAGACCTGATGCAGGCCAGGTATGAATCTTCGTATCTTCAGCTGCTCAGTACAGCGGATATCTCGACTGTTAAATGTGTCACCGAACTTCGAATTTATGGGGCTTCGCTTTACCGGGGATTCTCGCCGCAATCTGTATCCGAGATGGTATGTCGGCTCCCACGGCTGCAAGAATTGTCCGTCGATCTTAGCGACAAAGATCGAAAGAACCCCACAGAGCGAGATCATCATCGCCACGGTACGTCGTAACCTTGTTGGGGTTTTTAGCCTTTATGTTGTGATTGAGAGGTCCTGATAACTACCCTTTGTGCAGAGTTGTCACGGGGCATTGCCAAATGGCCGTCCTCTCTCAAACGTTTCCGCTTGGATTGTCTACGGGATCCAGCTTGTGATGGAAAGGGACCCTTGAGGAAACTTTCAGAACCAGGAGCAGATTCACTGAGCCTTGCACTTCATCGCCTAACACAACAGCTGGAAACCGTTGACTTGACGTCTGTCATGGTTGGTCCTGAGTTTTTTTGGCCCGCGTGTGCCAACAAAACAATTACATGCTGGCCAAATCTTACGACCATTGATGTAAGATATGCGCCCGCGACCCCTTCCGGCACATGGCTGTTTGAAAGAGACCCAAAATACCAAGGCGAAGACGATGGTCCATCTATAGAAAATAGCTACCCTCGCACAAAGCCAAATGAGTCCCTCAATGGGCTTTACGTGGCTGCTGGACGTGCTGCTCAGCAAATGCCTCGGTTAAGGACGATGGTACTTCAAGCTGATATGGCTAGTACGAGCACTAGAGTCCAAGAGGCTTTTGACTCAATTCCCGGTCACTGGTTTCAATACACTTCAAGCTCGGCCAGAGCTACTTGGATTTGCACCTCGGAATATCACGTTACACCTGAGGTCCGAGAGGTATGGGATGCCGTAGCCAAAAATCATGGTCGTGGCCATGTAAAAATCGAGGTGTGTATAGTGTATTGTCCAACGGTTTTGAGAAGCTTGCTGACTCAATACATATGGTTAGAACCTAGGATTCCGCCACGATGCTGATGAGATGGGGGGCCACAAGTCGTTCTACAGCGACGAGGTTGGATTTGATGAAGAGTTCAAAAAAGAATATGGGTGTTTTTCATGGGATTCTTAGATCCTAGGACATGGCGCCTGCTAAACATTTCGGCATCTAGACGAGAGCTCTTCTTGTACAGCTACGTCATACAAATCCACATTATTAAGCTGTTTCTTTCGTGCTATTCAACCCCGTATCTGTCAGTTACACCGAGTTTGCTGGGAACAAAGCTGCAGGCCGTGTAGCCTTCTGTAGAACAACACAGGTGCAGAACTCATCATGCTCCCAAACCATCTTTCCTCATTGACCTTCATGCTTCACTATATCCCGAATTCCGCAAACTTCCTTAGATAAGACATCGGGTATTGCGGGTGTAACCTTCCATAGAAGAACACGGGCATGAAAAGAATCATAATTGACGATCATCTATCCCGATTCATATTTATACATGAATACCTTCGGAAACACACATTCTTGCTTACATTGACATTAGGTATAAGTATTGAGGGGGAATGGCTCAAATTTCTCCATCGCATTCATACGTCTTCCATACCAAATCAACACAGCAGCAATCATGCCAGAGATTCACTCCAAGTCCATTTACCATGGCCTTCCCGTATTCTCTAGCGAGATCAAAGGTCTCACAGCTATTGTAACTGGGCCTAGTGGTATCTCCGGCCATCAAAAGCTCAAGGTTTTCTGTAAAACCCGCGTCGCTGGCAGAAATCTACGCTCTCAGTCGTCGGCCTCATGGTTCGTGGCCTGATCATGTCGAGCTTGTGCCGATTGAGCTTTTAAAATCGCCCGAGACTATCGCAACTAGGCTAAGTGCGAGAGGTGTTTGTGCAGTTTATGTCTTCTGTTTTGCGTATATTCAACCGGCTCCCAAGGGAGCAGGGCTCTGGGGGGCGGAGGAAGAGATGGTGAACGTTAACCGTAAGTTGTCAAACTTCTAGCCGATTCACGTTCAAAAGACTAACAAGTTGTTCTGAAGAGAACCTGCTTGTGAACTTCCTCTCAAGTCTAAATTTGAACAATACAATTCCCAAGCGGGTGTTGTTGCAGCAAGAATCTAAGTATTACGGTGTACACTATGGTCCCGCGAGCTGTCCCCTAGAAGAGACAGATCCTCGAGTCCTGACCGGGCCAAGTTTTTACTGTGACCAGGAGGACTACCAGAAAGCTTTCGCCGAGGAGCACCAGATCGGCTGGAACACCACGCGACCATTCCACATCGAGGGTACTGTCCCAGACGCCGCAATGAACAAGTGTCACCCTCTAGCAGTCTATGCCACTGTTCAGAGATACTTCAACAACCTCTGGAATACCACAGTAGCCTCAAGGCGTGGGAAACAAACGTGTCGATCTCAAGCGCACAGGCGAATGGGCATCTTGTAGAGTGGGCTGTCCTGACCGAAGAGACCAAGAACGAGAGGTTCACTTCCACAGATGATTGTCGCTTCAACTGGAGTTAGCTCTGGCCGAAGCTGGCTGAGCGCTTTCAGATACCGTGGAGTGGCCCTGGTACAAGCGATGAAGCCCCCTACGCGACAATCACGCTTCCCACCGATCCACCGCACGGTTATGGTCCTCCCAACGTGGGTAACTTCCGCTTCAATTGGGCAAATTGGGCGAACGGCGAATTGGACGAAGACGCCGGAGGTTCAGAAAGCGTGGGCTGAGATCGCTGAGAAGCATGGACTGCGGGAGGAGTTTGGGGACTTTGATCGCGTCGTTGGTTTCGCCGACCTTCTCTTGGCGCTGACGTGGTCAATTTCTTTGAGGTGAGTGATTGATATTTGGGTATTTACGTCCTGTAAAGTCAAAGGGTTAACCACAATGGTAATAGCATGTCAAAGGCCAAGAAGATGCGGGTATTTCGGGTTTGTTGATTCCACTGAGTCAATCTTGGGCATTGTGGAGGACTACGTGCAACTAGGCATGATCCCACGTCTTTCAGACTGGGCACTAGTATTTATCAGTAGTTAGCAAATGCAATGCAGGTAGCCATCAAACTGAAACTGGGAGAAGATGTAAAAAACATCCGGCCAAACAGCGAACGGCACGTCACCTGATAAATTAGCCTGACCGCCCAACTTGGCTTGACAAATAAATACTTTCCCCACCATATTCAGGCACCTCATCTCACTTCGTTAAAGCGATCCATCTTCTTCTGCTTCTTCCATTCCTCGATTGAATGGTGGTAGTTTGTAACAAATCTACCTGGCTCGTGGGACAGGCACATGCCGTCCCGGGACATCTGACAAGATGCTGAGGGATTCGGATATAGATTCGTTGAGCCACCATCTATCATCTTTATCAACAGAGCAGCAGAAGCAACACGAAAATCTCCAGAATCTGTTGGGACAGTTCAAGAGCTTGCTAGATGACTACAGCTCACTGAAAAGCGACTATGAGGAGGTCAAAGAAGGTCGTGAGAAATACAAAAGGCAAGCCCGAGGTCAGGTACGAATTGATAAGCGCCCAGAAAGTACAAGTCAAGGATTAACAACTCAATAGGAGCGCAACCCTTTTGTGCTTGTCCTTGTAGATGGTGATGGATATCTCGTGAGTCTTCAACTTACAAGTCGGCGCCTGGGTATCCGACTAACAAGTTACCTTTTAGTTCAAGGAGCACTTCTTGAAAAATGGCAGCGAAGGAGGCATCAGCGCAGCCCGTGAGCTAAGCGACTCCGTCAGGGAGCTTATGCACTCCACAATGGGGATGCAAGCAGAGCAATGTCAAATCATGGTTCGTGTCTATGCAAACGTCCTTGGGCTATCGAAAGTTCTAGCTCGAGCTGGCCATGTGGGCCACGAGGCTCGATCCTTGTCACCCTTTACTTCGTCTTTTACTCGTGCACAGGCGTTGTTTGATTTTGTCGATGCTGCGGAGAAGAAGGAGGGCAGTGATTATAAAATCAGAGGTATTGAGCTGTTCGCACCTTGTCCTTTGTCTGGGTTTTGACTAATTCGTGCCCCAAACTGAAGAAATGTTCCGTCTATTTGCGGAACTCAATCAATGCCGCCATATCTATTTTGCTGGTTGTCACGACACTGGATACGGCTCCCTACTGACTCCCTATAGAGGCAGAAGTGACCGTATCACCCTCATCAAAGCCGCCGGTTTCCATCGGGAATTTGAAGCCCTGGACCTGCCTATCAAGGAACTTCCTACTGTATTCATGAGCACCCCCCTACTTAACAGCAAGCCGCCCACCGGCCCAGCCGCTAGCAAGGTCATCAACGGAAACCACGCCAACGGTCCGAATGGCTCGAATGGCATGCACGGCACAAATGGAATACATGGAATTAAGGCAGTCTGCAAGCACTTCCAAAAGGTGCGTTTTCTTGCAGGAAAGGTTATTTCAAGGAATCAGGCCACTAACGAGGGACCAGGGTATCTGCAAGTTCGGCAATAGTTGCAACAAGCAACACGTCATGCCAAACCAGTCATTGAATCACACGCCCAATCCACCGTCGTCTAAGTACTCAGGTGACTCACCTGAACACGACTCACCAAAACACTTGTGGGCCTCCCCTACAGTTGGCCGCACCGAGGAATTCTTTAGAACCGCACTACCCCTGCCAAGCATCAAAACCGAGGAATTTATCCCCGTCACTAAGGATGGGCACCGGATCGACCCATACATCCCTTCCCCGTCAGGAGAGGCCTTCGATGAATATCACTCTCGGGCAAAAGAAGCCAAGGTCTGCAACAGCTACCATCTGTCGGGAGAATGTGGTGATATGAGCTGCCCGTATGACCACAGCGATGTGTCTAACACGATCATTGAGGTTCTGCGATTTATGCTCCTCCAGCACCCTTGCTCTCGAGCCGGCGCGTGCCGATCCATCAAATGCTACATGGGACATTTATGCCAGAAGCCCGGCTGCAAGGCCGTCAAGAGCTGGCAATGCCGCTTCAACCAGGCTGCACACACTCTTGATCTTAAAGTTGCCAGGTGGGATGTGCCATCCGACCAGAGTGAACTTGACCAATGGTCCATCAGCGGTGACTCTCCCCAGGCGCCTTCTCCAAGATCTTTCTTCGCCTTTTAGAGTCGCGATTGAGTCTACTACCAGGAAACAATTTTTTTTCTCTCTTATGCTCGCCTACTGACAACTAGCCCCTCATAACCCGGGGTGTCTCTGTATGTGTGAGAAATGTCGGACTACTACGACAACGTGTGGATGTTTGGTGCTAAACAAAGAATGCATTTAAGAAGGTTATTGCAATGGGATAGAAACGGGTCGGAAACACCAATCTTCTAGATTTGAAGGCTATCTATGGTCTTCTTGGCCAGCAGTATTCATTTCCTGGTCTATTTTCATTACCTTCACCGTAGGTGCTGGTAATCTCAATGGTAAAGAACAAAAAAGCAACCTAACACTGTCCTTTCAATTATTATTGTGCATTTACTCAATCAATTAGAATGACTTGGCTCAAATTTTCGTACTCCTTGATAAACACAGAGCGCATTTTCGAATCATGATTTCCAATGTTGCCCGTTGCCACTCTTAACAATTGTCTCTAACTTCAGTCAACACAATGAAGACACGGGGTCTATCTTGCTGATGTCGTACCCTGGGATTCCATTGTTTGGGGCTTTAATCGTTGCATGGCAAGTCTATCTGGTGCTGTTATAAACATAATTTAGGATTGAGTACCAATGACCTATACATACGTAATGTCTACCAACAGTCCCTAAAAGCTGCAGGGACAAATGTCTTCTGCTCCCCATCAAGTCACTTGAACAGTGACAAAATGTCCAAACCACTCGATGGAATACAGCCTACAGTGCACACGGTCTTCGAGCCCACCACATGTTCATGGCAATATGTTGTAGCCTGTCCAGAAACCAAAGAAGCAGCAATCATCGACCCGGTCCTGAACTTTGAACCAACACTATACACCATTACCTCCCAAGCTGCAGATGCTCTAATCGACTTCATCATGAAAAATGGCTACACAGTCACCATGCTCCTGGAGACACACGCCCACGGCGACCATCTCTCAGCCTCCTACTACATCCAACAGACCCTGTGGGCTCATGGCCAACCACACGCACAGATCTGCATCCAAGAGGATATAGCAATCGTCCAAGCCTACTACGCCCACAGATACCGAATCCCCAAAGACGAAATCGACACTGCCTTCGACCACCTCTTCAAACCAGATGAGAAATTCCAACTCGGAAACATGATCGGCATCGCCCTCCACCTGCCAGGCCACACACCTGATCACGGGGGTTACAAACTCGGCAACAATGTCTTCTCAGGAGACTGCATGTTCAATCCGGGCATCGGCAATGGTCGATGTGATTTTCCCGGTGGCGATTCCCAGTCTCAGTTTCGCTCTATGCAACGCCTGCTATCGTTCCCGCCAGAGACGAGATTATATACCGGTCATGATTTCCCACCTGCGCCGGGTAGTGAGCTTCCGACTCGTAATCCTTTGCCGTATAATACTGTTGCTGGGCAGAAGGAGAAAAATAAGTATCTCGAGGAGGACTCGTCTGAGGATGCTTTTGTGAAGTGGAGGAAAAAGCGAGATCAAACTCTTGGTGAGCCTAGGCTTATGCATCAGGCTTTGCAGGTTAATGTTCGTGGGGGCAAGATGCCGAGTAGGTCTTGTGATGGGAAGGCTTTTATGCTTTATGCTCTTGATGTCCCGAGGGTTCTATTGACTGGATAGCTAGAAAACCTCTACGGAATTTCAATTTTTAGCTACTATGTGAGATTGTATAGCATTGCCACTGAAATTGAAATATCGGAATACGTCTCGGCAATGAAGTATGATGGCCCACATGGGAATTTTGTCGTGTACACTGAGCAAAAATGTGCTCTAATGTTGTAATATCTGTGCATATACGTTGTAGACAACCCAAACCATTACCTAGGCAGACATAAAGTTATCACCCAAAGTTGTTTATCTTCCTTCCTTTCTCCCGTGCTGCGTGGCTTCTAAACTGATTTCTCACTTCTGATCCTGAAGTAGGCTTCCTTCACCTCTTCACGAGTCTGCATGAGACCAAGCCATTTCTTGATCATAGGATACTTCTCAAGAGATACGCCGGCAAGAAGGTAATCATGCAACCAAGGCTCGAAATGGTAATCGACGGCAGACACGCGGCCATCGAGAACGCTTTCGCCTCCAGTTCTCTTCAACTGACCTTCGAGGACGTCGTAGCAACAATAGGTCTGAGCCGTATATCTCTCTAAAGCATTGTCGTTCTGCTGAGGGTTAAATTTCCTTAATAGTCAATAAACAGAACTGACGGCAAGCAATCCAAGGAACTCACTTAAACCAAGTCGCCTGCTCACTTATCGGACCCAATGTCGACAACAAGAAATACTCCCACTTTTCAAAATCCACCAGATCTTGAGCCAACTCTCCGGAAGGACCAATCAAGTTACCCTTGTCATACACCCGCCGAATATAGTTCATACAAGCCCCAGATTCCCACGCGACAACACCGGTGTTTGGATCCTCGATAGCAGGAACACGTCCAATTTCGTTGATTCTGAGAAACGCCGCACCCTTCACGCCCTTCTCTTTGTCATCTCCGAAATCCCATTGCTTCACTGTATACGGGATATGGAGTGCTTCGAGGGTGATGGCTACCTTGATGGGGTTTGGGCCTGAGGCGTGGGCGTGCAAGAGGATAGGCTTTATGAGGGAACCCATTTTGAGAGATGAATTTCGTAGTTGTTGGTTAGTTCCATTTTGCAAATTGTTTAGCAAAACGCCTTGAGTGGCTCTCAGTTTGGATGGCAAATGAAACAACAATGATGTAATTATTTCGGAGAAACCTAGGGTAATCGAATGGATTTATTTAGCCTGGCTGGTGCTTGTCATATATAGTAAATATCTATTTAGTATATGGGCAAAATTTGACCGGGGAACCGGTTAGACAGCTAAATATTCCTTCAATAAGAACGAGCCTTGGTCCGGCTATGTCGATCAGGCGATGCGGAGTAGATGTTTTTGATGCGGAGTGATTATTATTTTGATGAAGACAAAAGCGAGAGGTAATAAGTCCTTTTCGATGGTCTAAATTAGTATCTCCCTCTTCTGAGATTGAGCAAGGCTGATGCACATTCTTAATTGAATTTAAAAACAAACAAGTGACATTTGCAATCGAAGATGTTACTCAACAAAGCGAAATTGATCGCCTTGCTTTCAGCAGCTGCGTCCCTGTTGCCTGGTTCCAGTGGCAGCAGGAACCCTGCTCAAAGTAATGGACGAAAAGATCTCGTAGGCTGACTACTGTCGCCCACTATCCTCCCCATAATCTAACACGTACACAGTAGGTAACATATGACCAACACTCGATAATAGTCCGAGGAGAGCGACTCATGATCTTTTCCGGAGAGTTCCATCCATTCCGCCTCCCAGTCCCAGGCCTTTGGCTCGACATATTCCAGAAAATAAAAAGCATGGGCTTTACAGGAGTCTCATTCTACACAGACTGGAGCCTACTCGAAGGGAATCCAGGACATTTTATTACAGATGGTATATGGAGTCTAGATAAGTTTTTCAATGCAGCAACACAAGCTGGCATATACCTGATCGCTCGACCGGGACCTTATATCAATGCAGAAACCACTGGTGGCGGCATACCCGGATGGGTCCTCCGACAGCAAGCTGTTATTCGATCTGATGACCCAGAATATCTCAATACGACAGCGAAATATGTGTCGACGCTGGGTCAGATCATTGAACGCGCGCAGATCACCCATGGTGGTCCGGTTATCATGGTTCAACCGGAGAATGAGTTCTCTACTTGGCCTGATGTGACTAATTTCCCGAGTGAGATGAATAGGGGGTATATGGCCCATGTTGAGAAACAGCTTCTGGATGCAGGTATAACTGTTCCTTTGATTGACAATGATAACCTGAATCTGGGGTACTTCGCTCCGGGGTCGGGCGTGGGAGAAGTAGATATATATGGCATCGACTCTTATCCAATGCGTTATGATTGTGAGTATGCTTTCGGAAGCATTTTAATTTATGATGTGATACTGATTTTGGATGAAGGTGCACATCCTACTGTCTGGCCGACCTATAGGTTCCCATACAACTGGCAGATTTTGCACGAACAAAACAGTCCAACGACACCTTTCGCTATTGCTGAATTTCAAGGTGGCTCCGGAGAAGGATGGTATGAATATGACATACTCTTTAAAACAGATTTAGAATACAAGTAAACTAACCAGATTCTAGGGGAGGTGTGGATCAAGACATGTGTGGCCAGTTGGTGAACGAGGAAGCAGTCCGGGTTGTGTACAAAAACAACTACAGTTTCGGAGTGAAGATCTTTAACATTTATATGGTGAGCTCTTGTAAACCCTGGCCTAATTTTCTGCATATCTAACTTTAATCAAGACCTTCGGGGGCACCAACTGGGGCAACCTGGGATACATGGGGGGAGATACATCATACGATTATGGAGCCGCAATTGCTGAAGACCGGACAATCTCGCGTGAGAAATACAGTGAACAGAAACTTGAAGCCAATTTCCTCAAAGTGTCACCTGCTTATTTGGCAGCGACCTCCCATCTTGGAGTCAATGGGTCTTACGGCGCCCCGGCTGCGATTGCTGTGACTCCTCTCATTGGAAATGGAACACAGACAAACTTCTACGTTGTTAGACACGCTGACTTCACCTCCACCGACAAAACCCAATATATTCTCAATCTCGCGACTAGCGTTGGCAATATCACTATCCCCCAGCTAGGAGGTCAACTGGCACTCAACGGTCGCGATTCCAAATTTCATGTCACGGATTACGATGTCGGCGGCATCAACCTGATTTACTCCTCCGCGGAGATATTCACATGGGCGAAAGGAGCTCAGTCGGCACGATTACTGATTCTCTACGGGGGCGCCGGAGAAATTCACGAGTTTGCTCTGCCTAGCCATTTTGGAAAGCCGACTGTCGCCGAAGGGACAGGCATCACCATTAAGCGACGCGGGGTTTCTTGGGTTTTACAATGGCATGTTACACCGAACCGACGTATCGTCCGAGTGGCAGACCTGGAAATAAACCTGCTTTGGCGGAATGAGGCATACAACTACTGGGTCATGGAACTGCCTACTTCAGGCCCGATTGGAAATTATTCATCGCCATCCAAAGACGTGGTGGTCCTCAAGGCCGGATACCTTATCCTTACAGCGGATCTGATAGACATGCGTCTTTGTTTGACCGGCGATGTGAATGCGACTACGGATATTGAGGTCATCTCTAGCCCGGCTAAGCATCTTCACAGTATCACGTTCAACGGAGAGGAGTTGAAAACCTCTATATCGCCCGATAGGAAGATCTCCGGGACTGTCAGATACAACCTTGCTAAGTTTGGCATTCCCGATCTGTCCAACCTGGAATGGAGGTTCCTTGATTCTCTTCCTGAAATTATGACGTCGTACGACGATTCAGCATGGACATTGTGCACTTTGAAGTCAACTCACAATCCGCGGGCGTTGAACACTCCGACTAGTCTCTATTCCATGGACTACGGATATCACACTGGGTCTCTCTTCTATCGCGGTCACTTCAATGCCAATGGCCAAGAATCCAATGTGTGGCTAAATGTATCGGGTGGCACAGGCTTCGGGCATTCTGTTTGGTTGAACAACACTTTCCTCGGCTCGTGGACTGGATCGAGCGCCAACTCCACAATCGTGCATAATGTGACACTGCCATCAGCCTTGTCACGAGGCAGCCCGTACGTGCTGTCCATTTTGATTGATCACATGGGCCAAGATGAAGAAGCACCCGGTACTGACGGAATCAAATTCCCGAGGGGTATTCTGAATCATGGAATTTCGGGACCAATCCGATGTCTCGTGGAAGCTGACTGGTAATCTTGGCGGCGAGCAGTACCAGGATCTGATCCGAGGTCCTCTCAATGAAGGTAGCATATATGCCGAGAGACAGGGATACCACTATCCTGGTCCACCGGATTCTGAATGGAAGAAGTCAAACCCGGTCATCGACGGCTTGTCGCATGCGGGCGTTGGCTTCTATACAGCATCTTTCCGACTCAATGTCCCGAGCGGGTGGGACGTCCCAATGAGTGTCGTATTCGGTAACTCTTCCCAGGTCGATTCGGCCAGTGGACGAGACAACTACAGATGCCAATTGTTTATCAATGGATACCAATTTGGGAAGTATAGTAAGTCCGCATCTGGTCATGGTTCCATGGTTCGGGACACCCAACCCACTAACTTTAAATTCGCAGTAAACAACCTAGGTCCTCAGCAGGCATTTCCTGTTCCGGAAGGAATTCTCAATCATGAGGACGGGAATTTCATAGCTTTGACTGTTTGGGCACAGGGTAGATTGGGTGCTGCGCTTGGAGAATTTGAGTTGGTGCCCACATCAGTCATAAAATCTGGCTACAGTAGACCTCAGCCCGTGCCACAACCGACATGGGTACAGCGAAAAGGCGCTTACTAGAATGGAGATTAACATCGTAGATGAGAAATCAAGATTGGTATATATGCAGACCCAAGATTCTATATGCATCCATCGAAAACCCGGGGCTTTTAGACCGAAACAAAAAGAAGAAAACAAGAAAAAAAGCCAAGCGATCGCCTCCCCTAGAGAAGAATATTGAGGGAAAGAGCTGCAACCAACGCATCAAGTGCTGAGCTATGCGTTGATGCATCCACTGTCGCTTGGATGGGGCCAGCCCAGTTGACACCCAGTCCACCCTTCTCGTCGCGGTCGTTCTGCCAGATGCTGTTCGCGCTGTTCATAATAACCTTCCGATAGGTCTCATCCGGGGATGCCTTCTGCAACATCTGCAGGTTGCGAATGAAAATCCCCTTGAACTGTGTCCCATCGGGGAGACACTGCGGCTCACAGAACTCGTGAATGACCATATTGGAGTCGGCTAGTGTGTCAATGGCCGCTCTGGCAATTTTGTTGGCAGATGGCAGCAGAGTGTTGTTGGATGCAGCTCTGTTCAACTCGACCAGACCGCCGAGTACAACACCCTGGTTGTAAGACCAGCTAGAAAATGGTCAGTTCTTATACAAGCAAATATGGACTTGTGATACTCACACTGTAGCTCTGTTGTTTTGGCAGTTCTCCAATAGTCCATCGTTGATGGTTCCGTTCTCACCGATGAAGTCCTGGGAGGTGAACCAGTCCCATTCTTTCTGTGCCCAGCGCACATAATATTCCTTTCGGTCTGGGACTCGGTTGGCTAGGTGTGCTGCGACGGAGAGGAATACTTCGTTCGTGATCGAGTTGACGTAGGTGCTTGTGGGGTTCCATGGAATACCACCACCACCACAATTGGTACCCCAAGCTGCGGCCTATAAACAATTAGTATGCGGCCAGGTCAGAATTCAAGATGACACATACCAAGCTCTCAAAGATGCCCTCGGCTAGTTCCAGGTATGTCTGCTCCTTAGTGACATCATAGGCAGCAATCCATGCCAGGGCCCACCATCCATCATCATCGTATGCTTGGTCGAGCCACTGCGTGACATTGACATCGTTGGAACCCTGGCTGTTGCGGGTAAATACGGTCTTCTTCTCGGGACCGGGTGCCGGGTTTGACACCGGCCCCACGTGGAATGTGTTGTTGAAGACATAAGTCGCCGTATCCATCACAGAGGGATCCAGAGCAGCCAAATCTGCGACGGTAGTCATACAACTAGCACCATCCCACCACCCACAGGTATCCCAAATGCCACTTTGGGGGTTATACCATGTCTGGAGGGTCTTCAGGGCATCCTGAGCTCTTGATCGTGCGTCATCAGCAACGGCAGAGCCTGTCAAAAGCAGTGAGACCGCAAGAAACTTGCGAGAAAGCAGCATTGTTCCAGAATAACAACGCAGAAAACCCGACCCTGTCGGAGATCCTAGACCGGCAGCACATGTTGGCTTTAAATAAGATAGCTCCGATTTTCAAGTCAGGTTCCTGGACGCATAATTGCATGCCCAAGACAACTGTGCATTCCTACGTCTTACGGTGCCCTGATTGGCGACAGGCTGCATGGTCCACTATGGCGGATCGCTCAACCCCTGATCTGCAATGATCGTCTTGTCGCTGTGAAACTGAAACTTTAGCAAATGGTAGGGCAGTCGGTCTTCCAAGGAACCAGCCTTGCAGGATAACCCGAACCCCGGCCAACTTGCGAATTGGATTTATTCAAGGGGGTTGTGCTGCTGTGTTCACTCTGCTGCGTGGAGTATAGGCGCGATCATTAGCGCCTCCATCCCTTGCAAGCTTATGGGCCCCGCTATTTATCTGCATCTCCAGGGATTCGAAGGAATTTCAGCATCTATTGAGCATGATTTCGGGGCTATCTGGTGTCCGCTATCGATTTTTCGCCACAGTTCGGTGGCCCTATGGTCCGAGCAAGTCCACTGGAGAAGCTTCATGCGCTAGATTTTAAGCGACAGTGGCTACTTGATGTCATTGGCCCGTTTCCAGTGATCGTCTCGGAAGGAATTGAGCCCCGATCAGTCGATTTGGCTGATGTTAGTCAAATCTGTATGCAATGCACTTGACATCGGGTGCGATGTTGCAAATTCACCTCTCTACCCTCCATGCGCTCGGGTACATTTCGCTTAGACATCCTGCAAAGGCAGTGACTAGGTATATGAGACACACATTGCCTGAGATGCACCAAAATGAAATCGTACCATTGCTTAAATGACGTCAGCAAACAGCAGCTTCGTCTTCGTCCCCGTGGAAGCCAGGTGTCTCGGTTGATCCTCCATGTGTATGCAAGTTACTGGTCTACCGAAGGGGGAATTCAATTATATGCGCGATCTGTCCCACTCGTTCAAGACAGCAGCTGGCAGGGGAATGATAAAGTTTATAGACTCCTTTGTCCGATCGCACTGTTCGCTTCAGTCAATGAACAGCATGTCGCGAGAGCCAAATTGACTTTCCGGTCATTCTTCATCACATCACTCGGCATATTCTTATCGTATCTCAATGCAGGATGAGAGCATTTAGAGACAGTCACCGCTTGAGAGAAAATAGGCAGCCAAGTCGGCCAAGGTACTCGGCATCCCTTTTTTCCCTACTTTGAGGGAGATTCAAACATTGTCTCACTTGGGGAGCATTGGGGGTGTTTTTACTACTATTGATCTATCTCAGACGATCACATGAAGTTTGACACATTAATTAATGAAAACAAGAGCCAGGTCTACGTTGTTCGTCGACTGTGGTTGAGTAAACAACTTTCGCCATCAATATCCGTACCACTTATAGGAATACTGAACATTTCCTACAATCTCTCAATACAAAGCTTTGAAAGACGAGAGATGTAGTAACAAATGGCCTGTGTTGCAGTACTTGCAGATGCCACCAGAAAACCTCATACTATGTATCCTAGATCTGAAGGCAGAGAACAGGAATTAATTTTACTTGAGCATTGAATTTCTTGTAGTACAGCAATTGTCTCCATGTTCCAGATCTACGAGACCTTTGTAGAGTAGACTTGGTAAATTGCCTAGTCACAAGTCATGTGCAGCGTCCCAACTTGAGCTTGAACTCTTGCAGCTTGCACTCGTACTCATGACATATTCTTAACGAGACTAGATAGAGCTAGGCAGCTAGCTTGTGTCTGTATATCCTGTAGGACTTTAATAGGTTACTCTGCTTAGTACCTGTATACATTGTTGGGAACGCAACCACCGGAATTACCAGGAATATTCTGTTTGCCTGATGACTTCTCCCTTGTGTCATTGCGCAGTGACAAAGTAAGCGGGTCCTGTATATAGCTGTGCTTGGTGAACTAATCATATGTTAATTTAGCGTATAGCTTCCTAGTTTCAAACAATCACAGCTCCTCCGAGGATCCAGGCTTTGTGTTCAGGCAAACAAATTCGCAAACTATCAACATTGATACTCGTTTTCTCGAAAAAGTATTCTAAGTGTATAAAGTTAGTGCAAAAAGCCCTTCAACTTTGAAATAACAGGAGCCATTGCTCTCAAATCTAAGCAAATTCCAGCTTCTCTACTGCCCAGTATGCCTTCGAACGCTCATGAGATTCTCTTTAGTATGCACATAAGCCATTCATACCTCCCTTTGACTTTTGCTAATGCTGACACTTCTTTACCCAGGGACCTCCATTGCGGCCTGCAACTCAGACGATCATCTCCGCGTTTATATGCGAGATGTTCGAGGCAAAATCAGCGAAACCGTGTACGAAAATGGCTGGAGCAGTGGTGCTGAGAAGAATGTCGTTGCCTCTGCCAAGACCTTTTCACCCTTAGCCTGTACTTCGAATAACCTTGAAAAGGTCAGCATATCATCAACGCATGGTTCGGAAGAATGCTAAGAGCCTGCTCCTAGATCCGAGTGTTCTATCTTTCTAGCGAGAACACCATCGAGGGGATCGCTTATAACCAGTCCGAGGGTTGGTTTGAAGGTAGCATTGGCAAGAAGCGTTTTATCACCGCCCCTTATTCAAAGCTTGCGGTCTGCCATTTCGAGAAGGGATCCGATATTGAGCTGCGGGTTTATGGCCAGCTGGCAGATAACACCATTCAGGAGTTTGGCTTTAAGGGTAAGAATCTAACCCAGCCCATCTGGTACATCTTTCAGAGATTTTCTACAGACGAGAGTTCGGGTTGGCAGAAGATGTCAAATCTCGGACATGCCATGCCCGGCACGGAAATCGCGTGTACCGCTATCAGGACATGCATTCGGTATGTTACAAAGACACTCGATCGAATTTAGCGGTTCTGAGTCTTCTCTTCAGTGTTTACTTCCAGGATTTGGAGCACAGTCTCGTGGAGAAATGCCATGACGCAAACCGCGGCTGGTATGATGGATTTACGAAGTTCCCCACCATGCAACCCCGAGCAGCCCTTGCTTGTACCAGCTTTGCTTTTGGCTCGGATAATATAAGTATCCATATTTTCTATTCTACTGCCAGTGAGGTCCTTGAGATGGTCCACGATGGTAGGTCGTGGCGTGAGGGTCAGTTCCAAGCCGACTGCATTCCTGGCACAGAGATAGCCTGTCTCAGTTGGATCAGTGGATCCAGCTCGGAGATCCGTGTTTATGCAGGCTGGTCAGGAGGTCTCTGCCATCTCTGAGTTTGTGAGGACTAATGGGGCTTGGAAGTCGGGAAAGACCGCTCTCCCTCCTGCTTGATTCTTCCAGAGTCGAAGAATCCTGGTCGCGGCATCAAGAAGATTCCGAAGGATATGTGTCCAACTTGAGATTATTAATCGCTATATTAACACAAAATGAATGACTTGATCGATTCTGATAGCTTGAACAAATATTGATAGCTTCGGCGACGTTGACATCAACCAAATCTATACTGAGAGTCGTAAGGGCGGGGGTAACTATGACTCAATCTACAAACTTGATCAACATCACCCCGTTTTTCTATACTCAGTGTTTCCATATTCGGAAATCTGTTCTAGGTTCTCTCCGTCCTATTCTTTCTTGCCCTTCGCTTTCAGAGGCGCCCGAACAAAGCACCCCTTCCACAATGGCCCAATGCTCCGTTTCACGATCAAGCAACTCTCCCAGTCTATACAAAGCTACCCTAGATGATATACCCGCTATAAAATCAATGGTCAACTCAGCCTACTCGAAGTACATCGAACGTATCGGAAGGTCCCCAGCTCCCATGACCGAAGACTGGGAGCAAGAGATGAAAGTACATGAAGTCATGATGCTAAAGGACACCGACCAAACTGTCGGCTCTTTTGACTTCCATGTGGATGACCAAACAAACTCGCTTAAGATCAACAACGTGGTTGTAGATGCGGGCGCGCAGGGTCGAGGTTATGGATACTGGATGATGAAACATGCAGAAACAGAGGCACAAAAGCGCGGACTATCTAGTGTCACACTTTTTACCAATGTAAAAATGATTGAAAACGTTCGGTTTTATGAGAAATTGGGTTTTGTCGAAACGGAGAGAAAAATAGAGGATGGGTTTGAACGTATATATTTCTGCAAGACCCTCTCAACATATGTTATCTTTGGGAGCATCAGAATAGCAACATGACAATTCCTTATTTTTTTGGCCACAGGACAGTAATGATAAAATGCACAGATAAAATGCACATTTTCATTCGGTTAGCACAACGCTCTTCTTTTGTATTTACGTACAGCAGATGTTATTGAGTAGACATCGATCAAGTTCGCGCGTTGGTATGCTGCACAATGAATCAATTATTGAGTCAAGTTATTTAATAACAAACATAATTCCAAGGATCTGACACTTTGGCCGAGTGGTTAAGGCGCACGCCTGCTAAGCGTGTGGGTTCGCCCGCGTGTGTTCGAATCACACAGGTGTCGTATTTTTTTCCCCTCCAATAAAATAAATTTTTTACAATTTGCTCTCCAAAATTGTCTTTAGGAATCCAAACTCTTTAAATCAATCATAATTAGAGGACTTATATTGTCCAGTGAAAGTGCTATCCCGATGGCTTTACAGGACCTAAAAAGCTGTAGATGGAAACTGCATTCATAGGAAAACACATCTTACCCATCGAAGTCACAACTTGACTTGAAAATTGAAATAGAAAAACACCCAAGACAGCTACCAGTGCCTTCCAAGTCCCACAGGCAAATCAGAATAGCAAACCAGGAGAGCATCGGAGGGAACTGAGGCAATTGCGTGTGAACGTACGCCTGTAACCCATTTTTGTTAGTACTGTATACTCAAGTATACCTAAACACACGGTTATCATCCGTTGCTCAGATCGACATGATCAGCGAACCTATTCATGGACCGTACTCAACCCCTATAAAAATGCCCCTATACTCTTGAGAAGTCGCTGGTCTATGGGTTCTAAGATTGATATGCTCTGACCAATAGGCGAAGAATGCCTTTTTGCGATGAGGCATTAGGAGAACCGAAATTTGATTTTGAGAGGCTTGCACTATCGCTACTTTCGGTTAATCGTATTTATACACAGCCTTTCAATTAAACCATTACCAAGCATTTTGCAGCATCCTGCATTTCAAGGAACATTAAGCCGTCCAATAGAGCCAGACCAGGCTATCGTCTGACCACTGCCGCTGGGCTTGACCTAGTCCAAATAGGGCATGTCTAACACACTCTTTTGGTAACGCATTGTACCAAGCGATGTTACGCACTAGCTAGCAAACAGCAGTCTGACCAGTCAGAGCCAATGAAGGAACACCGCCAATAGGACTTCAAGGACATCGATGACCAGAAGTAAGCATTTGTGTGGCGCCACCACGTCGGTTCGGGATACCGGTGCTGCACGGAAGTAGGCCGAACCTGAGCACCGGGTTTTCTATTAGCCTTCAACTCGGTTTAGAAGTTGTTGATTTGAAATAATGATAACAAGCTTATTATTCTCCACGTTTCAAGAGCCACGAGGGAGTAAAATCTCCGCGGAGCACAGAGAAATGCCAAGCGATAAGGAGAGCCGACATCGTTTGCAAAATTGAGACCACGAAAGTCCCCATAAAGTAGTACCGAGAATGTCCAGCCGGAACCCAAATAGTATGAAAATATGCACCTAAACTCTTCTAACAAAGAATAGTTCCAGGCCCAAAGACCTCATGCAGATCCGGAGCGACCCGAACTATTGCCAAAATAGGAAAAGTATCGATCTCGTTCCCATTTTCATGGCCTCCACCGAGGACATTTGTAGATCGATATTAAAATGTCCACCCCCTGACCCAAGGAACGGTTTTGATAGAAGGCATGGCCATCTCCACATTACCGAATTTGGTCTATAGAGGGTCCCTCTTCACACACGGCAAGAGCCCCATCTTTAGGGCATGGATCAGCTACACTACAATAGATCGGCTTTTGTAGATTCATCCATCGCCCTTGGCGCTAGTAGCACGTCGCAGCAGTGCATACTCAGCTCAGATGCCGCCAGTATTCAGGAGTGGCCGATACCGAAACATGCTCAAGATTCCAATCTTCCATCTGATCCGTCGACTACATAATCGCCTGGTACTGTAGCCATAGCCACGGGTCGAATTTTCGAGGGGCGAGGAAAGACTCTGGTCTAGATGGGTTCTTCAGCTTTGGGTGCTGGCGGTTATATTCGTGGGAATATGCCGGTTCGATAGGTTGACATCCTCGGAGACGCCGAGCGAGGTATTGCCACAATTGTTGCTTCCTGCAGTCTCGACGTGGCCGTGATTGTCGAATTAAGTAATAGTAATCATTCAAGCGCCACTTCCGTCACGAAGCTTGAATCTGAGACATCACGCTCTGCTAATGAAGTACAGACACAATTGGTTGGGAGGAGTAGTTTCTAATCTCAGTTTGTTGAGAAGCTTTCATGGATCTTCAAACTCAAAAGCATTAAACGCACATGGGAATCACAGCGACCTTCACGTAAGAGAGGTCCGTTCTTTTCAAGAATATATACAAAGTTCCGTCATGAAGAGAATATCAAGTGTAAGGTCGGAGACATAGAAAGAAGAAATGAGATATCGGAGAAGATGAATAAAGGGGACATGAATAGGGAGTGGCAGTGTCGTGACTAGAAAGAAATACAGGTATAATGGGAAAGTTCGAAGGGAAAATATCGAGGCAGAATGCCACCGGAAAAATATACGTGGTAGCAGGAAATCAAATGCCTCCTGTGTCATGAGAAAGTGTTCATCGCCTCCAGCCGTGGCCAGACACCTCACCGAAGTCCTTGCTCGAGCGAGAGGAGCTTTCACCTTCGTCGGGGAAGGCGGGCTCGTGTGTGATCTCGATGGTGGTTTCTTGGTACACCTTTCCAATGGGGCCCATTTCATGGTTGCTGGGCTGGACGATGTTGTCTGTTGAGCCGTCACGGTGGTCCATATCGTCGTTGATGGTGCCGCCCATGCCCTTACGCTTGGCGGGAGGCTCGGCAGTGATGGTAGTCAGGTGAGTGTCACCCTTGCGACCCTTGCTGCTGGCGAATTTGTTGTAGGAACGGTCGTGACTGGGCTCGGAGTCGATGATCAGGTTGCGACGGGTGAGAGTGTATAGGACCACATCGACCAGACCGGAACTGGTGATGATAGCACCAGCACAACAGAAGAAGGTGACGTTTGGTGGGTCGCCGTTGGCAGTGGCCATACGACCAGCAGCAAGAGGAAGAGACAGAACGATGTAGACGATGGGGTAGATGGTCATGTATCCGACCACACGACGCAGACGCTTGAACGACTCCAGCTGGCTGTTACCCAGAATGGAAGAGGCCTTGATCTGTTGGCGCAGCTGGAAGAACATGACGGCGTAGAGGGCAACAGAGCCGAACTCAGCCAGGAAAATCCAGATATAGTGAGTCCATAGACGGGTGGTCTCATAATCTTCGCTAATCCAGCACCACGCGCCCGAAGGTGTGAACACGTCGGCGCCATACATAGCCAGTGGGATAATAACAATTAAGGCGATGAAGACCCAGATACCAATGACGAAGGAGACAAAGACCTTGTGGGACATTTTGCGTCCCCATACGACCAAAAGGAAAGTGTGGAAAGCAATGGCAAGCACGAAAAGACCGGAACCAGGGTCTCCAACCTGGAGCCAGAATCCTTGCAAGAAACAGGCAGCCGTACCGGACTCAATCTTGTCCGAGAGGATCCATCGTAAGTTGATAATGAAAGCGAGTGATTGTTGGAAATCGGCCAAGACCAGGTTGTAGATGAGAATGACGTATTGGTTGTAACCGATGTATCGTTGGTAGCTTGAGCGCCAGAAGATGAGTCGAAAGGTAATGAACCCGAGAAGCGTGGCAGTTGCCATCAGCGACAAGAAAGCCATAATCGAGATTGCTATTAGACCTTGTCGTTGAACCTTCGGGAGAGGGTCGATATCAAGTTCCACGGAGTTGGTCAGTCGAGCCACCAAGTCGCCATTGTTGCCTCTGGGCATCAAGCCTTCGAGGATGAGCGAATTCATCTTGGAATGCTTGGTCGTTTGCCAAGTCGGTTATCGTCACTTAATTAAGAGAGCCAAGTTTTATGCAATGATGGCTTCGTCGGGGAGTGCACTTTGTCGAATATAAGGCCAAGTTTGAACAAAAAGAAGGGTATACAAGGCTTGGGCCAATGCGAACAAGGCAAAAAAGGAAAATCAAGATGAATCGCTATAGCTCCAACATGTGGTAGCAGCAAGGAAGGAAGGACAAAGACGAAAACCGGGGAGGAGAAGCCACAGACGGGAGTATTAAAGGATCGAGGGCCAAGGGGAAAAAAGAAGCAGCAGCCACACTACTGCTAGCTGATCGAACTTAATTTTTGATAGGCCAAAACAAAAGAATGGGAAAGAATTCATTCAGCCCTTGTTTTTTTTTGCAAATGACTGGGTTCTCCACGTTGATAAGTTCCAGGTTTAACTATCTTTTGGAATCATCTCCGGTGGGAAATGGAGACGAGCCGGGAGAGCCAGTGATCTCCATAAGACTTCTTCAAGGCCCATAGTCATATCATTGAAAGGACTCCACTTCAGGCCACCTGTGCCCCTCCCAGAGTATCGGGCGAAGTGGGTAAGGGGTTACAAGTTTGCCACGAGTAGTCGAATGAAAAGACATCAAGGTTTAGCTTAGATGGCTGTACTTAGAGTACCCACCCCAACGGCCAAGACATACTATTGTGTAGCCTACAAAAGTACTAAGGGGATAGGCTGAATGTGAGCAGCGGTGCATAGGAAGGATTCTCTTTCCCCATTTTTGAGTATAATGGCGCAAATTTCCATCATTGTACACCACGTTCTCCGTGTCCTCCGCCATACAAAAGGTCTTAGCGCGCGTTCATTGACAGGGGGCCAAAACTCTCGGACCGCTCGTACTGTTTCTCCGCTGCAGGGGAATGCTTCTGGAACACTAGCGGGGAGGGAAGACCAATGCATTACTAGTATTCAATGTATGACCTTGGTTACATTTTACCCACGAGGCTGGGCCCAAGCCCACGGAATCTTGCCTGAAAAGCTCCATGGCGTTTGTCGGAAATGTTCCAGCGAGGCTAGATCTAGCATTATCATTTCCAATTGTCAATAGGACACGGCTGGCAAGAAGGGGGGGGGGGGGACCCTGGTTGGAGAAGGATTCACCCCGCACGAATGCTCCGTATCCGGTTACCGGCATAGCAAAATAGTAACAAGGCTAGAAAAACCTTGGAACTGAAGACTCCAGTGTCGATCACAGAGGAGGATTATTTAGCAATAGTGGAAGTTTGCCGTAGTGTAGTCCGTACGATTGGGCCAGTATAAGCTTCGAACCCACTATGGACTCTCCAACCAGGCTGTTGTATTACTCCGAATCCCCACAGAATGGAGTCAAGCGGGAGCCCGACCGAACACAGGTTTTCTCTTTGAGTCCAAGGCCCGGTTCCATACGTGGGCAATGCCCTAAAGAACACACCTGAACCAGGGAACAAAGAGCCATGTGGAAGCTGCATGTGGGGAAACTTTGGTTGCCCCTTTCCTTGACGTGTGAGATCGGGAAAGGAGGCCAATGTCCAAATTTTCACCACTAGCGTTGTGCAGTGGGGTTTTGCCTCCCAAGTGGCCGCGATCGGCAAGGAGACAATGGACAGGATGATTACGCGCACCACACACCGTCTGTTTTAGAGCCGCTAGCAGCGATCGTGGAGACTCGGAACAGCCGCTAGGAGGGAATATACGCCCGAGACGGGAATTGTTTGTGGAAGTTGCTGTGTCACGGATACTCAATCTCAGGGGGATAGCGGGAGGAACCGACTTGACAATTGCGCTCCAATATGGTCCTGATATCCAGTACACATCTCAGTTACTTCTATACTACACATACATGCACGACTATGAACGGCGTCACAAGATATAAAAGCCTAACGCCGTGTCTTACAACGGCGCAAGCCACCTTGAGATTTCTCTCACTTGCCTCATTCTGCTTGCCCCCCGCCCATGATCCACCGGCAATTTCCTGTAGTAGGGGGAAGTGTCCAACGTAGGCCAAGACTCCAAGTTTTAAGCACATGCATGGCAAGGCAGGATAAAGCTTAAAGTCTGTCCAAACCTTGTGCTGGGGTAAATCCGACGAATTATGTTCTATTTATCCTATTCTTGCGATCCTTGACATCTACATATCCATGTCGTCTGAGCTTTTCGTGACGGGACTGCACCGGCCAACGAATCGTCCAGTTACTAGTTCCACTCAAGAATTGTCTAGATGCCTGACAAATCCTACTATACAGCACTTGCACAAGGCTATGCTGTGCAATTTTGAGACATCAAGTTATTTTGAGCCTCGACGCGAGCATTTCCTGTTTTCACGCCGGAGATCAAACCTATCAAACCCAAAATTATCGTCAAATGTCAACTTGATCGCCACCATCATCGCGAGAATCGCGAGACTCGCCAAGTAAGCCGTCAACATAGTGTACCAAGAAACACCTCCGGCAATTCTACCCGGTTATCACCCACCACGCTGGCTAGCCTAAGCTCTCTTAGCTCTGTTTTACCAGCCGCGTCCGCACACACGCATAATCATCTCATAATTGAGTATAAACCTGGTGGCGACAGGGGAGACGTGGCGATCTGGATCTCATGCGCCCTACTTTTGCGAATATAATAGTAGATAAAACATAAATAAACAAAAAAAAAAAAAAAAAGATCAAAACAAGAAGCATACCGCATCTGCCTAATGAACATGTCATCAATCCTTTAAAGCACTAGTTAGTCTGCCCATCCTGTTACCTAAAATCACACCCTGAGACTTCAATAATCATTAGCCCGCGAGCTTGTCTTGTCTTCACAATCACAAGCACAAGCCACACCTCCCGTGATAAACGATGATCTGCGAGCCGGCAGGGGCACGGAGATTTGCCATCGGAGCGGTAACGGTACGCAGCAACTATTGGAGTAAGCCCCTCTGTCAATGCAACAGTGTTTCCCTTCTGGCCCGTGTCCCATGTGATCGCCAATAGTCTCGGTCTTCCATTCTTCAATAAATTATTTGCGACAAGCTAGAAGGGGGAGAAGGAGGAGGAGGAGGAGGAGGAGGAGGAATGAGAGTAAGTACGGGGTATCATGTAGAATCTACATATGCCCCTTTAGGCTTAATACTCACATGTCATAGGCGTGAAAGAAGATTAAAAATTAAAATTAAAATTACAATAGGCATTGTTGGTCCGTACTTTTGCCCCTGGATCCTGGATTATGGTTTCTGGGTACAGACTGGTTGGCACCTGGCCCAGACATCTGGTTTCTCGTAGATCTTTCACCCGTGGCAGCTGCGCGCTGATAGTGACCTTGGGGATGAACATGCGCATGAACATGAACGTTTACCCCACTTGGCCAGCATGTGAATGCCTGCAGGGCGATGATCCCATACGAAACCAGTCGGATTTACAGATGCACCCACACTTCCGCACGAATGCCGTTGTGGATGGGTGGACGGGACCAGCTACAGTGGAACTTCTTTCTTAGGTAAATGGCCTGGACAGTGCTGACATGTGATTTCTATTGTGATATTGTATCGGAATAGGAGAGGCACGGTAGAATGTTCTGTTGCTTTCATGTGAGGAAAAAAGCAATATCTATCAACCCACCCTGAACGGCAGCGATGGATTCTCGAATCCTGAGGCTTGGCCAATATTCCTATGTCAGCACTGTAAATCTCTGCAGGCCTAGTACAATTGTCGGTCGCTAATACTGCCGAGCGTCCGTCGTTTTTGTGGGTCGGATATGCAAGTTCATGTCAAGGTGCATTGCATGGACAGAGTCCCCAGTAGTGATATAGAGACGCGCAGACGCCTGTTAGGGGTCTCGACTGTCTATGACAGGTGAATGCATTGTGAGCTCGGCTATTTTTCACTGGAGTGACAGGGCAAGACCTGGAACTTGATTTTCGAGGGCATTGCACGACCTGGTTCGTGCTCGTTGTTAGCTTCACGGCTTGACTCGCCATTATTTCACCAGCCCCCTTATATTGACAAGTCTCCGCCGGATTCAGAATGACGACATGCTAGGCTACAGCCTGCAGTCATGGTATACTCTATACGTCCAGCATGATATTCGATGCTGGTCACTAGAAAAGAAAGTCGTTATAGGATGGGACTCGCAACATAGGCCAAGTTGGTCCACAGCGCTCGCGACCCTCAACATCAGACGCTCTCACCTCCGCCCCCGGCAATTCGACCGGGATCCCCGATTTCGCTAGCGTAAAACAATCCTTTCTATCGGCCGAGCAAGACAACAACAGCCCCAGTGCTAACTAAACAAAAAAATGCGAGACATGTCTCCGAACGGGCCAGCGAGAAGACACCGCCCCATTTAGGATCACTTAGCACCATTTAGTGTAAACTGCAGTGGATGTGGGAATTGCAATGAGTAGATTGAAACCGACCCCATAACGGCCCCTTCAATCTCCACAGCAACAACGGTGCTGCAGTGAGAGTAAAAGAGAGAGAGAGAGAGAGAGAGAGAGAGAGAGAGAGAGAATGACAGCTTCGGTATGCGCGGCCATGTCTCGTGTAGCCTCGCTATGCTGCCTGAATCATGCACGTTTAATCACGCAGACAGAATGAACCTACGGCAGAAATGTTGAGGAGAAAAAAAAAAAAGGGAAAGGAAAAAAAAAAACTTGCAATGATCATCGATCATATTGTCATCGTCGATCTGTATTCCGTAGTACAGTACAACATATAGCAAACAAGATAAAAAAAAAGAACCGCTGCATGATGCTAAATCAGTCTTGTATCATAGCCCGCGCCCATGAAAGGCCGGGAAGCTTCATAGCATTCATCAATCGTGAACATCAAAGATCGAAATGGGGGACTGGGTAAGTCCCCCGAGAAAGAGAAGGAAATGAAGAAAAAAAGAAAGGAGAGAGGAAAAGGAGCATGCAAGGCAGAAATCCACGAGCAGAAAGGAAGAAAAGAACAGAACCTAGGAAAAGATCCAGGATGACAAGGTGGGTATCATGAGTTCGTCAAGCCATTGCACGCGACGACAAGAACATATCCATTCCCCATGCTATCCTAAAAGGAGCCCGCCAATGATTTTGATGCTGAACGTAAAGCAGAGCAGAGAGTAAAGGGCACATCGAATACATATCGAGTGAAATGAATACCCTCTACCTCCGGCGCGAATTGCGCGTATCCCGACGACCGACCATGTCATCTTCCTCATCCTCTTCCTCAACAGGCGCAGGCGTCCGCCGCTCAGTACGCCTCTTCGGTCGACGACGACGGTTCGAGCTAATATTACTAGCCGAGTCGTCTGGCGCAAGAGAGCGATCGTCATCAATGAAGAAGTCATCCTCACCGCCGCTTTCCCACGTGCCAACACCAGAGAAGGGTGTTCCCATGCGTACTTCGACGGTAGAGCCGCGACGGCTTTGGTTCGCGACTGAGAGACCGGCGCCTCGTTCACGGAGGGCGCGACGCACGACTTCGGCTTTGCAGTGGAGGGCTTCAAAGGCGTCTTCTAGCGCTTCCATGCCGAGGAAGATGTCACGCTCGACTTCTGCTAAGGCTGCGATTTCGGTTTCCTCGTCGAGTGCGATGGGACCGCCAAATGAGGCGGGTGATGTTGGCGCGCCGCTCGCTTGGCTGGATGGTCGGAAGCTGCCGTCCATGTAGTTTGGTGTTGGGCCTCTGGAGATTCCACCGCCGTTCAGGGGTGTGTTGGAGCGGCTGCCGCTACCGCGAAGGCCTTGATTGCCAGAGGTATCTTCTGCGCCGCTGCGGAGGAAGCCGTCAAAGCGACCGGAGATGAGGATTTCCCATTCGTCGTCGCTAATGGCGGAGAGAGTTGCGAGGATGTGGTGGAGGCTTGGGTTATTTAACATATACATGGCGGTTTCTGGATCGCGCGGGAGAGATGCCAGTCTGTACAGACGTTGAATGGCCGACGCCGACGAGACAAGTGCCGAGGGTTTTGGGCGTGGCTTTTCGTCGTCGGATCGAGGCACGGGTGTAGCGGAGTTGATACCGAGCAATGAACAGAACACGGAGCGCTGGTGAGATTCGAGGTGTGTGAGCATGGCAAAGGTCAAGGTCTCATCATCGACCTCTTGCGGCGCACTTGTCACCGAGTCAGTCTGTTCAGACAACCACTTGTCAACAGCAACTTTGGTCTTTCTAGATTGTCGTATGAAATGGTCGCGGTACTCTTCTGGGACATCCACATCCAATTTTTGCATTGGGATGTGCTCGTCGCCAGGCGCAGTCTCCACAGCAGCTGGTGCCATCATGAATGGGGGCCACATGGGGAGTTCTCTGCGACCAGACACAAGCTCCAGAACCTCACCCCAGCTCACGCCGTCAGGTCGATCCTCAGTGCCCGCCCTTTCGCAGATCTGGCAGTTACACGGCTCAGATGAGATATCGCGCGCGAAAACAGCCTCAAGGCGATCCAGTAACCGCCGAGCAACAGATCGATAACCCGTAGCCACAGCCAAAGACCCATTCTTGCTCATCACCTTCTGGTAATCATCCAGTAAACGGTTGTACGGGTCGAAGATTTTCCCAGCCACCAGCTGAGAGTGCGTCTGACCATGCGAGAACGGATCAGACTGACCGAGGCTAGCAAGTAGCGCTCTCGACACTTTGTGTTCCAGTCCACCATTCTTCAGCAGGTAATCGACTCGAGGGATAGAGACCGGCATTTGCGGCGGAGGTGGGGGCGGCGGGGGTGCGCCGAATGCGCCTGAATTCACTGGCTTCACATAATCGACCGACTCGTCGCTGGCGGTATGGCGATGGGACATGGCCGATCGGTTCTGCGTGCGAGACGGCGGTTTCGTCGGTGGAGTCGAGGGCTTTCGCGGGGCTGAGTACTGTTGGTTGGGGGCGATGGAGGTCGCATCTGAGACTGACTCGGCGTCGATATCACGAACTGTTAGGTTGGACTGTGAGGCGGACATCGTGGAGCGGCTGGAGCGTTTGGGCAGCTTCTTCTCGTCGGAGCTCTTCGTCTTGGACTTGTGGCTTGACGACCGAGGCAGAGAATCCTTTTCATCTTTTTCCTTGGACGTCGACGTTTTGGACTTCGAAGGCGTTTCTGTTCGAGACGTCTTGCTGGACTTGGACCTGACGGTGTCATCCTTCTTCGACCGCAGACTTGACGAGGATCTGTTGACCTCCGTCCGGATTTTGATATTTGTCTTCTTCGCCTTGGCCTTCTCCGCTTCCTTCTCGTCGTCGTTGACCACACTGCCCTTCCGCGAGGATTCCTGGTCGAGCCCCGTTAGTGGGGGACTGGGTGGCGCATGGTGGTTCTCGGTGCGGTGGTGCGTCTTGTCGTCATCGCGTTCGGTCAAATCGGTCGGGTCTGGCGTGGGGATATTGGCCTTGCGGACATCTTCCTTGCTGTGAGCCTTGGAGAAGTTGGGATACGGCAGACTCGACCTCGATTCGAGGAACGAGGCAGCGCCCGACCGACTGTCGAGGCCTGGCATGGAGGAGCGGCGTAGGGAGGAACGGGCCGTATCGGAGTCACGACCCTTGGTTGATGGGCGGGTCAAGCCTTTCTTTGTTGTCTTCGTCGTCCTATCGTCTCGGTTTAGTCTAACAGGAAACATGGCGGACTCGAAATTGTGTAGTGGAGCCTTCGTCCCGCTAGTTCGAGGTCGTTTACCTCTCCCTTGGCAGGGTTGGCTATTTTCGTCTGCGCGCTTAAGCCTGCGGCTCTGACTGGGTTGGAGTCTTATGATCAACGTATGTGACCGTTTCGGATTTCGGGCATTTTGGAGAAAAGAAATAAGCTCGCGCAGGTACAAGATGTAGAGGAATGGAGAAAATATGATGCGGTGAACAGACCGACAATCTCGGCCCCCGCTCAACTGACGTGGTTGAACTGCATGGAAGCCTGATATAGCCAGCTGAACCTCAGGGAACACAGCGCCTATTTGACGTCTACAGGGAGGTATATAGTGCTGACATGGTACTTAAATTGGGGTATCTTGTACCAAGGGGATTGATTATTCTGTTCCATGCAGTCCATTCACAGCCTTTTGACAGGGGAAGTCTCAAGCACCCAGTTGCCATCTTCCTCATGGGCGATTCCTCCACTATGAGCAGCTCTCATCATCTTGTCACTAGCGGGCGTCAAGTCACCCGTATTGTGATCCCAGATCCAACCTTCCTTGAGCCACATCCATGACAGGTACGCACGTAGCTCTTTATCTTGTGGCAAAACGCACTTCCACTCAGCCACAAATCCTATTTCTGTCGCACCGGTTCCCCGCCAGTCAGAGGCTTTCTCACGCAGTTGGTCGCGGCAGAAAATGCGCCAGCTGTCAAGAGAATAGGCTCCAACTCCAGGCAAATGCGCGACTTCCCAGGCAACTCGTAGATCTTCTTCGTCGATGCATTCGTCACGGCCAACATCTCGACCGTCCAGTTTGTGCGGATAGTGTAGTTTGCGATATCTCTTGTTTTTGTGTGGAGGGGTTGTAAGCCATGTTTGTGCAAGTGCAATGCATTTTCTTGCGCGCTGGTTTTGGAATCCTAAGCAACGTATCATCGACACAAATTCTGCCTCGTCTGCTGCTGCCATGGCCTCGATTGTTGGAAAGCGACCAAAGACCTGGAACAACACGGGCAAAGCAACTCCACCCCGTGTGCGATTCAGAAAAATAGTTGCAATGAGCAAACGAAACGGGTCGTGTGCAAGTTGTTCTTGGATGAGCCCGAAAGATGGCGCATCGATTGGCGGAAATGGCAGACAGGATTCGGCACCGGGTAATACTCTTGGAAAGTAAGGGGATAGTTTTGGTGGTTTGATACGGGGGGCTTTGTTCGACTCTGGTTTGAGGAAGAGTGTACTTTTCACAGGAGTTTGAGGGTTCTCGTTCATAGGCAGTGGGATACAAGGGGGGCTTTGTGGAGGACTCTCCGGGGAACTCTTTCGGCTAATATTTGAGGGAACTGATATGACAGGGAGTCTCGGTGTTAGATCAGGCTCGTCCCAATCAAAATCACTCGGAGCATCACTCAAAGAAGAATCTGACAGGAACTCTGGAGACAAATGAAACTCCTCGAGTAGTTTCCAGGCTTCAGGGGGAATAGACATATTGTGCAGCGAGGCGGTCGTTTCCAATTGGCTTTCAGGAGCTGTAGCCCGTAAGAAATACTTGGACTTAACCTCATCACCAGCAGTCACGGCTGGCAAATCATTGGTCCTTAAAAATCCACGTCCCACAGATTTGGGTCAGCGGGCAGAGGAGGATGAGGACTTCGAATCTCTTTGGAACTTTGTCGAGAGCTTGACGGCCGGATGGGCGTATTCATTTCCTGGGCTGGGTGTTCAGCGGAGATATCTGGTTGATGTTCACTCAAAAGACCGCCGGTTTCAAGCCTGCGCTGTTGTCTCCGAAGGTTCTTCTTCTTGTTTATCTCTTTCTTCAACTCTTTTGGCTTGGCAGGGCCAGAAGGAGGGGTTTTGGAAACTGAATGGATTGATGCACCTCGTGCATTGTCATGGAAGGGTATTTTGCGCGAGTTACCTTCACCGCTCCCGTCCAATTTAATCCCGCCCTTAGAGTGACGCCTCTTGCGCTTCTTATTCCTGTTCCTCTTCGGCTTCTTTTTTTCAAGAACCTCATCGGTGCTAGAAGTTTTTACGATGCATTTCATCGCAGTAGCAGGAGTATCTACAGCGGTCTTCGAGTGTGGGACCCTCTGAGTCGTAGCCTCATCCTGAGCATGTTCAGTTGCGCTTTCAGAGCGACCCCTCTTGCGCTTCTTCTGTTTCTTCTCTTCAGGAACTTCTTTTGCAATGGGCGTTTCAACGAGGCCTGTGGCCACCCCAATTGCAGGAGTAATTGTAGCGGTCTCTGAGCGTGGGGCTTTCTTAATCACTGCCTCATCATGAGCGTCCTGGACTGCGCTTTCAGAGTGGCGCCTCTTGCGCTTCTTGTGCCCAGCAGTCTCAGCATCATATTCGATGCCAGAGACATCCGAGATAGTGACTTTCCCGTGACCATGGCGCGCTGCACTGTCCGAGTGACGCCTCTTGTGCTGTCTTGAAGCCTGGATAGTGGTATGGTCATTTTTACCGGAGACTTTCACGAGTTCCTGTGCAAACAAGATATGACCACGGCTGACGCTCGATCGCTTCTTGTATGAACGCTTTGGGTGTTCTTCCTCTTCGTCATCAATTTCATCGCCAAAGGACGAGCCAGCATCGTCTGCGGCCACGATGTCACGTTCATCAAGATAAGTCTTTCGCACAAAATCCAGCAAGGCATCAACAGATCTATTGTCCATTTTGGCTGAGAAGGCCACCTTTCGCACGGAATTGGTGAATTGGCGCCTGGCTGATCGTACGATAGGCTGAACCTCCGAAGTCATAAAAGCGTGGGAGGCAATGAATTTCAGTACCGCCATCTGGCTGCCGGCACTGACCGAGGCGAAGATCTTATCTTCGGACGACTCCTCGGGGTCTTCGATCAGGGGCTGATCGAGAACTTGTTCGGGTCCTTTCATGGGTTTAACGGGGTTCATGCCATCTGTAGAGCCTTCCTCGGGGTTTTCATCGGACAATTTGCTGGAAACGTCCTCAGACTCGTTGTTGAGATATTTCTTAGACTTCTTTTTGGAGTTCTCCTTGGACTTCTTGTTGCGCTTTCTCTGAGACTCTTTCTTGGAATTCCTGGAGTCATTCTCGGAGTTTTCTTTGATATCTCCATCCAACTTTACGGTTGCACTTTTGACTTGCGGGGAGGCTCCCGATTTCAGTTTCTTGTCTTTGGTGATGGAAGTAGCAGCAGTGACACGAGTCGGCGAGGGAGTAGGGACTTGCGAAGACCTGGTCTCAATGCTTCGAGCATGACTAGGCGAAAGGGCCAGCGCGTCATGCAAGGCGTCAGTCCCGAACAGACTAGGTGAGCTGGAGTTATCCATCAGTTGGTCTTCATCACGGGAGCCTTCGCGACTTGTTTCTTCCGAGAGGATGTGGTCGATGGTTCGGCCGAAGAAAGCATCGTCAAAGGACTTGAAGGGGGTGGTATGAGGCGAAGGGGAGCGGACAACAACAGAGATATTGCTCAACCTCGCCATGCTGCAACAAGATCGATGTTAAGTCCAGGTTCGAGGTGTTTGTCTAAGAAAGCAAGCTCTCAAGGTTCGGAGACATGTCGCGGTAGAGGGTTGAGTGCGGGAACTGTGTTGTTAACCGGTCAATGGGAGTTGTGAGAGGTAAGAGAGGAGTGTCAATAACCTGCAGAAATTCTAAGAACAAATGCGCGGTGTTGTTTTTCTGGAGCTTCGGAAGCAGTTTGTCAAATGCGGAGACGCGGGGATTGAGTTTAGAGAGGGACGCGACGTGAGCTGGTGGAAGAGAGGTTGAGATCAAGAGAAACGCGTTACGGCATGAGACCAGAAACAGCTCGTGTAAACAAAGGAAAAGGAAAGAAGAGAAAAGAGGGAATAAATAAGATAATGTAGATGTGTCGCATGGAAAAAGGGAAGCTACAGAGTGCACGGGCCATCTCAGTGCGATCTATAAGGAAGTTGAGGCTGGAGACATTCCACGTTGCATTATTGATTATGAAGACGATGGATTCTATTTACTGTGATTTTTCTGAATACATATGTACACTTTTCTGGTGTATATGATACTATCTAATCAACATGTACAGTAGATTGCCGTCTAAACAGAGTATCCAGCCGAATTGAGCTGTCTCGGCTCACCAGCCGCATCGAAAGTACCGTTAGGCAAGACCCGGATGAGTTGAGCAGTGCTCTGACCGGGAGCAACCCATGTGACATTGTGTCCTCGGGCCTCCATAAAGGCAACCGTGTCGTTGTTATAAGCATATTCGAAGCTGACCTGGTTGGGAACCAGTTGATCATGCAAGCGAGGTTTGGCCAAAGATTCAGCGGCAGAGAGGCCTTGATCAATGGAGTGGATGATGTTCTGCACAGTGGCAGTGATGATGCGGCTGCCTCCTGCGGATCCGGCAATCAAGAAGAGACTGCCATCAGGCCGAGTGACTATCGCCGGTGTGATGGAGGAGAGAGGGCGTTTTCCGGGTCGGACGTAGTTTGCGACAGAGGGGATATATCCGAACTGGTTTGATGAGCCGGGGATGGAGAAGTCTTGAGAGGATTAGCCGAGTTCATTCTTTTGACCGCGAGGCTTTCAGGTACCATTCATCTCGTCGTTCATAATAATTCCTGTTTCTGGAACCATGACATGACTGCCGAACAAGAGGTTGATTGTGGTGATCACTGAGACTGCAAGACCAGTGTGGTCAGCGGCGGCGATGTGAGAAGTTCCAGGTCTGAGATGAGGTATTAGCGAATGGTTGGTGTATCATGGGCGAAACATGGGACGTACGTATCCAGGCTTTCCAGTCCAGATGGGTCATAAGCAGACACATTCTGGGTTCGGACATCAGAGATCTTGGATCTGATTTCGTCGATCGTAGACTGAGCAAGCATCTCCGTTTCATACTGGGCCATACCCTCAACAAACAAGGGATCGCCCAAGTTAGATCTCTGCAATTCTTGTTAGTGGAATACAACGACCCACGAGAGGGACCAAAACAACATACCTCTCCATATCCAAATCGCATCGCCTCATCCATCCGATGAGTGCTCAAATGAATATCCTCTTGAGTCGAAAAGAGATCCTTATATGTCCCCAAAATCTTCAAGATACTCATAGCAACTATGCCACTAGACGGGGCAGAAGTACTGGTAACCGTATACCCACGGTAGTCAATCTGCGAGATATTCCGGATAGCAACAGTATAATTACTCAAATCCTCCATCGTCATAGTTCCATTCTCACTCTGCAACGCATTGATCATAGTCTCGGCAATGGGACCTGTGTAGAATGCATCCGGGCCACGCTCCGCAATAGCTTCAAGAGTATCTGCATACCGGCGACGAGTAATAGTATCACCAAGTCCGAGTCTCGTGCCGTTCGGGGCAAAGTCAATTGCCCATGTTGGGTTTTTGGACAAGAAGTCTTCTCCGTCGCCCACGGCCGATTTCATATATTTAACCAGGTCTGCTGTCACCGGGAATCCTTCGCGGGCAGTGCGGATAGCTGGTTGCATGACTGTCGACCACGGAAGGGAACCGTACTTCTTGTGGAGGTGCTCGAGGCCTCGGACTTCACCTGGTACTCCACTGATATAGTTGTTAGCGTCGCTGAAACCCACACTCTGACATCCCATTTCTTACCTGGCGAGTCCACCATAGATAGATGCGTCCTCATTGTTTTTGTACATGTCCTCAAAGGCTGCGGCTGGGGCTGTCTCCCGGAAATCGATGAATTCATAAGTACCATTTGGTGACTTCACAAGCATGAAACCACCTCCACCAATCCCGCTATGATACATCCCTGCAGCCGTTAGCTATCAATTTCTGGGAACGGCCACTTCAAGGTCTTGACTGACCAATAACACCGATACAGAACTCCGTTGCGACCAACTGCCATCTTATCAGCAATAGCCCACCAAATCATAGCGGGCCCTAGAGTCTCGGCTCACAGAGCTATACTCACCGCATCAGCAGCATTTCCTCCCATCTTCAACATATCAGTTCCATGCTTCGAACATATAGCACTCTCACTCGCAACAGCTCCAAGCTTCCCAGGAGCGATATGGCGATGGGATTCATGGCCGCCATTCGGATCTCTCTCCGAAAGCTCCAATGGAGATGTGGATGCTCTAGGTAAATGTATCACAATCACCAGCAGCGATAGAATTGCCAAAAGACCGAGTCTCATCGGCTGCAACATAGTTCTAATAATTCTTGAGCGATTTCTCTGCTCAAAGGGGTGCTGCGCGATATTTGTTGTCACAGAAGTGGCTGGCGAGACCAGCGAAGGCTACAAGGTAACATCAATATATAATTTTCTCTGATAGTGAGGGGAAATGCAGCGTCGAGAGGGGAAAAAAGAGCTATTCACCTGTTTCTCCACATCTTGCCCGCTGATCTCGCAGGGGTGTTGCATGTCAGTCTCGGACAAGATCCAGATTCGTCCAAGCGCTTTCGTGTAGGACGGCGATTTCCAGATCAAGTTGTTAGAACTCCGGATCGAAGGATCTCGTTCTGATTAAACACCGGGGATCAGTTTGGCGGTGTGGTCTGTAAGGGGGTGATATCTATCTACAATGCGACCCCGCTGATAAGCGGCCATAGAGCCGCGAGATATAAAGTTACTCGGCCTTTGATTGTTAATCAGTTACGCTGTGCCACCTCTTATCTTTGTTCAAACAACTTTGTGTTACGGGGTTTGTTTCCAGCTTCTGGAAATACAATCAGCTCCGAGATCGCCTTTGCTGCCTCCACTAACGTGCAGGTTTTAAGCTCGGGCAAGAATCGTTCCCGGTTATCTTCGACTCAGATTCGAAATTGTATTTGTAAACGGCGGACCTGTGAAGTACTGTGTCGAGTGAAATTTGCCGTCTTAAGAGTAGAACCCGACATAAAAGACCCGGCTTCGCTGCTCGCCCTTCCCTTCTCTCACTTTTTTTTTTTTTTTTTTTTTTTTTCCCCCCCTACCTCTCTCTCTTGCACTCATCGCTACGCCCCCGCAATTTCGTACGCCTAATCGGACAAGTTGGTTGTCTCGCCCGCCCCTTGCGCCTTCTTGTTTTTGGTCGCAAGCTACGGCTGACCCCTTGTCGCCTCCCCTAGAGCTCTTGGGATCGGGATAATTTAGCCAAACTATATAAATCATGTCTCAGAAATATTCTCTTCCGATCTTCCATGCTCTAGGCGCTACGCCCAGACCGTCTTATAGCAAAGTTGCCGCTTCGATAATTATCTGAGACTCGTTCTTAAATCCTATAGTCTAGAACTAACTACTATGACCCAAGGCTACGGGGAGATGACAGCCTGTGAGCAAATCCATTTTGCGTCTCGCACTGCCGAGAGCCTGGCATCATCACATTTGCTGAACATTGTGATGTGCCCTTGTAGACGTCTCCTTGGCCAAGAAAGATGACTGGCTGACCCCTTCCTGCATTGTGTATTACCAGGCTATTTGTCGTAATGTAGTTAATAGATAAAGATTGACTTTCCAAAAACGTATACTGTTCGAAATAAGTTGATTCTACAAGGTACACTCTTGTCCAGGAGCATGAACTGCATTAAATCAAGGCGTTTCTTATTCCATAATACATGCATAAGCTCACGGAGCTCGGCTGGCACTACCATACGTTTCAAGGGCTATCAATCCATTGGGAGCCATCACATAGTGGCGGCCAAGTTTGCGCATGAACGTAGACATGATCTAGAGACGCAACGGTGAATTTAGAGGGTAACGGTGACATATAGTTGAAACTCACCTTCAGGTGGATGTTATTATCATCCACAATACAGACATGCAAACACTTTTGATGCAGTTTTGTATGATTTCAGGCCGGCCGAGAGACGTGGCAGGTGCAAGTGAGCGTCCACACACACACACACACACACACACAGAGAGAGAGAGAGAGAGAGAGAGAGAGAGAGAGTCCTGATATGCTTGGATGTCCCTGCTGTGCCAAGAGGGACAACGTTTGTGGAGGACTGGCTTAATAAAACGAAATGGCGTCAGGTTGAAGCGACGCCTGATATATTTTCATGATTCTGTCAGCGGCGTCATCCAGACTCTAAGGTCCAAATCTGTCTGTGTAGTTAGTAAAGGCGTGCATCGATGGAAATGGTTTAATGTACAGTTGTGACACGCGAATGATGCTTGCGGGGAAATGGTCAGGTACATACTGACATCGTGGCCAAGCGACTAAAAATGCCCTCAGCTTCATATGCGGGCATACAGGTCTACATTGACCCTCTTGGCTCTTGTCTTCTTCGTTGGTCTTACGACCGCCGCATTTCATCAATGCGACACTAGTAAGCCACTACTTCACACGAATTGGCTCTCACACTCGCAATGTACAAATGCGCCTCGATGCTAGGATTTGGAATGAGAAAAGAATTCAAGTCACGTTAGGATCGAAGCCAGCCATACAAATCTGGAATATTTGGCAAGTGGTCAACTCTAGTTCGCTTCGGGCTTGTGGCGGTCTCCGAGGCTCAAGCAATTGCATATCAACCAATATCATGGGAGGGGCCAGGTCCACTCTTGGACAGCGGAGTGTGATTTCTTGTCAAATGCTCGCGATTGCATGATGGCTTACAAAGACGCGTAACGATAAAAGGTTCTCCGGAAGGTGAGGGTTCTTTGGTATGGCCGTAAGCGGTAAGAAAAGCCGAAGACCACTTAGATGGGTTATCGAAATCGAGGTTCACAAAGCCGTGGACTTGGATACGAAAGTTGTGACGAGACTCGGGGAGGGGTGATAAGTATATCACGTCGTACTCTTTGTCGTTTCGGTGGTCGATGATATCTTGTTTGATGTGATCGATGAAGTAGATCTCACTTGTGCCGGTTATTAGACGTGGCATTCTCAAATGAGAGGATGCAGCAAGGCTTGAGGCTGAGTTGAGAGAATCTTGACGTAATAGTATGGATAGACAAAGGTGGAAAAGTTGAAGAGTAGAGAGGCAGATAAAGGGGTAAATGTATGAACTTAAACCATACCACCAATGTGGCAAATATGTGCTGTTCGTTTGACAACGGAAACTTACCGACATAGACACCGCAACTAGATAGATGACTGAAGCTGACCACTATGACTCGAATGCAAGAAGAAGAACTTGCCTTGATTTATGTATATTTTGCTGAATCTACGCGCCTACGTATGCACAGTCAAAGATGGCTTGACTCCTAGTTTTTTGTTATGATGACAAAAGAAGATGTACTGACTGTTGCATTGTTATAAATGTGACGGGAAAACAAGGCACAGGGTTGACACCATCCCTATTAGAGGAGGGTTTTAGGTAACAGCAATTCTGTAACGGTAGCTTCTTCCGTATATGTACAGTCATGGTTTCTGTCGTCATCGGGGGCCAGCAATCAAACCTGGTCGGATTTTCGGGCCACGGCAAGAAAGCAACCCACTACACGTCAGCTTAAGGTGATGATTTGATATGCCGGTAGAAACAGGAAAATGACCTGCTATTCTACGGGAGCTGATCTACTGTGAGCTGAGCTGAGAGTATCCTGTTCATAATATTGTCTGGAAGAGTGAGGGGGATAAAAGTGCGTGCTGTAACATAAGCTGTAATCAAACAGAAGGGATTATGACAAGATAAATGGTTATGATAGCAGATTCCCGGAAACAGGGCTGGTATTGCTTAATCGCAGACATTGTAGGTTATGTTCATCCATAGTAGGCACATACGCATTAATAAGGACATCTAAGCATATTCTCGTTCGTGCCCGACTCACATATTCTAGGTATGGACTAATGCATATAATTCGAAGCCATATGATACCCCACCATCCTTGATCTGCCTGACAAATCTTATAAGAGTGAAGTCATTCTCGTTTGATGACTGACCGCGCCCACTTTTCCCCTTCCTCCTGATCTCCTTTTTATGTTTAGGTAAATTCGTTTCTAGTCTCTCTTTATAGCCGCCCACCCTAACGCTCCGAAGCAGCATCTCAGAAGACAGTTTCACCTGCTTTGGCCCTACCTACTACCAAAAATGTCTACCCTTCAAAATCAGAACACCAAGTCTCAAGGAGTCAAGATAGATAGTGGTCAGACTGGACTGGCAAAGCAGGAAGTCTCAAACGGTGTTGTTCCTATACATCAATCATTTTCTTTATCTCCATCCAAATTGCAAGCTAATACGTGATATGAATAGGTGGCAAATCCATTACTACACCGCGTGGGTCCAATGATTCTACAAGAAATGACAGTCACACCAAACCCAATGCCACCGAGCAAGCGGATATCCACGATAACTGCGATGCTGATTGGGAGGTAGTCAGCAGCGCCCAGGATGGCGAAAAAGATAGCAGCCAATCGTTCCATGGGCATACAGGACATTTTAGCTTTGATGTGGGTTGGGGTAAACGGAAACATCGACTGTATTCAAGTGATTGGAGCATTGGCCATCATTATCACCAACATCATGGTGATAAACATGACGAGGAAGGTAGTAAATGACAGGGGTACTAATGCGTGAAACCTATTTCCCTTCAATGGTGGTCTCAAAGTATAATGAAATTAAACAGGAGAATGCCAGTGTGCGTCCGCGCTGCCTAGGGACAAATTAATTATCTGATGGAGATAAGACGCTCAGATTTAAAAGCACGAGTTACTCATATTCAGTGCTCTATCTCTCTTTATTTATCCATCTTTTTTTCAGGAATAAAAGCTTAATTCACCGTTCTAATATGGAGCCAATGTATTGCTGTCTTGGTAAAAGAAAGCATAAAGGGCCACTTCCCAGCTTCGCCATAATGGTGGAAATTCCAGCTTGTATGCGTCTATAAACGCTAACATCTTTTTTCTACGCTGACTATATACTCCTACACGAGATGACCTCGTATTCAAAAAAATGTTTCAGCTCAACTCATCACAAACGTTTCCCTTCGGCCAACACGAGTCAGCCAAACAGACGGGGGCAAGCCAGCAGGAAAAAGCAGCGCAGAGGATTCTTTAATTGTGCTACAAGTAAACTTACTTTATTTGTGGAAGCGCCAATAGTGCAAAAACCTTGTGGCCGACCCTATAAGTGCTTGCTTTATGACATGCGGTCCTACTATTCCCCATACACTATGTAAGCATAGATTGAAAGTTTGCCATTAAACTCACGACTCTTCGGTGCTTCTAATCTAGGAATTAGTATTTAGGATCTAGCCGCATTCATGTTGGGAGCGACATCAATTATAGCTCAAGTAGGCAAGCGACAGGGAGCAGGTAGTAAAATCACCGCTAGTGCCCTCAAGCTACGTAGTTGGATGGTCGTTTGGTATTGACTCTTCAAAGGTGATAATAGCATATTCAATTCACAGGTCACAGTATGGTAACGAAATGAAATCATCCCCACCGTAGCCACAAGCCCTGGCAACAAATTCAAACTCATGATCGTTTCTGCAAATTGGAAGGTCTGACCATTCCTCCTTCAATATGCGCTGACACTCTCCATCGCCTGCTTTCTCATCCTCTTTTTTAGCGGCGTCGAACATTTCCCGAAGCACTGCCCGGCAGCCCACCTGCGTCCCAGCGCGTCGCAGGTAGTTCTTAGTATCTGGTGGCCACTCGCTCCGATCGTTATAGCACCACTCGAGATTTTCTGCGGTGGGAACCTTTTTCGCCTCAAGACACTCCACGGCAATTTTGAAGATATTTACAAAGCCTTTTCGAAGTGATTTGTTGGTTTCGAGGTTGTGTCGCACATCGGGCTCGAGGTGCTCCAGCTTGAAGTCGTTGAGCTCTACCCAAAGGCCGCCATCATCAATATCATCCTGCATAAGGTCGTACGTAATCTCGCCCTGAAAGCGCAGAGAGCTCCTCATTCGGGCGGATAGAAATCCTTCCACGCACTCTCCGCATGTACACCCGTATCGAAGGCATGCTTTTTTCAACCCCCCAGCATCCTGCCCGTACAGCAAGGAGAGAGAGGACACTGCGGTGTCAGGGTTTCCTTCAAAGTGATCTGATATATTCAATATCCTGGAAAAGCCATATTCCTTTCGTGTTCGCATTTTCTCTAACTTCTCCTGCAATGCTTCCAGCGGGGTATACCCGTCAATGTCACGAGTCGCTTTCCAGGAGCCGGCGTGACGGACATTCTCAAGTAGCCACCGTGTACTTAGGGGCTTAAACTCGCAAGCTGTAAGATGCAAAAGCGTGGCTTCAGAGTTGGTCAATCGATCCCAGCCAATCTTGTCATCAGCATGAGTGACGAAAAAAGCTTGGAGTTCCTCGTCCGTCAGAGTGAGAGCTGCATGATGCAGTGGCATCGCATCACGGAGTCTTTCTAATTTCGGTTCCTGTACCTTAGTAAACGGATCTGATTCATAGATAACTTCGAGTTCTTCGGCCTCAAGATCTTCAGCATGGCTTCTACGCGGGTCGAAATCAGAAGCCGCCGCGAGAGCGCGAGACTGATGATGGAGATCGAACGAAAATGCCAAACAGTGAGATGCTCCGATTCTGCGAAAACCGCACGATCGCCAAAAGTCAATAGCACCGGCTTCAATTTGAGCCCGTGTCATCAAGCGTTCTTCTGCGGATTTGCCCACTAGCTGCGATTCAATATCAGCTGTTAGATATCCAGGACTCACTAGAGCATGTAGGGTCCATGCTCGCTCAAAGACCTCATTGGACCCGTAGAAAATATCTGCATGTTTGCCGTCTGGCTTATCGTCTAGGCAGAACTGTTTGGCTTTTTCCAAAAGTAAAGACACCATCTTCCGTCCCAGCCCTTTCCGACGTAGTTCCAGTACTGTAACATGAAGTTTTTCAATTAGGAAAAGAGGGCCATGATCAAGTTCGTTTCCCCACACACCAGTTCCTCTTCGCACTGGATGATCCTTATACTTGGTCTTGACTGTTCCATATCGATCAAAGACATGGAAGGCCACATGGCACGTTTCCTCGCTGGGCTCTTCCATCTTTTCCCAGAATTTAGAGCGCATCTTCTCTCGATGAATATACCGAGCTAAAGCGGTGGCGACAACGATACCATCGCAAGTGCATTTGGCGACAAAGTTTTTCATACAGTTGAACTTGCCGATTTGCTCATCGATCCAAAAAAGTTGAATTGTCAGGGTTCGTGCCGCGTCACCGGAAATGTTGTACTCGTGCTCTTCAATGTCCCGTTCACAGTCCAAATCTTCGCTTTCAGCTTCGCTCTCATCTTCCCTCCACCAATCTTCTTCCTCGGAGTCATCGACTCCGTTGTATTCAGAGTCATCCTCTGTCGACTCATCGGCTTCAAAGTCTATTCCTGATCATCGAAAAAATGTCAGTATAGCTCAAACCTCTTATGTGTTAGTGAGAGGGAAGGAGAGCGCACTGCTCCGCTTGAGGGATACTCGGTCCCCAGCCATTTTCTCCTCATCATTTTCCATTCTTATTATCAACCTTGCTTCCTGGTCTAATGTAGGCGAGGCTTTTTTGAGGTGGGAGAAGAAAGGTAGGTGGGCAGAGAGACAAAAGTGGTATCAGTCAACAAGTGAGGGACTTCATGTTGTACTTAAATAGGAGGCTGGCCTGTGATATAGGTGCCTAATATGGATGACTAAGGATACTGTGTACTTCCAAAGCTATTGGTTCTTCTCCTCCGAAAAAAAGTACTACTTCCTGGGCAGCGATGCAGAATAGATCGGGCGGCTCGGGATGGGGGCGGTTCACTATCCAAGTGAAGCGTTTCTAGCGTCAAAAGCTGTCATTTTCGGCGTCGATTTTGAAGGTACTGATATTTCAGTTGTAAATTATGAATCATCGCTCTGTGCCGCCTTCCTAATCCACGCGATAGTATCATTCCACTCCTGCGGAATCTCGTTCAGCGGTTCCAGAGTGGCCATGACCAGCCGGCGGCCCCAGTCCCGCACGTACCAACGATTACACATAAGCCGCATAGCAAGGCCATAATGAAGAAACAAGATACGGGCAATCCACTCCTCGTTTCGAAGAAGTGAGCAGAACTCGTCACTGAGAAACAGAGGCCATGCTATAACACCACCCTGCGGTCCGATTTTCGGCCATGGCTCGATGGCTTGATATAAAAGCTGCCATGTGCCTCGGTAAATACCTTTCTTTGAGTCTTCTTTTGTATCGATGGTGGATAATAGTTTGTTGAGCGATGCGACGAGGTTCCTGGTATGAAAGTTAACTACCTACTCTCCGCAGTCTGCGACCATTGAAACATACTCATGGAGACGGAACAATTTCTTGTTATCTTCTTCAGGGGCACTGCCACTGTATTATGTTAGCTTGATCTTCTTTTTTCAACTCATCGAGAAAAGACGCCATACTTGAAATGCCTCCCACCCTCCAGGCTTTCCTGTGTGTCAGGAACACACAACCACCCCGCCAACTGTCCACCACCACCATCTGTGTTGATTCGGTTAAAAATCATCGCCGGCCCAGATATCAAATTTCGAACTTCGAGTATCACCGACACCGGGTCCTGTGGTGGACTGTCGAGGGAGATAGCTTTGAACCCCAGGGTGAGGAGGAGAATGAAGATGGAAGCCACGAATGCGGGCTCATAATTTGGAGGAGAGAGGTCTGAAACAACTTTTCCCAGGCCAGAGCATGCTTGACCTTGGTAATGAAGTGCAGAATCCAGCCATGAAGCTCGGTTTTCTTCTTCAGCCGACGCAAGATGTAAAGCTGAAAGTGCTAAAAGGCTGTCAAGAAGATATGGAAATGAAGATGCCATCCGAGGAATGCTCATTGATAGATGGTAAGCGGAAAGACCATCTTGAGATAGAGTGTGATATGTTGAGGTGAGATATTGATGGAACAATCTTGTCTCCAGCATGCGCGTTGGCTGCGGGCGATCTACCGCCGGTGTTGTACCACCACTCTCTGAGCCATCTGGAGCTTGAGGGCTGTCCCCGTCACTACCAGACGGGGGATAGCTGCACTCCAATTTGCGTTTTCTGCACAGAGTGCATTTTGGAACACCTTCATCGCACTGCAAATGATGTCAGCGATGGGACTCAGTGAAGCGACGCGCGTCTGGGCGAACAGGAGGGCCAGCTTTCCAGCGACACGGTCAAGTTGTAGCGAACAATGGTGGGACCAATTGATATAGGACAGTGAGCCCATTGCTGAACCGACCTTGACATGTCTCCTTTTACATTCCAAGCACCCCTTCCTGGATTTCGTGTGGCTCCGACGAGATGGCATTGATGGCTACTGCCATTCAAGAGAACAGAGGTACTCCAGATACAGAAAAGATGAAGAATCTCAGGCTAAATCCACACCGCCGACCTCGGCCGTTTTTTTCCTGGGGGATCTGCTGCATATGATCTCGTGTGATTGGCGTGGGGCTGCCTCAATGCTTATATAACACCCGCGCTAACCCCATTTAGAAAAAGAGCAAAAGAGCCAAAAAGACAACACATGCGAAAATGTTGGGAGACACGGCGTGGGTGACGATCTTCGTTGAAGGAGCTGTCACCCATTATTAGGGTGTTTCCATGTTGCAGGAAGCTGCTTACTTGAAACGGGATCACCGGTCCGTATTATGGCCCCCCTGTTCGAGACCAAATCCCAATTTTGGACTGCGTACATAATGATGTCTATCCCGAGCCTGACTACAACAGTGCAAAAAATGCACCGTCATTCCTGGAAGTACTCTTTTCGACTGGTATTTATATTGGAACTGTGGGATTCTGCATGGAATCAGGGGAAATTTCTTGGATGCTGGAAAAGAGAGACATGGCAGACGCGCCTCCAAGCCAGCCAACCAATGGCAGAGACAGATTCCAAGCCCTGGATCCATGAGGCAGATTCTAGATTTGTGATGGAAGCGGGTATATCCATACCTCCAGGAATCTCGACAAGGCGCTTTGTCGAGGCGAATGGATCTAAGCCAATTGTGGAGGCCGGGTCCAGACAAATCCTCGAAGCAGATTCGAATCGGCTCTATCCCCAGGGCGAAATCTTGCTTTAAAAAAATCGAGAGATTTTTGATGCAGTGCATCCGTCTGATCGAGTCGATGATTGTGTCTTCCATAAAATATAGATCGAATCAGATTAATATCATCTGGCGAGACCTTGAATACTAAGAGTCTCCGGATTCCTGTTTTCTTTGACACTGGTGAAGACGACAAAGTCAGCCCGCCAGCTCTTTACCAAAAGTATTCTGGCGCTACAGGGGGTGGAAATGTTGAGGTGCTCAAAAGTGGCGGACATTGAAAGTTGTTTGAAAATGCAGATCGAGTTGTAAAGGTGGTTTTGGCCCAGATTTAAGAACCGTATATTCTTTCTTCTTGTTTAGGATAGAAGGCTTGAGATTTCACCACCATGAATTGTGAGAACAGGAACCTTTTTCAAAGCATCAAGAAGGATATAATCAACAGAGACCCAATATCATTCGAGACTGGGGCCCAGTCTGTGCCGAGATAGGCAAAGATTTGCCTTCATACCAAGACGTTCGATAAATATAATCCAATATAATGCTTCAATTAAGTTCAGGGTAACTGTTATGCTTATTTTCATAATGCCTGCAAACCAAAGCGCCCTAAATATGCTCCCATCTCAATTCAACCCGTGCTCTGACTAAAACTCCACCTGGAACCGCTTACTGATTCTTATGCGCTCACCATACAACCAAAAGATGACAGGCAACCCACAAAGCGCCAATGCAATGAATCCAAGTAACGAGTTTCCCCAGCCCAATCCAAGTGTTTGGTACATCTTTGGACCAGCGAGAGGGAGCATTGCACCAGCCAGTGAGCGGAAGACGGTGTTGGCGGCCATGGCGGAGGCCGCGTAGATTGTGAATGCGTCGACTAGGTAGGTACTGACTGACATCTGTAGGTAAGTACCAGTTAGCGACATACACAAACAAATGATAGGATGACAATAGAGAAGAAAACATACGAAAGAAACCAGCATGCCAACACCCAGGAACGAAGTCCCTATAATGGGCACAATCCAGTGAGTACGGTAGTATGCCGACCAACCATACATGAACAGCGAAGCCGGAACAAACAGAGATCCAGGGATCATAGGGGGAAGACGGTATTCTGGTTTTCTGACTCCGTTTTTGGCAGACAAGTAGTTCAGTAGACGGTCAGAGGTTGCCCCTAAAACCACAAGCCCAACGATTGATCCAATTCCGATGCCGAGATATGAAAGACCGACTATTCCTTGCGAAAATCCGTAATTCTCTTCAAAGACTGGGGTTATGGTTGTGAATAGCAGATAAAGATATCCGTAGATCACACCGACATAGAGGGAAAGAAGGAAGACAATCGGTGACATGAAGAGCATTTTTGTTGGGCGGATGATTGAAAAGAGGAATAGGTCTCGCGGTGTACGGCCGCTGTCAAGGGCTGAGCGTAGATTCATATTTCCTGTTTCTTTTTGGAGTTTCTTGGTTTTCCGGGCTAGGATTGTTGGTGCGTAGGACTCGCGGATGGTGAATATCGAGGTGAGTGAGATTGCACCGCTCTAACAAAGAGTTAGCCAAAGTCCACCTGCTTGTCATGTCGTGTCAATCATAATAATCTCAACTTACAGCCATAGCCAGAACCCAGAAAGTCCACCTCCAGCCCTTGGCCTGCGCCAAGAAAGCTCCAGCTTTAGAAAGTCAGCAATCGATTCCCGATGACTCCGCCTCTCCTCTCTTTAAATGGGAAATAGAACATACCAATAGGACCAATAACGGGCCCAATCAAAGGCCCAATAGCCCAAGCCGCCATAGCCCCACCTCTCTTCTCCTGGGGAAACATATCGGCAATAGACCCAGCACCAATAGTCAACGGGCAACTACCCGCAAAGCCAGCAAAGAACCGAAACACAACGAGACTGCCAATCTCCGGTGCAACAGCGCAAGCAATCGTCCAAATCACATAGAGAACATTGCAGCCATGGTAGAGGTACTGTCGACCATACATCTCTGATAGAGGTGCCAGCAGAAGTGGCCCGAAACAATATCCTAGTAGGTACACCGACACCACAAAGGATGAGAGCTCTGTGTTTGTTACGCCGAAGTCTTTGACTAGTTGTGGGACGCCTGGTGCGAACATTGAAGAGCCGAGGGGTCTGGGATATGGAGTTTATGGTTAGCTGCTAAGCTATATGGGTAATAACTGAAGGGTGGCGTACGTGAGTAGGGTAATCAAGGCAATTGAACATGTCGTCCCGAGTTTCTTCTTCGCGGTCCAGTTGAGTGGGTTCTCAGGATCATCTGGTCCATCCCAGGTGACGATGTTTGGGTCGACATTGACTTTTTCTTCACTGGCGGGTTGTATGGGCGGTCCACTCTCGAGATCAGAGTCTCGTTTGGTTTGATCAAGTGCGATATGTTTTTCATCGTCTCGGTGAATTTCCTGGGAGCTGGCTCTTGGCGTCGATCCATCGACCGAGGGGGTGTCTGCATGGGATATCTTAGTTTTTGTTCGTTGTTACGCTGAGCCGTGTGTCAAGAATTGGTTTGATATCGAGGGCGTGCGTAAAAGGAAACGGGAATCAGACTTACTTGCGCCGTTCATGATGTAGGAAAGATCGTTGTCGCAATAATCGAGTTCGATCGACGCTTTCCACACTGCTAATTATCTCCACTTGGGCTGATTCTCGGTCTCAAACAATCAATGTTTGCTTGGCTCTTGTCTAGCGGATAAAATGATTTTATATCGCCAATCTTCAGAAGAAAAAGAGGCGAGACGAAGAATTATATGAGAAGAGGGGTCTAGGCTCGAAAGCAGACGATCATGAAGCGCACTAGCTTCGGGTTTTAGGCCGAACGCCGGTGCATGCATAAAAACTCCGGATTTGTGGGATAATTTCCCACGCGATCTGCAATTTTCAGTCCGACGGGGTGTCCGCTAGCTCGCTTGGCCTTTCTATGGTGTAGGAGGATAAGCTGCAATCTCACATCAGCCAATCTACAGCATACAACCAATATGCTACTACCAGCATTCTATTAGTGCACAAAGAGGGGTGGGAGAGAACAACCTGATCGATCCCGGTTAGGGGCATAAAGGGGCGCCGCTCAATCGAGAGGTCCGAGCCTCGCACAATTTTAATGCCGTGGGATATGTCGTTTGTGATATTATCTCCGAATAATTTAGAGGAAGCACATAATCTCTGAGGCATATAGTATTAAGTACAGATATCTTCTCCCGCCTCCATAATCCCCATATTTGTGGAGAGAACTAGAGTTATCCCCGCCCCCAGCATTCGGCTAACGGCAGATTCCGGTGGAGTGTATACGCCTCTGCATAACTCTGCATATTTACAGGCCTCGTGGTTACCTCTTGGCCCTGGGGCTAGGACAGCCAAGGCCACAACCCAAAGCCTGAAAGGTTCTTATATGTACATGATTGGTTGGAATGTTTGATCTCGGCACGGAAATGCCGACTTAGTATTTTGAGTCTGGTTACAGGATCGCATTTGGTATTCTATGCATTTTCTCCACATGTGGCGATGATGTTTTAGAATCCTATATGACATGAAACTATGTACATATACCATCACAGCGCAAAAGAACCACCATGATCATCACAAGCATTACCATCATTCGCAAATATATCGAAAACACCCATTTCAAGATCCAAATCCAAATCCCGGATTTCATTCCATGTCGATGGATCATGACTATATTCCTATCCAGCAGCCACGTTCATGGCCGCCGTCGCATTCTCTAAACTCCGAGCAGTACTAACCAAAGGATGAACAGGCTGATACATCACCGGCGATAAACGGAGGATCCGGGCCAGTCGATGGAGATAACCGGGAATACCCTCGTCGTGCATATCACACGCCAGGGGCGTCTGCTGACGTGACACTCTTACCAGGCAGACGCAGGCAAATGCGATCATTGTTCCGATGTATGGTGGGAGATTTTCGGGCCATAATTCTTTGTTATTGGCGTCGTTGGTTCCGTCCACTGTACGGCGGATGATCTCAAGCACGCTTTTCACTGCGCTGTTGACTAAAGTATTCACGTTGGTATCAGATCCGGCAGGTGATTTTGTGCCATGCGAAGGGGACACCAAGTGTGACGATGACCCCCGGAAAACATGCGAAAAAAGATATATTTTCGCAGAATATAAGTAAAGGTCGAATACACGGCCGCTAATGGACCACAAATCTACCTGACTGGTCATATTCAGGCCAGAAGGGTTTGTAAAATAACTCTGTAGGGAATCGCGCGGTCGTCGGAGTGATTTGAAGTTTCGTGTTAGGGGTGGTCGACCGTATATGAGGGAGCAATGGTGGTCGCAGATGTAGACGAGCCAGTAAAGTCTTGTGCGGTCGTAGTTGGCGCGTTTTGTATGTGGCAATTTGGTTATGCGTCTGTGTAGATCTATTTCTGTGGCTATGCGGACGGCTTTTGGTTCACGGTATTAGATTTGATTGACGATATTGGCGCCTTGAATTGGGGGTACCCACCTCAACTGTTGAGTACGGCTGATACTTCATTGAGCCATAATGCTCCAATGCACAGAGTGTGGACATCGTCGAATGAATGGTTATTCGAGACCATTTTGGAGGAGACTTGGGTTTTGAAGAATTCGAGAAGAGCGTTATAGTTCTTGGAGCCAGCGCAAAAGGCGGCCACAGTGGTCATTGCTGTTGCTAGGAGAGAGGAGCGAGTGCGGATCGTGCTCAAGGTGTCGTTCTCGTCGAGGATATGGTGTAGATAGGGATCAAGTTTTCTTCTATAGTATGCGAACATACACTCTGCTGTTTCTTGTGATATGATTCCACGGGATATTGGGTCCGGAGTTTGACTCGGAGGCGTTTTCCTGTCCCTTAGAGTTAAGCTGACCATTGATGATGCCAGGAATGCCCCAAGACTGCATGATAGTTTTAATGTAATCGTTCCAGATGAATTGTTGTTCTGCGGATTAGATTGCACATCGACTCTCTCTGTATCGAGATTGTCGATGCTTATTGGTTGCTGCCCGGGAGCAGCATTCCCAGCAGAGACTCTGGGAGTTTGGTTTGTGCTATGGATGATAAACTGCTCAAGTCTGCTCATGCGGCCTTCCATTTTCTCTCTCCAACTAGTCATCTTCATTAAAATCTTCAGCCATAATGAGAACATGAAGACAACATACGAAACATTATTTTCTAAGAGCATCTGCAGACTGTTATTAACAGTACAAGCCGGCCCACGAGATTTGCAGCGATTGCAAGGGGGCTTATCATTATTTATATGACATTTGATCTGAAACACAATATTTAGCCAACGATTCTATACTTGGCAAGAAAGACTTGATCTCACCTTGAGCTTGCGACACAGAACACAAGCCGTGATCTTTCGCGAGATATTCGGGATTTTTCGGTCCCCGAATGAATCGCGCAGACTCATTGCTGCGGAGGGCGGCATTGCTGCGGTTCAACTGAAGATGGGAGTAGAAGTTGAAGCAAGGAAAAGGCAAAATCGAAGAGGTATGAGTCGTGCCTCGATGGGTTTCGGCCCCACCACGGTCCTCTTGTCGCCGCCTAGTCATTCGCCAGTCAGAGTAATTCGAATGGGATTGTGAAACGGGTTCCTCCGCTTATGGTTAGAAATTGATATTGCTTAAATGGTGTTTTATAATCATCAAATCGTATTCTGTATATATACCGTGGTTTATCCACGCTCAATGAAATAATTACAATAGACATAATTGAAGTCGGACATTTCTCTGCACGGTAGAGAACGAGCCAACTCTGAACAAACAAAAGACAAGACATTCCGACCCATGAGGGTATACTGTGCAATGGAAAGTCTGCCTAAAAAATCATTTGACCCTTGTTCTGCTTCACATTGACATTGTAGTTCTTCCAAACCATGATGCAAGGGAAGGCGAGAACCAGAATGCAAGTCGATGCAATGCAGTTCATGCGCTGGGCGTAGCCCCATGTATACGCAACGGCATCATGAAGGGGTGAGCCCCAGGGGTAAGTTGTTTGGACATTGATACCATCGAAGTAAATCTGAGTGGCGTTGCCCTTCAGGTTGTCAGGCAGTTGGGAAGTGAGGGTATCAACAAAGACGTTGTTATAGATGGCAGCACCCACGGCCAAGCCGATCGCTCCACCGATGTTGGAGAACAGTCCAATTAAGGCCAGCATCATTGGAGTGCCTTCACGGCCACCTGCGACCATGACAGCCATGTCTTCGCCGATTACTAGGGTACCTCCGGCGAAGGCAATGAATATCTGACACATGACAACGTAACCGATGCCGTGTTCTGAGCCACGGAAGTAGATCATCAGACCGGATCCGAGAACCATGAGTGGTGCGCCGAAGAATAGGCAGATATATTTGAAACGAGCAGTTGCCCAGATGATGGCTCCAATGATCGGGGAGAAGAAGCAGGAGCCAACATTGTAAATCTGAAGCATATATCCTGCTTGCACTGCCGGGATGTTATAGGACATCAGGATAAAGTTGTAGAAGTACTGATCCCAGAGTTCGAAGCTGAAGAAGAGCACAGCGGATAGAAGGCATGCGCCTAGGATGGTTGGTCGCTTGATCAGCTCATAGCGGATGAAGTGTGTTTTTGCACCCCATTTCTCCCATGCGGCGAAGACGAAGAACATGCAGAAACCGATCACGATGAGAGCAATGAAGGTTGCGCTTGCATACTGGGAGCGTCCATACTGTGCCAGACTGAATGGCAGGAGGAACAAGACCCAGGCAATCATTAGGAGGAAAGCACCGACCACTATAGATTTTTGAATGTTAGTGCGGAAAATTGAAAAGTATCGCGAGGTTTCATACCATCAAACTCGTGGAAGTAGTGGGTGACGGACTGCATAATAGTGCGACCACTAGGCTGGCGACGGAAGATACCCTGCTTCCTCGCTTTCTTTTCGTAAAACTTGAACACCATCGCGAGAGGCAAGAAGACGAACGGCATGACAATGCAAAAGATGCCGTATCCCCATCGCCATCCGTACTTGGTGTAGACCGAGTCTGCGGCTAGCGAACCGGTGAACGCAGTGACAATGAACGGTGTCTGAATGAATCCAAAAGCGAACGCTCGGTTCCGCAGACCTGAGGTATCCGCAATGAAGATATCGAGGATAAGATATATGCAATAGTACCCAATCCAGTATAGTACGTAGCCCGCTGCATATCCATTGGGGCCATTGCAGGCAGTCAAAACAATCATGCCGAGGATATAGATACCCGTTGACACAACCAAAGCCTCGGCACGACCCCAGAGATTCAATGTCTTACCCAAAGGTAACTTCATAATGCCACCAACAATATTCGCCAGGATGTATGCTGTTGAAACCTGCGGCGCGGATTTGAAGCTTCCCATAACGTAGTTGATCAAGAAGGTACTCATCGCGGAGTGGAACGCCAACATGAAAAAGCATATCCAGATCCTATAATTGACCATGTTAAATACTGTCCGTTTATCTATATGCAACGCAGACAACCAACTCACCAAGCATAGATTCCGACCAACGCCGACCGGCTCCAGACAAGAGCCGCCGCCTCAGCCTTCTGTTGACCTAGTTCAGCACCCTCTGTAACCTGATCGGGGTGTAGTGCCAGTTCCTTCTCATCATCTTTCACATCACCGGTGTAGAAACCGCCAAAGCTGGGTGATTCGGTATCGGATTGCGACGCTTCTTGAGACCCCTCTTGGCCGGCATCGAGGCCTGATTTCTCATGTGCATGCGATCCATATGATTCGTCTCCGACTATTGCTCTGGCGATGGCACCGCCATCATCGCGACCTCGCACGATCTCGAGGACGCCCATTCTCAATCCCGTGAACGGAGCACGAGATGCTCAAACTGAATGCGATCCTCAGTCGTGGATGCTGTGTCAGGCTAGAGGGTATAGCGGGATGTAAAAGACAAGAGAAGCATTGAGGGGTCCCTATGATCTGGAGGCCCGTGAGCTCACAGAATCCGAACTTCCCGCAACGCAACCCCAATTTTTTCCTCGAAACGGAGGCTCCGAAGATCAGATAATATCAGGGAAAAAGGATCCATACTTGGACATTGCAGCCAATAAGATACTGCCCTGGAGGAAAGTGATCGCTCATTCGCCCGTGGGCTGGACCCATTCCACAATGCTTATTGGCTGGTGGCGAAGTGTGTTTCCCAAAGTGGTATAGCGTTCCCACCCGATCCCAGAGTTGCAGTTTCCCATCTGCGACCCTGACCCGTTTGCGTCTTGAATATCAGTGTGTTCTTTTACTTACAAAGTCGTAGCACAATCTGTCTCGCTTAATTTCCTCCTTATCGCCTGGGCGCAGGGCTAGACTCTGCCCCTTACGTCTCCACGCGAGCCCCCGTTCAAGGGAGAAAAAAAAAAAAAAAAAGCAAAGATGACATAGATCCTTTTCAGCCACCGGAGGCACAAGCAATCACAGAGCGTTATGGTGTCTGATCCCGGCGGTGTTCAATCTAATTGGATAACCAGTGTGGAACGGCTGCCAGCTTCCTTCGGCAACTTCGTGAATATCTTCACGCAATTTTAACTTTTCAATCCTGTTATCTGATCCAAATCAGATACCGTAAAAACGCCGCCGATGACGCCGACAATGCAAGCTTCAAAAGACCTTGGCGTCTTCACAAGCCAGTCAAGCCTCTCCCGCCTCTAGAAGGTCTGTGGAACGCACAGACTGGGGTACAAATTGTGACCCAACCCCGGTGGAGCCCCCTTTCCATTGTCATTTGGGGCGCTTGAGGCGTGTCACCCGGTCATCAGCCTTCCATGCCAGGGTTGCCTTAATCCTTCCTATAGGCATTTTCGGCTTTTGCGATCAATGTTCTCTTTCTATTGGCCTCGTGTCCTTCGAAATGTTGAACTATGGGATGGTCTTCTGCCTTCAGGCGAAAGAACCTTGCAGTATGCCTCTCGGGACCACCGGGGGCTGGATGGACCAGAGCTTCTCGCAGCTTAGGACCATCAATCTTTCATCGCATCTCATCTCATCTCATTTAATCTGATCCTTTGCCACATACTAACGGAAGCCCCGAATATGACTGTTGATGATGCTGCTCAAGTTGGAATGACATGACATGCTACGGGTCCTAGCAAGGAAGCCGCGAATATCTAAGAGTCCAAACTTGTTTTTTTTTCTTCTTTCTTGGTTGCATTCACACTGTATCGTTTGCTGTATGCCCCGATGGATTCGGATGAGCAGGTCAAGACAATAATCCGCACATCAGCAAGGACTACAAATCCTGTAGAAAGTCACTTAGTTCTACGGACACAAAAAACACACAAAATGTAGATGGAATTTTGTGGTATACTTCCATGTGATGCTCCCTTCGCATAAGATCATTAACAGTCTTTTGGAACTTAAGAGCAGCAAAAAGATGACAAGTACTGTAGCCAAGGCAAACATGCACAGGGCAATGTACGGGTTTGCACTGTTTGACCTACAAAGCAAACATGAATCACGTGACAGGCATGCATATATATACCCGCCGCGCCCGTGCAAGTTTCCTCCTTTTTCTTTCTTCTTTAGCTCTCTTTGCCTATTGGCTTAGATCAAGTGTAGTATCTGTTCTTTTCAGTTTAATCTCTGAAAGTTTCCTCTTGGAAACACTTTGATTATTCTCATTTTTGGAATCAGCAACTTGGCCTCTGTGCTTGCGCACGCCTCGTTGCACTGTGTCATCGGGCTTACACTACCCCCGATCGACGCGAATTCTTTTTCATCAACTGTGTCGGCTTGTCCGACCGTTTGGAGATGAAGTTGTTTGCCGCCGTCGCTCTGTCACTGTCTTTCATATGACCTGTTCGTATTGTTTACCTTCCATATAAGCTTGAACCATCAACCAGTTTGGCCCAGTATCGCTGGCTCATGCACCAGGCCTCTTGTTTACTTTCTTTTTCTCACATCACTGTCCTTCTACTTGTCTCACCTCCACTCAATATGGCTGCTCTGCAGCATGTCCCTATTACGCTGAACAGACTACGACCACTTCAAGTCTAATTAGTGACTCCCCTTCCCTCGTCCTCCCCCAACGACAAACAACTCTCAACACACAGTGTACTTCAAGTTAAACCCCAAATTTCATTCAAGCATATCACATCATGACCGCCAATATCTGTGGTTCTATAATTAATGTCCAACCATAGCCTGGTGGACAGGACCATATCTGTTGCCATGAGGCTTAGCGGCATCGATAATCCTGCGCATTTCCTGCTTCTCCTCCTCAGAGAAATCCACATCCCGAGAAGCCCAGTTGTTCTCAAGACGAGCGGCCTTGGTGGTTCCAGGAATGGGGATCATGCCCTGGGCAGCAACCCAAGCGAGAGCGATCTGACTGATATTGCAGCCCTTCTTAGCAGCAAGCTTCTTGACTTCTTCGACGATTGCGCGGTTCTTGTAGAAGTTCTCGCCTTGGAATTTGGGAGCTGTGAAAGGTGGCTGGGTTAGCAACTGCTTTTGAAGACGGCGGTGTTATACTCACAATTACGGCGGAAGTCATCGGGGGCAAAGTCGTCTGGGCTATTGTACTGGAAGTCATCGACCAACCAGCCGTGTCCTAGAGGGCTGTAGGCGACATATGCGACACCTAGCTCCTTGGCTGTGTCAATCAGACCGTCAGTCTCGTGCACGGTCTCGAAAGCAGAGTACTCGGCTTGAATGGCGTCAATCTTGGCAACTGTTCACCGTAAGTCTCCAATCTTCAAGGGCTTCAAGGCTTCAAACGTACTAGAGTTAGCCTTGCGCAGGGTGGCGGCAGAGCACTCGGAAAGTCCAATGTACTTGGTCTTTCCGGCCTTACGGAGCTCGTCAAGAGCAGGGATGGATTCGGTCAGAGGTGTGTCTATCGGGGATTAGCAAGTGAACAACGACAGATAATAATCTGACATACTGGGGTCAATGCGGTGCAGATAGTAGAGATCGGGAGCAAAGCCCAATCGCTCGATAGTCCCATCAATGTACTCCTTGATATGGGCGGCGGAGTTGGTGACTTGGAAACCAGCTCCGAAGACGTCAAGACCACATTTGGAGGCAACTAGGACAACAATTAGTTATGACCTTCAAGGCGATATCGCGAAATCCACATACTGAAGACTTTGTCGCGGACATTGTGCTTGCGAATGAAGTCGCCGAGGAGCTTCTCGTTAACACCGGCCTGGTAGACAACCTGCGCGCCTTGATGTTAGACTCTGGGCTGTATCCTAAGGGCTGTGGATGAACGGCTTACGGCGGTATCCCAGAATGTGCAACCAAGCTCAATAGCCTTGAGCAGGACAGGCTCGGCCTCCTCGAGGCTCAGGTTGGAACCCAGACCGTGGCTCAGACCCATGGCACCGAAACCCGGTATTGGGACCTGGATGCTGCCGAAGGGAAGGGTCTTGACCATTTTGATTGTTGATGAGAGGGTTGATGGATCGGTTGTTGTGAATGTTCTAACTGCGATGGTTGACAAGAAGTCGCAGAGGCCATCAATTTATATGTTGTGATCCGATCCCGGAATTAAGAATGGTCGATTACACCTTGTGGGTCCATTCATATCTCCCGTCATTGCTTAACTCCGGCAGATCGTGGGGTGGCAAGCTTGGACGAAGTTAGGTCAGCGTGCGCCATAGAAAGATATGGGATTGTGAATATAGAAGCAACATACTTTTATAAAGTTTTATGATGACCCTAATCATACAGTTTGAGAATGTGATCAAGATCCTCCTCTTGAAAAACAATCGATTTCATCTCTTCAATACACATATCAACAGCCTTTTCCACGCTATCAGATCCTTCGACTAGATCATACTACCCATTCGTATCGTCGCGCGCCAGTAGACTAACGGCTACGGTTGCAACATCTGCAATTCGGCCTGTCCCAATGAGGGAGCTTTCCTTAATTTCACCCTCCCCATAGCTGGCCCCGTTAGAAGCCAACTCGGCCGCAAGCTGATTTCTTGAGAAGTATCAAGCTGGTCATAGATCGAGCAATTCTGCCATTGCCTCCAAAGACGAGCACATGCTCTCCTGTCATTTTCCAGTTTTAACCAAGTGGACAACGGTAAGGAATTACGTTTAAGCCTTTTCACCTTACTATGCAACACCCTCACCGTGATTATCCCTTGCTTAATTCTATTCAAAAAAAAAAGTTCGTGTTCGACGCTTAACCCCGAACATTCTTGGGTGGGAGTTGATGACACCCCACTTTGAACATCACATTTGTAGATAGACGGCGCTTAACCTAAACAGGTTCCGATTCCGCTGTAAAACACATAGCCGTCTAAACCCTTGCCTTTTAGATATATTGGCAAGTTTGTATAAGATATAATGATCCCCAAGAGAATGATGATGGAGGGCTCAAGTTGATCGAACGTCCCAGACTGGAGACTGGTTCATTGAAATGACAGAACACCAACATTGGAAGGCCGCGCCTGGAAATGTTCTCTGGCTCCACGGAGCTGGGTAGTCTTTTAAGCCAAATACGAAGTTACTCAATGAACAGCTCTGGTCGGATGTGGCAAGAAAATGCTTTAGTAAATAGCCGCTACGAGCTACGAGCTTGCAAATGGTGATCACGAGCTCACAGACCACAGCTCGACAATCATGGAAGACGTTACTAATATTTGTCAATTTGATCCAACAAAGATTCTCGCCTACTGGTACTTCATTTCAACCAAGACTCATTGATATCATGTTAAGATCCATCAATCGGGAGGTTTGCCCTGATCCAGTTCCCAAGTTCATTATTGACTTGTGGAAAGAACATCGTCGCCAAGATCGAGAACCCACACAGAGAGTTCTCTTGAGTACTTGGGAGCAGAGTTTCGAAAAGTCCAGCCCCTAGATGAATGCCCCGAAAGACCGGGAAACCAGGCGCTGGAAACATTACTGAGCCTGTCAAATGAGCTCATTGACCGACATAAGTGGACACTTGATGTTTTTGCAACTAGTCGGTCGGAGTATGATATATGTTTCAACTTGGGAAAACATAAGACTTTTGATATAGAAGAAGGCTTAAGCGGGGATGCGAGGAGGTTTGTCAACGGCAACTCGAGCAAGGGAAACTGAGGAGGGGATGGTTGAAGCAGAACCCGCCTCTGACAAGAAAGAATTGAAAGAATTAGTTGGGCATGGAGGAGCCGTATGCATTCATTTGGCTTCCCTGATTATGAGCCTATATTAACGGCGCATCGTAGTCGTTTCTGATGGGCCGACCTGCAACTCATACGCCTCGAAGGGTGTCACACAGAAGACGTTATCATTCATACGTTGGATACCTTACCGTACACCCTTTCAAAGACCTGCAGCACAATTCCAAGCAACCTTCCTGAATGGGATCAAGAGGCAACAGGGCTGGGGATAGACACGCCACTGGATCTTTGGTAAAAACGCGTCTCGAGCGCAACCTAACACAGGTTTACTACAATGCTACACAAGCTTCTTCCTTTGTTTCTGTGTTTCTTTCTAGGACCAAAATACTGCACCAATAGAACCAAATCAGTTATAAGCATATTTGTAGTCGAGCATTATTGGTGGGGATCTACATGGGACTTTGTTTACTTTGTCAGAATGCAATTTCACTTTCATCTTAATGAATAGGGCTGTGGTCATCATTACACCTTAGTAATTTTTCTATTAATCGCAAGAATATACACAGCAAGAGCATTGACACCAAGATACACCAACCCCGCACACCCCTGGCATCCAACACTAACACAAATTAGGTCATGAACTACAACGATGTGACGTCGCAGTCAATAAATGAACTCCTTGCAGAATGCTTCTGTTCTTTCCTTCTGCACTCATCCGATCCGCGCTTCCAAACCTCCAACGCGTCATTGCGCGTGGCTCAAACAAGCACATTCCACGCCATGGCGACTGTGCCAAAAACCTTCTCGTACATCGTGCTCCTGCAATTTGCTTTAGGTACATTAGCTACACAAGATGATCTGAAATATGTCAACCCCTTGATCGGGTCAACAAATGGTGGCAACGTCTTCGCAGGTGCAAGTCTGCCCTACGGCCTTGCAAAACCTGTTGCGGACGTTGATGGCCAGAATACAGGAGGCTTCTCAACGGATGGAAGCAATATCACTGGTTTCTCACATATGCATGACAGTGGTACTGGTGGGAATCCATCTATGGGACATTTCCCGTTGTTCCCTCAGTATTGTGCCGACAACCTCGTGGACAATTGCAAGTTTCCAAAGACCGCCCGCGCTGTTCATTACATGAATGACTCGGTGGTTGCAAAGCCGGGTTATTTTGCCTTGACGCTTGAAGGTGGTATTCAAGCTGAAATGACTGCTGCAAGACGCACTGCCTTGTATCGGTTTTATTTCCCTGAGTCGAAGCTGCCAGATGGGAGTGATCTTAATCCGTTGATCTCGTTGGATCTGACTGATCTGTGGGATAGTCGGCAGAACGCTTCCATCAGTATCGATGCTGAAAATGGCCGAATCAAGGGCAATGGAACTTTCTTGCCGAGTTTCGGGGCTGGATCATACCAGACTCACTTCTGTGCTGATTTCAGTGGCGATGCTATTGACGGTGGTATTTGGGTTAATGACCGAGCTGGATCAGTGAAGGAACTATTTGTCACTCGTGGCTTCAACAATTTCTACCTTCAAGCCGGAGGCTACATGACGTTTGATCGGCCAAGTGACGGAGTCATCATGGTGAGAGTGGGTGTCAGCTTTATGAGCACAGATCAGGCTTGTCAGAATGCCGCGAGTGAGGTAGCTGATCCAGATAGTGACTTTCATGATCTGCGCAAACAGGCAGAAGACGCCTGGAAAGAGAAACTCAGCCCTATCAAGGTCACTCCTGGAGGTGTCAGTGACGACATGTTGAGTAGCTTCTGGAGTGGCATCTATAGGACCATGCTATCACCTCAGGATCTCACTGGCGAGAACCCATTGTGGAAGAGTGATGAGCCTTACTTTGACAGTTTCTACTGTTTGTGGGATGCATTCCGCGCACAGCATCCTTTCTTGACAATAATTGATCCTCAAGCACAGTCAAGAATGGTTCAAAGCTTGCTCGATACCTTTAAGCATGAAGGATGGCTCCCAGACTGCCGTATGAGTCTCTGCAAAGGCTGGACGCAGGGTGGTTCCAATGCCGATATTGTTCTGGCAGATGCTTACGTCAAGAATCTGACTGGAGTTGACTGGGAGCTCGCCTACAAGGCAATGGTCAACGATGCGGAAAACGAGCCACTCGAATGGTCCTATGAAGGACGAGGCGGTCTTCAAAGCTGGAAGCACCTCAATTATATCCCATACCTGGATTTCGACTATATCGGCTTCGGTACCAATTCACGGAGTATTTCGCGGACCTTGGAGTATGCCTATAATGACTACGGCGTAGCCGTTGTCGGAAAAGGTCTCGGCAAGAAAGACTACACGACATACTTGTCCCGGTCTGGCAACTGGCAAAACTTGTACAAAAGTAACCAGACATCTCTCCTGGAAAACGGAACAGATACTGGCTTTACTGGCTTCTTCCAGCCCAGGTATCTGAATGGTACATGGGGTTATCAGGATCCTATTGCATGCAGTGCTCTGGCATCATGGTGCTCACTCACTTCAAACCCTTCAGAAACCTTCGAGTCCAGTATTTGGGAGTATCTATTGTGCGTCAACCCATGGCACTCCCTCGCAAAGTTATTGCTGACCCTTCATAGCTTCGTCCCCCACGACATGGCAAAATTGATCAGGTTGGTTGGCGGCCCAGACTCCTTCGTCTCACGGCTAGACTATTTCCACACCTCTGGTCTGGCAGATATGGGCAACGAACCCGTCTTCCTAACAGTATATGACTACCACTATGCCGGACGACCAGGTCTGTCTGCCAGCCGAGCTCATGCCTATATCCCATCCTCATTCAACGCCACGCACAATGGTTTGCCAGGCAATGACGACTCTGGAGCCATGGGCTCATTCCTCGCATGGAGTATGATGGGACTGTTCCCGAACCCCGGTCAAAACGTCTACCTCATTATTCCTCCATTTTTTGAAGCCGTCGAAGTGACGCACCCGGAAACCAATAGGACATCAATGATTCGGAATGTCAATTTCGATAAATCTTATAAGAACATCTATATCCAGAGTGCCAAGCTCAATGGAAAGTCCTATACTAAGAGCTGGGTTCCACATGAGTTTTTCATGCAGGGTATGACGCTGGAATTGACGCTTGGTGATAAGGAGAGTAGTTGGGGTACGCTCAAGGGGGATTTACCGCCTAGTTTGAGTGACTCACTTGCTGGGGTTGATGCTAATGGCTTATGAATGGATAGCTCAGTGCTCTGATCAAGCGGTAATTGGATAATATGCATTAGCGATTATGTATGTAAATTCCAAGTATGCTTTAGCAATAGACCTGGTATTCTCTGATCATCTATTCAAAGAGATGAGTGACCTTCGCCATGTAGCCATCAACGAAATGAAGTCATATACATCTGCGGATGGCTCCACCTGGCCTGGGCACGGTGATCATATGACTAAGCATACGACCCCGGGAACACGAATCCCTTTTTCTTCAAAGAATAGCCAGAGCTTTGCTAAAGCCATTATTTTCACGACTATCTTCTCGAGCCATTTGGAAATATCCTGTCCAGGCCTAGGTGCTCACGCGATCGCTTGGTGACATCGCTCCTCAACCTCAACCCGCCAACATGGCAAGCCGGCAAATCACACGGCGCATTATCAGCAGCGCTGCGATCGCATTATGTCTGATCTTCTTCATCTTCATTCGACCGCAAGGGCCGCCTAGCCCCGCCATCCGCGCCCCCGGCCACATCGACCATTCCGCACCCGTGACCGCGCCGGGGATCACCATCCAAGATAGCACACTGAAGGGCGCGGTGGTGATGCCCAAGCTGGGCAATGAGACTGTCAAGTAAGCCGACTCTGGAGCTTATGAGCCATATCGTGTATGGTATATATCCGGGACAATGACTGACAAGGATTGGTGAATCTCCAGGGCTGAACTAGGTCGTGCGACATGGAAGTACTTCCACACGGTAATGGCGCGATATCCCGAAACGCCTACGGAAGACCAGCAGGAGGCACTGCGCTCTTACATCTATCTATTTGCCCGGTTATATCCATGGTAAGAAATCCCCACGCACCCACGCACTCCCTGCCCGCAGGCTGCCCCTGCTATCTATTGGATTCGTTCCGAGAATGCAGACCTACATCCTAGAATGGGACTGACGAATTCTGAAATAGCGGCGAATGCGCATCACATTTCCAGCAACATCTCAGCAAATATCCACCCCAGGTGTCCTCGCGTAATGCCGCTGCGGGCTGGGCCTGCTTCATCCATAATGAAGTCAATGCGATGCTTGATAAGCCCGAGTTTGACTGTGCCAATCTGGGTGACTTCTATGATTGTGGCTGTAATGGAGATGAAGAGGGTGGGGAGGGTAAGTCGGTATCTGCTTCTTCGCGGTCTGAAGCCGGGAAGGATAGCACGAGGCATGATGGGCCGGCGGTGGAGATTTCCAAGGAAGAGTTAGTTGTTTCTTGGCACTACTTACAGTATGGATCATTGCTAACTTGCTATCTAGGACTACCCGCGGTTGACGGATTGAATCTGGTCTCTTATGCATCTCATGCATTCAGATCTAGGTCTCATTTGCCAATCCTGTTTGGCTTGCATTTGATTTACTCTGGGTCCTTGGCTCGGGTTGGTTATTCATATGGAGCTGGTCTCCCTTGTACAGTAATAGATCGTCGAAATCATCAATATACCCTTTATGTTTTGCGTGTGGCTTTTGAAGGTTGAAGAGGTGGGGTAGATTCCTTGCATTATGATATTGCACTATATCAGTGGATGTAACCTTTGGTCTTCATAGACATAAAGTTAAGTGGAGAGCACAGAAGCATGCTTCCGAAGACTCTGCGTAGGATGCTTCAACCTTGCAACTAACCCTATTTAGCCTGGATAGCTATGCTTAAATAAGCACTGTACTGGAGCAACTAGAGATAGCCAGACTATACTACCAGTCAAGACAAGACCAAGACTTTCACATTCTCGCAAAGATCATCCTATCTGGTGATCAAGCACAAGCACGCATGACCTGACAAGCCCAGTATATCCCTGACCGGCAGAACACACTAAAAGCGTATCTGTCGTACATGCCATGTCCCTCAACAGAAAGAAGAACCGAATAAACTTTTCCTTTCAACGAGAAGCAGCGCAAAGATGATATCGCCATGTCGCACCCTCGTGATACCAACAAGCTGCTAGTCTAGTCTAGTGTAGTTGCATGTGTAGTCATGATGAAAGACCCCCAAATGGCCCCAAATGCCGCCAATCCTAGTGTGTACGGCTGCGCATTAGCGCAGGATATCAAATGCATGACACGAAGGAATCCTATCTAGGTTGGGTTTCAGCCAAAAATAGAGCCAGGAGGGATGTAGAAGTCGTAAGAACCAGTCTCGGGTCATCTCTGACAAATGAACGCTTGGGGTCTCCTGACAGACCTGGTTGATCTTGGGGTATTGATCGGCCATCAGCCGGTTCTTCTTAGTCCACCCAGTTCACATGAAAATAGGAAATGGTCCCGTAGCTGATAAGAGAAAAGTATATCTTCTCTTCTGATCATTGATTTAAAGAAAAGCCAACAACTTCTTCAATATTGATAGGAAGAAGAAGAGACCAAACCTCCGACGCGCCGCCATACTACCCAAAGCAGCCTAGCGTGGTCCAATCCCGGCTAGCGTCGATTTGCGCGCCAAATTTCGACGCGCAAAAAAAGGAAAAAAACCAAGAAACAAAAGATTTGGTTCTTAAGCGCTTGACCTGTCAGACTTGCATTGCTGTTGGTTTATCTGGTGGATTTCTTCCAAGGGATACCGCCCCTCCTCCAACAATTTGTCGCGAAACATTGCGTCGCATTCACCTCCGACAACAAACCGAGTCGCATTTGCAGATTGCGCCTCAATCTTGAACTTCAGCCTTCCGACACATTATTGTTCGGTTGTCTTTTTTCCCTCACACCTGTTGTACCAACGCCTTTTACGTGGGGGCGATCTTCAGTCAACATGGTGTCTTTCTCTTGCGAAGTAAGTCAAACAACTCCGGTCTTGCGCTTGCGACACAAATGCGTCTCCCTGGACCTTGAATGGATACTTACACATGTGTGGTAGGCATGCGGTGATATCCTCACCAAGAAGAAGCTTGACCCTCATCGCAACCAATGTCGCGGCGCCACCTTCACCTGCATTGATTGCATGGTGCACTTCTACGGCACCGAATACAGATCACACACGGTACGTCAGGACATGATCACATTGTTACATGGTCTCGAGGCTTCAAGGCCGGGCTTGAGCCATAGCAAGGGGATACAACTGCTAACAACTCATACAGTCCTGCATGAGCGAAGCGCAAAAATACCAAGGAGCTCTTTACAAAGAGAAACCAGGCAAGGGCCAAAAGAAGGGACCGAACACCGCGAAGAATCCCCAGAGCCAGAAGCAGAACCCCAACGCCAACCACCAGCAGCCCCGTGTCGAGGACGGCTCCGATGGCGAGGGTCTCAAGAATGCTCCCCCTCCCCCTGCTCCTACACCCCCGCCTGCTGGTGAGGTGAGGACTCCTGCTGCCAAGGTCGATAACAACAAGCCTGTCAATGTGTTCGACTACCTGGTTGCCGATGAGACCCCCAACGCGTCCAAGGTCTCTCTTACGCCCAAGGAGCAGATGAAGATGAAGTCGAATGCCAAGTCAGTCTTCGAGCCCAGCGATTCGCTTGCCAAGTTCGAAGCCAACCCTACCACCGATGATGAGGCCCAGAACTACGATATCGCCTACAAGCAGAATGGCTTCTCATATGGCGCCGGCAACATTCCCCACTCGAACTCTCCCCCGAATGTCTCAACTGAATTCGTCACCCCGGCCCCCAAGGAGAAGAAGAAGAAGCGCAAGGAAGAGAAGCACGCCGGCACCGTCAGCGAGAAGAAGCGCAAGCGCGGCCAGCCCGAGGTCCTCAGCACCCCCGGCGAAGTCGACACCGACATGGTGGACGCCCCATCAAGCATCATCAACAACGCCGGCACACCCATGCTCGCTCACTCCGGCCTGACTGGTGGTCTTAACCGAATGATGCGCTCTGCGTCCCCAGACGACAGCCCGGACGCCCGCCGCGGCGCCTACCAAGACACATCCTCGCCCATCAAGCGCACACGCCGCAACGGCAAGGAAGTCAACGGAAACGGCGACCCAGGCCTAGGGATCTCCATGCGAAACCGCGCCGAGCGCCTCGTCTCCTCAATGTTCGGCGGTTCATCCGTCTCCAGCGCCAACGGAGGTAACACCGAAGTAACCTCCAAGGCCGTTGTCCGCGCCCGTCGCGGCAGCGCCTCCAGCAACGATGACCAGCTCGAAGTCCGCAAGAGCAAGAAATCCCACCGTTCCCGTGACGGCCACGCCGAAAGCCGTGAAAGTCGCAAGTCCAAGCGCAAGAGCAGCAACCCCACTGACGGTGACCGTCCTTCCCGCCGTCTGAAGCAGGTTGATGAGCGTCGTTCCCACTCTCCCGAGGGTCGTCAGGTCGAAGTCTACAAGCAGTCCAAGCCTCCTGCGCGCACCGATGAGGATTTGCAGCGTGAGCTGGCTCATCACTTCCTCTCGCTGGTTTCGAGTGGTAGTGAGCGTGGTTGCTCGGTTAACAAGACTCTCAAGCGCTTCCATCGCAATCTTTCGGATGAGTATGATGATCAGGAATATCAGGATCGCCGATTTGATGATGAGAAGGATTTGTGGAGGGCTTTGAGACTTCGTCGCAATGATCGTGGTGAGATTGTTGTGTTTATTTGAGTATGGCGTTGAAAATGATCTATGATCGATGATTGTGGACTTGAACCTGGCCCTGGAAGGTGGTCTTGGTCTTTTTTATGAGTTGACTAGGCTGGGTTTTGTTTTGCATAGCGCTATGCTTCTTTTTGAGTTTTGATGTGAGGCTTCATTGTTGCATTCTGTTCATATTAATTCGGCTCGGGACTATATTGCATTGGTTAGTCTCATCAGGAGCTGCAGCTAAGCGCTGGCATTCAAGGGGGCTTTAAAAGTTTGTATGGATTGTAACTTTCTCTGTCTAGGTGGGGCATAAAAGCATAAAATACATACTCTCCACCAACCAGGACAACCAACCCCGTGAGATCGTATCCAATGTGACTCAATTGTATACAACTACATGTTTATAGATCGCCAAGATCCACTGAGGGTCCAAGACACAATGAGTCATGTTATGTAATTCCTGACTCACATCAATTGGCCACTACGTCACCGCCTTAAACACGCCGCCTTATACTGCCCATGAGAGCTTTCATCGCCTTCTAGATAATTCGTTCTGTTACTATTCCTCTCGGAGGGCAATTGCCTTTTGCTTACCTTTCGTGTTACTTTGGATCATATTACTTACGTTCCTTTTGTCCATATCTTGCTCTTTGAGCTTCCTCTTAAAGCGATTATATCCATCGACTACCACTTTCTCGCAACCCGCTCAACCGCATTGAGAAAATCACCGACATCATATGAGCATATTGGGCGTGACTGCTCAGGTTTCAGGCGTTTCTTTGGCTATGTCAGCTCCAACAACCGAGGCTTCAATCCCATCTGGGCCTCGGCCCCCGCGTGCTCCTAGGTCTAGGCGCAGAGGGCGGGGTTCTGGAAACCGTGAAGGTCAACAACGACCTGCTCCTGGGGGTGAAGGTCAAGCGACAACACAGACGCAACCGCCGCCTCCTTCTTCGCAACCGGCTCCAGCATCGCAACAGCCCAATCATCAAAATGATACGTCTCGCCCGCGGAGAGGAAATAGGGAAGGGAGAGGACGGAGAAACCGGGGTAATGCGCTCCCACGGGGACAGAGTCAAAAGGCCGCGCAGGAAAGTCAAGAGACACGACCGCCTGTAAGAAGTCGCGGCATGAGAGCGCGCGGCTTTGAGGCTCAATTGACACAACCTGGTCCAGCCTCAGACGACGGTGCGGGGCATTTGCATGACCATTCTCTTAGGGCTGATGTGCCGGATTTCGTACCGGGTATGCCATCATCTTCAGCAGGAAAACAATCAGGACAGTCGAATAAGGGAAAGGGGAAAGCTAGAGCGCCGGCCCCACCGAAGGTCACCACAAAGTCAACGGCCGACGATCTCGCCACACGAATCCACGAAGATATTTCTCACAACCTGTACGAATGTCCTATTTGTTGTAGTGAGTTGGGTCGCAGATCTAAGGTCTGGTCTTGTGAGCTATGTTGGACGGTTTTCCATTTGACCTGTGTCAAGAAATGGTCTAAAAACGAAGGTGCAGCTGCCCAAAGGGCTTCTGGTCCAGAAGACGGACAAGAAAGCTCTACTCCTCGTGCTTGGCGTTGTCCTGGTTGCAATCTTTCACATCAGAACTTTCCTTCCAATTACACCTGTTGGTGTGAAAAAGAAGTTGATCCTAGGCCGCTTCCTGGTCTGCCTCCACACTCTTGTGGTCAGACATGTTCTCGACCTCGCAAGGGCTGTCCTCATCCTTGCGATTCAACTTGTCATGCTGGTCCTTGTCTGCCCTGCACTGCCATGGGCCCGACACAGCACTGTTTCTGTGGTCTGAACTCTACGAAGAAGCGATGCCAGGATACTGACTATGAGAATGGGTGGAGCTGTGGTGAGATCTGTGGTGACTTACTGCCATGTGGAGAACATACATGTCCTCTCCCATGTCATGAGGGCCTGTGTGGCCGTTGTGAAGTTGATATCGAGGGTCGTTGTTATTGCGGCAAGCTACAGACCGAAATGCTGTGCAGCTCTAAGGACGATGAGAAGGAAAGTCGACTCGTTCGTGAAGATGGTTCGGAGGACGAATGGACTGGCTGCTTTGGCTGTGGAGATACTTGCGGTCGTTCTTTCGATTGTGGCGTACATTCCTGCCAGAAAGACTGCCATCCGCAAGATTCACACCCTGCTCATTGCCCACGATCACCAGATGTTGTTGACCGTTGCGCTTGCGGTAAGACACCACTATCTGAGATTTCAGGATACACCCCTCGGGCATCTTGCGAAGATCCGATTCTGAATTGCGAGAAACCATGTGGCAAGGTCTTGCCTTGTGGTCATGCTTGCCAGCAGTTGTGCCATACCGGGCCCTGTCGTGCTTGCTTGCTTCGTGTGAACATTAAGTGTCAGTGCGGTCGTACTGATAACATGAGTATATGTCACCAAGGCGCTGTTGAGCCTCCTCAGTGTCCACGTCAGTGCAAGGCGACTCTGCACTGTGGTCGCCATACCTGCACTGAAAGATGCTGTCCAGGAGAGCAAAAGGCACTTGAGCGTCAAGCAGCACGTCGCAAGCTTAGACCGCACCTTCGCCCTGCTGAAGAGGACATTGAGGCAGAACATATCTGTACTCGTATCTGTGGTCGCACGCTGAAATGCGGACGACATACTTGTCCAGAGCTTTGCCACAAAGGTGCATGCAATACCTGTAGAGAGGCCGTCTTTGAGGAGATTGCGTGTAACTGCGGAAGGTCCGTTCTGTATCCACCGCAGCCATGTGGCATGAAGCCGCCGCCTTGCCACTACCCTTGCGAGCGTCCAAAGGCATGTGGACATCCTCAGGCTGCGCATAACTGCCACACCGACGAGGAGAACTGTCCCAAGTGTCCATTCTTGACTGAGAAAGCGTGTCTTTGTGGCAAGCAAGTGCTCAAGAATGTTCCTTGCTGGCTGGCAGATGCCCGCTGTGGTCAGGTCTGTAAGCAGCCGCTTAAATGTGGCTCTCACTTTTGCCGAAAGGACTGTCATCGTCCCGGTGATTGCGAAGATGCAAGCAAGCCTTGCACCCAGGCCTGTGGTAAGACCAAGACCATTTGCGGGCACCCTTGCACGGATGCATGCCATGCGCCTTATGCGTGCCCTGAGAAGACGCCATGCTCGGCCATGCTCACAGTGACATGTAGCTGTGGACGACTTCGGCAACAAAGACGCTGTAATGCAGCAAAGGCTGTTACATCCAAGGGCCAGATACAATCTCCTCAGCGCCAGCCAGAGCTTACACCTCTGTCCTGCGACGACGAATGTACGCGTCTTGAACGGAACCGCTCTTTGGCTTCCGCTCTGGGCGTCGATATCAACCAACAAACCACTGCACAAACCATCACTGCAGAGAATCTCCCGTACTCGGAGGAGACCCTCAACCAGTACATCAAACTTGCATCCTCGGCGCCTCTCGCAACCCTTCAAACAATCGAATCAAACCTTCACTCCTTGGCCGCAGCGGACAAATCAACTCGATCATTCCGCTTCCAGCCAGCCAAACCCACTCTACGTGCATTTGCACACTCCCTCGCCGCAGACTGGGGCTTCGTGACAGAAAGCCACGACCCGGAACCCCATCGACACGTCTTCGTCCTCAAGCCAGTAGCCTGGACGCCTCCCCTGTTCGGTATGGGAAGCAGCTCCACAATCGGCATCGGCGGCATGAGTGTACGCGAGTGCGTCAAGCTCCGCGAGCGAGAGCGGACCAAGGAGCAAGAGGCTCGACGAGCTGCTGCCCTTGAAGCAAAGGCAGCTCGTGAATCCATCAAGGCACAGGCTAATGCTGGAGATGGCTGGGCTCAAGTTGCTTCGAGAAGTAAAGGTGGCAGCGGTGCCAGCACGAGGAGCAGCACACCTCTTCAAAATTCATTCGTGAGCAAGTCTATTTACTCAGCTCTTGATGGTGATGAAGGTGCTAAGAAGGAACGTTTGGTCCTTCGCTCTGGTGTTGGTGCTGGCAAGTCTTTGCGTGCTAAGCAGCCTGTTCCGCAGGTTGTTGATAATTGGGAAGACGCTGAGGAAGCGGCAGAGGAGAAAGAGGAACAGTTGGAGGTGGGACGGGAGCAGAAGACAGAGGCGGTTACTCATGAGGACCCTCAGGGCAAGCCCGAAGCTGGGGCCGGGGCCGAGTCCGATACTCCTAAAGAAGATGGCCCCACTCCAGCTCCAGCTCTAGCTCCAGCTGAGGAAGAAGCTTCCTCTGCCACAGATGTTGCTGTCTAGTTCCTCGAATTTATGAGCAAAAAAACATGCGTCTATGCATCATTGCATTACGATAAGCTTCACCATCTATCTGTGAGCTTTCATGATATTTTACGCCGGGCATCATATGGAGTCCGGAAGCATTGAGCATTGAATTTTGATATTTCTGTACACAACCAAAAAAGCGAGAACAGAAATACCAAAAAAAGAAGAATTATCAAACGCAATTCCGTAATCATGATAATCGGTATCCACATTCCCAACCCAATTCATCCATAAATCTACTTCTCATCCGATACAGGCATAACCTTGACAAACTGCAAACACCCTTCCTCGGAAGCCCGATACGGCCCATGCTCCATACCAGGATGTCGATAAGCATAAGAACCGATGCTCCACGTCTTGCCTAGTGTAACATCTTCCAGCCCACCGCGCAACGTGCAAACCTCTTCCGTGTAGGTATGAGTGATAGGCTCAGTCTGCGCTGAGACGGCATTTGGCTCCCACCATTGTAGTGCAGCTTTATGCTCTGGATCTCCGTTTAAGAGGAATTCCCAGACTCCTGGTGCTATTGAGTACCAGGGGAGTGCTGATTCGGCGTTTTGGGGTGTGCCTGCTGGTGGATGCGGTGGTGGGGTGCTGAATTCTTTTTGAGTGAAAGACATTTTTGGGTTGGATCTTTTGTATATGCGTAGGATTGTAATTTCAATTGAGGAGATGTTGATGCTAGGTTTGTGGTTGGGATTAAAGTTATAGTTCATATGGCGCTCTTGGGCAAAGTGCTGACAAATGGCTAAGGGTCCATGCGGCGTCGATCTGGTGAGTTTGTCTGGATTATATACTAAAGATTAAGGGTATATAACTTGATCTTGTCCTAATAGATAACATATCTAGCATAGTTTGTATGAAATACCGCATCTTCAATGCTGGAGGTATTAAGGACGGCGTAATATTGCTTACGTCAGTGTGATTATGTCATCCCATAGTTCGGGCAATTCTTTTGGAGATTCGGAGACATTCCAAGTTGTACTTCACACTGGTCAAAATGGCATCTTTGCAATTGAGGAGTTTCCAATCTGCTTTCCGTGGCAGCACTCACCTGCTGCGCCACCAGCAGCGTCGATGGGCTCAGGTTCACGACGTCCGCTTCCTTGCTTCTCATCACGATCCCAAATATGTTCAGGACAAGTACCGCGCCAAGCTGGACCAGAAGGCCAAGGAGTAAGTTTACTTCGACAAATTTGCAGATTTTATACTAATGCTTCCAATGTAGAGAGGGCCATGAATCGGTCGAATCATTGAAAGAAGCCTACAGCGAAAAGATCTCCGATCTCCGTCGCAAAGCATCCACTGCCGCAACCCCAGAGCCCAGCTCCCCCATCTCTACAACTGCAGTCCCAGGCACACCCCCAGCCTTCCACCCACCTCCGCCCCCAGGCCAGGAATCAGCCACCGCAAAGGCCGCACGCCGCGTGTCAGGCGGCGACTCGAGCCCCGTAAAGCCTCTGAGCACATACCTCGACGTCGAGAAGATCCGCGATCTCCCAGCTAAGGAAATCGAAGCCCTCTGGCGCCTCCGCCACGCAGAGAACTCTCACTCAATCTCCGCGGTCATCACACTGGACACATACAAGCGCATTGCCCAAGCAGCGCGTCAGAACCCGCAATTCGTGCTGCCCCTCCCGCGCGCAGAGATCCCCGCCGAGGAAGCCGATGCGCAGAACCTCGAGGGAGCTGGAGCTGCTGCCGAGATTCACTTCTTGCAGTGGGCTTTCCATCCGCCTGCTGAGGGCTCCATGCCCTCGCCTTCTAACACCCACACCTCTACTGTGATCTTCACTAACCTCGGTGCTTATAAGATGCATGGCTCCTTCGCCCAGCCTCATACTACCGTTACCCACCACCTTGATTTGGCAGATGATAAGGGTTTGGTCCTTATGCATGGACAGGTCGTGCCGGATCGTGGTGTTGACACTACTGAGGCTACTTTCCTTGTCAGTTGCTTGCAGCGGTTCTATGACTTTGAGGGTCAGGCTAATGGCCGCAAGGGTGAGCTTGTTCGTATGTTCACTCGGGGTGATGTGGAGAACTTTAAGATTGAGGAGCTTTTGGAGGAATCTGAAAGACTTCAGTAGTTTGTTCTCTTCTCTATTTGATTGGGCTTGTATTATATAGTCTTCTTTTCTATCCTGGTTGCTAGTTGGATAGATTATGGAAGTTGAATTGATGTCCTTATATATACATTCGAGACTATACTCTGTTCTGTTTAGGGTAAACTAGGTTAATACTCCAGCGCTAACTTGTATGCATCTCTGTTTCTAGGTCTTATATTTATAGGTTGAGATGGTTATCACATGACAGCCCGGGTGGTCTAGTGGTATGATTCGCGCTTAGGGTATTCAAACACCTAAGCATATATGCGCGAGGTCCCGCGTTCAATCCGCGGCTCGGGCCTGTTCTTTTTTTGTTTTTGTTTTTGTTCTATCTCTTACTAGATAGACAATAAACACACACGCATCCTTTCTTCCCTCCGTGTATTATTTAATTGGCCAATTGGGACTTTAGTCTGCTGTTCAAATATATTAGAAACGTTGTTGATTGATTGACCACGTTGCCAGCATTTATGTATATGTATGTATGTATACATACATACATATACATCAGTGCAACGAATGCACGTACAAACAGGCATATGGGAGGGAACATTAACATATAAAAAGACCTGCGCAAATAAAAAGACAATTCATAGCATTATATTTAGTTGAGTGCTGGCTGGACTTGATAGTATCAATTAATACAAATGGGGATATACAGATACTGTATGCGTCTCTGTACCGTTTAGATGGAAGGAAGGAAGGAAGGAAGGAAGGGTTTATTATCTTATATTTACCATGATTTGTCGCGAATTGCCTGTATGTACTTCTTTGGCTGGCTCTTTCGAGTCTATGTGTACATAGTCTAGGAATATTTCTAGGGTTTGTTGTGGGGGGTGTTTGAGGATTGGTTGATACCAGTCCATTGCTGGGGTCCGGACGGTGTTTATTTCATTACATTCTTTAGAGTTTTGTGGAGTTTCCATTGTTTTGCTGGTTGGATTATTTATATTTCTTGGATCTTGTGTCAACAAAGAGGTCGTATATGTCGACGAAGATGCGTCTTTCATTTCCCGAGAGTAGCATGGCGGGGCGATGATGTGTGAGCTTTTAATGACCCTCTAGGAGCACTGATATCATATGAGCATTGAGTCTATCAAGATTGATAAATAGACGATTTGCAATTACACAAACTGAGAATATTATAGTGAATAACATGCTTGACCGGACTTGATATTCACCGCCAAGGCTTCATGATCAAAGATTCATGGAGGGCAGAACAAGGCTATTCTCACATAGAAATTGATTTGAAGGGGTTCCCCATTTAGTATTTACACAGAAACAAGTAATTAACAGAGCCCGAAAGCAATGGATAAAAATGAAAAGTTTAACAAAAATACATGTGCCACGCCATACATCGGACCGATAGTGAAAACACCGAGAGTAAGTTGACGCCAGTAGGAACAAGAAGCGAAATAGAAACAGGGAAAATATAGCAGCAAAGAAGAGAAAGCTCACTCTTACAGGGCGATTAGACCCTGATCCTTGGATGAATGCAATGTAAAATTCGTGTATTGGTTGCGTTGTTTGGGGTATCATGATCATGATTGACTGTGCCAGTCAACTGATTCTTAGGTATCGAGGACCGAAGGGGTGTATGATGGCTGTTCTCTTGGCAGCCGATTATTAAAATAGAGGTTGAAAAGAAGACGTGAATTGTGGCGAAGAGAAGTAAGTCGTAGGGTTCACTCCTTGTTAGCTAGTACTTCCTCGGTGATGAAGGAATGGATGTGATCAAAGTATCCAGGCTCTGCAACGGAATCATTATGACCACCGTTTGGGAGTGTGCGCCAGACTTTAGTCTCCGAGTTGCAAACAGCGAATAATTGGGTCATGTTCGATGGCCTAGAACATGTAAGTAATGGAAAGACAAAAGTGTAGAGTTACGTACGGCACAAGCTCATCCTTGAGACCACTCATGAAGAGAATAGGTGTATGAGTGATCTTAGGTAGGGCCTCCTCACTGTTCCAATATTGATGGCAGAAACGCGCGAGATATCGCGCAGGGGGGAAGACACTAGATCAGAGTCAGCATTGATTGGACCCAATGACTCAAAATCGTTCAAACTTACTTTGGAATTAGCTTGCGAATACTCAGGAAGGTATTCTCAAGGATCAATCCTGTAATATCGCCGGGCTCTTGGTTGCTAGCAACTAGGTTGATAGCCACGGCACCCCCAAGACTTTGTCCGTATACAACAATCTTTGTATCACTCGTCTCTGCACGGTTTCTTAAATAGTCCAGGCCAGTCTGCGCATCGATCTTGAGGCCTCCTTCATCCGGCACGCCTGTTGACATTCCATATCCTCGATATTCCAGCATGAACACGTTACACTGGAGAGTGTCCTGCACAGCCTTGGCGATGGGAACACGGTGACCGATGTTGCCTGCATTTCCGTGGAACATCAAGACAGTTAAATTGCGAGAGAATCGACTGGGTTTCTGGCGCAAGAAGAGAGCGTGCAGCGACTCTCCGTCGGGAGTGGGAATCTGCAGATCCTCAAAGTCGGTGATACCGAATTGGCGAGGACTGGGGACATTTGTTCGTGCATCCACAGGGACATTTCTGGGGTAGATCAGTTCACTGGACAGAGTGTTAGCTTCGGAGACCATGGTTTAGATGCCAATCGCGCACTTCTGCTTGAAATAGAGGAGACCGCTTGCCACCACCGCCAAACCAGAGGATGCCAGGACGGGTAGCCGCATGAACTGAGCAGCACTGTTGGCCATGTTGCTGATGCTCCACGAAGGAGGCGGAGGTGATTCGGACATGGTGGAGATGGGGGGTTTAGAGTGGGAATCCGATAAGATGAAGTTGAGATTGTGGTATTGGAAATAATCAACTAGCGGAGGCCAATGCGACCAAAGAAGAATACAGGAAATAGGGACTAGCCCAGGGAGAAGGTAAATCTGTAGTTTCAGGAGTCTCGCGGGGAGAAGATGATAAGTCAATCAGCAGGGGCTGGGACTCACCGCCCTGCCGCGTGAGCTTCTGCCTGTGTTCATGATAGCATCACCTCTCTACGTCTCCCTTACTTCTCAACTCTCTTCCTTGCTGTTTTATCTTCAAGCCTTTTCAGTCATATCATCTTGGTAGCAGCATAAAATGGTCGCCCCTCACGGAACATCAGGAATGCTTGGTGAAGGTGAGCAGAGCTATCGTCATCCGCCGAGCCAAGCTAACAGGTCCAGATGGCATTCACGTTGACATGAACCACCTCAAGTCTGGTGAGGTCAAGTAAGCTGGGCCCTCGATGATTTGTTTGTTATAAAGTTACTGGACATATTCTAACGTATTCTTCTTCTAGCCTTGGAACCTCGATGTGAGTTGAGCTGGAGCTCCCGAACATTACCATCTCGAAACATCCTATTAACAATTCAACAGCATGGCGATCAACTTCAAAGACGGTGTAATCCTGGGTGCCGACAGTCGAACAACCACCGGTGCATACATTGCCAATCGAGTGACCGATAAATTGACACAGGTGCACGACACCATCTGGTGCTGCCGCTCTGGTTCGGCCGCAGACACTCAGGCTGTGGCAGACATTGTCTCCTACCACCTCAACATGTACGGCGTAACGAACAACGAGGCTCCCACCACACAGGTGGCCGCATCGCTCTTCCAGGAATTGTGCTATGAGAACAAGGATGCGCTGAGGTAAGCAGCTCTGCTCTACAGACTCTGAATCCATGCTAATAGACCCCAGTGCTGGTATCATCATTGCCGGATACGATCCACGACACGGCGGTCAGGTGTACTCGATACCCCTGGGAGGATCCCTTCACAAGCAGTCGTTCGCCATCGGCGGTTCGGGCTCGACCTACATCTACGGTTATACCGATGCCCACTGGCGGGAACAGATGACAGAGGCAGAGGGTATCGACTTTGTGCGGAGTGCATTGCAGGAGGCTATCAAGTGGGATGGCAGCTCTGGTGGTGTAATTCGTCTCGTGGTCCTGACCAAGGCCGGCGCTGTCAGACATCTCTACCTGCCGGACAACGGCTACACCGGGCCGGGCGTGACGAATTAATAAGTGCTCTAATATCGCGTCAATCAAATGAAATGGTTTCATGATCCCAGTCAAGCTCAAGATTGCTTCGGAGGTACTGCCACCGGACACTAGTGCATGCTCCTAGGCATGTAATGTACCGAGGGACCAGAAGGAGTAGTCGGAAGAGCTCGGTCAGCGGATTGCCTGGGATATAAATGCCGATTGGAATGGACCGGGGGATAATCAACGTGTACACCTATAACCCGGTCATTACATCATTAGACGAAGTTGAGGTATCCCAAGTGAGCAGACATCCTTTGACAGCTCAGATATTGAGTAGAACAGATCATATCTCACTTATGCATGCTGCCATGTTCCCCAGAAAGGGAATGTGCAGGTTTATATCGGGAAATATTCAGACCAGTCTTCATTGTATACGGGTAGAAGGCGCTCAGACAGGAATCACCGGCGTCAATGGCACCACGGGCGTTCAGATCGTGCTATTATTCGCCCGATATAAAGCCCCCAAAGTACACCGTCTTTTATACTCCAAACTCTAGACAATAGAGACTAGGGTCTACTCAGATAGATACGAAGAGACATATTCCCATCAAAATAGATGAAGTAATCTGGACTTGTTTCATCTCCACCTAAGCCACATCACCACTTTCTAGGCTACACTCTCTCAATGCATTCGATCGACACTCGCTGATCCTCTCCCTGTTTCTGGGGATATCCTGATTTGTTCCTTGTCAACCCCGTAAGCAACCCCTCTTCCTTCTCGACCCTCTCGACCCTAACGAAAAACAGGAATAACCTCGAGATGAGCTTCGTGGAACACGCATATTCACGCGCCTCATCGACCCCCACTTCTATTGCCCCGCCAGTAGGCTCTGCTCGGCCGCAGAACGATATACCGGCTTACCTCTCCTCTTCACGCGCCGACCTCACCTCTTCCTCTGCCATGACGTCCCCGAATGCCTTCGCTCCCGACTCACACTCCTATAGCCGCCCGGCAGAACCGATGACCGATCCACGCTCCGCGCCGGATTCACCGCGATTACAACCTACACATCAATCAATGCAGTCCGTGCCGGGATCCGAAGTCAATTCTCCGAGTCGCATTCGAGTCCAGAGCTTGTCTCACATCCAGAGGCTCGCCAATGATGATGTCGTAGGGTCGCGAGGATCGCAAACGTCCAGGGCTGGGTCGCAGCGACAGTACGAGATCAGCTCCATGCCGGTCACGGAGATCATCGAGATGGTCGCTGGACTCCTCACCAAGATCACCACCTCGAACGATTTGCATCACGAACATGTCCATCGCCACATCCCGCCACCGGATGGCACCTCAAATCTCAGTCCACAGGCCACCAGCGTCCTCGCATTCCACGGCAAAAACGTCCCCAGCATCACGATCCTCAGCTACCTCACTCGTATACACAAATATTGCCCTACGACCTACGAGGTGTTCCTGAGCTTGTTGGTCTACTTTGACCGCATGACGGAGCTGGTCAACAGAGGGAAACTCGACCACCTGCAGCGTCGCTGGGTCCCTTCAGAAGACTCAGATCCATCTTCGGCATCACCTACATCGCAGCAAATGCACGACTCGCCTATGGTGACGCCTCCATCCTCTACTGGTTTAGCTGCGCAGGATCCGCAGGGGCCGAACTCCATTTCGCCGGGTCTCTCTCCCCAGTCTGACGCCGAGACCCTTTCACATTTCTTCGTCGTTGATAGCTTTAATATCCATCGACTGGTCATCGCAGGAGTGACCTGTGCGAGCAAGTTTTTCTCTGACGTGTTCTACACTAATTCACGTTACGCGAAGGTAGGTTGCTCACTTTTCTTGACTCTTGTATCAAAATAACTAACCGTTCTTAAATGTGCAGGTTGGAGGTCTCCCATTAATAGAGCTCAATCACCTGGAACTTCAGTTCCTGCTCTTGAACGACTTCCGACTCGCCATTACCGTTGAAGAGCTGGAGGCATACGGAACAATGCTCGTAGAGTTCTACGCGCGCGAGGTCGTGACGCAACAACAACAACAGCACCAGATGAGCTTACCACGACCCATCGACCCGGCCCGCGATCCAAACTCAGATGCGATGTACATGCGATCCCGCGACAAGTACCGCGACCATCCAGAAGTCGGCCAGACCCCGACTCCACCATAATCTGGTCTGGCATCAGAGTTGATATTCAACAGTATTTCCATTTCTTGGGCCATAAGCCCAATTAATCCCACTTACTGCCTGCTATCCTTGATTGAGCGTTGCTTTGCCATCCATCTGTCCCCCAGTTCTGTCTCCCATCCCCTCCTGCCTTGGCACATGGATATATGCATGTGCCCACATTCCGACCCCAAGCAGCACATACGTTACATACCCTCCAACTTCGGGCACACCAAATCACAGCCCCTACCATATCCTATATATCTCTCTCCGGTTCTCTCTCAGCGCGTTTACACGACACGACTTGTATAGACTTTGGTTCTCAGCTGGCCGGGCTTATCGGGTTGTTTCCTTACAGTTATTCCCCTTCTGCGTTGCGCCTTTTTCCTTTCTTCATACATGAATCATCTACTGGATCTTTTCCATTGGGGATATATTCTTTTGTATTTTCTCTTCTTGTTCTGGTCCTATTTATCTCCGTCATGGGTTGGAGTTATGCTGGTGCTTTTTTGCATCGCGAGTTTTTTTACGGGATAAGTTGTTTCCCTTTTCTGGGTAGCTTTTAGCCATTCTTTAATCTGATTGTTCGACCTTTGTGCATTGTCTTGATCTCTTGCTGGTTGTAGTTTTGGGATTCAACAACGAACAGCCGCATTTCCATCTGACTGCGACAAATCAAAACCCTCTACTCTTGAAAGAATCAAGGGCCCTAGAGGACCAATGGACTGTTCCATTTTACAAGAAGCTTGTATACAGCCACGTAACATTCATACACAACAAAGTTTGTTTGGCTTTTGCCTACCGATTACAATCAATTGATTTGATATAACCCTACCTTATATGATACAGCACAGGCTGAGACCGAGTATAAATAGGCACATAAAGCCTTCAACCACAGAAAAACCGAGAAGATCTGCAGCATGCACACACGATACTCCCACCAGGCGCTTGAGCTTGCAGCTGATCTGCAGATCTATCAAATCATTTCACTGAGTATACGGACCAATATATTAATCTACTTGGCTTTACTTTAGCTTCATGCCTTGCTCATATACTCGATCAGAGACCACTTCAATTGCTTATGAGATATTCGGTTAATTGCCGTCAGAGAGTCGTTTAAATGCCCATCAGATACTCCGTTAGATGTCCCTGTAGATGCCGCTCATATTACACATCATTTCATGTATCTCACTATCAACTTATGCCTCTCGTTATACCAATATCTGCCTGTATGCCTTAATTTATTGTTCTCCATAATATTTGCTCATCATGGCATTAGCCCTAACTCGGCTGCCCAGCAACCAACATTGGGACCTTCCTCGTGTAGTGTAAACATCAATACAAACGAGCTGCTCCCTCCTCATGGTCCTCTATTGATATTATTGTTGATGTTATTGTTGATGTTATTGTTACTTCTGTTGCCATGGTCCTGGGCACCTACTTAATGACATTTCCCACTGTTTTGTTTTCTCTTTTTCTTTCTCCCCATGCCACTGGCTCTTGAACTAGCACTGCTTTTTCATAAACATTCCCATTGCTATTTGTCTCGCTTCCAAGCTGTCATCATGCCTGTCCGCTACAATCTTCGTTCTGCTCCTCACTTCTCTCCTTCTTTTCCGACGGCCCTGGTCAACCCGACCCGGAAGACCCGTTCTTCTAGCGACGTGCGACGTATTCCTCCTTCTTCTCCCATCTCGACTTACCTTTCCTTGGTGCGACGTCCTGGTTCTTCTTCTTTTTCTTCTCTGGCCCTGGCTAAGCCTGCCATCGGAGCACGCTTCCTTGGTTTGCCGCGGCGTATTCCCCCTCTTTCTCTCAGTGCTCCTCTTATTGTGCCTTCCGTTTTGTCTCCTGCTGTGTCACCCATTCTGTCTGTCCTTCCTCTTGTTCAAGTTTCTTCTTCTCCGACGTCGCTGGCCAACCACTCCATTGTGGCTCGCTCCTCTGGTTCGGCGCGGCGGGTTTCCCCTGCTCCTTCCACCTCTCGCATCGTCAAGTCGGTTCGCTGGGCTCCACAGGAAGACTGGCCTCGCCCTGTCTCTCCTCCACGGCTTCGATCCATTCTCAAGTCTCGACCAGCCGTCACGGTCCAGCCTCAATCCTCGTTCGACTCTATCATTTCGCTTGGACGCACGATTCGATCCTTCTTTACTGCTCGACCTGACGATACACTCTTTTCGGGCAAGTCTCGCAAGACAGTTTCCTGGAGACACTCTCTTGTTGAAGCCAAAACTATCGAAAACCGCAATGCTCTTAAGCACACTGATAGTCTCATTTGCCCCCGGACCTATCGGAAGGTTGAACCGATCAAAAAGTTTCGATTCAATGCCACTCTTTACAGCTTTTCGAGAACACAGGCCAACAGACCTCCTTCTGTCAACACTCATTCAACCGCAAATGCCGCCAGCAAAGTGATCACCTCTTCTACTCGAAACATGCATCCAATCCGCAGGATTCCTTCAAATCTCCTAGACAGCGCTTTGTTCTGGTCAATCACTACCAACCTCCAGCCTAAGGTCATCCACAATCCTGACTCTGCTACCTCCCTCATGTCTCAGGCTGGTTCCTCCGTCACTGGATTGCTCAATGTCCTCCGCATTCAGGCGATCAACATGTTCGGACTCTGAATTCTCGACCCATACAAATCGATTTTGGTCATTCCAGTCTTTACCTCTTTCACTCTATGTTTTCTCTGGGCTTCAACCTCTCGACTTCAGTCAGGATTCTACATTCTTCTTCGGTGCTTCGGTGCTTCGGTGCTTCTGTGATTCTTTGCTTCTTTGCTTCTCTTGTGTCTTTCTTCTTGGCTTCTTTTCTTCCTCTGTTCTGCTCTCTTGAGACCTTGCTACTTGTTTCTGTTTTAGGAGTCGACACCTCGACACCGCAACTCAGCACCACGACTCGATGGCGTCCCCCTAGGATCGCGCGGAAGGCAGTGGGATGTGGTTCGATTATATGACATCTAAAGTTAGTCACTCAATTTTGTGTTTTGGTTTCATGAGCTAAGAATGCAAATCTTTAGCAAGAATCGTGACCCCTAATCGAAATTGGTCAGTCTCCTTCCAAAATTTGCTAACATCTGTTTCTTCCTAGTATGAGATGACATCCCTGCATCCTCACAATTTTTTCATCATGTGTTCTCGCAAGTCGAGGGGCATGGAGAAGAAAACAAGTGGGAGTGGGAAGAAGGTAAATTAAGGTTGTGGTCTGTGCACGAGTCTTGTCTGCAGGGGTATGTATGTACATAGTATCAATCAAATGTTCAGTTGACCTGTTACACTCATAATCATCGTAATGTATAATATTTCGTAGTTCGTATGTCTAATAGTCCTCGAGCACGTGGCTGATCTTTAAATAGTGGGAGTACCAGCTCAATACCATTAGTGCCTCGGATACAACGAATGCACAACCCGCCTCTCCTTACCGATCAAAAACGCACACATTCTTGTCGTAGAAAAATCAAGCCCCATTTCCAAGACTCGCTCCATCCTCAGTTACATGCTTTTCGCTGTCGGTTGCCGCCCAGTCAGGCAGCGTGTATCTGAGCTGACAGAGACTCTCTCCTCCCTTAAGCGTGGTGTCATGCAGCACTGCTGCGAGTTCTTAAATTTCGTCATTCTTCGGCTCAACACGTGGAAACTAAGCGAGATCAATTTGATATGTATGTCTGGCAACTTAGTGGGTAGCCTTTTGCCCTCTCCTTGAGCCTCTTTTTTGCGTCTTTTTTTGCCCATTCTGACGAACTGAATCTTGTCAAGGATGTGAAAAGATTTACTACGAATCTCGTCATGCGTAATATTTATTTTTATTTTTTTCAATTTCAAAGGCATGTTTAATTGTGAGACGCAGTTCAATTCATAGTAATAATCGCTCAAGACCGTCACCACCGCGCCTGTCATAATGATACATGCAATCCGCCCCAGTTAATCATAAAAATCACGAAAACATAGCAGATTGCGTGGTCTGCTGGATTTCTTGCTCCTCAGCCTATGGTATGATATTTTAGTTACGGTAATAAATACTCCATAGATTGGGACTCTCTTACCTCGGTGAAACCAGTGGCAGAAACAAGAGAAATGAAGGACTTGTTCAGATCGCCTAGAGTTTCTTGATGTTCATTGGAAGCATTCCCAATTCTTGCAGACCGTTTGAAAATACCAACCATGCAGGATCGGTTCTCGGCCAGGAATGTGCGGGTCTGCTGTATAATTTGCTGGTTTTGTATTCCACGAGAGAAGACAGCAGACACAATGACGCGCATAACTGACAAGAGTAGGTCGTAGTATCTTTGTAGAGCATTGGGGTTATCGATATCTGAGAGGATCAATCAGTAAAGCTGCATAAAGCGGTGGAGAATGGAATCAAGAGATAGACCTACCTATGCCAATGTCTGGATCAGCAGCGAAAAGTTGCGAATCACGAACAGTCTGGAAGAGGCCCGCATCGAGAACATATGTGGCCCCTTTCTTGGTCTGAGATAGCCGCTGCAGTAGAGAAAGTAGTGATTCATAGTAAGCTATGAGTGCAGGAGTATCTGAATAACAGTCAATAATAATTCCACAACAGAGTACACAGAAAATCTTACCAGTTCCCTGGGCCTGATGGAGCTCGACGGGAAGAGACCGCAAAGAATCTAGGAAGAGACTCAAACAGTTCGCCTCTGAGATGTGCTTTGCCAAAACACAATCGGTCTGGCTGTCTAAAACTGCCAAGCCGTTCAAGAGCAAGAGAGCGGACGCACGGCACGAGTCTTGACCATTTAAGGCATCATCGCAGATAGTCTCAACGAGGGCGGGGCAGCCTTTCGTAATGGCGTGTTGGCTCTCACGTCGCAGGCCCTTGTTGGCGTTAGATGTTGTGATGCGTGTGACGTACTGAGTGCAGACCATGTAGTATGTCTCTCTCAACAGGACATGCCCCGTTGCCAGGTTGATGCCTTGGATGCAAATTTGGAAAAGGTGGTAAAGCTTTTCATTGATGGCGTCTCCACTGCGAGAAATCAATGTTTCCGCCAATTTTGCTAGTTCCAGAGCCCAAGGAAGATCGTCATCAGTGGCAGCCTCAAGCTGAGGAAGTATCAACTGGAGACAGTGTAGTATGAAAGCTGGGGAGACTCCTTCGTCACCATCGGAGCAAGCGATCATGGTGGAGATAAGCTCCGCCCAAGACTTGAAAGCTGCATAATGGCAGTTTTGGATCCGATGACGATGGTTTCTTGCATTCATGAATTGCTCGAAAACAGTTACTTCCGCTCTGAAACGCTGTTGTTCAGCGGCGGGCAATTCTGCGTCCCGCATTCGGACCAGTGCCTGAAAGTCATTAAAGTTGTACTCGTCCATTTTATTATCCTTTGGACTGTACTTGACTTGATTAGATATTTCTTCGAGCAAAGAGAGCGCAGGCTTTTCGAAATCCCGCAAAGTACCAAGATCTGCGAAATCGAAGAGGTCAAACACGGATCGACTTTGAATTGGTTGGCCGTTCTCCATCACAGTGTTCCCAAGCAAGACTGCCATTGTTTGGGAATGTAGGGTCTGCGATCCCATCTTGGCCGTCGAGCGAATTTCTGCAGCCGCATATTCAAACAAAAAGCTGCGGTAGTACAGGAATTCTCTCATGGCAGCCGCACCGTCAAAGAGCCAGAAATCATCCATTTCAGCAGTGAAGCCACTCCACATCGTGTTTGAATCAATGATAGGCTGTTTAGCGAACATGACTTGAAGCAAATTCATAGATCGCATTTCACTAAGGGTCTCGAAGCCTGCCAGCTTTGATGACCACAAATGCTTCAGCACTTCAAAGGCCATGCGTTTGAGAATCACAACCCATGACACAATGGTTCCATCGAGGTCCTCAGGATATTCTTTCAAAAAGCCCACAATGGCATGCAGAAGGGAACTCTGTTCTGCAAACAGTCCTTCGCTTGAGGTTTCAAGATTAGGTCCCACACACTTGAAGCCAAGGAGAAGATGAGCTACTGTAGGGCGGTCTGTGATTGTTCCCAGACATCGCCTCAGAAGGGCAAGAATATTTTCTCGAATGACGTAGCTGGCTGCCTCGGGACCATAATCGAATTCTCTGATGTCAGGAGTCATATGGAACACCAAAGGCTTCGATACACTATCCACATCGAGCTCGGATGCAAGCACCTCAACAATCTTGTTCGAGGACCGCCATTGAGCGGATTCCAGGGATGCCATTTTGTTGAGTTTGCGAGAGCTGGTAAGTCTTTCCAGCAATTGCATAGATGTGATCGCAAGGTCCAGGTGTCCTGTACTACAATAGAGACAGAGCAATGGAATGAGAGAAAGATTGCTCAGCACACTGTCTTCAAATGAGGCAAGCGAAGAATTTGCCACGTTTGTTCTATGTGGTGCAAGCTGGGAGGCGACGATAGATTTGACGACATTCAAGTATGTCGACTGAAGATCCAGAAGCAGAGTCATTACCTCCAGGCTCCGGAGCAAAGTCAAAACGACGACAGAATCAGATGATGCCACACAAATCTCTCCCGTGTCTTGCTGAGAAGCCGCAAACAAAGATTTGAGAACATCTTCATTAAAGAGCCACTCTACCACGCGAGCAAAGGGATGAGCAACAACGTACGTTGACATCAACGAAGCATTCACGGTGTGATCGGACCCAGACGGCTCGCTCAAAGCCAAGACTAGGTTTTCGTTGAATGACTTCAAGCTTACCACCACAAACTCTAGGCAGTTGTAGGTCAAAAGACGGGTTTGGTGGTCGTTGAGGTCCTGGACCTTCCTCGAGAAGGCATGACCTAGAATAAAATCAATGTAGGGGCCGACCCCAGGCATCCGATACGACCCCCCTAGATTTACGGGATAAGGGAGCGACATGCCATCGTTGACCTGGTCAGAGGGAGGGGCAAAGAGTGCATTGACAAGAACAACAAATGCATTTGTCTGGTCAAAACTCTCTCCAATCTTTTTGAGGGCCTGTTGCTGATGCCACACAGGGAGGTTGGGGACCAACGGCACTTTGACATTGCCGGATGCACTCATAGACCCGCCAGACAACCACTCGTCGATTGCCATCCACATTTGATGGCCAGCAGCAGAAGACCTTTCAGTCATCAGCGCTGCAAGTGTCGTGAAGGCCGTTGCTCTGAGGTGTGACGGAATGGGACCGCTGCACAGAGTCAACAATGTATTGACTACATTGAATGATTGATTTTGTAACATCCAGTCTCGAACAACCTCACTCTGACTGCATAGATGACCCATGAGCCGCAGGTAGCATGTTAGCATCACGGGGCTTTCAGGCTCATTCATTTCCACCGGCTCCGGTTTCCGTGAAAGGAACATCCCGAGGTAGCCTTGCGAAGGGGTCGAGTTCGGTTTCTCAGTAACTCGAGACGCATGAAGTTGTAGTTCAGCAAACATTTGCGACCAATTCATTGTGGTAGATCGCTTAAATTTGGAAGACATGAATTTGTCTTCCTCTGTAAGAAATTGATGTGCCGCAGCTGCATTTTCTGGGCCTTCTGAGATTGAACAAAGCATTTCACAGAAAGCGCTGACTCGGGGGACAGTCTGTCGTTTAGAAGCCCACTGAAGGAATCCATAGAGGTTACTCTCAGGGTCAGCCCAGAATTCTTGAGCCGCTTCCGCGCGGCATTCGAAGGCAAATGAGATGATCATGAGGAACGACTCGAGATAAGTCCGCACCTCTACCAAACCACGGTGAAGGCTAGAGGTAAGGCCGTCTCTGAGGGCAGTGATTTGGTCCAGTCTCTGAGAGTCCTCTTCCGACTTCAAATGCCGGACCGCATCAGGCATGTTTGCGACACACGATTCGATAAAAACCTCAAAATTTTCCATCAGAAGTTCTTTCATGAAATCAGAGCATGAAGCAGATTGTGGCAATGATACAACGCTCTCCTTTAGCAGCAAGGCCACTAATTCACTTCGAGCGGGATCGGCCCACTCTTTATTGTTGACAGCGGCACAGATGGACAACATGAAATCAAGTGCTCCATCATCCAGGGAAGACTTGAACATCTTAGTTCGCTCTTTTGATTCCTTCTCCACATCGATATTGAGATCGACACTCGAGGGCAGGGCACCGTCAAAGTACCATCCACTGTAGACTGACAGCCACAAAGCAGTAACAGCCGCGTGGAAGTGAGGGAGTTTCCAGCCTTGGGGATCATTGGTCGCAGTGATAAATTGGTTCAAGTCTCGCGCTTCCCTCTCAACGGCTCCTGGGCCATCTGGAGAACCGTATTGGAAAAAGGACGCAATTATGGCAGGAACGTAGTGTATCAGGAGCCCGTCAAAGCGATCTTCTTGCTTTATTTGCTGAACAAGGAAGCGTACATCCTCGCTGCTCGTAAAAGATCCCTTGAACATGTAGCAAACGATCGCGCCAAGTGACTCATGTTGTTCTTTCAAGCATGATTGTTGGTATTCAATAGCCTCCATGATATCTCGATCAAGTTCCTGGTCCAGCGTGGTAGCCTTTTGAAGCTGCTCTCCAAGAAGTGATATCCATTCCTCAATGTCAATCATGGATTTCAACGCCTTTCGAACAAATTCTGATGCATGCCGCAGAGGGCTGTTCACGATCCCAAGAACGTGTGTTAAAGCTGTTTGCATGACGGTTTGGATGGTTGGACGTTCATAGTCGAGTGATAGTCTAAAAATGAGACGCAGGCAGCTAAGGGTATTCGAACGGTGTTCGTGAAACATCATTAGCGCGGCAATCAGAGGGGACCGGCCCATCATGTAGCCATCACGCTGGGCTTTTAAAAATTTGAACGCCGCTTCAATTTCATCAATGTTCAGGGCGTCGGCTAGTTGAAGTGCGCCTTGTTGGAAGTCTGAGTTGATTTCGTATTCTTCGCTTTCAGAGCTGATCTTGCCTAGAAAATTGGAAGCAACATCAGTAACATGTCGAGGCTAGAGGTAATACAAGCGATCCAATCAAAGAACCCGTGCAAGAATCAATTACCTGTGAGGACAGTCTGACGGCTGGCATTGTTCTTTGGTGTTTTGTCGAGGAGCTTTCGGAAATCTGGGAGGTGTGCCTCTAATTCGAAGCAGATTCGTTCGAGATTGACATTTGAATGCTGCTCGATCGCACAAAGATCCGAGTACAGGCCACCAAGGCCACCGATGTCCTCGGTGTCTTTGGGCTCCATGATGGTTGGTGGAATGAGAAGCTGTGGAAAGAGAGCTCGAGCTGGCAGAAAGGTGGAGCGCGATCAAAATCTCGGGCGGTAACGCGAGCAAGTATTGCCGCTTTTTCAGAGGGACAACACCCGCCTTCAGTCACCGCCTTATTCACCGTTGGACTCACCGCCCTCAATGCACCAATATCTTGGGCTTAAGAGTACATTGATCGATGGTTGAAAGCTTGATATCTCCAATTGTGGCGACCAAATGTAAAAATTTTGTAAATTACACAAATCATTATAACATCAATAGCCCAACCCTGGTTTTCAAGGTACACTATAGGGCGATTATAAATATCCATGGTTAAAAAGTTGATTGTTGACTTTCTGCCAGACAAACAAGCTCCAAGGCCTCCGTGGGCGGTCATGACATACTACTCCACACGTCGCGCTTATCAACTTCGATTGCGCAGAATGACAGATTGATCTGAGATGCTTCTTGGATCTGGTGAATGAAGCATAGAGGTCTCCGGATTCACCAGCTGCCCGCTGCTGTGACGCCATGGCGGAGATATTTCTCGACAAAACAATCAGCTTGCTGTTATCGGACAAGCAAAAGGCGCGCTCAGATGGCTTAGCAGGTGTGTCTCCCATCTGAAGACACATGCATAAAGTGCGAATACTAATTTTCTGCCACATATAGATTTAAAGCACATTCTTCAACAGAACAAGAAGAGCTCCAAGCTGTACGCCGCCCCGAAAATCCCCCGGATGACGAAATAACTAACGCGAAAAATCCCTTGGGTTAGGCAAACCCTCAATGATAAAGCCTGTCATAAGATCTTTGAGTCCCTTTTCCGATTTGTTGCAACTGAAAGGTTGGCATTCAATCGCACGTCGAATTCTAAAAGCGCTTCTGCATCGCGGCTCTCAACATGTGCTTCTGTACTCCGAATGGCAGTCGACCTCTTTTTGAGGAATGTGAGGATCAAAACGGTCCGAGCAATTGTTGACCATATCATAGAAACCATTCCGATCCCTGGGGAAGGCCTGTGGGATCATCTGAGTGCAGACTACACCAAATGTTTGGCGTCGCTTCTACATCACCGCCCACATGCAGAGCATCTTGATGGGGAGGACTGGGAGAACATTTTAAGCTTTTGCCTTGCTGGCATTAGTCTTAAAGAGAATGAAAGTCAGTTAAGTATTCAAAGCGGTTATCTGTCTGCCCTCGAAGATCCGGATGCCAGCGACAGCCGTTCGACTCCTTCGCGAATGACCCCTGCCTCGGCCAGCAGAGAAAATCATGGCAGCAACAGAAATGTTGACGAGGCACTTGTGCTTTGTATCCAACTTCTCACATCTGTGCCCAACCCTCCTATTCAAAACACAGCGAATAGCATCCTTCATGGACTGGTTGATTTTGTCAAGTCGCCTTCAATTGTAGCTGGAAATACGCACCAGCTCTCTTTCAGTAGCATCAATGCAGTCATTACCAAAGTCATGTTTGATCAGACCGAGCTTGTCCGCTCATCTCTGTTGAGCCTGGTTCCAGTAATCCGCCGAGTGTGGTTGTCCACCAAGCTACAGGCCCTCAAAGATGAGTTGATTGTCACTTTAATGCTTTCTATGATCATATTGGTGGACACAGCCCGGAGAGATCCCTCCGAATCTTTGGCGCATGATGTGGAAGGATTAGCGAATTCACTGCACTCGGAGTATGTGAAGCGTTCCCAAAAAGACGCCCTCCAGGCCGACGATATAATCTTCTACGAAAATGCGACTGCAGAGCAGAGCCAGCCAATATATGGGCCTCGTCTTGGAAATACAAGATCGGAATTCAACTGGACCCTTATCTGGATCATTGCAGAGCTATTGAAGCTCTCAGAGAACATCAACATTCGTGTCAAGAACCCTGGATCACAACGTGGAGAATCAAATAAAAGACAGCGCTTCAGCTCTCAGCTTCAGGATGTTCTCCGTGATTCGATCTCTGCGACAAGCACCCGAAGAATCTGTGCATTGCAGCTTGTGCCTTTCCTTGAACCCAAGCTCGACACAGAAACCAAAACCGCCATTTTCAAGCGGCTCGTTTTAAGCATCACTGACGACCACGCTTCTGTTTCATACTGGACAATGGTTGCTTTGGCAAGGTATGTTCCTCTCATTTCCGTATGCATCGCTTCGAACTAATTATGAGACAAACAGCATTGCAAGCGGAGCAACTGCAAAGTCGCCGGAGCTCAAAAGCCAATGGCCAAGGGTGGTCGACTTGACTGCACATGCATTCTCTTCCCCAATCACATCAAGAGCTGCGTGTAACCTAATGAGCGTGGTGCTCCAGTCTGGCCTATTGGAGTATTCAGAGGCAATGGAAACGACACGTTTAATTCTGTCTTCTGCCAGTTTAAATGGACCAGCTGCCATATCAGACTCATCGCTTAGACTTTGGGCGTTTATTGCGCAGTCGAGGACACAACTGGATCCTGGATCAGCCCAAAAGGCCTCGATGCAGATCTGCGGCTGGCTTAGAGACGTTTGGACTGTTGGCTCTGTGACTGATCGCATCCAAACGGCTCGAGTAGCTCTATATGCTCGCCCTCTGGATCTACTGACCCTTTTCTTTTCATGTACTAATCGCCCTTTCTCTATTTCCCCACACCAAGTGAAAAAATCCACAGATCTCTCGGGAAGCTTCTCAGGAGGTCCAACAGGCCCGATCACTCGCAAGTGGTTCTTTTTCCATGAAAATCGCGAATTGTTGGAATATGCCTTTCATACAGATTCCTCCACTGCCACCCACCATGCCAACCCCTGGGCTTCACAGGAATCATGGTGTTTAGAACAATACTCTCGGCAGGACCCTGATGATGCTGTGGTCTTGGATTTGCTTCATGCGAGATGTGAGACATTCTCGCAAGCATGGCGCGTCATGAATGAGGATAGATCAATAATATCTCCGGAGAATCTGCAGGTCCTGGTGTCCTTCTGTATTGTGGTTTCGCTTTTCACGGCATGTCTCCCCCAATCGGTGAAGACTCGATCACAAGATTTGAAACAAAATTGTCGGACCCTATGGGATGCCATATGTAATTTCCTGGCAACGCATGAACCAAGATTCATTCATCCATGTTTGGAATTGCTATCACCTCTTCTTGGTCCTTTGCTGGGCCCTGGTACTTCTTCCACCATCCGGGGTAGCCTCAAGGAGCTTTTTACTCCACTTTCCAAAGTCCTTGAACAGCTTCGTCAAACCTCAAAAGCCCATTCTTCTGAAGAATATGATCCCATGGACTTGGATGACTGCTTGATGAATGATCAAGCTCAGTTGACAATCGACCAGACAATCATTTCCACAAATCGGAATGCTTCGTCGTTGTTTCTAGATCCCATCACCTTCCAACTATATGTGACCATCCAAATATCGATATTTCTAAAGGCCGAGGCAGACTCAAGCTCTGATCAACCACGAGGATCAGGTCTGGTTAAATACCTGACAAGCCTCGATGAAGCTGATCTCTTGTCCGCCCAGAACTTGCTACCCGAGATCTACCGGCAGTGCTCAGACTTGGCGCCCTCCAAATTGCTATCGATCTTGGAAGACTTGGGCGAAAAATGCTTACAATCATATGAAATGGAGCGATGTGAAGCTTCACATTGCATTTGCATTCGCATGATGGCGAGCTTTGTCAATTCCTGGACAAACGGCCTCGATGAGAACTTGAGGGATTCAGCCATGGACTTGTATAGTTGGTTCATTGAAGTGCTCTTGGTCCGAAAACGAGCTTCCCCAAAAGCCTACATTGCATTGGCAGAACTTGTCCGAGGCGTGCTTGGCACTTCCCCCTCATACGGCACTGAACAGTCTCTTCCTTCTCCAAGAACAAGCCTATTCACCATCCTGCGAGAGGGTGACGTTCAGGTCAAGTTTACCGTTGCCAAATTCATTCCAACACTGTTTGAGCGCTTCCTTCTTAAAGACCATGACGCTATCTTTGATGACGTTCTGGAAAGCTTGCCTCGTGACCCAGAATGGATCGAAGGTATCGCAGTCCGCCTTTTTGTGCTTTCTCAACTAGCTTCTCGGTGGCATACCTTGCTTCGCAGAAGTATTTATCATCTGTTCGAAACTCCAGCTCAAGTTTCTTCGTCTCTATGGTACGCTGAACGATGCGTTGTCTCTGTCTCCCAGAGCCTTGGTCTGCGGGATGCAAAAGAACTATTCCGATTGTTCTCATCTCAGATATTGTATACCTGGACCGAGACCCAAAGCATAATGGCGATGCCATTCAGTATATTTGGATACGATAGCCTTGAGGAGATGTTGATTGACGTCAAGGATGAGATCGTTGGGCAAATGATGATGCGCGCCAAGGAACAGGAGACAATTGAACTGGCAGAGCATCTTGACGTGCCGCATCTCGAACTTTTAGTGGGCTCTTTCCACAAGGCAGAAGCATACAGCATTGCACGGGATATCTGCACACCTCCAGGACATGGCAGTCAGCCCAAAGGAGTCGAGATTCGGCTCAGAAAACTGCTAGGTCCAGATCAATTCATGGCACAGGTCGAGAACCAGTTTCCGTCCATTGTTGCAGTCTTTTTCAAGTCCCTCGACTACTATGACCAAATTGAAAGGGCATTCTCCAAGCGTGCAAGCTTTGGCTCTGCCCACGATATCCAAACGCAAATCACCAGCAAGAGTGCATCTCAAAACGTGCTGCCTGCAAATCAACAGCCCTCATTCCGAGCGCGATATCTGCTAGATGAGCTCGAGTTCCTTTGCAAACGCACTGGATTTGAACTTGAATCAATATGGACGCCCTCACTGGTCTCTTTTGTCTGCCGCTTGCTTCTTGAATCAATACACCCTGCTCTTGGCTCCCTTCATGCTTGCTCTGTCATTCGCAAAATACGGATTCTTGTATGTGTGGCTGGTTCCATGATTCTTCAAGACTATCCACTGGAGATGACCCTGAACTCCCTTCGGCCCTTCCTATGTGACGTTCACTGTTCCGAGGATGCCCTTGGGATCTTCTGGTATCTGCTTGAAAATGGAAAGCCATACCTACAAAAAAACCCAGGATTCGCTGCTGGAACTGCTGTCTCAACCCTGGTTACTCTCCGCAAACTTTTCCTATCTTCTCCGGAAAATACGACCCAGGAAAGCCAGTTTAGGAAGGTGCTGTCAAGCACCCAAAAGTTCCACCAATGGCTAATAGGCCTCTTTGAAGACTTGCTTTCTTCGGACTGGGACACAAAGACGAAACAGTCATTTGATAAGCTAGTGAGCTTAGCTAACCAATTTTCGACGTCCAAGGATTCCTCAGATGGGCACATCGGGAAAGATTTGGTCTTCGAGGTGCTCAAAGACCGCGATTCTGCAACAACATTACTCAGCAGGCCTGTAGCCGATCTTGTTTTATCGCTTTTATGTCCTGAGTTCGGGGCTTCTGATGCCGATGATAGGTCTCTAAACGAAGATGTGGACCCTGCTTCACATGTTGTCTCGCTGTGGCATACGCTGCACAATTTCAATGGCGGGCCTCAATATCGACTGTGGGCTGCCCGGGTCATTGGACGATCCTTTGCTGCCACTGGCAAGATCAATCAACTTCTTCTACGAGAGCAGGATCTCTCATTATTTGAAGATGCTGGACCTTGCTTGTCATCCGATATTTTCTGTCACTCGAAAGCCAGGATTCTCCGGGTCTTTTGTGACATGCTGCACAATCAAAATCATCTAGAAGCTGGCTTGGTTGAACGAACCTTGCAGCTCATTGTGAGTCAGATCGCAAACTTCCCAGATTACCAAGGTTGTGGCGATGTGGTCCCTGAATCTTTGATGAAAGCACTCATCTGGAGCCCATACAACTGCCCTGTCATTGAGCTCTCAACCCTGGAGGAGGAAAGATGCAATAAGACGACAATAAGCCTGTCTGGGGTCTCAGTTGCGGAATGGGCTCGTGATGTTTCTCTGTTTTTGTCGACCGCTGCCTTGGAAGATCCTGTTATCGGGTCTCTTCGCAAGATTCTCAACGCTGCCTCTGGTCTAGCGGTACAGTTGTTGCCGTATGTGGTTCACGATGTCTTGCTTTCGGAGCGAGACAAAAAAGGAGACCAGGGAGAAATTCGAGAGACTATTTCTGCCGTATTTAAAGAGGTCTTGTGTGAGGTATCCGAGAATTTGTTACCTCACGCACAGCTTGTGATAAGTTGCATTCTCTACCTTCACAATCAACCGGTCCCGGATGAATCGACCATTGTCCAACGCAACAAATGGCTTGACATCGACTTTGGGAAGGCGTCTTCTGCTGCACATCGTTGCGGGCTACAGAAAACCTCCCTGCTGTTCCTCGAGATTCAAGCCTCCAAGGTGGTTTCGGGGTCCCGTCGATCATCTGTCGTCAAATATGAGCTACCAACTGCTTTGCTTCATGATATTTACAAGAACATAGATGATCCAGACTTGTTCTATGGTATACAGCAAAGTTCATCGCTGACCAGCGTGATGGAACGACTGGAGTACGAAAGCTCTGGGTTTAAGAATCTCCTGTTCCAGAGCGCGCAATACGATAGCGGGATACAGATGTCAGACAGTGCAGACTCCTATGGAGTTCTGAAAGCACTGAATGCAACAAATCTCCAAGGAATTGCCAACACAATGCTTTCCGCTTCCAGCAGTGCAAAAGATTCCCCTGTGGCAGTTGATAGCATGTTGCAAGCAGCCACCAGCCTTCAACAATGGGATATTCCGGTGTCCCCCTTGGATACATCGGCATCAGCAACCGTCTTCCGAGCCTTCCAAAGTCTCAACACGTCTGGTTCTCTACTTGAGGTCACCAACTCAGTCGAAAGTGGACTATTGACTACCCTTGATTGCCTCATAGAAAACGGTCGTTCCGCCATCCAGTTGCGCACTTCGATGCGTGCATTAGGTATTTTGACCGAGATCAGTGACACGCTACATTCCTCGAGTCCTGAAGAGATAGACGCTGAGTGGAAGAAGATAATGACGAGAAGCAGCTGGCTGAGAACTGAAAGGTAATTCTTCGACTACTATGCGACTATTGAACTCATGCTAACCGGAGTAGCTATCATGAGGTTGGCGAAATCTTGTCGTGGCATGAGGCATTGTTCTCATCGGTTAGGAAAAACGATGTCCTGAAGTCACCATCACAGCTGAGCCTCGGGAATTCACGTTTGCTAGAAGCGAAGGTCATTCGTCAATCGTTGGAAGTAACAAGAAGCCACGGAATTTCCCAGGCGTCGTTGAAATCTGCAATGAACCTTTCAAAGCTGGCAGAACCATGTGCAGCTTTGGGTATGAACATTGAAGGAGCCGCAAAGTTCGACCTCGCCAATGTTCTTTGGGACCAAGGTGAAATGACTGCGTCTATTCGCATGCTTCAACATTTGAAGGACCAAAACGATCTCCATAACCAAGCAATTCCACTCAGTCGCGCTGAACTGCTTGTTACTTTAGTAAATTTGTACTCACCTCGATTATTTTTATCAACTAACTTGCTTTGATTTAGGGTCATCATGTCGCCGAGGCACGCTTGGAAAAGCCCGATTCCATTCTCCAAGACTACCTTTACCCTGCGGTTAAGGAACTTAGAGGAAGTTCCGACGGAGAGGAGGCTGGTCGAGTCTATCATGGATTCGCAACCTTCTGTGATCAACAGCTTCTAAATCCCGATGGACTAGAAGATTTCAAGCGAGTGGAGCAACTCCGTGACCGCAAGGAGAAAGAAGTCCTTGGCCTTGAGGAGATGATGAAGGCCGCCACGGGCAAAGAGAGGGAGTATTTGAAGAACTACCGTGCTAAAGCGAAACAATGGTTTGACCTTGACGATCGTGAGTACCAAAGATTGCTGCGAAGCCGAGAGGCGTTCCTCCAACAATGCCTCGAAAATTATCTTCTGTGTTTGAGAGAAAGTGATACCTACAACAATGATGCTCTGCGTTTCTGCGCACTCTGGCTCGACAAGTCAGACGCCAAGACTGCAAATGTGGCTGTCTCCCGATACCTTGATGAGGTACCCAGTCGCAAATTTGCACCTTTGATGAACCAGCTATCCTCTCGTTTGCTTGATGTCTCTGATGACTTCCAATCAATTCTCACGCAATTGATTTTTAGAATTTGCATCGAGCACCCCTTTCATGGAATGTACCAAATCTTCGCCAGCAGCAAGTCCAAGGGAGGCAAAGACCAGTCGTCCGTCTCCCGCTTCAGTGCTGCAAACAAGCTTGTCGAGCGTCTCAAAAATGACAGCCAGATTGGTCCCACCTGGGTTGCTGTGCATAATGTGAACATCAGCTATGTACGATTCGCAGTCGACAGGCCGGACAGCAAGTACAAGAGCGGCGCCAAGGTTCCATTGAAAAACCTCGCGACAGGACAGCGCCTTAGACAAGATGTTAATACTTATAAACTGCCACCACCTACGATGAAGATTGAACTCCGCGTGGATTGCGATTATAGTCAAGTTCCGACGGTTGCCAAGTTCTCCCCTGAGTTCACCATTGCCTCTGGTGTCAGTGCGCCGAAGATTGTCACTGCTGTTGCTTCTAACGGCGAGCGCTATAAACAACTGGTGCGTATTATACCTCTTTCTGTGGTTCCCTCAATATTCTAGACCTTCTGGTTGCATTTTAATCGTTGATTGGAATTTAATTGACCAAATAAACAGTACAAGGGAGGAAATGACGACCTGCGGCAAGATGCTATCATGGAACAGGTTTTCGAGCAAGTCAGCAGTCTCTTAAAAGACCATCAGCCTACGCACCAACGGAAGCTAGGTATTCGGACCTACAAGGTTCTTCCGTTGACCTCCAATGCGGGTATCATTGAATTCGTCCCCAACACCATTCCCCTTCATGACTACCTGATGCCAGCGCATCAAAAATACTTCCCCAAGGACATGAAGCCCAATTCCTGTCGCAAACACATTGCCGATGTCCAGACCAGATCCTTTGAGCAGCGCGTTAGGACCTATCGACAAGTCACCGAGCATTTCCATCCCGTGATGAAGTACTTCTTCATGGAGAAGTTCAACAACCCAGATGACTGGTTCAGCAAACGACTTTCCTACACTAGGAGTACAGCCGCAATCTCAATTCTTGGCCACGTCCTGGGTCTCGGTGATAGGCACGGACACAATATCCTACTGGACGAGAAGACCGGTGAAGTCGTGCATATCGATCTTGGAGTTGCATTTGAGCAAGGCCGCATTTTGCCTGTTCCCGAAGTGGTCCCCTTCCGTCTGACACGCGACCTAGTCGATGGGTTTGGAATCACCAAGACCGAAGGTGTCTTCAGGCGCTGCTGTGAGTTTACCCTCGAGGCACTCCGCCAAGAATCCTACAGCATCATGACCATCCTCGATGTGCTGCGCTACGATCCGTTGTACAGCTGGACTGTCTCGCCGTTGCGTATGAAAAAAATGCAGGACAATCAAGAAGCTGGCGACGGGCCTCCAATACTATCTGGCGCTGGTGTGACCGATACCTCTTCGAGGAACGAGCCCAGTGAGGCTGATCGAGCCTTGACCGTCGTAGCCAAGAAATTAAGCAAGACTCTCAGTGTCACTGCTACTGTCAATGAATTGATTCAGCAGGCAACCGATGAGAGGAATCTTGCTGTGCTATACTGTGGCTGGGCGTCCTATGCTTGAAATGGTGTAAACAGATTTAGTTGATACTATGAAACATACATATCCTTTGCATAACATACATAATTTACATCCCGAATTTCTTCATCATTCCTGCTGTATCTAAGGGAAATTAAGGGCCCAAAATACCCTCATTGCTTAGGTGTCGGATCTGCCTCGGTTCGGTGAGTCCGAGAGCCTCCGTTTATCCATGCCTGCCTCGATTCCGTATGTAATCGACCCCTATTAAATCCATGGATACCATCGGGCTCAAGGACCAATTGGTTCAAAGCTTGCTGCTACTGGCTACTGCCTAGATGAATACCTACAAGTAGGTATACTCCATGTTGGTATATGCCATGCCATGTAGGTAACCGCCATGTAGGTATAGATCCTGTGGGTATATGCCGATTTTGCATAATGCGATCATTGTAATTGGCAGGTTTCACCTTGAATGAGATGCCTAGCACCTTGGCATCTACTAATCCATAATTATTCAGTGGGGGACTTGGGATGATGTTAGACTTGTGTTGTATTTCGCTGGAAATCTTGCCTAGCTTCCAACGGTACAGTCTTTGATCTCTTAGATTATATTTAACTTGCTTATACGCATCTATGGGTTTAGAATTGAGACAGCCCCGGTGGAAGGTATTACCCCTGAATAATTCGTGAACTAGGCTTCGCCGAATCCTAGTCAGAGTCCAAAACTACGTTGGCTCTCAAATTCTGAGCAGTCAGTAAATCTCGCCTTACTTGTCTCAGAATACGACAGGGGCTCATATTATGTGGAGAACTCTTTATTGCATGTAATTCCCGAATTGGATTATTTCGAAAAGCCGGCTGCATAAACTTAGCATCGGGGATTCCCTACATAGATCCCATTGAAGCTGGATCTCCATATAATCACCTGACTCGTATTATAAAATCAGGGTACAAGTATCATTATATTATTTAAATTAGAGCATCTCTCTGCAGTCTTCACTCATTTCGCTAGCCATGGCTGTCAAACAGAGAAATCCTGCTGTTGCCGTCCTAGCCAAGGGGGGCGACGAAAATGGATCAACTACAGCAAAAAAGTTCACCGATGGCGCCTCAGATGAATTCGAGTTTGGCGGTTCCCTTGGTGTGATGCTTTTGATGATTGGCTTTCCTCTGCTGATGTGGTATATGTGGGTTGGAGCCACATACTACGATGGCATGCTTCCTCTGCCCGAGTCGAACCAGACTTGGGCTGACTTTGGCCGTCACCTGTGCCATTTGGTCTTTGAGGGAGCCTATCCATCCGCAAAAGCCTGGGGTATCTTCTGGACATTTTTCATCCTGGAAGCAGTCATGTACTGCTACATGCCTGGAGTCTCAAACTTTGGCCGACCATTGAGACATGAAGGCGGCAAGAGACTTCCTTACTATTGCTCTGCATATTGCAGCTTCTACGCAACACTCTCCATTGCTGCTGTCTTACATGTTACTCGCGTGTTCCCACTATACACTCTGATCGACGAATTTGGACCTATCATGAGTGTCGCTATCCTCTCTGGCTTCCTCAACAGCTTCATCGTCTATGTCCAAGCTATCATCCGCGGAAGAACCCACAGACTTTCTGGGTCTCCCGTCTATGATTTCTTCATGGGTGCTGAGTTGAATCCCCGTATTGGCATTTTGGATTTCAAAATGTTCTATGAAGTCCGGATCCCGTGGTTCATTCTGTTCCTCATCACCTGCTCCGTGGCTGCTCGCCAGTATGAAAGGTATGGCTATGTCTCTGCCGAAGTGATTTTCTTGGCCGGTGCACATTACTTGTACGCGAACGCTTGTGCCAAGGCTGAGCAGATGATTATAACCAGCTGGTAAGTCAATCATGATCATCTATCAACGATTCAACCTTACATTGAATAGGGATATGTACTTCGAAAAGCTGGGATTCTTGCTCACATTCTGGAACTTGGCCGGTGTGCCCTTTACCTATTGCCATTGTGCTCTTTACTTGGCCAACCACCACCCATCGGAATATCAGTGGAACCGCTATACCCTCGCAGTATTCTCAGCGCTGTATCTCTTCTTTTATTGGATGTGGGATAGCGCAAATGGCCAAAAGAACGCATTCCGTCACCGGGCAAGAGGTCAGCTCGTCAAACGGAACACGTTTCCCCAAGTGCCATGGCAAGCTATTGAGAACCCCAAAACCATCGAAACAGATACCGGCGATCATCTCATGGTCGACGGTTGGTTTGCGATTATTCGAAAGCCAAACTATGTCCCTGACATGTTCTTTTCTATGTCGTGGGGTCTGATCACTGGTTTCAAGTAAGTTTTTCTCCGCATGTCGAAGCATGCCAAAGTAACTGTGCTAACTCTCTTTTCAAGGAGCCCATTCCCTTGGTTCTATTTCATCTTTTTCATGATTATGATCATCCACCGCACTAATAGGGATACCAACAGATGTCGTAGGAAGTACGGCGAGGCCTGGAAGCGCTATGAGCGGGAAGTTCCCTACTTGTTCATTCCAGTGAGTTCATTATGCCGACCCGATATAGTGAAAGTTGCTGACATTCCCAAGTATGTGATTTAATTGGCGTGCCAACTGAGCATTGACTGTCCTCTTTCCTGTTGCAATGTGGAGATATTCGCGCGCATTCAGGCTGGATTTGACTGAAACTTCCTGGTGTCTTGGATGGGGGAGTCTCGCGTTCATCTCTTTTCATTTATCGCTCTGGGTCATCTGTGCATGTTTCAGCCTCCCCGTTGCATACGAAGACTTTTGCAATAGCATACCTCATAGATGATAGATGGAATTGGGACAAATTTGTTATGCTATTCTTGATGAAGAAGGAGCTGGAATGATCTCTGCTCAAAGCTCAATAGATGCTACAGTCCGATTTAAAGGTGACGACTTGGGGAAAGGAAAGCCATTGTCTTGCCAGAATACCGGAGATGAAGATATTTGAAGATTACGGCGCTGAGACATTAGTGGAATCTGAGAACTTTTAGGAAGGTTCTGGAAACAACTGAATGTTGATACACACTAATTATCGACGATGCTTTACTGGTGTTCCCAATGTTTCCAATACAAAGAGGTGTCTTAGGTATGACAGCATAGCTTTTATGACCAAAATGCGGCGTCTGCATTAGGGCTATTTGATGCATGTTCGTGCCGACAATTTTAATTGTGTGAAGGTAGTTGTGTGAAAAGACTTGGGCTGTTATAGTAGGTCATCTTCGGCACCGGCCAATCACAGGTATCACAACACACTTTTGGGGACCTTGAGGGAATCTAGCAGCTATTTTCTGCAATTCCACATTTCATTCTCATCTATCCCATCTAATACGTAAGACATAGTGCATAGGGCATAGTGCCAAGTATGGAAACCTCGGTCTCGACTCCACATCCCCGCACTATGTGGAGCTATGACCGTGTGCGACGTCGCACCTCCCGAGGCATAAATGTGCATGGCGCAGGTGCACCGTTTATGCTAACCATCCAGGGTTCTGATATTTGGCGCCTCCGCGTCCCCGCATTCACGGGGCTAAATACCGCTCTCCTCCGCGCCCAATCTCTCTTTGTACGCATTTCTCCCACTGTGCCCTACTTAACTGACTCATTCTATTGACTTCTATTCCATCTATTCCTTTCCAATCCACCCAGTCACAATGACAATGACTACCACTGCTGTCGACATCCCCCAGAAGCAGAAGGCTGTCATCTTTGATAAGCCTGGCACAGTCTCGACGCAAGTCGTAGAGATTGATGTGCCCGAGCCTGGTGCCGGCGAAGTTCTGATCAATATGTTTGTCTCCTCTTTTCAGCTGCATTCTATATCAAGGCTAAAGAGCTTCTGCACAGAACACACTCGGGCGTGTGCCACTCTGACTATGGCATCATGACCAACACCGTGAGCACGGAGTACCATCTCAAATGATCCTGAATCCAAGCTAATACTCCCAAGTGGAGAATGCTCCCCTTCCCAACCCAGCCCGGTCAAGTAGGCGGCCACGAAGGCGTCGGCAAGATCGTCAAGCTCGGCCCAGGCACAGAATCCTCAAACCTGAAAATCGGCGACCGAGTCGGAGTCAAATGGGTCTCCAGCGCATGTGGCCATTGCCGTAAGTTCCCTACCCCTTCCAAGCAGATCCAATATCCAATATCTACTGACACCCATCCCAAACAGAACCCTGCCAGGCAGGCTCAGACGGCCTCTGCTTCAACGGCAAAGTATCAGGCTACTACACACCAGGAACATTCCAACAATACACCCTAGGACCAGCAAACTACGTAACCCCAATCCCAGACGGACTTGACTCAGCTGAAGCAGCACCAATGCTCTGCGCCGGCGTGACAGTCTACTCCGCCCTAAAGCGCAGCCACGCCCGCCCAGGCCAATGGGTGATAATCTCCGGCGCCGGCGGAGGCCTCGGCCACATCGCAGTGCAACTCGCCAGCCGGGGAATGGGGTTGCGCGTGATTGGAATCGACCACGGCAGCAAGGAAGAGCTCGTCAAGGAATCCGGGGCCGAGCATTTCATCGATATCACGCAATTCCCGAAGGACGATAAAGGCGAGGCGCTGACGAAGCACGTTCAGTCGTTGACGGGTGGGTTGGGGGCTCATGCTGCTGTTGTGTGTACGGCTGCGAATGCAGCTTATGCGCAGGCTTTGCCTTTGTTGAGATTTAATGGGACACTTGTTTGTGTTGGGATTCCCGAGAATGAGCCTGTTGCTATTGGGACGGCGTTTCCTTCTACGTTTATTAACAAACATGCTACTATTACTGGCTCTGCGGTTGGGAATCGCACTGAGGCTATTGAGACTATGGAGTTTGCTGCTAGGGGGATTATTAAGGCGCATTATCGGACTGAGAAGATGGATGCTCTGACTGGCGTCTTTAAGGAGATGGAGGAGGGCAAGTTGCAGGGTCGGGTTGTCCTTGATCTCTCGGAGTAGTTAGGTGATATGTGTATCTGTTTTCGCTGTATATGTTGATTTTCAAATTGTCTATATTTAGGAAATGAATCATACTTATCTGAATAAAGTATTGTATCCCGGATTTCGTCTCGTGGGGGTGATGGTCTCACTGTCTGTTATATATATTTTCAGCAACTAGCTCATACATTCCAAAATTTACGAGTTGATTTTTGTTATACCCGCGTTTAACTGGAGGATTCCCGAATATAATCCAGCAAAAAGTATACAATTTAAGCATTTGAAATACTCGAGAAACTTCAAAAAAACCGGGTCATTCTTTGTTCAATTCACACGGAACAGGGATAAAAAACATGGAACCAAAAAAGCAAAAAAGTATTGACCGACGCAGGGGTCGAACCTGCAATCTCTTGATTCGTAGTCAAGCGCCTTGCCATTGGGCCAGCCGGCCTACTTGTTGAAGGAAGCGGGCCGGAATGGCAATATGAGCCAGGGCAATGCGCAAATTGCATATCTGAACCGACCCTCAGTGACAATTATGTACATGAACAAACACAGGGTATATATGTTTAAACAGACTCATCAATAAAAAACCTGTGCTCTGAACGCAATGCGTCAGCATCATTCAGCTCAAACCCGAAATTCCACAGCTTTTCCACATCCGACAGTTCGCCTTTGCTCCTATGCTTCAGCGGGACGTGGGAGTCCTTGTTCACACTCTTAGAGCTCCTTCTCCCAGCATGCTGCATGATAATGGGAGTCACCGCCCAGCGGATCTCATTGGCTGCACTGGCAAACTCCTCCGTTATTGTATCCACATACCCGATGTGCTTTGACTGATACAAATCCACGAGGTCTGGGACTCTTGAACGCGGAAATACGAAGGCTTGCGAGCAGCAGCCAAAGCGCGGCATTTGGTGTACGCCTTGCTGGATAGGGACCATCGATACACGACCAGCGGCAAAGAATAAGCCGATTAGGAGAGGCGTACAGATGCCGCTGAACATGAAAATTGATCCTGTCGAGAGTCTAGAGTGGAGGCGAGGTTGACATTGTCGTGAGACTAAGCAAACGCATGCAACGAGACAGACTACAAGAATCGAGTACGAGAGGAAGATTGGCCAGTCTTCGGAGTTCCAGCCGAAGAACTCCTCCGTATAGAAAAGGCGGAGGTATAGCCCTGTGTATGGTCAATCATGGAGAACATGCGCTGGAGCTACCAAGATATCTCCATAGGCCAAAAGGCGAGGTAACAACTCACAGTTTGATGCACCCAGGGCCCTGGTCTGCTGCTCAGCTGATGCCAAAGCACCGATAGTCCGGTGATACCATCCATCCATAGCGACTACATCGTCCTCAAGGATCATAGTATACGGAGCATTCACAGCTTCGCATGCTTTCAGAAGATAAGTATAATCAAACAGAGCTTTCTCACGACCAAAAGCTTTTGCCGCCTCTGTTTCGAGGGATCGGACGTGATCGATGTCAACCTCCGCGGGATCATACAGCAGCACCTGATCTGCCAGCTCATAGAGCCAAGGTTGCCCATAGGAAGGATGCTCTGATGGGTCAGTATGCGCAATGAAGAGGATCAGATGGATGTCGGCCCGTTCAGTGTCGCTCAGTCCCTCTAAGACTGTGCCGACTGTACTCTGGAAATAGCCAACACCATGTCTGGCGACCGATGCGATCCCGATACAGAGTCCGGGCTCAGATGAAGACTTTGTTGCCACAGTGGTCTCATTGCTATAGGATTCAATATATGAATCTCCCTGGCCGATTCTCACAGATGAATAAGATAGGTCGTAAGCAGTCCAAGGGTCGAAGAATGCTGAGCCCGGGTCGCGAAAGCATCGCGCACGTGCGTAGAAGATGAGCAGAATATAGAAGACCAGAAATGAGAAGAAGAGTCGCAGCGTATTCGATGTTGCTCTTGGCTCTATCGGTCGCCCGCCGGGGAGCTTCTTCCCAAAGTCAGGCATGGTGTGAAGAGTGATCAAGTGAGAGACGGAACTCCCGGTGGGAAGAGTCCAAATCCCAAGGGAAAGTCACATTTGGAGAGCCCTTCATTTTTGTATGATGCTGTATGGGGAATAATGTTCATAGGGAAGGGGCCATCCCTTCGACTCCCTACGGGCCTTTGGCGTATGCCCTGCCGATCTTCTCCCAGGTGGAATTTCATGGAAATGATTATGATAGATCAGGATATTCTGAATGTGACATTGATTGTATATATCATCTACAGTGAAAACTTAGAATGGAAGGGGTTCGGAATCGTGAAGAGATTTACTTTGGAGGTACAGAGCTATCGCGGCACCCATCTAGGAGAATGCACAAAGCTTCATTCCTCCACACGTCAGATAACGGCCCTTGAATCTTGGCGCTAGGGTCTGACAGAGCCTAGAGCAAGGCGTGCAATCCTGGTTTTGTTGTGACAGCAGCAATTACAAAGGATATGAAACCTGCCTGGCTGGATTCTGATTACTTTGCTATATCACACTTTTGACGCTGAAATAAACTGCATTGAGAGCTAAGCGCTAAGCTTCTTCATGCAATAATATGGAAGATCATACTGTACAACATGCAAGGTTCACGCAAGCCATGCATTATGTTCCAAATATAGATCCTTATTCCTGTTTCTTTATTCAAGCCTCAGGAAGGTGGAGATCAAGCGAATCATAACCTTACGATAAGAAAAAGCAGTAAGTTCCTATTCCGATCAAGTATATGGCAATGATGTAGAGAAACAATCAATATAGAGCTTCAGCTGTATAAAGTGTATGACTGCAGCAAGAGAAATATCATGAGATAGCCAAATAAACTTACATGGATAATAGTGAGCCCTAAAGTAAATATTGCTTGATATAAGCATTTGAATAGTTTATCACAGATCGCATAACTCACGTATTACCCCGAATTTCCTATTTGGGCCAACGTTGCCATTTGGCGATATCTCCCAAACTTTAGGAGTTATAAATTCAGAGTACCCGAGAAAGATGCGTTCAAAACCATGCCAGGTGAGATTTAAATTATTTTAAACTACTTATATGTTTACACATGACTCCATCAATCGTGTCATGGTTTTAACCGACTTGTTAATTTGACGATATTATCCCAACTTTGGGAGCGAGAAACATTGAAGATGGGATAATCCAAAACCGCGTCAAACCAGAGCTTCTCCCAATATAATCTGGTTAGATGATTGAGATTGACCATGAACTACCCCAGTTTACGTGATTATGGGACGTGGCTAGTTGGCGATGTTTTCCAATCTTTGGGAGAAGGAAACCAGTGGCTGGCATAAAATCCGGTCGTAGCTCTTGACCTTGAGTAACATTAAATATGAAACATATGATTCTTTTTGCTGGGATGGCATAAATGTTTAAGGGATCAGGCCTCCTTTGCCTGCTTGCACCAATCCACAAGACTACACATCCTCTGTATTTGATCTGCTTCTCTATAGAGAAACACCGTCCTCTTCTCCCTCTATCCTCTGCATGCCTTTTCTGACTTTCATCTATAACTACGTAGGGATACGACTTCCGGGCATGTAAACTGACCTGCAATGATCCCGAGCAGGTCCTTGAATGGCAGGAAGCGTAACTCAACGAGTTAGTACTGTTTACCACGCTCTCATAGACAATGTCTAAAATAGTCGATTCCTGAAATATCGATATATCTTTTGTCAAGTGGTTCTGGTGAAGCCGAGCAATTTTAAGCAAAAAAGAGTGTAATGTCGAGGATTAAAGCTCCGAAAACACAGACCGAGTATAGATCTATTTGCCATACAAAGAAATCTTCATATTCTTACTAATTAGCCACAAAATAAATACTCAGCAGTTGAGTCTCTTTGTTAGAAGACCTATAAAGCCGTACTCTAGATTAGACGCCCGGCCGTCTCATTGATATTTATGCAGCGGAAGATTATGAATTCATTGCTACAAGTCTCTCAGGATTTTATTAAAAAATGTTCCCTTGGCCTATAAACCCTAAAAACAACCTTCCGTTCTGATATCGAGACTATAAAAGCTTGCTGTTCCGTTTCAAAAGTCCAACCCTTCAGTGCATAGACCTCTATAATCTGTCAGATCGGCAACTTGATACTGTACAACACCGAGCCACCTATTTCCCCACAGCACTCAAGAAAAACCGTCGATCGAACACCATCTTCATCTGATCGTGCACGTAAAACCGATCCGCGACATCCTGAAACCCACTACGCAAGCAACCCCCGACACCTGTAAATTCCCATAGAAGTCAAAACGATCCCCACAAGTATATCCACCCTCCAAGCTAATAAGCACTAAAAGCACTAGCTCAAAGCCATGGAAAGCCATCCAAAAACAAAGCGGCCGTGTGCACGGATCACGAAGCAGCCAAAAAACAACCCCATTGACTTTTCCATCGGCCCAAGCTCGGCTGGGATCCGAGGCCCATTCCAGTCGCACATCACACAGGCCACAGGCCACAGACCACGTTATTCGAAATCCTCGCTCGGGCCTCAATATCGCATAGCGTCCAAATAGGTCCCCACGCACACGGCAGATATGTGCACTGTACGGAGTTTCTTAGTTAGTTGTGGAACACATTAGTGAACCTTCACTGCTTGATGTGTGCGCTTTGGCCGTGTAACGTTGACACTGGTGCGTTACTTTAATTTTTCCAAATCCGAAGCCAAAAGCCAAGATGCATGAGCCAAAGCCAATATCGTCGACTGCCGAGCCGAGCATCTCTGCGAGATACCCGAGATCCGAGTGTATACAGTCCATGGATAACCACGCGATCTTCGGAGGTGTGGTCCTTGTATTGTCGAGTTATTGGCGCGATCTTCGGACTGGGATTCTTTTGTCGGAATTCTTAAAAGCAAGGATTACGCGAATATTGAGATCCCCTTGTGTGGGTGACCCACTTTTGAGTGAGGGTTCCATGGGTTGGTTGTTCAAATCGGGCTAAAGTACTCTTGAGCGGCAGTGACACGCCCGGCTCGTTGTCCGGACCATGGATGCGGGCTCCCAAGACCACAGTGTTGGGTTTGGGGTGACGACATGCCTCATGGGACTATGTGATCATGAGATATGATGTTTCCGGGGTAAAACGAACTTTATCTTATAGTTTGCAATCTACCACTGGAATCTGAGGTTGGGTATGTAATGGCTATTTAATAGCTGCGTATGATTGTGGCTATGGCAGAGATCACGTATATCAAACTCAAAGTAATGGCATGAAACGATATGCAAAACGGACTGCAATGATGTCGCTGATATGTGAAACGATGCAGGGGGGTATTGCAATGAATGAACACGATGGCCTCCCAGAATATGAAACGAGCGTATAAAAGAAAATGGAACGAAAGAAATCATCGGGTTCGTTTCGAGTAGCCTCCTGAATTCCCATTGCCGGCTGGCCGCTTTTGTCCTCCGCTTGTAGTATCTGGGACGTAGGATTCAGCGATGCGAACTAGTGACTCTAGATGAAGGCGGAAGAGCTTGGGTGCGCGTCGCTCTGGACCGATCTTGTTGAGGATGCCGCGCAGTGGCCCGGCGACAGGGTGGAGGTCGGACGGCGGCAATTCATCAAGCGCGCTGAGAACAAAGTGCCGCGCGTCTGGATCCGATTCAAGTTCGTCCGACCCGATGAACAAATGGAACAGATTGCGCTGGTCTTCATCCTCGCCGTTGAAAGTGCTCCGTCCTATCCGACTTGCTAAAAGAGGATCATAATTGCGACTTGCGACTTGGTCGAGGATCAAAACGAGGGCTTCGACGGCGGTTGCGGAGCTTTGTGATGCGCGTGCAGACATGTTTGTTAGGATGCGGGATACTAAACGCTGCAGTTGCGAGACAATCTCGTGAGGTTCATAAAGACCCAGGCTTGGGCTGACAGGCTCTGTGGGTAACTCGCCTGTTTGACAATATCGGTCAAAGTCATCGAGTAGCCGTCGCGAATGGTCCTTCGCCTTGTCGAAGTAGATGGCTGCACAGGCTTCAACAGGCATCGCTTTGCACAGACTGTTGAAAACCCCGTCGTCGTGTACTCCCAACCGGAACATTGTTGCCTCGAAATCGCCCTGTACCACGCAGGCTTCTGATGTTCGCGCTTGCTCAGTCGTCTCCGTCAAGTCCGGGCGGAAATCCTCCGGAAGAGTCTTCTTGCTAAAGGCAGAGAGGATGTCCCGCACTTTTTCCGTTCGCGTCATTCCTCTGCCTGTACTGTCGCCCTCATCCCGCAAGTACTGCCACTTGAGATGCTTGGCAACAGCCTCCAGATTACCCTTGAGCATACCCTCAATAGGTGGCAGGTTGGGGTTGTGCGGACGTCCGTCTGGACCTAGTGCTACCTCCGTCGACTCAGGCTTCTTGAGGAAGCTGCCGTGCAGTTGATCGAGGAGCCACTGTTCAGGGGGTAAGAGGCAATATCAGCATCGATTCGAAAGTTCCAAACCAATTGGTTTCCTAAACAGTCACACTCACAAAGATGTGCTGGCACGGCTCCTCTGGGTGATCCTTGAAGACAGAGCATGTGCAAGTCGTTGCCTCAGAGCCAACGTGCACCTGTGACCGATCCAACAGCTGAAGATCATGTCCGGTGGGAGTTACCCGACAATTGACCTCGAACTGACTGGTCAAGCCCACCAAGGCCCTGGCTTGAGACTCGGATTCTAGTTCGCTCAGGTCGTAGGTAATCCCGGACGGTGCGCGGACGGTCTCGTGAGTTGAATCGGATACGTCTTCGGCACTGCTCTCGTCCTCCTCTTCCTCGTCCTCCCCTTCTTCACCGGAGCTCTCCTCCGAGGAAGCTTCGCTGCTCTGGTCACTGTCGTCGGAAGGGTCCGGCGGCCCCGCGCGAGATCTGACTTGGGCCGTATCTGGCATATTCTGACCGATGCACAGCTTGTGAAATTGTCGAGTTGGGGCAGACATGACCAGAGGCGAAAAAGGGGGACCCTCCAAATCGCCAGGAATCAAAGGGAGAAGGCGAACAGATGTGTTTTGTGGACTCTCGTAGACTCACAGAGTTCTTCCGACCCATGGACGGAAGCGGGTACTCTGAACCATGGAACGAAATTCCCTGGCGCCCGCTTTAAATAATTAGTCACGTATGATTTTCATGCTGTGGACAACGTCGCGATCTGCTTTGGGGACTTTTTTGCCTTCCCAACAGCGCTTAGTGGGAAGTGGCGAAGAGGGGGGAGGCTCAGTAGGCAGATGTTTCAACAAAGTCGCGCCGTTTAATTATGCCCTATATCAACTGATCAGCATCCAGCGCACAGACACTAAAGGGATCTGGTGGGAGGAAAGATCTGGGGTCTTGGTGGCTGGGACCCGGGTACAGATTGTCGGTGGCTCCGAGATGGTTAAACGGGTCTATGATACAGAGCATTGCTCAAAGACACTGCGCAGCACATCCCACGCATGTCAAGGCAAAAGAATGTCACTAATAATCAAGATAGAGTTAATGGCGGTATGATGATCTGCAAGGCCCCGTATTGACCGGCTTTACAGTTAGCACACGCAAGGTTTGAATAGCGTCTTCTGTAGTAGACGCTGTTGGCATTGATCGTATTCTCTGCACCACAGTAGAGAATGACAACGATCAAACGCCGCATGCGCAGGAAATAGAGTGACAACCAGTCAAAACCAGTTTGGAATGCTGCCCCGATCCGAGATGATGCAGGCTTAGTAGAAGCGCAGCAAAGCGATCGCCGGCCGAGCAACCGAAAGTGACTTCGAAACTCTCTGGAAGCTCCAGAACAACGGCACCTGGACCCGCCATTTGGTCCATGCTCCTTGGTCAAGATTGCACCCTTGTCTTTCCAATGTGGAGAACCAGAAGCTATGAGTTTCGGATAGGTCGGGGGACCCGAGGCTCTTTTTTGTTTCACTGAGCCACTGCCGACCACGCGACTACCGCATCAAAGAAAAATAATAAAGATCAAAGGTCCACTCAGACCCCGTCCTTATCAATACATGTGGTCGAATGTGACGTACGTTGACAGCGATGACAGCTGCCCGGACAGACAGACCGACAAAGAAAGTGATCTGGAGATCCAGGGATGGCGAGCGCAGCCGACAAGAAAAGCCATAGACGTCGCAATGCCTTGGTATCACTATCGAAGAACGGTTGGTGATAACAAGGGCCTGCCTTGCATATCGCGCAGCGCAATTGGCAGTGAATCACCGAAAGATAGCCGAAGCGGCCCCAGTAGGACGACATGTCATGTCCGCGACCCCGAGAGAATCCTGCGCAGACTGCAGCACCGTGTTTCGGCCGCAGAGGTTCGGTTAAAGGGTTGATATCATTGTATAGTGCAGGGGGCGGCGAATCCGAGGGCTGCGAGCAGGGAGCTGTGCACAGCACGAACCGCAGGCTTGGATTTGGATCTGGAGGTACTCCTCGATCCCTGAAAGTGGATGCGGTCCAAGCACCAGGTTGCACTCAAATAAAAATGTTGAACTGCGGCAGACACTTCTGACTGCGCAGCTGCTGATCGGCACCAACTGGCGTCTAGGTTTCGGGCTTGGCCTATCGTCTGCCAATCGCCATCCGTGGGCGCCTAAAAGTGTGCCTTGCTCTGCGCATCAGATCGGGCTCAGGGCGTAGAAGGTAACTTCCTCTTTGGGTTTGGGTCTGAGGGAGGGTTTGATGATATCGTCTGTGCGCTCTTTTCTTCCTGCTCGTTGTATCACTTGACCTTGGCCCCCATCGTGCAGCCAAGAAGGAAGATATCCACGAAGACATGGGGAAGAATCCTGTTTGGAGAAATTAAAGCGAATCTGCGAGGATCCAAGAGTGGTGAAGTTGAAGTGCTGTAGTCCTCAGGAGAATCTTTGTGTAACGTGGGGAAAAAGACTCCGAAGTACCCAGGGCTGGCATGCGACGACATGTTTCGGCTGTCCGGAATGATTGGGCTTTTGAACAATCGGATAATCTTGTGTCAATTTCTAACCAGAGCTATGTAAACTATGACCCGAGCACTTTGCATGTACAGCAATACTAGTAGGTTGTTGTGGGCGTGGCAAAATAGGAAAATAGTCATTTCAGCCTAGTCTTCATTCAACTAGTTCTGCAGAAAGTGGGTATCAACCATGAACGCATCTGTCAGAACACAAGATGTTGAAACGAAAAAAAGAAGGGTATACTAAATATTAAAGAAATCGTTGCTTCATGAATGTGTCCGTCCTAATTGTTTTCAAGTCTCAAATAGACGCAATTTAGAGAAGTCAATTGCCTCTGCTGGCATTACGCTTCTTGGCTTCTTCCAGCGCTCTGCGAAGTCTCTCTTTGTGCTCCGAGTCTTCATCCGCGTTTTGAACCACAATCTTGGGGCTTGATGCGGAAGCAGGAACAACAGTGGAAGGGCGCAGGCTCGGAGGCAAGGGCACGTCCGTAACTGGAGTCGTTGAGGCAGAGTGGCGCTCAATTGGAGAGACCGGAGCTGCTGGAGGAGCATTCTTCAGATCAAGAAGTAGGCGATCAATAGTGGACTTGATGCGCACAGGCCCCTTCTGGATGCTCTGCAACTTTGAATCTAGATCTTTCTGGAGAGTCTCATCTTCCTTCTTCTTCTCATCCCCGAGCCGACGGAAGATATCCGGGTCCGAGTTGGCATACCGTGCCTCGGCGACGGAGACCCCGTAATCGGCGTCGTTGAGAGCCATGTCCGCAACCCCCGAGCTGCGAAGAATTGCCTCCGAGTCGGCGCGCAGTGACGCTGCAAAAGTCGCCGCAGACTTGAGAATCTGTTCAAGTTCAGAATCAGGTAGACTGGAGGCACGGAGGGCGGTGAGATCTAGCTGGGCTGCTTTCGAAGCAACCTCGTCTAGGAGGCTCTGATTCATACCTAGCCCGTGTAGGATTGCATCATCGAAGGAATCCATGAGTCGGTTGGCTCGGTCATCTCGGTCCTTGCATGCCTCCAGAATATTGCGCCGTTCCATCTGATCAAATTCACCATCCAGTTTTCGCAGGCTAGCCATATCGCCCATGAAAACGAGTGGTCGTCGCTCTGCCTTTTTGCGTCGCCGCTCACAATCAAGTGCGATTTCGAGACGTTTCTGGAATCGAATCTCGAGTTTGTTGTGGATGTCATTGACCATGTTCATAGTCACAGATGGGCTGGATTTCTCAGTTGGAGAGCCATTGCCTTTCTGATCACGGTCAAGCTGGCCGAGGGCAGAGTCGTAGGATTTGCGAAGTGCCGAGATCGCCTCTTTCAACCCCTCGTCCAAGGGATTGAAGACTTGCATTGTGAAATCTTCGACTTCGCGTCGTTCCTCTTCCAGCTGGACTCGAGCTTCCGTCTGGCGGAAATCTTCTTCCAAGGTGTTGATATCCGCATAACCAATCTCCTTTCCATTGAAGAGATCGTCAATATGCTCCTCTGATTCCTCTTGTCGAAGTATGCGCTCTTCATCCAGTTTGCGTCGTCGGACTTTTGCAGCTGCTTCCCACCTATCGATTGTGCGCTGGATGTAAGTGAAATCATCAGAGAATTTGTCAAGCCCTTCCCGAGTTGTGATATGCCACGAGCTTTCAGATTGCTTGTCTAAAGGTGTCCAGACCATTGTGCGTAGCTCTTCTACAAGGTTGGTTGCCCGGCCCTTTCGCAGAGACTCCGGTAGAGCCTGGGGTGGCGCAGAGCTTCGACCGGACGAGTTAGAGTAGGCGGTGCTTTTGTGACGGATGAGGCCGAGGAAAGTCTCGTCCCGTTCATTTTGAATCGGAGAAGTGGTGTTGGCTCTCGGATGAGATGTGGAGGCTGGTACGTTTGACATAACCCGCCCACTCACAGCAGATGCCTGCCGTAGATCAGAATAAGCCTCGTAAGCCGGGCGATCAAACTTGAGGTTGTCTGAGCCTCGTTGAGGGCCTTCTGTATACTGGAATGGGGTATAGATAGGTCGTGGAGGATTGCTGTTTAGAGGCTCCAAAGGTTGCTTCTGTACATCCGAAGAAAAAGAAAACGATGAGAGTCGTTTATCTGGCTCTGAGCCCGAAGGCAGTGCAGACAGCTTTGACTGGAACTGCGAGCCCCTCCGGGCTTGCTTGGCGATATTGGGTCGTCCGCCTGCACTATACTCACTGCCGACATCGTCAGCATCATCTCCATCCCCGTCTTCTGTTGCTGCTGTCACTGAGGGGGCCGGGTTATCCTCCGATGAGACGGGTATCAAACCTGTGTCAAAGGCGGGCCCGTCTTCATCAAGTCTTGGCAATGGCGATCGAGACACAGAGCTAGAGGCTCTGCGAGGTTCTGGGGAGCTCTCAGACTCATCATGCTCGATATTATAGAGGATCTCTCGGAGTTTCGTCTCCTTTGCCATAAATGCTGTAAAGATCTTGTATCGCTCTTCATCCAAATCTGCCACTGCTTCCTTGCGTAGCATGGCAACATAGCGTTCCAAGGACGATTGGGACCAAGGGTCCAGATCTTCGAAAGGGTCTGGCTTTTTGGATGCAGCTTCATTTACAGGTGTTTGAATATGGGGCATAGGAACGGTCGAGCTTGGCCTCAAGTTCTCAGCAGGCGGTGCAACAGTCTGTGCCGATTCAGGATCCTTGGCTGGAATAGCATGGTCAAATTGAGAGAAACCCTGTGGTTGTGATGTCGGAACCTGGAGCCCGGGTTGTACTGGTTGAGAGGGAGGTGATAATGGGCGAGCCCAGGCATCTATCACATTATCAATACTTCCCGGACGTCCACCGGCAGAGACAGCGGATTTGTCACTATCCACACGGGTCGGTGGAGGCGGCGTTTGCACCCCTTGGGTTGTACATGGACTGATAGGAGAATCTAAACTGCCATTTCCCGACCCATGGACACCAGAGCTGTCACTTGGAATCGTCTCACCTGTATCCGTTCTCGGACGGATAAACTGCGAGTGCTCGTTTGCTGCAGGTATATTGGTCAAAGCACCTGAGATGCTTGGAGATGGCAGAGCCACATCCTGGGGCGGAGAAGTCTGTCTTGGTGGGAACCAAGCCGCGTCATCAAAATCTCCGGGAGTTGGACCAAAGTGCTCCCAGTCCGAGGGCGTGCCCGGCCCCAAGGCCGATGCGCCCGTAGGTGGCGCGCTCGTATTGATGAGAGACGCAGGCCGGAATACATAAGATCCAGTCATCGCAGCTGGCCCGGAGCCTTGGGCAAGAAGCGGAGGCCGTTCTGGGCGGGCACTTTGCTGGGTTGGCGCATTCTGAGGGATCTTTGGTGGCGGCGGAGGGACACCGGCTGGGAGATTTGGTGTGTATGGAGGCAGAGAAGGGTGAGCGACAGGGGGTTGGAACCCATATTGAGGACCAGTATTCACGGCCGGTGACTGCGAATGCGACTGAGCATGGGAGTATGGCTGCTCATTGGTGCTGGAAGGTCGAGGCTATGCGACTGTCAGTTACGTCTAGCATTCCCCGAACAGTAGAACTCACCGGCAACGGTGGAGCATGGCTCTGGTTGAACCGCACTCCCCACGTGGTTGTATCCGCACCCGAACCTGTGGATGTCACTCCTTGAGTCTGAGGATTTGAGATCGGGCCATATGTAGCCGGAGTGTATGTTGCCGAAGGCGGAGGAGGGGGGGGGGGGAGGGGGACCTGCCCCCAGCGGACGCGGTGGAAGTCGCCATTCAGGCTGCGATGGAGGATCAGGGCGATTCGACTGGCCGTACATGATAGCTCATGGTAGTAAAATTGAGGGGAACCAAGAAGATATAAAAGCTTCTCGAAGTAATAGGCGCACGGGGAAGAGACACGCGGTCAGCACGGTCCCACTCTCCACTTGAGACATTCGTTTGATTTTATATAGGCAAGTCATACAAGACAGGGACTAGAATCCTATCGTGTTAGGTGCTAGGTGGGAGACGTTTCATTGTTTCTATTTTGTTTTTGGCCCCATCTACGAAAATTCTGGACTATACTAACCTCTCGCTTCCAGTATAAAAGTGGATTCAATGGAACTCAAGGCTAGTCCGAAGCTCTGAACACTCCTATGTTGAGAGCTATTACGGCTTGGCCCTATCTTTTCTTGGTCAACGGGTGTGGCACTCTATTGTCTTTGTTTGGATATACTTGCGGTCAAATCGATTGGGATCGGCCCCCAAAGTAACACTTCATTAAAGTCGTATCTAACCTGTTTTTATCTGCCTTTTTAGTCAAGTGCTACCTGACATTAGTTTCTTTCAACTAAGGCCCTACCCGCGACAAGTATAGAACAGTGTAACAGCCGTATACTTAGTTCGAATCCATACATTTGCCCATGCTTCACAGCCCTGGAGAGCGGAAGTGGGTAATGGAACCTGTTAATCACATTGAGGTCTCTATGTTACCGTTCAGACGGGATACATGCAGGAGACCTGCCTGATTCTTTCTTGAACAAGCTTAGAATGTGACCTGGCCAAATCATCCGATTATCCGCTGCCCCAGTTACACCAATAGGTGAAGCCGAGGGCAGAATTTGCTTGCGATGTGATGTATAATGTTCCTCTAGTCATAAGTCTAAAGCTGCATGACAAAATTAGATACTTAAATTATCCAGGACTTCTGCACTGCTTATATGAGAGGAATAGCTTAACAGGTGCTGCTTCATAATATGTATCAATACTCATTCTATGGCATCCAATCGGGTAGCTCAAGAGCCAGCCCAATGACATGCAGTTCAAATAGCTCAGGACATACTGAAAGTAATACACAAGAAACAATCGGGTTAGAGTCGGGCAAAAGACGAGAAGAAAGATAACCTAACGTTGGTACTATATCTGGTTATTTACCAATTCCGAACTCCTTGAACATAAGTATTCCACGCCTGATAGAAGTATACAAACGGAGATAACTAGAGAATCAAAAACCACAAAGCCCGAGCGCGCCGGACTTACTGGACATAAGATGAGAATTAATAATTGTTCCCAAGATGATGTGACTTCATTTCCCCGCAGGAGCACTATATAAGAAGCCTTCAATTCCTATTGATTCAAGCTTCCAAAAATACGTTCAGTCAGTTTAACCTTCCATCAAGAAACCAATCACTATGTTTGCCCCTGCTGCAGCCCCCAAGTCTCAACTCGGCCGCTATCGCCTGCTAGCACCTACAGCCGGCGTTAAAGTGAGCCCGCTATGCCTAGGAGCGATGAATTTCGGTGAAGGATGGTTTGTACAATACGACAAATCAATCGAAGCAAGAACAAGAGGCTAAAGATCGAACAGGAAGGCAAGACTCGGCGAATGCGACAAGGAAACCTCCTTCAAGATCCTAGATACATACTACGACAACGGAGGAAATTTCATTGACACGTAAATAGCCTCCCTTCCACCACATACCCAAAAGAGAACCACATGAGCATAACTAACCCCTGATCCAGAGCCAATAACTACCAATCCGAAGACTCAGAGAAATGGTTAGGCGAATGGATGGAAGCCCGCGGCGTTCGCGACCAAATCGTCCTCGCAACGAAGTATACAACAGGTTTCCGCAGCCATGTCCCATCAGAGATCCAGGCGAACTTCGTTGGCAATAATGCCAAGAGTGTGAAGTTGTCTGTGGAGGCTAGTCTGAAGAAGTTGCGGACGGAGTATATTGATTTAGTACGTATACAGCACAGTCAAAAGGGTGAATTGGATGATGGTCAGTACTGACGAACAACTTCAATGTATAGCTCTACGTCCACTGGTGGGATTTCGCCACATCGATCGAAGAAGTAATGACTTCTTTAAATCAACTGGTCATTTCTGGGAAGGTCTTGTACCTCGGTATCAGTGATACGCCCGCGTGGGTTGTCACCAAGGCGAATCAATGTATGTTGTACACTCCACCCCAGGCCCAATGGATCAATACTAACCAAACCAAAAGACGCCCGCGACCACGCCCTGCGCCCCTTCTCGGTCTACCAAGGAAAATGGAACGCCGCAACCCGCGATTTCGAACGCGACATAATCCCCATGGCTGCATCTGAAGGAATGGGCCTCGCACCATGGGGATCCCTCGGCGGTGGCGCCTTCAAAACCGAAGCTCAACGCGAAGAACTCTCCAAATCAGGTAATCCAGGACGACAAGTCCCACCCAGCGCGACTGATATCGCTGTCTCTAAGGTCCTTGAAGCTGTTGCGGCGCGGCATGGGACTGTTATCACTAGTGTGGCGCTTGCGTATGTGATGCGCAAGGCGCCGTATGTTGTTCCTATTGTTGGGGGTCGGAAGGTTGAGCATCTTTTGGGGAATATTGAGGCCTTGGGTCTTGATCTTTCTGATGAGGATGTTGCTGAGATTGAGGGAGCTTATGAGTTTGATATTGGGTTCCCTATGAATTTCTTATTCAGGGGAGCTCTTAAGGAGGCGCATCCTTCTAACAGTACGTTTGTTAATTCTGTCGTTAAGCTTGATACTCCGGATTTGGTGAGGGCTGTTAGGCCCAAGAAGTTGGATGAGTAAAATGTAGTGATGGTGTGGTTTTGTGGAGACATTTGAGATTGACTTGAGCAAGAGCAATTGACCTGTCATATTCAAAGACTCGAAATGTTAGATCAAAAGAGACAATTTCCAAAACAAATCCATTATATGCATACAGACACGAGGACCAAGTGAGATTTGTAAAGTACAGGGAAGAAGAACAGAGAGAAACCCAGCATTTGATATACAGGCCCGTATCTCTAGAACACATTCGAAGTCGGAGATAAAACATGAGAAGAAATACAATATTCGCTTAAGCAGATGCAGCGGGAGAAGCAGAAACAGGAGCTGTTGCGCGAACCTGACGGCCGAGCTTCTCCAGCTCGCCGATGATACCACCGCCAGACAAGCTCCACTTCTCGCTTACCCATGTGTCGTTGACGGACTCACGGAGCAGACCGCTGCGGGCGAAGTACTCCATGAAGCCACGGGCTTCGTCGCGGGTCAGGCCGGTGAGGGTCTGCAGCTCGACCGAGCTCTGGACCTTGGAGAACATTTCCAAGACACGGGGGTCGGTGACAGTGTAGGCTGCGGGTTGGGGGTACTCGGGAGATGAGGGCTTGATGCCTGCCTGACGGGCCTTCAGCTGGTCGAGGGCGACGTTGAAATCCTTGGGGTTGGGGTTGTTGGAGGATGAGGTGGCGTAGAGGAGGAGACCGCCGTTCTTCAGAGAATCACCCTCCTTCAACAGGGAGAGAAAGTGGTTCACGAAGGCGAGGTCATGAGCGTGGATGGGCTTGTAGTCAACATCGCGGTAAGCGCTGTCGGTCATCCAGTGGGCCAGGCCGTCCACGGAAACGAGCATAGGAGGACGAGGCTGGAAGTCCTTCTCCAGTCCTGCGGCCGGGGCAGTGGCTGTAAGCTCCTTCCAGAGAGCCTGGAAAGCAGCCCAGGAGACAGCAGGGTCGTGGAATCCAAGTTTAGCCAGGTCCTCGAGGGACGACTTTGGCGTCAAGGATTTGAACGCTGGGTGATCTTGGGAAATCTTGAGGCTGGAGAGCAGCTCAGTGTTGGCAGCGACGGTACGGGTCAACAGAGCCGAAGCCGCACCAGGCTGGACATATTGTGTCGGGTTAGTGCCTTCGATTGCGGCGTAAGCGGTATCACCGGAAACGAGTTCGCGAGCTAAAGTCATAAGTTAACAGCCGCCCAATTGCGCGAGTATTGAAGTATATTGCCAGAACTTACCGTCAGGAACGGTGATGACAGCCCAGTTTTTCAAGAAACCCATAGTCATAGCCTGGAGCAGATGGACCGTCTTTCCGGATCCCTTCATACCGGTGATGATTTTCTTCACCACCTTGCCCTTTTCCTCTCCAGAGATCTTCTCAACCAAACGACCCATCTCAATGGTATCGCGACGGAGGACGGTTCCAGGTCGGCGGAATAACGACCAGCCCTGCTTAGGCTTGAACGCTTGCACAGCTCTCAATTGATCGATCATGGTGGCAGGCAGGCCAACAACGGTACCACGGAGACGGGAATCAACCATAGTCTCGGGGGAAAGGTCCTGCATTTCCTCAATCTCGAGGGCATTTGGATTGCTAAGGACAATGCGTTTCCGCATGGCCTTGCGCTCGCCAACGGCGGGTGGACGCGCAGTAGCAGTGACCTTCTTCTTCTTTCTCCGCAAGCTAGTCGACTGTCTGTGCTTCATGACAGTCAAACTGTTGCCCTTCTTCTTGGCCGGCTGGGCATATCGCAACGCAGTAGAGTGGAAGGAGGCGGTCGAAATCCGGGGCGTCGGAGGGAGGAGTGCTTGCGGCGGTTGGCGAAGCCTCGAGAGGCAGTTCCAGCACCACGAAGAGGCCATAATGGTTGTCAACTACGCACCAGCACAGCTAGTGAGTGGACAACCAGGGCAGGAATTGAGGACGTGGATGGTAATTGAGTGCAGTGAACAGCAACAGTCCGTGATAATTTGATGCGAAATCCGCTTCTCCCAACGGGGAAAGGCGGTCGGCTATCTTAGTCATGGCAGAAAAGTAAAGCGGCTTTGGAACTGATAACCAACTTTTTTTTCTCTGATAATACTGTCTTTCTCATTCACCACCGAAACCACCAACAAGTTTCGCAATGACTGACGTTGAGATGGCTGATACCGCCGTGGCTGCGGCCACCACCAAGGGCGAGAGACTGTACGTTTTTCCCCTTGAGAAACATGCTATCAAACCCGGAAAAAAAAACCTCGAAACAACTAAGCTAACATCCAAACTACAGCCCCATCACCGTCTCCAAGCCAACACCCTACACATTCGACCTCGGCCACCTCCTAGCCGACGACCCCAACCCTCTTGAACTCCCAGCAAACCAAAACCTAAACGCAAGCCTGAAAGCCACAGCCCGCGACGGCACCCAATGCCTCCTAAACCAACTTCTGACAACCTGCCCAATCACCTCAAGTGTGAAAGACGGCGTGCTCCTCACCCTGCCAGCACCAAACATCATGCTTCCCCGGCACAAGCCCCTGCCAACACCGAAGGCGCCCACGAAATGGGAGCTGTTCGCGCGCAAGAAGGGCATCGGCAAATACAACCAGAAGCCCGGCGCAGCAGGCATGGACAAGGAGCGCCGCCGCAAGCTGCAGTACGACGAGGAGAGCGGCGAGTGGGTCCCCCGCTGGGGATACAAGGGCAAGAACAAGGACGACGAGAACCAGTGGCTTGTTGAGGTTGATGAGAAGAAGTGGAAGAAGGAGGAGGATGCTGCTGCTAAGGGTGGTTCTATTCGTGGTATGTCGCGTACTGAGCGCAAGGAGAGGATTAGACGCAATGAGCGCAAGATGCGGTCTAATGAGAAGAGGTCGAATAAGAAATAATTGGGTATTGAGTGATATCGAGACCTCTTTTTTCTTTTTTACTTATGTTGCATTGCTTTGCTTTGCTGATTCCTTTGTGGGATTTGCGCTGCTTTGCTTTTGTTCTACTCTGGATCTGATCTCTGGCGTTGGGGCTGGGAGTCGATGTTTTATTTTCTTTTTTCATGTATTGTGGACATATACCGTGATTCATTAAAAGCACTTTAACATTGCATCTGTTGATATTTGCCATTATCCATTTATTTCCAAGGACCCAATTACCTTTTCTCTTCTACGTGGTCGTGGAGATATACGTTACGTTGAAAAGATCTTCGATGATCAAACCGAAAAGTGCCTGCCCACTTCCACTATTGTACAAAAGTCCTGTCACGAAACGCCAAGTGAAGACTAAATAAGAAAAATAAAGCAACAAAGGAGGAACAAGCCAGATCAATTAGACAAGACACCAAACAAGGCGAAGATAGAAAGAGTCAACCGCAGAGGGGAATCTGTAGATGTCGCAACATCAAAGCACAAGCACAAAAGAATTATTGCACTTCCAAAGAGATGAAGAGGAGAAATATAAAAGATGGGAGTCAAACAGGCAATCAAAAAGAACAAAACCGAACACAAGAAACAGAAGAGACAAAACGCACATGTAGTCAAACCGCCGACCATTCGCCAATGTCAGAGTAGATACCAAGAGAAAACAAGATGTACATATGGAAGAAGGGAATGGAATGAAAATGAGAATATGGGAACCGCGATCCCAAGACGCCACGATATGCACTCCGACAATGCTGGGTTGAGATCAAATCACGATGAGAATGCCAAGATGTGAGGTCGGGGATGATGGTATCGTATGCCAGAAAGGAGGAGAGGATAGAGAGATAGAGATGAGGTCAATGCAGAAACAGAACTTGTTCCGTCCTATCTGATCCTGCAGATATGACGAAAGTCGGACTAACCAGAAGGGGAGACCAAGGTCCTAGTTGGGATATTAAGATCCTGTGGTTCAAGTATCTTCATTTATATTTTGATGGGAGAGAGTGGAGGGCCAAGCTCGGGGAGCTGGGATACGCTGCGGGTGTGGGACGTCTGGATGTCCTTGGGTCGAGACTTTCGGCTTCGAGAGGTTGGCGGACGAGGGGGCTCGTCTCCGGCGCTGCTGGAGGATGAGATGGCTCGTTCGTGGCTAATGTTGGAAGCGACTTCCTCTTTGGACTGAGCGCCTTCCTGCTCCTCTGATGCCCGTTGTTCCCGCTCGTCCATCTCCTTTTCCTTCTCGAGGTACTCTTTCTCGGTCCAGCATCCTTGCCAGCAGTTCTTCCAATCACAGACCAAGAATTGGAAGCAGAATGCATCGATTTTCATGCAGGGCTGGAAACAAATGCATAGGTTGCGGTAGTCCATCTTGTTCTGATCGACATAAGAGTGGAGAAGGTTGAGGTGACAGGTGATGGCGAAGAGAAGATAGTAGTGGTAGGGTGGGAGTTTGGAAAGTTCATCTTTCAATAGTTGCGGTGCAGAAGTAGCGCCTTCGCATTTTTGAGCGATCATGTTTTGAGTCGACTTCGGGAAGAGCTCATCTGGCAGCTCACGAAGCCAAGCCTTGAAGAGTGAACCAATGGTATTGATGTCGTAGAGATCAGGCACTTCGAAAAGATCAATGTCGAATTCTGTGTCGAAACGGCGTTGCCAATGCTTCACTTCTCTGCCGCTGCCAGGAACACGGTAAAGCCCCTCTTCTTCGCATCCCTTGAAGTTCAGATAGTCAATGGAGCGGTAAGGCAAAGCGGGCATCCAGAACTCGGTCTTGTCCCGGCAGTCTTCGAGCTTCTTCGCAATGCGAGTTTTTCTCGCCTGCTCAATGAGCGGAAGGTTGATGACTGAGCACATATATGCGTCGTCGTTGATCATTTCGCGCTCGTTCGTGCTACCACTGCGGGTGATCTTGCCAAAGAAGCCCTTCCCTGCCTTTCCAATACGGTCTGCGGCACCACTGGAAGACTGCTTGAGGTTGCTGAAGAGAGTAGCTGAGGCGCCGGACACTTGGCTCAATGAGCCAGAGGCAACCATGTTCCCATGACTCCTTTCCTTGCGCAAAGAGATCATGTCGGCCTGGCGCTCAGGCGGTTGCAGGCCTCCTCGACTAGGTCGTTCGGCGCGCGCAGTAGCTGTGCGGGGTGGATTTACCGTCTCGCCTTGGTTGAACTCTTCCAGCTTGGCCAAACCTGTTGACGGACGTCGCCCAGGTGCTCTGTTGCCAGCGGCTTCGTCAACTCGGATAGAGCGAGAGCGGGTCAAAAGGTTCGCGAAGCGCTGCTTTTGCTTCTTCGGCGCGGCCGACTCCAAATCTGTACCCGTCTTCTTCATTTCTGCTGGCTGTGAACTCTTGGTTGTGGATGTCCCGTCTAGTAAAACATGGTTAGCTAATGATAGCAATGACCGCGCGCAGGGTATCATACTTGTCTTTTCTGTTGCGTTCGCACGAGCGAGTGCGCCTGGTAGATCCGGTGTTGACTCGTATGACTTGGCAGTCACCTGAGTTTTGCGATCTCTAGAACTTCCTCTGCTCTTAGGGTGCTCAGTGGAGTTTGAGTTCTCGGAGCTGTCAGACTGTTGCGCCCTGTGCGACGATTTCGGTGCTTTGAGGTTGCCGAAGAATGATTTGGATGCATCGCGCGAATGTTTCGAGTCTTTGGGAGAGGGAAAGTATTGAGGAATGGCAGTCAGACCGGGTGTTGTAGGCTCGGCGGGGGCTGTGCCAGGAGAAACGGGCAGCGTAGGGCTGGTTGCCTTGCCTGAATCTTGCGTCACAGGGCGAATCGTGGCGCCTTTGAACAACGGTGAACTTGATCCTGACTTGGGCGAACGCGGTGTCAAGGGACTCAGTCCGTCGGAACTCTGGTCACCTGGTGTGAGAGGGGATGAGATCTTCTCATTTTTGGACTCCGTCTTGACCGAGCTCAGGTCGAGGTTGGGCACGGTCGAATGTCGGTTTGGCATGTCGGGCGATCGCAGGACCCTGTCCCGAATGGATGTGAAGGTTGATAATCAAGGTTCCGGCAGATCTAGGCCTCGTGAGAACCCAGCTACAACTGGTAAGCACTGAGAGCTAGTGTGCGGCTGAGAGAGCTGCACCTGTATCAATGAGGATGGTCGAGGGGGTGAGGTTGTGAGATTGGCTGGTAGATGAAAAGGTCACAGTAGTATGGGTTATCGAGGGAGCGGGATCTAAAGCGCCAATGATACAGTCAGAATAACAGGCACATGTGAAAGAGCAGCCAAAAAAAAGCAGAGACCGCATGTGTGGTGACATGCAGAGTTGAAAGAAGCCCTTGGACAAGGCCAAGAACCAGATCGCAGAGACAATGAGTCTCTAGCAGTCACTCACCATATTATGGTTTGAGGTTGTCAGAGTCGAAGTTGCTTTCCCCCTCTTTTGGGCGCTTCGTTCAGTGATCGGCAGGGCGGAAGGGGGGGCGAGATAGGAGTGTGGACCGAGACGTGTCAAGTAACAAAGTGTAACAGACAATGGACAACAGAGAGAAACAGAACAACAGAGCAACAGAGCACCAGAGAGAAATGACAGAGAAGTTGAAGAAGGAAAGGAACTCCTGTACACCAGTTTAGCGGTACACTAGTCCGAGCACTGGAGAGCCACAATCCGAAAATTAAGAATATTGCACAAATATCAACATCTTTCTCTTTATCTTCTTTTAGTGAAATCAATCAATTCACTCTATAAATCCGGGTTTAATTTCCTTTACATCTCTGGTTTCTATTCAGGGGCAGACGTCACTCATCCAAGGGACGCCCACGGTTGGAACCCGAATACGCATCTATTCAGACAGTGTGGACATAACTGTGAAATGTAGCCTTGGAAGCAATTATAGCTCCGAGTTGTGTTACATGTGCAAAATGGCATTGGCTCGCGTCACCTCCAGCTCGGACAATGGATCCCTACGGGACTGAGAGTTAAAGGAAAGAAGCACGGTGAACGGAGTACTTTGTGATCAGAGGCCTCTCCACTTTAACCACTGGGTCTGGCAGTTGGAGCCACGGGCGGGATGATGTGCTTGCCTTACGTTGCTCGAGTCCTGGCTTGCCATTGGTCGGGGCAAATGTCGAGTCAATCCTATTTATTCATACCATGGTTGTTTATAGATCTCTCGATCATGACCTATGTATGTGGAAAGGATGAAGTAATTGAAGTAATAAACAATAGGCAGTCATATCATATTATTACACTGTGGTACTCTGGTACAGTGGACTTCGGATCAGGGGCAGTTCCCACAGAAGCGTTTTGAGACCCTCCACTTTTTTTTCTAAATTAATTTAGCCGGGGTTTCGGGGCCTTGTCCTACATCGCTTGACCATGGATGCCTGTGGGGTTCTCGTTTTAGAAACAACTTCCATTGCCTACAATTGGGATCACGGTGTACAAGGAATTATGTCTTTGTTAGTCATGAATTTAACACATGATACATCTTCTACAGTGTATGTATATGTACATGTCTAAGATATGACGGGATTGATCTATAATTATATTGCGAGTAACACACCGAGGATCCATCCTATCTGAAACATGTTGAGACGTCAAACTAGTTTATGTAATTACCGCTATACCCAAAACAGGTAATTCACGTGAGGGGGTGACTAAAACCCGAAAAATCGCACACTACGCCACAAACTCCCTGCATCCATGTGCAAGCCACCAGTCTAACTGTAAACATCTAGCTTGGATAGATTCACCGCCCTATGGTCTCAGCTCTCAGATCTACTAACCCCCTCCAATCATCATCCTCCTTTCTAAACTTCAGCCCCCATCAACATGGCTTTAGTATCGGGCCCGGGGAGGGCTGGGGGTAGCCCCGCAGATACGGAACTGCACTCCGTGAAACATGTGACTTACATCAAGAACCTGGACACTGTGCGTGCTCCTTGAAAAATAACGCGTCGGGCGCGTCTGACGGATCATAGAGGAAGGATGAACTGGAATACTGGCTGACCGAGCACCTGCGACTGAATGGCGTGTACTGGGGTTTGACAGCTTTGCATATCTTGGGTCAACCAGATGCGTTGCCTCGAGATCAAACCATCGACTTTGTGCTGTCATGTCAAAGTGACAATGGCGGCTTCGGCGCAGCACCGGGCCATGATGCCCACATGCTCTACACCGTCTCGGCTGTCCAGATCCTCGTCACCATTGATGCTGTGGATGAACTCGAGAAGCGAGGCCGAGGCGGCAAGGAGAAAGTCGGGTCTTGTACGGCCCTCCCCTCTAACATGCTCAACAGGACACTAACCCGTCACAGTCATTGCAAACTTGCAGAATGCAGATGGCTCCTTCAAGGGAGACCATTGGGGTGAAACCGATACCCGATTCTTATATGGTGCTCTCAACGCACTATCACTGTTACGCCTTCTGGAACTAGTCGATGTCCCCAAGGCCGTTGCTCACATTCAACGCTGTGAAAACTTGGATGGCGGTTATGGTATCAGCCCTGGCGCCGAATCCCATGCCGGTCAGGTGTTCACCTGTATCGGTGCCCTGGCTATCGCTGGCCGCCTGGATCTAGTGAACAGGGATCGTTTAGGGGCCTGGCTCAGTGAAAGACAGATCGAAAGTGGCGGCTTCAATGGTCGACCAGAAAAGCTGGCAGATGCTTGCTATAGCTGGTGGGTTGGATCAAGTCTTGCCATGATTGACCGTCTGCACTGGATTGATGGAAAGAAGCTTGCTGCATTTGTACTACAATGTCAGGTTAGTTGACCCTTTCGAAATGATATGAGACAAGGCTAACAGTACCTAGGACCCTGATGCTGGAGGCTTCGCAGATCGACCAGGCAACATGGTTGATGTTTATCACACACACTTTAGTCTTGCGGGTTTAAGTCTGTTGAAGTTCGAAGGTCTAGAGGAGATCGACCCTGTTTAGTGAGTTGGTCTTGCACGTGACATGGGATGAATGTTAACCTCATCTAGTTGTATGCCTAAATCCATTACCAAAGGCCTGGGATTATAAAGTGTCTGAGAGAATCAATGCCCAAAAGAGCCAATGTCTTGAGGTGAATTGTTTCAAATTACATACTACCCTCCCGCAATCTAATAACCCGTGAATGTTCTCTTCCCATGGACCACGGGATACAATGCGGGAGGAGATCAAAGCCACTTTGACTTATTCCGCTTCATATCCCCCCACAATGGCCTAAGGCTGTTAAGACATCGTGGTACATACAATAGGATAGTGAATTACATTGACGTTCACAGACATTGACTCAAACCCGTTGAACCTGTCCCGTGACCGGCTCCTTCCAAACTGTAGATTGGCAGAAAAGGGCAAGAACACAAAGCGCATGTCACGCTTGTTTACCTTTCCTGCCTCCATCGCTCTTTCGACAACTTCACTACTTACCGCACGTGCTCTTAACAAATAATTCTACTACTTCCATTGCGTCCGGTCTTTTGTCTCTTGGAGCAATGGATGCTTCTCTCCAATGCATCGTTTGCCCTGGGCAGCCCCGATTCTGTGATAGCTCCCATTTGTTAACCCACGTTGGCTCCAAGGCTCATTTGTCCCATTCATTCAAACTCACCGTCCGCAGTCACGACGAACACGAAGCCGCTGAACTTCTCGGGGAGTATGAACTCTGGTCCAAAGCAAATGACATCCCCCGGCAGTTGGCCGAGCGCATGTCCAACAAACAAGCCCGTAACAAGAAGAGAAAGTCGGAAGACAACAACAAAAAACCCCCTCCAAAGAAACGTGCCACTGATGCCTCTGTTTCAACTCTTTCAACCCTCATTTCTGATTGTATTGATCCTCGCTTGAAGCGCATGTCCAACAAACAAGCCCGTAACAAGAAGAGAAAGTCGGAAGACAACAACAAAAAACCCCCTCCAAAGAAACGTGCCACTGATGCCTCTGTTTCAACTCTTTCAACCCTCATTTCTGATTGTATTGATCCTCGCTTGACTGATCCATTACTTGGAAAACATGAAGACATAGAACATGCTACGTTTACACCCGTCAATACTCCAAAGGGGTCAACCACTATGGTCATAAGTGCACTCTCCTCCACCGGTCCTTTCCTTCGCTCCGGTCGATTCTCCAACGACTGGCAATCCGTGGGCACACCACTTCCAATGAACAGCGACTACCCTGCCCTGCCCGTGACACCCACTCGGCCCCGAAACCGACGAAAGCCCGAAGAGATTGCCTGGACATTCTCTCGAGACACTCCCAAGCGCCTTGTGGTCTCTCTTTCCCACGCATCTGGTGGCGTCGGGGGCAAGGCTCGTGCTGATGAAATTGCAAGACTCAAAGGCGTTCTGTGGCCCGGCATGGATGTTTTTGACTCTGCTACACTGAAGATGAAGCTTAAGCGCAATCAGAAGAAAGACGGTTCCTCGCTGAGGAGAATGGAATCGAGTTCCAAGAACGTGAAACCCCTTGAACAGGTCTTTTCTCCATCCGGTACTCTTCGATCGGTCCGTGAGATTACGGGCAATGTTGAAATCCACAGCCCACTGAAAGGAGAGAGTCCGATTCCCCGGCGTCACTTCAACCGCCCCAGAAAACCCACATTGGAACAAATTGACCCTAACGTGCTCCGTGCCGTGGACAAGAAACGCGCGAAGACTGCCAGACACAAAGATGCCAAGAATACCAAAAAACCCCCCAAGGGACCAAGCAGATCCCCTCGTTGGTATCAGCGCACAGCAGATGATGTTGTATCCTTCACAGGTGAAGATGGTGAAATGGGTCTTGCTGTCCGAGCATTTGGAAAGAAGTCACAGAATGGCTTCAGTATTTTCACAGATGAAGATGACCACAAATTCTCCCCCAAGGACCAAGAGCGATCCCGTTCTACTTATTTTGATACACTGACTCCCGTGCGTCTTGCTTTGGACGGAAAGTCAAACGCCTTTGGCATGCATGGCTCGAAGATTGGAATTGGGAAAACCGCAGTCGACAAGGAGAACATTGAGCCCATTTTGGATCCCCATGGTCGCATCGATGCTCACAGCTGGCACTCACCATTTGCCAAGCGTGCTGCTGCTGACAGAACTGATCTCTCGCCCGAATACTTCTTTGATGAGTCGGTGCTTGACACATACCAGGACTTCAACAAGAACGGATACAATGCCAACCCCCTGCTCGCCCCTGCCAAGGGCCCCAGCTACGACCCATATGACCACAGTCACATGAACCAGACTAACTGGCAATCAATGGGCCACCCTGCCCCATCTGAGGAGACCATCTCCGAAGGAGATCAAAACGACTTCTCTTTCATCTATCTCCCTAAGAACACTGACTAAATCAAGGAACCCCAAGATGTGATGCTACGAGCACTTTGTGGAGGAGCAATGAAAAACAAGGAACGAAAATCAACAATGACGGAATTGAGACTGGTAGCTTTATCATTCTCCCGTGGCTTGGGAACTATGTATCTATTCATACCTATACTTTGTTATGGTGTTTTGTGGGTATCAATTTGTATTTTTTTCCCATCGGGGAAGGCTGTGTATTACTCTGTACACTAGCATGTGTACACTAGCATGCTTAAACGTTTGTATGAATATGAGCACTGTGGATTATGGTTTCTCCAGAGGAACCTGGACGTTAGACTCCTACTTCCACGTGGTGTCAAGAAGATCTGCCTCGTGCTGAAAGACATGCTTGATCATTCAGTTTCCCGACCCATCTACAGCCATCTTCAGCAACGTATATTTCTCTTTCTACCATTCGACAAGCCCATTCATCAAACTATACATATCTAATACTAGATTAGATTGCTATCTAAGGCACGTTACCCGAAAGACGTTGTGCTTGTGCGCTGAGGGAAGATGTAGTGGTCACATTCGGCTCAGTTCTAGGTATGTTCAATCCATGCAGGAACATTTTCGCCACTGTCTAGAACCAGTAGATCAGTGATTCAAGGTAAAGGTCGCAACGATGGCTGATTTGCGAGATATATGGTCTGGATATTGGTGGTCCGGATCGAATGTAGGGTGCGTGTAAGCTCTGCATGCAGGATATATCTGAACTTTGAAGTCTGAGTATACAACACAAAGAGGACCATACCAATTCTACGCCGCTCTATCTAATAAGGCAAGTCATTAGTCTTAATGCTATTTCCTGTGCGGTTGAAGTATCAAAATGCATGTTGGCCGAGGTCGACATAGTTATTACATCATTCTGATATGACACCTCCAAGGCTATTAAAACAAGCTCCTGTCTTACACAATAAAACAGGGAATACTGGATTAACTTTATCTAGAGCGATGTTCATGACTGGCTACTGAAAGATCCACGTTTTTACGAAATAGGTCGACTCCCTGTCATAGAATGATCCACGTCGACGGAAGGCGACCAGTCACTAAGTTAACTTATGACCTGCACATGAATGAACTCGTGTTTGGAACAGGCAAGATTTCACAAGAACAGGTTTTAGGTTCCAAAATATTCCACGTTTAATGATTGTCCTAAAAGCTTTATCTTCCCATATATAAACCCACGTCGACTTCAGCAACCATGTTTCCGATTCATATCCCAAATCGACGAATTGTTCCGTCTCTTTGTTTGAAGAATATTCAGAGATCGCTATTTCCATCAGCTGCTCTAAGAAAATTTTCTCCCTGTCCAGTATCACGCCAATTTGTGACCACACCCGCACGAACGTTCCCAGTCTCAAACAACACCAAAATGGAAGCCCAACAAAGCAACCAAAGCTTCAAGCTTGAAAATCTGTTCAATGTCAAAAATAAAGGTAAACCACGCAACCCTGAGTAATTTCAACAATAATCTAAGAAACCTCAAAGTGGCCCTAATAACAGGCGGCGGCTCAGGCATAGGCCTAATGGCAACCCAAGCCCTAGCCGTAAACGGCGCAAAAGTCTACATAACAGGTCGAACAGAAGAAAAGCTCGACAGAGTAGCAGAGCTGTACAGCAAAGACATCCCGGGCGAAATCATCCCCCTCACAGCCGACATCACCAAAAAGACCGAGATCGACAACTTAGCCAAAGAGATCTCGTCCCGTGAAGGCCACCTTTCAATCTTGATTAATAATGCCGGCATCGCCAACGAATCCCAAGAAACGGAACACGAAGACGCGGGCAAACTCCGCGAATCGCTATTCGAAGATTCAAACGCGACATTCGCTCAATGGGACGATGTCTTCCGAACGAATGTCTCCCAGCTCTTCTTTATGACAACCGCCTTTCTCCCGCTTCTTCAGAAAGGATCTGAAGCAGAGATCAACCATGGATGGTCGAGTACAGTGATAAACACGACATCCATTTCGGGTATCGTGAAGGTATCACAGCACCACTTCGCATACAACGCATCCAAAGCAGCGGCCATTCATCTGACGAAAATGCTGGCGCATGAGGTTTCCAGTTCGAATTTGAAGATCCGTGTTAATCATATTGCGCCGGGTGTTTTCCCCAGTGAGATGACTGCTGGGGCGAGTGATGAGAAGCAGAAGAATTTCATTCCTGCTGAGAAGTATGAGAAGAAGGTTCCTGCATCTAGGCCTGGCAGGGATGAGGATATGGCTAGTGCTGTGCTGTTCGCGACTACGAATCAGTATTTGAATGGACAGAGTGTTGTTGTTGATGGGGGGTATGTTCTTGCTGCTGGGTCTTTGTGAGATATTGAGCTTCAGGTGGATATGAGCCTTTTCTAGTTCAGTTTGATTGAAAATTGAATAATCTTTTGTGTTAAGATTTGCCTATGCAATATGTAAAACACTCTCCAATCTTTCGATTGAATCGTTCAAATGCACCGGATTGAGATCACAGTTTGGACTTTGTAGCCAGGGTCTCGCTGATTGGTGCAACCTCCACCATCATCTTGCCAGTGTTGACACCGGCATAGAGATCAATCAAAGCCTTGGGCGCCGCCTCAAGACCCCCAGGAACGATATGCTCCTTGCGCTTGAGCTTACCCTGGGACAACCAGGATGCCAGCTCCTTCAGGGCAGTGGGATACTTCTTCGCATAATCAAAAACAATGAAGCCCTTGATAGTGATACGTTGCGACTGCCAACAGTTAGCCAAAGCCTACAAGAACCCAAACCCCAAGAACAGAACTCACAATGACAGTCATAAAGCTAGCCGGACCCTGCGGCTTAGCAGAGTTATACTGACTGATAGCACCACAAATTACAAAGCGCGAGTCCCTCGCAGCACGCGCAAGACAAGCATCAAGAATTTCACCGCCGGTATTATCAAAGAAAACATCAATATACTCAGGCGTAGCCTCCTTAAGCTGCTTCTTCCAATCGGCATCCTTATAATTGACCGCCGCATCAAAGCCAAGATCCTTAACGAGGAACTCACACTTCTCCTTACTACCCGCCAAACCAACCACCCTCTTGGCACCCTTAATGCGCGCAATCTGACCAGCAACCATACCAGTCGCACCCGCAGCCCCAGAAACAACAACCGTATCCCCAGCCTTCGGCTGCCCAACCTCAAGCATACCAAAGTAGGCCGTCAGGCCCGTCATACCGAGAACGGACATGGCATCTGTGGGACGGCCGCCGGCCGGCAGGGCCACCTTCTCGGCTTCCTTGGCACCTACCAGGGCATATTCTTGCCAGCCAGAGTAGGCAACGACCCAGTCGCCGGCGTTGTATTGGGATGCGAGGTCGCTGCCAACGGAAACGACCTGTGCGATGCTCTGGCCGCGCATTACGGCGCCTTGTTCGACTGGTGCGATGTAGGAACGTTTGGCTGTAAGCCATTGGCGCATGGCTGGGTCGAGAGAGAGATAGTGCACGCGCACGAGGATTTTGTCTGCGGGCACATTTTGCGGTTTGGGCGTTGTGTTCACGCGGAAGGTTCCTGTTGTCAGGGAGGGATCGATGGCCGGGGCTGGCGGGGTGGTGTAGATGATTTGTTTGTAGGACATTTTGGACTGTATCTGGAGATAGAAAAGTGGTTATAGAGATAGATTCAAAAAGAAAATGGGGAGGGAGGGCGTTGAAGAAAAGGGAGTCTGGGGTATCGGAGAGGCTCCCAGATTAGGAAAACTGCTCCTATACCTCGGCTCGGATATGATTATTGATACTTTTATGCAGTGTACATTTCTGTGACTCACTGGGGTATAAGTGATGCAGGATACTCCAAGTAGAATACAACTGCCACTGCTATAGCTCACATACTTCGTAGATTGTAGATCGAGTAACCTCCCTTTGCTCATCCTGACGTCATCGACAAGTATAAATCAAGACCAACTCGCTCGGCTCTCTTTCTTCGACTGTAATCATTTAAACCCACTCTGTATATCTACTCTGTATATTGCATACATATATCCTTCAATATGAATAACGAAACATACGAACCAACTCAACGAACCCACACCAATGTCGCTGGCGGTTCCTCAACAGGCTCCGCCGGCATCCCGACGGGTATGAGGGATTCACAATCTACCTATGATCCCTCAACAAAGGGGTATAACCCTTCAACTGGAGCAAGCTACGAAAAGCCGCCAGTCCCTCCACGCACAAACCATGCAACAGAGCATGCAGCGACACACGATCAACCCTTCACTACGACAGATAAGAGCTCTATGGCGGGGTCAAAGGCTGGCGATAACCTCGGTCACGGAGTTATGGGAGCTGCGGCTTCTGTTCATGTAAGTTCACCGCTTAGATCTAGTTCCTCTGATACAGTCTAATTGTCTTCCTGTAGGGTGCTGGAGAATCCCTGCGCGGAGCCCTGAATACAGCTGTTGACCGGGCTTTCGGATCCAATGATGGGGCGGAGCGGAATGCTGAAATCGCCCGTAAAGGCGAGGAGGAGATTCGATCGGGGCAGTTCAAGGGGCGGGGTTGATTAGATTGTGTATGATAGAGCTAGTGTAGACTTAGACATGTATAATGCGATGTTCCATAATGTTGATCGTTGAAACCTTGAAATCTGATGTGAGATGTCATCATCACGACGATCTAGTAGGAAATAGAGTCTCGGTTATATAGACCAAAGATAAATGTGCATAGAAGTGCATAGAACAGGATTGGAACATCAGGTAGCAGAATTTCATATGATCGTCGACATGCCCGGGTTGACGGAAATTAGGGCATCGATCTCCCGACTTCAACCACGGACATAGATCGTGGAGAAGACAAAGCAACAAGCTGCAAGTACAGGCTAAGCATTTGCCCAGATACCTTCATATCAAGGCTCCCGAACAAAATACCAAACGGACATCGCCTTCCGGGCGACCCGAGTAGGCTGTGCTGGTGGAACCCACTGTTTCCGGCCAATTTATAAGAAAAGAAAATTAACAACCTACACATATTTACTTGAAGTTCACTGCATTATAATCTGCATCAGCGCCCAATTTGAAGTTCTGCATATTTATACGCCCGGGCCACATTACATCACCGTCTCGCACACCCGTATATGTTCGACCTCATGCTCTGAGAGCTCTATATTCCAGATGACTTCAATCGGCAATTCCCCAGAGGCACTGGCTCCGCCGAAGCACCAAGCATTATACTCCTCCGAGTCGTCCCCGAACATCGCTGCCTCAGACTCCCCCTCACAATACTCGTCCTTCTCCAGCTCCGACAGCGATGATCCGGTTCCCCTCTCCGTCGCAGACGCCGACGAAGATGCAGCTGGCGATGTGGTCGGGGTCAGCATTGGCCGCCAACAAAGCCGCATGAAAGCACGCGCAACACCCCTAGAAGAGAAGAACCGCATGTTGGAGAAGCAGGGGGAATATTTCGCAACGATCCCGGATACAGTCGGCGAAGATGGCCTCTTCGCATCGCAAATCACCGCCGAGCCGGAGCCCGTGGAACCCGTGTCCGAACCCGACGTACAACGAAAAGAGCGCACGAGTCCTTCTCTTCAGGCGCAGCCGCAGCGCCGTGTCCAACATGGTCCCCGTAGTGATCTTTTTGCTCCGGGTGCGGGCAAGCCCCTGGCTACGGCGGAGCATAAGGACACGGCTGTGAGCCATCGAACCAGTTTTGTTGGTAACTTGTTGAAGACGTCTTTGCCTCGTCGGCCGCGGGCTTGGTCTGGCGAGTTGAAGAAGTTCTTGCCGGACTTGGCGTCGCTGAGAAAGCGGCCTTCGCTCTCGTTTCGCGGCTCGGGGAATGGGCAGAATCGGTCGCGTAGCCAAACTGTGGCACCTGCTGCTAAGAAGAACTTGGAGCAGAAGAGAACCTCGTCGCTGGATCGGCGGTCTCCGTCTTCACGGCGGGGGCCAAGGGGACCTAATGGATTCAGCAATGACGATGATGGAGAAGCAAACCAGGCACTTTCTGAGCTGCGGTCGCCTGATGGAACCTCGGCCGCGAAGCATTCTTTTGCTCGACGCCCCAGCACTGCTATGCCAGGTCGGCCACCGAGTCTGAGGAGGTCATCCTCTGATCAATCGCTATACCTGCGCGCTTCGTCAACGGCATCATCTCTGGAGCAGCGACCATTATACGAGAATGTGCACTCTCAGGTGAACAGCAGATTCAAGGCGATCAAGGATAGTTTCCAAGATTCGAGTAGCAAGCTACTCAGCATGCCGACTCTTCATGACATTCGCTCAGATTGGGGTTCGCGTCAGTTCTTGCCGGAGCTCGGTAATGGCTCACATTCTACTTTTAATAGCAATGACAATAAAGAAACATCCCAGCGAACTGCGAGCCCGCCACCTCCACGGAACAATACCAACCCCACACATCCCATTTTGGAAGAAGCCATGGCTGAACTCACGGGTGATGTTGTCATTCTGGGAGGATATCGAGGGTCAATCCTGCGGTCGGCCAAACCGCCTCAGCGACAGCTTTGGGTTCCCATGAAGGTTGGCTTGAATCTGCGAAAAGTGGATCTAGAGGTCGGTCTGAACCCAGAGGATGAAGAGCGCATGGAAGAGACAATCATCCCATCAGGTGTTCTCTCCCATGTTGGACCTGTGGACGTCTGCCGACGATTAATGAAGCGACTGCGCAAGAGCGACAATGCCCAGCATGGAGACCTCCGTGTTCATGATTACGGCTACGATTGGCGATTGAGCCCTGAGCTTCTGTCCCGCAGACTTATCGCTTTCCTAGAGGGGTTGCCCTGTAACCAGCCACAACCAGAAGGCTCCGAGGCACCCCGTGGAGCGACAGTCATTGCCCACAGCCTGGGAGGCCTCATAACCCGACACGCAGTCAACGAACGACCGGACCTCTTCGCGGGTGTCGTCTACGCAGGTGTACCCCAGCACTGCGTAAATATCCTCGGACCCCTCCGCAACGGCGATGACGTCCTGCTCAGCTCCCGCGTCCTTACAGCACAAGTAAACTTCACCTTCCGCACCAGCTTCGCCCTCCTCCCAGAAGACGGGCACTGCTTCATCGACAAGCAAAGCAAGGAAGAATTCCGCGTCGACTTCTTCGACGCCAACACCTGGGACGAGCACCGTCTCTCGCCATGCATAGCCCCAGCCCTCCCAACAAACGGCAGCCTAACAAACCGCGGCCTAAAAGACCTACCCATCATTGGCAAGCGCTTCTCCATGCCTCCGCGCGATGATTCAGACGAATCTCTCGTCCAAGAGGCCAGCAACCTCTCAGACACTCACCAACAACCAGTTTCAACAACAGACAAGGACATAACAGCCCGCAACCCTCCCCATCCATCCGCCTACCACGCACCAATCCACTCAAACACAACCCCAACCCCGTCTTCAGTGGCAGCCTACGCATCGGAAAAGGCCCACGGCGCCACGCACTTCCCAGCAGACGGACTAGTAGGACCAGTGCAGCATCCCCGCGGCAGCTCAGCAACAACAAAAGCAGCAACAACAAGCACAATCCCACGCGGCGCAGCAATAGAATATCTCCAACGCACGCTCTTCGAAACAAAACGCTTCAAATCAAACCTTGCTTTCAGACCAACTCACCACTCAGAGAATAAGTACCCGCCAGTAGCAGTGTTATACGGTAAAACCGTACCGACAGTCTACGGCGCACGGGTCGTCTCCCGCGAAGGCATTAAGCACATTGATGCGTATGATGATCTGGCATTTGCGGCTGGTGATGGTGTTTGTCTTGCCTCGGCTGCTATGCTCCCGCCTGGATATCGGATTATCAAGGATGGGTTGGTTAAGAGTGATCGGGGGCATGTTGGATTGCTTGGGGATCTTGAGGGAGTCGGGCAGTGTCTGAGAGCTATTAATAGGGGACGGAAGGAGGGTGTTGGGCTTGGTGAGAAGGAATTGTGATTGATGTGACGTGTGGTTGAACGTTTCTTTTGATTTGTTGATTTATGCTTGATGATACCAATGGCTTGCGCTTATGATTTACAGGTTTATGTGGTGGGTTTGGGTTTTGGACATGATTTATGTTCTGGAGATTGAGATGAGTATATACGTTTAGATAGCTCTTGTACAGTGACAAGATGATGATATTATCTCTCGAATTAGGAAATACACGGTAAACATGAAGTGGAAGGAATTATAAGATGAATAGAATCATTTTTTGTTACAACCCAATGCCCTTTTATGCATGTATCTGCATTCGAAACAGACTAAATGCTTTTGCCTCAGTCCAAGTCTCATCGGAACAAAAGAGACAATCCCGCGGAACGAAAAGGAAATAAAGGAATCCAAGAACATCCAAAAATATATAGCGTACGAAAAAGACAACCAATCATGAGAAAAATGCTAGAAAGTACCAACAAAAAAAATCAAGTCATCAAAGTCTTTAATCCGTGCGCGAGTTGGCAATGTTCAAAACCAAGATATCAGTAGCGCCGACCTTAATCAGCTCATCCATTACCGTAGCAATGCGCTTCTTCTCAACCATTGAGCTGACAGCAACCCAGTTCTCCTCCTCGAGGGCGGTGATGGTGGGTGCGCGCTTGCCGGGGGTAACCTTGGAGGCAGTGGGCAGCTGAGTACGGGGGATGTTGTACTGGCAGAGGACGAACTTCTGGGCGGTGATGACACCGCGGATGCGGGAGGTGAGGAGGTTGAGGATGTCGCTGTTGGATTCGCGGGCCTTGACTAGTACAGCGGTACTGGAGACGACGGTATCGATGGCCTTGAGGCCGGCGGCCTTCATGGTCTCACCGGATTCTGATGAATGGATAAGCATACTTCCAAGTAAACCAATGCCGAGCAGGAAGATTACATACCAACTAGATCGACAATACCATCCGCAACACCGAGAGCGCAAGCAGCCTCGACACTGCCGCCGACATATTTAATGTTAGTCTTGAGCTTTTCGCCCGCCTCCGCACCCTCAAGCTGGCGGAAGAACTGCTCAGTGAGCGCAGTGAAGCTGGTCACGACGTTGCGGCCAACAAGCTGCTTGGCCTCGGTCATGTCGCCCTTCTCGGGGACCTGGACCTGCAGCTTGCAGCCGCCGAAGCCGAGATCGAGAATCTCCTCAACGCCGGAGACTTCGCCAGCCGGCAGGGTGGCATCGTGCTCAGCGACCTGGTCGCGGCCAGTGATACCGAGGTCAACGCGGCCCTCACCGACGAAGGTGGGGATGTCGGCGGCGGGCAAGAAGATCAGCGCAATGGGCAGGTTCTTGACCAGGGCGATATCGAGGCGGGTTTCACGGCGAAATTGGACATCGGAGCCGGAGAGGAGGTCTAGGGTTGCTTGTTGAAGACGTCCTTCTGTAGAGTGGGATGTTTCGTCAGCATGCTGTTCTTGTTCTTCTTTGTTCTTTATTTCTGATCCGTGGGAGTGTCGCGTAGACTCTATGAGTCATTATCACGACTTGGTGAGACTTGCTCTTGGGGACGGCGAAAAGGAGACGGCCCTCGAGGCTGATTGGAGTCATACGGTCAGCGTAATGCGCAATGGTGATTTTCAATTGGGGTTGACTCACTGGTTGACGAGATCCATTGCGATTGAGCGATTGAGCGCGGAGCTTTGCTTCGAGAGGGTCGGAGGTGGTATATAATGGGGATTTAAGAAAAAGAACCCAAAGAATCAATTGCGAGAATAAGATAAGAGTCAGAGGCACACCGGAGCTCAGAAATTGGAGGGGCAGATCCGAACTAACTGCGGGACCGGAGATTGTACGGGAAGTCAGGGAAGAGAGCACTGGCCCACGTGATACTTGCAGCCAATTGCTTCAATTCGATCGATCTTATATACTTGGGAGGCTCAAAGTAATTGGCGCAACCACATCCAGTCAGATTGCGCCCGTATACGTAAAAAAAAAGTTCTGCCTGAGGTGGATAAATGCCTCAGGTTGAGACATGACTAACCAGGTGCCATATTGCTGACTCATTGAATGCCTGACGGCTCAGGTGTCCAGCCCTGAGCCCTCGCGTAATTTGCACGAACCCACACAAGGCAAATTCATCTTCAACATTCCCTTACACCCGTCCAACCAACTCCAACCCTCGAGCTCAACGCCCTCTCCCTTCCGACAAGATGGATTCCAGCAAGCAGCCCGTTAAGCTCGTCAAGGTGACCCGTGTCCTCGGCCGCACCGGTATGTGCCATTCCTGAGTTTTTGAAGCTCAAAATCCACATTTCGATATCCGCGGGGTTCTACCCATGCGCCCCCGATCGTCGCCCGTCAAAAGAATATGAAAGCTAGAATTTGGAGGAACAACAATGGCTAATTGGATTTCTTATAGGATCCCGTGGTGGTGTTACTCAGGTCCGCGTCGAGTTCATGGACGACACCTCCCGTTCCATCATCCGTAACGTCAAGGGCCCAGGTATGCGATATTGATTTCCTCCCAGTCGTCTCTCGATTATGCACATATCAAGAGGAGGAACACATGGCTTTCTTCACAATTGAAGAGCCACATGTCGGAATATGAAATTTCGGGGATCGACACACAAAACTTCAACGAATCACAAACTAACCTCTCCACCAGTCCGCGTTGATGACATCCTGTGCCTCCTCGAGTCCGAGCGCGAGGCCCGCCGTCTCCGTTAAAAACAGCCAAAACGAAATTTCGCTCGCGTCTATTTTGTCTCTTTTCTTCTCTCGCATATCCCTCACGACCGGTTTTTCATGATCACTCTTCGGCCAAAAACGTGTCCTCCGCCTTTCTTCTTTGCCGTACCTTCAACCTCCCAAACTTCCCAGCCCTAAATTGCCGCGCTGCCCATCTTCCCGCCTATCGACTGTCGCCTTTTTATCCGATGTATCGACTGGATGTGAATGTATGGGTGGAATGACTTTTTGGTGTTAAACCTTTTGCTCCAATAGTCCCGGAAGGTCGATTATGGAGAACCGAGCGCGAGAGAGAGGAGGAGAGAGTCGCAAAATTCAAGATTTAGAAAGCCTTTTTTCCCAAATATTATTGATATGAGAAACGAAATCAGGTTCTTTGCGCGAGGGCTGGTTTGTGGACTTTGTGGCAACGGTCTGGACTGGTTTCGATCTGGTGTTTTACTACATTCACACGTCCTTTTGACGTGTTTGCACGGGCTCAATGCGACAAACGAGGTTGTGATGTTGTTTCCCTCTTTCCTCTTGTTACTGGCTTTGCTAGTACTTGTAAATCCTCATATTGAACCAGGCCTGATCGACAAAAACAACAATGGAATCCCCCCAAAAACATTTGAAAACCTCTGATTCCGCCTGTCGAGGGCGTTCGTAGTGCCTGACGGTGTTCGATTGTAGTATTCCATCATAGTCTAATGGTACATGGCCAAGTAGGTATTGTCACTGCTTGACTATTACATATCGTCCTATTACTTCATGCCTACACACCAAGTCTACGTGGATATCATGCCCTGCCAGTACAGAGTATTGATATCTGATATCTGATATGGGCTTCGACTTATGGTAAATCAACCCATGCACGTAATCTGTACAAAACCGAAAAAACCCCATTGCGCCTGTCCAGGTCACATAGTGTAAATTATAACTGCTCAGCACTAGCCACAAGCCTCTCAAGAAACCCATCACTAACAGAGTCCCCATCTCCACCCTTGCTATCCAGAACACGCCCAACGGCACCAACAAGCCCAGCCAGCCGTTTCCGACGAATAGACTCCTCAAGCTGTGTGCTCTTCTGACGAGCAATATCAATAACAGCCGAGGGCAAGTTAGCCAATCGAGCCACATTCAATCCGTAACTGCGATGCGCAACGCCTTCAGTGACTTCATACAAGAATGTGATCTCCTCGTCGCCCTCTTTCTCGCCTGTTTCTGTGAACTTCATGTGCACATTACGGAGGGCGTTATCAGGGAATGATTGTACCATCCGTGAGAGGTGCTGGTAATGGGTGATGAATAGTGTGAGGGATTGGATAGACCGGACCATGTAATCCAGAACAGCCTGAGCGATGGCAACACCGTCGTGCGTTGATGTACCACGGCCCAATTCGTCGAGGATAACCAAAGACCGCGGCGTGGCTTGCTTGAGGATATCTGCTGTCTCAGAGAGTTCGACCATGAATGTTGACTCGCCGGCGAGCATGTTGTCGAATGCTCCCATGCGCGTGAAGACGGCATCTAGGAGACCGAGTTTGGCTGAGGCTGCTGGGACGTAGGAGCCGATTTGGCCCATTATTGCGATTAATGCCACTTGTCGTACGTAGCTGGATTTACCGCCCATGTTAGGGCCTGTAACGAGGAGTGCGCGTGTGTTGTCGTGGTGCAGGTTTGTGTCGTTGGGTACGTATGAGTTTGTAAGGAGGTGCTCGACCATTGGGTGGCGGCCTTGCTCGATGTGTAGGCCTGCTTCGTCTGTGTACTCTGGCTTGACGTAGCCGGGTTGTTGGGCGATTGTTGCTAGGGATAGTAGGCAGTCTAGTGTTGCGAGAGACTGGACGCAATCACGGAAGGATTGGTACTGGGCTGCAATGTCGGCTAGTAGTGCTGTGTATGCTTGGTCGCATGCCGCTGCTAGGGCTTCCTTTTGCTGGTCACGTTCACGGATCATTTGGACGACTTCCGGTGTGTGGAAGCGTGAGACTCGTTTTGTGCCGCTTACTTTGATCCATGAGGCCGGGACGCGCTTGAGGGCCGGTGAGTTGTTTTCGATTTCAATCAGGTACTCGATGCCGGACACTGTCGAGTATTCGACTTTACCTCTTCCAATCGTTGAAGCCGCGTCTTTGCGATGCTCGGAAAGACTGTGCTCAATGCTTCCAATCTGGAGCTTATGTTCGCCGATGGCTTCTGTTTCCTCTGCTTCACGGAAGAAAGAGTACTTGTCATCAGTCCGAGCAGCATGCATATTGATCTTGTCCAGAAACTTGACGACTTCTGCTCGAATTGTGGGTAAAGAGGCGATTGCCTCGCTCACTAGTGTTGACTCGAAACCTGTCTGACCGGGTGATTTGATATCTGAGAATTCCATTGCAATCATTTGCATGGCTTGCAGCACATTCAAGAGTTCCGGACGCGTGCACTTTCCGAATATTAGCACCGATAAAGACCATCATGACGAACAGTCACTTACCTTTCCATAGTAAATGCGAATCAAGCTCTTCTCCAGGTCACTCTTGACTTTGCCGAGCAAGCCTCGCACTCTTTCCACAGAAACCACCCGGACAGAGTCCGTCAGCTCCTCGACAGCATTTGTCCTCTCCTCCAGGCGAACCTTATCAAGCAAAGGTCGTCCAACCCATTGACGCAACATACGTTGCCCGAATCGGGTCTGCGTCCGATCCAGGGTCCAGAACAGACTACCCTTGGCCGAATGATCCGTTTGGTTCTGATAAATCTCCAAACTGACCAGGGTGTTTCCGTTCAAGAGCATGTGCGAGCGGGCCGAGAAGGGCTGAAAGTACTTAGTAAGGTCAAATACATGCTCTAAACCATACTCAGTCATGTGTTCAATCATAGCAGACAAACAAACAGTAACCTGTTCCGGCAGTTCAAGAACGTTTTGGAGTAACTTTGCAGCTTGAGCATCCTCTTGAGTGCTTGTAGCCTTCATTTTACCGGCGTAAAAGCCCGAGACATGACTGTGAGCCTCAGCAGCAGATGTTTTCTTCTTCTGGGCCCGCTCCAGCCGCACGGCATCGCCGAATACATTCATTTTGCTTCCGGACAAATGCTGAACAAGCTTCTCGCTAGCTCGGGACATCTCGCCAACAATGAGAATTTCACAGGGGGCAATGTGTAGGAGTCGTGTCTCGATCTCGCTCCGCATAAAGCCATCCTCAAAATCGTCGTAGATGATATCGCCTGTAGCCGGCTGAACGGCAATGATTCCGACATGCACCCGCTCATCGTTCCCTGGACCCTTGGCGTTTGTCTCTGTCATGCAGAGCATGTAGCCCGTAGCAGGTGAAGTGCCTCCCGCTGCCGGGGCAGGGCCCTCGAGACCTTCGGCGTCATCGATATAGGTTCCTTTGGTGTACAGATTCGTCAACTTGCGAACAAATGGCGCGTTGCGGTTATCACCCGCAGCTTTGAGTGCAGCTGTCTCGATCTGTCGCACTACGCCGACTTTGTGGCCTGCCGTAACAAGTCGTTTCACATGGACATGCAGCCGATGCACGGGGATGCTAGCTGAAGCAAACCGGTCAAGGTGTGCCTCCGAAGGATCTAAAATTCCATCAGTCAGTTACCTTCAATAGGATATTGCAGGATACACTTACGTTCATCGAATCTGAACTTCCCCGGGATGCACACAATGCCCAGCTCCTTTGCAGCAATGCGTGCATCCTCACCGAAGAAGCGGAACTTGTAACCGACTTCAATCACGAGTACAGTATTCATGTGCTTGCGCTTAATCTCAACGACCTGCTTCTCCATGGGTGTGAGTTTGCTTCCGCCCTTCTTGGCACCCTTGCCTTTGGTTGGCGGAGGAGATTCGTCATCCTCCTCAGCCTCCGCAGCCTCGTCTGCTCCAGCGGTGGAATCGTTTATAGCTCTCCTTCCAATTCCAATCAAGCAATCTGCTCCGCCGAGCTTCTTGACAAATTTCTGGTGAAGCTTCTCCTTTTCCTTCTTCCGTTGGTCCTGTTCTGGGTCGACCTTCTCCGTAGCATCTGTAGCAGACACACCTGTAGCAATGGCAGGGGAGCTTTGGAATTTGAAAATGTCGGTGCGCTGACTACTGCTCGGCTGGGACGTATGTTCGAACGGTACGCTTGCCGCAACTCGAATGGGCTCCTCTGCGTCTGTGTCGGCGGTCTTGGCTCTTTTTGGGGCTGGAACGACGATGTCTTCTTCGTCATCCTCTTCCACTGGGTCAGCTCGTTTCGACTCGTTGATCTTCTCCGCTGGCGAGGCTTGTCTCTTCTTGGGTCCCTTGGCCGGGGTCGCTTCGGAGTCTTTGGGAGAGGCGCTGGAGGAGGGTTTCTGGGTGAAAAAGCTAGAAATACTTGGTTGCTTGCGTTTGAGTGACGGTGAAGGTGCGGATTGCGATGATTGAGGTGCCATCTTCGGGGTGGTTGGTCTGCTCCCACCGCAGGTATGCGGAACAGCAGTGGGATAGGACAGGTAATGATGAGGTGGATATGGGTGATGATTCTCTCAGTAGGGGGTATCTCGGGTATCTCTCAAATTGAGTTCTCGAGATAAAAGAATGCTTCACTGGCCATGCGACTTTGCACTCCGCATTTCCCTGAAGCTTGACGCGTACGGGACGCGTGAAGGCGTTAAGTGGCTGAGTCAGCGATTTGTAGGGCGCTCGAAGTATTGTAGGATGACCGAACATTTATGATATGTCGATCGTACTTAGATGACTTTTCAATACTAGAGTGCTCCTTCTTGCTTTCTTCATAGTAATATGCAAATGCTCACCTTTGGCCCTGAATCACACCTGAAAGAACGCCAAGGCTAAGATTTCTAGTGAAAGTTGATCATAGAGGATACTTGACTAGTACTTTTAAGCAACAGCTCACGTACTGAACGTCTCCTCAATCTCGGCCTGGCAGAACCTAGCCCAAAAAAATCAAAGACCTCCACCCACAAGCAATTGACCTGCTGATGCTGAATGCCGGCGCGGGACCAAAGCCCGCAGAAGGAAAACCGCAACGGGAAGACGCAGCCTACTTCGAATAATACCATTCGCGAAGAAACACATTCGGCTGCACAAGCGGACTGGCAACATTCCTCAACTCCGTAACGAACGCCAAATACATCACACGCGCAATCGTGATGACGGACTCAAAGCAAAAATCTACCAATCCGCCTAGTAACCCTGCATACAATGCCTTGAAATCAGCTGTGCGAACGATGATTGCTGACCATTTATCGTTTGATCTGGCCGAGGCTGCGCCAAATGTTAGTGTTCATTTGCTCAGTCCCGGTTGGACTTATATCGGATTCCATACGGAGGGCGGCCTTGAAAACTTGATATAGACAAGTGTATTATCGAGAGATGGATATCATTGTTGATAAGAGTTTCACAACATGCTCAGTACCCTGAATCGCCTGCGTCACAAATTACCACACGGCTCATCCACTCAGAGCGTAGCATATTAATTGACGAGATCCGCTTCCACGGATTGGGATGTAGCATTGCATAAATGGCATTACGTCGTCTCTGTCAACTATGTATTAGCAAATTGTCTCCTACACAACAACGAAAAGACTCAACGGGTGAACTATACCTGTCCAAGCGACTCGATAGGCGCATATCCATCTTCTTCACAGCGGCCATGCAAATACTCCAAGTACCGCCCATCTTCACGACGTGGTCGAGCACTGCGCCAAAGCAATCGGCCGGTTATTAGTGTCATATAGACAATAGCAGTGGCCCAAACATCTGCCGGGCGAGGATCAACCTCTTCCTCGCTGTCACTGGGGGCATAGGGAGAAGAATGGTGTTCAAATGCCTCTGGTGGGATGTATGGGAGACTCATACCGGCGAAGGAGGCTGTTGATGGGTTTACGGTTGTAGACTGGGCAGTGTTTCGGGTTGATGAGGTTGATGAGGCTTGACGAGAAAAGGAAGATAAAAACCATGGCAGTGAGAAGGACCAAGCTGCATGATGATGTTGCTGTTGTGTTGAAGGGAGTGTTTCTTCCTCATCTTCTCTTGGTGTCATGCGGACCGTGCACTCCTCCCATATACGCTTGACATATCCATCACCGAAACCAGCTAGCTTGACTCCTCCACTTGATGTCAGAAGAACAGTTTCTAGACGGATATCACGGTGTGCGGTTTCGTGCTCGTGCAGGAAGCAGAGGGCGCGGAGGATTTGCTTTATGATACAGTCGGCTTCATGGGCTGGAAGTATTCCATTGCGAGATATCAAGGTATGTAGATCCCCGCCGGCGCAGTATGGCATGACAAGGCACAGTTCGGAGCGTTCATTATGGAGCAGGTCGAGGATTGGGAGGATATTTGGATGTTGAGGATGGAAGATCGCGCTGGTTGGAGAGAGACAGGTGGTGAAATGGGATGAGCAGGCCGGCGAGAGTGTCTTTTTCAAGATGTTGCGTCGGTATACTTTGATTGCGAGGAGTTGTTGGCCCCTTGATTCGTGGAGGCGGGTTGTACTGTTCGCTCCGTAGTGGACTATCTGTTGGCAACGTCCGTATTTTTCTGTGAATGGTAGACTGATAGTTGAGAGCTGTATTGCGCTGGGGGCTGAGGCTGCTGAATCTCCAATTAAAGGGAGCCGGTCGGTGGAGACGGTTGTCAACAGAGGTGGTTTCTCGTGCTTCAAGACCGACCAGCCGCGGCCTCCCATTCTCTGCACGGCATTATTCAGTGAGCGTTTGTCTTTTGCATCTGCCGATTCCTCAGGGAGGGTTCTTCGAGTTGGATACTCGTGGTAGTCATCATTCTGGTCTGGAGGGCGCATGTCGATTGGTGCTCAGGCTATCAGACTTTCAGATGACAATGTATGCTTTGGCACAAACGCAATGGAAGTTATGGAGAGGAAGTGCAAAAGACCAAAAAAACAAAGGGAATAACAAGCTAGAGTTTTGAATCTGCGCTGTCCTTATATAGATCTACACACTGGCGGTGTATATCGTTCTACTTACGCTGTCAGAATTCTAGGATAATAAGAACAAAGAGAAAGTGAGCAGATGGAAAAACACAAAGTATGTCATCGCAGCACAGCTCTCTCAACTATGGGCCAGGAATGAATAGAACAAATCTCTCGCTGGTCTCTAGTTAGCTGGAAATATTCGCGATTGGACGCGTCAAACTGCTCATATTGATCCTATCGAAATAGCCCCATAGTGAGCGATTTATTTCAGTTTCCGCTCAAGCTACTGAAGCGGCTCGCGTGAATTGAAAGCGGCTGGGGGAAAAATTGAAATGTGGGAGTCTTTCAGAGTGGTAGGTGGGAGGTGGTAATGTCTGAATTGAGTAAGTTCGCAGTCATTCCTGTGGCGAGGAAAAATCCCTCATGGCCGAACCGGGGAATAATCCACGCTTTTGTGACTGTGACCTTGACGGAAAACAGCAAATTTTACGAAATCTGCGGCATTTGTCTCTTTTTTTTTACGTTGGAGCTTTTGATCTGACAGGATTTCTGGACCTCGTGAATTCCCACGGAATCTGATCGTGGACCAGGGAAAAGTAGGGCTGAACACGTTTTGGTATTGTCAGGGATGGAAATATATGTTAAATGATTAGTTCATAGTCTACAATCTCGTAATATAACAGAACATGTTGTACGGAGGTTATCATAGTTCACTGACAGCTGTCATTCTGGCTGGTGCATGAACCTGGTCAAAGTAGATGGTGTCACATATGGCTTGAACTGAATAGACCGGAGTACCTCATTAAATTCTCACAAAACGAGAACGATACCGTCAAAATAGTAGGTATCTCAGAGATTCAAGCTGATATCACAAGTTCGGAGTATAGCCTAAAGTGAAGTGGATCGAGGGAATAAAATATCAAGTCAGACCCCATAGTTAGTTTATTTCTATTTCCCTCGCCTGACTGTGTCATGGCACGCAGACACAGGGACTGGCTTGAACATTCCCAATTCGGCAGGCTCGAATCAGGCCTAATCAGTCTGCAAACATATAAGAGGACTTTCCCTGTCCCTTTACTCTCCTCGGCCCTTCCTCTTTGATTTTCTGGCTTGTGCTGCTCTCTTGGACATTGGACTGTCTTCCTTTCAATTTCCCTATACCTCAGACGTCCACCATGCATTCCCACGATAGCACCACCGATGTTGACGTCGAGTCGGAGGGTGACCAGATCAAGGATGAACCTGATCGCACTGGACGTTCTGCACGAATTACTTTTGAGGAAGCATCCGCTGCAGATGGCCTCCGATCAATCTACCAACCAGCTCGGTTCACACGAACCCGCTCCGTGAGCCGTGATACAATTCGCAGCAGCAGAAGCAGTCAGACCGCCGCAACAGCTGGCTTGCCCATCGAATTCCGAACCCTCTCCATCCATATCTCTGAGTCCCAGAATGCCCCCAAAGAAGTCGTTCCCGATGTCGACACCACGAAGAAAGAAAGGCAGCCGCACCAAGATTACTTCGAGAACCTCGACTTCCATACTGTGACCACTGAAAGTCTATGCCAGAACTTCAACGTCGACCAACGTACTGGACTCAGCTCGTCATCTGCAGCGACTCGTTTGCAGCGAGACGGAAAGAATATCATTGCACACCATGGAGAGAACTATGTCAAAAGGATATTTTTTTATGTCTTTGGCGGATTCTGCTCTGTGCTCTGGGTTGGAGTAGTCATTTTCTTTGTTTGCTGGAAGCCGCTCAGCAACCCGCCCTCTGCTCAGAATCTCGCTATGGCTGTGCTCATTCTCATCGTAATTTCTCTGCAAGCAAGTTTCTCGGCCTTCCAAGACTGGTCTACTAAGCGTGTCATGAATTCCATCCTGGACCTCCTACCCGCTGAAGCTATGGTCTTGCGAGATGAGATGCTCATTCATCTTCCTACTACTGAGCTGGTTGCTGGTGATATTGTCCACATCGGGATGGGAAATAAAGTTCCTGCTGACATGCGCTTGCTAAAGAGCTCGGGTGATGTCCGCTTCGACCGAGCTATCTTGACCGGCGAGTCGGACGAGGTCGAAGGCGCTATTGAGTGCACCGAGGCGAACTTCTTGGAGACTCGCAACATTGCTCTCATGGGAACTGGTGTTACCAACGGCAATGCTATCGGTATCGTCGTCTTGACCGGTTCTCGCTCCGTTATGGGTCGCATTGCTACAATGACAGCTGGCGTTAAGCAAAAGCCAACCCTCATTCAACGCGAGATCAACCGATTTGTTGGGATAATCGTTGCTCTCACAATTTGCCTCGCGCTACTCATCTTCTTCACTTGGCTGGGATGGCTGCACAGGGATCATCCGTCTTATATGTCCGTTGTAGCCATGCTGAATAATGTCATGGGCTGTGTGGTCGCCTTTATCCCAGAGGGAGTACCTGTTGCTGTTGCTTTGACTCTGATGATGATCGCCAAACGGATGAAAAAGACCAGCATCCTGCCCAAGGGCCTTGCCACTGTTGAAACTCTGGGTTGTGTGAACGTTCTGTGCTCCGATAAGACTGGAACTCTCACCCAAAATCGCATGTTCGTCAAGTCTCTCGGAATGCTTGACTGGGAATACAGTCTCGAAGACCTGGTTCCCAGTGAGTCCGGGATTGCAGAAATACCCGAGGGCCTGCGCAATACGCTGCGGGCATCTGCACTGTGCAATGATGCATCGTTTGACCCGACCACAATGAACAAGCCCACCCATGACCGTCTTGTCAATGGAAATGCCACAGATGCCGCAGTTCTCCGATTTGCGGACAGTGTCGGTATGATATCGCCCACAGCTCTGGCTCCATATGAGCGTGTGCACCAGATTCCATTTAACTCGAAGAACAAATGGATGCTTACACTTCATCGTGATCTAAACTCAACCAACGAGTTTCTTCTCTACGTGAAGGGAGCACCTGATGTGCTACTGGATCATTGCTCTACCTACTGGTCTGCAATCCACGATACAGTCCGTCCACTTGATGCGCAGGCCCGGGAGAAGCTTTCAAACTACCAGGCTAAGCTGTCCCGCAGAGCAGAACGGGTTATTGTCATATGTCAGCGCCGTTACATCCCCTGTGCTACACCAGGTACAAATGACTTCAGCAACGAAATTATTGAGTCAGGCGTAAAGGACCTCACAGTTCTTGGTATCTTCGGTATCATTGATCCACCACGCGAGGAGACTGCCAATACAGTCTCGGCTTGCCGAGAGGCAGGCATCCGTTTCTTCATGGTCACTGGTGATTTCGGCCTGACAGCAGCTGCCATCGCTCATGATATTGGCATCTATGACGGACGAGCTGAGCCAGATACTGTTGATGACTTGAACGATGGTCTTGATCCGAAAATGGAAATCAAAGTCCCGAAGTCACGACACAGCCTGCTTCTCGAAGGTCCTAGTCTCTCATCATTGACTTCTGAACATTGGGAAACGATCTGCGGCTACGATGAAATCGTCTTCGCCCGCACCACCCCCGAGCAAAAGCTCCGCATTGTGACAGAACTGCAAGCCCGCGACTACATAGTAGCAGTCACCGGCGACGGCGTCAATGACGCCCCAGCTCTACGCGCAGCAGATGTTGGTATCGCAGTCGGATCCGGCAGCGACGTGGCCATCGAGGCAGCAGATCTCGTCCTCCTGGAACGCTTCGACTCAATCATTGAAGCCATTCGCCTGGGCCGGCTCGTCTTCCAAAACCTCCAAAAGGTTATCGCCTACCTACTCCCTGCGGGAAGTTGGTCAGAGATTTGGCCAGTCCTAATGAACGTCTTCTTCGGGTGCCCAGCACCTCTCAGCACATTCCTCATGATCATTGTCTGTGTGTTCACAGACCTGTTCCTATCCCTCTCCTTGATCATGGAAAAAGAAGAATTCGACCTCCTCAGCCTCCCACCCCGCCGCCCAAAGAAGGACCACCTTATCAACCTCCGCATCTACGGCCAATCCTACCTCTTCGTCGGTGTGATGGAAGCCTTCAGCGCTCACGCAATGTTCTTCCTCTACATGTGGCGGCACGCGGGAATCCCCTTCTCAGACTTGATCTTCTCCTTCGGGAACTTTACAGATGGGTTCCACGGTTATACCCAAGACCAACTCAACCACTTCACGAGTGTCGGCCAATGTTGTTATTTTGTCGCATTGGTCATCATGCAATGGGGCAACGTTCTCTCAGTCCGCAGTAAACGCATGTCCCTGCTGCAGGCTGATCCCATTCGTCCTGCTCGTCGCAATCCCTGGTTACCGTTGGCTATTCTTATTTCCCTCGTTATTGCGATTTTTGTCACGGAGGTTCCTGGCCTGCAGAATTTGTTCAGCACTGCTTCTGTTCCCATTGAATTCTGGCTTATTCCGCTTGGTCTCGCTTTGGGCATTCTGTGCATGGATGAGTTGCGCAAGGCTCTTGTGCGGCTTTTCCCCAAGGGGCCTGTTGCTTGGGTTTCGTGGTAATATGTGTCGATGGTTGATTGTATCATGAGATAGATTAGTGCCTGGGCTATCTTTCTTCTTTCGTGTGCATATTTTAGAAGACATTGCTTTTCTCCTTTACCTGGCCATTTAGCTGTTCGCTATCCCGTATCTGCGCAATATTGAATATTATACAGACTCTCCTCGGCTTTTGACGGCAATGGAGACTTGATAACGACAAATATTACATTACAGTTGAACTAACGTTACTCCATGCTTACACATTAAGCCACCATTAATCAAAACATTTACACAAGCCAAGTAAGCCACAACCCTAATCTTTACCCCTAAACTCTAGTACCCAAAGAAACAACCCCAAAATTGAAAAATGACCTTGATTGCTTGAATACCACTAAAAGAGATACCAACGAAAGAGAAAAAACTGCAATGCATCAGAGGGGCATGAGTCAAAGGCTAAAAATACAGGATGGAGAAAGAATACTCTTGAAGAGCAAAGAAAACGAGCAGAGACAAAGGCGAAAAAGAGAACAGGAAATAGGGAAGAAACGACTGGTTTGTGTGGTATCTGGCGTGCCATACAGGATAAAATGTGAATTAGGAAGAAGGGAAATGGGTGTCAGCGAGTGAAGGTGTGGCGAAGTGGACAATAGACAATAGGCGGAAGAGTAATAGTAATGGTAATGCGATTTTCCATTTAAATTAGTCAAGCCGTAATGTAAACGTTGAAATGCGCTCTTTTCTCTGGGGTAGCGGTAGTGGTAGCGAGTGGATATCAAAACAAAAAAAAATGATGAAGGCTGTTGTACGAAAAAGAATACGCAAAACTCGAAACCCAAAAGCTCAACGGCGTTTGAGACGAGTAAAGGGCGCAATCAAGAACCCAGACAGAGAGACTGGAAATTCAGGCAAATCAATTGCGGACCTTCCCAGCCTCTCTAACAGCATTCATAAAACCATCCTCGGTGCCGACAGAAGAGAGAATCCAATAATCAGCAACACCCGGGTTCTCAATAGACCCACCACCAAAGCCAGAAGCGGCAGGGGCACTATGGCGATCCTTCGGTTTCTGATTACCAGCACCGAGCGAACGAGGACCCCAACCGATGATATCACGGACGGCGATGCGAGACTGGTCGTCTGACTGGTTGAAGGAGAACAGTTGAGTCTGTAGGCATCCGAGAACAGCAACAGCCGAGCGAATCATGATGCGATCGCCCTCGAAGACCCAGCAATCCCAGACGCGAGAAAGGCGCTCAAGATCGAGGCCGTTTGTTAGGAGGGAGCGGAAGATTGGTTCCCAGATTTCTTCGTTCGAGAGGTGGTGGGTTTCTGTGAGGTGGGCAAAGAGACGGGGGAATTTGTAGCGCAGGGTATCTGTTGCCAGGGTGTAAGAGCGGGCCATGGCGCCGCGATCCCAGGTGAGGAATGCGACTGGGAGGGGTTTGTTTAGGGCGTTGGCCATGGCGAGGAAGGCGGATGCTGGTGTTGGGAATTGGAGGACGAGGAGGGCGGCGATGGTGTGTAGGCCGTAGATGTAGCCTACGTCGCTGCGGTACATGCAGTATGCTTGAAGGACGTCGATGAGGGTATCGCGTAATGGACCACCTTCTTGGAAAAGGTTCAGGTCTGAGAAGGCCTTTGGGACGTCTGTTTTGATAGCTTCGAAGCAGTCCAGTAGTCGCTTGTTGTTCTCGCTTTCCGCGTCCTTTTTGCGTTCTAGGTCCTTGGCTCTTTGGAGCGCCTTAGCGAATGTCTCTTCGTTTAATGCTAGTTCGTTGCCGAGGGCGCGTTTCCAGATATCTCCTCTGTTGCGAGGTGGGATTCCGCGCCACCAGAGTTCTCGGATGCGAGGTTCGCACAGAGCGCGATCCCAATTAGGAAATACGTATTCATCCCAAATGTTTTGTAGCGTTACTCGGGTACTATCCTTCTCGCACTGCGCGGAGGCATCCCGGGCAGCTTTGCGTTTCTCTGAAATGCGAGTTAGAAATTGAGGATCAGTTCGGCTATTGTAGATACTTACCAGTTTCCCGAGACTGGGCCATCATCTGCTGGTACTGCTTCAAATGCTTCTTTTCCTCCTTCTGATCCTTAGGCGGAAGCCAGCTAGGACGTGTCCGCGTGAGAACCTTCTCTTTCTCCTTGCTAATCGGTAAAGGGTCGATCATGATATTGCTCTTCTGCAGAGGAGGCAATGCAACAGCATCGCGAGACGCTCGGTGCGAGTCTTCGCTAGACTTCCGCGAGGCACCAGTCTGCACATTCTCCTCACGCTGTCGGTCTCTATCATCCGCATGCAGCTCAAGAGCTTCCGTAATGATTTTAGCCTCCTCGGACAAATCCGACATGTAACTGTTATACGAGTAGGCTCGAGGGTTGCGAGGCGAAATCTGACCGCGCTCAGGACCTGCGGAGCTCGATCGTTGTATTCGCTTCATGCGGGATGCCTTGGCTGTATTTTCAGGTGCGGGTGGTACGTGCGTTTCGGAAATTGTATGGGAAAAGGGCAATGGGCGCCGGCCGGGACTACGGCCACCATTGGGACTGGCAGGCCTTGAAAGGGTGCGATCCTGCTGAGGGCGTGGAGAAATAGGGATATTCCACAAGCTTGCGTCGTCCGGCAGTTCATCGTCCGAGTCATGATATTCCTCCTCCAGGTCTTTCAAGGACTTGCGATTCGGTTGCCAGGTTTGTTTCTGAGTAGGTGTGCGCGCGGACAGCGGAGACAGAGCTAAGCTGGTGCTTGAGGTGGAGCGACTGGACGTGGGTCGGAGTGGTGAAATTGACCGCGATCGACGAGGCTGAGACGGGGTCAACCCTGGGGAATGGAGTGTGTTGCTCGAATCTCTGCGTTTTCCAGGTCTTGCCGAAAGAGGGCCTGCAGGGTGGGGATTCTTGGTTGCTCCGTTGACCTGCATGGGAGGTAACTGGCCTCGCTTTCGGGGTTTCGGCGTAGCGGTCAGGTCGCGTGTGGAGGTCGCAGGGATCTTGCTCATTCGAGCAGCGGGCGACCGTGTCATTGCCCCAGCGCGGCCATAGGAGGCAGCTGGGTCCACGTACGATATTTCGGCATCGTCCTCCAAGCCGATTTCTTCGAAGTTCGAGATATCCGTGAAGATACTGTCCGGGCCGTCCAGGTGGGACGACGAATGAAACGAGGAGGATTTGGAGGATTTGGACCCGGAGAGCTCGGGGGGAGAATTGGGCGTCGGACCAACGGTGGTCATGGTATCATGCAATTGTCTTCAAACGTGTTGATCCCCCACAAATCGCCCTTGCCAAAAAAAAATAAGAAAAAAAACACACAGGAGGAACCCGACGGGATGGCCGGAAGGGATCGAGATCGGACACAAGGATCGGGATTTAGAGAAATCGGACTGGGACAAGATCGATCGAAGGGCAGAAACCGAAGACAAAGACAAAGAACAATAACACAGTCAACGAGAAATGAATTGCAGGCTCAGCCGCAGCCTGATTAAAGCCAGATCAGGTGTAGTAAAGAGGGATCAGGAGAGGGCCGAGACGGGCGGTATGAGTAGCACCACGAGCGAGATGTGAAAAAGAAGACGAAATGAAAGACGAAATGAAAGTGAAAAGACAGAAATGAAGAAGTTCAAATGAGGGACAAAGAGAGAAAGTTGGGAGAGTCCGCGATGCAAGCGGGCCTCAGGCAGTGCCGCACTCGGTCTGGCCGAGAACAGGGGGGTACCTCGGAGATACTCGTCCCACTACGGAGATTTGGACCCTCGACGTTGTACCTCGTAGGTATTATCGCATTTCTGACACGGGAAGGGATGAGCAGACACAGCCTTCTATGTAAATCGTATGTGATCATCTATAATCAATTTGTATGAAGTTGTTCGGTTTCTACATCTTGAACCCCTGAACCACAATCTCTCTCCAGTCGGGTCTTTGTCCAATGTTTCTCGATCCGCGGTATAAGTAGATATGGTACATTGTGCTTTGATCTCATTGGACAGTAGATACAGTAGATAATTTCCACCTAAAACCGCCATTCTTCAAACTTCTCATTACTCTTCTTAACAACCTGCGTCATCCTAAATGCCTCAGAGTCAGATTTAGGTCGAGCCTGCTTGATCTTATCATCCAACCAGCCCAACAAATCCCGATAGCGCGTTTGTTTCCGCTTCAAAACAAACCGAAAAGCCAAAGCAGCCAGGTAAATAATATGCGATTGTTGTACGAAACACGAAAATGAAGACCCGGAGTGACAAGCACGACGGGCCTGAATCAATCCCTGTGTCTGCATTATGAGGGCATGGATGGTTTGACTGACAGTGAGGAGTCCTGGCTGTGCACGGCCACGCAGAGATTTCATGTAGCGGTACATTTTCATGGCGCATGTTACGAAGCCCGAGTACAGATTTGCCAGTACGACTGCGCGCGAGTTGTGTCCGTCGTCGATGTACATAGGGTGCAACTGCAGGCGGAAGGAGGAGAGCATTCTGCGCTGGAAGGTGTGACCTGGGAGACGGGTGGATTCGACTGTCAGGGCGTTGGAGAGAGTTGCGGCTGCTGATTCGCCGCCTTCGAGGAGGCGGTCTTGATCGCGGTGGATTTCAAGTGTGTGCGTATCGATGAGCTTACCCAGGTATGGGAATAGAGGTGTTCCTTCTAGTCGGGGAAGTAGGATGCCGTCGACTGCTGCGCTGTAGTTTGCCATGCTCTTGGCTGGATTGACTTGGACGCCGTAGGTGGGTTGGCCGCGGATCATTACTTCCAGGAACTGTGTTGCTAGATTTGAATAGGTGGTGATGAGGAGGAAGTCGTCCACCAGTCGCATGAGGAGGGCGTTCTCTGGTGTGATAAAATTCAGCACCTCCCGCTCGAGCTCGGCGTAGAAGAAATTGCATAGGATGCTGGAAAGGACGGAGCCTTGGGGAATACCATTGCGCTGGCGGAAGTACTTCTTGCCTATCTTGACAAGATTGTAACGCACGTGCTCATCAAGTAGAGCCAGGAGATCTTCGGCATTGTAGTCTTTCTGAGCAATTGTGTCAACAAATACTGTGTTGGCCTTTCGGCCTGCGGGTTCATTGTTGTAATAGTCCGGTAAGAGTTGCGGTTTCATTGTCGGGGCAGCACGACCAATGTATTTTCGTGCCGGCTTCCCTTGCTGAGCAGACACTTGAAATTCCACATGTTTAGAAATATGATAGCCCTCTTCAGAGACCAGCTCTGCTATCAGACTGAGCAACTTCTTTTGCGGGATAGTATCAAAGCAAGCTTGAATGTCAAGCTTGACAAAGTACAGGGGGGAAGATTAGGCTTTCGACACTTGAGATCTAAAGGCAATTGATTGGTCAATTTCTCTTTGAATGTTTTCAAGCGATGGTGCATCTCTGCCACCGACCCCATTGATGAGCCCAGTTTGGCGGGCGCTTGCTGTCGTTCATAAGTCAACATGTTGTAAATCGGTGTGATACTTGAATTGATACTGGGAGCAAGGAAAGTGCGCCGCTTCCCGCCCCAAAACGACTCTTTTATGACTCGTTTGCGAAGATTCAAGATAGGCCTGAGACCAGTGGATTTGGGGAGCAAACGGAGAGCACCAAAGCCAAGAGGGCGACGTGCCAGCACACGTTGGGCCCTATCTGGCTCAAGCTCTTCAAACATAGCAGTTTTTAGATCTCCGAACGGCTTCTCGATCAATTTCTGCCAAACATCATGGCGGAAATAGAAGAGGCGGTTTCGGTGTGTTTGAGACTCGGTGACGTAGAAGTGAGAGCGAATCAGGGGGATTAGAATTGAGTCGAAGATCCAGAAAGTAAGTTCATGAAGTAACTCCATGCGTTTGTTAAAATCGGATAAAGAGATCTTCGATTTTGTCTCAGATGCCGGAGTCTGGACCTGGGGTGGCTCCAGCCAAGCAATGCTTGAGATCTAGAGTGTCGATCAGTATGGAGTCTGTCTCAGAACGCACAGGGCAACGAACCTTGATGCCTTTGCAGACTTCATGCAGAGTGAGGCTCTCGAACCGGCGCAATTTTATGAAACGGTCGACATTCCGGAGAATTAGTCGCAAGTTATGAATGCCGCCTGGTCCCACTCCGAAGAATTGACGGGGTATCAATTTCTGGAGTACCGACCGACAGAATGCGGAAACCGAAGATGTCGGGGTAGCATAATCAGTTAAACTGCTTCGTGGTTTTTTAATCGCAGGTTGTTGTTCGGTTTCAAATCCACTGCATTCGCCTGCTGTGTGGTTCGTTGACGTGGCATCGGACAAGGTCGGCGCCGAACTTGTACTTGACGATAGCTGGCCGAGTGGTAACTGCGTTACTAGATTTGACTGGAGAGAGGAATCAGGCTCGCTTTTATTGGTGTCCGACTCGATATTCGAAGCAAAGGCGCCCAGCCATTGCGGACCGCTTCGCTGCTAGATGTCAGTTACTCGCGACCCCCGAGTGGGAAAAAATGCCTTACATCAGTCGGACAATAGTATCGCAGCAGCTCCAAGTAAGAACACCGTGAATTGCGAGTCCGCAATTTCCGGACAAGTTCAATGGCACTTCCACGAAGCCTTTTGGGGACTTTCGTGTTTCCAACGCCTCCGTCTGACGCGTCGCACTCATTGTGGGCCCGCCGCGGTTTTTGGTCTTCCGAAGAAGATATTTCATTCTCTCGGAACATGAAGCTCTTAAGGTCATCGGTGCTATTCGGACCATTCGGGTCCACCGTAAACGCATTCAGCAGGCCGAATTGCCGAGGAAAGACATACTTCAGCACATGCACAGTCTGCGCTGCTGAACCAAGTGTCGAGAAGCGATTGAGCACATCTATAATAAAGTCAATTCGGGCCTGAAGACAACGTTCAAATGGCGGTGCATACGGGTCTTTCCCAAACCAGATACCGTTCTCGCGTTGGACTCGGCTCGTCCGTAGAGTATGCGCCTGCGTAGAAAGATGATGCTGTTTGGACTACGAACAGATTTATTAGAGACCCGTTTGTGGTCGCCATTCTCCTTGGGGAGATCTCGGGCACCGACAGCTGGTGTTTTTGGATTTGTCTTTGTCTTGGCGAGCTCCTTGAGGTTTGTACCATCATTCAGCGGCTCAAGTATTGACAGCGGTGACCCTGTTATTATGGCACATCATGAGCATCATTTTTCTGTCGTTAAATTGACGAGACCTACCACTTAGTTGGGAGTAAATACCCTTTCGAGCATTGATAGGCGCAAAAACTCCGCAATCGAATAGCAATTGCATCATAATCTCGTCTCCATTACTGCCAAGCAGGTCCAAGACTTCTGCCCATGCACCCTCCTTGAGAGTACGGACATTCTGATTGGGAAATTGAGACACAACGCCGGGAATATTGGTTTCAAGGGCATTCAACCCCATAGCCGGGCGTTGGAACCCATGAGCCAGCAAATGCTGGGGCTTTGAATAAGAACCATGATTGAAAAGTTTCCAAATAACAAAATCAACCACCTGCAGCAAGGGTCAGTGGTCGGAAACGCGAGATTACTCGGCAGCCACGGACGCACCTCGGACTGCGGGCAGGTCGGACCCGTATCTGTGCTGACAAGAATAGAGCGCGACTGAGTCTGGGTAAAAGACAGATATTCCTTTTGGCGTTCGGAGTTGAGGGTCGGTGAAGACTCTTTCAGCACACCCACCAGAGTGGAGTCCAGCAGATGCGCCAGTGTTTGGGATGTTTCCGATGCTGAGTCGTCGGCTCGCAAACCTGTCAGGATGCGGCGCCGACGCGACTTGGATGTCACGGGGAGTTGCTGCAGGAGGTACTCTCGCAGGGTCACTACCTGTCGGTAGTACAGGGAGATAACGGGATGGCTTGTTTTCCCAGTGGATGAAGCCGGGTTTCTGAAACGGCGCGGAGAGGTGATACTCGGGTGAGACGAAGGCGGACCCCGATCCTTGATGGGTCTCTTTCTTTTTTTGCCCATGGTGAGTGAGGGTGAGGGTGTGGGTGTGGGTACTTGCAAAGAGAAAAGTTGCCCCTACCTGGGTTCCTGTTGACTTGAGACCATACCCGAGACCAGAATATAGATAGAAAACACGTGAAACAGACATAAGGCTGGATACAACCAATCAACGGCTTCAATTAAACAATGCAATGAACCATGGAACGGGCGGTCTAGAAAGGCCGTTCATCTCCACTCAGGGGAAGAGAAGTACCTGAATGTCCATGTGGCTGAACATATTTACGATTTAGCAGTAAACGAATGGATTTAAGCTGAGTATATGGATCGAACAGTGTATTCTAATTAGTTAATAGTAGAACTATGATGTAACATAATATATTCCATTAGGGTGAACCCAAATTAAACCTTGGACTTGGGATTGTTTCGCCATTTTTATCATCGTGAACCGACTCTCGCCTCACTCTTCCTTTTCTCTCTTTCTTCCTCTTTCTTCCTCTCTTCCTCTTTCCTCCCTTCCTCTCTTTCTCCTTTCTCCATTCTCCTCAATCTCACTTTCACCATTTCGGGGATCGACGGTACGTGACCACTCTATGCCCTTACGCACGGCTTGGTCCGGAGAGCTAATAAACCGGCCCACCAGGATTCTGTCCCCCTCCCCAGATCGCCTATCAGCGCCCACTGGAGAACAAACGTCAGTCGCCTACGCTACGATCATCCTCATTCGTCTGCTTCCTGGCTTCTTGCTCTGGTCTCGGCCTCAAGCCGATCTTCTTCTTGACACTACCCGAAATCTGCGATCCGAGTCTCCCCCACACTTTTGGATTCGAAGGGGAACCCCCCTCGGGCGTGAGGTTGAGGTTTGTGTGTCTCAAATATGAATGCTGAATGGGTGTGCGCCACCCGAGAAGATCGCTTTGTAGCCTGAACCGACTCACCTGCGACATCCTCGTTGGGCGAACATCCCGGAACAACGCATCAGCTCCCCAAGCCAGTCCACGTCGATCGGCCTGAAGCATGCAAAATGTCTGGCGGTGACGAACAGGGTTTTGGTGTCCGGGATCGTGAGCCGCTTCCTTTTGGGCGACAATCCTTTGGCCACTCTTTGGACTCGCCGACCGTACCTTTCAACCCAGAATCTTCGACCACGTATTCTCCGACTTTCAGTGACCCGCATTCCTCCAATCATTTGACCGAATCGCATAGAGGGCAGTCTCCAGACCCTGCCGACTATTACCGCCGTGGAGCCCTATCAAAATCCAACGTTAGTGAAGAGGTCGGCGATGTGACAACAGGCATAGCTGCGGCCGACTATCCACATATGGGTGACGAAGTGTCACCGCTGCCAACAAATGTTATGGAGTCATCTCGTACCCAGCGACAAACATACCGTTCAGCGTCAGACTCCTCAAGCTTGGGCCCATCCGACATAGCTTCACGACCAGGTCCACGATCCCGCCAGACTTCATTCAAAGACTTGATCAACAAGTTCAACAATACCTCTGACCAGGTGCTTCCCCGACCTTCTGCATCTCGTTCGACCTCTAGAGCAGCGAGTCCCTCTGGCAGTGTTGAAGACACTGACCGACCTCGTCTCTTGCCTCGCCATCGTCACTTTCGTGATTCTCCACCAGCATCAATCACAAGCCATCCTCGCGCATTAGATTCCATACCTTCATTGCCAGAAGTCAAGGCGTTTGGTCCGGCACCTCCCCGCACGAACGCCATCCCGCCGCCTTTGTTCCAACGGATACAAGAGGCGCATCCTCGAAGACCTCTGTTCGGTGAGGTGTTGTCGATCAACACACAGGTCAACGGAATCGGCCTTGGAATCCCATCTCACTTGCGACGTCGCGGGTCTGATGGAAGTATCCCAAGTCCGAATCCGGCCTTCATCGATCAAGCCGAATACTCTGCAAAAACACCATTGACCCCTACCGCATGGTATCTTGGACACACCACTTCTCTAGAAGCAGTTCAAGGTGGATTAAGTGGTGGAAAACATCGCAGAGTACGAAGTGATCTGGACCGAAATCCTTCCCGAGAACCCCTTGCCGAAGCTTGGGGACCTGAAATGGCAGTTCGCGCGCCCTTGCAGCGTGCGAAGACCGGTGAGAGCCCGCCGGACAGTCCAAATTCCAAGTCTCGCATTCCTATCTCCTCGCACCGTCTTGTCACTGCTTCCGGCCCGGACGCACCATCACCGACCTCGAATCCGACATTCAGCAGCCGATCTGCTGCCATAATCGTTCCACCCAAGGGCATCAGCCGCCTTCCTGTTGCGTCACCAAAACAGAGCCCATCCCGCATGCCACGGGATGATTCCGGCTCGTTTGCGATAAACCCGCGTGGCAGACGAGACCCGGCAGTTGGCCGAAGCCGCAATCAATTATCCGAATCCAGTCGACGACTTCAGGCTTACATCGCTGCTCCACCGCCCAAAAAGTCACCACCTTTGCGCAGCTCGCGGCCCCGACAACCTGTTTCAGTTTCACATGGTGCCTCGGTCTCGCCACGCTCCAAAGTTGGTGATACACTTTCGTCATTACAAAAAAAGCAAGTCGAGCATAACGACCCGCGCTCTCGGGCTCGGCAACGCAGAATACCTGAATTCGGTAATGTCGACCTCGAAACTCGCCGCCAGCGCATCCAACAAGCTTTCAATAAGACTGTCCAAGAAAATGAGCGAAAGGAAGAAGCTGCAGCAGAGCTTCGACGCCGCACTTTGGTACTTGACCAACAAGCAAATGAAGCCAAGACAGCAACAGATGAAGCTTTAACCACGCCCATTCCACCAGTGGCCAATACTCCAACACCTGAAGACATGACCACCATAGTCAAGGAATCGACCACTCCGGTCGCCTACAAGGATCATGGCTTACAAGGAATTCCAAAGCTACATCTGAACACTTCGCTCCCAGCATCAGACATGGCGGCACCACACACGACAATGGACTCTCCGACTCTTGGTATGCCGCAGGGAGTAAGCCAAAAAGCCTCTATGGACGAGTCACAACCTTCCGAAGATACAGCTCCATGCTCGGCTGTAACAACAGATTCCAACGACACCCATGTTACCGCTTTCGACCCAGAACCGCAGTCTGGGCTTCTCCAGAGGAACCCCAGCTTATCACACCGGACTATTTTGAATCAGATCATGCAAATCCGCGAATCTAGCCCGAGCGACGACGATTCATGCGATGAACCGGATTGCAGTATGTCGGAAAATGATGACAAAGAATCTATTCAAATCATGCTCGGAGATACGAAAAGCTACTTCAATTCGTCAAGTAGTACCGACACCCAGGAGCCTCAGCATTCATCAATGCAAGAGGCATCGACCATAAACCAACCTCAGAACAGATGGAGTATGAGTTCATGGTCGTCCTCTGTACAAAATCAGCATTCCACCTGCGACGAGCAATATGATGAAAGCTGCGATGACAGCATTATTGCAGGCCGCGACACAGAGCCCCCAACTGAGACTTGTTCAGTTGTCTCAACCAGACCAGCCTCTGTCGCCGATGATGAATATTCGTCACCTCTTCAGGATTATGGTGTAACAGGACCGAGCACTCTTCAGGCATCAGAGTCGCATACTTCCGGCAATGCATTCTCTACACCTCCCACCTTGGCTCGGCTCGGCAGATGGGATTCGAAGCGCGTTACTCAGCTCTACCTTGAAGAGTTGACTCGCGGTAGAAATTACAATGTGCCCATTCCTGCGGTTCACCTCTCACCCGAGCCTCGATCTTACCCTACGGGTAAGTGTGTCGATGGGCGAGCCAATAGTCTCACCGATGATCCGGTCGTCATTCCAGGATTTCAGGACGTCCCTGTTCCGGATAGACCATCTCACGGTGCTAGTCTGGTTGGACGTGATGACTGGGAGCATGCCTCTCCTTCCATTATGGACTGGATGCAAATTGCTGTTGAGGATGAACACGCTGCTGCGGCGAATCGACCTGACAGTGTTAATACCGAGGACGTCCTTACACCTAAATTAGTACCTTCAACACTAGATCATGTTGATTCGGGCAGCTCGAGCGTTGTTCCCAGTGAACAGACAACTCAAATTCATCTCGCGGCTGCTTCCATGGACCCATCGATAATGCTGCAACAAGTCAAGTCCGAGGAAAGGCCCGCAAACAAATTACCGGCTGGTCCTTTGAACAACATGAAAGCTGAAGTCAACCATTCCGCCCCTGCTATTATGAGACACAGCCCGGGAAGTAGCGAGGACTCTTCGTTGCGTCACAATGAGGCCCAATCCCCTCGCGCTGCCGATTCTTCGGTCACGTCTCTTGCTCCATCCTCGGAGAATCCTTTGCGGCCTGAGACGAGCAAGTCTCCTTCTCCGGAAGAGCGCCGTCTCAAGAAGCGTCGTTATGTCATCAAAGAAATTGTCGACACCGAATACGATTTTGGCAATGACATGAAGATTGTTGAGGATATCTACAAAGGAACATCAACCTCTTTATTGGATCTTTCTGCGGAGGATGTCAAGGTTCTCTTCGGAAATATTGGGGAAGTGGCAGACTTTTCCGACGCCTTTCTGATTGATCTTAAGCAAGCAGTCAAGAAGATCTATGTCATTCCACTTTCCCAACGCTGGAGTAGCAGACGCAATCGCAAGAATGGCCTCGGGATCGACCGACCCCCCTCCACAATCAATGAAAACCCCGATGGTGACAAACTTTCGGACCTTGAAAAGGATCGTGGAACAGCTGTTGGTCATGTATTCCTCGCTCATATGACTAAAATGGAAAAGGTGTACACCGAATACCTCATGAACCATGAAGCCGCCACCAAGAAGCTCACCGTTCTGTTGAAAAACCCGAAGGTGGCCATCTGGCTGGACGAATGCCACCGTTTTGCAGGGGATATCACCAGAGCTTGGAACCTTGATGCTTTGCTTGTCAAGCCAGTGCAACGTATCACAAAATTCCCGCTCCTGTTGGGCCAACTTCTGGAATGCACGCCAAATGATCACCCGGATAAAGCCGCTATTTCCAAGGCAATGGAACAAACAGCGAGTATTGCCGACCGTATCAACGAGCTCAAGAAGCGAGTGGAAATTGTTGGAGCTGTCGGCCGGAAGCGCAACCAGTCAGATGTGCGCGCTGGCCTGTCCAAGGCATTTGGTCGTCGCACGGAAAAGTTCAGACAACAAGTTGGACTTTCTGATCTGTTCGAAGACAAAACCTATGATGCCTTGGCGCAGAAACTCGGTGACGGGTACTTCCAGTTGCAAGTGGTCATGCGTGATGCTGAGAGTTACACCAAAGATATTCAACAGTACATGGAGCAGTTTAGCGATTATGCTGGTGCCATTGTCGGCATGACATCCATGGAGCAATCCAGCTATCCAGAGCTGGAGAGCAAGTGGCATCTGTTCAAGCTGACCGTCCAAGAAATCATGTCTGAGGCCTTGCCGGCACACGTGAGTTTGGATCTGTCTATATACCTGAACATTCCTAACATTTCACAGATTGAGGTTGTCCGTAAATCGGTCATCGACCCGATGATTCAACTGCTGCAAATTTACGAGGGCCCACAGCGAATCATGAGGAAGCGAGACAAGCGATTACCTGAATTCGCACGTTACAAAGCCATCAGTGACCGCGGTGACAAACCAGACAAGAAAACAACTGAACAGGGAGAGCAGTTCGTAGCTTTGAATGAGACACTCAAAGACGAATTGCCCAAACTCTACGCCCTGACTTCGAAGCTGATGGAAGCCAGTCTCAAAAACTTCATTCAGATCCAGTCGACTTGGTTTGGCGTTTTGCAGAAAAAGATTGGAGCACACGTTGAAGCATTCCCCAGTGATCTTCATAAGCTTATCACCGACTTCCACTCTGACCACACTCTTATGGAAGCTCGGGTATCAGAGCTGAGCTCTTGTAACGGGTCTATATTAGCCTCTTCAGTCGACCTTATGCCCATGTCGCCCTTGAATGAAGGAATTACCTCCCCTCGTCGGCCTTCAACAATCAACAGCTCGACCAGACCCGGATCCATGACAGAAGATTCACCCAAGGTGTCTCGCGACTTCAGCATCGGAAGCCATCCATTCCAGTCACCTCAAATGGAAGGCCATTCAGTTCGCAGCAGCCGCTACCGCGCCGATTCTACCTTGTCTGGTCGTGTCGTATCCGACGGCCCCAGCAAAATGCTGCAGCAAGTCACCGGCTCCAGTACCCCGATACGAACATCCGAAACAGAGCCTTTCCCAACTCTGCCCCAGCTCAGCCTAGACACGCCTTTCCTAGCAGATGTAATCAACAGCGCGAACTCAACCGATGGACCACCTTCCCCTGCCGGCGGTCGCTACTCTGGATTCTTCTCGTCCGCCATGCCCATGTCCGATACGCCTAATGAGCCCCCAGCAGCCCCGGTCAACACCACCAGCACCCCCGCAGCGCCCGCTGTTCTATTTTGCGCAGCTAGCCTGTATAATTTTGATATCGATGCCCGCAGCGAGGGTGGATATTCCTACCTGACATACGTCTCTGGCGACGTCTTCGACGTCATTGGCGAAAAGGGCGAGCTCTGGCTTGCCCGTAACCAGGACGATGCTACTCACACGGTTGGATGGATTTGGAACAAGCATTTTGCCAGAATCCGAGACTAGACCAGCCACCAATGACCAATTACCGACGACCGACCTTTGACCATGTCTTGATATGCCGAAACAAAAATACAAAAACAAACAACAAAGAACCAGGAAACAGGACCAAAAGGATTTTTAAAAAAAAGAAGATATTGGATCTCGAACATGGTCTACGATATCATGTTCTAGCTTTGTTTCTTTTTTCTCATGATGTCTTCATATTGCCATAATACCCCCGGGGATGGATGAACAGGGCAAAAACTACAAGTGGCGCATCTGTTTGCATATCGTTTTGCTTTCTTATCTGCCACTTTTTGATTTGCTTTGTTTTCTTTGCCCGGGGCCATTTCATGCTTGTCGATGAGCAGTTTGTTTTCTGTTTTGTTCTTTGCCTTTTTTTTTTTTTTCTTCTCCCTGCAGTTCCTGGATATTTTTGATTTTCCGGGGCTATGGGGACATGTGTTTAGATACCCCCTCTTTTTCTTTAGTTTATGAATGATTCGGTTTTTATTCAACTTCCTTTTAGGATGTAAAAAATGGATGATTAACGCTAATACAACTTCAGCATTCTTCTTTTTAGTTTACTTATCTAATAATCATTTTCTTATGACATATTTAGATAATGGTTTAGGGTTTGGTTATTTGGTGGTTTATTTTGTTGTAGCTCGGGTACAAATGTAGGGAAACTCAGGGTGAAGTATATAACATACGTTTGGCACAGGATATACTAGAACAATCGAAGTTGACGCCATCCATGGATCTTCCTTTACACCATTATATCAGCACCAAATTCCGATGCTAAGCAATATACCTCCTCCCTTTGATAGAGAATAAGACAAATCGCCAAAAGATTGACAAAAGACCACCATCTCTAAGCGGATCATGTGACGCGCATGTGACGCAAGTGCCCAACTATCGCAGGGAGCGTTCCTAGCCAGGCACCAGAGTCAGTCCTTTTGAGGATTCACTCAAACTCTCCAACCTCGACCCGCAACCCCGAAAAAGAAAACCAGCCTCGGTACAAAACACACAGGGTTGATCACCAGCCAACCCTCCATACAGCACCCAAACCGAACCGGCACCCCGCCCCAAGCCCACACCCCAGACAAGAATGCGCAATTGAAAGCACAGCACCCAAACCCCAGTCCATTCAGCCCGTTTCAAATCCTCCGTCAACCCCATAAGGCTGACGGCCTCATCCTCCGAGGAACCGTCCAATCCCGACCCAGATCCCGCCCCGGGTCCCACTCCCACTTCTGCAGAACTGGGAGGCATATCGCAGCCTAGCCGGGGTCCTTGCCGTTGCCGTATCCCGTTCGCCTCTTGCCACTGTGCTCGCTGTTCATATTCTAGGTCTTGGTATCTTGCGTGCTGCGCTCTTGACTTGAGACTTCACTGAGGACCGTCGGCACTGCACATTGTGGAGTCGGGCTATATTAGGTGTCGGTCCGTCTTGCGCGTTTGAGACTGTGGCGCAGTACAATTCAGTACATATTCCGCGCTTTCTGGATATTCGTTCTCTTTCTCGTGAAGCCCTGCGCATATTGGCACCATGAACAAGTTGCGGAAAGTACGGGGGAGGTTTGGTGATATGGTGAGTCTGGATCGATGTCGAGAATTGGCGCAGCTGCTAACTCGTACAGTTGAACCCCGAAGATGCATTCTTGAGCTGTGAGTCTCCGGAATATTAGCCCGGATCTTGCGATCGCCAAGTGATATACTTACAGACAGCCCTCGGGTGCTTCCAGACTATGACGTGCGATGTATGGCCCAGTTTGATTCCCCGAGTGAGCAAAGCAATGGCTGGGCTGGTAGCTGACATACAAGCAGTGACAAGAGAGGACATGCAAACCCTCAAGAATGACTGGCTCACAGATAATGTGGGTTTGGCGAGATAATCCAATTTTCCTGGCTGGACACCTGAGCTAATACCATAACAGATCATTTCATTTTGGGAGGAGTAAGTCCAGTCTAGTCCCCCTCGCAATCGAAAACCAGAGATTGATTTCGCCTGTGATCTAGATACCTTGAACACGAATTCCTCGCCCGCTACAAATCATCCAACATCATCCTCCTCCGCCCAAGCATGTGCTTCATGATTCTGCAAACACCAGACCCCCGAACCCTCCGCGAAGCCCTGCCCGATTTCAGCCGTGCAACACACGTCTTTCTCCCGATAAACGATTGCCGCAACGTCAACGAAGCAGAAGGAGGAACGCATTGGTCCCTGCTCTTGATCTCCATCGTGGACCGCATCGCGTTCCACTATGACTCGTTATATCAAGGAAACGTCTGGGAAGCAGATACGGTTACCCGAAAATTCGGATACCTCCTCAACATGCCAATCCGCTTTATGCATTTGAGCGATTCCCCCCAGCAAGACGGTGGCAGTGATTGTGGTGTTTTCGTCTGCATGAACATGCGCCATCTACTCATGAAACGCTTGCTGCAGGCTAGTGCGCACGAGAAAGTCAGCATGAGTCTTGGTGGGAGGAAAGTTGATGCTCCCGCTTCTAGGAAGGAGATGGCTAAGATTATTGAAGGATTTAGGAAGGAGGGCGAGCGCCGGAGATCGTATGCCTGCACACCTATACATCTATCATATTGTCACCAGAAGCTAACATCTAAACTACAGAACGAGCGCAAGTCCTATGGGCAAGAAATCGAGAAGTCCCCCTCGTGTCGATTGAATCGGTACTCGGTGCTCGGTACATGATGAGTTTACGCCTTGTTAATGGTTCCTGTTTTATGCATACATATTCTTTTTTTTTTTTTTTTAACAATCGGACAAAGCAATACAAAACAACAAAGCAAAACACAAAAAGAACAGTGGACACATACATTCATGATTGTGTATTTAACTAGCGTTGCATGACTTTTCGCTGGATACAATTGACTATATGATCATTTTTACTAACGTTCAGACTGTAGAATCTGCACTGTTGAGAAACTTGCTCGGCTTGTAATTGGATTATTAACTAATATGAAGAAAAGGCATACATTGTGAGTAGCGATGCAGGATACAGCTCAAAATGACTCGTCAAAAGCGGCAAGAAGTGACATTATCACATCGGTGATATAAGCTGCAATACATCTCAAGCTGCCCAGGTAGATCTTACAAAAACCAAAATAGAGTAAAAATAAGCCTAACATCTAAAGAGTAGACATGGGTAGTTATATATACGGTGCTGTATAGACGGAGTCCGCCTAGCTGTCAAGCTCTATCTTATCGCCTTCATCCCCTCAACCTCCCCCGATCCCCCATCTCGATCCACCATTCATCATCCCCGTCGGGCCAAATCGGGTAGATGCAGCGAAACTCAGAGAGCGGTAAGCGCCACGGCAAGAGAAAGCTCTCCGCATCACCGCAACGAAGCATCTCCGACCTTCTCTCCTCCAAGCGGCCTCGCCGCTCCCCATCTCCATCTCCAACGCGCAAACCAACCCTTCCACCCCCGACCCCGATCCACAACCACAGCCAGAATCAGATGCATCAGTTTTCCAGTTCCCCGCCTAGGAATGGCGCTCCGCTGAGGGGCGCGTCGTCGGGGCCGGGCCCTGGTCTGAATAACGTCAGCGTCGGTGGTGTCGGCGTGCCTGGTCGACCGCAGTCTTTGAATGTTGGTGCTCGGCAGAGTAACTTCTCCCCACATACAGGCGCGAAGAAGCTTGTTGTTAAGAATCTGAGGCTTGGGCCGCGGCTCAACCAGGAGTCTTATTTTGATAAGGTTTGGTCGCAGCTTGATGCTGCGCTGACGGCTGTGTTTGATGGCCGGAAGCCGGAATCTTCCCTTGAGGAGCTTTACAAAGGCGGGGAGAATATTTGTCGACAAGAACGTGCTGCTGTGCTGGCACAACGGCTTCAAGGTCGCTGTCGGGATTATGTTAATGGGAAGATGAGGGAGGGTCTTATTGCTAGGGCTGGTGGGAGTGCCGATGTTGATACTTTGCGGGCTGTTCTTGAGACTTGGTCTGCATGGCATTCGAGACTTGTATGTGCATTGAACCGAGCTTGGGATCGCTGTGGCTGAGGACTTTGTGCTGATTGTTTTCCAGGTCACCGTTCGTTGGATCTTCTATTATCTCGACCAGTCGTTCCTGTTACATTCGAAAGATCAGCCTGTGATCCGGGAAATGGGTTTGATTCAGTTCCGGTCTTATATTTTCAATGACGCCAGCTTGAAGCCGAAGATCTTGAAGGGTGCTTACAATTTGATTGCTGCGGATCGAGGCGCTGATGTCGGGGCACTGGCGGACTCGGCCCTGCTACGGGAGGCCATGGATCTGTTCCACAATCTCGACGTTTACAGCAGTGACTTTGAACCTTTATTGATGTCCGAGACTGAGAAGTTCGTTACGTCATGGTGTCAACGGGAAGTTGCAGAAAACCTGGCTACGTACGTCGATAGTACTCGTCGCTTGATTGAGCGTGAAGTGGAACGCTGCAATTTGTTCTCTTTCGCCCGAAGCACGAGGCTGAAGCTGTCCGAGCTCTTGGATGAGACTCTGATCGTGAAGCAAACCGACCTGTTGACCAACGACAACGATGTGCTTGCTTTGATGAGAGCCGGAAACAAGGATGCCCTTCAACAGCTCTACAACCTGCTTGCTCGACGGGATTTGACCCTCCAACTGAAGAGTGCCTTCAAGAAATACATCGTCGAGGAAGGTGAAGGGATCGTGTTCGATCAAGAGAATGAAGCACACATGGTCGTCAACCTTCTCCAGTTCAAGCGCAAGGCCGATGATATCTGGAGCACTGCTTTCGACTCAAATGAGGAACTGGGCCATACCCTCCGTGAGGCCTTTGGTATTTTCATGAACCGCGGAAAGAAGATGGAGTCCACAGGTGGCACCGACAATCCCAAGGCTGGTGAGATGATTGCCAAGTATGTAGATAGACTACTCAAGGGTGGCCTCAAGGTATCTTCCGAAGGACAACAGACTCTCATCGACGAGGACGCTGAACTCGACCGGCAAATGGATCAAGTGCTTGACCTTTTCCGATTTGTGCACGGCAAGGCTGTCTTCGAGGCCTTTTATAAAAATGACCTTGCACGACGTCTGTTGATGGGCCGAAGTGCGAGCAGCGAGGCGGAGAAGAGCATGTTGGCTCGTCTGAAGAATGAGTGTGGATCAAACTTCACACATAATCTTGAATCCATGTTTAATGATATGGACACTGCGAAGGCTGAAATGGTGGCATTTGACGCGCTACAGAAGCAGAGGTCACATAAAGAGCGCACACCGGTCCCCCTACACGTCAGCGTCCTCTCTGCTGCCTCTTGGCCATCATACCCCGACGTCACGGTACGGATTCCATCCAAAATTGCCAAGTCCATCAACAACTTCGAGGCATTCTATCAGACCAAACACAAAGGACGAAAACTCGACTGGAAGCATCAATTATCACATTGTCAACTGAATGCATATTTCCCCAAAGCAAACGGCAAAGGCAATAACATGAAGAACCTAGTAGTCAGCTCATTCCAAGCAATCGTCCTACTACTCTTCAATGACGTTCCAGATGGCGAAAGCCTAGATTATACCCAAATACAAGAAGCGACCGGACTATGTAAGTCCCCCCAGCGTCCACCAAATCACCTATCCCACTAACAAGGAACAGCGGATCCAGAATTAAAGCGGACACTCCAATCAGTCGCATGCGCCAAATACAAAGTCCTCATCAAAAGCCCCAAAGGCAAAGACGTAAAGCCAACCGACAAATTCTGGTTCAACGCCGGCTTCACCGATCCGCAAACACGCATTAAGATCAACCAGATCCAGCTCAAGGAAACGAAAGAGGAGAATAAGACGACGCACGAACGTATCTCCGCCGATCGACACCTCGAGACCCAGGCTGCTATCGTACGTCTCATGAAGAGTCGTAAGGTCCTTGGCCATGCCGAGTTGATTTCGGAGGTTCTCAATGCCACAAAGAGTCGGGGTGCGTTGCAGCCTTCAGAGATCAAGGGCGAGATTGAAAAGTATGTATTCCGTTCCCTGTGTCCCACAGTGTGATGTGATATTCGTCTGTCATTCCTAACCGTTTGAATTTCTAGACTCATCGAGAAAGACTACATGGAGCGCAAAGAAGGTACCAATGCATACAGTTACGTGGCATAGACCGCGTTCCTCCTTCTCTCGTTGACAGCACTTGACTTTACATTCTGTGTCATTCACCGACACACGCATCCGGACATGGTTGGGGTTATGGGATAAGGAACGATTTTTACCATCAGCTTTTTTTTGGTGTATGCCAGCGCGTGCGATTACTTGTTTGAGATATGCCCTCTGGATATTGTGGCGGGGCTACCGTCTCGCCTGTAAGATTGAGAGTGACCAGACCGTTCACATTAGGTAGTACACAGGTGTTGGGTATTTCAGCATTGGATATTTGATGTTTGCATTAACTAAAACTTGGAACCCATAATATGTAAGTTAGAGTATGTTCCTGTATGTATCTGTTGAAGTTAACTTAAGATCATGTTATCCACCGTTCACTTAATACTTTGATAAACGATCAGACCTCCCGGGGAATCGGAGTCCCTCCGCACCCAACAAGTTACAAGTACGAATCTGGCCTTCCCCTTGGGAAATGTACTTAGGTGCCGAGCTCGACCTCGGCCAGTGCCGATGGCGCTAGAGTCCACCAAGTCCGGGAGCTCGTGTAGACGAAAGAGGTATGCCGTGCCACCCACGGGGATAAGACAGACTAGAACTAGTTACGTGGAAGGTAATAATGAGTTCGTATATCACCTAGGTCCATATAAGATAGAATCAAAATAACTTCTCAGATACTCATGGAACAGAACATGGAAGCAAAGGAACACCCCATGACCGGCTAACATGCACGTTACTCCACACCCCCCTGGATCTGACAGTTGATCCCCAACCCTTTTCGTAGATCTTTTTTTCTCTGGTCTCATGATGTGGAGCGGTATCCCTGTTTACAGTGGCAATGGCAATCGTAATGGTGGCCATGGGAATAGTCTTCTATTATTGGTAATATGGTAGTACACACCCTACTCAACAATTCAACCCTCAATAGTATATAGAGTATGTACAGTAATCTACATCTCTAATGTGTTGCTATACAAAGCAAGTATCAAGAGTCATGAGCACCGGCAAACCTACCTAACTAAATAGACGCACGTCGTACATGTACAGTAACCACTCGGGCGAGAGTGGAGAGAAGATGTATCAAATAACCATACCTTAGTCTGGACCGAGTTATGTTATTCCAGGGATACGGTGAACTGCGTATCGGACGATAGAATGTGTGCCTGGCGGGATTCCCGCAGAGGGTAAGCCGAAGCGCTGCATCCAGACCTGCTCATGTGAACATGAAAAAAAAAAAAAAATATCCCTAACTCTAAGTACAGCTCTGCATCGTGAGAATTATGGGTTGACTTAAAGAGGGACATGATCCCGGGATGGAATTGGGCATTGTTTCTCTCTCCTCTCTCGAGCAATAGTATAAGGTACTCGACCTATACATTGTGAGTCTTTCCCCCGCATTGACAAGCTCAGGGACAAGAGCTGGTTCTGGTACATTTGTACTTAGTCTTGCACGTCCAAGAGTATTGTCTAACAAGACACAGTCACTCCCCACTTTTCCCCTCACAACACTCCAATCCGAGAGCTTCTTTGAGCTTCCTTCCAGGTTTATACACGGCTATTTCTTGGACAGGAATCCGAGCAAACATCCAACCTCGGAAGTGCTGGGTTATTTATACGAGCTCCTCCTGCTGTTCAATCTCCACCCCCAAACCAACCCGATTCTGTCTCGAAGTTGTGGTCAAACACAATCCACTGATCAACAATGCAGAGTACGCTCCACCCCCGATCTTCCCCACATACTCCAGACGCTCTCTTCTACAACCCCTAGTGAACACAAAACTGACCGAAACAGCCAAGCACTTCTTCACAGACCCAAACCACCTAGTCCTAACAGCCCTCCACTCTGTAACCCTAACAAACCCCTCTTTGGCCCTCGACAAAGAAAACAAAATCGTCTTCAGGCGCCCCGACTGCCCCCGCAGCGCGAAAAAAGTCTCAATAGTAACAGGCGGCGGCTCGGGCCACGAACCCGCCTTTGCAGGCTTCGTGGGTACGGGACTATGCGATGCCTCAGTCGCAGGAACGATCTTCGCCTCGCCGTCGGCCGAGCAGATCCGGCGTGCGGCAATTGATCGCGTGCCGACTGAGAATGGCGTGTTAATTATTCCGATGAATTATACCGGGGACGTGTTGAACTTTGGTATGGCTGCTGAGAAATCAAGGGCTGCGGGGATTCGCACGGAGTTTTTTGCTATCAATGACGACGTTGGTGTTGGGCGGGTTAAGGGGGGTAAGGTTGGGAGACGGGGGATTGGCGGTGGTGTGCTTATTTTGAAGATGGTTGGGGCGTTGGCTGAGGCTGGGTATGTTTCCTCTTTTCTTTATTTTCCCCTCCATCTTATGGTGACAGTGGTGGTGGTTGGGATGAAAGGCTGACCTTACCAATAGTGGCTCACTGGATGACGTCTACGCTCTGGCCCAACTGGCAAATGCAAACCTCGTCTCTCTGGGTTCCTCACTGGAACACGTCCACGTGCCAGGCCGTGGCGTGCCGGAGGATACCATCCCGCACGGCGAAGTTGAAGTAGGAATGGGAATCCACAACGAACCAGGATCCCACCGCGTCAAGTTCGACCTCGTCGAGTTGGTCGAGGGTATGCTCCTCCAACTCCTCGACCATAACGACCCAGACCGCTGCTATGTGACCCGCAAGCCGGAAGACAAGTTCGTTCTCCTGGTCAACAACCTGGGCGGCGTCAGTCCGCTCGAATTGGCCGGTATTACCGATGAGGTGTACCGCCAGCTGGAACGCGATTACCAGGTGAACATGGTGCGCGTGATCACGGGGACATTCCTGACCAGTCTGAACGGCCTTGGATTCAGCATTTCGCTGATGAAACTCGTCGATCCGGGTTACGGTGCTGGGAAGTCCATGCTGGAATTGCTGGATGCACCCGCTGAAGCTATTGGCTGGTCTGCGCCAGTCAAGACAGAGACCTGGACGAACAGGATCGACACACCAGTCGATCTGAAGACGACTGTTCAAGTCGAGGATATCCCCAGCAACTTAACCCGTACGTCGTACCCTATCATTCCTACCCTCCAAACTACACCCCAAACCAAACTAACAACCATTTAGTCAACCCCCAGACCGTCCAAAAAACCCTCTCATCAGGCCTCCGCCGCGTCATAGCAGCCGAAAGCGAAGTAACCCGTTACGACACAATAGTGGGCGACGGGGACTGCGGCATCGGCCTAAAGCGCGGCGCAGAAGCAATCCAGTCCCTGCTGGACAGCGCAAACCCACCCCTCACAGATGACATAGTGGTAACGCTCAACCGAATCGTGACAGTCGTTGAGAACGTCATGGACGGCACATCCGGCGCGATTTATGCCATTTTCCTGAATGCGTTGGCGCACGGGTTGCGCGCTCAGGATACGGGTTCTGCCATGCCTGTTACCACTGAGATCTGGGCGAAGGCTTTGGAGATGTCTCTGCAGGCGCTGGGTAAGTATACGCCTGCTAAAGTTGGGGATCGGACGCTTGTTGATGCTCTTACGCCGTTTATCGAGACGCTTGTTGAATCTGGGGATTTGGGGAAGGCGGCTGAGGCGGCTCGTCAAGGGACAGAGAAGACGAAGGGGATGAAGGCTTCGCTTGGGCGGAGTGTTTATGTTGGTAGTGAGGAGGAGTGGGTTGGGAAGATTCCTGATCCTGGGGCTTTTGGGTTGTCTGAGTTCTTGAGTGGGATTGCCGAGGGGATTTAATATGGAGTTGGGATGAGAGAGAGAGGATGATCGGTGTTTTTGGTTATACAGCGGTTTTGTTGGTTGGCACACTTTTGTCTGGGTGTGTTTTAATATGAATATGGAAATGAGTTTGATGCTTGTTGATTTCAAATTGGTTCTGGATACTAATATTGTTCTTTGGGGGTGTAGAATTAGGGCTAGTTTTGAGTGGAGGTGATTTTATACCTTTAGACAATCACACTTCCACATCAGCAAGGAGGATGGAATAAGTTATGTTTAGCGATCGGAGCAAACGTTGTCAAACTGATACGGTTGCACTGGCTAAGATCATGTACACCGGCAGGGATTATCTAGTCCCAAAGGTTGTCATGTGTCGGTTGCGAAGGCCAGGGTTGGTAGAGACAACGAACTATGACCCCAAATCCGAAAACACCCAGCTTTGATAGCAGACTTGCTTGCGTCTTGAATGCAAGGTAGATCTAGGTGGGTTACTGTTACAGTTAAAGTGACTGGAATAGCTCACAATGGACTTTACCTTCGTGATAAGGGATACCACTCTACGAGTAGAATCAAGTCATTTCAAAGATGCATTGCTAACCGGCCCTGCTCCAGGACGCCGACCGACGATCCCTCTACAAAAAACAAAGGGCCAAGTCGCCCGCAAAAGAAACGCCGAGAACAAAGTTTTTTTGTAGTCCACCCCCAGGAAAAACAAGACAGATCAACCCAAGTGTTTCACCTGCACGCAACGGTAACTTCAAAAGACATGTGTTTCTGTTTTCCGAAGGGAGGGGTCACAGCAATGGTAGTATCAGGCCATTGGCTCCGGCGGGGCCAGAAGCAAGGGAGAAAAGGCGGAGTAGGAAGTGGAAGTGAAAGTGAAAGTGAAAAAGGGTATCGAGATCGATTACATGATAACTCGGTGACGGGTTTGTAGGTCCGAGGTGCTGTGCAAATGGCAGGATAGTGACCTTCCCGCGGATTGAGATCCAGATACGGGATCTAGCTACCTGGCGGGATGGATATGGGGGTGTGGCAGGATTGAGTGCTCAGCTGAGCAGGACGAGGATGACAGAGTCGCCGCGGAGGAACCTATAGACGGGTGGGTTAGAAATGGACGGGAAAGAGGATAAATGAACATCTGGAAGATCCTCCCCGCGTTCTGCGGTCTGGTCTGGCCAGCACATACATCTTGGAAATGAAACGGTCCTTGTTCACACCCTTGCCCTTGCCGCCCTTGGGCTTCTCAGTCCACATCTCTTTCACGTTCTCCAGAACCATGTTGCAGTGTCGGTCAAAAGCCTTGACACGGGCCAAGAGCTTGCGGTTGTTTCGGCAGGAGATCAGGACCTGGGTGTGCGTACGGGTGGCGGTCTGCAAGAGGGACAGCGGGCCAGCGGTCAACTCATGCTCCTCGACGAGAGCAACCTCATATTCCCTGTTGATGCAAGATTAGTTTTTTCGCCCCTGCTGTATGTGTCTTGCACATGCATAAAGAATGTGAAATGTGATGGGAGATAGCGGTCGCAAAAGTTTCCGAAATGCGGGCGTCGTGGACAACCCCGCTGATCTCAGATCAGGCAGAAACCGAGGGGAAATGCGATTACTCAGAAATCGAGGAAGGGATATCAATTGTCAAAGCAGAGGGTACATACGTGAGCTCGCTCTTCGGCTTGTTGAGCAGGTCTCTGGTGGCTTGTTAGCTTGGCGTACACAATGAGTCATCGAGGTGGTACATACTGAATCTTGGGATCGGGAGCTGTAGACATGGTGGGTATAAAGAGGGCGCGAAGTTCAGAGGTGTGATGTCGCAGTGTCTGAAGTTGAAGTTGGAGCTCGCGTCACGTGGCCACGTACTTTGACACCTCAGAGAGCAGGCATCTTTTCCAGCCATTTTGCCGTTTCGTGATTGGACGCGGTCACGTCGCGTCACGTCTGTTTGGAGATCTTCGAGATAGCTTAACCCGCGCATGCAAGGCTTCTCTTCTTTAACTCTCGCCCTTTCTACTTTTCCCCTCTCCCTTTTCCTTTATGCAGAGCTAGTGGAGCTTCTACCTTTTCCCTGTTCAATCCTAGATCAATCTAGGTGAGAAGCGGTCGATCCTTTCGTTTGCTCCAGGACTAACATTCCCGCGCTGCAGAAAAGGCCCCTCCACTACCTCCTGCATAATCTGTCCATTCTCCCGGTCGACCAGGTACTAGAGATGCAGTGCTGATCAATCAGCTCGCTAATCCCTCCTTTTGGTCCATTCCCAACCCTCTGGCTGAATCGACAATTTCTTCCTTTCGATTATTTCTCTCTTCTTTCACTCCTCAACAACCTGGATTCTCGGCTTCCATACCCAGTTGACACCAACTCCTTCCTGGAGCTTCCATTTTATCCCCTTCGTCCTTTGTCTCGTGTGGGGGCAGAGAAAGTCTGATGAAATGGAATCTCAGGATGGCATCGATGTCCGCCCTATGAGGCGTATGTTCCCAATGATGCCGAAGTGAGACTATGACAGTGCTAAGAATGTTTTGCATACAGTGAAGGTTCTTTACACATTCGACAGTGAGAACAAAACGAATTGCCTTGCTAGATGGCCGCACGTGCTTGACATTCAGACTGCATATCTTGATGAGACCACTCCAATTGGAGTGATCGAGTTAAAAACATGTATTCAGGCAATTGTCTCTGCTAGGTGAGGATATCATACCGACCTTCGACCTTGGAAAGTGGCGTGCTTACTCAATTTTAGCCCTGAACTTGTGGCTCAGCTCGGAAAGGATTACACTGTATATGCCTACGACTACTCGGAATATGAAACCCCTCTCGTCGGTCAAGGCATGCTTTCCTGGGTATTGTCATCTGCCTCGCCCCCTGAAGCTCAATCGAAGACTATGGTCACCGGACGAGTCTGCAAAAACACCCTCGGCCTCTTCTCCAAGGGTGCCGCCCAAGAGACGCTGGAAGTCAAGTTGCGGCTGGTGCCTGTCCCAACTGTTATGCAGAGTGAGTACCTCGATAGCATACAAAAGTTCCGCGATTTGAGCAATTTCCGTCCAGGCGACTTGGATGCACAATCATGGACAAACTTTGTCCGTCAAAATCCTGCCTTGGGAGAGTCCTCGAGGACCCAAAGCCACGCCGGCTCGCCGATGCACCACTCCGGGATTGAAAGGTTCCACCAGCTCTTGAGTGAAGGGTCAACGCCACGTGAATTCTCGAACTTCCCGCCTAACGAATCTGTCCGCTCTGTCTCGCCTTCACATTCATATGTTCCTAGCAGAGTTTCAACACCTGGCGGTCGAACACCCGCCCATCATCAATCTTACAAGTACAGCAATCCCCACAGTGATATGATTCGCCCTTCATCAAGTGCTTCTATGCGGGACAATGACTTCCAGAGCCAAGTATCGTATCACCAACGCCGAGGCTCTATGCAATCCGGATATGGCAGTGGCGAGGAAGAGTCTACCGACCCCCAGCCCCGCAAGAGAGCCAAGGTATACCAAGCAAGCTGGCCCGGAAAGTCAGCTTTGAACATTGAAAGGCAACCCAGCTCGCTGCGGGTTGCAGCCAGTACCGCGGCCTCGGTTCGGATCCATCGCCCAACTCCTGTGAATCCTGCTATCGCCGCTGAGCAATCCTTCGAGGAGCCCGTGCGCCCACCCACTCCTATGTCTCGTCCATCCGATTTCAATCGCCGATCTCGACCTACAGGTAGCCTGTTGCGGGAATCGTCTATTGCAAGCATTGCCTCGTGCCCTGCCACATACAACTCTCCCTATTGTCAGAGTGACGACATGCCAGGTACAGACCAGACGTCGCCCGAGGATACTCGATACCAGGGTCTCTTTGAGCCGTCCTTTAGCATGCCGTCATCCCCTCCCGTCTTCGATGGCCGCCTACTGAACAGATCAAGCCCTGTCTTGCCACCCATCGCTCTGGACACTGACTCTGGCTTCATGAGTGCCGGACTGGAGGACCTCCTCGACGATGAGACTACCACGCCCCAAGATGACCGCAGAAGGGCAGAATCCCATGAGATCACCCAGGAAAAACGCCCTGTCCGATCTACAGTGCAAGCAAGCTCCCCAGTCAGCACTATTGGCGCTCACCAAGGAACTTCCCATGACCCACTCCCCGTCGATGAGATTACTACGGATCAGTCTTTAGTCAGGGTACCATCTGTGGTGTCCCGTCCTGCCACCTCGACCGGATCAAGACCCTCTTCAAGTGCCGGCCCACAACGCTTAGCACCTAAACCATTGCTGCCAGGACCGATTGCTCCGATTGCTCCCCAGAACCAGTGTCACCCATTGATGCGCGCTGTTCCTGCCAGCGACCCTGTTGTGCCTTCTCGCCCCGTGGACGTGAAATTCATGCCTCTCGAAACCAAGAACAACGCCAAGGGAAAGCGTACAAAGCAGGCAATTAACATGCAGACACGTTTGGAGCAGGCTATTGCCAAAGGAGAGGTTCCGCCATATTGCGAAAACTGTGGCTCAATCGAGACCCCTAGCTGGCGTCGAGCATGGGCAAAAGAAGTCGAGGGAAATGACAAGCTTGCAGAGGAGATGATGCAGCAGCCTCTCATGTTGTTCTGGGATGTCTTGGATCGGAATTCCGAGGGTGAAGTCCAGAAATTCTTGATCTACAAGAAGGAGAACGAGGATCACTGGAAGCAAATGACCTACTGCAACCCATGTGGTTTGTGGCTTCACAAGTTCAAGGAAATGCGTCCAGAGCATAAGTGGTCCAAGGGGCCAGCGGCCAAGAAGAGAAAGCGTCCTGCCAGGATCACCAATGGCAAGCCTTCCAACTCTTGCCCTGCCACCAGAACTCGGAGTAAGGCCACCCCCAGCAAGCCGGTAGCTTCTTCTCCGGCAGCCACTGAAGCCTCTTCTGTGCCGGCCGAAGGCGAGACTCCTCAAATGGATGACGACGAGGGTGCTTCCCCCAACAAGCGCTCCCGAGCAAACAGCACCGAACCGCAACACCCGACTGAGTCAGTTCCCAGCTGGAACAAGCAAGATGCGAGAGAAGCCATGCGCCGTGCCATTCGCTCCAGTCCTGCTAGACGCACCCAGCCCCGTCCCACCTCATCGGGAGATAGTACCACTTCGACTCCCAAGCCTTTGAGAAGATCGCTTTTCCAGAATGAAGGCCCGCTGAAAGAACTTGATGCCTCTATGGTAAACAGCTGTTCCCCTCGTCGCAGCCCGCGCATTGCGTCGACAAAGGATGATAAGGGAGCTCAGAAGGAGAACCACGTCCCCACCCCGGCCAACGATCTCGATACTCTCTTCGAGAGTCCTTCCATCGACTTTGATCACACTGGAAGCCCGACTCCTCGTCGACGCAACGCGCGAGCCAACGCCTCGATGGAGAAACGTTCCGCAATGCCAATAAACTCTCCAAGTGCCAACCGGCGCAAGGATTTGAGCTCGGTTATGACACCAGCCCGGTTGTCGGCTGAGCGCTTGCAGCGTATCCAAGCAAGCCATGGTAGCCCTCGCCAGAACAAGTCACCAAAAAAGCAACAGCCCTTCGCCCCTCTGACAACCGACAAAGGCATCCACTCCGAGGCCTTCGAGTCTCTCGACGGCATGATCCTCGATATCTTTGATGACGCAGACCAGCCCAACCACTTCTTCCTCCAGAACGCCAAGTTCGACGGCGACAACTGGGCCGACTGGCTCCCAGAAGATTACGTCTCTCCCACCGGATCCTCGGACGGACCCGCCGAGGACCTAATCAACTCCCTTTTCTCCGACTCCGAAGTCAACAAAGACAACCTCAACTCCGAATTCCTCCCCTTCAACTTCGACGAGTCTGTTATCCCTGACTCGGGTTTCTTCAGCTCCGACGCTCTCCAAACCGACCCAATCCGTCTGGCTCCTAAGACCCAGTCTGCTGGCCAGGACACCAATGCCCAACAGACAAACCCCTCTGCATAATTTACCACCGAGGCAACATCCATCATCTACCCCTTGATGTGCTCCCTCCCTCAACCACATATCTGTTTTTTATTTGAGTTTTCAAGCGACGGCGTCTGGTTTCTTTCATGTATGGGTGGCTCTCTTGTGATGCCATACCGGCAAACGTCTTTCTGTAACATTGCCCTGCCTTTCCCTTTTTTTGTTCAAATGATGACCTGAAGTATGCCTTGATGGGTACTTCTCCGCTACATTCGCTGTCCTTTCTATGTGAGGTTTCTTCCCCATGGAATGCAGCCGATGGGCTTTTTTTATTGTTAGCTGGGATACCGACTCGGATTCCATGCGGCTTTTTATGACAGAACGACTTACTCAATCAGAACAACTTATAATTATAATTTCTTTGTGTTGTTGTAGATTCTGAAATAGTTAGTTGTAACGCCCACATATTACCCAGTATAACAGTGCTCATGACTACTGTCTTTGGGAGTCAATAACCAAGACACCAAGTTCTTACCTCAAACCAGGGCCCGAGACCTGACCCCGTGCCCAACCGTACCCTAACCTTCTATGGCCATTGTCTAACTCACGGAACTGAGCATTATTTGACTTCTGTATGGAAATATTATGCCTGTCTGAGTAAAAGGTCCAATTATTATATATTTGCCCTAGAGCTTTGTTATCAAGATCGATAAAGTTTGATGTATACAAACGACAATTTAAGGTGCGGGTGATTAGACCTCGGGACCTACCCGCTTTAAAGATCATGAGGCTTTTTAGAAGCTAAAATAAACCATGTCAGCTAGCTAGTATATATATAGACTAACCTAGTGAGATATAGATATCCAGGTCTCTTTTGACGCCTCTTTGTAAGTCTTTCGTACTACAGGTATCGCACTAGCCCCCCCCCCCCCCCCCCAAAAAGAGATTCACAGTCATTCTTAGGTAGTATGCTCATGAACGAATTTTACCTCTCGGTTCATGCCCATGTATAATTATACATGATATTTGTTCGCGGAAAATATCCAACAATTGGTATGATTGCTTTGGTATTTGGGTGTAGGCTTCACTTTGTCATGCTTTAAGTACAAAATGAGATCACGCAGATCCGATACCCAAGACCGACAAACGACAAACAGAAATGGGAAAAGACCAGTGATATTGCCAACATCAGAGAAGAAAAGACACAAGAAGCAGCTGCGCATGATTTGAAAATGGGAATCCACGCCAGGAAACGAGATTGTGCCTAATAGCTTTGAAATTCGATGTGGTTGGGGACTGGGGGCACTTTCGGCACTTTCCTTAGGCACACTGAGATTGCCAAAAGGTCTCGACATACCGCATCGTACATTCCATGTGCAAATTCGTACCCGTGATCAATCCGCTGCACTCCTGGCAAAAATGCACCTCAGACATGTGCTTGTCTGTGTCACCTGCAGTAGAGAACACCAGGTGGCATATCTCGCAAGGAATATCTGTCTCGAAAGGGACATATCGCTCATGCTTGATTGCTGGCAGCGGAGAATCATGAGTAGCCATATGTTGCTCCAATTGGCTTTGAGTACCGAAATCACAACCGCAGATGTCACATCCATAGATATTTCCATGGCCTTTGACGACCATGTGCTGGAGGGCTCCGTCCTCGGTGTTGAAACTACGCTTGCGGGTGCCACATTTGAATTGAACCCGATGGCTCTTGACAGCCATGTGCTGGATGACTCCGTCCTGGGTGTTGAAAACACGCTCGCAAGTGTCGCATTTGAAGAAAGCGACTTGCTTTCTCAGTCGTGCAAGTTTCGGGGGCTTGACATCTCCGCGTTCCTGGGTGCGTGCGTTCATTTTCGGACCGGTGTTGGTTCTGTTGTATGCGTGATGGCGTTGCTGGTCTAGAGGCTGGGACCAGTGCTGCATAACGTCCATGTGCTGGATAGCACCATGTGCAGTGGTGAAGCTGCGATCACACGTCTTGCACATGAAATTTTCCATGCCATCAAAGTCTGTTGTGTTAACTATCATGTTGCTAATGCTCACATGGTGGCATAGGTATATACCTTCTTCTGGGTAGAATTGATTCTTCACGTCAATAGAATCATGATAGAAATCATGTTCCAAGCCGGGCATGGCAGGCCATGGCCTATCAGACCTCAAATCACGCTCTGGGACAACAATGCCCATGTATTGATGGCCAGGCGAAGCTGGCTGTGGAGGTGGTGACTGCTGGGGCCAGTGGTCCATCACGTCCATGTGCTGGTTGACACCTAGCAAGGACCTGAACTTACGCTCGCACACTCCACAGCCATAATGCATGGCCCTTTTATCGGTTGTGTCCATGATCGGCTTGACGGAATGATAGCTGTCGACACTTTCGGTGAGGCCCGTTGCTGGGTTGTATCTCACGCTAGTATGCGTATAGTAAGCATTCTGGACCTGAGTGGATTGGGCGAGTCTGCTAGGGAGGGAGAGAGACCTCTGGAGTTGCTTGCCCGAGTGCCCATCGTCGGTCAGTCCCCGAGTTCCCTCGGGGACCGTCTCGACGCTGGAAGATGTTCTGTGGCGTTTCACATCCATGTGCGATTCACAGTCCTTTCGAAAGGTGAAGCACAGGAAGCAGCCATCGCATTTGTAGAACATGTTGGAATGGGTGGGTGAAGAGAAAGGAAGAAAGGACAATGCGTGAAAGATGTTTTGAGACGAGACGTGAGCGTGTGCCTTCTCGTTTTGGACTTGCGTTTTGCATGTGGCCAAGACAAACGTAACGTTTGCTCGACTGCAAGTGGACATTGTGCTCAGCACTGGCTCTAAATACACGAGTTATAAGCCTGGATGCTGAGATCACTAGCTGGCTTTCATGCCGGCGGCGTCCCCATGTAGTTTCCTATTGACTGCTCGGGTCCTCGGAATCAATTTCGATCTTTCGCACTCTCGAGTCTCCCAGTCTCGGACAATGCACCCATTGTACCTTTTCAGGACTTTCGTTACATTCTCGTTACTTGTCCGGTAATCGACCTACTCTACAACCTCGCCCCGATGCCCGAGTTTCAGTAAACCAGACTGACTCAATGATACTTTGGAAAATATTTGTTCATAACCTCGTTTGTAAAATGCAAAAAGTCGGGGAATCACAAAGGAATACTGCAGTGACGGTGTCAACACCTCAGACCAGTGTCGAGTCCGTCCTCGCCACGAGACAGACTAGTCTATTGCAAGCCTGACGGGCTTCGACTTGGCCTTGCCGCCTTGCAACCTCATTTCGAACAATGCTGTCATTTTTTGGGAAGTCCACTGTGAATAGGCACAACCCATATGCTTGAAGACCTCGCATGCCAATCCCTTACTCGACGTTGTAAAAGATGCTTGTGAAGCGATGCGTAGCATTGACGACCTGTTCATAGATTTTGTAATCTGCATTTCATATCAGTACCCTGCTTGTATCAAAGCCATGGGAAAAAACACTTACCACAAGTAGAAGGGTCACCCCACTCCGTAGAGCCCAAAACACGAAGTCCGTATCCCTAAGAAGCAAACAGCATTAGCACTTTGCTTCAACACAGCTACTGGAGCAAAGTTCCAAATCTCCGAGGCCAACACCGCCCAAACGATGAGTGTCAAACATACCTGGCCACCCTCAAGATCAGCCACTTTACCAACGACCTCAACAAGCTTGCCGACTTGCAGACGCGCATCGGACTTCAAGATAAGTGTGACATCGCCATTGTTTCCACAGGTGAGGGTTCCAGTGCTACCGTGGAGCGCGGTGACGGTGCCGAGTAAACGCACGGTGTATGTGGTGTGCGAGCCAGCGTTGGAGGGGTGGAAGGCGTGGAGGTGGGAGGGGAGAATGCGGGGGGTTTGAAGAGACATGTTGGTTGATTGGTGTTTTTCAGCTGCGTTGATATTGCGTTCCTGTAAAATGCTGAAGGATGGGATTCTTGTGGCTTGGCTTGTTTGAGAGAGGGCGTGGAGTTGATCGACGCGTGAATCGCGGGTCGCGCAGTCACGTGGTGATTAATTAGCATGCGATGGAGCTTAGCTGTATTCGCTTCATTGAAAGTGGTAAATGTGGGCTAGCTAAGCTGCAATTTCAAGAATACCAATTGTTTTGATAATTACCCAAGACCAGAATACCCTAGCTACTTACTGGCAGTTGCAAACCCAGCTGTTCATTACTCGCGGCTTTGGTATCATCACGTGACCGGTATCATTTCAGCAAAAGCTTCAGCCCGATACGTCAGTTTACCAGATCAACGTCGCAGCTCCCTCCACACTGCCGCAATACTTTGCGTTGGAGCTCTCAGTCAGGAGACTGGGCTCTTTCTACAAGTCTCCTTTCCAAACCTATTCCCTCTCCTACACATCAACCCATCAACAATGCCTCCTCCGCTCCCCTCCTCCCACCGGGGAATGACAGCAAACCCCATCAAACCCAGTCGCTACCGTCCCGGAAAGGCAGTTCCCGAAGACCCCTCCTCATCTGAAGAGGAAGAAGAGGAAGAGGATGTCGAGGCGCAAAGAGAACAAGAGCGGCGCAGACAAGCCGAGGCGCAACGCCGGAGACAGCAACCCAAAGCCAGCTCATTCCCTGCAGCCGCAGTAGCACAAAAAGCCGAGGAAGATGAAGATGAAGAAGGGTTCGTCACCGAAGACGAAGAAGACGAGGCAGTCCCTGTGCCAAAAGCTGCACCGCAAACTACAACCCACGACATAAAACCTCCAGCACCCAAGACCGCTCCCGTACCTGGACCGGACGGCAGCGAAGAAGAAGAAGAAGAAGAAGAAGAAGAAGAAGAAGAAGAAGAGGAAGACGAGGAAGAGGAAGAAGAAAGCTCAGAAGAAGAAAGCAGCTCAGAAGACGAAGCACCGAGACGCATGCTCATCCGGCCTACATTCTTAAAAAAAGACAAGCGCAACGCTGCCCAAGAGTCTGCCGGCCAGACCCAAAGCAGAACCAGCGCAGCAGACCGCGAAGCGGAAGTAGAAGCGCACCGTGCAGCGCAACGCAAAGAAAAAGCAGACATGCTAATCCGCGACCAACTGGAAAAAGAAGCAATCGCTCGCTCAACAGCCAACCGAGCCTGGGATGACGACGAACTTGTCGAAGCAGACGATGAAGAAGCAATCGACGACAAAGACGACGTCGACCCCGAAGCCGAGCGCGCAGCTTGGAAACTGCGCGAACTAAAGCGCGTCAAGCGGTCGCGCGAAGCCATCGAAGAAGCCGAGAAAGAACGCGAGGAAATCGAGCGCCGGCGTAATCTTACCGCTGAAGAGCGGGATCGTGAAGACAGGGAGTTCATCACGAAGCAGAAGGAAGATCGCGAGGCTACGCGTGGTCAGACGGGCTTTATGCAGCGCTATTTCCACAAGGGTGCTTTCTTCCGTGGGGACCAGGAAGCTGAGGGTCTTGATCGGCGGAATGTCATGGGTGCCAGGTTTGAGGATGATGTTAATCGGGATACGTTGCCTCAATATATGCAGGTGCGCGATATGACAAAGCTGGGCAAGAAGGGCCGGACTCGGTATCGTGATTTGAAGACTGAGGATACGGGTCGGTTTGGAGATGGGCTTGAGAATCGAAGGAGGAGGGATGGGCCGCCTGAGGGTGTTACTGATGAGCGGTTCATGCCTGACCGTGGTGATGACCGGGACCGTGATCGCGGGCCTACTGGTGCTAATGCTAGTGTTGTCAGGCCGCGGCGGAGGTCGAGGTCGAGGTCGAGGTCTGGTTCGCCGCGGCGGGATCGGGACAGACGTGAAAGGGATTCGGGGAGGTATGATCGGAGTCGATCGAGGGAGAGACGGAAGCGAAGCCCGTCGCCTTATGAAGACCGGGAGAAGAGGCGGCGTGTGGATTCGTGATCACATCTAGATATCTGATATCCTTTTGGCTATTGGCGTTGGGTTCTGAAAAGTGCATGGGTGGACTTGATTTGATATCTGCATTGAGAGCAACGTGCAAATTCGGAAAAATCTCTATGTTTGTATGTAATATAGCATGTCCTCTCCTGGAGGAATTGTATTGTGAAATCAGGCCGTCAAGGACTTTTGTACATACACTCCCACATTCGAACACGTATGATGAGTTCTCAGATCCTGAGCACAACCTGTACGTTTTATGAGAGCCTCGAGAAACGCCGGTACCAGAATCATGGGTTTTGAACGTCAAACAATGAGCGCCTGACCACCCAACAAACTCTCACGAAATAGTCCGCCAAACGCCATTGATCTATCAAGCTAGCAAGAGCACAACGACTGGGCATCCACTCAAGCACAATGCATCAAAACCAAAAGCATGTCCTACCCTTAAGACTGATCCATAATCATAACTTATTTGACACCAGAGCGTTCCAAAACCTTCTCCCTCTCCATAACACTATCCCCAAACCTAACCAGAAACACAGTCCGACTAGGCCACATCTCCGTAGGCTGATTATGCGCCGAGACCTTCGTCTCAAAGCCACATCCATCACAAACACCCTCAATAATACCAGCGACAAAAGCAGCACAGTTGAGCATACTCATCTCGCGCGGCACGCTGATGTAGGTGTTGACCAGCGGGTCGTTGTCCGTGATCATATACTCATTAGGCGTGTCTGGGGAGACGGAGTGCTCGAGTGCATCTGCGGAGCGGCCGAAAAGGAGGCGCCACAGGGGACCGTGGATTAAGTGTAGGAGGGTTATGATGCGGAGAGGGCGGTTAGGTGGTGAAGATGAAGTTGAGGAGCTTGAGAGGGCTGAGGAGGAGGTTGATGTTGAGCGGTAGAAGAGAAGGTCTAGGAGGCGGAGGCCGAGGGGATAGCCTTGTTCGTTAAGGCTGGGGGTTTGTTAGTGTGGTACTTTTTCGGGGATTGGGTGTCTTGTGTGTTGGGCTGGGTATGAGAGGCCGGGGGTCTGGTTCAGGACTTTAGCGTACCGTTTCTCGAGGTCTTGGATACCTGTTACCCTCCGTTGGGCGTATGTGACCATCTCTCCGAATAGGTAGGCGAAGCTTGCCCGGCTGAGCTCTGCATTGCGGCTGCGGTTCAAGTGTCGATCGTAGATTGTCTTGCGATTGGATGGTACGCGGAGACCGGGGGATTGTGGTAATGTCTGGGCTTGTTGTTGTGTCTGTTTGTCATTCGGCCCTGATTGCGGCGTCCCGCCATTGCTGATGGACAGCATCGTGGAGTGCCGGGGAGGCGCAGCCATGGTGGTATTAGATGTCGAAGAATATTAACAGTCCAAGGAATTAATGTCGATGTAGGAGCTCATGGATTGCGCTTTGGTCATGACATCTATCGGAGAGGTTGAGGTGGGTGAACCTGCAGTGGATGCGATAGCTACGGCGGAGCACACCTCCCTCGAGTGCAGTCTTAAGAATTCAGCCGGGGACGTAGCCCTCTACGAAGGATTTTACTTGGATATTACGAGTTACAGGATAGAGGGTTTCAGTGAAATAAGCCATATATTCATGCTAAACTAATATTGTTTCCAACAGCACAACATATCAATTCGGAATGCTTCATGCGAAGACCATGAATCGCGACGACCGAGCAAGAACTGTAGCGACAGCGCGACTAGGAGCGGGGCGCAAAGCAAGCCGGGTGTATGTGTATGCGAAGGAGAATATCAAGTATCCCAACAGGGTGATTGGGGGGGAAGAACCTATTCTGAAGACACAATTAGCGCCAGTCCGGCTGTAAAAACTCGATAGAAAATAATTCCAAAGAACAGCCAAATAGTTCTCAGACATCCAAGGAAGATATTCCGCCCATTGCCGCCTTGATTGGGTTCAAGCGACGGCTAGCGTGGAAACTGCGAATGTAGGAAGTTTTTCATCTTCGAACGGCGTAGCCGTTGGCTGATGGTGCAAAGGGAAAAGAAAGAAAAAAAGTCTGCGACTTACCAAGTCAGTAGAAGATGTACATGGCGATAATGCACTTCAAGTGATTTTTTGTCTCGTGGAAGCCAACATAAAACTTCGTAGTCACAAAGGACTGAGAGAGGAAGATGAAGAAGAAAAAAGTTTTCGGGCCGGCGAAGGCTTTTTATAGGGCCGAGCGGAGCTGCCCCGGAAACCAGGTGGTTGACCCATACGAAGCTTCTAGCGAGAAAAAAAAAAGTCCACCCGGTGAGAAAAGTAACATCCAGTACGGGTCGTAATTGTATTTATGTCTTATAGATTAATAAATTGATATAATTTACGTGTTGGAGCTATGCATGTTCAAGGTCATAAATATCAAGGCGAGATTTTTTCTTGAATTTGTAGCCAAAAGTCCAGCGCCCAATCAGGCGAAATTTGGCCTAGAATTCAACATATGAAATCCATATGTACTCCGTGAATGAGCCACCCCGTGGCCGTCTGAAAAAGAAAGCCCCAAACCCAGACAGAAAATGCGTTAAATATCAAATAAATCATGTCTCAAGGGGACACGCCATATTGCCTATGACCGTGTTACTTGAAACTCTTTTGCTTTTGTCGCGAGTTCCAATTCAATGTCTTGGAAATACTATGCACCCAGTCTTCGCCTTGTCCGCCATGAGGTAAGACATTGGCAAAGGGGTATCTTGACGCTGACACTGTCACGTAGTCGCCGGGGTGTAGCTCAAGCCTAGAGTAGAAGTTAGTCAGACATAAGATCATAGCACAACATGTACATGCAACAAGCGTACCTCTCACGGCCATCGAAACTAGCCCACGAGCTCGTTCGCGCATCATACGGCACACCCATGCGTAAAACAATGGTGTCCGGCAAAATGATCGGCCGGAAGGACAGCGTATGAGCACAGATGGCGGTAACAAGAATCACAGGGTTCTCTGGGTGAGAAAGAGACCCTCCAGCAGCGAGGTTGTAAGCCGTTGAGCCGGTTGGAGTAGCAATGCAGATTCCATCTGCGAGCAGAGTTGTGAAATGCTCATCGTCTCCGAAGAGTTCAATTTGAGACATGGCTAGGGAGAAGACGGTTAGCTGTTACTGCTGTGAAACTCACACGGAACACCACGACGGGAGAGAATCATGATACTTGGATTTGGCCCACGGTCGAGAACGACATCGTTCAAAATCTCATATACTCGATCCGGGGTATGCGTCAGGGTGTCCTCTCCTTCCTCTCCAAGCAATTCTTCGACCAAATCTCGACTTGATAGAGTTCGCGCATCGGAGTCTTTAGCACGCGCTTTGCTGCGCATGATGGTACATTCAAACCGTAATCGAAGGCTGACGACCACGCCCTCCCGGAACGCAGTCTCAAGTGTTTTTTGGTAATCCGCAAAATCGAACTTAGTCAGGAAACCTAATGAGCCCAGCGCAAAAGAAAGTACTGGTGGCACGATGCGCTGGAACAGCCAGCTGGTGTAGAGAACAGTGCCATCACCGCCGAGTGTGATCACAAAATCGAACTGATGGGGCTGTTCATGTGCAAGCTTGGAATCCCAGTACTTAAGCCGGCCCTCCGCTGAAGGCTCGTCCTCAACTAGCTGTATCGCTCCGAAATCCGGGTGCGTCTCTAGTCGGCGCTCAACGTAAACATTATAGAGAGAGTCCCGATCTTTGGAAAGGAGCCACCTCGTCACTTTTCGAGTCAAACTGACCAATGACTCGTCCTGCGCCTTGCATACCACGAAAACATTCTTAACTGAGAGCTTGAGTCTGATGTTGCCCAGCTTCTTAGATAGTTTGCGCACATTCCAAGCCATATCTGAGAGCTGCCGTTTCGTCAAATGCCGAGATTGAATGATGGTCGGTGCAGGCCTGCTGTTGCTTTGGGTCTCGTCGTCCACCATAGATAACAGATTTTCCGGGTGAGGAGCTTTGAGGTCGACCGTGGGTTCATCATCTTCGTTTAGTGTTCGGATCACATCTTCTTCTGTGTCTTTGGGGTGTTTCGGGGGAGTTGTCCATTCGCTTGCGATGAGGTTGTGAACATAGCAAGCGGTTGTCTTGTCGTTCTGGGCTAGGTGGGGTGGGACATGGGGTTTTTCCATCATAACGAGGGAGGACTTGCGACGGTGGTTGGAGTCGGGATAGAAGACGACCTGGTCGTGAGTTAATAGCTGTTTGGAAGCTATTTGGAAGTTGTGGCAACGTACCTCCAGATGGTTCTGAGCCTCTGTGTCGCTCAATCCTCCATGGCTCTGGCACTGATCAGTCCCTGGATATCTCAGTCCAATTACGACCACTTACATCATCCACTGTCTTTTCCATTGCGATAAAATACTGGAGTTGCCCAGTTTATCACTCTTTCATTGTGGTGGGCGAGTCGGCCTAGGGAGCGGTGGGTTGTGGAATGGGAGGTGGGTATGACGTCGGCTTTTGAACTGCACATCGTGTCGGGGTTATCCGAACTGGGGTAAATTGTTTGTTTGGAGAAACACCTGGGGATATCAAGATTATTTGCTTTTTTTTGCCTTGGCAGATCGGTTTGACCTCGGGATAGCTGGCTGTCGCCGAATCATCCCTTCCACAAAAATCTATCGGAAACGGAGACAGTAATATGATCTACATGTACACCTTCGATTCAACTAGACTACGATACTTTATGAGTTGTTCTTCATCTCTCTCAATGCGGCCATCACATCCACCGGGTCGGTCTTCCCTGTAGCCTTTTGGATCTCGGGTTCCTGAATATATCGAATGAGCACCAGCAAATGGGAGGATGAAGGTATAAAACTTACATGGACGCGCATGAACACGTTGTGGAGCTATGAAACTGTCAGCCTCGATTGAAAATGATGAATTACATTTGGTCCTCACCTTCTCGTCGCCAATGGTGAATTTTCCTTGTGTCTGCTGGTTTTGCTCGGCGAAGGCCTGGAGCTTCTTGATCGGCTCCGTCTGAGAGACTGCAATGCAGAACTTCACATTTGCCTTGGTGTACTCGTGGCCCGGCTAGATTATGTCAGTATACGTCCCGACAAGGGCAAGAAGGCCAACTTACATAAACCTTGGTGTCATCTGGGAGAGCTGCAAGCGTCTCGTTCAATGCCTTGTGCATCTCCTTTGCATTTCCTTCAAAGAATCGGCCACATCCTGACCAAAGGTCAGTATATGAAGTCATTGAAAGGTTGAACGATAATGTAAGAGGAAACAAGAGAAGACAAACCACCAATGAACAGAGTGTCGCCTGTAAATACAACACGCTGGTCTCCATCTTGCATGTAGTAGCAGATACTGTCTTGCGTGTGACAGGGAGTGTGCAATGCCTTGACAGAGATGCGGTCTCCAATCTCGAACTCATCGCCATGCCCAGGGGTCTTGGTGACAGACTCGCAGTCCTTGCCACCAATGACCTGGAGGCCCTTGAATTGTTTCAGCTAGCAGAATAGTTAGCCTCCAAAAGAAGGTTTAAAACATCAACCAATCATGCATACAATATCCTTGTTACCGCCAGCATGATCCCAATGGCTATTGATGAATTGTCAGCAAATCTGGACTCACACCAACTCATTCAAAGTGACTCAACATACTGATGAGTGTTGACAATGGCAGTCAAATCAATCTTGCCAGCATCAATCTGAGACTTCAGCTCTGGTGCAACCCTGTTAACAGAATCAAATCAGCATCTATGGAATGCATGCATATCACAACCTCAGTCTACACGACACTCACTCAGGCGGGTTGGCAGGATCAATAATAACCGACTTCTTTGTCGACTCATCAGTCACAAGGTAGGCATAGTTGTTGCCCTTCCCTGTCCCTGCAGATCAAAGCTAAAGTAAGCAAACATGTTTCCAATGTTGATGATGTATACGACGCGGGTTCTGAAAGATCGGGAGATCAACATACACATAGGAATCGACTGAATATGCATGGCTCTGAGCTGAGATCTGAAGAGATATGAAGTAGATCCAGATAACCGAGTTCTTAAGAAGTTCATCACAAACAATCAGAATGTGGGGGAGCTTTAGCTGTGAAACTCGTACATTTGAGTCTGGGCATGTATCATGTGGCACGTGACATAATTATACCCCTCTATAAATCGAACCTCTAGCGTTTGGTCTATATTCAAGCAATTCTGATATTGACTGTATGGCCTTTCCAATGCCTTCTTTTACCCTTTTATTGTGCCATACTATTCAATGTCTGCTTAGTTTATTGAATGATTTACAAACAATCTGCGCTAGCTAGGTGAAGACGTCACTTGGTTTTCGGAATATGATCTCTGGTCACAAATCTACTGCATAATCACGGTCGCCCTTTTCATTTAAATTGTACCTAGTATACCTCGATTTCTGATAGTGAAATTATAAGTAAAATAAAGGTACAAGCCAAAGTAGAGGTGACTAGCAGAATTTTGCTTTGAGTGTAAGGCCGCATCAGGCTGCTATAATTGGCCATGTCTTCTGCGGCCGCTTGGTATTTAGGTTCGTTGACCCAGTGGCATAAGTTCGTATATTAATAGCCTATTTTTCTTATTCTACTGTAGCGTGCAAATAAAAGGATAGACATGGACCCACGATCGTATGTGACATGCCGGTGCTCCAGTATACATTGCACGTCTCTCTTCATGTATTCTTACAATAAATATTCAAAGTTGATAGAAAAATGATATAGTCTCACTTCAAATCGTGAATCTCAAATCCAAGTTTTGAATTCCTAGCATGAAGTATTCCAAATCTCGGGTGATGTCCATCGAGTTCAACTACCAGGATCTTGGTGCCTAAACCACTTGTATCCCGCACAACCGTACAACAACACGTTCCGAGCAGTCCCGCTCCATCAACTCAATCAAGAGAGACAGCCATGTCAAGTGCGACCAATACACTGGCCAGTGTAGAAATGAATACCAATTTGGGTCCTATAACTGCAAGAGTGGCTACAACAGAGAGGTCATCGAAGTGAGTGGATACTCTCCCACATTGTGAGGAGGCTGCAGATTGTCGGGATACTGTATGTACTACATCCCAAAACTACTGCGAAAAGATAAACGGCTTCGATGGCTGCATTGAGGCTATTGTTAAGTGCAGAGGTGGCAAGCCGGTGAAAATGAGCCAGGACCGCTGCAACGAAGAGTATCTCAACCGAGACGGAAACCTCGCTTGTTTCTGCTAGAAACATAACTTGAAGTGTCTTGAGTACAAGGACGGTGCTTGTCGTCTTGATGCATCTGCCTTGGATGCTTACCTCAAGGATATTGAGCAGTCTCGCTATCAGACAATGTATACCTACTATCCTCCTCCGGATAGCTACTACAGTCAACAGGGTTACAAGAAGAACAAGGATGCATCCGGGTAATCTATGAAAGGAAAGCCTTGTCTCCGTTTTATTCTGTTCAGAGTCCATGTCAATTTAAACGAAGCCTGGTCAATTTGAGCAAGATGCCGAGAGAAAGCAAAGAAACAAGATCATATCATCTGAGACAGTCTATTGCAACCTCTGAGTAGAAAGCCATTCAAGAAACTATTGCTATACAACAAATAACCTGGCTGTAGCATATCTAGCAGCTAGCGCATAACATTTTATTGAGGTCTGCTCAGCAACAAATCGGAGCAGACCGAGTTGCTTAGCAATCGAAGCTGTGACAACTGAGGGGCGTGCTCAGAACTACGCAGCGAAACGCGGCAGCTCGCGGATTACCGACGTCATCCGGATGAACTATTTTTCCTCAACAGCTTCAACTATACTAGACAGATGTTGTTTTCAATTTGCTGCCAGCAGCATATCTATTTTATTCTTCTACAGATCTCATTTAATTACTAGAAACAACGCCCAGAGACCGATTATCCCACTTCTCTACAAATCCCCATCCATGCTGCTGCAGCTTCTCCGAGAGCTGGGAGGCAGCACTTGATGAACCGTTGCCGGTAGATTGGGTCTTCGAGACACGATTCTTGGCAGCAGATCGAGAGTGGTGAGACTTCTTAGTCCCATCGACCTGCTTCTTTACATGTCGACTCAACAATTTCGTAAAGTGGTGCGGACTCTCATCGCAAGCTTGTAGAACATAGCTCTGCGGACATGATTGCCTGTGGAACTCCCAGAACGAATGTGTGAGGATGTGAGATAGCCACAAGTATATGGCTTCAGATGAGGGGCTCTCAGCTGCATCGTCTGGGCTCTTGAAGGCGAGGTCATTGACCATGTCTTCGACCAGATGCCTTAAGAATGAAGGATGGCTCTCTGCAACCCTTTGCAGGACAGGGTCCCATTCTCTGAACGTATCGTTCAAAGTCTCTCCAAATCTAAAGTAAAATAGTCAGCACACAAGTCCACTCTCTCATAGGTGATATGATCAACTCACTGCCTCTCCTCTGGAACAAGAACCCCCCTCTCAAGCAAAACCCCAGCCAAAACCCTCACGGCACCAGCAGAAACATTACAAATAGAAATAATCTGCATAGCAACCGAGACACCGAAATCACGCTTCCGCTTCTTGGAAATGGCTTGTCCATCGACATCCACACCGGAAAGCAGAGGCTGCAGCGCTTCTTCCAGCGCAGCTTTGACAGACGTACCATCACCGTGGTCCAATACAGGCGCATAGCTTGCATCAGCTATACCAGCCCAGTAATTGTCCCAGAGCCACTCTAGAGAGCGCTGCGCTGCTTTGCGCAGGACGACTAGGGATGGTGGCTCGCGGTGGGTTGCTTCATGGCGGAGTTCCACAAAGGAGGCTGGGAGGCCTAGGTCCATTGCGCGTTGGAACATTGTTCGGCGGACGCCATGGATTTTTGTGTCTACAAGACCAGTGACGAAGCTGTGGTTTTGTTAGTTGTGTGTTTGAATGAATACGTATGTAACAAGATAGGATCAAGGTAACACATATACGCCTGATAGCACTCACCGACAGAAAGCAGCCGAATAAGTCGCCCGAATAGAAAAGATGGAATTGCTCTGCGCATCATCGTGAAGAATAGCATCTGTTAACAAGGCAGTGGCCTCAACGTGATGTGGCACATTGCCACGTAGCTTCCAGGCTTCGACCTGAGGACCATGATATATCAGTACCAATGCTGCAATGGAAAGGAACGCCGTTTTTTCATACCACTGCACAGCCATGAGCACGCAAATCAGGACCTTCGAAGGAAGAAGTGGGATAAAACTCGTTCCGCACGTCGAGTAATTCAGACTTGGACTTCCAAGCTGTGAAAATGACCTTTGCCATTTCTGCTGAGACAGATCAAACAACTAAATTCGAAGTTGTCTGAAATCAGCTATGCTTGTACGTCTTTTCGAGCTTGATGGTTTCGCTGCGAAATATTTTCGGCGGATGGTTTTTCCTTCGGGGAGGTTTTGCCGATGCTTATTTATCTCCGGCCAATCAGAGTAGGGTATTTTATACTTCAGCTGTAAGTTTGTTGAGGAATATACCAAGAGAAGAAATTAGGTGAGATGTAATGTAGTTGATATTCTTAGCGAATCTGTATCTCAAATCGTTTATGAGTACATTGACCAATTTCCAAACAAAAATGGGAGTCATCTCGTCCCAGGGTATCCATGTATCCGACGCCACAAAAATAATAATAATAATAAACTCCACGCTATGCCGCTGGTTAAGCTAAAAGATGTGATAAAAAAGCAAACAAAAAGGTGTGTCGAGCGACCGGCTCAGATCCACCCATAGCCGTAACTCATGCAGGGTTGGTTCAAGGCAGCGAATGGCTGGGCAGTCATGCACTGCTGATCCGCGTCATCATTTTCGAAGAAGAAAGACCGGTGCAGCAGGTTCAAGGCTTGCTTCGGCTGCTGCTTTGGGATGAAAGTCGACTGGTGGACCGGTGCAGGTTGTGAGACAGCTGGTTGCTGGGGCGATTGGTGCCCGACGCTCTCGGACTCTGCATCCACGTCCGCCTCACCATCCTGGTCTTCGTCCGAAGGCGTGAATGTCTCCTCAAGTTTGAGACCCTTGCCTGGCTGTGATTGTGGAGCCCGGGCTAATGTTCCGTTGGGCTGGTTGTAGAGACCCATACCGACCAGTTCTTCTTCCGGCTTGCCAGCTTTCTTCGGCTCCGCGATCGGTTGGAACGGATCTTCAAATTGTTGAATCGGGAGAAAGTCGGGCGTTGATGGCCCGCTCATTTCGCCCGGCGATGGGACGCTGACATAGCTTGGGCAGGTTGTCTCCGGTGGCGGGATGTTGGTTCCCATGGAGAGCATATCGAAGGTCCAGTTATCGGAAGCCGGCTGCGACATGGCTAAAAGATCGGTTGACATGGCCGTCACATCCCATGGCATCGGCTCCACCTGCGAGCCAGTCATCGAGAGAGTCGTTGGCTGTTGCGGAAGTGGCAACTCCTCTTGCATGTCCGAGTAGACTGGGAAGTAGCTGTTAGGCGAGAAAGATGGATCCGCCGTCATTGGATATGACATGAAGTTGTCGCTGTAGACTGCTGAGTTCAAGTACTCATCAGAGAGAGGACCCATGGCGGCATAGTTGTCCGAGGTGTAATCGGGCATGCATTGCGGATTTGAAAGGCCCCGAGTTCTTGCCGATGATGGGTGCCAGCTGATCGGGCGAGATTTCCGGACCGCCGAGGCAAGGAGGGCTTCTTCCAGGGAGGACTGATATTGAGTCGGCATGTTATGCATCACATTCTGACTGACGGTTGACCGCCGTCGGTGGATTGCTGAAGGACTGTTGCCAGCACTACGAGGCTTCATGACCCGAGTGTGTCTTGGCCGAGGGAAGGCGCGGACCAGATCCTGCATGGTTTGGTTATAAGTTGTTTCTGGACACCATTGTGAGCCTGTTGAAGAGGGCTGTGGTTGACAGTAGTAATTGGCCATATAAGAGAAGTGCAAAAAGTGCAGTGTAGAGAGAGAGCTGAGGGGGAAGTCAGTATATAAGTTCCCGTATGATGGGGGCGGGAACAGCTTACGTAGGTGGAAGTATAGGGTAAAATAAAGGGTGGGATATGAAAGGCCGATGTTCCTTCAGGAACAGAGAGTGAGGTATGAAGATCCGGCAAGGCAGGGCTTATAAAAAGGAATCCAGGGAGCCTGATCTACGATCCCACCGCACATGTTAAGATGACACGACGTTGACACTAAAGGAGCCTAGACGCAAATAAAGTGCAACCTGGAACCGAATCCATGAATCAGGGCAGTTCCACCGTTTCGACCAGGGCCAGGGAATACTCCGGAGTGCAGCAAATAGGGAGTATGAAGTGGGGATGGATCGGACCTGTGGGAACATGGAACATGCTTTTTGAGGCGAACATGGGGAAGATTCATACATTAGCTGTACATTGAATACATGGACCCTCACACGGGCCTAGTCTGGGGCTACTCCCGTGTTCCTTTTTTTTGTGATTTCTTTTTTATTTTTTATTTTTTATTTCTTACTTTTTTTTAAATTATCTATAGTACGGACTGGGGCCCTCCTTGAAACTAACAGGGACTAGTTTCTCTTTTCGCTTCTACGGGAAAAGTAACTAAAAACTTAACAGTATCTTGGCTCTAACCACCCGTGGAATGTTTTTGTATGATTTGGGCCGATCACTAATACCCAAGGCTGACTATAAGAATGTGACTATTTCATTACCCCTACTGGACTTGTTACGCAAGGGTTACTATGTGATGGGCTTTGTACAGGGGAGGGGGGAAGTGGAGAGTAGACAATAGACCGTCATACTCTTTGGCGGACCCCTTCCTAAAGTTTACATTACTGTACGCATACCCGGCTATTCTCTTGCACACATTCTCCCTATCTGGAGTACATGTACATGATGCAGGAGATGCATCATTGCCACCCGAAGGTGAGCAATCTTATTCTACAGTACTGTTCAGCCTATGTGTATACAAAATAAAAAGGAAGTAGTTGGTAGGACCCAAAATAGATAATCCAATCATCACCATGCTGAAAAGAGAAACTTGGGCCAGTGTGTTTTAGGCTACCTGCATTTTTTTTTTTTGGCGGGATCAGCGAGGTCATTCTCCAGAATCACCTGAGAAAAAGAGGGGTGGGCGCCAATATGTAGCTAATAGTAGCGTATCGATCCGAGTGCCTCAACGTTTTGTGGACCTGTTTCATCGGCCCATAAAAGGGCGCCACCAAAACCAGAACATGCGTGTCTCTGAGCGGGAAGCTCGGCTATCCCAAGCGTTGAACCCGCATGGGGCTAAGGTACCATACATGGGTACACGGAGTTTTCATGTTGACGTCTCAGTGGAGATGTGACCAGTCTACTATATTCTCGGCAAGATTGACGCCAATTTCCAATCCAATGAAAAGAAATTAGAGTCCACTTTGTGTCACCGATCAGGAAACGAGCGGTTGAGCCACCATTCACAACGTGGCCGGGCGGATCTGATCGTGCTTAGGGCTCAAAGCCAAGAACTGGCCCTTTCAGGGGTCTGGTCCATTCTCGACTATACTGTACACTTTACCCTGTACATGTACGGAGCATACTGTAATTAGGTCGTTCCCAAGTATGAGTGTCAACCTGTTCTGTAGGAGTCATCTTACACGTCATTGCTGTATCACAGCTGATCTCGATATGTCTGCAAAACACATCCACACGGCAACCGGAACACATTTGCAGACCCACTTCCTGCACAGGCTGCAAAAAAAAAAAACTTGGCATTGGCACAAGATTGGCACAATATAAAATTTCCAGAAGACCAGGGGGCTGAATCAATAATAAATCAGAGTTCTCCTGGTGGAACCGCTGACACCATATGAAAATGCCGATCTCTGGAGTATGGCACACCGTAGCAATCTAAGACAGGTGGTCACACACCCCTTGAACGGGTACAACGGACATATCCGCAGGACTTGGATATGTGATTCTGGACTCAGGATCACACTCATGATTGCGCTCAACCCTGCATACCAGGTAAGATCCAAGAACCTCTGGCGGTCGCCGTCCGAGACCACGCTAGATCGGGCGTTGATCAGCCTCTCTCTCTCTGAGTCTCCACCAGAGTAACCTCCGAAAAGCGAAAGGGCTGTGGCATGAACTCCATTTCACTCCTTAGCCCCCACTAATGGGGCAAGGGGGGCCGATCCCAGCTTCCTTCGTCCTTCCAGACGTTCCAGTCGGGGTTTCTGATTGCCCGTTTCTTAGGAATGCAGCGGGAGGGAGCTGCGGGACTAAGTCAATTTGGCTTGCCTTAGCGCCATGTCATCAACTCCTTACGGTGTAGCATCGGATGAGAATGTTCGGGTCACTCAAATAGCCGTGCGTTCAAATGAAGTAGATTAAAGTACGGAGCGACCTCGGCTCTTTCTCCTTGTTCATCTCACCTCTTTGCTCGAAGGTCGTGACGATCGGATTATGCTCCGACCATGGTGCTCACGGATCTCAGGGGGGCAGTACGGACGTACAGGACGCCAGGCCATGTACAGTCACTTGGCTATGTCTCTAGTTGAAACTTAAGAGTGCTCCCAATAGGTTGCGTAGAACCAGCTGTTCCGAATTAGACCAGCTCCCAAAGCCTGCAAGTCCAGACCCTAAAAGCTGTCCTTGCAGGGCCCTGTGACACAGCGCCTCGCCAGGTCTGAGATATATCGAGAACATCTCTAACTGCGGGTATTTCGTCATCGACTCCTAGCTGAAGTATATTCAAAGTCCAACACTTGTGTTCTGACGCCTGCGGCGTGACGCCACACATGGTCCAGGTGCAGGTGGATCGAATCCTTATCACAGTCAACAAACCGAGTGGCGGCGTAGAAAAGCCAAAGGAAGGCAGAAACAGGGGGCTATAGACACGTTGTCATCTGCGAATCCAATCACTGCCTCGCCATCCCAATCTGCTGAAACCTAACTCCAAGTTAGCCCAATTCACTCATTCACTGGCTGTGTATACAACCAACCATCGCCCCAGGTTTAACCTCGGTGCTTAACCGCGCACCTTGGGATCCACACACCATTCTTGGCCAGTGCTCACTCTTTTTCTTACGATCTGCTAGGAATGCCGATCTTGTTCCGAACGAGGCAAACTCAAAAGATCACAAAATGAGTCTCCATGCAGGGGCCGATCCCTCGTACGCACTTGCTCCGTTCCTATACGAAAAAACTGGCTATTGTTTTTTACTTTTTACTCAATCTTTTTCACTTTTCACACTAACTTACGGGAACTACGGTTCCAGTTCCAAGGTTGACATCCACATGCGCTTTCTCCGCCGGTGACTCAACACTCTGTGGGTGTCACCACAAGAAGATCAATGCAGCAGCTGATCACAGGGGTTATCTGCATGCGAACAGCTGCGGTGAGGTGGCACACCTCCGTGCAGTGCGACTCGATAGTAGAGATAGGAGGCTGTGATCTCATTCCTTACAGTAACGTTCTAACTTATTACATATGTACATGTATACTATATACTCGGCAGTTAATGTGATGGAGACGAGACTTGGATCCTCCAATCCTATACACTTCATCCACTACACAGGGGTGTGTCGGAGGCTTTTGATTAGTTGGCCTTAGTGCTGTGCACGCACCTTAGGTTGTTATTGACGGGCGCTGGTTGGCTGTTGAAACGGTAAAAGGAGGCCTTTCATTCCCTGCTAGTACAAAGAGTCTCCATAATTTTTCTTTGCTTTTTCCTTTGCTTACGAGATAAGAGGGGGGCTCGAGGGCCTTTTCCAGTCGGTTTGTTCTCCATATTTCCTTCGGCTTCACTAATCCTTTTTGGGAATGTGTAATGTGCCATATTAGCTGCAGCATCAGAAACTTGCCGCACATACTTCCAGCTAAATTCTCCATTTTTGATTATTCCAGTCCCTTGGGGTTGGATTCGCTTTCACCCTTCACCGTATTCTGCTCTCCACCGAGCCACCCTTTTGTCATTCCTATTGTACACGTTGGGCGTTCCACCGGGTATGTATGCCGTGGCACACAGATGTGATATACAGTGCCTCCACCCTTTCATTCTTCTGCATTTGGCGTCTAGTCTAGACACCACTGCTTAGACCCGTTCGATCCTTGTTTGTCTCAGACGTAGGCGCACTGCCTCCTTATGATTACTATAGATCCAATTATTGAGGCGATGTAGGCACCAAGCCTACGTATGTTTGACTGCAACATGTACGGAGCGCAGTACATCCGCTACCTGCACACTTGCAGCTTCCCCCCCCCCCCCCCCCCCCTCCTCCATTCCCCTATTAAAAGATCAAAATGATTAGCGGTGGACTCAACCCGAGCCCCAGTCTCCTCACAATGCGCCCCACGCGTGCATCTTTTCCCGATCGGACGATTATTCCAACGGGGTTCGTCGCCCGCTTCAAGTCCGCCTAGGCTCGTACAATATGGGAAACTATAAATGTTCAGCCGGGAGGGTCCGGCCGTGTATGCCGCATTATTGATTTTGAGCAATGGTCTTTGCAGGCGATGATTTACATTCTTGAGAATGCTGTAGACTTGTACTGTTGGAGATCCCCGGTGGGGAGGGGTAAACAGTAATTTACATGGTTTGCTTATTGGTGTTGGTGCTGGTGTTGGGTTTTCTGCGCTAACTATACTCCCAGTGGTGTCCACCCCCTACATGTACAGTAGAGGAAAGTGAAGAGTTTGACTTTGGCCTTTTCGTCTGAATTGAATGAATCAAGTGGAATGGAGATCCGCCGATCAGGCAGATCAGCGTCAATCGTCTAATTTTCTTCCATCTTATTGTCGGTCTGGGATTCAAGTGCCTTGCGCCCGGGCGCTTTCAACTAGTAAATTCTGGCGATAGTAATTGCCGTTAGCTCAGGACCTTAGTTACAGTCCCTCTTTTTGGGTCATGCTCATCCGTTGATGTTACTTCGGCTTCTAATGTAAGATTGAATCCCGAGATCTTCAGGTGTAGAACGCCGGCGGTCTATTCGCGACTGTCTTGTGGGCTAGTTTAATCAAAGGAGTATCTCTTAGTGATAGACTTGGGTCTAGGGCTGAAGAGATTTTCTATTGTTGATCTCGGCTTAGTGTTCGCGGATTTGGCTATATCCGAAATTGCGCTAGACTATGCTAGACTATGCACTACTATTCTGCAGTGATTAAATTGTATCGTTTTGGACTGTCAAGGGCATGACCAACAGAAACGAATTACAGCAGTAATTTTCTGGAGCACTGGGTCTAGAAGTCAGAATGCATATAACCTAGATTAGCGTAATTGTAATTCGCCTTAGACTACTCAAAATATATATCTTGCAAACCATGCCAAGCGCGAAAATTTAGACAGCGGCCTGTCCTATGGTAGTGAAAAAGCCTAGTCATTGCAAATGCCGAAAAGGCTCATCAGCGGTGAAAGCGCCTTGTTGTTGACTTGGCTTTCGCTGAAACGACGAATGATTCGTCTAAATGCAATGTATTGTGCTTTGTATACCGCCTAGCAACCCCAAATAGAACCTAGGTGACTGTTCTTGGAGAACCAGATCATGATCCTTACAGATAAAAGTGGATTAAATTACAGAGACTGACCAGAATTAGAATCCCAACAAGTGTGGTTCCTTTCGCTGGTTCTGGCTTTTCTCTTGATGGCGTTCCGGTATCGTCCCATGCCGCATATCCGCCTCACTGGACCCAGCTCTTCTCAAAATCAATGAGCCCTTTGACTTGTTGAAAAGAAAAGTGTTTCTTAGTTCGGGTAATCCATTACGTTTAAGCAAGTGTTCAAGTGCGTCATTGGTCAGTGATGTTGTATGTTGTATATGCCAAAAACGGCAGCACCATGAGGACAAAGACTAGACTAGGCAACATACCAAGACATCTGGAGACAATGTGATTGTAGAGATGGACAGAGCGATGAGAACGCTTGAGAATGTCATAGATCTTGAACATGACCCCACCTTGAATCCTCACACAAGGGGGTATCAATTGATGGAAGGTTCTAAACGGTGTAGCTACAGCTGCTCTGCATAGCTGTCGGAGCGGCAGTGGTCTGGGAGATATTCTCTGTGTAGGAATGGTGGAAGAAGTCGTCTGAGTCCTTGTCAAGGGCTGGACAGCTTCTTTGCTGCGAGAGGAACTTATGTCGTCTGAACCTCTAGTATCGTGGTTGCAAGTGCAAGAAGACGGGCGATTAAGTGAAACTGCGATTTACTATAGCACGTGTCTGCATGAAAGAAATTAGCATATAAGTCATGAAAAATCTTTTATCATAGATCAATAAGACAAAGGGGACAACTACAAATAGGCAGCGAAGGGACCCGGTGAATCGTGCACATATGCGGCGCTCTTGGCCCATATATGCCACAGAACCTTTTAGGAGGCTGATAGTAAAATAGGGCATCATCCTAACAGCATTTTCAAATCATTCATAGACTCTTGCCTGCCCCTGAAAGCTAGAGCTTGAAGTAGCTCCTGGTTCGTGTTGCTCAATGCGTTTCACGAACCAAACTTGCAGACATTCGGATTGCTTTCATTTAGAACCACGGCCCTGCTGAATGATGAGATAAAACTCGTTAATTTGCGCTGAGAAAGAGCGCTTGATATAGTCAAATGAGTACAACACAAAGGCTTGAAGGTCGATGTCTCGGGTGACTAGACAAGTTGATGACTGGGTTATAGAGCAGACCCTTTGAATTGACATCGTACAAGGGAGCAACAGTCAAGGTAGACTAGACAGCGTTTTAAAGAACTTATATAAGAGCGATGGTGTTGCTTATGTGTTCCCCGGGGTGATCTCGGTTCATTTCGCGAAATTATATGACCTGAGAGCAACAAGAGGTCTCATAATTCAACGTTGTTTCCCTCCGTTTGATGTTCTGATAGCCCGAACAGTGAATGAATTTGATAGAAAGCGTAGTGTTGAAGCTGGCTGGTCAAGCAAATGCATATTGTTTGTTCAGAAGCCCATGCTCCCCTGCTTCGATTGTTCTCTTCCCTCAATTACAACGCCTTTTTCTTTCCAGTGCAAGATCATTTGGACACCAGCTGAGCCTCCTCATCTCTATTCATCGTTGTCACGACGGTACGGCCATATCATATCCCACTGATCTTCCTACCTTGCACTCGAAATGCATCCACTGTTCCGCTGCATGACCAAGCTAACGGAGAAGTCCAAAAGACCGACGAGCCAAACAAACCGCCTCATATCCACCTCGACTCTGGTGTCTGATAGACTTCCCAAGTATGCATCTCTCGAGGGCTTGCAAGGGCCTACCTTGCTTACCATCAATATCATCAACAGCTACCGACCTCACCATGTCAACAACCAAGACCCAGCAGCTTTCCCAGACAGTCACAAAGCTCATATTTGGCACTAATAGCTACAGAACCTGGGTCAATAGACTGGAGCAACGCATCTCCAACATCAACCCTAAGTGCTGGTCGATCCTCGCAGGCGATATTGAACATCCAGCCGAGCCCGACTACATCTCCTTCACCGCAGAGGAGGCCTACTTCGCCATTGCAATGACCGAATATCCGATAGTAGGATTTGCAACTGACCCTCAAACTATCGCCAAGAGGGTGGAACAATTCATCTCCACAAATCGTGACCACAACAAGCTCCTCCTCGCACAATACCAAACCCGACTCGGAGAATTCGAAGAGTTAAACCGCAAGGCGCGGATGCTACTTGAATCGAGCCTTGGGAGGGATCAGATTGCCATGATCTCGTGCATCTTTGGTGCACGTTCTGCATTCCTGGTACTGGATAGCTACAAGACGGGTGGGTTCGGATTGAAATAAAATAGTGTGCTTAGAGACACCCTGATGATCAAATGCAAAACATCTTGAGAAGCCCAAAGGAAATCCTAAGTGTACAAATAAATAAAGATACTAACACGGGTACAGTCGTTCTCGAAATCGGCTTGACAGATACACTCTTCGTCACTCTTTTCTGGCCCCAGCGCCTAGGCCGTGGCGTATATCAATTATTGAGCGGGCCGCATCAAATTAAAGGACGCACTAAAGTGCATCTCGTCTAGTACCGTATCTTGATATTACGTACATCACGCTGGACTGCGGTGGAAATCCATAGAACTACCTATCAGCCTCTATGGCTCGTGTGCCCGTCCCTGAGAACTAACTAGGTGAACTCTAAAATTTGGTAAGAGCTACCTTGAGGCCTCAAAAAAGGGCATGTGACTATTACGAACAGTTTCTGTAATCTAACGTGGAAGTCATTTGGTGGCAGGTGCGAAGAGAACCTACATGTAACTTGATAAGACATGTTGGGATAATACGACCGACCCATGGTGGTCTGTATAAAGTCCTCGCGACTCTCATAGATGTTTTTTCCTGAAAGACATACACAAAGGACTTGATTTTTGTCAGCGCTTTCACTCCGGCCTCTGGGGTGATGCTGTGTCCCTGAATGTACTGTAGTAAACTGAAACATAGGATATATGACAGTAATATGCTTGGTTACTCCTGTCCCATAACGGATATACACTTTTCTCTATTGGCGATGCTTAAGCCACTTGGTGAATCTCTTTACAGCCCGCTGTCCCCTACTAAAATTGAGATCCGTGGCCTTCCGACTGCCAGGCAGTTCTTGCTGGTACATCTCCTCAGCCTTATTTAGCTTTCCCTGGTCAGAGTATAGAAGACCAAGGTTGTTGAATGCATCAAGAGTCGACGTGGGATCTGGACCAAGGGCCTTCTCCTTCCCTGCCAGTGCTCGCTGGTACATCTCCTCTGCCTTCTCTGGCTTCCCCTGCTTAGAGTAGAGATTTCCAAGGTTGTTGACTGTAACAAGGGTCGATGTGTGATCAGGGCCGAGGGCCCTCTCGTATCCTGCTAGAGCTCTCTGGTACATCTCTTCTGCCTCGTTCAGTTTCCCCTGATTATAGTAGAGAGCGCCAAGGTTGTTAAGTTCGTCGAGGGTCGACGTATGATCTAGACCGAGGGCCTTCTCACAGCCTACTAGAGCTCGCTGGTACATCTCCTCTGCCTCATTTAGCTTTCCCTGCTTAGAGTAGAGATTCCCAAGGTTGTTAACTGTATTGAGGGTAAACGTGTGACCTAGACCGAGGGCCTTCTCGTATCCTGCTAGAGCTCGCTGGTACATCTCCTCTGCCTCCATTAGCTTCCCCTGCTTAGTGTAGAGATTCCCAAGGTTGTTAACTGCATTGAGGGTAGACGTGTGGTCTAGACTGAGGGCCTTCTCACAGCCTGCTAGAGCTCGTTGGTACATCTTCTCTGCCTTATTCAGCTTCCCCTGATTGGAGTAGAGAGCACCAAGGTTGTTGATTGTATCGAGGGTAGACGTGTGATCTGGACCGAGGCCCTTCTCGTATCCTGATATTGCTCGTTGATACATCTCTTCTGCCTTATTCAGCTTCCCCTGATCATAGTAGAGAGAACCAAGGTTGTTGATTGTATTGAGAGTAGACGTATGATCTAGCCCGAGGGCCTTCTCATTGCCTGCTAGAGCTCGCTGGTACATCTCTTCAGCTTCCTTCAACTTCCCCTGGTCAGAGTAAAGAAGACCAAGGTTGTTGACTGTATCGAGCGTAGACGTATGATCTAGCCCGAGGGCCTTCTCCTTGCCTACTAGAGCTCGCTGGTACATCTCTTCAGCTTCCTTCAACTTCCCCTGATCTCTGTAGAGAGCACCAAGGTTGTTTATTGTATTGAGGGTTGACGTGTGACCTAGACCGAGAGCCTTCTCATATCCTGATATTGCTCGCTGGTACATCTCCTCTGCCTTCTTAAGCTTTTCCTGCTTAGAGTAGAGATTCCCAAGGCTGTTGAATATTTCGAGGGTCGACGTATGATCTAGACCAACGGCCTTCTCGGATCCTATAAGTGCTCGCTGGTACATCTCCTCTGCCTTCTTAAGCTTTCCCTGCTTAGAGTAGAGAGCACCAAGTTGGTGGACTGTGCTAAGGGTCGACGAATGATCTGGACCGAGAGCCTTCTTATATCCCGATAGTGCTCGCTGGTACATCTCCTCTGCCTTGTTTAGCTTTCCCTGATCATAGTAGAGAGCACCAAGGTTGTGGACTGTATTAAGAGTAGATGTGTGATCTGGACCGAGGGCCATCCCCTTCCCTGCCATAGCTCGCTGGTATATCTCCTCAGCTTCCTTCAACTTTCCCTGATGCCTGTAGAGATTTCCTAGACCATTCAAAGCCCCCTGTACTCTAGTATCTTCTCCTGACCAATCTGTATCAAGAATGCGATTGGCGTGCGGAATAAGCCGTCGCTGAAGCTCTGCCGAATTCTTCTCGCTCAAATTAGGCACAGTGTATCCAACAGAGATCAATGCCAGCTCATTTAGCCGAAGCGAAACCAGATATCTATCAGTGCTAGAGACGTGAAGGCACCAGTCTTGTACCACTGGATGCATTGTGTAGCTTTCCTTCTGTTGCTTGACTTCAAGAAGGGAGAATTCGATGAGAATGCTCACTCTGATCGAAAATGCAAGAAAGGTTGCAGCGCTTTCGTAAAGCCACAATGGGACGTCTGAGCCTTCGCAACCACTTTGAATTAATTCATACCAGGTGTCCTGATTGTCAAAGTGAGCAAGAAGCAACAGTAGCTGAGCTGCCTTTGAGTCCCGCTTTTGAATCTCGCGATATGATATCAGCCACGTCTGTAGCATGTTACCATGTTGATACTGGGGCCCAGATCTCGATTGCGACTGCAAGCTGGACCATGACTCTTGGTAAAGTTGCAAATACCTAGTGACACTGGTTCCAGTTTTACGTATGTAGGACCCGGCGATAACAATGGCCAACGGCAGCCCATCCAGACGACTGGCAAGGGTAAGGATTTCTATGGATATCAATATCATCAATGAAGTCAATATATATGTATATCAATTGCCCTCGTACCTGGGCTGTTCCTAAGCTCGCCGACAGTAGTATCCACTGATAGACGACTGCTTCGCAAGAGTAGTTGGATCGCATCCTTGGGGTTCAGCCTATGTATTGGAAAAGACTCCCCTAGCTCAGTCAATGATTCGAGCCGAGACGTGATAAGAATAGAGCCATGATCAGCTCCAGGGAAAAATTTCTGAACATCATACGCTTGACGAACAACACTATTAGCGGGAGAGTATTGATCGATGTTATCAAAAATGATTAGCCATCGCGAGTTCCCCTCCAATGCTAGCCACCGCAAAACATACGTAGATCGCTGCTCCGCTTCTTCGTCAATGATCGCATCGGCGTTTTGAGACTGGCCTGTTAGCCGTGGCAAATTTGAGCTTAGAGATTGCACAAGAGTGGCTCGATCCTTGCCATTCAACCAAAAGATAGCAGTGAAATCACGTTTGTGGTCTCGTGCGAAGCGAATTGCTAGCTGTGTCTTTCCCATCCCTCCAAGCCCATGAACAATGGCAACTTTCTGCTGTTCAGACCTAGATGGCTGTATAGACTGCCACAGCTGCTCTAGCTCTTCCTGCCGACCCATGAAGTTTGTTTCAATCACCGGCATATAGGTAAGGTCGAATGGTACGTCAAAGCGATGAACTATATCCCCAAATGACTAGTTAATAAGGAATTTGGGGAATGAAAATACCATAACCCGCCTACGGTCTTCGTACCTGATTTCCACTGCCTTTGGTTGGCGCGGGTAGTATGTTTCTATATATTTCAGCAAGGAACAGGCTCGCCACCAGTAATGCACATACGTGTAAAATAGTGGAGAATGACATCTCAGTCTTGTCTGCAAAACATCAGCTAATTGAATCACTTGGTTAACTGAAGTCTTCGAGATACACACTCTCTTTGAGTCTCATGTTCTCAATGCAGTCCCTCACCCGGAACTTCTGTGTTATGTGCGTGAGATAGCCCTCTGTTGCCGCCTCTATCGCCCCCTTCTTCTTGTACTCCTCAAGCCCAATCTCCTGTAGTCCCTGCTCGACATTCAACCGGAAGTACCGCTTCTCGTCGAATTGTTTTGCCCATCTCGCTATGAACCTTCTCTCGGTGTTCTCCGTCTCGGTTGCAATCTGCACTACTGTCTGCCCGAGGAACTTGAAAATATTGTCCTCGAACGGCTTCTTGCCTGGGTTACCTGTCCCGATCGATATGAAGCACTTCACGTGCGGCTTGAGATCTCCCGTCTCAGGGAACCATATGTTCGACGCCTCACCTTCCACTTCGTCCACTGGGTTGTTCGCGCCTAGTCCGCCATCAGCAAATGAGCGGTTTCCGATGCTGACGGGTTCAAAGAAGGTTGTGGCTGCAGATGTCGCAAGGGCAGCTTGACATATCGTCGTGCGGATCTTTGGCTCGTGAGAAAGGCTGTAGCTTCTGAGGCGAACAATGTCCTTTGTATGGCGGTCGGCAGTACAAACGAAACTGACAATGTTAGAGAAATCAACCCGGTCTGCAGTGCACTTACGTTTTGCATCCACGTGCTGCGGCATCATCAAATAGATCCTGCTTATCAGCACCACTGTCCTCAACAACCTTTAGGATCGCGCTTTCCAGCGTCGCCGAGTTGAACCGGGCTGTGATATTACCCTTGAAGTTGATAGGGACTGAGTGCAGCTTCTCGCTGAACACTGCTGCTGCAAGATCGCTGTATGCGTCAATGCACTGATCGACATCCATCTCGAGCCGGCCGAGCATGATCGCGATGAGACTTACTGATAGTTAGCATGTCAAATTCAAGGTGGCAGGCGCTTGGAAGTCCACTTGCCCCCCAGTGCTTGTTCCTCCGATAAGGTCAAACACTTCACACGGCTTCACGGGAGGGAGCTGGCTCTGCTCCCGCGCGTGGTTAAGTCGATCCATGATGCTCTTCAGGATGTAGAGTGATGAGAGGCCTCGCACACCCCCACCATCCAGGGACAGCAGGCACAAGCCCGTAGTGTCCAACGGGTTCGGCTCTCCGCCGTAAATGGTTGCTTCTTGCTGCATCGCCGAGTTCTCTCTTCAGTCTGAGGAGTCTGCTTTCAATATGATAAGCCCAAGGGCAAAAAGACAAACAGAAACGGTTACTGATTATCAGAAATGGGCTGTTCAGCTGAATAGACCTAAGCGGGGGTAAGTAAGGCGCCTTGTTAGGTCGATGGCTTTGCCGCCTGTGGCCAATGCACCTCACCCAAGATACACCACATCGCTTGGGGCCATTCTGCTCCACTCCCACTGACACTGGTTCACGCATATCCTTTAGGCAGATCTTCCATAAAGGCTAGAGCTGGTTTGCGGGGACCCACGCTTTGTCCATTGAATTCCAATTCCATTCAGGTCTCATACGCATCGCGTAATTTACATACGAAAATACAGTAACATACAAGTTGATGCGGCCCGCTAAATAATTGATCCGCGCCAAGGTCTTGGCAGTGGGACCAGAAAAGAGTGACGAAGAGTGTCTTTGTCAAGCCGATTTCGAGAACGACTATATAACTTAATGATGATGACTACATGTATACAGATTACGCCACCTTCCCGGGGCACAATCATCGTGACGTCAAGTTGGTACATCAACAATTTAAAAGCCAGCGGAATACATAAGAAATTGAAATGTGGTGAATAACTTTTCACAGAAAGAAACACTGGATGAAAATTAACATATCTGGCGCCCAGAATTATCAGAGTAACCTAATCCCGGCTGCAACATCCATCACATCAAACCGTATACATTGCCAACATGTCAACCTGCACAAGGAACTCCAGTGATACAAGTGGAATCCCAGGCGAACCACGAACAGTCAAGAGTCAAGTACTCGAAACAGGAGCTTCAATGGTCCAAGACTTTACGCCAGTGAAACAGATCTGCGCACACCTCAACGCCTTCCACGTCTATGCCAACGACCCAACTCGATGCGTTGAAGCAAACCATTACTGCACACATTTAACAGAAGGTATACCTCCTAACTACACGACACCATCCAAGCCCTATCTACTCTCCCCCCAATACCATAACCCATACTGATCCCAAACCCCAGATGTCCGCCAATGCCTTATTTACGACTCGTCCAAAACAAATGCCCGCCTAATCGGCATAGAATACATGGTCTCACCCCGAGTCTTCAAAACCCTTCCAGCAGATGAGCGCAAGCTGTGGCACACGCATGAATTTGAAGTGAAGAGCGGCATGCTGATAATGCCTGCGCCAGCTGGCGTTCCCACGTCTGTATGGGAGGCAGCCGAGACGGCTGAGATGCAAGATATTGCACCTATCTATGGAAAGACGTATCATTTTTGGCAGGTTGATCGTGGGGATATTGTACCCATGGGACCGCCGCAGTTGATGGGGAGTTTCACGTCGGAGGAAAGTGTGAAAGCTGCGAAACCTGGGGGGTTGGATGAGCTGCTCGGGGACCGGGATGGGTTGTATGGAGTTGATTACCGACAGAAGGCTAAGAAAAGAGAGGGGATTGAGGCTGTCGAGAAGCATGCTGGTATGTAAAATATCCTTCCTGGTTGGATAGGGTCGTTCTTAGGTGGTGACATTGTGCTGACCATTCACTTTAATAGATGCTGATACGATGTGTAAATCAACTTAGGAGTTGATCAATGTTTATGCGAGACAATAGGATTAAGTGAACATGAAAATAAATTGCATCGAAATGAATTGATATACAGAGATGTCTCCCCGCTACGCATGACTCAAAGACCCAGTCCCATAATGAAATGGGGTCAAATTGAGGCACACTGGGGGACAGCCAAAAGAAGATAGGCTGGTTATGTTCATCTTGCTTCATTGTCCACACTTGCTCGTCCTGGTGCTGAATTTCGACGACGGCAAGCTCTAGCATTTGGAGAAGCGGATTCCCGAAAGGGAGAGGAGAGGGGATAGTGGAACTATGTATGGAGAATGAGGGCAGGGGGTATAAAACTAAATAGACAGGCCAAGCAGCTGTCCATAAAGATGCTTGCGCAGAAAAGTCAAGACCAAGAAAACTCAGGTGCTCAGCCAGCGCCCATTGCATTAAATGGGCAGCTGGAATAGCTTGAATGATCCTAGAATCTCATAACTTGGCACAGTTGCAATACCTGCTACCTTAAAAGTGCAGGATGATATGTCGACAGTGGATGAGGAAGACAAGACGGGAGCGCAGCAAAATCGAGGTTTTTAAACGCCCCGCTGGGTCATGTGACCCAATCGCGGACCGACTGAAGCTCAATCTGAGGAAACCAACAAGCTCTCAATTGACCACACATGGAGCGCTTATTCCGAAGTACGCTGCGGAACGCGAATTTGCGCAGCATTGGCCGACTTGCGCTTAATGGTGCCGGAACCTTCTGCGGCTGCGCGCTGATCTGGGAGCACTTGATCACCATCCAGGCCAGCGCTGGTCCGTCCATGTACCCGACCTTCGACGTAAGAGGCGACTGGCTTCTGATCTCGCGGATACATCGAAACGGAAAAGGAATTGAGGTCGGCGACGTTGTGCGATTTGGGCATCCCAACTTCCAGGGCGTTCATGTTGCCAAGCGGGTTGTTGGTATGCCTGGAGACTTTGTTTGTCAGGATAAGGCGTTTAGTACAGAGGTCGGAATTGATCAAAATATGATCCAGGTAGGCTCCGTCTTGTGTCATGGGTACGTGGTTCGATTGCTGACTTGTATTTGTTGTGAAGATCCCCGAGGGCCATGTCTTTCTGGCCGGCGACAATCTTCCCTGGTCGAGGGATTCGAGAAACTACGGGCCGGTTCCTATGGGCTTGATTAATGGAAAGATTGTTGCGAGGGTATGGCCGCCTTCGAAGATGGAGTGGGTGCGTAATCCGTTGCAACCTGTGCAATTGGATTAGATCGGACCACGCGGCATCTATACTTTATGCCAATGGGTGTATTACTTGAGATTCTGTTAAGCGTATACATGGAGTTTGGTCGGAAGGGAATTGTGAAAGCAGTGTGCATATTCATACATATCAAATTGTACAATACAAATCTATACTCAATCGCCGATATGGGAAACAAAGTATACAAGGCAAGATTAGCGGAAAGACGAGGGGTTACGTCTCTTATATGGCAGAGGCTCGACCCGTGCGCGGCGCAGCTCCACGCTGGCACCGTCGAATCCGATCTCCTTCATGACCTCCAGGGTCGTGTCGTCCCATTGGGTACGGAACAGATGAGCACCAATGGCCTTGAGGTGGTAGCTGGCCTGGAGGGTGCGGAGAGTGACATCGCGGCTAGTCTCCTTGGTCTTGATGGCCTCGAAGTTGAGGGGGCGAGAGTTCTTCTGCTCCATGATGAAGACAGATAGACGGTGGTAGGGACTACCCTTCTGAGCAACAGGTGGCAGCCAGGGAAGAACTACCTGAGAGTCTTCCAAAAGCTGAGAGAGATCGACCTTGGTGGAGGTGGCCGAGATGGGCACGTTCACGGCGAGGAAGTGTGTCTTATAATCAAAGCTGTTGGTCTCAACGTTTGGGATATCCGGGTCAACAATTGCAATGGTGACAAGCTTTTCACCACCCTCGAAGAGTTGAATGTCCAATTTTGGTGCGCTTGTGCTGGCTCTGGCATCGACATATTCACCAGCCTGAACCTGGCGCTTGCCGAAGTACATCCTGGTGTCCACAACGGGGTCGCAGTGAGGCAAGACATCGGGAATGACCTTCATTTGGGTAATACGCTGGACAAGAATCTTGCGGCGATACTCACGCCATTTGCGGTCGGCCAAAAAGCGGTAGATGGGCTTGGACATGTCGCCTAAGATGGTAAGATGGTAAGTCTAGGCCCGAGCCATCCAATAAGTTGTCAGTCATACCTTCACCATCCTCGAAATTGCGCTTCACCAAAGGATCGTTAATATCGGCCAGGATCTTGAGGCGTTCCAGGTGTAATTGCATGGCCGTGACACGGGACTTCTTCGCCTTCTCTCCTCCGGCCTCTTCAACAGACAGAGCCTCCTGTCGTGCAAGGCGCTGTCTCATAGTCTCAATTTCCTTCAATTTCTCTTCGCGGTCGGCGAGGAGAACCTTCCGAGCTTCCTGGAAACATTGGTAAGGCAGTTGTTCGAAAGGAATGTTGGCGGAGTCCTGGAGCGCGGCACGTCGACGACGAGATCCAATAGGGGCGGTACCCTGTCGCAGCAAACGTCTCTCTAACCGGGGGCTCGTCACAAGAGAAGGATCAGGTGCCTTGTGGAAGGGTTGGCTTGGTGCTTCAGCTTCGGCTTCTTTGACGCTAGCAGTCGACTGGAAGGCTCGCGTCTGGAGTTGGGTTCCAGCAATGCCTCGCGAATAGGTGTTGCGAAGGCATTGGAGCAGGGGCTTCGAAGCCCGCTCGCAGTGAGCCATTATTTGAAGAATTGGGGGTTGAGATGGCGTTGGCCTTGAGGATCGGATGTTGTTGTCTCTCCGGGGTGACTTTTTCTGTTCGGACGCCAAGATTCTGCTCGTACCCACCGCCCGGGATCAACTTTTGCTCGTCCGTTCAAGACACCAGGCATCATCAATTTATAGGCGTTATCCACCGAACGGGTTCTACACAATGCCTAGTCACGATGTTTTTCGCTCGCTGCGGCTGCTTTCACGCAGCTCGGGCGGACTTATGTCCGGTCCGAAGCAAGTGACCGTGAGTGACTTCATGAATTGTTGATCTGTGTGCTAGACGCAGTTACTGACAAGCCACCCAATTTTGCAGCAGCGATGCCTCACACGGTCAATGGCAACAGAGGCCAAGCCCACGACACCCTTCGAAACACAAAATGCCACCGAGGCACCCCAAGCACAACGGCCTGGAGCCCAACTCCCTGTTCAAGTCGTGACCTACCGTTTCCCCGACATGAAGCCCGAAAGCATGATTCACTACTCGCGGAGACTCCTTCAAATGCCCATTCGTCATGATATTCTTCACCGCGCAGTCGTCTATGAGGGTGACGCAACCCGGCAAGGAACAGCCAGCACCAAGTGGAGGGACGATGTGCACGGTAGTCACAGGAAGCTGTATGCACAGAAGGGCTCCGGTCGTGCTCGTGCAGGCGACAAGCAATCGCCAGTTCGCCGCGGTGGTGGTGTAGCCCACGGACCCCATCCTCGCGATTTCTCGACCGATCTACCACGAAAGATCTACGCCCAAGCCTGGCGCATCGCCCTCAGCTACCGGCACGCACGCGGCGAATTGATTGTTGTCAATAACTCCATTACTCTTCCCGAAGGTGCCACCCCCTTTTTCGCCCGGAACTTCGCCAGAGCTCATGGCTGGGACCAGAAGAAGGGTCGGGTAACACTCATTACGCAGAAGGCGGATGAGAGATTGTTCCAAGCAGCTGAAAAGTTCCACAAGCACATCAAATGCATCGAACTTGAGGATGTGGATGTGAAGGATATGTTGGAGACGGGGAGAATCGTCATTGAGAAGGAAGCATTGCACAAGCTCTTGCGCGAGAACTCTACGGACCTGACCAAGGAGGACAGAATCTGGTCACCTTCACTAGACGGAAAGGAGATACTCGGGCTGGGCCGTCCTCGGGCTTGATTGCGTCTGTTATATTGTTTGCATTATCTAGCTATGTACAAATAGATCTATATTTTAACACTTTATTCCATAATTGCGCAGTCAAAACCCAATAATTCCATAGCATTTATAGAGAATCTTCATAGAATTTTAGTCCGATTCAGCGCACATAGCATAATTCAAATCCTTGACATCAAATCGCATCAAAAGGTGATGTCAAGCAGTGTCGGTTATGGGCGGAGAGTCGGAGCGGAAAGAAAATCCAGCGAAAAAAACTCCCGAGGTCAAGAAAGCGGAGAAACATCTGATTGTCACCATCATACCCCCTTCCCTGTATTCTTCCTTTTCTTCGTTCTAATGTTACTTCGACACTCTTTCTCCCGCCTACCCTCGCCGAGCTGGATCTCGCGCGTATCCCCAATGCCTCTACGCGCAAAGGTTACCAACCCTGCCTTCATGGCAACAGCTTCGGTATGCACTCCTCGGACCGAAAACTGACATCAGAGCTGATAATTGATAGATGTCGACGAATATTCCCAAAGAACTCCCCACAGATGAACCCGATGATGTTCTGTTCAATTCGATTTACGGCATCCGCAGCGTCGAGCTCAACCGCCCCAAGAAGCTCAATTCCCTGAACGGCTCCATGGCACGGAAGATCTTCCCCCGATTGAAGGAATGGGAGAAGTCGAACCTTGCGAACATGATTCTCATTTCTGGAGCTGGCGAGAAGGCCCTCTGTGCAGGCGGCGACGTTGCCGCTCTAGCTAAGCAGAACGCAGAGGGACTGGAGGGACAACATGCCTCGACAAGTTTCTTCGGACTCGAATATTGCCTCGACCACATGATTGCTACATACTCGAAGCCCGTTATCTCTTTTATGGATGGAATCACCATGGGTGGTGGTGTCGGCCTCAGCATGCACGCTCCTTTCCGTATTGCGACTGAGCGTACCGTCTTTGCCATGCCTGAGACAACTATCGGTTTCTTCCCTGACGTTGGTGGCTCGTTCTTCTTGCCACGCCTCGATGGTGAGACCGGAACCTATCTGGCCCTGACCTCGGAGCGCCTGAAGGGTGTACAGGCTCTGTACGCCGGAATTGCTACTCACTACCTGCACTCGAGTGTTCTCGCCAATGTGACCCAGCGTCTCTCTGAGCTGACCTTCCCCGACCACGTCGAGCTCCCCGAACGCCTGCATACCGTGAACAAGACCATGGCAGAGTTTTCCCTTGGACTTCCTCCTCTTGAGGAGGAGCCTATGCTCATGGCTGGTAGCCTGCGCACTGCCATTGACCGCTGCTTCGCCTTCAACTCCGTCGAGGAAATCTTCCAGGCTTTGGAGCAGGAGACTGGGCACAAGGAGTGGGCTCAGAAGACATTGGAGACCCTCTCGAGCCGCTCACCCACTTCCCTGAAAGTTACACTTCGCCAGCTGCGCCTCGGCAAGAAGTGGAGCATCTCAGAGACCTTCCAGCGTGAACACGCGATCTCTGCCCACTTCATGCGTCACCCTGACTTTGTCGAGGGTGTCAACGCCCGTCTTGTGTCAAAGCCTCCCCGCCAGGCTGAGTGGCAACCTGCTACTCTTAAGGAGGTCACGGACGAGGCCGTGGAAGAGTTCTTCAAGATCCCCGAGGGTGAGGAGCGCCTATCCCTCTTCAGCACCGGTGACTACAAGAGCTACCCCCATGCTCACTTCGCCCTTCCCTCCGAGAAGGAGATTGAGGCTGTTGTGCGTCAAGGACATGCATCACGGAGACCTGTGGTGGACCACTTCCTCGAGAAGTACGCTCACCGTGAGGGTGTCCGCCGAAAGGTCGTCGAGGTGATTGCCCGGAAGACGTCAAAGACTGCCGAGGGAGGACTCAAGTGGAACTAAGAGGGATACTATCTATCTGTAATTTTTTATTGTTCTGTATTAGAATCGAATATTGAACCTATATACCACATGCCATTACCCCATTCTCATACCAATCATCTTCTGTAGCAGTATAACTGTAAATGTTCCTCTAAACGATCATAAAACAGATAGACAATGTTCATATGAATATGTCGCTGTATATACGGCTTTCAGGCAGTAGCCGCGACTTGCCCAACTAGGGTGCCGCCGCTTGTTAAGGGCTCTTAGGGCAAGCTCTTAGGCGTCTGGTTACCTATGTCGAGAAAGGTGGTGTCGTGGAGACGCACAAAGACGTTCCAGATGAAGTCCGGGATGACCTATACACGGAGGATCAGCAGAAGCAAGAGAAAGAAAAGCGCAAAGGCGGTAACATTCTCGGTGGTGAAACGCCATATCTGCCTATCAACATCAATGTTCACCTGTCACACTCTCCCGGATTGGCCACAACGGCTCTGGCTGTTGATTTAGCGGGGTTGAAAGATGTGGTTTTATTCAAGATTCGGGTTCAAAGACGTAGCTGTCAAAGAATACGGTGAGTGGCTTGCCTTAAACGTATCCAATGTGACTCTCAAGGCTGGAATCCGACAAGCGTGCGATATAACACTGTTAGATGGCTTTGAACTTGAGCATATCTATAGGGATCGAAATCTAGAATTCTTCGTTAGCAAGGGAACCAAGCCGGCATTGCCCGGAGTTTCGTAGAGAATATTCGTGACTGGACTAAGAACGTTAAGGAATACCCGTTATTGAATTGGTATAGATAAACATTTTGGCGTTGGGTATTGGCATTTTGGGGTACGAGTTGGATATATTTGTTGTATTAGATAACGCGGCCCTACTTCGTAGATACGCGATCTATTTGCTTTATTCATCCATTAATCTTGATAGTTACCTAGCAAATCAAGTGTCCCTTCTATGGTAAGGCGACTAGCCGATAAAAATCGCATTAACCCTTGGATCACATAAAATAGAGGTTCGAATGTTAGATTGGGTACTAAATCAGCAAACTTCCGTTCAAGCTTCGATGTTTCATGATCCTCGAGCAAAATTAGCAACCATTCTGCATATAGATCAGTTTGATTACCTTCTTCTACTTCTAGATTATGGCTAGACCTCATTAGCCTTGATTCCCATTTAGACTCCTATTCAGCTAGTAACTCCTCCACAAAGCCAATCATTTGAAAAAGTAAAACTTCATCCTCGCCAGGATACTAGAATGGCCAGGTCGTGAATTAGAAGAAATAAATCTATAGTTTATATCGCCGTATGTATAATTTCCTTCAAAGATATGATATATTTACTTACCGTACAACCTATACGCAAAAAGTCGACGCGATAATTAAAGTAGTCGGTGAAAATCCTCTCTAGTACCCTCAGTGATCCCGGCTAGACTAGCTTCTGAGGTTCCTATCCTGAATAAAAACTCTCCCCAAAACCAAGAAGCCTAATATCTTCGTCGTCCTCTTCTATCCACTTGGTCCATTCTACTGCTTTGATCAGTTGGACCGGCAATCTATTCCCTACAGGAGTGCCATCCATTCGTTTTAGCGGGCTCAATCTCCGGGAAACCGAGAACATCAAAAAGCTGTTCCTTGGGACAAATAAGTGCAACTAAATGCAATATTCCGACCACTAATGTCTAATAAGAAGTGAATAAAATAGCGCTAACCACAGAAAATAACTGTAGAGGGGGAAGCAACCTCACCTCTGTGGCATATGGCAGCACTAAATAGATTTGATAGCTTTCAAAAGCTGCATAGGAATCCGGAGAACGGTTTCCGGGTGGAGCTTGTCGTGGCTCTCATAGTAGTCCGAGAGGACCTTATCAATTGAAGGACAAAGTAATTCCAATACAAGACATTGGTGGACCCCGTTAGGGCCTTTGTGAGAGAAGGCATCAAGCAGCTGAACAACATAGTCTGAGGAAAGCCCTATTCGAGAGTGCTTCTCTTAAAAATTCAAGTTTTGCAGCTCTCGCGATATCGACGAATTTGCGGTCATGATTTTCAAGGAGACCCATTGATTTCGACTGGCGTGAAATTAGCTATGAATGAGCAAAAGTTGGTGTTGTACAAACTGACTCTCTGTCTTTCGCAAGCCATACCGTGGAAAAGCCGCCATCTCCTAAGTTGTGATGTATCTTGTAACGGTATTTTCAACTGTATCTCCGAGGTGGACTGGATGGTATCCTCCATCTTCTATTCTTTCTGCGCCCCACTGCCAAGACGCTAGCTTAAGAAATGGTAGATCTAAATGGACCGGTGTACATTACGTCAAGAGCATGCTGCTCTCTATACTGATGAATGTCTCAACAGAAATAAGATTCACTGGACGAATTCTTCCCCACCCCTCAAATATGGCAACAAAACATAACTGTTCTTTCACCATTCAGAGTTCCCTTTTGGGTCTACCGACCCTCTACAAAACCACTTGAATAGGGACGCTTTCCAGAGTGAATATGACAGTACTGCTTCAAAGCTCGTTGTACTTATTCAGGAGCACTTAATTACAGCCAGTGTGAAAGATACTCGCGATCCCTGAGAAGGGCACGCGATGTTGGGAACTTTAAACGAAATGGCCATATTGATTTAGTCAAGTGGGCGCGTCAACTTAGCCCCCAGATTACATAGTTCCGGTAACTCCGCCACTAACGGAGATAAACTGTGCAGTGATCCACCGGCTCTTTTCTGATACTAGCAGAAGCGTAGCATCAGCCAGATCCTCCACTGACCCGAGGCGATTCGCAGCTCGCGTCTGTTCATACATAGAAAGCTGAAGCGCAGTTGGAGACCCGTCAGGGGCCACCAGATACGCTTCCGACATATCTGTTGGAACTGGACCGGGTGCGAGTGTATTGACGGTAATCCCACGGCTCTTGCCAAGCTGTCCCGCATTTCGTTAGATGCTTGTCGAGCGTATAGAGTGGTAAAACACGAAAGAAAGCTTACCTCGCCAGCCCACAACGTTGTCAGGGCATCCATTGCAGCCTTTGTCGCACCATATACAGGGCTTGGGACCAAAAGTTTCGAGGCGATGGAGCCGATGTTGACGATGCGGCCGCCTTGCGGCATTCGACCTACGCCAACAACAGCTTGTGTCATGTAAACCACGCCGAAGACGTTGACGGCGAATTCGTATTCGAGCTGCTCTTCTTTAACCTCCAAGAGAGGTGTGTTGCGTGCAGCCGCTGCGTTGTTGACTAGAACAAATAGTCAATCAGTCTTGTCCAACTGCTCGGAAAGAACATCACGCCGACCATGACATACCGAGGATATCGATGTGATCGACGCTAAATGCTTTCAGAATTTGCTCAACCATGTTCTTCGCAGTCTCGTAATTTTCCACTCCTCCTTGTACGACGGTGGTTTTGGTGCCAAACTCTTTATTGATGCCAATCGCTACCTTCTCAGCCCGCGCCTTGGAGCCTTCCGACACATAATGAATTGCTACAGACGCGCCGTTCCGGGCCAAAGCTCTGGCAATAGCGGCACCGATGCCAGTCTCTCTGCCAGAACCTGTAACCAAAGCAGTCTTTCCTGCAAGTGAGAGTGTGTCGGTCGACATATCTAGAAAATGAGCAAAGAAAGCTATCGAAGCAAAGGGCCACACGGCTAGTTCTGAACTCGGACTGGCAAGAAGCCATGGTTTATATAAACGAGAGATTATAAATCATCAAGTTATAAAAGGCCGGGAAAGCAAGATTGTTCTGTCTACGAGGCCCCCGCTCCTGTTGCTCATGAATATCACGGGCAGGATTGTCGCCGCCCCGAATCGTTTGACTAATGCCCGCATTGAAAGTCAAGGGGGTCCTATAGAGTAAGGTCACGTGCCTCAGGTCCCATGAGTTCGCTACGCTCCGCAATTATTAAACCCCCCACTCTAAGCAAGCTTTGTTTGCATTATAGTTTGTGTTGTTTGTGTTGATGACCAGGGACCAATGGTTCGCTTCGCTCCGCTATTATTAATCCCCCCGCTCTAAACAAGGTTTGTTTGCAGCATAGTTTGTGCTGTTTGTGTTGATGACCAAGGACCAATCAACGTCTCGAGGTCCAGGCGGGCTGGCTGCATAGTCCATACCCAGGTGGTTTGTGTTGATAACCAAGGCCTACCAAACGCTGATGAAAATCACAATAGAGAATTAACTATCCAGCTTACCAAGCGTTTCGGTCTTCTCGGGTGCCGAGCTGAATAATTTATGTCCTGATGTTCCCGCCACTGGAGTATACCGATACATTTAAGCAGACCAACCCTCGATCCTTGTAGTCTCTGTATGGAACTCTCTCCCTCCCAATCAATCAAGCCTTCATACACTCGCCATGTCTCTCAAACCCCTCACTCTCTGGACCCTCCGGGGCCACGTCGGTACGCCCAACCCCTGGAAGGTCCTCATGATCCTGGAAGAGCTCAAGGTTCCCTACGAGCTCAAGTTGGTCGATCTCGACGACCTAAAGAAGGAACCATACGAGTCTATCAATCCTAACGGTCGTGTTCCCGCCCTCGAGGATCCGAACACCGGCATCACCATCTGGGAATCCGGCGCCATCCTCGAGTACCTGGTGGACACATACGACAAGCAACACACCATCAGCTTCACCGCCGGCTCGAAAGAGTACTACGAAAGCAAGCAGTGGCTACACTACCAGGTGTCCGGCCAGGGACCGTACTTCGGGCAGGCCGCCTGGTTTACGGTCTACCACCCCGAGAAGGTGCCCAGTGCCGTCGAGCGCTATGTTAGCGAGATCCGTCGTCTTTCGGGCGTGCTCAACCGATCACTCCAGAACAAGGAGTACCTCATTGGCGCTCAGTACAGCTATGTCGATGCTGCTTTTGTGCCGTGGTTCGAGGTGGCTGCGCTCTTCTGGTCAAAGGAAATGGATCTCGAGAAGAACTTCCCGCATGTTAATTCCTGGTTGAACCGTATCAAGGCTCGCCCGGCTATTGCCAAGACCATTGATGATAAGGCGAAGGCCGCGGCTGCGGAAGGGAAATAAAGCAATGTGATGGGAGATAAAACTCCTAGATAGTACGCGAAGGTTTATTGATTGAATCCAAATACATGTATCTTCTATATCTAGATCTACCCATCTCTTAAGCTAGCGTCTTGGCAGTGGGGCGCAAAAAGAATGGAGGAGTGCAAATTGGTGAAGCTGGCTTTGCACTTCTCTGTATGATTCATGACAGAAGCGAAGTTGTTTTTGATCAGGCACCCGACTACTGGCCGCACATAAGCCATATGTCAGTCAGAAATTACTTGAGTGAGCCCACACTATGGAAATTCGCATTTGCTAGATACCAGAATAGGAAATTGTTGGCAGGATCGCGCGACCGAGGGCACAGTACATACATAGCTTCATTGGTATTCGTGAGCTGGCTATAACAATTTGTGGGATATCAATAGTAGTACAATTGACGCGGGGTGGACCACTCGCCCGTGTGAACCACTCGCCCGTGTGAACCACTCGCCCGTGTGAACCACTCGATGGTGGAATACGTTAGTGCAGGTTCCGCAAAGGTCCTCAGCCCACCCGCAACACCGCAGATCCGCCTAAACTTCAACTTATCTACACCCCAACGGCAGTTCTAACCACCCAACCCGCATGTATAACCAGCACATACATCAAAATGGATCAAGAAATCAGGTCACCAGGATCAATTCGATCCTCATCGGAAAGCAATAACATCGAACACCCACTCCTACCAACCTCAGAACCAAGTCCACATCTAAATGCGTCTCCAGCACCAGAAGCCCGCTCTGTCCTAACACGCCTGTATACCTCACACACGCTATCAGCATGGAACTCACGCATGTTCGAGTTTGGCGCCGTACTATTTCTTGCTTCGATATTCCCGGGTACGTTGCTCTATGCGTCGATATATGCTTTGGTTCGGGCTTGGTCGGCTGTTGCGCTTTCATCTTGGCTTGGTGCGTGGGTTGATCGGTCTGATCGGCTTGTTGCTTTGAGATACTCTATTGGTACGTATTCATCTTTTTAGTTTCAATTCATGTTCTGGTGGAACGAGGTTGCTAATTGAGTTGTTAGTTTGGCAACGAATTCCGGTTGCTGTGTCATGTCTGTGCTTTGTGCTTCTTTTGAATACGAAGACTTGGACGATGAGTCTTCTTCTGTTTGCCGTCCAGGGGCTGTTGGCCTGCGTAGAGAAATTAGCGGCTACGGCTAATGCGGTGGCCGTGGAGCGGGACTGGGTATGTTCTCGAGACTTGAGCTGTACTTTCTCAATACTCGATATGTGAAACAAGCCCACTAATGCACCCTAGGCAATCGTGATATCGGATAGCATCAATGTGCCTCGACAAGGTGAGAACTCTTAGTCAATAGCTAAAAAAAAACAAGTAATATCTCACAACAACAGATTTGAACGCCTCAATGCGACGAATTGACCTCTTCTGCAAACTCCTAGCTCCAGTCTTCATCTCCTTGGTCGACAATTTCTCATCAAAATATGCCATCTGGACAGTATTCGGTCTGAACACCGCATCCGTGGCCATCGAATACATGGCAATCGCCCAAGTCTACCAAGCAGTGCCAGCCCTGAACAAGCACATCCTAGCCTCTCCCACCCAAGAGTCTGATGAAGCAAATGATGAGCACGCCGACTATAATACCACCAACCCATCTACTGTTCTACCCCAATCCCCTTGGAAAAAATACACAACAAGCCCAGTCTTCCTTCCCTCCTTCGCCTTAAGCCTCCTCTACCTAACAGTCCTCTCTTTCGGCGCTACAATGGTGACATATCTCCTACATACGGGCTTCAGCTCATTGCAGGTTAGTTATATGCGCATTGGCTCAGTGGCGGCTGAATTGTCTGGTACATGGATGGCCCCAATGATCATGAACAAAATCGGTCCTATACGGTCTGGACTCTGGTTCTTGAATTGGCAGTTCGTTTGTGTCGCTGCTGCCGCTGCTGCTTTTGTGGGGTGGAATTCTGATTCTATGGTCGTTGCTGGGACGCTCATTGTTGGTGTTGCTATGAGTCGGGTTGGGCTCTGGGGGTTTGATTTGTCGGTTCAATTCCTTGTTCAGGAGGTGGGTTTCCGGGTCCATGATCTTGGTGTGGCCAAATATATACTAACTGCCGCTTACACTTCCAGAATATTGAAGAACAAGCTCGCGCTCGGTTCTCTGCTACGGAGATGGCGTTGCAGAATGTTTTCGAGATGCTTTCTTTCGCTTCGACCATTGCATTCCCGCTCCCTCGGCAATTCCGATATCCAGTGCTAATCAGCTCCGGTGCTGTAGCTATAGCGGCTATCTGCTTTGCGGCCTATGTCCGCAAAGAACGAGGTCATCTGTTGCACCGATCGAAGTGTATGGGAGGGGACAAGGTCATATATCGAGCACTTGGATCAGGGACGGTCTAAAAAGAACCCCTCGATATCTTCCTATCATAAAATTAATGCCCATGCATAATACCTAAGTAAATCTAATAAAGAGAAAGCCATCGTCATAACATCACATGAAAGCAAAAGAGCCGCTAATGATGATGCGCACACCACCACAAAGCAATTAAAAATTATATGCACAACCAAACCTATATCTCGAACCCAAACATTCAATTTCGATTCAAATAACAACAAAGAAATCAGAAAACAACTCCCTTCTCACACACTTCGAATCAGCCCACGTCCTCGAAGCATCCTGCCGCCTCGTCATCTCCTCAAGCAATAAGAGAACCTTATCAGCAGCCGGATGGCGGCTCAGCGAAGAAACAGCCTCAGTCTCCTGAACAGACGCCATGCGATGCATCTCCTGAACAATCCACTGCCGCTGATCATTCGTCCCTTCCAAACCAGCCACAAACAACGGCCACATAAAACTAACCGGAAGATGGCCTGGCCCTGCCGATTCAACAGTAGCAAGCTGAATAATCTGATCAACGGCACCATTGACACGGTCTGTACGTGGATAGATAGCGAACGCCACGCGGTGCAGGTAAATAAAGTTCGCCAGGAAACTGGCAACATACTGCCGGAACGTGCGGCAGACTTCCAGCGCGACAGGCGCGCATAGCATATCAGCCAGTGCTTCAGGATGACCATAGACGTCTATTACAGCGGGGCGTTTGTGCCATAATGTTTCGAGGTCAGCGCCTACTCTGTGTGCTATTTGGAGGACTTCGAATTCGTCGCTAAGGGTTCCGCGGCTGCGGTGGTGGAGATCTATGCAGACTATTCTTCGGACGATTTGTTGGGCTTGGAGGAAGAATTGGAAGGCGGGGCCTACGATTGATTCGTAGACTAGGTAGCTTGGGCTGCGGAAGGGGTCTTCGTTGTTTTCATCTTCTGTTGGGTCGTCATTTGGGGTTGCTGTGCGTGGTGTTGGAAATTTTTGGGATTCTATTGCCTTTATTGGTATGCCGTGTTCTGACAGGTTTCCTAGTTCTGTCAGAGGGTCGCCTTCACGGCCTGCTATCAGGGATTTCACATCTAGGAGGGACACCCATGAGACTAGGAGGTGGCCTAGGCCTGTCCATGTTTGTGTGCGGTCGTGGAAGCGTTGGAGGATGAGGTAGCCGGATTTGAGAAATGAGGTCCCGGCGCATATTTCGTGAGACGAGAGAAGCTGGGACAGAGGTGAGCTGAGATAGTTCAGCTTCAGAATTGAGCGGGTCATACCTCGGATAACATTAAGAGAAAAATAGTCGCATAGACCTTCACAAGCGTGGACTCGGTCACATCACCAAGAAGACAAGCTTGAATCATAGAGCTGGAGACTTTGTAATACGTAGGCGCCCAGCGCCACCGTTTCCCATCCACCATCGCTTTATGAATATCAGTGTAACAATATAAAGCATTCAAAAGCGGACCATAGCTCCGCGCATGAGATAACAACGCCGGCCGTACATACTTCCACTCCATATTGAGTGGTCCAAACGGAGCAGCCGGCGGACCAACAGCCAAGAAGTGCTGTATAAGCTGATCCTCATACGAAGTACCACCTGCATCAGACCAGCTTCCACGCGGGGTAGCTCGATCAGAGCCACTACCAATAGACGTCTCATCCAGAACCGAAGAAGGCGCATCTGGACTGATGGGTGTGTGGCGGTCCGCAAATTGGCTCTCCATATTCGGTAGCACACCGGGAAGCGACTGCGACGGGCTAGCGGTGAAAGTAGCATCAAGGCCAGTCGTTAAATCGAGGTGTTTTTGTTCCAACTCTGAGGTGATCCCGCCCATAAATCCAAGCATATCGAATTCGGAGGGGTATGGGTCCCCCGCGGGGAGATGTCGGAGGCTCGGTATCGAGTGATCATCGGACCGGAGGACTGTGTTGAAGAAGTTGATGTCGGGCGAGCGCGACGCAGATGCAGATGCAGCTGTGCCTGGATGTGCTGGGCCAGGTGGGCTGGTTGGCACTGGGAGTGTCGCAGGGTTCGGCCCATTGGAGCGAGATGGGGATGACCCCCACCCGAGCGCGATGGGGGGTTTGTAGACGCATCTTAGTCGTAGTCGATCGCAGTTCGAGCAGCTCGGCTTGGATTCGTCGCAGCGCACTTTGCGCGCTCTACACGTCAGGCAACCTGTTCGTCGGCGCGGTCCTGATCTGCCCGCGCCCCGGGCTTTTGGCACCTGGAAGCTGTTAGTTAGAGGTTGCTTTGACAGGGTAGTTTGCCTTACCTCCATGATGCAACAGTTCTATAGAGACGAACATGAAGCCTGAGAACGTATCGGAGGTGGCTGATTTCCCCGCAATGGCAATTGTGGAGTTCGATGACGAGATTGTGTTTTGTTAAGCTATTAAGTCTGTTAGGGCTGCATTGTATATCTGCCATACAATATATGATATGTATACTATTGTGTACTATGTTATATCTACGATCTGCACATAGCACAGACTTCAGGTACATGCGGCTCCGAACCCCTGATTTTGTATGACTTTGCAACGTGGGGAATCATATCAACACTCTTTTGTATACTATGATCGCGACAGTGTTTCTCTAAATAAGACTAGATTTATTCATTATTTTAGGGTTCTCTTTTCTACCGGGGCTCTGCGATCTATGGCTGGATGGATAAATTTCTTTTACTTCAAGTAAACAACGTCATACCACTACCTCTGTGTGTCTTGCGTAGCATATGTATATCTACCACAAACATTGCACATGTAACTGCGTCCATGACTTTATACCTGTAGGATGACCTTATAGGCACAAGTTATGTAGCTGATAGCTTTTAATGTTCACTATTCTTCGTGTCCTACCTTTCTTTGCCCTCCTGCCTGAGGCAGATATATTGATGCCTTGATGCCTGGTACAGAAGCCGCCTGTTTGCTCAGGGTCGAACATCCCGGGTCATCCGCGGGAGCTCCGCGGAAGCTTTCTGTCTACGGTTAGCCTACCCGATTTGAGCCTCTCGAGTATCCACGGTATATACTCCCAGGTACCAAAACTTTCAAGATATAAAATCGAGGATCCGTCTCGATAAATACTAGTCACAGACCCAATTTCCAAAATTCATTCTTCAAGAGAAACATAACCATACCACTATGTCTAACAAAATCGCCCTGGTCGTCTGCAGCACCAGAGAACCCCGGCTAAACCCCTTCATCGCTCGCTACGTTCTCGAAATCATCTCGCGCCAAAACTGCGAGGAAACTCTCGAAATCGTTGATATCAGCGACCAAGGTCTCCCTCTATACAATGAACCTGCCATTCCATCATTCCTCCCGGAGGCTGATCCCACTCCCCATTATGTCCACCAACACACGCAAGCTTGGTCCGCCATGGTTCGACAGTATAGTGCGTTCATTTTTATTACGCCTCAATACAACTGGAGTATTCCTGCTAGTTTGAAGAATGCCTTGGATTATTTGTACTATGAATGGAAAGGGAAGCCTGCTGCGATTGTGACCTATGGAGGGAGAGGAGGTGGGAAGGCAGCTGATCATTTGAGTGGCATTCTTCAGGGGTTGCATATGAATGCTGTCTCAACCGCTCCTGGACTTGTTGTGAAGATGTCAACTATGGAGTCTGTGGAGGGAGATCAGATTGGCACTGAAGATAAGGGGAGGTGGAGGGAAAGTGGTGCCGAGGAGCAAATCTCTTCCGTATTTTCGGAGCTGCTGGAGAAACTTCGTAGTGATTAGCATACCATCAGCCAATATTATTGGATTCGGTTTTATAGGATGAGTGACTGGAATTTTCATTCTGATTCATTTTTAAATCGCAATAAGCAACAAATGGTCCACTTAACATACGGAAATATTTTCAGAAACAAGAAAGAACTTGAACTTAAAGCATAATGTGACCCTGGATATAAAACATACTCACCTATTTCCGCCATATTAAAAATGAAACCAGTCAACCATCAGCCATCTCATTCATCTTTGTCTGTACAAATTGCTCCATGCCATTTCTTTCCTCTTCTGTCAACAAAGCAATGCGATCTTCCATACTCCCCTCTCCAAAGAACCTCCGATCAATCCGAGCCCAATAGACCAAATCAAACGCCCAACTCCGCCTAGCCGCATAACTAACCCAGAAATCCCCATTCTCCCAACTCTCCCGCATCAACCCAGACAGTCGATTCTCCTCTCCGATCGAGCCACGTGCAATGTCAGCATCCTCCCGCATGACCAGCTCTTCTAGCCAGACCTCCAGCCGCTGCCCATAGACTCGCGTCCAATCGTTCAATCCTAGATCCCAGTACTCTGGCCGTTCAAGGAGTAACCAACATGGCGGGGCATAGACAAAGTCCGCAGGCGCAGCATATGAAAACTCCCAATCAATCGCACCACAAATTTTATACTCCATTCTGGAGTCGGCGAGCACATTTGCAGGTCGGAGATCATCACAGTATAACTTGAATGGACCATTGTCAAAGCGACACAGTCGTTTCTCTCGTGCAAGTTTCCGAAATAGGCAGCGTGCAATGTATTTCGTTCGACAATCCTCTGCCGAGTCGACGGCGTCGTGTTTCTGTGATGATAGATGTGCCATGTGCAGGTCAGCCAGAGCAAGAAAATATTCCGATCCGTTTGTAAATGTCCGTTGAGGTAAGTCTTCCCGTGAAACACCGCCCACCTGAACGAGTTCGTTCATATTGATGCTGAGCGGCCGGTGTTTGACAACCCATTCATGATCGAGTTCGTCGTTCTCGTTATTGGAAATGCATCCGATGGCATTAAATGAACACTTTGCAACTTGTAACATCAATCCTGCCATATCACTGTATACAGATCGAAGCCTGGAAGGTGCAATATCCGGATCGAGAATTGGGCGATCTTCAATAAGGAGTCCAGATTTATTCAGCGCATCCACCAAATCAGCATTATTCTCAATGTACTCCATGATAATAAACGGGCCGAGTTGGCCAGGACTCTGGTCGGTCATGCCATAATGCAAGATATGCGGGACGCGAATGTCAGTGTGTCGTTCAAGAAAGCGCATGAATGAAACTTCGCGCTGGACTTTTTCTTCGGGGAAGACCGAGTACCCTGGTATTGGGAGACGGATGATGGTAGATGCCCCGTTGAGGAAGCGGAGGCGGATGACCATGTTGAAAGAGCCCTTTTGCGGCGGAAAGAGCCGGTCTGCGATGCCTGTGCGGTGACGCTGTATGAGAGCTGTCATCTCTTTTATGGCGGCTTGGTTGAAGAGTTTGCTTTTCCAGGATGCTAGGAGTTCATCCGCTTTGTCCCAGAGAACTTCGTCAAAGAACATAAGCTTGCCCTTGTAGATTGGTGGCAGAGGGGTTGGCCGCATTTTTATGGGATGAAAGGGAAGGAGAAACGAGAGCTCGTGTACCCGAGGAGCAAAGATACGGCCGGCTACATGAAAATTTCAAGTTGTTGCCTGGATAAATGCCCGAGTGCTGAGGTGTTGATTTTAAGCTTAGCTTTAGTCTAGTGGGGCCGTGAGGGAGGGGCATTGTGTGCATGTATGTTTTTGGAATTAACCTGCTGTATACCCTGAGTATACATGATTTTGATCATGGTTCTGCTTTCTACTGCTCTGACTTGCCTTCGGGATCTGATTAAGTTTTTTGGTTTTTTTTTTTCTTAAAGAAAAAGTCTCGTGAATATATAAATTGACTTATCCGGAATTCAGCTACCCAATAGTCCACATCAATAAGTTTCGATTCGTACCCAGGAAGTCTTTGAACCCAGTTGGCTTTATCCCAAACTGCGACTCCAGTTACCGCGGCCGAAACCTATTCTGCCGCTCCCAGAACTACAGTTGAGCGTCGAGGTGGGGATTCAAAGATGCCCAGCGCTCCGCCAAATCGCGAGGAACATGCTCAACCAAATTTCGCTTCCGCTGACCTCAGTAATAACACTGGCATCCTGCGTTACTGTCAGAGCCTCACACCCAATATCCACAGCAAGACCCGAGAACCGCTCCGGATTTATGAACACAGCAGCGGCAAAGCGACCGATATCATTAGGGTCAATGAGCATAGTCCTCTTCTCGGACCCCATGGCAGTGCGAAGAGGAAGGGACCTTTCCAGCTCGGGAAAGTAGCCATTTACACTAGGAAGCTGATAATTTGTCATAAAGACAGGAGGACGGAGGATTGTGCAGTGTTCAAAACCAGCTGAACGCACGAGGTCCTCGATCGCAGCCTAGCTTCCGGGAAACTTGCGCGCTGGTCAACGGCACAAACGCTGGTGTAGACAAGTGTCTTAATGGTGCCAGATGCTTGGACTGCGCGCACAATGTTGGTCGCTTGGTGCAGCTCGGCGCTGTCGCCTCTGAAAGAGGGCGAGACGTTCAAAATGGCTGCTGTTTATTTCTACAGGCAGCTTGAAGTTTCTCAGGTTGATCAAAGCTGCCTTCGAGTAGGATGGCGCGTTGACGCTGTAGGTTTAGAGCGGCGGCCCTGGTCGGCGCCCGAACCAGGGCATGGACGCGTAGCCCGAGTGATAAAAGATGACGAGCTGTTGCTCCACCTTGTTGACCTGTAGCACCAGTAAAAATGATGGTAGGAGACACAATGGCTTTCGAGAAGTGTTACTTGTTGCCCCAAAGTGGTAACTCGTACGCATCTGCGGTTACGCTTTTAAGACAGCCCAAGTACAAGTATTCAAGGGATAAAATGCATGAAATATCATATTATGTAGAAATGGAACAACATCAGGAACCCAACCAATCTCTTCTATAGCCCATCTGATCCACAGCCGATGTTCTCCACCACCCAGACGGCTATAAATCCCCCTAATCAAATGAACCGCCCACCCTTCTATCCACCAATATTTCTCCAGATCCTTCACCAGCACTGCATAGAAAGCAAGCACACCCAATGACCCATCATCTCCAGTCTTCAAAAGCCTCAGATATGCATCACTAATCTTAAAAAGCCATTCATAGAACCCGCGCAATTTATCCTGATCCTTGAAGTTTCCACCATAGAAGAATGTATAACTCCGAGTCAATGCCACAACCGTCTCTTGCAAAGTCAATTGCCGTTCTCGATCATCTGGGGTCTCCGCACATATTGTATCCTTCAGCTCCGTGAGAACCGGGTATTGTTCAGGGGTATGAGTCTTCCAGTAATCTAAGCTTCCCCATGTACTTCGAAATATCAAAGACACAGGCGAAGAAAATACAGAGGCTTCGGCCATTACGACTGTATCGATCCCTCGCATCAGGTATAACCATTCGGGGATGACACCGCTACCGAAGATCAGCGCATCGTCTTCTTGAATCGGTCGCGCCAGACTGTAGTAGAGTGTCAAGACCCCGAAGACAAAGAGGGGTGTACAGTTTTGTGGCTTTACCAAGAAGATCAGTGGCAAAGCCTTGGATAGAGATGCCGAGTGTCGCTCAATGGCATAAGCGAGGAGAGCATGTCTTCGCCCGGTATTGTAGCGCGCGATATGGAGAGCCGCAAGGGCGAGGACCCCGTCCAGTATGTGATCTGTGGTAAAACCCATCTGGGGAATTGTGACCCGCCATAGTTCTCGGATCTGAGTATCAGGAGATAATGTGGCGAAGGTGGAAACTGTGAAGTGGTGGAGGAGCTCGAGGTTTAGTGTCTCCGATTGGAGGACTATCCATGTCGAATTTTGGGTTTGCAGAAAACTGCATTGGAGCTCCCTTTTGACACAGTTGAGGCATGATGGGCGTTGCTCATCGCACTGTGGGCTGTTTAGTATATAACTCAGGGTGCGATAGAATAGATGTATACCTTAATTTTTCGAGAGCGGCAGATTTGACAACCCGTGCGGGATTTGCTGTGGTATTTCCGGCGACTACCGGTAGGTCCAGATGACATTTCAGGAAGTCTTTGATTTCAAATTTCACCCATCCAGCTTCATCCGAAGAGATTCGAGGAAGTGGAGATGTAACCGAGAAGAACGAGGGAGCGAGAAAGAGCGAGAGTTTCTGACTGGCTTAACCAGACCCACTAATGTACCTCTACGAGATATCATACTGATTCATTTTTCTAGTCTTTTCAAACTTCTAGCAAGAGCCGATGACTTGGAGCATTTGGCGGCTTGTTTTGGCTTTGATGCTCTGCTTTGTCACCCTCATTGGTCCAGGGACTTGCTCAATCTCCGAGCGAACTGACCGAGCAGACCGAATAAAACGACAAGGCCGAATGTGATATCTCTGGATAGTGTGGATGTAAAAATTGAGGTAGCTTGGTCGATTCTCTACTAAAATCTAACTTCTCTTATCCTGAAAGCCCGGGGAAACATTATGTCTGAAAGCACTGAATTCATTCGCACCGCAAGTAAGACAAGTCTTCCTCTGATCTAGATTGCAATACTAATATCCCCTGAGGCAAAAACGAGAGACGTTACATTATGCGACATGCTCTCGGGTTTTACAATGCATTAACCCTGACAGGTCTTTACACGATACCCCACACAGACTCGCTCAACGCAAACAACCTCGACAAGTTCATCCCTGCCTTGAAACATTGTATTGCGGTGCATCCTTTCTTGAGCACAGCAATCAAAGGAGAGAACACTGAGAACCCAAGTTTTGTTCGGCCTGCATCAATAAACCTTCGAAACCATTTACACCTCGTTGATATGCTTTCAAATTCAACATCATCCTCACTCACGGACAAAGATGATCGAGACCTGCATTTGATCACGCAGGTGACAAAGAAAATTCACGATGAGCCTTTTGTCAATGTGGATCAGCAACCCCCTTGGAAAGTCCTCATCGTCCCTCTTTCCGATGAAGCCGCATCAGGTCAACGAGTCTACATCATTTTTGCATGTTCCCACTCTCACGGCGATGGAAAGTCAGGTCTGGAATTCCATAAAACCTTCCTAGAGGGTCTCAAATATGCACATGAACTATACGACCAAGGTTACCTCTACCAGACCTCGACCTCTGCATTGCCCCTTCTACCGCCATTAGAGGAAGCAGCCAACCTGTCCATTACCTGGCGATACCTATTCCTCAATCTCTTTGGTAGACATATGCCAAGCATTGCCTGCAGATTGCTTGGTCTCCAACCCCCGGCGAATATAATCCATGGTTTCAACGCCTGGACGGGGAGAGCAATGACCTTTGACCCATCCAAGTTCCACACTGGATCTGAAGCTCTCTTGGTCAAGAAGGATCTACTTAGTGGGATATTGAGGGTGTGCAGAGAGCATGGGGTCAAGTTTACGGGCTTTTTCAACCATCTCGTCGCGCACATCTTGCACAGCATCCTTCTACAGCATCGAGATACAGGTAGAAACACTTGTACTCGCACCCTTCTCGGACAAATTGTCGTTGACCTTCGAGCCCTGATTCCAGCTTACATAAAAAGCGAGAATCAAATGGTTAATAGTGTATCCGCACTGTACGTCTCATCCACACGATCCAGCTCATTGGACCAGAATTGCGACAATCAGTCTCAAAAATGACACTGAATTCTGGAATGATGCGCGTAGGACTACTGTCAAACTTGCCGAATGTGCGAGCACTCTTGCTGATCAACCGATTGGACTTCTGAGATTTTTTCATTCATTTCGGGGTTGGTTTCTTGGGAAACTGGGTAAGGGTCGGGATTCATCGTATGAGATTAGCAATGCGGTTATATTTGATCCACGCTTGCAACCTTCAGACCCCGTTGGTACCGGGAAGGTAAATTGGGATATTGAGCGGGTTTTGTTTTCGCAGCCGGCGAATGTTACGGGAAGCCCGTTGAACTTTCAGATTGTTACGAGGAAAGGTGGTGACATGGTTATTACTTTAAATTGGCAGCGGGGCATTCTTGATGTTTCTGATGAAACTTTTTTTGTCCGGGAGATCCTAGAAAACGTTCATGGTCTGATGACTGAGCTTTGTTGTGATAGCTCTTTGACTTGACTCATTGCTGTCGAGATGACTGAAAAGAGGCGGGATATGGGGGAACGAAGATGTTGGTTTCAATGACAAGTGAAAGAGCAGCATTTCAAAATACCGGTTGCTGTCCCTCTGATCACTAAATCCTCATACTCAAAAGATTATCTTGAAGATGAGTTGCACAAGCGAATTACCTCGGCTTTCCACAGATCAAACAAAGTCAGTTAACATAGGCCTTCTCCGGCCAGGATCAGACTTCCCCATCAGAAGGCTTGGAGCACTCTCGTTGAGACAATCATGTATTCACATCATAGTGGTAGTCTGTATGTGGCCAAACGAGATGGTTCGAGGTAGATAGATTCATCTGTTCATCCATCCATCTATATCTATATTAAAGTCTTGCCGCAACTTCCATTCATTATTCACATTAGGATCTTATAAACAATGCCTTCACTATATACTCGAGCAAACCGCAGTACCCGTCATTTAATCTCTCTACACAAAGGCTTTGTTTAACAGCCCTCATTCGGAACCGGAAGTGACTTTCTCAGTCCGTTTTTCTTCTTTTGGATCCTGTCAAAAGACTCATAATCCTTCAAACGTAGCTCCTATAGCCTCATTAGAGAATTTCACTGCTCTTTCGGGTTCAGAATACCCCTACTTCGTGTGACACGTCTGAGTAATGCGGGGAAAGGGCTATACTGCGGTATCGATTTAGCCGACCAATGTTCTCAAGGTCTTTTTGTTCCATAAAATATTGTCTGTCAAGTAATTGATCTGCATTAGCTAGCTATTTCAAAGCAGAAAGGTGCCACTCGCAGGCCTTCAATTTCAAATTATTCTTGTGTCTTTTTCAAAACACCTGAAATACAGCATAGGAAAGAGGACAGTACAAAGTAAAAACGAAAAGAAAGAGTACCAAGGACAGCACGTAAACGCGCAAAATACCACAGTAGAAGGTATCTGGTGTCAAGACAAGATTGAGCTTCATGAACCTACCGCTGGGAAGTGTTGCTCAGTTTGTCGCTCAATTGAGTAGTGGACACCATGCGCTCGCTTTGGGTTTGAGGGTTGGCAGAATTTCCAAACGAGAAAGGATATCCGCCTGGGAAAGAGTTAGTTGAGTTTTTCAGATGAAGTCCCATCAAAAATATTAAACATTGAGTTGGGTTTTGTACCTGGACCAAGTGTCGATGGTCCGAATGCTTTGGGTGTAGAGCCTCCTTGAGACGAGGGGCCAAAGAATCCGCCTCCCCCTTCAAAGCCAGAGCCGAATAGACTACGAGGCTCGGTATTTGATTCCTGAAGGTTGTTATTGACGATGTGCGAGTTTATCGGACAATCGAACATGCTTACGTTTCTGTTAGTCCTCTTCAAGGTCGACCCTGCGAAAAGGGATGAGGTAGCTGGTGGGCCTGATCCGACATGTTTGAAGCCTGAACCAGAACGACTAGATCGAGAAGACCACGACGACTGTGGCGCACTGGAAGTGGCGTCGTGGGCTATTGATGTTAGCTCGCAATCTTTTCGGTCAAGGATCTCGACTTACGTGACTTGCTTTCGGTGGTTGAGTTGGCAAGAGCAGGCTTTGAGGCAACCTTTCGGGTGTTAAATTTGCCCAATGCGCGCGAACCAGCCTGCAGCATTTCCAATTCGCGGGTAATGCGATCTCGTTCTTCCACGGTAGAGGAAGGTTCGGCGGCAAGATCTTGAACCTGTGCGTCGTCCATGTTGTTTATTGTCTGGCTCGTAAGAATGCTGCTCAGAGGACCGAGCAGGCAATTTTCAATTCCAAGCGTAGCAACATTATCAATGAAGGTGATGATTGTGGTCTGTCTCGGTTAGCATTCTGTGACTTTGGTGTATGATTGACAGACACACATCATAATACGCTTGCATCTGGTCGACAACATCTGCTGCTGCAAACTGATTGCTCGTTGACTCCAGTTCACTATTCACTTGTCGAAGCCGTTCGATAGTAGTGGAGTCATCTCCAGAATGAGGTCCTGTTCGCAAGGCCTGTTCCAATCTATCAATTTGGCGATCGCTTCTGGCTTTTTGAATTCTCGTGAGAAAGCTTCTGCCTAAAGGCAACGGATGGCCTTTCTTATTGTATGCAGTAAGTTCATCTAGCTTTGCAAGAAGATGGTCCTTCATTTTATCCAACTCAGGATCAAGAAAACTGCCCATCAAGAGGCTGTAAGTGTGGTCATTGGCGAGATGTTCCAAGAGAAGGCTGATAAAATCTCTGACAGAATTCCAAGTTTTTGTCAAGTGATCTCGCGCAATCTCTTCCCAAGGCTTGGATTGTTCTCGAAAAAGTTCTCCCACTAAAAGTTGGTTGGGACTTCCTGGAAGCTCAAGTCCTCGATTTTGACATGCTTTGAGGTTGACTTCATTTTCGATTTCGAGCCTAACTCTGCGCTTCGGTTTTCTAGAATCGGTGTAGGGGTTCCCATGCATGGGAACTGGAGAAAATAGACTTGGGGGATCACAAATGAAGTCACGACAGCCAACGGTTTCCATGGCATCAGCAAAGTATTCGTTAAGCTGGCGAATGATGGCGCGAAGACGTCGAAGATCCTGATGGAAAGGCATTGTCTCATTTTTCACGCCTTGAAAGAAATCATCTTTGTACATGCCATCCAACGCTTGACCGGTGATGCGCTCGAAATTGCTGCTGATGTTGAGTAGGTACCCCTTCTGTTGCTGGAGAGTGCCTCGAGGTTGACCCAATTTAGCCAGCCTTGATTGTCGATCAAGCACTTTTTGATTGATATCGGCAATGAGACCAGGAAGATTCCGTTGGATGTGCTTGAGCAAAACAGCACTCAGACGACGTCGTAAATGGTCTATTCCCATACATTCTTTCGCAATAACGCTCCAATTCCCTTGGGCGAAGAACTCCTTCTCTGCCCTATCTCTTTCATCGTCTGATACATTGCGAGTTTCATATTTTCGGTTTTGCAATGCATGCCAACCGAGCTTTAACGGAACTTTCTCGTTCTTGAGAATTTGCAACCAAGACGCCTCCTCGTCTGAATGAGCTTCGACTTTATCAGGCTGCGTTATTATTCCGATGGTGCGCTCTCCAGATTCATCGAATTGCTCGGCCAGATTCAATACTCGTTGATTGTGGTAGTCGTCTTTTGCTGAAACTACAGCCAGAATAATGCTGCGTTCATTTTTCATGTAGCGGTTGGTGAGTTCATGAACAATCGCAATACCCTGCTTATCCTGAGATGTACTGTGAGACGTGTAGAGGCCAGGAAGATCGACGAGTGTCAATTCCGGTTTGTCGGGGCCCGATATCTCAATTTTAAGAACGTCGTCACTGAATCCTTCACCGGTAATCCCCATGGCTTCTTCGGCTTTCTCGACTAGAAACTTCAACTGATCACTGCTGGTAACCTCGGTAGGTGCAAATGCTTCGATCGTCCGACGAGTTTCTGAGGTCGTCCGAAGTGACCCAGGCTCAATGGATACCTTGAACCGGGATGTTGGACGACGACGTAGAACAACCTCTGTCGGAAATCGAGTGCAGACATTACTCTTCACCGGAAAGCGTACACGAGAGATGGCCTCGAGGACAGAGCTTTTACCGCTGGATTGATTTCCACAGACGATGAGCTGCGGCAACCCGACAAGTCCACCAACTCCGATCGTGCGAAGCTCGTCAATCTTGTCAAGCAGAGGTCCCTGTTTTGTCTGCAGTTGGTGCAGAGCTGCATCAACCTCCGCTGAGCCAGACATAGTAATAGTAGTATTGGTATATTCGTGAGGTAATCCGGAATGATTGGCAACTAGTCTCCAAAAATGAGCAAAAACTCTAAACAGAGAATGGGGGATTGGTGAGAAATAAATGATCCCTAGTTTGGGGGCTAGTTTCATCCCCTGCCGCGCAGTCAACTTGCATAGCGCTATATTAGTCGAGGAATGCATCTAAGTATCTAGCCCATTGAACCCCTGTTCTGCCCCCATCTCGCTTGCATTACGAAGGTGAGGGCCAATCAAATTGCATCCAGGGATACTGATCGTAACAAAAGTACAACAGCTCTAATCGATGGTTGAGATTGAGCGTCGTTTCCCAAAAGCAAGAAGATAATTTTCTTATCGGCCATGGTTTAAACGCGCTTCTTTGCAACGCTCTGACTATCCTGAAGAACGTGCGATATGATATAATGGTCTCCATAGTACGTGTAATTTGGACTAAAGCGACCTCTTAATAAAACCCAGGTGGGTCCTTACATATCTAAGGAAACTCTCAATAATGTGATATGAAGCTTTATTTAAGATCGACATAAGCCCATTCCAATATCAAAATGAGCCGGGAGGCTTATGAACACCCTCTATGCTAACTTTAAAATCTACCTTCTAGTTACCATACACTAGATAATAACTTCGTAGACTAAATAATTCTGCAAAGTTGATCTGCTCATGCCTATAGTACTCAAGCTACAAATCCCCCAGGACGCGTAAACAGCTCAACCCACCCTCTCAGCGGCATTTGGCTGCTGGAGAATTTGACCCACATTATCTTCGCCAAGATCTTCGCATACCGGCTAAGGCTTGCAGGAAATATATGCGAGGCATCAAGACCATTATGTGGACTGTCTTCATCTCTGAATGGAGGGGATAAATTTCTAATTGCGCAAATGGTGTCTTGCATATTTACAACGCGTTCTGACCAAGTAAGGTACACCGGTTTTTATGTTGTTTTCGTCCGTTCGTAGCCTTTCTTCTTTCACCTTTGTTTGATGTCTTTTTTGACCCTTTTTGAATGCCTCAACTTCTAGTCTTTAGAAACGTAAGGCTAGCAGTATCACTTCTATCACATAGAAAGGACGTGAAATGACTTGGCCCATGACTGTAGATCAATACTCAGTCACACGGACCACTGATTGAGATTGAAAAAGAAACTGCATTCTATGTAAGATATCAAGTAGGTATCACAATACAAACCTAAATTCCACCACCAAGCTATTCAGTCTATCAAAGCACCACCATCCCCCTAGAATGGCTTTACAGTCCGCTGGAACCTAGGCGGCTGTCTGGAAAACTTCTCTGGCTCATCCCTAGCACCCTGCTTCCAATAATCAAACTCCATCCAAGCATTCTCAGGCATCTGCGCCTCAGTTGCCTCTAAGAAGTCACCAAGATCGGGACAAAGCGGGACAACGCCCGTCTCAAGAACATACTGATCCCAAAGCTTAAGGAGCTGTCTCAATCTATCCGGATTGGATTCAGAGAGATCGTGGATCTCGCCAGGGTCGTTGACGAGGTTGTAGAGCTGCCATTTCTCCGGACCCTTGGGCTTGGGGATGAAGACTATTTTCCAATCTCCGCAGCGGAGGGCAGCCCTTCCGCATGTTTCCCAGCCTTGGATGAAATCTTTGGGGTGGATACGTTCTGCTTGGCCGATGGCCCAGGGGTGGAAGCTCTTTCCGCGCATCTCGACTACTTCGCGGCCTTGGTAGGTTGGGGCTGGGTGTTTGAGGCCGGCCATGTCGAGGATTGAGGGGGCTAAATCCATGACTGTTGCAAATTGGTCGGTGATACCGCCTTTACCGACTGCCACGTCGACTGGGTTTATGCTGAGGTTTTTGGGGAAGCGGCAGGTGAATGGGACGCGGACGCCGCCTTCGGTCGTATAGGCTTTGTATAGGCGTGATGGGGCTGTGGCGGCTTGTGCCCAGCGTGGTCCATACCAGATGAATGAGTTGCCATTACCGAGATTGTCGAGGCTGTTGTCGTAGTATTTCTGCAGGTGGGGCATAACGCCGTTTTGGACCATTGGGTAAGCTTCGTAGGCGGCGCCTTCGGCTCCGTTGTCGGACATGAAGCAGACGAATGTGTTGTCTAGTTCGTCGATAGAGCGGAGGTATTCTACCACCTTGCCCACGTTGGAATCAATGCACTCTACCATGCCGGCGAAGACCTCCATCGCTACTGCGGACTTTTTTTCTCGTCTGCCGTGTATTCCTCCCATGGCTTGACCTCTTCAGCTTGGACGGGGTGTGGCTCGACATCGTCTCGCACCATTCCGAGCTCCTTCAGACGCTGCAGACGCTTCTGTCGAAGTACATCCGGACCCTCGTCATACACACCGCGGTAGTGGTCAATGTACTCGCGCGGGGCCTGGAGAGGCCAGTGCGGTGCCGTGAAGGGGAGGTATCCAAAAAAGGGGCGGTCACCATTCCCATCAGGGCCATCACTTCCACCGCTCTCCTTCCATTCCTTCAGGTAATCCACCATCTTATCACCATATCCATCGGAAGAGTACCAACCCTCAGGAAGCTTGCGCACATACTCGCCATTCTCCATATGCAGAGCAATGTAACTGGCCTCAATAAAGGTAGGAATCTGATCCTGCTCTTTCAATTCAGGCTCGTAAGCATAGTGGTTTGAGCAGGCTGGTAGATGAGCGAATGATCGCTCAAAACCGCGTTTGTAGGGCGAACGCTCCGGGGTCAGTCCCAAGTGCCATTTGCCCGACATAATTGTGTGATATCCTCCATCACGGAGTATCTCCGGGAGTGCCACGACCCGCTCGTTGAGGTATCCTTCGTAGCCGGGCATGCCACGCTGTGGAGCGGTGCTCATGGCGGAACCCTTGGGTCCGTTTTGGCCGGAAATGTTGGTCCATTCGATTAGGTTACCTAGACCTGCAATGTGATGGTCTGTACCTGTCATTATCATGGCACGTGTCGGACTAAATGGTCAGTTTGGGGTATGTCTTGCTTGGCAGGGTGGTACTCACGAGCATGCTGCCGCGGCGTGGAAGTCTGTAAAACGCAGACCTTCCTCGGCGATCTTGTCGATGTGTGGCGTACGGATTTCACCACCAAAGCAGCCCACATCGGAGAAGCCCAGGTCATCGGCGACAATGACGAGGAAGTTGGGACGTTTGGGAGCCATTGTTGAGGTCAAGAGAGAAGGTGAGTGGGACGAAAGAAAAACAATGAGGGGTCAAAGATCATGAGGGGCATGCAGTATTAAATCTGCAGCATATGTCGGCAAAAACAAAGCAGCCGAAGCTCCAACACAAGCATCAGACCATCCCCCGTCGCTGGCCATGGGCTCGTCGGCCATCGGCAAAAGAATGCGGGGAAGCTCCACATCTGATAAGAATTCCATTATGGCATTGAACCCCAACTTCAACTCCACCAGAATTGAACAGAACAAATGAGAGAACAATTAACAGTGAAGATATTGAAAGGTTACATTGATGGCGCAATGCCCCCACGTGAATTCGCACGTCGGCAATCGGCAGTCATGACATAATCAGTTGCAGATCCGGAGAGCTTCACGTCAACACTGCACACTTCCTAGTACGGACACACTCCTATTCAGAGGTTATGGCTCCACTTCTCTACTATGCCTCCAGCTATATCTTCACTTTTCCCCTCCACCCCTCCACCTCCAATCCTCCCATCAATATTAGCCTGGTGCTCGAACCTCTACACCCGGTGGATCCCAACCACAACCAAACGAAGCTATAGCAAGCTCCCGCAGCACCCAAACCAAGTTCAATCCCCCCAATCAAGCACTTCCACCCTCTCAAACCTAAGCATGAAAGCAAGCCGCTTCTCAAAAGCCCGATGCCGAACGTACTGGCTAGCCCTAGTCCTCTGCTGCGGCGGAGCCCTATTCGGCTATGACTCCGGGGTAATAGGTAAACACCACCTACTCACCCCCAACCGTGGATCCTCCATTCCCAATACTAACAAGATCAGGCGGCGTTCTAACATTCCACTCCTTCGAGCACAGCTTCAACATAACCCCCTCCCAAAAAACAAGCATAAGTGCCATAGCAGTAGGAATCCAACAAGCCGGCGCCTTCGCAGGCTGTTTCCTAATATGGCCAGTGACGAATCGACTCGGCCGGCGCGCCGCAATGATGATCAGCTCGGCCATCTTCTGTGTTGGCGTCATCCTCGAAACAATCGATACTCACTCCTTGTCGGCTTTCTATGTCGGCAGGGTAATCTGCGGACTAGGCGTTGGCGGGTCGGCTACTGTTATTCCCATTTATATGTCTGAGATGAGTCCCAAGGAGATTCGGGGTCAACTTGGGAGTTGTTATCAGCTTACGTATACCATTGGTATTCTTGTGAGTTATTGGATTGATTATGGGGTTAAGGGGATGGAGGCTACTGCGGCGCAGTGGCAATTGCCTATTGGGCTGCAGCTTGTTCCTGGATTACTTATGGGAGTTGGGATGTTGAGTCTGGGTGAGAGTGTGCGGTGGTTATTGGCTTGTGGAAGGGAGGAGGAGGCTTGGGTGAGTCTTGTCTGGATTCGGGCCGGGGAGGGGGAAGATGTTGTTGCTGAGTTCGAGGATATGAGACGCGGTCTTGAGGAGGAGAGACATGCTACTGCTGGTTTCAAGTTGAGGGAGTTGCTTGAGTGGAGGAATTTACATCGGCTGTTGATTGGTGGTGGGTTGTTCCTTGCGCAGCAGTCGACTGGATCGACTGCACTTGCATACTTCGGGCCGCAGTTCTTTGCTATCCTTGTTGGTGATGGGGATCGCACACTCCTGCTTACTGGCATCTTTGGTGCGATTAAGGTTGTTGCTTGTGCGATCTTCGTGGTGTTTTTGTCGGATCGCTTTGGGAGACGGCCGTTGCTCATTAATGGGGCTGCTTTCATGGCTGTTTGTATGATTGCTACTGCGGCGGTCATAAAGGTTTATCCTCAGCCTGGCGATGGGACTGTTACATCTTCCGGCATTGCGACTGTTGCTTTGATATATCTTGATATCATTGCTTACAACTTCAGTTGGGGGCCGCTGCCTTGGCCATGCACAAGTGAGATCTTCCCCACACGGATTCGCGAGCCAGGTGTTGCGTTCGGTGTTGGATCGCAGTGGCTGTTCAACTTCGTATGGAGTTTCTCGACGCCGTATATCCAGGCCGGTATTGGCTGGGGTACATTCCTGCTGTTTGGGTTGTTAGATGTACTCATTGCCATCTTTACATTCTTCTTCTTGAAGGAGACTGCTGGCAAGTCTCTGGAGGAGATTAACGATATGTTTGATGGCATTGATCCCGATGCTGAGCGTGGATGGAAGGGAGATACCATTGAGGGGTCTACTCAAGGCGGTGCTGATGCATATCAAAAGGCACAGAATGATATTGATATTGATACCAAGTCAATGCAGTCCAAACATCAGACTGCACATGTGGAGTCAACCGCTGGACGGTCGTGACTTGACACTCGTTTGTGGTCTATACTATACACAACTTGTTAATCGCCTGCTGAAGAATATAACGATACCACATCGAGGGAAGACCCCCACCAGAGGTCATGTCATTCATGGAAGATATATCCTCAGGTATAGGGCTAAAAGCCCAGCCATAAGTGATAAACAGCTAGAAACAAAAGAACGGAAAAAAGTGTACCACCCAAGTCCCAAACAGCACAAGCGAATGAAGGGAAGACTCCAAACACCCTCCAGTCCACACACCGAATCGCAAATCAAGTCAACTCGAGTCAACAATTTCGAAGAAAACAGTCTCACAGCGCCATCCACTCCATCCCAATCCATCCAGCCCATGGAACCGACAGACCCGCTGCCCGCATTACCTCCACATAAAGTCATACTCAACATACATAACAAATGCCCACACCCCCTCCCAAACTCAACCATTAACATTAATCAAATCATCAAAGCTCTCCTCGGCGGAAAAAGCAAAAGAAGCCTCAGAAACAAGCGAAGCCTCCGAATCCCTCCGCATCTGCTGCTCAAAAGCATCCGCAGCAGCCTGAGCCGCAGGCTCCAAATGCAAAGGATCATCAAATCCGAACGACAACGCCGCCTGCCCAGGCTGTGCTATAGAAACCGGCACCGCAATAGCGGCCGCAATTGCAGCAGTAGTAACAGGAGCAGACGGCTCAAGCGGCGAGACAGAGACAGACGAATTCCCCGGCAAGGCAACAGGCGAGTCCGGCAATGTCGCCGCAGTAGTAACAGCAGCAGTGGTAGTAGCCGAAGGCTGACGATCGACATCAGTGATTTTCTTCAGCATCTGCGCAAGATGCATTTTGATTGGTTCATCTCCGCACTGGGAGTGTTTCAGGACTTCATTTTTCAGCCCTAAGACCTCCGAGCGCAGTCGAGCGATTTCCGTCATGAGAGCTGAATGTTTCTCGCTTTGGTGCTTGAAATGGAATTCCAGCTGCTGGGTGTGTTCTTTCTTCTTTTGGCGGCATTTGCTGGCGGCTAGACGGTTGCGCTCGAGGAATTTTGCGCGCTTCGCGCTGTCCATTGGTCCGCCGTCGTCTAGGTCTAGTTCTGGGCTTAGGCTTGCTGCCGCTGCCGTGTATTCGCGGGCGCGGCGGCGCTTTGAGGCGCACGCGCTTGCGTTTCTGTCCATGCTCATACTCAATGTCATGTCTAGGGCTGAGAGGGAGTGTGGTAGGTGGTCGGTTGATTGCTGTTGTTCGTCGTAGGGGGGAGGGGTTGGTTGGCCATTACGGACTTGGGCGTTTTTGAGATCGCGCTCCATGGCGGAGTGAGGAGCGAAGGCTGAGTCGATCTTGCTGGGGTCCCATGTTGAGTGAGTCATTGGGGAGATGGGGCTTAGGCCCCAGAGTTGTTCTTCGTCCGGGATTGGAACTAAGAAGTCGCCTGCGAAGGGGAGAGTCAGATGGGTTTCCGTGAGGCCTAAGATATTCGACATGATGTTGATGAAGAGTGAAGAGGACAAGGCTGGCAGCTTGCCCTAACATAAGGCAATAGCCCTAAACCAGCTACCGAGTTGTTCTCTTCCACGTTCGGCCGGTGCCTGAAGCTGTGGTGAGTCCGCGGTCCGCGGTTGACTTGGAAGGAGCCACGGTCGGACAAGAATCCCGGCCAGCAGATCCGATGTGGGACGAAGAAGGATTAAGAGAGAAACTTTCATTTAAGAGATACAAGAATAACAACAGGAGCTAAACGAATGGAGCTCCAACGGGATTGAATGCCGGTCTCATCTCACCCATCCCGTCGAAGTATAGACAGCTCGGGGGCTTCTAGAATACATAGTTCACAACGTCCCATGTCTCGCGTCTCCTATCCACGGATTGCCTAACCTCTGTAAAGCTCTCCCTTGGCCCACTCTCGCAGCTGGCGGTTTACAAAGCCCCAATGCTCAATTAACAGCTTTGCCACACGTTGTTCCTCGATCTCCTGTTCCACGATATGCACCGGCACGCCGTCTCGGTTCTCTTGCCCCCTGGTCCCGAGGAGTAGCGGTCCAAACACCCGCTCTAGACCAAGATCCACCGCCACTGCCCGGACCTCAGTCCCGGGCTTAGCCTCCGGTACATGATTCAGCTTGGTGAGTAGCCCGAAGACTGCGCAGATAAGCTCGCGCTCCATCTCGTTTGTCAACGCAATCACCGCAAGGGCAATCAACTGCACACGCAGTGCAGAGCGCGAATCCAACTTTGAAAGGCAGTCTGGCACATGAAAATTGTCAGCTTGTTCTGGGATGGTAGCAAGGTTGATGTCGCTCAAAGTCTGGTACAGTCGGACGCTCCCGAGGATCCCGTAGCGAAGACCCGCCAACAAAGCCTTCAGGGTCCAGGCCACGCTCAAAATCGGCGCAGAGTCTCGATTCAGTTGCGGCATGGACACGATGCGCATGGTCATGGAGATCTTGGCTTCTTCTTTCTCAGCAGAGAGCACCTGGGAAGCGAAATTATCATACATGCGAGTGGCGGCCTTCAAATCACCCGGGTTGGTGAAAATGCCCGACACATTCGCACCTGCAGGAACCCGTTAGCCAAGTCATGACGTATGAGACCACTTTACAAACCGTATCTATGCAGAAACATCACGGTTGCCACAATGCATGCTGGCAACTGCAAGGGAAAAGGAGCCAAATCCGCCAACATGAGGAACGCATGCCCTCCGAGACGTGCCAAAGTTTCAACCGATCGTCCTTGCAACGAAGTCATCGGAACCGAGCGATGCAGGACTGCAAAGGTCTTTATGCGTCGCAGTTTGGGAGCCTGAGGTCTTGCATCCGCCGCCAGACTAGATCGGACCTTTCGAACACGACCCATCAATCGGAAACCACGTCGGCCGTTGCCTGGCTCCTCGGGCAGTTCCGCTACCACATAAGTTAGCTTTCGCTCATCCTAACCGAAGAAACAACCTACGTGAACCACCTTCAGTTTCCGAGAGCGCCTTGGGCATGTGGATCTCGAAGCGAGTAATCAACTGGTTCAAAGCGACAGTGGCTCTGGTTGGCTCAAGCTGACAGGGCTCCCTCATCCAAGTGAGATTGCTGATCATGGAGGTCTTTCTCTCCAGAACGGGAGCAGCCTCGATCTTGTCGACTTCATCCTCAAGAATGGGACCAAGGGAGTTCTCAGAAGTTTTCGAATGGTCTCGGCTTCGATCAGTCCGCTTGGAGGACGAAGGTTGTCCCAGCTGAGGCTCGGTATTCTTTCCATCTGAGAACGGGTCGGATCCTTCACGAATGTGGGTGCCATCCTCGGGGTGATACAGGAGTCCTGGCCATGACCACTCATCCAAGGAAAGCCGAGTTGGGGTTGGGATAAGGTCAGGATCGAGAGGGTGTCGACAAATGGTGTCTTCAGTCTGACTGGTATCTTGCGACTCATTCGTCTGGGTGCTGACCTTCCGCTCACCATCTCCAACAACCTGAGGATTATCATCAAAACGCACATATTTTCCAGGGCTATCCTGCGCGGGAGGGACCTCTTCCTGTTCGAACGGATTGGAAATTGGGTTTGCGTTGTCAGGAACAGTGGGTTCAGCGTTGTCAGTTAGGGCATCAGCAGTTTGAACTGTCTCCTCAAAAGGATCTTCCTCGTGAGAGAGACTCGGACGGAAGTGTGCAACGATCCTCTTCAAACGCTTCGTGCCATACTTGGACCGCAGGGGAGTATGCTCAGGCTCCAGAGGAGCCGGCTGACCGTCATCAGTACATCCACCAACAGAAGTAACCGAAGTCGCTTCCGGGGGCTTTGGCCCACTAGTCAAAACATTCAAATCTTTGCCTGGGGAGTTATCATGTCGAGTTTCCTGCGAGATGGTCTCAGGCTGGGGTTTCAATGCCTCGGCATCAGAGGCACGACGCTGCGCACGCGGTCGAGTGTTCGGATTATCAGATCTGGATGTCCTGAAGACGGTCCGAAAGCGCCGCATGATTGCGTTGAAAAACGTAAACGATACGAGAGACGTGAGGAAGATGAAGTAAGTTGGGGAGCGCAAGTTGGTTAGGGTTGTGCGTCGAGGAAGGTACACGCTGGGAAGTTACGTTGACTACGAGCATACAAAACGTTCAAATTGTCAAGTCTATATTCCGACAAACATTTTAGAGACCATGTCATTACCTCTGTACATCGTAAAGCCCAAAATCAAAACATGGCCTCGCCGGGCCTGTCTGTGGGAAGCTCAACTAAAGAAACGCCGGAACCATGCAAGGCTGATATGTAAAATCATGCTTCTTCATTCTCTCCTTCAAGGAGAATGTAGTGCAGGATGTCACTCAGGGTCAACACACCCTTAAGCTTGAAGTGCTCATCCACAACGACAAGACGGTGGACCCGGGACTTGCGAATAGTGTCAAAGATAGTATCCAGTCCGTCATTGAGAGAGCAGGTGTAGATTCCAGGGAATCCCTACAAACAGTCAGTATAAATCGACATATCACATCGTGTCTATCACATACCACAGAACGTTTCTTTAGCGCTTCTCCCACAGTCAGACTCAAATCGTCATAAACACCACCCTTGATCAAAGTGATAACATCAACCGACTCAAAGACATTGTACACTACACCCTCCGAGTTCACAATTGGCACGCTGGAGATACTGCGCTCGACCAGAATATGAATGACATCAATAACAGGCGTATCCATCGAAGCCGTAGCAACATTATCATACGAACCAAGCAACAATTCTCCCAACGGGCGACGCAGCTGCTGCGTATCAGGTACGTTAACAGCAACAAACTTCAAGATACGGTATTGCGTAATGACGCTGAGAACGTGGGGCCGCTCGGTCTGACTATCGCTGGTGACGAGGGGGATACGACGGGCGCGCGATTCCAGCATGCGCCGACACGCTTCGTACAGAGGACGCTCAGGATCGATTGAAATAGTCTCTGGTGGTGCGACACCTAATGCCTTTTCAACTTCTGTTGGGCCTTGTTAGCCGGGGGGTTTGGACTGAGGGGTAGACTGGCACTGGGGTTGGACGGTGCTGGACCGGCACGGTGATTGGGAGTCCACGTACCTCGCAGACTGTCCAGGCGGAATTGATCGATCTGGTCCAGCGCCGCTGGGTTCTGGAAATAGTATTGGATCACATTAATGTAGTCGGAGGTGGTTAGGAGTCCAGCGAATTTCGACGCCTTCGAGTCCCACAATGGTGCTGAGACAATGCCTGTATCGCCCGGTATCCGGCTCAAAGTTAGCCTATGGTCTCGGTCATTGCGCGGAGGGGATTCTTGAGAATAGAGAGGGAGGTAGTGAGGGTGCCGGGTGTGGGGAGGGAGGGGTTCAAGGTCGAGAACGTGCCATTCTGGATCAGGATGTTAAGACTCTCCTTAACGGAGAGCGAGGTATCGAAGATGATGAGTCGGAAGCTGAGGGGCAGCACATCGTAACTATTGCGGGCTTTGAGGAAGTTGCGAATGGCACGCTGTTAAGGTGTTAGTCAGGATCAGGATGTCCCCGAAAGAGGAAAAGGCAAGGTTTAATTGAGACACTTACCAGGCCCTGTCGCTCTTCCCGGTCGATTGCTCTCTCGGAGGCCATTGGAGGTTGGTACGAGGTTGGCTGCACGAAAAGGCGCGTGACCAGAGGTGAAGGTCCCGAGTGTCCGCCTTGGTGGGGGCAACGGGGGACTGGGGTCACATATAGCTTCCCTCTCTCTTTCTATATCACTTTCTACTATTTCACCTGCATCATTTGTCTTTTCTGTGCAGGTCCCTGCGCTGCATGGATACGAACTAGGAAGTCGATTTTCTCATCTTCTCACCGTCATCCCTGCTTACCTCGATGACCTTCACAACGATAGGGTCCACCATGCTATCATGCATGATTTGCTGTTTGACACCTACTTACTTGGGCAATCATGTCCAAAACTAATTCAATTCTTTCTTGTTCATTTCAACTGAAACTATCACAAACCGGCGATTTCCGAATATAAACCGCAATATCCGAGAACAGCGTCGTATCCGGCCCAAACTCATGGATATCATACCCCTCGAGCATTTTCCTCACCCGAGGCGAATCAGGATCAGTCCTAGATGCAAAACAAAATGTCAAAAAAAACAAAGCAGGGAAGAAGCACATCAGGCAATACTCACAAACTCCCCTCCTCCTTCGTGATATAATCCTTCTCGGTAACACGACACCAAATAACAATCGCCGGCCGAGCAAGATCAGCAATTATCTCCTTGACAGATACATTAGGTGCAATGGAAAGCACAGCAGACTGCTCATCTACCTCCAACCATCCGCGCGGGTCATCAATGACCTCCAGTCCAGCCTTGGTCAAAACCTCCTTGTCAATGGCGGTATAATACGGATCCTGCACATAAGACGCGATACTGCCAATCTCACCCCCAGCAGAGTCCCCATTTCGTCCAAGCACCCAATCCCGAATGGTAAGTTGGAGCGCATGCTGCGACGCACTCCGTCTGCGATGGTAAGACTTCTCCTCGCCTTGACCTTTATCAAGGTAAGACATCGAACCAAGCGCAAAGCCAACAATCTTGTTGATTCGGTGGCCCTTCGCGAATGAAGACAACAAGTTCTGGAAATCCGTGCATGTCTGACTATTTTTCCATTCCTGCACGCATTTGTCGAAATGCTGCGCTACAACCTCCGGCTCGAGGGTCGGGTATGGAGGAAGCAATTCCTTTGTCTCTAGGTCGATGAGGTGTGTCTGCTGGGCGACCTGGAGAGGGCAGTAGATATGGGAACTGACGAATCTGCTCCATCGGAGACTAACGAGCATTGATGCGCGCGTATCGTATCTGATTTCGAGTTCTTTGCTGGAGATTGTTACTGATTAGCTGTGCTGTCAGTTATGGAGGGGAGGTAAGTAGGATAGAGTGAATTGAATTGAATTGCCATACTAAACACATGCCCCTCTCACATCGCTCTGGCTGCGAAATTCCTGAATTTGCCCGGTTTGAACCTCGATCTCGACATCGTCGCCGTTCAAATCTGTCGTGGTGATTTTATCGCCGTATCGGGGGTTGCGCTGGCATTGTTCCCAAATATCGCTGATGGCCTTTTTCGTGAAAAATGCTTTTCCCGAATCGTAAAGCTCGTGGATGCGCGCTTCGGCTTCTTCGACTGTTGGTCTCTTGCGAGGATTGACCCATTCAGTATCGAGCATCGCAACATGCAATCCTTTCTGCGTAGCGGGCATTGTGAGTCGTACTGTATGAGAGAAGCGAGTTCAGTAATTTGGAAAGGGCTACTGTACTGTCGCTGCAAGATAAGTTGTAGCAATCCTAAACTTAGCTAACTACGCAAAGGTACCTTGCCGCCATCAGTCACACAGCCCTCGGCCTGGTTGGCCCCCAACCTGCATGTATGTGCTGTCACAGAGTTCAAGGCGGCTACGAGGGGAGGAAGATATTGGCTGGAAGAGTGCTGCGCTCGTGCTGGGCTTGCATAAAATCATGGCTATCATATGATATGGGGTCTAAGAGATAAATAGAAAGAAGTAAAGAAGCATTAAACCAGGAAAGAGAAACACCGGAAACACCACCGCAATTATGCAAGGTATCATCGCAAAGCACATTTTTCGAACTCCAGGGGTCATTCGCTTTGGAAAAGACATGAAAACGAGAAAGGTAGGAATAAGAATCACAAGAGAAGCTAATTATCCGCTGGGTTTATTGGTGGCCGTGTAACTTGAATCGGTAGATGCAGGTGTGGTCTGCTCCCCAATTCGAAGCTACGCGGAAGACAATCTTATCCACGCGGATACCTTGAATGTCGATGACAGTCTGGATGGGGAAGGACTGGATATATTCGTCGTTGTGGATGTCGTATTTCATTTTCCCAATGCGGTAGAAGTTTGGTCCAAGCCTTGGGTCATCGGAGTAGGCGCTGGGGTGTTCTTTAGGATCGCTGCGGCCAATAGATTCCATAAGCAAGTCATGGAGTGAGCCAAGTCCTGAAAGTCCCAAGCTTCCGACACTTTGATCCCGGGAATTTGGAGGCTCAGTCGGCAGTGGTGGCAGCGGACCATTCGAAGGGGCGATGGCCCAAAAGCGAGGTAGAATTCCGGTAGCCTGGGGCATTTTTTCCGCAATTGGCGGCCGGGCCGGGCTTAATTCATATCGAGCCCAAATCTCTATCTCCCGGGGCGCGGCCTTGATGTCGAGAGAAGCGCCCGCCGGGATGTGTTCAACGACGAGTGACTCTGGAACAACCTTGTGGCCGAGCAAGACAGACAATTGGGTTCCATTCTGGAGAGGACTGCACCAGCAGTCACCCGCGTCTTCCCATGCCGAGAGGGCAGCTCTCGGAGGTTGTGGTGTGCGTAATTCTGAATAGATGGGAGTGAATGACTTTACCCAGTTCCACGACTTCATAGCCCAGTGCGCCCTGCTGCCAAAGGTTGGGGAGGTATTGAACGGGTCGATAAGGGTTCCAGTGGACAATGCCAGGAAGTTGACATGATGAACTGGGTTTCGATGCGGGCCAGGGTCCGTGATGTACGTGGGAGCGGCGTTGCGATATTTAGAATGATCTGATTTGACAGAGCTCACCTCACTTGATAATGAGGACATATCAGAGTTCATTCTGGATAGCTGGCTGCGGAGGCCATTGAGGACTGTAGGGTCAGACATATTGCCAGAGTAATCCAGCAGATCATCCCTAGGAAACATGCGTGAGTGAAGCTTGCCAGGGAGACCGCTTGAGAAAGCAAGGACAAGGCCCACAGCAAAAATCAAAACAGACATTGCTCGATTCCAATTGATTCGGTATCCCGCAAGGCCCTCGAAATAACCTCTCCATCGACGCAGCATGCTTTCCTTGACTTCAACCAGAGCATAACTACTCGCGACAGACGCCGAGCGGATATATCCAGGAATTACTGTTCGCGCAGGAGCAGTGAAGCCATCGGAATTGGATTTGAACGACCCGGCCACAGATGCACGCTCCGATAGGTCCTCGTCTTCTTCGGGAACAATATACAGACCAGAAGGGCGTCGAGGAGGAGCTGTGATATTCTCTCCACGGTATCCTGGCCTTGTCCTTTGTAGTTCGTCCTCGTTGATATCGCGCTCCAGATTCCAAGATCGCTCGGAAGCATTGTCGACTGAGCTGTGACGATCAAGTGAGCTACGCGTTAGATCATCGATATGAGGAGATCCAGCCCGGTGCATCGGTGATGGATAAAGCGGAGAGTACGGGTTTGATAGCTGAGATAGACGGCGCTGCATGGGAGGTTCGACATCGGGACTGGGTTCTGAAGAGACTGCACGCTTGACAGGAGGCGTGGGAGTCTTGTCAGACCCGGTAGGTGACATTGTAGCATGCTGTAGTGCGTCCTGGAGCTGTGTCTGATCGGGTGTTGGCGCACGCTTTGGGGCGGCCTTCGCGCGTGGAGTTGCCTTGGGCTTTGGTGTCTCTTTGGGGTTCAGCGCCGCTTTTGTTTTCGGGGCAGCCTTTTTTGCGCGCACCTGGGCCTTCTCGACATTGGCATCAACTGCTGCAGCCAAATCCTTGATCCCTATGTTGGCCGGCACCACGTTATGCCGAGGCATGCTTGTTGTAGTAGGAGCGCCATAGTTCCATGATTGCCCGACTGGGATACTAGGCAGGTATTGCTCGGGTGCTGTATCGAGGTATGCCTCTGGGAATTCCGGGACGCGCCGCCGAGGAGCCCCATCAGCCTTGCGCGTGGCGCGTTTCGGTGTCATTTGCTCATGTAATTGTAATCCGATTCGAAGGGTACGGTTCGGTCCCGGGTTGCCCGTCTAGTATCTGTCGAAATATGTTAGTTCTGAGTAAGAGACAAGCAAAAATGAAGTATCAGCGAGAGGATATGGGGTAGCCATGAGATTTCAACCCTTCGAGCAGACTGCGGGGAAGAGGTGGCATAACAGGTCAATGGAAGCTGAAGTGTCGGACCAATCGCAAATGGCAGGAAATGTTCAGTTTAATGCATATCCTATCCAGTGTCATGTCTCGCAAACAAGGCCGTAGACTCAGCTCAGCGCATTGAAGTGGGCAACAAATGCGACATGGATACGCAGTCGTATCGGGTCCAATGCCTCCAAAGGGACCAAAGCAGAGTATAGCGACAAAGCAATAAACTGCCTTAACTTACCAGGAAGCTAGCAAAAATAGTCCAAATCCAGGTCGGCGCAGTGTAGAAGTCGGGAGGTTTGTAGATCGCGGGTCTGCAAGACGCGCAGACGCGACGGAACGTGACTCGCAACAGGGCAAAGCTGACGACTCTAGGCAGAGAATACGATGTGGTGAATAGCTGCTTAAGCTAGCTCAAAACTTTACGGCGAAGATCTGGGTGTCATCGAAATCTGGGATGGGAGGGAGGATTGGAAGAAAAGGGTAGGGGTGGAGCGTGAAAGATCGCCGATGAAGAATCCGCAACTCGACGCCGGGCTGGACGTTATGTAGTGCAGCACATCCGCCAGATGGAACATGTCTTCCCTTTGTATCTAACACTGTTCTTTTATTAGATGCACTGTCAGGCGAGGGTTTTTCTTCTTTGTCACGGGGCTCTTTGTTACTCGAGAGGCGCTTCGAACTACATGGAAGGGTCTGATACTGACTTGTATCATGGCACTACGGTCTGGAACAAGTCCTTAGTTACTGAGATTGGTGGTTCAGATGTGAAAGAAGTCCATGAATATGTTCATGCTGTATACAGAATAACCAATGTCATGGTCCTGCCACTTCAGATACGCCCCGTCGCTACTAAGACACAGGGGGATGGATACTATACAACGGTCGCGAGGGGAAAGGGGCGAAAGCAAGTACAAGAGGAAGCCCCAGGCAGTCATGCGACCTCTATATGGCGTACAACGCGTCTAGCACGTCCAGGCAGCCATGGTGCCGTCTTTGCGGCCCTCCACAAGGTAACCATCCTTCAGACGAACACGCTCGACGGTCGCTGGGGATGGACCTTCATCGTCGATGCCGACACCTGGACCGCAGTCCCAGTGGTTGCCATCGGCCTTGTCATAGACCTTGACCACGTTCTCTCCGGCGGCGGCTACAATGCGTTTGGAGTCAAACATCATGCTGGTAACGGGCTTGTCGTAGGCATAAGCGTCGTAGATGGAGCCCATACGCAGATCCCAGATCTATGAAACAGTCAGAAATGTAACAAAGCATGTGAAACCATAAGAACTTACCCGAATACTGCGGTCAAGACTGCCCGTGATCAGATGCATATCGTCAAATTGAAGACATGTAACTGGTCCGGTATGGCCTACAAGACTGCGGTGAACATGTCCACTACGCAAATCCCAGAGACGAACCATTCCATCAGCTGTACCACATGCTAGTGCGGCATCAAAGCATTGCACTGCGCCGACAAAGTCTGCAGAAGCATCGGGCATGCGGCCCGATGGTCGCCAGTCAGACTCTCCCGACATCGTGGAAGATGCCTGAGCTGCCGCCCACAAGACATCCAATGTTTGTACGCAACGTCCTTTGACCAGATCCCATTGTCGGAGGGTTTTATCCGCGGAACCCGAAATGAGGGTATTACCGCGGAAGTGAAGGGCAGTCACCTCGTCCACATGTGCCTCTAATGAGAAGACATTGCAGTCTTCCAAATTGGAGGATGGCGGTACCGGAGAATCGTGTTCTTCTTGGTCACGCTCGTGCTTGTTGAGACGTCCGTCCCGTGTCGTGGGCCGAGCGCGGCTCAGATCCCACAGCTTGACTGACGCATCCATAGATCCCGTTGCCACAATGTTATCCTCTACCTGCAAGCATCGAACAGAGGCGTGGTGTCCTTCCAAGAAACCGGAGCATCGGCCAACGTTCATATCCCAAACTCGGACAGTATCGTCCAACGCGGCGCTGACCATTGTGCCGAACGGATAGTCGAAGTCGATTGCGGTGACCATATCTGTATGCGCTTCTATTTCCTTAATCAAAGACCCTGGAGCAAAGTGTTCGTGTAGAATGGGCATAGACCGTTTTCCTAAGATCTGTCAGCTACATTTCGCGCCCAAACGTAAAATAGTTGCATACGTTGTGATCGGTGCCGTAGGCTTTTTGGTGAAGGTGAGGGCAACTTGTCATATATCGACTCTGACATGAATGAAGCTTCCATGGCCGGATCGCTTGACGACCCAGTAGATTCATCCTGCTCTTCAGACTGCGGCGTCGCCGCAACTGGTGTGTCCTGGGATCCTTCTTCTTGGAACTCCTCGAGCTTCACATCGAGTTCGGTCACTATCCCAATGAAGTCAGCTTCATCGCCCTCGCGATCGAGCATCTCAAGGTGACCCACATTCATGCTCCAATGCGGCCTCGTCCATTTCTAAGCCGGCCAATCGATCCAGAACGATCTTGCGCATCTTGTGCAAATTAGCGACCTTATTATCGATCTCATGTATCTCCGCACTGCACATATTCTTGCGGATACCCATCAAGTCCAGCTTGCGACTTAGCGATTTCCGCTGGTCCTTCAACCCGGCCGGGCCAGCTGTCAAGGACCCGCCTCTTTCGCTATCCTTGAGCATTTTCGAGCTACGCCTCCGGTGTCGCTTCTTCTCGGGTTCATCTTCCGGAACAGAGGCCTGGAAGCCTTGGAAAAGGGAGTAGGAGCTGCTATCTTCAGGGATGTTGGCGAGAAGGTCGTCTGGGAGGGATGAGAGGGCACGCGACTGGATCTCGGTAGTCGAAAGCTTCGATCGCATAAGGTCGGTCGGTGTTGTTTGTGTTAGCGAAAACACCTTGCGTTGCGCCGTCGGTCGCCGCAGCTCGCGGTGAATGTCGGTCATGGCATTGTGAAAGTGAGTGTTGTTCTGTTCGCTCGGTCCTATCAGGTGTCCTGCCGTTGTGGTGACCTTTCGTCCGAATGCTTCAATATGACGAGTCTGCAATGGCATATCCAAGCCAGTCAGCCGGCAGCCTTGGTGGGGGATGTCATCGAAGAGCTGGAAAAAAAGCCTACCGTCACGCCGGTGCCCAGAATGCCGTCGCCCTCGACGATATCTGACAGGCCCGACGGCGAGTCGTCTCGGCGCTGATTTTCCATGGAGTAGTTGGGCTCCAAGACCCATGCGTTTTCGGAGAGGGAAGTTGGGGTTGGTGATAGGCAGGAGACTTGGAGGCTCGCGCGGGTTACCGCGTTCCCCGGGTACTGCCGTATGGTACTTTTACAGTCTAAAACCAACTGCTTCGGTTGATTTCCACTGCACAAACACTGTAAACGAGGGATGAGTGGCACTATTGCAATTTCTGCAAGGATCTTCAGCATTGTTTGGCCTCGATTCGTCGATTGTAGTGTGCCTTTTGTGATATGCCTCGGCCTCGTACCGCCTATTACCAGATCGAATAGATCTAGTAGATACAGTATATCAACCCAACACTGGACTAAACTCGCTACATGTCCTTTATCACCTGTTTTCTCAAACCCTGCAGGGTGCAGACTTAGCATGTCGCACAGTCATCCTTCAGCACTGGACCATGCGAATTATATAAGGGGCTGAACGAGTGGACTCCGTATTAAACTTCGCAGTCCCGCAGATCGACTCTCCTTTTGCAACTCACCAAACCCAGCCATGGATACCGCCATTGATCTCTCTGATGCCTCCAAGGCATTGGACCTTGCCAACATTCGCTTCCAGCTGATGTGAGCTCCCCCTTCCACCGCTTCATCGGATCTCAAGCCCCCTAAGATCTTCTCCGCGCCCCACCATGCATAGCCCGATCCCTGCAATATACGATTTACCACATCGCAGTCTGCTGACACCTCAGTTTCTAGCCGTCTGGAGGATACAATCACCTTCCACTTGATCGAGCGGGTACAATTCCCCGTCAACAAGACCGTCTACGTCCCCGGCGGCGTGAAGATCCCCAACAGCGAGTTCAGTCTGCTGGACTACCTGCTCCGCGAGCAAGAACGCATACAATCCCGCGTCCGCCGCTACCAATCCCCAGACGAATATGCCTTCTTCCCAGACGTGCTAGAAGAACCTATACTGCAGCCCCTGGAGTACCCCCGTATCCTGCACGACAACGACGTCTGCGTGAACGACATCATCAAGAAGCGCTACATCGACGAGATCTTGCCGGCAGTGTGCCCGAAATACGGCCGGGAGGACCGTGGCGAAACACAGGAGAACTACGGCTCTGCTGCTACCTGTGACGTCTCCTGTTTGCAGGCGTTGTCGCGTCGGATTCATTTTGGAAAGTTTGTTGCTGAGTCGAAGTTCCAGAAGGACCCTGAGACCTTTGTGCGTCTGATTAAGGCTGAGGATCGTGCTGGTATTGATGCTGCTATAACCAATGCTGCTGTCGAGTTGAAGGTTCTTGAGCGTCTTGGCCTTAAGGCTAAGACTTATGGCACTGATCCTGCTTTCCCTGACGAGAAGGATCAGAAGATTAACAGTGATGCTGTTGTTGCCATGTACAAGGTGATACATTCATCTGCTCGGATTCATATATATGGGTTGCTGACTTGTGCTTTTCTAGGAATGTGTTATCCCCTTGACCAAGGTTGTTGAGGTCGAGTACCTCATGCAGCGTCTCAAGGGCACACAATGGGAGTAAGGAGGAACTGGTCATGAAGTTACGATGCCGATATTTTCCTTAGAGTTTCCATAGTTACGAAGATCATGCGGCCGGCAGAACAAATATAGACAGCGCAAAAGTGCAGGAATCTAGCACAATATATATATATTCATAAGCCGGACATAAGTTTCATGACTCTAGAAGTCACGGTACTGTTTAAGACAGGTACTCAGTAACAGCCTTGACCATAGGCTCGAACTTCGACCCCTCAATGAGCATCAAGCTACCATTGGTGCGGATACCAAGTTCCTGGAAGGCACGTTTGGAGTCAGAGTGTCCCTCGGCGAACTTGTGAGTGTACTCCACAGAGCCGGAGCAGAGTGCATGACGCTCCAGGATCTCATCCTCGGGGTGGAAGAAGAAGCGCTCGGACTTCTCGCCATCTTTCTTCTTCTTCTTCTGTGGCCGGGACTCCTCTTGGTCAAGCTTGGACTCAATCTCTTCGTAGTTCTTGGAGAGAATCAGATAGTGCGAGAAGGAGTACGGCTCCTTGTCCTCAATGGCCCAGGCAATCTCTTCCTGAAGCATGTTGTACATGGGCGGGACGGTCTCGGAGGGCATGTTAATCAGGCGCTCAGTGAGGATGAGGCCGATGGGAGGGATGGGGTTTTGAGAGAGGAGCTCGTTGGCGGCAGACAGGGAGGGGTTGGCGGCAGTCTTGGTCTTGAGATACTTGATGATCTCTTGGATGACGGGTTTATCCTGCATTTGTTAGCATGCGTGAGGTTGTCAAAGCGATGTAATTTACATACCTTGTGTTCCTGCAGGTTGAGAACCGATAGGAAGGCGTAAGGGTCGGACTCGTTTCCATCAACCTTGACCGTCGATCCCAGTGTAGGCTGCGAGAGGATCAGATCTGCTAGCGCGGACATATCGAAGATCTGGGCGTCATTGTCGAACAGCTGGCGCAGGAGGTTCTTCAGGCCGTGAAAATCGACAGCAGGTTGCGGGTCGAACCATTCGAAGTCAACATTGACCATGTCAATGTCCTGTTGTCGTCATTCATGTTAGCAATGCTCGAGGTCCAGTGAGATCTAGCCAGTCTGACCTCGTCGGAACCGTCATCCTCTGGCTCTGTGCCGCCCATAGGGACATCGCCGAGGTCTTTCCGTTTAACCATATTGAATAATGCTGTATGGTTGAGTAAAGGTGAGGTTCGAAGTCGCCCCGCGCTCGGCCGCTTGCGAACTTTTTCCTTATCGGCTCTTATCAGTCACAACCCTAAATCTTTGTATACTCTTGGAGCTCGGTCTTATGAATCTTTTGTTCAAGTGCTACGGAACGGTCTCTTCGAAGGTTAATACTCTTTTTATTCAGCTGTGGTATTCTAGTAGCATCTGCAAATGTTTTCTTGTATATAGCTAGACCGCTGTATCAAACCTGAGACAACAACTCGACTGTTGTCACCTTTTTCTTTACTATAGGGGGAAATTTCCTAACCAACGCGTCAGTCAAAAGACACCCCGGACAAAGGCAAATGCCTAACTTGTCCTACTGGGCAACAATCATTCCAGCTACCCATATGAATTTAAGATTCACTCACTCATTGAATCCGCTTTCTGCCTTCTTGTATCGCGTAATTTCGTTTCCAGAAATCGTTCCTTGATCTTCCAATAATGTATTGATCCTATGCAGGAAGCTTCATAGCGCAGTGTTCCTTAGTCAACGAAGAAAGAGCTCAGCAACCCCGGCTTGGGCTCGACGCTTGACCCGTCCAACCAGGCAATACCATGCTACGAGCGTTCCTGGGGCCGATATTGCTGGCATCTCGGGTTTCTAGCAAAGCGTATACACTCATCAATTACTCCTGGTATAAATTCAAACTTTTTTCACTCCTTGACTTCTTCTACATCCAACCATTCATCTCAGGCCAGACATTAGTGACTGGTCCACATCATCACCCTTTCTTTACGCGTTGGATAAAAACCTCCCCTTCCAACTGCTCTTCCACAATGCCTTTAGGAGTGAGTCGATGAAAAGACCTGATGGCGTATTGTCGCTAACGAACGCAGAACACACCACTTTCCAACGGTCACGGGGTGCCAGATGATGGACCCCTGCGATACGACTCCGAGAGCATCGCTGAGGCTGACGCGATTGCCACTCAGGAAGAGACCCGAGTTGAACAGGCCGTGAAAACTGCCCTGCTCGCATGAGATAGCCATTAATGCCATCGCCAATGCAGTTCGTCTTGGCGCGCGCGCAGACGCCTTGCGCCGTTATGGTGCAAGATGCTGAGCTGCGGCGTTTAAGTCCTATGATCTCAATTCTAGGCCTCGTACAGAGACCCGTTCCCTAAATGACTCTGTTTGACTGCGGTACTCTGTCTATTTCCTTTACATTCGTTCAGCAAGAAGGCTAGCAACTCCAATCTTATCTAGGGAACGAGAATTTGAGGATCCCGACTGGTGGATCGTTTGCGTTTCTTCTAGTTTTTACCGCTTGATCCATTATAAATTGGTCATAACATCCAACGGCCCATTCGGGACACCTCTGCGATACAATTGAACCAGCATAAGCGAGGCGGAGGCCACCGCCACTGAGGCCGAAGCCTGGGTTGGAGAGGCTATTATCGTGCTATGACACCCGATGCTGCCTCTTTGACCTAGGTGACCAATATTACCGATGCAACCAGGAGAATATGGGTGCAAGAACGGATGAGGTTAATGGAAGGTGGCATGCTATATCAGAATGTGGAGATAGGTTAGAGTTCGAGCAAATCCGAGCCGGACTATGATTCATGCGATAGTCTTGTGTCCTTGCAGCCTATTCAGGTGCCAGATAGACACAATGTATAAGTCCCTGCAATGATTTCAAGTAACAGGCCTGTTCAAACTCTATGGACCTCATTGGTTGAGAAGTATCGAGTCTAGAAAAAGCAACTCTCTCCCCATGGCCATATTGTATAAGTAGTTCTATATCTAATCAAATGCAAATCAAACGTCATACTCAACAGCCTCAACAGTGGGCACCTTATGGAGCTTAACATCAAAGAATTGGGCAACAAGCTGCACACAATTCCAGATAGCCTCGACCTCCTCCTTCGACACACCAAGTCGTCTAGTCCCACGAATATGCCAATGCGTCTCCTTGGGCAAATTCTGGCTCATAATGCCAGGAAGAACAACCAACTGCGTATCCAAATCATCAAGAATTGCCCGATCCGACAAAAACAGCCCATAAGTAATCTCCTTCGACAACCAAGAGAAATCACGATGCGCACTGAACAGATCTAGTGTGCCACTCGTATTCCGCGAGTACAATTTCTGCATCCAGCCAGTGCCACGCTCGTGGTTCGCCTGGTCACATTGCCAGCCTTCACGCGTGAAGGTATAATCCTTATCTTCGTCGCGCTCAACCTCGGCAATGGAGAGGATTGCCTCGATAGGCTTGCAGACTCCAACGATTGGGACGGATTTGACGAGTGCTTCGCGCAGTCGCCGGATCAGAGCTTGTCGGGCTGCCGGGGTGGTGTATTGCTCTTGCTGGGTGAGGTGGAGGTAGAGCTGGTCTGCGCGCTCTGGATCTGGGCTTGCGGCTAGAGTGGAGATTGCTAGTATGTACCACTTGTCGCTGCCAAGCTTTGTTGTTTTGAAGCGGTTCTCGAGCTCGGTGAACAGCGCGGAGAAGCGGGGCTGCACTTCTGTTGGGCTTGTTGGTGCTTCTGGAGTGGCTGAGGTGTTCATTGTGGCAATTTTGTATGGCTGATAGATTTTTGGGATTGTGTAGCTCGTTGTATGCCTTAGTATTTGACTGGCTCGGGTTTGTATACGCGCGAACATAGTTTGGGAGGTTGATATTCACTCAATCGCATTTCTCTCCGATGACGGGAGTGGGTCGCTGCACGTACGTGTTCAAGGCATGTTGGTTGGAAAAAAGTAGTTGTTTACAATCCTCGATTCTCTTGCACTCCAAGCACTGAGCGATATGGCTTCTCTATAAAAATTGAAGCATAAAGGGTTTTGAAATTGTAAATTGTGGCTACGTCAGATATCCAAGCTTACACGGTTCACCGCCCGCACATCGTGAGTATCAACAACATGCGGTTTTTACCGGACCATACACCCCGGACATTGTCAAGTGGTGAACTTTATCCATGATCTTCATAGGCCGCATCCATTTCTATCTCTTGTTCCTTCCCAGAACCACCTTCCCATCTCTAAATGCGGTTTATCCCAGTCTCATCCAATCACTTCTGAGCATCCTGGCCAGCGTAGGCTTATCCCAAACTGGCATGGAATGCCCGGTGATCATCTGAGCGGTCAAAATGTTGACGGGATCGGTTGTCGGGGTGGTGGAGACTTCGACAGCGAGAGTGTGAATAAGGGCTCGGCCAACTCGGCCTCTGCCTGAGCGAGTGGCATCGGCATCGGCTTTGGCAATGCTAGTGGAATCGTAGCGCAGGAGCCGATTATCCCGCACCCTATTCGCGCGTGGTGGGCTCTATGGGTGTCGGTTTCGGAGAGAATACACCATCAGGTATTAGTATAAACTCACTCCGTGGGGAGGCATATTATTGCGAAGATACAATAAGACGATGTGTGGGCGAAGGTAGATAAAGATGAATGTTGGTTGTAGAGGGAATAAGTCAAGAATGGAGAGGATCTACAATATTTTCCAGTAGAATGATGCTCACTTCAACAGGGCATGGTAGCTTCGAGGCATTTAGGGAGAGATTCTTGATTCATACCAGTAACTCGAATTCTCACTTGGGCAAGACAGAGTAACCACTAGACCTTTAGCATCATCTTTGACTTGTATATAGTTGGCTTCATAATTTGTGCCTTAGGGTTTGTTAAGTAAAGCTCTGTGGATGCCCAATGCTGAGAGCTCTTCATAGACGAGGCAGCTGCTTGCCAGTGTCGTTGGACTTGGTGTTGAGCGGTGCTCGTACATCTAGAAGTGAAGCATGTTGATTTGTCGGGGTTTAACCTAGGAGCTATGCATTCTTCATGGTCAAGTGGTTATAGCAAGATGACATGGAACTAAATTCCGCAATTTGATGCGGTTTATGTTCGACTTTTCTTTTATAAGTATTGTTGAATTAGATCGAGCGATGTTGATCCCTGATTCCTGGGGAAATTACGGCCCTATTGGGTCGCTGTTCTGCATTTCGGCAGGAGCCTATGCTGGAGATAAAGAATGGGAACGAGGTTTCGTATGAAGATTACTACGGGTGAAAGGCATGGATGCAGGGCTGAAATAGAATTGGGCGGTAAGATTGGCAATATTCTAGAATTTGACCGCATCCCAGGCGCCATAAACACAACCTTGGCAGGCCTTAAAGAGACGCCAGTCAGGACCGTTCCTTGCAAAAGGATAAAGTGTAAACAACAAAGATGGACCATCTTCCGGTGGAGCTTCTGAGACAAATAAGTCTCAATGTAAGTGCGCCTCAGAGTCTCTTGTTGTATCAAGGAACTAATTTGGTTGTATTAGCTCAAATTTGATGGATCAAATTCGCGTGAAGATCTGAAGTCCTTCAGCAAAGTCAGCCGGATGTGCTATAGCATAGCTATTCCCATGTTATATGAAGACCTCACTGTCCTGTTCTGGGATCCCAGGAGCCTTCGAGCTTCTTGCTCTTGGCTGGCAGAAGATGGTCTAGGACGTGGGCGTCAGTTCATGAAATACGCTCGACGACTATTCATCGTCTGTATCCCAGCGCCCATTGATGATCTTAAAACTTCGCGAAAAGAGCTTCGGTGGAGATGGGACAGCTGGAAGTTGAGGTATCCTTATTATAACAAACACCCGGCAACGCGAGACACTTTTCTGGAGCGGGATATGACAGATCCTACCCTGTTCTTGGACCTCGAAGTTCTTCCTGGCGCCGATGCTACCAGTCTGGATATTTCCAGCGTGGGGTATTGTGAAAGAGACTGGACGCATCTTGCCTCCCTCATCTCTCGTCTACACTGCGTCGAGCAGCTCGAATTCCTTCCGCAGAACGAGTTCCCGGTTACTTTAATGGATTCCATATCCCAACATCATCCCAACTGCAAACTGAATATTTGGTGGCCGCAGTCGGTGGCGTTCAATTTACCAGGTCTGAAGCCCGGGGTCGAGCACTTTGCAAGATCTGTAACGGACTACTTCTACGGAGAATACCAATACCAACAAAATTGCGATATGCTTCGTCTTCAGAATCTACACACATTAGCTATTGAGCTACAGCAAAATCCTGGTGTCGAGTGTGAATACCTAGTGGAATTGCTCCCCTTTCTCTTTCAGTCCCCAGGCCTGAAGCACCTCGTCATACAAACCAGTTACGAAGTTCCATTCGATTGGGTAAAGTTACGCGATGGGCTAAAGGCATTCGATACCCTGAAGCGAGAGTGGCAGAAAGTTGCTACTTCTGCTCCGCCCGTGCCGGTGTCTTCCCTGGAATCAATTTCAATTCCAGGAGCTGGGCCAGGACTTCGACAAACCGGGCCAGGGGAGGAACTCCTACTCAAGATAATGGGCGTTGTGGATCTGTCTCGACTTCGATCCCTTCAGATCAACAGCGTTCGTGATTCAGCAAAACTTGCCCGTGTGGCCACCCTGCTCCCTAGCCTTGAACGACTTTTCATATCTGCCCAGCCGCTAGTCTGGGTGAGCGACTTCGAGAGCACCGATATACATAGACAGGATATGGTCGACGCAATTCGCGCTTTCCACCCTTTGGAATATCTCCATCTTTCGGGTATTTGCAGTGCTCCTTCCCTCATGCAAATCATACAGCGTCATGGCCCTTCGCTAAAGGGGCTCATCATTGCACCAAGCATTCGGGCTGGCTATAGTTCACTTGATGTCGACGGTGGATATAAATATGACTATCCACTCCTGAATCTCTCCGATATCCACGAACTAGCTGAGTCATGTCCCAACCTAGAAGAGCTGCGGCTTCAGGTACAAAGAACGAAGAACCGTGTAAAGGAATGCGAAATATACAAGGCTTTAGGGAACCTCACAAACCTTCATAGCCTCATGCTAGATCTTCACCTTGATCCTCAGCCACGGCTCGACGATGAGTACAATCACTCTGTCCTCGTGGAAGCGTTGGTCAATTCAGCCATAGACAAGTATCTAGCCCATGAGATTTGGGATTTGGTCTGCTCCGAGCAAATCTCTTGTCGTCTGAGCAACTTGCGTATAATACCTTTCGGGCACATGTCGCAGATCAAAAGCATTTCTAGATGGTTTTCACGATCATTCCTGGTGACACGTTACAACGCCAATGACATCGGGGTACCGAATGTGGTGGAAATTGGCAGGAGAGAAGCGGTAATACGACGAACGTATGCAATCACTACCCAGGATGACTATCTTCCTCTTGACGTCAGAAACGCTCTTCTAGATGTCTGGCCGGGCGGAATGGATAGTAAATGGGTAAATGGATGGAAGAGCTATCCTTTGGTGTCCAGCTAAGTCAATATCGTTTACAAAAACATGAATACTATGCATTAGTCTTTTTGATTATCTTGTAAGGGCCCGACTTTCTGAAGAAACGAGTGAGGAAACTTCATTGGCACGAACTATCCTGATACACAAGCGAAGCACCTCTATATATATATCGGACCGCAATAATCGTTCAGACGTTGCAAATCACATAAGCAGGCGAAGACGTCAAGGACTGTAATTCTTTGCCATTTGTAATATCGCCGAAATTAGCCAGCTTGCCTTTTCACATCGACATGCACCATAAATGTACTGTAGTTGACGCCGGCCTTACGATTTTTCGAGGTATGTACGAATTCACTCCCATCAATGTTAACAGACATGCCACCGTCCATAATACCAGAATTCAACGTATAATTTGGTGTTTGATAAACTAAATTATCGTGATACATGGACCCTAGTTTCATTGCAGTTCCCAGCATCCTCGATGGTATGCTACACCATCGTGACTTGGATTGTCTCCCGATCGGAAATTAAAACCGCACAGAAGTGTATAGTAAGATTGAAAATATCAACTAGCTCGATCGATTAGATCAAAGCTACAGTAATCCAATAGCAGGACACCGGACTGCCAGGTACAGTACAAGCATCAACGTCAGAAGAAGCCTAAGAGAAGACTAGGAAGTGGATACCTTCCAAGGTCTCCACCGTTGAACGATGTCACCGACTACTTCCTTGATTGCCAGTGATGCAAAGAGAAAAGTAAAGAAGGGTCCAGAGCACACGCGACCAGAAATCGCAGGGTTGAAACTGTTGTCGCCATCCAACCTGGTCAAATGCCCCACTATGATCTCAGTGACTCCAGCATGACATCACAAGTACAATTTCAACTATAAGACCAAGGGTCGAGCTTCAGCATTTGATTTCCGCTCAATCACATCCAAACTTCTCTACCACTCTTCTAAATTTCAAGAAGATAAACCAACAACCCGTCTCTCCCCCTTTCAAACACCTTTCTATACACAATGTCTGGCCAATCTTCCGTCGGAGACCGCTCCATCTACGAAGCTGGTGACCAGCGCAACCCCCCTCTCTCAGAGCTCAAGGAGCGCGCTCGCTACGCCGAGGGCCAGACACACAGCCACCAGAACCTTGACTCCAAGGATGGTCGTTCCATCGCCAACAAGCTTGCTTCCCAAGAGCACAAGAGCGACCCCTCGCACCACCACAACGGTGTTCAGAACCAGGAGGCTGAGTTCAGCAAGCAGGACCCTACCAAGCCCGTAAGTGATAAGAACTCCCATATCGGAATATTCAATTGCTAACAGTATTTTCAGGCCCAGCTCCACGGCAATGCTCCCTCCAAGGGCGCCAAGATCGACGCCGAGCTCCAGGCTGAGGATGAGCAGCGCCTTCGCGAGAAGGGCATCAAGAAATAAGTTATTTTATGATGTTATGATATAATAAAATACCAGCACCAGACCTTAAGGTCGGGTTGGTGGGGATGGATTTATTGCATGATGTACGATATAATGATATCTGGTTATAACGTTCCTCATTGATTGAGTGTGACCATTGAATGAATACATTGAAGAAATCCTTGTTTCTTGCGTAACACGTGTAGAGAAGCTGGGTCAAATTTGAAATTCTTGTGCAGCAAGAAAAAAAAAATGGTCCGTACTGTACATGGCTAGTATAACGTCATAGCCTGCTTTTGGTGGGGATGGTACCAAAGGGCTTGTGTGCCTCCATTGTTCGTGTGCTAGACACGACTGTTCTGACCTGTGGGACCAGTACACAGTAGCCAGACTAGGTGACATTTGTGGTCTTGCTCTCCCGTGGAGTTGAGGTGGTATAACGCAGGACAGTGTCCAAGCCAGGAACCCGACTCCGGGCCGGGAAAGAAGTTGAACAGACCAGAAAGCGGCCCGAAGCGCAAAATAAAGCGCAGTAGATCCAAGGCCAGCGATCATCCATCCAGAGTGAACTTGGGATCATCGTCATGCGGTCCAGCAAAGACGTGGCCCCAGTATTCCTCGACTTTCTCGCACAGGCCCACTTTGTTCTCCCATGTCTTGAAGGCTGTCTCAAGATTACAGCTGACCCATTTGATCTCCTCCCAGTAGGCCTTTTCTACGTCGTATCCGAACCTGGCCACGGTGTCCAGCGGTGCGGTCCAGGCTCGTCCGTCCGAGCCATCTTCTTTCAGCGTAGGAGTTGTTTCCCATCCCATACCGAAGATGCGGTCTCCGGGGTTGAACTTGGGGTAGTTCGCGTGGATCCAAAAGATATGTGGTGCCGGGGCCACAGCCTGGTCTTTTACCCGCCACTTGTCTTGTTGCGTCAAGACGTAGTCTTCGCGCGGATCTGACTGCGCCATGGCTGATCCAGACAGGCCATCTGCAGTAGCATGTCCAATAGCCTGCACCCTCTCACTGACGGTATAGAAAGGTGCGCCAAGTGCCGAAGCAGCTTGAATAAAGGTTTCCTTGTCGCCCTCACCAGGACCGCCTTGGGTTAACAAGCGGAAATAGTGGGACGGGCCGTAGAAATTGTAGTACGCGGCCAATAAGAGCGGTAACAAATGTGTTTTCTTCGAGACTAAGAAAGCCCCTGTTTCTGATGACTGACGGGCAGCCATAGCTGGCGCCTCTTGTCGTGAGATTCTGTAGTATAGCGGGGATGCGGAGGAAGCCCAGAAGTCGGGCCAGGTCACTAGGCCATTGGACTTGAATGGCTCTGAGTCTAACAGTTCTTCTGGTTTGCCAAGGGGAAAGCAGTCGGCGTCCATCCAGATAATGTCCTCAAAGGACGAGAATAACACCGCAAAGATCTTGAGTTGATAGTGCTCGATGATGTTCTTGCCCACAACATCAGCTAATACCAAGCATCGCGCATCAAGTTTAGGAAGCACTTCATTGCAAACGCGTTTCTCATGCTCGCTGGCATCCTTCATGTAAAGTTCAACTGGTAATGTGGATCCAGCGCGGCGGAGCATTCGCAGCGAGGACACAAACACGGGGAGGTAGGTCGCACCAGCCGTAGAAACCAACCCTCGCTTCCCCGGAGTATGAATAGGCTTCAATTCCTTGCCGGTGTTTTTGATATCCTGAATGAAGCTCGCATGGGCCTCTTCCATCTTGCGCTCATCTTCCTCGCTCAGGGACGTCAGGTCGGGCCTCGGGAACTCCTTTGTCGGATCGAAATGCTGAGCGTCCACATCGCCTAGTTTATCCGGAGAAGGGCAGTTGGGGTTGTGTCGTTCGAAGATCGGTCGAAGGACCTTCCAGAAGTCTTTTTGGCGTTCCGTGAGGGGGACCTCGAAGGCTGTATTCGGGACGAGGGAGACGGTGGAGGATGCGGTGGTCGGGGTCCAATAGAAGTAGACGGTGCAGACAAGGATCAGTGAAAGCATGGCCAGGACGAGGGACCTCGCCCTCCCAGGGCGAAATGCACCACCCATTGTCACTGACGCCAATGTTGACTCGGAGAGTTTGCGCTTTGGGTCAGGGGTTCAGGAGCGGCGCACGGCCACAGCCAGAACCACGTTACTGAACGGTTGAACTGAAACTGTGTACAGACAGTATAGACTATACAGAGTGCAAGTACATGGCTGGAGTATAACAGACCGGGGTGTTGGAGAGTGTGGCGTTCCCCGGGCAGAGCGGCAGAAGATTGGTCCAGGCTTGGCGGGTCATATTTAGTCTATTCAGGCTGTACAAACTGGTGCAAGTTGACCGTTAGGTATAGTATGGTATAGTATAGTATGTGAATCAGATATATTGAAAACCAAGCACGAGACCCCGAAACACCCCAATTTTGGGCCAACCGAGGCAGGCGCAAGTGCACTAAGATGCGCGATTATTTCATGATCACCGAGTGGAACCAGACAGGAGAAATCAGTCGCGAACGCCCCTTCAGGTCTTGCTAGAGGCGCGGATCATCCTCCACCGGGCAGATCTCATATCCACCCCCCAGCACTCTTCTTTTCTTCTTCAGTTCTTCCTTTTCCCCTAACCCCCCAGATTCCACTCTGACCTTTTCCCCCGGTCTTACAAATCTCCGTTCCCAACGTTCCGTTCCCCGCAACCTTGTACTGCCTTTCAACTTTTCCTCGGGCCTTCGCGGTCTCAACAGATGGACCCCGTGCGGGCAACCAGATCATCCGTTCATGATGCCCTCCGATAACCCAGATCCTCGGCCTCGAGAACCGGCGCTCAAGGGTAAATCCCGCAAGACCGACCCGAATGCCCCCGTCCGAAAGCGCCGCAAGAGAACCGTCGTCAGCGGGGCCCCCGACGACTGCTTTGCCTGTTCCAAGCGAGGAGCACGGTGTGATCGGCGCAGACCATACTGTTCTCAGTGCCTCGAACTTGGTCGCGAATGTTCCGGATACAAGACGACGTTGACATGGGGAGTTGGAGTCGCAAGTCGAGGCAAGCTCCGCGGGCAGAAGCTGCCGGTGATGGAATCGGAAGAGCAAGCGACACCTGCGAAACCTCAACCAAAGGCCTCAAATAGCAGTGGTCCGTCTTCATCAAGGACTCTCTATAATGCTTCCGTTCCGGTGCCTCCGGTCACTGGCCCATCAGTTTCATCGTTCGACGCTGGGACCGCCAATGTGAAAATGGAAAGTCCGCCGCCCATGATGCCGGGATTCGATATGCCGTGGACAATGGATATGCCAGATCCCCAGTCGTGGTCCAATACGGCTGCTTCAACACCCAAGATTTCCGGATTGCCATTACCATCCCGGCCTTTGGTGCCAAATACTACTCAATGCATGACTCCGGACACGGTATCGCAGTATGCTCCTATATTGAGCCCAACAGCCAGCTTTAATTCGCCAGTCTGGCCCACTGCAATGCCTTTGTCATATCAGCCTGTCACTCCGCCGTCATCACACGATGCTGATGAAGAGGATGTCAAGAGAGATCCCAATTACCATATGCTTTGGAACGCCGCAAATTCCCCGTCACTATCTCAGCTCCTTTTGGCGCGATCTGTGGGAAAGACGCCTCGTCTTCGTTATCTCATCAGCTACTATGCTGAAGTTATTGCTCCCATGATTGTTGCTTTTGACAGCCCATCAAATCCATTCCGCACGCATGTCATCCGTTTGGCCGTGGAGAGCGAGGCTTTGCAAGAAGCAATTGCAACATTAGCCACAAGTAACTTGCGACAACGGCGAAAGCATAACCATCGTTCTACTGAAAGAACATTACCGGCACGTATGGCATCGATGGCTCATCGTGCCCTTACCGATGAAGACTTCCAAGACCGATATGGCATCTCCGTTCCGGAAGGATACCAGAGGGAAGAAAATCACCACCGAGGGATGGCCGTCAAGGCTTTGAACGCCGATTTGGCTGACCCCCGTCGAAGATTGTCAGACTCGGTGCTGGCGACACTTCTAATGCTCTGCTTGTTCCATGGCTGTGACACTGGTGTCGCTGAGTTCCGGACACAGTTCGCAGGAGTGACAAGGCTCCTCGCGATCCGAATGCGCCATTCTCGCGTGTTAACAGATGATCTCAAATGGTTCATCCGCATGTTCTCATGGTTTGATACGCTTACAGCTACTACGAATGACCGTGATGTACAGCTTCGTGGGACATGTTTAGAGATCAGTTCGAAAACCGACGGAGAATGGGGGTTGGAGAATCTAGCTGGTTGTGATGGTCGTTTATTCAAATTGATCTCTCAGCTGGGCCGCTTGAATCTTCTCAGTCAGGATCAAACTCCTAATCTCTCGCGCCCAACTGATGCTGCTGTGTCCACCGCACCACTTCCTCCTTCTATGCTATTCCCAGGGTGGGAGACTGTTACTCCAGATCCTATGGCTGGTTCCATGCCGCTTCCTGGGTACGGGTTCTCCCTTCCCACACCGCCGCAGAGCAGCGAACAGTCCCGTCGGCCATCCTCTCCAGAATTCTGGACTGAATGGTATTCACTTAGGCAGCGACTTGAATCCTGGCGATTCGACCCACCTGCTGAAGCATCCGCTTTCCCCTCTCCACCCTTGTCTGCATCTACTATGTCATGGAACTCCACCAACTATACCGTGCCGCAAACCTCAACATCTGCATACCAAGTGGCCCCCGAGAATCTCCAGGATGTCTTCCAGATCTCGGAGTGTTTCCGCCATGCCGCGCTTCTATACTGTGAGCGCCTAGCGGAGCCCACTCTCCCATCACGGCATGGACGTATCCAGCACCTCGTCCAACTGGCTATGCACTGTCTCTATACCGTGCAATCAGATGTCTATCTTCTCTGGCCACTATTCATTGTGGGATCAGAGTGTGTTGACGAGAATCACCGCTCGATCATCCGAAACCGCTGCAAGGATATCTCCAAGGATTCCGGCTTCGTCAACAACCTATCATGTCTAGAACTCCTAGAGCGGATCTGGGCGGAGTATTCTGATGAATCCTCGTACCCTGTTTATCCAAGCGACTTCGGCCCCCCACCTCCGCTGGCTGGAGGTCGGGCACCAACGTCGCAGGCCTTCCGATGGTCCCAAGTCATGCAGGCCAAGCGGGGCGGCGGAGAATACATGGTGGCATAGATTGTTTTGCTTTTGTCTTTATTAATTCATACCCGGGCTCTACGGTATGCTCGCGGTCTCCAGCTTTTCAGCATCCGGGATAGGCTTTCTTTTATCAGGATCAGCGATTTGGGTTTCATTTGATACCATTCTTTGTGCAGCAGTTTGCCATTGGTTGATACCATTTACATACTGGCTCTCTTTTGTCTATTAGTTAACTTATAGATCGCATGTATATATTCCAGGCCAGCAGCCAATATAGAACTGCCTTTACATTTGATACTGCAGCCGAGTTGATAAAGCAACAATCTATAACCAGCAACCAGCAACCAGCGACCAACAGCTAATGCAAACTAACCTACCAAAATATCCCCATCCTTTCATCCATTCCATGAGCATACGACCACATTTCAACCAGAACTCCACGACCACCCACACCCCGGATACCTACCCAGTCGGGGAATTCCACCCCGAGTCTATCTCCCACATTCATACGCCAAAAAGCAAGAAACAACCAATGGACACCCCTTGTCACAATCCAACCCAGCGCCCCCAAAACACCAAAACCAAAAGTACTGCCCCTAACACAAAACCAGTCACAGACCCGTAGGGCACAGGGCAAGGGCAAATTCCAAACCCTACATGCACGTCAACACACACAAAGAAAGCACGTCCGAAAAACATCAGAAAAATCAAAATCAAAAATAATTGCCTCGAAAACAGAATGCAGAGGACAGCCTCAAATCCCTGACTGATAACAATAATAATAATAATAAAAAAGAACTTAATATTCATACCGCTCAATCGCGCCAAGGCCAAGGGAGACCGATATTTCACACCGGCCCAAAATACCAATAGGATCCAGGTAAAGTAGGACCGATATTTTGTTTTGTTTTAGTTTCTTCCGCGGCTTGAATCCTTATGTCCGCTCGTGCAAGGGGTAAGCTGGGTAGCTGGTAGATAGTAGTTAGAGCTACGGGTGGTAATCTAATGTGATTGAGCCTAGAGCGTGCGAGCGAGCGTGCACATTTAGTACGGTTCATCCGTAAGTTAGTTTAATTAATTTGTTTCAATTTCATAGACTGAAAGTTGATTTCGAGGCTGTGCCTGTTCCTTGTTTCTATTTGCATTGTGGCGGTTCAGTAATGCAAGCACAGAATCTCCATATTAAATCGCAATTATCGGTCATCTGGCTAGGTTGCAGGATTATTGTTTCGGAGTTGCGTTCGGAGTACGAGTACGAGGCGGAGGTAGCTGCTATGTGCACGGCTTCATACTGATACTGATGCTGATACGCAAGCACGGAGTAAAAGTAACAGAAAAACCAACATGTAATTAATGTGTGATCTCGGTGTCCTCATCCAGCAAAAGATGTAACATATTTGCCATGCGAGTCATTCGAAGCTTACAACAAAGTCGCACAAAGAAAATACATATAAAAATGAAGATTTGGGTTGACGGTCTAGCGCCCGTGCGCCGGTTCAAGGTTATGTTCCTACATGTCCAGCCAAGCCTGAGTCTGCCGGCTCTCAACCCGCCCTGCAGCCCTTAGCTTAGCCCCGTCATTGGTGTAGGTTTACCCTAGCCTTTAAACCTTGTTCCAGAAATTCCATCGGTTCCTAGGCTTAGGCGAGCATTACGCATGTCTCCATTTTTCATTTTCCTTTCGGACTCCTTCGATCGCCCATTCCATGTGAAGTAGCAGCTGGAGCCTGCTGGAGCTCAGCTTTGGTTGGGGGGTGGCAAATTGGAGTGGCTGTCGAATGGGAGTGTCATATATGTGTGCTGAGTAGGCAGACACATCGAACATTATATGTATGATGATTTTTATGCTTGCCTTGCATGTGAGATCTATCCTGTCTGCACGATCAGAAAAATGTTAGTGGGCTGTAATTAATTTGTTATTATTTTACTGTTAATTAAACGCCATGTGCAACCCTAGCTGATCGGCGGTGCAGGGTGTGTTTTGTCTTGTGAATGGCTACTTGGGTAAAACAGGGGCAGGTTTTCTCGAAGGAGTTGACTCATCTCGAGAAAAACAAAACCCTCGAATCAGGGATCGGCCTTGAATTCTTTGGGTGCGCCGCAAGGACGTGCTGAAATTCCTTCCATTTCATCCCTTTACTCGGTGCGTGAGCGTAGCAGCCGTGGTATTGTTGGTATCGGTGGCTGGGGTAAATTGCGGTGGCCCTTTTCACATTTGGAATACTGGACACATTGTTTTCTTGGTTTCAGAGTGTACTGTGTGTGGGATTTGGGATCCAACTGCAGTATCACTGCCAGACATGCTGCATACATCAGGCCTTAGTGTTGGAACTAACTAGTTCCGAAAAGGGCAGATTAGGGCTTGGATGCGGTCGCAGCGAGTCGCCTATTGCTCATAACCCCACGCTGAAGCAAACGGGTGGGCAGTCAATTGTTCATGGATGACAGCCGTTGATCCAGAACTCTGACTTCATGATGCGTTGGTTTGGAGAACAAGGCTCCATCTTCAATCCCAACGTCAACACAGCCGGGCCATCAAGACATCTAGAGCCAGTCTTCATCTCTATTTTTGCTAGCTGAAGTTTCTGTCCGTCTGGTGACGGTATCCAGTGGAGGAGCAAGTTGCGGTCTGCGAATTTCTCTATATTTTGGCCCAAAGTAGTCGGTTGCTGCCCAGCGACGCAGCGGTAAAGCCCATGCATGGTCCGTGATGTTGCCCAACAAGAACAAGCGAAAGGTGTGTAAATACAAAGACCCTGATGGGGCTCGTTGGTTCTTGCCATGGCAACGTGTATCTGTAACGTTGTTCGGAGAATATCTATAGTGGAGTCTTTGAATAAGTGAACCGCTGGACGAGACGGGATGGGCCGTGAAATCGCGATCGAGTTGCGAGCCAACCATGGAACCGGCTTTTAGTTGGGACTACATCTAAATGTGCAGACACACTCACACACATGTACTTTTGCAGGTGTCTTTGTATTCGTTGTAGATGTTTACCACTTTCCCCCATCCAGTATTCCTCCGGGCAAACTCACCCATGGAGTTCATGCAGATGAAGTGGCCCGTGGAAAATGTACCCTACTTCTGGAAGGCACATGGTTTTGCGCTCATCCAACCCGACTATGACACGCCAGCTGATAGAGGGTGCCTAGATTACGTCTATAGCTGCAAGGCAGCCAGTGAGATCTTTGATCAAGCTCACCATGCGCCGGTTTTTTTCCTACTTCGCCCAGGTGCTGAATCAAAGTGAGTCAGAGAGGCATAGTTGGGCGACATATAGTTGCCTTACATGGAAATGCAGATGTCCGAGTCAACTGAGGGGCTGCTCACAAGCGCTTTGCATATCGAGGAGAGTCTCCATCTGGACTAGTTGGACTAGTCTGAGGGGTAGACATAGTACTTTGGAGAAGAGTCAGCTCGAAAGTGGTAGGTGACTCGAGAAGAATCGCCACGGTGAGTCACAACTGAGAGAGTTAGGTATAAAACCTCGTAGATAGACAGGGAATTAACTATTTTATAGGTGTAAATCAATGATTTAATTCTATAATCTAATTTTATCTTATAAATTTGGAAAAGAATAGAATAGAATACCCGTATGTGTATTACCAAACGCCACAGCCCACGCCAACTCACACACACTTGATTTGGCGCCAATATCAGTTCCTCCTTTCATCCTTTCGAATTTTTCCCTCTCCACTTTCTCTTCCTAACTTCTCTGTGGGAGACTCTGTCTTTGTTATTACTGTTGGGCTCCCCGTCAGGAGTCATTCTCTTATCATTCTGCCCATCTGGTAGCTGGTAGAGCTGCCCCCCCCTATTCGCACTCTCCCTTCTTCAGTGGATCGAGACCGAACGTTCAAATGCCCTCTCAGCTCATTCAGTTTCAACCCTCCTCTCTTCGATCGGAAACCGTACCGCGGTGACGGTCCTAACCCCAAAAAATCCTATCTGGCCTGCAGTTCTGAATCGGCGTCGATTTCTGTTTGGGTGCACGATATCCTGTATAATATACTCGGTGTTCTTTCTTTTTTTGTCTCTTGTCTCTTTGCCATTGCATTTCTTACAATCTGAACTGCTCCATGCTCGTTCGATAATGTATCATTACTCCAGTCCACCACCCGGGTGGTCCACCTACGACTACTCGCAGTCTCCTCCAACCTCACCTCACTACGCCTACTACGCCTCTCAGTTCGCCAACACATACTCCTCACCCCGGGGCACTTCGCGACGACACAACCGCAAGGCCAGCTACACAGCCACCAAAGAAACGGGGGGATGGTATTCGACCACGGGCTACCCGCACGGCTACTACGAAGCCACGCCAGACTATGGCATTCCATCGCGAAAGCACGATCATGTAAGTGCTTCTTTTGCGGAAATGCCCAAACACCGTCGATACCACTCCTCGGCTGGTCATCCTACGGGGGATGGCCTCGGCACTGGCTATTGCTGCGACTACGGCTATGGCCCCGGCTACAGCTACGGATTCGACCCGTCGCAATCGCAGACGCGACCCATCTTCGTCGATGTGGTCGACGACGCATGCGACGTCCCGCGCAACACCCGCGAGCCCCGTTCCAGCCGCCCAGGCCATCCCCCGGCCTCCTCGAATCCTAAGCGCGACGGCTCTCGTCGCGCGTCGGCCTCTTACCGCAAATCAAATCCAGCTGATTCTCACTTTTACTTCAACCAGGCTCCTAACACCGAGGATATCGATGCTGCCCGACGCTCCCGTGCAAGGCGCCAGTCCACTTCCACGCGCACTCCCAACAAGCCCAAGCCCGCTCCCGCTGCGAAACCCCCTCCCACCGCTACTGAAGATGACGCCGAGCGAGCTGGCATCCCGGCAGGCTATTCGACCAAGAACTGGGATCCGACCGAGGCGCCGATCATTCTCCTCGGTAGTGTGTTTGATGCGAATTCCCTCGGAAAGTGGATCTACGACTGGACCGTTTTCCACCACGGCGCCTCGACGCCCATGGCCGATGTCGCTGGCGACCTGTGGCTTTTGTTAATCAAGCTGGCGGGCAAGGTGAAGAGGGCCGACGAATGTCTCCCTCGTATTCAGCGCGTGGAGGCACAGGAAGTCGTTGAAGATTTCCTAGAAAGTGGCGAGCGCCTCTGGGCTCGTTTCAAGAAGCTCCTTAAGGGGTGTGAACTTTACATGTGGAAGGCCGCTAAGCGGGAAGGCGGCGGCAAGCCTGTTTCTATGGGTCGCAATGCTGGCTGTGAATTTGTCGAATCTATCTTCGGTCGTGATCGCGAGCTTGAGAACACCGAGAAGCTTATGAACAGTATTCGACTTTGGAATATGCGATTCGATGCCAACTGCGAAGACATACTGCGCCGTCCTTCGGCTATGTAGTGTCACCCTTACCATACCACAACCACAACACACACTTTCCCCTGATTACCGATTATCGACTACCGACTATTGAGGATGATATCTATGATATCATAGAGAATTTCCTATTTCGTTTTAATCTTTATACTGGGAGCATTTGACGCTTGTTGGATTGCATTTGGAGCGCATTGGTTGCTCCGGCTAGCTTTGCACGTTGCATTTACTCTGACTCGGTTTCTCGATCTGATCGGCAGATATCGTCCAAAGGATTGGACGACCAAAAAAGATACATGTTTTTTGTTTTTTTTCTTTTGGTTTTTGGTTCCTGGTTCCGGCGCCTCGATCTTGATCTCGTTTCCTTCATGGGGCGGCGTCTTCTTTTGATTTCTCTTCCATCACTGGCGTCCTCTGTTTAATTTTTGCTTGTCTTTTTCTGGCCGTCAACTCTGATTCTCTTTTTGTCGTTGATGTTCGTCTCACTCTGCTTTGATGATACCATCTTGCGATTTCTTATATACGTGCAAGCCGTTCTTGCGTCTCTTTCAAATGTTTTTGTTTATTGCTTTTATTTTGTCTTTCGCTATTACTTGATTTGATGTTGGGTTCGAGGAGGAATCCGGGTTGTACATAGAACCACGACCTCAACATCCGATAGACCAACCTTGACACTCGTTATACTTTCATCATACCTTGTTCCACTCTTCAGTAGTATGTAATTTGAGTATAGTATACATGTACTTCCCGACCATACCACTACCCCGTAGCTGTATCCATGCTATTTCCAAAGCCCCAATCAGACAGATTGTGATATGTGATAGCGAAGCTTACTCCAGCGCTTCGCGGCACCGGCGCAGAGTACAGCAAAAGTTACCGACATGCAGGGTGGATCACTACCCCGCCCTAAGGTGCTGCGTACATGTACATGTACATACATACGCTGTGTCCATACGGAGTACGAAGGGTACGGAGCACAATCGAACCCCTCCACCTCCACAGCCCACTACCCACAATACTAGTAAGTAGTAACCAGTAAGCGGTACTAAGATGCATCTAGCCAACTTATTTCTCCGTAAAACCTACAACGCCCTCTGGTTGGCTGCCTAGTAATTCATAGTTTCAGGTCCAATCCCCTCAGAAGCAGGTACTGCATTCCGCAATGACGGGTTCTGATGTCACTGGCAATATAAGTGTAGGTCTTAGCGTTTTGACGTTTTGATGTGCTTGGCTTTTGGTGTTTGGTTTATGGTTTATGCAGGTTGGGGGTTTTATTGTTTACGGGGGATTTGTTGTATTGGTTGGGGGGTTTGGGGGTGGCGAGCCTATCAGTGGGTTTGGTGGGGGTTATATGTAAGTTACATGCAATACTGTCCATGTATGCGGGGTTGCGTTGTGCTTTTGTTAAGTTTTCTTGAGTTTGGGTGGGTTGCATAGGTTGCACATTGGAGTTCTTTTGGAAATGTTGTATTGTTGGAATACATGTCCGGTGAGTTGGTTTTGGTTTTGGGCCTGATGCGTTTGTGGGATGGGTCTGTGTCTGTGTATAGGTACTGCGTACGTCGTACTACGTCGAGGCTCGGCTTTCGCTTGTTAGTTGCCTTTGGAGTCAAAGCGGCCTTGTGGGATGTTGTCTTGGAACGTTGAGCTGTTTAAGAAAGAGTATAGAGCTGAGGTGGTTTCGTGCGAACTATATTGCGGACACTGTCCTAAAAATGGTAGGAGATATCGAGCGACATAACTATTGGTAAGCTTATACTAAAGTGATGTGTCTCAATTTCGAGTTAAAGATTATGTTCGTCAGATTCGATGAAATCAGCTACCTGTACCATGTGGCATGCATGCTTATTTGCCTTAACATGACCGCTTATGATGACTAGCTGACATGCATGTCGCCATATCGGGTCACTATGTCAATATTATTGATGAACATCTTTTGGCTTTCTGCATGCCTATCTTTCCATCTCTATATGTATGAAAAATTGATTTGTTGACATGGTATAAATGATGACGCACGTGGGAGAGTCACGGGACCAAGGTCAAAGCTAGGCATTGACGTCATGTACAGCGTGATACTCTTCAATCATCAGGTTAAGATATTTTCTTCCATATCTCTGTCCAGTTGGCCACACCCAGGGAGCGAACATACAGGGCGCAGAATCCTCCTACGGTCCCAACCCATCCTCCGCGTGGATCCGATGCAATCTCACCCTATCAAAATCAGATTAGGACGCGATCCCTGACGGTACCCACAACCACTTCACTCAAATTTGCCTCGTTGAAACTTGGACAGTCTCTCCATCCTTCAGCTTTCCGACTATTCCCAGTTTGATCTGGCGCATGGATATGTCAGAGCGATGCAGCATGGGTCTACGACAGTCGAGATACCCACGGACGACGAGTCTGCCGGGCTGTCGCTGTGGGAACGGTTCAAGGGTCATTTTCATATGAGGCCGGCTGAAGATGATGAGCCGCAGTCTTGGTGGATTGCGTCTACGGCTATTCCTCTTATTGCTGCTGCCACTGGTCCGCTGGCTAATGTTATGTCGATTGTTGCTTTGGTTCAGCCTTGGCGGAATGATATTATATCCAAAACTGAGAGTCGTGCGGGTAATTGGCTGCAGGAAGGGTATCCAGATCCTCATTGGTGAGTGACAACATGATACTGTGGTTGTGGTTATGTGGCGACCTCTGAAACTGTATACAGGATCACTGCTTCAAATGCTGTTTCGCTTGTCTGTGGTATTGTGGGAAATGTCTTTTTGCTTTTCAACTTTACACAAGTCATCCGATACATTATTGCGTTGCCGGTTACCATTATTCTGTGGTTCATTGCTACAGGAATTGTGAGTAACGTATTCTCTATCTTAGGTGTCCGTACTGATACTTATAATAGCTCTGTGGGATCACGACATCCCTGAGTATATATGCACCACCAATTGGTCCTGACCATGTCTACTCACAACCATATTGGAGTGCTGTGATTGCGGCTTGTCTATACTTCCTCTTGAGTGGCATCTTGATGATCAACATGCTAGGCTACTTCCTTGGAAGATACCCGCAGCATTTCGCACTTACCGACGAACAACGAACATTGATTCTTCAGATGACTGCATTTGTGATCTGGCTATTGATTGGAGCGGCCATCTTTCAACGCATCCTGGGCATCTCCTTCGCGGATGCATTATACTTCTGCGATGTCACCGTTCTGACATTGGGATTCGGCGACATAACTGCCGTCACTCCCGTTGCTCGAGGTATTATCTGGCCATATGCAGTGATAGGAATCATCATTTTGGGATTGGTTGTTGGAAGCATCCACAAATTTGCCCGTGAAGTCCACTACGACAATGTGATCCGGAAACACATCGAACAGAAACGGGTATCAACATTCAATCGATCGGTCAGCTTAGACGAGTTCACAGCCTCCGAAAGGAAAATCTCCATCCGCGGTAAAGAAGGTAGCCCTCCAACTCTTACTCGACGGAAATCCCAAAATTCCAATCCTCACCGCCACCATCGACCAATCCGCAACACAATCAATGCCATGATCACAGCCCGTCGGCCCAAACTACTTGTCATGCGCGAAGAAAAAGACCGATTCGACGCGATGCGCCGCATTCAATACGATACATTGCGTTTCCGTCGCTGGAACGACCTCATAATCAGCATAGTCGCATTTGGAATTGTATGGACGTGCGGAGCAGTGGTATTTTGGCAACTGGAACAGATGTCATACTTCGAATCGCTGTATTTTTGTTTCTGCTCACTATTAACAATCGGCTACGGCGACATCACACCCCAATCGAACGCAGGAAGACCCTTCTTCGTGCTGTGGTCACTAATCGCCATTCCGACAATGACAATGCTCATCTCCCAAATGAGCGATACTGTCGTTGCAAGCTTCAAGCATGGAACCGATAAAGTTGCTGATTACATCGTTCTCCCCCAATCGGGTATCTATCACTCCTTTTTAATGAAGATTCCCGGCGTTGCGAAACTCCTCGCGGCTCGGCAGAAAAAGAAGCGATTGGAACGCGGGTTCGCGCTTGAAGGTGGCGAGGATGGCAGGGTCGGTGATAGACGCGAGGATGATGGTATCAATCGACCTACCCATCCCGACAGGGTAGCTGGTGAACATCCACACCGAACCCTCGAGGAATTAGTTCGTGATCCATCACCCCTTGAACTAGCACAGCAGCTCGCCTTTGCCGTTCGTCGTACGACGGAACATGCACGCCAGGGAAAACGGAAACGATACTGCTACGAGGAATGGGTTGAATTCACGCGGTTGATTCAGTTTACGGATCCACGGACGAGGCCATCTTCTTCGGGGCAATCGCCCGGCAGGCAGGATTCGAATATGGATGAAGATGAGTATGGGCTTCTGAACTGGGATTGGATTGGTGAGAATAGTCCCATGTTGGCTACGCAGACGGAGCCTGAGTGGGTTCTGGATCGGTTGTGTGAGAGCTTGATTCGGTATGTTTCGACTCAGGAGAGTCGTAATGCCGGAGAAGAGAAAGAAGAAGATGGTGGTGGTGCTGATTCGGAGGAGGTGACTCTCAAGAAGGAGAGGGATATTGGATTGGAAGATCATGAATGAATGATTGTGCTGTTTTTTTTTGCGTATACCCGTGGGTCTTTTGCTTTTGCCTTTTTTTTCCATTTTTCTTGAGACTTGCACTGCCATAGTGGCTCTTTGGATCATGTTCTGTGCACAATGCTACATAGGTTCTTCAAACTTAAGACTTCAAATTGGATTGAGTCAAAGGTAGTGGCTTTACGACTCACAACAAGGCAACAAAATAAAGAGATAAGAATATCCGGAGCCAGACTCGGAAATGAGAGCCTCACCCGGCACGAAACTGAGCTGCCTCGACCTCTGCCACATGGCAACTCTATAAATCAGCCACATCCCAACCCAAATTCACAATCAACCCCAAATTGTCATTTCTGAAACAGAAGAACCAAAATGACGACAAACCTACCAGAAATCCTCCTCCTATGTATGGACATCGACTTCATAGAAGCCTACAACACTGCCCTAAAAATCCACTGGCCAACCCACACCCAAACAACCCTAAAAATTACACCCATAAACGAACGGCTAAACTCCCTCCCAGAAGGCACAACCTTTGACCTAATCGTCTCCCCAGCAAACAGCTACGGCCGCCTCGACGGCGCCTTCGACGCGGCCATCTCGAGGACTTTTAGCCCGCACAATGACTACCATGCCCTGACGCGCGCTGCGCAGGGTGTGCTTTACGAGAAGTGGCGGGGGTTTGCGCCGCCGGGGACTTGTACGCTTATTCCTTTTCCGGAGGAACTCAAGGTGAAGGGGGATTCGAATGGAAATGGAAGTGGGTTCGGGTGTGAGTGGGTCGCGCTTTGTCCTACCATGCGTGAGCCTGGGGCTGTTAGTTGGGATCGGGAGGTTGTTTATGAGTGTGTTTGGAGTTTACTGGGGCAGGTTGAGGGGTGGAATCGGACGTTGGATGTGGATGAAGATGGTAATGGGAAGAAGAGGATTGGGAGGATTCTTATGCCGCCTTTGGCTGCTGGTGTTGGGAGGGTTAGTAAGGAGAGGTGGGCTGCGCAGATGGTGCTTGCCATGAATCATTTTGTTGATGCGCTTGAGAGGCCTGCGAGGTGGGGGGCTTTATCTTGGAGGGATATTGAGGAGGATTGTGTTGAGGTTGAGGGGACTTGGAAGGAGGGCGAGGAGTCTGGGAAGAGTTGGATGGGGAAGCTTTTGGGATAGACCCGTGGATGTCTTAGATGTCATTAGTAATTAATTTATGTGGCTTAATCAACAGTTTGATATATCGTTACTGTATGCGATAGGAAGATGGGAAAGAGTATGTTATACTTCCGATATCCACGGTTAAGGACTGGGTAGTTCACCTTGATAAGCCCAAGACTCCCTCAACCAACTTGACCCGGTCGTAAAGCCTAGCTAGTTCACAGCATCAGGATTTTTTTTTTAGCCGAAAGTAAAGAGGGGATCGGGGGTAGCTCTTTCAAGCTACGTTTGGGCAGAACTACGAGTCGATAGGTAATCAGTATACAATGTCCATTGAGAATAAGAGATGAGCTCACTAAACCCGAAATTAAAGGATACGAGCAAGCTGTGCATGACGCAACAAATGTGAAATGGAATATAGCTTTCACTTTTCCTTCAACCAGGATTTCAGTATTGAATATCACAGCCGTATGCATTAGACTCAGTGTCACTCCATATAAACCAAGTGTCTTCTCGAACTGTACTGTCTATATAAAATATTAACATATATATCTATGCAAGTCTAATAAGCCGAAGCTATATCTACAACTAAGTCTAGAACAACCCGCATAAGCCCAGCTCTACCTATTTTGGCGGAGCAGCCCTCCAGAACAACCAGCCAACAGCAGCAACAAACTTCATACCAGCAGCCATCCATAAAGCAGACTCCATGCCACCACTACTGCGACTCAACCAGCCACCAACAATAGCACCAATGAGTAAAAACACAACACCACCGATGCGCCGATTGCGCTTAACATTGGTAGTGGGCTTATCAGTGATCTTAGGATCAGAAGCAATATCAAAGTAAACACTTGTCAAGACAACAGTCGGGATCTCATTATACCCAAGCGACCGAGAGCAAGTCATACCACCAGCAGACTGGAAAGCCAGCAGGGCAATAGGAATCAACTCGAGGAAGAGGGGACCGCCGTCGAGACCAGCGTCGGCAGAGGTGTGGGGAATAAGATCGGCTTCAATGAGCGCAACGGCAATGACGATCAAGCAGGCTTGCACGAAGAAGGAGATGAAGAGGGTTCCGCGGCGGAGGGCGCCGACGCTGCGCATTGCGATCGAGAAGGCCATTGCGCCGAGGAAGAATGACGCGATTGACACGAGGGACTTGAGCCAGCCCCAGGGCTTGCTGGTCGGTTGGTTGGAGGCGCCTAGGCCTAGGAAGATGGTGTTTCCTGTGAACCAAATTGTTAGTTTTGCGCTTGTGCTGGCTTTGGCTCAGGCTTTGGCTCAGGCTTTGGCTTCGCCCCTTGCGGAATCGAGTTCGGGACGATGATGTCCATACCTGTTTGCATGCCCAGGAAACAGGACCATGCGTTGTAGGCGCTGCTATCGCATAGTCCGGTGAGAAAACAGAGGAGTAGACAGACCAGGTCTGCGTGTGTTGTTGTGAGGTTCTGCTTCCATCGTTGGGATACGCCAGACTCCTGCTTTGCGGGGACGTCGGGGGAGGCCTCGAGATCGGCTGGGGGTTGTGTTGTTTTCTCCATTGTGCAGTCTATACAATGCAGTATAACACAAGTGCGCGCCCTCGCATAAATAGAGTGAGAGTCGGGGTGAGTCAAAGTCGGCGTTCCCTGATCGGGTCGAGGCGACTTCCGAGAAAAACTTAGCCGACGTCGGGGATCGCGCAATAATTACAGCGTGAAACAATACAAAAACCAATTCACTTTTATTGAGACTGTCAGCCCTCTAAACCCCCTGCGATACAACAACACACGAATTTTGCTGCCTGGACCCATGTGGAGCTCGGATAGGGCTGAATTAAGGATGTGCAGACAGCCAACCACTGTCCACTATATGACGGTTGTACCGAGGCTCTCCGTACTCTGAACAACCTCACCGCGTGAGGTAGAAATAGACTCTGCCCTTGAACTGCTTACTCTCCATACACCCAGCAACCATGTTATGTTTCACAGCCCGATAATAGACTATCGTGGGTCGTTCATCATACACCAGAGCCGCAGACACCACGCCGTGGTATTTGATCTCACGTAACTGCAGATGCCAAGGTCAGAATGCATTGAAAGATTACACCGAGATCCCAAAGAGAGAATATACATCCCTGCATCGGAACCCTGTAGCACTCTGTACTCACCGATGCACGCCCCCAGTCCTCAAAACACACCCGCTCACCATTCCGCGCAACAATCAGCGGAGCCACGTCGTCCGTAGAATCAAATGTGTTACCGAACCAATTGAGTGTCTCCAGTTCGTCTTCGAAGGGGTGTCCCGTGGTCAGGATATATCCATCCCATTCGCCGATCAGCTCGTCGGGGTGGACCGGCTTGAGTTCGTCGAAGATGCGGACTTGCCCGCCAAGCACTCCGGCGTGTTTTGTCAAACGGATGAACTTCTTGGCGGGGCTTGGCTGGAAATAGTCGAATGAGATGATTGGGAATTGGATCGTCATGCTGTGTTGGGGATGCGGATTGTGTTGGGTGGAGGGGGCCTGCAGGGTTGGCTTGCAGGGTTGTGTATACTTCACACCCGGGTAATTCTCTAGCTTCAATGTTGGTCTAGGCTGATATTCATCGTGGATATGGGGATTTCGATCATTTCATATGAACTGGCTGCCTTGACTTTCATCTAGAATGCAGGCCATGTGGCTGCACAGGCCTGCGCTTCGAGCGCTTAAGGCAGAAATTGAAGTATGTTAGCATCCTTCGATCTGCAAGTCTGCCATGCAGATGAAGAATACTCCCTATTCGGGATCTCTACTTACTCAGCCATTTGTCTGATTTGCTCGAGGGCGGTCCATTGCTTTTTGTCAGGAAGGGATCCTCCCTTGGAAATGTCACTAGTACCCCACGCCCGCGAGTACCCACACTCGGTCTGGCTGGCACTTGAGATCATACCAAAACTGGAATACAGAATATCGGAGAAACGGTTGAAACATGGGCAAAGATCCTCCTGTCACATTTCCACATTCCACTGCCGGTTCGCCCCGTTTAGTGGCTGTTTTGCCTGTCGATCATGATTGATAAAAGTGAGCTATGTATAGCTATGGGCGTTGGAATTCTCGGGAGAATTTCCTTTGAAGATGGGGCTTATACATATAGACATATATATATTGAGGATTTGGAATACGCTACACTATGCGGACTGGCAAAGGTTCTATTTTGATATCCCCTTGCAACCCACGAGGTCCGACCCTATAAAGCTCATGAAAACAATCCCTTGACACAGGAATGCATTATTGATATACCCTCGATCAACATCCGCCTTTCAAGCCGTAATCCTACCGACCAAAAGCCTCAATTTAATGCCGTTACTGCCTTAGCAAAACACGAAATGCATTCCTCGCCCCCAAGTCTCTGCAAATGCGTACTCCAATACCTTCTTTCAACCACGATTTGTCCGTCATGGCTGCGTGGACTTTAGTGGGTTGCGCGAGTCACATCTTTGATAATCTCTCATGTGAACAATGTCTAGTATTGCTATATATACCACTGAGTAATCAGTCAAAATACTCGACAAGGTGTGGCCCAAAATATTGGAGCTGTAGCCATGTGACCCGGTTTCGTACATTTGGGCAGAGCCAGGCCAGTAATGACAACGCTAATACGTGGGATCTGTCAAAAAGGCTATTAAGTTGTCGTTGATATACGTCTCAGCAAATGATAGTTCTGTTAAATATACTTGCATCCAACACCCGCCTTTGTCAGTTTGCGGTGTTGGATAACTGTCTGGTATAGGTCCCTGACATCCATTGTGGCAAACATGAACCTTGTTTTCATCGATTGTTTCAAGACTCTCTATCTCCATATTTAGAAATGTGCATTGAGGCATATTCTACATAATGATTCATTGAATATGGCCATGTCTAGTAACTCTCAAAAATCCATGTTTGGACATTTTTGAGATGACGAAGAGGAGAAAGAGACCTCAAAAGGGCGACCAACAGGATCGATGCGCTTCGATTGCCACCAAAGATTGAGATAGAATAGAATCAGTGTTTGGGGCAAGCAATAGAGCGAAGGAGAGCTTGGTGGCAACCATGACGCTTGACCCGATATCCATGGAACCGCTTCAACCCAACGATCCTAACAGAGGGCGTCATGTTCAAAACAATCAATTGGCTCACGATATACCACTTCCAGCGCACTATAGAATTGGTGGCACTCGCTAAATATCCTTTTATGGCGAGTGCGGAGAGAGCTTGGGGTATATGTCGTCGTCATGATCCTATCATACCGCCACCGTAGCGCATAAATGTCGTTCGGTCTGCCCTGAAATTTTGTCTACAACCATGATCCAAATACAAACAATCTAAGAACGTCACAACGCAACTATTGAGTATGTCCCCTTTAACCATTCTACCGTGATCGGGCAAGAGTGAGGAGCTGGGGGTTGAAGATGTCCGATCTGTACAGATTCGCTAACACATACAAGACATGCCTATGCAAGACGCACCGAAGAAGGCCGCCGCCAAAGTCCAGGCCACAACTGGTATTGGCAAGCAACAACAAAGTGAGCTTGGCCCCAATCAGCTCTTGAGTGAACATATGGATGCCACTGGCAACCCCATTCCCGATGCTACCTGGGGTATCAAGGCCAAGAAGCCTAACGACGTGCTCGACGATGAAGCAGATCTCTACACTGCCATGAACGCCGAGACTGCCGACTTTGATTAATCGTAATTTTTTGTGCAAGTGTCACACAAGTCTACTCTATATCTGTATAGTGGAAATCGAAGAAATTCAGTGGAGTCTGGAGTGCGCCTAAGCCCATTGCTGTGGCAACGGATTGTAGACCGTGGCACCTGCGTAGACACTTGGGCATTTGTATACCGCATCTTTGTAACAAATGTTATCTTGAATACCATCCATTCTTTTTAATTATTTCCTTTTCGAATACTCGCGCATAGCGCAGAATGCTAGGGCTCTGAACCTCAGCTCTCTTGACCTGAAACAGTCCCAAGGAAACAAACGCGCAACAACAGTACCGACCCCCCTTTCACTCATTCTCTCTCTATCCCATTACCCAGTTCCCTGTCATTTCACATTCCCCTTTCTTTTGTTCAACCCATTGCATGTACCATTCTCTTCTTGACCGACGACGTGACGCCGTCACCGCTTGTGTGCAGTTATTGAGGGACAACAGGGACATGGCGCTGGACCCGCGCTTCTACCATCACATCGGCCACCCGGGCCCTGGCTCGATCTCCTCAGCCGCTTCTTCCGAGCTCTCCGCCGCGACGGGCATCACCTCGCCTAGCATTCTTTCCACCTCCGCCTCCGCCGCCACCCTCAGATCCTCCGCTTCAAGTCCGTCCTTCCGCGCGCGCGAAAGCGTCGCGCTATCCGGCCGCGATGGGATGGCTAGCCCCACGCCTGGGGGTAATGTGCGCGTCGTTGTACGAGTGCGAAAGTTCTTGCCTCGAGGTAGGTAATGTCTGGGATTGGGATATGGGATTTTAGTGTGGACTTGGAGGGCTTTGTCTGACCGTCTCGCAGAAATCGAGCGCAAGGCGCAATGTTTGATATCTATGGACCCGCGTACACAAATGACCTGCCTGCAGGCTCCGAAACCGAAACCTGGTGACCTTGGAAAACCGAAGTCGCAAGCCCGAGGCAAGATCCTGGAAGACAAGTCGTTCACGTTCGATAACTCGTTTTGGTCGCATGATGAGGAGGATGATCACTACGCGCATCAGGAAGATGTGTACAATTCACTTGGTGAGGAATTTCTGGATCACAACTTTGAAGGGTACCACACGTGTATCTTCGCCTATGGACAAACGGGTTCAGGAAAGAGTTATACCATGATGGGTACACCAGACAGGCCCGGTCTGATTCCCAGGACTTGCGAGGATTTGTTCCAGCGCATTGAGAATTCACCTTCTCCGGATATCAGCTACAACGTTCGAGTGTCGTATTTCGAAGTATATAACGAGCACGTCCGAGATCTTTTGGTACCTCGGACGGATCCCCCGCATTATCTCCGCATTCGTGAATCACCGTCGGAGGGTCCATATGTCAAAGATTTGACGGAGGTGACGGCACGCAATTACACCGAGTTGATGAAATTCATGAGAAAGGGAGATGTTTCCCGTACAACAGCCAGCACAAAGATGAATGACACCTCATCACGATCCCACGCAGTCTTCACCATCACGCTAAAACAGATCCACCATGATTTGTCAACAGACGAAACGACTGAACGTACTGCCCGCATTCGATTGGTGGATCTGGCTGGTTCTGAACGTGCCAAATCTACCGAAGCAACAGGTGCCCGACTTCGGGAAGGTGCCAACATCAATAAGTCTTTGACTACGCTAGGTCGCGTTATTGCCGCTCTAGCAGACCCCAAGAAACCCCGCGGTGTACGCAAAGGCAAAGAGCTCGTTCCATATCGCGATTCGATTCTCACATGGCTATTGAAAGACAGTCTAGGTGGTAACTCGAAGACAGCAATGATTGCTTGTATCGCACCTGCGGACTATGAAGAAACACTCTCCACCCTTCGTTATGCCGACCAAGCCAAGAATATCCGAACTCGGGCACGTGTGAACCAAGATCAATTGTCCGCAGCCGAACGTGATGCGCAAATCGCAGAGATGGCAGAGACCATCCGTACCCTTCAACTCAGTGTCAGCCAAGCAGCCGTTCACCAGCGGGCAACTGAGGCTTCTGATGAACGACTCGAAGAATACCAGCAGAAAGTGGAAAAGATGCAACGACTCATGGAGGAGACAAAGATGGTCAGCGAATGCAAGATTCGACAATTGCAGACAGAAAATGAAGCTCTGCGCATGCACTTGAAACTGGCCGTCGATAGTCTCAAAAACCCGATTCCAGCCGTCACCCTCCCGCAAAGGAAGCCCAGTATAGTATCAGTGCCAGAAGAGAATCAGCAGCCAAGCCATGATTCAGACTACCGCGAGGGTTCTCCCCCGTCAAATGCCGAGTCTGATATGGATGTCTGGGAGGATGATGATGATGATGATGACAACGTCACCGACGATGACAATGAACAAGAGGCTCACCGAATGCAAAACCACATGCATGATCTTCTCGGTGACTTGAGTGTGTTCAAGCGAAAGTTGGCCACCGATCACGAGCGCTTCCGTCCCCTCGAGGAACCTGGAACTCGCAAACGACGTGCACTGGGACACATTAACAACAATCGCTAATATGTGGAAATGCCCTTCTTTATCTTTTATTGCGTGTACAGGGTTTGATTGGCGTTGGCGGCGAATTTTGTCTGCTCTTTGTTTAGATTGGGACCACGACTCTCTCCCAGGCAACGCCTGCCACCTTTGGGCAGCACCTGGACTTATTCTTAGCCCATGACTTCTTTATTTGATAGCGAGACCCCTTGACATGAATAATGAGACACCTGATGCGATGCCTGTTTCAAGTCGATCACTTTTGCTTTGCCTTGGGCATAGAGTTTCCTTCAGGCCTTTCTATAAGACGAGGCCTTTTCCCGAGACAGTACCCCGTAGAGGGTTTCCAGATAAAAGCAGACTGATACTGTACCAACTACCCTCGATTCAATCGTTTAATCGTCCAACCCGACCGAATAGCCATGAATATACACGAGCATCGGCGGCGGTTAGGGCTGCGCCGCTCGGTGGGCCGCTTATGGCATCACTTCTTTTTCCGTGAGTCAACCCTCTCCCTCTCCCCACCAAACCTAAGCTCCAAAAAGAGCAACCCCTCCAACAAAATAATTGAGTTAATCATGGCCGAACCCACCAACCCAGCGCTAACAGCGCCCTCGCCAGCCGCCATTCCAGCAAGCGAGCCCCAAACCCAATCCCTCCCTATCCGCGACTCAAAACCCGCCAAGCCAGTCGCCAAAGACGCCGCCCCAACTGACGGCGCCGGCGACGCCGACAAAGCCCTCACACCAGCTGAACTGAAGAAAAAAGCCAAAGCCGAAAAGGCTGCCCGTCGCGCGCGCGAGAAGGTAGAGAAAGAGCAGGTTGGTGGCCCAGCTGGTGGTGCCGCGCCTGGTGCTGGCGGTGCCGGTCGTGGCGGTGCACCGGCCACGCCGAAGAAGGATGCTGGTGCTGGTGCTGCGCAGAAAGGTGGGAAGGCTGCGCCTCCGCGTCGCGGGTCGGGACCTGTTGGCGCGGGTGCGCCTGCTGAACAGAAGCAAAAGAAGGATGATAAGAAGGTTGCTGTTTTTGGTCATTTGTATGGTCAGCAGCGCCGGACTACTGTTGCGGGTGCCGGCAAGGAGGTTCATCCTGCTGTTCTGGCTTTGGGATTGCAGTTGAGGGATTACGTTGTTTGTGGTAGTAGTGCGCGTTGTGTTGCTACTTTGCTTGCTTTCAAGCGGGTATGTATTTTTCTCTCTTGATTTGTGGGTGACATGCTTGCTGGATGGTTATACTGACTGTTTCCTGTGAAGGTCGTTGAATCTTATACTACCCCTCTGGGTACTTCGCTCGCTCGCCACTTGACCACACATCTTTCCCACCAGATTACATATCTTTCGACGTGTCGGCCTCTTTCGATCACTCAGGGCAATGCTATTCGTGCTTTGAAGTTGGCTATTGCTGGAATTGATCCTTCTACACCGGAGTCCTCCGCTAAGGCTACATTGTGTGACTTTATTGACAGCTTCATCCGTGAGAAGATTACTGTTGCCGGCCAGGTGATTGCCGACAGCGCGGCGCAAAAGGTTCAGGATGGTGATGTGATTGTGACATTTGCTGGCAGTAATGTTGTCAAGGAAACGCTTCTGTTAGCACACAACCAAGGCAAACGCTTCAGAGTTTCAATCATCGACTCGAGACCCCTGTTCGAAGGCAAGAGCCTCGCACGCGCACTCGCCAAGGCCGGATTGGATGTGCAGTATACCCTCGTCCATGCCACTACTCATGCCATCAAGGACGCTACCAAGGTCTTCCTGGGAGCGCACGCCATGACAAGTAACGGCGGTCTGTACTCTCGTGTCGGTACCGCTCTAGTTGCCATGTCCGCCAAAGAACGTGCCAGTGGCGTTGAAATCCCCGTCATCGTCTGCTGCGAGACTGTCAAATTCACCGACCGCGTCGCTCTCGACAGCATTGTCGTCAACGAAATCGCCGATGCCGATGAGCTGGTCTCCTCCCTACCCCCTCAACAACTTACCGGCCTGCCGGACCCCGGAGCCAACTCCCCTGCCCCGATTGACAATAAGAAGGGCGGAAAACCTACCTCTGCCGCACCCACACCTGAGACATCCGCTGCATCATCTTCAACATCTCCGCTAGCAAATTGGAAGGACACACCCAATTTGCAGCTGCTGAACATCATGTACGATGTTACACCTGCCGAGTATGTCGATATGGTCGTCACCGAGATGGGCAGTCTGCCACCTAGCGCCGTCCCCATTGTCCACCGCATGAGCACGAATCTGTGATGTCCCACTGTCTGTGTCTATACTGCAAAATAAAAAGTTTCCTAGGGCCTCGACTTTGTGATATCCAGGTCTGCTCTCTTGTTTGAATGCATTACGAGCCAGCAAATTTCAAGCTGGTGTTTTGGGAATATGAATTTCTTCTTTTTTTCTTCATCTTTGTATGAATTGTCGGCTTTCTTTTTGATCGATAGATCAAGCTGTGTCGAGTTCCTCGTTGGACCTGGAGACTGTGATATGAATGGACGGAATAGATTACTTACATGTATCAAGTGGAAAATGTATGCCGGTGAACATTTTATTATATCGAGGCAATATAGAAATCAGAATCGCCTGAGTTGTTGCATACAGGCATGCACTTCGAGAAACAAGCTTGTGGAGCCGCAGGTGCATACTAGCCGTGTTTAGACTAGCATGATACAAAGGCGGTGTATTAATAGCACGTTATTCTGCCGTTCAATAATGTTGACAAGCAACAGCGAACCTCGGCCATATCTTGCTCTCACTATAGAAACCACACAACCATACCCCCTAAACTTTAAGATTACACAAGGTGGTCAAAAAGTATTCAAAATGGTACCTCCAATCCCCATTCCCCTTGCACGATCCCCGCGTCTCCCACCCTCAACCCTAACCCCAACTTCAAACCAAGCTAACAACCCCCAGAGCAAAGACTCCTCAGCAACATACCTACACATGCACCAACCAAAACTAGCCGATCTCTTCGAGGAATTCACAAGACCTCACACCTCAACAGCAACAAACCCAAACAATGACCCCCACAATAGCACCAGCAATAGCCGCGACGCAAACACAGTAACCTACGGCTCAACCTCACCAACCACAATCCCTTCCTTCCTGCCCATCGAAGACATCTACGTCGCGCCCCAATACCAGCCCCCAAACCCCGAAGACGAAGACGACGTTGTGCCGGATCAGCATGCCGCATTTGGGATTACGCGCGCTATGGATCGGAGACATGAGGCTGTTTGGCGGGATCTTGGTCTTGAGGCCCTTGTAAATGGGGAGGGGCATGGTGCGTCTGGTCCTGTTGCGGCTGGGGGTACTGGGGCTGCTGGTGCGGCAGGGTCGGGGCCTGGTGCTACGATTCGCGGGAGTGGGGGTGGTGCTGCGGTTGCTGGGGCTCCTGTTGTTAGGGTTCGAGAGGCGGGCAGGAGGATGGGGGGTAGGAGGGTCATTGGGTTGAGGTGATTTGGTGTGTGGCTTTACGTTTTACTGGGGTATGATGGTGTTTGGCTGTATGGCCTGGTTATATGATATGATACCCATGATCCATGATAGGATGGATGCTGATCTTGTATTGTTCGAATAGTTCATTGATTCGTTTCCATTTGGATATCTCTTTCCTGAACCATTAAATTGTAGATCAAATGGCCGTCGTATGGGCTTGGTTTGACAGCCGTAACGCCGCGCATGATGCGATATGATTATGTTGCCTTTAGATTCGGTTGATGTCGACCCTAGCGCGCTCATATAGCTTGTGACTCAGCTGCTTTTGTTCGCGCTCGTCTTCTGCTACCAGGCGTGGGTGAATAGTCATTTGAGCGTAGGAGCCTGCTGCACGACGTTTTGATAGGGTGCCGGGGTTGATGACTAGAACGCTGTCCACGACCTGTAAAGAGTGGTATCGTTAGTATGGCGAGGGTATTTACAGCTAGCAGACAGTGTATCAAAAGCTCACCTTGACAAAAGGAGGCAGCATGCTCGGCACAATTAAGATATCTGGCCGTACGTTCCACCATTCGCCCAATTTCATATAGGGCAAATCCAGCATAGCACCTGTGGCCATACCACTCTCGGTTCCAGGCTGGGGAAGGCTTGCCCGTCCAGTTGAAGGGAATAAGGGGAAGAAGTGGCGCTGCTCCACGAGATATTTGGGTAGACGGGTGAGCAGGTTGCCCTCCGTCGGCCGGCCATGAATGACTTCCTCGCGGCGGAGCTCGGAGAGTACGTCATGTGAACACATGCCAATCACAGACTCATTGAAAGACAATGTGACGGGATTCGACACCATGCGTACCTGCTTGGGCAGACCCAGCTCCTTCTTAGGAAGTTGCTCCTGTGGCCAGGAAACATGTCGGCTGAGTACATCGCGTACAGAAGGAACCATCACGATGGTAATGCTGGGAACTGCTGCTGCGAGTCGTGCCAGGTGTGTTGAGATGCAATGGCGGAACATAATAGACAGGGTAGCTGTGTCCGGGTCGATACCCTTGATGTCTGGCAGGTCGAAATCACCTGATGAGAGCAATGGGTGCTCGATATCTAAGAACGGACCCATGAGAACGAGACTATCGGCGAAGCAATCAGCTGCCTTTTGGCAAATTTCCTGCAATGGTTCGTAGTCCAGGTTGTCATCTGAGGTGTAGGGACCAGCAGCCAGCATCACGTTCAGTGGTAGACTGGAGTCGGCTTCAATTCGATCGTTGATATTGTCCAGAGCTACAGCTGAAGATGCGGCGGGAGGCAGAAGAGGAATTGGGAGAATTTCTTTCACGGTAAAATATTCACCAGAAGGATTGATGCCACGGAGAGCCACAATTTGACCTGGGAAGAAGTTGGCCGAGGGTACCGAGTCCACCTTCAGAGGTACACGTCTGCCAGCTCCAGTCCGGCGTGATGTCTCGAGGACAAGGGAAGCCGGGTTCAGCTTTCCTTCTAAACTGTCCGAGGCGATTCGTCCGACAGCAACGATTTCGCTTGTGCTCTGTGTAGCTGCACTTCCAAATGTGATGTCGTCTGAGTTGAATTGTGCCTGGAATATCGCCGTGAACTCGTCGATGCGGTCGTCCAGAATCTCCGATGCTTCTGATAGCTTCATGCCCATTGGCTTGTAACCAAACTTCTTCAGATCTGTGTTCGCTGTTGGCCGAATGCGCGCCTCGGAGAATGGTGCCATTGGTGTTTCTGGCAAGGATAGGTGTGAATTGAGTGTCTCGACGGTCTGGCCGGGGTTGGATCTCTCTGAAAATGAAACTGACCTGCCGTGGTGTTAGCAGCTATAATGTATAGGTCCCAAGAAGAACATACGGTATTCCGTCACCAGGGGTCCCGGGCGTTTTTGTACCCATATGTGAAGGTTTTTCGGTCTTGACTCTAGGCGTAGCGGGCGAGGAGAATTCGGACTTGCGCTTGACCGATCCGAGACCACCAGCAGATCTCACATTTGAGGCAGTCGGAGTCAATTGATCCAACATCCCAAACATATCGCCGCCTGCTGCGGCAGCGGCGCGCGGGGTTGCTGTGTTTGCGCTTCGTTTCTCTGTATGCCGGCCAGCGTGGCTGCGACTTTCTCGTTCCAATGCATCTTGAACATCTTGCTTGAAGCCTCGCACGGTCATCATGGTCAGGGTCACACCCTCGCCCATCTTCATACTATAGGATTCCCATTTGTAGAATAGCTCCTCTGCGGTGATCGAGTGCACTCGCAACATGGAGAGGAGCTCAGCCATGATGTCCTTGGGGATCCCATCAGGGAATGAGCTCGCGAACTGCTCATTGAGTTCTGCTTCGGCGTCCATCGTTGATGATAAGGTGAAAGTACAAGTTGACGCGGGGAGACGCGTGAAAGCGTGTCGCTGACCTAATCACCCAAAAAAGTAATATTATTTGGGCATCGCGGCAATCAAGGTGGACCTGTCCTGTCCTTTGGGTTTTGCTTAAGGCTCCCGCAATTTATTTTGTTTCGAGTTCCCCTATACTCCTTATAGACCATATCTCATGATGGCTATCACCGAGCCCCAAGATGTGCCCGTGGCCAACGGCAATGCTGTGCCCGCAGAGACAACACCCGCAGTGAAGACACAATCTGAGCCTACTTCAAACTCAATTGACCTCGACCTCCCCACCTCTGCTACAGACGGCCTCGTCCAGAAGCCTTTTCCTAAACCGCTGGCCGAGTCCAAGCCCAACCCGCCTGCACAGCTCACCGATGACCAGCAATCCAAGTATGATGCCCTACTCAAGACTGCTTCATCATGGACCACAGTCGCCACTAAGGCAGAGAAGAACGCCCCTACCGAACCCATCACCGAAGACGAGCGCATGTGGTTGACTCGGGAATGTCTCCTGCGCTACCTCCGCGCGACCAAGTGGAATGTTTCCGAGGCTGAGACCCGCCTCCAGAGCACTCTTACATGGCGCCGCGAGTATGGGTTGGCGAAGTTGACTCCTGAATATATCTCAATTGAGAATGAGACTGGCAAGCAAGTCATTCTGGGCTTTGATATCAACGGACGGCCATGTCTGTACCTCTTGCCCTCCAACCAGAACACAGAGAAGAGCGACCGCCAGCTTGAACATCTTGTCTTCATGCTGGAGCGAGTCATTGATATCATGCCCCCTGGCCAGGAGACTACGGCGCTTATTGTCAACTTCAAGGAGACCAAGTCTGGTCAGAACGCAAGTATTGGCCAGGCCAAGCAGACGCTCAGCTTCTTGCAAAATCACTACCCCGAGCGACTTGGTCGGGCTTTGGTTCTCAATGGTTAGTCGATGCTGTGTCGCAGACTCGTTTCAAGTTACTGATTTATATAGTGCCTTTCCTCATCTCTGGATTCTTCAAGTTGATCACACCCTTTATTGATCCCAACACTCGGGAGAAGCTCAAGTTCAATGAGGACTTGCGTCAACACGTTCCCCCAAGCCACCTCATGAAGCCTGTGGGTGGTGATGTTGAATTCCGGTACGAGCATGACGTTTACTGGCCTGCTTTGAACAAGCTGGCTGAACAGCGCCGTGAGGCATACCGCGAACGCTGGGTCCAGGGTGGCAAGCTGGTGGGTGAGTTGGAGAACTACCTGAAGGGCGAGGATATTCCCGGCCTCTCGCAGTCCAGCGGCGAAGCCAAGGAATCAGCCTGAATGGGCATATGTCTTCCAATACTGACCATGTCCTACTTTTACTTTCTTGTTTTAATTACCCCACCGTCACCATTTTCTCTCTGCGCCGGGAGACTTCTTTGTCCGCTTATACACACCACTTTGTTCCGAATGCCTGTTTATAGACGTTTATCTTTGCAATAAATTTAGCGATAGAGTACCCTGAATCTATATGCCTGAATACTTTTAAGTGACCTGCCCAGAGTTTTCTTTGTGGCCGTTATTAGTCTTGCCATTACACATTGGAATCAACGATTAACTTCCGCGTGCTTTAGACTGGGAGCTTCACAACGTGCAAACAAAGTCTTTCATATATACAATACTCGGGGATTGATTAAACATCAGGAATATAGTTCAATCTGAATGTGCATCAACAAAGTTAAGCATCCATATCAAACTCTGGGTTGACCCACGATGGCTCCGGAGCCTTTTCTCGCATCCAAGCACCAAATTTATGCAAAACACCGAACACTATACATCCACCCACAAGCACAATAAGACCATGTGCAGTGAACGTCCAGGTCCAACCGGAAGAAGCTTGCCAATTCGCAATGAAGAACTATCCAATAGAACAATAGTCAGCCAAATTTCCAAGTTTCAGTTGCTGAAACATACCGGATTAATGAAAGCACTGAGGTTGAGGAAGACAGCATAGAAGGTAATCACACTAGTCGTTTGTAGAGGATAGCAGTCAACAACGTAGCTGCTGGTCACAGTATTGCCAATTTGAATACCTGCTGCGACTAGAGGATGGTCAGTCTCACTTTCATCTGCATTGATCTTGAAAAGTGCATACACAAGAAGAATGCCACTTGGCCGACGATCCAATGGTAGTTCTTGTCGATGCTAACCCCCCATACGATCAATCCAACTATACCATTGCAATCGTTAGTCACTCGAGGTCTATGATGATAGATGGATATCACTTACCAGTCGTGATCAGTATAGCCGGATAAGCCAACCACAAGCGCATCTCTGGCACACGAACATTGCCGTTCCGCTTTGACAACCTTTCAACGATATAATCACTCAAGCGACCAGAACACCCAACCTCTGCAACGACCGTGCCGAGCAGCAAACCAAGGAACAGCAATCCTTGTATGAGAGGCGTGTATTGCGCATATGCTGCTGGTACCATAGTGATAACCGACAGAACCCACCAGTACCAGGAAAAGCTGTATCCGAGTATAGCCAATACAACAGCTGGTTGCCGGAAGGTGAGAACGAATCTGGTAATTGAGTCCCAAGGCTTGGGATGACGCATGCCTGGAACTGGGCGCCAATTGATGAATGGGAGGTTTTTTGTTCTTCGTAGATCTGACTGTAGAGCTTCTGGTGTTGGTGAAAGTGTGGCCAAGGCGGTGCTATTTCCGATAAATTTTTTTTCAACATCGGTAGGTAGGACTTCGTTGTCATCCAGACGAGGCATTTGTTGAAGCATCTTGTTGCGAGGATAAAGAGTCTCTGGCATTAAGAAGAGCTCGAGTATCAATAATGCTGCGAAGAGAATTGCATTGAACCAGTTGATCCATGCGGCACTGACCAGATCCAGCAAACCACCAACTATATTGAGAATTGCTCAGCACAGGATCCGTAACGAGGCGCCCGGGCATACTTACATGTAGGTCCGAGAAGTAATCCAGCATCGATTGCCAGGACCCATAACCCGAGTTTCTGACCGCGCTCATAGTCAAAGAAAAGGTCATTGACTGAGATAAGGAAAAAAACGTTAGACAAGCCGGCCAAAGGAACAGAACTTCGACTCACCAACAGCCATTCCAACCGTAGATGCCGGGCTCACGCCAAATCCTTGGAAGAAACGAGCAGCCATATAGCCCGAGTAGTTATCGGCGGCGGCGGCACCGATAGTTGACGCCAAAGCAATGAGTGTCCCAGTCAAGAAAACCATTCGACGACCATAGATGTCCCCGAGCGAAGACCATATCAGTGGACCAACGGATAGCCCTAAAGCCGGGACTGCGACCGTCCAGTTCACCTGTGAATAGCTGACTTGATATTGATCCTGGATTTCGGTAAAGGATGGAACCGTCGTAGTTGTCAGATAAGTGAACAAGAAATATCTTTTTTGTAAATTACTTTGTGTTAGTTATAATTTCGTAGGTTCGCTTCTCTTGCGAAGATGAAGGTAGCTCAGTACGTACTTGAACATAACAATAGCCAATATGGTATGTTTTTGAAGACTGGACCAATTTAATGGGTCCAGTGAGTCTGCTGTAGGCTGTGGATGGAGCTTGATACCATTTTTGTTGACAACAGCTTGGTATAGGATCTGAGTGCCATGGTCGATAGGTGTGGTAGATATCCGGTCATTCGAGGCATCGAATGCACCGTCCTTTTGATATTTCTCTCCCATATCCCGCTTCTCTAACATTTCCGCTAGAGAGAATGACATACTGCTCAATTGAGGTGTTATATGTCGAAAAAGGCTTGTTGGGCGAGCCTTAATACGCAGATCCAATGATGTTGATATGCAACTTGATCAAGTTATAGTATAAAGTTGAATGCATGCATGCAGAACATGGGATAGGCCTTAGGTATATATGAAGAGCGCAATTTAATTACGAGTCCTATCAAGTAGTATGATACTTGATCGGATCTTATTACCAGGGCTAGGAATATCGTAACACAACGGCTCTTATCGGCGACTCTTTTGGGTTTATATGATTTGCGCATTTCAATTCATTGTACGGAGCAAACAAGGAACTGCAAAACAGCGATGAACCTTGAATAAAGTGATGTATCTCACAATCTACAGCGAACGCATGGGGGTTTCGCTTTCCAGAACTATAGAACAGTTTCTCTTCACTGAGTATATAATGCGCATAGTGCACAGAAATTGCAGGTATTCAACACATTTACCACTCAACTACTCTTGGATATCAAAGATTCTCGAAATTCTAGAGTAAGGTCTATCCTTTCTCTAATGAGTCTGGTGGCTACCCAAGCGACAGGGGTGTATGCAAGCCATCAAAACCAGCCAATCAATTGACCAAAGACGATGATAAGGGCTTACAGATAAGAGACGCAGAGGATCAGGGGCCAATTGATCATAGAACGTTTAAAATGGAATTAAATGTCAAATTAATCTCCCGAGATGAAGATCCGTGGGCACTGCTCGGTTCTACCTTGGAGGAATCTCTGGGGTATGCACTCCACGCCAAGGATCGATCAGTACTATGGGACAGGGTCTGATTAGGACCTTATCTTTCCGGCATGAATAAAATAGAGATTCTGAACATAGTGGAGTAATTATGTTCCTAATTTTGTTGTCATAACTACTGTATACGACATCCTCGGGTTGCCGCTTTCGCACATGCTCTCTCCAACCTATATCAGCCCATTTGGAGTAGAAGATAACGCTTCACTCACGAATGTCATACCAATGACACAAACAAAAATATCTATCGACATGAAGCGACCCTCCGATTGACGGCAAGTCCCCTTCGCTAGTTAACTTCCGTTTTAGGACAAGACCTGGAGAGGAACAGCCCCCTTCCCCACTGATAAGACTAAACGATAAAGTTGTTTCTGACATCATTTTAAACATTCAGACTAGGCCGTTCTATTCTGTGCATCTATAGAGAATCCACCGAAACGTGGCTCATGTGTATTCAATCAGTCTATCTCCAGCTCGGGTGCGGGTTCTGGGCTTTTGATCCGAGGTCGGACTTGGATTACACTGTGTAAAACAACGGCAGTGGAGCAAAATTACAACAAATAAGAAGATGATCAGTCCATTCACTTCATTCGCTACAATACCTTGGTATGCAGACCCGAGCGGGACTTGAATTACTGAGATTGGGCTGGGGTTACAAACCTTAAGGCAATAAACATGCTATCGAATTGAGCTCGAAGACATTTTCATGATAAGTATCTTTTTTGCTTCTTAATCTGTTTGATCCCCACTTGACCAAAATCATCTTCCAAGGCGAGGAGACACGGACAACTGTCAACGAGTTCATTGAAACTCCAAAGCATCTCGAGAAAAAAAACTATCTCTCACCCTCCATCACTATGCACGACTCCGATACTGACAATGTGTCAAACCAAATTCGACCAAACGAGTATACCTCGCTTCTATCCAAACCAATCGACGATTCATCATCATGGATCGAACCCGAAGAAGACAACCCTTACTCGCGAGACCTCGTCCTTGCCGAATTCTGGCTACTTCTGAAAGACTCAATCCCCGTGATCTTAGCATACACACTCCAAAATAGTCTTCAGACAGTATCAGTGCTGATATTAGGCCGTTCATCACCACAGAACCTGGCCGTGAGTGCATTTTCACAGATGTTCGCCATGGTCACTGCGTGGATGATTGCACTCGGTGGCACGACGGCCTTGGATACACTTGCCTCGTCTTCATTCACGGGCAGTGCCAATAAACATGATTTGGGAGTCTTGCTTCAGCGTGGATTCCTCGTTTTGGGTCTTTTTTATATACCGGTTGCTATCCTGTGGGCTTGTTCTGAGCCTGTCTTTCTCTTCCTAGGACAGGATCCTCAGCTTTCGCATGATAGTGCAAGGTTTTTGACTTGGTTGATCCCTGGTGGGTTGGGATATATTTATTTTGAGGTTATGAAGAAATATTTACAGGCTCAAGGTATGTATTCACAATCTACAATGAGTTCTAGAAAGTAGCCATTAACGAGCTCACAGGAATCATGCGAGCTGGAACCTACGTTCTCCTTATCACATCGCCCCTTAACGCCGGACTCAACTATCTGTTCTGCTACACATTCGAAATCGGTCTTCTAGGTGCCCCCATGGCAACAGGTCTCTGCTACTGGTTATCATTTGCCTTGCTAGTTGTCTATGCACGCTTCATCAACGGTTCGGAATGCTGGGGCGGATGGTCGCGCGAGGCTTTTCAAAACCTAGGCACATTCGCCAGACTGGCGCTACTTGGCGTTGTACATGTCGGAACAGAATGGTGGGCCTTTGAAATCGTGGCATTAGCAGCCGGACGCCTGGGAACAATCTCCCTCGCTGCGCAGAGTGTAATCATGACAGCCGACCAAGTCCTCAACACAATCCCATTCGGAATTGGAGTTGCTACTTCAGCCCGCATTGGAAACCTACTTGGGAGCCGAAACAGCACCGGAGCTGCACGGGCAGCGCATACATCTGCAGTGCTCAGTATGGTCTTCGGTGGAGCTGTGCTAGCCGTTCTTATCGGGACGCGGGACCATTTTGCGAAGATATTCAATGATGATAGGAGCGTCGTGCAGCTTACTGCTGAGGTACTGCCTTATGTGGCGCTTTTCCAGATTGCTGATGGGCTTAATGGGAGCTGTGGTGGAAGTTTACGTGGAATGGGACGGCAGCATGTGGGTGCTTTGGTCAATTTAGTGAGTTATTACTGTGGTGCTTTGCCGCTCGGTATTTGGCTTGCTTTCCATGGCTGGGGGCTTCAGGGTCTGTGGGTTGGTCAGTGTATTGCGCTGTATTTGGTTGGGATTTTGGAGTGGGGGATTGTTGCTCGTAGTTCGTGGGATGTTGAGGTTCGGAAGGCCTTTTTGCGGATGGATGTGCATGAGACTCTGGAGGATGGGGTGGAACGGTATTGAGTATGATATCATTCAAGGCTTGTGGGCTTCTCACAGTTATTGAGATTTGGTTTTTTTTTTTTTTTTCAATAGAAATCCGAATTCTGGCGGAACATAATCCACATCTCTTGCCATCCTATTTCGAGCGGCATGCGAAGTATAGCCAACACATCAATCGAGCACTTTGCTGTTACCTGGATTATACATATTACATTGTTACGAACTTTAATTGAGAAAGTCAGAAATAAATCAACGAACAACCATTATACTTCCGTTGACCTCCGTTGTCGGACAGCAAAGCAACTGATAATAGTCGTATAGATCGACTCCTCCAATGACCGGCCATTGATAAGCTGCACTGTACGCTAACAGCCCTAATTATATTCTCTATCTTTCCCAAATTTAATGCCTGTCTGGCGTTCCCACTCCTCGAAACTTCCCTTTTGGGACGAGGTAAATCTTGCTTTGCATGATCATGATGTATGCCGCCACCTAGTCTTGGATCTCCAATTCCCCGCCAACCGATATCCTGGCATATTTTCCCTAATGGGAAGTTCACGGTAGAGAAGAAGCTCAGCCATTCTAAGCGATGGTTTTTGTGTCTCCGATTGACGCCAATGTCGGGTACGGAAGCTTTGGATAGATAGGATTGACGGACCCTTGTAAATCGTCTCTGCTTTGGGGCAATGATAGGAGTGATGATTATACTGGAAGGCAAACTTGATGGAATGGGCCCACTGCATACATTGTACAGATTTGTGAGGGTTTAATATGCTCCGGTTCATGAACTACATATACCCCGGATAGACGCTGCATGCTGTGTTCTCACAACCGAACTCATATCTCCCTTGAGCTTATTTTTCACCCACTTAAACATTGGACTGAGCTTCCTTGGCCGGTAATATGCTCTCCTCTATTGCAGGCGTACTTGCCCTCTCTGTCCTGGCCGCAGGACATGGGGACCATAGCCAAACTCCAATGGCTGGTCCTCACCAAAGCCTTTGGTACAATACTCTACCTGGCGATGGCGGCACCCAAGTAAGAGACATTGTCATCCTCATCCCAGAAAAATTGAGCTCCATAAATAACAATCAAAGGCCGACTCCGTCTTTTCCGGAATCTCGACCTTCGGCCGCCTACCCTACTTCCCGTGCCTGGCAAGCGAAGCCGAGAAGTACGACATCGCATTCCTAGGTAAGTCAATTTCAAGCAAGAGACATATCAAATACAATATCAACCACCCATTTAACGCATCCATAAATCAAACAGGCGCCCCCTTCGATACCGGAACTTCCTACAGACCAGGGGCCCGCTTCGGACCCAGCGGCATCAGACAAGGTTCTCGCCGCCTCAATCTCTAGTACGTATTCCCTTCTAGTGAGCAGAGGGCTTACAAATACCACCGGATGGCAATGGATATAAAGGCTCACGCAAATTGGGCTTCAGCGGTGGCTACAATGTACCGTTGCAGGCGAACCCGTTCGATAGCGATATGCGGATTATGGATTGTGGTGATGTGCCGGTTACTTCGTGAGTTTCTTGATATGGGCAGCATGGTGAATGAAGATTGACATTTGCTGCCTTGAATCAGGTACGACAATGCGTGGGCTATCCAGCAAATCGAAGAAGGACATAACAGTATCTTGATGCGCAAGCCCTTCACTGATGCCGATAAATTGGGTCTCTCCCGGGCTGGAAAGACTCTTCCCCGTGTGATTACAATGGGTGGTGATCATACTATTACATTGCCTCTGCTGCGGAGTATTAATAAGGCTTATGGGCCTGTGACCGTCATTCATTTTGATAGTCACTTGTGAGGCAATCATTTTGTCTCTGAGAAATGCAGATGGACTGACTTATTCTGATTAGGGACTCCTGGAAGCCCAAGGTTTTTGGTGGCTCACCTAGCCAGGTTGCTGCTATTAACCACGGGACATACTTCTACCATGCTGCCATGGAAGGACTGTTAAAGAATGACACTAACATCCACGCTGGTATCCGTACCACGCTTTCGGGTCCGTCTGACTATGAGAATGATGGATACTGTGGATTTGAGATTGTGGAAGCGCGAGAGATTGATACAATTGGTATATGCCTCTAGCTATATTGTCGCCTTTTTTCTGTGATGGGCTAACGCGTCATGCAGGCACGGACGGCATCATCAAGAAGATCCGCGATCGTGTCGGAACCGACAACCCAGTCTATCTTTCAATCGATATTGACACGTTAGATCCTGCCTGTAAGCGGAGTCTCTTGAATATGCTGAATCATATTCTAAATTCTAACCTTCGCACAATACAGTCGCACCGGCCACCGGGACCCCAGAGACAGGCGGATGGTCAACGCGCGAACTGCGGACGATCATTCGCGGCCTGGACGGACTGAACTTTATTGGTGCGGATATTGTCGAGGTGGCTCCGGCGTATGATACTAATGCGGAGTTGTCGACTATGTATGTCTCCGATCTAGCCTTGGGGACAAAGCTGACAGGTTTCTTTTAGGGCTGCCGCCGATGTGCTGTACGAGGTACTTACGATCATGGTCAAGAAGGGGCCGCTTTCTATTGGCGAATCTCATGAGCAGCTATAAACACGCAGGTGGATGTTAGGGCTGGCGACGTGACAGAATCGAGCTGAATGGATCAGGAATCGAGAAATTATCGAAGATCATCCCTTAACGGTCTGATTAGTTCGAGTGGGTCTGTCGGTTCTATGAACAAAGTGCTATTTAAGCCCCAAAAACAAGACCTAAATGAGTTTGTAAGCCTATTTTTGACCTATTTTTGAGTGCCTTTCTTTCCGAGGGGAGCGAAGTATAGACCCATATGTAAATGATTCAAGTGCACCCCAGCCAAGAACCTCTTGACCACTTCCACTGACAGGTACCATATCGGCTGATGGTGGAACCAGGGGAAATTACCACATCGGACTAACTGGCCCGTCCCTGTCTGATTTAGCCTCCATGTGGTAGTGAGTGCACCGATCGACACTGCCTGGCTCTTTGGCTCTCTTGAAAGGAGAAAAGCAATCTCGGATAGCTTTCTCCAAGTGGTTTTGGGCCAAGCCATGCAAAGAAATCTGAAACGAATGGCTAGAACGTGTGGGCTGTTCCCTGCACACTTTAAGGATCGGTGGAGACTCTGGGTTCGGGCTGTATATAGCGCGTCTAATAGTGGACATTGGGTGCAAGGAAATGTAACTATTGAACCATGTGCCCGGAGTATTTATGCAGTGGGCAAATAGAGGCAGTTTGGTGAAGAGAACCGTTTTGCTACGTGAAAGAATACTCCGTCTGATAAGTGTAGAGTTGTAGATAGTACTGTAGAGATACTGTAGAAAGGCTGCCCCTGAACTGCTTGGCCCCCTTCATCTTAACTCGAAGCTAAACTATTCTAGGTTCCAAGTACTGTGTACAGTAATCCTTATTTTTCTCCCTTTCGACCTGCAGTTCATCCGGGCGGTTGTGTTTCCTTGCCGAACTCTTATTTTGCTCAAAAATTAAGGGGCACTGACACTTCTCCACAATATCTCCTTTTCTCGCGCCTCATGCCTACACCTTTCAATTAGCTTTACGATTTCCTCTCGCTTCCACCTGGTGTGGTATTTGGGGAGATGACAGTCTCACCGCCAGCATCACCGACTGGTGCACCCCCACGACCCATCAGCGCCGTCATGCGCACGCCGCGCAGTAACAGTCGCCTGAGCATGAGCAGCAGACAGGGAGGCAGTCGTGCCTCGGACGAGGATGGCAAGACTGCAGTCAAAGTCGGTATGTGCTATCTCCCCTGAACCATAGCCTGGAACCAAACTGACTCGCGCAGCTGTCCGTGTGCGACCTCCTCTGAAACCAACCGACCCCGGCTACGAGTTAATTCCCCAGCGATTCCAACGTTCGATGGTCCATGTCACCGCGCCGACTAGTCTCGCTGTCGATGTTCCCCAGGGACGCAAGTTGTTCGTGTTCGATCGCGTGTTCCCCGAGTCCATTGAGCAGGAGGGTGTTTGGGAGTATGTTAGCGACAGTGTCAACTCTTTCATTCAGGGCTACAATGTCTCCATCATGGCATATGGACAGTCCGGTGCTGGAAAGTCATTCACAATGGGTACCTCAGGCCCTGGTGAACAGAATAACATGCAGGACATGGGTGAGTTTCAAACACTGTTGCACAACTCTTCAGCCACTAATCGCGTGTGTTTCTAGGCATTATCCCTCGTGCTGCGCAGGCCTTGTTTGATAAATTGGACGGCCCCTCAAAACACAACCGGAATGGCTCCAACTCGACTACGGGCCTCCGCACACCGCAACGATATTCCATGAGTTCCGCTTCCAACTTTGGAAAACCGGCCCAGGAGAAGACCTGGCAGCTAAAGGCTACATATGTGGAGGTGCGCTTTTGACCCTTGGACTATATACACGTTGCATATGCTGACAAAAACAGATCTATAACGAGCACTTGAGAGATTTGCTGCTCCCAGATTCCGCCGCCGCAAATGACCGCAGCAACGTGACAATTCGTGAAGATACCAAGGGCCGCATTATTCTGACCGGCCTGCACCAAGTGAACATCAATTCATTCGATGATCTGATCGGTGCTCTCAACTTCGGCTCGACCATCCGTCAAACAGACTCCACTGCTATCAACGCCAAATCCTCTCGGTCGCACGCCGTATTCAGTCTGAACCTCGTCCAACGCAAGCCTTCCGCCGGCCAAACGACTTCCAGCCCTGCTAGAGAGAAGCGCATGTCGATGCCAGTCGACTCTTTCCCAGGTGATTCGGTCAGCGTCGATAGCAAGCTGCACTTTGTGGATTTGGCTGGTAGTGAGCGGCTCAAGAACACAGGTGCCTCTGGCGAACGCGCCAAGGAGGGGATCTCCATCAACGCTGGTCTAGCAGCTCTCGGAAAGGTCATCTCGCAACTTTCCTCGCGCCAGCAGGGTTCTCACGTTTCTTACCGTGACTCCAAGCTCACCCGACTGCTTCAAGATTCCCTAGGTGGAAATGCCTATACATATATGATTGCCTGCGTGACTCCGGCCGAGTTCCACCTGAGCGAGACCCTGAACACTGTTTCATACGCCCAGCGCGCCAGAGCAATTCAGAGCAAGCCCCGCATTCAACATATTGCTGATGACAGTGACAAGCAGGCTGTCATCGACCGCCTCAAAGCTGAAGTGGCTTTCCTGCGCCAGCAGATTCGCAACGCCGAAGCATCCGACCGACGAGATGGTACCTCCCCTGAGCGAAGCGCACGCAAGAATGAACGCGAGAAGCATCTACAGAACCAGCTGTTAGATGTTCAGGAGAGCTACAACTCCCTCAGCCAACGACATGCTAAGCTCATTTCGACCATGGCCACTGACTCGCGCGAGACCCATGAAACTGACGATACTGCCTCAGAAATTGGCAAGAGCTCAGTCGAAAGAATGCAACGCTCGAAATCATTTGCTGAGTCTGTAGAGCAGATGGTCTTAGAGTACGAGAAGACCATCCAAAGCTTGGAATCTTCCCTGTCCGATACTCGTACTTCTTTGTCCACCACTGAAAGCGATCTTCTCGAGCGTGAAACTAAGTGTGCCTACGTCGAGGCCGTCCGCGAGCAGCTCCAGTCCCGTGTCCAAAAGCTGTTGGATCGCGAGTCTAGCACCGAGACCTATCTCCATGAGCTAGAATCCAAGCTTGATGGGCAGTCCACGGGTGAGGAGCAGCACGCTGCCATTGTGGCCGAGCTTCGCAAGGAACTCAGCCGGGCTCGCGATAGCGAAGCTAGCTGTGAGGAGTACATTTCCACACTCGAGGAGCGCCTTGCAGAAGGTGATCAGGATATGGAGCTGATGCAGCGCGAGGTGTTGCGATTGGAGCATGTCATTGAACGCCAGCGCGGCATTGGAAAGTTGGATCACCTCCTCCATGAACTAGATCACTACCACGAGGCCGAGGGCCGTGCTGGCCCCAACGGTATTGATGACCCACAGATGTCTCACTCATCTCGCGGTGCATCTGCTTCTCACAGACATACGCCATCATTAGATGTGCTTGGCGAAGCAACTGAGACCGCTATTCCTGAATCGGATGAAGATCTCATCGAGCCCATTCAGGAAGCATCGGACGAATCTGCCGAACAGTCTGATCAGGGCACTGGTGTTTCTGGTGAGGATTTGAAGGTCTTGGAGAATGTCACCAGTAAGATGGAGGCACGTCGCTCCGTGGCTCTTCTTCAAGAACCCATCTCAAGCCCTGCCCAATCCAAGTTCGTTGCCGACAAGCTTGAAACAGTCACCCAGGAGCTGTTCGACCTCCGTCTCCAGCACGAGAACACCATGGGTGACTACGAAGTGCTTGAGTCCAAGTACGAGCAGGTCCTCAAGGTCCTTGCTGAACTCCGCCAGGACAAGCTCGACGAAGCTCACCACCCGGCATCCAACCTTCAAACCGAAATTCCCTCTCGTCCCGTGTCTTTTTTAGGAAACGGAGGCACTCCCGCATCGAAGTCTGGAGCACAACACTCATTCTCGCAGTCACTCTCCTCGGAATTATCCTCGGCCGGGGAGCCATCCACTTTGCGCGAATCCTCTGAATGTGGATCCAAGCAAATTTCTTCCACACCTTCAACCCCTGTAGTGCCACCCGTGGACTCTGAGGAGTCCGAGAGCATGCGCAAGATGCTGGCCGAACACCAGGAAAGCGCCGAGTTGATGGCTCAGAAGTATACCGAGTTGCAGACCGAGCACGAAGAGATTCTTGGCCTGGTTGAAAAGCTGAAGGCAGAGGCTCAACGCACCAAGTCATCCTCGCCCCCTTCGACTCCCGGTTTCAAGATGATCCGACGCATGACCAGCCAGAACCTCCTGTCCGGCGTCGACCGTGCCACCCGCGCGCTTACGGGACTGCGCCTGATTGCAACCGAGGAATTCGCCGAGAAGCCAGACGCAATGCACAACTTCGATTACCATTTGGATGCGACCATGCATGAATTGCAGAGCCGCATGGAGCGCCTCCAGTCCCTTGAAGCTGAGAACCAGAGTGTGAAGAAGGAGATGGAAATGAAGATGACTATTATTTCTGGTCTTACCAGAGAGCGATCTAGTTTGCAGGGAACCTCGCCTGTCGATATGGCTCTGGTCTCCCAATTGCGTGACCAGGTCGTTTCTCAAGAGATGCAAATCAACCAGCTCCGTGATGCTCATGAGACCCGTGAGAAGCAGCTGCTTGGTGAGATTGAGACCTTGAACGGTCTTCTCAAGTCTCAAGAGAGCGCTACTCGTGCTATGGATGCTGGTGCTGATGAGCAGGATAAGAAGATTGGTGTTCTCGAGGGCGAGCTTTCCCAGTGGAAGGGTAAGCACCAGAGTGCCTTGGAGTCTTTGCAGTCTTCAGAGACGCAGCTTACTGGCACCCTTGCCGAGCTTGAGGCTGCTTTGGCTTCTGTTGAGGCGATGCGTGCCGAGCGCGCTGAGGGCGGTGAATCCGCTGACAAGGAGGTCACTGCTCAGGAGCTTGAGGGTGACCGCGCCCAACAGCAAGACCTTGTTGATGGCCTCAAGAAGGACATTGAGGAGCACAGGTCCACTATCGCTACTCAGCTTGCCACAATTGCGGGTCTGGAGAAGTCACACTCCGATGCGCGGGAGAAGCTTGCTGCTCAGATCACCACCGGTGAGGAGGTTAATGCCGGGACTGTCGACTTGGGTCTTACCACTCGGATGTCCGAGCTTGAAAAAGAGATTGCCTCTCACAAGTCTGCAGTTGATTCTCACCACAGCGAACTCGAGACTCTCCGCGATTCTCACAAGCGTGAATTGGCAGAGCTTGAGGAGCGGACTAAGGCTGCTCTCCAAGCTGAGCACGATGCACGCCTTGTTGAGAAGGATGCCGAGCATGACAAGTCTATGGCTGCGCTGCAGAATGAAATTGCGGACTCTCGTGATGAATTGGTCAAGCTGCTCAAGGCTGTTTCCACTCTTCTCAACTCTGACGTTTCCGCTGAGTCGTTGACGGATCAAATCCAAGATGTCTTGTCCCAGAAGCAGCACTTCTCTGACAAGTATGCCGAGCTAATGGGCACAAATGACGACCTCCGCAAGCAGCTGGAGGCTCACGGTGAATCCGACAGCCGTCTGGATGAAATGACGAAGAAGAACACCGCCCAGGACGCCAAGGTCAATGAGCTGGCTCTCTTGGTCGCGACTTTAGAGGATACTCTTCGTCAGAAAGACGAGCAGGTCAAGAAGAAGGAAGCCCTGGTTGAGGAGATCACTATTGAGAAGCAGAAGAGTGTGCGCCTTGTTGAGGAGCTGGAGGAGCAGATTACCAACAGCTTCGACCAGCACCACAACCGTCTTTCTGTCATTCAACAGGAGCGTGACCAGGCCCTGGAGGATGCCAAGGCCAAGATCGTTATCTACGAGGGAGACATTGAGACTTATCAGGTCCGGATTGAGCAACTGGAGCTCCAGATCAAGAACACCGGAAACACCGAGAGTTCCCACGACCGCAGCAGTTCCCTCACATCTAATCTCCGCAAGAGCTCCTCCGCCGCCTCTCTTCCCTCGCCTCCGCCGGCTATTCCTCTTCCTCCTCTCCCCACCATCGCCCAGACAAATGGCTCATCCAGTGTTTCCCCTCCTAGCTCGCGACACGCTAGCAAGGAGCTGGTGAACGCCCAGATGGTCGAGGACCAAGAAGCCCGGATCCGAACCATTGAGAAGCACCTGTACGCCGAAAAGCAGCTGACCGCCACCCTGGAAGAAGCTCTCGGCGACCTCGAAGCCCAGAGCAGCAAAGTCAAGAGCGACTGCGAAGCCTGGAAGAAGAAGGCCTGGGGCTTCGAAGACGAGCTCACCTCCCTCCGCAAGGAACGCAGCTCCGCTCGCTTGTCCCTCCAGGCCGTCGAGGAGGAGCGCAGTGCCCGTCGTGAAGCCGAGGCCGCCCGCGCTCAACTCGAAGAGCGCATGGCTGCCCTCAACAAGAAAAAGAAAAAGAGCACCCTCAACTGCTTCTAGGTGTAATGACCGCCGTCGCCGTCATTGCTTGAGATTTGCCCATACAAAAGCGATCGTCTCATTCTCACCTAACCTTACTTTTATTGGATGTACACATATCTTCTACTGTTGTCTTTTTTTTTTTCCTTTTCTTTTCTTTCCTACATGTTTTGTCTCCCTTGTTTCATACCCTATTCTGTTCGATTTACATCAGTTACACCCATTTCCCTGTATTATGAGCTTTGACGTTTCCCTTTCTTCACTTCTCTGTCGACTCCTGTCGATGCCTCTTTCTACCGAGAGGCTATGTGCTATGTGTCATATCCTAGCCTGTCTCCCTCCCTTTTCCCGCACACTTTTTGTCCCTTGTTCTTATATTCTTCTCTCCATCCCCCGTTTCATATATCGTCTACTTTCCCCTCTGTCATGAATTTTCATGACTGGTAGATTCGTCTCTTATTTATCCCACGGTGAAACCCTCTGCTTGTACATGCAATTCTGTCGGCTGTCTCTAGATTGATTTGCGTTGATACTTATGTCGTAATGGGTAGGATCGTTGTTACGGTGTTTCCCGCTCATTAGCTCTCTACCTTGAAATTCATCTGGGTGTTCTACCTATCGTTCACATTAATATATATTCATATTCATATTTGTAAGAATTCATGTCACGTCTCGTCTTGTTACCCTGCCCACTATGGTCCATATAATAATGTCGCCAGTACCTATTCATTCATCACGTAGAGCATATACATTCCACTGTCAAAACAACCACATAATACTCCACTGGAAACCTTCAGACCCATATCCAATTGATACAGGGCCCAATGGAATCCAGAAAGACCAACTGCTCGTGCTTTTAGCGGTAGCAGCAGTACCCTCTCCGTCTGAACCCCCGCCCGAACTCCATCTCAAAACAATGACCAAAACAACAACAGCAATGAAAAGCCCCGTGAATATCATCATATTCCTCTGCTCCTTTCTCCAAAGATTATTATGGTGACGCCTTGCAGAAGCGTATGGAGCACTTGGATATGTCGTGGTCGGCCCCGAGTTTCTATATTTATATGGCAGCCCACTTTCTGGAAGCGCGGACGCGAGTGGGATGGCCAGGGGTTGTGAGCTTACAAGACCATGAGGGGGATTGGCGTTGCCAAATCCCAGGCCCAATGATGAGGAAGTGCTTCTGGTTATTGTTGTTGATGTGTATGTTGTGTCGGATGTTGCTTGTTCTGGGTTGAGGCTGTTGGGGTTTGGTCGGCGTCTTTGGGGTTCAGAGGCGGACATATCTTCTGTTGTGTGTGTGTGTGTGTGTGTGTGTGTGTGTGTGTGAGTTGTTGGATTGTAAGCTTATCGCGAGGTCTCGTCTGGCGGTTGCTTTTTATGTTTCTTTGTGCTTATCTTTGAGCTTAGAGAATGGGTCGTGGTGCTTTTTGCGCTCGGTTTTGCTTAATTTCTGATATTTCTGTTTCAGTTCGTGCGAAATTGTATTTGGGAGAGACATTTTGTCTACGGGATGAGAGGTCTGATGACAGTTGCGTGCTCTCGGGCGCCCGTTTTCTCTGTTGCGAATACGAAGTACATATATTAGACCAAGACATGAGGGGCAGCTGCGCCACTATGAGCTTTTTGTATTCTCTATGTTCGCTTGGTGGACTTTGAGCTGGTGACTTATACAGCCACTGTGAGGGGGGTGTCTAGAGTCTTATATTGTGGGAGGCTTGCTTGATTGGGTCTGACAGCAACATCGGGCTAAGTACATCAAGGCTCAATTACGAGATAACATCTGCGATTACAGTTGGTGACATTGATGCGGTTCGAGCTCCTTGCGCGAATTGAGAAAATAAGTTCAGTGAAACTGCCATGTGATACGGAGTAGTTTCCAACAACATGGATTACTCTACTACCGACATTGAACAGCCCACCAGTCTCAATGTTGAGACCTTTCTCCGCTTCTTGTGGGGTGTGGAGTGCTTCGGTAGAACTGGATAGTGCGGCCGTTAAATTGGGGAACTGGTGTTGATCGCACCGGCGTTCCATGTCAAACACGTCTTTCTTGTCGTTCCTGGCTGGAGACAGTGGCCCTTATGGTGCGCCATATTGGACGCAAAGCGCTGAATGCCGAATGTGGAATACTCGGCACCAATCGGGTTACATAAGTGGTCGCTCCACCGGGCCTGACACTGAGTCTCGGATGTGATCTGCAGGCAAGTAATCCGAAGTGTCATCTTGAATGCGGGCGGCTTAAATTGACGTGTCTGTTGAAGCCCTGAACCCCAAATGAATTAGCGATCATCGGGGTGTCCAGAAGGCCAGATAGATTTTCGTTATTCACAAGCCCATTGACGTCACAGGCTGAACATATAAAGTGGCCGAGCATCCGAAGAGGAATGCTTCTAGAGCCTTTATCCCTTCCATGAGGTGGTAGTGGGTGGGCCGCGAACCATTGAACCGAACGCCTTCAGCCTCGTGGAAGTATGGATATGACGCCACCATTGGCCTCTCTGAATTACTCCCATCTCTTTCATTTTTCCCTTTTCCAAATGCACTCCTGGTATATATGAGCAATGAGAACTCCAAAACGCTGGAATACCCGACTCAATCCCAACACGGGATGCGACAGCCCAATGTCCCAACCAAATCCCTATGCATCACCGGCCAGTACATTCCTCAAAGAGGAAGTCTACCGACTCGGTTCCTCCCCAGGCTTGCGCTCCCTGCCACCAGGTCCAGAACGGGACTTCCTCACATTATCATGGGGTCCTATCGTCTATCGCACCGCCTACGGTCCAGACACAAAACGTCTTCTGCCCGTTCTTCTACGCTCCCTCAACGATTCCGTGAGTCAATCATTACACCGGACAATGACAGGCTCCGAGGAAGAGATGCGCATTCTCACGCAAACCTTCGCCTCGAAAATATTCAGCTCTCGAGATATGTATGCCGATCTAGACGAGGACGCGGTTCGACAGATCTTTCATGATTTCAAGGTATCATTGACGATCCCTGAGACGGAGCTTCCGAGTAGGCTGCGCGTCTGTTTAATGATTGATGATGAAGTATTATCGCATTTGAAAGGTGTTTTGGATATGGCTTCACTTAGGGAAGGGGATGCTGGTGTGGGTAGATGTTGGGTGAAGGTTATTGAAGAGAACTTTCCGGATTCCAGGCTAGATGACCACCCTCCCGTGGATGATGTCGATACTGGTGGTATATCTTGGTGTATGAAGAACGCTCGTGGGCGTTATCGCGGGTGGACGATGGTGGCACTGGATGCGTTGGTTGAGGTCTTTGATGGGCTGAGGGAATTGAGGGGCTTGGTTGAGTATCATCGGGAGGGCAGGGCATATTTGGGAGAAGGGAAATGGACTGCTTAGATTTGTAGATTTATGATATATGTATATTAACTCAATACATTTTCTTTCCTGTTGACTTGATCCCCGTTCGACATCTATAACCCGGCTATGAGTGGCCAGCCCTACAAAAATACTTGAAATATAAACCGTGAAGACTGATAGCATTATTTATGGCCTGATATCGGTGAAATCATGGGAGTTGATGATGTTGAACTGGTATTCTTGGTTCCAGTATGAAAGATAGGACTGTTTTCCGGGAATAAAGACGTCCTGTTTTCTTGACAAATTGTCCAGGTTATCTCATTATGATATCTGTCAAGAGTAATACCTCATTCAACTGAAATATGAAAATAGTAATCAGCATGGTATTTACATAGCAAAATGGGTATCTGGTATATGTACCGGGCACAGAGATCAAACAAAGAATATACATCGTGAAAGGCACATCGGGCAAAGACATGGACCCTACAGCAGTCTTCGGCATTCCATCAAAACACCCTTTCCCAGGTCTATTTCATTTAACCTATGATACATTTCATTGTTGTCCAAAACTGTTGTTTGAACTTGCTGAGTTCTTCCGGCTATTTAAAGCCTGAGCTCATTCTCATAAACGGGCCTATAGTGGTGTATTTCCCAAGTCACCGTGGTGTCCACGCAAATGTTCACGCGGTAGATTGGTCGCGTTTTGCCTCCACGCAATATGTCATCGACATGGCCTATCTCTGCAATTCAGTCATGATTTTTGAGAAACTGTATCATTTGAAAAGTAAGCCTGACCGAAATATGATGTACTCGTTGGGGTTTTCACTAGATGAAAGTGGTTATGGACCGAAGAGTCGGACTCGGACTCGAATATTCTGCAGGTGTGCTTCCAAATCATGGATTCGTTCAATATCTTCATGCTCAAAAATTTCTAGCACATGGACGACCTATTCTTCATGCCGCCATGCCCGTTGGGATTACCTCCTGATGAACGTGTGCAACGCTCCCACTCATTACTGATCCAACCTTTTCACTTTGGATTCCACCGTATCATAAATGTTAGCAAAAATACGAGTGATCCTGAATATGTTGCGATCGTGGTTATTGGTTGGGCTTCTATCCCGATTTCTCTAGACCACGAACAGCATGTTCCCTCTTCATACCTTGCAGACACCGACGGACAAATCTAGGATGTCTGGTGACGATGTATGGCCAAGTAAATGAGGAAAATTAGCCATACAGTTTCCCTTGGACATGAACCATTGCAATCCTCTGTTGAACACATACCGAACAGAGAGAGAGCAAAACGATGAGCCATGAAAGCAATGCACTTGACTATAGAGAGACGCTCTATTGTAAGCATTTTGGGGCCTAAATTGGTACTGCAAAGTGCATACATATTTCTACTCCGTCTCATCAAAAACATACAAACGAAAGCGCATTTAAATCCTAACGGCCATCCATGGCCAGGCGATCTGATTGGTCACTTTGAAAGCAATCATGTGACGATAAGCCTCTTATCAGGCTGCTTATGAAGCATCGCTTTTCAACATTGTAAAGCATCAAGTGGATATGACACAATCTGTACAGGCAGTGAACAATAATGGACTCCTTTCTCTCGAGAAAACGACCTAGACTCTCAAGCCCGGAACTAAGCACGAGCCAGAAGTCATCACAGCCCGATGACTCCACGGACATGAAGTTAGCAATACTGCTATCACTCTTCCCGGTTATCAAACAGGATGAGCTGCTGGATATTCTTGTCTCATGTGATGGGTCGGTGGAAACTGCATCTAAAATGCTTTCTGCACAAGCCACAGTGGACACACCCTTCACCAAGAAGCGAACAGCTCCTGTCTCGTCACTCGGCATGCAAACATCACTTTCGTCGCACGTATTTACAACAGCCGAAGACGGAACCATGAAACCAATCAATGAAATTGCAAAGAAGAGGCGACCGCCACCAACCAAGAAGGGCCAAACTCTCCACCTTTACTCACCCGAGGATATTGCAGCCAATACACCCTGCACGATAGTCCATAATTTCCTGCCCACTCATGCAGCAAACGCACTACTGGAAGAACTACTAGACGAATCAAAACATTTCCAGCGGTATGATTTCCAACTTTTCAACCGTACGGTGCAAAGTCCTCACACACATGCCGTGTACGTCTCCACGCCAGAGGAACACCGTCAACAAACATCAGAATACACGTACGGCGGCACATATCGATCAAACGTACGTCAGGCCACGCCAAAGCTCCGCTCAGTATCAAAACAGGTACAAACCGTTGTCAATGAGGAGATCCAGAAGCGAATCCGAGACATCTATCCAGACGGGAAGAAATTACAGTACCAATCATCGAACGAGTGGAAACCAAATGCAGCATTCGTTAACTGTTACGATGGACCAACCGAGAGTGTGGGCTTTCACTCAGATGAACTCACCTATCTGGGACCACATCCGGTGATAGGAAGCCTAAGCCTGGGCGTGGCCCGTGAGTTCCGCGTACGGCGAATAGTAGCCCAACGAGAGGATGAGGCCAGCGAAGAAGCAATTGAAGACAAAAGCACGAGTCCATCTTCAAGATCTACAGAAAGCCAGAATGCATGGGCTGCACGTGCAGATGCCCAAGGCCAGATCTCTATACACCTTCCACACAACTCACTCCTCATCATGCATGCAGAAATGCAAGAAGAATGGAAGCATTCTATCACCCCTGCGCAGACCATTTCTCCACATCCCATTTCCGGAAATCGTCGTATCAATATCACATATCGCTGGTATCGGGATACTCTGCACCCACGGTATACCCCACGCTGCCGATGTGGCCAGCACGCAATCCTCCGATGCTCACAACGCAAGCAAGAATCCCGTGGTCGGTATATGTGGATGTGCTATGCGGGGTTTGCGCCAGGGAAGGAAGGCTGCACGTTCTTCCAGTGGGCCGAATTTAATGACGATGGGGACCCGGTTTGGGAGAACAAACAGATCGACGATGTTGCGCCTACACTCGCAAATTTCTCGGCATCGCAATAAGGCAGTTCTAATATTCACATGTACATGTACGATAAAGACGGAACATATACACGATCTGACTTACAACAATGAAACTTGCACGGCTATCTGCTGCAAGATCTACTAGTACAGAAACTAGCATCGTAGATCCCCTATCCCCGGATTCCCAAGGACAACGGAACAGGATCGACAGACCAAAATACAAGGTCACATATAGTCAAAGTCTGATTCGGCAGCGCGGGACTGTGCACCAGGATCTTGGTTCGGATCTGGGGGAACGCGCGAGTTTTAAGGTTTGCGGGGAACTTTTATTGCATCAGTCAGCGGAAAGTGGACTCGACATTCCGCCTCTACGCCCACTTCACTGCAGATGGGTTCCTTTTCGTTATACTGCCGTCTTTCAAGTGGACCGATCGATTGCCAAGCTGCACCAACAGCCTTGCATATGTAGTCGAAGGGTTGAGCTCCAATCATTGCTTGTGGATATGGAGACATCGGCAAGATTGTCCTTAGGTACCCCTCATCGGGGGATGGGGTGTGCGGAATCTGCTACCGCGGGTCCGCTAGCTCAAAAGTACGGTTTAAGAAGACGAGGCTGTCGATTTTGATTTTTATTTCCTGTGTTATTTTGAATTCTATTCCGCTGCGATTGTGATTCGTGCTTTTCATCATGGCTTCCAAGACCGAGGATACATATGACTATATTGTCTGCGGGTAGGTCAAATGCGAATTGTCTGGTTGTGCCTCCATGCTAACAAAACTTCAGAGGTGGAACTTCAGGCTGTGTCGTTGCTGGTCGTCTAGCTGAGAACCCCGAGGTCAAAATTCTGTTGCTCGAAGCTGGACAGCACAATAAGGACCTGGAAAATGTGCATATGACTGGCGGGTGAGTATTTCCGGACCAATCAATAACTCGATTCGTTACTGACAGACTAGGTGGTCAAACAACTTCGACGCCGAGACCGACTGGAATCTTGTCACGCCTCCTATGGCTGGGGTTGACAACCGCCAAGTGAAATTGAGTCGAGGACGATTCCTCGGGGGATCCAGTGGGTGCAATGGCACACTGTGCATCCGCGGCAACAAACAAGATTATGACGATTGGGGATTGGAGGGATGGAGTGGGGAGGAATTCTTCAAGGCCATGAGAAAGGTACTTCGCATCAATAAATTGAGGCATACAAAAATTACTAATAGAAGCAGTCGGAGACCTTCCACCCAAAGCCCTGGTTCAAAGCCGACAAGGAGAGCCACGGCTACTCTGGGCCTCTTCATACCGAACCGCATGACCTCGCACCCATTTCCCAGCTCCTACTGGACTCTTACGCCTCCCAGGGCATGCCTCTACACCACGACATGTTCAGCACAGGTGATGTCGCACAAGGATGTGGCCATGTGCCTCGAACAGTATATCAAGGTCTCCGCACAACAGGTGCTGACTTCGTCACAAACAAGAACCACCGTGGAAACATTACCATCAAGACTGATACCACGGTCGACAAGATCATGTTTACCAAACAAGGAGCTGAAACCTGCGCTTCAGGCGTAGCAACGCAGACCTCGGATGGTAGAACCCGGAATTACTATGCACGAAAGGAGATCATCATCTCCGGAGGCGCATACTGCAGCCCTGCAATTCTACTTCGGTCCGGCATCGGGCCCAAAGCAGAACTTGATCTGCACGACATTCCCTGCACGGTCGATCTACCAGGTGTAGGAAAGAACCTGATGGACCACCTAGTCAGTGCCACATTCGTAGCCCCAGTTCAGCTCTCCTTCCAATGGCAAAACTAACCAACGCAGATCGTCTTCATGTTCTACGAAACCGAAAAGAAAGGCCTAACAAACGATCACCACGTCTACCATGGCTCCAACTTCGACAAAACCTACGAAGAATGGAAAACTAAGAAATCAGGCTTTCTCTCAACTTTCCCATTCGGCAGCTTCGCCTTCGCCAGACTAGACGAGCGCCTGAAAGACGAACCACTCTGGAAAAATGCACCACGCCAACCAGGCCGTGATCCAATGGGTCTAACACCTTTTCAGCCCAACATCGAATTCTTCTCGACGGAATGCTACGGCGGGCCCAAACAGTACGACCAATTCCCTATTGACAACCAACACGCATTTTCCATGATAGCAGAGCTATTTGCGCCAAAGTCACGTGGATCTGTGACTTTGAAATCGGCGGATGCGTTGGAGAATCCGGTTGTCGATTGTAACTACTTGGCTGATCCGCTTGATTTGTTGGTTTTGAGCGAGGCTTGTCGATACGGTAATGAGGTTGTTATGAAGGGGGCTGGGACGAGGGATATTGTTAAGGGGGTCCTGGCCGTCGAATTTGAAGCATCATTCTTATACGACGAGGGAGGAGTGGGTTCCTTATGTTAAGGAGCACGCTACTACTTGTGAGTTTCTTCTCTTTTTCCTTTTTAGATTATTTTCGAGATTGACTGACCTTCTTTTGTAGGTTATCATGCTGCGGGTACTTGTGCCATGGGCAGAAAGGATGACCGTATGGCTGTGCTTGATGAGAAACTTCAGGTCAGAGGTGTTTCTGGGCTGAGGGTTGCGGATTGTAGTGTTATGCCTACTTTGCATGGCGGACACACTCAGATGCCGGCTTATGGTATTGGTGAGAAGTGTGCCGACTTGATCAAGGAGACATGGCGCATGGCGGGTAACATCTATCCTCGCATTTGAAATGGCCGTTGCGGGCATGCGGCACATTATAGAGAGCCGTGCCGATATGAGCCCCGTGCCTATCATTGTTCATATTCTGAACTAGTTTAGAGTACCAAGAGTTTTTTTTTTTCATTGTCACCGTGTTATAACTGAATGGTATTCATACTTCAACAATAATAGCAAAACTTTCTATACAGGTGCGAATCCTAAGATGAGAATGTAGTAATCCAAGATACCGAAGACCATAATGATAGTATAAAAAAGCAAAAAAAAAGGTGCTGGTCAGGTTCAGCTGCTCTCACTTGCAGAACCCAGATTAATTTCGAAAGAATCGTCTTCGGCTTCGTATGCCATCAGTGTCGAAATCTTCTGATGACTATGAACTGGCTTGTGGGACATATCTGGGATAGCAATTGTGCAATGAGTTTCCAAGCACACGGTGTGCGATTTCGGTAGAAAAGAATGTTCGTATTCTAGACCAACGGTAAGAACTTGTTGAAGAGCCGGCTCGGAAGAAAACTCCCTCAAAACATCGTTGATTTGGGCAATCAAGTCCCTGAACATGGAATGATCCATGAGCTGTGGTTCTTGGCGTTGAACCAAAGGTAGCCCAATTTTCAGCTTGTATATCCAAGTTTCCCCTGGGCGCAGTCGCATCAGATCAGTACTTCCTGACGCAGCCTCAAACCAACATTCATCGCCAGGACCAACGGAAAGTTTCAAGTCTGATATGACTCCAGGGCTGATGCCTGTGCGAAGCTGTCGAACAACCTTGCTGACTTTGCGCGCAAAATGGGCATTGCTAGGGCCTGAATCTTCTTCATCGGTATCAGAACAGATGTGCCAACCTGGTGGGTGGGCTATCCCGAGAGGGAAATAAGTCTCGGGGGAGACTGTGTGAAACCCAATGGCCTTGTCGATATTGGCTAACAATAAGGATTTTGGGGATCGCGCTGAGACAAGAACCAGATGACAGAAGGCAGTTCTAGATGAGGGGCAAAAGAGTCGGGATACTTTTTGAATGGAGTTCACCAGGTCCGGACATCTTCTCCTGTGCTTCTTCATCTGGCGTATAGAAAATATATCCAAAGCAGCTTGAACAGCCTCGACCGAATGAGATCCCAGAGAAAGTAATATTTCAAATCCACTGGGTGAACGCCCATTCACGCATGCCAAGGCCAGCCTATCAAAGGTTGCAATCAAGTTTGAAGCGAGCACCGTGGATGCCATGATCATTGGCGCCAAAAGGCTGGGTGAAGGCTGTTGCCTGTTTCATGATAAGTATGTCAGATTGGTGTTTGACAAAGCATGCACAGGGTGACAACTTACAGACAATCAAGGAGTATGATCATGTCAAGAGGGGCCAGTGGGGCAGTCTCAGGCAATGCAATCGGGTTGACGTCAACAGAGATATTCACCGAGGTCCAAACGGACAAATAGTCTGCCTCGATGCATGGTCGGCCTGCATAAGATCTCATGTTGGCGAATGCAATAGGAATATCTAACGGGCATAACAAGTCAGATGCCCCCTGGTGCAATATTTCCGAAAAGGCCTGGGTACGATCAGTTCTGAAATTCCTTGGTGACATTGGGCCCGTAGACGCTCCCACTTCTAGAGATGCCTTTTGTGATGTTGACGCGAGACATGGTGGCAAAGAATTCCAAGACCCGGAGCTCCAGCGAACGAGCAGGCGTGGCGCAAAGTGATACCCACTCCTGGTCATGAATCCTTCGGCCTGAAGGCGGCGTCGCGAATTCTGCATAGATGGGTCAGTAGGAGTATCAAAAAAAGGAGTATGGAAGCAATTACATTGTCGATAAATGGATCATCATCTACATTTAGGCCAGGAATCACAGTACCCTTGGCTGCTGGCTTATGATCTAGGCGAAGCTTCATAATCTCAATATTGTAAAGACTGTCACTGAGAGACGGGGTTCGCGTGGATGTCGCAACCTCGTTTGAGTCATAGTTCATACTCATGGCAAGTGAAGAGCTGCGACACGGAATATGCGGGTATGCTAGAGACAGCGAGCTGACTTTGCCGTCGGACAACGGTCCGCGTTTAATAACTGTGAGTGGCACAGGTAGATCGTCCATATTGGCAAAGTACCTAAACGTGCTCTCGGTTGGTGACAGGGACCTCGAACTCAATATGAATATCAGAGCACTCTGTCGCACGAATCGACGGTAAGATGTTGCAACTCTCGGGATCTGATCGAACCTTCTTGCGTCTCTGCTGCTTCCTGATACAACAGCACAAGAGGATGGTGTGCTTGATGGAGTGTATGCTCCAGTACTCGGAACACGCAAGCGCAATGGCAACAGCGCAGATGAGGACAACGAGAGGAACAAGAATTAAAGCAATCAGTAAAGCTGAACTTTTCAAATCCAAGGATAGAGTATTGGTCATTTTGTGGAATATGGACGAGAGTGGAAGAAATTGGGGGAACGGCAAGTTGATATATACGCAAGTAGTGGAAAGAGCGAACCAAGGAACACTGGAACTTCTAGAATGAGTCAAGTAGCATTGGGTATCAGAACACAAAACAAGCCTTCTCTATACATTGCCCACCATGGCTGCCATACTTTCCTTGATTGCGTTCAAGCTCGCATCGTCCAGTCGTGAGAACCGAATCTAAGAACATATAAGAATCATCCGGGCAAAATTTAATATCAAGGGATATTACCATGTCATCCCCATTTCCACGAGCAGCACTTCCAAACAACATCGGATCAGAGCGCGAATTTTCGATCTCATCTTGAGCCCGCCGAGCCCAAATTCCATCCCAATGCCAATCGCCAGGAAGCCGGGCCTGCGGACTTCCCCGTTTCCATCCTCCACCAGTACCACCTCGGCGATGTGCCTTCCACGCATGCCATGCTCCAGGGTTGCCAGCGACTTCAACTGGCAACGAATCCAACACATTTTCGTCATCGAAAGTCGACCGAATATAATCCAATATTTCTGAGACTGGGATAACAGATTTTGGTTCCGCAAATTGGTCCATGGGCGGGACCTGGGCCACGCGTGGTGTTTCCAGGGCGTCATCAGTAGTTTCCGGGTCCGTTGATGTCGAGGCAGTCGACGCGTCCGGGGCTTGGTCGCCTTCTGTGGGATCTACGCCGCTCGTTTCCGGTGCAGCATTTTTACTATTCCCGCTTACATTTCGCGATGTGTTCCCAGACGCTAGACCGCTCCGCTTTGCTCTGCCAAACCAGTGTGGGAATCCATGGCGAAGACTGAACCCACCAGGTGGTAAACGTTCTTCATCTGTTGCGCTGACCGGGTTGTCACTTGCCGAGCCAGTACTGAAGGTATAAGTGGTAAGGGGCACAATCAATGGGTGGAAGAAGTCGGTCGCGAATGTGACCAGAGGTGGGAGGTCGGGGTAGGTATCTGGGAATCGGAGTTGGAAACGGAGAATTGCTGAGGCATAGGGGCCTACAGGCTTTGGGTTAGCTTCTTTTCATTCAATCGATGGATTCAGACAAACCCGAGCGAACGAAGATCACTCCATTCCACAGTGTTGGGTCTCCTGGCGCGAGAGTCACGTAGACCCCTGGCGGTGTTGCCTGTTTTAAGCTCGCACTGCGGATGTTAGTATATGGATGATGGTGCAAATTGAAGAACTCACAATTCCAGGTGGAGCTGCTGCTTTCGAAGCGACGGAATGCAGGGTAACCTGGTGGTCGCCATTGTACAGGAGAAGTTGGAGAAGTTGAAATGCTTATCGCTTATCAATGTCAGAATGGGGTTTCTCATAGTTCACAACCTCAAATATACAACGCTCTAAAAGATCTATTCTATACTATAGACTACTTTGTCTAGCCATTTGCATGGGAAATCTATCAAAATTTGACTCTTTTCCAAGAAGACCAAGATGCATCATCCCTTCTCCAACACCTTCATATATCCCTCCAGCGACACCTTCCATCCACCAAGCGGCAAAGCTCGACAATGCAGCACCTACTCTCCCTTCGTTGAGTTTGCAAACTGCCATACCAATATTGACACTGCCTTTCCCAAGACCATCGGCTGTATCCAGCGTAGTGGTTAGAATGCGCTCGGTTATACGGTGGGTACGTTCATATGCATATATCTGGCGCAGAAGTAGCCTCGCATATGGTAAAAGGAATCGCAGAAGAAGAAACATTTGCACAATTGTCGATGCGAGCAGTCTATGCAGATAAGATCTCGAGTGGGGGTTGTATGTGCCGTTCCCCTCAGGGAGATATTGTGGTGGTTGAGGATATGGCGTTAGTGATGCTTTAACCGGCTCCGGGATGTGATTTTCGAGCATGGAAGTCTCCTCAGCCGATAAATCTTGGGGTAGAGCATCGAGAAGATATATCAAGGCATTTACATAGAGAGATCGAGCCAGGCGGCCGTCGGCTTGTGGTTGCTGAGCCTCATATCCTGCGTTGCGCAAAAGGTTGAAAGCTTTAGTCCGATGAAGTACCCTGTCAGTGATAGCTGGTCAATATGCAACAGTCTGGAACTCACCGGGTACTACCCGGTTCCATCGCAGCCCGGACTCGGCTTCATATTTAGTTGGACTCCCCATTTCCTCGACTGGGGGACTGTCCGGGCTTCGGGAGCCCGAATCAAAAGTTTCCAGATCATCGCTAGCTGTCGAGGGCCGTACCTCGGGTACCACTCGCTCTGTGGATTGGCTGTGGCATAGCAGATGAGGTTCTGATAGAGAAGCCAGTCCTCGGCGCGGATCCCCGTTCGATTCGGTACCTATGGGCGCACGGTGGGACGAGTATAGGCGGGGCAGTCGACGTCTAATCGACGCAGGGATGACGGGAAACAATGGGAATCCGGAGTAGTCCATTGACATTATGTGGAGTGGATAATGGGTGTGAAAAAGAGGAAGAATTGCAGGGCGAAAATTGACCGGGTCTGACAGAAAACGTTCTAAAAAACGTTGAATCCACCTGCAGTTTCACATGTCAGATAAGAATTTGCCTAGTATCATGCTCGGATCTCTTGTGCATCAAGCATGACATAGGTAAGTTATATTTCGTTACTTCTTGAGTCCAGCTGCATACTATTCTCTAGTATCACAAGATTGAAACCCCCCACCCCCAAGCTCACCTTTTATCAAGGATTACACTCAAACCACCCGACGGAGTATCCAAGGTATCTATGTTCGATTAGCAGCTGATAGGTTAGTTGGTAACCTGACTCAGTGGGGTCATATTGTGTATTTGGAAATAGAAACAGCTAATCATTACAAGATTGAAAAAAGCAAAAAGAAACTCCGATAGGGGGAATCGAACCCCCGGCTGTCGTGTGAGAGACGACGATGTTAGCCACTACACCATATCGGACGACTGCTGTGAAGGCTGCTTTCAGTTTAGTTATATCAAGTACGGGATAGCGCCACCGGTCGCTACACGTACCCGTGCGTGGCTTTATATAGATCCCTGCTTCCCCCTCTCTACCCAACAGCTCCTAATTCCTTTTTCTCCCTCCTTCTTCCTACGTCTCGCAGGTGAGGCAAATTTGCTATTGATACGGATCACCGAGCTCCTGAGCTCCGCCACCCGCTTTTCTCCCTGTATGTAAATCGTCGGCTTTTGCGATCCCGCGACTTCAATTCGCACTGCCCTCCCTCGTCCGGCCCTGTTTTCATGTTCAGCTCCGATCATGGTCCTCGAGATGAGACAGCCATTTCCCTTAGACCGCAACACTGGCTTGCAGGCTCACCGCCTCGGATGTCAATCGACCGGTCCATGGTTGACCTCTGCACAAGCAGGCGCATTCACCCTACACTCTTTCAGGACGATCGTCCCCCTATACAGCGGGGCTGCAAATTTGCCCTGTGGTTAACACACCGCGCGAGAGCCTTGTCGACCTTGGCAGGGGGTATTCGCCTCAATTCGAAACTGAAGATAATCAGCCCTAGTAAATTGTTAGACTGACTCGGCTGCGATTCGCGGTCAGCCGGTACTTGCTCAGTCAGCGCAGTTTATACGACTAACACAGGGACAATTTCTTTTTTACGATGACCACAATATTTCACGGTGGTCATGTCGAGACCCCAAAATGGCCCTCAGATCTACAAAGTCGTGAAGCGACGCCGTTGGTCCGCGCGGATACATCCAGTTCCCTCGGTCTACACCAGTGTATTGCGCAGCCGATGCCAGAGATCTCCGCCGTGTATCATCAAAAGCGCCTTCTGACTGAAATTCTCGTTGGCTTCATAATCGGTTAGCATCGAGGACGTGATAAAGGTCAAGGAGCAGGTCATGCGGACTGGAGATAGAGGGGGTGTGTGTCTCTGTGTTGGTCTAGTCTTACGCATTTCATCGTCTGTCTCGAGTCATGGAACGACTGACGGGCAGAGCTCAATCAATGCAGTGGCGATGACACGAGGTGCGGACGATGTGCAGACACGCAGTCCCCCCAGAATAGCAACGTACTTGTGGTATAGTTATTACATCAAGTAGATAAGCAGGCTAGTCAGTTTTGCGGTATCACCTGCTCTAGTGTTTCGGGTATGGAGACGATTGGCAAACAGTCCTCGCTCAAATGTGATCCTGCCGGAGCTTTGCTGCCTGAGTTTCCGATTTAAATGATCGAGCGCGCCTACAGGCTGAACAAGGCGTACTCGGTCTCATACACCGTCTCCACGAGAACAGCAATGAAGTTTCCATGATCTTCATTTTCAGATAGTTCCTCGTCCTGCCCATAAAAACCTTTTTTTTTTTTTTTTTTTCTTTGGTTTTCTGGTTCAAGTTGAAACACTCAGTCTCTTGGCATTTGAACACAGCCACCAGCTGATATGCTGGTGAAGAATTATTCACGCGAAGGTAGCCAATACCACTGTTGCGCTAATCCTCTTTAGTAAGGCGTACGTAAGGATGTGCTTGCTAGAGACTCCTGCGCAGAGATAGGTCAAACAGAACAAATATGACCGAGCAAATAACAGCACGAACCCAAGGGTAACTTTTGATCCTTGTTTCACATCCTCTTGATTTCGTCTTGTTGTGCTTTGCAAAGCGAACATAGCCTTCTGCTGAAGGTGTAGCCAAGAAGAGGTAAATTTACAGTCTTAAATAAGTCGACAAAGCAACTTACCATCAATAGCGCTCCTAGAATTGCCTTATGACAGAGGTCCGGTTTTTGTCCAACGGTGCACACTGAAGCAAAATGGTGGGCAGTTCTATAACAAAAGATGAATACATTTTGGCTCTCGAAGACGCAGCATACAATGGGAACTTGGATATTGTCAAGCTGCTCCTTGACCAGGGGGCCGATGTGAACGCTCAGGGTGGTATATATGGAAATGCTCTCCAAGCAGCTGCATACAAAGGAAACTTAGATGTTGCTAAGCTGCTCCTTGGCCAGGGGGCCAATGTGAACGCCCAAGGTGGTGAATATAGAAGTGCTCTCCAAGCCGCAGCATACAATGGAAACTTGGATATTGTTAAGCTATTCCTTACCCAGGGGGCTGATATAAATGCCCAAGGTGGTATATATGGAAATGCTCTCCAAGCCGCAGCCTACAATGGGAACTTGAATGTTGCCAAGTTGCTCCTTGCCCAGGGGGCCGAAGTGAACGTCCAAGGTGGTACATATGGAACTGCTCTCCAAGCCGCAGCACACCGTGGAAACTTGGATGTTGTCAAGCTGCTCCTTACCCAGGGGGCTGATATAAATGCCCAAGGTGGTATATATGGAAATGCTCTCCAAGCCGCAGCCTACAATGGGAACTTGAATGTTGCCAAGTTGCTCCTTGCCCAGGGGGCCGAAGTGAACGTCCAAGGTGGTATATATGGAAATGCTCTCCAAGCCGCAGCCTACAATGGGAACTTGGATGTTGTCAAGCTGCTCCTTGCCCAGGGGGCCAATATTGGCCTTCATACAGTTGATTCTCAGCGCGCATCATTGCTACATGCTGCTGTCGCTTCCAAGGACAGGGAAACTCTGAATCTGCTTCTTGAAGCTGGCGCACATATCTACATGGCCCAAACTGATGCTTTCAACCAGACGCCACTTCATATTGCTGTTATTCTATACTATCCAGGGGTCCTTCAAATCCTGGAGAGTTCGTTGGATCTAGCCGTCAAGAACGGAAAGGAGGACCCTCCTGCGCGATGCTATTGACGAAAGAGACTTTGATGGCTGTACCCCTTTGCACCATGCTGTTGAGAATCACGCTTTCAAAGCTGCAGAATGGCTCATCGCTCATGGTGCCAAAGTTGAAATTGAAGATTTTAAAAAGATCACTCCGTTTCAGCAAGCCTCTCAGTTGAATGATTTCGCAATGATGAAACTCCTTTTCCCTTATGTCAGCAAAAGTCTTATATGTTAAAAGCAACAGACTGGAGAGCTTGCATCCCCCTGAAAACGAAAAGGAATATTGTTCTAGCCCTGCGAGGATCACAGGTGCCTCCAGTGCAAGTGATGGATGGCCAGGAATTGACACAATATTTCTATGCGATATCATATTCCTTGGCTTTTTCTACATCAAGCATATCAGCACAGGATGATAAGTGTATCGCAACTGCTATTTCACAGAGAGCAATCGTGTGAGGTTTCCCGCATTCCAATGTCAGGACTTTTTGCTAATCCTTTAAGGCTTCTTGAAAACGATAGCCTTCTCGGTCACTCCTCTTCCGAAGGGGTCTATTGGCGATGGTGGCGTAGGGTAATGCGGAAAAGGAAACCTAACGAACTGGGAATGGCAAATTATCCTGATCTCTGGCGTTGGAAAGTACAGCTAAATGGAATTCCAAGTGCTGTAGCTCTACGTCAGCCTTCTCGAGCTGAATGTTAGTACTAACCACCTTCACCCGTCCCAAGCCCTTGATACTAATGCCATAAGAGGCTTTCTCGAGTGCCGTGTTCTGCTACCCTCATGTCAACTACTCCATCCATCCAATCAGCTGTCAGCTCTGAAGATAGAACCGAAGAATCATGCCATTATTTGGATTATGACCAAGTCCGATCAGCACCACCCGGAATCGAAGTCCGGAAAGCCAATGCTTGAATCCAAAATTTTCTTTACGACACTGGAGTATTGCGAAATCCCAAACTCACCGACTGAGCTTTTCCATCCCTGCATCCGGCAGCTAGAGGATGAATGGAACAACATTTGTGAAGCTGCAGAAGATCATCTTTCCAATATGGTATGAGAGTCAAAAACTTGTTTGCCTAGCCTTGCTGATCATTTAGTAGCGCAAGGAGACATTTCGTTCCAATGGAAGAAATACAGGCCTTATCAAGATCCTTTTGAGCGACGCAGAAAAGTGGACCGACTTCAAAAGGCTGCATATGATCCAAATGGAAACCCTTCGATCATTATGCAAAAGCTATGATCAAATAAACGGACAAGTTCTCCAAGAAGACGGCACCATATGAAACAAAAAAATGAGCAACGACTTCATGGGTGAAATAGAGGACACGGACAGAAGGCTGAAAGAAAAGTTCTCATCTCTGAACCTGGCCTCTCAAGAGCTAATTCAACTGGTCATCTTCACACCTCGTTTACCCTGTTGAATTTTACTAACATTCTGACAGGAATTCAACCTCACCTCAATCGCCGAGGCGCAAAAATCCACGTCCATGAATCGGAGTATGGAACGTCTGAGTTGGATCACTGTAGGCTTTAGCCCATTCCCATGCCCATCAATTGCTAACTGTAAGCAAAGTTCGTTTTCCTGCCACTTATGTTTATTGCGGTGAGAAAACCCCACATATTGAACTTCCAGACCCGCGGGGTGACAGTGACTAATCTAGGCTTTAAGAGTCTCTTTGGAATGAACATCGACCTGCTTGAGTCGAACCCGCCTTGGTGGCTATACATCCCATTTGCTGTAGGCACTACTATCCTGACATTGACTATATGGGTTTTATTTAAGAGCAAAAAGGGCGTAAGTGGCTTGATCGCTATTCATCTCGTCTGCTGGCAAAAACTATGATATTCAAACTGACTCCATGATCTGATAGTTGGAAGACACAATTGAACAGCGATTCAATGCCTTATTCAGACGCAGAAAACTCGGAGACGAAGAGTCCTTGCTGCATATGAATTACAGGAAGGGAAGAACAATGCAATTTGCAGGATCTGGGAAGAAGCGATCTTAGGTCATCATTTGGGCCCGTCTTACCTGTCCCCGGCTCTTCAATAGGGTGTTTCCCCACCTTTTTCCAATATCATAATGCTGAAGAACTCGACTCTACGTCAACCCTTGCCCGTAGACTCGGCGTAACATTACATGAGGTTGCTATAGAAGAAAGTTCCCACCGCAAAGAAGCGGCTGAGTTGTATAATTCAGAGTCTTGGCCTTTATTACCACCTTCAGCAATATAATCCTTGTTACCTCCATTTTGCTCTACCGAGTCTATGGTATACAATATCAGGGGCTCAAACCGGAGGCTCGCAGTACTAGGCATAGAGAAGCAATGGAAGGACAGGCTTTTGTGCACCGAGTTCTGTTAGGGTCAACCCAAAGCCTTGCGCTATGGAGACAATTTCCTGGCCGTCGGTCTCAGTTCAGGAACTGTGGTACTGTACTTAGCCACATCTTACCAGGAATACAAGGCCGTGGAACACGGTGAAGCAGTCAACTTCGTTGCTTTCAAAGCCAAGATTGACCTCATAGCAACTTGGGAAATTTTCATTTTGTTCCTTTTTCACTTTAACTGTGTAGGCAAGGATTGCTGGATAGATCTCAAGGTAGATCTACTGCTGCTGCATCGTTGTCACACGGACTAGAGATAACGAGGCGGCCCCTCGTCTGCGTTCCACTGCGCCGCACTCAGTTTCATCTCCTGTCGAAGGTCGAGGGACCATTGGCAGACAAGGCCCAGATGACCTAGTATGTAATACTGCGCACTAGTACAGAGCACGCCTAGAACACTGTAAAAATAGCAACGATTGATTATAGAATGGTCATTGGTCTATGAGGGCGAGCGAACGAGTTATTTATTTTGGGCAATACTAAAAGGACCCTAGAATTGAGTATTTGGACCCCATGGCCTTACGCTAAGCCTAATTAGGCCTAGCCTAGTAATTGTAATTCCAATGCATTAATCGGTAAAAATGCATCAGTTCTTGGCAGTGCTGGATGCCCCGGGTATCGGCGGTCATAAACCTTGGGTACTTCATTTACTATGCAGCTCTCTAATAAAATTAAGTCACCACCGTTTCTTACCAACAACCAACTGGACTCAGTAGCTTCTTGACCCCAAGATACTTCCATTTACTATGCAACCCCCTTATTAAATTAAGTACCGACCACTGCTCAATTTCCTAGAATCGCACTAGTCCCAATTAGGAAACAGAGGCTGATTTGAAAACTCCGCAGATTTGAAGGAATCCAGCTATTGTGGTCAAAACGTACGAGAAAGCAGTAAATTTTGACATATTTCCTATATACAGATATGTCCAATGCGTTCTGACGCTATTCAGAGAGCTCTCCGACGCTTCCTGAGCCGGTCGGACCAGGTATTCTGAGCCTGGGCCGCGCCCTGGGCCGTAGACGAAGCTATTCCTAGTGCCTGAGATGCCACCGGCGACGTAGGAATGCTTGCAGACAATGCCTGGGCCGTAGACGAAGCTATTCCCAGTGCCTGAGATGCCACCGGCGACGTAGTCGATGCGATTCCCGACGCCTGCGACGTAGGACTGCTCGCCGGCGACGTCGGGGCCGTAGCCTGAGCTCCCTGGGCTATAGACGAGGCTATTCCCACCTGTTGTGTGCCTCCACGTCCTCGTCCTCGGCCTCCACGTCCTCGTCCTCGTCCTCGACCTCGTCCTCGACCTCGCTGTCCCCCCCGTTGTATCCGCCGACCCTCCCGTGCTTCCTGGGCATCCACGATCTCAAACAGCGACGGATCCCGCTGCGTAGATGATGCCGTAGACGTCGGAAGGTTATTCAATGCGCCCTTAGGCCGCCCGCGGATGCTGGTAAGGATCTCGGGTTCTTGGAGAAGGTGGCTAAGGCCGATCGGCGGTGCTTCGGTCTCGTAGAGGTGCCACTGGGTATGAAACTGCGATAATTTGACAGAGACACCTATCATGTCAGCCCATTTGATGTCATGGATGCAGGGATAGCCCGTAGCCTTGCAGCCAGGCGTACAACCGACGGCGAAGGGTCTCTTGCCGGGTATACCCTCATCCTCCGGAAGATGCGCATGGTATAGCTTTAAGACCCGCCCGATCGCTTTTCGTGAAACCAGCCGTAAGACGTCACGGACGATCGGATGCCGCATAGCAGATAATACGGTCGGCGATCGCGCTTTCTCGTCGGCGATAGCTTGCTGAGAGAGCTTGAATTGCCTAAGAATAACAGTCTCGAAGCAGTGAAGCAGGGCAAGGAGGTTACGCCGCGAATTCTGGAGGTCTTTCTTTAGAGCTGCATGAGCACCCTCTACGCGAGATGTCGATGTCTCGCCGAGGTGGAAGAAGCTATTCGTAAAACAGCGTAGCACCTGCCGACCGGACTCGATGATCCAGTGCTTCTCGATATAGGTAAGGAGGTTCGAGAAGACTGGCTCACTATAGCAGCTACAAAAGTATAGCCACTGCTCTCTCATACGTTGCTCAGTCTCAGCGAAGACGACTCGATTCCAGCGCTGCAGCATCTTTAGCCAAAAAGCAGTGGCATACGCGATGTATGCCTCCTTCTCGACCTCGCCGGCGTCAATCAGGGCCTTCACATGTTTCCTAGCCGCCGGTATAGCCTTCGCCTTGATATTCGAGATAACATGCCACAAGCATAGCAGCGAGGCTGTCGTTGGCAATGCTACTGCGAGCGCATTGAGGAGGGCTTTCTCTTTATCAGTGAATACTGTGAGAGGCTTCCCGAGGCCATATTCATCGTAGATACCTTGTAGACAGCGTAGGGCCCAGCGATACGCGTCCTCGCGCTCACTCGGTAGGAATGCGAAGCCGACACAGAATGACCTCCCGATCGAGTTGACGCCAATGATATCTAGCAACGGCATATTGAAGCGGTTAGTCTGATACGTACAGTCCATCCATAGCACCGAGGGAGACTGTCGAAGCTGCGCAAGGCCAGTACGATGTATCGCGAAGACGCCTGATACTGTCTCGCCGTCGGCTTGAGTGGTATGGCGTAAGATCCAGTCTCCATGCTTCGGCAGCTCTTCGAAGAGGGCTTGTATCGGCGTCCGACCGGCAAGAAGCTCTTGAAGAAGACGTCTAGCACGGTTGTAGATGTCCGCCGGCCTAAGATGAATGCCCTGGCTAGCTAGAAGCGAGATGATCTGGCGTGGAGGGATCCCTTGGCGTATAAGAGGATCTAGAGTATCAAGATGAGGCTCGAGAGCTCGCCGGCGCAGCGTAGGATGAGTTGATTGAGGCCCCGGTTCGTGATTGTGCTCTCCATGATCGACCTGTAACCGCCAGAGACCGGTCTCCCGCTGTAGGCGGAGATTCAGACCGTACTCGCAGCCAGTCATAGACGTGAATGTCTGCCGAGAAGGTCTAGATAAAGCCGTATTCGCCACAGGAAGCTCGGGAGAAGCCGCCCGGCTAGAGTCTGGGCGTCTACCACGGTCGCATCGAAGAACCACGATGTATAGCCCATCGGTAGCGTTGGATTTGGTACGGCGCTTAACGACTGCGTAGCCAGTAGGCCCGAGGATGCCATTTATCGTATCAATTCCTTCCTGGAAAGTCCCGAAGAGCTGCCCGTCTTCGATTGTAGGTGTCTCCGCCGGCTCAGGGTCGATTTCAGGGCCGATTTCGATAGGATCAGGGGTAAAGAAGCGACTCGATGAGGCCGACGACCCTGCGAGACTCGAATCCCAGTCAGTCTCATTGAATTCAGGGGTGTGGGAGCCGATTCTTGGTGCCATTTCGACGTTTTGGTAGAGGGATGTCAACAAACAGTATGGTGATAGTTGCAACGCCCTCACGGGGCCAGTATCGCTATTTGTGAGCTGAAAATTTCAATAGAGACTGATTAGCCATTTCTGAGCGATGAAATAATTTTAGAAATTCGTATCGGCTATATTGGTGATGTTGTGATGTGTTGAAATTGGCGAGATGCATGAAGCCGTAGACATGGAGTTGGCGATGCCCTAATTACGGGGTAATTAATTAGTGGTGCTGACCTTTTAGGACTAGTGCGATTCTAGGAAATTGAGCAGTGGTCGGTACTTAATTTAATAAGGGGGTTGCATAGTAAATGGAAGTATCTTGGGGTCAAGAAGCTACTGAGTCCAGTTGGTTGTTGGTAAGAAACGGTGGTGACTTAATTTTATTAGAGAGCTGCATAGTAAATGAAGTACCCAAGGTTTATGACCGCCGATACCCGGGGCATCCAGCACTGCCAAGAACTGATGCATTTTTACCGATTAATGCATTGGAATTACAATTACTAGGCTAGGCCTAATTAGGCTTAGCGTAAGGCCATGGGGTCCAAATACTCAATTCTAGGGTCCTTTTAGTATCTCCCTTTATTTTACAGCCCCTAAATTATATAAAGCGGGGTCAGCCAGCCATGCATTTAGATCGCAATTCGGAGGATTATATAGAATGTTGAAATTGGATGTCTACTGAATTGGGACGCATCAATATCAAGGCCAACGAGATTGTTTAAGTCTGATCTTTCTCTTCATAAGAGGAAGACCCTATATAAATGAGAATTCTTCTCCTGATCCATACTCTACTTGGTAGGTCTAATGCTGATCACCATATTCATGCCTTATATGTCAGGCATCTAGCTTGGATGCGCCATGAATCTCAACATAGAAGAATGATCTTGCTATTTTGTCGAATCATTCCCTTCACTTTGACTTTGATACCAAGCCTAGTAGATTTCCAATTTTCCCCCTTACGTTAAGCCATGGAGAAGAAAACTCCTAAATTTGCATATGAAACCCTGAAAATTGATCTAGATCCTGATGCTCCTTCCCCGGTTATGTTAGACAGGGAGGGCTAGTAGACTATCCTCACGCTAATCGCTAGGTTGGTATTGCACAATTTATCCCGTATCATATTCTAAGGTTCCCTCATCACTAATGTAAATCAAGCCTGCACTTCAACACAGAATATAGCGATTTAGAGATTCTCTGCAAAGAAGAAGTCTTCTCCGCCCATAAGGTTGTCGTTTGCCCTAGATCAGAGTATTTTTACAAGCTTGTTATAGAGGTTTCACCGTCAGAACAGTCTTATCTTCGGCAGACTATCCGAGCAGCAACTGACAGGCCGCCGTCCCAACTAGGAGACCATGACCTTAATAAGTATAGTGATTGTTTCGCATATGCTGAAGCAGATTATCAACACGATTGAAAAACTTGCCACAGCCTGGCACTGGACATGGATGAGCAAGAGGGTTGATGTGTAAATTCCGAATGTGGCGAACAAGGGAGGATTCCCGCTTGAAAGTGCCTTGGTAGCTGCAGCCTTCCCACTTGCATTGAAACTCTGGATCACCTCCGCACTCTGGATCGTTGGAGATATGCCGCGGTGAACTATGGAATGAATCAGACATAGCACCGATTTGTATTGAGTGTTAGGGGACATGACCTACCAGCTAACTTGACTTTCTCTAGCTTGGCTCCGCGCATTATTTCGCCCCCGAGAAATTACAGCTGATTGCCATGGGAAATTCGAAGATTCCGCAAATGTAGGATTTGAGGTACCCTGTTGGTGGGGTACGCTAGTTGACGTGGCACGAGTAGAGCCTCCCTGCATTGCCAAGACATTCACCTGGGTGCGAGGCGCCAGGTAGGATGAGATAGGTACATCATTGGGCACAGACCCTTCAAATTCTGCAATTTCTGCAGATGCGCCGCTCCAGCCGAGATCAGGAGCCTGATGAGAGAAGGTCTGGACAAGATCGTCCGGGAAATGCCCGTAAATACGGGCGTCTGTCCATCTTTGATCATAAGGCAACGTCATTTCAGATTAAGAGATTCAGCAAGAATGAGAGAAGCTCGCAAGATGGGCAATCAGATATAGATGCTTAAGTACTTTTGATGATAGGTGATTATGGAGATCGAATCCATTCCGCCAGGGGCGTTGGACCGTTATATATTCTTGAGACAGGACTGTAGATGGACATTGAGAAACTGAGCCTTGGTGAACAACGTAGAATTCTTGGATGGAGGCGATAGATCGTTCACCCAGAGGGTGGAGAACGAACAGCTCGATGTTTGAGAAAACACGAATGATGTTCTTCTAACAAACGGTCGAGGGCATATTGGGGCTCTCGTGCCTGACCGCAACGCACCGAACAACAAATGAGAGCCCGCAGGGCATTGACATTGTGGAGCGCCACTTGACTTCACGGGCGCCATGTACGCCAAGCCTATTTCATTGCGAAGTTTGAGAAAGGGCCAATCAGACTTCAAGCTTGGTACTATTTTCAGTGTCGCCTGCCTTGCAACCTGGAAGATGGAACAGACTTAGATCTGACTGCATTATCCGTAGACAAGCCTCAAATACCTTAAGATGGCTGCTTCGGCATATTCATCACCATCGTCTCCTTCCCAATAATCTTCACAATATTTATAATCGCCACAATCATCATGACGGACCCGAATTTCGAACCTTTCAAGCTCGAAATCGAGCGTCTGTACATCCATGAGAACAAAATCTTGTCGGAAGTGATGGAGTATATGGAGTCCAAGTACTCTTTTGTTAAGTCGTAAGTTTTGCAATACAGCAAGGCCGCTCCACTCAGCTAACAGATCGAAAGTTCGGGTCAGTACAGCCGCCAACTCAAGAAATGGGGGATTTCCAAGCAGAACATCAAGGCCAAAGAGTGGGAATGGATTGGAAATAAAGAAAACAAAAGAAAATTACACGAGAACAAGGAAAGCGAATTCTACATGGGCGGAAATCAGGTTCACGTACCCCAGGTCAAGAAGGCAAAGTATAGAGACGCCTATTGTTCAAGTATAGCCAGGTTCTCTACTGGTAAGCTCCGCATCTGCTTTTGAGTAGGTCAGAGATCAATGGACTGATTGTTTTCCAGCACCTTCCCCGAATACCCCAGAGGGCTTTTTTGTTTGCACTCCCGCATCGCCAGGCATGCATCTTCTCTGGAATGGGTCTCTCCCATGGCTGCGATTCATCAAGCTTTTGCATTCCTCGCAGAATGAAGGTATGGCTCTTCTGAATCCTCTTCGTCGGATTTGATGAGGCCAAGTCTTACCAAATGTTCAGAAGCACCATCGCCGTCCTCGTCTCTTACCATCAAAACCCCTCACGGGGCTGATGCACTCTCTCGCAGCGTCAATCACCAACTGATGTCTCGCTTAAGCACACTAATTCCATGGAATAAATTAACACATCCTCCGAATTTACATAGCAGCTCTCGAACATCAACAGCCCTGAGCATACTTATGCCGGAGGAGTATGAGGGTCAGCACGATGCTTTGTCAACAGACTTGAATAGCTCCAAGAATAAAGGCAGAGAGCATCTCGCATTGGAGCTATTTCTTCTTTCAAACAACATCACTTCGCAAGATCCTAGGGGACGGACAAGTGAGAACATCAGATCTGATGACGAGCGGGTGATGCAAATGCTGGAAGATTCTGGTTGGAAGGATTTGAAGCATATTCAGATCCTTTTATCGACTCGTGAGCCAACTGCTGAAGCTATTGCAGAAAGGGTGTTTACAAGTGCATTGAGACTTCATGACATAGAAACGGTGGCGATGATGCTCAAGTTCAAGATGGATCCCAACAGCGCATCAATTGAGTCGATCTCTCGTGGTATTTTGACACCTCTTCAATTCGTCGCAGCAAGCCAAGATGAGCGGAGCGAGGAGCTCATCAATCTTCTTGTATCCCATGGGGCTGATGTAAATTACACATGCAATGAGTACCCACCGTTGTTTTATGCCATTGATGAACATGGGAGCAGAAATATGCGCGCTTTTATGTCGCATGGTGCTATTGTAATGCCATCTTGCCTCTCTGCTGCCACTTGTCTAAAGGACATCGAAGCCTTTTCAGACATTGCCAATTCCTGCTCTGATGTGAACGCACGATCTGGATGGCAGGACCCCAGTGCTCTTGCTCAGGCTGTTACACATGGAAATGTTCCGATAATCAAAGTTTTACTCGCCAAAGGTGCCAATATCCATGATCTGGTTGTTGTGAATTTTGAGGATGACATTGCAACGACCACTATCTTGGGCCTCAGCGTTCAGTCAGCATCTAACGATGTTGTACGTGCATTGCTGTCGGGCTGCCATGAGATGAACCCCGACTTTGATGGTCTGCCTTATGTCTCCCCTGTTGTTTTAGCAGTGGAAAGAAAGAATGTTGAGATTACTCATGCTTTACTCCAAGCTGGGGTCGATATTAAACAAGCCGACGGGCAAGGGAAAATGACGCTACTTGAGCGCGCAACCGAGAACCGTTACTCAGTGGCCTTGTGCAAAGTATTGATTGAACATGGAGCCCAAGTCAATAGACCTGTTTCTTCCCAGAAATATGAGTCCTCAGCTCTTCTCAAGGCGCTTAAACGAAAATCGTCGGAAGTTGCTCAGCTCTTGATCGAGGCAGGCGCGCGACTCAATGATGAACATACTCAGCCCCCTTACACTGCACTTGGAGCTGCAATTGAACATGGAGATGGTATACTGATTCAGACACTCCTGGCCACAGGAGCTACAGTTGTTGGGACTAAACTGGAAGCGATTGGCAGTTTGGGTACTGCGATGTTCTTGCAGGCCAACGATGTACTTCGCAGGGTCTTGAATGTATCAGGGCCCGGCATTCTTGCTACTGCTTTACTTGCGAAGAACACCGACCTAGCTCGGTACTTGCTTGAGCACGACGCTGACCGTGAGTATCGAATGGGAAATGAAGACCATGTTCTCTCCAACCAGACTCCTTTGGAAGCAGCAATCGAAGTGGGGAATGTGACTTTCGCAGAGACCCTTTTGAAACGCGGCGCAAAGGTTACGGATAGCGTTCTTGCAGGTGCTATAAGCAAAGATCCTGTGCTTCTAAAACATCTCCTGGCCAGGTTCGGTGGATGTGCTCCAACTGCAGTAGGCATTGCTGTCTTTTGCGGAGAGCCCCTGCAACTGCTTCAAGAGGCAGGCGTAGACCCTACTGGTGTACCACAAATTCCCGAGTATTATTGGGATTTGGGGGACTTTCAACTGCCGCCTCCAGAGTCGGTACTCGAAGTGGCAGTGGTTGCAAGAAAAAGGGAGGCATTGCAGTTCTTGCTCCAATGGACTCCTTGGAATGCAAAGCTGATCGGTCGTGCCTTGACGTTTGCGATACTTTTGCAGCTGAATGAAATGGCGGAGGATTTGTTGCCTTTTGATTCTGATATGACTCAGGAGATTACCATCCAGTGCCCCTATTACGAGGACGACTTTGGAGAAGTCGCCGGAGAACGAGAAACTTACACTCCCCTTCAAGCTGCAGTTAACAGACAAATGATCCATGTCGCTCGTGCATTGATGGAAAAGGCTGATGTCAACTATCTTGGTCATGGGGTTCGGTGTCGAACAGCATTGCAACATGCCGTTGAAAAGGGAAACATGGAGCTTATCAATCTGTTACTTTCGAAACATGGAGCTAGGATTGATGAGCCTCCTGCCACGGACGGTGGTGCTACTGCGTTGCAAATTTCATGCCTCAAAGGTTATATGGGCATTACGAGAAGACTACTCGACCTAGGAGCGGATGTCAACGAAGCTCCTGCTAAGCATAACGGACGTACGGCCTTACAGGGAGCAGCAGAATACGGCCGAATTGACATCCTGCATATGCTGCTCAATGAAGGGGCATTGGTCATCGGCGAAGGTGAAATGCAGTATCGCAAAGCAGTTGAGCTTGCAGAACAAAACGGACACAATGCTGCCGCGAGGATGTTGAGGTCTTGGAGGGACTCCGTCTTTTTGAGTCCCTCAACTTCTTAACAAAGGCATTATCAAGACTAGAAGAATGGAACGTCAACTTTTTCTTTGAGCTACTAAATTAAACTAACCTCTTCCGTTTCTCGAGATTATAAAATTGCAAATACGCCCTTCTAGATTGGAACAAGTTCAAGCCGCAAAGTTTAGTATCATGTGGCGTAGAACAAAGATAGAAATGAAACAGAACGATACTAGAGAGATACAGAACAAGAAGCATGCCGAGGAAATTATAGTCCCCTTGATAAGAGAGTAAAAATGGCTATTACTTAGTAGATAACCCATTTCGAATAAAGTGTTGTTCTCAAGATTTGATATCTATGTTTAGAATTAGAGCCGAGTAGACCCTAGAGACAGTCGAAATGAATAAACTTCGTATCGAAAACTTTTGTCGTTCTTATTCTGATAAGAAGGTATTCAAGTTCCGACTCTTACTCTCGTGAAAAGCTGTGACTTAAGAGTAGACATTATGAAAGCCTTGTTCAGCCTAGGTATAGATGTTTGATAGTTAGTTTACTAACTTGATGCTATAAGCTTTAAAAAGTTATCTCTCTGAAAGTTACACTCCTACCCTAAGCTTAGTAGTCTGCTGCAGTAATCTATAAAACTACAATCACTTATATTAATTACCTTATATTAATTATGCATCGAACTTCTATAATGATCTAGACATATTCACAATTGTAAAGTAGGACTATGATTAAACTCTGCCTAATGCTGAGAAGAAGAATACAAGATTGAAGACAGTAGAAGAATGAAAAGGCAGCAGAAGAAAAAAAGGACAGCAGAAGAAAGAAAAGACCGCAGAAGAGAGGAAAGACAGCAGAAGAAAGAAAAGATAGAAAAATGCCCTTCATGCATGTAAATTCTCAGATTGCATTTCCCACACCACAGTAGCGAATTCGACGAGGTCTTGTGTCGGAAACACTATGTCGCGTTCTCTATTATTCTCCGCTGCCCGTCGGAATAGAAGGTGAAAGGGGATGAGCAGCTGTGGTGTAGGCTGGTCTGGATCAAAGCGGATTTTACCATCGAATTTCGTTATGGTCAAGCATGCTTTTTGGATGGCTCGGAAGTGCTGAGAGTTCCACTCCCACTGCTCGATGGTGATCTGGGGGTTTGTGGAAAAGACTTTGACACCGATAGCCATGTTGGCCTGCCCTCTTGCTGGATCTACCCAGTAGTGGGCATCGCGGCGAAGTTTTGCCGAAGTCTCTGACGATGCAATTTCTAAAACCACCGAGGGTCTCTTAGGAGCTCCGCGAGGTGGTCTTCGTGGACTCCATCCCCCATCTGCCTCCTTAATTGTGCCATCTCCGCCGGTCAATCTCGCGTTTCCCCATGAGAAAATCGCGTGATGTAGGTCTATTTGCTGAAGTGCCATTTTGAGCGTGTCTTCAAAAGCCAGTGTGGCCTGACTGTGGTCTGGGAGAGCCATCTTCAAGACAAGGATGTTTGTTTTCGGACTGAAAGATATCCTGCCATGAAATCGATGACCTGTTATTGGGTTAAGGAAATCTTGTATGAAAGTCGAAGGCTGAATGATAAAAATAATGTGATCGCTCTGGGTGCCGTCCGTCTGTGGCAGCGTAATCAGATGGTTGTGCCGTCCTTCGCAAATTTCACCCATGGCACGTGCTCTTGTACATTGTGCAGCGCGGGAAGAGCTATAGAGACGATTATGCTCAAGTGAGACGACTCGACAAAAGTCATCCATACCCTTATAGTGATATACTTTAACCGAAGGAGGTAGTTCTTCAATATCCTGCGGGCCATGTTGGGTGGCGGCGTCATAAAGCTCGGCCATCTTTGTCTTGACAGAAGAGAGATGTGTGTAGATGTAAGAGAGGCGAGGAAAGGAGGGCATCAGCTACAGAAGAGGAAAGGTGAGTGGGAGAGAACTCACACAGTGAAAACTCGTGAAATACAAGCCTAAAGATAGTGTCATGTGGAGGAGCTGTAAGTTATTTCCCTTTGAGGGCTCCTTCGGAGGTTCATATTAGTGGTGGCTTCGAAAAATTACCTCATTATGATTGTACTAGGGGGTTACAGTGGTATGATCTATATAGCACTGCCACCACAGTTAGATTGACAGAAGAAGCCTACTAGGTAGAGACACCAAACTTTTATCAATGTATGCGCAATAAAAAACTGTATTCGTTCCACCATTGCCCCCGGTTTACATCATACCGGATGTTGGATGGAGTAAACTTCCATTTGATGCATAATGAGCCAAGAGAGCAAGTGGGAAAAGCATACTCCATCTTCATCTCGTGACACATAGCCCTGTTCTTACATCGCTCTTTCCACGCTACTACGCATTTATACGCCGTGAGGCAATCCTGCTATTGATTAGGATCACAGACCTCCTGAGCTATCCCCTTGTGGCTTGCCAGCTCTGCGATTCAGCGAGAAAGTACACTCTACGCTGCCTTCGCTCGTCCGGGTCCTGTCTTTCTCAGCTCTCACTATTACAATTTGAGGTGATGTAAATTTGCCTGTGGCCGAAATAATTTTCTTTAGATTGAAAAAGCTGCAAGGCGCCGTTGCTTGAAAGCGTGCAAGCATGTATTTCCCTTGCTACACCCATTTGTCGCTGCGGCCGCCCTTATCCGAGGGTCTACTTCGTTTTTTTCCAACCACTATGCCACCAGGTGTCTTATAACTAAATTTCTCATTGATCTTAGGATAAATAAACTTTGAGGACGACGAAGGCAGAAGGGAAGATACTTTTACTCCTAGAACAATACAGCTATACGGACCAGAAGATGAGGAAAGTATCAGAAGGCGTTATTATGGGCTACAGAGAACGGCTATGAGGCCATTGTCAAGCTGCTCCTTATGAAGGGTGTGAATACTAGTGGGAATGACAAACGTGGGGATGGCTCTACATTGAGCGCCATTGGTAAGAGAGAGCTAGATAGCTTCTGCTGGATAAAAGCACAATCAAAAGGGACACCGCATGGACGGAATGGAAAATCTCTGATGGGGTTCTGTGTTACAATCACCCGTATGTCAGGTCCTCCCGTACGCTTTTTGAGAACGTAGACAAGCTTTTGCACTGCAGCAGTATATTGAAAACAACACGGCCTGTGATTACTAAGATATTAGTAAAGTCAGCAGAGTTGAACCAGTCGATTTAGTGTGGCGATTTAGTTGAGGCCCAGGGTGGTGGATTCCTAGAGAGTATCTTCTAGATAGTTTATCTCCCAGGAGATTGATAGACGCTGCTCCAGAAGTAGGTGTCATGACGTCATACACGAGTTTACGGCGGCGAAACGTGACAAGGAATATTATAGGACACATCGCATTCTGGCAAAAGGCATAAGATTTACTAGTTTTGATTTTCTAGATTCGGTATTGCACAACCGTGAGGCATGTCTTCCACAGAATTCTCGATCGACACTTCTTTCCTGTCTGACGAGACTCTGCATGAAGCCTATGAGCTTGAAGTTCAGTCGAAAAATGGCGAGCCCGTTCGCTTCGGTGAGCTCGTTGCCGGCAAGGGGGATTCAGTCACTACAGTGGTTATCTTTGGTGAGCATTTTACTTTTGGCTAGAGTCACACGTTCTCACAACCTATTAGTGAGACACTTCTTCTGTATCTATGACCAAGATTATGTCCGTGATCTCGCTGGGCAGATGACCCATACAATACTCGAAACGATACCAACTCATGCCAAGCCGGCACAGGTTATAATTATTGGTTGTGGTGATCACACCCTTATCGGTCCATACATGGAAGAGACATCCGATGTCTTCCCTATATATACAGATCCGTCAGCAAAGATATACAACCAGCTCAAGATGAAGAGAACCTGGACGGGATTCAATGAACCACCGCCATACTCCCTTGAGTCCTTCCCTAGCGCTTTATACAAGGACCTTAAGCAGAGATGGAAACGCGGATGGGCCGGGCTCAAAGGCGGCTTCGGAGATCAGCAAGGGGGCGAATGGATTTTTCAAGGAGGAAAACTGAAATATGCGCATCGTATGGAGGGTGCGAGTGATCATTTAACGGCAGATCGCTTGCTCAATATCTTGACAGTGGATCAAGATCAAGTACAGAATAAGTGAGCCTACAATTTGATCATGGGCCACATTAAGATAGCAAGTCAGCCAAAACCTCAAGATGGAATGAACATGATATTCGAACAAATCATCACGCCAAACCGTGGTCAGTTCACCATCATATCTGTTGAACCTATATCGGATGTTGAAGGAAGACGCAGCAATTTATGATATTATGAACCAGAACACTTTGGGCTTGGTACTCTTCTCCTTTGTGCCTTCCCGTGTATCTTTGTATATATTCCCCTGTCATACCCCCATTCTCTCCCAAAATGAAATGCGATTCGTATCAGCCGTTTTTACTTGATCAGTACATGATACGCTACTACCATAGGAATACCGTAAGGTGATGCTGTTAGTCACCGTCTAAACATCCAAGGCGTCATATAGCGAAATACTTATTGATTTCACTATCGATTGTTATAGGAGCCAAGAGGTAAAGGCGAAAGGAAAAGGTCATGCGAAGGAGGGATAGACGGTAGAAAAGGAGGGAGGGCTAATTGGAGGTGAAAAACGACAAAATTAAGATCTTGGACCATGTCGTAGTCAAATACAGCGCAGTGCAAGCAAGTATCTAAAGCAACTGATGGACAACGCAAGACTCTGCATTCAACAATGTTGATTGCAGTATCGTCATCTCTGTACCAAAGATTTATTGGTCCCTTGAATCTCAGCAATCAGCAACCTTACGCGGATATCTATTGATGGAATACTTGGAAAGCCAGAATTTCAGCAATCTTGACTTGAATAGCGTTGCGGGGCCATAGTCGGTTAGACAAGGATGATCTGAGTGAGAGCTTTAGATGTTATTGTTGCTTTGGGATGGTAGAGTCTAGAGTCAAATCACTCATGCCCTCTTTTTATTATGTCTGCTCTGACTTTTCAGCTTATCCAGCTGGTCATACCAGAGGGAGGGCCTTGTAGTTAGGTAGCCCTCGCCGGTTCCTGCAGCGCCCGCCAAGCTATGCATTCGCTGATTTGGCGAAGAAAATAATTACAAATTGCGCTGATAAATTGCAAGGGCTCACTTTGTTATTTAGTCTATTATGATTCATCTTTCGTGATAGAAATGTGCCGAGTGCCCAGCCATACCCCGTCTAAAATATAAATACGCAAATCAAGGAAGCATGACAACATCAACCTCGCGACTGTATGAGGGATAAAATTGCCCTCTATATATACACAGTTGATTGTACTCGCCATCATGAGCCTCATTCGCGCGATTGTAGACCTTTATGGCAGCAGTTTTGCAATTGTGCCGCAGCCTGCATCAAGCGGCTTTAACATTCACGGACCATCTTCATCGCCATTTTGATTGCGGTTTTTCGCTGGATGGACTAGACGGCCGACTTGAATCGATTTCGGCGTTCCCGCTAGATATGAAAGGTGCCGTAAGTTTGTTCACGGAGTCTCCTAGGCTATCTAGCAGTTGGGAGGCTAATTAAATCACCAACACAATGTGGCTTGCTGGGTCATCCACGGAAAACGCCCTGTTTGTAACGATGGGAGTAGAATAAGCATGCCTATGGCCAACGCAGCACCGAACCTTTCAGTGGTCTGCGAGAAGGTATTATAATTAGCTTGGATCAGCCGCATATAGGTAGATAAGGCATGTAACAACGACGGTGGATCAAACCTTGTTCCCAGCTGCTGTGTTTCCCTATCTGCCTTTCCAGGCATGCTTTGAGGTTTGGCGATAGACTGCTGGAACTGCGAGGAAAAAGTACAGGATGCAGAAAGCGGCGATTGCCAATTTGTATTCTGCAAACTAGGCGACCGAACTTGGCAATTCACCTTTAATTGCAAAAGTATGATAAAAATGTTGCGTGAGAAGGAAGATTATGTCGATTGCACATTCCGAAGACGAAGAAGAGCTTGAGCTATCTGTTTTCGGGGGTTTCGGGGCTGGGTTATACAGTAGGGGTTCCTCGAACGTGAGGCGAAATTTCTCAACGATCCAGCGGCACAAGGCCAATGCGAATCCTGGCCCAGAGACCGAAGTGCATCGCGATCCTGCGAAGCGTGGGACGGGCCCCTTAGGAACTCCTAGCACTATTAGCATGGGACATATCTGCCAGATGTCTCGGCTGAAGTCGATTGGTAACATTTCTAGTTCCTGGTTGCGGATCTAGTGTTCTTGCAAGCAGTTTAGCAGCCATTCAAGCCTATTACGGACACGTTCCTGTTTAAGTCCAAACCAAAATTGAATCAATGCAAATTTGATGGGACTTACGTTGAGCCTGACAAGGTGGATAGTGCTATGTCTAGCGATTTCGACCTAGAGTCAACATCTTCTGAAACGCCGGTTAACAGAAACGGCGACACCGACCCGAACAGGATATCGCGAAAGAGCTATACGATACTGGCTACACAGTCAGTATGATGATGGAAACAATGGCGTATTATCCGAAATTACACCCAGAACAATAAATAAACCGGACAGTACCAACTGGAATGACTTTGGTATCGCAGATATGAATTTATATTCCAAGTAAGTGTACTAGCAATTTCGAGTTAAGTACGGGTAGCACGCACCATCACTGATTTCTAGACATTCGAACTCTAGCCCGATCGAGGTATCTGGTCTCTAGGCCTAGGGAACTGAATTGTAATGACATCCTGAACTGAATCAGTCAATTATCATCCCAAGAGCGTAACTGGTATTTAATATCGTCTTGTGAACTCTGTGACACCTTTCATGTGAGCTGGTACATTGAAAGCCTATTTGCCCGAATCCTCAAAGCGGAGGAATCAAGATCTCAGGGCAATGCCATTTCACTGTTTTTTAAATCATGAAAAAGTTGGGAATGTAACATTATGACTTAGCAAAACAAATACTGCTAACATGGCGACGGTTTCCTTTCACGATCACTGCAATTCGTCACAGCTTGAAGAAGATCCCAAGACAGACCCCGGATCTACAAAGCCGCGTAGCCCTCGATCTTCTCTAGTCTGTTGTGCACCTGATCCTATAAATCTATGCGTACGGCCTATGCCATCAAAAACTTTTGTGAGAGCAGTGCCCATTGGTTCTATTAGTGATTAACTTAGAATTTGATAGAGTAGAAGGAGCCGAGTACGCGAGCTGAAGATAGGAGGGGCGTATTTCTTCACGCTGATCCGATTATACGCGTTTCATGTTCTATCTCAAATCATGAAACTACTAGCGAGCAAAGCCAGTTCAGGTCACAGAAACACTAGGGTAAAGGCGATACGCAGATATGTAGTTTTCCAGCCACGTGAGTGGCGACAAGCCTTGAATCGAACTCCTTGGGTATATAAACAAAAGTGAGCCAAATCCGTGCGTTCCCAGAGGCCCAGTAATTAGTGCCCTGAAGTGCCAATCTCGTACACCGTGTTGGACTTCTTTCCAGCAGACCCAGAAGATCCGATCTCGTGTACTTCGTCGATTCCTTGGGGTTGTGTTGACACTGGAAGTTCGCTGATACTGGCTTGCTTTTTGCTGAAAGGCCAAACACGATATCGGTACAGAAGGAAAACTGCAAGCAAAAATATGGCTGCAACACATCCGATCACAATACCCGCGATCGCACCACCAGAAATGGATGAGCCGCCGTTGTCTGAGCTTGTCGGGGATGTCGAACTTGTGGGCTCGGAGGTGGATGTCGTACTTGTGGGCCCGGAGGTTGCTGCGGCTAAGACCCCGGTGTCAGAAATGGCGGCTGAACATGCAGTTAGGAGCGGACTTCATCTAAACGCTTATTACTCGAAAACTCACTTGATGAGAGAGCAGTGCCTGTGAGTAATGGTTAGGTCGGCTTGTTCTTTGTTATAAGGAAAGTCAAAGCTTACTCGAAGTTGATGTTGCGTAATTCCGATAGATCGTGTCGTAAGTCCAGTCACTTCTTGCGCACATGTATCGCGTCGTTAGATCCGTCCCAAGTGGCGATGTTGCAGCCAGAGTCATTGTGTAACATGAAGCCGAAGGGCCACTATATTGATTGTCAATAAAGCAATCTTGGTACCAATGACCAAAGCATTTGAGCATCTAACCATGTTGGAGTTCCCTGGTTATTGTAGAAGAGGGTATCTGACTCGCAAGCCGTGGGAACTGCCGAAGCATCTGTAGCTATACAGTCGGCATAAGAGCCATAGGTGCGGAAGACCTGACTTGATGGACAAGTGATTGGTGTAGCTATAATCGTAAGATGAAATACTGACTTTGATGGATTACTTCACAAACCTTCACTAACGGCTGTAGGCCACCATCCTTGAAAATTCGCAGCATAGGTAGTTGTCATATCGGCCCACGTTTTCTGGAATTAGTGATTATGATAGGCTCATAAGAAAGGATTACAAAAGAACAGGTTCAAAAGGAAGTGAAAAGAGAGGCAAAAAGAGCCGCGAAAACAAAGTGTTGTTTTATGCGCGCGCCTTGCCCGTGTTAGGTTAATTATTAAGAGCCCAGCCCCCTGCGCTTCTACTTACGGCAACGATCTAAGCGGAAAACATACACAATATTTACGCTAAATGTCACTGCCTTACTAGCTCGTACTCGCCTCCACAGGTGCCATATAGATCGGCAGATCCTTCCAACTATGTTTGCCCTGGTCAGATGGTGCATGTGGAGGTAAGATTGCGATGTTGCGAGCATGTAATAGAGCGGGCCCATCGGGGAACATATAAATTTAGTCAAGGTTTAAACCCCATTGACCATGAATACTGTCAACGGGTGATACTTACACCAAGCGCCCGGACACGATGAGAATATCAATTATTCGGGGACCAGAGAATCTAATAAACCTCGACAAAACGAGCCTTGTACGCGAGCCTTGTCATAGGTGGGGTTTCTGGCCCCCGGCAGTGCCATACCAGTAACTTAGCGCCCCGAAAGCACCTGGTAATTATGAAACAAACCGAAACCAAAAAAAAAAAAAAAGAAAACAGGGGTGCATGGAGCCTCCGATTCAAGACTTGCCAGCATACGAATAATGATTTTATTCACTTAGCGCCGTGCCATAACGCGCTGACCCGCTCCTAGGACCCAGTGCACCTTACCCACCAAAATTTCCTACTGTGCTGTACGTACCCTTAGGTGCTATATAGCGTTATATTGAAATCGGGCCAAAGGGAGACACGAGTCCTGGTAGACCACGTGTTTACGATAATGAAATCCATGGAGTTTTGGGTTACATACTGCAGCTGGTTTTGATACTGATAGGGTAATATACAGTAGGTGCACAGCCTTGTTTAGATGCGCAGTTTGTTTGCCCGCTGTGTGAGTTATTAATATTCATATGACGCAGCAAGCGTTCGTCCCATTGCCAAGAGAGGGGAGATCGGTGTGATCGGCTACAGCGAATCGTGGTATTTCTTCTACTGTACATGCGCGACCCAGGGGTGCTGAAATGGGGCTATGCATATCTCCATTAAGGATCACCATGCGCTTAATAGTTTTAGTATCGGAGCTTTGCCCAGGTGTACATTTTATTGTGGGTGTGCAACCCGACAGTGTCGATCTGTGCACAGACAAGATAGTTTTTTATGGGGCTGCATCGGTTCGGGCAGCGGGCCGGAAATTATGCCAAGGTCAACCAATCGGTCCCTGGGCAACAAGGGGTGGCTTGCGACACCTGGGAAAGTCCCTAAAAAACCATTTCACATAATACTCTGTTCGTACTGTACCATATACATTTGGCAAGGATCATATTTAACATTGAAATGACAAATCACAGGTACCTTTTGTACACTCTCATTACTTTCCCTTACGAACTGTCAATCAGTGGGTATGCCTCCTCGTTATTATTTAACTCCGTCAAAGGCTTTAAACTGGTTTGTAAGCCGAAGATCCGATCTCATGCACATTATTTGGCTCGTATGTTCCAAGTTCACGCACCATATCGAATCTGTGGGGTTGCGATCTTCCCCAAAATTGTTCTGGGATGTCGTACATATCCCTCGGTTTCCCTTTGCCGAACACCCCAGGGTAAAACTGGCGGATCAAAATAGCTGCAAGGAGAATGACTGCTACAACTCCGAGGACGATACCCGCGATCGCACCCCCAGATAGCGTTGAGCTACCAGTACCCGACTTTGCCGGTTGACCTGTTTCACTTGACCCAGTTGGCTGGGTTGGTTGAGTAGTTGATGTACTTATGGCCCCGGATGATACTGTAGTGGCAGTTGAAGAAGAGGTGGCTACAAAGTTGGTAATGTCGCGATTAGCATCTTGTCAGCTCTCACTGTGAATCAAACTCACTCGAAGAGACACCAGTGGCTATATTTGTTAGTATGACTCCACGGAGCACGTATGGGGGACGAAAGCTTACTGGTAGCGGACACGACGAGATCTCGGTAGAGAGTGCCGGTGGTGCCATAGTCCCAATCATTGGCACACATAAATCTCGTCGCTATAGCACTGTCCATTGGCGATGTTTGGGCGATAGTCAAGGTGAGACAAGAAGCACTACCACCACTAGAGAACTGTTCAGCATTGTGTGATTGGCGACAAAAAGGCACCTATGAAAAGCACCCATTCCAAATGAATCAGCGCTCTTACCATGTGTGACTCCCACCGTTAGCATATGCGATTGTATTATCGTAACAAGTTGTTGCGAGAGCCGTGGAACTGGGAGGTAAACAATCGGCAAAAGTGCCGGACTGCACGAAACTCTGGGGCGTAGGACATGATAGGCAACTGCTTGTTGTCGCTATGAAGTTGTTTAGAATTAACAATCTTATTATATGTGACCATCACGTACTTGCCCCGTCCGTCACGGGATAACAGCCTTGGAAATTGGTCGCTGTGGAAGTCATGGTGAATGAAGTTTCCGCAGGGACATAGTCAACAAATCGAATTATATGGGGAGAGTTGGGGACCGGCCCGGACTTTTAAGGATCAATAAACGCAACAATAAGGTTGGATGTCGAAGGATCCATCTATTCTTATACTGTAGACGGTGTTCCTAACTTGGGTAGCTTCCTCGTCTTTCGGGGAGACCAGCCCCATAAGCGCTTCCTTCAAGTCCACCTGCAAGACCGGGGGGCCGTTCATACTGTGTTAAATGATTGAACCAATTATCAGAGGGTGGCTCGGACGGGTCTAACCAGATCATGACAAGGCATGGCTAGTTGGAGTACAAACAATTTTCACCTAGGCATCTCATCTGTATATATGTTGTATATACATACATATACGTATACATAGACTGGTCATCACGTATTTTATGCGTTCACATGCATCCCAAATGGAATCTAAATGTATTATTTAATTACCGTATGAAGCTATGGATTTGTCACAGTCCGTTTTCCTTCTTTCTTCTCCCGGTACTCCGAATCTCATATCGTGACCAGAAGCAGAATCCATGGAGAACTGAGAGGAGTAATTTACAAGACAAACACCCCAGCGTTGTCCAAACAGATGGGCTCGCCATGCCCCCAAGGCTCACAGCCCCCGGTGGGGGCCGAAACATTCATTTTAAGCAGTCAGCTAACGGGTCCAAACACCTAAACTTTTTCGTTCAACAGGATGGGGCTCATGGCCCCGAGGGTCACAGCCCCCGATGGGGGCCGTAATATCCATTTTAAAGCGGCTTGCGAATCCGAGAGAGAGCTAAGCGACGACAGCGGTGGGGCATCTGACGATATCAAGTGCGCTTTGCTCTTCTCACTTGCACGTAACTCATTGTTTCCATCAGAAATACACAATACAAAGCAAGCCAACAGATTCGAAAGTTCAACGCGGGATTTAGGGCAATGCTTTCGGTGAAGGGTCAGGCCGAAATAAAATCACGGCGGGGCTGACGGGATCCCTGTTCCCGTACTTCTGTTCCCGTATTTCTGTTTCCGTATCGAAAACCCGACTTTTCCCGCCCAATTCGGAAATCCGTCGATCCCCTTCACTCGCTTAATATAATCCAGAAACGGCTGTGTTTCATGTACATCGTAATTGCTTAGCAGTCTTGGGAAGGTTTTTACGGTTATCTGGAGGGTTTCATAGGCTGGTGGTTTGGGACCCTCAGGGTTTTGATCAACATGATCCACACTATCTTACACAACAATACCGCGTCACGGGTTGCCACGAGCTTCCCCATATCCAATCAGGTACAGGTACACCTTTCCTTCTCCCACGAGACGGGCCAGGGTCGTGTATCACTACCTATTCCGCTGTGGACGTTCTAGATTGTACAGACCCAATGGCGATACAATGCCATACCACTAACCCCAAAATAGAAAACCCTTCTCCACTCCTTTGCCGCAAACGTCCTGTCGAGCCACTTAATACTTTCTTATTTCAGGGGAAATCGCACACTAAGCCCAGTCTGTGAGAGGTCCCCTACTCTGCTTTTGGCTTTTTCTTTCCTTTTTTATTTAATTTTGCCATACATGTAGACCCTGTCGCGCTCGGATGTAGTCTGACCCTGATACATGTTCTGGGTCTGCCAAGTCGAACAGAGGCTTAACATCGGTGCTACTCCCACCATAAGTGCACTGGACATACCTTGGTCCTTGGATGACCATTAACAACCGGCTGAAAGGCATGATGAGTCGCAAGTTCAGGCGCTTTTTTCAAGTCGTGCTGGTTCTTGTCCTATATTGCGTGGCAACTATCGCCTACAAAGGCCAGGTAAGCGAACCAGAGACCAATTCATTCGATGAAAGGAACCTTGACGCAGTGAACTTTCAACAACAGGTGAGCACCGAGTTCCATGAAGCAAGGGGGGGCATTGCTGATCGCGTTGTAGTTCCGTCTCTCCCCACAAGAGCAGTACCAGCAGGAAATTCAGTCTACTACACGGTCGGTTACAAACGAAATCACTATTCCAGGGCTTGATCCTGGGATATCGGCCAACAACTGTCTAATACTGGTGCAGGCAATTTGATACATTTGCGTCAACGCTCAAGAGGATCCTACCGCAACGATCCCGCAACCCTCACCTTATTGACGATCCCCGCCTGAAGTCCTCGACAACTGAACCTACGCCAAAGATCTATCGCCCATACCCTGATTATGGGAGTAAAGAGTGGAAGAGCAGCCACCGTGGCTCTTTCAAACCCTGCATGGGGCCCCGAGGCAAAGAAGTGACAGACAACTTGGACGACCAAGTAAGCGCCTACGTCGGCACTCCGAAAGGTATTTCATGATTTCTTCAATCTTAGCAATCGAAAAAAAAAAGCGGCGAAATGCGAATGCGCCCACTGCCTTGTTCTGCGAAAGAATGACACGGGTTTGCCACTGCACTGCGGTGCGCCCGCACGTCGGTTTCTTGCTCACAGGCGTCGAACGCACCTATGCCATGATACAATGCAGCGAGGCCTGGCCGATTAGAGTCCAGCTAACATTTGAATCTGGTTATAGGCTTCCCCACAACGCTTTTTGGTTCCCACAAGGCAGTCGGTCTCGACGAGTCGCTCTCGTTTGATCGCTACACTCGCTACGGTGCCTACGGCTACGCAGAAGACGAATCAAACGTCGAAAACTGGGCTCAACCTAGCAAAGTCAACTGGAATGGAGTTGATTGGGGAACGCTCCAAGATCAATGCGCCGCGATCAACGCCGACCGATTCGACGCGCAGTCGCAGGGACCGAACAGCCACATCGCCCCAGAGGCACGCACGGCCATTCTCATTCGCTCCTACACTGGCAAGACTTTCTCGGACAATGACATTGTCAACCTTCGCGCCATGGTTTCTGAGCTGTCGCTCCAGTCAGGAGGAGAGTATAAGGTTGTTTTGTTGACGCACGTCAAGGATGACAGTGTACCGCTCGATGATCCCACTGTGTGGCAGTGGCTTTTGCAGGAAAACATCCCTCGGGAGTTCTGGGGGATCACTCATTTCTGGAATATGCCTCAAGTGGTCGGCAATTATCCTGAGCTTAGTCCCGAACTCATGGAGTGAGATTTTCTCTTCGCTCTTCATGTTGCTCTTTACTAACGCGGTTCATAGTGTTCATCATTCACAATGGCTCCCAGTACAGCAGTACACCCTCCAAAATCCTCAATTCGAGTACATCTGGAACTGGGAAATCGACACCCGCTTCACAGGCCACTACTATGAATTCGCCGACAGGGTTGCAAACTTCGGGTCACGACAGCCCCGCCGAGGAATCTGGGAGCGCAGCGAACGATTCTACATCCCGGGCTACCACGGAGATTACGACGGGCGATACCGATCATTCGTCGATGCTCAAAGCGGACTCGGTGTCTGGGGTGCGATGCCTATGAGGCTAGCGAACGGCGAGGAGATCATTCGCCAAGGGCCTGCACCACCCGTCCCAGTTGCCAGCCAGGACCCCTACCAATGGGGTGTTGGCGAGCAAGCAGACCTAATGGTTTTCTTGCCCATGTTCAATCCCATCAACACGGAATGGGTCATCCGAAACGAGGTTTTTGGGTATCTCGCCGCTGAAACCCCGCGACGAGCCGCCTTGATTACCCACAGCCGCCTTTCAAGACGACTGATTTTGACCATGGACAGCGAAAACCGTGCAGGTCGCCATATGAGCGCTGAAATGTTCCATGTTTCGACTGCCTTCATTCACGGATTCAAAGGTGTCTCGGTACCGCATCCCGTCTATTCAGATCGGTTGTTGCCGAGTGACCGCGTTAGTCGCTGGTTCAACTCCGGTGTCAACGGTCGCAGCGGAAGTACAATGGATAGTCCATTTTCCTGGGGCCGAGAGTCCCGGTTCAAGGATGTATCTTGGTACTACCGCGCTAACCTACCCGGGCGACTCTACTGGAACTTTTTGGGTTGGGAGAAGGAAGGCACGGGTGGACCCCAGGTACGGAGATGCTTAAGCGACGACATCAAAGATAGAAAGCTAACGTTTCTGCAGTACGAAGAAGAAAATGGACGCTATTGTCTACCATCTATTCTTTTCCATCCCGTTAAGGATGTTCAACCTGATGCGGATAGCACGCATTATGATTTCGATGCTGATAACGGATCAATAGCTACACCGGATGAACTTGCGCATATCAACAACCCGTGAGGGCGATAGGTCGAATTTTTGCATTTTCTTATTTGATCGGTGTTTTTATCTATGCATCATGTTCCATATGTCTATCCTCTGTAACTACTATATCCCTCCCATGTTTGATATTAATGACTCCACAATCCGACTACCATCTGGGTTTCATCGAACTTGACATCTTGTTTCTGGACTGATAGAGTAGTATAAGTGTATGCCATTCAGGTCCATATGTTCAGCCAGGCCGGGAATACCATCCTTCGACATCTTTTGTGGGGTATTTCATTCTTCAGATTTCGTTTGTTTCATGTTTGCTATCGGTCATATGTAGTCTATAACCCGCTTTTATGACGGGGGTATGGCACCCCTATGGGTAGTCCGCAACTACAGTACATGGACAGGGTGCCATGGATCCGGGGGATTCTGAAACGCTCCGCAACGAAATTGAGAAGAGTGGTGGAATTTTGCGCTCTATAGGTCAGTAAGACCAGCGGTCTCTCTCACTGGATTGCGATTAATGGATATATACATCTAAATTGCATGTCAGTAATCTACCCCTTTTCCACTTCGGTTGAATTGTGAGAGGCAAATTGCCAAGAGCGGAAACGGCCTTAGTCGGTTATCTCCACCAATAGGAGTCCAAGTGCGACATTCTGTGTGGAGTACTGTGGTGTATTGTAATCGCCTGAAAGAGTCAATCAAAATGCCCAATTGGGGATTAACAATACGAAGATCCCATTATGGGGTCGAGGCTGCGCGTCGTTTGATCGTCCATTTGCTAAGCTGAGCGCCACGACCACGGTCAGCTCCCAAATCTCCGTTTCAAGTCCCTTTTAACGGTAGACCACACTCCTTCCCTCCATGTTATGCATTTAATTCATCTCTTCGGTCACCGTAATGGTCACCCCTCCACCATGTTGTTATTGATCCCATTACTAGCATCGCTTTGCTATGCTGTTAAGCCCATCATTCCTGATGACGATTTGTTATCTTTTGTGTCGGTCGGTGGATACCCCGACAAAATTGCGAATCAAGAAACTAATCATCCACCAGCTTCCCGATACCCGAGCATTGAAATGGGATGTAACTCACCATGACCGTGAGCGCCAGGCACCTGGATACTGGTTTGTCGCGCCATACGGACAGATCACGGGAGAGGCATCCACTCAGAAGTTTCATCAGTACCAAGTTGGTCCTTATATCTATGATGATAATGGCGTATGTGATAGTTGCCGTGACGCGAGGAATGATGCGGAGATTGATGGTCTTCTATAGATGCTCATTTGGGCTGGGTCAAGACAATTCGAGGATCGCAATGTTTTTGACTTTCGCGCAAATACCAACATGGATGGCGACACTCATCTGTCATTTATCGTGGCCTGGGATCCAGAGAATGAGTTCGAGGATCGGGGTCGTGCTGTGATTTTGAACAAGCACTATCAGGTCGAGAAGGATTTGATTTCTCCGGCTGATGCCCACGATTTTAACATGCATGAATTCAATATCCTGGATGGCGGCAAGACCGCTGTTGTCTGTATCTATCGCCCTACGTTGGTCAAATTAGGGGACTTTGGCCGTCCGGAGGAGGAGAGTTTCGTTGTCTCCGGAGGGATTGCGGAATACGACATCGCGACTAACGACCTTCTCTTCAAATGGAACGGCGTCGATCACATTCCAATTCACGAGTCAAATTCCTTTCACGCGTGGGATAGGCCTCAAGGTTCTCCAGGCTGGGATTATGTCCACGCCAATGCGGTTGATAAGAACGCCGCAGGCGACTACATTATATCTATGCGCTTCACTAACACAATCTATTGCGTCGGCGCTGATGGAAATATATTATGGCGACTAGGTGGAGCAGAGAGTAATTTCGATCAAGACTTCACCTTCTCCAAGCAACACGACGTGAAATTCGTCGAATCGAATGGCACCGACCACGTCATTACCATGCTCAACAACGCATCCGATGAAGCATCCAATGACGAGGACGTCTCCTCCGTTCTGTATATCAAGCTCGACACGGCAGCCATGACAGCGCGGCTCATCAAGCGCATGAACCGACCAGACGGCCAATTAACGCGTCTCCGCGGAAACGCCCAAACACTCCCCAACGGTAACACTTTCGCAGGCTGGAGCAAATTCGGCTATCAGAGTGAGCACGGTCCCGATGGGGAAGTCCTAATGACTGCCCGATTTGTCTCGGACCGGTACTCGACCTATCGCGCGTACAAGTCCGACTTTGTTGGTCGTCCACTCACCCCTCCTGACGTCGTGGCCTCGGTTTACGGCACCAGTGAGACGTCCATCAGCACGGTCATTTATGTTAGCTGGAACGGCGCTACGGATGTTGCCAGATGGAATTTCTATGCCCGAGCCAGGGAGTCCAGCGAGTCCGTTCTCATCGGCCATGTCGAAAAGACTGATTTCGAAACTATGTTTATCGTCAATGGCTACATGGATTATATTACTGCCGAGGCTTTGGACCGCAATGGTGACTCTATGAGCAAGTCTGCTGTTCATCGAAGCCAGATCCCACACAATTGGCAAGCTGCTGGGTTTGTAGGCTCGAAGATTCCTTCTCCGCAGGATCCACGTGTTGCTTTAGCTGCTCTCCAGCATGCGTCAGAGAACAGCGGCAATGATGAGGTGGACGATCATACTGCTTTCAGTGGTACGGTTGGTCTGTTTATCTTCTTCCTAGGGGTTTGCACTCTCATCGGTGGACTGGCCGCCGCCTTTTTCATGTGTTACCCTCGGAGAAGGCGGTCGTATCACAAGGTACGGCCTGAAGAAGATGGTCGGCTGGGAGAGACTCATCGCCTGGCTACCGTGCCCGAGTGATTGATTTGCTCTCGAGTGTGTTATGAAAAGTTGGGACATGTGTGGACTTCTTCGCGACCCTATCCCAAGCAGCACTGGGGTCAAATAACAGGGCGCTTCTTGGGCTCACATTGCTGAGTTGAAACAAAAGGGCCAATATGTCCGGCTCTCCGCATACAGGTCCAAAACATCCATTCAAGACGTGCGTTGGTCTTGATCAGCATTTTCTGTCTTCGGTACATATATTCTTTGTTGGACTTGGAAAGGGGAACGGACTGTGTGGGATTCATCCTGTATATATTAGAGTATTTTTTATTGTATAGTTCTACCTTCCACTTCATTTATCAAATGCAGGTCAGTTGATCTTTCGCTGTCAGTGAAAAGCACAAGCAAAAGCGGAGTAAGGCAGATTCCTGGGCAAGAAGGCTTCACCAAGCACTGAGTGAAGCAGGTGAAATTGAGTACTTTTTTTCTATATCGCAGGACTAAAAGCTGATTACGAGGGAAATGATACGCAAAATACCGCGGTTGTTCCCCTAGGAAGCATGTCTTCTTTTGAAAAATGGCCTAAACTCTATTTCGAACTTTTTCGTTTCATTTTCAGCCAATTAGATGTCATATTATGCTTTTCAGAACTACCAGATTCATTCCAGTCTATTCAGTTAAGCTTTTTGACATTCGTCGACAACGGCGGTTACTGACATCACTTCATTGCGGAGATGCGCGAACGAATTCGTGAGAAACGTCTCTGGCCAGATCGAAGACCAAATGATCGATTGGTTATTAAAGAAGCAATAGTTTCTCGGCGTGCAAAGTGGCTCGTAAAAGAGATAGATGACTTATGGTACGGCGCTGGAGAGAACCCATTTCACAGCCCTCCAAGCCTCATGGTGAAAGGTGGGTTTGAAATAGAGAAGGATGCACTTGATCCTAATCACTGAATACGTGATTAGCAATATGTCAGCTCTGAAACTCATCCCAGAGACATTGACTTTTTTGCCCTAGTTAAAGTCCTCCATTTATCCTTCTTAAAAATATATTTCGCGGACATGATTACCCCATGCTCAAAAATATCAAAGCTTGCTAGCAGAGATCTCCTATCCCAGAGAAAGAACAGACCACAGAAGTACATAATAATAGATACGTAGAAAGTAAAGGGTGTATTGTATTTTTGCTGCCAAAGCTTTGCTGGGCCTTTTACGGCTCCGTAAATCGATAAAGTACAGTGCGTTTGCTGTTTTACTCCATTAATTATTCTTTTTCAATTATTCGGAGATTTTCCATTCAACTTTCCTAAGCAACCTGATTAATTGGCTTCCATGAGACCAAATGGAGGTCGGGCATGCGGAAGCTCAGTTCACATATAACAACCATGCAGCACTTCGTTGTTGAAGGATTTGCGGAAGAATTCCGCGATCACCATTTCATGTGGAGTAAATCACGTGCCGACCTGCCGAGAGCTGCAGACATCTTATTTCACGATGATAGTCAAATCAAGACAACAACCCGTCTTCCACCTTCGTATTATAGTCCACCGCCATTATGAAGCGCAGTTACGAGGTAAAATCTCCATATATGTGTAGCGTCCTGTCTAACAAACATAGAATGCGCTCAAACTCCTAGCAACACGAAGGCGGAAAACCCGACCGAAAACACCTGCGCTATCTCGTACCAATCAGGACGCAGCGATTCCTAGCGATAACCCAACTGTGAGGGGTATACCCAGCTTGGTTGGAATGAAAGAGTGGCTGCAGGTTTTGGGACACTCGGTATGAATGATAAATGGACTTCGTTTGCATGTTTGCCGTTCTAACTAGGCCTAGGAGAGTGATGTAAACGCCATTAATATTATTCACATCACTGGAACGAAGGGTAAAGGAAGTACCTGCGCGTTCACACGCTCATTTCTCCATGCGCATGGTTTGAGAACGGGATTCCCAAGGCGGATCGGGTTATATACCTCCCCAGATCTGCAATGCATCCGAGAGAGAATACAGATCGACAATCGACCAATCACGGAGGATCTCTTCACAAAATACTTTTATGAAGTCTGGGAAAGCCTTGCATCTTCAGGTTTAGGACAGGAAGTCGAGACCACGAGACAGCCTCGGTACCTGCAATTTTTGGCTTTGCTAGCCTTCCATACATTCATCAGAGAGAATGTCGACGCCGCTATATTTGAAACTCACCATGGCGGAGAGTTTGATGCTACCAACGTGATACCCAAACCCGTTGCGACAGGAATCACCTCACTTGGGATGGACCACGTTGATCAGCTAGGCCCTACGATCGAAAGTATCGCTTGGCATAAATCAGGGATCTTCAAGCCTGGAGCACCTGCATTCTCGGTACCACAAGAACAAGGACCGATGAAAGTCTTGTGTGATCGTGCCGCTGAGAAGAAGACCAGCCTGAAGTTCATTCCGACCAATGAGCATCTTCCTACCAACACCAAGGCGCTGAGTGTCCCAGTACAGCGAATCAACTCTTCCTTAGCCCTTGAGCTAGCCAAAAAGTTTTTACAACTCAAAGCACCAGGACACATAATGGAATCAGACGATATCCTCAGAGGCATCGAGAACTTCTCGTGGCTCGGGCGATTCGAAATTATAGAGGACGGGAAGTCTCAATGGTTCGTGGATGGGGCGCACAATCCTCTGAGTCTCAAACAAGCAGCAGAATGGTATTCAAACAACATTGTTGTCGTGGAACCGCGGAGGTTAGTTGGCCAGCTTCTTTTATTCTGATCATCAGTCGACTAAAAGTGCATCATATCATTCAGATGTCGAATTCTTATCTTCAGCCACTTCTCCGAGGAACGTGACGGAGTGGACCTAATGGAAAGTCTGGCACATGCTCTTTCGGAATACAATGCGAAGCCAGATCATGTCATCTTCACCACATACGAGGAGAGAATTGATGGGACTACAAGAATAGGTGAGTTACTAATCTAGTTGCTGCTAAGAGTTGTCGAGCTAATTATTGCGTGACAGATAAAACCCTCAAAGTGCCCGAAAAACCTTTCCCAGACCTTTGCGCTACATACTCTTCATTATGGAAAGACTTCGATAACCAGGCTGTAGTCTCAAGTGAGTCAACCATTGAGGGCGCGTTGAATTCCGCCAAACAGATCAGTGCCCAAGAAAGTGGTGCACAGATCTTTGTGACGGGCAGCTTGCATTTGGTTGGGGGAGCCCTTAACCTTTTACGGCCTGAAATTTGAAGTAGCCATATCGTGCCACGTATATACTTAAGATATCGACAGTCTCGGCAAGGTGGGTTGGACGACGAAGATCAAGATGATGACAAATATAGCAAAAATCTTATTTCTCCTCTTCCCAGCGAATAGATCTAATCACCCTGAGCATCATGAACCCTGCATAAAATAGCATCGATACCCCGGCTTGTTTATACACGGAAGCGATCCATGAAAGGGGTTCGACAACACTTGCAGACTGCTTCTTCCCTTTGGCATCGGTTCCAACGAATACGCCCTCGAGATAGCACTGACAGGTAAGTTGGATTCTATAGATGGCCAATCTAAAACTGTGGGTCATCCTCAAGAACTTCATAAGTGTGCCATCTGACTGGCCTCTTGGATATCATGACTTTTAGCCTCACATGGTCCTATTAATTTGGGCGAAGAGAGTTTGAATGGGCGATTGGAGAGGTAGATGAGAATAGGTTGCTGGTTGGGTTGGGAAGTTCAAGAATGCTGAAACGCCATAACATTGGCAGAAGTATCAGATTCCACGGTATTGGTGAGATATCCAGCGCCTATGTGAATGTCTGTATGGGATTGCTGGACATTGCATAAAGCGCATAGCGTTGAGTTCTGTAACTTGACCCTACTAGTTCGGTCTACCGTAAGCCTTAACTTCGTCAAACTTCTACCCCCATGAAATGATAACAGATTTAGGCAAAGGATTCAATTCCTAGTAAAATTATGATGTTCTCATTTTGAAAGAAATACGGCTAATGAAAAGTTGTAGAATTGAATATAAATGGTCCGTGTAAAATTTTACTGTATACAAGAAGTCAAGTAATGGGAATATCATTCTCATCTGTGATTTTGTTGAACTGCAATTTGTATCTTGATGAAGAATATGAGATTTACACTCCAGTCCAAGTTAGACTTTTTCATATGTGTGACTAAGAGTGTAAGGTAGCCATCTGAGGCCATGTTGCGTTTTGAGAGTAAAAATCCCACCTATTTCACTCCTAGTTACTTGCACGACCTATCAAACCTTTCTCATATGAATTAGACAGTAAATGTAATTAATGTAAAGGTGAAGGACATGCGACCTGATGATAGAGTTTAAACCCGAGAATTTGGCGACGATACAAAAGATTACGGATATGCGAATCCTGGCGACGTACGACCGGGTGGTGGCAACTTACCCTGCCGGAAGCTGTTCTGGAAAAAGCTGAACTATCCTCGGAAGGGCTCTGATAATGATATTCACGTAGACAATACTAAAAAGCCCATCGAGGCGTCTAGGGGCAATGTCATAGCTCTGCGGACTTCCCTACTTTCGTCATACCTCAGCGTGGGCCTGTCCTTTTACGACGACAGGCCGAAAGATACCTCGGCTACTGATGCAGTAGTCGCCTGCTCCATGCCTGTACTGCAACTTGTCGAAGCTGTCAACAGCATGAAAGATGCCAAAGACATTGGGGAGAAGGCCAAGGAAGAAGCAAAGAAGGACCTCATCTTAAAGATACTTACCATTGTCTCCATGGTGATCCCCTTTGTCGGTGAGGCCCTTGGCCCTTTAGTCGGCAGCGCTGTATCAGTCGCTCGGGTTGCCCTTCTTATCGGCGAAGCGGACAGCCGAGTCTTATCGGTATCGGAAAACATCGGGACCCGTCGTCTGCGCCGTTTGAGATGTTAGGTTTGATTGCGGGTGCTGGCGTCGGGACGGGCCGGTTGTCGAAGGCGGAGGCGCTAGCGGAGGCTTCCAAGGCAAGAACCCTGTCAAAGGGTACTGATTTGGCCAAATTCCCGCAGCAATTCAGGGATAAGGATGCTTCGGCCCAGAAGGTCGTGAAGAGTTTGTGTGGGAGAAAATAAGTATGGCATGGTGAATGCATTGGGCTTCATAATTAGATATTGAAAAAGTCCTTTGAAAAAACACGTTCTTTGGCTATTTCACTAGCTTCATACATTATTTTCGTTAAAGCTTCTCGCATTGCACACAAAGCCACATCTACTAACAATAGTTGGGGTGGACCATGTAGCAATATCAGCACGTATATACAGTCAACCCTCGCTGTAAGAGTTTGATTATTGTAAGGGAGCTTATCCCTCATACCGAAGAATCATTTATATCTAGGGACATTATATCATGGGTAGGGCTGTGCGTGGGTCTTTCAGAAGTGGACCTTGAAAAGATGATTTCTTCTCAGTCTCCGGCTCTTATTCTAAGAGTCGAAGATTGGTCCAAATGCAAGCACTCCAATTTCCATGAGCTCGAAGACCACTTGTTTAGTGAGGCGCGCGTTGCTGATCACACAGACAGCCTCCGCGTCGAATTCTCGGACGACCTCTTGGATAATTGGCACCATGTTCACTCGGCCGCTGGTCCCGGTGTCAATGAGAAGTGGATCAGAGTCAAGCTGATGCACAAGGCTGAAGACCTCTGGACCGTATGTCCTGTTTGGATTCCGCGTCTGCCATATGAGTCGCAACGGCGGGCGAGACTTTTCGCTCAAAAATGAGAGACATGGCGCAATTCCTGACCCCGTGGCAACCACTACCACTCGACGAAAAAGACGCATTACGTGGATAAAGCCGTACATGGGCACTCCACGCTTCCATAGCTGGGTGGGTTTTTGATCGATACACCGGGTTGTCCAATCGCCCGCCTTGGATACTACACAAGAAAAGCTCTTATCACCGGGGTCGGGGAAAGTTGCAAAGCTGTGCCAATCCTTGAGTGGATGATTGGAGAGTGCTAGCACTTTACCAAATGCAGTAGATGTGTGGTCAAAGTGGAGTCGGATAGCATGCGATGAGAGATTCTCTGGCAAAACTTGCACCCGGCGGAGAAGGAGCCACGGATGAACAATGGAGACAATGATGGCTAGTACAAACCAAAACGCTGGTAATTCGAGTAGGTATTGCCCGAGTGACAAGCCTTGCGAACGTCGGGCTTGATCTGAGAAGACAAGCAAGAGGGTCAGGAACAGAGCCACTGCTAGCCACCCGCCGAATCGGTGTATGAGCTCGAAATAATTATGCCATCTTGCCCGGAATGTAGGATATGCAACAGCAATAATGGCAACGAGATCAACGAGTAAAACATAGGCTATAACAATTATCGGAATGGTAATTGTCCCCGAGTCTCCATTCATCCAATATTCCTGTGTAATCAGAGCCACGAGGCCCGTATACCATAAAAAAGCTGCCATACCGCATCCACTGTGAACTCCGCCATAGTGATATGCTTCGGCAGCTCTCTTGCGCAGCCAGAGAGGAGCCGACGGCGACAGGCGGCATATGCTCCGGAAGATGGCATTAACCACTAGCGGATGCCGAGCAAGACCGCATACCAATAAGTTGATACCCGCTGCATTGACGAATGCTAAAAGCTTCTGTCGACTCTTAATCATAATGATAATGAAAGCGATCATATTGGCGCAAAAGACCAACGAAAATAGGCGGCGATAAATTGTCAGAATGAGATATCGTATTGAGGGAAAACTCATTCGCGGCGTTCGTTGAGCCTCGACATCGGCGCTGACAAAAGTCTTTTTCCAGTCCCAGGTGCTTTCCATGCTCAGATATGTATTAACTGATGCCGCAAAACTCGGCTTGCTTGAATGTGCCGGGGATGGTCTTTGGAGTGGGGATGCCATCCTGTGGGAGTGTCGTTTCGCAATTCAGGGCACCAGAAAATGGGGAAACGGCGTTGATGTGTTTGGGCCAGGGAATGGAATGATTGAAATGATAAAAGAGTACAACGAGCTCATTCAATTTCTATTCTATGTAATGTTGTGGGGCGTATATCGGAGAGGCTCGCGGACGACCGACATGATTGATTCCCACCGACCCATCACAGAGCGTTTTTGGCCCAAGGCAGTTCATGAATGTAGCATCGTAAGATAACCACGTTGCCCGGAGTGGACTCTCGTGGGGTCTCCTAACCAGTTCCATCCAGAACCACGGCAACAAAAGTACGAGGGGCGCTTCTGCGATAGCACTGTCTCACGCACCTACGTCGCTAATTTATACAGCAACATCACTTAGGATGAGCGAGTCATTGCCCATCATAGGAAATTAACTAAAATATTATATCTAGAATCTCGTGCATCAAGGTAATGATCAGAGTGCGGTTGGAGGCAACTACCTTTGACTTGAGAACATTGGAGACCGGGCATCCTAGGATCCGACTGCCCATCAACCTCGCCCATCGGAATATAATTTCCCCCTTGCCCAGCCCTCCAGGATTATAACCCCTGAAGTACCCTGCAAGTGTGTGTGTCAGTTCCATGCATCTAGGCAGTTAGCATGGAAGTAGCGTGGGTTGGCCCGTGTGCCACCATCCCGACGGCCCGCGCGAATCCGCAACCGAACCTTACCTTGACCAATCGGAAGGGCTTCGCTGTGCGACAACAAGCCACCTGGCCGACATCATTGCTCCTGCATATTATACCTACCTATAAGTACATATCATCACCCCTGACGTGGGTATGCATAAATCGTCCTTAAGTAGGAAGTCATGGGTTTAAACAAAATGAGCGGTGCGCTGCGCAGTCCCAAGCCTTTCCATTGCCCAGGGTTGCCCCCCGGAGCCTCTCCGAAGTCCAAGTCCAGCCAGCATCCCTGCAGCTAGGAACTAGGGGGCATTAAATTCGCACAAGGGGTGGAATGGGACGGCTCAGGGGCCGCTTATCCTGTTAGCAGTGGAAACCAATACTGTATCAACCATTCCTTGACCAGCCACGTGCGCCGGACTAGGCCCGGTTAATTTACGTTGACATCCTTTGGAAGTTTGAGAGCGCACAGGGATTGGACAAAGCATTGTTTTGGCGTTTGGGCGCTGTGTCCGACCGTAGAGTTAATCCCCCAGTTTTCCATAGTAGTGCTCCCGCCGTCTTTTCCTGTACCCTGCGTTGAACCTGATTCCATCATCTATCCCTGTCACACCTTTATCGACCACGTCCATTTGAATACTTTATCAGAAATTTATCAAAGTCGTTGAACAAAAAAGACGTTTGGTGCTTCCGGATGCTTATTTCGGGCTTGCGAGACACTCAAATATGGCTTTCACCCGCCCCGGGGGAGCCAACGGTGGCGCGGCTATCTTCGATACTTTAGCCAAATTCTATATAGCTGTGGCTATAACTTGGACGACTGTTATCCTTGCCGGCTCCGTATTTCTTATCCTGAATCGTCATGAGCAATGCATTCGCATTCGCAACTTGCCTCTCGTGTTGAGTGCGGTGTCATGTCTCCATGTCTACTGGATCTTGTGTATGGTCGCATATTCGATGGGTGATAATTATCCATGTGTCGCAGAATACTGGATCATGAGCATCTATTTCCCCGTGGGAATTGCACTTTTCCAAGCAAACAGCATGCAGCTCCTGAACGTCTTTGGCATTCAGGAGAAGTTGCTTTTGAACGCGCAGCAACCATACAGACCCCAATTTATCAATACGCCGGCATCGTCTACTCGGTACTTGGCTCGATGGAAGCAACTCAACCTCGTACAACGCACGCAATTGGGCATTGCTGTTGGGATGGTGGCTCAAGTCAGTTCATCCTACGCGCCCGTTGCCCTAATGTTCCCTACTAATCTCGTCTTGTATCTATAGCTGCTCATATCGCTCTCTATATTCCTCAGCTCCCGAAAGTTTCAAACCTTTGGCACCTTCTCCGAACATGTGAGCGCGGCAGAATGTCGACGAGGCCCCGAATGGTAAGACTTCTGCCTGGAATGGTAATATGGTCGAGTTTCTCTGACATGAAAAACTCAAGGGTTCCTTCGATTCTCTGGCAATTGCTCTGGTCCTGGGTATTTGCGCCATACATTCTGTGGAAGATTCGCAACATTCATGACATCCATCACTGGCGGCTTCAAATCACCTGCTGCCTTATCGCTGCGTGAGCACTTCAACATTTTCTTTTGCATTTACATCTCATTAAATCACCTAATAAACTATGCTGACAAATCTTTAGTCTACCAGGTTCACCTATGTGGTTCGCCGCGCTTTATTCGACAACCAGCGTCTGGGCAGCTATTAACAAATACTGGGTGCCAGCTCTTTGGTAATTGAGACCTATCATCAAATCCAGATAAAGTTGAATAATAACACTCGCAGGTTTACTCCCGGTATAATGACAATGGAAGCCGTTACCATCTTCTTTCCGTGTTATGAACTTGTCGTTTCCAGGGGACAGAGGGATCGCGTTCTGGGAGAACTCCAAGCATGGAATGAAGAGAGAACATCCAGTGGAGAAAAGTTGACCTCAGCACCATCAAGAACTCCTAGTCAAGTCAGCCGCTTGCCTGAAGTTTATTCTAGAGAAGCTTTAGGGAGGTACCTGGAAGAAGACTCCAGTGCTCTTCTGCGATTTGCCGCAGCCAAGGAATTCAGCGGTGAGAACATCATCTTTCTAAATTACGTGCGCGACTGGAAAGCCGCATGGGCAGAGATCAGTGAATCCAGACCAGATTACGATTGGAACTGCGATCCCCAGTATTACCGACGCCATTTCTTCAAGTTCGCACTCGAAATCTACGCGGCCTGTGTCGATATCAACTTCGCAGAATTCCCTATCAACATCGAGTCTCGAATTTACTCAGATCTTATGGCAATTTTTGGTGAAGCCTCCCAGATTATCTGCCAATCTATGCCTGGAAGGGCTGGAACACGCGCGTACAGGAATCTTCCCGAGTCTTACAACACGATGACAACGCACCGAAAAAAGTTTTCAACGGTGATAACTATAGAGGAAGACACTCAGGCTCTGTGTTTAGATGCAAACCCTCACGAGGGCCAGAGTATCATGCATATTGAGTCCCGTGTTCCGGACTCTGTTATCGTTCCTTCAAACTTCACAGCTGAAGCATTTGACCAGGCCGAGAAGTCTATCAAGAACCTGGTGTTCACAAATACCTGGCCCAAGTTCATCGATTTTTCGAGTGACGTATCGATTCATTCTAAATGATAGTTCAAATATCTGAACACAGTGCATGTACTTTTAGAGCTGACAAATGAGCTTTTTCTCGAAATTGAATTTAGCATATGAGACTGGAGAGCCCCAATGTGAATAGCTTATAGAACGGATGGAGACACCCTAGTTGTTGCCGGAACCGGTAGACCCGCCCCAAGGAGTACTCCGAAGTTATTTGTGATATATTGCGAAATCAAGCAGCGGTAGAAATGTCTAAAAATGGCATCAATTCCGGCTTTGATTCAACCAGAATCAGAATCAAACCTGACTAAGGAGGAAATACATCTAATTCCAGCAAATGGCCCGACAACAGGGAAGCTCGGCAACTCTAATAGTGTTTCGCCAGGTCGGGCAATCAGGAATGAGTCCCTCGATACAGGTACCGCAAATTCTATGTTCAAGAAGTTCAGGATGCGTAAAGTCTTGATAGATATAATCAACGTGTTTGTTTTAGGAGCCTTTGGTGGCTGAGTGCTTAGGCAAAGGGCTATTAGATGCCTCAAAAAAGGGATTTTCCGCATTCCTAGCGCCAAAATGAGGTGTTTTAGACCACTATGCCAACTGGCAACGACGGACAAACAACATGGTCATAAAACATGTCTAAGGGCGCTATTCAAAGGACTCCCCGACGTATTATTGAAACGCCGGCAATTGTACACTAAGCCTAGCTAGGCCGCATTGTACTTTCTATGGATAATCAATCAAGCTGCATGAACACTGAGCAATACTGGATGCTCCGGGAATCGGCGGCACGAACTCAAGGTACTTCTATTTACTACGTAGCGCCCTATTGAAATTTATTTACCTCAATTCCCCACTAAGGCAAATTTTTAAAATAAGAATGAGATGAAGACTGAACGAAAAAAAAAGACATATAGTTCGAGAATTTCGAAAGTCCACAACCTCTGATAACTCAATTAAAGAGCCTTGAAAATGCCGATGGATCAATGCGGATATCTTGCAATTCAGATAGCAGACCGTATTAATGCTTGTATAAAGATCCAAATCAATTCAGCTGCTCTTTTCCCCAACCTCTATTTTCAGCAAGTTTCCGCCAGTGATTGTCCCATTTGGCGCCACTCCGGCATAAGTAGTACCGAAAAGCGTGCGACTATGTTTTCCCTTCCCAAATACGAGGCTTGATGGCGCCAACACAGACGGCGTACTTAACGCATCGGCTACAACAATCTCCTCGTCGTCAGGATTTATGCGGAAAATGGTGTTATTGGCGTTTCCAGCGACCCAGATGTTACCAGTCTCATAGTCATAGGTCAGATCATCAGCATAAAAACCACGAGCCATTTTGGTGTATTCGCCCTTCGCATGTCCTGATACAGGGTCAATAGCAACCCGGTCCACCGTCGTTGTCTTGCTGTTGTCGTAATACAGGAATGTTTGGGTTCCAATAGTGACGGTACGAATCCCGTTAAGCCCAATCGCCCCGGAAGCTTTCATAGATTCGTGCTCAAGGACCACTTCGTAGTCTCCTGTCTTGGCATTGAGACAGTATACACGGCCTGCCAAGCTATCGGCAATCAAAATTGCGCTCGTATTTGCATTCAAAGTTGTCACGCCATTGAGAAACTGGCCATCTGTAAGTCGACGATTTCCTGGATTGTAGGACGGCGGTTTCCTTCAGAGAAGCGGACAGTCCAAACGGACCAGGAGACAGTAATCAGCTCCGTCATGGAGAAGTTGCCCGCAATTACCGCGAATGTGCTTGGGGCATATTCTGCGATACCCATCAACCCAGTTGCATTGGGGAAATGATGAATCAGACTGGCGTATGCACTAGTTTGCTTCGTTGGAAGTTTAATTTGGTATAGCTCGGGTGTGTCTGCGCGAGTGACTAAAGTTTCATCATCGCTAATGGCGAGATTCTCCAGGTATGCGCCGCTGGGGAACTGGTAAACGGCCGATACCACTGGCTTCATGGTACTTGTTGGCATACAAAAGGGCAAGGGTCGACAGGGAAATGGCAAAAGATGGAATGAAAATAGAAAATATTGAAGGTAGCATGTTTGTACATGAGGAGATGTTTGAATGTTGGATGAGAAGCTTCATGATAGAATATTTACAAACAAGCTTTTATACATCTTTTTGTTCGGTCAGACCCCATTGACTCATCTCCATTTTTATCATAGTGTATTGAAATCGGACCCAAATTACGCGGAGATGAGGCTGAGGTCTGCTTTGTGGGAGGCCGAAAGGCTGGATCGGGTCCCCGACAGATGACAAAGTATGCAGTAGTACACTATCAGGAACGTTTTGCGGCAATCTTCCGAAGCGGGATGTGGGCACGAGTCAAATGCTACACCTGGTTATCGAATTGTTGTTTTATTATACCATTTACATTCTCTAGTGGAACTTCTCTTTCCTCAACCAGCGTTGTTGAATCAATCATAAGCTCATCGTAGGATATAGTGCAATCCACTGAGGCCCAGGACCACGTCAGAGCTCGCCAGCGTGACGGTAGACAAGCCCACTATTTCAAAATCGTAGACCACATAAGATGTTCAAGCAGACTATTTACCCATAGTCCAGCAAGGTAACGGTGCAGTGACTCGCGATCTCTCAGCCACTATGCTACCGATAGCTGGCAGTTTGTTAGAAGGCTTACCGAGCTCGCGCCTGAGATAATTCTTGAGGAGTACCTGCCACCTGCGATGTAGCTGCCCCATGATGAGAACATCCGAACCGCGAATCACGTTCTCTGCATCAAGTAAATGCAATATCAGTTGAATTAGCTAATTTCTAATTTATAACACTTGTCGTGTCGGCATCCACCCTGAAATTAGGGTTTGTGTAGAACAAGCATCACTGTGGGCTTCATTCTGGCATTTCAACGTCGGCCATCTGCCGTATGAATGCAAACGTGTTGATAGAACTTGCTGTTGAAGGCACCATCCCAGACGGGATACAGGATCGGTGGGCAACTGTACACGGGTATCATCTCTTTTATAGCTAAGTCACATTTTCCCAATAGAAAAGTCCGGGAATCTCCAAGCTTGCTCAAAGTTAGTTGCGCTCAAAGTAGGAATCCGGTATCTTAAAGAAGCAAAGTGTGGCCAATTTTCCACATGCTTGTTTGAAAAGTTTTCCCTTGCACTTCATACCCGAGCAGCATTGATTGTAAGATATGCATACTTGTATATCTGAGCCATCTTAAGATTTTCGTGGACTAAACCTCGAAAATGGCCTGAATGGGAGCGGGAAGATCTCGCCGTTTTAGACCTCCTTTAATCATGACTGAAGGATTGGAAAGCATTCACTCCAAATATTCTGGGCATTTCTCTGATACTAGAGGAAGTAGATACTGATATTGATGAAGGGTGTCCTAGCATGAGGCATCATCTCAGAGAGTTAGGTGCTCAAGCTGGAGTTCAACTTGAGATATGTGAAAGATGAAATGTAAACAATGTTTATCGTCCTCCAATAATCAATTCCTCACAGTCAAATGGCTCAACGCATCCACAACCCGAAAGTCAAAACTCAAGTCTTGCTAGGCTTGACCCTTTCAGGTGGCCACGATATAGTTCTTCAGAAAATCCAAAAATATTAGTGTCTATACCCTTTACTCTATTCGGGAGCCTTGATAGCAGCAAGAATGATACACCATACAGTCTATACTGCAGCAATGCCTAAGCAAATAGACCCCTACATCATTTCAATACCTGTGCTTCAAGATGATGAGCTAGGCGAGTACATTGAGCTTAGCTTCCTGGTTTATGTAGGAACATCTTCCCAATGTATTTTTGTTATATGAATGTTGACTACAAAAGCAACTTGACGCCATTTGTGCAAAGGTGAACGAGCATTGGACCGAAGTGGCCTCTGGAAGTCTTTCCATGGTCGTCGCCGAGTTTTTGACCAACTCGGCATATCACGCTGTACAGCGGATTGGGAGAGTAACCCGGAGTTGCTGGCTAACAGCGAGGTCTTGTCTGAAAAGTGGTATTTTACCAACAGAGGTTCCAGAGTCAGACTCGGATTCACCAACATTCCAAAGCTTCAGTCGGGTTATACGCGATTCTTTGAAGACCTAGGATTATGGCGTTACTCGCGGATTCTGCATGACTGTCGGACCCAGGCTGCGTATGAAGATATTCATGACTATACTGGCAGCCGACAGAATCCAGAGGAATTCATACGCAAGCCTACGGAGGGCCGCGACGCATTTCCCTGTGATGATACCGCCTTGGATTACATGCAGGAAAGCATGCGGCACCTTCTCGGCACCGGACGTGCACTAAGCGGATTAGAAGAAGAGCCAATGATTGCAGAAAGACTTCTTCCCGCGTTGAATGCGGCACTTAACGACAAAATATCACTAATTCCAACGCGCCTTGTTTTCGGCATGGAAATGTTGCTATCCACATACAAGGCGTATATGTGGCCATCAGGCCACATGATTAACTGCCGCATTCTATCATTGAAATTTGCCCATGCTGTGATCCAAAGTGTTAAAGAGTGCATGCCACTTTTGCAGCGATTTTGTTTATGCCATGACTTAGAACATTGCACCTGCCTCCAGAAAGAATACCTTTCCAAGTACCAAAACAAAGTCCAGGCTTACGTGGAGGAAAGACGGTTTGATCTCTATTACCAAGCACCGTGGACTGCAGGAGGCCACATGGTAGAGATCCTTCACTGGTCAATATACGAAGGTATTAATCTTTGCTGTGAGAATAATTACGTGAACGCCGTACTCCAGTTGCATAACACTCTTCGGAATGTAAACCCGCAAATGAAGCGAGTCCGTTGGTTGGATCAAATGTGTGACGTCTTCACTAACGCTCTCTTCATGGGAACACTCCCCAAGAGAACCTTCAGTTTCGCTTTCCGCCGATCAGCTGGTGCGCAACTTGTCAAAAGTTCCAGGTCAAGCAACGGGGTTCAGTTTCGATTATCGCGGGGCAACCCAGACATCAGTACTCGACCCGACCTGCTCATGTTGTCCGCTTATCTATGTTCTATGCTCATCATAGAATGTTTTACCAGCCAACCAAGCAATTCGTGGTTCGATTATATCTGGGAAAGCAGGTCAACGATCCCACGCCTAGCCAGATAAAGGAGGCTCTACACCAGATCAATTCAACCATATGGACTGTCACAATGGAGAAGGTCAAAGAAGCGATGAGCGCAAAGTTTCAAGGAGATGCACCAATAGCCAAGATTGATTTTTTTGCTGTCTTCCGGGCCTGTATCAAAATTCTGGAAGACCTCTGCACTCACCTCGGTCACAACACTAGGGGTGATGCGCGGCTCGGGTTTGAATTGGTGGACAGTCTACTAAAGCAGCTTACCGAGTACGAGAGAGATGCTAAGCTAGCTCACAAGTTGCCTCCAATTTTGCTACTGAAAAAGGCGGTGCTGCCTTTGAATCCTTTGATGAGACGAAGCCTTTGAGCAAATTCGCTTGGGATATATGAGCAGGAAGATGGAATAATGATACGAAGAGTATAGGGTTATCTTCAGGATTGCTGCAACCTACGTGCGACAAGCCTATATTATCGCACAGCCTTGTTCCATCCATATAGGATAGTGGCCTCCATGCAAGTACCTATTATAGAAAGCTTGATTATGCTTAGTAACCGCACCCAGAGCCTCCGGCGGGGCTCCTCCAAGCTCCCGATATCCCTGACGTTGTCGCGTCGAGATCTCCTGAAACATTGATATTCTATTAAAGCGATCTAAAATGTCACCCGCAAAATCCGAAAAGATGAATTCAAAGGAAAAGACAGTAAGCCCGTTTCCGGTTTTGCTCCCATGACTTATTGTAGTATTGACATTCGACAAGAAAAAGATCGTCGACGCCGACGAGTATCAGCAAGCGCGTACGCATCTCCTCAAGCAAGAAAAAGAAGCCACTCAATTGTTGCAAAGTCTAGCAGCTGCACGCCGAGAACTCCCTATGGTGCAAATCCCCAACCCGGATCGATTCAAGTTTGACACTCCCGAAGGAGAGAAAAGCCTCGTAGATATCTTCGATGGCCGTGACCAGCTGATCATTTACCACTTTATGCTCGGCCCCGGCGAACATGCTGGATGTGTGGGATGTTCCTTTTGCATGGATCATATTCCAACTCTCGAGCATCTACGAAGTCGTAATACCTCGTTTGCTGCGGTCGCTACTGCTCCATTGTCTGAGATCACTACGTATCGCACTAGGATGGGATGGAAATTCCCTTTTTACAGCTCTGCTAAAACCCACGAGGCGTGGAAGGAGGCCGAGCAGGCGGGAGAGACTGTTACTTGGAAGCCTGGGAATGGATATTTTGGTCTCTGCGTTTCAAAGATGGCGATCGCGTCTTCCATAGCTATGACACTTCCGATCGTGGGTTGGAAAGTATATTGTCAACATACCATTTGTTGGATATGACGCCTATGGGTCGGCAGGAGGTCGGCAATGGGATGGGCAAATTCAGTCTTAATGATGAGTACGGAGTTAAAAAGTAAAGCTTGGATTCGAAAGGGTTTTGATTGGAATGCGAAAACTAGCTAGGAGATACGTCGGATGAAACGGGCACAATAGCGTGTGGAAACGAGATTGATGTATCCTAATTAAACACCTCAATTAGCCATGGATCATGGATTCGACGACCATATTACGTTGCAAATTCAAAAAAAGAAATCACAATTCAAGCAGCTCAGAGACCAATAATGAAACAATGTAGATTGACACAGTTTCTACAATTTCTTTGCAGAAAGGGAAGTGGTCGATCATCACCGTTGCTGTATTGTGGCAAAGGTTTCAAAGGGATGCAGGGGAGGGTAAGGGGATAACATACCCGGTCCAGTCGGCGCGCTCCCGCTAGTGGATGGGTGGCGGCGGGAACCATGACACCGGAAGTAATATCCTGAAATCTGATATTGGTCCCTCGAGGCTCAAAAGATCGTTCCTGCAGCTGGAGTTAGGTACGGTGATGGAGAGTATTGTTTTGTTGTGCTGCGACCGCATTCTATTAGTAATGATCGCAATTGAAGAGAGCAATGAGTATCTTCCTCAATTCCCATGAACTGAGCTGAAGTCAGCCAAACTTGAGGTAAATTCTAGCCCATCCAGGAAGGTAGAGACTTTTAATTGTTGTTTCCCTGAGTGATGTTAAATACTGATCGCTGGCAGGGGCTAGGGCATCGGCCCTACCCCTTACGTTCAGAATTTTATATGTACCGCATCGTCATTGATGGAGCCGACATTAGGTCCACCTCGGAAAGGAACTATGACGTGAGACACCACTTTTATGTCTCGGCATCTCTCTGAGGCCAGGAACAAATTAAGCGAAATTTCAAGGCTGAAATGAACTAATTCGGAGCTCCATAGGTTCAGATATCCTAGCCCAAGCAAACTCTCACCGACTATGCATTTGCTTTACTCATAGCAAACTATGCTCTATGTTCTCGGGGTACTCCTGTGTTCCTATGAGCAATAGCTAGAATGTGAAATCAATTTAAAGAAAGACTGTGCACTGTAATCCGCGTGGTTAGGACATGTTCCTGACAATGTCGATCAAAGATCTCGCGCCGAGTTCGAATATCTATTGACTTTGGGCTGTTCGTTACACTCCGCTTTTTGATGTATATGTACTTCGTATCTGATTTGCGATTGCCCTCAATGATTCGTTAGTGGCCTATGACTCTTTCACGTACTGATCATACTCAATACACCGCAGGGGAACTGTTTTGCTTGCACTCAACGGGTCCTTATATCTACTCATAGATAACTCTAATTGTAAATCGAAGATAGAATGCTGCATATTGTCTAGCTAAAATGAAAAATCATGTTGTACTCTCTCATTTCAAGGGCCCTTTAGCCGAGCTTAGTGAGGTATGTACATCAGGTTGACCTTCACCACTGCGCCAAAACTTAGACCACGGAACACGCACATAACAACGCCAACAAAAAAATAAGAGAATCAAACATGCTCTCTTCTTTCTTTGACACCGTAATTGCATAAACAGCATAAGCAAAGCTACTCAATTGGCTTGTTCATGGTTAAACAGGTGGCATGAGAGCATGGGCTGCCAAGTCAATTAACCTGGCACTCAATGGAGTAACTATAGGCAATGAAATGTTTTTCCAACAACTTAATAAGATGTGCAAAATCTATTGATGTACTTTCCAGTCGATGTTGTACGAATTCTGCCTGTGATTTAAGGCAGAACGCTGGAACTTTTTGATGCTTTGTCAGCTCAACGTCATTCGAAGTTCGCGAGGTCAATCTGGAGAACTCGAACCATCTAAGCTCCCCCGGAGCTCTCTTTTCACCCTACGAAGCTTCTCTGACAATCGATATCCCCAAAATGAGCTCTGACTATGCCTCGCCTCAAGGAGGCTCGTCCTCCGATAGCAATTCCCCTTCAGACGCCTCCGCCCAAGCATTCGCCGAACACAACCCCGCTCTGGCTAGGAACAACAAGCTCCTCCTGCGACCGGAGCTGGTGAGGAAGCCAGATCTGTTCACACTATACTTTGGCTTCTGGGGCCAAAGTAACTGGACTCGGGAACTGGGTAGCATGATCACAAGTAGGGTGGAGAACCAGTATGTGTTGACAGCGCGATATCCAACCCAGGAGGAGATGGATGCGCATCTCGAGCACGGGTCGCGGACGCTTTACTACAGACGCATTGGAGTACCTCTCAGCTCATTTGCAGGTGCCGCGTACTTTTACAACAAAGCACGCAAATCACCCGACTTCCCGAAAAACCCTACCCCAAAGTCGCTCTTTGATACGGCGCGCAAGATGTGGTCTTTTGATATCAATGATTTCAAAAGGACGACTGCCTCGACTGCATTCAAGATGCTTTTCATTGTTACCGCTGCCGCCATGGCATCAAGCGGCTGGGCTGTCTCCTCCGATGCCATGTCCACGTTAGGCGATCCACGCATGAAGCAGTTTGTGGAAGATATGCGAAAATCGAATCCTGAGGATGTGCGGAAGCGAAAGATTCAAGCTGCAAATGAGAGAGTACGCAGTGTACGCCAGGGCGCCGCGGATATCGGCACTCAAATGCGACAGCAGAATGGACAAGGCGGATTCTCAGAAAACGGTGGTTATTCTCAGGACAGCTACGACTCCCCAGCGGCACCAGCCCCTCCATCCGACTCCGATTCATACAATAACACCCCGACGAGCTCCCAGTCTTCATATGAGTCGCAAACCCAACCAGAACAGCGTATCAACACCGGTGCAGTCTGGGCACGGGGCAGAAACTCACAGCCTGAATCAAAATCAGCATTGGATTTCATGGACGAAGATGATGCTAGCCCCACGGCTGCGGAATACCGCAATACCAACATTGACGGTTCACCCTCTGGCAGCGCTTGGGATCGTATCAGACGACAGAATGCGGGAGGACGCTCGCTTCGCCAGCCCCCTGGCATGACCAACCCCTATGCCGAGTACTCGGATCACAACCAGGAACAATACGGCTCCGGTCAATTGAGCGAGAAGGACCGAGCACAAGCAGACTTCGACCGGATGATCGATGCGGAGCGGAATGTCGGCAGCGGTGGATCCTCTCGTAGTCGAGGATGGTGATATTGATGGTCTAATCTAAGTCTTTCGCTTCATGTTTTTCTTTGTGTACAACTACGTTATTTCAGCACTTGGCCTTATTTCATATCAAAGCATCTTCAATTCAAAACACCTGACACCGTCATCATTGGCCTTTGCAGGCATACATGTTTTGGTTGCCCTGATTATAAGAAAATAAATACCGACAAAAGTGAGATGATTATAGACATGGCTGTCTGCAATTTTGAGAACAGAAGAGAGCTGTATCAGAACAAAAGACTAGGGAAGAGGGGTGCATACATCAACCGCAAGTATGGAGTCGAAAGATGGGAGATGGGATTTGAAAATAGAACAACTTGGTAAGGGGTATATAAGGCACCCCAAAAACATACCAATAAAGCAATGCGAGAGAGGGTATGGGGCCCAGAACTAAGGGGGGACAATAATAAAGATAGTTCAAGCAGGCAATAAAAAACATGATGCGTGATGCGTTGAAAGCCAGGACGTTACAAAATCATAAATAAAGCAAAATGCAAAGACAACCAAGAAAAGATAGATCAAATGGGAGAGAAGAGAAACTTAGACGAAGTTCTGACCAGGCGAGACATAGCTCTGACTCGGAAGAACATAATTCTGATTTGAGGCCACACCATGCGCATGCGAGTGTGCACTTTCGTACGGCATCTCCGGCTCGGCAGCCTGCGACCAAGGCTCGACACTGCGACTGGCGGTACTGCGCATGCGAGTCAAGCTCCTTAACTTGTTGGTGAAGCTTTCGTTGGAACTTCTGTTCCGGCGATGATCAAAGGACATTCGCCGATTCCCAGATTGGGGACCAACGCTCTGCGCGTGGACGTTGAAAGCCGGGGCAGCTGTCATAGCGCGCGGAAGGAGACGACCAAGGTCTTCGTTGTTATCAATGGCAATATCAATTGTGGCAGAAGATTCACGCGGAGAGACGGGGTCTGCCGTCACTGGGAATGGAGATGGTGGGGGTGGTGTATTGAGATGCTGTAACTCTGGGAGGATTGGTGGTGGTGGTGGTGGAGGCGGGATGTTGTCGTAGTTGACTAAAGGTCCTCGTTGCATCGCCTGCTCGATTGTCTCTTCAATGCTTACGGCCAGGTTAGGGGAGGTGCCTGAGATGTAGCCACCTGAGCTGGTACGACGATGACCTGTCTGACGGCTTCGGCTGCTCGATCTACTTCTTGGTAGAGCGGGGTTGAAGCGAGGATGCATAGGGAGGTCGTTGGGCATCGGTGCTGTGCCGTTGAACTGGCCTTCTGGGACTGGAACGGACATTGATCGGCCGATTCTTTCGGCATCGCCTTGGTACCTGGCACTGCTTAGGAAAAGGCTGGTGTCCGAAGGAATGGCTGGCACTGAAGGAGGTCGTTCTTCGTCTTGTCCACTTCCTCCGTACTTGGGATGGCGCATAGCTCGCGGAGTTGCTGGAAGCCCTACTGGCATGCCAGAGCGTGAAGAATTGGAATCCGAGCTACTTGGGTATTCGGGAGATGCCTTGCTCTGCATCACTTTGTTTCGAGATGGAGCTCGTGGGAAGTACGAGTTACCACCAGAAAACGGAGGAGGGCTTTCGATGGGACTTCTGACGCTTTGCAGCTCACCCGGGAAAGGAATGTTTGGTGCCGATGGGTTTCGTGCAAGAGATAGTCTCCGGGCCTCTAATTCAGCAGCTGCGAACTCTCTCCTCTTCCTCTCTGCCATACTGACAAATGGCGTTGTTGGGGATGCAATATCCTGGAATTCATTCGCAGTTGAGGTGGCTTGTCCATTGGAAAATGCGCTGAAAGGGGGCTCCTGGCTAAAGACCTTGCACGACAATAATTGCACAGGTTCGGATTCCTGAGCCCAGGGATCAGCCTTAGGTCCTGGCTGAATCTCAGAAAGACTTTGGGATGTCTTGTGTCTGGATTCTGGGGAAGCGTCTCTTCTGGCACTTGTAGCACTTGTGCCTCTTTCAGCACGGCGACGACTGGCACTACGATGACGAGACCGCAGCCTCTGCTGGTTACTCGCAACAAATTTCATCGGATCATCCGCACCATCGGTTTGAGAGGGCTCGTCTCCGGGGAAATACATGGGACGAGGAGAGGATGGTGACCGAGCGCTAGATCCTTGTCGATCATTGCTGCGGCCACGGTTTGAAGCCTCTCGCTTGTCTGCAATACGGCTTGCTGTATGTCGGCTTGATGATCTCTGGCGGGCTCTTGAGTCTGGTCGTCTGATCTTACTGGAACTCCTAGTACGTGACTTGGACTTTGGTTTGGTCGCAGCCTTTTCAGACTCGCCGGCGCCATAACGGGCCAATTCTTCAGGGGACATAGGCACAGGTGAAGAGGGGGAGCGTTTGGCAGGCTGGATATAGCGACGATCATTCCGTCCACGAGTATCTCTCGAAGCATCTCGTGATTGATGAACGCGTGAGCTCTGGCTAGCAGCATCGTCTGTGTTCCGTCTTCCACGTCCGGGTGTATGAGGACCACGGTATTTGCGTGCGTGGAAGTTCGCTTCGTCGAGGCTACTAATGTATTGATCAATACTGCGACCACTGACACTTGGACTTTTGGCGGAAGTGAAGCTATTTGCTGTCGAAGCCGTGCTCTTAGCGCTAGGAATCAGCTCTGCGTGTTCTTGGTGACTTCGTTCGCTGTCTAATAGCTCAATTTGAAGACCATCGGGTTTACGATCCCGAGAACCATTGCGGTGGTCATCGCTGGTGAGAGCTTCAAACACACCAGCTGCTGGAGATGGAAGGCCTTTGATAGTCGCAAATTTGTCCATTCCTTGCACGGCAGTCTGAGGGCTGGGTTTGAGAGAGTCATTGTTCGGGTCATATCTCGCAGATGGTAGAGTCAGAAGACCACTGTCGCTCTCCCTTTCATCTTGACTGTGCTCGTGACCACTCGTCTCGTTCTCTGAAGTAGATCCATACTCATTTTGACTGAAGGAACCAGATCGTGAGAATGAGGGAGGGTGTACATCAACTGGTGTCTCTCCAATTGAGGGCAAACGGCGTCGGTTGAAAGAAGGGGTATTAGTTCGAGATGTCATTGCATGACTGAGACTTTGGATATTGTTCAGCTTCCAAGATCCGAGACCACCAGGCGACAATGCGGAGTCTGGTACAGCAGATTCAGCAATTGGCGTGATCCCCGGTGCATTAGTTGGAGTACGATCATCAGACTTCAATCCAGGGAAGCGGAAGCGCTGATTTGGCTGCGCGTCAAAGGAAGTAATGAGCTTCAGCGCTGGAGTCTTCGGGGCAGATTTCCCGTTAGATGCGGACCTTGGTCGGATTGGCGGGGGCATCATGCTTGAGATATTGGCCTGTGATAGCTCAGGCGAAGCTAAGGGGGACTTTGCTCGGATCATTTCCGCAAAAGATGCGGCTTGCTGTGCGGACGGTGATGCCCATGGCTCCGATGGTTCCACGCCGGTACACATGAAGCATCGAATTGCAAGTTGCTGCTGAGAATGCGTGACAACGTGTTCTCCCCATCTACGAACAAGATATGATTGTCGCTGCCAGTCGGATGGCATAAGCAGACATGTCATCAGGATGGCCTCCATGAAGTGGTTCCGTGAAACATAGACTTCAATCGCATCATTACTGTCTCCGAGTCCAAGCAGAATAGCAGCTGAAGTATGCGTGTCTCCAGCTTCAAGCAGCTTCTGAACAAATGCCTGTCCAACTTTGTTCGCTTGGGCGTGACCAGTCATTTGGCTCAAAGCAAGAAGCATCCAGTCAGATGTTGTTGTCGGTCCTGGAGCAATCATTGAAGCCATTTGATCTGTATCGGTTTCACCTAGCCATTGTGCTAGAAGAATGGCACTCTGGCTTCCCAAAGCGTGGCGGCTCACTATAGACGAATTAGCATTCCCACTTTCATATGAAGCATATCAACTTACGCTCGTCCCTGATCAAATCTTCAATGTCACCATCCCAGCCAAACACCACACTCAACATCTGCTGTCGTAAACCATCAGAAGTCAAATTTGGATCATCAAGAGGCGGCTGTTGCTTGTAAGGCACATCATTGAGTCGAGCACGAGTGAAAGGAAACAAATCAACGATATTTTTCTCGGCTGGACTTAGATGGACCTCATTCCGCAACCGCGAAGCCGCCCTTGAACTTCTCACAGACGACATCGAAACAGAAGATGGATACGCGAATGAAACAGCAGACGCAGAAGGCTGTGGTGTATCACCCCCAGCCGATGTCAATGAGAAAGTAGTGGCGCTCTGACCAGATCGACTAGGCGGCGAAAAAGGCTTTGTATTATACTTCGAAGATGACGCCTTAGAGCTGACCGATTCCGTCCTACTTTGAGAAGAAGTAGGGCTGGTTAGATCCGCTCGTTGCCTGATACTTTCAATCCCACTTGCATCGAATGGTGTTCGTCGGACGGCACTTGTTGGTTCGCGGATATCAGGAGGGTCCTGCAGGTGGCGTGGTGACATTGTTCTTGATCTGCTATTCTCTGATGCGCCAGATCTAGATCCGACTGGAAGGTGCTGCACGTTTGCAACCATTGCTGGATTTTCCAAATCATACTGCTGTACTGAGTTCTGAGGACCGAGTGTGAAAAGGGTTGCGGTAGGGCCGTAGTTTGCAAGTCCTCGGACGCCGTCGATCGTGGGAATTGGGTCGTAAGTAACATGTTTCGTTCGGACGTCCCAAGACCATGTTTCTCTTATATCGAATGTTAGTAACTTATGGATAACTTCAAATAGAGCAGGGCTACCCACCCTTCCAGATATTGAACTAGTCTTCCATTCTTCGACCATCCCATCCACTTAGGGTCAGCAGGGCTTGAATCTGATCGTTTGAGTACCCGAATAACTCGGGGTGACTCTTTTCCTGGTGGCTTTGCCACGCTCCAAACTCTAAGATCGCCATTGGAAGATTGGGTTGCCAGCATATCCGACTTTTGCTTCGAAGAAGATGCATGCCATGCGAGGGATATAATTGGAGACGGCCCTCGGGATGTAGTCAGAGTGTGAAGAATGGTAAATTGAGGAAGAAGAGTTGCGATCAAAATCGATCCGTTTTGATACCTAAACTAGTTAGCATAATAATACCACGCAATTGCAATCGACATACCCAATTGCATGGGTCCGACAATCCGTAGCGGGAGCCATGGCAGTAATCGGATCAAATATCGTGCGCGCAGAGATATGCTCTTGTGTCGGAGGTTCAAATAAAATAACTTCACCTTTCCCATTTCCTGTACTTCCGGTAAGCAAGTAAGTTCCACCAACCCATAAAAAGATATATAGCTCACCGAATGCGACATTGCCATTACGCATCCATGCAGCCACTCGCAAATGCTCAAACGAAGCAAACCGGGCAATTTCGGTCCCTGTGAAAATATCCCAAACAATCGCTGTCTGCCCTACATCGTAACTGACCACCAATCTCCCCGCACCCCGCTCGCTGACATTATCCACCGATATAAATTCAATATTTTCCTGGTGACTCTGGAAGCGGCGCTCAATCGCTAATGTGTCATGGTGCAGGCATAGGATTGTCGAACCCTGGGCATAAAGAAATAGCGACGCTGTGGAAGCGCAAGCCTCGAACCGAGGCGAGGCAGGCTGCGGCGGAGGAGCCATTGCTTTGACGGTCCTCGAGGGTCGCGATTCTGTCACCAAGGTCCTGTTCCATGTCAATTCAACCATTTTTTCGAAACATGTAGTAAATGGGGAGATTCAAGTATAAATAAATGGTTTCAAGGTCACCAGGCCTTCAATCCCCAAGTTGACAAAAGTCCCGGGTATGATAGACCTACCGAATGCAGGAAATAAGAAATAAAAAATAGAACCAAATTCACTGACCTGATCAGCTTATACCAGGTCGGTTTCTAATCGGTCACGACCTTGAGACCGGTCAAGGGAAAAGAAAGAGAACTTCAGGGTAGTGCAAAGCACATCTGGATTGCTCGGGAAACGGGAGGAATAAGCGCCTTCACGAGGGAAAGTGGGTAAAACGTGCTATCTTGAGGATCGAAGATCTGGGCCCTAATAAGGAAAAGGTCGGGGAGAGAGGAAGGGCTAAAAAGAGGTATGGCCGTTGCAGAACAGGGGGGGGAGTGAAATAAAGATAATATCAGTGACACTCAGAATAAAATAACTCGCTTGCACGTTCATCACATAGATTAACGTGATGGAGGGACTTAAGTTTGTGACAGGCCGGTGTGGAGAGGAAAAGAACCAGGGTTGAGTGTGTCTATATGCGATTATACATATAAGCAGGCGCCACTGCCCGTGGATCCAGGAGAGAAAGGCGCATGCGTACGACAGGGAAGAAAAGGCTGTGCATTTGCAGGGCAAAGGAAAAGAGGGGAGTTTAGTCCATCAGAAGGGAATCAATAGTCGTTGGCGCTGGGGTATTCTGCTCGGCGCTTCATTTCCTGACTGACCATACATTTGTCTCGTCCTAAGATAATGGAGAACCCGTTAGCCGCATCCTAAGATCGCCTCCAGTATTGAACATATTATTAGCGGAGACGGTGAGATCGAGCCTTTTCGGTGGCTGGGTTGAATGGCTCTGGTGCTGCGTGAGTGCACCAACGAGCATGCAGAAACGGCAGAAGGTCAGAGTTAGCCTGTTTAGATCGATGCAGAAGGGTCCCCCGAATCACAGCCTGGTATCAGCGTTATCATAGTGGGTCTCTTGAAGAAAGTGACCCTTGTCTTCTGCATAAATATATCACCAAATACTCTATAGTTCTACTGTCTACAGTAGTCTTCTTTCATTTCCCCTGAAACTTGGAGATCATTTCCCCTGCAAGAAACCGACTCACATATGAACAAGATCCAAATTGTGATTTCTGAGACAGATGTGATTGGGATCCGTGCAGTTGTTGTCAAGCTGCAGCTCCATCACTTCGGCCGCCAATCACCGTCCATCACCGTTGATCCCCTCGGCGCCTACACCACACCACTCAACCAATGTCTGCACGTATGCTGCCTGTCCCCTATTGTCTGTTTATTTTACTGCCTTGGATTTGTCTCGAATTATAGCCCCTTTTTAAACTCTGGAAGAAGGCCACGAGTTTCATCTGCGAACTAGTGTTTCCGATGCCTAACGACGATCTCGAGGCTTCTTTCCACACTCCGGTGTTATGTGATGTGACTTCTGTCTAGCTGCTGCAGAGTTGGATTTGTGTCGCTGCAACCAGAGCACATATGTCAGTTCTGGAGCTTGGGCCCCTTGTGATAGCATCGGGGACAGGCACGGCAGGGTTGCCAATCGGACCAGGCAAAGAGATTATTATTGGGGTGAGAATATCCAATATACATATCTCACTACATATCAACTATCTTAACATGTTGAGTATGGCACGCAATATGCAAATTCACTTCGAAAGTTGAACTGTATAATACCGTACTGTTATATTAGAAAGCCAGGATGTCCTGAACCAACGTTGGGAATCGGAACATATTTAATAGGTCAATATATAATGTCAATTCTAGAAGAATGGATGGAGAGAGCGCTTATATCAGTCACATTTATTCCTCATATCCCAAGTCCGCATTGTCTTCGTATCATCTGATCGCGGGGCTTATCTTCCCCGGATTACTGACTCACGGGAACTCACCTGCTCCAACTCTCCATAGTGCACAAACCTCAACTACGCTCTATAAGCCCGCGCTATACCACACGAACCTCGACCTCGACCACGACCCGGTAACAACTTCAAAATGCCCAATGAAACAATCGTGGTAATCGGGTGAGCACCCCCACGCCGACCACCCCAAAAGACAACGACAAAACCACCAACGAGAAGAACAATACCAGCTGACGTCTCCAACACACAAATAGAGCAGGCGTAATCGGCCTTACATCTGCCCTACGCATCCAACAATCCCTGTCACCCTCACAATCAATCCTCCTCGTTGCCCGTGATTTCCCATCAGACACTTCAGTCAATTACGCCTCTCCATGGGCTGGAGCGCACTATCGTCCAGTCCCAGGCTCAACACCACAGGCATTGCGCGAAGCAAACCAAGCGAAGCGCACTTATGAGTACATGAAGCGCGTTGCGGTCGATGAGCCTGGGTCTGGTGTTTCTTTCGTCCGCGGCGTTGAGCATCTCGAGGCGCCGCCGGCAGAATATTTAGATGCGCAGAGTGTGAGGAATGTCTATTCGCATCTTGATGGGTTCCGGGCATTGCGGATGGGGGAGGTTCCTGCTGGTGTTGTTTGGGGCGTCGAGTATGGGACTTATGTGGTTAATTCGCCTGTTTATTGTGCGCATTTGCTGCGGAGGTTTGTTCTTGGGGGTGGGGAGGTGAGGAGGTTTGACCTTGAGAATTTGATGGAGGCGTTTAGTTTGGCGAAGGGTGTTAGGACTGTGGTCAATTGTTCTGGGGTTGGGATTGGGGACCCTAAGGCATTTATTATTCGAGGTTTGTCGTGTATTGGAACCGGCTGTGTTTCTATTCATTTGGTGCTGACTTCTATTGCTAGGACAAACTTGTCTTGTTCGGAACCCTGTGTCTGAGACTATTACTCGTCAGAATACGGATGGGTCTTGGTCCTTCTGTATCCCGCGTCCTCTTGATGGTGGGACGATTATCGGGGGCACGAAGGAACCTCATAACTGGGACCCGAATCCTTCGCTGGAGACCAGGGAGCTTCTGCTTGCTAATGCGACTAAATGGTTCCCATTCAATCCAGAGAGTGGGGGCAAGTTTGATGTCATTCGTGACGTTGTTGGCCGGAGACCTGCTCGAGAGGGGGGGATGCGCATTGAAGTTGAAGAGATCGCAGATGACCGATATATGGTCCATGGATATGGTGCCGGTGGTCGTGGGTTTGAGCTCTCCCGTGGAGTCGCAGAAGATATCGCAGGATTGATGCTCGGGAAGGGGCTGCTTCAGCCAAAGGCTTCTCTGTAGACTATTGTTTAACATTTGTAAAGATTGCACATAATGGTCAAGTATGACAATAAACTTATGCCCGTGGGCAACTACATCAGTTACCGAAAAAATGAGCAGAGCAGCGGGATATTTCAGGATAGAGAAGTATCAGGTTCATTGAGAACGAACGAACTTTTTGCTACCGAGAAAATAACAAGGTGCTATCAAAAGGTATATCGGCCGTATAATCTTCCATCACATCAGACACAGGACCTAAAGCCCGTGCCCGTGTGGCCAGTCAGCCTTGCCCTTTTCCTCTGCGCATGACATTTGTAGTACACACGTTGAGAGGTTGAAAGAACAAGGCAACCAACCGGGTCCTCAGTGATGGGCGAGGTAGCATACAAAGCAAGCAATTAGGGCAAGCAAATGTAGCGATCACTCGGCATCGTGATCCAACTCCACGACAACCAAGAAACCGGGATGTATCTGGATCTTGTCCACAGAAGGATCCTGAAGGGCCCACGAATCTTGTCTCGTGAGAAGGAGAAGGGGCTCAGCCCGCAGCTTCCGGTACGACCTCTGGCGCAGCCAAAGGTACTTCCGTCCCGTGCAACTTGGCAAGACGTTCCTCTTCCTTCTGTTCGCGTAGTTTCTCGGTCTCTCTCCGCAGGACTGACAAGTTCCAAGTGCCATCCTCGTCCTCGCCCTCCTCGGGTTCGCTGTCTTCCTCGGCCCAGTTGCCGCTTTCGAAGAGCGTACGACCGGTAGCATCCTTGGCCTGCTGTGCTTGGAACTCGGCAGCCTTCTTGTCCAAACGCTGCTTTTTCCATTGGGCGAAGGTTTCGGGGTTGACTGGTGTCAATGTGCCGGTCAACTTGTGACGCTCCGAGTCCAGCCAATCCTCGAGAGTGAGTGTGTTCAGTGGTGATTTGTCCTTGAGGGCCTTTTCGGCGGCTCTCTGCTCCTTGGTCTTCAGGATAAATCTGTTCAAACTGTTAGTATCGCGCACAAAATTGACAGTGCTCGTATCAGAACATACCCTGGCGGCAAGCTGTGCTTGTACATGCATTTGTTTCCTCCGTTCGGGCAAGTCCAGAACCAACCATACTTCTGGTTCTCGACAGCCTCAATGAAGAACTTGCAGACCTTTTCGGTCGTTGTGCGAGGGTTTCCATGCTTGCTGAGAACGACGCTTCGTAGCTTCTCCTCGTCCCAGTCGTCCATGGTATCCTTCTGCTTCTTCTCTTCCTCAACGGCCTTCTCATCACGCGAGTCGGTGTACAGATCCTTCTTGGCTGCCTTACGCTCCACATTGGGGTCGTGAGAGAACTTGCACTTGCGGCCCTTCTCACAGTGACCCTGCTTGTAGTAGACACAAAGAACGGTCTTCGGGTCAACACCGAAGGGAACCTTCTGAACCTGCACGGGCTTGAACAGCTCGAGGGCATCCTTCTTTGCTTGCTCGGCGGCCTTCTTCTCAGCCTCACGCTGGGCCTGAGCAGCAGCTTTCTTCTTCTCGTCGGCGTTCTTGTTGCTTGCAGCTTGTGCTTGCAACTGTTGCATCTGTTTCTTCACGGCACCACCTTTTTTCTGTTTTCGACGTTAGTTCGGGTCATGGCGTAAACGGAGTTGTCGCTGTTCGGTACGGCAGTCGAGCAGTCGAGCAGGGGGCTTTCAACACACGTTTTTCATTCCAAAGGTCTGTTTTCGGTCGAGTCAGCGATCGCGAGTTCTAAAAATTAAATAAATCGCTAATTCAGGAGCAGCCAAAGCACGCACCTTGTCCTCAACGGTCGCCTTCTTCTTCTTGGGCTGGTTGTCTGTCTTTTTGGGAGGCATGATGGCGGTTGTGCGGAAGTGACGTCGCTAATTCAAGGGTGAAAATCTGTAAAATGCGCCTGTCCAAAGTGCGCGACCGGAATTATACAGATAAAGAGGAGCTAATGCAACCCAATGAATGACGGGCTCTGAAAAGACGGTGTAATCGTAAACGCTGAAGGCAAAGAGTGCCAGAGGTTGCAGAATGAAGGTCGGACTGTGTGGCGCTGGACTGAGAATCTGCGATCGGCATCTCTGTATCCTATTATGGAAGGTGGGGATGATGTGTCATTCACGCCTGAGGCATCAATTCAGGTCACGTTTCGATGATGTTCTATACCAATTATCTCGACATTACTTACTTTCTTTTGGTTCGTACTACATGTTGCTGCTTTTTAGACTTGAATAATCTCTTGAGCTGGGGTATTTTTATCATGTATCATGCGTGGAGGCTCCCATTTCATATCTTTGAGACCAGATCCAACTATGTTTTAGTGCCCTATGACGTCTTCCGGTCATACAGCCCTTATATCTCGTCAAGAGCCAGGTTGCAAGACTAATGGACAAGTCTTGTACCGTCTGGTCAGATATTTGAAGTTCAAGTAATTGTAAACTGTACGAATCCTGCTGATTTTGTGAACTTGCGACTGTTAGGAGGATAACCGACGCTAGACACGAACAGATCTCCATCGATACTAATTCATTTCAGGGCTCCATGTCTTGAAAAGGTGATGGTAAAGAGGTCATGAGAGCATGCAGATAATTGAGGGTATAGCGGCAATCCACTACGGTGAATATAGTGTGTCATATACCCTGGACCAACAATGTATTTTCGTCCCCAGCATATCAATTAGGGAAAACTCCACAAAATCTTCTTGAATAACCAAAGCCAAGACGTTCTATGCTTGACATTATACTAACGCACATTAGAGTTGTTTCGCTCCAGCCTCCCAATTCGCCATCCTATGAAATGGCATGAAATGGAAGCACTACGCAGATTGAAGGTGATCGAGTATTTGCCATGACATCCCATTTCTCCCGAGTTTGGAATACAGTCAAATGATGAAAAAGATTTACTGATAGAACATGTTAGTTCCGCCGTTTTAGTTGTCGACATGACCTGTGCACAGTTTTCAAAATACATGTACGTAGCATGGTGATATCAAAACTTGACCTTTCAAGTCATACTCAATTTGTGTCTGAAATTCTCCATATTTTGAACTGTTGAAATTTAAGGGCCGTGTCCGTGGCGTCTTAGCTTGAACTAAGCTCTTAATAGAACGCACATAGGGCAAAGGCGATGCAAATTCAGACCCACGGATGGTCAACTACTGTAAAGTGGTACGTCATATCTTAATTTCCACCTCTGCGTTAAGACGTTTGTAGGATCGGGAATGTTTGTTTGTAGACTTAGGCACTAAGATAATTCCTACGCAAGAAATAGCCATAACCGCGCTGCATCAATCATTGGGATGTTTGACATGAGATAGATCTACTGTATAAAATCGGATATCCAACTGGAAGGCCAAGATGGCCCCACAGTCAGTGATTCAAAGTCCCTAGCAAATCCATCTCCAGCATATCATCCTGTGGGCGTACTAAAGCACCTTAATTTTTCGTTTCTGGTCGTAATGGAATTCACAGAAAGCAATTATCGTGGATTTAAGAAACCTCCTGGATCTTGGCAGACTTCTCGGCGTCCTCGAGCTCAGGGAGCTCGTCCTGTGGTTGTGTTAGCTTCGATCAAAAACCCTGTATCAGGGCGGAACTTACGTCGTCCTCCTCGCCTTCAGCGCCGGCAGCACCGCCAGCCATACCCTGGAGGGCGCTCAGATCGGGCATACCGCCGCCCATGCCGCCCATGCCGCCCATACCGGGCATACCGCCAAGCTTGGAGAAGTCGATGTTGCCAAGGCCACCACCGGCACCGGCACCAGGGCCACCATCCTCACCACCAAAGCCACCGAAGTTGTTCGCGTAGTCATCTTCGCCAGCCTCATCCTGCTCATCCTCATCCACCCACTGGAACTAGTTAGCTGGTAATCTATAATTAGAACAGGCAGACAATCATACCTTGTCGAAGTCAGTCTTAAGGAAGTGCATCTTCTGCTTGCTCTCGAGCAGACGGGGCCAGAACTCAAGCTTGAGCTCCTTTTTGCGCAGGACAAGCTCGACATCACGGTCGGTGTGGTTGACCTTGCTGTTCTCGGGGTCGATCTCGGCAAAGAGGTCGAGGGAGACGCTGTATGTTACGCCCTTCCTGGAGGGGCCCTTGAAAGTAACATTCTTCTCGGTGATGCTGAGGCTGGCATCGGCCTTGGGAACATCGGGGGTCTTGATGTTGACGTAGAGGTAGTTACGCTCAGGCTCCGAGTCGGAGGAACGCTGAGCCCATGTAACTAAAGATCAGGTATTGCATGTCAGTCCATCTGATCCACAATTAAACATTTTGAAACGTTTCATCCGTGAAGCTTCAGAGGACTCCTGAAGAAAAGATAACGTCATAGGATATTTCATGCAAAATGTGCAAGTCCATGTCTGAGCGGAGCGGGGAAGTTGAGCAGTCACAACGTACCTTCGGGAGTCAAGGTCTGGGACATTTTGAATAGAGAATATAGATAGCGGTGAAGAAGGGATGGAGATTGAAGAAGATTGAGGTGTTTTGTATCAGAGAGAGATGTGGAAGGATGATACTACATTGAGCTCAAGCGCGCAGTGCCCCATCCTACATAGAAAGTACTGGAACTGACGTTTGTCTCGTTTGTGTCTCGTTGCCTGAGGCATTAAGCCCCTCATGATGATTATGTCAGAACTGATTCAGCCGTTTCCTGGCCCGCTCCCGGCCACGAGTTGCCTCCGAGGTCAACTAATGATCAGAACAGAGGGTCTTACGGGCAATCTTGATCTCTGAGAAAGGTCCTAGTTTCTTTTATATCGCGATTATAATACGACTCATCTCGCAAACCGCATACGAACCTGCCTGTGCCCGCCTATCTCTGGACGATGCACCGAGCCTGAGCCTTATCGCTGATTATAACTATTGCGATCACAGTGTACGATTGAACTTTCCACTCACTCGACCTTGAAAGTATTGTCGCCAATTACAAACTTTTTCACTACAATTCTGCGATCATGGAGAGTCTCAAGGCAGTATTCTTTGGGCCTGACCCGCAAGCCCAGGTAAGCACGTGAAATGGCCGGTCTATACCACGAATAGATCACTGACGCACAGCTTGTACTCTTAGATGAGGAAATGCAACGCTTTAATAAGATCTAATACACGCCAACTTGACCGCGATCTAACCCGGCTGAAAACTGCCGATAGCCAGACTCGCCAGCACATCGTCAACGCCTCCAAACGGGCTCAACGAAATCCCTCTCAAGCCACGCAGGCCACCCGCGACACCAAAACCTTTGCGAGGGAGCTGGTGCGAATTCGTAAACAAACCGCTCGGTTGCATACCAGCCGCGCTCAACTACAGAGTGTTGGGATGCAAGTCAACGAGGCCTTCTCCGCGCGCAAAATTCAAGGCAGTCTTCAAAAGTCGACTGGAATTATGAAAGATGTCAACACACTTGTCCGGTTACCGCAGCTATCTGCTACGATGCACCAGCTGTCTTCGGAGCTAGTCAGAGCAGGCATTATTGAAGAGATGGTCGATGATGCCATCACCGACCCCGCAATGTTTGAAGAGGAGGAAGAGGAAGCAGACTCAGAGATTGATAAGATCTTGCAAGAAGTTCTACAGGGAAAGCTTTCCCAGGCAGAGCCCGTCACAGCACCCCCTTTGGACAAGGTCTCCGAGCCGGAATCCCCACAGGCCGAGGAAGAATTCGAGGATCAAGAAGCTACCCTCGAGCAAATGCGAGGCCGTTTGGAGGCTCTCAGAAGCTAGTTTTGTTTATGACCTCAGCGTGTTGCCTTTGCTTTCTTACTTTGGTTTATTGCTGGCGTTGATTGCATTGCCGTTCCATAATCTGCTTTCCAAGGCTGGACCTACACATAATGGATTGATCATTCCACTGGATAGAAGTCATAAAGAAGCTACCAACAATGTCTTGCAACGTTTCACCTGAAATCAAATATAGTCGCGTCAAGAAACCTAACCATGCAGTGCTGGGGGCTGAAGTGGCGAATGAGATTCTGCCGTTGCTGCCCGCCGTAAATGCAGGCAAGATCATTTGCCGCCCAATGAGGCTTAGTGCGCCCGACCTGACACTGCCTCCCTCTCCCTTCCCTCCTCATCCTTCGATTTCCATTCTCCCCATCTATCCTTCCCCTCCTGAAAGAAGTCCTTTCAGATACAAATCGCATCTTTCCGCATCTTCTCATCAAATATTGAGAAGTTTTAATTTCTGCTTTCTTTGAACGTGACTTCAGCAAGTCGCATAGACAGCAGTCGCGCGTGATCTCCGTTGCAAATCGCCAGCTTCACTCTACCATCGCAAGCATGTCTGCCAACCTCGACAAGTCTCTTGACGATCTCGTCAGCGGCCGTCGCCAAAACGTTCGCAACACTCGCCGCCACTCTGGTGGCCGCCGCGCCGCCACCAAGCCTGCTGTCGGAGGCGTGAAGAAGTCTACCAAGGCTGCCCCCAAGCCTGCTCACCCTACTCCGACTGTTCAAGCTTCCAGCAAGATCCTTGTTAGTGGATTGGTACGTTCTGAATATGTGCCCCTGGAGTTTGCCGATCGATTACTAACCTTCTCAGCCTGCCGATGTTTCTGAGGCCAATATCAAGGTATGTTGATCTAGAGGCCTTCACTTTGGCTTTCATCGCCATCTCTGTTTTCGAGAAAATCGCGGCGCAAACGAACTCGACTCGCCTATCGACTTCTCGTCATATTCTTTTTCCGCACATCGCTGGATCTTCCTCGATGATCACGGCACAGACAGTCTGCTCCTTCCCAAATACCTCAGCCAATTTGGTTGCTGGCGCTTTACGAGGCCGGAAGTTGAGCTCTGTCGCAGTACGGTGAAAAGATGCACTTGGCAGGCGATGGATCCAACACGGAATTCCGCTCCGCTTGCATTCTGAGTACTGTGCCGAGGATGTTACATGAGAAATAATCATCCTTTTTCTTTCCTTGTCCATAAATCTTATCTATTCCGCTCTGCGGACCAGAGGGGCATCAGCGAGCGCATCAGTGAAGCAGCGGGAAATCGGATCAGGGGGCAATCCTAAACCCTCACTTCTATGGTTCATGTGAAATATCTCTCGGTGAATAGCCTACTGCTCTATGGGGTGATTACCTGTCACAGTGGCTCTTCACAGTGGCTCTGAGGGCTTCAGCATCGTGATTTACATGACACGTCTGTCGGCTTCGCGAAGATGCATGGCAAGGGCAGTGGATCTCAAACCCATGGGCACAGTGGGCCGGCCTCACGTCGATGGTAGCGACGTGAGTCGATCTCCCTGCCGGTAGGATTGGCCGTATCCTCATCGAGGAATTACGGTACATGCCGGGACGTGAAATACACTTTGGATGGATGTCTGCACCAGTGGACTCGGTACCGCATGGCGGTTGGCAAGCCTGCCTTCCGGACGGAGGTCGGCGTTTCGTTACAGAAGATGGGAATGGTGCATTACACGTCTCGGGGATTGGGATGAAATGGACGGACAACTGCTGGTGCTCGCTGATGCTCTTTCGCTATTGGAACATTCGCCGTCTTCGTTTGCGCCGTCGCCATTGTTTTTTTCCGACACTCGAAAACACTTTACGTCACTCAACCTTACGCAAAAATACTGATCGTGTCTGTTTGCGCTTTAGGAATACTTCACCAAGTCCGCCGGCCCTGTTAAGCGGGTCATGCTCACCTACAACCAGAACGGCAGCAGTCGTGGTATCGCCACCATCATCTTCGGCAAGGCAGACACCGCTGCTAAGGCTGCCAAGGAACTCAACGGTCTCCTTGTTGATGGTCGTCCCATGAAGGTAAATATGAGTGCTACAGTTCCATATTGCAGTATGAACTAATTCGCCCAATAGATCGAGGTCGTTTATGATGCCTCTCATGCCCCTACCGCTCCCGCCGCGAAGCCTTTGACGGAGCGCATTGCGTAGGTTCACACCAATACTCGCCGTGAATTTTGACTAATTACCCCATAGTCAGAAGGCGCGCCCCAAGTCCGCCGCTGCCACCAAGACCAAGAACAACCAGACCAACAAGCAGGCCAATGAGGCTACCTCTGAGACCGCTAAGGGCAAGGGCGCTGGCCGCCGTCGTGGTCGCAACCCTGGCCGTGGAAAGCCCAAGACCGTTGAGGAGCTCGACGCTGATATGATGGATTACTTTGCTACCGATGCCCCTCCCGCCGAGAATGCCGCCCCAGCCAACACTGCTGCTGCTGCTCCCCAGGCCAACGGTGGAGATCTGGCCATGAACGACGAGATCTCGTAAGAGACTCAACCCCACTCTTACTTCCCTCGTCGCTGCTTCTGCACGATACTGGTTCGCGGATATTCCCGGGGGGGTTTTGATGGTTGATGCGCGGGTCATATCTTCTATTATCCTCCTTTCTTGCTTCTTTTCGACGGTTGTTTCTTTATTTTATTTTTCTCTTTGCTAGTACCGAGCTTAATTTTTTTTGACTATTACGCGGCAGCTGATGGAGGGAAGCATGTATCTACAATCACAATATGAAACATTCAAAATGTGCAATTGATCTTGCAGCATATACTTCGTACACCTTATTTGAGGCCGATTACTCTTAGTGCAGCTTCCCTCGCAATAGTCAAAAAATGAACCTCCCACTCCTATTGCTAAACGACAAAGCCAATATACAACGCCAACCCAAGCCCTATGTCCAAGAACCAATTGAAATCCCCCAATGCCCCAAAATGTATATCCCATTCATTCAAAACACACCAGCCCTAGTCATCACATCATGAAACTGCTCCAGAGTAACACCAGCACTCAATCCAGCACCTCCATTCCCCTCAAGAATCATATCCTTAAGCAAATCATCACCAACACTATCCTCCTTCAAGTCGCGCGCAATGCGCCGCAGATGCGACAAGGTAATTGGTCCGTCTGTGCCATGCGTAAACAACTGATAAGCATCATCTACCTCGGCAGCCATGGCATCTTCGTCGCGAGAACGTAGTTTAGCTGCTGCTATCGAGACAAATGGGCTGTAGGGTATGAAGCCGCAGGTGGTTGGATCGAGCGCGGAGAGTATTTCGGCAAGTTCGCTTGAGTCGCTGGGTGGGAGGCCGAGGGCTCTGTTTGGAGGCTTTTTTAGTGACATTCATGGCAGGGAGCAGTATATGACAAGCGTAGTGAAATGACGTGTTGTAAGATCGCATGCAGGAATCGAGAATCGGTGACGCGCGGAGTTGGAGTTGGAGAGAGCGACTCACACCAATGCCTTGCGCACATCTTCCCGTGGAATGACGCCCTCCTTCTCGTCGGGGAAGGCTTCGTTCGGGGCTGCGAATAGTTGGAAGACTTCTTTTATCTCGTTTTCTTCCTCTGCGCTGATGTTGTTCTCTTTCGCGAGCTTGGATGCGCGCCCGCGCTTTGGCAGTGCGGAGGTGTTGGCGGGTGCTCCGCGCTTCTTGGGGGGCTGTCGGAGTTGGTTATTTCGGATATGAATTCGGAGGATGGTCGTGCAACTTACCATCTCACTGGATTGTACGGTTCTTGTAGCTTTGGAGGTCAAAGTGTGTGCATGTCATGATGAGATTGGGATTTGGGGTGGAGTGGAGGTGGGAGGCGGGCTGCGATTGGAGGATGCTTGACCATGGACGATGGACTAAGTGTGAATCATGCCTGCACCGTCATCTTGTTATCGTAAATAAACCAGGCTATGGTGTGACGAAAGAGATTCTGTTTCTTTGCTTGAACAAGCATGCTTCCATGTCGTCGTATAACTGGATGTTTACTTCTTTGATATATCTCAGAAGTGTATATTTAGCATCAGATCGGCTATAGCACACCTTTACCAGACCACACCACGATCGGATGTAAAACATAAGGAATAGCATACTAACTGTCATTTCCATAGCCTGATAGCCAACATACAACAGACCTAGCTATTGGAGATACCCTCAGTATACTGTTATCCGATACCAAAGCCAATATCTGATACACTAGGCACATTGCTGCGAGAAAAGCAAGTCATATTCCAGAGACTTGTATAACTGATTCTCTCTAACATGATAGATCCTTCCGAGCACTATGGATTTTTTTCATAGCAATTGATTCCTGCTGGCTCTCGTCACGATCAACGCCTTAAGCAGCTGTGCCAACAAGTTTAGGGCTCCGCCGTCCTCTTTTGCGAAGATTTATTGTTAGACAAAGCCAAATGGATTTGAATGCAAGCCGACCTACATAGCTCCGACATCGAGCATTCAAATGTAAGTGTTATGGAAAATGATCGAAAGCGATAGTAGGGCTCCAACGTAGCCCGTGACAATGCTGACGTGATCAGATTGGAGCCTGCGCAGGTAAACTTCTTTATCTTAACACCCCCAGGGTTGAGTTCTTGTCTTTTACACAATAATTTACCCCAAAATAATACAAAATGGAGGTTCAACTTTATGTCTACGACCTGTCAAAGGTGGGATCCCCACATCTCTCTAGCGTTTGTGGATAAGTACTGACTATGAATCTAGGGTCTGGCACGAATGGTATGTGCAACTCGCAACTCAAAAGAAAGCATGTCCTGATCTTGATAGTACTCTGCCGCTTTGACAGGAACGCAGATGGACGCCATCTATCATACATCCATCGTGCTCAACGGCGTTGAATATTACTTCGGTCAAGGTATTCAGACCGCCGTTCCAGGCACTACCCATCATGGCCAGCCTATGGAAGTCGTATCATTGGGTACTACTGAACTACCGACTGAGGTTGTTGAAGAGTACCTGGGATCGTTGGCTAGCATCTACACGCCTGAGGTTTGTCCACCAAGATGCCCTGCCTTACACGGACAATAACATCTAACCGGGTTCAGTCATATGATCTTTTCCTTCACAATTGCAACAATTTCACGCAAGATCTGTCGATGTTTCTTGCTGGAAAATCTATTCCAGAGCACATCCGAAATTTGCCTCAGACCTTCCTCGAGACGCCGTTTGGGCAGATGATGAAGCCTCAAATTGAGATGGCCCTCAAAGGCGTCACCCAAGGCACCGGCCAATTTGGAGCTCCTGGTCCAAGTGTCCAACCACCATCAGCAAGAACTTCTTCTGCCACACCTCAACAGATTGCCCGATCCGCTCACCCTCATCGTCAACTCCGACTTCCCAGCCTCCAGCGCGAGATCACGAACTTTGTTATGTACAAGAAGGCCCCGCCACTTGAAAAGATAATCCAGAAGCTACCAAATGAGTTCCAAGAAGCACAAGGCGTTCCAGAGATTATCGAGTTTGTCAAGCTCCGTCACTCTGCGACACCGGTAGCCGATATTCGTGTCCCCGACTTGCATTCATTCGCAACAACCCTGAAGCTCCAATACTCGACACTCCCCAGCGGCTGTCATTTTGCAGTGGTTGATTTGATTCGTCTTCTACTACTTGATCCACGTGTCAGTGGCTACTTCGCTGAAGAAACGCAACACGAAACTCTCCTCACTCTGCTCGAGCCGCTTTCCCAGGATGAGACCGCCTCATACCCATACAACCTTCGAATCGTGGCTCTTCAACTAGCCTGCAATCTCTTTAGCACTCCACTATACCCAGACCAGCTCACCTCATCTTCGTCCCGTTTACGCGAGACCTGTCTCCGTCTCGCAACAAACTCCCTCCTCGACTCGCAGACCAGCCTCCGCGTCGTTGCAGCATCCTTTGCCTATAACCTTGCATCATTCAACCACAATGCCCGCTTCGGTAACAAGGCCGATCCCATCTCCGAAGAAGATCAGGTCGAGCTGACAGCATCTTTGCTTGAGGCGGTCACTCGCGAAGAGGAGAGCATTGAAGCTTTACACGGGTTGCTCTTTGCTCTCGGCCTACTTGTCTACGAGGCCCCGATGGATGGATCTCTGATTGATCTCTGCCGTGCTATGGGTGTGGCGGAGACGATTTCTGGGAAAATGAACATCCAGGCGGTACAAAAGGAGCCTCTGCTCAAAGAGATTGGAGGAGATTTGTTTGGAAAGGGGCTGTAATTTTACCAAATAGTTTCGTGTTTTACAGACGATATATTGTTTACTATGCAGCATTTAAACAGTGTTTAGAATAATACTCTTTCAAGAGCGTATCAATTTCATATTGTTCAAATTTACAATATTGTTCAAATATATTAGGCTTCTGGCGAATATTTATTGACAGCGTATTATAAGAGTACTCTACACTTCGCTTTTCGGGAACCACGGTCCTCCGCAAGGCAACTAACTCTTTTAGTATTGTAAAAACTATATACGAATTTAACGCCGTATAAATATGGAGCTAAGAGGACTCGGGAAATAATATTTACTACTTCACTGTTTATTATAATAGACTATATTCTATGAAATTGACTTAAGAAATACCACTCACGCTCTTCTATGTATTTGCGTGCTTAAAGTAGGTATATAAAAGTCGAGGATATTTTGAGTGGAACTTTTATCAACGGTGTAGTAACTATGTTCTATCCCTATGAATGAAACGTCGGTGCTCACTCGCGATAATTAGACAAGTTGCTAATAAATATAGCCGTGAAGTTAACGAGATAAAACAGCGACCCACCGTACATTCATCCATCGACCGACTGTGAGCACAGGACAGCTATATATTGACGAATCATTTGAGAAGGAGATCATGACAAGGGAGCCGTATAATGGTCATACTACACTCGAACGAGTCAAGAACTCTATTCCGACGAAGTATACGGTATGGAATCGGGGAGTTAGTTCCCTGTGCTCGCAATAGCATCAATTAACGCAAGAGGTTCAAACAGCAGGAGAAATGGTAATTTTGGATACGGAACCTCTTGACGGTGTTAGCTATGCGAATGACGTCTTTGCATATATAACATTGGTATGCCTGGTGAATTACACTGTTCGTATGGGATCTCTCACTTATTTCAGGGCATCCAAAATGAACATATCCTGATTAGATCTTCCGCAGATGCCGGTGAGCGCTGTGTTGATCTCGAAATTGTTTTCATGATCTGAGATGGCTGAGTATTTGATAGCTCCACGCTTCCCTTGATACTTGTAACCAGTATCTCAACGCCCGGGCGGGGTTTGGGATGATGAAGTAAGGAATTGTTAGGCAGTTGAAGACAGAGTAGAATCTTGAGTGAATTTGTGCCATCAGATCGCGCTATATCGAAGGATAGGCTGTGCAAGATGCTGAAAGACCCATGATGTCTGTGCAAGCTCTCTGATCAAGTACCAAAACCTACCGAGTACTCATAGACCAAAAACCAGACTTTGGATATTGATGGATGAGTATTGCAAAAGACATCTGGGGATTTCCAGTATATCAGATACCCAGACTTGTCTTAGGGTTAGTTACACGTTAAAGCAGTTCGTCTTCATCACGCGTAGATGCTTAGCAAAAGTTCAACTCAAATAATGAGGAAAGTGGTCGCGTGCCTGGCTATTTGATGCCTCTTGATATTGGATCGCACAACCCCTTTCACAGCCCTTCACTCTTATTCTTCTTCACATCCCTCCCACACTCAAATATCAGAACCCTTCGCACCAGGTCTTCGAATACCATACTATCCGCCCATCCTCCGATATCGAATATCAATTCAACATGCCGGTCGAGACGAATCCCCGCCGAAAGCGATGGGTCCACACGGGGGAGCCCATCACAAACATCACAGATGTCCCAGAAGGCTGGACCTTCCACGAGCCTGATCTGCACAAAGAGTATGGTTAAAATTCCCTTCAAAGCCCAAAAGACTAGAAGCATTATAATGACCTGTGAACTGTGCAACTAGCGATGTAAACAGCCAGATCGAGCGCTGCCGTGAGCGCATCAGCGACGCGATCATGGCTGGCATCTTTCACCACAAACTGGCGCATTATTTGCAGCGCCGAAGGTACGAGTATCCACGAAAGCAATGAAGACATAATTGAATCATAATTGACAGTGAGATGATTGCTTCTGAGGGATCGGGCCTGTCATGGGCCGTTGTCCAACGCCTAGACTTCCTGAAATGGAAGAAGAGCTGGCTGGAGCTCAACGGTGACTATGATGGGCAGATGCCCAATATAAACGGCCTCATGGAGGCATACCGAGCCGGAAAGAAGTTCGAGAAGGGAAACCTAAGCTATTGGTACCGGGGGAGTCAGGTATATCCTGAGAAGGATACCGACGAGCTCGACTACTGGCAGGCAATGCACCTGCAGAGCCGTTTCACTGGTGCCTCGGGCTTCTGGCTGGAAGGAGTACGTTCTCACATTACGAAATAAAAATACCATCGAACGCTATACAGAAGGTGGGACTAATTCAATCTATAGCTTGGCGTGCCCTGGTCAGGCGAAGTCAGTCTGAAGTGACGGGTCCTTGGCCACCTAAAATCACCTGCCTTCTCTCAACTCATGTATTTTCAGCTTGTCGTCAGGAGGGGAAGTGAGTGACGGGGGCTAGGGACCAGTGTGAACAAAGTGAGCGGCGAGTAAGAAAAAATATTAAGAGAATTTAAAGAAAAAAGTGAAGGGAGGGAGAGATGGCTGCGAGCCGGCATGAAGGACTCCAGCTATTTCTCACCATGATAATGAATATCATTTTTTTGATCACGTCCTCGTTGTCCTAGATGTAAAGCCAAAATTCATGCTGCAGCAAGCGCTGCCTAGCAATATTACCAGCAACGGGGTCGCAGACGAATTCAGTCCAGGGGACATTAATGCACGACGCTATACTATGACGGGAATTCAGGAATTCCTCATTCCAAAAAAATACTCCCTTCCGCAACAAAGGCAGCCTGTCCAGCAAGCTTGATCGTGGAAACCCGTTTCCTGTCTTCATCTAACAGCACATCAAGAATAAGGTGACTCTCCCTATCCATCTCAATACCCTGGTCGATATAGAAGCGGTGTCGCCGACCCTGCTGGGCATTCGATAATGCGAGGTGAGCAGCCAAAGAGCATCCTCCACTACCACAAGCTGGATCCTCCAAGTCGATAGCAATCATCCGGACTCGAAGATTCCAGACCACTGTGTCCTCTTCAACACGAGACCCTCCATTGCGGTAATACATGACTCCAGTGAATGAGGGCTTCCATCCTTCATCAAGGTCGAGAGCAGGACTTCCTCCCGGAGCAATATTGGCAAAAAGACCCGCTCTTTCGGTCAAATCCACAAGCGCATACGTGACACCCTTCACACAAGAAACTACCGGTGATTTTTTTGGTACACCCTGAAGATCCGAGGCCGTTTTAAAACTGGCTTGGACGGGGAGGAGATGCGCCAGCGTCGCTCCCTGCTGATGCTGATGGATGTTGTGAGGGACCTCGGCGGATACAACCTCATTCTCTGGATCATAAGTGATTGGAACAGGTCCTGCGTTGGTAATAAGGCTCATATCATTCCGAAGACTTGGGCCATTTGCTAGCATTTGGCGGAACAGGAAGTGACCGGCACCAATGACGGGATGGCCGGCGAAGTCCATCTCATTGACGGGCGTGAAGATGTATACCCGAGGGGGCTCATCTCCATTGCCTGGCTGAAAGAACACAGTTTCAGAGAAATTGAACTCTTTGGCGATCTTCTGCTTCTGTTCTTGGGACAATTTGCCGTCGGCGACCTTCACAATCGCAACGGGATTTCCTTTGAATCTGGTTCGATGTGTTAGCCGATCCTTTCCATACTCATATCATGATTGAATAGACTGTACCTCTTTGATGAGAATACATCGAGAGTTACTAGCGATGGGTCAGTATATGTCGGTGTCCACCAGACAGGCTTGGATGATGAGGTTCTTACCATATGGTGCCTTTTTCTCAGACATCATGCCGATATCTCCAAATTTTTAACTGAGCAATAAATTACTGACAATGAAATCACTTCCTCGCAATTTATAGGGTAGAAAACCCAATTTGATATCCGTAATCGAAATAGACTCATATCGGTGTTCTACACGTCATTCGCGGAGCTGCCTTTCGGCTCCGCAAACTGCGCCCTTTCGCGGACATGTGGAGAAATGGTTCTTATATAATTGGCGAACCGTCGTCTTTTCTTCCCCATCCTCAGTATCCATCGCGGCTTACATCGGACAACATCGCTTTTCACCAGTCGGGTTTGGCGGGTTTGGCGGGTATCGCGGGAAAAAAAATATCAGTACACGCATTCATGATCCGATAAATTAATTCTTCAACACATATCCCACAGATCCCGCACCACTTCAAAATTGATCATGGCAGATGAACACCACATTGTGGCAATTGAGGCTCTCCATTGCCCAATTCCTCAATTTGATATACCCGGACCTCATACTCGGGAAGTTCACCGATGGACCAACCCGTCCGAACTACCCAGTCGCCTGAAAGATGCCACCATTGCCATTACCACCACAATTAAGCTCTCGGCTGAGACGCTTAGTGCCGAAGTCACCCCGAAACTTCGTCTTATTGTGATCATGGCGACCGGCACGGATTGTGTTGATATCGCGGCCGCATCAGCTCGTGGAATCACTGTTTGCAATTGCCCTGGCTCGAATATCGATAGTGTCAGTGAGCATGCCATTGGCCTTTATTTTGCTTCCCGTCGAAAGTTCATTGAGTTGCATAATGCCACTGTTGCCGTGCCTGAAGATCCATCCCTTGATACCGAATGGAAGACCAATGGGTCATTGCTCAGTCGCGTTCGCTTGCCAAGTGGCAAGGCGCCCTCTCTGTGCAGTGATGAGACTGTTGGAATTATTGGATATGGAATGCTAGGAAAGCGCATTGAGACTTTGGCCAAAGCGCTTGGTATGAAGGTCATCATCGCAGAGCGCAAGGGCGTCTCTCCTCGAGCGGGTCGGGTTGGATTCGAAGACGCACTGAAGCAGTCAACTGTCGTCATTCTTTGTCTCCCACGGAGCGCCGAGACACTCAATATGCTTTCCACCGCTGAGTTTCAGATGATGTCTTCTCACGCTCTGCTTATTAATGTCGCAAGAGGTGGGATTGTCGATGAGAATGCTCTGTTGGATGCCCTCAAACGGCATGAGATTGCCGGTGCAGCCACGGATGTCTATGTCAAAGAACCCGCTGGACGGGGAGACTCGCCTTTGTTGAGCCCGGAAGCGGCGTCGTTGAATCTGGTCTTGACTCCTCATCTTGCGTGGTATGCCGAAAGGACACTGCACAACCTTGAGGCTAGTTGCAAGGTCACAGTCGAGAAATGGTGCATTGGTCAAACTATCAACGAGGTTGACTGATTCTGAATGGGTAATAGAAGTATAATTATTGTTTATATTGTTTGCAGATAGATGAGCTAGATCATATGGAGTAGATCGGCGCGGTGTCAGGCTGGCCTTCAAGTCCCATTACATTCATGAATAATTTAAAATCGACGTCAGCCCCAGAACCTCAGCACTACATTACCTTTCAAGAGAGCCCCACAACCTCATAGTTCCAGTTGCAGGTAGCATTGGGGCTCTGTGCAAGAACACTCTTTGTTCCAGTCGCCGACGCAACAATGTTATTAGAACCATCAACAACCTGAATCATCTGCCCACTGCCAGCAGCAAGTCCCAAGATACTATTGTAGTTCAACCCCTTCTGGCCAAGGAAACTGCCAATCAACTTGCTGTTGCTGTAAACCCTGATGGTATACCCATTAGAAGGCAAGATAACAGCAAAGTTGACGGCATCACGAGCCGATTGATAATTAGAAATCGAAGAAGAGCAGCTGGCAGTCGTCAAAAGAGGGCGGTACCAAAATGCCCCAACAGGCTTCGTGCTTGGTGGAACCATCTGAGAGATACTCGTCGCGCCAGCCTTGTATGCTTTGATAAACGGCGTAATAACCTGTAGCCAGCCCTTGTGGTCATATCCGTTGGCATAGTCTCCGATATTGCTGCCTGCAATTTGCTCTTGCCAGAAGTCACCGACGTAGTGACTTTCGCCGGCGTCATTCCAGGTGATTACCTCCACGAAGTCGGGTTGGAGTTGTAGGGCTTGGGCCATGCGCTGAGGCAGATTGACCTCGCCAATGCGGTACCAGTTCTGGCCGCTGCCCATGTACTTGAATTGTAATGGCGACATTGCTAGTTTCAATATGATTAGCAGTTTGTTACTCGCGATAGTAGGTTCAAATTACTCACGTATCATGTAGACCTTTCCAGCCGCACGGGCCTGCTGCAAAGCAGCTGAATCAACCTGACTGCTGACGTTGGTAGGAGTATGACCGGGAGCCGGCCATGCAGACTCCCAGCTGAAGGCACCGTTGAGAATAGGATAGGAGCTGAAGACACCGTTGGGATAACCGGAGAAGTCATCAAAGTTGGGAACAAAGAATGGCTTGATCCCATAAGTCGATGTCATAGGCTGAATAAATCCGGAATCCCATTGCGCGTTGGAGATTGTGCCACCAGTGAAGGTGCTAACGAACGCTTGACCGTTGACCTTGTAGTATGCGCCCTGGCTCGCATAGGGTGCCAAGAAGGCTGCAAGTTTTGTGACATCCAAGCCCCAGCTCATGTCAAAGGAGATAAATAACTTGAAGTTGGTTCCTGCGGCAGCTGCAAACAGATCATTGAGTGCATTGATGTTCCACGTGTCTGTTGCGCTGATTGTATGGGTGTTGAGGGCGAACCCATCGAATCCTGCGTTCATCGCATCTCTCACATCGATGACGGCTTCTGCTGAGGTCATGGAGCCGACCTAGTTGGTATCAGTCTCTGCTATATCTAAGGACTTTGAGATATGAAGCTCACCATGTAGTGTGCAAATACGGCTTTGGTGCTACTTGGCTGTGTCGCAGTGGTTGTGGTAGTCGATGTCGATGTCGTGGTGGTAGTAGGATCTAAGACTCCTGTGAATAATTGGAGCTTAAATTTTGAGCATTGAGACAGTACCTTTGGTTGTTGTGCTTGTGGTAGTAGTAGTAGTAGTAGTAGTTCCAGTTCCAGCAGAAACCTAACACAGGGAAGTTAGTATCTTGTTTGCAGCACTCTGTCTCGGAGCAGCATACAAGTCTAGCAGTAGTCGCAGAGCCTGCTTGACCTGAGGCAACACAAGATCCAGCAACAGTGCCAGTAGATTGGTAGACACCAACAAGTCCAACCTGGCAACAGAAGTCGTTACCCTGTAGTCCTTGCCACAGCGACCAGTTTGAGTCGGCGCATTTCGGCGAGCCCTCAATCGCACCAACACAGACCGAATCTGTTGTATATCGTTAATACGTGACAGAACTATGTCAATTGGTTCCAAGATAGACCCTTACTTGAAGTGCAGCACGAAGCGACTTCAGCAGCCTTTGCACTGAAGCAGTAAAGGCTGCTTGGGCAACATGCTCCGGCGCCACAGGATTGGGATCCGCTAGGGCAGGTGCTAGCTTGAAGTGACCAGCCTTGAATCATGGAGCGCTGGGATATAACTGCGGCAGAGCCAAGCAGAGGGTGACAGAGCCCTAGAAGCAGAAGTGTAGAATACTGCATGATTAAAGGATTTCAATGCAATGATTGAAACCCGTAGAAGCTCTGTTTGACAATAATTTTTTTCATTCTACAACTATCAGTCCACCTTTTATATGACATCCCTTGAATTTTGACCAGAGTCTTAGAGTACGCAAACCCCCCACCATTGCAGCAGAATGCGGGGATTCCACGGCAGTGGTTTTGACATAAAAGTTAATCTAGAGAGCCAAATGCCAGGGCAAGGAAAATTAGCGATGGGATGTTACATTAAATTGGCGACCACGGGAACTATGCTATGACCGCTTCGGCCAGTGTGACCATTTTGGCTGTGGATATAGACCCAACATGGGGGCCTCCAACACCGAAAAACATAGCGACATTTCCGACGGCGATTTGACAAGTATAAGAAATTGGTATATGAGATATGTTGAGATCGATTCTCGTGAGAAGTACGCTACAAACTTCCCTCGCTGAAATTCTCAACCTCGGTCAAACCGTCGAAGTGCTTCGTGGCTGAACTAACTCTAGCGCGCTCGACCACGGGATCAAGTATTCCCCTTTGAAGGCTTGACACTTACAGCCCTTTCATGATTCGCCAATGGCGTCTTCGAGTCACTTGTGCGCCACCTCCAGGTTTCACCCGGTCTGCTGAACATGAGCCCCTCGCGGTTGCTGAGTCCCACCGAGAATCACAGCGAGGGCTTTGGCTGAAAAGATATTAACACTTTTTCTTCCAAGTTTGATTAACAAACCCGGTGATTTTTCAAGAGGCGTTTAACTGTATTTCCCCAGGAAACCCCGCGAAAGTTAAAGTGCCAAAGTTCGAGCGACCATGTGGTGGCCATCCAAGCCCTTGTTCCACGAGTGTAGTGCAATGAATGTCAGATCGTGTAGGGCAAAAACTGATATAAACGAGATGGCCTTCCTTCTCTTCCTTTTTCTCCATCTCAGATACATCATATCAGATCCCAACCCCCGCTACCTCGCCCTCTTCATCTTGGTAGCCAAGCCTATCTATCGCCATGGATGCAAAGGCGACTTCTCAGGGCGAGCACAAGCTCTCAGTGCCAACCCAGTCGCTGGGCGAGAATACCATCGGAATCGACGACGATGCTCTCTTGCGTATGTCCGAGCAAATCCCCGACTTTGCCAACGTCGTCGAAAAGGCCCATCGTGCGTCCAACTTTGAGCACAAACTGACCAACCGCGATGCCTTCAAGATCTTCCCCAAGGCCATCGGATTCTCGCTCATCCTTTCCCTTGCTATTATCATGGAAGGATACGACACCTCCCTCCTCGGCTCGTTCTACGCCTACCCGACCTTCCGTGAGAAGTTCGGAGTCCAAACCGAAGCGAACGGCTATCAAGTTACGTCAGACTGGCAGACCGGCCTGCAGAACGGAACCAACGTTGGCCAGATCCTCGGCCTCATCTTTGCCGGTCTCATTGCAGATCGCTTCGGCTACAAGAAGACCATGCTTGGCGCATTGGTTGCCCTGACTTGCTTTATCTTCCTCATGTTCTTCGCTCAGAATATCATCATGTTGCTCGTTGGCGAGGTCCTCTGCGGTATCCCATGGGGAGCCTTTCAAACTTTGACAACGACCTACGCCGCCGAAGTTAGTCCTATCGTCCTTCGACCATACCTGACAACATACGTGAACCTCTGCTGGGTCACCGGGCAGTTCATCTCTGCCGGAATTCTGCGTGGACTATTGGGACGTACTGATCAATGGGGATGGCGCATTCCATATGCAATCCAATGGGTGTGGCCCGTTCCCATTATCATTGGTGTTCTCTTCGCACCCGAGTCTCCCTGGTGGCTCGTTCGAAATGGAAGAACCGAGGACGCAAAGCGATCTCTCAATCGCCTGTCCAGACCCGGTATCTCAGAATATGATGCCGGAGATGCCGTTGCACTGATGATCCTCACAAACGCCAACGAAAAGCTCTCCCGGGAGGGTGTTTCATACTGGGACTGTTTCAAGGGCGTCGACCTTCGCCGCACAGAGATCGTCTGCTGCGTCTGGATGTGTCAAGTCTTCTGCGGTATCTGGTACGGCGGGAACATCGTCTATTTCTTGCAACAAATCAACTTCAGCAACGAGCAAGCCTTCAACTTCGGACTCGGATTGAACGCCGTCGGCTGGTGTGGCACTGTCTGCTCGTGGTTCGTGATGCAGCGAGTTGGTCGCCGCAAGTTGTTCGTCGCCGGTCTTGGTATCCTATTCTGTATTCTGATGCTGGTTGGATTCCTCGGTATCCCGAGCGGCAAGAACGCAGGAATCAGCTACGCATCTGCTGCCCTCTTGATGGTATTCGTCTTCACTTATGACCTGACTGTTGGACCTGTTACCTACTGTCTCATTTCCGAGATCCCGTCTACTCGTCTTCGAATCAAGAGTACTGTTCTTGCTCGTGACTGCTACAATGTCGCCAGTATCGTTGCCAACTTCTTGAACCCGCCCATTCTCAACCCCCTGGCTTGGAATTTGAAGGGCAAGGGTGGGTTTATATGGGCTCCTCTTTGCCTCACCTGCCTTATCTGGTCTTTCTTCCGTCTTCCTGAGCCCAAGGGCCGGACTCCGGCTGAGCTGGATATCTTGTTCGAGAAAAAGGTTCCTGCTCGCAAATTCACCAAGTTCGAGGTTACGCCGTTCCGATCGGCTAACTTTGAGGTTGCCGACGCGAATACTCTGTCTGAGAAATACTAGGTACCAGAAGAGAGTTAGCCTGAGGTGGGAACGTAGTGGATCATATTGAGCCATAATCGGAGTTTGCGGTTCACACTATGATGAGAACACGCTGGGCATGAGATTGGGTTTTGGTAGGGATGGATGGGAACACACTATTTCGGGAGAAACAGATGTTCATGACAATTAAATTTGCTCAAATTAATAAAAACATCACGTCTTACTTCTCCATCGTCTGCCGTATACAAAGTATTGTAAGTAAAGTCTTTAAAGTGCTCATTCTTGTTATGTTGGGAATTGATCTTGAGCGAGAGTCAGAGTAAATTTTGCACACAGCGGCAGGAGGACAAACAGAAACGAAGAAATGATGAAAGCAAACCAACGAGACAACATTAGGTTAAAGTGGTAGCTTGATTAATCTTTTTGAAGCGATTAAAAACCGTACTGAAACCTGAAATATTTCCCAGAGTGATATCGTGACAGCAAAAGCTTTATACTGGTAACGAATACATTCTTAATTTGATGCTAAGCAAGACTTTCCTCCAGCTCCTCCTCTTCCTTGGGAAATTCTAACATCAATTGCATATCAACCATAGAGGAGGGTACTTGCCTTAACCGCTGATGTAACTGAGACAGTCTTTCCGATTTTGAACCTCCAACCTTTGAAAGAAGCTGTTCAATGGCAATAACAGCATCTAGTGGACCAAAGTGAGATGTCTTGTAAGTAAGCAGATTTGGCATACATAGCACCAAATCTAATATAGGATTTGCAACTTGAAGTAGCTTGATCTCCTATAGAGGCACTTGCAATCAGTACTCGTGAATCTGCTCTGAAATATTCTGAGGAAGTAACTAACCATTCCATATCCATGGCTGCGCACTGACTCAATTGATACATGGGATATAGATGCCAAATAGTCTTTGGCAATTGAGAGCGGGTAGTCAAATGACAAGGGCTCGATTGAGGTCGCCGATGAAAGCATAAAGTGCGAGGCAGAATATTGCCAGAGTAAAGAGCGCATCCATGCAGAAGTAGTCAGGATATCCACATATTGAATTTCGGATTTCAGCTCTAGTCCGGGCTGTTTGACCTCAATCAGATGTTGAATCTCCGATATTGCATTTTTAGAGTACGTTTCTGGTGCTTCAATAGCTTTGTTGCTAGATGCAGGGAGGGCTAGAGGGTGTTGAATGTGATGGAACAGCTGGACGAGCGTGCAAAAGCCTGCATAGAGATCCCCTTTGGGGCTATTGTGCTCCACTTCGGGAAGATTGGGTGTCCTATAGAGGGTAATTGGAAGGTCATGCTGGATGCAGAAGGTCCTAGAAAAATCAATCAGAACGATCAACTGTATACCACAGTTCGTACTAACCTCTCCGTGATGAAAAGTACCCAGTAGCATCGGAGCTCTAATTGCCATTTTTTTGATATTATCGCATCAGGCGATACATGACGACACAGGTGCATTAAGTCCGCATATGTGATAGCTTCGCGAAGGGAGATGGTAGCTGGTGTGATCTGGTCTTGATTGGCATAGTACATGTGAAGGAAAATTGATGTCACAAGAGCTTGGAGTGATGGTGCTTGGTTGTAGCTGTGCTCCAATCGAACTCGCAGACATTCCTTTGCGAATTCGTGGGCTGTCACAGCAAGACCCTCGGGGCATGGATCTTGTGTAAGCCAGAGTCGGGTTTGTGCCAACGTTGCAGCACACAAGGCAGCTGCCAGGGCGTGAGAACTGGGGTCAATTGTTTGGTCGCCACTTAACTGCAATTTGAGATCATCTGCGTCGATGATTGGCCATACATCATATAGATGAGCTTGGAAGATATCAAGGACGGTGCAATAGTTGGTGATAGAAATGCGAGAATCCGGGGAGCAGAGTGCTCTAGGGCTTTGGAGTGCGGTTGCCATCTTGACAGCTGTCTGAGGGACTCGCTGGATTTCCTCAGTCTTGCGGTTTGTGGCCGACCGAGGGCCTTTTGGACCAGGCCTCTTGCGGACCCTCACATAAGTACAATTTTGACTTCTGGTGAGGCAGGCTAGGCATGGTTGACATCGATCGCATTTCACCCGACGGACAAAACAGCTATCACAAGGACTGTCCATCTCTCAGACTATTCTCCGAGGTCGGGAATTGCAGCGAGAATTTAATCGTCGACCTCGTTTAACGCCTCTTCCCCGCGTTTGCTGGATGCTTTTGGCGTCGACGCGGGGTGGACGCCTCCAAAGACTAAGTGCGAAAGAAGAAATAGGCGACAGGGTGACATGCGGATGCGCCACTAGTTGTGTGGCTTGTGTCTCGAATTCATCCATGTCTCAGCGAGAAATGCGGCGAAATTGTTGAAGTGACACGATGGGATGAGCACAACTGCCAAATGTTGGGGATGCTTAAATGAGAAATCACAATATGCTCTCTCCATTCTTCTTTTGCGCCTCTCTCTCTCTCTTTCGTCATCTCAGTCATGCATCGGTATTCATTCCCCCATGAGCCCGTCGCTCATTCCGACGCCATCGTCGGCGGTACTGGCAAATATCGATTCACAGTGCTGGCCGAAGGCCTACTACGCTACGAATGGGCTGAAGATCATCAATTCGAGGACCGGGCATCAGTGTTGGCAATCAACAGATGCTTGCCAGTTCCTGAATTTCGAGTGAAAGACGACGAAGATACCATTCAGATCATCACCTCCCGATTCCACCTCACCTATAACAAGCGGAACTTCTCCGCAAGTGGTCTTATTGCCTCGGTCAAAGGTCACTTCGGACCTCATTCCAGCGTCTGGCGATATGGAGCCCCAGCATCGAATCTTGGTGGCACAGCTCGCACACTGGACGAGATTGATGGGCGCACAGCCCTTGAGAACGGTGTCATCTCCAGGCAGGGCTTTGCAACCTTAGATGACTCCAAATCGATGCTCTTTGATGAGAACCAATGGGTGACCACACGGCAGCCAGGCAACCGGGTAGATGGATACCTCTTTGCCTATGGACATGACTATCAACAAGCAATCCAGGCATTCTATCGTCTTTCCGGACCTCAGCCCCTTCTCCCTCGCTGGGCACTGGGCAACTGGTGGAGTCGATACCATGCATACACATCAGAGGAATATCTTGAACTAATAGGCAAATTCGAGGAGAACGAAATTCCACTTTCTGTTGCAGTCCTGGACATGGACTGGCACATTGTGGATGACCCTCGAATCAAAGAAGCCGGAGTGACAGGTTGGACGGGATACACCTGGAACAAAAACCTTTTCCCCGATCCAAAGGCCTTCATGGCAGCCCTCCATGAGAAGGGTCTACGCGTTGCTTTGAACGATCATCCTGCAGATGGTGTTCAAAGTTATGAAGAGCCCTACGAAGAGATGGCGGTCGCGCTAAATCACGACACATCGATGCGAGACCCTATTCCCTTTGATATCACCAACAAAGCCTTCGTTGATGCGTTCTTTGATGTCTTGCACCGGAAATTTGAAAAAGAAGGCCTTGACGTATGGTGGGTGGACTGGCAACAAGGAAAGCACTCTCGAATCCCAGGCATCGACCCTCTCTGGGTCTTGAACCATTACCACTTCCTGGACAGTGCACTTGACACCAAGCGGCCGCTGACTTTCTCACGGTATGCCGGACCCGGCAGCCATCGTTTACCCATTGGATTCAGTGGTGACAGCTGCATGACTTGGGATTCTCTCAAATTCCAGCCCGAGTTCACAGCCACTGCTTCAAACATTGGCTATGGCTGGTGGAGCCATGACATTGGGGGCCACTTTCACGGCGAAAGAAGCGAGGAAATGCTCATTCGCTGGGTCCAACTTGGTGCTTTCTCGCCCATCTTGCGACTGCATTCATCCAACAATGTCTTCAGCGTGAAAGAACCGTGGAACCTTTCAGAGCCATATCAATATGTGATGACAAGGTATCTCAACATTCGCCATCGACTGGTCCCATACCTGTACACGATGAACGCCCGCGCAGCGATTGAGGGCATTCCTTTAGTCCGGCCCATGTATTGGGCCTACCCCGAGCGGGAAGAAGCCTACAACGTTCCCAATCAGTATATGTTTGGCTCCGAGCTCATCATTGCTCCTGTCACTGCTCCCGTGGACGCAAGTTCTCGGAGATCGGAGGTCATCGCCTGGCTTCCTCCTGGTCGATTTGTGGACCTCTCCACTGGCATCGTGTATGATGGAAACCGCCGACTCCGACTTTATCGTTCCATCAAGAAATATCCAATCTTCGCACGGGAGGGTGCCATCATCCCAACAGATGGATCTCCAGTGCTTCGGAATGGCTGCGAGAACCCGCCTGTGATTGAGCTCATAGTGGTTGTTGGCGCCGATGGTCAATTGGAGCTCTTGGAAGATGATGGGAAAGGTCAATCAGTGGAACAAGTCAAGTTCCGTCACACTCCAATCTCCTTCCATCAAGACAGCCACAAGTTGGTCATCGGCCCCACACAAGGTTGTGGTCCTCCAAAATTACATACACGCCAGTGGAACGTACTCCTTGTCGGATACAAGCGACATGGACAAGTCCAAGTATCCATCAGTACGGGGAATGGCACCGGAGTCAGAACAGTCCAAGTTGAGGAAGGCAACGTGGTAAACAGACGTGGTCTTGTTCTTCACTTGGGGTCGTTCCCCAGCCATGCAGAGATCACTGTTCAACTCGAGAAAGATCCTGCACTTGATGTGCAAGATCCCGCAACTGACATCATCCAGTTCTTACGCGAGGCCCAGATGAACATGGATTGGAAGGATATTATCAACAGCATTGTTGACGGCTCCAAGCCCAAGCTGACGCAGATTAGCGAGTTGCATGCTCTTCCTATTCCTCATCATTTGTTATCTCCTATCTATGAGATACTCATGGCGGACAATCGTTTTTGTGATCCCCGCGAAAACTAGGAAATGGACCGAATGGCTGACATTGGCAAATGAATTTGAAACCTTGATACCTTTCAAAGGCCGAGATTGCGCCGGTAAATTAGTCATATTGCTCTTTCCCAGGATTCATCTATTAAACAGGAGCGCAACACGAGATATCAGTTCTTCCGAATGCGCTTGTGAAAAGAAACATATTACACTACTGAGTTTGGAATCCCGTAAACACATGTAGACCCACACCCAACACATTCCCGAGGTATACCCAAGTGGACACAAATAAATGAACCCGAAATTTAAATTTCTCGGTCAAATGTGGAGATTACTCCCCAAACTGTTCGGTCCAGACCAAACACCCAAAATAAAGATAAAGTGTTCTAGAAAAACAGTTCGGGAGATGTCTTAGCCTCCCTCGGTAAACAGTAAACACCGGTCCAGATCGACCCGATCCTGGCCTCGGCTCGAAAACAATCAAGAAAGATGCCCCCGAAGTATCTCACCAGAACCCACGCGTCAATTCAACACGTGCGAGGAAGTACAACCCTCCATGAACCGAACTGTGATTACCAACCCATCCCACCATGACATAACCAAAGGTGTGGTGGCACAGCAGAAAGTCCTCGCACGAAATTAAAACCAACGCCTAAAAGGCCGAAACAGACTCAGACACCAAAGGATGCGAGCGGGTAGTGGAAACGGCTATTTAAACCCTGCATCTCATGCATGGGCATATGTGTGAGTAACAGTATGATTATTCTAGAAGCCACAATATCCAGAGTAGCGGAGTGTGAGCACGGCAAACCTTCTCTTTTCGATCAGTTCCCGGGAAAGCGGCAAATTTATCCCATTCCAAGTGGACATGGGAGTTATCTCGCCGCCAGTTGCCCCTTCCCCACGAGGGCTGCGGGAATAATCCAAATTCCGAGTTCTAGGACTCCTTACTGGTTTAGGTGCGATTAACCACCGGTTCATTTATGATCGACAAGGTGTACGGCGTACATACAAAGGAGCAAAACGCGATAGAACCAAGCAACCATAACCCCAAGCAAAACTCGATGTTGGGTCATCCCGCGGCCAGAATGCTGATGTTACTCCTTTTTATTATCCGATGGTCCGAGGAAATACATGTACAATGGGCAATACCTGATAGGCGGAGAGGCGGAGATGGAGGCGGAGACGTGAGTGATGGGGATTGTATACATACCCACCAACCATCTATATCCATCACCCGCCCATGCCGATTTGTATACCATTTCGCCACTTCTCACAACACCGGCGGAAATCCCACTGGTTTAGGTGGAAGTGAGAATCCCACTGATATTCCGATTCGAATCCAATTCTGTATGCTTGATCATCCGGCTCCCCCCATACCCCAAACACCGACCCGCAACCCCGACCCGATCTCACGGTTGCATCCAAATCCAAGATGACCAGTAACAGTAACTTACAAACTGCAAGGCAACCCATAGCACAGGGATGCAAGTATAAATTCATATATCCAATGAAACACTGTAATAAGAAGTAATGAAACAACAGCCTCATTTCATGAATCCACTCCTCTTCAACCAGACCCCTTCAGCCGTCTAGGCTGAACGGGTGAATGGACGACGCGAGGCGCGCCTACGGGTATACATGCGGTATACGATTATTCACACCGGTGGTGGGGGTGGGGGTGTCGACGCGAGTCGGGCAAGGCTGACGATTATTGATTATCGATGATCGCCCGGCTATGGAATTTGCTATTTTGGGTAGGTGACGGGGGTTTCAGATGACATGTTTTTTGTCGGCTTTTTTTACTGGATGGCGGGGCGCTGGTGGTGGATTTGAACTGGGGTGTGTGTGATGTAGTTGTAGATGTACTTGTGCAACAGGGACAAGGAGGGCTATGCAGAGGCTGAGAAAGCCACGAGGTGTTCTGGACTGGGATTATTGGATTATTGAATATTTGGGTGTGCAAAAGGGTTTGGATTTCATTTTATTTCTACCTTTGTCGTGATGGTTACTTTTACTTGATTTACAGGTTTGGATATGAAATAAAATATCAGGATAAAAAGTGGCTTAGTTGGAGGCTAACTAAAGTACCATGACTGCCCGACAGGCAGCACCGCAAGATGAAGATGAAGATGTGATAAGTGACGGACTGGATCGCCTGATGAAGGCGCTCCCAGCGGGAATTTTGGAAAAACAACCATGAGATAAAGCAAAACAAATCAATGTAGCCAACATATGGCGAAAGTCGGGACGAAAATGGATAGGAAAGTTACAAGACGGGGGGGTATCTGAACGAGGCGCTCGGAATAACAGGAGAAAAACAAAAGGCTAAAGGAAACACCGGGAACATGCGAGGACAGGGTATGATCAAATGACAAAAGGGAAAGCGTGAGAAGTGAGTCAGAGTGAAGCAGCGGTGTGAGGTGGTGAAGGAGGCCAGTGTGAAGAAGCGCGTACAGCGAGTTATTAGGTAAGCGCGGGGGGGTTCGGGGTCCGATAACGCAGGCCCGAGGCCTGCGTCAATGGCGCTGATCTGCGCTCAGCAGGTCGGAGATATGCGATTTGCTGATCGGGTGGTTTGGTGGTGGTGGGTGGGTGAGGGTGGCCGAGGTTGAGGTGGAGACATTAAAATATTGGTGATATATGACAATATAGTGAAGAGAAGGTGTCAAGCAGCGCCAGCACTGCGGTCCAAGGCGAGCTTAGGCAGACAAGACCTTGGAAGCCGAGTGAGCGCGTCGCTTAGGGCTGTGAACTGCCCGACGCTTCTTGCGCTTTGAGTTATCGCGCTCGTTGACATTCACTGTCGGAGTCACAGTCACCTTGGCCAAGCGCAATGCGTGTGTTGCGCGAGCATGGGCATCGACGCGAGCAAGGAAGTTGGCGCGAGCCTCTTCTTCGGCAGCTGCGGCGCGAATGCGTTGGAGTTGTTGCTCCAGGGTGATAGAATGGGCGAGCTCGGCATCCATGTTGGTAGCCTCTTCCACCGCTTGCTCAGTGCCGGCGTTTTCAGGCATCCAGAGCAGGTCATCGTCAGTGAGATAGGAGCTTGCATTAGAGTCTGTAGAGCCGTTGCTGGAGAGAGAGGGTCGGTTTGGCCAGGATGGGAAGGCGTAGGCGGCGCCCATCTCACTGGAGAATGAAGACTTGCGTGGGTGAATGTCGAGCAGAGAGTCGCATGGTGTTGGTGGAGGAGCAAATGGACTTGACATGGGAGATGACTCGAAAGAGCTGCCACTCCAATTGAAAGTGACCTGTGCGGGATCCGTGCTGGCAATAGGTGCCGCGGCCTTTGGTAGCGACATGTCGCGAAGGCGAGTTTGGATGGGAATCATGGTGAGTTGAGTGGAGAGTGAGTAGAGAGTGATGGTTAGGTGAGAGATGGACCAAAGGGCCCTAGGTATGAAACCACTATAAAGCTGAGGTTGAAGTTGATATGAAAGTGAAGAAGAAGAGAAACCCGAGGGTGGAGCGTATTCAAGTATCAAAGCCGGGGAAGACTTCTAGGCCTTCGAGACAAAATAATCAATAAATAATTCCCGTTTAGGATAAATTAAATGTATAAAAAAATAATAAATAAATAAATAAAAATGAGGCGGAAGCGGCTTCCGGAGTCCAAAGGCCGATCAATCAGATCGCCATTTTCCAGATGTATCAGCTTTGTGCTCAATACTCGCGGGGAACATCGGATGGCTGCCTCTATTTGACATATTTTCTGACACAGAACTCAGCCATATTTGACATTCATTCTATTCGAAATACGAGAACCTGGGGTAGAGAACCTTTGATACGTTTCTGCCCCTTACGGAGGTACCCCGAAAGGGCAGCTCAAGGTCCCGGGGATCAAAATCAGATTGTTTTGCGGTGTAAAGGAAAATAGTCAGTTCCGATGACGATCCTCCAATCAAGCCCTAGATTCACCGCTCAGTGAAGAAGTATACATGCATATCGAGGCCGGTCTAAACTTGAATTTTACCCTTGATTACGCCTAAACGGCGTCTGGCGGTCAAGTTGGGTTTATCACAACATGTCAACACGTCAACACCGTTCTTTGTGACTGTTGGAACTATTGTTTGGACTAGGAGTTTTAGGCAGAGAAATGAGACGGGCTGTCAGGCCCTAAAGGATCAGGAAGGAGTTCGTTCACTCCACCGGGGACCTAGATCTTCAGAACTACTCTCTAACAAAATGAAAGAAAACGGCAAACTAACGGTTTCCGCCGCCTCGGAAGTTCCCCCGTTCCCCCGTCTCCGCGGGAGTTGTCGGGTAAATACAGTCCCCCATCTCAAACCGAGTCTATATGCCGGCAACAAACCGATCGTTCTAAAGGAATTCTTGAATCCCAGTCAAAGGAGGATTACGGGAAAAATCTTCTAAGGGGACCCTCTAATTTTCGCACAAATCAGCGATGTCCACTCTCTAGACCGTCGAACTGTGGTCTATGGGTCTGGATCAGGCCTAGACTCAGAACAAACACTCAAAACAAAGACATTCCCCATCTTCGTTTCTTTAGTTCTCACCCCATAACTGTATATCACTTCCTTTCATCTTTTGCATATGACTTGCTTCCGGCCTGCAACGCACTTCCCCCGACAAGCTAAGTGGAGTCCAAACCCGCCACCCTGGGTTTTCCCCCTTTTAAAGCCCAAAGATCGACGCCTCTATGCATCATATAAGGGATGAGGATTGGTACCCAATCACTTTTCATTTTACACTCGACGCATCAACTGCACACAGGAATGTGAAATACTCGTGATTCCGTACGCCGCCTACGTTTTTCTCCATAATTGATGCATCCGCGCCCCGGCCCGTCGGGGAACCAGGAAAGGGGTCTTGTGGAGATGGATGAGGCAGGTGAACATCTACGGTACTGTAGTCTATCTCTCACCTGTTGATCTAGCCAGACTTGACAGCTCCCTTTTGTACTTCTGTACGCTGGAATTAGTAATCCCCACTACTTAATTCGAGGCGACAGGTATACTGTCACTTCTGTAGCTTCAAAAGCTGGATGGGGATCGGGCCGTCCTCGATCGATCAAACGCGTCTACGTAACTCGCGCGGAACCCTCGACCCCCTTTCCGGTCCCAGGTACTCGGTGTTTCAATTTGCAACGCGTGCTCTTCCCTTGGATCCTGCCCCCTGGGTCAGTGGGGAACGGGATATTATCATCGTTCCGCGGTGGTGGGTTCGGTGGGACCTTTGCACCGGGAGAGGAAGGTCAATTTCCGGTTGTATATAGATTGGGCACAAAGGGTGTTATTGTTATTGTTTTGGGAGCGAGGGGGGTGGTGTTTTGTTTTACCGAAGTTGGGTTCTTTGGATCGTGCTCGATGGACTAGAGTTGACAATCGGTAAGTCACTGTAGCAAATAATGTACCGCAGTGAAGAATGCTTGCCTGGTTTGGTTTTTATTTCAGTCTTAGTTTGGCCTGCTCCGACTGGCTTCTGGACTTTGGTCTTTGGTGGGAGCTCGGATCCTCACTTTCCAGCCATTCCAGGGGTTCCCTGCATCTGCAGCTGCAGCTCTCATGCAAGATCTCTGGACTAAAATCGCAAGGACACAGACGGTCGGGTCTGCAGGATCGGAAGGGGGGTGGGTGTTCAATATTGAATAGATTGCTGGATACGGCATATTTGATCTTTGATAGTTGGATGGTTACCGCCACGACCAAGGCGTAGCCTGTGCAGATGTAGATTTCGATGGACCTATAGCATGAATGTGATCAAATACAACCCGACGTACCATCTCCACTTGATTGCCACAATCGATAATCTCGATCAGATGCATTCAGCTGGATTGTGCAGTGTACATGTAGGTAAGTAGGCTCCATTCGAGCGAAACATACATATATTCTCCCCATGGGGAGGAAAAGAATGGACAATCAGCCCCACCGAAGATCAAAGCTGAGGAATGTGAGCCAACCCAGAGACATACAGCAAGAACATGACCGATGAACTCATATCTGCAATCTGCAGAATATGAAAGTTGCAGTTGCAGTGTGAGTAACCCAAACTCCCCCGGGCCCCCCGGGGGGGGGCCATCCGCAGCCTCGGCTGCATCGATCGACAAGGGTGTGGTGACAGTGGCGGAGGCTGTTCACGTTCAGTGCACCGAAGACGTGTCTACGAGATTTGAATGGCTGATTGATGTGTGCTTCCCTTTGGCGTATATCACCCCCCTGATTCACCGCGAAGATGGCGCGGATGACACTGTCGTAAGCCGCTTGACTCATGTCTTGTGAAGGGCTCAACCGGGGGTGCTTATTGGGTGTGCTTGGTTGTGTCCACTTTCCTCTGCTTACTTGTGGTGGTTTGGTGTTTGGTGGGAGCTCACTTCCGGGGGTAGATGCGTAGACCGATATTTGCGATCGGGGAATATGCAGCTATGTTTGGTGTTTGGGGCTTGAATGGGCGCTACAGTCCTGTGCATGTACTTTCAACATTGTCGAGTAGATTTCCACGTAGGGTCCCATCGTGCCAAACCATCACACTCTTGTTCGAGAATGCTTCCTCACCGTCTCTGCCTGTGTGAAGCCGGCATGTGGATGTAGCAGGCCGGTCCCTGTTGGCAATGTAGCGTAGGATGCGATGCGTCTTCGCGGTGATTCTTGGAGTTGTCCAGCTGAGCCTAGTTGGTGATATATTTGTCCTCTTTGGTTGATGTATAGAGAGTCTAGATGTCCCCTCCCGAAGTCCAGAGTATACATCTAAAGACGGGCGCTAGAACCCTTCGGTCGCAGTTGATGTTTCAATCTGATCTGGCCAGAAACATCCGTGCTCTGTGTGTCTACCTTGTAGAAACTATCATGTTTGATTTGAAAGAGCACCATCCTAGGTGCATAGGCAGGGAAGATCGTATTCCTGACTAGAGAACAATGTCCGAACGGTTATAACTGTCATGCAATAGCCATACTAGTCAATGACATGGGTGGACGCGGACTGATTGATTTGCATCCCCGATATGCGGTCGGATAAATGGCAACTGGCGGTGAATTGCGATTCCTTCCTATTTCATCCAAAGCAGGAATTGGCTTGCGCTTGGATGTTTGCGAGATGAGATGGCTTGAAGTCGGTGTCCGTTGGCGGGTTTGCCTCTGGTCTAGATGGGTCCTTCTATCTTCGCTATTTTCCTAGTGTCGGCAAAGCCCGTGGCAAGTTTCTTGAAGATAACAGTTGTTTGTGACGCGATGTATATTTGGTGTCCGCAACCGCCACTCAGCAGTCCTATAATCTCGAATCACAAGCTTCCTGCTGTAATATCAGTATGCAGAACACCACTGGCCGAACATAACTGGCAGAACACTACCTCGTTATATATTCTTGACAGTAAACGTCTTCGAGAATGCGACAGGAATGCTGAGACGGGAGCGGGGTATAAAACGCTTATCGCGAACTAAGCTCAATATTCCTTCATTTCCGAACACTAACGCGTCGCCTTATCAGTTCCCCCGCCCTAGAAGAAACACTGAGTAGCAATAAAGTCCATGTACTCTGCTAGATTTGTTTGTAGAAGATCCTTACGAATTGCGCGCGAAGAAAAAGCATGGCCTCCAAACCCCCGGCCACTGAGATCAAACCCGCAATCATTGATGGCGAGGACATAGATGAAGGCCAAATTGTCACGGCCGAAGATGATACTACCAAGCGCGGAGATGACAATGAGAATATTGAATATGACTATGAATCGAATCGATCGCCATTTCCTGAGGGTAGGTTTCAATTTCCCTGTTCGATCATTGATCTATATATCTCAACCCTAGTAACATCACCCAAGTTAGGGCTGTTGTCCCCGAAACAGATGACCCAGGGTTACCAGTGAACACACTTCGAATGTGGCTACTGGGAATGTTCTTCACGATCCTCGGCTCTGGAATCAACCAATTCTTCTCACTGCGCTATCCAAGCGTCCATATCGTCTCCCTAGTGGCAGAGCTACTAGCCTACCCATGCGGCGTCTTCCTCGCAAAGACCCTCCCAACAACCCCATTCAAACTGGGCCCATTAGGGACATTCACTCTAAACCCAGATCGATCATTCAACATCAAAGAGCACACAGTGATCGTGATAATGAGCAACGTCTCCTTCGGCTACGGGAGCGCAGACGCAACAAACATAATCCAAGCCTCAAGCAAATCATTCTACAACTTCGGCCTGAAAGCCGGCTTCGACGTCCTGATCGTCCTCTGCGCCCAACTCCTCGGTTTTGGAGTTGCCGGACTCGCAGCACCATGGCTAGTAGAACCAGCAAGCATAATCTGGCCAGGCGTGCTGTCAAACTGCGCAATGCTCGAAACCTTGCATTCACGCGCAAACCATATAGCAGACGGATGGCGAATCTCCCGACTTCGCTTCTTTCTCTATGTCACAGCGGCCGGCTTTATCTGGTATTTTTTTCCAGGATTGATCTTCACAGCCCTCAGCTACTTCACCTGGGTCTGCTGGATCGCACCCAAGAATGTAATCGTCAACCAGCTCTTCGGCATGCAAACCGGTCTGGGATTGAGTCCGATTACCTTTGACTGGAGCCAGATCGCATACAATACAAACCCGCTCCTGTCACCATCTTGGGCGGCTTTGAACGTCTTCTTCGGATTCGCTTTCTTCTACTGGATCGTCGTGCCGGCGCTTTACTATACGAACGTCTGGTTCACGGCATACCTCCCTCTGATGACGAGTGATGTATACGACAATACAGGTGCAGTTTACGATACGGCGCGAGTTATCGCAGCCGATAATAGTCTCAATGTCGACGCGTATCGACAATATTCACCCCCATTCTTAGGCGCTACCTTTGCATTCGTGTACGGGCTTTCCTTCGCAGCGATTACGTCTGTCCTCACTCACATTGCATTTTGGCATAAGAAAGATCTCTGGGCTGCCCTGAAAGGCCGAAACAGACTAGATATTCACGCGCGTCTGGTTCGCGCCTCATACAGGCAAACACCGTGGTATTGGTACGCGGGCATCATAGTCGTTATAACGGCCATCGCCATCGCCATCGTTGAAGTCTACCATACCAATTTACCCGTCTACGGTGTCTTTCTTGCACTTGTCATTCCAGTCGTGTATATGGTCCCCTGTGGCATCGTTCAAGGCATAACAAACGTCGACGCAAACCAGCTGAATGTCCTATCCGAGTTTATCGGTGGATACCTATTCGAAGGCCGTCCACTCGCAAACATGATTTTCAAGATCCTTTCCACAGACGTCGTTGGACAGGGTGTTTACTTCGCTATGGATATGAAGCTGGCGCATTACATGAAAGTTCCGCCTCGGACTACCTTTGTCGCGCAGGGTGCTGCTACCATTCTTGGTGCTCTTACTCAGACGGGGGTTACGCTTTGGTCGCTTTCTAATATATCTGGGATTTGTGAGTCGGACCAGTCGGATGGCTTTTCGTGTCCGAATGGTCGTACTGTTTATTCATCCTCTGTCATTTGGGGTCTTGTTGGTCCGCGGAGGTTGTATTCTGCCGGCAAGATTTATTCGTCTTTGTTACATTTCTTTTGGATTGGGGCTATTACGCCGATTGTAACTTGGGCGTTGTATAAGTATACGCGTCGTGAGTTCTTCAAGTGGATTAATTGGCCGTTGATCTTTGTGGGGACTTGGAATGTTCCTCCTGGTATGTGGCAGCGCTTTTTGTCTTTTGCATTGTTGCTAACTGAATACTTAACTTTAGCCACCGGTATCAACTATTCCAGTTGGGCGCTCGTTAACTTCTTATTCAATCATGTCTTCCGTCGGAGGTACTTTGCCTGGTGGACGAAGTATAACTATATCTTGGCGGCCGCTCTTGACACGGGCCTTGCTCTGAGTGGTATAGTCATTTTCTTCTGCATTTCATACCCTGGTGCTACATTCCCATCTTGGTGGGGAAATACGGTATATCTCAATACTGCCGATGGCGAGGGCGTGGCTTACATGCCCATGCCTGAGGTGGGATACTTTGGACCTGCCAATGGCACATGGAGCTAAAGTTGAGACCTCTTTTTCCCTTGTTTTGGCTCCTTCTACGGTGGCAAGTGCCAAGATTGGAGGCTGGATTCCTGCGGGCAGTCCGTACTCCTTAGGGGTCCAAGTATTGAGACACCCTACTGTACAACAAGTCATTAGTCCAAATGAGAATTGTGTACAACTTGGAAGAGATGAAGGCAGCAGTAGATGTAGTAAATGAAATGGTTTTTTTTTTCTATTGAATCCAATAGTGCATTTAGGCACTCTTGTTGTTGATCTTGAGGAGCTCAACCTCGCTGTAAGATAGTTAGCCTCTCGAAAGGGCGTGATGGAAATAATGAAACTTACAAGATGAGAGTAGAGTTAGCAGGAATCTTGCCAGAGGCCCTGTGTAAAAAAGAATGTTAGCACATCACTGGACAGATACCCAGGCACACAGAAACAATGGCCAGATATCATGTGTTCACCTACTTGTCACCGTAGCCATAGTCACTGCAAAAGAAATGTCAGTAATTGCCTAGTTCACCATCCAATAAAGCATGCACTCACGGGGAAATAGTCAGAGTGGACTTCTCGCCCAGGGTCATCTGCATAACACCCTCATCCCAGCCTACAGGTACACAGACAAAATCAGCAATTGATTCTGAATGCAAGGCAGCAAGCCCCAAACCAATTCCAAGTATAATCTGATCGGAACAGAAAAAGCAACGAAGGAAAAAAAAAATGATTACCCTTAATGACCTGTCCGACACCAATCTGGACATTCAGAGCGCCACGACCAGGGGATCGGGAGCTATCAAATCTGCAGATATGGATTAGTATTTCAAATAAACAAGACAATAAGCCTAGTAGATGTGGCGCGTGATGGTCAGCTTACTGCTTGCCCTGGAAGCCCTTGTTGGACTTCTTAGCATCGTAGAGCCAGCCAGTGTAGTGAATGGAGACCTTGTCGCCTGATGCAGGCGAGTCGGAGCCATTGCCGCGGGTAAGAATCTTTCGCTCGACGCCCATTTTGAAGTCTGTTGTTGTTGAGAAGAGGAAAGTCGAGGGGCGATTATTTTTCAGGTGGGGAAGTGGCGGATGTGGCTAGCCCGCGCCGTACTGAAGATGCACTTTATGGAACACCGCAGCTTTACAGTAGTATGTTGGCATATATCGGTAGCTACATTGAGAAGTCTTTTCAAGCTTACAGGGTGAACATTTACTAGTAAAAGTTTCGATGTTAGTGGGTATGATCTATAGCTATGAATCCAGATGAAGCCGGAGATAAACCATCATCAGGGCCACTGTATAAAGTACTTAGAAAGACGACGAAAACGAAGAACGCGAAGAAGATGAATCCGAACAAGAAGCACAACACGTCGGAACGAGAGGCATAGCAGAACAAGGTCGAAGAACCCACCTCCGATCAACCCCAACGCCATGAATAGGAATAAAAGAATGATTAACCTTCTTCCTCCCCATCTCAACAGTGCAATCCCCAAACACTCGCTCAAGCCGACGATCCAATTTGCTCTCTTTATGGATTCGATCCTCGCCCTGGAACAGCTTTTGCCGCCTCTCCGATACAATCACCAAATCACAATCAAAGTCATTCAAATACATCGACGCAACTTCCAACCGAAGACTGTCCCAGTCGATATTATCTGGGATCCATTCTTGAACTGGCTGTAGTGTACTAGGCTCATAAACCCATTTTGGCGCCCAGATCTCGAAATTAAGTGGCATTCGAATCCGAGATCGTCCACTCCATAGTATCCATTTGTTGCGCGTTGGGACTAGAGTACTCCGTCCTTGCAGCAGAGTCAAAATATGACCCATGCGGAGAAACTCGCTGTCAGTATTGACATTCAATTTCGTGAACTCCGAGTCTGATCGTCTGATAATTTCCAGAACTCCAATTGATGAAGTTGGTGGTTGTTGCAGCAGCATCTGTTTCCAGCTTGCGTCTTTTCGCAAGTACGCTTTTGCTTTCTGGCGGTCGCAATCGCGCATTGGAAATCTGCTTACGTCGACTGCTTTTGATTCTGAGTTTTCTTGTTGCTTGAGGAAGAACTGGGCCCAGAGGATTTCTTCTAGGAGGGGATTGCGTTGGCGTTGGGTGTTTTCAGTGGTTTTGGTTTTGGTTGATTTGAAGAAGAGGGCCTCTTGGAGCTTGACTGAGGACTTTATCATGTTGTTCCATGTTTGACATACCCGCTGGCCAGATGTTAGGAGTGTTCGTATGTCTGTATGTAGAAGGATGTTTTCTAGAAGTTCATTGATGAGGAAGATGTCGTGTGGTTGGTGTCGTGAAGGGCTTGTTATAGACATTGTCAAATGATAGTGAGAGCTTGAATAATGTGCTGTTTCTGTGATCAGAAGTGTGACCCCAAGTCTTTTAAATAATGGGATGATGGGGACTTACTTACGTTGATCAGATAGCAAGTGAGGACCCTGGTGCTGGAGCTTGGGTGGATCTATAGAGAGTCGTGCGCTGCACACCTGGACGGGAACAACACAATCAAACGGGCAATAAGGCAGAATTTGTAAAAGTCTAGATAAGAAAAGAAATATAAAGGTTGAACACAGCTTTCAAATCCAGCCTTGGAGAATGAGAACCTCCGAGCAGTCTTATGCTACGGTGGCTGACCACAAGGTACTTAGTGAGGTGATTTCCGGCTATGATGCACCTGGGTTTGTTTCAACAAGGTACCACTATGTCTAGATGCGGGGACTAATCTCCAAATCCTAAGATTGGAGTGATGTCTTCATATTGCTAAGAAAGTAGCCCCCCTAGCTTCGCGTTAGTGACAGAATCACGATGTCCACGGACCGTCGAACTGGGGAACTTTTTTCGATGGTATCCCAAAAGGTATACATAAATATGAAAGAGGACTACAAAGAAATAGTTGAGCCCGATTCATAATTCCAGCAAATTTAGTACAGATGAGATAAGTAGAAATGAAATATTGAAATCAATTATCTCCTGGAAGAGAGAGATCCATAAAAGTACATGCACTCATACAAATGCTCCTAGACAGTGGAGTGAGAAGATCAACGCCGCAAATCGAAATTGCTACCGGGTATCATGATGCAGTGGTCAGCTATATAGCACGACTATGCTGGTAAAGCAGGAAAACAAGAGATTGGAATACAATAGGGCAGGGCATCATGCAGTGATCATCGAAGGCGAGTCAAGTTCTTCTGTGGGCGTTTGATCGCCTGAAGGCTTTAGAGGGATGTCAACAGACATCAGATCCTCCGTTGGAAGTGAGACACTTGTCGCGCGAGAAGTGCAAGATCCGAAATCGGTGACGGTGGATGGGGCAGAGAAGTCTTCGGACATGGTGTAGTTCGAAATTGATTCAGCATTCTCAAATTGAACGGATTCAGCGGTCTCGCACGGGACATTCTTTGTGGTGTAAGTCTGAGAAGGTTGGACTGGGAGAGAATCATCCATGGCCTCGTAGAAGAGCATGAAGGCACCACCTTGGGACATAACATGGCCTTCGCTGACCATCGTCACATCGCCGTCGCTTAGTTGGTACCAACGCTCGGGCTTTTCTTGGTCACCGTCAGATTGAAGAATGTGGTCCGGGACGGGATCTGGAAAATCCAACGTCGAGTATTTGCGGTAACAGATATAGTGACCATTCTCGTGACGGCCGTAGTGTGTGACAATAGCCCGGAGTATGTATCGTCGACTGGGAACTTGAACAGCCTCGCCGGGTTGTGGAAGCATCGACTTGGAAGGGTTGGTTTCCCATCGCTCAGGGGCCTCGTCAGCCTTATCAGGCGATTGAGTACCGAGACACCAGTCATTCAAGTCGATTATTTGAGGAAATCTGACTGCAGCGTGGTTCTTTGTCAACATGCCAGTGTTTTCGTCGAAGAGACTGCGGTTGATGTGAACAGTTAGACATTGAGGGGACCGGGCGATAACCGCCTGCCGGGACTTGGTCGTCGAGACTCGGTTCTTTGCGGGGATGCGGCAATCCTTCAATGTGGTATCGCTAATATTATTGCCCTCTAGCGCTGCTTTGACAGCCTGAAGACGCGATAGGGTATCGGCTTTCAATGCATCGGCAAATTGAGACTTCTTGGCGTTAGGCGATTGCATTTCGCCCTCTTCAAATCCAGCAAACATTTCGGAAAGCCTCTGATGATACTGCAGTAATGTGCACTTTGCGCATTCCACACCATCGATGGGCTCAAGCGTCATATATTGGCCAAGACAATCCACAAGATCGTATTCAAACTTTGGCCCAAGAGGAACTGTGAGGCAATTGAACGGAATCAAAGAAAGGCCCTCCGTCCATCCACATTCCATGCACCCAACCCGTTGAGCAAGTAGGCCTTCGAGAGGATTCCGACATGATGCCTTACTGCTTGTCCAGGCTGAGTCGGATTCCTCAGAAGTAGACATTTCGGGACTGTTGTCGCGCACTATATTTTCCTCCCGACCCGCGATTTTCAACCCCATGTTCGATGTCGCTCCTTGTGATCCAAGCTGAACCTCCAGGTCTATTTGGTCCACTAGCTTGGAAAAGTACTCTTGTGCATCCTGCTGTTGCCAACTGCTCATAGACTTGAGGTCTCCTGGGATCCACAGCTTCGTTCCGTTGTTCGAAGGGTTATTTAAACATGCGATGATATCGCTCAACGCCTCATGCTTCGAAAGATGAACCTTGTCTGAGAGGGATTTGATATTGTTTTCGAGAAATGTCGCAAGGGATTCCAGTGATGCCAGACCCTGGATAATACTATTCTGATAGCAGGAGTTGTCCCAGTTCCCAAGTCCCGGAGGCTTGGCCTCCTTTGTGTTTCCGAGCAAAGCGTTGCCGAGGCCGGTCAGGGAATGGCGGCGAAGAGAGAAAGCGAGATGGGAGGTATCTATGCCGAAGATCCGTTGCATTGCGGCGTTCTTCTGCTCGAGCGACAACAGGGAAGAGTCCGTGGGAGTAGTTGATTCGGGGTCGGGCGTGCGAGGGTCCAATGCGACAACGAGCCTGGACGGAGTGAGGTAAACCAGGCACTTCCAGGCAAGTCGGAGGACCGATACGGGGGCGAATCCGAAGTAGTCGAGAAGTAAATAAAAGGAAACAAAAGCGATCAAACCAGTTGCTAGCGCTTGGGTGTTTTGAAGCGCTGCGAGAGCGGTCTCATAGTGGCTGATTTTGGTTGCGTAATGGACGGGGCGGTTGAGAAAGATAGTAGAATGCTCGTGGCGAGGGTTCATTGTTGTATAAACCAGATGTTCTGCCACCGCCAGTATAAAGCTGGGTGAGCATGAGTGGGAGATACTGAAGAAGGGTCATCGCGTGCGTGAAAAGCAAGCTGGTACATGTATACCGAGTTGCGCGGCTAGTAGTTGTGGCCCGCCGTAAACTTTTTTTATCGATAGCGGGCTCCCCACGCAACTGATAATTTTCCAAAACAACCATGGCGAAGAGCAGACGTAAGTTACTAGGCCGATTTCTTGGGTTTCGAGCCGTCTAACATCTCTTTATAGAACAGTCAACACGTTCGCGTGCCGCACGCCGTGCAGCTTCACCCAGTCTCGACTTGGATAAGTCTGTGACCTCGCTGCCTCGTGCGGAATCTCCTGCTGCTCAGCGGCCCTCCGTTCTGACCGATCGTCGCAATTCTGGCATCCAGAAGAAGAACAAGAATGACAAGAAGCTTTCCAGGGCTCAGCGGTTAAGGCAACAAAAGGGCATGGACCGCGCAGAGGCAGTCCTGGACCAAATGGAAATTAAGAAGGCTAAGAGTTTGGCTCGCGGAAAGACCGTCAATACTAGAAGGGTATGTATTACATTATCTCGTTTCTGCCTACATTTGCTCACAATGTCTAGGCTGATTGGGAAGATACCAACCGCAGTGCCACTGCGTTCACCGCTCTCCAGCAACAAGAGAACGATGATGAAGACGAGGCTGAAGAAGGCGATGAGGCTATGGCCGAGGATACCGCACCACCTGCTAAGGCCGTTGCCAGTACAAATGTGTTTCAGATGACAGGAGAAGCCTCCGCACCCGTCACAGACGACTTTGACGAGATTACCTGAACATCGTCAGACCCAGGGCGGTACCAAGAGCAAGTTGAATATTCTCTGTGCTCATTTCCTCGGCCTAAGCTGGTTGATCATGCGCTCAATCTCAGTGGCTGCTGGACCAGAGGCTTTCGTTCGAAGCAGTTCCAAGGCATTGAGATCCTTGCTCTTTTGGGCCTCTTCGCCCGCCTTCACAATCATCCCGCATTTCATCCACATCTCGATTCGCTCCGCGGGCGGTAGGTGGGTGCACTTCGGGACGAAGACCGAAGCAAGCTTTGTGTTTCCGGCGCCCAGAACTTCGTTGTAAAAGGGCTGTGTTGTCAGCATTTGTCTAGGTAGTGGGATTTCGACTTTCTTACCTCCCACCCAATTGGGGACTTTTTCATCTTAGCGATTTCTTCCAGTTCACCCCAGTCGCGTTTGGCCACCAAAGCCCTCAATCTCAACCACCAAAATGTCTTTTCGGGCATTTTGAATTCACTCTGGATCTTCTGTGCTCTTTTGCTGTAACCACCTCGAACGAGTCTGTAGACCGTTTCGTTTAGACTAAGACCAACGAACTCACTATGATCAGCCAGGTCTTTATCCAGCACATCCTGGGCTTTCAACAGCTGGGAGGCTTCGGAGACCAATTTCTGATGTAGCACCACAGTTGGTTCCTTCGAATCTGATAGAAGGCGAGACGCCAGTTGAAGCTTTTCGGTTCGATGGGCCAAATCCGCATCCCGTAAGGCTTCTGTTAATAGAACATTTGCGCCGTCAATGGGTCGGTCATCTTGGTAGAAAAGATCTTTGAGTAATTCCACATCTTCACCGCGAGCAGCTGTCTCCACAAGCGCGGAGGCCATAGGACGAGTGTTGATCATGCGAAAGAAGCTCGCCAGAGGGAGCTTGCTTTTGAGATGCAGAAGCACGAAGTTGACTAGGTCATCATCGCCACTTTCAATAGCCTTGTCAAGAGCAAGTTCGTCTTCCTCCATGTTAAGAAGTAATGGAACTTGCTTGCCACCTCGTGGTTCATGGTTCAACAACTGGGTGGCTAGATGTGATCGACCTTCATCGTAAGCAGCCTGGGCGATAGCCTCGAAAGAGATTCCAGGCTTGTTTTCGAGCCTTTGGACAATGAGCTTGCAGACAGCCTCATCATCGACTGTCGAGACTTTGACTTTTTGGCTTGCCCAGTGGACATAAATCTTGTCAGCTGGAATCTGCAAGTACTCAGAAACTCGAATCGCGAGCAAGTAATCGTGTCGACTAATCAATCGTTCTATGAGGCCCTCCGGTGAAAGGCGCAGGTATTGCTCGTAAGACAGAGGTAAGCCAATCTTATAGTCTCTCAATGCTTTCAGAACTCGTAGCTTTTCTGTCATTTCCACGAACTCGTCACTGTTGTAGAGTTCGAGCACAGATTTTCCAAATGAGGCAGCTTTGAGAAGGCGCTTCTGCCAATAAGCATCGAATTCTTGACCTGCTGCTTTGATACAAGTGTCCACCGCAGATGGTAAACTTGATCGAATTCTTTGAATGTTCTCGTCGGCTTTGGGTGATTTCTTCTCAAGCTGATCTACTGAATCCAGCAGTACTGAAGCAGGGGAAGATGAGCCCAGACGGAATATCTCTTCAGTGACACCGGCAACCTTGTGTAGGAACTCGCATGTATCATTCGTGAGAAGACGAACTCCATCAAACTCAGGTATAACATGAACTCGGCCGTCATAATAGTATCTGATGTAATTAGACTTTGCAGCAACATCAAGCTATACAAGAGACTCACTTTGATGCGGCCCCGTTTGGTCCAACGAGATGAATTTCATCTTCCCATGCAAGAACCACTGCATCATCACCACACCAATTCACTGTGCTTGGGGGAACGCGAGACTTCGAGTCGTATTCGCTGAACTTGTTTTGGAAGTCATTACTAACAACCCATAATTTCCCTTCGGCAGTGAAGAGTGCGACAAATTGTCCAGTGGGAGACACACTGACGTGTTTGAAAGGACCGTCTTGCAGGATCTTGTCTTCTGCTTCTGTTGAGTCAACAGAGAAGACCGTCTTGTCGACAGCCAGGAGGACCTCGACGGAACGAGATAGAGTTTGTGCTGGTGGAATCAAGGCCCAAGATGATACCTCGCCTTCTGGGCAAGGTGCCAAGAGCCGTGGACGCGGTTCATCATATTTGGACACAGCGATCAACTGGTTATTAGAAAGTAATGCCACGAGGCCTGAGGCCCAGAACTGGCAAGCTCTCACGCCATATTCTTCGGCGCTCTTAACATAGTTAGCATTATACCTGAATAATAATTCTCGTGACTCACGTTTCCAAGCGAGAAAGAAGTAAACTCGCCGTCCAGGCCGAAGTAACGGCGTACGGTGCCATCCTCGGAGACAATCAGGAGCTCTTCCTTGTCGGACCAGCCTAATCCGCGGATAGTAGCTTGTTCCCACTATAGATGAGTTAGCATAGTCGCGCAAGGAGCAAATTTGTTTTAGCAAACATTAATGCGATTAATCGGCTGTCCAGAGGAGGAATAAATGTCGATCGTTGACCGAGAGGACCCAGCGTCGCGCAGCCTAAATGGCTTGCTTTCATCGCGATAGATTGCTAACAGATTCACGGTTAGTTCAAGACCGAATTCGAAGATTGCACTCCTACCAATAGCTCCGCCGTAAGGGGCGCCTACGGCGATGTAGTTCTCCAATTCCACGTCTTCCTCAAAGATGGCGTCATAGACGGCAATCTTGCGATAGAAGCTGTCTCCAATCTTCTCCCAGTTTGCGAGAGGATTGGAAGGCGCCATGGTGAAGGATTTTTCGCAGATGTCAGGCTTGATACCTCTCCCCGGTGTTGAGCTGTTGATGCTCGAGCGGGCGGGCATTCGGGGAAGCTATCAGACGCTAATCCCGATCAGGATCCTAGGCCTTGTTTGTCAGGCGTCAATATCCTCAAATGCCCACCCGTCGTTTCCAAGGCTCTTTCATCCGCATTTATTCTGCAGCATGGATGATTCAGGTCTCGATCAAATTGCTCGTCAATTATCTGACCTGGAAGTGGCACTTCTTTTGTGTCTTGTTGCTCGTGAACACTGTCTGATCGAGACCACCAGTCATTGTATTCATGACCTCGCCAAGGAACTTGCCTTGGTAAGTAGTAAACGTGTACAATGTCATACTATACGGCTAATTGGATCAGATTGCCACAAGTACTTTTAAGTATTCGTATTGCATTATCGAGTGCTCCTCGGCGACATCTATTGACGACATAATCAATGATGTTCTCACTCCTGATGCGCGTACACATCACCGCCCACCACGTCCCTGGCTGAGCACTGAACCAGTATGTCGACCTGACATGTTGTCAAGAGATTATAACCCAATACTAACAAAATCAGTCAAGCAAACGCTCGTCATACAAGAGCTTCGATGATCCCAGCAAGGCACCAGCACCTATTGCTCATCTTGCTAGCAGTAATGTCGTCAATATTGTGATCGCCAAAAACTTCAATATCGTCAGCGATGATATCCAAGTAAATCTTCTACAGGTATGAATTTTGAACTATGTGTCAGCAGACGCATATTGATGAGTGGCACAGTTGATGCGATCAAGGGAACTGGTCGTCGAGAATGGCACCCTTAATGCACCCGATGAATTCCTATTTATCCCTCTTGTATCTCGAGACTCCGATCAACTCCAACCACCTTTGAAGTTCCACCTGGTAAGCGGAATGCTTAAAGGTATATCTTCCTTATCTTCTGGCTAATCTCACCACAGAACGACAACCTGTTCATATCCCATTTCCATAGCCCAGAGTCCGGGTACACATATCTCGAAGAAAACGATTGGCTTTCAGATGGGCAACTTTCCGCTTCTTCTGTTATCCACAACTCAAATGGTCATGCAAAAAAAGGACCAGCTATCACTCAGAAAGTAAGTTCTATTCTCATTGTTTGATTCAAAAATACCGTGGACTGACCATGGGCACATGGAATCAGGTGATAGAACAGCTTCAAGAAACAAGCATGACGGTATCCACATGTGCAGAAGTCGTTCGATACATCCAAGACATAGTTGTCTTTTTACGGCTTAGCCGCGCTGTTGCCGGTGGTGTATCTGCCAAAGCCAACATCCAATTTATTCGATTTGCACAGTGAGTTGGAAGCCTAAAAGCATGCTTTCAATGAATACTCTCCCATGTTGACTCTTTGCTTCAGACTTCTAGCCCCTCTACATGGCATCGATTATCTAACCCCTTCAATCGTGGCCTTGGCCGCCAGGAAGATCTTCCGTCATCGCATTACCGTCACAGCCCCAGGCCAAGACCGCAGTCTACAGTATGGAAGTAATCTACATGCAGTGTCTCAGGTTCTGAACGATGTCACACCGGATTCAATCCTGGATGGTGTTCTGGCTCTGGAGCCACCGTTATGAGGATTGGAAAACTCGTTATCTTAATTTTGCAATGGATACCCAATAAATCTCGTTCAAATCCTGTTCCACATTGAGTACTGGTCAAGGCCCAGCCCATAAAGTCCGCTCCATCCACTCCGCGAATGTGCTAGCTTTAACGCCCAGATCCTCCCAGGACTTGTTATCCCTAGAATCCATAGTCCCATAACAAACCTTCTCATCAGGGGCAACAGAAATCCACTGCATCATCTGTCTAATATCCTCCTCATACCCCTTGCCAACAGTAGAAGCGACAGTCGCACCCCACTGGTCAAGTGTGATCGGATCATATACAGCCTCCCGACCAGTCTTTTCAGTAAAGATCTTTGCAAATTCTGCAAAGGTTAGCTTAGAACTGACGACTGGATATGTCTTTGATGCTGTCTTCTCCGGTCCGAGGGAGAATATTTCTGTTTTGTTAGCATTAATCCTTGTCACTTTCGTGTTTGGTTGGTCTTACTTGCGGCATATAAACCGATATCGTAGCTTGGATCTACCCAATCGGCGAGTTTGTTTCCTTCTATGGGTGCACAGAATCGGACAGTTCCGTTTTCTAGATTGTAGTTAGACCTGATGATCTTGTTTTTCCAAGCGTGGCTCTTTGGTCTTACCTTCCTGTCTGCAATATTGCGACCATTGCATATTGGTATAGAATAGTCCTAGATGGGCATCTATAAGTCACACTTTGCTGCAGATATTGTCATCTTTCCTATCACATACCAGGATGCAACGAAGTAACTGCCGGGAGCTCCCGTCTGGCCCAATGCTCAATTTTCGACTTATTGTCAAAGTGATAGACCTTGCTGAACTGGCCATTACTAGCCTCTGTCAGATTTGGCAAGCTGCTCATCACAAAATGCTGCACATTGCAAGCCTTAAAGTGGAAGTCAGATTGGTCTTCGCTGGTTTGTTTTAGGTAGGGGTAGTGCTATATACATACCTTAGCAGCCTCCAAAATATTACGACCAGCCTCAAGCTCATGGTCCATATCTTTCTCAGTCTCAATCTTCTGCCCGGGTAATCGATTATTGGTTACAGCGAAAACGCCATAGGAATTGTTAAATGCTTTGAACAAGGATCCCCTGTCGTAGACATTGGCTTCCACAAGTTCTAATCGATGATTGTTTGGGAACCTTGCTTTCAATTTTTCGGCACTGGCAGAAGTCACATCTCGACTTATAGCACGAACGTGTAATGATGGGGTGGTTGTCTTGAGAAGTGCTTGGACGACACCACTGCCTTGATTTCCTGTTGCTCCGAGGACTGTGACGATTTTTGGATTTTCGTACATGGACATGGTGGTGTCTCTTGAATTCAATTGCGCGACACTTTGCTATCAATAGTAATCTGGCTTGGTTCAGGGAGTTGTCAAAAATGTGAGTGAAGTAGATCGGGTAGTATACATCTGGGGCATGACGCAATACCGGAGGAACTCTTAGCAGTCGCATCCGTATATCCGCAATGGTCTAACATTGCCTGCCTGAACAGAACTTCGGATAAACGTTGTCGCTGGTGTATAAACTGGAAATTGCTAGATAATACTTGCTTATAATCATAATGTTCATAATGATTTAAGATCGTAGATGGCCTTCGATACAAGTAGGAAATACTATGTTTCTATCAATGATACATCCCAGTCTCACCTTCCAGTGCTAGGCCTCAACCTCAAAAACAAGTCCGGTGGCATATACTTATCATCCCCATCTGCATTAGCACCATCATTCCGATTCGGCGTCAAACACAGATCACCATGATAAGCACCAGCAGGTTGATGTCTCAAAGCATCCATGGCCTTTGAATGAGTCCGCCACTCCGACAAAACAACATCAATCTCAGTCTTAGAGTCACCAGCAAGGGCATCCATCTTGATATCGTTCCGGTCATAACCAAAGGGATCCTCCAACTGAGAACCAATCCCCTCAATACCATAGAGCGTGAAAATAACCAGACTGACAATGGGAATCGCCCACCATCCCATCTCATCAACCATAGCAAATGGCAAAACACAGCCAAATAGCGCAAGAACCTGCTTTTGATGAATCCTAAGATCAAGGAAAAAGCCAAAACATTAGCACATTACACTCAACCAACAATCCACAAGGGAAACCCACAAATGAGCCACCGGAATCGGCGTCAACTTAATAGTCTCCATCCGCCCATAAGCATCAGTCAAAGTATTCAACTGTGCCTGCATCTGACTAGCTCCAGGGGCAGGAAACCAGCCACGCTCCTCCCCCCGCTTAATAAACCCATCAATAAAAAAGGTCAGCTGAAACGGCAGCCCAAGACCCTCATCTTCATGCCCCTCCAAACCAGCCGGTAACAGGTTCGCGTATTCGGGGTTATAAAGCGTTCCACCACCATGATGATTCAAATCATCAACAATAGAACTACCAAACACCCACGCAGCTCCCCACTCGGCGCGGAGATGGTTCTTCACGGCATAGGGGATAGCCATGAGGATGCGGATTGTGCGCTCGATGTCTTCGCGCTCTGAGGCTGTTGGCGGCCCGCGCTTGGAGTTGTAGCTGTTTGTTGCGATTGTGCGGACTAGATTTCGCACGCAGGTGTTTAGTGCGTTCATTCCGTTGCGGCCGTCCCAGAAGCGGTTGTAGGATGTTTGGTTGCGGAACACGAGCATTAGGCCTACGACTATGGATAAGGAGGGGATCTGGGGGTTCTTTTTAGATAATTGTGATTGGATGGATTTGGTATAGGGGTATACTTACGATCGTGCTGGGTAGACCGACTGTGTCGAAGACGTAGGTGTCCAGGTACACGATCAAGGCAGTGAATACTGCATGGAGGAATACGGGGAATAGAATTGCCCCGTGGATTGCTCCTTTGATGAATCGGAATACAAGTGGCCATCTGATGAAGGTTAGAAAGCGCGATCATATGTTGTAGAGTGAGTATCGGTTATCGTACCGTCTAGGCTTTGCGCGCGAGGACAATCGGTGAGGATGGGTGCCGCGCCGTTGGTGATGGCCGAATACAGTGGTGTTTTGACGACTCAGCGTCGGGGTTGGTGGCTCGCTGAAGTTCAGCCTCATCTTGTATGCGTATTTCGATCGGAACCAGGCTGATCTGCGGGTGCGGCTTTGCAGCTGTTGGGAATAGGGATGACCCTATTTGTTGATGGAGCGCTTTGAACCCCTATCTCGTGAGGGAGTCCCTTTTTTTTCCCGCGAATCTTGATCAAAATACTTAGACCAACATGATTCATAAGATTCAGAAGTTGTTGATGAGAACAGAAGTTGAGTCTTTTGAAGAGTGGGGATGTCGATCCTGCCGGTTCGGGCAGCTCTGGCGGTCTGCAGTGACGAAACAGTGCATATTAGCAGGTAATAGATAGAATAATCTGATCGCAGAGAGAGGAATAGATACAAACATCATTCTTTATGTTATAGCTACAGTCAGCGGCTAAATCGTGTAAATTACAGCCTTGTTGTCATTTGTAGATCTTTCCTAGTCAACAAATCTATACCTAAACAAGAAAGTAAAACCTTCCCAACCTCTCGGGCTTAAGCCTTGGTCTGAACAGTGAAGCTCCCACGCTGTCTCAGATCTCTCGAACTTGCACCAACATAAACGTAGTAAGTTCCAGGGGCAACAGCCCACTTCTGGGCCTTAACATCCCAGTAGGAGATATCACGACGACGGAGCTGGAACTTCACATCAGACTCTCCTCCCCTTTTGATCTCAACCTTCTCAAACCCACGAAGTTGACGCAGAGGCTGGCGCGCAGATTTGGGGTAAGAAATGTAGAGCTGGGGAACCTCAGCACCATCAACAGAGCCGGTGTTGCGAACAGTCACGCTAGCCTTAGCGATATTGTCCCAGAGATCCTCGAAACCACCAACAGCAAGCTGACCAGTGGGGTAGAGAGAGAGAGCGGAGGGACCATCGATCTTCAGATTCGAGTAGGAGAACTGGGTGTAGGAAAGACCGTAGCCGAACTCGTAGCGAGGGGTGACATTGTAAGCGTCAAAGTAACGGTAGTCAATGAAATTTCCCTCGGTGAAGTTGCACTGCGCGGTGTAGCAGATGTCAACGTTGTAGTCAGATTCGTTCTTGGCGATGGTGTAGATCAGACGTCCGCTGGGGTTGACATCACCGTAGAGGACATCCACGATTGAGTTTCCGGACTCCTGGCCGAGAAGACTACCGTACAGGACGGCGGTGACGTTGTCGTGCTCAATCCAGTTGTCAACGAGTCTGGCACCAACGGTGTTGATCACAACCACGGTATTGTCACAGTTATCTGCGACCTCGTTGATCAGAACGTCTTGGTCGGTGTTGTACAACTCAATGCGGTCAGCACCCTCACCAGCAAGGGCATTGATGAACACAAGGCAGACATCCATATTCTCGGCATAATTCTCAATAGAAGGTGTGACAGAAGTAGTTTCAGATCCCTTCATGACCAAGCCCGAGCCGCTGGAGGTCGAGTAGGTATCATTTGCAACCCAGCGCAGCACGGTACCATCCTGGCTTGCCTTCATAGTCAATGCCATCTCGGGGGTGATGAGGTAGGGGAGAGAGGCCTGTCCGGAGCCGGAGTCAGTAGCCAGATGACCATCATAAGTAGGACCGGAGCCCTGAACGCTGAATTCCATGTTAGGACCAGCGATGGCAGCACGAGCGTTAGATCCAAAGATAGCCATCTTGTGAGGCTTGCTCAGTGGTAGGGTGTTGTTCTCGTTCTTGAGGAGAACCATGGACTTTGCGCCGTTAGAACGAATCAGCCTGGCATGGTTGCCGCGGACATCAACGTAAGCACCTGTGTCGACATAGGAAGGCTGAGTCCCGTTATCTAGGTTGACCTTGTAGTAGCCCATCAGGTTGCGAACAGCCATGTCGTCCAGGCGGGCTTCGGTGAGGTTATGGTTCTTGAGGTAGCCCTCCATGGTGGAGGTACTCCACAAGCTAGAAGAACCGTAGTCCAGGCCGTTGGTGGCACTGGCAAGAGCGTCCTGTTGGGCATTGGCATCGGGCCAGACGAGACCGGGGTATCCCATTTCGGTCTTCAGGAGATCCATGAGAAGGCTCGATGACTCGCATGAATATGTCTTGTTGACTTTGGTCATGGCACACATCATACCACCAAGTCCAGAGTGCACTGCATCGTAGAAAGACCACAGATAGGTCTCGTGGAGGGTCTTCGAGTCGGCATTTGAGGAGTACGGAGCGCTGGAGGAAGAGGACGACTGGCTGCTTCCGTCGCTGCCACCCATACTACCAGATGAGCTAGAGGAAGATGAGGGCTGAGCTGCTGCAGAGCTCATACTACTCGGGATGGATGAATTGGAAAACGAAGAAGATCCAGGGGGACTTCCCATACCTCCGCCGCCACCTCCTCCTCCGCCACCTCCACCGGAGCTTGTCCTGTTGGTCTCCTGCTCGTTGAGAATGAAGTGCTAATCACATATCAGCATGACAGCTCAACATTTTGAGAAACTATGACCCCTGTCATACCTTAGCACCAGCAATGACACCAGTGTCAGAGTACGCCTTGGTACTCAATCCAGTCGCAATACCGTTGAGGTAAGGATCCGAACCAAAGGTCTCAACCAGACGACCCCCCCAAGGAGTCCTGCCCAGGGGCTGAGAAGTAGGACCAGCAATAACCTGGATACCCTTGAGGTATGCCTCAGTAGCAACAGCCTTAGCCTGCGCATACATGGCGTCCTTGTCCCAGGTCATGCCTAAAGCGGATGTCTGACTGAAAGCTGAGACATAGTAGTAGTCCTGCACACCCATGGATCCATCAAGAAATTCTAAAGCAGTGAAGGAGTCGCCATCGGTGGTGTTGACGCTGCTACCGGTGATAAGCTCGAGCTTCTGGGTTGTGTTCAGCTTGGAGACGAATTTGGTGGCCTTTTCGTAGGCGGCTTGCCAGTCACCGAGAGAGACTGGTCAATTAGGTCAGCATTAGCTCAATTGCTTATGCTCTGTGAGGACGATGTGAATACTCTTATCGTTGGAAAGAAGACCGGCATTGGTGTTAGACGAGGCAGCCACAAAGCTGGACAGTGCCAATAGGCACGACAAAGATTGGAATTTCATCTCGCAGAAGTGAGTATACCTTTGCTAAGTGGAAAGAATGAAAGCAGAAATGATTGGCAGTGTTCGACCCTCAGGGTCTTACAGGGTTTACATAGTCCTGGTCAGGGAGTACGCAACGCGTACTCGATCTATAGAATCCAGGGCTAAGGCTGAGGAAACAGGGCTTACAGAATCCACAAAGAGCTTAACCCTATACTTGACATGCTAGTGCTATGGGGGCTCTTACGTGGACGATGATCAGTTACGTGGCTAATGGCTAATGCCGTGAAAAAAAAGTCTTTCAATGCCGGCGAGCTCGGAAAAGCCGGGAAATAAGGTCAGTCCGGGATTCCGAACACGGAATGTATCCGTACCGATCCCTGATCCCTGCTCCCTCAAGAGATTGAAACGATGATCTCACACACTTCATATAACTAGGCTGTGGCGTATACGGTGTTATGCCCGGAACTAGCGGCACTCGGTGTTTCGAGATTTGTGTTGGTTCCTGTACTGATCCTGTGAACTCCTGGTCTGGAATCATTTAAATTTGATAAGACATTCTGAGGCATTGTTTCGAAAATTTTAGCGTTGATGTAAATAAACAAACATTTTCCGCTGTATGGTTAGTATGTAGCTAGCAGTACTTATATTTCCTCTATTTATAACTAACAGTCCGTACCATTTCATAACATTCGGATTCATATGGCTTGGGATCATTGTAACACAATCCCTCCTCCATTTGATCCTCCTAATCCTGCACAATTTCTCACAACACCGTCACCAGGCCACATAAAGACCGTTTCCATTAAGCCCACAGACACTCCACTCTCAATGCCATTTGCCAAAGGGAAACAACCTCATTGACACTAGCCTCAAACGAAGTAGTCGTCACCTTAATATAGGCTCCAACATCGACCCCAATCCCACTCGGAAATTCTAATTCCGACACCAGGAGGTGTCAAACTACCGAGGCTGTTTATTAAGCGGGATCTGTACTCCGTACATGTTTTTTCCATGTTGAATGAAGGACTACATTGTTTTACTGGTTTGCCATGGGCTGGGCATTCGTTGGGTCATTCAGTGTGAGGATTGCGAGGTCTCAATAGATTTTCTAGGAGCATTTTCTACATACTGTGCAGATATCGAATGAGTTTTGCTCTCAAATATATAAATTTCTGAAGCCAGCTTGGTAGAGTACCAATCGTGGAAGATATCAAGGGATATTCGTGTGCACATGGCGAAAAGTATATACTCCATCAGATCAAGTCCTTTCCTGGACTTTTAGAATCAATTTGCAGTATATGCAAAAAAGCATTGTCAATTTCTAAAACAACCTTATTGAACTGCATGCCACTCGAGCGGTTTGATTCGCCTAGTGGGACTGAGCCGCAGAGGAAAATCAGTCATTGCCCCGCCTCTCTTCACTTTCCATGTACCGCTCAACTTGATGTATAACCTTAACGAACCTGGTCCTACATGATATAGACAATCATCCAGAATAACAAAAGGTTTCTAATGGACGACGATATCTCTTTCGCAAGCTTTGGCTTGGTCGTTCTCGACGAGATCCGCTTTCCCAACCGAGACCCTCTAACAAATGTACTAGGAGGGTCTGGAGCATATGGTCTGTTTTGCCTACCTATCCTCAATATCTCGAGGACATACAAATTCCTAACATAAACCCCTAGCAACTTTGGGTGCCCGATTATTTCTCCCCTCTCCTCAGAGCCATTCAATAGTCTGGCCAATCCATATAGGAAATGACTTCCCAGAACCAATTACGAAACTCCTACAGAGCTGGGATACACAATTGGTTATCAAACAAGCATTAGATCAATCCTCGACCCATGGCTTACTGGAATATGAAGATACGACATTCGGACGTACGAAAAAATCCCCTCTTCTTTCCCCATCACCATCTATCTGTATTCAATCTCCATATACATGAACTGACTACTCGAATCCTCCAGCCAAGAAATTTAAATACACAACTCCAATCCTCACACAAGAACCCGAAAACACAAACCCAGCCCTCCTCTCATCAAAAATCTACCACTACCTCGCCACTCCGGCAGGTATGAAAACACGCATCTCAAATATCCGCACGCTCCGAACAATACTCAGTACCAAAGGCCGACCTCTACTAATCTGGGAACCTGCACCACTAGCATGCAAAGCCGAACACCTCCAGTCCTGTCTAGAGGCTGCGGGCTTAGTGGATGTATTCAGTCCAAATCATATAGAGCTAGCGCGACTTTTCCACGGATCTTCTGTCTCACCTGACAAAGCCGAGATCGAGAGATTGGCATTGAAGATCCTGAATAGCGGAGTTGGACCAGAAGGAAATGGCGTAGTTGTCATCCGAGCTGGTGAGAATGGGTGTCTTGTTCAATCGCGGATTCTTGCTCCGAGGTGGATTCCTCCGTTTTATGAGGCTATGGGGGAAGGGCAGGATTCTAAAGTTGTTGACCCGACTGGGGCTGGGAATGCTTTTCTAGGGGGGTTCTCTGTTGGGTGGATTCGTACCAATGGTGATATTGTCCAGGCGGCTTATTATGGGTCTGTTGCGGCGTCTTTTGCGTTGGAGCAGGTTGGGATGCCGGTGTTGAGTGGCGGGGGAGATGGGGAGTTGTGGAATGGGGTTAGTGTTTCTGGGAGATTGTTGCAATATAAAGCTAGGCGGGAATCTTGAATTTGTGGGATGTAGGTTATTTCAATGGGACACAACCATTTGTATGGTGACAACATTAGTGTTGTTTATCTTGTCGGTTGATATTTGCTGTCTTAACTAGCTCATCCTGCTTCCAGTGTTTGGCGCGGATGCTTATTCCTATTTTTAAATTGACATCCAAAAATTCCGCGGGTTCTTAGATTCTAGTTGTAAATCTGCTTATGGCAGTCAATTTCACGTGAAATAAAAGAGACTAGGTGGAATCATTTCTAGTGCAATATATCTTGAAGGGCTGATGATCCTCATTGTTCGTTCCCCTCACACTGCCAATTACAAAGTTGGGGAAAAACGTCAATTCAACATCATGATAAAAATTGTCTAGGTAGTCTATCGTGCAGCTCAAAAGAGGGATTATTATATGTGCGATATGTATAAACCTCTCAGTGTCGATGCATACTACGAAATACACGCCATCTCCTTTTCTTGACCACTGTCAGTCAATAGAACCTACGTTGAAAGGAACATCCAAAAATAAGATCATCAGATTCCTACGCTCCAGAAACAACAGTCCACACTGCTGCATGGGTATAGACAAGATAAGAAGAAAGAAAATATTAACCAGATGTCGACGGGCAGGGAAACACCAGCTGGACAGACCAACCAATGAATGAGGAAGAGGGTGGGGGTAGAAGAGAATAATAAGATATGCAAAATAGGGAAGGGGTAGATGTAAGAGCTGAACCACGTAGCACCATGAACAGGAAGGAAAGGAAAATGAAAGTCATCAAATGCATAACATGAATGGGCGCAAAAAAAAAAAAAAACCACAGAATGCCAAAATATATAGGTATATACTGATGCTGACCAGATCACTTGTTCCAGAACAGTGCGGTGTAGAAGTAGAAGTTGATGTAGATGTATGACAGGTGACAGGTGATCCTTAAGGCATTCCCGCTCTTCCGTCGAAGGCGAGAGGACCCGAGTCGTTGCGCGGTGTCAGGGGATTATCGTCTGAGGTCTCGGAGCGGCCTGGGGTGTCTGACCGCAATTGAGCTTGCCTGCCTGGGGGTATGCTGAGGGGTTGGCTGGGTTGCCAGCCAGGGATGCTGATTGTGGCGCTGCGGGCGAGGTCGGTGTTGCTGGATGGGGCTGACGAGGTGTCGTCGGTTCGCAGATAATCTTGGATGAGCAGGTGCTCCAGGCCACTTGCTAGGCTATCTTCTTCAATGAAACCCCCCAGTCCGTCGTTATGGATGAGCAGGCTTCCAGTGCCATTTGATAGGCTAGATTCTTCAGCGCCAGTTGGCAGATTGGTTTGTCCAGTGTGCTGTGGTAAGCTAGCTTGCTCAGTGCCATTTGGCAGGCTAGCCTCTGCAATGTCACCCGCTAAGCTCTCTTCTTCGGTGACATCTCCCAGTTGGTCATGGAGTTGATCCACGCCGTTTGTTGATTCGATGTTTGGGGTTTCCGTTGCGGCTTCTGGTTGAATTTGCTCGACGGGCCCATTTTGTGGTGCTTCTTGTGGTGCTGATTCTGCTGGGGCTGCCGATGCCACTGGTTCCTTCTCGCGCCTTTCTTCAAGGTCATTAGAGTCGTCTACCTCGGCACTGAGATCGGTGAATGCACGACAATTGGGACATTGGAACATAGGATAGTCGGGCGAGTGGAGAAGTCGGCTGATACATTTGTAATGCCACACGTGTGCGCAGGCTGCCATGAACAGACATTGGTAGGGGCGCTATTAAGGGTCAGTGGCAAAATAAACGGAGAAAAGGAGAAAACAAACCAGAACAGATCCCAGGCAAATGGAGCATTCTCGACATCCCGAATAATCGGCTGTCTCGCCTTTACCCAAGTTTTTGATAAGGCTTTCCGTATTTTTGCTGAAGTGGCGTTAGCATCATATGCATTAAAGCAGGGAAATCAACATACTTGAATTCGTTGGGCTGCTGCTGCCACGATCGATTACACTCGATGCGAATGCGAACGCATCGGAAGATCATCTCCTCCCCACCGCGAAAATCAATGCCCAGTTGGACGATATCTCCGTCTTTGATCGAATACAGACGGGAGACCATGTTGGGCTGACTTAGGCGCATGTGGTTCAAAAACGTGCCCGACGAGCTCCCCACATCCTTGATATGCCACTGTCCATTGACATACAAGAATTCACAGTGTTTCCGGCTCACTACCTTGGACTTGAAGCCCACAGGGGCATCCGAAGGTTCGGCGGGGTTAGGGATGGGAATACCATCGCGTTCCGAGTATCGGCCCACCCTAATCACACAGCTTTCCGATGGGAGGGTGCGACTTATAGGAACAAAGGGTAGTGAGGGTCTTGCGGTGGTGCTCGCATGGGAATCCTGATATGGGAAGAAGCGAATGATAGCCTTCTTGTCTGGCTTCGGCGACGTAATCGAATCATCGGGGGTGCTGGTTGGCACGATTCCATCGGTTTGCAGAGAATTCGGCTCAGGGGAGACACTAGATTCAGAGTTTTGTCGATCTTGTGTGCGCGGTGGCGGTTGCTGTGCGGCTGAAGCGCTCCTCAGCCGAGCCATGGCATGGGCTGTTGTCTGAGGGGCTTCAATAGACGGAATCGAAAGAGCGGAGTCGGCAGAGGAGACGCGACTGGTGAGGTCGCCAAAGCCCGAACTCTCAGAGGGCGCCGATGTGTAACGCGAGAGGGCTGGGTGATCGGTATCTGGGCACGGAGTGGAGCTCTCATTCAGGTTCTCCACCGGGTTCGGCGAGTTGGGCCCGGAGGTCGACGAACGCCAGGGGACTCGGCTGCTCAAACTGCGATTTTGTGTGTAGTTTCGCAGTTGGCCGATTCGGCGCAGGCGACTGGGGCGAGGATCAGGGAGGCAAGTGAAGGCGGTGACTGACATGGTGGGAGGAAATCGAAATCGAGGCGGGAATAGTCTAAATCACGGCCAAGAACGATCCAGATCATAGAAACTCGAACGTCACGAGGGATCAAATGAGAGAATGGCAAGACATCATATGATGGAGGGGAATGGAAGAAATCAAAGAATCCAAAGTTTAGTAGAAAGAAAAAAGAAAGAAGCGTGAAAAAGTCTGGTTCAGTTGGTTATATGATGTTACCAGCCGTCCTGGGTCCCTAAGTGGAGTTGGCTGATCGCATTCTTCCTCTCTACACCGGCATTATCTACTTCGACTTCTTCTCCTTCTCTCTTGATTTGCCTTTCCTTTGCGGGGAAATAGCCGCATGGAGTCTACGCCACAGCACATGGGCAGGATTAGCCGATGGAGGGAATGAGATATATTGAGTATACAAAAAAGTGCTGGAAGAGACATATGCCGGTGTATCTGCGGAGTATGAGTCCGCTGAGTCTGCTGAGGGTCTGTTGCGTAGTTTGGATATCAAATGAGCAAGAGATAAGCTATAAGTTACCTGTATCTCTCATGTGAAAGGATGACCCCCTTGAGAGATCGCCAGTCTGGTGATCTCCTGCGTCACAGTCACTTGGACTTTATCACAAGAACATGTGTGCACGGGCCCTGCAGAGGTATTCGTATATAGAGAGAGAGGAGAGAGGAGAGAATGGAGTGAAGTAAAGGGGGAATCGAGATGTAGATGTATAGAGTGAGTGCATAGAAAGAGCAGGTGCAGCCTTGTGCAGGTGTTGACGTAAACGGGGACCATTGGTCAGCGACAGCTTGGAGAGCTCAAGCTCAAGGTTTTTCTTTGACTTGACTGGACTGGACTGAATTGATTTGAAATGGAAATGGAAATTGAAATTGATCTTGGAACTTGAACTTGCATTTCAACCTAAACTCGAATTTGAACTTGCGAACTGCAAGTTGCTACCAGCCTCTCTCGGCGGAGCTAAACCTCCCCTCCCTATCTCTCTACCTACTTCTACCTCGACACAACTCTCTCGCATTTTCTTTTTATCACGCGCCGCCCTTGTGCTCCCGAATAACAGCTTCGGCTTTCCACGACTCACCGTCTATTCCCACTTTCTCCCATTCTTGCCTTCGAGTTTCGTTTCGGCCCTGATGTGGGCCTGTTAGGCATGAGTGGAATCGCAACGGCCTGTCTATCGTGCCTGTCGGCGGTGGACCGATGGTGCCATATCACAGCCTGTCTTGGACCCATCGGTGGTCGGTCGCGAGATGGAATTTACGAGACAACCTTGGCCGATAATGAACGAGAAGCTGTCTCCGATTTGCTCGGCTACTTGGAGAATGTACGTGGGACCTCTCTCTGGATATGGATTCGCCCCAAGCCGTTTGCCTGTGATGGCGACCGTGCCCTTGCCCTTTCCACGGGCACGTCACTGACTTTGACCTACAGCGCGCAGAAACCGACTTCTTCGACGGCGAGCCGCTACGGGCATTGAGTACGCTGGTGTACTCCGAGAATGTCGACTTGCAACGAAGCGCCAGTCTGACCTTTGCCGAAATTACCGAACGAGGTACGTATTATGGGGCGAAGGGCGATAATGTAATCCCTGACCCTCTCTAGATGTCCGCGAGGTCGACAGCGACACCCTCGAGCCGATTCTATTCCTTCTCCAGAGCTCCGATATTGAAGTACAACGAGCGGCCAGTGCAGCGCTGGGTAACCTCGCCGTGAATGGTTGGTTCCTGATCTTCCCTTCAATCTTGTCTTCGATTGCTGACTAGGTACAGCGGAAAACAAAGTCTTGATTGTCGCCCTCGGGGGGCTGGCTCCCCTGATTCGACAGATGATGTCGCCCAATGTCGAGGTGCAATGCAATGCCGTCGGATGTATCACCAATCTTGCGACACATGAGGAGAACAAGGCCAAGATTGCTCGCTCCGGCGCTCTCGGTCCTCTGATCCGCCTGGCCAAATCCAAGGACATGCGTGTACAGCGTAATGCAACGGGCGCATTACTAAATATGACCCATTCTGGTAAGTGATTGCGGTCTCCCAATGTAGTCCTACTCTCTAACATGACCCAGATGACAACCGCCAGCAACTCGTCAATGCTGGCGCTATTCCCGTGCTCGTCCATCTGCTATCTTCCCCCGATGTCGACGTTCAGTATTATTGCACCACAGCTCTCAGCAACATTGCCGTTGATTCGACTAATCGCAAACGCCTAGCTCAGACCGAGTCGCGTTTGGTACAATCATTGGTACATCTCATGGATTCTTCGACCCCGAAGGTGCAATGCCAGGCTGCGCTCGCCCTCCGCAACCTCGCCTCCGACGAGAAATACCAGCTTGAGATTGTCCGCGCAAAGGGTCTCTCTCCCTTGTTGCGGCTCCTGCAATCCTCCTACCTTCCTCTCATCCTATCCGCCGTCGCCTGTATTCGCAATATATCTATTCATCCGCTCAACGAATCACCGATCATTGAAGCAGGCTTCCTGAAGCCATTGGTGGATCTGCTTGGTTCAACCGACAACGAAGAGATCCAATGCCACGCTATCTCTACGCTTCGTAACCTTGCTGCTAGCTCCGATCGCAATAAAGAACTCGTTTTGCAGGCTGGAGCTGTCCAGAAGTGCAAGGACTTGGTCCTTCGGGTTCCTCTCACCGTACAGTCTGAGATGACCGCTGCGATTGCTGTACTGGCCCTCAGCGAGGAGCTGAAACCACACCTTCTCAAGCTCGGCGTCTTTGACGTCCTCATTCCTCTTACTAACTCTGATAGCATTGAGGTCCAGGGCAACAGTGCTGCTGCTCTGGGCAATCTTTCTTCCAAGGGTATGTTTCTTTCATACCTTACTTCATAACATAGCTAATGAAATACAGTCGGCGATTATTCCATGTTCGTTCGCGATTGGGCCGATTCGAACGGTGGTATTCATGGCTACCTCTACCGTTTCCTTGCCAGTGGTGATCCAACTTTCCAACACATTGCCATCTGGACCCTTCTCCAACTCCTCGAGTCCGAAGATAAGAAACTCATCGGACACATCTCACGATCTGAAGACATCGTCCAGATGGTCAAGTCGATCTCAGACAAGAACATTGAATCCGACGAAGATGAAGTGGATGATGGTGAAGGCGAAGTGATCACCCTCGCCCGTCGATGCCTTGAGCTACTGGGAGCAGGTCCTAAGCAAACCCTTGTGGAAGCTTAACCGCTCTATTTTGTCTATTGGTCATTTGTCTATTCTCCCCTGTGCGCGACTTTTTCTCCGGTCCTTTCTGTAGCGCCAATATTCACGTTGGTCTTGCTTTCTTTCCCCACACGGTGTTTCTTTGGCATCGAATTTATTTGACTCGGGTTACTCTTTCTCAGCGGGCATTTGGAGTGTGGACTCGCTTTTTGTTCTTACATGTCCATCGTATTTCTGGGCCGGTGCCGCTGTCGTTTCTGTTCCGCATACACTGTGTATTCATGCTAGATATGGGCTCTATAAATTAATTGCCTGGGAGATGGAAATGTTTCATATTGTAGTGAAAGTATTGTAGTGAAGTGGGCATTGATAGCTGCGGACAAACCTACTCCCGGGCCGAGTGGGAGCTCCCCAAAAAAATCACCGATCCTCCAATTCCAGACCTCCCCTCAACATCAACTACACCTCAACAATGGCTTCTCTCCCGCCCATCGCCATCCCCGGGCAACGCCTCGGCCCCATTTCCACATACTCAGCCGGACCAGGCACACACATCCAACAATCCTTCATCTATGCTTCCATTGCCGGACCAGTAGTCGCAGACCCAGCCCAACCAAAGACCCAGACAAAACCAACCCTCAGAGTCTCTCGCACCCTACCAGCAAAGAATATATCCACCCCACAAGAACCAGGCACAAAACCCCGCTACAACACCCTCCCAGCAGTCGACTCAATCGTCCTTGCACGAGTAACCCGCGTGCAAAAGCGCCAAGCAACAGTCTCAATCCTTGTCGTGACAGAAGACACAACCCAAGATCCAACACACACACCCTCTGACAACGACAACGTCGCCGCGATTCTCACCCACGCGGCCAACCCAGAGAACCACAGCAACACCGACGAATTGCGCTTCCAGGCGTTGATCCGGAAGGAGGACGTGCGCGCTGTCGAGAAGGATCGTGTTGTCATGGATGAGATGTTCCGTGTTGGGGATATTGTTCGGGGCTCGGTTATTTCGCTTGGTGATCAGACATTCTTCTATCTTACTACTGCGCGCAATGATCTTGGTGTCGTTATGGCGCGCAGTGAGGCGGGTAATATGATGTTCCCTGTTAGCTGGAAGGAGATGAGGGATCCAGTTAATGGCACTGGAGAATTGAGGAAGGTTGCTCGGCCCTTCTGAGGGCATTGCGCTTGGATTTCGAATTCGAATTACAATCGCGATTGTGGCGGCTCTGGCTTGAGTTGCCCTTTTCTGTCTGCCATGGCTGGTGAGAGATGATTACAGCCCGCGACAATCAAGCAGACTTTGTCTTGGTCTCTCCAGATGCTCTGGCCAGTCTGATTCGCTCATGAGAGCATCCGCTCCTCGCATGCACCAGACTTGATGGATATCGACAAGATTACACCTCGAGAGACGCCTCTGTGAGCATGGCTCTCTGGGCTCCAACGGTTGTTCTATTGTTCTTTGCTTTCAAGCATGACATTCAACCAGTGCCACAATTTCCACATGTCCAGCAACGCCAACTTTTTCTTGGCCTGACTCGGACACATCCACTTGTACAGGATATTGATATCAATAACGATTTCAAAATGAAGATACCCCGCGGATTCAGATTCTAGAATACAATGCAAACAGTTTCTGCCAACGTTATCTCGTTCTTCCCAGAGTAGCTGAAATTTGGCAGGCAATCCTGCTGACTTTCCCCTGATAGTAGATCCAATGGACACTGGGTATCAAATACCAACCACAACCATATCAATTATGAATACCAAATACCGAATACCGTAAAAAGAGAGGAAAGAAGACAAGATACAATACAATGCGGAATATCCTTTTTAAACCCAATCTATCAACATCAACGCCCAAACTATTTCTTCAACGTCTTCTGCTTCTCAGCATCAATCAACTTCCTTCCCTGAACAACAAGACCCTTCCGATTCCTCACAGCATCCATATACCTCTTCGCAACATTCTCACGATCAGCAAGCTCACCCAAATCCTCAAGTTCCTCCTCAGTTGCCGGAACCCAGAACGGATCTTCATCAAGTGCCTCAAAGCCAGCAAAGATAAGCTGCGGCTGCGCAGCGCCGGAAGTCCGTTTACGGATTTCTTCGGCGAATCCGAAGGACTCGGCGACGGGTAACAGGGCGAGGATAGTGAAGAAGGGTGTTCCTTCTTTCATTACTTCTGAGAGGATTCGGCCTCGTCGGCGGGTTATGACGCCGTAGACGCGGCCTAGGACTTCGGCTGTGGAAGGGTTGTGTGTTAGTTTTTTTTTTTTTTTGTCCCTTTTCTGTTATTGATGGGGAACGGGGGTTCCTACTGGTTGCTTGGATCTCACAGCTGTACATTGCCAGCATGATGCGTGGACTCCAGTCTAGGAATCCGGCGGAAATTCCTTCGCGGACGAGTCGGATTGCTTCGCCAGTTAGGCGGCCCATGTCTAGTTCGTCGTTGTTGTTTGTTTGTACTGATAGGTCTTCTAGGAAGACTGCGGCGCCTTGCATTGGCTCCTGGCATAATGGGCCTTGGCCTGTTGCTAGTTGGAAGGCGTAGGCGATTTTGTCGTTGAAGTCGCGGACGAGGAGGGCTTGTTGGTTGTCGCCGGCGATTTGCTGCTTCGGGTCCTCGATCAGGCTGGAGAGAGGGTTTGTTATATTTGGCTCAATTGTAGGTTTCTTCTTGGTGTACTTACAATTTCTCACAGGTGTTAACTGCTGTTGCGTCGACTAGGATGTTAGGGCCGACTCTGCGAGGTCCGAATGCTGTGATTCGATCGACGACGTTCTTCCATAGTTCCTTGTCTTCTTTGGCTTCGTCGTTAAATACCTTCTCGAGCCCCTCACGGAACTTTTGCTTGGAGAGGATAGTGCCCTCGTGGGACTCGCCGGTGCCATCGACAGCGGCTGACTCTTGCGCTTCGGCTGCAGCCTCAGTTACGGTCTTACCCTCAGCTTCAGAGCGCTTCTCCAGCTGGAGTTGCTTGATAGTTCCGACATTCTTGGTCAAGTATTCTGTAACGGCTTCAGGCATAGGCAACACACGAAGACGAAGGGTCATTTGCTTGGAAGCGGAAACCGACAAGACACCTCCACGGCCAAGCTCGGGGTTTTTAGGTGCGGCCATCTCAGGGCCTTGAACGATGGTCTCCCGGTAAGGAACGATAGCCTCACCAGTTTGAATCTCGCAGCGAGCGAACCGCTCTCGGAGATCTGTTACGCAGCGCTCCAAATGCAGTTCACCTGCAGTGAGAATAACATGTTCACCACTGGGAAGCTGCTCGTATAGGGCGCAAGGGTCACTCTGTTCAAGCAGGCGCAGACCAGTGACCATCTTACCGAGATCGGCTGGGTTAACGGGCTCTAACGCAACACGAACGATGGGTGGGGTGGCAAGCGAGACTCCAGCCAAGTTGATACTTCCATCTAAACGGCTGCAGAGAGTTCCAGTCTTGAGTACGTAGCCGGCAAGACCGCCAATACCGAAGACAACACCGGCTGGCACAGACTGGAGGGGCTCGAGGGCTCGGCCCATCAGCAAGTACAAGTCTGTGACAGTCACCTTCTTGGGCTCGGGGCTTGCATGCGGGTGGGCAGGTGAGAACTTGGGCGGGAGGACGTAAATTTCATCTCCAACAGAAAGGGTTCCTGAATAGAGGCGGGCAAAGCCAATAAGATGATCTGGGTCCTCCTTCTCTTCTGCTTCCTCCGGCTCCTCGGTGGTCTCAGTGATCAACGAAGTATTTTGGAAGACTGTGGTCATACGTTCGAACTCATCGGTTTGGTTCGCCTTGGCCTCGGCCTGCATCTTCGCAATTTCCTCGCGCTTGCGACGGGCGATTTCAAGGGCTTCATCTGCAGTCATGGCACCGCCGCTTCGCTTTTTGCTTGACATAAGCTCACTCTCGGGGATTGCAACCATTTTGCTGACGTATGCTACGACGGGCTCCTCGGGGCCTGTCTTGAAATCTACCATGGCGTTCTTGATATCATCGCTGATGAATTCTGAGCCAGGTGATGTTTTGATCATTTCCGGCAGTCGAGCTGCCTGTGCGGCTGGGGGACTAGGGAGATATTCAATGACGGAGACAAGCAAAGCAGTGGATAGAGGCAACCACTGAGAGAACAGTGTAGTCATGATGTTCTTGGGGTCACGAGAACGCAGAACATATGGCGGGATGTTGATATTCAGAGATTTGGTAATCTTTTCGAGCAACACTGGGTCTCTGTTCACTGTGAGAATTTGATACAATAAGTAAATTACGAGGTTAATTACTTACCCTTTGCCTTTTCCTCCACCTGTAGTGGCTTCGTATGCTGCCCAGATGCTATCAAGCACCAATTGAACGAACATAGGCTTTAATGCTCGACGGCCTTTCAGGTGCTTTTGGCCCAAAACACGCTTGGTCTTGGGATCCAAGTAATAATCACCCCAGAGAACCTTCTCCAAAACAGTTCGCTTGATTCCGAGCTTCTTCTCGTAAATGGCAGCAAATTGTCTAATAGTGAAAGCCCAACCATCCACGGCACTGCAGAATATAACGTTATTCTTCTCGGGGGCAAAGTAGAGATCCTCATCATCGCGCTCCTCAAACTCTGTTGCCTCCGTAATGCTTTGAGTGGCATCTTCATCTGTAGATTGCTTTTTGCGGTCTTGATCGCGAGTAGCAGAGGTATTGATGCGATCTTCCATGCGTTCGCGCCACTGCAAGTCGTCCTCCATACGCTCACCTTGGTAGAAGCTACCAATTACGGCATTCACTTGTTCAAGCAGTCGACTAAGATGGGAGAATGCCTCAGCGGGGCTCATCATCAATTCTGTGATCAGACGATCCATCTTGTTGATGACTAGGATTGGCTTCAGCTGCTCAACCCAGGTCTGGCGCAGCACGGTCACAGTCTGACTGCAAACACCCTCGACTGCATCAACGAGCACAACAGCACCGTCGCAAAGACGTGATGCCGTGGAGACCTCACTGCTGAAATCGATATGTCCTGGTGAATCAATCAGGTTGATCAGATACTCTTTGGCCGCCGGTGCTGCGTCTGGCGCTGGGCGACGGAGCATTGAGAAGAACAATGAAATAGCTGAAGATTCCATTGTGATGCCTCGCAACTGTTCATCTGGACGAGAGTCCAGGTAGCGGATCTTGCCCGCTAGCTTGGGTGAAATGATGCCATTGGTGGCTATAAGACTATCTGTCAACGAAGTCTTTCCATGGTCCTAAAAGAAGGAAAGATTATTGTGAGTATTTCGCGAACGTAATCAGATTTAATTTCGTTATTTGAAGGCCTTGACTTACGACGTGGGCCAAAATGCAAATCTGGTTGGAGTTAGTATAAAGCCTGACATCAGAGTGGGATGGAGGGGCACGCACATTTCTTATGTCCTCGGGCTTCCGCTGCAGGCGGACTAGCTGGTCAACATTAACAACAGGCATCTTGGCTGAGTTTGACGTCCAAGTGCTGAATGTTGTAGAGGAAGAGTACCGGGAAGGCGACTGGGTCCGAAGAAAAAAAAAGTTGCTGATAAATGGAGTATGCGATGGACCAGGCCACAATTATTTATTTTCAAAGCGATAGCATGGAGTAACTCTGAATTTACACCAGCTTGACTGTTCTTGCTATTACTCTATGTGATCGCCCTAACAAGCTATTTGGCGACCTATGACACTATACAACCGGTGTTGCGTTGACTCATTATGAGTCTTCAAAGGTATGCGCTGAGTCCACCATGCGTCGGCGACCTTCAATCTGCTAAGTCAAAGGACTGGTATGAATTTTCTCCTGGGTCTTCACTCTTCATCGAAGGAGAGCTTGATTTTCTTGGTCTTTTTTGCCTTCTTAGTGGGCGCCTTAGGTTGGGCTTCTTCGGTCTCAGTCTTCTTGTCTTCGCTCGCGGTACTTTCTTCGCCCACGACCTTGACCTGCTTTCGTTTCCTTTGTCCTCCAACCTCAGTCAAATTGCTCTGTTTGCTGGATGGTCCTGGTTTGTCTGTGTCGCCTGCGGGCTTATCCTTAGGGGTATCATTGCTCTCTTCTGTTTGGCCACTCTCGCGCACCAAGTTCTTGTAGTCCTCCTTGGATATCACTTCGTTGCTTTCCTCGTCGACGTAGGTGGGCTCATCGTCGTCGTCGTCCTTGTTGACTTTGAGTCTGGTCGCTCGTACTGCCGGCCGTTCTAAGCGGCCAGCGTTGCTGCCATACTGACCCCTTAGCTTTTGGAGGAATGCGGGCTCTTTCGCATCTAGATTTTAGATTAGAAAAGTCTGTCAGGACAATCCCGAGCGACATACCATATTCAAACTTGGGGTTGGGGGGCATGATGGGATGTAGTCAACGTTGCAGCTTTTATCTGAAGCTGTTTGCTGAAGCGTTGTGCTTCTCTCAGACAATTCAGTAAATCATTAGCAAACACACATTCCGATAAGAAGATATAGAATATCTAGATCTCACAAAGAGGCGAAGAGTCGCGGAAGTTGCGACCCCGTGAACAGCTCCAGGCGCTAAACCCAAATGGGACACATCGAAAAGTCCCAAGGAGCCTGCTCCGCGTCAAGTCCTCACCAACCTCATCTTTCAACCCACCTCAATTAACCATGCTTTGTGCTAGTGAGTGGCCTACGATTCATTGCGCTTTGATTATCATAATTGAACCGATTTGCTAATTGAAATTCTATCGCAGTCTCTGGAGAGGCACCTCAAGTTCCCGTCGTCTCTCCCAAGAGCGGTAAGTTCCTCGAATCGCCTTGCGCACAAACCCCTTCTGATAATTGAATAGGCAGCGTTTTTGAAAAGCGCCTTATCGAGGCATACATTGCCGAGCATGGCAAAGATCCCGTAAACGGCGAAGAACTCAGCACCGAGGACCTAATCGATGTCAAGTCGCAGCGCGTTGTTCGGCCCCGACCTCCCACCTTGACCTCCATTCCGTCTCTCCTCAGCATTTTCCAGGAGGAATGGGATGCTCTTGCCCTTGAAACATACACTCTACAGCAAAACCTGGCCCAGACGAGGCGCGAACTTAGCTCCGCACTTTATCAGCATGATGCCGCGGTGCGAGTGATCGCACGATTGACAAAGGAGAGGAATGAGGCCCGCGAGGCACTTTCGAACGTTTCCGTCGGAGCTACCCGTTCCGCCGGTGCTGGTGATGCTATGCAGGTCGACTCTACAGGCTTGCCCCAAGCAGTATTGGAACGGGTCGAGAACACACAGGCAGCGTACGTGGACCCAATGGTTTTACTCTCATGTATTTATTGCTAACATATCAGCAGTCTCTCTAAGGGTCGGCGCAAGCGCGCAGTCCCCGAAGGCTGGGCCTCAGCTGAGGCTATCTCCACATTCAAACCAACTGAGTCCTCCGATCCCCTTTACCCCGGTGGCCGCGCTCTGTCTGTCAACTCGACCGGTGACTTGGCTCTTGTTGGTGGTGTCGATAGTGTGGTTGGTGTCTACTCTCTTTCGCAGAAGAGTGTGGTGCAGACTTTGAAGACAGACGGACCCGTCACCGATGCGACATGGGCTGGTGACAAGGCTGTTGTTGGATCGTCCACCGGATCTGTGAAGGTCTTTGAGAACGGGGCTGAAGTTGCTAGCTTTAACTCCCACGCTGGTGAGGTTACAGCCGTAGCTGTGCACGCGACTGGTGACGTTGTTGCCTCTGTCGGTGTTGACAAGAGCTACGTCCTCTACGACTTGGCTACCAACACCGTGGCTTCTCAGATCTTTACTGACGCAGGTAAGCATTTGTTTCGCAATCTTTTCTATCAAAATAGAGTGCTAATGGCTTTGATTTAGCTTTGCTGTCTGTCAACTTCCACCCAGATGGTCACTTGATCGCCGCTGGTGGTGCAGATGGACAAGTCAAGATCTTTGACGTTAAGACCGGCGTCGCAGCCGCAGACTATGCCATGTCTGGCCCAGTCAAGTGCTTGTTCTTCTCTGAGAACGGTACTTTCCTGGCCGCAGTGGCCGACAAATCTACTACAGTCTCGATTTGGGACCTGCGCACCTCCAAGGAAACCAAGGTATTGGATACTGGCAGCCAGATCAGCTCTATCTTCTGGGATTACACTGGCCAATTCCTCTTGACCGGTGGACCCAGCGGCGTCACCGTGCAGCAATTCACTAAGGCCTCCAAGTCTTGGTCAGAGCCCTTCCGGAGCGCTGTCCCCGCTACTTCTGTGGCATGGGGATCTGCTGCTCAGAGCATTGTAGCATTGAATGAGGGAGGCGCAGTCACAGTGTTGACGGCTCAGTCATGATCGGGAAATAGTGTGTAATTTTAAAGCTGGCTATCTTTGAATCCTCAAATGGTGTTTTTTTTTTCTCCCAATATCCAACGGCTCTTTGTACAAAAAGAGGGAAGAAGAAGAAGATAAGTAGGCAAGCTCATGCTAGCACCCGTGAAACATGGGGCCGTTGCCGAAACACAGTAAATGTGATCAGTCAATCGCTCAAGTGGTGTATTGATGACATGAATGCTTCCTTCCCACTAACTTACAACTTTGTTGTATACTAATCCTGCACCCTAGACCCCGATCTATAAATGCCAACTCGCCAGCCGATCTGACGATCTTCCTCACAACCTCACTGACCCCCACCGCCTTATTTGGTTGGCAAAAGGACACCGCCTGGAGACTCGAGCATCGAAACAAAGATGGATTCCATTCAGATGCCTCCACCACCTCACAGCCTGATATTATATGCCCCTCCTCGCTTCAACCGGTTCCAGAGCCTAGGTCTTGGCATGAGTGGCAGCCCAAGCCTCCCATCTTTGCCTGAAGGGCCCAAGGTACGCTTTCATCCGTCGTGAAACGGGCGGGGCAACTGATGAGACCAGAAGCTCTGCTAACTCGATCCTTTTTCCAGCGAACGCCCACGCCTCGCGAAATGTCCGAAGAATCTGACGGACCTACTAGTGCGGACTGGAATGAGCACTTTCACCCCCCTCAACCTCGTCCTCAACCTCTATCCATTCACTTGCCACGCTTCCCCGGAGATGGGCTCGACTACCGGAGGCCGGTCAGACCCACGAATAACTCAGAGGTCGTTGACTTGACTCGTGAATCTGAAAGTCCTCCTCAAACTCGATCAGTCGACCTCACTTTATCCACGCCACCCCAATCCCGGACAAGCTTGCGGTTTCCTCAGGATATACTTCATGTTCCTCGGACGAATGCGCAGCGGGAGGTGATCGATGTCGACGCTGAGCCCACCAGCGATCCCGCAGATGCCTCGTCGAGTAGCTCTGATGTCCAGTTTGTCGGGGCTACCACCAGACCCAGGCCGCTCGAACCAAGGCCTTACAACGACATCTGGTCTCACATGAGTCGGATAGCGGCAAGACCCGAGCTACCTCAGAGACGACCAACAAGAAACTGGTACAGTGGGAGTCGATATGCTGATGGAGAAGAGTTCCAGTCCATGTCTATCGGGGACCTCCTGCCCGTGGGACTCGATTATGGGCTCACTGGCTTTTCAATCACTCCTTCATTCCCTGCTCCAACATCTCAGGAAAGTTCCAGAGGATCGTCCCATTCCGAGGCATACAAATCACCAGAACCAGCTCCAGAGGGCTTCACTCGGACGCTATCGGATTATGACGTGGCAATTTGCCCTAACTGCCATGAGGAGTTGGGTGTTGGGGAAGGGCCCAAAGGGCAGATATACGTATCCAAGAAATGCGGACATGTTCGTATAACCCATCTCAAGTTGCAACTGAATGTTGAAAACTGACCATCTTTCAGGTTTACTGTGGCGAGTGTGCTGAGAATCGGTCGAAGTCCAAGGCGAAAAAGTCGGGTTCTCAGACCAAGCCATTCTCCAAGTGTCAGATTGCAGGCTGCGAGACGTCTTTAAGCAGTCCAACTGCTTTGTTCCATCTTTTTCTCTGATTCTTATTGATTTCTATGTTTTTCCCTTTCTTGCTCTTTTCGTCTGCTTTTCTTTTGCTGCGTTACACATTTGCATGGTGTCAGGACCACTTTTTATTTCATCGATACCCAATATGCATGGAACTGGAGGGCGTTTTCTTTTTCGAGGTATACGGAGCTATAATCTTTCAGATAGGACTTGGATCTATATCAGTCACTTGATAAATAGTTCTTATCAAATATTTCTCTGGTCTCCTTGGGAATCTTATTTATCAAACTTTCTCTTGCAAAAAAAACCCTCAATTACAATATATAGATACTTGACCAGTCTCTTATACTGTTGTATAGAAACACTACGTGCCATTGTATGAAGTGATCATTCAAAAAGACTAGTAGTCCTCAAATTGATGCAGGCTTGAGTTTGATATGCATGAGAGATGTGTTTCAGAAAACCATAGGCTTCGACCAAATAGACAAGAATGAAGAAAAATGAAATACAACCCAGGTCAATAGTACAGTATGTTGCGGTGGAGACACCTGATAGTCACCACCGCTGAAAGGTAACGAACACCATAAAACAGAAAACGAATTGAGCTATACGCCGCGCAGATCGCCGTGGTATGGAGACCAGATACCACGCACACTTTCGTTCAAACTTGTGACAGGCTTCTTGGTCCGTTTCAACTTCTCTCCGCTGGCCTCCTTGAGAAGGTTGGCTTTCTTCAGGATCTCGCTGGGCTCGAGATTTCGTACACAGACGGGCTTCTCGCGGCCATTGATGTAAAGGCCCTTGATGAGGGGGTGCTTTTGGGGTCGGGGAGAAACGCGGATCTCGATCTGAGGGTTCTGGCGGGCGAAAGCCTTGAGGTTGTTCTGCAGGAAGGCGCTGTGAAGTCCATTGTGTGAGTTTCTATATCAGGAATTTCAATTTGATATGTTAAAACGAAACTTACACCATGCCCCTTGAGCTGCCTCCGGAGTTGCAGAAGTGGAAGTCAAGGCGTTTGCATTGTAAGATAAAGGCGCCGGCGCCGTTCTAGTCAGATTAGCAAGTGTCATCAATAGGATGTACTGAAAAGCCGTTGCACATACCTGCGCCGTCGTCGCTGTTCGGATTCCACGGACAGGCATTGTTATTGTCGTCACTTGTTCGTGATTGATGCATTCGCGGTGGCTTCGGAGCATTTTCTGGCGCACGTGATTGCGTAGGGCGGTGAGCGCAGGGCGCCAATGGCGGCTGCAGCGCCAGCTTACACGCTAAGACCAGCGCGAAGCTCTCACTCCTGATCTAAGGCTCTACTATCTCAAACTTCAGCTTTATCCCACACTTGATCTGGTTCTTACCAGGTCTCTCGTGAGAATGACTGACAGACTCCCAGGGCCATTGTTGGCCTTGTTCCAACCTCGTCCCCCCCTTCGTTATCTGGCTCCAACCGATCCCGCACCAGAGGACTGCAAGAAGAGCACCATCTCCGGCGTCGCCCAGTATCTTGCCGAGGCCAAGTCCCACGCCGATGAGGTCCCGTATAATGCGACTGAAAGCTGGCTGCAGCGAAAGGCGCGCCAGGACGCCGAGAAGAAAGAGAACCAGGAAAAGCAACTAACTGAAGGGATGCAAAATTGTATGTCATCTCTTTCCTGCTCATTGATTCTTGTGCCATGGTACTAATACGATAATTTTTTTCTCCTAGTCGATCCCCAGAATGATCCGCATGCTCGTGGTGATCCCTACAAGGTTCTCTTTGTTGCGCGCCTCAGCTATGATGTCAAAGAATCCGACCTGGAGCGAGAGTTCGGTCGCTTTGGCCCCATCGAGAGAGTACGTTTTTGTGCGGACCTCGAATTTGACAATGACAAATGCTAACATATCGACTTCAGATCACCCTTGTCAAAGATACAGTATCAGACAAGAAGAAGAAGAAGCCCCACCAGGGCTATGCGTTCATTGTCTACGAGCGCGAGAAGGACATGAAAGGTATCACTGTCACGCCACTCCCTCTGGCACTAAAATCATCCATGTGTTCCAATTTGCGGTAAGATATGTTGCTGACGCAGTTGTTTTCCCCACTTTCAGCGGCCTACAAAGAAACAGATGGCATCCGGATCAAGGACCGACGAGTCCTTGTAGATGTCGAGCGTGGACGAACCACCAAAGGATGGAAGCCCCGCCGCTTTGGCGGTGGTCTCGGAGGACGTGGCTACACCAAGGCCATGCCAGTTCGACCCGGTGGTCCTGGATTCAACGCACCATCCGGACCCGGTGGCTTTGGAGGCGGTTTCCGCGGCGGATTTGGTGGCAGAGGTGGTGGTTTCCGTGGAGGGGGTGGTGGTGGTTTCCGAGGTGGTGGTGACCGTTTCGGCGGCCCTCGTGGCGGTGTCGGATATCAAGGTGGACGCAACGGCTTCGGTGGAGGTGGACAAGCACCCCCTAACGCTCCCTCTGGCCCTGGTGGTGGACGCAGTGGAGGCTTCCGAGGAGGCTTCGGCGGTGGTGACCGTGGTGGTGGCAGATTTGACCGTGGTGTTACTGGAAGCAACTCAGAGCCCGTCCGACCCCGAGGAGACGGCTACGGTGACCGCGACCGCCGTGACGACCGCGATGACCGTTACAGAGATCGCCGCGATGACCGCATGGGAGACCGCAATGGAGATCGGGGTGGAGACCGCTATCGGGACCGTGATCGTGAGCGCGGCGGTGGTGATAGGTATGGTGGTAGCAGTGGCGGTCGGGAAGACTATGGCCGCAAGCGACACCGTGAGGACGATGCTGGATATGATGACCCTCGTTCCAGGAGAAGATACTAAGTCTTCACTTTTCTCTTGGATCCTGCCTTTATTCTCCTCGGTTCTGATTGACTGGTGGGTATCACTGATCTGCCCAGTTCTACAACTCTTCTCTCGCAAGGGTAAGGGGAGGGGGTGCATTTGGCCCATCACGTATCGGATTCACATCATGACGATTACAAAACATCCAACTCACGCTGCGATATCTGCTTCATGCTCCGCTTTGAAGTATTCATTCTCCTCTGTTGGTCCACGTGCATACCAGTGAACAGATCAGGTGAACATTCATGACCTGCTTGTATTCCCCGTTTCTATATCTTTATGTTGCCCGGCGTTCTCTTCTTCACTTGTCTTCCAAATTTCCTTTTTTTTTCATTTTTCTCCCTGGTCCTGATGGGGATTCATTTACTCTCTCCGAGGGTAGGTATTTGTATTTTAGTCGGTCTTCTGCGCGAAACATGAAACATGGAATCAAGTGACGCTCAGGTAAGACCAGGTAAGGACGATGGCAGTGGCTGAAAGCAGGTAAACTGCTAGTTAGACGCAATCCTATGAAATACAACTAGCGACTCTGGACTACAAAGTTCAAAGGCTCATGAAAGGATAATAAGTGACTTGTAGACTTTTTTCGACCTGGTATCCAAATCTTATCATAGGCTCATGATCCAGAAGAAGACCCTCCGGACAAAGACGAGAGTAATAGAGGAATATAACACAAGTCTTCTTCAATATATTTGCAAAGAAAGCGCCCTCACCAAACTCCATAAGATGCCCAGCAGAGTTCTTTTTTTTTCAGCCACACGGAAGCCGAATGGGAAAGAGAAAGAAGAAAAACGGAAAAATCAAGAAAAAAATCCCATCTATGCATCAACCTCCATGTCACCCTGGCTCTCCAGAATCTTAACCTCCTCACTGCTCCGGGTCCAGTAAGCCTTGAGGTCAACCTTGAACTCGGAAGAAGTAACACCGAACATCTTCATCAGTGTCGTCTGTCGTGAGTCCAATGTCTCGCCCTTACGGCAAACGGGGTAACCCTCCTGGCCCTCGGTCAGCTCGAGGGTAACCTTGCCCTTGATGAGACGGGTGGGTACACCAAGCTTGCGGAGCGCGGGCTCAATGGTGTGGCTAATGGGTTCGTCATCCTCAGCGGGGATCTCGCCAGCACGTGCGGTGACCAGGCCGTTGGGAATGGTGAAAGAGCGGGTGGCTTCGGTTCCAGCGCGGGCGAAGTCCTGGGGGCGGAAACTTTCAAAGTAGCCAATCACTGATTCCGGGGTGCGCGAGGTGAACAGAAGTCCGACGGCGCCGGTGAGGTAAGGAGTGAGCTTGTGAACGTTGGGAGCGGCTTCGCTCTCGGCGTTCTGGCCGAGGGCCTTAGCCATGACCTTGGTCTTTCCGAAGAAGACACTGTAATGAGAAATGAGGTTAGACTTGTGTTTCTTGAATGATAGACAAGCACATCAATATTTGATATCAGATCTGCACCGATGTTCTGGCGCTTTTTCTTATACGATATTTCATGCAAAGATTGTTTGGAGGATTTCCGCTTACCGGCTGTCACCGAACTCAGTGCGCACATCCTTCAGATAGGTGTTCCGCATATTGTCGACCGCAAAGACGAAAAGATGGTCATAATCTTCGATGCATTCCCGGATGTTGGCGTACAGACGGCGGGTCTGCTCCTTGTGATCTTTCTTGGCAGTCTTGGACTCGTGAACGACGCGCGCACGCTTTGAACGAGGCATGATGAATTATGGGGGGATTGGGGAATCAATGAATTCGGACAAGAGGTTGAATGTTTCCCCCACAGACATTTTTTCTTCGCTGATAACCGGATTAACATGGGGCCGGGCTTATCCAACGCTAACCCGAATGGGGAAATCAGCTGTGATCCTCAGGGTCAATTCAATTTCATCTCTCCGGCGCTCTCTACTGTTCGGTCTTGGGTGCGCATATTCACATTGTCGCCTACAGGGGCTCAATCTGTACAATGCTGGATTTTATGGACTACATCCAGCTCTCCTTCGCCGAGGCGACCAACTGGAATCGCGACAATTCGTACACCTCTCTAACGACCACCGCTCAATGTATGTGATTGACGGTCGATCCTTTAGGGCTGTGGCATGCTTCAACTGTCGACTAACATATTTGGCGCAGCAATTCTTGATTTCTCAACTCCAGAGCGGTTACGCGTTCATCTTTCCTCGCTGTCCACGCCTCATTTCGCGACCAGTTATACCCTCGGCACCGTTGGATTACTCGATGGATCAGTATCCTATCTCTTCAGCACAGTCCCTTTCAACAACATCCCAAGTAGAAGCGCATTGATCCCGCTTCGCAAGATCTCCCCAGGCTATCGACAAGTGCAGGCGCCCACAGCCCCCGCACAAACCTGGGGATGGGACTCCCTACTAGACGGTGTGACAATTCCCGGGCTCAAGGAAGGGGACCGCAAGAATAGAGAGAGTAATCCAGAAGAAGAAGCCAAGCGCAAAGCAACTCTTCTCTATGCCTCCCTTCACCTCCCGCCTCCATCAACACTCTATGCGCTCTTCCTGCGCAGAATCTCGACCACCATGCAGCTATCCCTAGCAGTCTGCTCAACACAAGGACCACCACTGTCGAAATCTGCACCACAGGCTTCAATGCTCACACAATTATCCCACGACACAGGGAAGTACAGCAACGAGTACCTATTCAGCACAGACAACGCCCTCTTCGGCTGGCGCGGACTATGGAATTTCGGTCCAGATCCTCGATACACACGCGACGATGCGCCACCACCTTTATCTCTGCTATCCGCTGGCGCAGAGGCATACTATTCCCCAGTATCCTCACTAATCGGCATGTCAACGGGTCTCCGCTTCAGCACCTTACCCGCAGCCACCGAAGTCCCCTCATCCCCACGCTCATCCTCATCATCAACCTCAAAATCAAAATGCTCATCTACTCCAACACCAATCTCAACATTTCCCTACACACTAACCTTAACCCTAACCCCAGTAACAGGCTCCCTATCAACCACATACTCCCTCCGCGCCTCGCCCAACCTCGCCTTCAGCTCCTGCTTCGGCTTCAACGTCTACAGCTGGGAAAGCGAAATGGTAGCCGGTTGCGAACTATGGCGCCAAACCAAGAAGTCAAAGGACGGCGATGACGACGGTCTTGAATGGGCCCGCCGTAAAATGCGCCTGCATGATATCGGTGCTTCCCTGCCTGGCTCACCGGCCTCCCCGCTCCTAAATGACCCGGCTCGTCCCGAGTCCCCCGTTGAAAAGAATGACGAGGCGGAGGTTAGTGACTCTGTCATTAAGCTACGTGTTGATCAGTCCTGGAATGTGAGGTTGCTCTGGGAGGGTAGGGTGAAGGAATTGCTTGTGAGCGCTGGTGTCGGGTTAGGACCGGGTTCTTTCTCGCCGTCTCCTTCTCTTTCGGCTTCGGCGAGCGGTTCGGCCCAGAGTGGAGGCGGGGGTGCTGGGATGTCGTTCTGGCGCGGGGTTGGCGTGTCTGTGTTGTACTCGTCATAGGTGCGTGCTTTTGGCGCGGTTTTGTTTGACTATGGAGTACTCAGGTTGGGATAGCTTAATCGCTGTCGAGACGACGATTATGTGTTACCATGATATACTTTCATCATTGTACATAAGATTCATGACAATATATTTGACATTCCAAGCTTTTAATTTCTACCTGGCGCCTGTATCCCAGAGTTATCTCCTCTGGTTCCAATGTACTATGGGGTATTAATTTATTCAGAAATACCCTTAGATACGGGCGTTGATGATGTCGACGACTATGAATATTGTTAGGATCAACAGATATTTCACTTTGGGATATATAGATCAACTTACAGGCAGGCTTCAAGCTGGCACCGCCAACAAGGAAGCCGTCAACGTCGGGCTGGGTAGCGAGCTCACGGCAGTTCTTCTCGCTGACGGAGCCACCGTAGATGATGCGGACGCTGTCAGCAGCCTCAGCGGAGATAGTCTCGCTGAGCCACTTGCGGATAGCAGCGTGGACCTCCTGAGCCTGCTCAGTGGTAGCGACCTTGCCGGTACCAATAGCCCTGATAAGAACAGTTAGCTATGTTCCAATGGATGTATACAAAAGAAGAGGTAAGTTCATACCAGACGGGCTCGTAGGCAATGACGACCTTAGCCCACTGCTCCTTGCTGAGCTCCTTGGCGGCAGCGTTGAGTTGGCGGGTGACGACCTCGATGGTCTTGTTGGCCTCACGCTCCTACGAAAGAGTCGGGTATTAGCGGGATGCATTTAGAAAAGAAATAAAGTAATAGCCGACATAGTCCCGATGACCCACATCGGAACAAAAATGAGAAAACCGGGTTGAAATGACGTACCTCAAGGGTCTCACCAATGCAGAAGATGACGGAAACACCGCCCTCAACGGCAGCCTTGGTCTTGCGGGCAATGAACTGTTCAGTAGAGGTTAGTTGGGGGGTTCATGTTGGTATAGATGCGGATATTCGACGATCCGGGGAACTGCGGAGATGCATACCTCGTCGGTCTCCTTGAGGATGACACGGCGCTCGCTGTGGCCGATGACAGCCCAGTCGATCTTGGTATCACGGAGCTGCTCAACGCTGATCTCACCGGTGAAGGCACCGTTGGGCTTGTCGTAGACATTCTGGGCAGCAACGCCGATGTTGGAGTTGGCGAGCTCACGGGTCAGGGTGAGGTAGAGGGCAGGGGGAGAGATGACGACTTCGGTGTTGGAGTCGAGCTTAGCGGCGTTGAGATTCTTCACGATGCTGGTGATGCTCTCAGCAACACCGTTCCTGTATAGAGTCAATTGCGCATTCTTTCGCGGATGCAGTGATGACGATGGAGGGGTATCGACGCGGGGCAATGAAGCTCGATCTAACATACATCTTGAAGTTACCACCGACGAAGAATTGGCGAGGCATGATGATGTATGTGGAAGATTAAAAGGATGTAGAAGAAGGATGAAGAAAGTTGATACGAAGAGGAGAGTAGAAGGAGGGAGGGAAGTAGAATTAAATGGAGGGGCAGCTCGGGTTCTCGCCTGAAATATCGGGCAACATTTATGACATAACCGCCGATCTGACGTCCAAGCCATGCATCCGGCCCCATATAACTACATGCACCTCGGGGAAATGTGGAATAAATGTCTCATATGACACTGAACCTAACTATCTCAAGCGTATACTATACATTCTATCTAAAAAGGGCTACGCAACATAGACCTGATCGATCTTTATACCAAACGTCTAGCGTCTAGCCGAAAGACTTGTGAATGTTGACAAGATCACTCAGTCCCATTTATGTGATTTCTGAAAAGAGACAATTTGATAGAGAACACAAATTGCCCGTCGAAGTTCTCTCCTCCAATTTCATAACTCAATGACAGACACGAGGCGACTCAGATCCAGTTGAGCCTGAGCAAGTCGAAACAATCGCATCGAAGATATACAGTTAGTTCTGCCGACAAGAAAACTCGAAAGAAACCACAAGGAACAGAAAAGGCAAATGAGAGAAATCAATCAACTTCTCTCTTATCCCTGACTGCGCAGCGACAAGTACATCGACAAACCGGGGCAACATTTTCTTTTACGGATTGACGCTGCGCTGGCTCAAGGGCTTCATAATAAGATCTTTTAAGTCTCTTCTCTCGATGTCCAATGCTTGCCTCACGGTTGTCAAGAAGTTGGCTGCGTATCTCATTGTCATTGATCAGTTGCATCTTGTATCGCCTTCCAGACATAGATCCGCTGGATCTAGCCCTATCAAATCGCTTTGGACCGATAGTCTTTGCCGCAAGTACTTCAAATTTACTACGAAGCGGAATAACTCTCTCTCTTCTGCGGTCACCACTGCGACTATTTGAATTTGCACGGGTGTGGCTGGGCTCATGGCCCCGAGGGCTTCCAAGCCGAGGAATCTCAGGCTGTTGCATGGGTCGTACCTCTTGATGAGCGTTGTACGTGGATTCAGAGTCGTCCGTATCAGAGGTCTCGTCATATCTCTCGAACAACATCGAGTCGGCATTTGGATCACTGCTGCCATCAGATGACCAGCCCGAGCTATGCTCGAAGCTCATCTCGCTGCTGTCGGCAGGGCTAGGCGCTGGACTGTCCAATGCATTGTCGATGGTCCTTGACTGATTGGGTGCAATGCATTGTTGTTGCTTGCGTGCCCGGTGACTCGTGTCCACGCCAGGATCTGAATGTCTAGTCACAGAGCCTCCGGTTTTCGTTCTGATATGCATCTGGTTCTTTGGCATTTTCAGGAGAATGACATTCATGGTGACTGTCGCATATTCTCCATAGCGAGCATGAGGAGCCTCGGAAGGTTGTGAGATTTCTTTGGCATAGACACAACTCCACTCAACGTGTGGATTCCTGCGACGTTGTTCGTCGATTAGTTGGATGATATGCGCTCGTTTGGCGTTACATGATAGGTTTTGGTATTGTTGAGCCGCCGGCTTTTTACTGCCTCGTTTCTGAACCAGTTCAAAAAGTTCGTGTTGACTTAGATTCATTTCGGTTCGTTCCACACGGGTCCATGTTGCGCTTTGCCCTGAAACGGGGTCCGCTTGGGAATAAATGTACCCCTCATAGGCCGGAAGGTTTGGTTCAAAGTTGCCTACAGAGCTTTGCGGAAAAGTCTGAGAGCGGCCGTTGAGTTGCTTTGGCCGGCCTGGGCTTCCACTGTTGCTTTGAGGATGATATGAAGGGCTGTTAACAGTATCGCATTTCGGGATAGTCATTGTTTCTAGGTATCGGATGTAGGTTCAAGGAGGAGAAAGCAAAGGATCGAAAAGTCTTAGTATATTTCAATAGCAACAGAATTTGTCCTCTATTTATTTACAACTCTTTATACCTGGGGCTTATCCGTTATGCAGGTCAGCATTTCCAGCTTTACCCGGGCACATCAGCCTCATCATGGGGGCGATCCAACCACCCAACCATTAGCCTCAGCCAAAGACCGCAACTTCGCCCGGGTATTGCTTGGCCCTGGATTTATTCATGTTGTATAGTTTCTAACCTATATGATTCGTTGTCATTTGCCATTCACTGCCTTCGGCTCTCTGCGGTTAGGCATTGGTACTTGCCAGGGTCCTTTGATGCGTAGCCCTCTATATAACATGACCATGCCATCTAGTCCGGTGATCGTAGTATGACACGACTAGATAGCAGGCAGCTAATAAGCGCAGACAGCGCCGGGTTACCAGCGAGAAACTACATTTCATTCGAGAATCTCTGTGCTGCATGAGCGTGCTGCATGCCGAGGCGCACGAACAACATGATCATCGGGCTGCAGGATCATCTTCTCCATAATATGACTTTTAGGCTGGTGGGTCACCTGGTATGGCGAATACTGAGAAGACTATTTCATAGCTTTGGTAAGTTCAAATCTAGTAAGCAAGAATGGAGCAGCCCGCAGGAAGAAACAGCGTGTCAAAATGCTTGGTCTATTGACGGTGTGATGCTGAATGCTGGAGCATCCAAGTGTCCTTCTTCTCTCATTGGAGGCCAAATTCAACTGCGCCGTTAGCAACGTACACCTGCTAGATTTAGAATATGGAGCAGTCCACATAGGAGTCGAGGATATTTGAGGAAATAGAATAAGAAATGGAATAGATAGGCAACAGGACTGTCTTTCAAGAGAATGCTAAAAACAGCAAGACAACTAAGTTCAAATGAGGCTTGGAACAAAAAGTAATATTCCACCGAGGTCATCAATGGCGTAGAGGAGAGTCGTAATGTAATCATCGTCGAAGACTGTCCAGCCTTGCTTGCAGGTCATCATCGCTCGAATTACCTCCACCTCCACCGCCCCCAATAGCCTGCGCAACCCGCGTCTCGTTTACAGGGGCCTTCTGTATATCCGCTGGGGTTTCACCCAACTTGGGAGTGTGTTAGCTGGTATTCACCTATCAATGCCAGGGGGATACTTACCGATTGGTTTAAGTCGACACCGATCTCGTCCAGAACTTCCTTGACAATATCTTCCCCTTCCTCTTCTTCGCCTTCCATTCCGGTAGCTTCATCGATCGCATCGTCCATCATCTCTTGTCGTTGGTCCATAACGTCGTTCTCTCGTTCGAATTCCATGGCAATCCGTTGCAGCGCTGGAAGATTCATCTGTCTGTTCATACTTCCCAAAAGCATCGTGGCTCCCTTCATGGATTGCATCATCTGTTCATTGCTTCGAACGGTCTGGGAGGTAACAACGGTCAGCGCATGAAATGGAGGGGTAAGAGATAAGACCTTAGTCGTACCTGGATACGGAGAGAAATGGCCTGTAATTGCGTGCGCATTTGATAGAACTTTTGGATGTATCTGTTGTCATTTCTGATTAGCCAAGCTCATTGCGATCAATCAAAAGCTCTGGAGAACTGACCTCCGTGTCCGAACTAAGTCCTTGGCTTGGATCTTGCAGGCTCCGACCTGTCCATTTTTGGCGCTCTTCTTGATATCTTGCACCAATTTCTTCTCCTGGTTCTCCAGCTTCACGCGCTCTCGGTCAAGCTCACGCTGTGTTCGGTCCAAGGCACGCTGGTGTTTGCGCAGACGCTCGGCGGGCGTCATGCGCTTTCCGAAAGCCCACTCGACGATCTAAGAGACCCTGTGTGAGAAATATGGTCGTCATTGAAGGCTTCGAGTAGCTTACATTCATGGTGGTAGGTAACGCTGAGCAGTTAAGTTGAGCTGGGAAGTGGTCACAGGTATACAAACAGACAAGGCAGTGACATCAAGTGTGTAATATTACCGTTCTGTCATTGAATTACCGGGTCACATGGCTGCTAGTCCCCTTTGGGATCGACGTCATGAAACCTTGGAAATCATCGCATAAGCAAAATCAAAACATCCTTCTCTCTTGGATGGCTTTTTTCCACCATATATTCAGCCATGAGTCAGGAATATTACACCGGTGAGGGCTCCTCACGAGCTAGCTCGTCCAGGTTCCCAGGAGAAGAGGAGATTCGCGAAAGAAATCCGTTTTTTCCCCCGCCGACTTACATGACTGTGGGCAACGGTTCGACATCGGATAGCGCCACAGCTTTGATGACTTCTTTAAATCAAGATTCCGGATACGGAGGTAGCATTGCTGGCGAGGAAGACTCGAACGCCGCTTGGCGTGCAGGCTTGATGGAGGACAGGCCGACCCCGATACATACACCAACGCGTCCTGGAGAATGGAATCCTGCGGGTAAGTAACTCGAAGAGACACATGGCTGTCATTCATCCAGAAGCAAGCTGGACTAACGCGTCTCTTGCCTACAGCTGAACATGAGAAGCAAGTGGTTGCTAGTCATGTTTCGCAGCTTCTATAGTACGTTGAAACCTTCGCAAAACAATTGAGTGGAATAACTAGGCTCACTGTCTTTCAACAGCAACTCCAACCGAACCAAGCTTGGTCGCGCGATTTCCCGGACTATCGAGACATTGAGGGAACTCCAGGACATGAACCGCCAATGGCCCGCCCACTATCCTTCCGTTCAGAGCACACCGTCTTCCGCCGGAGACCGACCCCAGCTGCAGCAAACTCACTCGGAGTTCGGAAACGATGACAGCAGGCCTGACACCCCGCCTCGCCCGGATTTGAGGCGCGCAGCCACTATGGGTAGCGAAGAACTAGGAGAATCCAGTGCCGCGGCCCAGCGTCGCGTTCCTACGGAGCCCCGATTGATGACGCCACAAATTGCGCAGGAGTTTTCTATCTTGAAACTCGATCTAAAGCTTGGTGCTCTCTCGCAGGCCGAGCTGGTGCATTCTTTGGAAAAGGCTTCGATTGCTTCGCTGCTGGACGGTAAGATCAGCCAAAGCATGAAGCATCTTCTCTCATTGCGCGATAGAATCGAGGATACCTCTAGTAAAGTTCTGATTACAGGAGATTTGAATGCAGGCAAGTCAACATTCTGCAATGCTCTCCTGCGTCGCAAGGTGTTACCAGAGGACCAGCAGCCTTGCACTAGCATTTTCTGCGAGGTCCTTGATGCTCGTGAGAACTCCGGCATTGAGGAGGTCCACGCCGTGCACAAAGATACACCATACAACCGCAATGACGAGAGCAGCTTCGATGTCTATCCTCTCAGCGAACTTGAAAACATTGTCATTGAAAACACGAAGTACATGCAGTGCAAGGTTTATGTGAAGGATGTACGGACTATTGATGAATCTCTCCTCAACAATGGTGTTGTCGATATTGCTTTGATTGATGCACCCGGTTTGAACTCGGATTCTTTGAAGACCACAGCTGTCTTTGCCCGACAGGAGGAGATCGACGTTGTTGTCTTTGTTGTTTCCGCTGCTAACCACTTCACTCTTTCTGCCAAGGAGTTTATTTTAAATGCTGCGCACGAAAAGGCTTACATCTTCATGGTTGTCAACGGATTCGATCAAATTCGCGACAAGCAGCGCTGTGAGCGCATGATCTTGGATCAGATCGGCAAGCTCAGTCCTCGCACACACAAAGAAGCTGCTGAACTCGTTCACTTCGTTTCGAGTAATGCTATTCCTGTTGCGCCGGCTGCTTTTTCAGAGTCTGGCTCCGGAGGTGGTGACGGCGGTGGCTCTGATCCTCACGATGACGACGATGATAAGAAAGACCCCAAGGGCAAGGGCAAGGAGAGAGAGAAGCTCCAAGACTTCGAGAACCTTGAAGGAGCTCTGCGACGATTCGTCCTCGAGAAGCGTTCTCGCTCCAAACTTGCGCCTGCTAGGACTTATCTTCTTAACCTCTTGGCTGACCTCGGCTCCCTCGCTACCGTCAACCGTGATGTTGCTCAATCGGAGCTCAAGCGAGTCACCGATGAATTGGCAGAGCTTGAACCAGCTTATGAAAATGGTAAGAAGAGGAAGGGAGAGCTTGCAGAAGGTGTCAACAAGGCCATTGATGAATCATGCGATGATGTCTACAACCACACTCGTTCCACTTTGACCGACACCATCACGCGCGTCTCTGACGCAGACCTCGGTGTCCACTACCCAGGTCTCTTTTCGGCATTCCAATACGCGGAAGACTTGAAGTTGGCAATGCTCGATCAGATTGCTTCCTCTGTCACTAATTGTGAGGACTATGCCCGGGAGAAGACAGTTCAGGGAGTTGGTTTCATTCAGAATATCGGCCTCTTGCACATTGGCGAAGATAAGTTTACACCGCTCAACTTCCGCGCGGACGCGATGTTCCGTCGTGGTCGTCGCCACACTTTCGGCCGACAGGTCGACACCGAAGTTGAAATTTGGGATTTCTTTGACATTGCCGGTCTCTGGGAACGCCAGGAGAAGATGGCAGGAACCGGTGTTGCAATGACTGCTGTTACCGTTCTTGGCGGTAGGGCATTGGGTGGGTTCAGCTGGGTGGACAGTGCCCTGAGCGCTGTCAAGGTCATTGGCCCGAACAACGTGCGCCGGTTGTTCCTTCCCAGTCTTCTTGCTGCTGGTGAGTTTCGATCCATTCCTAACAGATCACCATTTACTAATCTTCTCATAGCTGTCCTTACCGCCGCTTATGTGCTCAACTCCATCCCTACCACTCTGCCGCCACGTTTGTCACGGAAGATAGCTGCAACTCTCAATGAGATGGACTATGTTCACTCGAATGCCAACCGAATCTCAACTGAAGTTCGTCGCATGCTGCGCATGCCTGCTGGCAATCTGCAGACCAGTCTTTCTCAGGACATCGAGGACCTCGGCAGACGCAAGCAAGAGGTCACCAAGATCAAACAGGAAAGCGACGTTGCCACTAAGTACTTCTCGAACCTGTTCCGTGAAAGTAATGACAACCGCCGCTCCGTCGAGAATTTGGATCTTGATGCTCCTCTGCCTGGCGGAATGGCCGCGGCAATGGAATAATCCTCGACTCGCCTTTGTACAACCACTGATGATTCCTACGAACTTTCTTTTCTCCCCTTTCCTTTCCATGCCCTTGTACAATTTGCATGTCTCACTTTCTCTATTTCCTTCTTTTCACTTTTTCTTCTGCAGTGTTCCTCTACCCAGGTCCTACAGCCGTCCCTGTCTTGGAGTTATCTTTCCTCGTCGACTTTTCTTGTATTTCGCGGCGTGGTGGCGTGCATCAGAGGAAGTGCAATTTTTATCCAAGATTCCCACCTGAATTGAAATTGCGTTGTTTTCCAACAGACCCAACCCCCTGTTCCCCTTACCCACCTCCAATTTTCACCCAAAATATCCAAGGCCTGTTAGAGGCCTACGCTATGCACGTAGAGTTCGAGAATGCAGTTTACATGTCCATCACTTCTCTTGTCATGGCCTGTCCTACGATAAGGGTACTTTACTTGTCACATTGTGCGTATGCTTAATGCTCAAATAAATTGCGTGATCGCTGCCAAATTCTAGATATCGCTCGCCCAAACCAATAGATAGACCAAAGAGGGCGCCATTCGCAATGCAATGCCATGTTTTCGCCGATAAAGAAAATGCAGTGGAAAAAAAGAAAACATGCCTCCATACCACATCCACATACCCATCAAACATCACTCACTCGTCATCATCAAGTTTAACAGGTTGCTTCCTGGTCCTCCGTCCAGACGCCCATCCAATATCCTCCAGCTCCCGCACCTCCCCAACAAGCACACCAGTCCTATCATTCTTCTTATTAGACACCTTGCCAGCAGTTTTGAGGAATTGAGCTCTCATAGCTGCTGCGTCTGGATCCTCATAATCCAACTGTGTCATCTGGGGTTCCCGATATTCCTCGTCTTCCTCGGTATGCGCCGGTCGATCATGAAGAAAATCGAATTTCCCACCGCTGAGCATGGACGATAGACTCTGTTCAACGCGACTGTTGCTTCTAGACATGGAGTTGTCTCGTGTTGGGTTGGCGCTTTCGATTGCGCTACCCAGGCCGTCGTCGTTTAGTGTATCGATTGAGCTAGCGCGTGAGACGGTGGCCGGGCCATCTAGCATTCGATTTGAAGAGGCGCGGCCGAGCAGGGGTTTGCGCTTTCGTCGTTGTGGGTAGCTGCCGTCTGCATTTGTTGTTGTGCTTTCGGACTGCTGGCGTGACTTTGCTGCTCGGGCTTGTTGGAGGAGTCCGCTTAGGGCTGTGTCGAGGGCGGATGGGCCTGGTGCTAGTGCTGGTGCTGGGTCTGCGCTTGGCGTTGGTTGTTTTGAGTTCATTTCCTCTGTGACTGGTTTCTCTAGTGCCCTGTCTGGGGATGGAGAGCGGGATTCTGGGACTGACGGTTTGGGTGCGTCATCTTCGAAGCCATCGCTGATGACTGGTACTGTTCGGTTTGAATCGGTCCTCTTCAGATCTCGCTTCTCGGTGCTGTACTTTGTTGATTTGGCGGAGAGGTTGGATGGGATACTTTCTGGTCGTTCACCGTCGTTATGGGGTTGTTTTCGCTTTGTAGACGCAGCGTTGGATTTATCTGCGCTGCTGGGATTTTGAGATATTCCTCGTCGGACAAGGTATGGATCGACTGGTTTCTTTTGGCCAGTTTGTATAGATATCCAAAGCCAGTCGGCAGACACTGCCGGCACTCCCCATTCGGCCGTGTGCCGTAGCTTGTCCAAGCTCGCTGTTTGAGGATCATTGCATATGAGGATTGATGCTTTTTCGGTGAGGTAGTCGCCATAGGTTGCACCCATCAACATGACCAGTTTGCGTACATGTAGAAGATCGATGCCTACAAAGCCGGTAGAGCATATGCGCATTTCCGAGAATCCTATGTCTGTTAGAACCATATTCTATGCTCATTCCACTAATATCATTCTTACCTGGTATAGGGAACTTCGGAAAAGGTGTGCTTGCGACGTGAGACTCTGGTGGAACAAAAGCTTTGGCTCCAATGCATCTTTCTAGCCACATTTCCGTGACAACCTCACATTCAAATGCCATATCATCTGTTGAAGGAATATCCGGCCTGGGAGTCTGGTATGGCACCATGATGTACAGCCCATTCCCTGTCTTGGGGATACTAGGGCTAGAAAACTCGCTCAGCGAGTTCACTAGCTGAGCTCCATTATAGGTGAGATGATCGCGCAAAACGTCCATCTAGGATATGTTAGCTAAAGCGTCGGAAAACAAAGTCTACGGGCACAGACCTGTTTGGAAGAGAATCCTTTAATGAAGAAGTACGTCTTGTGTAAGAAACCAATGTCTTTGGGGGGCTTAGCTGGCTTCTGACTAGTATCCGTGTTCTCGGAGAAGGTAGTCTCGCTGGCGAATGACTGATATGCCTGGATAACAGGCTTGGGTGCCTCGGGTCCTCGTCCTTGGGGTGTTGTCTTAGGCCCGTTTGCTAGAATATTGTCGAATGCCGTTCCAACAATATCGCCCCAGATGCTTTCATTCTGGCCCACCAGCTTGGTACTTGCGATCCTGCGTAGTTTTCTAGGTCGTGGGTTCATGGGATTCTCTTTTGTGGCAGGGTTGTCCTTTGTAGAGGGCTCCCTCTCCATTGGCGCGGTTCGATTCCATGCACCAAGACCTTGTTCTGCTGGTGGGACTAGCGGGTGGTATCTCTCTTCACCAAGGATCATTCCACGCTCGATGCTATCGGTGAACCATTTGACGGAGACGACTTTGATGTTCCATTGTGTTGCGAATTTATATTTCTCACCGTCGGGATTGCGCGCAATAAGATGGGTCACGGATTTCGTCAGGTCTTTCCGGTATTCAGCTCCATTCTCCTCTGTGGTCTTCTGCATGTAGGAACGGAAGGGAACTGTAGCACCTTGGTTAGCATTGCTCCAGGCGGAATCATGGCAATCGGCTAACTCACGATCTGAGAATCCAGTGATACATATCTTGAGTCCATGCAAAGTGGCCAATTTATATTGTATCTCCAGCGCGTGGATGTCTATATCCTCGCCCTTTGTCCATGACTCTCGAACAGCCTCGATCCAGTCTGGGTTCATAGCCACCACGTCATTTCGTTCCCTCGCAACAAATCGGTACTTGTCGCTGTTCGTGTCACCCACGAGTAAATGGGTTACATCCGAGGTAAGGTGGACACTGTGCATCGCGCCCATTTGTTCCGCCATTTGGGTCAGTTGAGTCTGCGCAACGAACACGCGGGTTAGCCTGTCCTTGTGGTTTTGCAAGAAGATCGGGTCTTATTTGACATACCCTTTGCTCAATTTGGACTGACGTAAAGCAAATGACTACACCCGTCAGAGGGTAGTCTTTGTCTGTATGGTCTGTTAGCAACGCAAGTCCGATGTTGGAGAATACAGGGACTCCACGCACTCAGAGCTGCCATGTCCGCCATTCTTCATGGTCGCAGAGGTCAGTCCGCGTCATAAATGGCGTCTTTTTTGAGATGCTTCGGCGATTGGTTGTTGGTATCGTTGGCTTCTGCATTCTCGTCCCGCGCGTTTTGCGGCGATATGCGATCACGTGATGTCGCGATCTCCTGCATATGCCTGGGGCTAAGTGCGAAGATGTTATGCACTTCGATTAGTTACTACTAGAATATCTTATATCTTCCTCGAGTGTAATTCTATGTTCAGCATTTTTATATTTGACTGTAGTGTTGAGAAACGTGTACATATTTTGAGCATGGCCTGAACTATATATTTTGGCTCATGGGTACATCAACATGATATTATGGAGTTACATTGATGGTAGAAATACCAAAGGATCCCAAATATAAATACCGAGGCAGGAAAGCCCTTGACGTCCATCTCTACAATAATTCATCAAACACGGACTAAACTTTCAACGTTGCTTGTTTATACCCCAGATTCAGTAGTTAGATATATCCTTATCAGTCACGTGCGATAGTCGCGTCTAAACGCGTTGGTAGAAAATCAAGTCCGAATCCACCGCGACACTCATCGCTGTTTGTTTCCCGCTTTCAATTATATGCATGTTGCGATTTCCAGGGCGCGGGGCACACACAGGTTAGAAACACTCTCTTTACTGCGCCCAAAGAGACTCACCTCATCTTCGTACTCATCATCGCCTCGACCCACTCCAGAGCAAGTGACAATGTTCAAGAAGGCCGTGAAAGATGCTCCCACTGGAGGGACCTCGAAAACGCTTCAGTCCAACCTACTGCGGACCAACATACATGCCTCTCCAAATCCAGCCCCACCACAATCTGTCGGAGTCAAACGAAAAATCGAGGTGGCCCATAATGGAAATTCTGCGCTAGGATCTCTCCATAGCGCGGTTTACTTCGATGAAAATGACTTTGATGATGATATCGACCTCGACATTGATGAGCCGCAGCCATTGATCACATCAAATGGTGCTAACCTCAACAACTCGAAGCCAGTCACATATCCAAGTCTTGATAACAACTCCGCCAATCCAACGGATGTCAATTACCCGGATCTACCACCTGTCTCCCAAGAAGACCAGGCACCCCCGAGCAGTATGCAGTTCCCGTGGTCTTCATCACCTCCTTCCCACTTCCAACCTCCGCCCAAACCTCGAACTCTCCCCTGGCTGCAGGAAGAGAAGGAAGAACCTCCCCGCATGAAGAATAGCCATATCACACCGAAACGCTCAAAGCCCACCGACTTCTGGAACAAGTCTGCGAGTGCCATCAAGGAGGAGCAGAAAGAGCTACGTAAGGAATACAAGAAGAACCAAAAGCCCGAGATCAAGCCCCAAAAGCAAGGCCGCACAAAGGTTGCGTCTATCTTCTTGAGTGATGAGCAAAGAGCGGTTCTTGATGCAGTTGTCGATGGCGGAAAGAGCATATTCTTCACCGGTTCCGCAGGAACAGGAAAGTCGGTCCTCATGCGAGAGATCATCCAGAAACTGCGCATAAAATACCGCAAGGAGCCAGATCGCATTGCGGTCACGGCCTCCACCGGCCTTGCGGCCTGTAACATTGAGGGCGTCACCCTTCATAGTTTTGCTGGTATTGGTTTAGGCAAGGAGGCAGTCCCTGAGTTAGTCAAAAAGGTGAGCTCTTTTACCATGCACAGAAGCTCTTGATTTGATGCTGACAACCCACAGGTCAAGAAGAACCAGAAGGCTAGGAATCGCTGGCTGCGTACCAAGGTTCTTGTTGTTGATGAAGTGTCCATGGTTGATGGAGATCTTTTTGACAAATTAGAAGAGATTGCCAGGCGCATTCGCAACAATGGTCGGCCATTTGGAGGAATTCAACTTGTCGTTACAGGTGATTTCTTCCAACTGCCACCGGTGCCTGAAGGAAGTAACCGCGAGGCCAAATTTGCCTTTGCGGCAGCTACTTGGACTACTTGTATTCAGCATACCATTCTTTTGACGAATGTTTTTCGTCAAAAGGATCCGGAGTTTGCGGACATGCTGAACGAAATGAGATTGGGAAAGATTAGCCCTCGCACGATCGATGCTTTCCGAAAGCTTTCTCGGCCGCTAGATTTCCATGATTCGCTCGAGGCAACAGAACTGTATGTTCGTCAGTTTCATGTTTGAAAATACAATACTGACAATAGATAGGTTCCCTACTCGCGCTGAAGTGGAAGGGGCCAACTCCGCACGAATGGGCAGACTTTCTGGTGAGATGATGATGTTCAATGCCGTCGATTCCGGAACAATCCAGGATCCCCAGCACCGTGAGAAGCTATTGTCAAATTGCATGGCCCCTCCTCTCATTCAATTGAAGAAGGGTGCTCAAGTGATGCTCATCAAGAACATGGAAGAATCCCTTGTGAATGGTTCAATTGGACGTGTGGTGGCCTTCATGAGTGAAGAATATTTTGACTCATATCGGGAAAATGACAAGGAATTTGCTGAAGATGCAACTGCGAGCGATGAAGAGCGCGCTATGCGTGCCAAAAAGAAGCTCAAGCCCATGGGTCACAAGGAAGGGCCTGCTTCTGTGACTCGGAAATGGCCATTGGTGTGCTTCATGCAACCCGACGGATCAGAGCGCCACCTGCTATGTCAACCAGAAACCTGGAAGATTGAACTTCCCAATGGAGAGGTGCAGGCTCAACGCCAACAAGTTCCACTAATCTTGGCATGGGCTTTGTCTATTCACAAGGCCCAGGGACAGACCCTTCAGCGAGTGAAGGTTGACCTTGGCCGAGTTTTTGAAAAGGGCCAGGCATATGTTGCCCTCAGTCGAGCAACATCGCAAGAGGGATTGCAGGTCACTCGATTCGAGCCCCGCAAGGTAATGGTACATCCCAGAGTTGTGGAATTCTACAATAACCTGGTCTCGATCACACAAGTCATTAAGTCCAAATCCAAGCCAACGAGTGCCTTTAACCCTGAAGACTTCGACGATGACGAGTTCTGATCATATATAACGTTGAACCAGGTGTTGGATGGCATCGTTTTTTTTTTGCAACTCATGTTCCATGGAATATTTATGGCATGATAAGAGACTATTGATATCCAATGCTATCTGGAAGATATATTATCAAGTGTAAGCATGAGACCGTTTTCTCACAATAGGGTTATAAGTCTTCTCACACCTATATAATATCTAGATGGTGAGCCGCAGGAACTCAAAAAAGGGCAAAAAGAAGAGATGAAGTAGGAGAGGCAAAGTAAAAACTTAAATATATTCTGCATAGAAACCGTCCAATAGCTATTGTTGTAACCATAGCAAACATCGCTATCGTCACAGCCCTAACGTCACCCCACTCATTATCGATAAATAGATAACCGATAAGCAATCACACGTGACTTACCGATTGAGCTGCCCGACAGCTTCTCATCCCATCTTGATCTGATTGATCTACGCCAGTCATATACCTCACCTCTACTTGATTGATGCTTGCACCGGTTAACTGAAGCTCGATAATATCATGGCTTCCGAGTTTATTGGCTACAATGTGTCTCTGACCTTAAGAGAACCCCCGGGCGCAAAGTTGCTCGGCCAGGTCGCCAACGTAATCGGACAGCAGCTACTACTTCAGCATGGTGAGACCAAGATCAGATATCACTGCTAAATTCAATAACTTACCAAAATATAGTTACGCTCTGGAATGGCCAGTGTCTGCCCCACTTCACCATTGACGCCTCTGTCATCATTGACCTTAACCTGGAAGCGAATACTTCAGCCCCTTCGCAGCAGCACCATGTCCCTCAACCTCAAGCTCAGCATCATGTCACAGTTCCCAAAGCCTTTGCCCAAGCGCCCATTGCCCAGCAACAATTCATGGACCCGGCCATTCTAAGTTTCTCCAAAGGCTCCCCTATGAATGCCAACCAAAACGCCGAGAATAACCCACCGAACCTGAGACATCAAGCAGTGCCTGACGTGGTCTCAGCTTCCTTGACCGAGCCTTTTAGCAGCTTGGAAGTGAACACAGAGGGTGGCAAGGCCGGACCCCAGAAGCCCGTTCAGAAGCAACTGCTTCAAAGTCCCCAGGAATTGTCACCTATCAAGCAGACCCCAAAGCGCAATCGCCGTGCCAACCAAGTAAAAGAGGATCAGGGATATGTTAGCAAGCATGGTGCCGCAGCAAGTACCAACCCGAAGAGCAAGGGCTGGCGTCAAACTGCATTTGTGGAACCAGCGGGCCCTGCATTCCAAGATTCACCCGAGGTGGTTACCCGGCCTGGAGCGAAACTCCGCAAGAAGAGATCCCGCCGCTATGCAGAGGATCCCAGTGACTGGGCTACTGAGGATGCAACTGACATCCAGGAGCTTGGCGAATTTGACTTCCAAAGTAACCTCTCTAAATTCGATAAGCGAACGGTGTTTGAGCAGATTCGAAATGATGACACAACCGCAGACGAAGCACGTCTGGTTAGCTTCAACCGCAAAATCAAACCTGGTACCAATGGCGGAAAAAACCTACACTGGACAGAGAATGTGCTTGATAGTCCCCAGAGCAGTGACTCTGATGGTGACATCGAAGGAATAAGTGAGATGAAGTTGAGCAATGATAACCTGCCTGGACGGGAACGGTCTAGAGGATCGTCGCATATCCAACCTTCTCGCAAAGACAGCGCTGTTCAGGCCCAGCCAATGGTACCCCAGCTCAATGCACTTGGCCGCAGCCAACTCCATGTTAATATTTCTCGCACCACGAGTCCCCGCCCAAGTCGATCCTCAGCATCACCCATGATTGCCCCTAATGTTTCAGGTGTTGGTTCGCTCAGACTCACAACCACAAATCGCAGCTGTCCTACTGTGAGTCCTTTGCAGACTCTAGAGATCGAACAGATTTCCGTGGCCGAGTTTGGCATCGCCGATGAGATCATCACCGAAAACGCAGGCCGAGGTATTGCAGAGGCTGCTGTGTCTCTTCTTTCTAACGATGCTGCTGCACCCACTATCCTGATAATCACCGGTAACCATCGCACTGGAGCTCGGGCTATTGCCGCTGCTCGTCACCTCCGCAATCGGGGTCACCGTGTGACCATGTGCTTGCTAGGTCTAGAGCACGAGGCTGAATTGCTAGAGAACTGCCGCAAGCAACTCGATATCTTCCGCAAGATCGGAGGACGGGTACTCAAATGGGAAGAACTGTCCGCTCGACTCGCTACCGCAGACTTGGGCCCCGATCTGGTCATTGATGCCCTGTTCGGTATGCACCTTTCATTTGACGACCTCCGCACCGACGATCAAGGTGTCGCCTTTGAAATGATTTCCTGGATGAACCGGAGCAACGTCCACGTTCTTTCAGTGGACGTCCCGTCCGGACTCAACGCCTCAACTGGTAAGTGCACTTCGAAGCCCATATTTCGAAAAAACACGACTCACACGACTAAACCCGCAGGCGAGATGACCCTAGCCGAAGGTGGCCGACTTTGTGTGAATGCCACTTCAGTGGTATGCCTCGGCGCCCCCAAGACCGGTGTCCTGAATGCCCTTCTTTCAGGCGAGAGATTATCCTGGAACCTTTCGGTTGCCGACATTGGAATCCCGCAGATTGTCTGGAGGAAGTATGGCACTCGCCGTCGACACGGAATCGACTTTGGAAACAAGTGGGTGGTTCCCTTGAAGTTCCAATCCCCGCTCCCCTAAAAATATCAAATCCCCACTCATATGAACTATCATGATCCACATGTCATAAAAGGCGTTTTTCAATTCTCAGGCTGGGCCATTCAAGCGTGGGGGGAGCTGCTGGCTCGTTTTGCAGGCGTTCTGTGCAGGCCTCCCAGAGGCGATGCTACCACTTGTATATGTATGACTACCTAGTGGACTGGTTTCTCTGTATGATTACTCTGTCAAAATGATAAAAGATTACAATTTAACTTCGTCCAACGGTGTAATCATCGTGAAATGAGGCTTGAGTCGTCCTCCGAGTGGGATTTAAGTGGCAAGTAACGTTCAAGTAAGACCTTGTATATATGTGCCCTTTGAGGAACTACTGCTTCTTTATAGAGAACCGCCATCTTTTTCTCCCTTATAGGAGTCCCGCGTTCATCTGCCTATCTAGTATTTAGGATACCAAGGAGTTAACAGACATTTCAATGTAATTTAAAAGTTTTCGTGTTGCTCAAGTCCAACATTGGCGATATACTTAGGCTCAAATCCACTAGCCCCAAAGCGGTAAGCGTCCTTCCATCGTCATTCGATCTCCGAAGCCTACGAAAGATCGCGCTGGAACAAGCTCAATCTGCAACAATGGGAAAAGGTATATCCTCACATGATCGACCCAATCTACCAAATTGAAGTTAACATTATCTACAGGAACAGATAAGCTCTACGTATGCAACGCCTATCATCACCCCAAAGCTCTGCGCGCGCGCGCAATCGCATGTCGAATCCACGCTAACAATCACGTTCCATATAGATCACACACTCAGAGTGGGCATCTGAAGATGCTTTCTCCGCCAGCGCAGGCGCAGGCGTCTCCAAGGCCAAAAAAGGTGGCCCGCACGCCGCGTTCAAACGCCTGCCATTCAATTTCTGCTCCCTCTCCCTCCAACCGTTTTCGCATCCAGTCTGCACACCCACCGGCACGCTATTTGACCTCACAAATATTCTGCCGTGGATTAAAAAGCATGGGACGAACCCTGTCGATGGGTCGCCGTTGAAGGGATCCGACTTGATTAAGTTGACTATTGCGAAAAACGAGGACGGCGATTACGTTGACCCGGTGACATTCAAGATTTTGACTGATAACACGCATATCGTTGCGCTACGGAATACTGGAAATGTGTTCGCTTGGGATACCGTTGAACGATTGAACATCAAGGGCAAATTGTGGCGTGACTTGGTCACTGACGATGAATTCAGTCGCAAGGATATTATCACGTTGCAGGATCCGCAGAATATCGAGTCTCGGAATCTCAGCTCATTCAATTACATCAAGGAAGGGGAGACTGGACTTGTTGAGGAACAACAAGCTTCGGGCAGCGTCAACACGGGTGCGCTTGGTAATGCGGCGAAAATCTTGAAGGCGAAAGAGGCGGTTGCAAAGGCGCGCTCGGAACGCGCTCAGCAGGCTGGTTCTGCTGCGGCTGGCACTAAGGCTGTTTCAAAGACCGGAGCTGGAAATTCAACGACCAAGGCTGGAGGGTTGCAAGGCGGAAAGCCCACGCCCTACAATGCTGCCAAATTCACTACCGGAAAGGCTGCTGCTTCCTTTACTAGCACCGGTCTGACACCCCACACATCTGCCGAGCTTGCCCTGCTATCAGAGGAAGAATACATGCTGAAGCGTGGTCGGGTGAAGGGTAAAGCTTATGCTCGGATTGTGACTACATCCGGACATTTGAACTTGGAGCTGTATCCTGAATACGCACCAAAAGCTGTGTGGAACTTCATTCAGTTGGCTAAGAAGGGGTACTACAAGGATGTCCCCTTCCACCGCAATATCAAGGGCTTCATGCTCCAGGGTGGTGATCCAACTGGAACCGGACGAGGTGGTGAGAGTATATGGGGAAAGTACTTCGCCGATGAGTTTGAGGGTCCCTTAAAGCATGATGCCCGAGGAACACTAAGTATGGCCAACAAGGGCAAAAACACAAACAGCAGTCAATTGTGAGTATCTTTCAACGCTGCAGGTCAATTCCTTGCTAACTTGCAATACCAGCTTCATTGCTTACCGTGCCCTTCCTCACCTCAACCTCAAACACACCATCTTTGGCCGTCTAATCGACGATCCTACCCCTTCGTCTACTACCTTGAACGCGCTAGAGACTCACCCCGTCGAATCATCCACAAACCGGCCAACCCCCGACATCCGCATCAAGGAAATCACAGTCTTCGTCGATCCATTCGAAGACTTCCTAGCCCAAAGACGTGCAGAAGAAGCGCGGAGCTCGGGGGCCCTTCAGCCTGAGGAAGAAGAGGAAGCCTCGCGTCGTGCGGACGATGACCGTGTCACTTGGACTGGAAAGCGAGTTCGCGGTGCTGGTGCTGAAGCCGGCGATGGTGGCTCTGGTGGTGTTGGAAAGTATTTGAAAGCCGCCTTGGCAGATCGCGATGGACAGGAGGAGGATGAGATTGTTGAATATGTAGACGAGGAGCTGGTGCCTGAGCCTGCTCGTAAGAAGGCTAAGGGATCTGGAGGCTTTGGTGATTTTAGTTCGTGGTAACTTGATGAATGTATTACTTCGATCTCATATCATTAGGAGTCTTGTACAATGACAATCTCTTCTTTGTGTATGACAATTAGTATTCAAATGGTCATATGTTGACTTAGATTCGAGAAAAGTATCGATGTCTGTTGGTACTATACGAGAGTCAGCTTAAATATCTTACAGGATTCGGGACCTAAGCCTTTCAGGCACGCTGCATTCGTAAGCTGTAATCCTCAAAATGCTTTCTCGGCGTCGTTGTTCTAGACATAGATCAAAGGCTAAATTTTATGGAACATGAGATAATGTCTTTAAGATGAAACATCAAATTGCAAACCGGATTTCACCTCGGAGTTAACATTTAGTGGCGAATAGATGCATAGAGTAGAGACATCTGATCCATAAACCAGGCATATGCAGATAAAAGAGATAAGTCGTGCATGATCATCAGTAGATATGTTCTGGCTCTTTGTGTACAGTAAACTTCGTATTGTTTACTACTCGAGATATCGAGACTTTTTTCTATCAGCTTCCGTCACCCCGGATCTATACATGGACAGCCTGTAGTAAGCAAGCATACGCCGTACCTAGGAACTTAGCATCCATTGATAGGTCAGACACAGGTTGGATATGCGAGCGCGGTATGATTTCTGATTGCCTCCTAAAAAATATAGACAATAGGCTACAGACAAAAGCATACAGACAATAGGGGCATAGAAGTACAAGCGTCATCGACCAGATGCGGATCTGATTAAGGAGATACCCCATACCCCGTACTTCGTATACATATAGACACATACTGCAGGGGAAGAGACACCAGCAAGATCGCAATAAATGCCCCTGAACTAAATAGTTCCTCTAGTTCCTCAGTCTTGGCTCAACTCCGCTCTGCCGCTTGAGCCGTAGAGGGCGGAGCTCTGGAAATTAGGAGCTGGTTTTCCTCCGGATCGCATCATTTCTTACTTTTGACTTCTTCACCATTCACAACTTCTTGAGTTTGATTTTGATTTTGACTTTGATTTCTACTTCTTCATTATAGTAAGTTTGTTCCGTGTCTCTCTACTATCCCGATTCTCTCTGGTGGGGTTGAGCCAAGATGAACCAGGATGCGCATCGACTGGATGCCAGGCACCGGATATTGGAGGCTCTTGCACAGGATTTGATTGATTATCTTGAAGCTTGCAATACTTCACTTGACATTGGGGTTGAGGTTGTCTGAAGGCAGCGCGCTTCCCCTCCTGTATCGTGATCGATTATGCGCCCCAATTGATCACACGTCACCTCTCCATCTTACTTTGCTTCTCTCATCTGTTCGATTTCAAAAACTCATTGCTGATGTCTCCAGGCTTTGCAGCCTAATCCCTCCGCTTCCGTCCTCGACCGACCCTACGTCAGTCTCGCCCCGTCTTCACCCCGCCCATACCCAACCCCCAAGCGTTTCCATCCTTGTGAAAGGATTCAATCAAGCTGGCAGGTAATAAGCGCCGCAGTTTTTCTTCGCAGGGTGGGTTGCTGAACAGGATGTTCAGTGGCTCCTCGAGCCCACCCAAAGATAAGATTGATTCACTTCCGGAGACTGGCATCGACAACTCCTTGACCCTCCAAACCGACACCAGCGCGCTCAGCTCTAGCCCGCGCGACAAGAGATTCTCGCCCCCAGGTGCTGGGTTCTTCACTCGCCGACAAAGCGACGACCAGGGCCCTGCAGCCGAGAAGAAGCGCCGAAGCAGTACCGTGACTAAAGCGGCCAGCTTCTTCAGCAACGCGAAGAACTCCCTCAGCTTGAACGGCCGAGATAATTCGCTTAGCACTAGCCCTTCGATCGCCGAAAGCCCGCTACAGAAGCTCGGCAAGATGGACCCAGCACTCAGCGTCCCTCAAGGGTCTTTCAATAACTCTGCCGGAGAATCCGTACCGACCGCTCGGTCATCCTTCCGCGTTGGTGTCACAGAAGACCGGAATCGCAAATGTCGCCGGACTATGGAAGATACACATGCCTATCTCTACAATTTTCTGGGCACCCCCGCGCCGACTGCTCCGGACATAAATGGGAACGAGGGCCCCGGGCCCAATGAGTCGCAGGTGTCGGAGGATACGTCGCGTGCCGTTGAAACAGACAATGGATACTTTGCGATCTTCGATGGACATGCTGGAACCTTTGCCGCAGAGTGGTGTGGTAAGAAATTGCATTTGATTCTCGAGGAGGTCATGCGCAGAAGCCCCAACACGCCTGTTCCCGAATTGCTCGATCAAACGTTCACCAGCGTGGACCAGCAGCTCGAGAAGTTACCCGTTAAGAACTCTGGGTGTACGGCGGTCACAGCCGTGCTTCGCTGGGAAGATCGTGTACCCAGCTCACAATCCGCAACTGGATCCGCTGCCCTCGCCCCGGCCGCAGCGGCCGCATCAAAGGGAGACACAAATTCGGAGAATACGGAGACTCCTACTCAAGATGCACCGTCTACTGTTCTGCCGAAGTTGCAGGATAAGGCTGTTCGACAGCGAGTCTTGTACACAGCCAATGTTGGCGATGCCCGCATCGTATTATGTCGTAACGGGAAAGCACTCCGGCTGTCATACGATCATAAGGGTAGTGATGAGAACGAAGGCAAGAGGATTGCCAACGCCGGCGGGTTAATCCTGAACAACCGCGTCAACGGAGTTTTGGCTGTTACTCGCGCCTTGGGTGATGCATACTTGAAGGACCTTGTTACCGGGCATCCCTACACAACAGAAACAGTCATCCAGCATGATGCCGATGAGTTTATCATCTTGGCTTGCGATGGTGTAAGTTCCGATCTACACGTCATGATGATAAAGAAAGTTAACATATTCAATAGTTGTGGGATGTCTGCAGCGACCAAGAAGCCGTGGATCTAATCCGGAACGTCCAAGACGCCCAGCACGCCTCCAAGATCCTCGTCGACCATGCCCTGGCACGATTCAGCACAGACAACCTGTCATGCATGGTAATCCGACTGGATTCCAACCGCGTCAAAGACGTCGTCACCAACAACGCAGACCTGATCGGCGTAGATGGGGATAACACAACAGTATCGCAAGGCATAAGCGAAGCTGACAAGATTGTCGAGGGAGCAAAGAAGAACATTGCAGCCTCAGGCGTGGCAGACGACCCAGCAGCAGCAGAGAAGGCCAACGAAGAGACTCTCCAGAAGATGGCGAATCGCAACGCACTAGAAGAGCCCGGGCCCGAAATGCATGTTAACGAGAATAATAGCCTTCCCTCTGTGGACATCCTGAGTCCCAGCAAGGGCTCTTCGGGCCAGACTCAGTGAATGTATGGTGTATGACATGTCACGAAAGCCAAAAACCGCTGAAGCTGTGAATGCGGATTGATTAGATTGTATCTACTTCTTTCTTTCACGTTTAACGTTTTACCCTTTGGTGTGTGCTTCGGGGCGCAATGTACCAGAGCTGAATTTTCTTTTCTTTCGCTCTGGAGTTTTCTCTGAATGTCGCTTCTTACATTGCACTTTGCACATTGGCGTCAAATTATGAATTGCGGTTATCCGCTGTTTTTTCTTCTTTGAGATTCTTCTTTTCCAACTTTGTTTAGTAAGATGCTAGACCTGGCTGTCTGGTCCTCTATTGTTAGCAAGAGTTTTTATTCATTATTTTGATATTGACTGGATTTGGCTGTATTAAATTAGGCTCTACTTTTGTTTTGAATACGTACCATAACGGTTTAAACAATAAATGCTTTGATCTAGTGGTGTGTAGTATATGCTTGTAACCAACATGATTTGATATATCTAAAAGTACAATTTATGCAACGAGGAGTGCTCGAACAAGCTAGACAGAACACAAAAAGAAAATATAAATAGCACCATCCTGCAAGTCCTGAGCGGAATAGAAGTAGATATCAACACATGAATGTCTCTTGCCCTGCTCTAGAACGAAGAAAGGCAACGGATTGGGAGTATCAGGACCAGAGCAGCACCAAGCCTCTATTTCCAGTTCTCTCACTTAGCCTTAGCCTCTTCAAAGGCACCATCAGCAATGACTTCGTCGGACTCATTGCCCTGCTCCTGAGAAATCACATGGTTGCGAGTCCAACGCAATTGACCATGCTGGACAAAGCCAGGCCAGTGCTTGGCGTACTGCGGAGAGTAAACATCTTGCCACAGAATCTTCACGCTGCCATCATCAGGCGTGTTCAGGTCTGCAGCAATCTCAACGTCTAACTGCTCCTCCAACGACACAACCTCAGCCGCGCGTTCCTCAGCAGCTCCTGCGAGCTTCTCCCGAGCGACCTTTTGACGATGACGGCGCCTCTGAGTGCGGTATGCGGCCAGGAAACGCTCGGGCGAACCGTTCAGAATTCGGCCGGCGTGCTTTCCTAGCAAGAATGCAATGTCGGCAATCGAGGTCGCCTTCTGGTCCATCAAGGCCTGGGCGCGCTCCTTCTTCTTCATGATCTGACCAACTCTCCCCATGTTCTGCTTGTCCCATTCCTTCTGGTCCCGGAGATCTGCTGGCCGCCGCGACTCGAGGAACTCTTTTGTCACGGTGATCATTTCTTCTGGCGGGGACAGCTGGCGGAGCAGTGCGAATTGGCGGAGGTGGTTGTAGACGTCCAGTCCGACTTCCGGCTCAACGAAGTGCACGGAGTAGTAAGGAGCCCAAAGATCTTTGCGGAGTGTCGCGGGAATAGTCTTCTTGCCGTGGTTGACCATTTGCTTGAGGAGGTTGTTTTTCTAGAGGAACCCGGTTGTTAGAAAATTGCGACGCATCAAACGCTGGAGAATGTATGGAAGCGCGATCTTGCTGTTCAAAGCAAAGATCCATGCCATCTCCAATGGATGGATTCGACTCACCTCGAGGTAGCGGGTCAGGGAGTACACGACCTGTTTCGTGCGGACATTCTGGTACACAAAGATGTTCTTGCCGTGGGTGAGCGAGTTCAAGGCCTTCTGTAACCGCCTTCCCTCCTTATCCTGGTAGTTCTTGTATGCATTGGAGCTTGTTTCGCGAGGTCTCCCTTGGATTGGAGTCGCGGGATCAATGGGTGGCCGGCGGATGAATCTCGTGGCTGCAAGTGCTGTTGAGTCTAGGACCTTCTTGAAAGACTGTTGGTTGGAGGCCATTGCGGCCGGAAGTGAGGCGTGTAGTCGCTCTCGAACAATTCCTGTAAATAAAAGACGAGGAGTTATTGCATTGGGCGCTGACGTTGAATTGCGGAAGTTGAGGGAGAACGGGAGGTCGATTTTTTGACGGGGAAGAGGTCTTGGCGGCCGACTACTTGCTCTCCGCATCTCTTATCTCACCATTCCCCTTCAATTGTCTCTGTGATTTGCTTGTTCGTTCTGTTTTCTCCGTATATCATGACTGCGGTGCCTTTGCGATACAATATTTGATCATTGCACCCCCCGGGGTCTACGCCGTTATGCATACGGACACGGGGCATGAGACAGCCCGCAGAGAGCGGCCGTGGCTCTTCCCATGGGTATGACTTGTGAAACAGTAGCTTGACGGAATACTGACTGGCGATTAGAACCGAAAGATTCGGCATCTGCAAAGCATCTCGGTCCGCAACCTGATCATCAATCCCCCCCCAACTCGGGCTCGTGGCAAGACGATTGATGACGACGATATCCCAAATACCCTCCAAACATCTTCCAAGATCCTATCGCAGGACTCGAAGTCCCCCCTACACTCCTCGAGGTCTTTTACCGACCTCAAATCACGCGCCAGCCCAGATGAACATGCGAAGAAACAGCCCGAGGTGCGTTCGCGACGCCGAAGTACTTTGTTTTGGAACGACCCCAATCCTCGAACTCGGCAGATCAAACTAGAAGACATTACCAATAGCCGCATGGCGGACACTTTCTTCTCTCTACATTGTGAAGGTCTCAAGGAGCCGGTCTACATCAGTGAAATCGTTGGCCGTGCAACCAATCCCAACTTCCGAGCTTTTGACTTGAATCTATGTGGCCCTTTCGTCTCTCGGATGGATGAATTGACCCTTAAGCTTTGGACCAAAACAGTGAATATGCCTCAGTTCAATTTACTGGTTGAACTTCAGGTGCATCTACGGTCATTGCAATTCCTAGGAAAGACATTAGAGAGCTTCCACCAGCCGCTTCCAGCGAACTCGATTCTCTTTCACTTCTCAGATGGAGTATATACCAATCTGACTGACCTTCCACCGGTTGAAGCACCGCCCCAAGGCGGAGCACAGAAGGCTGTTGCAGATGGCATCACACTGCCTACCTCATCATATGATGCTTTGATGCGATTGGCCAATCTGGACGAGTGCGTGCAGGACGCATTGGCCACCAGGGAGAAGCTAGAGACGCAAATAAGCGCAATTATCCGTGAAAATGGACCCTCGCTCAAGACCGTGAGCGATGCCGCCGAGGCGCAAGAGAAGCTCTCTCGAACCCGGCTGGCCGTTTCTGCGGAGCGCAAACGTGTGCGCACCGCAGTCAAGCGCAAAGAGGAGCTTATTGCCAGTATCAGGACGCGTAAAGAAGCCATGGAAGAAGGACGAAATGCGCAGGAAAAGACGCGCAGTCATCTCCCTGACGCTCAAGAGAAGTTGGTCTGCAGCGAAAAACTGCTCAACCAGACAGGAGAAGAAACTAAGGGTCAAACCCGGCGTATTTCGGAAGACCTCCTGTCCATATATCCTATCGAGCCCATCCCCGACAAACCCTTGGCCTTCACTATTGCTGGCTTAGCACTCCCAAACTCATCTTTTGAAGATACTGACCGCGAGGTGATTGCGGCGGCACTAGGACATGCAGCTCATTTAGTGTATCTGCTTTCCTTCTATCTATCGGTGGCTCTTCCCTATCCTATCAATGCGAATGGGTCGACCTCGTTCATTCAAGACCCTATTTCCGCCTCTCTTCCACAGCGCACCTACCCCCTCTACCCGGTGAGCGTTCATTACCGATTCGAATACGGTGTGTTTCTCCTCAACAAGGACATTGAATATATCCTCAACAAGCAGGGCTTGCGCATTTTGGATATACGCCATACCCTTGCCAATCTCAAATATCTCCTTTATGTCCTGACAGCCGGCACTTCCGAGATCCCGGCCCGCAAAGCTGGCGGTGTTCGGGGTCTTGCTGGACGAGTGACGCCTAATTTGTCCCGCCGGGGCAGTATGGAAAGTGCTGCCTCTGGTGAGTTAGTACAGCCTCGCAAAGCTTGGGAATCAGTTTCCAAGATGAATGGTAGCCTGGCAAGCATGAGTCTCACCCCTGATGGAGGCAAGAAAGTCCCTGTCCACATCTAGAAGAGTTTGAGAAGCGCTATCTGTGAATTGGCCATTTCGTTAAACGTTAGCATGGCGTGTTTGTTTTCTCGGCTTGCACCGGATGTAGCGTATAACCATTTATATTTCTCCGAACTGGGCTTATGTGTGTAGAGAGCAACGTAGGCATAAGAATGTAATTTATATCCCTAGAATCATGCACAAGCTACCCCGCAGAAATCAATTCTCATTATACAATAGAAACACCAGTGCAAACTTAGACTATTTAGCGAGAAATATTGTGAATCTCGTCTGCCTAAGTCAATGTTGTACTCTCCGAGCCCTCGGAGTTGCTCATCTAAGCAAGACCCGCCTTGTCTTCGCTTTGCATCGGCTTTCCCCAGCATTATCCACGACCACCATGAGCGAGTCCAATAGGCTGTACGGCAAGTCACCGTCGCCTAATGCACACCACCGCCGCGGATACCAGGCCTGTGATCCATGTCGGAAACGCAAGGTCAAGTGCGACCTAGGAAGTACGTTTCCCTCCGATATACTCAGCATTAGACTAATCAATCCCCAGGTGTTGATAACCCACGTCCCCCACCATGCGTTCGATGTCGGCGCGAAAGCAAACGATGCGAATTCTCAGCTACTCGCCGCAAGCGCAAAGGCTCCGATGCCCTCGAGGAAACCGAGGCACCAGCCATTCTTCACCGCGACAAGCGGATGATGATCGGAGAAGTCGCCAAGGTCGAGGGCACGAGTGAAGGCCCTTCATTCTCACCCTCCGAGCCACCCCAGTTCGAGCCTGAACCCGTGCGCACTCAGCAGAGATGGCCCGAGGCATCCCCCGCACCTGCACCGCAGCGGTACACACCCAGCGCCCCAATATCTCGTGTTCCCACGTATCCCCTCGAGCGCGCACCTGCACCCAGCTATGGAGGACCGCCAATGATGAACCGCACGGCGGTGGAGCTGCTGTCGCCTGCAATTACGAACACGCATGATGCTCTGCATCTGCTTTCTGAGGCTGCGGGGAGGACCGAGGACCTCAACCGCCAGAGCCTGGAGAATCGCTTGGCTGCACGGCAGTCGGTGTCTTCATTTAACTCTGGACCTTCGCCTTTACCTCAAGTTAGTTCGCCGCGGAGCTTGGGTGGGTCCTTTGTGCGGACTCCCCGGTCAGGAATGTCCATGGGAGGCTCTACCTACTATCCGGCTGGAGCTTCTGGGCCTGTAGATCCTCAGATTGTGGACCCTGGGCCTCAACAAGAGACCGCGGTTAATAAGCCCCAAGAACAGGATTATCTTGATGCAATCCGAGCATGGTCGCGGTTGCGATTTGTTCGCGCTGGATGGCTTACTGTCGAAGAGGGCATGGACTATGTTGCATACTACTATGAAAACCTTGCGCCGATGAGTCCAGTGGTGATTCCGGATTTCTCTCACCCGTCCACTCATCGTGCATTACTCACTGATGAGCCTGTGTTGGCAGTTACCATCCTCACCATCGCCTCGCGGCATCTGAAGCCGAAAGGTGACGGTGCTAACACACGAGCGTTTTACATCCATGACCGTCTTTGGGCATACCTGCGTAGTATGATTGAACGCCTATTCTGGGGACAAGAAAAGTTCGATGCTGGGACGGTGGGTATTGGGCGACCTCGGTCTCTCGACTTGGGAGCCCCAGCATCAGGAGGCAAGTCTGGCGCGAAAGGACAGTTGAGATCTTTGGGAACCGTTGAGGCTATGCTACTTCTTACAGAGTGGCACCCACGAAATCTTCACTTCCCACCTGGTGATGATGAGAATTCGCTTCTGGATACGGATGCTCAAACACAGGGTCGAGGTGATAACCTCGATCATGACGGCGAAAACACCGGCAACCGAGGCGCAGAAGGCCGAGTTGCTTTCCAAAAATGGCTGGAGCCAGCCTGGCGATCAGACCGCATGTCATGGATGCTTTTGAGTACGGCGCAAGCTCTCGCCTTCGAATTGGGTGTTTTTGATCCAAAAGGAGAAACAAAAGGCGCGAACGAGTCGCCGAGTGAGCAAACTCGTAAACGCAGACTGCGTCGACTGATTCTCGTGTTCATTACGCACAGCAGCGGTCGTCTAGGTATTCCGTCTATGCTTCCGCTTCCTCAATGGGGACAGGATATTACTCCTATTCCCACTGATGCACAAGATGGAGATACCAATATCGATCAGATGCAGGACTGCTGGATTAGCGTCTCTAAAATCGTCTACCAGGCCAACCATCTCTTGTTTGCGTCTAGTGATCAAACAATGGAATTGATTCGGACTGGGCGGTACCGTGATCAAATCGATCGGTTCCAACCATATCTACGCGAGTTCAGGCAGCAGCTTGACAGTGTTCCTAACTGTGAGTTTGTTGAACTTTTGTCTGGAAGCAAAACTAACAAATAGCAGTGTCACCGGCTATGCGGAGTGTCTTGCTGATTGAAGTGGAGTATACTCGTAAGTTGATATACGGAGCTATGCGTTCAAAGGCTTACAAGAATTTTTATAGGACTTTACATCAACTCTCTTGCATTGCAAGCTGTTGTTGATCGATGGACGACTATGTCCAATGAGTCTGCTCAATCTCAAGCTGGACGGCCGGGTTCTGGCCCATCCAATAGCAGTGGCTGGTTCCAGACGTTGATGGAGCTCTACCGTGTCAATGAGCATTACATTCAGGAAGTTATCGATTCTTCGCGCAAGATTTTGACGACAGTGTTGGAAGGCCTTGTACCGGAAGGCCGGCTCAGACACGCACCCATTCGAACCTTCTTCCGAATCCTGTCTGGCATGATCTTCATCTTGAAGGTATGATTCCATACAGCAGTTGCGCAAAACAAACACTAACAGACTTAGACCTTCACACTAGGCGCTAGAGAAGATGACGTGCGAGTCTCCTTGGACTTGCAAGACCGGACAGTGGAGGCACTACGCCTTTACGTCGTAGATGACGTGCACTTGAGCAACACAGTAGCGCGACTACTAGAGCTTCTCACAAGCAGCATCCGCACCCGCTTCCTCCGATTCGCACCGCACGACCGCGGCGCCGACGGCGAAGCCCACGACCGCACTTCAGTCCCCGGCTCTCAAGCCCATTCCCCACCGCGCGAGAGCACATCTCGCCGCGACGGCCCGCACACAGGCTGGTCCGCAACCCCAGGTCAAGAATCAACTCCAAGCGGGGTGGGTCTAGGGTATGTCGACAACGCAGGCCACGCGATGGGATCAGGCCACGATCCACTGGCGAATATCCCCGCGCAGCCAATCAACTCGTCCAACCATAACGTCTCTTTCATGCCGCCTCCCCCATCCGTCTACTACAACTACTACGACTCGAACTCCGGCGTTCCTGCCAGCGACATGGATAGATCATCGCCGAACCATGTCCCCTCTTCTCAACCCATGAGCGACAGCCATGCGAACCCGGGCGCTCTTCCGGATTGGTTTGCCTTGCCTCTGGATCAATTCTTTAACAGCTCCACTGGGGTTGTTGACCAGGGTCTTGGCGGGACGGGCCCTATGCTTGGCGAGTTTGACATGCTCGAGGTCCTTCTTAATGAGGGCTATGATGGGAATGCGAATGGCGAGGGTGAATCTGGTGGACTTTCATCCCAATACCTGCCTTCATGACGATATGATTAACTTATTACGAGGTATTTCTTTCGGTTCTTTTGGTGATCGTGGGGCGTTCACAATATCCGTATTCGATCAAAATCTATACCCTTCCTTGGCCACCCTTCCTTGGCACTTGGCTGTCTGCTGTGATTGTCCGTGTAATATGTAATATGTTTGAAACCTCCTTATTGCAAAGGATATTAGCTGTATGTTTACAACAATATAGTTGTTACAGTGCTTTCCACCGGTCTCCGTCGGATGCGGGGTTTCATGTCGACTTGGCTTCATGTGCTTCTCGAAGCATCTGTTGCTGTTGCTTGATCGGGTTGAAGCTTTCGGGTGGCTGGCTTGGTTCTTGGTTCTTGGATGCTTGGATGCTTGGTTGCTTGGGTAGATGTATGCCATTGTATGAAGAGAGGTAGACAAGATGTATTGGACATGCTATGATCGTGGTCCATAGTGGAAATTGCAAGAAGGAGGGAACACTCCAATCGATTTCGCCTAGAATGCTTTGTCCAGCTCAGCCCATCAGATTCATTGCCTGCCCCACGAACCTCCACGGCAATGCGCATCAACGGGCTATACTCCGGACATGCATATCTACTGCTGATCCAGAGCCTGCAGGTGCATACTGCCGATCCGACGATCTTAACCGAGGGATGCTCATCACCGCATCGAAGGCTCTAGCGGCCGTTGATATCTTCCATAAGATAAGAAGCGCATATTCCTCCGTCAAGGGTCACATCGGGCTTTGCCTAGTCCAGATTAAACTGCAGCAGACTATGCAGGGACGGATGCCCGTCGGAGATTGTTCGAGATGCGGAGTATTGGGTTGAAGGGCCCGGTTGGTGTTTCTACCGTTCAGACGATACTCAACCCCTGTCGCGGAGTCATGGGAAACCATCCAATCAGCCAGCCAAGACTCGACCCTGAATGAAGCGATGTGACCATGATCAATTTAGTGGGAAGTCTACCTGCTACCTGCAACTATTGATTGGCTGGCAAGTAGATAACGGAGGATGATCTTCAGGGCTCGATCATCTCTACAATTCTTCAAACGCTTCACTTCAGATCACCTCTTGGCAATGGTCTTCCCTGCCAATGGCCACATGCACACACCTGCAATCTCTGATCCGGCCATCTCCGTCCAAGGCTCCAAGTCTCGAAGATTAGCTTGTCACGACCAAGCTCCCTGGGCATGTCGCCTTTGTTGTAACCCCGCGCATCTGCGCTAGCCCTATCAAACATCCCTGTCGACCCCATTTGACTTCACGCAACCCCCATTCTATACTCAATTGGGATGTTTCCTCCTCAGCCTGCTTGGCGGACTCCGTCGCGCCATCCTGGATGGCCGATGGCGTCCGCGATAATTTCCAGGTCTAGTTCCTGGCTTCTCAGCATCGAGGGGATCGTCGTGTCGAACTTCCAGGAACAGAAAAATCTCCTTCTGTTGCGATAGAGGGTGAAATTGATGCCTTCTAGTGTCCTAGCTTTTCTCAATTTCCAGATGGAGCACGGACGAAGACTATAAAGTTCTCCTCGTCGCCGGCTGGTTTGAAGGAATTCATTCTATTCAGCAGCTTGCCTTCGCTTCGCTCTTCTAGATTCATTCTCTGTTTCTGTATTCCCGCCATCATGGTTGTCTTCAGCAAGGTCACCGCTGTCCTCGCTGGTCTTTCGGCTGTTGCTTCTGCTAGTCCTCTGGTGACTCCTCGCAAGGGTTTCACTATTAACCAGGAGACTCGCGCTGTTACTAAGTCCAAGACTGTCAACTTGCCAGGTGTTTATGCCCAAGCCCTGTCCAAGTATGGTGCTACTGTGCCTCAGCATGTTCATGCTGCTGCTGTCAGTGGCTCTGCTGTGACTACTCCTGAGGAGAGCGACGTCGAGTACTTGACTCCTGTCAACGTTGGCGGCACTACCTTGAACTTGGACTTCGATACCGGATCTGCTGATTTGTAAGTTGATTGAGCTCAATGGGCAAGAATTATGACTAACAGTCTTCAGGTGGGTGTTCTCTTCTGAGCTCACCTCTTCCCAACAGAGCGGCCACAGCATCTACAAGCCTAGCAGCAGTGCCACCAAGCTATCAGGCAGCTCCTGGTCCATCTCCTACGGTGATGGCAGCTCTGCCAGCGGTGATGTCTACAAGGACACTGTCACCGTTGGCGGTGTCAAAGCTACCGGCCAGGCTGTCGAGGCCGCTAGCAAGATTAGCTCTGCTTTCTTGCAGGATGTGAACAACGATGGTCTGCTCGGCCTTGCTTTCAGCTCCATTAACACTGTCAGCCCCCGTGCTCAGACTACCTTCTTCGACACTGTCAAGTCGCAGCTCGACTCTCCTCTGTTTGCTGTTACTCTGAAGCACAATGCACCCGGCAGCTACGACTTTGGCTACATTGACAAGTCCAAGTACACCGGCTCCCTGACCTACGCCAACGTTGATGACTCCCAAGGCTTCTGGAGCTTCACTGCTTCCAGCTACAAGATTGGCACCACCACTGGCGGATCAATCACTGGTATTGCTGGTGAGTTATTGTTCCAGTCATTGCAATTGCCTACAAGTTCATAACTAACGATAACTATAGACACCGGCACCACCCTTCTTCTGCTCCCCGACAGCGTTGTCTCTGCCTACTACAAGAAGGTTTCGGGCTCCCAGAACAGCAACTACTACGGAGGCTACGTCTTCCCCTGCTCTGCCACCCTGCCCGACTTCACCGTGACCATCAATGGCTACAACGCCGTTGTCCCCGGTAATCTGATCAACTTTGCCCAGGCTACCACTGGCAGCTCCACCTGCTACGGTGGTATCCAGAGCAACTCTGGCATTGGCTTCTCCATCTTCGGTGATATCTTCCTCAAGAGCCAGTATGTCGTTTTCGACTCCGAGGGCCCCCGCCTTGGCTTTGCTGCTCAGGCTTAAGCCATAAATCAGAGACTGTCAATATGACATGGTATATAAGAGATGAAAGTGAATGTTGTACAGAGAATGATGTGAGACGCGATATAGTTCGAGGCGCTAGCGTGCTAGCTTGTGAATATGACCCTGGCTTGGTCCTGATTTGGCTTAGTTCGAATATTTCTATGCAAATAAGTGAATTGTAAAGCCGTGAGATTTCTCAAAACGAGATTATCTGTGGAGCCTCACAAGTAGTTCGTGGTTAACACTTCACACTAAAAGAGTCGCACGACACTAAAGTCCGGTGGAGCCAAGCCAATGCCGAGTCTGGGCGGATCGGCCTCGACTCCAGATTTCCGCCTCCTGACACTGCCTTAGCACTTCACTTCTTCACTTCCTCTCCCCGTACGACAATAATCCTCTCTCTCCGTGACATACAGTCATCACTGCGACTCTCCCCCAACCTTAGATACCCCGTCCTCAGACTCTTACCGTACGCGCGGCTCAAAACCAGTCAAGAATGGAAGCCTGATACAAAAGCCAGACGAATGTGACACAGGAGGCAGCTGGTGGAAATTGCATATATGCGCCCGAACCGTTAGAGGGAAAGAGACGATTCCTCCAGAGCTTGAGATCATGGAACATGCGACCCGGGTGCTCCCCCGCCAGATCTGGGCGAACCCGACGACGAGTTCGACGAAGACTTACTCCCCAGGCTGCACGCCATTTGTTTTGCCTAGCGATGGTAGGTTGTGTCTTTCTTTTTATATCCGTGAGCCCTTGCTGGAGGGGGTTGTGGACGTTTGTGGACGTTGCCCGCCTCCCTGGCTTCGACAGAGAGAAAGAACCGTGTCTAATTGCGAGTCGCGATCTCTACAGGACTTGTCTACTACAACAAATCGTACGCTGTGACCCTTACCGAAAACGCTGTCTTCGAGCCTCTTTGTACTGGCTCGCCTACCGATGATGTCCACGTCTCCGCCGTTCTTGATACCCGTGACCCGTTCTACTCTTCTGTTACGCCACAGCTGTATGCTATCGGGTGCGCGACTGTTGTCAGCTACCTCCTCGTTATTATCCTCCTAATTACTCCCCGAACATTCTACGTCGGTGGACCGGGCGGTGGCGCGAATTTCCTCGGACGACATGGGATGATTAGCGGTTCATACAGCGGGAATTCCTCGGTGGTCGGAGTCGGTGGACGACCATGGCTGCAGAAAGTAGCTGCGATCTTAGTCGCGATATCATTAACGATCGCCACGGTCGATTCGTTCAAAGTGGCAGAACGACAGTACAATTATGGGTTTTCCGACGCCGAAGCGCTTTCCGAGGAAGTGATTGATGGATTGGAAATTCGCATTGTCAGAGTAATATCCAGCACGTTTCTTTGGCTTGCGCAGGTTCAGACTTTGATTCGATTGTTTCCGCGACATAAGGAGAAAGTCATGATCAAATGGGCTGGGTTTGCGTTGATTGTGCTGGATACGACGTTCAGTATATTGGAGAATTTTTTGGTGAGGAGTTCGTCGACACGACCAAGATTATATGACGACGCGATTCCTGCTTTGAGTTATTTGTTTGAGTTGTCCCTCAATCTGCTTTATGCTGCGTGGGTTATTTTCTACTCGATTTCGAAGCATCGTTATGCCTTCTTCCATCCCAAGATGCGAAATATATGCCTGGTGGCTCTTCTGTCACTATGTGCTATTCTGATACCTGTGGTATTCTTTGTTCTGGATATTTCCAGGCCAGAGATTGCTGGGTGGGGTACATATATTCGATGGGTTGGATCTGCTGCGGCCAGTGTGGTGGTGTGGGAATGGGTGGAACGAATTGAGGCGCTGGAACGAGATGAAACGAAGGATGGAATCTTGGGACGAGAAGTGTTCGATGGTGATGAGATGCTTGAGGTTACACCGTCTGAAGAAGTCGACTGGCCGCGATATTCACATCAAGGACATGACCGAGGCGGCGGCGGTGGTACCTCTTCTGGATGGGGCGGCATGATGGGTCTAGCACATCGACCGCTACGAGCTCGAGCTGGACTTCCTCGTGTTAACCGGAACAGAGGTGCCGGGGCTCCAGCAAACAACCCCGCCGCTGGCATGCCACCGAGGCATCCAAACAACCGTCCCACACCACCCCCGGCGGCCATTACGCCGGTGAGCCGGGCTGATACTACCAGTGCAGCGAGCACAGTATATAATGTTCGATATCATCCAGTGGCGAGCCCTACACCTCCCGTCGCGATGCCAGAAATGGACGAGGAAGCGGAACTCGAGGAAACCAAGGAAATGGAAGAAGGAAGACAAGTTCCTGACACGGCTGAACATGGTCTATCTGCCGAAGACGCACGAGAGCAGTCGCCGCAAATCGTCCAAGCAGACCCACGATGGCGCGCCCTCCTCAACCCATTCAAGAGGCGACGGGCATCACTGCCCAAAGAAGTCGCCATTGCGCAAGCCGGAGAAGAGCCCTCTGAACGCAACCCGTCTGTGTCTTTAATAGGCGAAGAAGCTGAGATAGAGGCACATGCTGCCCGGACCCGAGCCGATCACTTCTTCTCTCTACGCAAAGTAAGACCAGGATCTGGCTCGCTCAATACAGACAATTCCCTCCCCGTGACCGTCATTCCCGCCCGCCGTCGTGGCCAACACACATGGTCACCCCAGAACCGGTTGCTGGAGCCCTCTACACTCCGTGAAACCTCTACCAGTCGGGCCGAACCTCCCCCTGGCCGAGTCCCCGGCCGAGTTGATCGGCCAGATCTACCAGTCCGGCTCATCCCCTCGCAACCACAGGCCTCTGCACCATGGACGGAGGCTGACGTGGAGCGAGGAGGCGGGGACTATGTCTTACACTACGACCCTGAAACTGCGGCCTTGGTCAACGCCGATGTCAGCCTGGCTCATGATAGCCGGGCTGCCAATTTCGACCAACGCAGCTGGACGGAATCCACCGCTTCTGATGAGAGGGACGAGCCGACTGCACCTGCTGTGCAGTCCCACGTTGAATCAAATACTTCGCAACCACCAGATGCAGAGCACAGGTCTAATGAACAGCACTGAGGCCTAATGAATCACATTCAGACAGGCATAATGATTTCGGGATACTTGGCGGACGGTGGCGGAGTACCCCCAACATTTTGTTTTTCTTTCGGGATAGGGAGTTTGGGTATGGATTTGGGATGGTGTTATAAGGAAAATGTATTAGAAAGATACCCAAACATAATGCAATATAACAATTCTAGTATACATCTACGGAGTACACTATGGAGTACAGTATTACTCTCCCGCTGTTCTGCTTGGCTCGGCCATTTCTTGGCTTAAGTGGATCCGAAATTTCACTCGGCAACTCGAGGCTCCGAACTTCCCCATACTTTCAGTCATGGACGTCGCATCATGGCGACTGTTAACCAGAACATGTTTGGAGCCAACATAGGCGCAGAACCGCCAGGCGGTGCGTCGCTAATGGTTCTCCCTTTGAACCTCATCGCCCAAATCGTATCATATGTGAGAACCACTGACGCAACCATCCCCGCAAGAGAGCTCCCTCTGACAACCAACAGGTCGAAGACACAGGCGACCTCGCCCGGCTATGCCGAACATGCCGCGTCCTCAATTACATGGCTTTGCCACAACTCTACCGCAGCCTGACGCTGACCTCCTACGACAAAATCCGCTATCGCGATGACCAACCCGAAGGAATCGGCAGCGGCAGTCCCTTCACGATGGGCCTGAACGCGGTGATTACACGGCCGTATGGGTCGCTAGTGCGGTCAATGACACTGCGCGGCGAATGGAACGACCACGAGCTGGAAGAACATGCGCGAGTCGGGCGCGTGCCAGACTCTTCGATGTTGCTGAATATCACCGCCCGCGCTGCGATAGATCGCATGACCAATCTCGAGAGCTTCCATTGGGAGTTGGGTACCAAGATGTTGGATACAGTGTTTACGGGCTTGACGCAGCTGCCTAAGCTTACTTCTCTGACGATTCGCTTCCCCTCCAGCCGTCATCCGCAGCCTACCTTTGTTCTTCCCGGCATGCCGCATTTGCGCTGTTTGAAGATTACCGATATTGATCCCTTGTGTTATCCGGATGATATTGCGACTTTGCTTTGGAAGAGTCGGAAGCTGCGCGATTTGAAGTTGCATTGGTCGCCGCGGATGCGGGATGCTCAGGAGCCCAGTGTTTCGCTTCATGATTACTTCCGTAAGCTTATTGCTAATAAGCAGCCACTGGCGGTTAAGAAGATGTCGTTTCAGAATCTTTATGCTTTTCATACGGAGGATTTTAATTTCGCTTTTGATCCGACCACTGTTGAGGATGTTACTTTCCTCAGTGGTGTTGAGGGGTCTAATCTTGCCAACACATTCATGGAGAATAGTTGGCCTACTGTCCCGCCACATGGCAAGCTGCGCATCAAATCTGTCAGGATGGATGCCGTGTCGAAACGGAACGCGGAGTTCATTGGTAACTTCCAAGACCTTGAACGGTTGTACTTTGTCAACGTCACCTCCGAATCGAACGATTATCTCAATTCCCCCCGCCATGGATTGGCCTCTTCATCGGCACTTACGCCGCCGACTTATGAAAGTCAACCTAATGGCGCGATTAATGGAACTTCTTCGAATTCACCCATCACCTCTGCTTCCCCGGCAAGCCAGTTGACTGCCACTTCCAGTATCCGCGATGTCTACCTCTCACACATCAGTGTCAACCACGGCGCAACATTGCGCAACCTCCTCCTGCCCTCAAGATGGCCTCTCTCAACAGGCATGGTTGGACGTCTCGTTCACAGCTGCCCGAACCTGGAGCAGCTGGCTCTCGCCACAGAGTTTACCAGCATGGACTCACTGAGTCTACTAATACCCTTCCTCCGAAAACTAAAAGCCCTCCGACTCCTCATCCCCCCATCATCCGGCCAACCCCAAAACGTCCCAGCAGGCTCAGCCCCGGGAATATCCCGGTCCGCACAACGCGACACCACCCTCGGCCTCAGCAGACCACTAAAGGAAACCATCGCAAACGCAAAGTCCTTCACAGAACTAGTAGAAATGGACGACACAGCCCTAACAGATCTGATAAGCCACGACCTCGCAAACGAACAAGTCTACGGCAACGTCAAAGTCCTCGGCCTAGGCTGGAAAGCATGGGAACTCCGCGAATGCTACAAAGCCCCAATCCCACCACCCCAGCCCCAAAATATCATAATAGAAGACCAACCCCCCCATAACGGCGAATACGCACCCACCGAAAGTCCCATCAACATCTATGGTGGTCCCCAAACCCACCCAGCCCACTCCACAACCACAACCACGCTCAGGTCACCTTGTACACAAACACCCCGTCTGGGCTCTTGTTCTGCAAGTGCCTCCCCAGTCGCAAGACCCCTCCAACCACCCTCAACATTGGGCAAACGATCGCGCGATTACGACGATAAAGATCCTGCCCCGACACCTAGACAACAATCCCGTGGTCCTGACACTGTCATCCCCGAAGACCGTGAGGATACGCCATCCTTCAATCCAACTTTCCATCCTCCTGCAATGGCTGAAGATAGATTTCTATGGAGGAGGCGTATGCGCCGTGTTGGGTGGGAGGTTTTGCAGCACTGGGAGGTGTGGGCTTTGGATGCGCAGGAGATTTGAATTGGACGGAGTAATGGGTATCTGCTTATTGATTTCTCTCATCTCCTTCTGCTACCTGTTGGAGGAGCTGAAATTGGCATTGAAAGGTTGGATTTGGTATCGGTGTTGATATCGGTGTTGGTTTTGTTCTTTTCCTACGGGATATATGGCTTCATTTCATTTTTGGGTATTAGAGTATATATATATGTTTGTTCTTTATCTATGATAGACTACTATGTTTCTTTGTATAAATGAATGTATTTCTCTTCTCTTCTTTTTATTCGGTGCATGTTTGATTGTAGGGTTGCCTGGCAGATGAGGTAGAAAATGAGACAGCATGAGTGACATACACACAGAAAGAGAGAGAGGGGGGAGAAAGAGAGTGATCAATATTTCATGCGCCTGAAATTTGTTCGCAGAAATGTTGCATTGCATTGTAAGGCGATAGAAAAGGTCATCATGTTTATTATGGTATTGATACACTTCAGCCTCACCACATCCACGAATTTCTTCCCAAGCCAGACCAGGTACCATTAGGGCCTTGAAACCTTAGTTGAAAGATAGGGTTTGGTATAGGATATAATTCCGTAGCTTTTGATCATTCTGCTTTTTTCTCTCTGGTACTGTTGGATTTGGGAAAGAGGATTTGCACAGGGATTCAAGGCTGAAAAGCTGGATATCTGACCATGTTCGCTCGAAAGTTTTTCAAAATTGACCATTCATAGGCGGAAAATGAGGTTCCTGTTCTTGTTTCTCAGATCGGAATAATTTTTCGTAGGTTATCTTTATATTTTCGAACAAGAGAGAGATAACAAGGCAAAGAGAAAGAGGGCAAGGAGCAAAATATAGGTCAAAAAAAGAGCATGTTGCGCCTAAAAATTTGTTTGGTAAAAATTTGTGCTAGTGATACATGTGATTTTGTTGTGATCCCTTTGACTTCAACCGGAAATGTCCCCCCAAGCTCAAACTATCTCAGTCTACATAATCGGGGTCGTCGCCCTCACCATTATCCACATCATCATCCTCTCCCATTCCTTCGTTGAAGATGTTCAACCCATCTTCATCCTCATCTGCGTCCATGTCGTCAGTACCGTGTGCACTATGCATGCCTTCCACTTCAGACTTTGTGTGGAAACGACTGATTTCATGTACGTCCAAGTCTTCCAGACCGTCCAGATTGGGGTGGCGCATTTCCAGTCGGCGAACAGCGTTTGGGAAGACATGGGCATATCCGCCAAGATCAAGATACTCGATGCTGGGAAACTTTGTCTGTTCAAGGGGAGTTAGTGATGGTAACAGAGTGACACAAATGAAGCTTACCGGCAGGTCCCAGAAGATACTCTCCCAAACGTCGGCAGACATGAAGTTTGTCACGACATCAGGGTCACCCGATGCAAAGCTCATGCAGTAAAGGTTGGGACAATTCAGGGAAGGAAGAAGGACCTCCTCGTCACGACCGTCTGCGCCAGCTTGAAGGTTCCCATTGGCGTCTATCATCATGATGTGAAGGACTGTCATCTTTGAGAAAGTGAGGCCGTCCAGCTTTCCACCTTCTTCCCATGGGTCTTCGTCATCCCGACCTGTATCGATAAGAGTGACCATGGCGCAAGTCACAAAGTCGGCATAGTGCTGGCGGCGATTTGAGTCAAGATCCAAGAATCTCCTCTCGAGTGCGGTATTAAATCCATGCTCAATGGAGGCATGGTCTTGATGGATCGATTTCCACATCAGTTTGATTGAATCATCCAGCCACAGTTTGTTCACAAGTGCGCACGAGAGCAAGTCTTGGGCCCATCCGGGGCAGCATCGAGGCATGTGAGAAATGACAATTCCCACGATTTCGGGGATTGACAGGGCACGCTGAGCGGCCGTCATACTCTGACCAAGGCTAGGAGCGTCTGGCGTCATGAGTGATTGTTGGAAGAGCTTGGAGATGGCGGATGAGATTTGAATGGTGGGAAAACAAGAACGACTCCCCATGTGATCGACAAATAAAAATATTTGCACTGAAACAACTTCTTTCAATTTCGTGCGTCACACCCAGACAGCTAAGTAGTGTTTAATCCTGATCATTTGTCTCCAAACTTCAATGCTATGGTCTGACAAACTCAGAAGTTAAATGCTACCTTGAGCTTAGTGTCATGAAGACCATCTTTGGCCTCCGTTGTGGGTTTCCTCTCATGCAACCAAACGATGCATCAAAAAGACCAGCTTCCAGATCAGTTGCACAGTTGGCAGTCATTATACCTTCGATCCTTGACTTGTATGAAGAGTCAACTTGATATCGGAAAACCCGAGCTCTCCTAACCCTAAACGGCAGACTGTGGGGAGCAGCTCCACCATGCAGAACGCCCGATTGTCACTTCGCCTTCGAAAATCGCCACAGAATCAGTCAATTAGGACCCAGGAAGACAATTTTCCTCCTCGAAGACTTTATATCTGCCCCGACGCAAACACACGGAGAACCCGGGCATAGAAGCGTCCGGGATACCCATGTCGAAATGTATTTTTCGAGGATGGATCGAACACTGACGAATGGCAATCTTCGACAGCTCGATTTTCCCAGTAAAACTGGGAATACAGCAACACCCCTAGTCCGAGGGGGTCTGGGATGCCGCGTAATGCGCATAATTTCCGAGCTTGATATAAGTCTACCCCAGTCCCTCAATTTGAGCTACATTCACCCCCTGGAAGACTGTTCAGTAGCATGCATCTCTCCACCCTCTTATTGCCAATTGTGGCCTCCCTTGCCTCGGCCTTGCCGTCTTCACACTCGACCTCGATGCCCTCCGTATCCCTGGACTACAGCACAATTAAAGCAGCAGCCGGAAACGATACATTGGGCTACTATAAATACCAGAACATTCGATTCGCCGCAGTTCCCACGGGTGACCTGCGCTTTGCGAAACCAGTATGGCCCTCGGTCGAGTCAATCATCAATAACGGAACAACCCATGCCAGCGCCGATGTAGACTGTGCTTCTACTGAAGACTGTTTATACATGGACGTGTATGTTCCAGCCAACGCGAAGGGCAAGAAGCTACCCGTCGTAGTCTTCACATATGGGGGTGGCTTTACAAGTGGTTCCAAATTCAAGAGTACCCCTGAAGGCCTCTACGATCTCTCCAAAGACTTCGTGTTTGTGGCCTTCAACTACCGTCTTGGAATTACCGGCCTCGCAAACTCTGTGAGTCTCACCCACCAGGGTGCTACCGACAATGTCGCCCTATATGATGTCGAGCATGCGTACAAGTGGGTGAAGAAATATATCAGCAAGTTCGGCGGTAACCCAGGCGATGTCACGGCTATGGGATTCTCCGCTGGATCCAGCATGGGTCTCTTCATGCTCACCCGGTACGGAGGTCATAACAAACAGCTCTTCCACAAAGCCTATTTCACCTCTCCTGGCTACGTCCCGGGCGCTGGCCACCACCAAGGCGAAGCGTTCTGGCAAAATGTTTCGACTGTTGCTGGTTGCAGTGGTGTTGATCTCTCCTGCATGCGCAAGATCTCTTTCACCAACCTTACCAATGCCGCAACTGAAGTCAAGAACAACTACGGATACCAATTCCAGCCTCGCGTGGATGGAGACATCGTTGCCGATACCTACGAGTCTCAGTTCTACCAGGGCCGTTTTAACTGGAATGGTCCTCTTGTCATTACGCATGAAGAGCATGAGAACAATGGATCACCTACGAGTGGCGTAAACACTACTGCTGATATCAGAAGCGAGCTTCGTTCCTTCTTCCCGGCCATTACTGACGATGTCATTGATGAAATCTTCAAACTATATCCCGAGTCTAATTACTCCAGCGCTGGGTATCGCTTCGCAGATATGAGACAGTCATTTGATTTGACTGCCCATGACTACGCCCTTACTCGTGCACTCAACAACAACACTTGGAATGCGGAGGTCTCCCTGGATCAGGCGGTTCACGGTACTGATCAGAGCTACTACTGTAAGACTCGGATATAAACTCCCTTAAGGAGTTAATGTGACGGTACTAATCATATTCCCTCAAATAGGGTACAGCACCTACACCCTTGTAGCCAAACCCGCCGCGAAGCAATCTGCTGGCTCTGGTGTTACGATTGCAAGCAAAATCACACCCAATCCTACTATTGCTGTAAGCATTGACAATGCACGATGTACAACTCCGACTATGAGCACTAGCTGACACTTCTTCGATATACAGCGCAAGATGCAAAAGTACCTCCTTTCCTTCGTCCTTACCGGAGACCCCAACACAAAGTGGGCCAACGACAAGATCTACTGGCCTAAGTATGGCAGCAATGCCACCGAGATTGTCTTCAACACTACAATGTATACTAAGAAGGATGATCTTGCTACTGCTAAGAGCGTGTACTGGAATAAGGCCCTGTGGTACTGAGCTCAAACATGCTTTCTATGCACAGAAGAGCTAGGGATTGTGGAAGACCTCGAGACGTCTGCTCTGTATATAAAGATTGAATTCTCATCACGAGAAATGACTAATCTGTTCATATCGAAATGCCACTTCGGCACATTGAGTTGCGGGCCGTGTTCGGCTTGCTGCGGGCAGAGCCGAGACCCACTAACCTTGTATAGTATACTGCGACTCGTAATGTGATAGAATCAAATTGAAAGGCATAATGCTCATAAGCTTAAAAACAAAGCAACAAAGACTCTGAATATCAATTGTGAACATTGGTGGCTGGAGATAGTCTGTAAAGAGGCTCTTTATACATCAAAGCAGTCTTTGCGTTTGCATGAAGATACAATCAAACAGTTCACAAGTCAGTGTGGGAGAAAGCCTGTATTAGAGAAGCGCAGATATGGTAAGAAGTGTGGAAGCTGAAACTCCTAGGGAGTATTAGAATTTGTCTCAAATTGTTCCTATTGGCCCTGTTACAACGAAGAAGAATGAGCTGTGTCTTCTGTTTCCCGCTCATGATCTAGTAAGCATCGCAGCAGCTAAAACTACCCTGTATGAGAACGTCCGATATTGCACGAAGATTCCGCCCCGCCTACCCCAAAGTCCTGCGTCCCTATACGGAATTGGCGAATAGTGACGTTGAAGATGAGGGCTTGTTGTGGGAGAATGTTGTTAGACGGTATGGGATGAAAGGGCTGTCATACTCTATAGAGAAGCAATGTTTCAATTTGGATTAGAATCGGGACAGCTTTGTTAGAAGTAGTTGATGGTTTGACCCATCCCCAAGCGTTCATTTGATATTTAGGCAGCCTCGAATCTATATGTAGGGAATGTTGAAATGTCATGTTGGTTGCAATTGCTTTGAACTATATCTTGTTATAGCAGGCAACAAGCTATCATTTACTTCCTGGTGTTTTAACTAATTCGCAGACCAAATCTTGAAGTTCGCAGCTGGATATTTAGACCCGATGCATTATCAACCAGATGATCATCATAATATGTATCTTATGCAGCAATTGCGTCAGCTGATAGACACTCTGCAGGACCCAAAGCCACCCAACAACTTAATCTCGGGCAGGCGGTCCGTATAGGCACTTTTCCCGCTGCCGTATTAGTTCATTGGCCGCTTGTAGCAGCCCGCGGGGCCATAACCCGCCCATCCGCTGAGGCTTGAAAGCTCTGGTACATCCTATTTAGTTAAAGGTCTAATTCATAAAAGCACATAATCGGGGAAAACGCCCCTCTAAATGTTGTGTTGGATCTGTGTGAGGTAAGCCAAAGGTCTGATCGCATTTTCTCCGCCAAAGGAGCACTATGGAGTTTGTTGAGCCCAGCATAAATACAGCTGTCTTCCCTCCTCCTGAGAGATTTCTGATGGGTTGGTCTACGGGAGTCAGCTTGAGCACAGGCTCGGGTCCTTGATAACTACGATTCTGACTGTGACTACTACTACTACCCCGACAGGTCACTATGAGTTCTTCCAGTGAACTTCTTGGAACATCACATTGGAAAAGCAAATACCGGTACCAGGCTACTTGGCTGGTCCGTACATTGGAGGATACACACACACACACACACACTATGTGGTTATCACAAGTGCGATCGAGAAAGCTAACCCTCCACCAGCCAAACGGACCAACAGAAAGCCAGATGCGCAAACGACTTGCTCGCACAAAAGGATAAAACAGCCCCAAATTCTTGGCCCCATGCGGACCAATCACCAATGCGTCGGGCCTTCAGCACATCAAGAACGCGCCGTGCCTCCCCGGCCGTTGATACCCAAATACTTTCACGTGGCGATATTTCCATCAAGAAAGCCGGTTTCGACAGGCAAGACTTTCGAGGCGGAGCCCGGAGAGTTGACTGGGATTGAGTGGAGCAGCGACAGCGCAGAGACGCCAGGCGATTCATGCATGTTAAGCGCCCAGACTAGGAGAGGCCTTCGACCGAGAACATTTCTTCAGTCTCTCCATTCCTCAGGGCTGAAGTGGATTATTAAGTGAAGTTTTTGTTTGCTGACGTCTCAACCCCGCACTGTTCTTCACTCGCCAAAATGAAGGCGTTTGAGGGTCGCGCTCCCGTTGAATACCCTCGAAAGCGTGCGTCAATTGCCTGCAACTTCTGTCGCCATCGGTACGTCATGAACTGGGACTTTTGTGACTTGGTTATTGAGTTCAACTAGGAAGCGGAAGTGCGATGGCCAAAAGCCAACCTGTGGGCTTTGCGCCGATGCTGGCGCCCAGTGCGAGTACCAAGAAAGTGACAGGTAGAGAATGTCCGCCAGGTCGGGAGTTGTGAATAGTAACAGTGAATAGGGTGCAGGATATTCCAGCGGAAATACTGTCTCGCTTGAGTCACATGGAGACCCTTCTTCAGCAACAGAAAGAAGCTATCGCCGAACTCTCGACTCGAGTTACATCGCAAGATTCCTCTCCCCAGGCCGACCCGTTGATTTCGTTGCCAAATGTGTCGGGGCATCTGGCTCAACCGCGCTACAACTGGTACCCGTCGCCCGCCAATACATACGATAAATCGTCAATCAGCCTTCCTCCAAACCAGGAAGAGCCTCTGCCCATTCCTCTGGGCCACTCAGCTCCAACAGAACGACTCTTTTTTCTGGACCGAATCAAGAACCTGATCGGCGAATACCCTCAAGATTTCTTCATGCAACTGGAATCAACCCGCCTACCCAAATTTGAAGACAAAAACGTCAACAACAGCTTCGACCGAATTGACCCGACCCTGTTCCAAACACGGATTACAGAGCCATATTTCAACGAGTTTCTAACAAACGTTCATGCCTTCTTCCCTCTTATGGAACCTTTAGCGTTGCGCACCGTCTACGAGAACTTCACACTAGTACCACGAGGCAATAGTATCCAAACAATTCTTTGCCTGGTTATCATTGCGCTGGGCAAAGTCTCCGCGAACCCCGGACACATCTTTGACATTGAAGCGGCCGATGATCGGAATGGGATTGAATATTTCGCGCCGGCATATCACGAGCTGAAGAACCGGTGGTCGGCATTCTTGCCTATGAACCGCAGTCCCTTTGTGCCGTTGGCATTTGTCTATGCCTCGTTGTATTTCCGCTATATCGGACGTCCGTTCCACGCGTCTACTATGATCACGGATGCATCTACGGCGGTCAAGTCGCTGCATTCTCTGTGCGTATTCTTCGTTCGCTTGTGCTTGCAAATTCTGACTGGATATAGATTGAGTGTCAAGCCCATGATGCGGGAGCATGACACCCTTTTCCGAACTACCTGGGCCTGCTACATTCTGGAATGGTTGGTAGTTTCTCTCAGATTCGTCGACTGCGACTAACAATACATGTCAAGTGACGACTTGGCCGAATTCAACTTCCCCCGCAGCGGAATCGAGTTCCTCGTGGAAGGGCCCCCATCAGTCGAAGGAGGAATGCATTTCCCCCGACTCTCCGAACCAACTCAGAGAAGCAATCTAGTATTCCTCGCAATGTGCTCAATCCGCAAGCTGCTAAACCGAGTACACACCTGGATCTACGACCCAACCTTCCTGGACAACTACGCTGCCGCCTCACCATCGCAACAAAAGTCACACCCTACCACGCCACGACCGCAGAAGCATTCAATTGCTTCTCTGGAAAGGATTTGCGTTGAGCTCAACCGCCAGCTTGAGGAATGGTTCCAATCTTTGCCGCCCCAGATCCGACCAGACCTGAAAAAGCCCACGTCTCATCAAGACGTATACGACAGTTATATTCGCGCGCGATATTACGCCACGAAACACATCATTTACCGACCGAGTCTTGTTTACGCCGCTCAGAACAAAGATACCAACGTGCTGCCTGACTATGTCTTTGGGAACTGCAAGCAATGCATTGCCAGCTGTCGCAAATTCGTGGAGGCGGCATCGCTTCTTCTCGAGAAGAGGACCCATTCCAATTGGCTACGAATGCAAGCGTAGGACTGTCTTTTGTTCCGTACCTATAATACTTATCTGAAACTGACATGTATCTGCATAGACTCTTGGCCGCCATATTCACCTTGGCGACAGCAAAAAGCACCCCGTCCCTCGAAGCGATCGTCTCGGACTTCGACTTTGATCAATTGATGAAGGAAGCCATACAGTCAATCGGGCTATGGGCACAACACTCGGAGTCAGCAGATGCAATTCTGAGCATCATCAAGACAATCCGGCAAAAAATACGACTCTCCGTCTCCAGAAATTAGCATACGACAGGTTTCCAATTTATCATAAATTTTCTCTGGCGCTGTGCATTTCCATTCCTAGCGAAACGCGAAGTGACATGATACCCTCGCATTGTGAAGCGAATACCCCAACTCTCATGTACATACTCAAATGTTGTTATCAGTAAGCTCGGAAGTGACCGTTGCGGACATCCCCGAGGCCCAAGACCCGCAGGGGGAAAAGCTTCAAGACTAGCCACAGTCTACTTCTCCAATCCATACACCTGAACAAAAATGCCTCCAAACCTCACAGCTCAAATCAAGCATATACACAATGTCCGATTACCCGGACAACCGTCAACATGGAATATAACAATATCATATCCCACATCCAGCGGCACAATCACATCCGTAACCCCGCATGAAGAGCAAGAGCAAGACACAAAGTTAACACAAACACAAACCACCAATTCCGAATCAGAAGCGACGTCAAAGTCAGAGTCAGAGTCACAGCCACCCCTAGCCCTACCACCATTAACACATCCACACATCCACCTCGACAAAGCATTCATCCACAGCACACCAAACTACGCCCCCTTCCTCCCAAAAACAGGAACATTCAAAGAAGCACTAAACAACACAACAAAAGCAAAAGAACAATTCACCCAAAGCGACCTCCTAAAACGAGGCACATGGCTCCTCGCCGAATCATTCGCGTCCGGCGTAACAGCCATGAGAGCATTCGTCGAAGTGGACCATACGGTCCAACATACCTGCCTAGACGCGGCAATTGAATTAAAAGAAGAATGGAAAACAGCCATTGAAATCCAAATCGTTTGTTTTGCCCAGGATCCGATTTTCTCTACTCAACACGGGGAAGAGAATATGTCTTTAATTACTGAGGCGTTGGAGAAATATCCCCAAACCGATGTTCTGGGGACGACGCCCTATGTTGAGACGAGTCTCGAGTCTGCAAAGAGGAATATCGAGTGGGCGATTGATTGTGCGATGAGGTTGGGTAAACATCTTGACTTTCATCTTGATTATAATCTTGATGGGGGTAAGGAGGCGCTTGTTTGGTTTGTTTTAAGTGCGCTCAAGGAACGCGGGTGGACGGCTGCTTCGACGAGGAAACGTGTTATGCTGGGCCATTGTTCGAGATTGACGCTTTTCTCGGAGGATGAGTGGATCGCGCTTGCGCGTGAGATTCGTGAGAATGATTTGCCGGTTAGTTTCGTTGGATTGCCTACGAGTGATCTCTATATGGCGGCGCCGCCGGTGGGTGGGAAGGAGACGGCACCTCAATCTCGGCCAAGGGGCACGTTGCAAATCCTTGATATGATTCGGAAGTATGGGCTTGATGCTGTAATGGGTGTGAATAATGTTGGTAATTCGTTTACACCGTGGGGATTGCCGGATCCGTTGGCTTTGGCTTGTCTTGGTGTTGGGGTTTATCAGGCCGGAAGTCAGGATGATGCTGAGCTGTTGTTTGAGTGTGTTTCGACTAGAGCCAGGGCTGCTATTGGGTTGGATTGCTCTGATTTTGACTCTGGACTTTGTATACGGGAGGGGTCTATGGCTGATCTTCTGTTGGTTTGTTGTCGGGATGAGACTGGGTGTGGAATTGTTCGCCCACGGACGAATGCTGCTGAAGTTGTGTGGACTCCACCTGAGAAAGTTAATAGGGATGTGGTATGTAGCGGACGATTGAAGATGTCGCCATTTGGGAGCTCGGAATCCGAGGATTTGTATCGGTTCGTGTGAACTGGGTTCATTTGATCATGACCCTCAAGGGAGAAGTACGCTAGAAGAAGCCACACATGCAAATCGTGCAATCCAAAAGCTCGATCATCTCATTCAGCGGACTACTCCTGCAGATCCATCGATGCGATCAAGCCATTTCAATTTTTGATGACGTTTCGTCTCCACAAGTACATTTTCTGGTACCGGGAATCCGGCAAATGATGCAAATGATAGCCAGCTGGCTACTCCGTTGTGGCTGGCCGCAGAGCATAAGACTGCACAGGAAGCAGATTGAAACTCTTGGGGAACCCCTTCTGCAATTCCGACTTAATGACAGTCATCCCAGCAGCCTGGAAAATCTGTTTAAACTTGGCATCCGTCCTGGTGACGCTGCTATCCTCATCGTCGTACATGTCCTGTCCAAGATTATGGGTAGACAAGTTCTCTTTAACAACCATGAGACCGTTCTCAGTCAAGGCATTGCGACACCGCACGGTGTAATCAATCAGCTGGGAATCCGTGAGATGGCCCACACACCACTGCGTCCAAATGAGATCGTATTTCCGCTCGGGATACCAGTCTTCAAGACCCTTGGTGTAAACAGTCCCTACAACACCGGTCTTGGCGACGGCACTGTCTTGCAGAACCTTGGTGAATTTGGCAACGGGCTCTACTGCGTCGACCTTTTCGCAGACATGGCTGAGAAATCCCTCTGTCACGCGGCCGACGCCTGCGCCGCAGTCCACGCCCTGGGCAAATTTGCCTTCGGATGGGATTCCTGGAATTAGGCGGCGTACTTTGGCTAGGAAGCCCTTTGATCCTTGGAGGTCAATGCGTGACACCGAGGGGAATTCGCCCAACATGCTCCCTGGCGTGGCGGGTTGACTGTTCCAGTACTTCAAGGAGGCTGCATGATCGATATTGGAGTCGGCTGGGGGTGTGGCTGGGTCTGTCATTGTGTCTTGCTTTTGAGAAAGTTCACCAAGAGAATTGAAGGTCCGACAGTGTTAGGAATGGAACAATGAAAGGGCGTCCCGGCAAGTTCGAGAATGATATCTCGTCATCACGTGACCGCATGCTTCCAGATTTGACTCTGTTTGACTCGACTTGAAATTGTCTGAAGGATAGACAAGCACCCCTATAGAGACTATCAAGGCGTGATACGCTAAGCATTGGGGGCTGTGTTGATCGACAGGGATAGAAATGGCAGTAAAATCTCTGACACGATCTGTACCCTGAAACTTGGGTTCCGTGCAATCTTAAGGGGGCCACACCCGTTGAAGTTGCAATGTGATTGGAGTTGACTTGGGGGGCGGGTGTGAACTGCCGATCCATAAATCCTGCCTTTTTCCCCTTATTTCCTTTCTTCAACTCTTCTCACCACAGTCATTCCTTTCTACTGTTTTTATCTTCGTCATGGCCGCCAGTCGTTCAGATGAGCGCAAGCTCGAGAGTGGAAACACTGCTCCCCAGGACAAGGGCCTCCACCCGGCTTTCTACATCGCGTGCGTAATTCCCTGGAACCACTTTGAGAACCACTTTACTGAGACTCGCCTTTAGCCTCTGGATTGCTCTGAGTTCCAGCGTCATCTTGTTCAACAAGTGGGTTCTTTCCAGCGCCAAGTTCAGTATGTTTCCCTATCGCTTGTCGCGTTGAATTGCAGCTAACAGTTCTTGTTTTTAGACTTCCGTGAGCACCTCTCGATTCCTGCGAATGAAGCAATTATTGACCTCAACAACAGCCCTGTTCTTGACAACATGGCACATGGTGTTCGCCACGGCGATGACCCAGATTCTCGCCCGCTTCACCACTATCCTTGACTCGCGCCACAAGGTTCCCATGAACCCAGCTACCTACACGTGAGCAATCCCGCGAACACAAAGGCGCATTGCGCAAGACCTGCGACTGGACCTCGCATCGATGGCTAACATGCGGTTGTATCTATAGGCGTGCCATTGTCCCTATTGGTATCATGTTCAGTTTGAGTCTGATTTGCGGTAACTTGGCCTACCTCTACCTGAGTGTTTCCTTCATCCAGATGCTCAAGGTGCGTACCAACTGAGGATTTGTTTCACATTTCCGACCCCCGCCTTGAATTCCAGACCCAACTAACACCATACACAGGCTACCAACGCTGTCGCTACTCTCCTGGCCACCTGGGCTTTCGGTATTGCGCCTACCAACATGAAGACCCTCGGAAATGTGGCCTTCATTGTTATCGGTGTTGTGATCGCCTCGTTCGGTGAGATCAAGTTCGACATGTTCGGTTTCCTGAGTACGTTATTTCCAAGTCCCAGCCCTCAAAATCACTCCTAACAATCCCACAGTCCAGGTCGCTGGTATCGTCTTCGAGGCTCTCCGTCTGGTCATGGTCCAGCGTCTCCTCAGCTCCGCCGAGTTCAAGATGGACCCTCTCGTCTCTCTGTACTACTACGCCCCCGCCTGTGCCGTGGCCAACGGTGTTGTCACCCTCTTCGCTGAGCTCCCCCGTCTGACCATGGGCGACATTTACGGTATCGGAATCGGCACACTCGTTGCCAACGCACTGGTGGCATTCCTCCTCAACGCCTCCGTCGTCCTCCTCATCGGCAAGACCTCCGCCGTCGTCCTGACCATGGCCGGTGTCCTCAAGGATATCCTCCTCGTCTGCGCCTCCATGCTCATCTTCCGCGACCCCGTCACTGCCCAGCAGTTCTTCGGTTACTCCATTGCCCTCGCCGGTCTCTGCTACTACAAGCTCGGTGCCGAGAAGATTCAGACCCTTGCCACCGATGTGCGCCTCCAGGTTGGCGAGTACAACCGCAGCAACCCCGCTGCCACCAAAGGTATTGCCATTGGTGGTGTTTGCTTCATCGTTCTGCTCGTCCTGTACAGCGGTAGCCCCGCCTCCGCTGCTCCAGTGACCAACTAAGTCCACCGCAGCAGCTGAAGCAATGCACGGGAATCTGGCACCACGGAGAATGTTCCGTGGGCTTTTATTGTTTCACGAATTCAAGCTCGAATTGGTTCGACGCTTATGTTAAATTTTGATAAAGATCGTGTCTTGTCTGGACACGACAGCACATGCATGTAAAGTTAGGGGTATAGATGATGGGGGTTTATAGGAGCTATAGTTTATAATAAACGGTTGAACGAAATTGACAATCGGATCGCACTGTCCAAGAAACCAACTCCGCCGCTAAGTACGAGCTATTGAAATGGGTCATATTTGGCAAACGTATCACTCGTCGACAATTCCCCACTGTCTCGGTTAACTTGATTAACCTCAATCTTAATTTCACCTGCAAAACCCTGACGAAAAACCCCGAAGTTTCACATCAAGCACCACTACACCACTAACTACACCACAGGCAACAGCATTGCATTACCCCCTTAGAAGGAAACCTCCTAAGCAAAACATCAACAAACCCACAAAGAGCGGCGCCCACCGCAAAAGTCCCCGCAAAAACTGAAACCCCAACCACATACCCGGGCGAATCCGCAGCAGGAAACAGCGCACTGCCATACAGTTGCGCGAGCGCCGCAACACCATTCATCCAAGCAAGTATAATAGCCCTAACCTCACGATTAACAGACGCCAGCGCGGTAGTAGCAAATGACAATGCAAGCGCATTCCTCGTCCAGATGGTTACATTGATAAAGCAAAGGAATATACAGCGTGCTGTGTTATTTCTAATAGCGACTGTCAAAGCGAAGAATATCATTCCCACGATGAGATTCGTTACGAGGAGTAGACCACGCTGATCCGGGTGCCGGTCTGCGAAATAGCAGACCGGGATGGCGATTACGAGGGAAACGAGGTAGAGTGGTGCGGTCATGTATTGTGCTGTTGTCGATGCATATCCCATGCCGCTTATGAGGCTTGGGTAGCAGTAGGATATTGCTAAGGCGCCGAGGATTGTCATGTAGGCTGGTGTGAGAATCCAGGTTCGCCAGTCTAAGAGGGCTTCTAGGCTTCTTCGCCATTTCCAGAGTGAATAGCTTGTATTTTGCTTTCTTCGATGGAGGAGGACATGGTATGGTTTGGCTAGAGAGAAATGTATGTTTCCTGAAAGCCCATCCAGTATTTAGAGAGAGATATCTATTGATAGTTCCCCCCAGCAGGATTCGAGCAAGTGACATGTCCCATATGGGTGAAATCCGGGGAACTCTCTTTCAAAATTAGTGTTTGAATGGTCTGAGGTAATGTATAGAGCGGGGATTCTGAATTCTAGATGGAGATAATCCAGGGAGTACTGGGGTGAATGAGTCGCGGTCTACTAAGCGATTGACTACGCCTGGGTTGAACTATGAAATATCAAACATTCCGCAAGATTACGCGTATATTAAAATCCCCTTCAGCTGTTTTCAGCAATCCTGCGAAGTTGATAGAGCAAGCAATTGACATCTCTTTGGGTCCGCTGTGTAGATCATTGCTTCTCCTCTTCGGAGTGGTGTACAAACTCCCCGGGTGAGTCCATTCGTTATACTCGTGAAATCCCTGTTGACAAGTCTGAAGATGACCAATTGAATTGGATATTTGGTGCAGAGGGCATTAGCCTGATGTTGTACGGCTGTAGTCTGATTACTGGTTGATTCGTATAGATGTCGGCTTTCTTTCCGCATGGTAAGATGATATACAATGGCAAGCCATTCTATACTAGCTCATGTCACAATTCTGGCGCAGTCAGTACAAGTATAAGCGGAGAACCTCCGATCAACATGACCTCAAAGATCCCCGCAGCAGCAGGCATTCTTGAAACATTGAGACAAATACGAGGCGCTAAATAAGTAGGAACAACCACTCCGCTTAGAACCGAACCAACTGGCTAATATTGATTATGGCTCAACAGTGAGATGAACATTGCCATTCAGATCGGTCGTTCCACATGCACTAACTTGCTTCCTCACAGGAACAAGCTAGCATCCTACCCTGACCTCAAAGACCAAATAGCTCTAGTTATCGGAGCAGGTCAATCAGGGGACCCCACCTCAAAGGTCTGGGGCAATGGAGCAGCAATCGCAAAGACCCTAAGCACCTCTGGGGCCAAGGTAATTGCCTGCGACTTGAATTTAGAGGCAGCGCAACGAATAGCACATCTAATTCAAGTAGATGGCGGATTCTGCGACTCCATCCAACTTGACGCAACCAAAGCCACCGATATCAAGCGTGTTGTGGACGAAGTGGTAACAAAATATGGCCGAATCGATATCCTCGTGAACAATGTTGGCCTCACAAAGACAGGCGACCCTGCCACAATGCTGGAGGAAGCATGGGATGCACAGTTCCAGTTGAATCTAAAAACAGTCTATCTGAGCTGCAAGGCTGTCCTGCCCATTATGGAAAAACAAGGCTCAGGGTCTATTGTCAACAATGCATCGATTGCAGGTATGAGATTCCTCGGAAAACCTCAAGTTGCATATGCCACTGCGAAGGCGGCCGTCATTCATTTTACCAAAATAACAGGTGTTATGTATGCGAACAAGGGGGTGCGTGTTAACTCTGTGTCTCCGGGTATGATGTATACACCACTCCTAGAGATGCTGGGGAACAGTGACTCAAAAGAGGACCGGGAGATCCATAGGAAGATTACGGACCATAAATGTGCCCATGGGTTGTATGGGCGATGCATTTGATGTTGCGAGTTGTGTGGCATTCCTTGCGAGTACCTCGTCTCGCTATGTTATTAGTCAGAATTTGGTGATTGATGGTGGCTTGACGAGTTCGACGGGGACTGGAGGTGCTCGGCCTCCATTGTCTCGGATTTGATGTGCCTCTGCATGGAATCCAGGATATTGCAGATGTTTGTAGAGGGTTGTGGAGCATGGAGAAGTGACAGCTGCAACTGTTTAGTAGGCATCAATTGTCCCTATTCCGACTTGATCTCAATATAACAATGTGATAATTTAAGCCATGTGTCTTATTGATATCAAAAGTTGCTTGGGGGCGCAGTCGTGACCTTGGTCTATTTGTGTGGTTGCGCGGGTGTTCAGGCCTGCCAAACATGCCAATGTCTCAAATCCATCGGCTGACTCAACTTTCGCTGTACTGTTCGCCTCTGAGGCTCATCAACTCTTAAAATCAATGTTTGGGCGCAAATTGTACCATGGCAAACACGTCCAATAGGGGTATTGTTGTTATTTCCGGAGGTAGCGCGGCGAACAATCTCGTCGATGTGTTTAATGCGGTCCGCGAAAGCAAGAACTGCCAACTGAGCTATATCATCCCCATCAGCGACAATGGTGGATCATCTTCCGAGCTCATTCGGATTTTTGGAGGTCCTGGAATCGGTGATGTCCGAAGTAAGTCTTAATTATCTGGATCACAGTGTGGTGGCACAGTTGCTAACCACCCCCCGACAGGTAGACTGGTGCGACTGATTCCGGATTCACCAGCAAACCCGGAGAGATCAGCCGTCAAGGCCCTATTCAATCACCGTCTGCCTGCGGAGCCCGTGGCTGCAGCTCAAGAGTGGCAGTCCATTGTTGACGGAACGACCGATCTCTGGACAGCTATCACTCCCGCCAAAAAGGAGTTGATTCGTTCGTTCTTCAACGTGTTGAATCTGGAGATTTTAAAACGGGCAAGACCTCCATCATCGACATTTGACTTTACGTCGGCAAGCGTGGGAAACCTATTCTTGACCGCAGCCCGGCTATTCAGTGGCAGTTTCGAAAGCGCCATCTACTTACTGGGAAGTATTTGCGGTGTGCCCTCAGACCTTGTACGAGTGATCCCGGCTATCAACTCCAACTTTTCCCACCATATTTCTGCATCTCTAGCAGATGGGACTGTCATAGTTGGTCAGAATAGTATTTCCCATCCTAGCGAGACAACAGCTCTACAACACACCCCCGGCTCTCGGAGACCAAGTTTGCTCCTTGCCGATGGTGATGATGTTGAATATACAGATTCAGAAATCTCAGATGCGATGACCTACGAAGAAGACCATCTTCCTGGATCGTTGGCAACTCTCCGCAATAAAAACATCAAATTCAGCAAAACGAAAAACGAAGATCTCAGTTCTCGAATCACTCGAATCTGGTACATCAATCCGTATGGCCAAGAAATCCGACCACCCGCCAATCCGCGTGTGCTGGAAGCAATAAACGACTCGCAAGCCATCATCTACAGCATCGGCTCCCTCTACACATCCATCATCCCAGCCATCGTCCTTCGAGGCGTTGGCAAAAGCATAGTCTCAAGCCCGGCCCGACACAAGATCCTAATTCTGAACGGATCTTTAGACCGAGAGACAGGGCCTCCAACTGCACCTTTTATAGCATCCGATTTTGTCGAGGCAATCGTCAGCGCTGGAGAGGAAAGTCGTGGGCGTGGTCCAATTGATATCTTCAAGCGTGAAGCCCATGATTCTGCGTCTGATTCGTCCAAACCTAGCACTCGGCATTTCAGATCTCTTCCATATACTGCATATATCACTCACATCTTGCACCTGGAGGGACCTGGTACGCCGCATGTGGACCGTGAGCGGCTTGCACATATGGGTATCGAAACGCTTCGTCTGTATGGGCGGAAGATCACAGCTAAGAATGGTGACAAGGAGACTATTGTTGGGATGAAGTATGATCCCAATGCGCTCGTTCAGGCGATTGAGGTCGTATTGGGGAAGAAAGGAGATGCGATGGTTCGAGGTGGGTTAGATGGTGGGCTGGGTAGACGGAATACCTTGGACCCTGCGAGAAGAGACCGATAACTTCTTATTAAAAGATATACCGGAGATCCTCGTACTGGACAATAATATGCAATCATCTACTGAGCACCCAGATTCAAAATAATTCAAATGCCATGCTTTGTGACGTAAAGTAGAAGGGTAATGGAGAGTCTCTGTACAGAAATATGTGATGCCAAAAAAGGCAACGACGAGATATCCCCTCCAAAACCCTCGAATACCATGACCATAACTCCGTTTCTCAAGCGAAAATGCGCTTCCGCTGCGCTAAATGCCATGTGATGTGTCCGTTATTCATTCCCAATGCGCCGAGTTGCAATGCTTAATATGAAAGATGAGCAGAAAGACTATTCCACAGCGACATCTGAGGATACATCCCGTTTGTTGCACAGCACCTTCAAGTTCAGCAGAACCAAGCTCGATATGCCATTCCTACCGGGCTTAACCGTAAGCGCTTTCCGGCACACCGGGCAAGCAGGTTTGGGTTTCGAGCCATCCATTCTGACTTGCTCGCCCATCTTTACGCATTCGGTTATGCATTTATGGCAGAAAAGATGTCCTATTCACGAATAAGCAAAAGAAACGGTACGCTTCAAGACTAAAATCAACCTACCACATGAAGTGCTCGTCGCATTCTCCGGGGTATCCATGCACACTGGGCACTTGTAGGCGGTCAGAATGGTCCGCCCTTCTTCAGTGGGAGTTTTATGACTTTTGAAGAGCTTTGCATCTGCTCTGGCCGCGGCCTCTTTTGCCTGTTGCGCTGCTCTGTGCTGCATTTCTAGCGCTTGAGACATATGAGCCGTGCCGGAATGTCCCGTCAAGTCGATCTGGGGAACTGGCCGGGACTCTCTGGTCAAGTCGACATGTGAGCGCGAGCCTCTGCTCAACTCGATACCGGCGTCGTCTGTCAGGTCGATCTCACTGCGGCGTTCAGATGTTCGCGGGGCTTTCAAGACCGGCGGAGTTGAGGTGGAGGAATCATCGGTATCGCGCCGACGCTTGGAAGGTGGGGGTGGGAGAGGACGCGAGCGCGCTCTGGAGGAGGACGCATGATTAGAGCTGATGTGATGTGAGCTGGACTGCATTATGGGCGAGGTCAGGCGGATGGAGTTCGTATGTTCGGCGTTTGTTGTTGAAGTTGTAGTGTTGGCTCGGTGGCTTGCCATGGCTGGAACAATATCCAAACCACTTTTACGACCGCCTAATAACGTTTAATGTTTCGAAAGTCCCAACGTGAACGTTATATAGGTCACTAGCGTATTGAGCCAAGACTGTCAGATATACCACACTGAGTCGGTTCGTTGAGGTTTTTTGAGGTCTCTGCGGGGAGTTCAAACTGGCGACAATGAGACCAAATGCTCACAGAGCCTATATTGATTTGAAACCCTTGCCGGGAACAGAAGTACCTAGAGTGACAATGAATAGGCTCAAAAAGACCGAGGGAATGTGGCGATAGACTTATCATAAATGCACGTGACGATAAGCTTTCCAAAGCGAAGGCGGTGAACACGAACGGGCGGGATGTTAATCCGGGGCCGGCATGACGCCCTGACAGATACCGCGATAGGCAAAAGATATGGATTGTCCACTTCAAGTCATTCCTTTTGTTTTTAGATACAGCCACACGGCTGTGATCACCTTCCTACCATGACCTAATGCTATCACATTCATTCAGATGATGTTATCTTGGAAATATTCCTGCACTCCTTGCTCCAGGGGTGCCGTGAGGTCTTTCTCGCGATTTCGCCTGCCACTCCTGGTTCAAGCGCAACCATGGATTTCACATGGAGCTCAAATCAGGTACTCTTCGACAAGCGCAAATAATGATACCATCTCCAAACGATCTATTTCTGGTTGGTGATTCCCGGCGCAATGTTAAAAGGGAATGTGCAATACTGACCCCGTGCAGTGCCGGCCTCATCCAGATTCAACGATATTGGTGTCCAACAACTCAGCGATTATGTCCACCCTCAAGTTTTCCCCACCAAGGGTCGAACCCCCCAATCCCGATTTAGTCGCATTATCAAAGGATCACCTTGCCCGGCATGACCTCCTAGGCAAATCACAAAGTGGCGCAAACCCCGTCGCATTCGATCTCCCTCCTCTCCAGGGCCAGACTTTGGATGAACATTTCTACAAGCTTGGAATGGACTCTTCTGAGCCCTATTTAACATACGCCAAATCGTACGCGACGACCAATTGTCCGCCCAAGCCGCGAAAATGGGAAAGACGCAGTGGATGGACCAAATACAACTCCGATGGAACTTCCAAACCAGTCGATGTGCCTAATGAGTCTATGCTCACTTTCGACACAGAAGTGATGTATAAAGAGAATTCATTTGCTGTCATGGCCTGCGCAGTGAGCCCGACTGCATGGTATGCTTGGATCTCACCATGGCTCCTTGGCGAGTCGAAGAATGAGATTCAGCTGGTACCTCTGGGTGACCCTACCCAGCCCCGTGTAGTCGTTGGTCACAATATTGGCTATGATCGGGCACGCGTCCTGGAGGAGTACGACATGAAGCAGTCTCGGAATTTCTTCCTTGATACGATGTCTCTTCACGTCGCAGTGAATGGCATGTGTTCACAACAGAGACCAACTTGGATGCGTCATAAGAAGAACAAGGACTTGAGAGATAAGATCGCAAATGAACACAACTCCGTTGAGCTCGCAGCGCTTCTCGAAAGCAACATGCTGAGAGAAGAGGAGGAAGAGTTGTGGGTTGGGCGGAGCTCCGTCAACTCACTGCGGGACGTGGCCAAGTTCCATTGTGATGTTACTATTGACAAAGCCCAAAGAGATCTTTTTGGTGAACTTGATCGTGACTCTATAGTGCTTCGACTAGAGGAACTTCTCGACTATTGTGCCGCTGACGTTTCCATTACACACCGCGTGTACCGAAAAGTCTTTCCCAATTTCCTCGAAACATGTCCGCATCCTGTTAGCTTTGGTGCCCTTCGACATTTATCCTCTGTGATTCTACCGGTCGATCAATCCTGGCAAGAGTATCTCACCAGCGCTGAAGAAACGTACCATACACGCCTTAATGAGGTCCAACGCAAGTTGATTGAATTATGTGACGAGGCATTGAAATGCAAAGATCAGCCAGATACTTACACGAACGATCCTTGGTTGCGCCAGCTGGACTGGTCAGGCCAAGAGATCAAAATGGTGAAAGGGAAGAAGAAGAACGACCCTCCTCGCCCCGCGGCGAGACAAAAGAAGCCGGGAATGCCCAAGTGGTACAAGGACCTTTTTGCCACAAATGCCGCAGAAATTAATCTCACAGTGCGGACTCGCATCGCACCAATTCTGCTCAAGTTGTCATGGGACAACTATCCTCTCGTCTGGTCTGACAAACACGGTTGGACTTTTCGAGTGCCTCGTGACCAGCTTAAGCAATACGAAAATCAGCCAGTCGTTCTCTGCGACATGGCTGAAGAAAAAGACCCCCAGTTACGAGACGACAGGAAGCATAGTTACTTTAAAATTCCCCACAAAGATGGCCCACAGGCTAGATGTACCAATCCATTGGGCAAAGGCTATATGGGCTACTTTGAGCGTGGAATCTTGTCTTCTCAATACGAAATTGCCAAAGAAGCACTAGATATGAATGCCTCTTGTTCTTATTGGATTAGTGCCCGAGATCGCATCAAGAGTCAAATTGTGGTCTACGAGGACCAAGTCTCTAAGGATCACAAGAAACAAGCCGCAAATGACAACCGCGTCGGATTTATCTTGCCGCAGGTCATCCCAATGGGAACCATCACTCGCCGTGCGGTGGAAAATACCTGGCTGACTGCGAGCAACGCCAAGGCCAATCGTGTTGGATCAGAGTTGAAGGCAATGATCAAAGCACCCCCAGGCCACTCGTTTGTTGGTGCTGATGTTGACTCCCAAGAGTTGTGGATTGCAAGTCTTGTGGGTGACGCTACCTTCCAGATCCACGGAGGAAATGCAATTGGGTTCATGACCCTTGAAGGTTCGAAGAATGCGGGGACTGATTTGCATTCGCGAAGTGCGCAAATTCTGGGCATTTCGCGTAATGATGCCAAGGTATTCAACTACGGCCGAATCTATGGCGCTGGCGTCAAGTTCGCCTCTACCTTGCTTCGTCAGTTCAACCCGTCTTTGACCGAAAGGCAGACACAAGAAACTGCGCAAAACCTATACAAGGAAACCAAGGGAACACGTACTTCACGTCGTATGCTCAGTGAGACTCCCTTCTGGCGAGGTGGCACTGAGTCCTTTGTCTTCAACAAACTGGAGGAATTTGCGGACCAGGAGCGCCCTCGGACCCCTGCTTTAGGTGCCGGCATCACCGAAGCACTGATGCGACGATTCATTAACAAAGGAAGCTTCATGACATCCCGTATCAATTGGGCCATTCAATCTTCGGGTGTCGACTATCTCCATCTCCTGATCATCGGCATGGATTATCTGATCAGACGATTCAATATTCAAACTCGCTTGGCCATTACTGTTCACGATGAAATTCGCTATCTCGTCAAAGATGAAGACAGGTACCGCGCTGCGATGGCCTTGCAGATTGCAAATGTTTGGACTCGCGCCATGTTCTCGCAGCAAGTCGGCATTGATGATCTTCCCCAATCATGTGCCTATTTCTCGGCTGTCGACGTTGATCACGTACTCCGAAAGGAGGTCGACATGGATTGCGTGACACCGTCGCACCCCCACAAGATCCCACACGGTGAAACATTGGACATCGAACAGCTTCTCGGCAAAGAGCAGCAAGCTTTCTTGGACCCATCTATTACGCCTCACTCAGCTCCCACCCCCGAAAAATACACATATACCCCGCGAGAGTCGGTCATGTCTGCTCTGCAGGCCTCCAATGATATCGATTTCATCAAAGCCCAGGTCACAAAAGATGACAAGGAGCTCCGTGAAATCATCAAGCAGAAGGCCCAGGCAGGTGCCCGCCCCACCACTTCTAGTGCTCGCACTCCCTATAAACCAAAAGGCAAATCTTCCAATTGGGCTTCCGCAGAGCCACAGCGGGCGGTTCTCATGGATATGGAGTCAGGCATCTACCCAGACTTCCGCAGCCCCCCTCGTTCGAGCTCTGGTGGCAGTAAACCGCCTCAAATCGGTTTCCAGCGCTCTTCCTGGAAACCTCGGCCAACAGCTCGGGCATAATACCTTCCTTTCTTCTTCTTTCTCTTTGTCCTTTCGGCTTGTTTTCTGCTGTAATAATTGTCTTCTGCATTTTTCATATCTGGAGTAATTGGGAGGTCAGCATTGGGACGGCGTTGCTGTATGCATATGTGATTCCGAAGTCGATGTACCTATGTAGCTATACATACTTGATTTCCTCTGCCAGGTGGGGCTTTCCTATTTTAGCTTGCTGCCACTTTCATGAGGGCGCTCAGAGTTAGGCTCATTAAGCAGATTTTAGTCCGGGCTCAAACTCACTAAGCTGCTTAGACCAGTAGCGTGATCAATCAATCCGGCCTAATAAACGCTTCGTTGAATCAATCACCGGTTGCAAATGTTTTCTTGCCCGTTGACCAAGCTTTCACCATTTATCATTCTCCATTCGTCACGATTGACCCCCAAATAACAGTCGCATTGTATTTTACCATTTGATGTTTTATGATTCAATAACATCCATGAACGGTTTCTTTGGACGCTGAAGTATCTTCGCTGGTTACTCTTCGTTTTTCTATTGCTCGTCTTTCCAACTTGTAGGCTAAATTCTCTTAGGGTCTCTATTCCTGTAGTGCAGTGTGACGCTGGCCCTAACTCGGCAATACAATCTCCCAGGTTCAACATTCCAGATTCAGATGAAAAGAGTACCAAAGCTAGAAACGCAGGATGACCATGGAACACCAGGCAACAGAAGAGACTTAGTTCTGTCGGGATAAAACACGAAGAAAACCTATGTAATTATTTCCTCATGCTATATCATGTATATAGAGACAAGGTTGAGCTATCCTTAATGTTCCTTCCCCCTAAGTTCCACGACTCATCGCGCGAGCGAGACCACACGTTCTAGGAATCATATCCAGCCCCAGGAGTCATACATAGCATGGTTCCCAGGCACGTTCTTAGTCGCTCCTAGAGATCAGACTCGTAGTTGCTAGAAAACGTACAGCTCCCGGGAGTAAATGGCATAGCTCCAGGAAAGGAGAACTGGGCTCCCCGAGCTACAGCGCTCGGAAAGACTTGTGTTAGTGGGCGATCAGCGGGACCATCCGCCGGAAACTATTCGACATCGTTCCCCGAAGCTATAAGGTCCACACCCACTCCGGGACAGTGTTTATCAAATATGATTGGTTCCGAGCTCACCACCAGGCCTCTTAAGTTAGTCCATGCATTTCATATAAATCTCTCCCACCCCCAAGTCTTTTCTCTTTATTTTTCCGTCCTGCTTCTGAAACGATGCTCTAGGCTTCAAATCCAATGACGTAACTAGACATGTCATCTGCTTTGTCTGAAAGTAAGGAAGTAATGTAAAATTGGATTGATTTGATGATGAACCGCCGTTTGACAAAGGCAGAACACAATGAGGCGCAATATAAAATTTACATTATTAGACTTTCTGCCCATCGCGGAAACGAAATTAATTTTAGTATTCCAGGGTAACTATTCAAAAGGTCCAAGTCTAACGAGCTCAGATTCCATCGTGGGGTCGTAAAGGTTCTCGGCGACAAGAAAGTCCTTGACACTCACGGGCTCGTATCGTCCCCCTAGAGATAGATAGTGAACCATTGTATGTCCCTCAGTATCAGTCAGCCGATGATCCAGGCCTCTTTGAATCAAGAAACGGACCATGTTCCGGAGTGACCTGCTCGCAGCCAGGTGAAGCGCTGTCTTTCCACCTGGGGCAGTGCGGGTATGAATATCCGCGCCGGCTGATAGAAGCGCTTTTACCCTCTGAATGGCGCCACTGCTGGCGGCGCAGTGGAGGGGATAGATTGTGTCGGATCGAGTAACATTTCGTTCCGAGATCCAGTACATATTCGTGCGGGATGCCTCTGCGGCCCATCCCGTAAACTGCAAAATCTTACTGTCTGCCACTGCCATCACATCAGCACCATGTTGAATAAGACACTCGACAAGGGTGGAGTCGTCCTGTCCATCGTCTGATTGGAGGGTGGAACCGAAATTATGAGCAGCCGCTAAGTGAAGAGGGGTATGATTTCCTGGAGATGATGTGATTGATGAATTCGCCCCGCGTTCAAGTAAGTAATTGGCCATCGCTACCTGGTTCTTGCACGCAGCAAAGTGTAGTGGAGTCCAATTATGACAGTCGAGATCGTTAATAGTGAGATTGCTGTTATCGAGGATCCATTTGAAAGGCTTGGTTTTCCCAGCTTCGGCCGCCAGATGTAAAACAGAGGCATTCAACTTAGTCCGACCGTGGATGTCAGCACCCGCTGCGACGAGCATCCGCACCGTTCCCAAGGGACAAGAAGAAGAAGCAACAAGTAAAACAGTCTCCCCAAATTGACCTTTTTGATGAAGATCAGGCGATGACTTGAGTAATTCTTTAACAGCGGCTTCATTGCCGGCACGAGCCGCCGTCAAAATAGGCGTGTCACCTGTATTGGTTAAGGCATTGACATTTGCGCCTGATGCGAGTAGAAACCGCAGCACCGGCAGTCCATTCTGAACTCCAGCCGGAAGACTAGCAGCACGATGTAATGGCGTTTCCCAATGTGAATTCTCAAGGTTAATCGTGGCACCTTCCTGCACCAATAATTGAAGACATTCCAAGCGACCCCAAGTGGCAGCGCGGTGAATGGGCTCGTCACCTCGATGGCTTGGCCAAGCAGTGCCCTTGTAGCCAAGCTTTTTGCGGTACTCTATAAGCATCTTTAAGATTTCCACACGGCCCCGACCGGCTGCTATGAGCAACTCGTCGTCGTCCGAATCGGGGCCGGGGTTGCTCGGAGATTGGACGTTATATTGGATGAGTAGTTGTATGGTTTCGCGTCTGCCTAACCAGACAGCGATTTGCAATGGGGCTCTCTCTGAGCTACCATCAGGTGAAACACCATCTGCGAGGAGTGCGTTGACCTTGGCGATGTCGTTCTTGCGGATAGCTCGAAGGAGCTTCCTTTCTCGCTTTTCCTGTAGCCGGATGATGCAGTCCTGGTCATAGTTCTCCTGGTGTGACAGGTCAGTAAAGAAGTCCGACATGCTGGGAAAGGGAATATGGTCAGGGGACAGCGAGGGAGAAGAGTTAAAATCGATATATGTTGAACATTAGTCACATGATAACGCTGACGACTCTGCCTCTTTTGTCGTTCAGAACACGCAAGTCCAAAACACACCCACCGCAGTCCTAGATGGAGAAACAGCCACAGTAATTGTGGCCGGGTCTACAAACGGGCTTTCCGGGATTGGTTCATGGGGATTTGGTCGCGTCGCGGGCCAGAACTCTACCGGTTCAGTCTTCCAGACTCTAGACCCAGTCACAGGTCCAACTCGTACTGGCTCGCTGGTTAACTCGGAGCGCTGGTTCACTGGCCGGGCACCGACGTATGACGAGGTCGCAGCTACTGCAATGGTCAATGTCAAAAACTACGGGGCCAAGGGTGACGGAAGGACTGATGATACTGCCATTCTCAATCAGGTGCTCGATAGAGCTGCAAAAAAGGGGCCCAGTCATGTTCTTCCCCTTCAGTGTTTGCATGGTGCGTGATACCATCCATGTTCCGGTCAACTCACGAGTCATGGGACAGGCCCGGTTGCAAATTATGGGATGCGGCGACAAATTTGACGATGAACAGACTCCCTGTCCTGTTGTTCACGTTGGCCTTGCCGGGGAAGGCCGTATTTCGGAATTCTCCGATATCATGTTCACGGTGTTGGGTGCCACTAAAGGCGCAGTGTTGCTGCAATAATGTGCATCATCGTCGCACGGACCAGCGGCCCTTTGGAGTAAGCTCGTTCCATATCGCCAAATACATGCGCTCATAAACAATTTGTACTGATATTCCCCCAGATACCCATGTCCGCGTTGGCGGTGCCATTGGGTCTGACATGCAAGTCACTGGTTATACGGTGCTCTCTTCGTGCGTGGCAGCTTCTTTGCTAATTCACATCACCCCAAAAGCCTCAGGATACTTTGAGAATATGTGGGTATGGATGGCTGGTGAGTTGACTCCTCGATCTTCCCTAACCTCTTGGGTGCTCCTACTTCCTGCATTATAGAAAAAGGGGACCATGAAACGGATTCTCACATGTTGTCCCAACAGATCACGATTTAGACACTTCTGCCCAGGAGCAAGTCTCTGTCTACACTAGCAGATGTGTTACAATTGAGAGTTCTGGACCAACCTGGCTCTGGGGCACTGCCTCTGAGCACAGTGTGATGTACCAGTATAATGTGGTTGGAGCACAGGGTCTATTCATGGGTATGATTCAGACAAAGTCCCCATACTTCCAACCTGTTCCTTTGGCTCCAAACCCCTTCACTGCTGGAACTTTCCGCGGTGATCCCCTGTGTGGAAGCTCTCTAGTCTGGAATAAGGTTTCCAGAATCGATAGCTTGACCAGCAATAAGGAAATCGGGCGATGGATGCGGAGTACCCAGACAAACATTACCGGGCATTGTGGCAGAATTAACGTCGTCTGAGCCTGGTATGTCTTGCAAGTGCAAAATGTCTTCAGAGTCGTGAGGACGAGAGACAGGAGATAGGGGACAAAGGCAGCAAGCTGACTGATACCTCTGGCAAGCGCTCGTCAGCGAGCAGATCAGGATGCTTATGTAATACTCAGTGAGCGGGCTCATGGCACTCGCTCAGATCTACTCAGTGAGCAAAAAGCGGCAAGGGCTAAGCACCAATACGGAATGTGAACACCAAAAAGTGGCAGAGGAAATCAAGTACACGGGTATCGATAATGTTACAATACTACAAGTTAACTGCATGCATAAATTAATCTTATCAAGATCTTGCCAAGTCTGGCGGACGTACCCGCCAAATAAAGTAGTGAAGGGTCTAGTTCTCCACCCCTTTCACCTGGCATGTTCACCTGGAGACCGCCTTTCCTGTTTTCTCCCAACTGTTCACTTTTCCGTTTTTCACAACTTGTCCGTGTGCTGCATTTATTAGTTGCAGACGCGGTAGATCGCCACAACTCCTCACACGTCACTCCCCCGCCGGGCCACCATGTTTTCCCTCGGAGCAGTGGTGTCTCCATGAGACGCGCATTCACCCTTTAACCCCTTTTCTACACTTCGTCTCCTGACTTCCGCTGGTTATAAGTTCTTTGTGCGCAAACACACAGTCGAAATCGATTCGAACGGAGAGAATCTCGTTGTGCGGCCGATGAAAACCTGTCATAGCACAGCCACAATTGCACCAGCACCCATTCGATCCTTCTCAAGATGAGTGTACACGAGCTAGACTACGCGCAGCCCGGTGCGATGCGATCCGAGTCCCTGCACCACGTCGATGTGGAGGCAGGGCGCGGCTCGATCAGTTCGCAGGTCTCGCCAACAGCGAGAGATGGGCGCGAGGGGAGCTCTTTTCCAGCTTTCGCAACCGCCGCAGCACGAGTCAATTCCAACGAGACCACGAGACGCCGAGCCCGCCGTTCGAACACCGCTCGATCATACCACCCCGAAGGATTCGCCCAGGACCCCAACTGGCAGCCAGGAACCGAACCTGGTATCGACCCGACAAAACCACTTCCCGCCTTTACCTCTGAATGGTCGTCGAACATTCCTGCGGATCTACACCGACGGTGCGAAATTACAATTGTGGACTTCTCCCAACATGAGATGCGACAGTACGAGTTGGACAATGATACGTTAGAGCAATTCCTCGCGCGGGAAAGGGAGCCTTGGGTACAATGTCGGTGGATCAATGTCAATGGATTAAGCTGGGATGTGATTAAGATTCTTGGAAACCATAAGGGGCTGCATCGGCTTGCAATTGAGGATTTGGTTCATACGACCAATCGAACGAAGGCTGATTGGTATTCGGACCATGCGTTTGTCGTGTTGACATTGCAGAAGTTGATGAAGATCTATGAGGAGGATAGTGACTCCGAGAATGAAGAGGAGGTCCCGGCTAGTCGGTGGAAGTCAAAGGACCGGAAGAGCTCTGTGCTCAGCGACAGAAGCTCAATCTCTCTGAAGAGGCCTACGAAAACAAGTCTTATCCTTGAAGCACTGAAGGATCTTTTCCGGTTCAGGAGGTCCTCGGACAAAGAAGAGAAGGAGAGGCCAACAGTTGGGTCCAGTGTTCGACCTGGTGTTGGACGACGGACCTCGAAACATGCTTCTCACTTCGGAAATGTTGGGACTACAACACAGACTACAGCCAGGAGTCTTCAGCGCTATCGTGGTGGACCTAATGAAGACCGGATCGAGTTCATGGAACGCCATGCCGTACTCGCTGGCAAAGGGTTGTCTGTCACATTGGAGCAGGTCTCGATCTTCCTACATGCAGACAACACGGTGACATCCTTCTTTGAAACTAGCGCAGATGATATCGAGGCACCAATTGTCCGACGTCTCAGCTCACCTGAGACTATCCTTCGACAGTCATGCGATGCCAGTATGCTATTACAAGCCATCATCGACGCGGTGATTGATCTTGCAATTCCTGTCACAATGGCCTACCAAGACGCCATCGGTGATCTCGAACTAGAGGTCCTAACAGATCCAGATATCGACCAGTCAAAGTCTTTGTATATCTTAACATCCGAAATTGCGGTCCTACGAAACTCCATGCAACCGATCGTTGCCGTGATGAACGCACTTCGTGATCACCGCTCTGAGCCAATCGGTACACCTGGCTTTGGCGTTTTGCGGAGCCCTCTCAGCCCAGCTACTACACCCGCCGAGCCAGCTGACTGTCGTCCCCATGTCGGTGTTATCACCCCAAACCTGAAGAGCATTGGTGGAACCAGTGTCACCATCAGCTCCATGTGCCATACATACCTGGGCGATGCACTCGATCATTGCATTACCATTGTAGAAGGGTATGATCAGATGCGCCGCGCTGCTGATAATATGATCGACCTTATATTCAACACTATTGGTAGGTCTGCTATCTTCCAGCAAACGAACCAGACTGATTCCCTGTGCAGGTGCATACCAGAACGAGAGTATGAAGCAGTTGACTCTTGTCACTTGTCTATACCTTCCTATGACATTCCTGACAGTATGTGTGATCTATTCTCCCCCTCCAAAAATCATACTTACTAAATTTAGGGATATTTTGGTATGAACTTCACGGATTTCGCTGGAATAGAACACAGTGACGGGTAAGCCTCTATATGTCCCCCTAACACATCTCCCACTGACGCGCTTGAACAGCTATTTCTGGAAGATTGCAATACCATTCGTTTGCGCCACAACTTTCATACTCATGTGAGCTTCAATTATTGCCCCGTGAGGACCTTGGTACTAACCATTACCCCTAGGCGTGATAAAATCCAGCGTTACGCTGTTATGCTCGCTCAGAGACGTTTGATTGTCAGCTCTCGGAAACAGAGACGGGAGAGGAAGAAGAAATAGACGATTGCTACTGCTCCCTTCCTGCGTGCGATCTTGTTGTGATTAAGTTTCTCTCGTTATGTGGCAATGTTTTGATATATCTGTATTATTTGTACATTTATTCCATCTAGGTGAACAAAACGGCTGTGCTCTTGTGTTAATTCAATAGAGGTGCGTACAGTGCCTACACTAAGTCTACAAATGGATAGTCTGTTTCCATGCATTGTTTTTGCCTCTCTCGTGTGAATTTTTGAGTACCTCTGATTGTAGATGACTATACACAGGCGATGAAAGGACTTATGACCTCTGTTGTATCTGGTCAGATATCGAATTGAGACTTTTACTAAGCCTGGATGGTCGAGTGCCTTTCTTTGGGTCAATAAAATATTATTTTGATTTTTTGCATCGTAAGGCCCGGTTTGATATCTTCCTAATGTACAAGAGTGGACAGGTCCAAAATCGAAGCATATACGTGTTGTACAAGACTCGCAAGTCTTAATCAAAAGACTTCCGTCGGAAGGCATTATAAGCCTTCCACGGAAGTCTCCAGTCAGATCGAAGCAGCTCAGGGCTGAACACATCAAAGTCCTGCTTCTCAAGGCGATCCAGCCACAATCTCGTGCCCACAGCCGGCATGAAAACACCAAAGGCCCGGTTGATCTCATCTAGAGGTGACTCACCACTTCGAGCATCAGAGACAGGATACTCATGACCCTCCTCGCCCTCATGTTCAAAGTCGTGGCCGACATCATCTCCAGCTCGGAGATTGCTAAGCATCTGCTGCACAGTAATCAAGTGATCACTCGCCCGTGTCGCAACAGTGAAGACTGCATCCCGGAGACCCTCGGCCTCAGCTCCTCGTCGAAGTACTTCTTCTTCCTTGACACCAGCCTGCGCCATGACATCCAACGGCAACATCACGGCACCCTGCTTTGCACCACCCGTCAAGGTATTGGCAGCACCACCGGAAGGCGACTGAGCAGGCGGCGTAGGGAAAGCAACAAAAGGCAGTCCACGCAGCACAGCTGCAATACCAACCGCCTTTCCAATATGCGACGCAACATGATCCGCCGTTACAGATGCCATGGGGAGAGCAGACAGCGTCAAATACATGAGCGTTGAGTAGGTATTTTCAGCATAAGTCTCCAGCGCCGCAATATTTGTATACGGATCGTTCGTTAATGTCTGTTCTCGCGAGTTGATTATGCGAGTCAGCCAGCCTTTACTGATCCGCGCGCGGCCCTGCGTGCGCTCATGCAGATCGGAGATGGCGGAGGCGAGCAAGATGGCGACGGGTTCTTTTGGTGGCGTGCCCGCTAGGATTTTGGTTATGGCGTCACGCCAGAATTGGAGGCGCATTAGACCGATTGTTGGGGAGGAGGTTGTGTCTGGAATCATGGAGAGGGAAACGTTCAATGCGCGCAGCGCGATGTAGAAGGATTGCGCATGGCGCGGGATGAACGTGCTCAATGTGTAGGATGGGCGATCATATTTTCTATTTGTGGAGGTTTTTGTTAGTAATTTGAACTTGTTTGAGGTATGGAGGAGCTGGTGAAGCATACGAGAGTAGAGCGATACAATATTTGTGAGCGCCTTGGACTTCTTCGGCGGTGATGGGTGCGGCGACAGCGTGTGTTCGACTGAAACTTCGCCTGAATTGGAAGCTTTGCAGGTTTATTCTGCTCGCTCTCCGGCATGGCTGAGCGAGAAAAGACATGTCAAAGGTGAAGTTGGGTTGCGACCTGCGACTTGAAAAGAAGATGTAATCGGGCAAAAAGTATTGGCTCGCAAAACATCTTTGTCAGCGAGACTTCAATGCACATTAATGCAATGACAATTAACAAATGCTTTGTTTGAATATATCAAGTGAGATCTACTGAAATAATTGATATACATCTTCCTGTATTTCCTGTAGTCTATGAGAGCTGTCAACTGCAACTCGGTGCTGACGTCGATCCACATGACTTCGCGTTTCTCCGGCGCGTCTCCCGACTTGAGACTTCACCCTCTTGCATGATTGAGTCCCATGTCCCATCCACTATGAGCGATGATGGAGAGCAACCGCCATTAAAGAGGCAGCGTTTCTTTTCCGACATTCCACCATCGCCTTTGCCGATACAAACTCGAGACGCCAACGCGTCGTTCCGGAGCGCCGAAGCAAGCCCCGAGCAATTACCCACAGAGGACAAAGAGAACAGTGGATTCGATGCTGAGCTATTTACCAGCATTATTGGAGAAACACTCCCCTCTGCATCTGTCGCGATTATCCGAAAAGCCGCATCGTGCAATCTCGAACGAGCTGTGAACATATACTTCGATGGGTCATGGAAGAAGCCTGCGGGGATCGACGCCAACTCCGCCGCCTGGAACCAACCAAATGGACATCAAGTGAAGGCTGAGCCTGGAAGTGGGAAGTCGCGGGCATCCATCACTCAAAAGTCCAAGGGTGGTCTCATGGAAATCGAATCCCTGGTGCAAAAGCAACCACTTACCCGATATGTTGGAGCTTTTGGGGTCGGTGGATGGGCAACTCGGAGTGGATCAGCATATCTCAAGCATGGGGAAACTGTGAACATCGAGCGAGCTCGATCCCAGCCAACATTAAAACGTGGCCGTGGGGGCAAATCATTCATGAACAACAAGAGTGATGTTCTCACCCGTTTCACGAACACGACTGGTCAAGAAATTGGACGACTTCCCCACGAGACAGCAGAATGGGTGTCTACTTTGATTGACCAGAAGATCTGCCGCTTCGAGGGCGTCTGTGTGTTTGTCCCTGACAGGGTCCGCGTCAACGATACCATTTACCTGCAATTGAAAGTCTTCATGCGTCGAGAGGCGTTCCAGCGCAGCGCCTTTGCTGCGATGCAAAAGGACGACAATAGGTCGACTGGCTTGTTTGAGGAGAAGGAGAGCACAGAAGAAAAGAATTTGCGGCTGCGTCAAGTGGCTCTTGTAAAATTGTTCCATGAGATCAGCCTTCATCCCACCTCGACAAATCCGACTACGGAAAAACATAAGAGAGATGGTCTTTTGCGTGCCGCCGAAATTGCGGACCAGTATGACAGCACCAAGAAAGACAAGTCAAAGTCCACTAAAGACCCCAACGACTCCTCTGATGAGGATCAAACCGAAGAACTCGAGGAAGACCAGCTGGATGCTCTCTACCGCAAGGCCCAGTCATTCGATTTCAACATGCCTGGGGCTGATCCCGCACCCACCTTCTCCCTTGATCTAAGAAAATACCAACGACAGGCTCTCCATTGGATGCTATCCAAAGAGAAAGACTCGAACCAAGCACGAGAAAAGTCGATGCATCCCTTATGGGAGGAGTACACATGGCCCACGAAGGATGTGGATGACAAGGATTTACCCCAAGTTCCAGAAATTGATCATTTCTACGTCAATCCATATTCGGGTGATCTCAGTGTCGACTTTCCTGCACAAGAACAGCGCTGCCAAGGTGGAATTCTGGCTGATGAGATGGGACTTGGTAAAACTATTGAAATGCTTAGTTTGGTTCATTCCCACAGAGTTGAGCCAGATCCGCAAGTTGCAAACGGCCTTTCCTCGGTGAATGATTTAGCAAGAACTCCAACCTCTACTGGTGTAATCTCTGCGCCATATACCACTCTAGTTGTTGCCCCAACCTCGTTGATTTCTCAATGGGAAAGCGAAGCATTGAAAGCTGGAACATTGAGAGTTCTCGTGTATTATGGAGCAGACAAGTCTAACAACTTGAGAGAAATATGCTGTGCATCCAAATATGCAACCGCACCTCAAGTGATTGTCACCAGCTATGGTGTGGTACTTTCGGAGTTCCGCTCTCTCGCTCTTCAGTCTGCACTGGGGCCCAGCGCAAATGGGGGTCTATTCTCCGTCAACTTTTTCCGAATCATCCTCGACGAAGCCCATGTCATCAAGAACCGTCGCTCCAAATCAGCGCAAGCATGCTGCGAGCTGCAGGCAGCCCATAGATGGGCTCTGACCGGCACGCCCATTGTCAATCGACTTGAAGATCTGTTCAGTTTAGTGCGTTTCCTCAAAGTTGAACCTTGGAGTAATTTCTCTTTCTGGAAGACTTTCATCACCGTGCCATTTGAATCCAAAGAGTACGTGCGTGCACTGAACGTGGTTCAAAGTGTCCTGGAGCCCCTTGTGCTTCGACGAACCAAGTCAATGAAGACCCCAGAAGGCGAGCCATTGGTTCCCTTACCGCGGAAGACTGTTACCATTGAGGAAGTAGAGCTCCCAAAACAAGAACGAGAGATTTATGACTGTATATTCACACGTGCCAAACGAACCTACAACGATAATGTCGAGGCTGGCACACTTCTGAAATCGTACAGCACTATTTTTGCCCAGATTTTGCGACTTCGTCAGACCTGCTGCCATCCCGTGCTGACACGCAACAAATCAATTGTGGCAGATGAAGAGGACAGAGCGGTGGCTGCCGATGCCACGAATGAGTTCAAGGACGATATGGATCTTCAGGAACTCATCAACCAGTTCAATGCCGAAAATGAGAATGCCGATTCCCAGGAACGCTCTGGGGCAACCGTTAAATTTACTACGCATGCGCTGCGCCAAATCCAAACAGAGTCCAGCGGAGAGTGCCCTATCTGCTGTGAAGAGCCCATGATCGACCCTGCGGTGACTGCTTGTTGGCATAGTGCTTGCAAAAAGTGTTTGGAAGACTTTATGCAGCATCAGATGAACAAGAACGTTGAGGCCCGATGCTTTAACTGCCGTGCCCCAGTCGACGCAAAGAATATCTTTGAAGTAGTTCGGCATCCGTCCTCACACTCGACCCCTCTCGACGACGACATTGTCAGCAGCACACAACCAACCAGCTCCCAGTCCGCCCCTCGCATATCTCTCCGTCGCATCTATCCCCTCTCTCCATCTGCCCATACCTCCGCCAAGATCCACGCTCTCATCAACCACCTCTCCCGCATTCCCCCCAACACAAAGTCTGTTGTCTTTTCCCAATTCACCTCCTTCCTAGACCTAATTGGTCCTCAACTTACCAAAGTTGGTATCCATTATCTCCGACTGGACGGTACAATGCCACAAAAGGCCCGGGCCGCAGTCCTCACCGAATTCACAAAAGAAGAAAGCTACACCGATGACGATATCATCGACATAGAAGATGACTCACCAGGTTCAAAGGGTCCTACCACGAATAATGCACCCACAGCCCCATCACCTTCGGTCCTCCTCATCTCCCTCCGCGCCGGTGGTGTCGGCCTCAATCTTACAGCAGCAAGCAACGTCTTCGTCATGGATCCATGGTGGAGTTTTGCAATCGAAGCGCAAGCTATTGACCGTGTCCACCGAATGGGTCAAACTCGTGATGTCGCCGTCACGCGGTTTGTAGTCAAGGACTCAATTGAAGGTCGCATGCTCCGCGTTCAGGAACGTAAGATGAACATTGCTGGATCGCTAGGGTTGAGAGTCGGTGGTGATGACGGCGATGAGGACAAGAAGAAGGATAGGATCGAGGAGTTGAAGATGTTGTTCGAGTGATTTTTTTGTGTCTTTCTCTACAAGGGTTGCTGGTTTTGTTTGAGTTCGAAGATACCCGGTTCTGGCGTGAGGAATTGGTAATGAGGTGAAGGTTAGAGATCATCTGCTCAAATGAGTTCTACATCGGATTTGGACAGGCATCAAAAGGAGCGGAAAAGTCTCATTGATTTTAATACTGCATCAATGCGAATTGTTGCATGTTGAATACAATGCAGCTGTCATAGGATAAATGGGTGATAGATTGTACGAATTGCATGTTGGATGCAATCCACCGGACAGATTTTGCAGGAGTTGCAGAAACCCTCGTAGCATGTTCATTTCGTCATCCCTCGCAAGCCATCAAGCCATCAAGCCATCAATCACATCACGGCAGTCCTTGAATCTAACGACACCATTTCTGCCACAAACACCCTTGTCGAACAGCATAGCAGTGAGGACATCCATTATTACCACGACAATTAGCAATAGTCCCGCAGAACTGGTAACACCTAGAGACGCGCTTATCAAGAATCGATGCGTCCCTGCTCAACAGAGTGTTAGAACGGGGGCAGGCATCAACGGCTCTCGTCTCCAAAGTCGTATCCTGTACCGTATCGTTCGAGCTCGTTGCTGACTGCAATACCTCTTGAGCACGCTGCTCCTCCTGATCGAAGTAGTCGTTTGCAGTGTCGCTTGGAGTGAAATGCTCCGACAGCGCAAGATCGTTGGATGGGTGCTCATAGACGTCGATCTTCACTCGGCTGTTTTCGAGGTACATGTCCATGAAGTGGGTATCTTGGAGGTTGGAGAGGAATGCATCGTAGCGGTCAAGCTCATCCTCATGGATGGCTGTCCGTGGGGAAAGAGCCAGTGCACAAGCTGCGACAGACATGGCGATTAACAGTGTACGGAGGAGAGTTTGGGACAGCATTTGTGGTTTGTTGACACAGTGTCATGTGATACTTTTGTGTTTGTACTTGCTTTGCCCTACGGCTGGATGTTTTTGGGATGTTTGATTTGTGATGATTGACTTTAACAAGTACTTGTCACTTGAATTGAGTAGTACCTGTGATATTTATATTTCACTTTGAGCAGGTTAAGCCACCACATCCTTCACAACTTGTCGGCTGGATCAATCCCTGCTATCACATTACATTCAGCCCCATAGCAAGGCATGCTCCATGGAAAGCACTAGGCCTTTGTATCCATGGATGCTAGCTAATCTCACGTCACGTACTACCACCCATCAATGCCTCCTCTCATGCTTAGACGAATAAACTGATGACCTTGGAAAGAATGACATGCATATATAGGAACATCCCGATATGATTGAATCAATACAAGGAAATGCAGCTGTGGAGAGTCTCAAAACAAGGCATATATTATTGCTCAATCAGCAAGCTTTCTCAGGTGAGCTGATTTTCAGGGCAGGGGGTTGAACTTCAGCCTCAGGGTAGTATCCAAATGCAGAGGGCAGCCAAAAACGCCATGTATATGCATCGACCTTTTCTCAACACCCCCAGCCTTCGGGCTGAATGCTCTTGTCCTGCTCCTCATTTCGGTAGAATTAACCTAGTCGGTAGCAATTGATACTTGACTACCACAGATATATACTTAATTCAAGCCGCTCCATAAGGCCATCCGCATATGTTTCCCGGCATTGGTTTGTCGCAATATGAATCAGGCTTTAGTCAAACAAGTAGTCTCAGCAAGGTTTGAAATACGCCTGAGACAATGCCAGGCTAGGCGAGGCTCTAGTATTACACTGCTAGTTTGGGCTCGATCTTTCTCTTGGCCTTTGACCTTTTGGGATTGACCGCATGATTGATGTAACCCCATGGTGTCGGCTAGGCTACACCAGAGTCTGAACCTTGACTTTTGTTCCAGTTAATCCCGTTTTCACAGCCACAAACTCAAAAGTTAATAACGCCTTATACTGCAAGATTCAATCATCTCCCGAGGTGGTTTGTATTGCCGTCGCATAAAATGAGCCTTGAAAATCTTTGATCCTGATAGCCCAGAACGATGCATTTTGTTTGCGCCTTACTCGAATAAGCGTTTCAGAGCTACCTAAACAGGACGTACTTAGCTGAATGCCTTACATATAGTAAGTCGAGAGATATTTTACGACAAGACGGAGTGCATAATAATCTCGTTTCGAGTATTGTTGAAACAGTGCGATATTAGCAATCAGTGTTTACAGCATTATGCCCTGTCAGAGGTGGACTGTAGGAAATACGATTAGAATCATACGTGGATTCCTTTGGAAATTGGATGCAGCGTAGGAAAACCAGTAATCCATTGCTCTTAGCACAAGATCCACCATATTTCCCTACCTGGGAGTCGAAACTAAACTCAGATAGATTTTAGCATGAAGTTTCCCCTACAATCAAAAGTTTGGAAAGCAAGACAAAGATGGTAAGATTCGCAACATCAACAAAAGATGCACAAAAGCTATTGACGATCAAAGAGAACACAGGTCGTTAATGGGTCATTATTTCTCAATCACTTTCCCTCAAAGCCTTAGAAATTGTTTCTTTGAAGAAGCCCAACAATCAGATGACTACCGAGCAAGTGAGCAGCTATCAAGGCCACTGGAAGGTATTCCCTTCACGGTCAAAGACAGCTTCGTGATCAAAGGCATGACCGTCGCAGCCGGCTCATCTGCCTTTACCGACTTGATCAATTCGGAAAATGCGGCTGTTTTCTCGCTTGTACGAACGCGGGAGCAGTGATACTTGGTAGAACGAATATTCCAAAGCTCCAACTATGATGGCTTCAGTCCCCGTTCTAAGTGCAAGCAAGACTGACGAGTATCAATTCAACTGTAAAACACTCTCCAGAGAAGTCCGTCTATACCGGACCATGCATCCTTCTGCAAGGCCCAATCACCTCGTTGCGGACTCACTCTTCACTTCGAACAAACTCCTGACTGATCCATATTTCTTCATTCCCACAAGCCAGGACCAACATCGAGTCATAGCTACCTGCTATATGGTGTTTCACCTCTGTGGCCATGTTGGCTACGTGCACGGTGGTCTTTTTTTTCACTGTTGGAAGGCGTATTTGCAAGATGTGCCTCTCTCGTCTTTGAAAGTGGCATAGGAATGACAGCAAGTATGAATGATCACTTTCAGATCCCATCGATCCCAGACCGGGCTGATGTATATCACGCCGAGATTACTAGAACCGAGGGCCGAAAGGCGGGAGTTACCGGTCAAATAAGATGCGTGAAGGAGCTTACGGCAATTTAGAAGCTCAATCGGAGGGTTTCGGGGACTGATGAAATGAGCGAAGAGTGTAAGTGGCTGAGGCCACTGCGTTATTTATCGAGCCTGAATTCGGGAAGGTATGACTTTTCCTGTCACTTCATGAATCTTGTTGGAGTAGCTGGCTGTATTAGTCTATGCCACCGTTGTTCTCCGAGTGAAGATCATCCTACAACCCCAACTTTATGTCATGGTTCCTGCTAGGGCTAAAGTAGCCAACAATAGACAACAGGACTGGGGCTCCGTCTCGTTTCCCCAGACCTGGAGACTCATTCTCCGTGGGGGCGACCGTCATTTATTCTTATTACGTGTACCTATTGATCAAGACCAATTGTAAAAAACTTTTACCCCAATCAAGCTTCGCTCATGGAGTTCCGATTACTTTAGATTTTCACGGCCTATTAAGAATGCACTTTTACGCCGATCTTGCAGGTTATAGCTTCGGCAGTTCGGGCCGTGGCTAAGAGCAATTGTTCCTATATTCGTGAAATTAAGGTAATCAAGTTCACTTGGTACTGGGAAAAGCTTGCCCCTCGGCCCAAGCTTAAGTAGGCCCCGAATGTAACCGCGCCTTACCGAGGAATTTCTTCGGTGACAGCAAGTTTCACCGAGCGATGATCGTCCGATGGAAATATGGATCCCCAATTATGCAGGCTCAACAACTTCATCTGTGGTCGTGTGAAAAGAATTACTATAGGAGTTTCGGAATAGCTTGTCCGATATCATATCCCCGTGCCTAACCGCTGTTTGCATTGGACTACACGCCAAAGACAGATGTTTATGTGGACTTTTCGTACAGAATGGAGTATATCATGACTGGTTATGTGTGCCTTCGGTGGGCACACTGTGGATATTGAAGCGGAAGTCCACTTCTACTATACCTGGGCAGGCTGGTAAATGGTTAACATGAGGTCATATCATTGCTCGAACACTTGAGTCTGTTCGAGATGAACCCACTCTTTTCTAAATCGTCATGGGAAGCTTCCGTAACAAAATTCTGCTTTCCCCGGCCATTTTCGTGGGCGTCGTCTGTCACCAAGTGGGCATATAGCGAACTCTTCTCGTGTCACCCAACGAGCAAGCCGCCCACAAATCGTTACTCATCCTCAGTTTTTCTTTCATCCCCCGACTACAAGCAATTGGAACGCTCTGCCCTCAGTGTGTCTAGCACATCATGGGTAACCCACCCTCGAATATCCCCAATGACAAGACCGCCGACAAACCAATCGATGCTGGGGGTGATATCGTGGGCGAGATGAGCGACAGAGAGCGGAATCTCTACGATGAAGGAATGAAAAAGTTCTCGCGTCTGGGCTGGAAGCGATTGACAGTGGTCCTGATCGTGGAAGCTATTGCACTGGGCACACTATCTATCCCCTCTTCTTTCGCCACACTAGGAATGGTTGCCGGCATCATCTGCACTGTTGGAATTGGTCTTGTTGCCATTTATACAAGCTACGTGATCGGTCAGGTCAAACTTTCATACCCGGAGATTACCAATTACGCTGATGCCGGCCGCCTGATGGGAGGCCGGGTTGGATATGAAATAGTGAGCGTGATGCTTGGTCTCCAACTCACCTTTCTTACGGCATCGCATTGCTTGACTGGCACAATTGCCCTGCAAGTGATCACCCAAAGTACGATATGCGCTGTCATCTTCGGAGTGGTATGTGCTGTCATTCTACTCGCAGTTGCTGTGCCGCCTAGCTTCACGGAGATGGCAATCTTGGGCTACATCGACTTTGGTTCTATTATCATCGCCATTGGCATCACTATCATCGCTGCCGGTATCGAGAGAAACGAAGCCACCACCACCGCCACCGTATCAGGCATGGCTTGGTCAGCATGGCCGCCGGAAGGTACGACTTTCACAGACGCCTTTATCGCCGTTTCGAATATCATCTTCGCCTACAGCTTTGCGATTTGCCAGTTCTCGTTTATGGATGAGATGCATACCCCGAAGGATTACGTCAAATCGATTTGGGCTTTGGGTATCACGGAGATTGTGATTTATACCGTCAGCAGTTCGTTGATCTACTCCTTCATCGGCGCGGATGTCAAAGGTCCTGCTATGCTTTCTATCAATGAAACCGTAAGCCGGATTGCATTTGGAGTGGCGCTGCCGGTTATCTTCATTAGCGGTTCTATCAACACCGTTGTTGCTGGGCGGTTGATCCATGGTAGAATCTTCAAGAACTCTACTATCCGCTTCATTAACAGCGTTGCTGGGTGGTCAACTTGGTTAGGGATCATTACAGTTATCACCATTATCGCTTTTGTGATCGCCGAGGTCATTCCTTTCTTCGAAGATCTACTCTCCCTGATCTCCGCCCTGTTTATTTCTGGCTTCACGTTCTACATCCCAGCTTTGATGTGGTTCTTCTTGATTCGGAAGGGAAGCTGGACTTCACCCCGTAACTTGGCACTGGGAGCTCTCAACGCAGCAATCCTGGTGATGGGTTTGGTAATCCTGGGTGGCGGCACATACGCCAGTATTCAAGATATTGTAAGTTGCTGACGATACCTTCTTGGTTCAAGTTTTGGGATTTATGCTGACTTTTATTTCCTAGCTTAACAATTATGCAGCTGGGACGGTCGGAAGCGCCTTCTCCTGCGGGAAACAATATTAAATGGCTACATGTGCTACAAAGTGGCCAGAAACAGCCCAGTGATACCTTGTTACTGTTCCGCTGATTTACGTTTCCATGTCAACTTGTCGTGCTTCTTTTACATATCTTGCTGGGTGGCCTGGAACATGCCATGTACAATAAATCTGTATTCAGGAAATTGAACCACATTTATCTTCACACCTGTTGTAAAGAACATAGATTTTGACTCGGATCCAATGGATTTGACGGTGCACTTGCTCAATTTGCATTGGAATCGTCAATATCTATCCTACTTGCTCATTTACCGTCCTGCTGTTGGATTCTCGAAATCCAAACCCCAAAGGACTGGTATTCTACAATCGCTTTGAGCAATTATTGCGGAACTATCTTGACAATTCTACTCTTCCAATAGTAACCGCCTTGCTGACATGTGGCTCTTTCCTCGTGCAATACGATTACCAAAGCGCTGGGCGGGCGCTTTCTGGTATGGCTTAGAGACTGATAATGGACCTTGGTTGCCACCTAGGCAGCTCTGCATGTTCGAGGTCTACACTCAGTGAACATGAGATGAAGGAACGGTTTGATTGGGGAGCCTTCGGAAGCGACAAGTTTCAATCGCTTTTTCTTGTTTGACCTCCTGCGATGTTGGAATCGACAGGCAACGTTTCACATGGCTTTCTGGTTTGTTTCGAAGAGCTGGTGGAGTGGACACCGTATTTCAACCCTCATCAATTCCTCGATAGCTCTGCATCGGCATATCGTGGCAGGCTTTCGTACGCCATAAGTACTTTCCAGCCCTTGCTTTCCCTTTGCAAGATCGCCTCCCAGGTTATTGAGGCTTTCTGCGGCGTCAACAGCTCGACGATGCCAAAAGATCGTGCCAAAAGATCGTATCACTGATCAACTAACTCAGTGGAGAGAATCTCTGCCTATATGGTTACATTTTGATTCCAGGGTCCATTCCACCGCGCCATCTCACCAGATTATTCCTCAGTAAGCGAAGTCATTATTCATTATTCATCTTCTGTTAATAACATGCTCATTCTGTCTCTAGCACTATGTATTGGACCCTGGTCATCTTGACTGAACAGGCGTTCCTAAGCCATCGGCATTTTCCCTTTGGTCTGGATCCAAGTGACGAAGAGTTTCCACGTCAGAGATGCATCCAAGCATCACTCAACATCTGGAGGCTTGTGGCAGTCTATCTAGAAGCGTTCACTCTCCGGCGCGCGCAGTACGCCTGTTACTGCGCAGTTCTCGTTATGCTTCAATAGATTCGACAGAATACAGGGAAATATTTGGGATGTAACCCGTTCTTCTGGACTGCCCTGCTGGAGTATCAGAAAAAAGTGTAATTACGAATTGAAGTGCCCCCTGAAACGACTCAAGTCACTTATGCAGAGGCTTGGGAGTGTAACCCAAGGCCTAGGGACAGACGAGGTGGATATTCTCCATACCAGCTGGTAAGTATATCGTCCTTTGCCATCCCATAAGAGTATTGGATTGACTGGATTCATAAAGCCGGTATAAATACCGCGCCTCACTTGGATGTCCTTCAGGTTCCTGAACTTGAGCCTTGGGGCCAGTCTTTTTTTCAACAGCATCACCGATGACGACCTTTTTGAGTCAAAGAACCCTGACGAAGGAATACGTTCCTCTCGGTGGATCGTGCCACACCTTCGTTGATCTGCATTTCGACCTTTGATGCTACCAAGCCCTAAGTTCTGAGGCCCTACCCCGGAGGTGTCCGATCACCCTTACTCATCGCCGCAATGCCGAGTGCAGGGCCTCTAGAGCCCCCACGGCTTCAAGCTCGGCGGTGTTACAACCTCACCGAGCCCTCGGTGATGGAAGTCCGCAGAGAACATTCCTTTGATATGCATCACTTGTCCCCTTGGAAAATAAATGTAACCACCTCTCTTCGTATCCCACTTCTCCTTGTTCTAGCGCCTCATGGTCAACCCTTTGTTATCCATTCAAGGCATGGATCCTCACCTCGAAAAGGGACCACAATCGTTGCCGACAAATCAAGAAACCCAGCATATCAATCCAGTTCGCGACTGGAATGGACCTGACGACCCAGATAATCCTCGTAATTTCTCGTTGTGCATGCGTCTCTTCGGCACATTTACTGTGACTTCCCTGGCATTTGTGGTGGCCTTCGCAGGAGGAATATACGCTCCAGCTCAAAATGAGTTGATGAAATTATGGGGCTGCAACTATGAGACAGCTGTATTACCTCTTTCTCTCTACAACCTGGGACTTTCGTTGGGACCCATTGTAGGTGCTCCGCTGTCTGAGAAATACGGCCGGAGGGCTGTCTACATCGTCAACACGCCTATCTTCATTCTCTTCATGATTGGAGCTGGTTTCTCAAACAACATTGGAAGTTTAATCATTTGCCGCTTTTTTGCCGGTGTTTTTGGGTCTCCAAATATCAACAATGCCTCCGCTACCATCTTAGACTATACACCCGACATCCACCGCGGCGTCGTTCTCGGCATGTACTATTCCCTCCCGACAATCGGTGCAACCATAGGGCCTCTCGTCGGTGGCTTCCTTGTCCAAGCGCGAGGGTGGAGATGGACACATTGGGTTCCTATCATCGTCTCCGGTATCCTCTACATCCAAGTGCTATTCACAAAGGAAACCTACAAGGGCGTGATTTTACAACACCGAGCAATCAAACTGGGCCTCATGGACGCATCGTCTCAGAAAGTCAGCGTGCTCAAATCCTTCCGACACTTTTTCGTCGCCCTTATTCAACGCCCAATCCACATGCTTTGCACGGAGCCAATCGTAACCTTCGTCAGTCTGTACAACGGCCTCATCTATGGACTCATATACGCATTCGTGATTTCTATACCATGGGTCTCAACAACATACTACAATTTCGATAAAACAGGAGAAGCCCTTTCCTACCTGGGCGTTTCACTCGGTAGTCTGATCGCCTGCCTCCCATTCGCAACTGTGGACATCCTGTTCTACCAGAAACGTCTTTTGTCATGGAAAAAAGCTCACCCACCGAATGAGAAAATGCCACCAGAGAACCGTCTCCCTTCTGCCATGATAGGCAGTTTCTTGCTTCCGGCCTCATTGCTTATCGCCGGCTGGACAGCGGAGAATCGCGTCCATTGGATTGTTCCCATTTTCTTCCAGGGGATGGCCACGCTTGCTTGCCTGTTAATTTATGCGGGTGCCAATCTCTTCATGTTAGATTCCTATGGGCCTCTCTACGGTGCCTCGGCTTCTGGTGCCATGATGTTCAGTAGATATCTGTTGGGCTTTGCCTTTCCGCTGTTCACGCTTCAGATGTATGAAAGGCTAGGTGCGGGATGGGCGACATCTATTTTAGCCTTGTTGACTTTCATCATGACTCCTATTCCATGGTGTTTTTGGGCGTATGGGCCGCGGCTGAGAGCTGCGAGCAGGTATGAGACAAGTGCTTGATATATACCCCATTCGCAGGGTACAGCCATACAGCCATACAGCCATACAGCCATCACTTAACATAGATCGACATTCAATGTACGGATTGTTCTGGGTTTATCTTACCTAAGTCAGCTCTAGAGCGACATTTCTAGCACCAATTTAGTCAAAATTCACCAAATATTCGTACGTGGCCAAGTGCAGATTTAGAAGTCAACGAGGTTAAATTATAATAAAACAGGCCGAAGAAACAAGCTCGCAAGTGATATCAACAACATAAATCCTAACAAATATTCCGAAGATAATTATTCCGCATGATGAAGAACAAAGGCACAACTGCCTTTTGATAATATCAGAAACAGCGATACTCCTATTTGCTCGAGTGGTGAAGATGCTTCTTGATCCCCTCCTTCATCTTCGACATGGCACCATGCTTTCCACTGCCCTTCTCACTGTCCTGAGAAGAATGATCGGACTTGTTGCAATCCTTGTTGGTTTCCCTAGACTCATAAGATTTTCCTATTAAAGTCACCGGGTTAGTAAATATCCTAATATAACTTGAACCACGTGCTGCGTAAGGCTTGCAATGGGGGATATCAGAAGAGGGGGATGAAACATACTCTTCTCATGATCCTTCGTATTATCCTTCTCCATAACAACAGACCCCTTCCTCTTAGTTTCTTTCTCGAAATCCTCGGCAGACTTAGGCGCCGGACCCTGTGGTCCCTTCAGAGCTTCCGCGCTGGCAGAGGCGTGGGACTCGCCCTTATTTGTGGATTCAGAGGTAGCAAAATCAGTCTCAGCGGTGCTGCGCTGCTCCTTGGTCGATGGAGCGGTGTCGGTTGGTCCCGATGAACTACCTGCGCCTTCGTCGGGCAGGGGTTGCGTGGCCTCGGCGCTGACAGGTGCGGTAGAGGTGTTGGTTCCAGAGAGTGGTTTGGCGAGGCTAGCGGTAGGATCGAGGACGCCTGCGCCTATGCTTGAACTCGTGTTGGCTTCACTGCCAGTAATAGGCTTGCCTATGCTGGCATTCGGGTCGATGACGCCGGTTGTGTTGTTGCTATCGAGCGCGGATTTGGTGGGGGCGGGGACTGATGTTAGGGCTGCTTCTTCGAAGGTTTGTTGTTTGCCGCCTAGCTTTGGTTCTTGGGGGGCTGTGTTGCCGTCAACGTTGATTGCGCCGGGTTGTTCTGGTTGTCATCAGTCCAGTGGTCGTTGTACAGATTGGAGAGTGGGGATGTGGATATAGTTTCCGTTTGTGAGGTTGAAAGATGGGTCCTGGGGTCTACATGTCACAGATGTATTGTATATAACTTACCCTCACGGTTACCGGCGTCATAGGGGTCTGTGGCACCTCCTTTGCCCTGGACACCAGAGATGGGTTCCTCGCCATGTTGAAGGTTGTGCGGGTTGCTTGAGGAGCTGTCCTCGCCCCAGATGGCATTCGAAGCAGCACTAACGTATTTGTTGACAGTCTCCATGATTGTGTTCGTTTAATTCAGATATCGACGGGTAGGTGATGTGATATGATATGATGCGGCGTGGTGTAGAGTGTAGACAGGAGAGACGTAGTCGTGTGATAGAAGATGATACAGAATTGAAGTGGACACAATCAATGATGAGTTAAAGAAGCCTTAGCCAGAGAGATTCAGGTAGCAAAGAGGCAATTGATAAGAGTATGAAAGTTGAATTGAGTGTAAAGTGAAGCTCGAGATGGGCGGGTCAAGCTTTAAGAACAGGAGACCGCAGTGGGGGTACGTCAGTGGGTTGCTTACACATGGAACCCCTGCTAAGGCATTTCCACCGCAATTTGCGAAGGTTGGACTGGCGAAATGAAAGTCGCTGAAGTGATCGTCTGGGCCTATGTCATGGGGTGACGTCATGGACTGCCTATCATCTATAGACCATTGGGCCTTCTGATTGGGTGTTTGCCTGGTAGATATGGTGTAATCCAGTTATGATGGTTAGATCTGTTCTATTTTGGCTATGGAGACTTAAATAGATGTGATCTCGTCATGTTTGGCGTAGTTAGTGGCGTATATATATTAGATGGCGCGTATGGAGAGGACGCCAGGGAGCAAGGCATAGCAAAGCATTGGTTCAGGCATTCGATTGATAATATTAGAAAGTAACAGTGAATGATACGTTTAACAAAATGCGCCTTGTCATATTGAAATACGGTAAACTTGCTAAAGACATGTAGATACATCCTTGTATCAAATCCCTTGGGATAATAAACAACAGAGGGCGAGAAATCCCGTCTAATGCAAGATATGGAATAAAATATGAAATCTGACAGCAACTAATGATGAAACAAAGCAAGACAACAACAAATAGCTCTCCAAATGTGAAATCATGAGGGTATCTTGGTAGTCTGAGGGGTAGGGGTGGTAGCTCCGCCCTTCTTAGCAGCATCGGGATTTAATGGATGCGCAGGGTCATATCCAATGCTCTTCACAATTCCTAGGCCCTTGGTCTTACCCTCACGGAAGAGGACACGGTCTCCAGGCACTAGGAATTCTGGGCGCTGGATGAAGCGAAAGGCAACTCGGGCGCGGTCGCCTGTACGGATGAAAGGGCGGTCAATGTCAATGACCGAGCAGGTCTGGCTGACTGCTCCCACGTGCAGCATCGCCTGGTACTTGGGTTTGATGGTGGTCGCATGGGAAAGAATCAAAACTAGAATCGTGTTAGTACATATCTCTTCCATGGTGATCCAGGCAACTTACCCTCTGCAACAAATTCACGGTAGACCTTGGGAGGAGTCTCTAGCTTCTTTAGCACCACCATGCCCTTGCGCACTTCCTTTCGGCGAACACGCTTTAGGGCGAAGGATCCAGACTGACCAGCGAAGCAAGCATTCACCTGGATACGCTTGCGCTCGATGGACTTGATAGTGGTGGTGGTGAACTGGCCAAGAGAGTCAGGTCCCACAATGACGGTATCACCGACATGGATGACACCAGACTTGACCACACCCGAGACGACTGTACCTGCGTAAGGCACAGAGAAAATATCGTTGATAACGAACTCAAAGGCGCCCTCAGAGTCGTACTGGCCACGGTGAGGCAGGATATTCAGGAAGGTTCGAACCAGGTCAAGGTTCTCTCCAGTAACATTGGAAACCTGGAAAATGGGACAAATGCGCTGGCTGACGAATTGAGTAGCGGTGTTGATACTCTCCTCCATGTTCTTCACGAAAATGGGAATCTTGTGCGCACCGGGAGACTTGAGAATCTTTTCCAGTTGGGACAAGGTCTCCTGCAGAATATGGGGCGGACAAATGTCGATTTTGGTGACGATAACCATGACAGGCACATTCAAAGCCAATGCGATACCGAGATGCTCTTTGCTCATTCCGATCAGACCATTATTGGCCGCGACCATGAGCAGACAGTAGTTGGGGCTGCTGCTCAGCATACCGAAGACGGTGGTGCGAAGGTATCGCTCGTGACCCGCCAGGTCAGAGAAGGAAATAACTTTCGCAGAGCGCTTCCCGATATCTTCCCAGGAGAGTTTCCGGCCTTGGGAGTTGCTGACAATGTCTCCATGGCTGTCGAAGCCCATAATCTCCATACCCACAGAGCTGGTCCTGCCGCTCTCAATTTCATGCTTGTGGCGGAAGAGATTAACACGCGCACGACCACGGCCATCGTCAAGGCCGCCCTTCACCAGAACTCCTAACATGGTACTCTTCCCCGCATCCACGTTCCCCACCACGGCAACCCGAAGCTCCGCCATCTCCTCGATAGTGTCGGGATGATGGCGCACTAATACCTTACCCCAAGCACCTTGTATTCGGGAGGTATTTACGGGCGACTCCTCTTGGCCGCCGACGTTGTGGGTAAGTAATACCCGGCAGTGGGCGGGGATAGTCTCAGCGGCTTCGCGCAAGCGCTGCAGCGCCGTCTGCCATTGGGCTAAGTCGAAGCTCATGGTTTCACCTCCATCCTCCAGGCCGAGGTCGAAGATGGTCTCTCCGTGGCCTTCATCGATTCGAGATTGTAACGTGCCAGCTAGCACTTGCAAGCTGTCTTCGATAGCGTCTCCTGTTCCCAGGAGAAGCTCCTTTAGTTTCGCTGTGCGAGGGGCGTCAGACAACTCGAGCTGATCGAGAATGTCCAGTTCCGCGTGGTCCTCGAGATCGCGCGACACGCTTGCTGTGGAATATCCGCTATCGCTAGGTGGCACGACAGAGCGGTGAGCCTGTTGCTTTTCGGCATACTCGGCAAATTCACTGAGGGCCTGGAGGGATGGCCGAATCAGACATGTTCATATAATTTGAATCGGTTGAATACATACGAGTTCGCCTCTTCTTCGCTCCTCGTGGTTCAATTTGGGCGCCATCGTAAGCAGGTGGGGTGTTGATAAGGGTGAATGTATTGACGAGGTTCCGCTCGGGGTGGTGACGTTATTGGTTGGTGGATTAAATATCTGTTAGTATTGAGTCCGAGTATGTATTCGAGTGATCATTATTATCTTCTGTTCACAGAAGATGTATGCGTAGAGAAATTGAGAATGCTAAATAAGGAGAGTCGAGCCGTGGGCATTGGGGGAGCTTTATAGCTTTATCGATAAGTCGAGTCACTGGTTGAGTCATCACAAGAGCCGCACTGCGCCACGGACTATAGCTCTAATGGGTCTAGGAAGAGCAATGAATCATATAGAATAATTTGATGTTTGGTTTAACAATTGAGCTGTTCCAAGGCTCAACTCGTGGCTCAAGTCCAAGGCTTAAGGCGAGACTACAAAGCCTGCATGTCTATCATCCGTCATCTACTCTGTGTACGGGACTCGTTGATCATAAACCAATTTCCATGGTATCGTTATCTATGCATTTTGTGGTATCTCAGGTTCTTTCTCCTAGCATGCCCAGTCGCCGGACGCTAGTTCTATCAATTCAAGAGTCGTTCATGCCTGAGGGGAGATCAAGACGACAGAGTCTCCTAGACAGGGATCAGCAACCGGTTCACACCCAGTCGACCAGTATTCAAACTCACCTCTCACAAACAGCATCTCTTCTTGCTTCTTGATCGTCTGTATTGGAGTCCCAGATTAGCCGGCCGTCTCCGTATAACTGTCCGTAATCATGTCCCTACCCGCACAGTCTCCTCCTCGTTATCGTCCTCTTCCACCACGTAGATTGTCTCTTCCACATCGCCGAGGACCAAGTTGCAGTGGCTGTCGTAGGCCTAGACACACATATCGTGGTTAGCGTCATCCGTGGGAGAGTAGATGGGGGAACTTACGTGGAGGCGGCCCTTGAGTTCACGGTCACCCCGCAGCTTCACAAAAACGACCTCATCAAGGGAAAGGCGAACAAGATCCAAGGGCTCCGAAACGGATGCGCCAGCATCTTCAGTGTCGGCCATGACGAATTGGAAGGGTATGGAATTGGAGTAGAAGCAGGCCCACACACACGCAGAATCGACGAGCTTTGGCTGATGCCTGATCTGGTTTAGCGTGAATAGTGCCAAGCCAGATGCTGAGTCAGAGAATTAGTCAGCAACTACCCCGGGTTTTCGGGATGTACCCACTCGGATCCACTGAGCTGTCACTTTTGGTATGGAAGTGGGAAAGGTTGTATAGATTGGCGGTTCAGGCACTGTAAACTCTCGAAATGGGGTAAAGAAGTAGTCAGTTTAGACACAGATATGCTCTGTAATCAATGGACAGGGGTCTGCTTAGCCTGAAGCACAACCTGCAGAAAGTACCGTGTCCCCCCAAAGATCCGGGGTCGTAGCGCCTTCCCCTCATCTGGCCACTGCTAATTTCCCTCTTTGTTTACATCTTCAAGTCACCAGACTCAGTCTCTTTGTTGGAATCACTGCAGAGATGCGGACAATTTTCCTTTCTGGTGAGAAATTCTCTTCTCACTTGGGCATCTTGTCTCGGCCTGGAACTGGAGACCGGTGGATCAAACCCAGACAATTCCGTGCACACAACCCAATCGATCACACCAGACAAATATCCTGTGTCGTAAAAGCCCCAAGGTCTAGACCATCAATTGTTCACCCACGGCGAAACCAAGAGTACATCCACAACTTGACCCGACGATTGACTACAACATCTCAACTTTGGAACAGCGAGCTCACCGTACCACGACCGGAAGAAGCGCCCCCAATAGTTCTACCATCATGGAGATCCAAAAAGGAAGAAGCAGAATACACGGCGACCTTCCGCCAAATCATCGAAAATCGACAACCGAACCAAATACTCAAGGCCATGACTGACCCACGGTCGGTGGGGCTGGTTGGGTCAATGCCACCGACCGCGTTCCTCGCAACTTTACAATTACTCTCTCCCGACCACTTCGTGAAGCCTTATCGAGATTCTTACTATCACCTACACTGGTGGGGGGTGATGAAGAATGGACTGAAATCTGTCGAAGGGATCTTCGACGATTTCGTCAAAGACTTGATGAAGATCATGAATTATAGGTTCCTGGGCGGGCATCCACCTGGCCTGGCTGAATACACACACCTCCTGAGCTGCGCAGATGCCATGGGAAATGCTCCCCTCGCCAATGAAATATGGGACGCCATGTGCGACAACCAAGTCAGTCCAGACACAACATGCTTCAACCATTACATGGGTGCAATGACATGGGACCACTGTTATCTGGGAGAGGAGAGATACAAACTTACTGTGACTCCTCACAGCTACAAGAAGAGGCGCATGGACCAACCGAACGTTGGGTGGCGTGGATATGGCACTGCAAAACATAGTGTAAGAAAGGTCGTCATGAACATTTTCAGTGACATGAATCAGTTCGGTCTTATGGGCGACGAACAGACCTACATTAACGTCATCATTGCCGCGGGTCGAGTTGGCGATACAGATGCTGTCTGTAACGTCATTCAAACCGTGTGGAATGTGGATGTGGCGGCCATCATGATTGAGAAGGATAATTCCAAGGTTCCACCAGTAACTTCATACGATACTTGGTCCGGATTGTACCCAACACAGCGTCTTCTTTTTGCTGTGGCTCATGTCTTTGGCACGAACTGCGACATCCACGCTGCCATACGGACAATTGAGTTCCTCTCGTCATCTTATAACATTCCCATATCCCACGAAGTGTGGTACGAGTTGCTCGAGAGAACATTTGTTCTTTCCAAGACCCACAAGGGGAAACAGGCAATGGTGGAGCGGCGGGGAACGGTACCCAAAGAGATGGTATACCAAGTGTTTGAAATCATGACAGCAGAGCCCTACAACGTCCCACCTACTCTGAGGGCATACCGCCTCTTGAACCAAACAAGCGCATTCCTTGGCAACTTTGAGAAGTGCCAATTGGAAATGCGCCAGGCATACGAGATCTACAGCAAGACCCGCACGAAACGAAAAGAGGCCCGAGACATGGTCATGCAATGTTTGCAGCCAATCCTGCGTGACATGAGACAAAAGACAGAAAAGGGATATCTCAATTCGAAACCCGACCCATCGCTCTTCCATTGTCCTCTCCTTGCCGAAGCAATTCACGTCTACGACCTTCTCAGACTCGAAGTCTACCAGCAAACCGACGTGCTCAAACGCATGGCAAACACAATATTCATCGCAGAGGACTGGGACGACCTTTCATACAATGGCTGGGATCGAGTGGAGCGTCCTAAATTTCTTGAAGAATGGCAAGACTTTCTTCCGGCCAATGCAAAGTGTGAATATGGCCACAAGAGCGTATTTTACTTCGGAGATGAGTCACGCATCAAAGGCCGAGGTGAAGAGATGCATGGCCTCATCCACACGCGCCGTCTGCCAGATCATGTGGATTTATTCACTCCTGCTGAAGAAAAGGTTCTCGATGATAACATGGTGTGGGATCATCTGCTAGAGCAGTGGCCTCAGTTGGATCCGTCTGTGTCGCCGATCGATCGTCTCTTTTCTTTCCAGGTGCCGCCGAGTGAGGAGTTGAAGATGAAACTTTCAAGTCTGGGTCGTCGAGTCAGTTTCATGGCTGAGAAGGAAAATCCTACAGGTGGGTTTTATGCTCGTCTTATAGAGAACGGGCTTGGGAATGATGTTCCAAGGACTATATTCTGGCGTGATAGCAATCATTGGCTTCAGTAAGGTTGTTATTGTGAGTTCTTTGTTTTTAATATGTTGTTACATGTGTTTAAGATATCCAGTGTTACATCGTTGTAGCTTCATGAGCGGTTTTTGTGATAGAACTACATGTCATCGGTCAATAGGCCAGGATATAACGTCATATATAGCGAAACAAAAAATCAAGACAAGTATACAAAAGCCACATTGGCCAATAAAACATCATATACAGACATAAAGCGTAAAACAACGCCAAAAAACTGTCTCTAAACTAATGATACAAACAAGAAAGAGTCCAAAAGTCGAACCAAATCCAATTCCTCCCTAAACCCTCTCCCGCTTCAAATCATTAACTGTCATATACCGTCCGATAGTAATCCACCCCCATCGAAACCAAACCATCTGACTCTGATGACACTTAACCATAGCAGACTGCGCAACAATCCAATCACTAATAGAACTAACAAACAACAAGCGCGCCGGCCCAACACCAGACATAGCCGCATCCTTCGCCTTCGAACCAGACATACTAGCCAGCAGATTACTCCACACACCCAGCAACATAGACAACGGCGCATCAAGAATCCCCACATACTTACGGAAGATACTCGTCGTAGTCAGCGTGTACAATGTCACCGGACACGTGAAACCGACTTTCTCTTTCATGAGTGCGCGCAGGAAATTCACCGCGCCGTGGTAAAGAGAGCGATGGTTGGGGTGGTTGCTTATCCCATGCTGATCGAAAGTGATGATAACATCGATAGTAGCCGTAGGCGCTTTCTCTGCATTCCCAGCAGCCCCCTTCTTGTTCCCTTTGGCCATACCAGGCGCAAAAGCAGAAGCAAGCAAAGCCCCCACATCACCCTCCTCCCACTCCTTGTCCATTCCGTCTGGGAACCGGTTCAGATCATCGACGATGAAGACGTCACTCGGATCTCGGAGTCCAAGTTCCAGTGCTGATTTTTGTAGTTCCTTTTTGCGGGTTTCGCCTAGACCATCTGCGTCGCCGGTACTTAGACAGAGGATTTTGAGGTGGTTGCCCAGTTCTGGTTTTGTGAGCGCTAGCACTGTTGGCGCGAAGAACATTGCTTCATCGTCTGGGTGGGCGATTAGGAGGCAGATTCTTTTGTTGGAGAGGCGGGGAAAGGAGCGGGTGAAGGGTGAGTTTGGGGTTGTTGAGCTTAGAGTCCAGAAGAGGAAGACTGCAGCTATGGCTACTGCCAGGGCGGTCCAATTGAATTGAGCGAACATTTTGATGGTTTGCTGTCTAGCTGGGGAGCTGTGTTTTCGATGCGGGGATTGATGTTGGAGATGGTAGTTGAATTCGGGGTTTGGGGGTTGGGATATTGCGGTTTGTTCGGTATGGGGTCGAGGTAGAAATTGTTATCGGAGTTTATCGTAGGTGAAGCTCAAGCTATGGACATGGTGGGGAATGCGCACAGCATCCCACTTGGTTGTTTAGTCGGGAGTTCCGGGAGACAGGTCAATTACTTCTGAGAGGGGGTTGAGAAGCTCAAACCCATGGCAGTGATGCTGGGATTTGGAATCACACCAATAAAAAGAGAACACGGTGGCTTAAGCTGTCCGGAAAAGGGGAAGCTCCAGTGATTATTTTGACGATCCCCCGGAGTGAGGTCACGTGTCAGGGGTGATCAATCGACATCCACAGTCAGCGATAATTAAGATCACTCGAGTTGACATAGTGTTATTCTTATCCATGTAAGTAATCTGTACGATTTGAGTATTCAGTGAGATTGTGGCAATATTGATGCTTCTGGGAGATATTCGTTTGCGGTTAGATGAGTCCCGGAATTAGATCATCGAATGCATCGCAATGGCGTTAGGTACGGTTTATTTGCAGTCAAATTGACAAGTGAGGACATCTTTTCTACAATATTGTACACGTACAGTCATGGTCTCCACTGGCCAAGATCTGATAAGACTGGGCACACAAAGCCTAAAGGCTTGAACTCAATCCAGATGATGTATATAAGGCTGAGAGATGCCAGATGGAACATTCCAAGGGCATGACTACGGAGTACAATATATTATAATGCCCAACCAAGACCAGCCTGATACACCTCCTGAAAATCTCAAAATCTCGAATCTCGATCTGCGTGAAAATCCTTCATGAAAAACCCTGACACCGCAGATCAATAAACCCCAAACAAAGATACACCGCCATGCCGACCGGCTAACAAACCGGGTAGAATATCCCTAAGCAACACCGCCAAGCCAACAGAGTTAGCAAAGGACCAGGAGCAATTGCCCCAAGGGACCTCACGGCGGACTCCGACAGCGCCTCCTACGCGCTTAACCACGGCTCCGGCCCTATCACACGGGCACACCACTCCACGCATCCACCAGCAATGCGACCAGAACTACACTAGAATTCCACTCTAACACCTTGAGGGCAAAATGGAGCCCCCGGGAGAAACAGAGCCAAGGACAGACAGTGTCGAACGGGCCGTGAGTGGTGATTTTCAGATCACGTTGCGACGGGCCGAGTATAAAGTTCCGATGTGGGTGCCGACAGAAAATTTCTGCTTAGCGGAGCACTTTTAGTTTTCCGCTTGTTTTCCGTGTAGATTTATGTCTCGTTTCGTTTTAGTTATTTTTTTTAGTGTAGTTGAGATTTTTAAATGGCGCAATTGAGTAATGGCAATAATATAGTAGAAAGGTGGATGTGTCGCCAAGGTGATGTGTGATGGTAAGTCTTGCAAATAAAGTACCTTGGGAGTCTTGGTAATCTTGGGATATGTACCATGACAAAATGGCGTTTTTGCAAAATTCCAATTTACGGGGAAATCCCCCCCCCCCCCCCCCCCCATACTTCCAAAATGAGTCAGAGTGTTCAGAGTAAAAAGGATAACCCGGCTGAAACGGATCGGAGGGGTAAGCCGAGATCGCCCCGAAACAGGAAGTTCGCCTGAGAGCCGGCGTAACAGATTGGCTAGTCCATCCGAGCCTTGAGAGCCAGTTATTCTCGATCGTGGTCTTAATTTATTAGCTTCGACTCTGGTGTTCCTGTTGTAGTAGGTCCGTGGAGAAGATATATTGTATTGTGTTCTGTATCAGGGCGAACATCTCCATCGCTAGAATAAAGCTAAACTATAGCCCTACAGCCGGGTATCCAGATCGAGTCAATATTCTACAATTTACTACTCCGTATACCTACCATAAAAGTAAAGTAAGTTTAAACCAAAAGTAAATCAGCAGATACATCTGTACATGTGCAAGTAACGATCAAGTAGTCAATCCCGACGCACATCAAAGCACAGACACCGGAAAATACAACAAGCAAGCCGAATGGCATCACCACATGTCCCCAAACACGCCTTGTTACAGGCATGGCGTGATCGAAGATCCAAGGCCCAGGGCCTCACCGCAAGGAGTCAGCTCCGGGCGGAAACACCGTCTACTTCCACGTTGCCTAGAGGATCGGGGAGAAGATCATACCAGCTGAACCACGGGCAGGCCACGGGCCGGGTACGGGAGAGAAGCTGTCTGCACGAAACGTGTTGCAGATGCAGCTGTACCTGAAGCCCTGCGAGATGTTATAGGTGAAGTTGCTGGAGAGTTGGTTCTTGTTAGGTAATTAGTTTGGAGGGGGCGGTGATGATTCGTTGTTTGGGGCACGGGGCATTTCTTGACAGCGGATGGGCTAGACCGTTTGATATTCAAGTGTTAAATTATTTCCTGCTTCACTCTATTTACTGTATTCGATATACTGGAGGTGTGTAACTGTGCAATTGCTTGCCAATGTGCCCCGCAAACTGCAAACCAGTGCGGGGAACTCTTAATCACAATATTGCCCGTTCTAAGTATGTCCTGACTAAGGCGGTGTGGCAAGAATGGGAGAAAAAAAAAAAAAAAAAAAAAAAAAAAGCCGGAAGGGTCCTGCGTTTGATTGACCCAAAGCGGAATGGTGGCATCGATGATCCTCGGTCACATTCATGTATTGGTAATGTTTGTCATTTTCGCCGGTCTGGACATCTCGTCCACGCCATCACGCCACGTGATGGTGATGTATTTGAGTCTTAATAATGGATGTTTCACTGTCTATTCTTAGACTGTTATTGTGTATTTGTGCCTATTTCGGTACTGTGTATAGGGCACATAGACACCTGATCGGACAAGCAAGCCGTGTCCAAGACGATCTAAGCTGGGGGACATCTAACCGATCTCTTCAAAGGCGGCATCAACCGATGGATAGCCAAAGAGCAATTACGTAGCTACCCCGCGGACAAGGCCTGAACAGACCACATGCTAACTGTCCACGGAGACCAGTAGACCAGTAGCCCGACCAGCTAAACCTACACTACGGCGCCGAGTAGGCATCGCAAACCACTCCGGACGCCGGCACAAAGCCCGTGAGTCACTGAGTGCACGGGGCACCCGCGCCAAAGGACCTCACAGCGATCATGTGCTCCCGCCGATTGCCCTGTTAGAGTCTAGTCTGGCCTTGAATAGTTCTGTGATCGCAGTATGATGCCGACACTATGTGGGGTATAGTCAGGCGATCAAAGGACTTTGTGTCCCGGCACTGAATCCGAGTTCCTCGATGTGATTTCTGGATGATGAATTAGATTGCGTGTTTGTAAATGAGATGATATCAATTATATTTCAGCGTACGGAGTTTACGTGTATATGTAAGTGTATGAGTAAGGACCTTGGGAGATGAAGCAACATGAGGTTCTGAGAAATTTCATTGTATGGTTTATGTATTGGTATTGTCAGACTCCACAATGACGATGAATAGCCCCACATCTTCATTTTTGATTTTTGATTTTTTTTGCGTACCTGAGTGGAAACGTTGGAAAAATTCGAAAAATTGAATTTTTTTTTAGTTTTCCACGGATTCGGATTCAAAAGCAGAGGGAGGCGCCCTTTCCTTTCTTCTTGAATATGGTTACTTCACTCTCACAACTTCAATATGCCGGGCCGCTTGATCGATAACTTGATTCGGACTGCTGGGAGTCTACACTCCTCAGTATCATCTACTCCTATCCACTCCAATTCTTCCTCCACCGCCTCTGTCAATGAGATCCCACATGTCAAGAAGCCGCATTCGGATCGCGCTCGATCTCCCGAACGTCGCCTGTCTTTCTCAATGGACCACCTCATTCACCCACACCGAGACTCGAGCAAGGAAAAGCGCCGCAGCCTAGGACGCGCTGGACGATCCAAGGAGCGCTCTAGTCATGAGCACACCCCGCCAGCCGCAAAGCTGGATGTCCTCATTGAGTCGCCACCTCTCGTCTGTTATGGTCCTCCTACCAACTCGACCGGCGCATTGTTCTCTGGCCGCTTGCGCATTGCAGTCCCCAAGATGACCGCCGGAGTGACTCTCACCCAATTCGATGTTCGCCTCGTTTGCAACACTATCACCAAGAAGCCTGTCTCCGGACACTGTGCCAACTGTATCTCCAAGACCGAGGAGCTGAACAGCTGGAACTTCATCACTGAGGATCTCCACCTCGCTAGCGGAGACCACGACTTCCCTTTCAGTTACCTCTTCCCCGGACACCGTCCGGCCACCTGCAGTGGCTCCCTGGGCCAGATTGAATACTTCCTCATGGCTCACGCCAAGAGCATCACTGGAGAGGAATACAGCCTCAAGCTGCCTCTCAATGTCCGTCGTGCTCTGCTCCCGGGAAACGACAAGTCCTCCATTCGCATCTTCCCCCCTACCAACCTTACCGGCCGTATCGTCCTTCCCTCCGTTGTTCACCCCATCGGCAAGTTCCCTGTTGAGATGACCCTCAGTGGCGTTGTCGACAAAGGTGACGAAACCCAGACCCGCTGGCGTCTTCGCAAGATGATGTGGCGCATTGAAGAGCACCAGAAGATTGTCTCCACCGCATGCGCAAAGCACCTTCACAAGGTTGGCGGCGAGGGCAAGGGTGTCATGCACCAGGAGACTCGCATCATTGGGCACAATGAGGAGAAGAACGGCTGGAAGACCGACTTCGACACTGCCGGTGGCGAAATTGGCATGCAATTTGAAGCCAGCATCAACCCCACCACCAACCCTGTCTGCGATATGGAGGCCCCCGGCGGCCTCGAAGTCAAGCACAACCTTGTCATCGAGCTGATTGTTGCTGAGGAGTTCTGCCCCAACCGCAACACTCGTCTCATTACTCCCACTGGCGCTGCCCGTGTTCTGCGCATGCAGTTCAACCTTCACGTGACTGAGCGCAGTGGCCTCGGTATCAGCTGGGATGAGGAGATGCCTCCTGTCTACGAGGACGTCCCCGCGAGCCCCCCTGGTTATACCAAACCCGATGACACCCACAGCTTCATCGGGGACTACCACGGGTCCCCACTTCCTCTCCCGGAATATGAGGACCTTGAGCGTATGGAATCGTTGCGACTGGACAGTGACTCAACCCACTCCTCCAACCAATCGACCCGCAGCTCAACAAACCGAATGCGTTTCACAGTTGACGACCTCGTCACTGGAGAATCACCCGCAGCCTCCCCTCTCCCCTCTCGCACACCTTCTCGAGCCCCTTCCATTGACTCCCGTCAATAAGAGGGGAAAAAAACTTCGACACGTCAGGTCTTCTGATTATCGTTCTATCACGACTTCACGATTTTAACGAAACCCAAAAAATTACCCAGCTTCACATTTTACACTTTACGATAATTCTTTTCTGGACCCATCTCAACAAGGGCCTAATGATACCAACGACGGAGAGGAACGGGCTCAAGGGCTCCCCACGCATTTCGGGTCTTGTTTCTGCCCTCGCATGATACCCATTCAACTTTACATAGTTTTCTTTCAATTCTTTAAAATCTATTGTCCTCAGAGGCTGTTTCTTATGTTCTCAATTCGAGTGACCTTTTCTCCTCAATTCCATTTTATTTCAAATTAAACCAAATTTCACAATGACCAAACCCTGGTATCCCAGTAAATAACAATATAAACATACAAGTGGCGTGGGTCTAGACTGTATGGAGAATGGAGAGCAAAAACGTTTGCCGAGGCACTAGCGCCCAATAAAATCATATCGACTTTCCCGCAAAACAGGTTTGCGACCAATTCAATCGTCCGACCTCAAATCTGCAAAGTAATGCTACCAAGTGAAAACCAGGACCAGACACCAGCTGGCCCAAAATGGGTCAGCCCGACAAACATGTAGAACAAGAACGCATCCGCGAACTGTCAAGGTCCGATCAGAGCCCTCCTTTCCGCGATTCCCGTCGTTTCCCCGGGTGATCAACGCTAACGCTATCCAAATCGGATATCAGATATTATTGCACTTTCAATCGAGATGTCTCCGATCGAGATCGAGATCGAGATCAGCAATCCAAAACGCACGAGCCCGAGCCCGAGCCCGAGCACGAGCACGAGCACGATGACAACCATGCCAACCACGCCAACCACGAGGAGACCCAACCCGACAACGACCAACCCCCATCCCTCCGCCTCTCAACAGACACAACCCTCACAGCCCTAACACAACTAGGCGTCCACCGCTTCACCTGCAAGCGCTCCTTCGTCTCAATAATCGACGGCAAAAACCAACACCTAATTTCCGAAGCAACAAGCACCTCCTCCCTAAAGAATGTATCCAAACACGCGCCCAACGACGGTCTCTTCCTAGGCGTGCAAACCCTCGATCTCCAATGGGGCGTCTGTCCACACGCCATCGCCCTTTTCACAGGCCAAGACAAGTCCGCAATCCAAGATACAGAAAACATCACCGCCAACGAAACGCGCAATATCATCCGTGATTTCACGAAAGAGGACTTTTACAAGGATCGTTCTTATGTGACCGGATGGCCGTTTTTCAGGTTCTACGCTGAGGTCCCGCTGTACAGTCCAGGTGGTTATGTGCTTGGTTCTTACTGTGTTGTTGATGATCAGCCGCGGCCTGGTCCTGGGGGGTTTGGAGAGGATGATGTTGCTGCGCTGAGGGAGATTGCTGATGCTATTGGGGCTCATCTTGAGAATAAGAGGATTGTCGAGTATCATCGAAGATCGGAGAATTTGGTGCGTGGGTTGACGGGTTTCGTTAAGTGTCATTCGAAGTTTGATCCGACGGTCAGTTCGACTGTTGGCATGCTGGAGGGGAAGGGTGGGAGTCGGGTTAATCTTGCGGGGTTGAAGGATGTGAATGGGGGTGGTGAGACGAGTGTTTCGTTGAATATGGGGCAGGATGGGGATGCTGTTTCTTCGACTCTTGGGAAGACTTCTTCGAATGGCTTTACCAGGAAAGATTCGTCGATTTTCTCTAGAGATGCCCTGTCTGCGTCGACGGTTCCTTCCTCTATTACGCACAGTTCGTCAGAGTTGTCTGAGCAGGCTTCTGGTTTGGATGGTCCGACGGATTCGTCTGTGCCGGAGAACCTGCCCATCTCAGAGCGGATTGCTGCTATTTTCTCTAGGGCTAGTGAGCTCTTGAAAGATTCGTTGGATCTGGATGGTGTTGTTTTCCTTGATGCTTATCGGAATGACCCTCAATTGTTAGTTATACTTCCCATGTGATCGACTCTTGCTAACTCTCTTTCAGTGAAATGCCTGCACAGACCGATGGCTGGGCTGATTTGCCAAGTCTAAGCTCTGACGGAGGATCTCCTATCACTCCCCGCCCTAAAAACACTGGTTCATCTGAAGGAATCTTGCCTAGAGATACAGAAAGATTCTGTGGCTTTTTGGGTCACGCTCTCACCCCATCAAACGGCAATAATGACCCGAGGCTTCAGGCTGCAGTATCAGAAGAGCTACTGCACCTCTTAATCACACACTTCCCACAAGGCCATACCTTCACCATGGACACCACAAGTGATGATGATTGCGAGTCCTCCGAGGGTGATATCTTCAATTATTCGCCCCCCGAATCAGACATCGAACAACACATCTCTCATCGCCTCGCCCGTCGCCTCCCAGGTGCCAAATCTGTCCTGTTCTATCCACTATGGGACTGGAACAAGTCGCGCTGGCTGGCCGGCGCATTGGTGTGGGCAAAAAGCAACCAGCGTCCCCTTGGCATGGAAGACTTGCACTACTTCCAGGCTTTTGGTGATTCGTTGATCTCTGAAGTTTCTCGCATTCATTGGACTGCCAGCGAGAACTCAAAGTTTGACTTCCTTTCTTCTGTTAGTCATGAGCTTCGTTCTCCGCTTCATGGAATACTGGCTAGCGCTGAGCTGTTGCAGGATATTTCGCTTGAACCTGCGCATCGCGATATTGTCAAGATGATTTCTACCTCTGGGCAGACTCTGCTGGACACCATGAATCATTTGTTAGATTTCTGTAAAATCAACAATCTGAAATCAACACCCAAGACCACCAAAAGGACCAGAAAAAGACGAGGACGAACCAAAGACGAGGGAACTACTCTGGTTTCTGAATTCAGTCTTGCGAACTTAGTCGAAGACGTCATTGTTATACTACATACCGGCCGACAATCACCCGGAAGTCTTTCACTCATGGCAGATGAAGAAACATCCACGTCCCAGACTCCCAAAATTGAAGATGAACTATCCACAATAATCCGAATCGAACATGGAAACAAATGGATCATCCGCTCAGTCGCCGGCGCTTGGCGAAGAATCGTGATGAACCTTTTCGGTAACGCAATGAAATGGACGCAGGCCGGACTGATTGAGATATCGCTATCAACTGCCACAGACCAAACAAATCCCTCCTCTTCACTTGCACATCTCCGCGTCGCAGATACCGGTCGTGGAATCGCCCCGGAATTCCTCAAACACTCTGCTTTTTCGCCATTTACCCAGGAAGATGCTCTGTCCGAGGGTGTGGGTCTTGGTCTCAGTGTTGTGCACCAACTCGTCAAGTCATTGGGCGGTTATATCAATATGAAGAGTGAACTTGGTGTTGGGACTCAGGTTGATGTTTATATCCCTGTGCAATATCTGGTTGATCCCATGCCTCCCAAGATTCTTGAGAGCCCTTCGCGAGAAGCAACAGCGAGCCCGAAGAAGTCGCTCAAGGCTTGTCTTGTTGGCTTTAACGCTTATCCCGATCTGACGGAGACCCCAACTGGTATCTTGAGCTCTGATGCAAAGCGGAAACTTGCTATTCAGAGCAGCATTGCCGGCGTGCTCATGGCACAATTGGGATGGCGCATTTCCCTAGCTCAGTCCCTTGAGAAAGGTGATGGTGATGTTGCTGTTATCGAGGAGGCGGCGTTTAGGGCTTTATCCTATGGAAACTCGTCACCTGCTTCCTTGCTCAAGCATTCGTTCAGATTTTTCATTGTCTTGGGCAGCATGGCACCTTGCTCAAAGAACCAGATCCCTCCTAACGCCATTCTGATCTTGCAGCCGTATGTCTACACCCCATCCTATTTGAAGCCTGTGCTAATCTACATCGCAGATTTGGACCTCAGAAAATATGCAAAGCAGCCGAAAGAATCAAGAAGCTTTACGACGAGCAACCCCAAGTCGAAATACCCACCAATGCAGAAGAGCTGCCTCTTTCATCCATACCCCAACAACCCACATTCAACTTACTGGATGGAACAAACACCATCTCACGACAACCATCCGCTCCATTAGTCACGCAAAGTGAACTCCCCATTTCCCCAGTGCTGCAACCAAAGAAACCAATCCTGGACGTGAACGTCCTCATAGTAGATGACAACGAGATAAATCTAAAGGTGAGTTCCCTTAGGACCAGGACCTCTTCTTGCCACCGAATCTAACAAGCACAATAAACCAGATCCTAGTAACATTCATGCGCAAACTCGGTTGCAGCTACCATACAGCCTCCAACGGCCTAATCGCGTTCGAAAAGGTCGAGTCTTCAACCCGGAGATACGACTTTATCTTAATGGGTGAGTATTCCACGGCCCCTCCCCACATCAATATCAAGAAACAGCAAAATTAACAACATTACTCCGCTTTTCAGATATCTCAATGCCAGTCATGGACGGGCTAGTCTCAACCAGCAAAATCCGCCACCACGAAAAAGAAAACAACCTCAATCCATCATGCATCTTCGCCGTTACGGGCGTTGCTTCGGATCATATGCAGCAGGCAGCTGTTACGGCCGGTGTCGATGATTACCTGGTTAAGCCGCTTTCTTTGAAGAAACTTAGTGGGCTTATGGGGATTTCTTGAGTTTCTCGTGTCTTTCATTTGATTATAAATCAGCGATTTGTTTGATGAGGGTCATCGCGAGGCTCAACGCCATGTTGTACATTCTGCATTCTTCGTTTTGTACCGCTTTCTTGGTGGTCTTCCTTCCTCTTTTTGTTACATGCATTATGCGCCTGGTGTTGGGTCTTGACTTTTTTGAACCTTTTTACTTCGACTTTTATATTATCTTAATGTTTCTGGTAGCGCTGAAATACATACACGCGGATTCAGGCTTGAGAATGAAGAATTGAATATGACTTGATACGTATTGATGGCCCTTGCTCATTTTGCTAAGAGCATTGTTATGTTGGGGGATTTCATTAGTAGTCAAACTATGATGATCTAACTCGACCTCGAAAATAGAAGTCGCATTACATTATCGCCGATGACGCCGCCTCGTCGCCGAGCTCATCCTGAAGACCAACCTCTTCCTTCATGTTTTTCTTGGATCACTACTATACAAATGGATTCACATCAGCGCAAGCGCAGAAGAAAATGAATCTCATGTGTGGAATGCCATCGGCGTCAAGTCCGATGTGACCGCAATGTTCCCTGCGGCCGCTGTGTCGACGGTGATATTGATTGTATCTATGAACGGGAGGAAACAGTTCAGTCAATAACTTTTTCTGCGAAAAGAACCTCTACTGAGCTTCATCGAGATTCTGCACAATCTTCTGTTACAATTGTGGGCCAAGTGAAATAGCCACATGCACCGGATCAAATATCAGATCGACCTGTCCGCGGGATCATGTTATCAAGATGGGAATGTTCTACGTTGAGCCTATTATTTCAAGCTCTGTACTAGGTAGGGAAATTGGTCACACATTGAGTGAGCCCCTGCTAACAGACCTATCCAAGCAACCTTGGCCTTAGTGCTGCTTTTATCGTAACCGCTGTGGATGAGAACTTGATACGTGACTTGGTGTTTCCATTAGCGCCGAGGCTGTCCCGCCTTGGCTACTCTTTGCGCCGAACACCCTTATCACCGACAATAGATTCAATATAAGAAGCGTACTTCTAAATATAAATACTTTGAAACAATATTCCATTTCAATTGAGCATTTGCTACCTTGAATGTGGCAGATAACAACGCTTTCAATGTACGGGGCTTTGGCGCTACAGGTTAGACCGATTGGGTTGGAAGCGACCAGGGGATTCCCCCACAAAATCAACTTATGACAATTGGCCGGTAGTGAATTCTTGGTGTTACTGAATTTATGAAAGGGTCTAAATAATTTCTATTGCAGGATAGCTAGTAGATCGGACCTTGTGAGCTATCTATGTTCTATTTTCCTCCTTTATTCCCACATCTTGTTACAATAAACCATGGATATATCCGTTTGCGAGTATATTTTATAAATCCAAACAAGACACGCAAATAAAGTGGTTGTATTTTGCTTGTTTAGAGCGTAGATTCAAAGAAGACGAATCGTTGTAATAAGTTCTGGGAAACAAACGAACCATACCGGAACAAGGGAATCGTCAACCAATTCAATTGCAAAGTCAGGGCAAAAAGAGGGGGATAAACCAGCAGAAGGCTTGCGAGTCAGGCAGAGAATCCAAGAGAACTCATGACCAATACAATGCTGCGACCATGCAGACTCTGACGTGTCAATCTACGCGCTGTGGCTATGTACATTGGAAAAGCCAATAAGGCTGACTGACTCTCAGCTAACAAGGATAGTCCACCAGCCACCGAGTTATCGCAATGGGAAAAAGCAACCATGCGCAGTACGATAAACAAGAGCACGCACCCGCCTCGTTTTCACCTCTCTCTTCCACGGTCTTGATATCCTCATTTCCACAGTTAATTTGGATTTGCTTCCCTTATAACAGCCGCTTCCTCTATAATACCTTCAAAAGATACCCTTGAACACGCTCCTATCTCCAACGGTTGCATTATCGACCTAATCACCGATAGACCACATCCATACCAACAGAGACACCGACCAGCGTCTTATTCGAGAACATGCTCAAATCAATCCGAGACTGTATCTTCGGCACCCTAGAGGATGAGCCACATACTCTCACCGATGGCCGATCTCCCGAGTCCATCGCTTCGGACATTCTTACCAAAATACTCAACGCGGACACGCGCGACTCACTCCACAAACAATTGAGAGAAGAGGTTTCTGCCTATAGCTGGTCCGAAGCTATCGCAAAGGCTCTTCTACACGGCTTGGTGAATGCTATCGAAGCCGGCACGGAAATGGCTCAAGCAGCTGCTGATGCAGCGGCCAAAAGCAAGGAGGCTGCTATCGACTTTGCGATCGAGCATCCTGTATATGCTACCTTGATTGCATTGGGTATTTTGGCCCTGTTGACGCCGTGGACTCTGGAAATCCTTGGTTTCGGGGAGTTGGGTCCGATTGAAGGTTCGTGGGCGGCAGCATGGCAGAGCCGTTGGTATGCTGAGGGTGTGCCCAAGAAAGCTTTGTTTACATACTTCCAGAGGCTGGGCATGACATGGCACTGGACCTTTTAAATAAGTATCCGCCTAGCAGGATATTCGAGCTAAATCTTTTATCATTATGAGTATACAATGTCGTCAGCGTGGTATCAGGAGATTGGATGGCAGCAACTAGTCTAGGGCACATCACTAGTAATTAATCGTCATTAGACCATGTACGTAGTCTGCTTGGCCCCGTGGACTTTAACCACTCGAATTATCACTGGCCAACAAAAGGAAATTTGATGGAGTCAATTTGAGAGACAAGATGTTCACGATATGATTGGATAGCTTGCAATAGACGGCATGTTGGGGAAGGTGACAATTCGAAACAAATATACATCAATCGCCATATATAACCCATTTACTGTTAACAGTCTAGTAATCAACACATCACAGCTCTGCCTCGGCAATATCATAAGCCAAATGCTTCTGTCCAAGCCCTAATTTATCTAATCCGAATGCCCAGGAGAGATTTGAGTATATGCTCCATGCGCTCTCCTTCATCCACAACCCCCAGGGGCCGGTCTTTCTTCGTGAACCAGCATTCCTCGCAGCTTGAGTATAAATCTCATTCAAGCGGGGTCGACGAATGTCATCGAACTTTGCAAAGACATCAGGCAGTGAGCGATTGGAATCTTCTAGCAGTCGTGAAAGCAGGAAAGCATCCTCGAGAGTCATAGAAACGCCTTGTCCAGCATGCGGTGACATTGCATGACCTGCATCGCCGAGCAGAAGACATCGACCTTTATACCACCGCCCACCAAGAGGTAGCCTGTAGACAGGATGAAACTTGACAACCGTAGTCTTCCTCACAAGACTCTTCACAGTCTCGCTCCACTCCCCCTGAGAGCCCTCAAGGATTCGCAAAAGATTATCCTTGAACCCCTCCACCTCAGCCTTGCGATGTTCCTCCCACCCATCACGACTATCCCCAGAGTCAGGCAGAGCAACCTCGCGAGAAAAGCTCCACATAATCTCATCCTTGTCAGGGGTACAAGGGTTAACCAAAAACATTCCCTCCTCTGTCATCATAGCATGCAAGCCAACCATACAACCCACAGACCCAGCAGGCAACTCCCTAGCGGGGATAAGCGAAAACGAACCCGCAATTCCAGAATATTCAGGCTCCTGCAACGGATCAACAAACTCCCTCCGAACCTGCGAATGAATGCCATCGCAGCCAAGCAACAAATCAGCCGTATCACACGACCCATCCTCAAACAGAACCTTGATCCCAAGTTCCCCATGCAAGTCCTCAATCCCCTTCATCTTCATCCCAAACCTAACCTCAATCCCCTCCCTCCTAGCAGCCTTCAACAAAACTCCCACCAGATCAACCCGTCGAATCCTCAAATACCCAAAACCAGTCATATGCCTAGCCCACCCAACAGCATCCTGCGCGCCCACCACACCGCCACGCATAGAATGCAACGTAAGCTTCGAGCCTGCATACCCATAACGCAAGAGATCATCATAAACGCCCAATCGGTCGAAAAGTCGCAGGCCATTGGATAGGATTGCAATTGCGCCGCCGAGAGTTGTTGGCTCTGGGCGTAGTTCGTAGATTATGCAGCTTATTTTGTTGTGCTTTTGGAGACGCAGTGCCGTTGCTAAGCCGGCTGGGCCGGCACCTATTATTATTGCCTAGGGTTACCATGTTAGTGACTGGGATTGAAATTGAGGGTTATTTGTGGTGGTATATGCATGTGCCATATATATGTGTGTAGGTGTAGGTGTGTGTATATGCATAGATGTGATAGGATTGCTTACCTTGCGGATTTCAGGCATGTTTGTTGTTCTTATTTTTGGGTTGTTGGATCGTTGGAATGTTCAGTTTGAGATTCAGTTTTTGGTTTATTCTATAATGTGTGCGGATTGAGGCTTAAATAGCTAGTGTTGATATATTACTTTGCAGCCTTGTGCTCCGCGGGTAGTCCGCGGCAGATTACCGAATTGGGTACGGGAGACCGCGCAGGAGTGAGGCTCAGCCACAGTTGGCGCCTCAGGCGACCAGGGTCGACGCTAGACTGAATAGGATGCACTGATTTAGTATAGTGGAGTCTTCTTCGAACATTTGGAATTTAGTCTGACATTAAACATCTCAGATTTCCTCTTACCGTGTTACTGGTAAATGAAATAAAGTAAGACATAGCAAAGCAGAGAAGTAAAAGTAGACCAAAATGGCAGGACACGCGCCGTAAAGCGCGTTAACGTTGTGTGACTCGACAATCCTTCATCCTCTACACTGTATCAATGCAACCTCGCCCACGGATCTATACAGTCTGCACTGGGGTAGATGCAATGCAAGTGTCTTCAATAATACAAACACATCCTTTCGATAAGAGACACAAAGTTTGAAGTTGACTGGAGTCTTTCATGCATATTACAGGTCACAGCCAATCTCATTGGCCCTCAAATCCCCGGTGGAGTTGAGAATTTGGAATTCTACACGAAGTCAACGTGGGTTGCATGGCATCGGTTGCCTGACATGGTCTTAGCGCGTAAGAGATTCCAAATTCCAAATTCTCCTAGACATATGTACAACGCGCCCCTGAACTTTCCTCTCCCCCTCTAATGTCCGAAAAAATGATGACAATGACAATTTCACAGAACGCCTCGATCCAGGGATATCTGACAATGTTGCGTGAAATGCAACGAAGAAAAGAACCAAAGAAGAAACGCACATACAGACAATATCGCAATTGCAAGTGCAAGGCAAAGATAAGCAGATCAAGAATCGAAAATCGGCCCAAACGCTGGGATTCCTCGTGCTTCAAGCTCATACACAATTCGCCCCGTCAGCACAGGGTTACTGATCACGCACACTGCCTCTGCATCAAATTGCCTAATCTGTTGCAAGATAACGGGGACCATGTCGACCCGGCCACACTGGTTCGTATCCATAATGACAGGATCACAATCCATGCGATGCACCATCTCCATCACGCCCTCGCCGTATGTCTTGAGCGGCGCACGAGTCTGCCAGAGGACGCGGAGGGCGGGCCGGTTCTCGTCGCCCAGGAAGGAGAGACAAGGGCCTATGCCTGAGCCTGTTGTTACAACGACGACGCGGCTAAATACGCGCATTGCATATGCGAAACCGTTTATCAGCACGCCTCGTTTCCAGAGGTGCGTTGGTGGGCTGTTGATTGTGTCGCTGGTCCAGTCGCCTGCTTTTGAGACTAGGCATGAGAAGCTGGCTGGGCCGTCGGTTGTTCCGGCTGGTGTGTCTGGGAACGTGGCGAAGCCATGCCAATCACGGAGGGGGTGCTTGGCTAGCTGGATGCCCTTTCCGAAGGATGTTGTTGTGTGCTCGAAGTGCAGGCGGGTGGCATGGGTTGAGAGGGGTTCGGCCTTGACCGCGACCTTGCGGAGGAAGAGCCAGGGCTGGACGATGGAGCAGACGGTGAAGGCGAGGAACCAGAATGCTGGCAGGTTGATGAGGAACTTGCCTATTGGTTGGTGCAGGGATTGGCTGGCTTCGTGGGCGAAGACCATCAGCAGGGCCAGGAACAGGGCTACGATCAGCCACCCCGAAAAACGGTGGGTGAGTTCAAAATAGTCGTGCCATTTCATGCGGAACGTGGGGTGTGCCACCACAATTATCGCTACCAGCAGCACCAGGATGATGTACGCTAGCGTGACTGGCGCGGCGGAAAGACGGATCATCGCCAAACTTGGGGTTGCCCAGTACTGGTGGGACATGACGCCGACGAATCCCAAGTACCAGACGAGCGAAGCTACTCCGCACCCGCTGTGGACGCCGCCATAGTGGTATACCTTGGCTGCTAGCTTGCGCAGCGGCATCGGTGCTGACCTCGGCATCGAGCACACGACTATGAAGATGGCATTCACGACCAGTGGCTGCCTGGCCAGACCGCAAGCGAGCAGGTTGGCGGCGGTGGCATTAATCAGCGCTAACAACTTTTGTTCTGTTGCCATCACAGCCACGAAAACGGCGACGTTGGCTAGGAAGACTAGCGTGAACAAGCGTCGGTACAAGGTGAGAATGGCATAGCGCGTCGAGGCAAACAACTTGGGCTTCAGTTGGCCGGCTTGTGCCTCGAGGTCCATGTCATTTGGCCTGGTTGTTTCGCTTGAACCAATCTCTCGGGACTGGTACTTTTCGATTGGCTTCTCTTCTGTGAGAGTGACCTCGCTCGAGGAGGCTGAGCCTCCTATCATGGCCGCTGGAGGCATGGTAATGGATATAGGGCCTTTCTCTGACATGATTATGGGCTTTGGTGGGCTGGCATATAGAGTTGGAAAGGTGACTAGGATATCGAACCAAGTCGAGCTTACAAGGGAAGAAGAATGTGAAGACAGAGTTGACAACCCAACCAAGGCAGACCCTCCATTTTTGAAGTGATGATGCTAACGCTCCAGGGCTCAGCTCACATCTGTTCCCCTCATGCGCCCTTTTCCTCCCTTCCCATTCCCAATTGAACCTTACTATTTCCCTTTCGGGAAGCTCTGCGAACGGCGAAGCCCTAACTTTTCCCTTGATTCCCTTTTTTGCCTTTTACTTTTCTTTTTTTTCCAGGGTTGAGGAATGCATTATTGATTCCTGTCTAGGTGTATGACACTATCACACTGGTCCAGACTTCAAAGTTGAGACTAGTGAGCTCATCCTTGCCAATGAGCTCTCAACGCCATCCCACTCCCTTACGGCTTGAGCGAACCGAGGGATGGCTCCAATGGTGCCACGACAGAATCTGTCAAATATCCATGATAGTGTCTGAGAGTGGACACTCCCTACCGGAAACCCGGAGACGGGATACATCGGAAAGGGCGATGTGGAAAAAAAAGCGTTCATGGAAAACAGGATGTAACCCAATCAGGGTGTCTATCTCCTCACCAATACTTCGGGGTTTGCCCAAGCGAGATACGACTCAGTCAACCATCGCCTATCACGAGCCAGAACTGCGACCCGACAGCACCAGGATCAGCTTCCTGGCTTTCAACAAAAGTGGCAAGGCTAGTCGGAGAAGATCGGCTATAGCACCTGACCTCAGCTACACCGACAACGCGTCAATAAAAGTGACGATCCTGCTCTAGGGATGATGATACCCGATGACCGAGCCTAGCTCTCCTTCCACTGGGCGAGCGTTTACGGCGCCTCCAAACAATGCCAATGTGGGTTTATGGGTGGTGGCGGCATCCCAGAAACCCATTAGGGCAGTATGCACCCAGCCGAACAGGCGAGATGGGAATGGATATTCGATCGACCGTTCGTTTCTTTTTCCAGTCGATCATGCAGCTGAATATGACGGTATTCTCCAATTCTTTTCTGTCCACCCCTCCACCGCGATGCATGGATCCCTACCTAGCGCCTAGGTCTTAGAGCAAATGGATCATGGATGCACGGGTGTGCTCCATATCTGAGTGGGATTAGCGCCCGGTTTCGTTAGTCGATCTGGATCGATTGTGTGGGAACGTCGGCTCCGCACGAAGGGATCGTCTTATTGCAGATTGGGCATTGAGGGCCCATTTTACACTACCGTGGGAGGGGTTCCCCCTTCGATGTTAGGCTGAGATGACTGGAGTGGCCCGTGTACAAAGTACGGTTGGTTTCTCTGGTACATGGGCCGTAGGGCCGTTCCGGCCGAAGACCGGCTTACGGCTATCTTTTTTTCCCCTGTTCCGCAAGGGCGCAGCTCGTGGGTGATGGATGAAATTGAATCAATAACGTATTCACGGAGTACATGAACATGGGCAAAATGCATTGAAAATGAAAATAAGCTATGCATAACATATCTAACGCAAGGTATCAAGGGAGGTGAACCGAGCGTGTGTGGCTCAGTAGGGGCTGAAATGGCAATTATTGAATTTGGAATATCTGTAGTGGACCTCACTAATTTAGTTACCTGTTCGGTGGGGCTTGTGTTCATGACATAGTCATCCTGTTCACGGAAAGGGCTGTTTTGTACTTTTGTTCATCTATTTTGCTTTCTATTTTCTTTATTGAGTTTACGATTAATTAGGATGCAAAGGATTCCCAAGGGCAAAAACATGCGAGAGCAACTGACGCAAGTGGAAATCACCACACTAGCGCAACCTTACCTAATCAATGTATTCCAAATCAGCTATGAGATCTCAAATCAAGGTGGGAGTTACATATAATCATGGGGGCCCCGGAGTTGTAGATAGTCATACTTGCCCTTCTTCTTCACAATGGTTGTCTCTTCTCTCGATATGGGGTCTGATGTTTACACCGACTTGTTGACCTTCACCTTTGGAGGTCCCAAACCCTATAATACCAATCAGCCATTGTTTATCGATGCAGAGGATCCCTCGCGGTCATTTACGGCCGCTCAATTTCGACAACTGGTCCGAACTCTGATTGCTGGTTTGAAAGTGCATAATGTGCAGCCAGGAGATTGTGTGTTGCTGCATCTGGGCAACAGCGTGAGTGGATCCTCAAGTATACTCGGAGAAAGAGACTGACTCCAGCCGGTTATAGATTTTATATCCCGCCCTGTTCTTCGGCATTATCGGTGCAGGCGGTGTCTACATGGGCTCGAACCCCCGCAGCCAACCCCAGGAACTCGACCATATCATCTCCCTCGTGGAACCCAAGTTGATCCTCACAACGCGCGATGCTCTCTCATCCGTGCTCGACGTCTCAGCTGGTCGGGGCATTCACCCAGGCCAGGTTTGTCTGGTCGATGAGTTTGCCATTGATCACTGTGCACAGCTGTTCCTGTGGCAGGAACTGGGGTATTCCCGGTACTTCTCATTGAACGGTGCAGACGCCCGTCACTCCAACTTCGCCAATCTGCTCTGTTATGGGGAAAGCGACTGGCGTATGTTCAATGACCCCGTGGTTGCACGAACCACGCCTGCAGCCATGTTCTCGACAAGTGGCACAGGCGGCCTTCCCAAAGCTGCCATCCTATCCCACCATGCGATCGTCTCACAGCATCGTTCTATTTACTACGACGTACCACATCCCGTCAGCCGCTTGATGTCGCTCCCTATGTTTCACCTGTTTGGCGCATTATGGACGCATCTCTTCCCTGTCCGCTATGGCCACCCACTCTTTGTGCTACCACGCTTTGAAGTTCAAGAGTTCCTGACCACCGTGCATCGCTATCAAATCTCCGAGACGTACCTGGTCCCCGCTATCATCCACTCCCTTAACCAATCCCCCTTGCAGATCGCAGACTACCTCTCATCCATCCGCTATATTGGCGTTGCAGGCGCGCCTATTGATGCAGCCTCCATGCAACAGTTCCGCGGTCACCTCAATCCTATGGCGTATGCTTGTCAGATTTGGGGAATGACCGAAGTCGGCGTCACCTTCCAGACTCGATATGGCCAGTCTGGCGACCCGGGCAGTATCGGCACTCCTACCCCGGGGTATGAGATTCGTTTAGTCGACCAAGATGGCAAGCTCGTGCAAGGCGATGGCCAGCCTGGTGAGCTGTACGTTCGGGGTCCCAGTCTTCTGACAGGATACAAGGGCCGTACCGATGCCCTGGAGCCTCATGGATGGTTCCGCACCGGCGATATTGCCTACTCAAAGCAGAGCCAATACTACATTGTCGGTCGAACCAAGGAGCTAATCAAAGTGCGAGGGTAAGTGACACCACAGCATATCCCCACGTACAGTTCGGTACACTAACCCCGTCCAAAGATGGCAAGTTGCACCAGCGGAACTCGAAGCAGTTCTTCTCCAACACCCTGGTATCACCGACGCAGCCGTGATCGGAGTGAACAAGGATGGTCTCGGCGAGGTCCCACGCGCATTCGTGGTTCGCTCTCGCGACCCAGCCGTCAGCCGTCTCACCGGCGAAGAAGTCTACAACCACGCGCGTCACCACCTGGCCAGATACAAGGCCCTAGACGGTGGCGTTATCTTCGTTGAGGACATCCCGCGTACGGCTAGCGGCAAGATCCAGCGCTTCAAGCTGTCCAAGATGAACTCTTACCGGGAGATGGTTACATCGCTGCTATCCCAGTTCGAGGGTGAGGGTGCCCGGGTACCCCATGCCGGAGCTGACATGTCACCTGTCGGCGTGGCACCTGAAGGCCGAGTCGCTGTCTAACGAGAGCAAAGCTAGGCAAAAAAATAAAAGCAAAATCACATTTGCAACAACATCTGCGGAGTACAATGGCTATGGAGAAGGAACCAGGCGTTTAACACAGGGACTGGCTTGTCTGTTTGATTGATTTTTTTGGTTGTATTCACGGAAGGGTTTGGTTTTCGATTCCGCCTGGTTTTTCTTACGACTCACCACTTTTAAACATGTATGACGCTGTTTTGATTTCTGGTATTACCATTCACAGGCGAGAACCCCGCATCACATTTTTACTTGCTCTCAATCAAATACTGCATTGCTATACAATGATTCCCATCCAAGGTAGAGAGACCCAGACTAGACCACCGTTGCCTCTAAACAAAAGTACCAAGTAAACCACGACAATAGAACCGGGCCTTGCCTTACCCTCACTCTTAGTCTCAGTGGGGTCAAACATCATCAATAGTCCCGCCCTGGGTCCTACCCTACAGCATCCCAACAGACAGGTATGAGCAAAGCCCGACCGTTAAAGATCGTGTGACCAGCCAAGTCAAGGCTAGCTCCGATCTACGAACCCCGATCCGTGCTACCGGATACGAAATTCGATATTCAATGCGAGATACCCGATCCGCGCTCGATCCCGGGTCGGCTGACATCCGAAATGCAGGCGCATGCCCAGCACACTACCGATTAAATAAATAACTTATTGGCGAAAAAGAAATGTGTGGCGAGATTTTTTTCAGCCCTTACGCCGTATGACCGCCATATACAGGCTCGCTAGGTTGGCTAGTGTAGGCTGTAGCCTGCAGCATAGTGGCTGAAACAGAACTAGTGATCTGTATCTCCATCCTGCACGGAGTTTGGTTTCGCCGAGTTAGGGCCGTGTAGCAAGTATAGTGTCAGCAAGGGGTGGGAATATAGTTACGGTGCATGTTGCATGCTCCATGTAGAACGTCAAATGTACAATCTAAGTCATCGGTCGTCCCTTGGATTCCTGATCTGTGTGCCGTGTTCCACCCACATCCCGTGTTCCGCGCTCGGGTACGATGATCGATTAACGCAAACTTAATTTCCATACCGCAATTCTGCAGTTTGCATTTCCTGGGTCTGCCCGTGCACTTAATTTACTTATGCATAAGCATTTATTGGATCTAGGCTGGCTTGGATGTTCCCATGGTTCGAATGATGTGTCGGCCCGTCGTTCTCTTCGGCCTTTGGCTTGTTGGTTACATCGGGCCGAATGTTCTTGTCTCACTTTTCACTTTGGAAGGAGTTCAACATTGCTGGTAGGGAGGGAATGACGGGTTGACCGTTCTGTCGGGATTTTGATATGCTGTTCACGTCAGGAGTTGGATGGAGGGATTCTGGAATTGAGACAGGGTTTCGGTTTCCATTTCCATTTTTTGACCTTTTATGGGTTCGGGGTTTGAGTTTGGAGGAATGAATTGTTGTCATTCCTTACGTACTCCTCGAACTTTTTCATGGAGGTTACTTGATCCGGCGTTTGGGTATAGACCGGAGATTCCGCCTATCATGTGGACTTATCGGTGAAGTCTTTATTACTTGGTGAGTCATTACAAAGCAGAGAGTAAGTATTGTGGAATTCAAGATATACAGTGAACAAATTCACAGTGTCACTACTTCTTTTTTCTGTATCTATGTCAATGTCTCAATGGAGAGATTCCCAAAAAGTTGAGAAACATATGGCAAGAAATGCCAGAATCCACTTGTTTCTCGAAATTCAAGCAGATGTATCGGTAACAATAACGGAGATCCCATCTCATTGATTTCATCCTTACTCTCACAACTATCCCAGATATCAACCCGTATGTAATCTCGGTGCGGTAGTAAAAAGGCGGCTGGAACTAGCGCTATCTTGGCTGATCACCCTGAGTGCTTGGTCTGATCGACACATGATTCTGATAATAGATGAATCGGTTGATTCATGGTTGCCCATCAATAAGTTGCGGCCCTATAATCGATTGGTGCCTGGGAGGTCCGTAACAATATATTGTAGTGAGGGTATTACTTACTACATGATTCATGAATTAGCGGTGTATCGGATGACTCAGGCTTTTGTGGTATATAAGACTTCCTACTAGCAGGATAGAGACACAGACACACCCTCTTCTTCACTACCACCTCTATGTGTTCTCCTCTCTTATACTCCTACTACCCCTAGTGGCCGACCTAGTTCGCAGACAGGCAGGCAGGGTCGGGTTCCCATCGTGTTCCCCTCTTCAGTACGTGGTTTCTTATACGAAGAAGAGTAAATATCAAGTAATCCGCCCCTATCTTCCTCCACAAGAGCGTTCCTGGAGCCAGAGTCACTTCCCCGTTCCAATCGCAATGCCTCTCATACCTCCGGTTGGATACTGTTTTCGTCGATAATATGTTGTACAGTCGCAAACCATGCACGTAAGGCCTTCGGATCTTCATTTTGGGCGCGTTGATAATCATAGCGTCTCGAGAATTGCGTACGAAGCTCTGACCGGCGGTTAACGAAGCTTGATGGCCAATTTTTGCCGACTATAGAAGATAGTGTAGAACCACGCGCTGCGAGGAGAATATTGGCCATTTACTGCGTAAGCGAATCATTCTCTTCCCGTGTTAATTTATGGCTGTTGGCGCGCGTATTGTCTTGGTAAACGCAGTCATTCAGCCGGTCGCGAAGCGTAGCCCTCGGGATTCGAAATACCGCAGCTTGGCGTTGAGAGCGCACCTCACCATTTTGATCGGTTTGATGGCTAGTAGGACCCGCCCTCTCGCCCTGGTGATTTTTGACGTTTTTCACTGCGTTTTAGTGGTATAGTGGGTGGTTCAAAATGGTAGGTGGATCGAGTTGAGCGATCCTGCCAGTTCGCGGTGGCTAGTTGTATAGCCCGTACGGACACTTACGTCCGCTTTACATACAACGACAGTATTAAAGGATCTAAGCACGCGCTGAATCATTCAGGATAGGTAAGGTGTTAGCCGTGCACGCCCCCTCTAGGCGGCGTCCTAGAGGGGCGTGGCACGGCTGCTAAATTCCCGACGCTAGCGCATCTATCAACTTCAAGGTTGCTTCTTTTGGCTTGCTTTGCGAGAAGTTATTCTAGGCCCGCCCCCACTCTTTTCCCTCTGATAAAAGCCAGTAAAGGCTTTGCACTCTTGGTAATTTCTGTTTGACATCTCAACCCTAAACTTCTTATGCAAGACGTCACACTAGTCGCTGACATGGCGCGATCATTGGCAGATGACGATTCAATACCCAACGGCTGGCGGACTCGACAACCAGGGTGCGCCATCTGGATCATCATAGCTATCTTTCGAGGCTTTTTGGAGGCTTTTTTCTACAGCATATACTACATCCCGAGCTATTCGCGCCAGAGTCCAACGTGGACCTACCGTCAGGCGTGCATGACACGGCTTTTTAGGAGAGGCTTTCATATTATCACTGAGATCGGTTTCACGCAATCTTTGAGCTTAGAACCAGGCAAACTTGGTGATCGCTGGGTGACCATCGGCCCAGCACCAGCCTCCGCGTATTGCGATGACTTCACGAGTGATACTATCAAGCCAGAGACGGTCGGCGGTACTTGGTATCCGAAACTACCATCGAAGCAGTCGCTACTGGAAGAGCAAGGTCTAGTGGTTTTGTCCTTTCATTCTGGCTCGCTCCTGTGGTTGACTGGACGACCAGAGGACTCGGAGCCCACAGCAACCTTGTTGAACAACAAGCTGGGTGACAATACTCGCTCTTTTTGGCTGCAGTACCGTCTCGCCGGTGGCAGTAACCCAACGCCGTATCCCGGGGCCATGCAAGATGCGATAACAGCATACATCTACCTCACCAAAGAAATGGGAATCTCCCCATCGCGCATCGTCCTCGCAGGCGACTCCACAGGCTCGACTATTGCAGTAGCACTTCTGCGCTATCTTACCTCCATCAAAGAGGTACAGGACCATGAACTCGCTGAATTTCCACCTCCAAAGGCATGTCTTCTATTTTCGCCATCGGTCGAGTATTGCTTTGAAGGTGATCCTGAGGCCGTCGGCGCAAATAGGAATATAAATACCGACTACGTCGAGGCGCCTATGATGGCATGGGGTGCAAGGGCTATTGCCCCTCCTGAGACCGTGCGCCTGGATGATCCGTATATCTCTCCGGCGCTGCACCCATTTGCAACCCCGGTTCCAATTTTCATTCAGGCGGGAGGCGCGGAGGTCCTCTGTGATAGTGTTCGTGGGTTTGCCAACGCAATGAGCGCTGTCCCGGGAAATCTGGTTGAACATTTCGAAGTCCCAGATGTACCGCATGATGTTTATGTTGCAGGGACTGTGCTTGGATGGCCGAAGGAGCAGGAAGAGATCCATGAGGCTGCGGCGAGATTTGTTCTGCAATAATCTATTGATGTTTCAATCCACCTCTGACGCTGGAGGTGGATTTAACTAGTGCTAGATAGAAGTCAGCTGATTAATAGTGATCGAAGAAGGTTGCGATTGAAATGTTTCCCGCTTCCTTCCTTACAGCTAAATTCAAAATTGTATTCCATGATCTGCATGAAGAACTTTGTTCTAGACCCCTGTGCGGGGACAGACTATCTAATAAAGAGTGTGATGAAGGCTTGTTTATCGTAAAATAAGTGCATTTGAACGCGCGATACTAAGTCTGAGGAAGAAGAGAAAGAAGAAACAAAGAGGGAAGTGAGGCTATTTTCTGGGGTTCTCTCCTTAAGATCGGACTGCCCGCATGAAAATGGCTCAGTCAAACCTGCTGATAGAATCCACTGGCATGTAATAAAATATAGTAAAGTACAAGCTAAAGGTGTGTGGTAAAGGGGCTTGTCACATATGGTGCGTGGAAAACTCCCAATGGAAGTCCTATATTTGTTCTTCAAAACCGCCAACTCGACCACAGCCAATAGGGCCTTATCTCTCCTTAGAAGCTAGAACCTTCCGTCCCTCTACTTGCCCATAACATAGCTGTTGTCCCCCCTCCCCAGTCCACTTTCCTTCCTTTCGCTTCTTCCCCCATCTAACACGTTTAAATCTCGTCGTCCCTTGCCAATGATATACATTGATGCTTTTGTTAGTTTGTATCTCTTGTATCTTTGATCTTTGAATTCACAATAAGTATCATTTACGCCCACAGACTGAAATTATATGCGAGCACGATTTTAGAAAATGCCATACCCCATCCACCAGACTCCCCAAACCAACGGCCCTAATGCACCAAGAAAAGCAGCTCCAAATGACAACTCCAGAATTGACCAGATCCAAATAGTGCCAACAGCAGGTGCTTTCTTCATAACAGCATAATATGGTTCCCCATTTGTGATCGCAATGAGATGTGCGCCTAGCAAAAGAGCCACGGGAAGGAAAACAAAAGTCCTTAGCGCAGGCGGGAACAACAATTTCCAGAAGAATGAAAACTTAAGTTTGTCACTTGTCAATGGAAACAGAGTTGGCTCGGACTGTGTCTTGGAGCTTGACTTTGATTTGAAAGAAATGATGTGGCCATGCGCGAGGTGAACGAACAAAGTGAGGAGAGGAAAAGCAGTTGTGACAGAATCTTTGAAGAGTTTGGGTAGGTCGATGCTTTCAGCGTATTGGTGGGCTGCGAGGTAGCCGAGCGTGAGGTGGAGTGTTGTGAGCGGGAGAGAGAGAAGGATTGTGTCGAGGAATGGAGGGAGCGGCTTGTCGATTACAACTTCGGATTCGTCTTCCTCGGTGATCTTCTCAGTGCCAGCTGCGGCTTTGCGGCCTTTCTTTGGGGGTCCATTGGCAGATAGATGGTTGCTGATGTCGCCGTCTGTGTCGACAAGGTTTCCCGCTTCATCGACTGTCACGAAGCGCGTTCCGACGGACTCCGGGATGATTTTGGCTCCTTCTGGTATTTTTGATGAGGGGGCCGATGAATTGAGGCCATTCTGTCGCTCTGCAATGATGTCATATAGGGTTTTCTCGACGGTCGCTTTGTTTTTGGTTGGATCGTTTCGTGAGGGTTGCGCGTAGGTAATCTCAGGCTGGTCTTTCTTAGACGATGAGGCAGCTGTGCGACGCTGCTTACGATTCCTTGCTTCCATTGTGGGAGGATGGGGTATGTGTGGCGCGTTGGTTGCGAAAAGCTCGTAAACATTGACGTGGAGAAAAAGAGGTGGTCTCGGCGATAGCCCGGATTTAAGGTGGGTCTCCCGTTGACAGCTACATGTAAAGCACAACTACAGTACAACCAAACCACTTCGAATCCATTGCGTTTACGTGCAATTTTTGAGATTGTCTGAAATCTGAAATCTATCGGAAAATTGGAAAGGTGAAATCTTCTCGCACATCCACCAAGTTACACACAAATCACATCACTCTTAACCAGCCTGGTACAAAGCAGGGCCGGCAACGACATGGCTATTAATCAAACTCAAGTTAAACGGGCTCAGATAAGGATCACTATCGGTGATTGCAATAAACAAGGTTCCGTTAAAAGCAGGATCACCTTGGTATGTTTCCAAACCAGGCTGAGAAGTCCAACCTCGGGTGTTGTTGGAAGTGTTGTCGGGATGCAAAGGCGTATAAGTGATGTTGAGCTGAGAAACCCAGACAACATATTTTGCCAAGCCAGCTTGCTTGGTTGTCACGTAGCTATTATTGGGACCAATATGCTTGCCAGGGGTATCCCATTGCAACACCACCTTGCGACCAGGGAATGAGAGCGGTTTTGGTCGAAGCTTGCTAACAGAGACGCCACATTCTGAGTTGAAGGTGGAGGAGTTGCCCGAACTAGGAAATTTGTGCTTTCCAGAACCTTTCTGCGGCTTGGTATGGCTGCTTTCTGGCTCACGGATGTGGCTCATGCCAGATGTGGTATTCAAGTTTGGATTGTGACCGGTGCCAGAAGTCTGATTAAACCCGGCCGTTTCATTCAACCCAGAGGAGGAATTACCCACAATATATGGATTGGGTTGATTGACGATCGTCAGCGCCGGGAAGTTCTGCCATACCAACCGAGTTTGGTTCTCGGGACAGGAGCTGATGAAAGGCGCCAACAGCGTCCAAGCCCAAGACTGTGGTATACCGACTTCAAACCATTCGACCATAGGAAAAAGTCCCTCAAATTGGCGGAAGATCAACTGCTGTCGTGCTTCAGTGGTGATAGACTGAGTGAGCAATGTAGCAGCCTCGCGCGAGTCAAGATGAGCCAAGAACCCATAGACTCCAGCTTCTCCAAAACGTGTGAGCTTTTGAGCGAAGTCAATGAATTCGTTGACATTGGTGTAAGGGTAGACATAGGAGCATTGTTGTGGTGCATGGGCTCCTAGGATATTGCTGAGCATAGTTGCATGCCCGATTTCCTGCTGCGCCATGAAAGCAATCAGCTCGCGATCTGTATCGGTAAGACCGGCAGATTTGAAGTCTTCCTTGGAGAAGCGGCGAAGGGCATCTCGGAAAAGGTCGAGCTCAGTCCATTCTTGATACAGAGCCAGTGTCTATTTATTAAGATTTGTTAGTATCAGCAAATGTGTTGAGGGTAGGGATTCACCTACCAAGGACTCGTAGTCGAAATCGCTCTTCGTATTATAAAATGGTGTGCTTCCGTTTGTGCCCACACCACCTGCTGGATCATATGGAGCTGGCTCGGGATGGTGCAGCGTCCCATCGGCTGGATGGTTTGTTGCTCCAGGAATTACACCACCACTCGATATTCCAGTTCCAATTGAAGAAGCAGTCAGAGCACCAGTGGTACTGGGTATTCCAATAAACGGCGTGTGTGGATTCGAAGTGTGATAACTTCGAAGTGGCGGTGCTGACACTGACGATAAAGGCGACGAGTGTGTAGAGGCAGAAGATATTTCTGAGTGTTTGTCCCCATCCTGGTTATGATGCTTCTTTGGAGATGCAGCCACAAACGGGAGAAACCCCATTAGGGCTAGCAAAAACATAATTTTGAAGATCATAATAGCTGATCTCAAGACTTGCTCTGTTATATTTCAAAAGCAGAACCAAGTGTGAGGCAGAGTATTCGCTTCCCTTGAATTCCCGGATATGCGCGGGGGTGAATGTTGGTACATATACGTTTAGAACAAACCGATAGTCGTCAGTATTCGGAAACACAAGTTCAGTTGACGCAATAAGCTATTTGCCAGGTTATCCTGATGTGGTACCGTCTCCTGGGTTCTAAAGCGAAGACTCTGCAAAGCTATACTACATGGATGGGCCAGGCCCAAGGCACGCGAAAATTCCTTGCCCAACGGCGTGTATTCCGGTCGAATGAAAATGATAAACACCCACCAAGCTTTCCATTGAATTAGATGACGGAGCAGCCATTCTCGGCGTAATTGGTTGTTTCGTGGTAGCCAAGTGGATGAGTCCACTGAAGTATGGCTCAGGATGGCAACAATGACGTGGATTAAGGCTTTTCCCCCCAGGTACTAACAAGACCATTCCCGTGAATATCTAATCCCAGAGATAACCCCGGAGATCTCGGATAGCATCAAACAATGACATTTGTCCCAGTATTCACAAAACTTAGATTGAATAACATGCCAAATAAAAAAGCCGATGTATAAAAATATAGGCCAGACTTGCCATGCTGAGTACCTATATTAATTCACATGCTCAAGGTTCATACATTCAGACTGATCCAATGGAATGGCATAATTTCATCAAAGTTCATTACATCACAACGTGAAATGAAAAGGCTACTTTAAAACATCATCCAATTTCACGACCCTTCGCATTGCTGTTCAAGCCCTGGCGAGTATATACAACTAACGGATAAGGAAGAAGGCGCACCTGAGTACATACTTTAGCAGCAGAGCTTAGATCTGACTTATCGTGTACTTCGCATCGCCATCCAAACCCAGCGTTTAGTATACATCTATCTCACGATATCAAGACGAAGATTGGTCACTGTTGTAGGAACATCGCCCAGTCGATCAAAAATGAAATAAACCTTTCTCTTACATCGAACGAATAGTATCGGGTGTCCTGGGCACTTTGGCGCCTTCGGTGCTATTCTGACCATCGAAAAGTGACGGATCTGCGATCTTCAATATCAAGGAATAGCACTGGAGACCTTTCGACTGTTTAAACCTGGAATTGGCCGAAAGCAGAAATCAAGAAGCTTGATTCATATACTTCTTTGAACAGAACGCATGGCTTGAGAGATGAGTAGGTCTAGACGGTAGCTTCTGTATTGCTGAATTTGGGACCTTGTTTAGCGTCGTCGTTTCCCACTGGAGAATCGCTAGGGTTACCGTATAGGCGCATATTTGCCTGGGGATCTACGCTCGCACCCACCGATATCCTTCTTTTCAATATTTAAGCTCACCCAATCCATTGAAGAAGATCCCTCGCTTTAAAGCAAAAGGATATCGCACCTTATCGACGACGTGATGTACTTTTATGGGACTTACGGCGAGTGTAATCAACGGGGCTAATGCCCAACACATGCCGAGAGAGAAGAGCCGTTCCGTGTGGAGATTTCATTGGGCCCTATGGTGACCATGACGCTACCTGGAAATTTGGAATCATGACAAACTGACTTAGAATCTGTAGCGTGAAGCAAGTGCTTGATTGATGTCATATAATTAGTAGTTCAGATGAATAAAAGGGTTGAGACAGACTGTACGTACTATGTCCATGAACCTGGGCTTAGAATGGGGCAGCATAGTAGGACTCATAGTTGCGGAACTTTTATAAGCTTTATTAACTACGAAAGCCGAGATAAAATGATGTTCAAAGGGATTGTCGCTGATGATATGGAATATAATACGGCGCACCATATTAGATTAGTCTTCGCTAGGAACGCACTAACCAACAGGCTGGACCTTATCTTAGAGCATGGATATCAAAGCATCGGTTCGAACTTCGGGGTATTTGTGATTTGTTGGTATGCATTGTAATCTTTCCAAGTTCTATAGGATGGAATGATAATAGTCGGACATCTGTGCGAGTGAAGTAATCCAGCATGGTTTTGCCTTGGAATAAGCTGTCAATTGTATATAGAACAGATATACATCATTCAAGCCTTGAACATGTAATAAAGGAGTCTGTGATGTTGTGCGATGAAGTATAGTTCATCCCCTCGGTAGTTCGGCAGTCCGCCGATCCAAGTGGGGGGAATGACGCTATCGGGGAGTTGTTTGTAATCCAATATTTAAGGACTGCTCTTTCCCTTCCTCTCTTTCGCCTAATATTGCATCCTCAATCACCTTCAAACATTCATCATGTCTCACCTCAAAGCATCAAACCTCTTCTCGGTCAAAGATCGGGTAGTTGTGATTACCGGAGGCGGTAGTGGTAAGAACAACCTTTGACCGCATATTCAAGCTATGCAACAACGAAAATGAAGCTCACAATCCCAATGCAGGTCTCGGTCGCATCATGACAAAAGCTCTCGACGCCAATGAAGTCTCCAAGATCTTCATTCTGGGCCGACGCGAAGATGCCCTCCAAGAAACAATCTCGCAAACCATCAATGGCACCGTGATCCCAATTAAATGTGACATCACCTCGAAAGAATCGCTCGAGGAGGCCTACAGAGCAGTCGCAGCCCAAACCACCCATGTCGACCTCCTTATCGCAAACAGCGGTGTTATGGGACCCCTCATGAAACCCCCACAGCCCGCAGCAGACGGCTCCCTCCCACCTCTCTCCCAAGTCCGTGACGAGCTCTTCAGCGTTCCAATGAACGAATTCAACAAAGTGCTGAACGTCAATGTAACGGGGTCTTACTACACTGTACTAGCATTCCTACCCCTCCTCGAGGCAGCCAACAACCGACGACCAGCCCCTCAGGCTGGCGTTGTGGGAGCACCAACTGCGCAGGTGATCATCACCAGCTCTATTGCCGGTTATGCACGCAAGGTGCCATTCAGCTTTGCCTACAATGCATCCAAGTCTGCGACTACCCAGTTGGTGAAGATGCTTTCTACTTCGTTTGCTTATTACAGCATTCGGGTTAATGGTATCTCGCCTGGTCTTTATTACTCCGATATGGCGAACCATGTTTTCCAGGATAATGGAATCTCTGGTCAGGCTATTGAGGATGGTTCGTTCCCGCGTGAGATGATTCCTGCTACGAGAGGTGGTAGTGAGGAGGATATGGGTGGGTTGATTGTTTGGTTGGCTAGTAGCTCCGGTGGTTATATTAATGGTAATATCCTGGTTACCGATGGTGGCCGGGTTTCTGTCGTGCCGGCTTCCTACTGAGTGGGTCTATCGGTCGAGATTGTACCGATTTTTGTACATGTCCTGAGGTCTAATAGGATAGAAATGGATTGTTAGAATTCAAATATTGGATGCATTAATTTGTCGGTAAATAGATAAGATGAAAACAGCAACGTAAAGGCATTGGCGGCTATGTAGGTAAAGATCGTATCGTGGCGTGAGAAGATCGTAAATAATCGCTCATTAATAAGTCGCTGTCAATCGCTGGACCAAGTAGTCACCCGCAGTTATATCCGCATACTTCTTGGCCACATCAACCTCTTCACCGAAAGTTCCTGGCAGGGCTTCAATGAGTTTGGCGCTATTGGGATTGCAGAAATAGGCGATGCTGTATCGAGCAGGGTAGTCTCCCGAGGTATTCTCTGTGGAGTCTTCATTGAGTGGCGCAGGCGGCTGGATTACCCGATGACGGGTGCTTTTAATAGTATCATTGGACCAACGAGCTAGCAGATCACCGGCATTGACGACAATAGTATCGGGAATGGGAGTCGCATCCACAAAGGTCCCTTTCGGGCTTCTCACTTGGAGTCCGCCATGCTGGTCCTGGAATAACAGGGTAACTGAGCCGTAGTCGCTGTGCTCGCCAGCCCGAACCTGGTTAGGATTCTTGTTGAAGACCTCCTTGCTAACGGCAGGATAGTGAAGTAGACGGAGATTATTATCGCCTTCATTGACGTAGTCGTCGAAGAAATGCTCTGGCAGATTCATTCCCAATGCAATGGCACGCATAATTTGAGTATGCAGAGACTTGCACATCTGAAAGAAGCTCTGCATAGTCTCTTTAAACCCCTTCCCTTCATCATCCAGATGGTCAGGCCAGCGATTGGGAAGCCCTGCCACTCCTTCGCGACCAATTTCCATAGTCTCTTTGATATCTGGGGCGGATGCACGTAGATCATTGACACCATTGGTCTCATCGACTGTGGTCAACTTCTCCCGTCCGATAGCAACGTAACCACGGTTCGATTGTGGGGTTGTCCAACCCAGATCATCTTTCTCGCTCTGAGGTCGGGCAAAGAAGCGTGCAGAGGAAGCAAACACCCGGGATACCACGGAAGGCGGAATGCCATGGGATTTGAGGTAGAGAAACCCAGATGTCTTGAAAGCTTCAGTTATAGAAAGGGCGACAGCATGCTTGTCGGAAGGTGTACCCGTGAAAAACGGACCGAGATCAATCAACTAGGATTATATACGTTAAATGCAGCTTGGACCATAGAGTCCTACAGTGCTTACTGGAATCATGAGATCATCCTGGTTCACAGCGGTAGATGCTGGGTGGATTTCTTGGATTGTAGAGGCCATAGTGGATGTAGCTGATGTTTTTGGTGAGTAGAAAGAAATTCAACTAGTACAATCCCCCAAAATCACCTCTAAAAGGGAAAAAGGAGGGGAAAGGTGGTCAGGTCATCTGCCTGATAAGGATGATAGTCGCAGAGAACGATGAGAGAGATAAGGGGTTCTGCCACAGTCATACCGCCCTCTCTCTCCTGCGCCACACACCACTTAGTGCCCCACCATCCCCACTCCATCCGTATCCCGACGCTCATTGGACAGTTGCGCCATATTATTCCCGCGCCACGTCTAGTCTTCGCTTTTGTCTGCACCGCCACACTCCGCTCCGCCGCGGACGATCTACATCAACCACGTGACCATGGCAGCCCCAAGAGATAACTTCGGCCGTCTTCCATGGATGGCCCTGGGGATCATTATTTGCAACCTTCCCGATCTTCCTTCTATCTTCCGTCTCCTTGAAGCAAGCGAGAGTTCCAAGAGTATCGTTTTATCTCAGATTCCTAACCTTGTCGAGATCATCGAGAACAACATCAACCGTCCAGTCGCCGAAGGAGGCCTTCATCCCGAGAATAAAATTCTACTGCGGCTGTTTGCTCTAATCTCCTGGCGCACTTTCTCAGGCCTTGATGATAACAACCTACTGCCCCGTTACTACCAAAATGTCATTCCGGCTCTGGCAAATACCTTTTCAATGGCTGCGTTGTCATTCAACGCTACTCAGCATCGCTGGTCAACAGTCCGAAGCTGCTTTGCCTCCCAGCCTCTTCATAACTCAATTCCGCCAATTGTCATCTACCAACTCCTCCACTTGTCTGCTCAAGCTCAGCAAATCTCTCATGGCTGCTTTCATGACTGCATGACTCGATGCATGTCTTTGCCGCTGAGACAGCTGAAGCCAGACGAGTCTGCCACTATGGACCTCAGCTTTGCTGCACGCCCCGCTGGTACTCCTCTTACCCCGGTCAACCTTGGCCCTCCAACTTACTGGGAGGAGCAACGACTGCTGCAGACCACCCTGCGCTTCTTCCTCTTCTGGGACCTCAAGGATGCCGTTGAATACGGGCTCCTCATAATGAAGTCCCACGCAGACGATACCCTCCTCAAAACAGACAATGTCGAAGACTACTGGTGCAAGTCCTTCCACTACGGCCGCCTTGTGCACGACCAGCGAAGCAGGATGTTCTGGTCCGAGGTCTATCAAATGAAGGCCTTCCTTACCTGGGCCAAAGCCTGCAACCCCGGTGTCCCTCTCAGCCGAAACTGCCTCCAGTCACTCCTCTGTTGCTCCCCTTCGTCGATGCCCTGCTGCCCTCTAACGCCGGCCGCCCCTGGTGGGTTCGTGTCCGGCGACATGGCAATGGTTAATGGCGTCCCGCCTGGCTGGAGCATCCTGGCGAGTCTGCAGGGGAATATCCAGGAGATAGGGGAGGAAGATCTTGAGTTCTTCTCCCAGTTCGGTTTTGACTTCTGGGACCACGAGCGGCTGCTGGCCTTCGGGCTCACCAAGGGGCCGCTTGGCAGGGACCATGCTCTAGGTGCAGAGCAGCCAAATGTGTGGCAGGATTTGTTTCAGCTGGCCTTTGTGTGGTCCAGCATTCTCCCAGCTCCGCGCTGGAGAATATCGGACCGGAATTTTGTGGAGTAGCCTGGTCAAGGCATCTCCCGTCTCTTTGTCTTTGTGCACCTGAGGGTGCTTAGTTCCTCAATTGAATGCCGTGTAGGATATCAATCTCTTCTTACTGCACTCTCAGATTGTTCTTACTGTATTTTTAGATTATCCTCACTGTAGACGTGAGTAGTTATACTGCAGTAGAGCTAAGCAATGAGCTTAAAAGCATAGAATTTTGTCAGATCTGATAAGATGAGAACTTAGTAAAATCATCATCGTTATATCTATGCTAGGATTGAGTGTTGATACTGAGAGTAAAGTAGACCTTTCCGCGGGGCAATTGAGCGGTTGGCTCAACCTATCATGAGTATCATCGTTGCTTGAAGGGCTAGTTCGATAATTGACGAGGCAAGATTGGTCTGCGGGCTGCTTAGATCTTGACAAAAGAAATATCTTGAAACGATATTTCAGTAGATGAAGACGAGCATGGCACCGACTCATATTATTGCTCGAGTATTTGTATCTTTTGGCGTGCTGCGGGTAATTCATGTTATTACAATAGTTCTTGCTTCTCTAAAAGATCTCTCTTTCTTTTCTCCGGCACTCTCAACTACCGGCGACTCGGATATAGTGCTACATGGTCTATTCTCGATGGCCAGCAGTTCAAGGCCATGATGATGACAACTAAATTGGAAATGAAATGGCTGGATTTTCTACAACACGCATAACAAATGGGTGGGGAAGTACAAATGCAAACTCGAAATGACTGCCCAATATGAAGTATTCGACGACCCCGGCGAGAACCACAACCGAAGTTACCTATTGGGAGACGAATTGCAGCAATCAGCATGTTAAGACTTCAATGTGACTGCCAAGTCCAACTTGAACGTTAAGATTGAGATGGGAGTATGGATTGACGTGCTGCTATTATTAATAGAAAGAAAGAGTGGAGATATTTACTATTTACTACAATGTGACGTATTCATCAGAGTAGAGAAATTTGAATTGAGAAAACCTCTCAAGTCATGCACAACGGTGTTGCTTGTATCGACATATCTTTAATGTACGTAGCAGGCAGGCATATTCAGTTACGCTGCTCACATATTGTGATGAATGGAGAAAAAATACCGGCCAAGAACAACTTGTGGCCTTTCACATCATGTACAGCAACTGTCGAGCTGGGAAGACTCTTGGCATCTCTGTCCTCCACCAATTTCGATACCTTGACATTCTTTCCGAGTTTTTTCAGCTGATTGGCAATGTCATTTATCGAAAGGATCGTGGCAGGTGCAACGACATTGTACGGGTCCATGGTAGACTTCACAAAGGCAATTGAGTCAGGGAACGCAGCTGCAATGAGGTTACCATCTATATCAAGCGACAAATTATCTATCGGATACCCGGTGTTGATCGATTCAATTAGGACCAGTTCATCATTGATGAGTTCATGGACGGTGATGAGGCCAGTCACAGAGTGGGCCACGTAGTAGCGACCATTTTTGTCGTGAGCTATTCCATTCGCCATGGAGAAAACCTTGTCGGCGGCGATGTGGCATTTGCCCGTGTCGAATCGACAATAAGCGAGACTTCCACCTCCAAAAAATATTTCCAGGCCACGGAATGTACCAGTCTTGGTATCGTGGTCATTCGTAATCACGAATCCCAGACCATCCTCTTCCACGGCCACACCATTGGGTGTAATAATCGCATCGCTGATCACAGTCTTCACATGCTCAAGTGTCTCCAATGTCGGGTCCAAATCAAAGATCTCAACAGTAGAGTTTGCCCCAACGGCCGGAGCATCAAGGAACTTCCCCGTGACAGGGTCAACCGGGGGTCTGTGATTTATCAACCAGAATCGAAGCCGGCCGTCAATGTTGCGCACGTCGAACCCATGTAAATCAAGATCCTCGTGATAACCACCTATTTTGAGCTGGCGCAGACCGTACAACCCATCTGAGCCAGGCTGGTCAACATCAATAACTGCGATGTGATCCGTGCGGGATCTCGCGGAGATGTTATAACGGTCGCCTCCAGGGGACCAGCCCTTGCGAGAGTCCAGGCTATTACATGCCGCATAAAGCTTTCGGTCCTGCTCATCAAGCCACAGATCCTCACAGCCCTCGAGAAGGGAGTGCTGGACGCGAGTGCAGGTCCATGGGAAGTCCTCGATTGGCTGGATCACTCGGCCTACGCCGATAGTCAGGAAGATGATGTTGTGGATGTATGTTCTGTAGATCACGCCTATAGCAAGGACGATTGAGGCCCAAAAGAGGGCCCGGGGACCTAAAATGCCAGCCATGGTGAGATGCAGAGGTGAGAAGTGGGAGAAGTGCGAGAAGTGGGAGAAGTGGGAGAAGTGGAAGTTGGACTTGGATCTAGTGTTAATCTGACCCACTTTCAGTACTAATATGCGAGCCTTGTGGGAGTGTTGCATTCAATCAACATTGCATCTCAACGTTCTGACTACCATTTCGTGAGGGTCAAGAGGGTCACACTTGATAGAGGGTGGGACACTCGGGATCGCCCCACTGGAACATTAATAAGCCGTCACTGGAACAACCTCGGTCAACATAACTTCATCTCTTCCTCTCTTTACTTATCCTGATATTATCAATCTCTTGAATCTCCTTCAACATGCCTTACACCGCCATTGTCATGTACCCCAACGAGTCGGACATCCAGTTCGATGAGTCTTACTACATGAAGACCCACATGCCCCTCGTTGAGGCTACCTGGAAGAAATATGGCCTCCACAGCTGGAAGGTCACCAAGTTCCCCACTGCCCTTGATGGCTCGCGCTCCGAGTACTTAATTATGGCTACTCTTGAGTGGGAGAGTGAGGAGGCCTTGAAGACTGCTCTGAAGGATGAGGGTAGCGCCAAGGTCTTTGGTGACATTTCCAACTTCACCAACAAGAAGCCTGTCACTCTGGCTGGATCCAACCTTTAAGCTAATATCTGCTGATTAGGATTGAAGGTATGTTAGGTGGGGTTCACTTTTCTTGGCGTCTGTCTGGGTGGTGAGGCTGATGGTACTTTTCAGCGGCGAACAGTGATGCAATTCATGAATCAATGAGATGGATATCTGCAGTTGAAGTGTATTAGAATCCATCGATGCACTGGATTTACTTATAGCACTTGGTATTGGTGATATCTGGGGATCCCAGTGGGTCAGATTGGGTACTTCACTGGAGGCAATGTACATAGCAACAATGCACACGCTGACACCTGAAATATCAGCGGATCTAGTATGCTGAAATGCCATACAATAACCATACAATAAAGGATAACTATTTGAATGCCAGCAATGCAAACTGCAGGGATAAAGAGGTAACATCGGGGGACATCCCCGCATGACTTTGTTATCTTTGTCCCCTCACTTGGTTCTACATAACAATCTGTTAACTCCCATCTCCCACCTCCCACCTCCCACCTCCCATTCCCAGCCGCCCTCTATAACATCACCCTTGACATATCTCACAATGTCCAAACCTCTCGTAGTAGATATCCACACCCATGTCTACCCACCCTCATACATGGCGATGCTCCGCGCACGTAAAACAGTCCCATACATCCACGACCCAGAGCAAGGCGAACCACGCCTAATAATCCTCTCCTCAGACGACGACCCAGCAATCCCTATTGACCAACGCGGCCGCCCAGTCGACTCATCCTACTCCGACATAAACGTCAAACTAACCTTCATGCAACAGCACGGCATAGACAGCAGCGTGATCTCGCTCGCGAACCCATGGCTCGATTTCCTCGACCCCTCCGAAGCTCAAGAATGGGCCCGGCGCATCAATGACGATCTGGAAGAAACCTGTGCGAGTGTCAATCTATCCGGAAACCCTGATCAGAAGCTCCCGCTTAAGGGTCGGTCGTCTCTTTTTGCGTTTGCTGTTTTGCCGTTGAGTGCGCCGAGTCCTGATATCATTGTTGAGGAGATTAAGCGGCTGAGAAGTCTGCCTCATGTCCGCGGTGTCATTATGGGGACTTCGGGGTTGGGAAATGGTCTTGATGATGAGAAGTTGGGACCTGTTTGGGCTGCCCTTGAGGAAACTCAGCTCTTGCTCTTTTTGCATCCTCATTACGGTCTTCCTAATGAGGCTTTTGGCGGTGCTGAGGTTACTGCTCGGTATGGTCATGTGCTTCCTCTTGCTCTGGGCTTCCCGCTTGAGACTACTATTGCTGTTACGCGCATGTTGCTTTCGCGCGTCTTTGATAAGTTCCCACGACTGCAGCTACTGCTTGCTCATTCGGGTGGTACGCTGCCTTTCCTGGCTGGTCGCATTGAGAGCTGCATCATGCATGAGCGTAATTTCGTTAAAAATGGTGGCAATGTCCCTGGGCCGCAGAGGAGTATCTGGGAGATTTTGAAGACAAATATCTTCCTTGATGCGGTTGTTTATGGGGTTGCTGGGCTGAAGGCTGCTGTTACTGTCGGTGGAGCTACTGATCGTCTTATGTTTGGTACGTGCTTCATTGGGGTTTTTGGATATCGCATTAAGCTGACTTTGTCTCTCAGGTACTGATCATCCATTCTTCCCGCCTTTGACCGAGGGAGAGAAAGACTGGCTTAGTGTCACGACCAATTACAAAGCTATTGAGGAGACTTTCAAGGACGAAAACGAGACTGTGGCCGCTGTTCTGGGTGGTAATGCTGCTCGCATTCTCAGTCTTGAATAAGTATATATAGTAAATTGTCAGCTTTATAACATACCAATTTTGTCAATACCGTGTTACCAATATTTTGGTGTATCAAACTTGCAAAATGGTAGAGCGGGACAAATATTCTCATTGAACATGACAAAAGGATCACCGGCACAAACAGAGTGGTTTAATTCAAAGCGAATGCACTCCTCAGCACATCCCAACCCACCACCCGCCATAATTCCTGGGTAAACCAATCCGCGAATCCCTCTTGGTTGGTCTCGTTAGCATCAATTGCTTGAGAAGGCGGAGTCTTCGGACGTTGGAGGCCATCCCGAAACAGCTTGTCATCATGTCCAAAGACAGCACGAAGGAGGGTGTTCTGAACACGGGTCCTTGCGTTTTGGACAAAGCTGCGTGTAGCCTGTGCATCGGAAATCGACTTCGCAGATCCGGAATCCATCATTCTTCCCAAAAGGCGAATCAGAAACTTTGCTTCCAGTTGCGCATCATTCGGCGTGAGATTTTCGTCTGCCATTGCTTCCAATCCTCCTGGGAACGTCATTCTTGGACTAATGCTCATTGGTAATCGGAGGTCGTGGAAGACATATAAAGCTAGCATTTTTCCCACCCTATCAAGGACAAGGGATAGGAATCCTTCCATTACTTGTTGATCTTCAGTGCGGGATATGTCGAGAGATAGGGCTACTGTGCAGAGCAGGTCTGCGAGGCAAGTGGCTATTTCGTCCTCTGTATGCGGGTTCCTCTTATTGATATTTTGCTGTGGCTGAGCTGCTGATCCGTCAACTGAATCATTTGCGGTCTCTGTGGTAGATTTCTGTTTGGAAATGGCAGTGCAGTGTTGAGTGAAGGCAGTCATGGTTGATTCGAACAGTCCAACCAGATAGTAAGTGATCTGACCTCGATGCTGCTTCTCATCTTCCTTTCTCGATAATTTATGCAAGCCTCGATGAACAAGGTGAAAAGCAATTTTGACTCCATTAAAGACATCATTGATGTCTGTATCTTGTTTGGCATTGGGCGGAATTGGCTGGGTGGACATGCTCCGTCTCTGCACAGCACAGATGAGCATCTGTTCTGCAGACTTGCAAAGAATAATCGCAGCAGTGGCCAAAGAGCTCGCTCTCATTGGATTTCTCTGGAGAGCCTTTTGAAGGGTATATATTTGTCTGCTGAGACACAAACCTGCCGTGAGATTAGCCATCGCCAGGACTGAAAAGACGACAAGTTCCATACCGTATTCTTCTCCGCTTGAGTCATCATTCATCAATGAAACAATTCTCTGCATGTGATGTGGTATCTTCGCCCGTTTTTGTACCCTATTTGAGTTCTTCACATTCCTCCCAGGCGGTGTTGTGCGCTTGTTTGTCTGTGGGGCGTCGTTCTGATTTACCGGATTTTTGGCTTGAATTTTTGCCATGAGACGGTTGTTCCGCTGCTCAAGCTCATAGATCTGGTCATGCAACTTGCTCTGTCCTGCTTCAGATTGTTCGTATGCTTGTTGCCAGAAGGAAACACTGTCAAAGAACTTGTCCGTTACAACATCATGCCCCAGCTCTTTGGACTTCTTGATAAAGTCTCTGATGTGCACAATATGTTCTAGGATGGATCACAATTAAATCAAGTTTCTTGGCTTGAACGAAGTCAGTCCTTGGCTTGCCTTGAACGCCTTGATCTGGCGGTTTGTGTTTAACAACGGCCACTGCTAAGGCTAATTCGAGCCTGGTTGGAGGGTGCACTGAGGAATTCAGAGATTCTCGGGGCTCCATGTTGAGTAAGGCACAAGAAATGGTGAATTGGATGATAAAGTTAAAGGTGTCAACATAAAGATAACCCCGTGATCTAAATGCGTTCTCCATTATATATTGTTGACAGACAAACCGTCACCGTGCTAGATTCCTGTTTTTCACACAGAAAATAGATCAGTTATCTCAGGATATTCGCCCGAGAAAACCAACTTAAATTCCTAGATCCATATCGGGTCACGTTGCTATTAGGTTGGTTGCTCTCAAGTATATCTATATCACCGAAATGGGCAAAGATCCGCCACCGCCCAAAGCTCCGAACTTGAACCTCCAAATTATTCCACTTACAACCTCCCTCCATGCCAGAGCTTTGATTCAAATACCGCGCATATTGGGTCTTTGCAGTACTCTACTTAGAATAAACAGCGCCTAACCCCAGCCCCACCAACCTGGGCCGAGGACCAAATCCCAAAACCAAGCACCCCGCCTATCGCAAAGCTCCAACGAGTTGCAAATCCATCCAAATGTCCAACGACGACCTAAAGGCGCACGCCGCCTCAAATCAAGACTTCTACGCCCTCTTAGATGTCCCAGCTGCAGCGAACGAATCCGAGATCAGACGCGCGTACCGTCGCACCGCACTAAAATACCACCCCGACAAAATCGTCAACCCCACACCGGCCGACATCGACAAGTTCCACTTCCTCCAAATCGCCTACGATGTACTCTCCGACCCCACAGTCCGGCAGCTCTACGACAATGCGCGGGAAGCGCGGCAACGCAAACAGCGCGAACGGGACATGATGGGCGCTGCGAAGCGCAAGATGCGCGAGGATCTCGAAGCACGGGAACGGGCTGGAGCTGCGGAGATGGGCGGTGCTGGTGCGGGCGCCAAGCAGGGTGTTAAGAGGTCTTGGATGGCTGGTGGGGATGATGATGCGGAGGAGAAGCTTCAGCGGGAGATTGAGCGGATTGCTGAGGATGGACGGCGGAGAAGGCGCGAGGCGGAGGATAAGATCAAGAAGGAGTTGGATGATGAGGAGAAGAAGGTGAAGGAGGAGGAAGAGGAGGCACGCAGGGCTGCTGATCGGAGTAGCCAACGGGTTGATCGGTCGAAGGAAGGGGGTGGTGCTGAGGTTCCTGAGCTTGAGCGTGCTGTTAAGGTGCGTTGGGTGCGGGAGGGGCGTGGGCTTGAGGTTGATATTGGACGGCTTGCGGGGCTTTTTGCGCCGTTTGGGAAGATTGAGAATACGTTTATGCTTAAGGATAAGCGGCAGCGGATTGGAGAGAAGAAGGAGAAGAAGACAGTTGCCACTGGCGTGGTTGTCTTCACTTCTATTGTCAGTGCTCATGCTGCTGTGCTTGATAGTGAGAAGAAGCTTCGTCAGCAACCTGGCCGGGATGGCGAGTGGGCCCTTGTTGAGTCTGTCTTCTGGGCCTCGGGCAGTCAACCTGATCTGGGGATGGGCTCGAATGGACATGCAGCTACTGCCAATGCGCCATCCAAGCCCGAAGCAAGTGAAGCGGCGCCTACGCCTTCAATGCCTTCTACTCACTCTTCTAACGGATCTACCAAACCGTCCTTCAACTTCCCGGGCTTGAACTCAGCTCCTCCGTCTGGGAAAGCGCCGTCATTTGGCTCCTTTGCCTCTGCGTCTGCCGCAGGTGCCCCGAAAGCGTCATCGTTTAACCCATCTGGAGTATTCTCAAGCACGCCAAATATGGAAGAAGTGACCCTGATGCGATTGAAGAACGCCCAACGAGAGAAGGAGCGCAAAGCCCTCGAGGAGCAACTAGCTCGCGAAGACGAAGTCGCCGATGCAAAAGAAGCGGCAGCGAAAGCCACCTAACTTGGTCTGTCTTGATTGGAAGCGAATCTCTGTTACAAAGGGCCCATGGATTTACAATTGCATACATAGAAATGATACCCCAGTACATAAAGCATGTGCAGAGTTTGAGATGGATAGAGATACATGAGCTATTTACATCGTAATCTTTCTGAACAGCGTCATATTATACAAGTCTAAGTGACATCCGCCGAAACATCTTAGCGTCGGTGAGATTCGGCTTGGGCCTCGGCTTCGGCTTCATATTCTTCTTGCTCGAGTTGCTCGACAAGCTCCCTCGCCCGCTCGCCCCCAACCTCAGGGTTGCGTGGAGCAGGCTTCTCCTCCTTCGCGCCGGAAATAAAATCTCTGAGCCAAGGCGGCACGAAAGCACGCACACCAATGTCATTAGGCTGCTCGACATCCGGGGCCCAGGTCAACTTGAACTGGTGTTCGTGAGGACGGGCCGGAGTTTCGCCCATGAGAGCGACATCAGTCATAATTTCAAGACGACACAGCGCAAGACCGATATTTCCAATACCATTCAGGAAAGTTCCAGCACTGCGGTTCCGGCGAGTGGTGGTACCAGCTTTAACGATATCCGACTCGCCAGTCGGCAAGGTCAATTGAACAGAAGGATCATATGTCAGGTCCTCTGGCAGACTTGCCACATCCTGACTCATATTATAGAGCTGCACGGGAAGAAGACGCTTGCGCGTGACACCGCGGTGATGAGTGCGAATCGTTAATTCCTGACCAACATAACAACCCTTGCGGAAATCGATACCCCTCGCCATATCCATATTACACTGCAACGGCAGAGCAGATCCACTAATGATCTCGGTCTGACCCTCAGAAACACCATGCAAGAATCGACGAATAGTATATGAGTCCAGCGCAACCTCAGACCCGGCGACTTGTGCTTCATCCGGGAGATGGATGCGGAGACCATCGGAGCCGGGAGTGATGATTCGGGAACCAAAGCCGGGAGCGCGGGTGTCAAGGCATGCGGCTATTTCGGAGGTTGGCGAGAACGGTGACGGTGATTCTGACTCTAGGCTGTATGCTGCCCACCGTGGTTCCTCATGGTTCTTCCATGTGGACCAAACGGTGCGCTCGCCTTCTTCGAGAGCGCGGAGCTTGAGCTTGGCGCGGAGCTTGTGTTTCTTCAGATGTTTCATTAGGACCGGGACCTGGTTCCTGTCCACTTCCACTAGCCAGCCTTGCTCGGCAGCATTGTTCTCGGCTCCGGGGATCGGGTAAATAAAGGCGTCGTTCAGGACTCGGCCTTGCGAATTGAGGAATGCGGTGTATGCTCCTGTACGTCGAATGCCTTTGTTGGGATCGTTGGGGACGAGCATATTCTGGGTCATCAGACCCTGGAGAAAAGTCGTGCTGTCGGTGCCGATAATGGAGATGAGTCCGCGGTTGGTGAGTCGGCTAAAGCCCGTCTGCGGCGGGAATGATGCATTTTGGGATTGGTTGCTGCGGTTTGTTGTTGTCGAGAACTGCTTAGTGCGAGCAAGACAACGGCTGCAGGCTGAAGGGCGTGGGCGCATCATGGTTGATTTGATAGAGAAGAGCCAATGTGAGTTGATCTATTTCTTTACAAATCGGCAAATCGGCCGATGACGTTGGGCGGTGACCCGCAGCAAAATGAAAACGATATTGATCTACAAGCCATCACACCAATTAAAGGTTTGGACGCTGCTGTGAGGATAATAATACCATAATTTTTCAATAGTACATTGTATGCTCTGAACATATCTTCATTCAATGTTACACTGTAACTATGTATGTCAAGGTCGATGGGCGAGGCCCAATCCAAGACGCGTTTGACCGCGGAACTATTTGTTTCCCTTGGCGACTCCTTCCAAGAACCCAAGCAAGAAGGCCTTGTTACTAGGAGGTGAGACGCGATTAGCATGCACACCAGTATCAGAAGGTGTGCCACGCCGAGAGATGGAATCACCACTACTAGGGCGATGACGAGAAGACATCGGGCTGACTACGCCTGAGAATCCGGGCTGGTGCGCACTGACAGTCCGGGATTCGTGCTGCGCCAGAGAAATGGGAGAGGGAGAAGCAGGTGCCTTGCTAAACAGAGACAAAAGGGCTTCCTTCTGTTCCGCCGTCTGGCTTGGGCGTCGGTCAAAGTTACCCTGTGGCGCCAGACCTTGAGCGTTGGTCTGGACTTCTGCTAGGCTCGGCTTGCGCTTGGTAGGAGGCTGAGGAGCTGCCGTCATCAGACCTTCGTAGCCCGTCTTGTCGGAGCGACGTAAAATCTGTGGCTGGAAAGCTTTGATAGGCTCGGGAGCCTCAATGGGGGTTTCTTGTGGTTGACGAGGAACCTGTGGTGGTTGTGCAACAGGTCCCGAGAAAGATGCCTCGCGTTTAGCGGAATGAGGCCGGGAGAGAATGGTGATAGGGGAAGAGAGCTGCTGTGGCTGAGGCTGCTCTCGTCTATTTGCATGGTTTTTGCGATTCGGTCCGTTGTTCATCTTCTTGTGGGTCGACTTGGGGATGGCCTCAAACTGCGGCATATTTAAAGGCCCAGACACAGTAGCAGATGTTTGTCCCGCTCCTGCCTGGCCCTTAACTTGACCAACCGCAGGATTTGCGAGATTAGAAATCTGATTCTGGGGACGTTGGAGAATCTGCCTGTCTGAGGGACCGGGAGAAGGCACAACAGGATTTCCCAGTAACTCCGCTGGCCCAGTTGCAGAAACAGGTCGAGGACCTTTGAGCAGATTCAACAGACTATCCTGATGTTGAGACGTTTTCCGCGCGCGAGTAGAAGTTTGTGTAGAGACAGCTAGTGTTGCTGCACCCGATCCCCTGGGAGTCTTAGAAGCCTCATCCTTGAAGACGTTCAGAAGCGCCAGGGAATGACTTGTGAGCATAGGTGGAGGCAATTTGCTGGCGGGAGGAACCACTGGACCCTGGCTTTGAGATGGATGAGCAGACTCGGAAAATTGAGGATCCCCAGTTCGCTGGAACGGTGCAGGCATATGGCTCGGCGGGGGAATATCCCGAATTGGTAGCTGCTGTGCTTGGTGCTGATACTGCGGCACAGAGGCAGGTTGTGGAAAGTGGGACACGGCAGGAGGGGCATGATATCCAGGTTGCGACATTGCGGGGCATGCATTGCCCTGGGAAGGATGAGGTTGGAGATTATGTTGAGATGGGTGAGTGTGGAAGGGCGCAGAGGTTTTTTGCATAAATGGAGAAGGTCCCATATTATGCTGCTGCTGAGGGAATCCGGGGAAGAAATTAGGGCCCATGTGAGGCCGCTGGTCTGCAGGTGGAAGGGTTGGATGGGCTCCATTAGGTGGCATTGCATCGTTGAGAGGGGCTTGTGCGAGATTCCCTTGGGAGCCGCCCTTCAGTAAAGCAAGCAGAGCATTGGACTTGGATGGGTCCACAGCAGAGGTCTGAATTGGCTCAAGACCTGCTGCTTGAGCTTGCACTGGTGCTGCACCAATGTTCAACAGACGTTTCAGGTGGAACGAGGCATCTTGAGCTGAGGCAACCTCTGGAAGATCATTCGAAATAGCCATTTCCGCAAGAGACAACCCTGGAGTTCCATTAGAGTGGCCATTCTCATCTATGGAAGTATAGCCCTCAGCCTGTGTGTTCTGCTTTGTGCCAGCCTGGGCTTTAGCGCCAGTCTTCTTCTGTTGAGCAATCCATTTCTTGAGCGGGTGTAGGAAAGGCGCGACCATGTAGAACTTATTTGCATTCGCGACCGCGAATCCTTCATCATGGTGCTTGCTCTTCTTCAATGTTGGCAGCTCCGAAAGCTTATACCATTCAATCTTGCTAATTTCCTTCCGAGTACGGGGCTCAAAGTGAGTGTCACGGGGTACTCCTCTGAAGACATAGAGTCGCATGTGCTGTTCTCGCATGGTGATCTCGATGAACTTGACATCATCTTCGTCCTTGACCAGGCTGGCATCCCGAACATCAAATCCAGTTTCTTCGTAGACTTCACGAATGGCGCAGTCTAGATCCTTCTCGCCTTTGTTGATTTTACCGCGAGGGAAACTCCAGTTGGCGCCTTTCTTCCAGCCTTTGACCAGAACAACCTCATCCATATCTTCATTTAACATGATCGCACCGCGAACAGGTACGCGGGTTTTGTAATGAAGGAATTCTGAGAAGGCAGCCATGTGGTGATAGTGAGACCATTGTGACATGAGCGGGCAATGCTGGAAAATGCGCATCGCGAAGGTCTTCAAATTTAGCGACGGCAGAGCTGGGTCGAGCGGCCGAATAAAGTCTTCGTAGAACCATTGTGCTTCTTCGACTTGGAAACAAATACGTTCGACGGACTCAAGCTCTTCGCGTGGGAGGTTAATGATGAATCGGACACACAGGTCATCCAGCCCTGTTTGCAATAGCCCCGCGGGCCTCAGTCAGTCGCCTGTCGTCATTTCAGTCGACCAGGAATCACTTACAATCTTCTAATTGCATCTTTGATTCTGTCATAGTGATGAATAGACTTTGGCATTTCAGCACGCAAATGACCGAGAATCAAGTGCTTACTCTGTCCGACTGCGCAAACGGCCGAAACAAGCAAGCGATAACGTTGACAGCTTCCAGGAAGGGTGGACCAACCCAGGGCTGTGTTGCTGTAAGAAGCTGACCGGGGTCAAAATGATAGTAGAGGTAGGTTTGTTGAGAGAGTGTGCTTGAGTGTTCCGATCGAATCAGAGAAAAGGAAGGTAGAACGAGGCGTTAGGAAACAGCGCAGAGCAGCGTGGCCGGAGCTGCCCAAGTGATGATCGGGTGACTAAGCCTGTGGCGGTGCTTGAATCGGAGCGCCACGAGTGGCTGACCGGATTCCAAGATTTGGACAATGACGTGCGACCTGGAAAACAGTTGATCGACCTGGGTCTCCCGGTCGTCGTCATTCCTATATTAATCCCTTTCAGTTTCAGGAGACACCCTTCTTCAACCACTTGCACGCGCCCTTTGTGTCCTTACTCAAAATAAGTGAAACGAGCGCCTACCGAAACCCCTGCCCCTCTCCTAGAGCCAAGAAGGGTTTAGGGTCTTGGATCAAAGACTATAAGCATAGTCTATTGTTGTTACCCTTGCTCGACATCCCTCTAGTTCTTCAGACTTTCTCCTGGGAAATCTTCTACTTTGACAAACCTTCATTCCCTCTTGAGAAATCCGCGATCAATACCAAACATGTCGAAAGCGCTAGTGTCTATGGTTGGGAAGAAGGTCCTTGGCGAAACTGCTAGAAACCACTTTGGAACTGAGGTAAGTTCACTCCCTTTCAGGAGAATTTTCGATTCTGTCCATGAGCCTAAATTGACCCGGTCATTCCTATCTAGGATCCCTACTTCGAAGAAGTCCCAGCTTCACGTCTCGGCCGTACATTCGGAAAGAAGACCCAGAAGCGTCGCAAGGCCATCCCGCCGGGCCTTTCAGAGAATGACGTCAAAGTCCTGACCAAGGTCAAGCGCAGAGCTTACCAACTGGACTATTGTCTCTTCAACCTGTGTGGAATTCGCTTCGGCTGGGGAAGTGTGATCGGACTTGTTCCATTGTAAGTCCCAGCAAAATACGTGACTCCACCACAGACATGCGCAAATGCTGACAATGGATGATGTGCAGTATCGGTGACGCTGGAGATGCCGCGCTCGCAATGATGGTGGTGAAGTCCTGCGAAGGAGTCGATGGTGGACTCCCTGCTTCTCTTCGCATAAAGATGATGATCAACGTGATAATCGACTTCGTTATTGGCCTCGTGCCTTTCATTGGTGATCTTGCGGATGCAGTGTACAAAGCGAACACTAGAAACGCCGTCATTCTCGAAACCCACCTACGCGAAAAGGGTGCCAAGACGCTCTCGAAGCAAACCCGACGACAAGAGCAAGCAGGTGCAGTTGACCATAGTCTCCCCGATGCATTTGACAGACAAGAAAGTGGTGTTGTGGGCGAAAATCCTCCGGACTATGAGTATGCCCACCCTGAGACTCGTGAGGCTCAGGGTCCAACCAGGCCTCAACCTGCTAAACAGTCTCGCAACAACCGTTCCTTCGGCAGATGGTTTGGCGGAGCAAACCACCCAGAAGAAGATCTGGAACGAGGCCGTTCCTAATTCATGAAAATATTGAGATGACGATTTCAGATACCCCATGAGTGTTGACCAGTGATTTGGGTGGAGCGTTCTTCTGTTTTCTTTGCGTCTTTCGTGGCATTTTTAATAGTCCCATTTAGTCGTTAATCAAAATCTTCTTCAGCGGAGTACTTCTGGGCGAGATCGCATGCACCCGTAGCAAAATTGAGAACTTTGGCAATCCTCTGCCTGACCGGCAACAGTGACGCCGACATTTCCCTTGACATTTCCCAAGAGACCACCACAAAGACTACACGAAGGCGCATTTTTAGTATCGGACGGGTCGAGTTTGTTTGCTGTTCTAGCCACGTTCGCCATGACACCTGGGTACTTCGCTCCCTGGTTCTCAACGTACCGCATCATCAGCTCGTCAATGGAGAGGTTCTTGGTTAGAACATTATCAGAGGCCGGTTTGTCAGGAATGATGATTTCAAAAAGCTCTGGGGTGAAATGCGCATACTCCAGCAACTCGGCCTTGTACAAATCTCGCAGTGGGTATTGGAACTTCAATCCCCAGGGAGACATGCCGTCTGATACCTGCCAAGTGAGAGAAGCCCCGCGTCCCTTGGCAACACCCGCAAGTGCTTTTGCAGCAAGACGGCTGTCTGAATCACCCCAAAGTACCGATTTGCACCCAGACTTCTTCGCAAATTCAACGACAAGTCTAGTCAGCAAAATGGTGTCCACGTCTGTCTGGGAAGTGGCTGTGGAGATTGATGCGCGGAACGCAGCCAGCCGCTCTTCATTCGACTTTGAGGCATCGTCAACGAACTGGGCTCCTGCATATTCCCGCATGATCTCCTCCATTTCTGGCACATGCTCGAAGACACTGTGAAATGGTATCCGGTTGACAGTGCGCATCGGGTTGTTCTTCTGAAGTACTTCATAGTTTTTATCACAGGAAGCGCTGACAGTCATGGTGGAAGGTTCGACGACAAGGATATGGAGGTCGTAGCCCATGGGGAGTTCATTATCCAGACGGCGCTGGTAATCGACATTCAGCATTTCCAGCAAGACCGATGAGGAAACGCCGAAAGACAAGGGAAGGAGCAACTGATGGCGAGCACCGTTGTTTTCTTTGCGGAATTTGTAGACGGTGTTGATGTGCATATGGACTTTGTGCATAATGAAGCGCTTAAAGCAATGGCTGTCAAAGATTCGTTAGTATGGCTTGGAGGGGCTTGTAGATTGTAGATTGTCGCATACCGGCAAAGCTGCTTCTGGCGGACAGAAAGCTCGGATTCTGCATCCTTGCATTCCGTGCATGGCTGGTTTAGCTCCTTGGCTGGCATGATGAACTGTGTTATGAAGAGTCTGGACTGGGCATCAAAAAAGTTGACGGGAAAAGGTGGCGGTGCGGGCGGCTTAGATAATGACCACGCGCGGCTTCCCGGGGCCGTTTGGGGCGATTGAGCCTCGACGATCCCGTCTCCTTAACCTCCCGTTTGCCTGTGCTGAATATACATCTACAATCAGCTTGGATCTCTGTCTTCGTTCTCATCTCTATCACTTGGTGCTCTTTGCCCTTGAAACTATCCCGAATCGTGGAGCCTAGTCTAGCTTCAACCCGCGTTCTCGATGAAGGGCTGGCTCCAGACCTTGGGCTTGACGGCCCTATTAGCAGGCCAAGCGCTTGCTAATGAAGTTCAACTGGTAACTACATAGTTGATGGAGCTTCAGTCAATTGGCACATTACAGGTTCTAATGGTGTCCTGAACAGAAATCCGACGATGCCAACCGACAACGATGCTCAGGGATGTACAGTCGCAAAGCATGGGGAGGAAGTGTCGACCCTTTCATCCTGGTGAAGTTTACCAAGTCCGAATCTGCAGAGAGTGATCCTCTGGCCAGCTTGGTGATCTTTGAATGGAACGATGAGAACTTGATTGGGACGTACCGGTCCGATGACGCTGAGGTGCGTACCACAAATACATCTAAAGGATCAGCGCGTCTAATGATATTGTCTAGGTCAAGGAAACAATCTGCGATGCTTCGAATGTCGAAGCGAAAATTTGTACCGAAGACCAGCTCGGCTCCTTTGTCCTCACCAGCAATGCTACGGACGTCTCGCAAAACCCCATCATGTCAAAAGCCATCCACCTGAACAACCCTGACGCCGTGAAGTATCCCGTTCGAAAGACTGGATTCTACTGCGTTAGCACGTACGCCTACTCTGGAGAGGACTACGGTGCGGTGGTCACCTTTCGAAACTCATATGGCGAGCTTCCCGCTGCTCAGATCGCAAAGCTTCCTTTTTACGGAGCTTTGACAATTGTGTACGCTGTTATTGGAATGTATGTGATACCTGATACCATCATTTGGTATTCAAGCAGCTGCTTACATAAATTATAGTTTCTGGGCGTTCCTCTATGTCCAAAACCGTTACGATATCCGTATGTTTATTTCGCTACTGTTCAAAAGGAAATCCTGTACTAATACTTAGCAGTGCCTGTCCAAAACTATATCACCGCGATTATCGTGTTCTTGATCGTTGAGCAGCTGATGACTTGGGGATTCTACGGTAAGAAAACAACAATCATATTCATACCTTACCACGTCTAATGCTTTCTTAGAATTCCAAAACCGACATGGCTTAAATGCCGGTGCAAAGGCTTTCATGATCATAGTTGCGATTCTTAACGCAGGCAGAAACGCCTTCTCCTTCTTCCTCTTGCTCATCGTCTGCATGGGTTATGGTGTTGTCAAACATTCGTTGGGCCGGACGATGATCTATGTCCGTATTCTAGCCATTGCCCACTTCGTCTTCGCGGTTGTCTACTCGGTTGCCAGTCTCACAGTTACTCCCGATAGCGCTGGTCCCTATGTGCTCCTGATTGTCCTCCCACTCGCCGGAACCTTGACAGCTTTCTACGTGTGGACTTTGAACTCTCTCAACGCTACAATGAAGGATCTTATCGACAGAAAGCAGAAGACTAAGGCTATGATGTACAAGAAGCTTTGGTGGTGTATCCTGGGCAGCATCATCGTGATTTTCGGTTTCTTCTTTATCAATTCGTTCGCAATGGCTGGAAGCAGCGATGCTAGCTTTGTGCCTGAGCACTGGAAGGCCAGATGGTTCGTCCTGGACGGCTGGCTTAACCTGGTCTATCTCTTCGACATCGGCTTCGTCGCTTATCTGTGGCGCCCAACTGCCAACAACCGTCGCTTTGCCATGTCTGATGAGGTATGGAATTCCCCTTTAAAATTCAATTTGAAATGTAATACTGACAATTGACATAGCTTGCGCAAGACGACGATGGATTCGAGATCCGATCATTCGGCAGTGGCTTGGATGAAGAGGATGCCTATGACGCTCCTCCAGACTACCCCGGCAGCTCAGCTGCTGAGGGCCGCCGTGACTTGTCACCCGTGCCTCCCAAGCCCTTTTCGTCGGCGCCTCGTCAACGCGAGTCTCTCGACGAAGAGACGATATTCGCCGTAGGTGAAGAGGATGGTGACAAGTGGTCCGACGACGAGTCCCCTCGCAACTCTAACGAGAGGGAAAGACTCACCGGCAAAAAGGACTAAACTAAATATCGGCTAATGTTTTCTATTTGGATATTGTTTCTGATAGGCGTGAGAACCAGATCACATCTGCCAAATTAGGTTGTTGTTTACTCTGCTTAGGCAATGTTTAACCCATGTCCGGGATGCAGATGCAAGCATATAATGGCGTTAGTCTCTTTTTCTAAGTTGTGTCGAATACTTGTTTCTCCTGGCTTGTCTTTCTATTATATTGTGGGTGGTTAGCAATCTGCCCAATGACGGTTCCCTGCAACCTCAAGATCTCCATGCAAAAGATGTCACTTTGAAATTAATGCGTAATATGACTTCTCTGTATCAATTGGCAGGATATCACAATCTGCAGCGAATACAAAGAAGCACGTAGAACTTTCCAGGGCTGACAGCACTGGATTGAGTCATCGAGAGCCTCATCTATATCTCAAGCGGCAGCTGCGGAGCCGCACTTCAATTTCGCTCTAGCTCTAACTCCTCGAGCTCTCCGAACTAAGAAACCGCACACGACTCGACGTGCCCCACACTCTCTCTGGAACCAATCATTTACCAAATCCTGTATGCACCTCAGCCTCGTCTGATAAGAAGATTCCCATCAGAACGATCCCATCAGAACAACCCCGCACCGCTGCAGAACGCAACCCATAGCTTCGCGAGACCTATACCAATAAACACTGTCGTACCTCCACAGTCCTTACAGAGCCGTCTATCAACCTCAGTCGAACTATATACCAAACTACCACATATATTACCTATACCAACAACAATGCCACCAGGACCACCAGTCGACACGAACCCCGAAGACCAAGAAACAAGTGCAACACTCTCCGCAGACCTAAAAGCAAGCTGTCTAAACCTCCGCTCGGAGATAGACACCTACCAGTCCCTCCTCGCATCAACACTGCGCAATCCACAGCTCGTGGAAGCGCGCCAATTCAGATCAAATGTCAATTCCGAATTGAAGATGTTGGAGAAATTGGAGAGACAGATGGAAAGCGCTACACAACGTGATGATGCGCAAAAAGGAGAAGGTGTGAAAAGATTCGATCTCGATCTCGAAGTAGAGAAAAGACTACTACATGCGCTACGCTCCTCCAATCTGCCTTTCTATCAATCCGTTTGGGATATTGCCAAGGGGACTTGTTCCGGTTTGACTGCGCTTGGTAAACGGTTTTATTGGGATGATGAGTTACAGTCGCAGCCTAAAGCTGCGAAGAAGAAGGGCGCGAAGAAGAGTGATGGTGTTGCCGGACAGGGCGAGAAACAGCCTAACAAGGATAAACGCAATAGTGTTTTTGTGGATATTGTTTCCGATGACGGGGCGGAATGGGTGAAGGTATCTACGGTCACGCAGGATCGACTTTTGTTCGAGATGGCGAAGAATTGTTGGCAGTGGGAGCCTGATTCGGATGATGAAGAGGGGGAAGATATTAAGGTTGAGGATCGGGTGCTTCATATGAATCGGAGAACGCGCAATATGTATGGAGATGATGGGGATGATAAGCTGGAGCTTATTCGGTTAGCGGTCGATCTACGGAAAGCGGCTGATGCTACGTTGGTTGGGTATAAACATCCTCGGATCAGGGTTGTTTTGCCTAGGATTGAACAAGGGAACGTTCCTGAGATTGATGATATCATTGAAGAGATGCGGAGTTGGGGTATGGATGTCGATTGCAAGAAAAGTCTGCAGTTGACAACTCACTCTGGGCTGGAGCATCTTCTTCCGCATCCGTTCAAGAAGTTTACCTCTACCCTGAATGTTGATTGCACTCTCCTCCTTGCTATGGTGTCTGATCTCTCGCACTTCAAGGATATTCCACCAGAGCCGCATTTCCACCGAGCCATCCTTCGACAAATTGAGGTCGAAAAGCAAAAGCCACTTCTTTTAACCGAGCTCTGGCCTGCTATGGGTGATCGCAAGCTTGTTTGCACGAAAGAGGCTGCTGGGCGGATGCGAGAAATCGTTGAAACCATCGGCACTGAAACAGAGAAAACACGCACTCAGATCATGATGGGAGATTCTTCATATGGGCAACTTGATCACACTGCTATGCTTCAAAAGTTCCAGGAATTGTCTGATTATGAGGTTCCCACGGAATGGAAATTTCCTATCATTGTTGTTGATGCCCAATCAACCTTCGAATCGAACAGCACACGTGGCAGACTCCCTTCGGTGGAACAGGAACTTGCAAAAGAGCTGTCAGACATCAATTACAGCGTCTTCATGTATGGCTGGTTCAACGATTTGACGACCATTTCCAGCAACCGGACCATCAACAAACAAATCGAATCCACGGTCGAAAAGCACAGGAATGGGGATTCTTCTTTGAAAGGTCCCAAGATATGGATCTGTGACACAGCACGGAGTTTGGTGGGCAAAGACAAAGATCGAAAAGCATAGACATACAAGTCCGGGTCCGGGACAATAGAAGTCATGATAGAAATACCATAGATCGAGAAGATCGCCAATCCGATGATGTTGTTCTATAGTATTTCCGTGGTGCGCATTTCAATGGTTGATGTTAGGGGTAATAATTGGGATTTGGGCCTTGTTTGACCTTCGTGAACAAAGTTGTGCTTTACTTCTCTGCTTCGGTTGGAGCCCAGAAAACGACTTCCTTATCGGCAGAAGCAAGCATATTGTATCGCGGGTTGAATTCAACCAGACTAGCTCGGTTTCGGTAGTGCAGCTTAGTAGTCGGTTCCAATGTTCCATTTGGCTCGGCAGGCTGCTGCATGTCCCACACGAGCAGATCGCCTTGTTCGCCATTGCAACCAACGACATATCGCCCGTCGGGAGTAAAGCATGCATCTCCCTGACCAAGAGGTTTTCCAGTGGAGGAAACTGGTGCAGCACGACCAGAAGACCCAGCCTTGCCTATCAGAAAGCTCTTGATCTCACCAGTAAAGGCATCGAGGATATAGTGGCCATGGAAGTCTGTCCCAAGCATCAGGAATTTTCCATCATTCGAAAACTCAAGTCGAGTCCAGCCTCGTCCTCGGGTCGTAGGTGTGAACTTTTCTTCAAAGGGCCCAAGATCGAAGGTGGCAAAGGGGGCTTTGTCAAAGTTGCGGAAATCGTAAAGAACCACCGAAGAGGTAGACTGAGAGGCAATTGCGATCACGGAGGCGGAAGGATCAAAGGCGGACAAGTATGGAGTCGCGAGCTTCAGTTTGCCTTGAGGGTTTCGAGAGTTCAGGTCCCAGATCAACACAGTATCATCTTTGGAGCAGGATATGAAAGCGTCACTGCCAGGACAAAGACTAAGGGAGGTGACTTTGTCGGTATGCCCAGCAAAATAGCGAATATATCCCTCATTATGTGTATCAAGCAATCGAAGAGAGTCTGTGAAGGGTCAGCTGAGCTATATGAGGTAAAGTACGACCATCAAGTTACATACCATCAACTTTGGTACTCGCATGGAGGATCTGGCGAGAGTGGTGGGTAAATCGCGCGAGATGAACACCGTACTTCTTGCTGGCCACTGTCTTGCTATGCTTGCCTTCCTTAACATCAAAGAGATGTATGGCCTCATCATCGCCCGCGCTGACTAGGTGATCGCCCTGATCGTCAAAATCCAGAGATGTAACGAACTTGGTTCCGAGTTCTTTCTTGGTAGTGTTGAATCCCTACACGAGGGCGCTGTCAGAATTATCACTACCCATCCAAGCGTCCAGCTAGACGTACCTTCATAGGGCGGAAGGACCGAATGATATCCGAGACTTTCTGGCACTGGAGGGGAGCTTGGGCAGAGGTCAGGCCCTGCTGGGGGGTTGACGCTTGAGCTTCAGTCATGATGAAATATGGGAGGAAAGTGTAGAGAGGAGAAGAGTTGGAGGAGGAAAATTTGTAAACAAAAACAAATTTGGGCTCAATGCATCATCACCGATAGCTCCTTCCCCAAGTGAGCTCTAAACGCGCCTGCTTTTTTGCGCCGATTCTCACCGCCCTGCTTATGTAAAAGTCCGGGGCTGTCCCGAGGTCGGCCCTGCCAGGCACCATTGACCAATCATGGTGTGGCAAACTTCAATTCGCCGCATGTAAGCTTTTATGCACTTGACTTCTCCAACATCTGACGAGGATCCCATTGATATCCATAGACGGAGCGGGTTTGGTCTTACAGGGCAGAATATCTGGACATTTACCGCCTTAAGATCTTCTCCTCACTGCGTTCGTGTCATCTGCGGGTCCGATATCCCTCCGATAGCCGACACAAGCCTCAGCAACCCGATCCTCCTTCTCACACTCTCAACCAAGCGCTATGTCGACCACTACAGGGTATGGGATATTTATATGCTTTGGCACTATGTATGAGATATGCGCTAACAGATACATGTGAATAGAGCCTTCCTCGCAGGCGGTATCGCAGCATGCGGTGCAGTCACGGTTACTCACAGTTTCGAGACGGTGAAGATTCGGTGGGTTCCGAAATCTCCAATATGGATGCGCCATTTACTGACATTGTTAATTGGGTCCAAGGTTACAACTGCAGGGTGAATTGCAAACAAAAAACGAGGCTGTGAAGAAGTACAAGGGTGTGTTGCACGGCGTGAAGGTCATTCTGCAGAATGAAGGGCCTCGTGGCTTGTTCCGTGGTATTGGCTCGGCTGTATGTGGTCGTCCGAGTGATGTGCCCTTGCGAAAATACCCCGCTAATATCGAGACCATTTAGTATGTCTACCAGGTGCTGCTTAACGGCTGCCGTCTGGGCTTCTACGAGCCCATCCGTTCAAACCTCACATCCGCCATCTATAATGACCCCAAGGTCCAATCCCTCGGTGCCAATGTCTTCGCCGGAGCTGCTTCAGGTGTCATCGGTGCTGCAGCAGGATCGCCCTTCTTCCTTGTGAAGACGCGTCTCCAATCCTACTCGCCCTTCCTCCCTGTCGGTACCCAGCACAACTACAAAAACTCATTCGATGGTCTAAGCAAGATCTATAAAAGTGAAGGTATTAAGGGTATCTACCGTGGTGTTGGCGCAGCTATGATCCGTACTAGTTTCGGTAGTGCCGTCCAGCTCCCCACATACTTCTTTGCCAAGCGCCGCTTGACCCGCCATCTGGGTATGGAGGAAGGTCCTGCTCTGCATCTGGCCAGTTCTGCCGCTTCCGGTTTCGTTGTTTGCTGCTTCATGCACCCTCCCGGTACGTTCCCTTGATTGAACCGAGCTTAATCGGTACCGTGCTGACTCTTTTAGACACTATCATGGCTCGTATGTACAACCAGACTGGTAACCTGTATGGTGGTGTCTTCGACTGCCTGTTCAAGACGATCCGCACCGAGGGTGTCCTTGCTATCTACAAGGGCTTCTTTGCTCACCTGGCCCGCATCCTGCCCCACACTGTAAGTGCCGAGTCTAGACTCGCATCGTGATGCACATGCTAACCCCACTTCTAGATCTTGACCCTCAGTCTGGCAGAGCAGACCAACAAGCTAATGCGCCGTGTCGAGGACCGGATCCTCCCCGACTCTTACCGTGAGGGGATCTAAAGGTAAGAAACATAACGGGTCCCGATCCAATGCCATCTAAGGAGTACATTTTCTGGATTGATGTTGGCTGTTGCATGTTTTTGTTCCATAGACTTGGCGTCGGGTATCTTGACTCTGGCTTTAGAGGAGTCTGTACATATCATATCAAGGATTGTCAACATATGCAGATCAACACGTGATAGACAAGTATGTGGGGGTTGCCGGTGCACCGAACCTCAAACTCGGCTGGCAGGTGGACCTGGACGCGCCTGGCAACTTGCAAGGGATCCGCCACATTGCATGTATAAAGGGACCGAGAGTTTGTAGATCGGTATCTTCGTGTAGCACGCAATCGAAACACGGCCGAAAATATTGTTCGATGCCCAGCCCCGGGAATAGCTAGATATAAACTGAGACAGCTGGCTGCCTTGGACACGCGAGCTAGCTTGATCGGGGCTGTTTCCAAAGCGCATGATGATCCACTCTCCAGAAACTTCTGTTCTGTATGGGGTAAAAGTTCCTACATTCCTATTCTTTGACAGGGACTGCCACATATTAAGGGAGACATTCTATTCTCCTAGGCAGAGAAGTGATTTGTATAGAAAGATACATAGGTGGAAAGGTCTGCATATGGCTACCTAGGTAACTAGACGCGTGAGGAGCTTAGCTACAGCTGACACACCCTTACACAATCCCCCTGGAGACCTCGTAAAGACAAATTGATGAAAATCGACGAATGAGGTTCAATGCCTGGCTCTAGACCGCCAATTACATCCGTAAAGCCGCCTTGTTTTCTTCGTCGCGTCGCGGTTTTTTTTTTGTGGGTTTCGAGTTATCTGATCAAGAGTGGAGACTATTACGTCGAGCTGAAAGGTTGCCCAGGCGCCTGGAGGACGCGTCCGTTTCAGTTTGTCTATACTGTATGCTGGTATTATATTGGCGTTTTGAATACAGCGACATATTACGATATAGTATGCGTATGAGGGCTAGACAATCTCCAAGATTGACCTTCGAGAAGATATTGAGTTTAGATAAGATCGGACATGTAAGATGGAGCATGCAGGGGCTTGGAATGGAGTAGATCCTGTCGGATGTTGCTGGGATCCAAGTGGCATGAGAAGTTCGTCCCAAATGGGAAAGAAGGGCTGGGGCGACGCGCTTTTTCCAGTGACTAAGCGGGGCGCGAAATCACGTGCGACGTGACTTAGCACATCTCTAGCGCGATTTCTCTCCAGTACTTAATTGAGATTATTTTCCCTCGCTGAATCCCGATCTCCTTCTCATCCCACTTTGCAAGCCCTTGACCATTTTTACCTGTTGTCTTTGCCTTAGAGAACTGCTCTGTGATACTAGATTTCTCACATACTCGTCCCAATGGCCGCTCAAGTCACTCCCTCCAAGCAGGTTCGTGATGTCACGCTATCGCCTCTCGCGCCAGACGCGTCCAACACGACCTTCATGCTGATCTACTTGCTTCCTTAGGCTGCTTCCTCGCTCGAGAACCTCAAGATGAGCGACTCCCCCGTTAAGAAGCTTGACTTCCAGTCCGTCGGCAAGGAGAACGCGCCCGGCAAGCCCGTCGACGCGTCCTTCGAGAAGCCCACCGAGAAGGCCGTCGAGGTTCCCAAGGCTACCCCTACTATCAAGGAGCTCGAGGCCACTGAGCCCCTCCTCCAGGAGAACCCCCACCGATTCGTCATGTTCCCCATCAAGTACCACGAGGTAAGTCACGTCGCCGACGCGTCCAACGCGTAAAGTGGATAGTGGGATATCTGTCAAAGAACATCGACGCTAACCGTCTGTATCTATTTAGATCTGGCAAATGTACAAGAAGGCCGAGGCCTCATTCTGGACCGCTGAGGAGATTGACCTTTCCAAGGATCTCCATGACTGGCACAACCGCCTCAACGATGATGAGCGTTACTTCATCTCCCACGTGCTTGCCTTCTTCGCAGCTTCCGACGGTATCGTCAACGAGAACCTGGTCGAGCGTTTCAGCGGAGAGGTCCAAATCCCCGAAGCTCGTTGCTTCTACGGTTTCCAGATCATGATGGAGAACATTCACTCCGAGACCTACTCTTTACTCATTGATACCTACATCAAGGAGCCTAAGCAGCGCACCTACCTCTTCGACGCCATTGATACTAGTAAGCTTCGCTCACCTGCTCTACAGGGACTTTTAATTGACCATCATCTAGTTCCCTGCATTGCCAAGAAGGCTGAGTGGGCTATCCGCTGGATTAACGACAAGGAGTCTACCTTCGCTTCTCGTCTTGTTGCATTCGCTGCTGTCGAGGGTATCTTCTTCTCTGGATCTTTCGCCTCCATCTTCTGGCTCAAGAAGCGTGGCCTGATGCCCGGTCTCACTTTCTCCAACGAGCTCATCTCTCGTGATGAGGGTCTTCACACTGACTTTGCTTGTCTCCTCTTCTCTCACCTCAACCACCGCCCCGATCCCAAGGTTGTCGAGGACATTATTGTCGAGGCCGTCGGCATCGAGCAGGAGTTCCTCACTGATGCTCTTCCCTGTGGCCTGCTCGGCATGAACGCCAAGCTCATGTGCCAGTACATTGAGTTCGTCGCTGACCGTCTCCTGGTTGCCCTTGGAAACAAGAAGTACTACAACTCTGCCAATCCCTTCGACTTCATGGAGTCCATCTCTCTGGCTGGCAAGACCAACTTCTTTGAGAAGCGTGTCGGTGACTACCAGAAGGCTGGTGTCATGGCCAGCACCAAGAAGGAGACCAACGCCGAGGGTGAAAAGGTCGTCAGCGATGGCCTCAACTTCGATGAGGACTTCTAAGCGATGTCCTTTCACCTTCCCCCCTCTCCTCTTGTTTTATACCCTCTCCCCACATGATATCACGCTACTTTTTTCTTCTTTTTTTCATTGATTGACGGTTTGGCATGGGATGGCGTTTCACTTGTTACTTCTTTCTTGTCCATCCTGGACTCCCCGGTGTCTGTGGGTGGATGGCGGATTCTGTGTATTTAGATGTTCAAATCACTTGTTATAATGTGTATCTGAATCTTGTCTTCCATGGTAGATGTAGCTATATACTCACGTGGTATCCAATCGAATATTTATACCTGTCCACTATGTCCTCCATAATCAACTAATAAACCTTACACATAGAGTCCAGAAAACCAGAGAAGCAACCCATAATATCATTCAGGATATCAAACAAGCACCCTCATAAAAAACAAATGCAAGAAGACCAGCCTCACAAAAGACCCCGTCCGTAAAAACAGAACAAAACAATAATATTAATTTATCGCTTTCCCTTCCCACCCTTCTTCTTCCCCTTCCCACCAGCCTGACCCTGAGCAGGTCCCTTCCCAGACCCAGCCTCCTCAACAGCCGCAGGCGCAGGCGCATCCACCATCTCCACATCGCCCACAGGAGCAGCATTTCCTAATCCCAGCCCAGCAACATCAGCACCAGCAGCCAGCTTCCCCAGGCTCGTAATTAGTCGCGAAACCTCCTGCGCCTTGTTCGTGCGGTATTGGATGCAGATTCCTGTGCCAGGGTTGAAGGTTTTCAGGGTGAGGGTTGCGATGGGCGCGGCGAGGGTTTGTGTTGTGGCATTTTCTTTGCTGTTCTTTTTGGCTTGCGATTTTTGGATTCGCTTTGCGTTTCCTGGTCTTGTGGTTGGGAAGTTGTATTTTGTTGTTATGCGAGTCTAGTTTGCGTTGGGGTTAGCTTGGGTTCTATTGCATTTTTCTTCTTTCTTTTCCGTTTCTCTTTTGCTTCTGAAAGGAACGTATGGTTTGGTTTGAGTAGGTGTTGGGAAGGCGGGCTGCGGTTGCGGGTCGGTGTGCTTGCCTGCTCTCCCCGCGGGAGAATCGAATCGGTGGCGGGCTGGATCGGAGATTGGGCATTGGGTTTGGAATGAGCTTACTGTTTCTGGGTACGCTTGTAATAACTGCGCGGACTGTTCCAAGTAGGCCTGGGAGGTAGGAAGGTACGGCATTCTGCGGGTTGTGGCGAGCGTATGTCGCTCGTGGTTTTAAAGATGTGTGTGGTGCTATGCGGAGTCTTGCGCTCGTAAATGCGTCCTCTGTATTGCGGTCGAAGAGGCGAATTCAATCCGACGTTGTAGGTAGATCTCGTGAGTCAATGCTCTTGAGATATCCGAGTTGGTTGGTGGTAAAAGTGTGGAGGTGTTATCAGTGTGCTGGCGGCTTTTTCCAAGTCTTGGCATCGATAGTCGGTACATGAACGTCTCGAACTATGCTTTTGACGTTTACCTTGTGACATACTTCACATGTAAAATGCTCTGTTCCAGTTCTTGAAATGCCTGTGGAATTGACATATTTGTGGAAGAATCATCATAGCCTGAATTTGTTAAGTCACCTTTGATATCAATCGGACTAGTTGTCTCGACTGCTCTCTCCATTCAGATGGAAGCTTTAGCAAGTGTCTGGTGTGGGTATGCAGCTGAAGAACATCGATCACATTCCATAGTGAATAAGAGGTAAACTATGGAATGAGCTTTCGTGCTGTGTTACTTTTGGGGATGAGCTAGAGCAGGTGCAGCACGCGTCTGTGTCCACGTAGACGATATTGTATAAGGAGGTTCCCATTGAAGCATATAAACTTGCATTTTTTTGCTCAGTAAAAGCATATTAGGAAGCCGGCAAGCTTCCATGACATTTAGATCAACCCTGAATAGATCAAGCTGACGGCCAGTTCGCTTTTTCTCATTTCATCTATTGCGTTCTTTCCGACAACGCACGACCTCACTTGACAGCTCAAGCAAGGGAGCTGTGTATCATTCACCGCTCCGACTTTACCCTGCTCATTGTCCATTTATTGCTCTACAGTTTGTCTCTGGAATTTTCATGATGGTTTTCTCTCTCAGAACCGCTTCACGATGACCAAAATTACAACGCTGGACCCGGAATGGTACCGAGGACAGGTGATCTTCTTAACAGGTGCCACTGGCAATCTGGGAGGCTGTCTCCTGTATAAACTCGCTCTTCAACTTCCAACTTCGAAAATCTTTGTACTTGTCCGAGGTTCTATCCGAGAAGCCATTGAAAAATGGGAGGACTCCATGCCAGAGCAGGTGGATGAAATCCTGGATACTGGCAAAGTCAACTTCCTGCTGGGTGACGTGACCCAGGCCAGCCTTGGTTTAGCAACCGCAGATCTCGAGCTCCTTCAAGAAGAGGTCACAGTGGTGATAAATAGCGCCGCCGATATCAATCTATACCTGGAACTATCCAAAACCATCTTGGTCAATTGTACGGGGCACCTGATGTTGACCGCTCTTCTCGATAACTTCAAGCAAATGCAGTGCTTGCTGCATATTTCCACTACACATGTGAACAGCTTCCTCCCTGAGGGTCTGATCGAGGAGCAGATCTACCCCTTGCATCCCAACCCAAAGGAGGAATTGGAAAAGATACTTGCCACGGGGACATCAGCTGATGCGGACCAGTTCTCTTCTCCATATTCTCTAGCCAAGCATCTAGCTGAGCGCCTCATCTTGGACGAAGAACACGCATTTCCCATCTTGATTGTGCGGCCTTCAGTTCTCGCGCCCGCCATTGAAGAACCTTATCCCCTATATGGCATCAACAGGGCAACACCAGCCCATTTCTATATCCACACCATACTGGGGAACTCAAATCAGGGACTGTCACAACTCGAGCACACGCTCCCAGCACATCCGCCCTGCGATGAAACCCCCGTTGACCTGGTAGCGCGAGTCTGCCTGGCTCATCTGGCTCAAGGAACGACGGGCATTGTGCACGCCGCCACAGACCTGTACGTCTCATGGACGTGCGGTGAAATGCAGGATCGTTTCCATCGCTATATTCCAAGCCAGTTGAAAGAAGATGCCCGCAAGGTCGATTTCCAGCAAAGTAGTTTGTTAGCACCTTATTTCTTCCAGATGATCCTGCGGTTTTGGCGTGATTGGAAGGTTGACTGCTCGCGGTCACGCCATCTAAAGCAGGTAAAGGGCCCTTTCGGCCTTGACTTGGGTGACCATGACCCAGAGGCCTTCCTCAAGCGTCGTATCGAGCGCCAATCAAAGTTCGCCCACGATCAGTTGAAGAGGCGCTCTGTGGCATACAAAATGAGCTAGTTACGTGATTAGTAACATCTGATCTAGTCGTAGTGGGGAGCCAAATATTACGTGACTATCATAAGTCTACTTTCCATATATGACTTCGAGTTCAATTTCTACAACAGGCGATCGCTTTACAGTTGGCAATCCATTCGCGCTATCCTGTCATGTTCAATTATATAGCTACAAGACTGCATTTAGCTTATCAGTTTCGTGCTTGGAGGTAAGCATTATAATTTCAAACCCGCATCCAAATTAGCCAAAGGAATGACCCAAGCATAGTACCTCGGTATCCGCGTTCCTGGTGAGGTAAGTTTGATCTAGGACATGCGTACAAGCAGATGCATGCGTATCTTTCAGATAGATCCAATATAAGGCATTTACCTCGATTAAGTATAAGCTCATCTTCGGCGTTTACCGCGAGGCTTGTAGATGGTCCATAATATCCTTGCTTGACATGATCCATGCGGTTTCCCACGGTCTACACCGACATCTACTGCAGAACTCCTTACATAATTTTCCTTGCTGAACGTAGGATGGCTTTGAATATTATTGGCTTTGTTCGTATAAGTACCTAAAATAAGGATTTGCTTGGTGCGATCTTGCGCTGTTTCTTTCTGACATCTGGGCTGCTATAATTTATCTGTTCATCATTTATCACTCTTCAATTGACGTACTCATCGCTGCGACTGAATCTAGGTTCGGTCCTCACTGTCCTCAGCCATGGACTCCACGCTCGACCAAAAGATAGAGCTGATCAAAGATGCGACAATGCTTAGGATGGATGGAACTGAGCCGGAGCTTTCCTCCACTTCTTATTGCAAATCGTACGCGGACCATCCTTCTAATTCGGCAGCACCGTGTGGCAAAGACTGTCCTCCAATTGCGATCGTTGGCATGGCCTTGCGACTCCCTGGTGGGGTGAGTTCCCCGGAAGACTTCTGGGAGTTCCTGATCAACAAGAAAGACGGTCTGTGTGAGGTCCCGGAGACGCGCTATAAGGTTGACTCTTTCTATCACGAGTCAAAACCTCACTCAGTGCGGACGAAACGTGGGTACTTTTTACAGGAGGATCCCGCCCACTTTGATGCACCGTTCTTCTCGATCACTGCATATGAGGCATCACGCATGGACCCTCAACAGCGAAAACTACTGGAAATCGTGTGGGAGTGTTTTGAAAGTGCTGGGGAGACCGACTGGAGAGGTAAAGATATTGGATGCTTTGTTGGGACTTTTGGGGAAGACTGGTTAGATCTTGTCAGCAAGGATCCCCAAAGTGTCGATCGATATCATGTCTTAGGAACAGGCGACTATGCTCTGGCGAATCGAATCTCGTATGAATTTGATATCCAAGGACCAAGGTTCGTGAAAATATACTAGGCATAGATAGGTGGATGGATAGCTGATTTTAACCTGCAGTATGACCCTGCGGACTGGGTGTTCTGCATCGCTTGTTGGCCTGCATGAAGCCTGTCAGGCGTTATATTCTGGGGAATGTTCTTCAGCCATTGTTGCTGGGGCCAATCTAATCATGACCCCCACAATGACCACCACAATGTCCAGCAACTTGGTATTATCACCGGCTGGGGTGTGTCGAACCTTTGATGAAAAAGCAGACGGTTACGGCCGCGGTGAAGCAGTCAATGCTCTTTACATCAAGCCACTCAGTGATGCCCTCAGAGACAATGATCCAATCCGAGCCGTCATTCGTTCGACCTCTACCAACTGTGATGGACATACCCCAAGCATCACGACACCTGGCTCTATTTCCCAAGAGAAGCTTGTTCGAAAGGCGTATGAAAAGGCTATGATTTGTGACATGGCCCAAACGGCATTTTTTGAGTGTCATGGAACCGGTACCATCATTGGTGACACTGCGGAAACCACTGTTGTTGCGAAATTATTCCACCAGAATGGGATTCTTATGGGAGCTGTAAGTTACTGCTGCTTTTTTATGGGTCATATTTCATTGATAGTGGCAGGTTAAACCCAATGTCGGTCATTCGGAAGGCGCGTCAGGAATCACCAGCATGATTAAAGCTGTACTTTCTCTCGAGCACAAAACCATACCACCAAATATTTTCTTTGACGCACCCAACCCTAAGATTCCCTTCAAAGAGGCCAAGCTTCAAGTTCCTTTGGACCCAACTTCATGGCCGAGCGATCGCGCTGAGAGAATCAGCATCAATTGCTTTGGAATTGGAGGTACCAACGTGCATGTCATTCTAGATTCCACCACCTCGTTTTGTGGAGACAATGAGCTTGAATCTGTTGAACCCGACGGTGCTCGACTTCTTGTCGTTTCGGCGAAGAGTGCAGATAGTCTACAAGCTAGGATTCAAGATGTCGCCGAATATGCCAACACTCACTCGGAGAACTTGCACAACTTAGCTTATACTCTTGGTGTTCGGCGTGAGCATTTAGAACACCGCGCCTTTGCAGTCGCCCGACCCGAAAAGGCAATGGATGCCTCATCGTTTCAAGTCAGTAAAGCTGGATCATCTGATTTGACTTGGGTTTTCACTGGTCAAGGTGCGCAGTGGCCAGCTATGGGGAAGGATTTGATACACAGTTTTGAAACTTTCAGAAACGACATAAAAGACTTAGACGAAGTGTTGCAGGACCTGAATGACTCCCCTGAATGGTCATTGGAGCGTGAGTAACCTACCCCTACGGAATGGAAATAACACCCTAACGTAGGAGACAGACGAACTTTGTGAGATGGGGGCATCCAGCCGTATCAACAAAGCCGAGTTCTCTCAACCCCTTTGCACCGCGCTCCAGATTGGATTGGTCAATATCCTGAAAAGCTGGGGCGTGAAGCCATCTTCAGTTGTTGGACACTCCAGTGGGGAGATTGCTGCTGCTTACGCAGCTGGTGCTATAACAGCAAGGACAGCTATAATCATTGCATATTATCGGGGTAAGATGTGCAAAAGTGAGGAAGGCAAAGGTGCTATGGCAGCCGTGGGCTTGAATAGTGGGGATGTTGCACATTTCCTGCACGACGGTATCGTTGTAGCCTGTGAGAACAGTCCACAAAGTGTGACAATTTCTGGAGATCAGGATGGAATCGAGCGTACAGTCCGAAAGATCAAAGAAGATCTTCCAGACGTGCTATGTCGGCGACTTCGAGTAAACATTGGGTATCATTCCTGTAAGTGTCTCCCCAAACTTCCCGAACTAATGGTCTCTAAACCGACTGCAGACCAAATGCGCGCCCTAGGGGCTTTATATGAATCTGCCATCTCGCAACATGTAAAATATAACCAGGAGATGCTTCCGATGTTTTCAAGTGTGACTTTAACAACCATTATCAATCCAACGGAGCTTAGCGCGGGGTATTGGCGACGCAACTTGGAGTCTCCGGTTCTCTTCTCAGGAGCAGTTAGCTGTATTCTTCGTGAGTCACCAAAGTCGGGATTTCTGGAAGTAGGTCCGCATTCTGCTCTCTCAGGACCCTTGCGGCAGATTTCTCGAGCTGCGGGTCTGAAAGCAGATCCGATCTACATCCCAACACTCACTCGCAATGACCATGACTCTCGGTCTCTATTACTCTCTGCCGCAGGTTTGATTCACAGCAATGGTCTGCCAATTGATTTATTGATGATCAATGGCTCTGGTATCACCTTGCCCGACCTTCCAGCTTATCCATGGCAGCACAATACAAGATATTGGCATGAAAGCAGGGCGACTCGGGACTGGAGATTGCGCGGCATGCCTCATCATGAGGTCCTCGGGGCCCGAGTTCCTGAATCCTCTGACTTGGAGCCATCCTGGAGAAATCTATTGCGGTTGGAAGAGGTACCATGGATTTGGGAACATGTCCTGGAAGGGCAAGTTGTCTTCCCAGCCGCTGGATACATCGCCATGGCAGGCGAAGCAATCCAGCAACTCAGCCCCAGTGGTATAGACTATTCAATAAGGAATATCTTCTTCAAGTCGCCCCTTTCCTTGAGGGATGAAGAAGAAACGGAACTCATTACAACCCTCAGGCCAGTCAAATTCAACGACCTCGTGGACTCTGAATGGTATGCCTTCACTATCACTGCACATGATGGCGTCGAATGGATCAAACATTGCCATGGTGAAGTGAGGGCGCATTACGATCATTCGCCGAAGATCAGAGAGATAAAGTGTCATGCTCGCCCAGTTGACTCGGAAAAATGGTACAAGACCTTAGCTCAGCGAGGCTTGGACTATGGCCCTCAATTCCGTGGCCTTACTGATATCTCCGTCAGTCCTATAGTGTACACGGCTAGCGCAAGTGTCTGTGATAAGAGTACTACTCCAGCGAGCCGGTATACTCTTCATCCAACTGTGATTGATCAATGCTTGCAATTGATGAGTGTTGCAACGGCCCATGGCATGGCCCGCAACATTGACAGAATGGCCATTCCAGCAGCTATCGAGTATGTTTATATTGGAGGAGCAGCCTCGCAGATGAGACTTGGAGTTGAAGTCAGGGATGGGGGAAGGACGAATCAATTCGGAGATGCAACTTTGATAGGCGATGATATCGTCTCACTCTCCCTGACCAAGGCTATCTTCTTCTCCTTGGATAATCAGAGATCCGAACAATGCACCGTTCCGCTGATATCGGAGATCAGGTGGGCACCGGACATCGACTTGCTACCCACAAATACGTTGCTTCCCAAAAGCCTTGCCGAGTCAAATCCTGACAACCCTTCTGCCCTTGCAGTACGTGACTTGGCAAAAGTCAGTCTTCTCTATATCCTAGAGACCTGTGATAGTCTTGTCGGTGTTACCCCTGAGCCACCTCATCTTGTGAAGTGGAAGAGCTGGGTCAATTCTGAGGCCTTGAGAATTCGTGAAGGCAAGAATGCAATGTTCCCTGAATCACAAGAATGGGCTTCAATGGATTCAAAAACTCGGCAAATTCTTATCAAAAACTTCGTCGCGCCATTGCAAAACCCAGGAGGCGCGTTCTCTGTTTTTGCAGAGTGTATGCAAGCTATTTACGACAACTCCTGGGCACTCTCGAGCGGCAAAATGGCACCTCTAGAGCTTCTCATGGCCGAGAGCCGCTTGGAGAGATACTATGCATCGGTCCAACCATTGAGCAACTGGAGCCATTTCCTATCACTCATTGGTCATTCAAATCCTCGAGTTCGTGTCCTGGAAATCGGCGCTGGAACAGGAAGTGCCACACGACAAGTATTGAAACATCTGCAAACCCCTGAGGGCTCACGGTTGTATTCAGAATATGTATTCACAGATCTCTCTCCCGGATTTCTGGTGGCCGCAGAAGAAAAGTTTGCCGGTCACGTAAGTATTGAATATAAAATCCTTGACATCACCAAAGACCCCAAGGAGCAAGGGTTTGACTTAAATAGCTTCGACCTCGTCATTGCGTCCAATGTGAGTGCCGGTCTGTTGCCTCTACACTGTTTGCTTATAGGACCAGGTTCTTCATGCCACGCCTCAACTTTCAGCATCATTAGCACATGTGCATATGCTTCTCGCGCCAAATGGACGATTACTCCTTCATGAGTTGCATCCCGGTATAAATCCCCCGTTAATGCTCACATATTATAAGAGACTGACAGAGGGTACCAGAGATCTTGGTAACTGACTATACCATCGTAAGTTTCCCAGCTATGCCATAACAGCACGCACACTAACTATTTATCTAGGGCATTCTTCCTGGCTGGTGGCTTGGAGAAAGTGATGGAAGACCTAACAAGCCGTATGTCTCGCCAGAGAGATGGGACCACGAGTTGCGCGCTGCAGGATTCACAGGGAATGAAGCAATGGCATACGACGTGGACCCTCCATATCAGAGCAACTTCACCATGCTTTCAAGCGTTGTTCAAGCACCACCCAACACTAAAGAGATACTGCTTTTGGTTGAAGACCAAGACCATCCAAGCAGCTGGGCAATGGAGGTCGCTGACTGCTTTCGGGCCAAGGGTCATACAGTTGACTGGGGTACTTTGGCTGACCACCCACCCTCTAACAAATGCATCGTCTCTCTATTGGAATCCAACAGCCCTTTTCTCTCTAGAATGGAACAAAAGGACTTTGGTGGTCTTCAAAAATATATTACCAATGTGGAAGGCGGACAGTTCCTCTGGGTGACCAAATTAACTCAGACTAGTTGCGCAGACCCTCGGTTTGGATTTGTCCAGGGTTTCATTCGGGCCTTGAGGCATGAAATGACGCTTGATATCTCAACCTTTGAAAGTGACATATTTGACGACGCAGCGGCGAATGCACTTGTGCAGGTCTATGAAAAGATTCAAGGGTCTCGACAATTTTCTTATCTAGATCCAGAGTACGAGTTCGTTTTTGAGGGTGGTGCGGTGCATGTGAGTCGGTGCCATTGGGCATCTCCGATGCAGATGCAGCCAATACAACACTCAAAGGACCTGCCTAAAAAGCTAGATCTTGATGAATATGGCCTAGTCGATACACTACACTGGACTACTGTTGATGAGTATCAAGTGGCAGATGACCAGGTTGAAGTGGATATACACTACACTGCTTTGAACTTCAGGGTAAGTTCTGCTGACCTTACAAAACATCTCTAGGTTTATGGATCTGACTCGCTTGCAGGATGTCATGGTTATTATGGGTGTCGTTGGGGACAAGAAAGATCTCGGCATCGAAGGAAGCGGTATCGTTCGTCGTGTCGGAGCTAATGTGACCAGCTTGCTCCCGGGTGATAAAGTAGCTATCACCAGCTCCGGTATCTTTGGTGATCAGGTTGTTATCTCTCACAAGAGATGTTTCAAGCTCCCGGACACTTTGTCTCTTGAGGATGCAGCTACCATGCCGTCGGTATATGCGACAGCGATTTATTCGTTCATCCATCTGGGCATGCTAAGAAAGGAACAGGTCTGAGCGAAACTTACATTCATTACATTTTCATCTATTAACATGATTCATAGACTGTCTTGATTCATTCCGCATGTGGCGGTGTCGGCTTGGCTGCTATAAGCATATGTCAACTCATCGGCGCTGAGGTACGTGACAGTAGGTCTTGTCTCCAGCACCAAGTTAACTTGATAAGATATTTGCCACCGTGGGGAGTGAGGAGAAAGTCCAATATCTCATAGAACATTTCGGTATATCTCGCAATCGGATCTTCAATTCTAGGAGTGCCGAGTTTCTGCCAGCCATTTTGCGAGAGACAAATGGCCGAGGAGTCGATCTTGTTTTGAACTCCCTAGCCGGAAAGCTGCTTCATGCCTCATGGGAATGTGTGGCCAGCTTTGGGAGAATGATTGAGCTCGGGAAAAGGGATTTTTTGACCAACGGGGTGATGAGTATGACTCCGTTTGGCAAGAACCGAGCCTTTTTCGGTGTGGACCTCGTGCAGTTAGGGGATGAAACGCCCCAGGTGTTTGACGGACTAATCTCCCAGTTCCTGGCTTGGTATGAAGAGGGCAAGATTGGCCCCATTCGCCCAGTCAAGGTGTTTGATGCGTCAGAGGTCGTGGATGCATTTCGCTACATGCAGCAAGGCATCCATATGGGTAAGATCTTGTTGAAGATGCCTGAAGACCCTAAGCATCTTGTCTGCTCTGTGGCAACACCCAGTTTATCTTTCTCTGCAGACGCTTCCTATCTGCTCGTTGGGGGTCTTGGTGGTCTTGGGCGCTTGGTATCAACGTGGATGGTAGAACATGGGGCAAGGCACTTGGTGTTTTTATCTCGATCTGCTGGCAAATCCAAGGATGATCAGACATTTATTCATGAGCTTGAAGTCCAAGGCTGCAAAGTGATATGTGTGGCTGGCAGCGTGACTTCTCAAGAAGATGTAAATCATGCTGTCTCGCAGTGCGGCAAGCTCCTTGCAGGGGTTATTCAGATGTCTTCGAATTTGAGGGTAAGAGATGGAGGTCTCCCTTCTACCATTCACGGATGCTAACAGACGTGGCCCAAGGATCGAATTTTTAGCCAAATGACATATGAAGACTGGAACGTATGCCTCGCACCAAAGGTTCAAGGAACCTGGAATTTGCACCACGCAGTGTCGGGAAACCCCCTTGATTTTTTCGTGGTGTTTGGTTCAGCCTCTGGAACTTGTGGTTTTACTGGCCAATCTAACTATGCTGCTGCCAACACTTTCCTGGACAGCTTCACTCAATATCGGCGACAGCTAGGTTTGCCCTCATCGGTCCTGAGACTCGGACCAGTTGAGGATGCTGGTTTGGTGAGCCGCGATCCCAACTCCCTGAAGCTCTGCCAGGCTGCCTCGATCCGCTTGTTGGGGGAAAAAGATGTGATCGAGGGCTTGCAGCTTACCATTACCCAGTCATGCTTGCAAAGTACATCATGTAGCATCATTGCAGGAGTGGGCAACACCAAGCATACCTCTGATCCAACATGCCGCCCGCTGTGGGTGCCGGAGGCAAGATTTGCCCTGTACTTGAATTTGGAGATCAGAGGTGAACAAGTTTCTCAGGTGAACAACGACGAACTCAAGTCTCTTCTACAACGGGCCGAGCAAAACCCAGCTATACTGAGCGAACCAGAGACGGAGGCCACGATCCGCAGGGAAATCGCCCAGCTGGTCACGCGGCATCTTGCTCAGGGGCAGGACATGGATGATGATCAAGTCGCCAACATGGTCATTGACTCACTCATGTCGATCGAAATCAGGAGCTGGGTGCGTCGGAATCTCCGTATAGAGGTTAGTCTTATTGAGATTTCAAAAGGAAGGACTGTGGATGGTCTGGCTGGAGTGGTCATTCAACATCTGAAGGCTAAATACAGCGGAAATATGGATGGGGAAAATTGCAAGATCGATCGTTCTGATTTACCGTGAGGGTTTTGTATCGCAGTTCATTATCCCGGGTGATTTATAATACGTCGTTGGTACAACTGTTATTGGCATACACATCATAGCACATTTGAGCCTTACTTTCAAACATACAGTATAATTCAATCGCTCGTCAAGGCTTTCCCGTCTCGAATGCAATCAACCAACTCTAAGGGCATTTTGAAAAAGAAATAACAATGGAAGTGAGCAGTATCAATGCGCGTTTTTTGAATGGCTTTATTCTACCTTGATCGTTAATGAGACGAGAACTGAAAGTATGATGTTACCAGTGAGAGGTTATCAAATTCTACAAATCTTTAGCTTGAACATTGTATATCATCAACTTCATCAACGCGAAACACACGCAGACTTGCAAGCACGGCCTCGGCGTGCGGAGAGTGAGGATGAAAGCCAGAATAAAAAGCGTCCGTCGCATCAGTTCCAATAGCTTGTTGAACCAGGTGGCACCCTCCAGGGTGGTCCTGCATAAATTCTGTTGCATCGTGCACAAATCCTCCTATGTAGACCAAACAACGACCACTATTGGCCAGACTGATGTACTTCACCCAGTCTATCCGAGGTAATTGAGGTGTCTTGTTAACATAACCAGGGCTCTGCGCATGCTGTCTGCTATTTTCATGGCGTAGACGTGATAGCTCGATCTCAACTGGCCTAGCAAACTTGAGATCTGACGCGAGACCCAGTTTCCCCAAAGCCCAGATCAACCATTTTGACATATCGGGCTCATACCACTCGATTCCATTCCGATAATCAGAAGGGAAGGCATGGTGATAGTTATGGTTTGCCTCTCCCAACGTTAAAATAGCGAGAAGAGGAACATTCCGTGCTGTCGACTTGGTAGTATATGGCTGTTTTCCGGCCCAAGTGGCATGCGATACTGAGTTGACCAAAAAGGTAGAATGTGAGACGCAGGAAACGCGAATGAGTCCGCCGTATAGCAATCCACCTTGCCAATCATTCCAACCATAGTATGCAACTGCAGTTGGGAGCAGAAGACAAGCCGTCACGGCAATAAGGACATAGTATCGCTGCTGCCAAACAACAACAGGGTCTTTCTTTAGATCTGATGTATCGACTGGACCCCAGTTTTCCGGATTGTAGCCAAGCATCCATCCAATATGAGAAAATAGCAGACCCCGACGGGCATTATACGGATCTTGGTCGGTGTCTGTGTACTGATGATGGGCACGATGGTGGTATACCCACCACATGATAGACCATTGACACTGGGCAGCACCAAAAAAAGCGAGGAGTACTCTTATCGCTGTGCATGCTTGGAATGACCGGTGGGACCAGAGTCGGTGATACCCTCGTTCCGAGTTAACTCGTGCTCGTGTTAAGAAGCTAGGTGCGCCCAGTTGTACTAACCGACTGTGATGCCAAAGGCTGCCCCAACACCATAAGTCACGGCTAGCAGGGCTGTTTTCCACTGAACAGGAACATACAGGGCTGCAAATGCCATAGGAATGGGCGTGCCCACAAACCACATCACATAGAACCAGTTCACATTCTGGAAATACCATTTCAGTTCATATTCCCACGTATACTGATGGGGCACTTTCAGGCTTTCCTCTCCGTGTGTTTTTAATATCATTGTGGCCAATGTATATCGGGACATTGATCGATGGTAGAGGGTATTTTTCTGTCCTCTGAGATACGGTGGGTGTGAAGATGGTCATTATAAAAAACCCCCTTGCATGGCCAAAAATTTATAAGTGCGTAGAAATGGAGCTATGGACCGCGCATTTTAAGTTGAATCTGTCGCAGAATTGAGTTTGAAATCGAAACCAGTATACTCTTAACTTTTCGTTCGTAGCATTCGATTTTAGTAGTTCACGGATGAAGACCGGTCTGGCGAGCACACCTGCAGTACAAGACTGGATATGAAGACGATTAAGTAGGGATTACGTAGGGTGATGCACATGGACGCACTATGAGACCGTGACATACTGCGTGAAGGAATGCAGGTTGTCATCACCCTTCCTAGGCTGGTCCTTAGATTGAAATTTTTTCTGGTAAGATCGAAGTCCTTTCATAATGACAGCTTTGGAGGGGGTTGGGTTTCTGTCCATATTTCCTGGCCGAAAAAGTACATCGGAATGTAGACAGTCCCTCGCGTAACAAAATAATCAAAAAATGATCTGGAGAAGCAAAGAAAAGTTTCAACCCCTTAGATACAGACTCAAACCTATCTCATATCATATCTCGCCCTCCAACTTCAACGAGTTTCCCCCGCAATAATGCTGTTTTCCAGCATCACAAACATTGGTTTCATCGTCGCCCTAGCGGCAAGCTCAGCGTTAGGTGCTGTAAATACCCGGCAAACTGTCGACGACCTTAGCAAAGTACACATCAGCATCAACAAGGCCAAAGATGCAATGGACCGTTGGAACGGAGGCCTCATGGGCGCAATTCCTGTTGCTCACAGCATTTATAACGCGCAAAAGACAGCCGAGGGTGCCAGAGCAAACCTGGGAAACACTGATCCGTTCGAAGGAGACGATAAGCACCAGGTCATGCGTGCCTACAAGGGCTTGCAGCCAGATTTCATCAGCGCCATACGCGCCGCCGAGGAAAAGGTTTGTCCGAGATTGCTTCTTTGTCTACCCTTCAAAGTATAAAAGCTAACAGTCTATCGTCAGGCTCCCGCGTTCAAGAAAGCTGGAGTGGCGTACGTTGCCCGAGGAATGCTCGGTAGTCTCAGGATGGAGAAGGATGACTTTGAAACGGCCATGAAGCGTACAATGACGGAAGAGCACTATCGTGAGGTGGTTCCTTTTGTAAATGAGGTCGATGCTGCCTTCGTGGATGCTGATAAGGCTTTTGCATCTTAGTTCATGGTCTGCCAAGTCACACTGGGTATGACCTTCGAATTTGAGCATCATATTTCTTCTTAGCACCTGGACTTTGTCTTCACTCTTTTGACCTATTGGGTCTTATATCGTAATTATGTTACGCAAGTATTATTTGGTAAGAAAGCAAGATGGACGGAGGCCGGTTACTTGGCAAACACATACATTTCTTACAGTAACGTCTACAACCCGCCTTCGTGAAAATCAGCCCCATGAAGAACGGAGTTGCCATTCAACATCGTCAAACAAGACATGACTTCTCATCATGTCGACGATGGTGGATATCCCTATTACAGAATTCGGGCTTGGACGAACCACCTCTTAGGTCTTAGTAGAAACTGAGGTGACATTGTGCTTCTACGTCTTCCCAGATCTCGCATCACTAGTGCCAGTAGAGAGATGGTGAGGCGGAGCCCAGGTTATATGTGCGCGACTTGACGAGGTGAATTATGGTAACCTGAGCAGCCAGAGATTGCGCAAAACCGCCAGTGCCTTGGCAGTGAGGACCTTGAGCCTGCACGGCTTTTTCATTCTGCCTCGGACCACAAGCGAGGTTTTCGCTCTCACGATTCCATATCTCCAAACCGTTATTGTGCTTAAAATGCTACGTCATGTGTTCCTCGTACTGATATGTGTAGCATGGATCGAGTTCGGGATACACTTTTCACCCCAAATCGAGGTACAGAGCAATCTTCACAAAGGGTCCCTTATTCAGTGGAGCTAATCGTGAGTAGGAAATCAGTCGCCAATTTCTTGCGAAGAAACTTCCTGTGGCCCATGATCCGGGGCGAATGTTACTCCAGAATGAGGAAGAACATTCTCGTCTCCTACGCACTCTTGAGCGATCCAGTGGGAAATGGGATCATTCCCACCCTCGATATCGACTATTAACGGCACTGCATGGATTTACTCAATACCACAATGCGACCCAATCCGAGCTGAACAGATGGAGAAATCTTTACAAGAAGACACCGCAGCAGCAGAGATTAGTATGAATCTAGATATTCCATTTCTAGTTGGCCCGTGGATTATGCTAATGGAACTAGTTGCTTAAATCAGCCATCAACTACACTGGCAAGTTGAAAAGAGCAGAGAAGCTGCTAGAAGCCAATGCCAAAGTTGCCCAATCAATTGCGCAAGCAGGATTACAGTTCTACAATATCACATTGTCTGAACTAGACGAGTTCATCAAGAAGGCTGAGGCCGAGGGCCGGCGGGCTGATCGTACTAGTGTCTCGCAAAGTATGAAGCATTTTGTTCGTGACTGGGCTGAAGAGGGTCACACCGAACGACAAGAGTCTTTTCCGTGTATTCTGAAATCACTCTCCCTGATATCTCGAACGGACGACAAGCCCCTACGAATTCTGTTGCCTGGGGCAGGGCTGGGTAGACTAGCCCATGAGATTCACAAGCTTGGGGGTAAGTGTGTTATCGGATCTCTAGAAAGTGTTGACTGATCTAATCATAACTTCAGGGTTTGATGTCGTGATGAATGAGTGGTCGGCGTATATGAACTTGGCCTACAGATATATCTCCACTCGATCCAAACCGCAAAGTATCACGTTCCATCCCTTCGCGGACTGGTGGTCTCACCAAGCCACGACCGCAGACCTCGAGCGCCCTGTCACATTCCCAGATCAATTAAGTGACCCCTCGGTCGTACTGATCGAAGGAGATTTCACGACGACATTTGCTGAACAGACCGGGCAATACGATCTTATCGTGACATTATTCTTCATTGATACTGCCCGTAACCTGGTCTCATACATCGAAAATATCCATCGCTTACTCCGCCCCGGTGGTCGATGGATTAACCTTGGCCCTTTGATGTATGGAACAGCACCATTCGTGCAGCTGTCCTTGGATGAGATTTTCAAATTGGGCACGCGGATTGGGTTTGACTTCCAGGAGACTGATGACACAGCTGGGAATATCACCATACCTGGCTTGCCAATCCGGGGATTTGAAGTGGCATATGGCCGGAATCCTCGCGGGTTGAACAAAAATGCTTTTCAGGCACAGTATTGGGAGGCAGTGAAGCCTATGCCAGTCTAGATGCAATGGGTGTTTCCATATTGTATTTTGGTTAACAAATTAGCATACAATGATTGTATTCGGCGAACGATTGGGCCATGGAATCCAAACCTTGGTATCCAAGCATTCATTGACCACGCCAGTAGAATCCTGAATTAGCATTCCAGACTGTAATAGACAAAGCATCTTCGCTTATTTATAAATCAGCTCAAGACTAAATATGCTTCTGCGTCGCAGAAACGTGCTGCGCCAGATGGTTGCCTTTACGCCACTTTGACCGAGTTGACACTCGCAGCTGCCTCTGCAAGTCATTGAGAGCACACCTCCTTTGATCAAGTCCATCAGCTGGTTAATTGAAGATTGCTGTAGGCTCCTGCTAAGAATTTCATCTCTTCAGGGGCTGCTTCGTGCTGTCCCGTCGCCTCTCCGAGAATATCTAGATCACTGCAAGAGTGGAAAAGACTTGGGTATCTGCTGATACATCCAGTTGCTGGAGGTATTATCCTCCTCCTCAATCAACAAAAAGACAGCCAGTGCGGGATATTCGACTTCATCATCTCGGAACGCTTTGATTGAAATGATGACTGAATTCACAACAAGAAACTCCGGTCCACACGTTTTGGTTATGAAGCTCTTCAAACATCGCCTACTCTTGCTTCTGCTGCCTGCTGCGTGGTCATATCTTTCATGAAAGCCACCTAAAATCCGCTCTCAACAATTGTCTTGATGCCCACACAAGACTCCACATAATTGCTAAACGAGCTTCGAAAAGGGAGAGTGTGGTTTTGATTTAAATGATAGGGGTCCTGAGCCTTATATCTTCATGCGTCTCTCATATCTCATTGTTCCTTATACTATACACATCTCCAAGACATCAATCACATAAATGTACACATCAAAGAAACAAATATCCAAAAAAAAAAAAAAAAAAAAAAAAAAAAAAGAAAACAGAAAACAGAAAACACCATCATACATCATCCCCAGTGCCAAACCCAAAAGAAAACGGAAAAGAAAACGCCAAAGTGTAGTGAAATCAAACCAACCCAAAGTCACCATCCATATCCTTACCCAACCCTCTATATTCACACTCATACCACGTCCGTCACCCCTAATCAACAGGCCGATGACACTGCGAACAAATAAGCTTCTGGGTCCCATCTCGCCCCTTAACACTGCGGAAACTGGTACCCCGACAGTTCTCGCACTTAAGAACATCATCATCATCATCCTCCTCACCCCCAGCAGAAGAATAATCACTACTAAGAATACTCCCAGCAGTACTCACCTTGCGCTCGCGAGCACTATCAGGACTAAGAAGATCATTCGAATTACGCGAGCGCATTGCCATCGCGTCGTGCGTGATCTTATTCCAGTACGCGTAGCTGTGATCGCCTTGTAGCCAGAGCGGGTTGTCTTTTGCTCTTTGGCTTGCGACTAGGTCTGCAGATGTTGAGGGGATTTTATCTGCGGGTGGGATTTTGCCGTTGGCGTGGCCGTTGCTTTGGCCGCGCGAGTGGTTGGTTCGGGTTACGTCTTCGCTTGTGCGCCGGTTGTCTAGTTTTGCTCGGCGGGGTGAGGGTGGTGGGGAGTGTGTGAACGCGCTAAGGGATTCGTTTGGACCTAGGCTTGAGGGTCTGGAGGATGATAGGCGGAAGGTTGCATTGCGGTGTTGGGGGGATGGGCTGCGGGTGCGCAGACCGGAGCGCGATCCTTCGGTGCTGGAGCGGCCTTGGCGGATGACCGAGTTGCGCCAGGAAATAATACGCTCCGAGGGTGTTTTGAGGGAGGATTCCTTGCCGATTGAGGATGATACGCTGCGGCGGCCGGAGTTTGAGCGGCGGAGGATACGGCGCGAGATGGTTGAGTTTGCGTCCCAGTTTTCGAAGCGGCGTTTGTGGTAGGCGCAGTCTTGTCGGAGGATTTTTATCTTGCCTGAATAGTCGGCGATGACAATTATGTTTCCGTCTGGGTGTTTGGAGCGGGCAAGGTAGGAGGGGGGATTCGTGGGCCATTTTGCTGATTATTGATAGGCGCGGTGCGGAGGCTGAGCGCTTATGGCTTGTTCCGTTTTGCTTTGGTTTTTCTGGTGAGTCGGGGCCCATTAGGGCTACTGGTGGTGGGTTGCAGATGTCGTAGATTGGGTCTTCAGAAAAAGCTAGGGCTTGTTTTGTTTGGACTGGTGCGGAGATGGCGGCGGTCACCATTGCGGAGTGTGTCTCGAAGACCTCTACAGCTCGTTTCTCGGAGTCTCCTTCCACTTGACCAATGGGCCATACATATGTACGACGATCTTCACTTCCACAGATGATGTGCTTGCCGTCGTCTGTGAAGGTGGCTCGGATCTGACTGCAGGTGTTCTCGTTGCCGCGGAACTTGGCCTCCAGAATTCGAGCATTGAAATCGTACATCCGGATGCGCGAGTCATTGCTGGTAACCAGAATCTTAGTTTCACCTTGGTGATCGCCCTCGGGTACAATCATCGTATCAATGCCGGTGATTTTACTGCCCTTTGCGTTCCGCCCACGAGCCGAACGAACGTGGATTTGGGCCGATACTTTCAGGCCCTCCGTGTCGTAGATGTTTAGCATACCGTTTAGACACCCAGCGATAGAGTATTTGCCGTCAGGAGTGAATGCTACTGCAGTAATCATGTCGGGAACCGCAGTCACAAAGGCAACACTCTTGTCAGGGATACTCCATAGACGCAATTTCGTGTCAAGTGATCCAGCAAGGAAGAACCGGTCGTCACGCGGATGGAACTGTATCGAGGTTACGAAATCGCTGTGTTGAAAGCAGCAAAGACACTCTGGCCGAGAGATATGCCACAGCCGCACTGTCTTGTCCATCGACGAGGATAGCAGGAAGTTGTTCTAATCCATCGATTAGTACAGTCTTCCCAATCAAATCTGACGTGTGCCTTACTTTACTCCAGCTGAGATCCAAGATACTTCCCTTGTGACCCTCATACACCTGAATCGGCGTTGGCTGAAACACAGGCGCCTTCAGCTTAGGCGTATCATGCGCGTCTACAGGCGTCTTCGCTTCCTCTCCATTCGCATCTTTGCGTTCCTCCGGTGTAGATATAACAGCCCAAACTCTCACTTTGCGGTCTTGACCCGCAGCAGCCAAGTACTTTCCATCCTTGGAAAATACAAGCGCCCAAACAGCCCGTCCGGTATGGTCGCCATTTTGCGGCACAGCGGATGATGTCGATATCCGCCTATCTGCGACTTTTGGCGGTGGGCCGCCACCCTCGAGTTCCTGGGCCAAGAATACCCGATTGAATATCTTCTCTTTTTTGTGATGGGCGCGCACCTTCAGATACTTTGATGGTCCAGGATGCCGAGCTATAAATCCGATTGGATGAGACGTGTCGACGGACATGCGGTTAGTCTCCGGTTCTGAGGTTTCATCTTCCGGCTCAGAAAGCTGATCCTTCTTTTTGTTCCCGATGATTCGGCTGAGGAAAGAGACGCCTTTTCTATGGGGTTGAAACACGGTATGGGTCAGTCGCTGGTCTATATATGTGTGGCCGGCCAGATCCTGGTGGGGGGGGGGGGGAATCTTCCAAAGCTGACTATGCGGGGGATCACAGTGAATCCTGCATGCACTGGAGACACAAAGCCGGAGTGACGTCCCCACTGGACAGGATTTGAGAACTCACTTCTTCTCCTTGGGGGCCTTTGTCGGTGATGAATCGCCCGGGGCAGAACTTTGCTCAGGCTGGCTGTATTCCGAACCCACAGCTTCAGCTTCATATGACGCTTTCCCCAGCAATTTCAGAGGAATGGATTTCTGAGTATTTGTACGTTGGATGATATGCTAAGCACGGTCCTCGTGTCAGCTCGGACAAGCACATGACCCCGTATAGACCTACCTGCGATAGCGGATCTATAGCACTTGATTCGGTCTTCGTCTCGTGTAAGGCATTCTCGCGCAGCGGACTCGCCGGCGGTCGTTTGGCAGTGCGCGCATCTTGACTATGACTCGAGCCCGATGCGACGTCTGATGTGACCGAGCCTGGACTGTGTCAGCATGTTCATTGACATGTCATATTTCCTTGTTTTCGCATGCGCTCGTGATAGGCTTGGGCCGAATTACAATCGCAACGCACCTGGGAATGTCGCGGCTCGGAGAGGCGACTTGTCCCTTAGCGGACTTGTTGGCAGAGCGAGATTGTCGTCCATCAGCGGAAAATATTTACAAATACATCGAGTGTGGGATGAGGAAAAAAGCGGCAAAGCGGCAAACACCGGATGGACATGACATCAAACGGGTGGAGTAAGACCCTTTTTGCTTGATAAGATCTAAGAATTGGCCAAGGCTCTCGAAGGCTCTCCACTGCATGTTATTTATATTTACGCAGTATTGTATATACACGTAGTGCTTAGATCTATATTCTTAAATGCGCGCCTGCAGCTTTCTCGCTCGGTCGTTGGCAATGTCGCACATGCCCTGTCGAGTCAGTATACAAGCAGCAACCACTCAGATCAAACTCACCTGAATCGTCTCTTCAATCTCGCGCTCGGCATCACCGCGATCAATGCGCTGGCGCATCTCCACCATAATCACGTCCCGGCTCCGGCCGTTGACGAATGTGCTGTATACAATCAGTCCCGACCATACCGATTACACCAGGCGAACTTACACAAAGCGCAAGCCAGGGAACTTCTCCTCGTATTCAGCATTCAGCGCAATCAATTTCTCAGCCTGTTCCTCTGCGCCCGTATTCAATTGGGCCTGTTCTTTCTTGCTAAGCTCACTCAGATGCTCCGGATTGGCTGGAGCGCGGCCGAGCCGGGGATGCGAGCCCAGAATGCCAAAGAGCACGTTTCGGTCAATCGGGGAATTCTGCGCCGACAATGCAGACATGCGAGCCCCTACTGCATCGATCAAAGCTGTATAAGTTGAGAAGCTCTGCGCGAGCACGGGGATCATCAGCTGGTGGAGCTCTGGTGAAGGCTCGAACAGTGTGTCCAGAACCCGAAGCTGGGCCTCCTGGGGTAGGCTGGTGATCGTCGATGGTGGGGGAAGGTCGGTCATGGTGTGTGTGAGGACATTCCGTGGAATCTTAGGGAATTGCAGTGGTTAAGTAGGATCTTGGTATCCCCCGCCTTCGGGGGACTCCGTAGGCGGAGTCCAGCGGTTGAAACAAGTAAACTTCATCTCAACTGTTTATTTCTACAATTGTTGCCATTGACCTTTGAAAGGTCAAAAATTACATGGAGTGCTGAGATCCCCTTCCTTCCGTCCTTGACTTAGCTCTATGTCCAGTTACATACGTGCCTATGTAAGTGCCGAAGTATTCAAGTCTTCGAGTATCCAGATTTTCAGGTTTTCGAGTACCACTAGAATGCTTCAAAAGTACCAAGTCGCACATTCCACAGGATGAATGTGTGAGGTGAGCAGTCGGAGCTTCTATAAAGAGTACGAATGCCGTGTTTCAGGATGGCGAGTTAAATTGGGATAACCGCAAGTGTGGAGTTCAGCCACCCCTGAGATCCAAGAGAGGTTCGACTATCAACGCGGATTCTCTCGTCTCTAACTGCCAGGCTGACCTTGATTGGGCACATCGCGATCTTGAGATCCGATCCGCCCCATTCACACTTCTCCGGCCTAGAACCTCTTCTCCTTAACTTCTCCCCTCGGCTTTGCGCCTATCCTTCTCCATGCGGCCCACGCCATGTCGTTGAATGGGCTAGATACTGCCGTGGTCATTGAAGCCTACCAAAGTGCTCTGGCCGACGCGGGCGGGTGGTGAGTGACCCCTATATGAAGTGTTCCGTGTGACAGGGCACCGTTATTGACCCCCTGTGTTTCAGGTTTCTGCTGCATTATGTGGCCAGAGACGAAGTCGCCCTGCTCGAACGAGGAACAGGCGGGGTGCCCGAGATTCGAAATGCCATCGACAATTACGAGGAATGCTCGCCGCTCTACGGCTTCCTCCAATATCGGCGCAGGAAAGTGATCATCCGTTATATGCCGGAGGGGTTATCTCGCCTGATACTAGGTACCCGCACAGTCATTTCGCATCTGCATTGGTCTAACATCTCCCAGCTCGAAGCAATGTCCAATTCACCTCCGTCACCGACAAGTTTACCCCGAACGATACCGTGCTCCCTTTGTCTAAAGCCTCTGATCTCACCGAAAGCGCCCTGTCGTCCGCATGTCTCCTCCACACCGCTTCGACCTCGATCACCTCCTCGTCGAGTTCCCTCCGCCGTCGTCGGCTGATGGAAATCACAGAGGATGCAGAGGAAAATGGTAACAAGGATGAGGCCCCGCGGTCCATGCAAACTGCCCAGAGAGCTCCCATTGCGAGCCATCAACGATCAGAGAGCATTCAATCCGAAGCCACCATAGTACCACCCCCTGAAGAAACACCACCGGAACTACAATCGATGTCACCAGATAGCGACAGGGTTGTTGAAGAACCCGTTCCCCCACCATCGCGGGCAAGCTCAAGAGCTCCGTCTCATATAACTCCCAATGAGACCACGCTCCCACCATCGCGGGCAAGCTCAAGGGCTCCGTCTCACAGAAGTCCCAGTGAATCTCGCGAAAGCCCAAGTGAATCATCATCGGCAGCACAGTCCCCCAAGTCAAGCGACCTCGAACGCTCCAGTTCCCGCTACCGCAACATTCTCGATGAATTCCCCCGTCCGTCAGAGGCACGCATGTCTACTCAATCCGCGCGCCCTTCACTCCGAGATCTGGAACGTGCTGCTGGATTCACTCCCAAGGTCAAATTGGGACCCCGGCCGTCTGTTGATAGCAGTGGAAGACCCCGCACAGCAGGTAGCACTAGGAATGCAGACCAGAGACCTGTCGCGTCGCTGCCTACAAATATGCGCTCTTCGTCCGTGCGGAAGCCCAACCCCGATGCCCCTCGTCCTCGATCTCAGGGAAGCACTTTCGCTGTCAAGCCTACTAGTCGTATACCACCAGTCCCACCTTTGCTTGTTCCACCTCCGTCAATTCCAATTTCCAGGCCTCCGTTATCTCCGGGTGCCAAGTCGCTAGGGGCTTTGTCTACTTCGTCTGGATTGACCCCTGAGAAAGAGCGATTGATGAAGGCTTTACAGCAGAGGAAAAAGAACATGGCTAAGCGGGCCGAGGAGACCAAAAAGAAGCAGCTGGTTTCAGAGGGAAAGAAGCCGGAGAAAGAGGTCCAAAAACTGGAAGAGAATAAGGAGAATCTTGCAGATGCTCCTCAACTAGAGTTTGAAAGGTCTGGGACTGAAACGGTCCTGCAAGATCAACCTGAGACTCCTGTGAAAGCAGCTCCCTCGGCTCCTGAACCTGTCCCTGAAGCTGTTCCTGACTCGATGTCTGAGTCTACCCCTGAGCCGACGACTATTGAGCCAACTATTGAGTCAACTATCGCGCCGTCTATTGAGCCTGTCCCTGAGCCTGTCCCTGAGCCTGTCCCTGAACTGATGCCCGAATCTACCCCTGAGCCCACTGCTGAGCCTGTTGAAGCTATCCCCGAGCCTGTTCTAGAAGCTGTGGAACCTTCTCCCGAAGCAGCCGTGGAGGCTATTTCTGAGTCTAATTCCCAGGATCAGCCTGCCGCCATTTCCGAAGTAGAGCAGACTTCCGAGTCTCTGGAGCAGTCTCAGCCAGAACCGACCGCTGATGTTCCTGTGGCAGAGCCCGAGGTTAGCCCAGCTTCGCCTGTCGCGTCTGTCCTTGATACTACAAATTCTGAGCGCGTTACTACACCCATTGAGACTGTTCAGGCCGAAACACCGCAGACACCCCCTGAAGCTGAAACGCGCCTTGAGGACTCCGCAATCCCTGATCTTGCCCCACCTAGCAATGTCGACGTCCCACTTCAAATTGAATCCTCCGAGGCCCCAGAACCGGAATCTGAGGACCCCCAATCCCAATTCCAGTCTTCTATTCCACCCGTGGCAGATTCGCCGGACACATCTGTGCCTCCAGTTGAATCTGATCCCGTTCCTGTCACTCCCTTTATCACCCCTCCCGAAAGCGCCGACAACGAGCTTCCGGTCGCGTCCGTGTCTGTCTCTGTCGAGCCTAGTCCGATAGACGAAGTCGCCCCTGAGTATTCCCCTGCCCAAAAGGCCGAGCCTCTTCCCTTGGATCAGAGGCGGCGGGTCCACTTGGAGCCTATTCAAGTACCCACCCCAGAGTACTCTGACGACGACAATCTCCTTTCTGACGATTCCTTCATGGAGGAGCTGACATCAGCCACTGTTCAGGAGGCAAGACCGGTTTCTGTCAAGTCCCCTAACGGTGGTGACCATGGTTGGAGAAGCTCTCGTGCTGTCTCGAGCCCGTACTCTGCCGCGTCCCCCTCCGCCATGCACGCACTGGCAGTAGGAAGATCGGTTTCTAGCTCTTACAATGAGAATGGTCCCCCTACACCGGTACTCATGGCCAAGAAGATCAATGTCTCCTCCGGAATTTCCAGTCGTATCAAAGCTCTAGAGAAGTTCTCGAGCCGGGAAGGCACTCCCATGGGCTCGAATCCGCCCGTGCCTGGACCGTCGGCTGCCTCATCTTTTGAGAACCTTCGCAAGCGCGCCTCCATATCGCTGCCCAGCGGAACCGATGCCATCCCGCCAACCATGCATTCCGCTCACCCGCAAGACTTTAGCCGCCCGCCGAGCGTGAGCCGCCATGACCCTCGACGTATGTCTGTGGATGCCACGCGCCGCACAAACTCAATCTCTGTAACGGCCCGCATTGTGCGTGATACAGATATCTCCCCGGGCTCATCTGGAGTCGAGCCCTCGGAGTCTGATGTTCTTGGCCTCCACGCCAGCCCACTGACTGTGGAGCACGAGATGGCCGATGAGCCTGTGTCATCCCAGGCATCGACCGCCTCGGCCTCTCGTCCTGAGGACCGAAGCATGTCAATGTCATCCACCGGGTCTGGTCGACCACCTTCATCCCGCCCCGGAAGCCGACTCTCTATATCGTCTCGCCCAAGGACTAGCGAACCTGCCCAATCTGGATCCCCCACCTCCGAGGACAAGAAGGCATCCCGCGCCTCACGCCTCATGCGCCGTATGTCCTCCATTACATCTACTTCTCGTCGTAGCATCATTGGTGCCCTAAGCTCATCAGTCAAAGAAGAAGAGTACGCTCCCACATTTGGAAACAGCTCCAGCGAGGCCCCGAAATCCACCACTTCTCATACTTCCGAGCCTATCGATATCGGCGAAGTCAACGTCCAGTTCCCAGACACTCTACTTTGGAAGCGACGAGTCATGCGCATCGACGAGAACGGGTTCGTCGTTCTCACTCCCGGCACCAACGACGCCGCCACCCGCAACATGACCAAACGCTATCATCTCACCGAGTTCCGGAGACCTTGTTTGCCCGATGAAGATATGCAAGAACTGCCCAATAGCATCCTGCTCGACTTTCTGGACGGAAATACGCTCCAATGTGCCTGTGAATCGCGCCAAGGACAAGCCTCTACTTTGCAGAGTAAGTAACCACTTCATATCAATTTTGAACAGCAAATTAACAGATTACAGCCCTCATCGACGCCCACAGCGCCCACCAGCAATAAATCAATTTCATCGGTAAAAGGACAGGAATCCCGGCACTGATACTCTTCGCTTCATTTTCCACCACTTCGTTCCGAGCACACCTGCTCCCTTTTCTACCCTTCCTTTCACAACCCTACATAAGCATTTAAAAATCTAGCTTTTTTTTTGTCTCTCTCTGTGTCTGTCTTGGCTGCGTGGGGTCTTCTTTTCCTCACCTCCTCCCTCTTTCAACCATCTGTTTCCTATCTCTTCAATATCTCTCCCTATCTGTACCTCTATCTCTTTGTTCCCCAGCTTGTCTTCAACGTGGTGTGATATATGTGGCATGTGTTCTTGGTATACCCCTCCGAGTGAAAAAAATACTTCTCTTGACCCTCCCGATTTACTTCCATCTTGTACAGACAGACGTCAGATCTTCGATTTTTCGTTCTTCTTTTTTCCCCTTTGACTCTTTGGCTGCCAATCGTCCTTGCATACACACTCTGTGGTCTGTGGCCTTGACTTTTTGAGTGTTGGTGTTTGATGTACTTCTTTTCTTGTTATTATGTTTCTTTCTTTCCCTTTCTTTCCCTTCTTTATCTATCTACATCTAGACTTTTCATCATTTACTCAATGTTCAATTGCGATTTTCACCTGAGCTTTCATGGTGCGCATTCGTCTGATTATCTTTTTCTTTTAATTGTGAACATCGTGCATAGCTTATTTGTGAATGTTTGATCTTAGCCCATCAGCTTGAGGATTGTAGTGTATAAAAAGAGGTCTCAAGTCCTTTCGCCTGCACATTTTTATCCGATTTGCATGATGACCCCAAGCCATTCCACAATGATAATAAAGATGAAAACGATTACACTACGTACGCTACAAAGAATCAACCACAAACGAAGAGCGCACAATTTTAAACTTGTATCTACCAGAGGGGGTATGTAGAAAAGAAAAAGAGAGAGAAAAAGGGAGGGAAATCGATTCCCATTCTGGTATTCAATCACCAGCAAAGTATAGACAGCTAGTAACCAGATTTCTGTAGCAAAGAGCAATACTCAGCACTGCTTTGTGTCAAGCTTGTCCCCTGTTCATGTCCATTGCTAGCGAAATTGACTGTTGGTCTGTAGAACGCCGTCTACCTGTCCATTTCTGTTCTAGATCCTGACGCGTTTGGTCTACCGTTTCTGGGAAGAGGGAAGGATGTTGGAGGGGTTGTGTCTGTGGTTGAGGTGGTAAGATTTGGTGGTAGGTGGTGGTCGAGAGGAGTTGCTTGTCTAGGTGTGTGAGAGATAACAGAGATGTCTTCGTTTCTCCGGTGATAGTCCGATATGAGATATGACATTCCCTCCATCTTTGTGAAATCATAATCCCATGCCTCCGATGGGCTTCGTGACACATAACAATCATAGATTCAGTCAAGAGAAATTATTAAGTCAAGAATTGCCATTCACAAGATCTGCAATCTCCTCATCCTCTGAATCTTGACTTTCAGGCGTAGAATCTCCATTTCTGGAGGGCGCGTCTAGAGTCCCATCCAGCCCGTTTTCTTGGCCACCGTGCTGAGGCGCAGAATACATCTCAGGAAATGCGGTTCGCATCTGCTGAACATGCTGATCGACAACATATTGCATGAGATTGGTAACAGCGAAAGCGGAATGCATTCGTCTCTCCGTTTCCATTAGTTCAACCTTCATCTGCGTTTCCCATTCATGGTCGCCGGCATGATCGCCGATGATCTTCTTGCGTTCTTCTCTGTTGTTGTTTGTGATCACTTTCTCGCATCCCGGCATGCGGCAAACCCATGTATCAGATTCCGACTCGTCGCCGGATGCATCGAGCAATTGTGAGGACTCCGGGGTAGGTATTGGGACTGAGATTGGTTCTGGCTTTGGTGTGGACTTGGCGGTAAGTGTTGAGGTGGCTGTGGATGATTTCGGGATGTTGTCTTTGAATAGGCTCTTCATAAGAGAGCTGGAACCGAGACCGCTGGAGGCGGATAGGAATGACCGGGTTCGAGGTCTTGAGGCGGAAAAGGGATCCCTGATCAATTCATGACCACGAGTTTTGCTGGGTGTTTCGATTGTATCTTCATCCATATCATCTCCATCATCTTCGTCGTTGGATTCGACAGTTTGTTGGTTTGTGGAGACGTTGCGGTTCCGCTTGCCGGTGACTTTGTTAGAGATTGAGTTGATTTTGGGACGTAGCACGGATTTCTGGGTTCGGCCGTAGCGTTCGTCATCGCTGGATTCTTCCAGCGAGTTCAGAGGTGTTAAGAGTTCTCGTGGTAGAGGGGCAGATTTCGTGGCTGCGTTTGTGAGTTCGCGGTGGATGACATAGCGAGACCATCTGAAGCCGGGCGTGTCTTCTTCTTCCATCATTTCTAGGACAGCGGGTGCTCTGATAGCGATGATCTTTTCAGCGTCGTCGGTGCTGAACGGAAATCGTGAAGCCAGGCGTTCTGCTAGAAGGTCGAGATGCAGTCGACGTTTTGCCAAATGACCTTCTTCTCTAAGGTCCTTGAGTAATTGATAAATGGCATCAGCTTGTGACTTCGAGATGGCAGCTGGCTGGTGCCGTGGGGTGGACAGTTCCGGTTCGTCCATAGATGTATCCTCCTCGTTATCAGATGAGGGAAAGAGTTCATCCATGAGCTGTTTGTATTCATCCTTGGCACATGTCAGTATTTCTGTCACCTCGTGCATAAGGTGTGTACTTACATAAAATTGGCGCCGTAAGTGAACGAAGACGTTTGTGATCTTCCAGTCCACATCACCATCGCCTTGGAGCATACAGCGAAGCAAAAACGGACCGTGTGTTGAGAAAACCTCGGCTGATTGTTCACGGTCTTCACATCCGCCATATGAGTGGTAAACATACTACCAACAAATGAATATTAGACATGAATTTATCTCCAAGATCGCCGTACCGAGGGTGGGCTTACCTGTTCGCAAAGACTCCGAAAGGAAGGATTAATTTGTTTCTTTCCTTGCTGATGTTTATCAACCAGGAAATAAAGCATGTCAATGGCCTGGACCATACGATTGTATGTAGGCACGTAGCCTCTGGCAGGCAAACTGATGTCGTACCATCCCGCCTTACCAGCAACCCAAAGCTCGATGCTTTTATCTTCGGTTTGACCGTAGGCATAGTGCGTAACGTCGTCGATAATCATGCGTTTCGGAAGTTCGTTGTCCTCGCGCACTAATGAGAAAGTGACTGGTCAGCAATTTGATATGTAGATACGCATATAACGCCTCGTAACTCAAACAATACACACCCAGATGTGTCTGGTTCTTGGGGACCTGTTCCAGGACTCCAATCACTTGCACTGGATTTTCCTCGGTAGCATCCAGTAGGTTCGCATAGAGCATCTTCCCCGGTTTCATGATCTTTACATCGGTCAGGCTGAATTCCCACCAATCATTCTCGTCGGTGATGGAGGGATCGATGGGAAGTAGGACGGCTTCTTCGCGGGACGTCATGGTGGAATCGGCATCGCGGGGGACATGGAGGTAGAGGTGGTGTGGAGGTGTTGGATTGATAGAGCCCAAAAGCTGCGCTGGAGAAGAGAGACCTTAGAGGGGAATCTCCAGGCTGTCAACAGTCGAGGTCATCGCGGTATTACTCATACAGGACTTACCGCGATTTATTACATACCTTACCTGTTGCCTGATATGCCAGGCAATACTCACGTGCCATGTCCAATATAGGTTCATAGGTGTGGACACCATGGTCGAGTCCAACTCTATAAAACACGACTTCCTCTTGAGGCTCGGAATTACATTGATGTGAGCTCAACCTTTATATGTGCAACATGGCAGCATCTGCCATACACTCCATGTCTCCTCTTAACGACCTAACAAGTATATAAGGGCGACCGTGGAATCCAGAATAGACTTGCATATAGGTATTGTTGCCTGGTTTTCTCTGACAGAAGCTATAATACTTCCGGTTACGAACTAATTGTCACATACTATCTCGCGCTAAATCCTTAAACAGAAGCTTTTTTGCCTTATTGCTGTAAAACTTTGTTCTTAGAACTTTTGAGATACTTTGTATTCAAGAAATAGACAAATTCTACCCCAAAATTTAATGGACAAGTATACCGAGGTGGTCGTTATTCTCATACAAAAACTCTCTTGCGAACCCTACCTCTGGATTTAATATACCTCAAGACAAACACGTCAATGTGAAAATTCACCGCGACATAATGCAAGGGAAGGGTGCTCTATCCAACGCAGATTTTGGATCTTTTTTGCAGATTGCTTACAATCCCTTTTCAAGATTAGCTAGAGGAACATTATCTACCGTGTAGCTGGCTTGTGGTATACAACGTATCTCTGCGTTTTTTTTACTAATTATTTAAGTTTGGTTTCTGATAAGATAGTATGTACGCATCAATAGAAGCAGGGAAACATACTGGCTCTAGGGTGCTTGCATTCAATATAGCTCTCATTGCGAACATAACATAGAGAGCCTATTGATTGCGGAGACCTATCTGACTACCATATATATTTGATATTCAGGCTTTACTAGGCTAAAGGCTAATTTGAAATCACAGACGCAAAGGCGACATTATTCAAACCTTGTAAGGTAGAAATTTGGGTTCTTTTTAAGAAATAGAACAGCTTCTCAATGGAATACTGTCATGGAAACTGGAGATGAGATAGTTCCCCAGCTAATGCATTATCTGTTGTTACACTTTGAACCATGAGATAACGGTATTAGAACTCCGTTTTTGATAATGTTCAAGAATATATATTTCATAGCCTTCAGTCTGTAGATCGATAGCGACATGGCTAGGACTAGAAAGTTGTGCGCAATTAATCCCATACTGCTCAAGACATTATTCATGAATTATCCATGTACGCACATGTAGGTAAATAATTGCAAAAAAAGAACATCTACATGAATTGTCTTATAGAACATTCATAGATTGGTGGGTGCTCTGATACGCCAAGGCGGGTCCAGATCACCCAAATATTCTTTTACCATTTTGGAACCACAACCTCCCAGATGCCATTTCCACCAGGTTTCCGACTATTCCGCACAACAATGTCTGGCGAGAAGATTTTTGAAGGCGTCTTCGGTAAGATCCAATACCACATGAGCCCCATTACAGAGCCAAAAATCTAACACCACTCCAAGCCGTCCACAAGCCACAAGGCGTCACCTCCGCCGACGTGATCCGCACCCTCCAAAAGCACTTCAACCCCTCGAAAACATTCCAGCCATGGCTAGAGTCAGAGCGCGAACGCCGCGATCGCGAAAGCCAATTCCAGCGCAAACGCCGCCGCCATCAGCGCCTAGATGTCAAGATTGGCCACGGCGGAACCCTAGACCCGCTCGCGACGGGTGTACTCATCACCGGCATTGGCAAGGGCACGAAATCCCTGCAGGATTTCCTGGCCTGCACGAAGAGCTATGAGACCGTTGTTGGATTTGGTGCTGAGACGGACACCTACGACCGCCTTGGAAAAATTGTTCGCCGCGCTCCTTACGAACATATCACTCGTGAAACAGTTGAAAAGGCGCTTGCTCAATTCCGTGGTAAGATTATGCAGCAGCCGCCTATTTTCTCGGCGCTGCGTGTTGATGGCAAGAAGCTCTATGAGTATGCGCGTGAGGGCAAGGTGCCTCCCATTGAGATCAAGCATCGCCCCGTTGAGGTTTTGGAGATGGAGATTATGGAGTGGTATGAGTCTGGCACGCATGAGTTCAAGTTTCCCGAGCAGGAGATGACTGGTGACGAGAAGATCGTTGCTGAGAAGCTTCTTGACAAGGATACCGCGGAGCCTGCTGCTCCATCGGCTGAGGGTGAGGTTGCTGGCCAAGAGGCTGAAGCTTCATCGTCCACCAAGCGCAAGTCGCCACCTCCTGCTGATGAGGTGAAGGAGGAAAGCGCAGAGGGTAGCAAGAAGCAGAAGGTTTCAGAGACTGAGGCGGCGCCTGCGCCGTCGGAGCCAGCAGCAGCTGAACCTGCAGCTACTGAACCCGCTGCCACAGAGACTCCTGCTGCGTCCACAAACCAGATAAAGACCCAAACCCCGGCTGTGAAGATTAAGATGACTGTCACTTCTGGCTTCTATGTCCGCTCGCTTGCACACGATCTTGGTAAAGCTGTCGGCAGCTCTGCCTACATGAGCGAGTTGATTCGGAGCCGCCAGGGTGACTATGTGCTTGATCCCGAGAAAATTCTGGAGTATAAGGACCTCGAGGCTGGCGAGGAAGTCTGGGGACCCAAGGTGAAGAAGTTCTTGGGAGAGTGGGAAGAGAAGAGAGCCACTGTCGCCAAGTCTGAAGCTGCTCAGCAATAGACTAAGGCTGAGCCTCCAAGAGAATAAAAGATGATGTACATATAATTGTTATTTGTATTACTATTTTGCAATAACTGCGACTGTCTCGAATTATAGCTTGCGATTGAGCTTTTACTTTGCCAGATAAGGGAATTAAACGCAACGAATCCAATTCAGGACAAAGAATAGCATACAATACGTGGTATTCTTGCTTTCACAAGGAATGGAAATAATAAATCAAAATTGCCATTTTTTGGTTATCCAGACCCAGAGAAAAAGAAATAATTACAGGATGCAAGTACAAATGCAGTCAACAAAAGCCCTTAGTTGCGACCCTTCGCAGCGTGTCTCTTGCTCTTACCGGGGCGCTTAGCGCCACCCTTCATCTTCTTTGCAGAGAAGTTGGACAGGTCACCGCTGGAAGTAGCATCACCACTCTTAGCATGGCGCTTCTTGCCACCGAATCCGAACTTGGCGTCCTTCTTCTGGCGCTTCTGGCTGCGAGTGCCGCCCTCACCATTGCCACGCTTCTCGTTCTGAGCAACCTCGTCAATGGCAACGTCGAACATGTCATTGGCGTCATCGGTAGGAGCAGAGCTGTCAGCCTTGCGCTCTGTGAGGAAGTTGGTTAGCAATTGGAACTGATACGTAGGTCATACAAAGGAGACGTACTCTTCTTGAGGGTATTGATCTTCTCCAACATCTCGCGCTTCTCCTTGGCTCTCTGCTGCAGCTTGGCGTTCTGGACCTGCTTGCCGAACTTCTTCAGATCACGCTGGCGACGAGCCTCGGCAGCGGCCTTTTTGCCGGCAGCCTCCTCGTACAGCTTCTTCTTGATCTTGCCCATGTGCTCGTCATCCTTGACCATCTCGGCAAAGTAATCGCCCGGTCGTGTGAAGGGAATGCCCTCCTTCTTGAGCAGGCCACGGGCAGTGGTAGCGGCAGCCTGGCAAACCTTGTAGAAGGCCAACTCGCGGTTCAGATCGTCATTGGGGTCTTCGATGTCAATGGGCTCTTGCGACACTAGCGAATTGTGCTCCGAGAATGGGGTCTGGGCGGAGATGAAGGAGATGCGCTTGAGGGAGGATTTGATGGCGGCGGTGTTGTTGATCGTCAGGCGTTGGTGAGGGACGACATCCTCGCGCTCGTCTTCTTCAAGGTCGGAGAGGGGGATGTCTTCTTCGGCTTCCTCGTCTTCCATTTCCTCTTCCTCTTCTTCTTCTTCTTCGTCCTCCTCAGCCTCGGAGCTCTGAGCCTCTTCCTTCTCTTCCTTCCCCTCAGGAACCTTATCCTCAGGGGCGGCAGCAGACTTCTTGCTGGCCTTCTTCTTCTCGGCGGTCTTGATCATTTTCTTCTGCTTCTCGGCCTCGTAGTCTCGGCCCTTGTGGGCGTCGAGGGCCTGCATGAGCTTGCTGCGCTTAACCATTGTAACTTTCTGCGAAAAAACAAAAAGAAAATGGTATTTGGGGGATGTGAAAGGAATTGACAAGAGAGGAAAACGACTCGGTATCAAACCCGCATCAGAGTCCACGGGATTTTTTTGAAATCGCGCCAGGCCTAACTGGGTTAGCGTGGCCGATAAGAACATACTAGGCCCTATATAGTAATATACCGGAAATACCATTGATCCGATGGCTTATCGAGTCCGCTCTGCATCGCCCTGTCAACGGCCTCATCATTACTTGCCTCTCAAGCAATTTGTCTTGGTTGTACATAGTCCACAATGGCTGAAGATCCCAAGTCTCCCTCTCCAGACAAGCTGTCCCCGGCACTAGAGGGCGAGTCTCTTCTTTCTCAACCGGTATGTAACTTCGGGAATTGCATCTAATGTTCGCCTACTAAATATAAGTGACCTCCCAGAACTCCGATGCCCAAGGCCAGCTGACCGCAGCCGTTGACGAATTGCTAGACCAGCTCCAAAGCAAGTTCGAGAATGTGTCTACCGAGATGTTTGGAAAGCGTACGTCTCTACTATACACTCTTTCCATACTTCCAATTGCGACAATAACTAACCACAGACGGCATACAGTGGACGACATGACCAAACGCCTCGATGAGCTAGAGGCATCTCTGACGGCATCCTCCGATTCCTCTGCTACCGCAACCCCAACCAAATAAGCATATCCGCCACTTGTCCATACTCCTCTCTTCCGGGAGCTTTCTGTTTCGCACGGCGTTAGGTGGCGGCAAAGTGACGAGCACTGCGGGTATTGTTTACCAGGTTCCAATCCGGGTCCTTTATCATATCTATAGCATACTGCATTCTGTTTTCTTCCTCAATACCGGCATGAGCATGGCTATCATCCGGCCTTTTCTAATGCTTTACGATTCAATTTCATAGATACCCAACAATCAAACGAGGATTGCCTCGTACAGGAGGAAATTGTCTGCCTCCTTTGAATAATGGATCTACGATGTATTAATATGGCGCATACAAATGTAAACATGTAATATGAAAGTACTTGTAAAGGCAACGAACGGCTTTGAGTTGGTGCTTGATTTCTCATTTCATACAGTATACAGCATCAAGCCAATATTTCCACAGGCTAAATCCAATAAGATAGGAATCCAAGCTAACAGCAAATTTTCCAGCCAAGAAATTCCAAAACGAATATAACATCGAATCGTTTAAAGTTCATCATGCTTCTCCTCGCCGACAAAGCGACGGAGAATGTTGCTGCGCGAAAGAATGTCATCAAGCTTCTCAGGGGCAGAGCCACCCTTAGCCAGGATCTTCTGGAGACGAGTAAGCTCCTTAGCGGCATACTCCTGGTTCTTGCTCAGCTTCTCAGCAGCCTTGACATAGTACTCGGCGTACTTGTCCTGGAGACCCTTAGCAGCCTTTTTGACATCAGCAGCGAGCTTGTCGAGCTTGCCAGCGGCGACGTCTTCGGCGACAATCTTGTCCAGGACGGCGATGGTGCCGGCGAGAGCATCGAGACCGCCGCCAACGGCGCGGTGGGTGCCGGCCTTCTCGTTCAGGAACTTGACCAGGGCTTCCTCGGAGCGGGCGCCGGAGTAGGCCTGGGGCTCGGTGGAGCCTTTGGGGAAGAACTTGATGGTTGGGTATCCGGTCACGCCTTGCTCCTTGGCGAGGGCGCGGGCGTTCTCTGCTTCGGCGTCGACCTTTGCGACGACGACGCTGGACTCAAGGGCGAAGTCGTTGGCGAGGGTTTCCCAGGTTGGGGCGAGGGTCTTGCAGTCTGTTTGAGTGGAATAGTTAGAGGATGAACAATTACATCAGATCGGACCGAACCAGATCTGAAGATGGATATATGGGGGGAAATGAATAACTCACGTCCACACCATGGGGCAGTGAAGGCAACCAGAACATCCTTGTCTCCGCCAACAGTGGTCTTGAAAGTAGCATCGTTGAGCATCTCAACCTTGCTGGGCTCCTTCTGGGCGCCACGAGGCTTGATGCCAGTCTTCTCGGTGATGAAAGCGGACAGAGACTCAATGTCACGACCACCCTTGTACTCCTCAGGCTTGTCGCTCTTTCCATCGAACCACTTCAGCGTGGGGAAACCCTGGACGCCGAAACGCTTGCCCAAAGAGCGCTCAGCGTCGGCGTCGACCTTGGCGACGGTGACCTTGTCCTGGACGGAAGCAAAGGTTTGGGCGAGCTCCTCGTAGACGGGAGCGAGGGTCTTGCAGTGGCCACACCAGGGAGCGAAGAACTCCACGAGGGCGGGCTTGCCGGACTTCAGGACGACATCATCGAAATTGCTGGGGATAAGGTCTTTGACGGCGGAGCTTGCGTTAGCGAAGCCGCTGAGGGCTGTGAGGGCACCAACGAGCAGGAAGCTCAGGCGTGCCATTTTGTATGTAATTGAGGGTTTGTGGAGAAGTTGACAATGAATTGAAGGGTTGAAGTTGACGCTTGGCTGACAAAACAATACCGAAGAGGCCACTTGGTGTCTCCACCCGCAGATCATCGATCTCCGTACTCGTATCTACAAAAACATACGACCTCGGCCAATATAAATGTCCGGGTAGTATCGGATTTCTCGTATTTTCTTAGTTTTTTGGGCCTGGTACTAAATAGTAATACACTGGAGAATTGCTGATATCGCATTTCAGAGAGCTCAAGCGAATTGCTGGCGAGACTCAGCTGCGAGCCGTACCCGAGATCCCTGCGGATGATGGTTATAGCTGTTTGATGTGGATCAGATCATCGTCTCTCTGAGAGCCACTGGTTCGCGTCATCCCAGAACTTCACGTCCGCGAAATCCTTGCCGGCATTGTGTGCTCCCTTGTAGACCTGTATCAAATGTCAGTATTTGGCCAACATGAAGCTTCCATCAGCACTTACTGCATCCCATAGCTTGAAAGCCAGATTCAAGTTTCCAGTGAAACTCTCGCTGTGCTGGAACCATTCTTTGCCCTTTGCCTTCACATCGGCACGGGCCTCAGGCGAGGTTGGGTTTGCTTGCAAAGGAAGATCGTCCAGGTAAGTCCGGACCGCAATTCCAAGTCCACAGTCGTTATCATCAATGAAGGGAAGCCTGAACAGGTATGTTAATATACGAACTCACACTGGGAGTTTGAGTACGTACTTGATAGCCATCTCAGTCCAGTCGTTACGATCCCGGTTAGCATCACCGCCGAGGAGCATGCCAGTCAATACGACCTCGACCAGGTTCCTGAGCGCAGAGCGCACCTCGGAGATCAAGGAGCGGTAGCAAAGAAGTTGACGGCTTAGAGGGCCAGAGTATCCAATGCTCTTGTGTTGCAATTTTCCGACACATGCAACACGGGAAACGAGCATGTTGAAAGTCTTGTCCTCTTCTGATCCCCGCATGGGACCGCCAGATACTCCTGAGAACCAAGGCTTAGTGTTGAGAAGGTCCAGACGGAGCATCTCGAAAGCAATGAAAATAGCCTCCTCGAGGTTGTCTGCAGGATCCACAGCTGACAATGACTGCTCTAGACTCTTACCCCACGTAGTAAGGTTGTGTTTGTCATCAACATATCCGCGTAGCTGCAAGAAACGCCACATTACATTAGATAGGATGTCCTCCTGGGAGGAAAGGCTCTTTGGTCTTGGTTAGCAATTGATCAATGTCAAATATTCGGACAACATACCAGTGACTCCTTAGTAGCAAAAGACTTGGACACAAAGTCGGATTGCTTCAAGCTTTGGACAGCAAACTTGAAAGATCCACGGGGAGCCTGGAGCTTCTTGACACTGTCAGGAGCTGTCTGGCCCAGAATCTTCCAAGACTGGATGGTATCCTTGACCGAGGGAATGCCCTTGAGGTTAATCTTTCGATCAGAGTTATCATCAAACCACGGATGAATCGTAATCACTTTAGTCTGGTAAAACCGGTGAAGCGAGTTTGCTAGCAGACAGATATACTGAGTCCGGATGGGAGTCAGAGTATCACCCACGAGCGAGCGGAAGATCTCGGTATCTTCAGTGCCTAATGGTAGCGAGGCGCGCACCTCGCCAGATGTGAGGAAGTTTGGTACATCGGCGCTAATGATACCTTTGGATAGGTAGAAATACAGCTCTTCAGGAAGTCGCTGTCCGATGAGTTCGTGCATATCGGAGGAAATATTCTCAGGGTCCATGGGCCCGACTCGGCCATCTACGTCCATGTACACATGGTGCTTCACAATCATGTATGCACGCTTGTAGCGATCTCCATACTGGATTTCCTGGATGCGTCGATCATCGTCAAACTGGGCGCACAGTGCCAAGGCACTTCGGCCAGCTTGGTTGAACATTGGCAAAGCATCGCGAACGCTGGGGCTCTTGCCGGGGAAGGCGGGGTTTTCGAAAAGTGGGAAATGACGCAGGAAGGGAGATCCCAGTAGTAGGCAAAAATCTAGGAACTGTTCATTTGTGAGTCGACCCAGCTCTTCTTGGCAGGTTTGTTTCGTGATCCAGAAGAATTGCGCGGGGTCGGTATCAATGCGAGTGACCAGCTTGTCAAGGTCAAACAAAAAAGCTTCAGATGGGGCGTACACAGCATCGACAACAGGGTTGGGACCGCGAGCAAGGTAGGATAGCTGTTCGGATGCATTGGTCAGTTCCTATCCGGGCCATGACACAATGTCTGCTTACCTGAGCCGCGGCGCTGTAAGGCGCGACCATGAATTCGACACCATTTTGGGTCAAGATCCGTTGCAGGAACTTGAAGAGAGTCTCCGGGGGCGGGGTTCCTGAGCGTTGCTTTGGGTCAGCAGCTGTTGAAATGCTTCGTCGGGTCCAGTGGATGGGGGAGAACGCGGGGCTGCCGATGGAAAAAAGGAACGAATAATAAGATATCATACCAGCACTGCTGAAGGCGTCGACAACCTGGTCGGCTTGCTGTTGGTCATACAAATCCCAGGCTTGGTCGAAAGACCGCGACGATGTGGGCTGGGGGCGCTGTTCCTTCTTGCCAAAATCAAGGCCATTGAACACAAAGATGCTGGCGACACCGAGGTTCTTGAAAGTCTGTAGCTCCTTCTCGATGTTGGTTCTCAGGGCGAAAGGGAAGCCACCGAGTGCGCCCAGGAGGGCTTCGCGGGTGGACTGGTTGATAAGGTGTTGATTAATGTAGTGCGACGCATCGATACCGACAACGGCACCCTTTAAAGCTGAGAGGGGGAGGGACTGTGCGCGGGACACAGCCCATTCATCAAAGGGACGGACTAATTGAGAGTAGAGGTTAGCTGATGCGATTGCAGTGGAGCTCAGGGTTGGGTACTCGGCATGTTTGGAGCTGTCACGCGCTAAAAGAACGGCCGGCGCCGGACAGCAGAGCGCAGAGGGAAGGCAGGCGATAGATAGTGATATACTCGAGGGGGTCCGGACAGCAGATCAAAAGCTTGAGAATGCGACAAAAGCTGTGGTGGTTGGGGTTGGAGGAAAGGTACGAGGGGGGGAAGGCGGAGTTGACTTGTTTTTTTGCCTGTATCACATCTTCTACCACTACAGTACGGAGCACGGTATGCTTTCTTATTTACTGACTATTTGGATGTACTAAATTTAGCATGCTATGTGAGCACATAATCATGAAGTCATGCTAGTCCCATATCTCACTTTCAAACGTACTGGTACCATAACCAGCAACCCACTCTGGAAGGGAAGGTATATCAAAATCAATTACGTTAAGATCACAACATCTGGGGTTATCAAATATGGTCGGATCTCGCCTGTGCTCCGAAAGGCGATGGAAACTAAGACAGCCGAGCCCAGTGAAGGAGACAACTGGATTGGCCAAATTATATTGAAGATACGCGGGCCCACCAACCTCCCTCTATATATATTCACCCCAGTCTCCATTCTGTAATGACCCCTCTAAACTCCATTGAAATGGCTGAATCAACCCCAATCGAGCTCCCTGTCATTGACATCTCCAATCCCCACGACTTCGCCGTGGGGAAGGCCATGTTGGACGCCGCTGCCAAGTATGGCTTCCTGTATGTCAACAGCAAGGGCACTGACTTTACCGCTGAGGATGTGGATCATGGCTTTGGATTGGTAAGTTTTACTCTTATTGGTAAGTATGGTCTCTAACTGTCTATATAGTCAAAGAAGTTCTTTGCCTCTCCCGCAGTAGAGAAGGAAAATTGTCGGATTGAGCCAAATGTGTGATACCTCAGTATAAAGCATACAGCATAGCATACAGCATGCATGTATATGACAACCAAGCAGAGGCTAACCTCAATGGATTACTAGAATCGTGGTTGGTCAGGCATGCATATCGAAACGCTGGATCCTGAGCATCAACGGGTAAGTCATATCTTGCCTACCCCGAAGAGTATACATGCACGATGCTAAGACTTGAAATAGACAGGAGACTTCAAAGAGTATGCAACAGCCATCAAAATAAATCCATAAACCACTAACCCTATGAAACAGAGCTATGAACTTCGGCGACTTCAAAGATGGCAAAGCCCAACAACCACTTCCACCCTCACTTCAGCCCCACGAAAGCGAGATCAAAGACTTCGCCGGACTATGTAACAAGACCTGCACCCGAATCCTGACTCTGCTAGCCCTAGGCCTAGAAGTGCGCAACCTAATCCCATCCCATCCCCTCCACCCCCAAAACTAACACCAATCCAGATAACCCCCGACTTTTTCACAACCCGCCACGACCCAAGCACAGGCCCAACAGGAAGCATCCTCCGCTACCTATTCTACCCAAGCCTCCAGCGCGAATCGACAAAATCCTACAGCCACGACAGAGACGTGCGGGCAGGCGCACACTCCGATTACGGCAGCATAACGCTCCTCTTCCAACGACCCGGTCAACCAGGACTGGAAATCTTTACTCCAGAGAGAACGTGGGCGCCTGTTCCCATTATCCCTGGTAATGGCCTGACCAAAGACGGGGAGGAATATCCCTTCCCGCCTATCTTGGTTAATATTGGGGATCTTTTGAGTTATTGGACGGATGGGTTGCTGAAGTCGACTGTGCATCGGGTTGTGTTCCCGCTTGCTGAGCAGCAGGGCGATGATGCGCGGGATCGATATACGCTGGTGTACTTTTGTCATCCTGTTGATTCTACCGAGTTGGTTCCTGTTCCTGGGGAGGTTGTGAAATTGCATCGGGAGACGAGTGAGGGAATTGGGCAGGGTGTTGTTGGGTTTGGGGGTGGTGCTGGGAGTCTTGAAAAAGGGAAGAGGCCTTTGACTGCTCATGAGCATCTTATGTCTAGGTTGGAGGCTACTTATGGGTTTAAGAAGGATGAGTGAGGTGAGGTGACATGTGTTGTGTTGTATGGGGTGGTAGAGGATATGTGAGATGTTTTACGGATGCTACTCTCATATGGAATGTCAAGTATTGCAGAGAAAATGAATGAATGAACTGAGATGGATTATGGAACGCCGGTGCCGTTGTGGCAAAGTGCAAATACACAAACAGAAGAAACCTCCAGACATAAATCAGAATCATAGATGAGATGCGCATCTGAAATGCTTCAGAAGGCCGGGATGCGGCTGAAGGTGTCGGAATGCTGCCCATCTACTAACAGATAAGAAACTCGTGACAGCACACAATTAGTTATGAGCGAAAACGTAATAGCCCCCAAGGGGACAAAAAAAAGTAGAGGGAAGAATCCCCAGCGCAAGAATGAGATGTACAGTCATGATGGTTTAAAAGAAAATGGTATGGGCAATGAAAAGGATGGCTCGCAGATGAGGACCTCACGTCAATGAACCAAGATGCAAGGCAAGCTGTGCGAGAATGGGAATAAGAAAGAAAATAATGCCAGACAACATGTAAAGAGGTATCTTCGGGTCGAATTGGAAACGCCGCCAGATTTTGAAATGCCATGCGCAAGGGAGACGTGAGACCTTGGAACAGAATAAGGGAGACGCGTGATGGATATGACGCTATGCGAGCCAGTATGCATGGAAATCAAAATGAAACTCCTTTCAGGTCGTTGGGTCGTATCAGGGGGTAGTGTGACACCAGTGCCGGTGGTAAAACCATGCGGATTTCTGGCAGTCTTTGCTGCAGTACTTGGTGCGACGGCAGCGCCGACACTTGGCGAATTGACGCTGGAAAACTTCCCATTTGCCGCACTTATAGTAGGCGCACTGACGAATGCCACCTCTCGCTTCGTCCTTACGGCAGAGGTTTCTCATGACAACACACGCCCAGTACTGCATGTCCTTGGAGTGATGACGAACAGTGAACTTCTCCACCAGGGGGAAGATGTTGAGGTCCTCAGGTAGCAGGTACTCCTCTTCATCCTCAAACTCGACCGGCGAAGAAAGATCAGCGTTCTCATCCAAAAGATGGAGTTCGCGATCGATCTTCAACTTCGGAACCAGATGGGAGGACTGGAAGTATTCGCGGAGGTTGCAGTACTTGGAAACGTAGGCCAAGAGCTGTAAGGACATTAGGACATCCTCGTCACGAGGCATGGTTGTGAGCACTCCTTGGGTTGCAGGTGCACTTCGGTCACGGAGGTACAAGGCGTAAGGGCTGGGTGCGAGGGTAGGAGAATTAGGGTTGTTTGTGGCTTGCGCGGGAGAAAGACCCAATCCACCATTAGCCTGAGTGTTTTCGTTGTTAATGATGCTGCCATCGACAGAACGATGGGCGATGTTAAAAGTCTCCACTTCTTGGCCACCTTCCTCGGAGGGATCGGTCACTGTCAGGTCGTGGGTAGTAGACATGTCATCAATCATCGTTGTCTCATTCTCATCCGCATCGTCAAGTTCCATCCGATTGGGAAGTCCGACGATGGGTTCAGCGGGTTGCCCCATGGTGCTATCCTCTCCCATGGTAGAATCTTCACCATTGGCGTCGTCTGACTCACCGGACGCCGACATCTGTTGACGGATTGAAGGGCGCTGTCTGGCGGCGGCTGTTTGGAGGTTGCGGGATTGTGCGTGGAGAGAGCCACTGGGGGTGGTTGGGGAGTCTGGTTGTGAGACGATTCCAGTCTGAAGACCAGGAAGCATGCTAGGAAGACGCTCAGCATCCCGTACAGGACGCAAGCCAAATCCATCTGCGGTATCCATCGTGGGAACGGCGGTGGCAAGAGGTTGCATCGACCGCAGGCTATGACCAGCCCGTGGGAACCGTCCGTGGTTGTGCGCCTCCTGGCCAAAGGTGCTGCGTTCGGGAGGCGAGGTCATGGGCGCGCGGGGAGGAGAAGTAGTCACATCCATAGCATCGGAGTCGGTGGGCTGGCTATCTTGATAGAACGGCTGTGGAATTTCGATACTCGGAGGAGGGGCTTGTCGGCGGGAGTGATGTGACTCCGTCAGGGAGTGTGACTCCATCTGGGTATCCGCAGAGGCGGGCGTGGAACGGGTAGAACGGGTTGATCGAGTAGAGGTTTCTGTGTGAGATCTGGATTTGGCATCTTTGGACGACTCCTCATTCTCTTTGTCTTCGGTATCGGCGGATGGTCCATTGCGGGATCGAACCTTGTCCACCACTTTGATGTAATTACTGAGAATGGTGGCAATGACCGGGACCATGTCGGCTTCCACAACCCGAGTCCGAACACCCTCGGAGCCACGCACGCCAATGTTGACGACACACTGGAAAGCGAGGCTCCATTTCCACATTTCCATCAAATCCTTACTCCGGCCCTCCTTAAGGATGCACACGAGTCGCTCGATGCCGCCATCGACGGTGAGGATATCTCGAATCCGGGCGGAGGAAGTTGTGAGGTAGGCAAGGTGATTGAGGGAGTTGATAAGCGGTAGAGTGGATGTGCAGTCAAGGGCACGTCGGTCGTAGAGGGTTGTGGTGATGTTGACCGAGGCCTTGTTCACATTGGGGATACTAAAGTTGACTTCTCGCATGGTGAAAATCGGACGAGAAAACGCGGCGAGAAAACGAGGTGCTAGATCAAGTGAAGCCGAAAGATGCGAGATAGCATCCAGGGGCGAAGAGATGCAAAAAGGCGAGGACCTTGACGACGTCCGAAGTGGGATTGGATTGTGTTCAGCCCCCTGTCCAAATGGGATGATGCCCACTGTCTGTAGGGATTCCTCGCTGATTGGATCGAAAGTCAAGCCAAAGACATCAGGCGCTCGAAAAGTGACGGGATATTGATCACCGACGAGGTCGCTGGCGATAAAATTCGATGACTCCCAGAAGGGGGAGGGTTCGAGGCTAGAGGCTCCCAAAGGCTCTGAATGAAAGAAGAAGGGAACGAAGGGCAGAATGCAGATGAAGAAGCGAATCGGCCAGGAGTTAACGATAAAGATGGGGATGGCGATTGGGGGGGGGGGGTGGGTGGTGGGAGGAAGAGGTTTCAAGAAGGCGAAAGCGGAGAGCGTCAGGTGCCTCCTTAATATTACGATATACCCGCCACTGACTTTGCTTTGCTTTACTTTTTGACTTACTTTACTTTACTTTACTTTACTGTGGCTATTTTAGTCTTGTTTGCTCTATTATTAATAGTCTTCTCTCTCTTCTCTTGTCTACAGAGTACTGTCAACTTCTATTATTCTCTACAGACCGTACCTTCTGTTTACTCCTGGTTGAGTACCCTGTTGCCACCCATGTAAATTACACATCCCTTAACATACCAGCTGGCATAATTGTTCCTTGTCACAGGGCAGTATATCCTTGATTCTGTCACGTCAAATACTCTGACTTAGCGATCAACAACTATGACGCCGCCTGATTAATCATGACAGGCCCCATTCGGCACGAGCGGAGGCCACTATAGATCTGCAGTGACCAACATCCACCAATGACTCTTACGAACTATTCAAATAACTTCGGCCATTTCTCCTGACTGGATGTCCCCCACACTCAAGAGCCGGTCAAGCCTCATCTCCCAAGTGATAGATCGACAAGAGAAATGAGTTGTGTTACATCTAAATTTTATCGACGTAAACTTGAAAATGCCCCGGAGCACGAGACCAAGGGATCGGAAGTGCTGTATCTGCATGTATGCTGCATGCTGCAGTATTCGTCTATCATTTCCCCAAGTATGAAACTACACACTTCGTACAGAGTATAACAGAATGCCCCGTCCAATAGTGAACCGAAGGACAACAGACACAACCCTGGAATAGCTTGGACCTTGCCCTGCCAATATCAAGTGGAGTTGACCAGTGCAGAGTACAGTGAACACACTCTGATACTCCATTGACGCCGTTTCATCAGCCCTGCAGGGATGTTTATTTCGAGAAAATTAAACTTAGCAACACATAGAGGCGTCAGATCAGCCCGAAATCCCCGCAGACCAAATAGCATTGGCCCCTAAGGACCTCTATCACATCTCCGACAGGGTTCACACGCGCTTGCAATGCGCACAGACGGGCTAAGATTAGAACACCTGCGAACTGCCGGGCCATATCTGCCTTTGCACTTGCGGGGATTCAATATTTGTTTAATAGTGAGGACCGAGTAAACAGTCAACTTAGTGATAATACCTGTACATGTTTGTGTAGTGGTTGGGACCCCTTTTCCGAAGATCAGCAGTTCTAGCCCAACGTTGATTACCTCTAGCTCACTTCTAACGGTCCCATCTTATTTCGTGCCGAGCTCCGTTCTCAAACTTCAGGATCGGTAACGGCTAGTTCTCGGCTTATTGTCGACTTTGGTCTTCGATCGCGACAATAGCCTTTGTGTGAACTGTGCGGTGAGGTCCACTTATGCATATCATAATTCCTTTTTGAAAAGGGGGCCCTCGGCCTATTTTCGGTGGGTTATTCTATGCAACATACTAAATAATGATTCTCTGCATTAGTATGCTGTAGCAGGGGTTGCAAGTCTTATATCAATATCAGAATTAATAGTGCAATATAACTCCTGCGGGATCAGCCATTATTCGCTGTTCCAGATGGATTAAATTGACTTTTGTTATCACCGGACATATTGCCAAGGAGCATAAGTGGCGCATTTTCTAGCCTTTCAATATCGTATATCCCGTACAAATGGCTTTTCAATGTGTCAATGCATCGATGTGAAATTGAATATGTCAGACCACAGGAACAGATCCGTATACACATAAATGTCTCAATGCGGACATTAATATTGTGCACAGAACTCTGTACCTCGCCGCTGGGACATGCTCTTTAAAACCTATTTACTCGTCATACATCGAGTTCGGATCGCCAACCATCTCCACAACCAGGAACGCCATATACCCTAGAGAAGGTCGACTGCACACTTATGCAAATTATATGAAAATTGACGCATTATCCAGACTATGACGAGATATTGCGAGATATAATTCAAACGTGCAACAGACTTCATTGCAGGCGTCATCAGCAGAGCACAGTAGAAAGATTGAAGCTATGATAGATACTGCAATAAGCTCCACGAGTTCCTCCTTGAATCAGATTCAATCCAGAACTCGAGCTGTTATAGCATAACCTATAACTGGTCCAGTCTTGGAGGGGCTGGCTCTCCTGAGACCGAAGGCGTGGATATGGTAACGCAGATAGGAAGACAATCTCTTGTACCCCGATATCTTTGTTTTGTTTTTAGGTTCCTTGCTTCGAACAAGGACCAGGATGAGACAGTCGGACTGCCATTGGTGGTATTATCCCTCTTGATATCCGAGATTAGAAGTGCTGCGATTCTCCGGGGTGGGAAAAAAACCACTGACCTCGCGATGATCTCAGTTTGATAGCTGCCTTGCGGCTCCGGGCTGAACTGGTTGCGCCTCCCGGGGCCGAGGGTTTGAATCATGACTGTGCATACAGCCAGATCCATGTTGGACCGACAGGTCAGCGCTCTTCTGGTCCAATGGGTTCTGGCAAGCGAGATTATCCCCGAGCTCTACGCATTGGTTTCAGTTCATGACTCTCCTATACTGTAGGTCCCCTGTAGGTCCGTAAATGAGGATTTGCACGGGGTTCCGTGCAGATCCAGAGCGGGGATATTGGCGGAGTGTCAAGCGGAGACATGTAATGAACAGTTTCTCTGCCATTGTGTGTACATTTATTGTGTGAATATGTATAGAGTATGAAGTTAGTGGACGTAGTCTGTAAAGTATGAGATGAAGAAGGAGCAACTAAAGCCGAGAATGGGCGTGGTGGAGACTGCAAAAACCCAATTTAGATGAAATGCGCTTACGATACATGCCCGTATTGTCTTCTGCATAGAAGTATTCAAGCTTATAAGGAATTGTATGCTTGTAGTCCCACTAGACTAGTATATGCACACTCTACTTCCGGACGTAGTCCAATCTCCGTCAGAATTGGATGAATTGACGCAAGGGAGAAAGAAACTGATAGCCGCGAGAGAGGCGCGGCGGTTGTAAAATGCTTACAATGTCCGAGTCTTCGGGACTAGTGACCTTAGCACCAAAGCCGATCCCACAATTTCCCATTCCTGTTCAGAACTATCAGGAGATGTCTTATTGGTGTGTGTTTTTTTCCGGAGTGGCTCCCACCCCTGAGCCCCTAATACAATACTACATCTCCATGTATATTGTACATCAGATACATTACATGTAGATAGGTACCCATGTACTGTCAGCTTCAGTTCTGATATCAACAGAAAGAACTAAAACGCTCAGGTACCTAGACTGTACTTTGTACAGAGTACTTGTATTGAAAGTGTATTGGTCCAGGGTGGCCACTTTGAACAAAGAACACCAACATGGAATCGAAGACTAGATAGAATAGAACAGTAGAACAGAGATCAATGTCAATAGCCAAATTAATGTACCTATTTACTTCCAATTTTGCAGTAAAAGTAGGCTGATAAATGGTACCGATGTCATCGATTACCACTAGCCGGTAATACGCCTCCTCTCTCTCTCACCCCCTGTTCCTCTCCCATTCCTTCCCCCCCCCCCCCCGTATTATGATCCAAGCCTGAGGCTCTTCTCTCTCTTTTTCTTTCCTCCTCCTCTCGGCTTCACTTCCAATTGTACTTCCTGGGCGAACCGATAAAATGGCCGATATGAGCGGCGAACAAATGCAGGCCAAGATCACCGCGGCCAGGCGCGAAGCCGAGGGCTTGAAGGACAAGATCAAGCGCAGAAAGGATGAGTTGGCAGACACTTCCCGTATGTCCCCCTATCTACTGTTGTACTCAGGATGAGACAGGCAGTCTGCTCATCGCGGGATTGATGAATCATGACTGACCTTTTCACCCCCCGTTCCAGTCCGCCAAGTCGCGCAGGACCAGACTGATGCCCTACCACGAATTGGCATGAAGCCCCGACGGACGCTGAAGGGCCATCTCGCTAAGATTTACGCCATGCACTGGTCGACCGACCGCCGCCACCTCGTTTCCGCCTCGCAGGACGGAAAGCTCATCATTTGGGACGCCTACACCACAAACAAGGTCCATGCGATTCCCCTCCGCTCCTCGTGGGTCATGACCTGTGCCTACGCCCCGAGCGGCAACTACGTAGCGTGCGGTGGTCTTGACAACATCTGTTCTATCTACAACCTGTCCTCGCGCGAGGGCCCGACCCGTGTCGCGCGCGAGCTGTCCGGACACTCGGGATACCTCTCCTGCTGTCGCTTCATCAACGACCGCCGCATCATTACCTCGTCTGGTGATATGACCTGTATGCTGTGGGATATCGAGACCGGATCCAAGGTGACCGAGTTCGCCGACCACCTCGGTGATGTGATGTCGATCAGTATCAACCCAACAAACCAGAATATCTTTGTTTCCGGTGCTTGTGACGCTTTCGCTAAATTGTGGGATATCCGTACCGGCAAGGCCGTTCAGACTTTCGCTGGTCACGAGTCCGACATCAACGCTATTCAGTTCTTCCCCGATGGTAACGCCTTTGGTACCGGTTCTGACGACACTTCTTGCCGCCTGTTCGATATTCGTGCCGACCGCGAGCTTAACATCTACCAGGTAATCATTTGCTACTAAATTACGGATTCAATTGGACGGAAACTAATTTGTTTTTCTTTCCCCCCACAGAGCGACCAAGTCCTGTGCGGTATTACCTCTGTTGCCTTCTCCGTCTCTGGCCGATTACTCTTCGCAGGGTACGACGATTTCGAGTGCAAGGTATGTTGGTTTCGAGTTGTTCAATGAATCTCGCTGATGTGAATTTAGGTATGGGATGTTCTGCGCGGTGATAAGGTTGGTTCCTTGAGCGGCCACGACAACCGTGTGAGCTGCCTCGGCGTCAGCAATGACGGCATCAGCCTGTGCACTGGATCTTGGGACTCCCTCGTAAGTTTCATCTGCCATTACTCAAGAATGATATGAATTACCGCTAACCATCCTCCTCTCTACAGCTCAAGGTTTGGGCCTGGTAAACCAAAAACAAAACGCAAGATACCCCGTGTCGATCATTCTGCAATGCTATTCTTCGACTTTTTACTTGATGGCTCGAATGTCGCCATACGATAATAATCAATTGGGGACTCCCTTGGGACACCCACACGCTCGGCGCAGACATCGGTTGCGATACGGAAGAGGTGGAGGCGCCTTCGGAACCTGTCCCGGGCGAACAAACGATAGCGATGACACAATATTTGTTTGGATATGACGAGAGCGCGAGCTGGGCTGCCGGTTGTACAGTGAGATGGTGTCTGATGCTTCCGTGACCTGGTTTCTCGATTTCTCGATTTCTCGATGCCCTTTCCCCCTTCTTTTTCTTGAATTTCTCTATCCCCCCTTCGGTTCACCTTTTATTCTCTTCTTGTTCTGGGTTGCCTCATCGGTCTCGGCATGTATTCTCTTGGCGAAGGCAAAGGAGGACCTGGTTGCTGGATTTTGGCCATTTGTCGCTGATCTGCCTGTGTCGATTCCCTTCCCTTCTCCTTTCCCATTTCTTTTTTAACCTTATTCACCCCCCCCCCCCCCCCCCTTATTTTTCCCTCTGTTTTATCCCTCGTAAAGAAAGAGTTTGCTGTACTTACTGTCTCTTGCGTTGGAATCTCTTGTCTCTGGGATTCGTCGGTGTCGGATTTTCTTTATGGTTCGAGCAGCTCCAATTTCCATTAGTTCACTTTTTTTGCTTCTTTCCCGACGGGAGGTGATGGTATGCAGCATGTTTCTGTCTGGCTTTGGTTTGCGAGCGTGGCGTGAGCATCAGATCGGGCATGCATACACGGTCTTGATCTTCGGTTGGACAGTAGACCGTACATAACAGAGTAGAGAGTTGTAGTATGGGTTTGTGTCTGTCCATTGAGTGTCAGTCATGTGAGGCCAAGTGGAAAATTGTACACGTAGACTCACAACCCTAACACGTGCATAGTCACGGGAAGTTAGAAGTATAGACCTCAACCATGAACACATCAAACAACCTACCACCTGAACAAGCCCCCTCCCGCCCCCCTTTGCCAACACAAAGGCAACAGTTGAAAACACACAGTCCCGTCTCACAAACAGAGAAACAACATTAACCACGGATCAACTCTGGAGACTTAAATATGAACTCGCAACAGCATCTCCACGTGAGTGATATGACTTACCACTCTTCTCGGCTAACATGAGATAGCTCACATGCCGAAGAAAGATGACCCTTGAATAGAGACTTGAATCGGAGTGGAACATGAAACAAAGTACGTCAGAGTCCCCATGAACACGTCGAGGACAAATTCTAAGGAGGATAATATCCCGCATCCTGGAAGAACCGGGAGAGACACTGGTATTAGTATTAGTATTAATAGAAGTGGGAACGGAAACAACCAGGAAATCTAAGAAGTCAACCAGACATCTGAAAGTGTAGAGCGAGACTATAGCCACGAACCCCTTCTATACGAAGTATACGAACGTCCTGCCCTACAACTTACTCCGTGGTTCCAAGTATCAGACTGGAACTATAACCTAAAAACAACAAGCAAACCCCCTCGAACCAGTCCCTGCCCGTACCCAGCCTGTAAACACAGTCAACCAATCTCAAATCCTGAAAGATCAAAACCAATCAAGCCCCACAGCAACAGATCAGCACAAGAGAATGGGGACTGAAACGGCGTCTCCTCAAAACAGCATCACCGCCGGCGCTCTGCCAATAGCCAACAGGCTAGACGCCAATTCGCTCGGCACGTCGGACACTGGCCGTGCCGTACCATACACCCTATTCTAGAAGTGGGAAACTTGGTGCACGTCAACGTGGAGAAGATAGATCATCCTAGGGGCACTGCTATTTCGGAAAAGTGCCGCGTGAGGAAGCGAAGGATCTCTCTAGACCGTTTGCTGCATTGGGATTGATTGGCATCTATACGTTGAATACGAGTTTGATCGACGGATACGTTCGGCTTGTTGCCGCCGAGGGTGTGCTGCTGAAACGTGAGGCTTGGGATTGTCGATGCTATACTTTATACTTACGATACTACCTTATTGTTGAATGGTAGTATTTTCGAGGAATCAGCTATTGTGTAGAATGTACATATCAACAGAACACAGCCACACTATAAATAAAGAAAGAAAGAACATTCTTCGGGTGTTCGGGAGTCTGAAACGCAAAAAGGGGCTGCCCGTTTCATGACGATCTCTGCCTACCACAGCCCCATCTCCGTTTCAGGGGGAACCCGTTCACACATCCTTGTAACTCCAGACTCAGCACCCCAGGTTTAAATCCATCCCATATCCCTCGCATTCGCCATGTCCGCCCAGGACGAATTCAACCAGCTGGTGAACAGCAACCATTCCCGCTTCGCTACCCACCCCGAAGACCACCATAACTCGGACTCAGACGAAGCCCTCTACTCAGACGAGGAAAGCAGCCGCAAAAACCTCCGCAACCGCACAATCCACGACTCCTCCGACGAGGACGATCTCTCAGACGACAACATGGTCTCGTCCCGCACGGCGAACTACCAAGTACCCAATACGGTCTACGATGCGAACACCGGGCCGAAGGGTGTCATTGCCGATGCGCAGGCATTCGAGCGCGCAAGGAAGAAGTCTTTCCGTCGGACGCTGCTTAATGCTGCGGGCTTTGATGGTAACGGGGCTTCGTTCGCTGCGAAGACGCGTGATGACTCGCCGCATGCCGAGTCCGGTTCGGCTAGTGATGATGACGATGAGGCGCGGTTCTTGAGGAAGTGGAGGCAGTCACGGATGCAGGAGCTGCAGGGCCGTGGACATCGGAGATTGAGTCCTCGTGGGCGGCGCTTTGGGTCGGTTGAGAATGTTGATGCTGTCGGGTATCTTGATGCTATTGAGAAGGTCACATCGGAGACTGTAGTTGTTGTTTGCATTTATGATCATCAGGTATGTTTCTGCGTTATTGTTCCCGAGCCTCGGGTCTACTCTACGGTATCGTACACGTGGGGAAAGGAGGAGGCTGTGATCTATCACATTTGGATTGACTTTGGCGGACTATGCTAACTGTTTTGTTCAGTCGGATGACAGCGCCATCGTTGAAGAATGCCTCGTTACTATCGCCCGCAGGCAACCCACTACCCGTTTCGTCAAGTTGCACCAGGATATCGCTGAGATGGATCACATCAAAGCCCCTGCTATCCTAGCCTACCGCGGTGGCGACGTCTTCGCTACCATTGTCGATGTCCTGCGCAGTATCCCGCGTGGCCGGAGCTGCAGTGCTGATAGTCTTGAAGACCTCCTGAAGCTGTATGTTCATTGTTGATCCCATCCCATTCCAAATACACTATACTGACATGTTCCAGAAACCGCGTGCTATGATCTCTCTTTCTCTTTATTCTAGTCACCACTCTTTGACTGCGTGGTAACGAGGCGCCATGGCTGTCCGGGTGGTCTTTTTTGCAGGACCGGTCTTGTTTTTTTCTCTCTCATCTCCTTTTCATCTTTTGCTCGCTCTCCCTACACGCCTCTTTCACCCCCCCCTGTCTCTCTCTATCTCTCTATCTCCTCTTTGTCTCACATCCTTGATGGATACACTAGTTGCACTAGATGCACTAGCTGCATAGTAAAAAAAAAAAAAAAAAAGAAACGTGGGTCTTGATGTCGGCGTTGATCACTAGAAGGGGTGGACTCGGTTGGCCGATGGTCTGGATACTATTATGTCGCATTGGACATGGGACATGGCTGCTTCTGCTTTCTCTTCTTCCTTGTCTGATACTTTTAGCTTACTTTGTTACTGTTACTGTTACTGCTCGGGGCTGGACTCGATTTGTTGTTGGTTTAGATATCCCATGTTTGTCATTTCTGAAACGAAGTCTTTCCTATTCAGTTATTCTATTCTTCTACCCTGGTAATGTAGCATCTCTACTCACATACCTTGATTGACTTCGATCCAGTCTAGTAGCCAGGGATCCAAAGATGTGGAAGACATATCCTACCTCCACCGTGTTGATTTGGGGAGGGAATGATTTTTATCCCTTCTAGGCTCCATACAAGCATACTCAGATCCCAACTTCTCACAAAGAAACGTAGCGGAGATCAAGTGTTATCAAGATTGGTATCAGATCCATACTATCCAGCGAGCAGCAGAAAAGTCCAAGCAGAGGCAAGAAGCAGAAAGAAAAAGAGAACAAAGAGAGCCATCCAATTTCCTTCGACGGTCCGCTAACTCCCCGGGGTGTGCGTGTCAAAAGACAAGAAAACGAAAGAAAGAGAAGAACAAGGGATAGAAAGAAGCATGCGAACTAATAAAAAACGGGACGGGACATATCGTGTCGTATAGACACAGTGGAGAGACGAGACAAACAGATGAAGAAGGGTGTAGGCAAAAGAAGAAACAGGAGAAGAATCGAATTGTTCACCCCCTCCTGATTACGTCCTGTCCTTCTTTTCCTCTTGGCTCGATGTTAGGCCCTTAGAGGGCTCCGCGCTCCGCTGTGAAATCCCAAAGCATCTTGATCAGTGCGTCTGGGAGGGTATAGAGGTCGACATGGAATTCTCCGACTGTACAAAGATTGTGAGCAGGAGGTCATTTAGGAAGTAGACGAAGAAAAGTGACTTTTCGTCAAGTTCACGGGGTTCACTTACGCTCAACGTCGTTCTTTGTGTATGAATCTGCAGCCTTGTGGTCATGCACCATCTGCACAACCTGCAGGAGATCATCCTCATTGAGCTTCTGGAGTCCCTCGGCAAGCTTGTCCATATCGACCTGGTGATACTGGTCAGCCTCACAGCCAAGCACAACGCAGTCTGGGCAAACTTACATTCTTTTCCGTGCGGCTGCGCTTCTTCTTGGCGCTCTCCTCACCAGCAAGAGGACGCTTCGACTTCACTCCGTTCTCGTCGCCGGGGACAGGTCCCGACTCGCGGAGAACGGCCATCAGAGGCGGCTTGGGGTTCTTGAAAGTCTATATCAAACAAATTGTCACGGGTCAGAGCACAATACTTTTCTAACCGTATCTCCATTCTGATATAGACTGATACTCACTATAACATGCTTGGATTCGTAGCGGGTCTGGGCGAAGTTCAGGTCATGGGCAATGGTATAAGACTTGTCAGCGGTGAGCTCGATGGACATGTCGAATTCACCCCATCCTTCCTCGGCAATACGGAAAGGAGGGTTTCTAAAGGCTATTGAAGTAAAAGGTGAGGGCGTCAGCATATGATCCTGCAAGCACAAATCGATAGACTGCTTCGCCGTTGGGCATCATAGGCAAAGCACAGCCAACTGCGCAGCTGGTCAATTAGGATTATAACGTACTCTGGGTTGCGCGTTCGCCGAAACTTGGGTGCAGGTGGAAGGTCACCTTGTCGAAGACAGTGGCCGGAACCAGCTCGCCCTTGTCGTTGACGAGCCAGACCTCAATGTGCCACGAACGCTGCGGAAAGCCCTCGACCTCCGATGGCTTGTCACTATCGAGAGGGAAGACCCACGTTAGCTGGTGCTTTGACTAGATGCTTTGTATGTGTAGGTGTTCGTAGGCGGAGGTGGAGGTGGAGGTGGAGGAAGGCGATTTTTAGGCAACGGAGATGGAGGACGGTGGTGTCCGTTCATGCGCGCATTGCCTTTTCATGTTCGTTTGTCATGAGGCCCAGGAGCAGAGCCCCCAAGACTAGAGAGCGAAGCGTGGGAAGGCGCGCGTGGTCGGGGCAGGAAGGGAGGGGAGGCCATGTACATGATGTGCTGCTCAGTGATGAGACGAACGGTGCGCTTGACCTAATGCATCGATGAATGAGTTAGCTAGAGCTCGATTGGGCCAAAGCTGGGAGGTTTCCAGAGGCAACGGTGTGAGCCCTGCAAGCAGAGCTCGCGGTGACAATCCCAGTCCTGTAGTCACTTCGCTGAGGAAGGGGGAGTGACTCACGTCAGGCATTTTTGGAAGCAAAAGTGAAAGCGACTCGGCTTTCAGATTCTAATCTAGATCTTCGGGTGAAAGACGTTGCAAGGATGTAACTGTCGGAGAACAGTTTGCGCGGGTTAGTGTCGGTCTCCACGCGCGAGTGCCGGAGCAAATATTTTGGGCGTGCAAAGTAGGGCAGAATGAACGTCTTCGAGTCAACTAGGCGGTGGCTCTAATATATAGACGCCAATGGATTCGTGGTGGTTGTTGCAGATTGGAGGGGAAACGTGTAGGTGAAGTCGGCGAGGGTCCATGTTTGTCTCCCCATTTCTATGAACTCGACACTATTCACGCCGTCCCAAATTGACATTGATATACGTTCATACATTGTATTCACTGCATCTATGTCGCAAGATCCACGGTGTACGAATATGCGAATTTACGAACTATCGTCATTTTCGATCTGAAACATCCGAAAGATGGATCTTGTGGTTCCTTGAGAGAGGCACCAGCACCAGTACATTTTTATATACATGAGACGGCTATAAAAGTGTTCTGTATGTGCGGTGTTCCTTACTACAGCCTATACTTCCGTTTACACCATGGTCTATATAGTATGGTTACAGTCCGTGAACCACGAAGGATAAATGGTCATCCGGATCTCAACCTCACATCGCAAAGCCGAATCCGGATTCAGACCAGAGCAGTCCGTTCAACCGAAAGGAATTGAAGGTTCTTGCGTTCCCTACACCTGTGCAACTGGGCTACTTGCACATTCATTGAAGTACTGTTTATCACGGCGCATGGGCAAATGGTAAGTCGTAAATTACTTATATCAGGGTATGGTGATGTGCAGGGTGTATATTCGATGGGGAGATGTCTATCTACTGCTTAACTGCGAACCACCGATGTCAGGGAACTGCCCTCCATTTCGTAGACTGCATGGCTCACGGTAGCATGCGAGGAGCATCTTCATAACTGCTGCCTCGCCTCGTCGCGTCGTAGGGATCGGGGGTTTATTGGAATGGAATTGAAAGGGATGGGGTGACGGTTGAAACGATTTGAAAGGGGGCGAGAATGGGGGAGTTGTTTTTTTCGAGAGCAAGCTCCTGAACGTTGCATACAGACAAAGGTCATGCATGCCCAGTGCAGAATGGTTGTGTGTCTCTACACTTTCTCGAGAAATCAGCAATGAAAAAGGGAGCCGTTTACTCCTGAGCGGCGAAGAGCTTCTCGTTCTCCTGCTGGGCCTTCTCGAAGGCCTCCTTGAAGGCATTGGCGTCTAAAAACGGTTAGAATGGCTCGTTCCAGATCGAAGACGATTCACTCACTCTCGCTGTTGGCGAAACGGATGGCCAGGGTCTGAGCTTCGGGCTCACCCTCGGAGACATCGGCGGCGGCATTCCAGACCCAGCTGCGGTCACTGCCGACGTTGGCACTGAGCTTCATGTCGGGGACGACTGGTAGCATGTGTTAGCTGCAACTCGCAAATATCCACTTGCAGATAGACTCACTGTAGTGGTTGGCGCAGACCTTCAAGGTCTTGTCACGGCGCATGACGAGACGGGTCTTGTGGTTCTCCTTGTGCTTGAGCAGACGGACGTCACCGGTACCACGCTCCTTCCACTCCTTAGACTCGCGGTCGAACTTGAAGAGCTTGGCGCGCATCTTGAAGGCCTGCTCCTCAAGCTCCTCGTTGGTCTTGGTCTCGACCTTCTCGGTAAGGTGGATCACGGGCTCAAAGTGGACATCAGGGGACTCCTCGACAGTCTCCTCCTACATAGAAATACCGACATTAGCACAAGCGCGGCGAAAATTAAGCATCACTGGTATGGTATGGCATGGCTGCGACGACCCCACTATCTGGGGAAAGGGGCACAGAAACCCCGCTCCCATCGTGTACGCGTCCAGCAATAATCCAGCCATACTAGTATCTCAGGTACATCACACTCACCTCGTCCTCGGCCTTCTTGGCCTTGGAAGAGCCAGAGGGCTCATCGGCATCGTCGACCTCTTCCTTCTTCTCCTTCTTGGGGCCGCCACCGAACATGGAGAACACGCTGTCAGTGGTCTTCACAGCGGCATCCTTGGCAGTGTCGGCTGCCTCCTTTGCGGTCTCGGTAGCAGCCTCGGTGACGGACTTCTCACCCTCGCCGGTGGTAGTCTCCTCGGGCTTCTTGTCCTCAGGAGCGGCGGTGGTGGGGTCGGGCTTAGTCTCAGCGACGTCAGACATGGTGACTGAAGGGTTCCAGAAATTCGGTTAAAAAGATGAAAGAGGGACGAGATGGCTGAGTTCCACGTAGGTAAGAGTGGAATACAGGAAGAAAATTGGGAGTGTTTGTTGATCAGAGCGGCGATGAGGGGGGAAAAATTAATAGTTTGGGTGCCAGGCAGAACCCGCCACCGCCTTCGTCTTAGGTTTTGTATATGCAAACCTCCGGAAGCATGAAGACACATTGTTTCTATGATAGATTTCAGTGAAGCTACGTAAATAGCATAAAGCATAGTATTGCGCTAGAAGAACTCGCGTGAGCTGATGCCCAGTCCTGTTACCCCACTAAACCTAATCGCCGTAAACAAACCCATCCGCCAAGTCATAAAGCAAGTACAAAACAAAAAGAGACATCATTCATCATTTCTAACGAGAGAGGATTGAATCCTCTTGCTTGCCCGAATCAAGGCCCAGGACATGGCGCGCACGCGACTGAGCCCGATCCAGCGCTTCGCATTTGCGAGCACTGCGCACCCGATCCATCATACTGCGGAGGTCAACCTTCGCAGCTGAGTTTCCAATGCGACTCCATGCATCATGCACAAGCTCCTTAACCTCCTTGTTCACGCGACTCGAGCGAAGTTGCAGCACAGAAGAAGCAGTCCGGAATCGCTGAAGGGCGTTGCGGGTGAATACCTCGGAAATCTGCTTCGACCGTGAGAGGACTGTGTCGCGCGCACTGAGGCTATCACGACGTAGAATATCGGCGTCGCGACGTAAGATATGCGTTCTCTTCACTACATCGCCCACGACCAACTGCAAGTCGGTGGAAAATCGGCCGTACACCTCGGTGAGGCCAGTTTGAGCCATCTGCAGGTCCTTCGTAAACTGCACAGAAATTCCTTGCGCGGCGCTCTTCCAACTTGCAATCTTGAGCCATGGTGTTCCAAAGTCGACGGCCATACTCTGGTTGATTGGTGATTTTGACTGGGCCGTGATTGTCACGTCGATTAAACCGTATGCATTCTCCCGGTCCAACTTAAGCATGTAGACCCCCTCGAACAATTGTGATAGCTCGTATGGAAGATCTTTGCTTTGCCTTTGAACGCTCACAATGAAGTGAGGCAGTTTCTTGGAGGTTGTAAGCTTAGAAGGTGGCTTGATGATGACATGGCAGTCTCCCACAGCCTGGATCTCAAATTCGTCCGTATTCGTTGATCCCGAGACAGAAATAGAAGGTACCGTGATCTCTCCGGGGATTGATACCCCCGCAAGAGGGACATGTGAGATCTGTACAGAAGATGATGGCTGTATCGAGTGTGAAGTCTGACTTACTCTATCGAGAGACAGAATGGAGGATGAGGTTATTTGAGATGCCACAGGAGCGAATGCATTGGAGAGAGTCGATCCAGCAAGGCACTGTGTCAGAAAAATGACTATTACCTTCATAGCAGCGTAACCGATAGAGAGGGCAATGCCTGAAATGAGAGTCAAAGCGACTAGACGTAGTGTTGGTGCCCATTCACGAACCCGAGCGGCATAGGAAGATGGAAGCCAGCTTTCAAGATATTTCTCATGACCGGGAAAGAATTGTGTTTGGAAAGAGTCGGAGGTCTCAGCAGTGAACTTATGTGCCTTCTTAGGGTAATGACGGACGAGCGATGCCAAGTTTCGGTTGAGCTGCCCAGGTGTGATGCTCTCGAAAGTCTTCAAATCGATTGGATACCGTCGAAGAACTGCAGTTTCTCCCGACTCTGGATGCCGAGATTCCAAGCAAGTGTGCAAACTGTTGTGATTGAGAGGGATTGTTTCCCCAGCCATGTTCCACAATGGCTCCTCTGAAATCATCATTGCCGGGATTCCATGGCGTTCGAGGAAGGCGTGAGTAAGATACTGGGTACTGATGGCCTTTGCATCATCGCGGCCCGAGACAAAGATAATTGCTACGTCTGGGAGAGTCCAATCTGAGGCTGAGGACACACGGTAATCCGAGCCATTCCATGCTGAAGTGCAAACCGGGCGGTTCTTGAACTTCAGGCTCAGGGTATTTGGTCGGTCCACACTGGGATCAACTGTGGCTTCCACGCATTCATCAACCACCAACTGAACATGGATCGGGAGGAGCTCAGCAAAATTTGGAACAGCCCCTGCACCAAAGGAAGTTGGCACAACGTGGTATCGGGAAGACTCAGCAGAGCTGGTCTCCGAACTGGAGCATGAGCTTGATACTAGAACATCGCCGATCTTATCGAGAATGATATTTCGGAACTCGGGCTGTCCAATGTAAAGCACACGGAAGGGCTTGTCCAGGTCGAGACTCTGTTTGGTCATCGTCTGCTGGACAGTAGCCATGAGTATGGAATCGGTTGAGTTAAAGGGCAACCGACTCTTCAACTCTTCGGCTGCAGCCCCATCAAAGATGCGGATGGTATGTTTGAGTTCCACTCTCTCGATCTCGGGCCACTTTTCGGGCTCCACAAATTCGATCGAGTCACTGGAGTTGGAGAAGGTCGGTTTGGTAGTTGTGGTGCTATCATCGATTGTGCTCCTTCTGAACGGAAAAAGAGTCGGCAAGTGCTGAGAACCCGAGGCACTGCACGGGACTTCATCTCCTATTATTCCATCATCTTCCTGGTTGTCTTCGTCCTGCACCTCGGCCTCGCTGCTGCTGTAGCGTTCATCAAGGCTTGCAACGTCGTCGGGGGTGGTCTGGTCGATGAGGGAGCATGTATCAGTCTGCTCGGAGTGACTGCCATCCTCCGAGTGTATATCAGAAACACTCAAAGTGGCCCAGCTATCACTCAAGGTATTTGGCGGATGTTCGGAAGCTCGTTCTGACGTCATATTGGTAGGTCGTGAGCGAATAACCCACTCCTCCACGGAGGCAGTCAGCGGAGGGAAAGTCGGATATTGCAGGTGAGAAGCAATCTGGGCACTGGTGAGATGTCGTCGAGGCGACGACTCTGGAGTGTCAGTCATATCTGCGTAGTAGGCAACTTCATAGAGCGGGCAAGCGGCGGGAACAGGAGCTTGGGGGATCTCTCAAATCGGAGAGATAAAAGACGAAGTCAAGAATAGCAGAGTTAGAAGGCAGAAAAACGGAGCAACACAGAAGGAAAGGTTGGAAGATACTAGATAGAGTCCCAGAGCCAAATAGAGTGATAAGCAGGTGGGTCTGCGGGGAGCCCGATGGTCAGGTGCGTATCTGACTCAGGCAGCGACGTGAGGGATATTTTCTCCAAACTATGAGTTCTTCAAAGAGAATAGAAAGTGGTGTAGCATGATGGAACTGAAAGAGTTATCACGGCAGATGAGGGGTGTCGCGATAAGAGTGGATGACCCGAATGACAGTCATGGCGGGGTTGTACTGGGTACCTGGGTAGCCATGGTAATTGCGGCTTGGGGGAAGTACCGGTACAACCATGTTTGCTTGTCAACAGCCAACCTGCATGGATCTCCATGTGGTTTTTATTTGCCCCTCTCAGCCCCAAATATAGACCAAGTGGTATCAAAGTGTATACTCTGGAAATACCTTTGAATACGTGTACCGAATAGCATGAATATTTACTGTAAGCCAACGCTCAAGTATCAGCAACTTGGTTGTATACTGCGGGTAGGATCCACTAGCCCCACTATACCTTAAAATCGGACTACACGCGAATGCTTGCCTTGAATAGCAGAATGGGTTTGTTCTATAGAAATGCAACTACTGATTTTCACGTGGGTTCCTGGATGGCTCGTGGGAGCTATCTAGACAACGAATCCCAATTTGATAACACACGTAACAAATATCAAAGTCCCCTTCACAGCAAGAATAACAGTGGTAGAAACCCTCAGCTCCAGGGATTGAAGTACAGCAGACATCGCACCACTTCGCGACAACCTTCTTCGACTGCTTATTCGACTTTTCAATGGAAGTGGGACCAGTGGAAGTAGCGGAAACCCCCTGCAATGCTTCCATAACATCGTGCCTTCCCTGTAGCGTGGCATCGTACAAGGCAGTACGGCCAAAATTGTCTTGAATATTACAGTCGATACCATGGATAGTTAACAAGGCGCGACATATCTCTACAGCACCCAGTATTGCTGCAGCATGTAACGCTGATCCCTGTGTTCGATATTGCACCCCCAACGCAGCAAGATATTAATGCTCGACTTTTTCGTCGTGGTGGCCTCAGAAGATGCCCGCGTAGCCACAGAATGGATCTTTATCAACTGCCCTTTCAAGTTCATGGATATTTGAGCAAGCAAGCATATCTCCAACGTCAAAAATCGACAAGTATTTCAGAGATATAGTTCCAATGTCATGATGGGCAGTTGGAAACCATGTGGTGGTGTCGCTCAAAATATTCTTGCGTTCTATGATGGACCAGCCGAATGATTTCGCTTTTCTTATCAACCGTAACGAGACCCGCGCATACTGAAACCATATCGATGATGTCCGGCATGTTATCTCTGTCAAATTTAGACTCATCAACCTCGACAGCAAGAGCGATCTGAAGTTCAGTTGTAGTAAGTTGTCTTTTGGCGCAAGTCATCCACGACAGCACCTGCAGAGCCACCTCGACCTGATCCGGAAGCCGTGCTTGGATTCGCTGCATGGCATCATCCTTCGATCCTTCTTCCTTATTCCCTGTTCTCCGCCCCGCTACCTAGCGCCGGGGTGTCGAGACGAGTGATGCCTGAAATCTCTACCATGGGGGTGGTGGACTGCGTATTTAGCCAATGACGTGCTTGGTGGTATCATGCCTCCCCAACCGCAATGCATTCTCTGGCTTAACTCTTTCCGCGGGGATGCATCCAACAAAATCTTGAGGTTGATCTATGGAATGAATATAATCTGCTTACGGTCTTTGTTTCGTAAATAATTCATGTATTGGTAGTGTAGATGCTCGGCCCTTGATAGTGGGTCGAATAATTGGCAGGATCAAAGTGATATGTGCAGTTAAGCTAGAAAGTAGGAAAGTAGTTCATACATACAATGATTCACCAGGATTCATAGGGTTTATGCCAACATACAAAACCTAAATCGAATACTTTCCTATCAGTACCACAAAGTGTATGTGTAGTGCGAACATATATTAGGCCCTCTACCCCCCGTCCATGCCTTTCCTAATTCACGAAACGTTCTATGCTCTGCCCTTCTGGATTGTCATTTTCATGACCAGTTTGTCATTGTCATGTATATATGAGAAGGCCAGTAATGCCAGAATTAAATAACTAAATTATACTTTAGACAACACAAGAGAAATAGACCGAAGAATCAAAGTGCATTATACTGATATCATTCTTCACGTAATTCACCGGGTGATTATTCCATACTCTATAGACAACCATGCTCGATCTGGTATTTGCGAGATTTAGGGGGAAGGGAGGGGGGCAATGCGAGAAAACAATCCGGGGATGTAGGCCACGGTGGACGAGAAAAGGGAAAGGTATGTACATTTCATAAATGCATGCTGGACGACAACCACAAAGCCTGATTATGGTATCGAGGGGAAGAAGGGGAAAGACTCGAGGTGGTCGATGAGGTAAAGGTTGGTTAAGAGACAAGCTGTCGATATAGACGGTGGGAGTTGCTTTGAGTTCCCGCCACTATACCGGTTGTCTCTTACCACCGCGATAAAACTGTTTGCTTGGTGACCGGACGGCAGAACTGTGCTTCCAATTCTGATGAAGCAGAAGACAGAGGACTTGCCACCAGAAGAATGACAGAGGATGCCGCGGAGCACACCAATGGAACCGAAACACTATCATGGCAGGACCATTCAAGATAATCTCGAATATTCCCAAGACACCAGTACTCACGGTGAAAAGCCGCATTCTTTCCAGAAACCACAGGTAAATCACACAGCTAACCGCGGTAGCCCAGCATGTTAGATGAATATGTTAACAGGGATGATGGAGATGCCATGCCATCTTCCGAATGAAAAGCTGTCAGATCCATTGAACGCCACCCAAAAAGGAAACCCCATGGCCAGCGTAACATGCAGGCTCCAGCATTAAACTCCCAAGGGCGAACCCAAGTGATGCTCATGGCCGACTAAACAGACAGGGAAAGGAAACGGGAAATGCGGCGAGCACTGAGCATCAAAGCATGGGCATCATCTATGGTGAAGCCCAGCCGCCAGCGACGTCAACCCATTCATTGAGACAACTGCCCTGCTTGCCTTCGACATCGACAATGTCAGTGTCACAACGGCACCGGCAGCCGACACCGTTCTCCTTGACCTGGTCAGGGGCGGCCCAGTATTCATCCTCCTCGATGCGCTTCTTTTCATCATCCGTGGTCTTCTCGAGGTAGGGGATACGGGGCAATTGACGGGCCGGGGCGTTGGCTGGGCAATGCTGGATGGTGGTGTGGCGGTAACCAAAGTCACGGAAGTAGTGGATGTCACTAGGCGCAAGAAGGGCACCGGCGGCGAGAGAGTGGATAGGCGCATCACCCCACTAAAACAATTAGTACCAACCTCAACACGTGTTCAAAGAATGGACATACCCGTTCGTTCCAGAATCCACCACTCCTGTCCATCATGGTAAAGAAGTCCTCGTATTCCTTGCTTCGGAACCAATCCAGACGAGCGATCTCGAAGTTACTCCAGAAGTGGCACATGTTGTAGCTCTCGCCTTCCATGGCCTCTGGGTCGACGTCCTTCAGGTTGTTGTCACCGGGATCGGTTTGAAGGATTTCGTCGGGCAGCTTGTCCTGCTGCTTCTCTTCGGGGGGAGTTTCGGGCTTGGGCTCCAAGAACATCTCCCAGAGACCCTTGGACTTGAGGTTGTTCTTGCGCTTGTAAGCAGCGGCGTATCGGAAGATGTTCGGGACGGTCTCTCGGAGCTCCTTCACTGCAATAGTGAATCCGTAGGTCTTGTTGGCTTTGGCCATCTCGAGGAAGGGGTCACTAGTCGAGGGTAAGTAAATTGACATGTATCAAGCGGAATAGGCGTCTTACTAGGTGATGTCACAGAAGTACTTGATCTCGGGCTCCAAACGCCAGTACCACTCATACTTCATCAGGAGAGGGTGCTTGTAGAAGTGTCTGTCACACAGTTAGCGCCATCGCTCGGTCCTAAAAATTGTCGGATACTGACCCTGAGTAAAATCTGCACATGTGGTGATAGCTTTCCATGCCACCGTACATGATAGCGGCATCGCCTTGCTTCCGGATACCTTCCTTGGCGACCTCATGGTCCACCCAGTCAGGGAATCCCCACATGCTGTTATCGATCTTGCCGAATTCCACAGGTGCGCTGGTGTAGTTCTTAACCGTGGCAATGAACTCATCGTCGAAGTCACCGTCGTTCAAGAAGACATAGGGGTAATGCCACCAGCGGTTGAAGTGTCGCTCAATTGACTTAAGAGATTGAATAACACCATCCAGCTCCTTGTTTCTGGCAAGGACAACAAAAGCGGCATTGGCGCGGGGAGCCTTCTCGATTTCGGGAGGGTCGATAGGCATACAGCCGGTAGCGAATACTTTATCATGCTTTTCGCTAATTTTTCTATAGAGACAGCAAGTTAGCCACCGCGCGAGGGTTCGGAGATGGATATAGACAAACCGGATAGAAGGCGGAGTGCCCGCTGGAATTAGGATCCCCCCGGAGACGAAGGATGACGGACGAAAAGAAGCAAAATAAGAACAATTACAAGGCATGGAAATAGTAAAACAAAGCCCAGGGGTATAGAAATAGATGAGTTACCCTTCAGGCGGATCCGCCGCCGGAAAAAGGCGAATCTGGGATGATGGAGGCGGCCTTTCTCATGAGAGGCATCTTCCAACGGCAGACTCGGCGCGCTAGGCAGCCGTTTCGTGATTCGTTGAATGAAACTCATGGGTACGATTGTGGGAGGACCCCCAAATATGGTAGAGGTCAGCTATCAGACCCAAGCGACAGCACGGGGCCGTAAGGGAGATCGTGGAGAAATCGTGTCGGGAGTCAAGAGACAAGGGATGAAGTCTCTTGGGTAGAGTAGATGGCGAGATCGAAGTCGGGCCGTTTGGCTCACGGGACGATCCGTAGACAGGATCGTGATCTCGAGAGAAAATGGAGAAAATGACAGCAAAACGAGTGGCCGGAGGAATGCCTCCTTTCCTCCCCCAACTTTCTCAGTCCCGTATACAAATGGGGAGAGCGCTGGGAGCAACGCAAACAACTGTAAGCAGGGTACACAGTAAAGGGGTTGACATCAACAAGGATGGGATGAGGAAGGGAAAGAGAGAGAGAGTCGGGGATGGGGATGGGTTGGAACTTTGCCAAGACCAGGGAGGCGCAAGCGTGGCCGTCACCCTGAGACGGTCTTTTTGCCCCTGGGTAGTGCGTGGTGGCGTTGACCCAAGTATGGTATGGTAATCTATTCCGCTTCTGATATTTGGACATGGCAGAATAATTCCATTTCTGCAGTAACTAGTGATAGTTGATGTGTGGCGCTATGTACAGTATACGAGATTTATTTAGGGTCTATGATATGAGGAATACCTTAACCTCAGATATCAGTGCGATTCGGTCCCATCCAGAATATGCTTGTGTTTGTGTACTCTCCTATGTACAACTGTGCCTTAATGAAAAAAACGTATCTGAGTTCCACTTGATCCACCAAGCCCTACGCTGTAACTGAATGCTCAACCCTGAATACCAACCAGGGCATAGGCGTTGGCAAGCAACCAGTTTATACACATTTGACTAAATTACCAAGAATAGCCCGTATAGCTAAATGGGCAAAGGTCATTTTCCCCCATACCTTACACAACGCCTGTCTTACATGTCGAAGCTGCTCCTTGGCATATGTAGATCCAAGGGTTCCAAACCCTTCGCCGTTGTAGGGCCGAAAATAGCCCCAACGGACTATAGACCCTATTAACTTACACTTACTCTTACTTGACTTACAGTACACTGTGGCCTCTCACAATGTAGATCACAGGTACCTGGTACCTGCATGTCCATGACTGCAAGGGTGTCCGTGCAGGTACCCAGTACCCAGGGTCCTGCTAATTTCACTAGTATTTGGTAATTTTAATTTCCGACGTTCGAGGCCTCAACTAGAGAGTCTGGACTGTTTTTTGAGACGGGTTGATAGCGATCAACGCTTGGATTGATCAGGAGAGTATAGGGGTCGCGTGGGTACGGCTACCGATTGAAAACCACTCTAGTACTCTGTACTGTGCATACTGCATACTTTTACATTAGTCTGTAAGTTGAACATGCAACATAAAGTACTCCGTCGCATGTAGATCAGACCCTGACCAAAAGGCTTGGTTCAGGCCAAGACTCCGTCATCCCTCTCTCCGCATGACGCTGTTTATGGAAAAGCATCCCCTTTTCCAGTCTTCCTAGGCTTCCCCTCTTCAACCTACCTATCACTATGAATACGGCGCTTACGAGGCCCTCTGTCTCCGAGGGGAGAACCCCAATCATCAAGGTCCCGGATCCCCGCCCCTCATCTCACCTTCTCGCGGGGCCTCGCGCCAGCAGGGGGAATCTGGATCCTTTTTCGCCAGTGAACGAGAATGGGAGCTTCGAATTCGACCGCGTGGTGAAGACAGGAAGGGTCCAGCGCCGAGTCAAGCACAAACACGTCTTCCGCGCCTCTTGGAAACCAGCCTACCTCGTCCTCCGACCGAACCTCCTGTCCGTCTACAAGGATGAAGAAACCACCCGCCTACGAGTCTCAATCCCCCTATCCGAAGTGACCGCCGTCACTCCCGTCAAGTCAGCGCGCTCCACCCGGAAACACGTCTTCGGCGTCTTCACCCCTGCCACCAACTACCGTTTCGAAGCGCCGACACAGCGCGATTCTGAGGACTGGATCCAACGCATCCGCGCCGAGACCCCGGGAAACGAGGACGAGCAAGCTTTCCTAGCCTTGACCAACCGCCGCGCACCTCCGGTCATCCAAAAGCAGCTCGTCGACGAGACAACCGACCAGTCTGACTTCGACCTCGCCGGTCGCGCCAGCTCCCCCGAACCACGCCACACCCGGTCAACACGGAGCCATGCCCCGAACCTCCCTTACATCCAGGATTACTCGGGCAACGAGGGAAACGAGGCCTCCTTCTCAGAGTTCTCCGATGGGTCCCCGCCAACCCGTAACAGCCATCTACGATCGATGCCATCTATTCATTCTCTCTCACTCTCCGCGCCAGAGGATAAACTAGCACCTCTTCCTCGCGACGCAAGCAAACCATCCGACCTGGGCATCCTCAGAGATCCCGAGCGGGTCGCCTGTCAGGGGTACCTGCAGGGGCTACGTATCCAAGGGACCGTGCGCCAGTGGAAGCGACTCTGGGTTGTGCTGCGTCCAAAGAGTCTGGCCTTTTACAAGGATGACGCGGAGTACTCTGCGCTTAAGATTATTCCCATGGCGCAGGTATTCGATGCGGCCGAGGTAAACCCTCTGTCGAGATCGAAGACGTTCTGCATGCAGATTATCGCCGAGGAAAAGACCTATCGGCTTTGCGCGCCGGATGAAGAATCCCTCGCGCGCTGGTTGGGCTCCTTGAAAAGTATTCTTGCTGCTCGTCGGAAATTGGATCCGGCCTTGGGAAGTTCCGTATAATCAGTGAAGAGCTTGTCCCACTCTTCCCATTCTCATATCCGATTACTCTCTTTCTCTCTCTCTCTCTCTCTCTCTCTCTCTCTCTCTCTCTCTCTCTCTCTCTCTCTCTCTCTCTCTTTTTCATCTTCCCACGTGTCTCGGCGATTCTCTTTCTTCCTTTCTTTCTTCCTTTCTTTCTTTCTATCTATTTCCATCTTTCATTCAATATACCCAGGTTGGCGATTCCATATCGCCTACCCCTCGTCTCAGGCGGAGATAGCGAGGAGTTTCGGAGTCTTCGAGGAACGAATCGGCGTTAATATTTGACCACATATCGAGTGGCCAAAGAGGAGTTTTTATTTCTACCACGAGGCTGCCCGGCTTCTCTTCACTTGAACTTATTGCTCGTCTCATTTGTTTATTCATTTGGGGCCGTACATCTTTGTCCATGTCTCACTGTCGAATCTGGCAATATCACTTTCTTTGTCTTTTGATTTCTATTTGAACTTATTTATTTATGAGGAGCACTTAATATGCTGTACCATGTTGTCTCCGGTATATTGTCTTACTAAAGTTCATAAGTATAATTTATTTGATATGGAACAAAATGAAACCACTCTGTTTCGGCTTGACTCATATTTTTGAGCGCAAAGTACACCCTCATCAAGAATTTATTACAATGCTTGGACTGCTTGGAGAGTGACCAGGGCAGCTTGCATAGGTGACGCTATACTGACCGTATATTGTTTTCATTGAAACAAAATCTAAATGACTCCGATGATGACATCCAACCAGACTATACAGCAACTCTCTTCTCGAGAGCCGCATTCTGCTGCTCAGCAACAACATCAGCAGGAATACGATCAGGCGTGGTGTTCACCAGCATGATCATAGGAGCCAAAGCAACTCCCAGTAAAGCGAAAGTCACACAGCTAAAAAGAAGTCAGCGGACTCAATTCCTACAAAGGATCATATAAGAAAAGGGAAGACATACAATCCAACAAGAGGATCACTCGTCGTCTGAGTATTCATCCCATAGGCAATAGCCTGACCAATAGCTTCGATGCACCTAAATGCAGCTCCATTGCGGACATTTTCTGCGAGAACCATCAAGTCAGCCACTTTCAAACACACCCACTGAACACAGCAAACCTCACCCTGAGCATCAGTCGCAAAAGAAGACAAAAGCCAATACATATAAGACTGCGACAAAGGACCGGTAGTCTGGATAAAGAAATAGGGCAAGAAGGACGAGGCATAGAGCCCGTCATCCCAGTCAATCTTGCCCGGGTCATGTCTGTTGAATCTTGTTTGCATGATGATTGACCAAATATAGACGCCGACATTGAGGGTGACCACTATGTAGAGGCCTATTTGGGCGCGGCGACGTTGACTAAGGCTTTTCAGGTCTAGGATGAAGCCGAGGCCGAAGCAGCCGATTCTGGTGGATGTGTAAGTCTGGGCTAATTCGAAAGCTTTATTGGATCGTGTGGATATGGATTTAGACTTGGACTCACATGCAGAAGAATGGAGAGATTAGAGACGAGAGGGCGCGGGAGCGTACTGAGAAGTAGGTTCCCAGGTAGGTGGACCATGTGCCTCTGTTCGTATGTTAACTTGTCTTCCATTTGAATAGAGGACTGTCGGTTTTCGTACGAGTAGAAGAATGACCATAGAGCCCAGAGGGCAGACAACATTATGAGTTTCGACGTCATTGTCTTTGAAATGCGTTTCAGTTCCTGCTTGGTTGAAAGAGTCTCTGCAGTGACGATTTTCGTGCCATCTGATCGAACGACGCGTTCAAAGGGTGTGATCAATAGTGCGAATGGAAGGCTGAACGACATCAGGATTGGCTCTCTCTATCAAATTTTGGATGGAATGCACTCACGCCAGAGACTCGATAATCACAAAGGCAATATAAGTATCGGGAGAAATTCCACCCTCGGCTCCTTTCTCATGATTCTTTGAGAGGCTGAAGCGACGTTGTTAATTTATCCTCATCGCTTCATCTCTGCACGGGTAAGAAGACTCACTTGATTGCACCTCCAACCAACTGGCCAAGATTCCGCGAGACGATCCACAAGGCTAGATACTTTCCACGGGCACCTGACGGTGCGAGGGTCATGATGGCTCCAGCTTCAGCGACATACCAGCAGGCTGTTCCAATACCGCTGATAGCACCGCTGAGGATGAGGTACTAGAATATATGTTACTAAACAGTCGATTTGTAAGAAGTCTTAAGCACTCACCCATTGATTACCAAATTTGCTATTGCAGTAGTATGCAGATCCCTCAATAGGGAATGACATTGATCCAAGAACGAGGGCCCATTTCACACCGATCTTGTTGACTAAAGGGCCGCCCAAGAAGCAGACTAAATGACTCACATCAGGGCACTGATCCTTTTGAGAGTTGCGGTGTTGTAGATTAACATACCGACGGCGAGTAGGCCATATGTAATTGCTGTTGCGATGTTTGATATATGCGGAGTTGCAAGACCACCGCCACCAAGACCTACGAGAAATTATCAATTGGAGCTGTATAATACGCTCGGCGTAGAACACTCACCAGTGATTGCATCGGCCATAGCTGGCCCACAAAAGGCCTGGATACTCAACAATATCATCTGCGTCAAACTATGCTGCCATACTCGTTTCCATCGTGGTACGGTCGCTCTGTACCGCACCATATCGACTTCGCCGACATCGGTGTCTGGTAATGGTAGAGCATCCTCATTGGGGATAGCAGTTTTTGTATCAGCCATATTAGCCAGTATAAAAACACAACAATTTGGTCTAGGATGCTAGAACGGGTTACATTGGGTTATTTATACCCCGTGTCTATACATTACGCTTATCTCCCAACAGTGACTCGAGTCACATTCCCCTCATCTTCCCAGATAGGATATTAAATCGACGGAAGGTCCACGCTCAGCTTATCTATTCTAGAGACTCTCGCTTCTTTCTATGTATTGGTTATCTGGGGATGGAGTGGACTGTTCCCCCGCGTTCTCGATTTCGTGGGGTTGAGACGATGGAAGGTCCAAACGAACGAACTGCGCTAGCCTCCACTTCGCATCATCCGGCGAGAATTCGCACCAATTATTGCTGTTGGGGTATTGATAAACACTGGTGTGAGAAGGTGTGATAGTCTGAGTCAACCGAGATAACCATCGATCATATGGTCCTACTCGGCTTTATCAATGACTGCCTGTGATCCCCTGAACCGTACCTCCTCACCTGTGCCTTTCTCCTTGCACTCGCATCATTCACACTCAACACAGGCCGATTCACGAGATGGCTTCTTCGCGTGCAAATACAACGATTGTTGTCGTCGGAGGAGGCGGCACAATTGGATCTTCTACTGCATTGCATCTGATACGCTCTGGCTACACGCCTTCTAACATTACCGTGCTGGATGTATATCCAATTCCATCACCACAATCGGCAGGACATGATCTCAATAAAATTATGGGTATTCGCTTGCGCAACAAGCCTGATCTACAGCTTTCGCTAGAGGCTCTTGACCTGTGGACGAATGATGTGTTATTCAAACCGTTCTTTCACAAGGTTGGCATGGTGGGTCAATCCATCAATTGCTTCGAGATATTTGCGCGTTAACACAAACCTAGATTGATTGCTCTTCGTCGAAAGAGGGAATTGAGAATCTTCAAAAGAAGCTTCAATCTCTTATTGATGTGGGTCTCGGACTGGAGAAGACCAATACTTGGTTAAATGAAGATGAAATCTTGAAAAGGGCGCCCTTTTTTACGCCGGAACAAGTCAAGGTGATCTTTCTATGAACAGATACTATTTGGGAAGTGACTGACCAGTTAACGCACAGGGATGGAACGGCTTATTTTGCAGTGATGGGGGCTGGCTTGCTGCTGCCAAGGCAATCAATGCTATCGGACAATTCCTAAAAGATCAAGGTGTCAAATTCGGATTTGGCGGGTATGTGACAACATTGAACTGAAGGAACCATTATTTACCAATAATGTTTAGGGCTGGAACCTTTAAGCAGCCTCTGTTCGCAGATGAAAGGACCTGTATTGGCGTTGAAACAGTCGATGGAACGAAATATTACGCCGATAAGGTAGTTCTGGCGGCCGGTGCATGGAGCTCGACATTAGTTGATCTAGAGGATCAGTGTGTCTCCAAAGTAAGTTGAACACCCAGTGCAACAGACCGAGCTCTTATACCAACAAAGCGAATCACAGGCCTGGGTATACGCTCACATCCAACTCACGCCTCAAGAAGCTGTCGAGTACAAGAATGCACCCGTCGTATATGACGGTGAATATGGTTTCTTCTTCGAGCCTAACGAGTAAGCAGACATTCTAACCCCGAGGCCAGCTGAAGTGCTAATTTCTGCTCGCAGATTTGGAGTAATTAAAGTTTGTGATGAGTTCCCTGGCTTCTCTCGCTTCAAACAACACCAACCCTACGGCGCCACTTCTCCCAAGAAGATCTCAGTTCCTCGATCACACGCCAAACATCCTACAGATACATATCCCGACGCATCTGAAGTAACCATTCGAAAAGCTATTGCAAGATTCTTGCCCCAGTTCAAGGATAAAGAACTGTTCAATCGGGCTATGTGTTGGTGTACGGATACCGCCGATGCTAATCTTCTGATTTGTCAACATCCCAAGTGGAAGAACTTTATCCTGGCTACGGGTGACAGTGGGTAAGTTGGAGTGTGCAGAATAGGGCGTTGTATACAGTAATGGGCTTGCTAACATATGCGATAGTCATTCCTTCAAGGTGTTGCCAAATATTGGAAAGCATGTCGTCGAGCTGATTGAAGGATCGCTATCTGAGGAAATGGCCCATGCGTGGAGATGGAGACCTGGTGGTGATGCCCTCAAGTCTAGACGCGATGCCCCTGCGAAAGATCTGGCTGATATGCCGGGGTGGAAACATGATTCTAGGCTATGATGGAGATACTATGATGGAGACATGGGCCATTTCATAGGCTCTCACGCTGTATACTTACAGCCTCACGCTCTCGTAGAAATGTATTGCCGTCGTACATGCAGGTCCAATTTTTATTGATAATGCACTTATTATATTTGATCACAAGTCTATCAGTATTCTTCTCTTAGAGCATATCACTTTTGAACCAAATCTCGTATTCCTTTGCCCTCCGAGTTCGAAAACTAACCATAATTTCAACGGTACGAGGGGTAGGGTTCAATGACGAGGGCTCATTGGAATGAGACACCGTGACGTTTACATCAGCATGAATACTTGAATTGAGCAGCTAAAATATACGCCTCGTTAGCATTATTCTGGAACGATTTGTCTGTCCCCTAAAAAGGAAGATATAAAAAAAAAAAGATAAAAAAAAAGGGCGGAAATCGCCGGATATGGTCAGTAGAGAAGTGGCACCCACTCAGAATGCTGTAGTGACATGACCTTACGACGCTTTCAAGGCAACTGTCCCAAAGGTAATACACGGGTATTTTTCCAACCAATGGCTGTTCGAATTCAAGCATAGGTTGAGCTGTTTAAGTACGCTAATGAAACCAAGCCTTTCGTACATAAACTTAGTCCCAAAGGAACTACTCAGATTTGACTTCTACGCCATCGGTCACCAAATCACATGAGCTTTCATTTCTATCAAGCTGAAGCTTACCATTACGCAGCCGGGCGATATAAAATTCAAGAACAGAGCCCAGGATAGCACTCACTCCCTAGAGTATGCACTTTCAACCAGAGCGATGAAGAATTGGCTAGGTCTTCCCAACTGGAATTTTGGAGCTTCCAATGCCAGCAACGACAAAACATACGATGAAGAGGATCTTCGATGGGGATATCGGCTATCACAATTGCCTCCACGAAGTTGCCGGCTACTAAAGCTGAGAAAAGCTACGGTTCTTTTTCTTCTGATAGACCTAATAGTCGTCGGGCTGTTACTTCAAACCCTCTCGCCGCTCATCGTTTTATTGCGCAGAAATGAAGAGCTGTTCGGGCCTCGAGTAGCCTTGTCCACCCCTAATCCGAATGCTTGGCGTCCAATGAACTTAACAGGCAAGATACCGCGAATCCTGCACCAAACTGCCGCCACTGAGACGATCCCTAACAAATGGATCGAGTCGCAACAAAGCTGCAAAGAGGCCTATGCAAACTTTGATTACAAGGTGATTACTCTTCATACGTTGTGAAAGTGCTATTAATCTACGAAGGCTTCGCTTTCGAGAGAACTAGTCAATATTGGACTTAGCTAATTGATTCTAAGCTGTGGACCGATGAGTCGGTTCGGAATTTCCTCTCTGTTGACTATCCTTGGTTCTTGAATACCTGGGACGCCTACGACTTTCCAATCCAACGTGCAGACGCCCTACGCTATTTCATTCTATATCATTTTGGTGGTGTCTATCTCGACATGGATACCTGGTGCAATCAAAGTTTGCCTATCCACGAACTTGAATTGGGCACATCGGCACACTACGCCTTGTTCAAATCAACAGTACCTACTGGCGTGACCAATGACTTTATGGTAACCTCTGCGCGGCATCCGATTTATGCAGCAGCAATTAACAAACTGCCTATTTCTTATGCGACAACTCGCTTCTGGGCTCGATGGCAGCCCTACTGTGCTGTTATGATATCTTCTGGGCCTATGTTCCTCACTCTGGTCATAGAGAAGTATTTGCTTCATCAGCCTTCGCTACCCTCACCGATAGTAGGGGTCATCAATGCAACGGAACTGGCGCCATACATCACCGACCTTGAGAGTGCTAGTTGGCATCGAAAAGATGCACCAATTTTTATGTGGATTGGAAAAAGGAGTTGGACTTGGTTTTTCATGGGGGCGATTGGGTTAGCTGCTGGCCTATCCCTATTTCACCGTTTACTGACGGTTATCCTTGATCGCGTACCTTACAAGGTTGATTTTGGGATCGATTCGTCTATTCCGAAGCTGGCCAAACATGCATGACAGAGACAGAATGCCAAGTAATATCGGACGAAGTACAGCTAGTCATTATTCATAAGATTGCTTGATTCGATACACTATTCGGTTCTCAATAAACGTAAACACTTCAAACCACAGTGAAGGTTATTGCAGTGGATTGTCGACAACGGCATCTCTAATATCAACCGCGAGATCTCCCAGTATACCTTCAAAAGGAGGGGTAGAAACCTCCGCGAGATACCGCTCGTTGTCAAGGTTGGTCAGATGAAGTTCATTGCCAATCTGCTTCCAAGGTCCATTCCAATAAAGGGATGCTATCAGAGTAGTTTCATCGCGATAGAGGTCAATCATTCCCTCAGTTCCTAGCCCAAAAGCTGCACTTCCGCAGACCGACACCACGGCACTTTGGCCATGCGGAATTGAGATCTGATTGACATCTTCGGGAGAGATGAGCCTGAGAGTGCCGCTCTTCTCGTAGGGTTGGCCACTGGTGATAACGTTAGCCAAATGATGGGAAGCCCACTTGATTTCAAGCTGATACCGGATACAGTTCAGGTTTCTCAAGAAGATGGTGCCTTCTTCAAGATTGTTGTTTATGGTCAGAGAAATGTGTTGTGTAAGGTGACAATTCATTTGTTTTGTCTGGCAGCGAAATAGAGCGTTCGAATAAATTGGAAACCTTGTTGGACTTATATTCTCAAATTTGGTGGATTTCCAGGCGAGAGTCTTGTGTCGCTGGAATGTTGAAGAGAATACAAAATCCCCGGATCCAAACGTAGATTTATTGGTGGTGGCGGGTAGCTACTTGACATAGCCTGAGATATCTTTCTATTGATTCGATGACGAGACGCGTAAGTCATCCCGATATGGTAAATGCGATGTGGCGCACCAAACCCTAATTACTGGTGGCATTGTCTGTCACATAAAACCGGGCGATACATGTGGCCACGCCAGGCATCTGCGGTTCCGAGCTGCGAATGGCTTACCTTTACCCAGGTTTTAGCTGACGGCCTCGGATTTTCTCAGGCAGGGTTTGTAGGACAATGTGCATGCGAGGCGATTTGCAACTAGCTTGAGACTAGATAGACTATAGATGTCATCAAACTCAAATATCTCTAACAGCCCCTTTACTAAATCTATCCTATCAGGAACGAAATGGAAGCATTTAAGCCGGAAACTGTTCAGAATGATTTTTCTATTCTTTGGCCCGAGTCGCGCGTCCTTTCGAAGTCGTATGATCCTTTTAGTTTGCGAAATGACGTGCGTCGTATACTCGACCCATCATAGTGAATAAATCGGATCTTTGTCCTCAAACATTAACGCGTGTATAGTAAGATGCTGCATCATAGGAATTTCTTGGAACAGCAAACTTATCACGCATCCTACAATAGATCTTGGATACTAAATTTGTGTGAAATGCCGATATTTGCTATGACGAATCTACCTCGACATAATCCGATTACAAGAGCCTCACATTGCCTGTCTTAGGTCGCAGATGCGCTGTAAGCTTCTTTCGCATTCCGTGTATTTCTTCCTGGCAACCAGGAATGTGAATGATCTGGAAAACCCAGCCCTATGTGAGGAGTGTATTTAGAATATGCGTTCCAAGGGGCGTTCTATTGCATCTGTCGAGGCCTGGGCATGATCCAAGCAAGGCATTGAGGAGCTTTTTTCATTCCGCATCAGATGAGCTATTGAGCCTCGTTGGCTTTTGCGCAAACGGGTCTCGATTCTTCCATCACAACCAAATCACTTACTATCCTCCTGTAGTCTCAAAACAAATTTGGCGATTGTCCCAATATTCATTTCTGTCAATCCATAGTATGAACACTGAACGGCTTGAGGCAAAGAATGTCAACTTGTGATGAACACTGTGGAGTTCTCTTATTTTGCTGGCCATTCTAACCGCAATAAATGCAACCACCACGCCGGTCTAAATAGCGTGACAATTCGACATCCACGTTCATATCAAAGCCCATACCAAAATTCATCTCCTATGGAATCATGTACCCCGACACTCGTTGAGGAAGTGTCTGGGTGCACCAGGGTCAGCGATCGCGTTGGACCAAGCCACGACAGGTCTGACTGCTGTAGCTCCTGGGAGCTGATATGCAAGAAGATCTCCAATATCTGCCAATGAAGAACATCTCAGGACCGGGGGAGATCGAAAGCAAAAGAAAAGGATGCTTCTTGAAGAGATAGAGGATACCTGAGTCGGCCAGCTCTCCGGTACGACTCGGCTCAATGACTTTTTGGATACTTCATGCATCGGCATAATTCACCGCTTGGAAAGCCATTGCACCAGAGATCTTCTTGCTCTCTCGCGCATCAATTCATGCAGTGATACCAGCCGCACTCTGGCTAATTTTGGAAGCACACCAACCACACCCCATGATGAGAAGGCTCAAGGCTTCTATTTCCCTTCCGCGATATCCAAGGGCTTTACATCCTTCTCCCATAGCTGCAAGGAGACATGACCGCGGGAGTTTGGGGGTTGGACGCCGCGGCACGATACCGCCAAGTTGCACATGTGGGTATTCTAAACCGTGGACGGCGATGCTGTCTTTAAGTCCAAAACAGCGGAGTCGCTGCACGCTGCGATCTGCTCTGCGGTCAAGCCGCGATCCCAGGGCTCCTCGCTGGATTTGCAGAATATCGCCGGAGACACACTTAGGGCTCACTGTTGCTGGAGTGAGCGAGTCATTTGCGCGAGATTCTGCTCGGTCCCAGGGAGGGATTACTATACGATTTGGCGTCGAGCGTATCCATGATTCCCAGCCGAGCGAGATACTGCTGAACCGTGGCGAAAAGCGAATCGCAGTGCACAGCCGACGGTTAATGCACCCTGATAAAGGGGGAACTGTGCTTGGGGTCTACGCACCGGGAGTTCATGGAACGCCGTCCCTGCTTCAGACAGGCCGAGTTGCGACCGAGTTGCTATCTACAACGCCTGGCGAGCCGAGCGTACACCGGTGACGATCTTTTTCCAATTCCTGAACTCATGATCTTCGTGTCTACTCAGACCTTCGGTGGCCGTATAAACGGATTTGCAGCACTTCGCTGCCTCGGCACAGGGCCAAACCACGTCGATCCCTGCGTCGCTGCTCCGCACCGCCCTCAAGGAATCAGCGACCTGCTCTTCGTTGGGTTGATGGTTCCGCTCAATAAAACAAAGCTCGCCTATCTAGGTCTTGGGAGCCATTTCGCACGCTCCACCATGGCGATATCACTGGTCTGACTTATCCCTTTGCCCGCATGACTTGCGAGTGATACCGCTACCTGTTCCATACCTGCCAATTCATGGCCAAATGTCCTATGACGATCAATTCCATCCGCATCAAACACAACGCTCGGCACTTTACCTCGCCTTCGCCTTTGGTGCGCTTAATCCTCGTCACATGCTTGCCGTAGCTCATATGGCCCCCACATTAGTATGTGCAACGTCTTTTTGGCAGATATGCGTAACAGGTTTCAAGGCACGGATCTAAGTCTTTGCCAAGTAGAAATGCTGGGCGAGACCTATGACATTCATGCTGGTGACCTGTTGTATTTGATTGGAGCACACTGGGTTTGGTAGCCGGCACGTGGTGGGCAACGTGATGTGGCAGTGGTTCAAATGGATATGCATGCGTTCACCGAGTGTTTCAGTCAACGTCAGTCAACATCAGGGCTCGAGATTAAACGCTTTCAAGCTACTACCGGGTAGAGGTACCTGTATACAGTGGGAAGAAGAGAACAGCCATAGCCCACTATTATGACTGGGTCTGAATGCGAATGAGCTATTGCAATTGGGAATGGCGACGAATAGAAACACCAACGTAGAGCCAAAGGAACCGTTCGACGAACGTGAATCCCAGTCTCTCTGGGACGTGTTAGACAACAATGGGGAAAAGGGAGATTGGGGAGGATCAACCTGTGGTAAGATGATTCCATTGCGCCCAGACACTAAATTTTCGTTAGAAGTGATCAGCCTTCCCAAGTAAATAGAGTATTACCATTCGCGCCGTTGAGGGCGGAATCAACAATTCTAGCAGTCTGGAGTACTCTACAGAGAAAGCAGGCTCAGAGGTGGGAAGAAGTTGGTAAAAACCAGTTAATCCTGCGGCAAATTCAGACCCGCCCGAAAAGAAGGTTCACCCACCACCTTTCGCCTTGAAGCACACTCCTAAGGTCTGGTTTTTCTATGGCAGTTTCTGGAATCATTACAATTCCACTTTGGGAAGAAGTCATTTCGATTGTTCTAGAGCGGGAAAGATTCTAACCAAGGCCACTGTCAAGCGTGTCGAGGGCTCGCAGTGGAGATCGCGTTCAAGGGTGTGCGTGCCCGCAGAAACGAAAACGAGCTCGACCAAACTACCTCAACAAGCCAAGGGACCCCTAATGAAGGGGGGGGGGGGGGGGGTTTGAGCGTTGGCTGTGGTCCTCGTTTTCGTTTAGCGTACATCTATCTATGTGTGGCTGTGTGCCCTCGGCTCGTCGAATTTAGCCTAGGGTCGCATATTTCTAGTCCCCATGCTTCTTTGAAACCTACCTCATGAGACATACCATCGCAAGATGCAAGAGCACATACGCGATGTTGCCGTGGTAGGAACTGGTATGGCCGGACTGGTGACCGCATACCTATTGCACCACGATCCACAGCAGCGATTCCGCGTGCGATTGATTGACAAGGTCTGATCCCTTAGCCTCAGCCCTTGCTATGAGCATAAACGATGCCATGGCGCGCCGGTGTTTGAGAGAATGCAGAACTGACTCGCTCTAGAACTCGCGACCCTCGCTGGCAGCCGAGTCTATAGCGCTGCCCGTCGCGTCAAAACATGCGACCTGGGCGGACGTGCCCATGCGCGCCTTTGCGGGCGGTTTTTATCATAATCTCGTCCGCATGTACGATTATTTAGATATTGACTATCACCAGCAACCATTTTTGTTCAACTTTGTGCGGCTTTTACCCCCGTTAAAAGGAAGACCGGGACACACCCCTACGTCTCCGGCCCCCCTGGAACCCTATATGATTCACGCCTCCAACTTCCACCAATGGCCACCCCTCCTGCGTGGGGATATGTTCCAATGGAGTATGGAGGTCGCCATGGTATTGATCTGCTATCTTTGGTTTACGCTGTGTTGCTTTTTGGTCGCCCCGGCGCAGTCCTCGAACGGCGAGGGCGAGTCGCTCAACGCCTATCTCCAGCGCATACGGCTACCGCAGGCGTACATTACGCGGTATCTGCTGCCGATGATCTCTAGTGTGTCTACATGCACACATGCGGAGATGCTGCGGTTCCCAGCGTCAGACGTACTGGCCTATAAGAGGCAAACACACCGGCAGCCGCATTTTGTCGTCACTGACGGCGTGCACACGGTGCAGGAGAAGCTTCTGCGTGGTATAGATGTCCGGCTAGGTGTCGAGTCTACAAGAGTCGTGTCTGCGGCTCATGATGACGGCTCGTTGCTGACGACCTGCGTGGATGGCTCTGAAAGCACTGAGCGCTTCGACTTGATCGTGTTGGCCGTGGCTCCTGACGCGGCGGCTCGTATCTTCGAGCCCTTACGAACTCAGATGCAGCATGTGCCGATGACAATGGTGCAGACTGTTGCGCATACGGACTCTACGAATCTCGTCCGCGCTGGGACGAGCAAGCACCACGCCGCCTCCGGAGATGCAGTGACTACCCAGCAAATTTACCTCTGCACAAATGAAGATACCACGGAGGCCGTTCATGTTCAGCCCAACTCCCTCCTCGTTACGACAAACCCACTGACACCCATCGACCCGAGCAAAATCATCCGCTCTGCGAGATTCCCGCGCGTCTTGCGTAATCCCACCAGCCAGCTACTTATCAACAAGATCTCCGAGGGCCGGGCAGATAAAGGCTGGAATAATGGAGATGATGGCGTGTATCTGGCCGGGGGTTGGTGTTGGGACGGAATGGTGTTGTTAGAGGGATGTGTCGTTTCGGCAATGCGTATTGCCAGAGACCTTGGGGTAGACGTGCCCTGGAAATAATAAATAGTAGACAAGAATCCGAATAGACGATCACGGAGGAACAAATTACGCCGAAATTGATTGGCTTGTCTTAATATATAAACACACTCGTTCAATGCCAGGTCGCATTTGCGGGTTTTCGACTTGAGTTGTAGCCGGACATATTTGCCTAACCTCGCGCCTATAAGTCGAGCATCTCCTGGAAACCGCCCCCAAACAAGAACCAGATAGTCACAGAAATGGTACAACACACCACATCACACCCAAGGCTACTCATGGCCGGATGCTCGAACATGGCATCGATCAATATCCGCCCAATCTCGACCGCTGAACTTCCTAGGGAGCTGGGTGCATTCAAAACAACCAAATAAATACTTTGTGCTTGGATGGCCACGGAAAAAGCGAGCAGCCATTTGTACACGAAAGCGTATCGTCGCGTAGGCTGAGCGACATAAGCTCCCCAGCCCTGGGGCAGAACTTGAGGGGAGAGCAGCCCTGGAATGAAGAGTAAAATGTGAGGAACCGCAAGAACATACATAAAGTACTCTGTGTTCGCGGCGAAAGGAGTGGCCACAGCACCGAGGCCAGATATAACGACCGGCATAAGCTCGAGGAGCGCTGGAGGCATCCATGCAAGCTTCACCGACTGGCTGTCGATCGGGCTGGATACAAGAATGGTAACAAAGAAAAGATTCAGCGCGAATGAGATGGCAACAATTTGCCCGAGCAGCATGTACATCCAGACACCGGGGATCTTGTACCGACGACCTAGTCATAGGTTAACGATAGGCTCAAGCGAATTTCAGACGTGACATTGAGTACACACCCATAACACCCAGGAATAAACTCCACCCAATCGTCCATTCAAAAATCTGCTCGCTCCACCATGATCGTGCAGGCGTCGCAGACACACATTCCCACGCTTCCTGGAACAGTTTCGTATCCCGCAGCCAGAACTCCCATTTCGCTAGACGTGGTGCTAGCTCAATCAGTACCTGCTGCTTAGGTGGCTGAGCGGCTTCCCAGTTGCGATAGGAATGAGCGAAGAGAGCGAACATGTAGTGCCATGTTGTTGCGATGCTGACAATTGACAGCGCAATGAACGTGACGAATTGAATCCCATAGTCGTGGCGCCAATTCGACTGCGTTTTGCGGGCTTGGTAGCGCTGATAGATGTTCAGGAGAATTTTTGTTGTGAGGGCGGCGCAAGAGAACAGATAGAAGAATAGGATAGAGAGGGAACGGTAGTCTTGAAAGGTCTGACCGATGAAGGCATATGGCGATTCGAACATGGCAAGATAGCTAGCCATCTGAGCAGTATTTGCAGTTCGATCAATAGGGGCAATGTTCACATTGATCTATCAACTTCCCATCGGGACGATCTCGCGATGACCTCATCATCGTTACTCCGCCCGCTTTCCCTAATGGGGAAACCTCACCAAATGGTTATAGTTCTGTTTACTTTTCTCGCCAGCGTATAGCGTATTGATGCAGAAAAGAACAAGAAACAGTCTTTGCTGACACAAAAGCAGACATTATATATGAGTAAGATCCAGCAATCTCATGGTCTACACTACTCATACGAAATAGTTCAGTCCTGAAATCAATCAACTCAATCGTAGAGGTATCACACATAGGAGCTAAGCGCTAGAAGATCCAAAACTACCTGCATGCCAGATAGAATGTTCTTGATAACGAATTACATGCACAAACTAGCTTCGAAACGTCATTTCTGAGCACTCACAACCAGACCTAATATCCTCTCAATTACAATTATTCTTAGTTCTCATATTTGTTGCAACTCCTTCACGACAACGCCTTCCAGTGCCTTAAGCTTTCTGATAGCGTCCGCAGTAAGGACACTAGTACTTATTAGACAAATCTTGGAATGCTACTCTTGTACCTACGGGGGAACCCAAATAGGAGGGAAAGAGTCAGTTGAGGTCCAACTTTCAGCTCCAGTATCATTGCACACGATTCTACTCAATTGCGTCAGTAAAAGTGAATTTAATAATCTGGCCAGACATACTCTTTGCATTTAGTGCACATTATACTGTAATCTCTCTCTTCCTTGACACTGTAAGATATTCTCTTGATACTGTATCAGCACTAACTAATACTAATGAGATTTTCATGACATACCTTTCTTTCAGACATTTTGCAAACACAGGGATAAGAATAGAAGGCTAGGCTATTGATGATACAGTCCTAGGTAGAAATAATTCGAATCGAAAGGCGCCGAGGACGGTAGAATGAGGCCGACGAGACGAGCATTTATATATGAAAGACCGGCAAGTTTGGTATGAGTTGTGTATAGATGTGTTACCATGATGTACATACGTATATAACATCATCATAGATTCATATATCGTAGTCCTGGACTACTCATGATCAAGCCGCTTATTTCAAAGAAACATGATCTGAGACTTCCCAACCTGCCCGATCCTCGACCGATTCAGTTTTGTGCATAGCATACGTATACAGCGCCACTTCTAAAGCATTCTTAGAATAGTTAGGGTAGCACGAACAACAATCACTTCCTCAATTAGGAAGATGAGCCCCCTTGTAGCTTGTTGGCATTCGAATCATTCCCCTTCAATGGAAGTGCCCATCCCTTGCCGCTTTTCGATCCGTACAGCTGAGCCCTTGAGTATCGCGACTTTTCAGATCATCATGACATAACCGACTTGATTTGGCCAAGTGCTCATCATATCCTGATCATAAGCCCTCGTGCTATCTTTATAATCCTTGCTTCTACATTCCGATTGCTTCTTCAACCGCCCATCTGCTATTGTTCCACGCCATAAATATCGTCGAATGAAAAGCCACACGAACCTCGATATTACAGCCATTCTTGAGGTCAGCCTGAACGGATCTCTGGACCCAGCCGCGGCCTTACCGCAAATCAGCGGTCCGCGTTTAAGGGCCGTTGCGAGATCTACACAAAGGTTAGGCACAAGGCGGGCCAAATATAACTGGCATATATGAATCACGATGAAGACTTCAATAGTCTCCAAAATGACAAGTGGCATTTTCCTTAATCAACTAAACCCTTTCCCATTTTTGATGACTCCTCGATCAAAACTAGTACTGAAGCAACAAGTTGCATGGATTCAAAATGCCCAGTTCTGATATGTGATCGATGACTTTTTTGGGTCACTCACTTTCGAGATGATGCACAGGGCCTGATCGGGTTAACGCCCCTTCTAGTTATACAGGTGCACATTCAGGTAGGGTCCAAGTACTTGCAGATTGAGCGAACAACACAGCAGTTCCTCCCCCGTTTCCTTTGATGCCTGCCTATCTTCCTTCCGGCCTACTGTGCAGCCTTAAAGCGTCATCTAATCACTAACGTTTTGTCTACATATGATCTCAAGGGCAAAGTCGCACCAGTAACAGGTGCAAGTTCAGGTATCGGTCACGCAATTAGCGAGCTCTTGCTTGAAGCAGGCTGTTCTGTGATGTTGGCCGATCTAAAGCCCCTCCCTGAAATCTACTTGACATGAAAGAAGTATTCCCATCCACTGACCCAATCTGAGGCTTATCGTGCAGGGTTTCCTGCTACAGAAGTGACAAACTGGGCCCAGATCCAAGATCGCCGAGACACAACCCTGCAAACATTCAGACAAATCAACATTGTCGCAACTGTGGCAGGTGTTTACGAGCCACCATTGAGCAACCTCTGGGACTCCCCAGGTATCTCGCCCGCGTCTCGCGATCCCGCTGATACGGCTGTCGGTAAGTGTGCAACAATCACCATTGACTAGGTTGCCCCTGTCCGTTTTGGCATAGATTGCTGTAGGTTGCTGGACGCAGCGTCAGAAGGACCAAAGCAACTTATACCTTCAAACTGACCGCAAATCTGGTGTCATGACTTAGGCAGGATAGCTGTTCACTCGCTCACGTATTATGCAGGATGAGCTCATACCCCCATCGCGTGCCCTGCCAAATTGAGTAAAACTAGGTCAATTATTGCAGTCAGGTCCCCATCCTTTCTTGCTGAAGATACTGGATCTTCGCTGCTGGTACGATCCTGAAGCATGCAGTCTGAACATTATAGAACCTACAGATTTAATGGGACTCTTCGGATGGCTGTCACTCTCGCGTCGCATTAAGCATGTAAGCTGCCGGACAAAAGATGCCTTTTGTCTAAAAAGCAGTCAACTCCTTCAGGAATTTTTTTTGATCTATTTTGGATCCAGGGTGTGAGTAACAAAGCTTTAATTTCTTGGCTCAACTCTCACCCGACAACATCCGTAAAAGATTCTCGAATCCAGCTGGCCAATATGCACAAATATATGTATCTCATGTAGCTTAGAACTGAAGGATATGTAGTCTGTAATCGTAATGCCATTTGCGATCATCTAAAGCCTGTCTACTCTAAGGCTATGTTGTGCCTAGTCACTAGATCATATCCGTGTAGAGGATGCGGAAAGACTTATGGTCTTAACGTTTTATATATAGAGTATTACGAAATTTACTCCGCTCAATTTAGAAAAGCCAAAAAGACCCCCCCCCCAAAAGACTAGGTAGCAAGATATAGGGAATAAGAAAGCAATATGATAACGCCGTTGTGAAAAGATGCAACGAACGAGAAAGGAAAGAAAATAATTTACATGCCTCACTTAACGCATCTCCTCTTCCTCCACAGGAATGCTGCTATACTCACTGGAAGAGGGCCCGCCTGCTCCATTAGGATTAGCAAGATCATCCTGCGTCTTGCTCTCATGGTTGACAACCAAGAATGATAGGAACACAATAGCTGCTCCAACCCAATATAATGCGCCAGCGTATTGACCCTGTAGGACGATCTGTCCAACCAAAGAAAGGGGAATGGTTAGACTGAGACCGACTGTCACGATAAGGGGTGTAGTAAGGAGCATGGCATAAGCCCAGAAGATGTCAGAGATGAATGATGCAAGCGAGTTTGACTGAAGTTCAAACTAGTCAGTTATATGACCATGAGTGGCGAGGGCGGCTTGAAACATACCAGAATGATCGTCCAAACTCGGCTCGTCTCTGGGAAGGCAAAAGGTTCCATTCCAGTCCAATGGAAAAGGAAGAAACCAGGCCAAAGAAGGACAACGTTGAAGAATCCGACTAGTCCGAAGAATAGTGACATGTCCACCTTGGACTCGTCGCCTACTTGCTTCTTCATCACGATGGTGTAAAGACCATACATGATGGCACTGAAAGCAGCCATAGCGTCTCCCAGAGCAATTTCTCCAGACGACTTGTGCGGGAATGAGCCCTCGCTACCGTCTGAGGCTGCGCCTGCGTCGTCAGACTTGGTGAGGTCGACGCGCGAAATCAAGATAATGCCAATCAATGAAGCGATGACACCCAAGAATTTGCGAGCCGTAAATTTCTCAACGCCAATAACAGCACCGAAGATCAGAGTCCAAACACCTGGAAGCAAGTATGTATCAGACCACGAGAATGTTGAATGTTCAAAACACGGAATACTTACCACTAGTGGAAGTCAAAATAGTTGTACTGCCAACGGTAGTGAACTGAAGACACGCCATGGCAAAGTAGTTTGCCTATCCAAAAAGCACAGTTTAGTTCATGTTACCCTTAACTCATACACCATCAACCGAAACGTGGGATGTACAACATACAACAAACTATAACAAGTTAGCAACCAGCCCATATAGCCAATCAGCGAAAGTAGTCTTACCCAAAGCATACAAAACTGAACACTCAATTTAGCCGTAGCCTTCAACCCCAACTTGGCATTCGAGGCATCGTGACTAGGACGTCTCAACCGCGCACCTTCCTCATCGGAGTCACCACGCAATATACTCTCCTCCTCAGCCTTGGGATCATGCGAATCCAAGTGTCGCAACAAACTCTTGAACGAAGTAATCTGGGAAAGTCTGCCCTGGCGCCAGAGACCCCATGTCCGCCGGATAAGGATTGTAAAGAGGGGCAGCATGAACATCGAAGTGTTTGTATAAGTCACAAAGAAGGGTTTGGGGTACGTTCTATCGGCGAATATTGTCTGCAGTCATTCAATATCAAGTCAGTTAACTGTGTGCAACAAGTTGATTCGAGATCGGGGAGCGCATACGCTTCCGAGGAAATTCGAAGTTGTCCAGAGGACAACTACCACCAGGAGGAGGATTATTCCTAGTGTTCTCCGAGGTATACCAAATACCCTTGCACCAGGTCCATCTGAAGTGGCAGGAGCCATATTGAAGGTGTTCTTGGGGTGGGTGAAGCAATGAAGATTGTGTCGCGCGACCTGTTCAGAGGTATTGTATGTCGTGATGGATGTCGCCGGTGTCGCCGATGTCGCAATCGCTAGGTCTGCGTCTGCTGATGTCTATGAAGAGTCAGGCGGCACAGCATCGGCGCAACGAGTGACCCGGAGTAAAAACGAACGTGACCAGGTACCTGCCAAGAGCGAAGACGGGGGTTGACGCCAAGCCTTTCCGATAAGGGTCCTGGGGCGAAATGTCACCAGGCCGTTCAGGAACATTTCAGGCATTTTCAGGCATACAACGGAGTTCTATGAAGTATTAATTTCTACACGGATCCCTAGAGCTGGGTTAGCGGTTGATGTGGTATATTCGCTCTACTTTGGCTTCTCATTTCTCACTATTTTTGCACCTATTTCTTGCCCATTTTCGAGTAGCTCTGGTTCACTATCTAGATTCTATAAAGAGACGTGAAGAAGACTTAAACCCCTAGTATAGTTAGATTAGGAAACCAAGTGATATAGAGTGAAAAGTGAGGCTTCTCTGAAACCCACGAGACCTAAAATATCTACAAGCCGAAGAAAGGCAACGTCCAAAAGTAAAATCATAGTTTCCTCTACAGACTGAAAACCGGAGACCAATGTGAAGACAGTACAGAAACACAAAAGAAAAGGGTCGCTGGAACATCAAGAGAATGGGAAGGGTATATCAACAGGCACAGCCATCGCGGTCGTTGTCCAGATGGATGTTGATCGGGTCACTAAATTCACCACTGAACTCCTCGGCCTCTTCCTGGGCGAGGGCACTGCGCGCGATGACTAGATTTTGTTGTGAGTATATACCGAATCACTCATAGACTGGACTCTTTGACTCACCTTCAAAGGCCTGTTCGACATTGACAGCTTCCTTGGCACTGGTCTCGAAGTAAGGGATGTTACCCTTGGACTGACAGAACGTCATAGCCCGTTTTGAGGAGATCATGCGCTTGTTCTCCTCCACATCGATCTTGTTTCCGATGACCACCTGCACATGATTAGCACGGACCACATCATATCATTCTTGCCTCGCCAGGCAAAATGTGGAAATTTGAACTCACGAATGGGAAGCTCTCGGGATCTCTGGGGCTAGCTTGAATAAGGAACTCGTCACGCCAGCTATCCAGCGCCTCGAAACTCTTGGAATTGTTCACGTCGTAGACAAGGACGCAGCAGTCGGCTCCTCGGTAGAAGGCAACACCCAATGACTGGAACCGTTCTTGACCTGCAGTATCCCAAATCTAGTATATTCCCGTCAGTTATAGCCCCCACGTGGCGACCGGGGTGGTTCCAAGCCTCACCTGCATTGTGACGAGTCGGTCATCAACGAGGACTTCCTTCGTCAGGAAATCGGCTCCGATGGTAGCCTTGTAGCTTCCACTGAACTTCTTGTTGACCTATATGTCTCGAAAAAATTGTATGTTAGCGCTGGTAGGAATTGGCGACCGACTGCGGCACAGCTGCCGAGCGCTGGGGCGAGGTTGAACGGACATATTGGTTCATCAAACTTGTCTTTCCGACACCGCTGTCACCGAGGATGATAACCTATAGCACGGAAGCACTAAGTCAGTAAGATAGCTCATTTTCATAGAATTTGAAGACCGGCACATGGGGTAGTTGCGGGAAGCTGTACCTTCAGGAGGACCTTCTTTCGTGACGCCATGGCAGGGAATCGGCCAAGAGACCAGTCAAAGAACAATAAACGAACAGAGGAAGTTTCCAATATCGAGCAAAGACGTAATAATCTCTGCTGCAGGGGAAGTGAGGAGAGTTGGAGTTGGGGTGCAGCCGGATTCGATGACGGGCGGTCGATCGGGCGGTGGACAGTTGATAGCGATAGCACCGCATCTCATCACTCCACTCCTATCACATACCCATGGCCCACTGGCGAGATGAGTACTTGGCTGCCCTGACAGTTCGAGATCAGAGAGAGAAAGCTAATGCTTCTCTCTACGATGCCTGTTCGTCTTCCGAATGGTGTTGTTGAGTGATTCCAACTGACATCATATTTTACCGATCTAGATACTCAGCTTGCAGATCGCACCAGCAAACTGCACGCCGTAGCTGCTGCTGCAAGCACCAGCTCAACGCCCAAGCAGAGTGATTCTCAAAGCATTCCAGCTCCCTTGCTAGCGCCATCCAAGAAACTATTAGCTACCGAATCAGGCTCTACTCCGACTGATCTTCTTAATACAGCCCGTGCGGAGCTGTCCGAGGCACAGCGCTCCCGCTATGACTTGCAAGACCGCTTGAATCGAGCAAATATGGAGTTAGAAAAGCTTCACAAGAGGAGCAAGCTGGATGATCGACGGATCAACACTCTAGAAAGTGAGAAGGTGCATCTTCTGCTCCGCTTGAAAGACAGAGATGCCGAGCTGAAAGGGAAAGCCAAGCTTCTAGAGGTAAGCAGTTCTATCATTTTTATTACATTTATGTAAGTCTTAGAGCGAGGCAGATGCTAATATCTTTTGCATGATTAGGATTTCCAAGATGAGATGGCAACACTGAACCTTCAACTCAACATGGCTGAGGATCGGTCCAGTCGACTTAAAAAGGAGAACCAAGATCTGGTTGATCGCTGGATGGCGAGAATGGGTCAGGAAGCTGACGCCATGAACAAGGCTTCAAAATTTTCATAAAATTTTAATGCACTGGGTGAACGACAGGGTTACCGGAAGTCCCTCTGGCGAATTGTACATGAAGAGCGGTGCCTTTTGACTTGGCTGGACCAAATAGATCGCATAGCGCTTGCTTTAGATGTCAAATTATGAAATAATCTGCATGACTGAAACGCCAAATATAGTTCAAGTTTATATGTTCGGAGATAATATCATAAATGAATCCAACAGAAAAGAGAAAAGTATATCCAAAGACAGTGTACTGTACAGCATGCCAAAAAACAATGTACGTGCCAATCCAAAGTGACAATTCAAGCCATCACCATTCATAGAGTGCTGTCCATGAATGACTTAAGCCGAGAACTATCTTTGGTGGCAATGAAATATGTACCGCCAACGTCGGTCCAGCTAACGTTGTTTGACCAATAATTCTTCTGTTGAACTTGAAGGAGGTTGATAGGAGAGTTGAGGTTGCGAGATTGGATCTTGTGGCCTGCCGGGACGAATGACTTGAGTGAGACGATCTTGCAGCCTTCCTTCATATCCAAAAAGTGGTTAATGAGTTCGTTGTTAAGTTGTGGTGTAAACGCTTGATTGTTGATAAGCACCACATCAGCCCGTTTCAAGACACTGATAATGCTCTCTTGCTCGAGAAAATCACCCCGGACAAGATGCGTCTTGCCTGGCAAAAGTCCCCAGAGACGGCATCGCGCTTTGAACTCGGACTGCTGTAACTCGGCCAAATCACAAGCGTTTGACATCATCTCACAGCCCCAGCTCTCACATCCAATTTCGAGAGCGGCTTGTAGGACCACATTACCTACGCCAGATCCAAGGTCGACAAACACCTGGCCTGACTTGAGCTTGGTTTCCTTGAAAATTGTGCTGATGAAGCGCGGGAGGAGCTCTCCATAGACGTTGTCCGTGCCGTTCTCGTATTGCCGAAGGGAGTCGACCCGAGGTGATACTGTGCGCGCATAAATTTGAGTCAAGATTCGCTCTACCCATGGTAAACTGATGCGTTCCGTTGTGTCTAAATGCCTGGCAAGACTGCCGTTGCTTCTCAGTCGCTGGATAGCCTTGTTGTAGTCACCAACAGCCCCCCGAAATTGGCTCTCGGACGTGACAGCCAGAGCTCGGCGTAGCCTTCGCTTGATACCCGTTGTTTCGTCGTTGAACTCGTCTGCCTCTTCACTTGGAATGTAATTGTCGGAGACGGTCTCGATGACCTGCACGATATCGTCGATGGGCCGGAATTCGTCATTGTCTCGAGGAACTACCGAGTCAAACCTAAAAAATGAAAGTTAGCGTGTCTGCTCGTTCAGTCCAAAGTACTCGTTGAAGTCACGTACCTCTCCTGCTGCGAAGCACTGGGGTATTGCAGAAGAATTTGTTTCGGCTTGCCCTCAGCACCGAACGCCGGCTTAAACTTGCCGGCTTTTTGACCCGAGATATCCGCAGCATGCACCATCTTGAAAGGTCGAGACCCCTCCTCCGAGAATGCCTTCACTGACCGAAGCCGCCGCTCCAGGTCGGGCTCGGCACTGGCGCTCGTTCTTGCACGCTTTCGCACCTCGAACGAGGCATCACTATCACTTGCATCGTCATCGCTGGAGAGCCGTTGTTCTGGTGTAGGTCTTTTGCGAATGCGCGAGGGGGTACTGCGTTTCGATGAGCGAGCGTCAGTGTCACTTGAGACTGACTGGGCTTGGAGCGTTTGCGCCTTGCGGCTCCGCTCCGACGAGGATGGGACTCGCGGCGACCGATAATCCGGGGTTTGTGTTGCTGATAGTGTAGGTGCAGGAGCAGCAGGTCGAGTCTGCACGACTTTGCGGATTTGCGCTTTCTTGGGCTGTAGAGAGAAGGCTCCGGCCCCTCCTTTTTGGAGATGATCAAAAAATCCCATGGGGAATATGCAAAATATGAACAAGGTAAGAAATGCAAGGGAGGGAATGCAAAGGACCAAGGATGGAGGGGTGAGAGAAGAAAGAAAAAGAGAGGCTTATCGATTAAGGCGCCACTCGGGGGAACCACGCGATCCCCGGTTGTCTTGGCGCTTTAGCCCGTACCTTGACACCACTTCGTTTCTTATACTCGACTTTACAGTGTTGATTTGTACGGTCTAGTACGTTTTACAATGAAAGCAATGATCGAAACTTGCTGATTGAGAAGAATGAACCCTGGGGTATCACAATGATTTGACTTTTGCTATGTAAACTAGATTCAACTATAGACACATCACATCCTCTATTTCTTCTTCTTTGCCAATCTCTTCTCTGCACGAATATCCTTCTTCATACGGGCATCCACAATCTTGTACTTGCCCTTGACACCCTTGGGACGACCAGAGATACCACGGTTGGCACCCTTGGCCACAACCAACTTGACTTCCTGCTTGGGCTTCTTCTTGCCAGCCTTGCTCATGATCTTGGCAATAGCACCGGCCTTGTCACGCTCGCTGAGAGCCTCGTCGTCTGCCAACAGTGCAGACTTCTTGCGGAGCTTCTCCAAGCGCTGGGCGGCCTTGTACTTCTTACGGCCCTTGGCCTCCATGACCTTCTTGATGGGACGAGCATTGATGGCACGCATCTTTTCTCTGATGGCAGCGGCGGCAGCCTTGGTGGTGGGACGGACCATCTTGCTGTGCTGGCCCTCGTCGTCAATGAACCACTCGGGCAGACCGTCAACGTCACGGAAGGAGAATCGGTTGAAGCCATCGTCGATAATGTCGTTCGACTTCTTCTCACCGGTAGCCATTGACTGCGCAAGAGCCATAGCTTCAGCAGTAATAATATCGATATCTTTAGAGAAGGTTAGTGGTGAATCTTATAAGTCTCAATATCAACACCAACTTACCCAGCTGGCCCTTGGCGTTCTTCGGATCTCCAAGGTCGACAGGCTCGCCCTGATCAGACTCATCTTCCCATTCCGAGTCCTTCTTGGCGTTCTTCTTAGCATCCTTCTTGTTCTTTTGCTTAGAAACAGGGGCCTTCTCGACGTCCGAATCATCGTCCATTTCGAAGATATTGTCGCCTTCGTCCTCCTCTTCCTGCTCTTCTTCCTCCTCCTCGTCGTCTTCCTCGACTCCTAGGTCTTGGAAGATATCTTGATCAAAGAACAGGGAGGCGTTGTTTGAGAGGTTTCCGGGACGAGGTTCTGTGTTTGAGTCGGCCATCTCTTCGTCTTCGTCCTCGTCTTCCTGTTCCTCTTCCTGCTCATCATCGCTGCCCTTGTTCTCGTCAGAGAATCCGTCCCATTCGTCCTTTTCGTATTCTTTGCGGTTCTTCTTGGCACGCAATTTCGAATCCTTGTCTTCCTTGCGCTCTTGGTATTTCTCATACAGAGTATCAAGCTCCCGCTCAAGACGATCGCCTTCATCATCGCTCTCCTCATCTTCATCATCTTCATCATCCTCGCTTTCACTTTCGGGTTGAAGGTCACGAGCGTTGAAGACCTTGTCTCTGGCACCCTCACGGTCGACGCGCTTAATAGAGAAAGTTGTGTCATCGCCTCCCATTCCAGGCTGCTCCATACCAATTTCCATAGGCGTGGTCATGTTCATCTGCAGACGGACAATCTCCTTGCGCTTCTTTTCGTTTTCCTTGCGTCTTTGCTTCTTGCCCTTGGCAGTCTCCTGCTCGCGCATGCGCATAAGATCTTCTTGGATGGCCAACTCTTCGTCCATGGGGGCGACTTCGGCGACTTCTTCCGCATCTCCCTCCTGGGTCTTCTTCTTGACAACGAGACCGAACTTCTCGCGAACCTTGATTCGCCATCTGAGTAGGTTACGGAACTCCTTCTTACCGAGAACCTTCAGATCCTCACAGCAAGTCCGGATCTCCTCTGTAGTGTCCTCTAGACGTTCAAGAGTAGACATGGCAAGATCTCCACCGGGAGGTTGCTGGAAACTGAGCTTGTTGTAACCACCCAGAATCGAGATGGGGTCTGTTGTGTTGATGAACTCGGTGACAGGGAGCTCTTTGAACTGAGTGTAGTCTCCCTCCTCGTAACCTTCACGCTTGCGCTTCTTCTTCTCCGGGTTGAAAACCTTCGCCTCGTAGTTGGGAGTAGGGGCAGAAAGTTCAGCAAAGACGTGCTTAGGGTCGAGGAACTTGGGGTCGATACGCTTAGGGGCCTTGTATCCGCGGCAGACGACGAAAATTTCGGCAGAGACATTACGGGACGAAGGAGGCTTGGTGGCCTCGACGGAAGTGAACAGCTGCTTGAAAACCCACAGCAGGGGGTTGTAATCCTTGGAACGGAAGACCTTGGTGACAAAGCTTCCGCCCTCGGCCAGGAAATCGGTGGCGAGTCTCAGGGACTCCAGAACCAGTTCAGCCTGGGAGAAAGCATCCTGTACCCAGGCGGCACCGACGTTGGGAGCGCCATCGTGAAGAACAATGTCTGCCTTCCAGTGCTTGATGTGGGACTTGATCGTTGCGCGACATTTTTCCGTTGTGATATCGCTCTGGAAAGTAATGGCTCGGGGGATGGGTTTGATTGGAGAGAGATCGACACCGATAATCAGACTCTGTGCTGGCATGTACTCTGCGGCAACTTGACACCATGACTGTAGAGAAGTTAGATATGCGGCTTTTCACAAGAATTTTGGTGACACTTACACCAGGCGCAGCGCAAAGATCGATACAGACTCTGCTCTTCTCCAGGAAACCATACTTTTGGTTCAATTGGATCAACTTGAAAGCAGCACGGGCACGGTAACCCTTCTCTTTGGCTAGCCGATACCACTTATCCAAACGACCTTTTCCATGCTGTAGATAGTCAGTATGTGAAGCGAGGTCAACAGAGAGAAAACAGGACTAACCTTCTTCTGAATCGCCATTTTGACGGAAAGCTGATCTGATCAGACCAGAAAAACGTCGGAATTAAATGACTGGGGAAAAGAGCGAATGTATACTTTTCCCTCGAAGATCCGAGAAAAAAAAAATGGCAATATGTATCGTTGACCGCCTTTGGACGGGTTCCAAGTTCTCCAGTTTGTCTACTACCACCATCAGCTCAAAAGTCATGTGCTCGTCTTTCTGCCGCTTTTTGATTTCAACTTCTTCACTTTAACTATACTAACGTTATGTCAGTTGACTTGCTTAACACCATTACAATATGTACTAGCTACTTACCCATAAGGGTGCTATAATCCTATTTCCACTTTGTAATATACCTTTTCTTGTTTACTATATTCTCATACAACTATCAATGCTCTTTTCAATGCTCTTTTTAATACTTAATCTGTACAAAGACAAGAGAGTATAAAGGCGGTAGGATAGGCGGTGAGAAAGTAATATCCGGGGCACGTGACCTGTGAGCTGATGGCGATAGTGGATTGCACTAGGCCTGAGGCCAAAAAGTGGTGCCAAACATGTGACGTGATATCATTCAGGCACCCTCTCTTTCGTGGCGTTAACATGCTCGTTCACTGATTGCATAGCTTTACTGATGTTTTTACCTCTACCTCCATGACGAAGGGATCTCGCAAGAGAGTCAAGCCTAGCCCCTCCGGCGAGGACTCGCCGACTCCAGCGCCTAGTGATGTTCGAGATCGTTCTGACTCCCAGTCGAGAGGGCATAATGCAGTGCGTGTTGGGATTGTCTAAATTTCGATCTCTCTCGCTAATCGAATTCTGTTATAGAGCTGGTATCCCGGGTCCTGGTCATCCGTTGCCAGAGTCTCCAAAGCGGCCCCGGTTACCGAGGTTGCCCGTGAGAGCATTTCGGCAGCGAGAAATGTAGCTTCGAGCTTCACAGCCTCGTCGACTTCTCTCCTTGATACTCCCAATAAGATTCGACATCCTTCCCTTCAACTCACAAGAAAAGCGGGTGCCTCGGCCAGATCTCTCCCCGCTGATGCTACTACAACCCGTGTCAACATTGCATCAGATGGTTCGGCCTCCACTCCAACCATCGATAATACCGGAGAACCTAGTGCTTCAGGGACAGTAACACCCGATAAAGAAGCGTTTGGCGAGAACGATACTAAGCCACCGGAAGAGCCCGCCAAGGAACAGGACGCGACCCCTAACGCCGATCCTAACACGTTGCATGCAGGATATACTGAGGGCCCCGAACAGTACACTGGTGGCTGGCTCTCATGGATATACGGTCCAGCAAATACATCCAACAGTGCCGCGACTGCAACAGAACCTACAGGGCCTACAAAACGTGCCGCGGAACCCGAGACAGAGCAGGCAGAAAGTCAGTCTGCTGTGAACGACGTCGTAGCCGAAGAGGAACCAACAGAACCGGAGCCAGAGCAGACGAAGGATACTCTAGAAGTCACTCCATCGGCGCAGAAGCGATCTTGGCTTCAGATGTGGTACGGTTCTGACGCGCCCAGCAAGCAAGAAGAGACATCAGCTTCAGAGCCCACAGTGCCTTCGACGAATGCCGAATCCACCGAGACTGCCGAAATTGATATGACACCAAAGGATCCCCCTGATGAGGCAAGAGAGCCTGCTGGAGGATCACAGACCCCGGTTAGGACTACTAAATCATCTGGCTGGTCATTCTGGTCCAAGGATCTGACAAGGGACGGACACTCGGACAAACCGCAGCAAGGCGAAGCAGTTGAAGCATCGGTTGAACCACAAACCCCATCCAAGCCTGCAACTCTTGACCCAGAACCAGAAACAAATGTGAAGATCACCCAAAAGGGCAGCATCAAAGTAAAGCCTCCCAAAGACAACCGTGCCAAAGATGGACCTGTACCTACAATCGAAACCACCTCCACAACCTCATCACAAGCTGAGCCTCAACCATCCGATACCGCCGCCTCAAAGCAATTACAGAAAATTCTCCCCAACCAGGTATTGCCACGTTTCGAAGAAACATACTCATTTGAGGAGTCGCCTTCTCTCTTCCAGAGTCTAGGTCGATTCCTTCATTATGGAAAAGGTCCAGAACTCAAACATGTTAGCAGGGTCAAGGACCCGCTGCATGTCAAACGCGCTCTGGCTATTGGTGTCCATGGATATTTCCCAGCTCCGTTCATTCGGAGTGTTCTCGGACAACCCACAGGTACATCAATCCGGTTCTCTAATATGGCCGCGGATGCCATTCGCAAGTACACAGAAAGCCATGGCTATTCTTGCAATATTGAAAAGATCGCCTTGGAAGGAGAAGGCCGCATAACAGAGCGGGTAGACCTACTCTGGAAGCTGCTCCTAAACTGGATGGAGGAAATCCGCAGAGCAGATTTCATTATGGTTGCTTGTCACAGTCAAGGAGTACCAGTGGCGATTATGCTGGTTGCGAAGCTGATCCAGTTTGGCTGCCTTGACGCTAAAAGAGTCGGGATTTGCGCTATGGCTGGTGTAAACCTCGGTCCCTTCCCTGATTACAGATCTCGCTGGATCAGCGGCTCGGCAGGAGAGCTGTTCGAGTTTGCACTCCCTTTCAGCAATGTCTCGAAGGCGTATGAGGCAGCTCTTAAGTGTGCTCTTGACTTTGGTGTTCGAATTTCTTACATCGGCAGTATTGACGATCAACTCGTTTCTCTGGAGGTGTGTATATTCCTTACCTGTCATATACTATTCAACTAACTTGCTCGCAGTCCTCTCTCTTTTCACCCATAGCGCACCCTTACGTCTACCGCGCCGTGTTCGTAGATGGCCGCGTCCATGCCCCAAGTTTGTAAGTAACACTCATCTCCATCCACCCAACACTAAAATACTCACCACCGAATCCAGCCTCTCCCACTTAGTCGGCTTCGCCCTCAAACTCCGAAACCTGGGCATATCAGACCACGGCCTAATCCGCGAACTAAGCGCCCCACTAGCAGGAAGTCTCTATACCGGAGAAGGCCATTCTCGCCTGTACGATGACGAAACTGTGTATTCGTATGCCCCTCCAACCCCCTAAACTACCCTATTTCAAAACTTACACAACCACCCGTCTAGCATGGCCATCGAATTCGCCCTGGAAACATCCTCCGTCCCAGATTCAACAATAAGCATCAAACGAGCCAGCGGCTCCATCACTCCAAATCCATATATCCTTCCCTTCGCCATGCGCGGTCTTTTAGAAGAAGAATACGTGCGCCGCGAATTGCACGACGAAACGATGGAGTTACTTCGGCAGTTTGATGACTGGAAACCTTCCAGTAAGGTGTTGAAGGATGTCAAGTTCCGGCTTGAGGGGATCCGGTCTAAATTGTAGATTTGGGACCAGTTAAGGGATCACTGTCATATATCATCTGGGGGGATATTTGCTGGTTAGCATTTGGTTAGAATGGAAATAAATATGTCGTTCCTTTTCTGGGGATTGCTTTTGGTCCCTGGGTATATATATATATATATATATATATAACCTTCAATGAAGATCATGAATTATTACATTGCTCTTTCGGTATTGATGTTGGTGAAATTGGTTGAATGTGGTATGATGTGATAGAATCTGGTTTCATGTGCGTACAGAACCATCGATGCAAGTTGTGAATCCCATGCCGTGAACGCCGAAGCCTTCCCCGTCCAAATTGAAAATTAAAACAGAAAAAGCAGAAATGAAGAATAGTGGAGATATAAGTCGTAAAAAGGAAGAGATCATGGATATGCACATAGTAGGCCTGGATATACCCAAGAATAAAGAAAAACAAAAAAAAAAAAAATAACAGAAACCTCAGATTGAACAGATCATGCTGGGAACGCTGTTTTATATGCACCTTCGATTTCATCTAGTAATAAGTCAGCAAGTGAGCAGATAACTCCAGGCTATCAAACCAAAAAGAGTCAAAAGAAACTCACCTCTCATCCCATCCATCGCCTCAAAAGCAATTGAATAATTCGAAACAGCAGCAACAATCCTCTGTAGCCCCTGCCTCAGCTCCTCAATAAGCTGACCGGTTGAATCATCCCCGCGTTCACCATCAGCATCAAGAGAAAGCTGCTTCGCCACACGAGCCTTGTAAAAGATCATGAACATCGCATAGCTACTCTGCATAAGACAGCACGCAAAAGAAGGCATAGTGCGCGGTAGAGGCCTCCTCCGCTGGCCCTGAGAATGATTATCAGAAAGCGGTTGCGGGACCGGCAAGCTCTGGAACATGCGCGAGATAACGAGGGATGCCCGTAGGCATATTTTGGCCGATTGTTGCGTGCTGTAGGGGAAGCCTGAAGCGAAAGGGTATTGCGAGTATTGGGGGGCGTAGGTGTTGGTCATGTTTGAGAGTTCTGGGTGGATTTCTGAGGATGTTGTTGATGAGTCGGATGGTGTCATGTATTCTGTTGACGTGGCTCGTCGGAATGTGTCTAGGCTGCTGCAGGAACAGGTTACGTTATCTATTCCTGATGTGTTTAGTTCGATTGATTTTTCTGTGGTTGGTGTGGGGTTGGCGTTTGCTGCCGTTAGGTCGCAGTGTCGCTTTATGAAGATTGGGATGTCGGAGAAAGCTCGGAAGCGGTGCGTTTTGATTTGTGCGCTGGATGTGTTGGTTAGGTGTTGGTTTTAGAGGGGTTTGGGGTGAATATGTACCTGGCTAGTTTGATGCGGGCTATTGCGCGAATGCTTTGTGCTGTGATGGATTCGTTATGGTCGCCGAAATCTGATGATTGGGGCATGATTGGGAGTAGCTCTGCTTGGGTGATTACAGAGGTTGTCCATGCGTCCAGTTGTTGCATGCGTTCAAACATATAGTACATGCCTGACTGCGAAGAAAGGCATTTGTTGAGATCTCCGATGAACTGAGTTGCTGATACTAGGACTTGTTGGGCCTGTATCAGAATTGACCAACCCTAAAAAGAGTTAGAAAATCACAAGTGTGGCAAGGATTGTTTGAATCTGCGAACCTCGGTATCAGACGAGAAAGATGGGTATGGCGTCGTAAATTGGGGATCATTAATGACAATGGCAGGCATCTGTTCTCATGAGCGTCAAATTCACAATGAACGGACAAATGATACCCACTGTCGTGCTCACAATAGACCCTTGCATAACACAGTAATACTAATAAATAGTCAGACAGGATCCCATACTCGGCGCTAAAAAGAAACAAACCGTCAACCACCAAGCTCTCCGTCTAGCCTCCGAGAATTCATCATTCCCCATCTGCGCATGAAGCGATTTATCCAAAGCAATAGCCAAAGCCTGACCAGCCCGATATCTCATCTTAAGCAGATTCCCCCGTTGCGCATATTCGTAAACGGAAAGAACCAACAAGGCAAGAAGGCTTTCAAGATCCACAGGCGTCCTAGAATGGAATCTTTCGCGCCCCACAAATGGTCGAGTGGCGGACAAGGCCTGACCAGGATCCGTTGCCGACAAATCGAGATCACACTCAGCCTCGATGGTCGAGTTTGCAAGCTGGGCGAAACTGTGCGCGTAGGCTCTGCGCTGAATAACAGATGCCGCAGACGATGGCTCGAGGTCGCTTGGGTGCGGAATCAAAGCTAAGATTGCGGAGATTGCAAGACTTAGTGGTGATCGGGGTCGATACATCATCATTGGTTCGGATGTGTTAGGACCTGGAACGGGGACGTTCAAGGGTCGATCTCGGCATGGCGGTGATACCCGTGGTGGTAGAATTGGGAAATAGTTATGAATGAAATCGTAGTAGGCGTTCAATCTAGGCGAATGTATAAGGAAATTGTCCAATGTCACGCTTCAACAAAACTCACATCTCCGGCTCACTTCCATAGGTCCTTACGAAGGACTGGGAGCTGGTCATGGACGGCGGCATTGGTGGCACTTGCATATGCGATTGGCCTTCGCCAGTAAAGAAGCCCTGGAACATGGATGGCATTTCAGGTTGAAAATCGAGATGTCGTAACCCCGCGCCAGGCAGAGAGAGATCATCAATTTGACTAAACATCCCCGATGCTGAGCTCTCGTTAGTGACTTGGTGGAGCGTGGGTCTTCGCAGAATTGGAACATACCATCTTCGAACTCTGGAGGCGAAGGCATAGTAACATATTGTGCATCATCCTGCCTAGACTCAGCTTCAGGCGAGTGAGAAGCCTTTTCCTTCTTTTTTCGTGGACCGCCTCTCTTGCTGGGGAGATATGAGCATTCACGGTCTTTGCTAACACACTAAAAAGTAGATCGATAGTTAGTTCCAACAAACCCCTAACAACAGTGCCAACCCCCAAAATACATCCCCCCCCCCTTCCCACCAAAATAAACCAACATACATTCGAACAGGGCATTTGGCCGCCACATCGAGTTCGCGACGCCCGACTGGAAGAAATTAGCGGGGAACCTCCATTAAAAGAAAACGAGACCGGGATTTGCGCACCAAGGCAAACAAGCTACCTTCACAGGCGGTTTGGCGAACTTCTTGCGAACCGGCCGCGCCGTCGAGGCAAGCCCGTTATAATCGTGGAAGTCGGTCATGGCCACAACTATGGGAATCTCCGATTTCACCAAAGGCTTTCGCCGAATGCTACATCAATTCGCAAAAACACCCATTAGTTGAGGCGCATTTTGCGGCTCAACATACAGGTAATAAAATAAAAGGTGAGTCTGAAAGAGAGTGATATAGAAACTTTTGCGGTGATCTTCGCAAATCCCGAGCCGTGGAGGTTTCGGGATTTGCTTTCTGTAACTAAGCAGAGCCCACCCCGAATTGGAGATTTGTCAATGCATGCATACCGCTATGGTTTTGAGTGTTGGGACTTTGATATCGGTGTGCGTAATTGTGGGTGTGTCTAACCGGATGTCTGTGGTATATTCAGATTGCATTTACACCAGAAGAGCGAAGGCATACCAAGTGGTAATGTCTGTACAAATGTTACTCATAGTAAACAGTGTGCAATGGCCATGAAATCTCGTAATTTTACTGCCTGAAACATAGTCACGTGCATGCTAGAATGCGATGATGTAGCGATCCAATTTTATTCTTTGATGTGTGGATGAAGAGAGCTTGTGGTGATCGATCAAATTCCAAGTGGGTCTGAGTGTATCCTAATCCGCTTGGCGTAATATTCCCATGAAGGGGGGCGCATTTTCCAATTCGTAAGTGCATGTACATTTCAGGCATGGGCCTTGCCCTTTCCAAGGGGGAGCTTGATGCCCGCTACATGTCGTACACTATCCCAGACACTGTCGGGCACCTTCACGGGCAGTTTGTGTCCCTTCAACTGCTGATCGATCAACCACATTCCAACCACGAATTCTTCTCGAACTAGTAATCCCATATTTTGATGATCCACAAGATCCCACACTTGCTCCAGAATCACGTCCGGGAGCCGACTGCGGGACCAGATCTCGCGGACAACGAGGTTAACTACCATATCCGAGGAATTCGGGGGCCAGCTGCCGTCTCCACACGGGCCGGGGACCCGATCCTCTATGCTGGGGATGAGGAGCCCTTTGTTCGAGGCCCAAACACCTTCATACCGTTTGCGTTCCTTCTCCGTCACTTCGCGTCGCCAGCGCTTACGATCTCCTTCGTGGTGCTTGTGGGGATGCTTGTGAAGGAGGTTTCTGTGTTTGCGATGATCGGCTTCCGTGGCTTTCGGCATGCCGCGGAGTGTCTGTGGCATGCCCTTCGGGGGACTCGGGGTCCTGGATAGATCACTTTTGGGCGAGTGTGCCAGATGTAGAATGGACCGTGCCCTCCGTCGCTGGGGAGGCAGCGGTGGGGGAACCTTGATTGCTGGCGATGCGCGTGATGATGCGAGGGAGGATGCGACAATGGCGTTAGATAGTGCTTCCTCGCTCATTCCGCTGGATTCATTTCTTAAGCTTGATGTGCTAGACTTGTAGGATAATCCCGGTGTTGAGATTGCACCCGGGGTTGAGGGTCGCAGGGGGTTTGGGGGAGCTCCATGACTTCTGACAGACCCTCGTGATGGAGGTAGTCGTGGTGGAAGTCTGGGTTTGGCTTCTTTGGGTGGCACGGAAGAATGCCGCGGCTCGAAAGATGGCAGAGAACTTGCGATGCGAGTATCAGGACCATCTATCGTTATCCTGGATTGTTGAGATGGAGGGCGCTCGTAGCTTGGCACATCATCGGATTCCAATTCGTCCTGTATCATGCGATCCAAAGAGCTGCGTCTCCGAGGCATTGGACGAAGAGGAGTTGGTGATCGCAGCTCCTGCTTCTCTGGCTCGGGGTTGGATGTTCGCATCCTGCTTGCGCTCCGCAACGCGCCCAGCCTGGCAGCTGAAATTGGAGTTACTGGCAGCGGCGCGCTGGGGTCACGCGCAGGGGACCTTGACGCGGCGAGTCGGGCTGCAATTCGCTCAGGACCTGGCGCGAGAGATGAGGCTGAAGGTCGACCTCGCGCGCTCATCGGAGGGGAAAGCGGTCGTGCCGTCAATCTCCCGATCTTGTCCTTTACGGAGCCCACTTCGGGACCAGTGTCGGATCCAGCCGGCTGGTGTACCAACTCATGATTATCCACTTTGCTTGCGAGAGCCGCAGCGAGTGCGGCTGATGGTTTGTTCTTCACGGGTGATGGATCTCTGGAGTGCCGGAAGGCCAAGGTGGCGCCTTGTCGAGCGGCGTCATTGCGGGACATGGCCCGCTGGTTCACGGAAGAAGCGGAATCGCCATTCATGGATCTGAAGTCCCTGCAGCCGTTGGATATGTACACTCTGTTGTTGATGTGATGTGGTCTGGCAGGATGTGGAGCCCGTGCGCGACCGTCCACGTTGTCAACGTCGAACATCGAACGTCCCCTGTACAACTCCCTACTTACTCTACTATTACTACCCTGTACCTTGAATGAATGGACAAATTAGACCAGGAGAGATACTCATACTTTCTGTCATTTACCAGAACATCTACCAATAATATCATCGATCCCCCTCCACTTCTTCCCCCAGATTTAATTAACCGAGGCCGGGGCATTCGCGTTTAAATAGAGGCCAATCGCCAATCACCTCTCGTGACTTTCGTCCAGGGTTCTCCGCATCCTTCAAGGCTCTTTCCCCCTCATTCCTGCAACTTTCAGCTTGCATGGGAATGTTGTCCTTTTGAAGAACTGGAGTCATGCTCTCCGGCAAAGATGCCAGTCCAATTGGACGGGAGATCAGCGAACCCCCAGATGATCAGGAACGAGACGACCTGGGGTCTGGCCACATCCAATGCTCCATTTGTAGTAGCACTTTCCGACGACCGGAGCATCTGAAACGACATTTGCGCAGTCACACCAAGGAGAAACCCTTCGAGTGCGCTCAGTGCGGCCGACACTTTTCTAGGACGTATGAGACTTCTACTGATCCTGACATGAGCCAAACTAACATCTAGGGTTGCAGCGATACTCTCCACCGACACGAACTGAGCCATCACACACCAGGGAGTGAAGGCGGGAAAGATCGCGCTCACCGAATCACCGTCAAAACGTTCCGAGCATGCTTTAGTTGTGCGACAGCACGAGTTCGATGTAGCGGTGGCATACCTTGTAAAAGATGTGACACTCGCACACTTGAATGTCAATATCCAACACAGAGGCGATCCAAAGCGAAAGCCATGAAAGAATCAGACATGCAAGATGCCGAGACAACCAATCACGACAACCCTGAGTCTGCACATACCAAGTTGAACTCTTGTCAAATGAGCCAATTTTCCATCAACCCTCCCAATACAGGCCTGATATCCAAGCCCTCGATCAACACATTCTCTACTGTTGCCAATGATCAAACAAAAAAAATACCTCAAAGCACCCAAAACACTATCACAGTTGCTTCGAACTCTCATTTTTATCTACCAAATGCCGCACAGGGGTCATCTACAACACAACTTCCAATAGGTGTATACCCGAACGGAGATCAAAGTCAAGCATATGGGGATCTATCGAATCCTGGCGCCCCAAAAGCATTCCCAGTCAACCAACCTACCGGTTTAAACCCTGAAATGAGAGGCCTTCAACCAGAAATGACCAATGAAGCAGTTGGCATTGAGATGGCCATGGCCAACAACCCCGAGGTGTCACTCGAATTTGATCCTGCGTTTTTCGACCAGTCCATGCTTTCTACTCTTAATTGGCTGCCCAATGAATTGCTTTCCGGTCCATCGGACCAGTCACAGTCTACCGGTGCCCCGTCGCAATACAATACATCCCTCGGCCAAGGGGCTTATTTCTCTGGGGCAGCATGGCAGCCACCTGTTGTGAGCGCCGGACAAATTAGTCCTTTGCGTCTGGGAAATGTTTCTCAGTCTCCTTCTGTGCATGTTTCCCTGGGAAATAGCATGGAAAGCCCCAATCAATATTCTCACCCTATGAGTGAGACCTCCCCGCATACTGAGACAGTAGACTCTGCCAAACGATCAGCAGACTACTACGTCGATGGTGCTGGAGCCAGACTACCGAAGTATAGAAAAAAGCACACGCCTTGGTCGAGCTCTTCTGTCGAGCCAACCGATATTGGAAGACAACTGCTCTTGGAAGACGGCGAGCATCGATTTAACTTCCCTGTCATCTCCGAGATCAGAACAGATCAAGTGTCAGAAGAAGTGGCACATCTTGCTCAACGAATCGAACCATCTACCTACGATGGAATATATCGACATTTTGTTTTACTTTGCCGCAACGAAAACCCACTCTTTGATACCTTTGAGTCGGATGGTTTTCCTACTGTCGACGAATGCAACTGGTTCATTGCGTTCTTCTTCGATTCCTTCCAGGCTGTTTATCCGATACTACATCTTCCGACTTTCGATCCCAATACTTGCCACTGGCTTTTGACATTGTCAATAGTAGCAGTTGGCTGCCATGTCTCACATATCACTGAGATGGAACAGTGTAGCAGTGGCTTTCATGAACTGATCAGACGGGGAATTTATGTCGAGGTAAGCACATTATATGCGCATATTCTTGCTGTTCACTGATTATTTGATCTCACAGAAGGAAAAAAGTGGCCATCGCCTGGCTTCTCTCGAGCTTTTGCAAGCCATGCTTTTCAATTGCATTGGACTTCTTCACAGTCGAAACGAGCGAGACAAAATCTCAGCTTTGAGCGCCTTTAGTGATTTGGTCACATTGATGAAACGAGATAGGCTATTGGAGCCAATTCCAGTAAACTTCAGCGGCGCCTCACAAGAAGCAGCTTGGATATCTTGGATTCAAGATGAAGTCAAAGGGCGCACAGGATACTGCATATGGGTAAGCCTTCAGATCAAAACATTATAGCATATTACTGACAGGGCTTAGCTTGTGGATTGTACCCTCGCCTATTATTTCGATGACCGACCACTTCTATCCTTAGACGATGGGCAAGCCGCGTTACCTGCCCAGGAGAAAATATGGCAAGCAACATCCGCGGAAAAATGGAAGCAGCTATGGGAAAATTCAACCGGTACCTTAAACCCAGACCCTACAGCCAGCCACAACCTAACACCCCCAGTGAATGAATCCCTCTACGACGCCGTCCATATTCTCTATATTGAAAAGCGTTTAGTCTCAGGAATAGGAGAATTCAGCCACGTCCTCCTAATCCACGCTCTCTACCACAGAATGTGGGAAGTAGGCGACTACTTCCGCCGCCCCCTTTCGTTCTGGAATCCAACAGCAAGAAAGCAATCCCGCGAAACCGCCATCCCAACTGGATCAGTCTGGCTACCAGGAATTCCCTCATACTCCAAATGGCGCAATAGCGCCTGCGACTGCCTCGACATCCTCCACTGGACGGCCAACAGCACAATAGCAAAAGCAGCAGGGCTCGAACACGCAACAGTCCTACACCTCCACTCCGCCCGCCTCTTCCTCCTAGCCCCATTCCGCGAAATGCGCACCCTGGCCATCTCCCTCGCTACCGAGAAACTCCGCTACAGCAAACGCCACCAGTCGCTCGAGTGGCAGTATATCTGGCGCTGGATGAAACACGATCAGTATAAAGCCCGCCTGTCGATTATTCATGCGGGCGTTACGCTCTGGCATGTGCGTCGCTATTCGACAAATGCTTTCCATGAACCCCTCGCGGCATTCATTGCCGTTTTGACTCTGTGGGCGTATGGTTCTTGTCATGCGCATGCATCTCACGAGTCAAGTCCGCATTCGCAGGCCCCGCGCGCTGAGCCGCTTCATGAGCCGAGTTTTATTCATCTTGATCGGCCGTGTGATGATGAGCTTGTGCAGCTGTTTGTTAGAGAGGGCCACGCTATGCGTGGTAATGTTACTGGTGTTGGGGATATTTGTGGGGTCGAGGGTCCTGAGCGGCTTTTGCGTGTTGGCTGTGAGATCCTTTCCGGGTTGACGGCTTGGAGTATTTCGAAGAGGTTTGTGGCTATTTTGACGAGGCTTGCTGACTTGAGCTCTTATCATTCTTCTTGGGAGCAGAGTCGTCGTCAGGAGGGTGAGCAGGTTTGATTTTTTTCTAGATGCTTGTCATGTAAATTAGTTGTTTGCTCTGACTTTTTGTTTGCGATATACCCTCAATAAATGATACATCATTGATTGTCAATGTTCGGTCAGGGGTTATGAGCATCTTTGTATATCAGTCACCGCATGATTCAAATGGTAAACATAAGGCACTCGAAAATGAAAAAAAGAAGAGGGTTTAAAAGAGCTAGCAGAAGAGTGCTCAAATAGAGCCATAACAGTTGATCAAACTGCCCGATACCTCACAGCATGTGTACAGACGTATGGCCTCTGTAGATCTATGCGGCTCTGTGCTTATCTCTTATCGGCTGCAGCCTAAAAACATCCGGGGAACTTCTCCAACTCTCCAACTTCCCAGCTTTCTCCTCTCCTTTAACATGGATTCCGACGAGATCATGGGCTTCCAGCCCCCACAGCCAGATAAATCAGAGGATTTGGATGAAAAGTGAGCTTTCAGATATCAACCGACCAAGCTCCAACAGCTAACTCTCGAATGCGCCAGGTACCCCAACAGACCTCACAATCGAGGTCCAACACTTCCATTCCACGACCTTTACCTCAGTCTCTTCAACCCACTCAATGAAATCAAGAAAAAGCCAACAGGCCCAGCTCCGGCCCATCGGGGACTCGGAACACACGGCAAAAGTGCCACGGGGCTCAACCCATACGAACGTCGGCGCGATGTCATCGAACGCTTCATTTCACGATGGCGCAAAGACGTCGGTGATGACATTTACCCAGCTCTTCGCCTAATTCTTCCTGACAAAGATCGCGACCGACCAATGTACGGAATAAAAGAGAAGATAATTGGAAAGATGCTCGTCAAAATCATGAAGATCACCAAAGAATCAGAAGATGGTTATAACCTCATGAACTGGAAACTCCCCGGCCAAGGAGCAACAGCACGCATGGCAGGCGACTTTGCCGGGCGCTGTTTTGATATTCTCTCGAAGCGGCCTATGCGGACCGAGCCGGGTAATATGACTATCGATGAGGTTAATGAGAAGCTGGATAAGCTGTCTGCTGCGTCGAAGGAAGACGAGCAGTTACCTATCCTGAAAGAGTTTTATCTGCGTATGAATCCTGAAGAGCTTTTGTGGCTTATTCGGATTATCCTTCGGCAGATGAAGGTTGGTGCTACTGAACGGACGCTGTTCAATGTCTGGCATCCCGATGCGGAGAGTCTATTCAGTATCTCGAGTAGTCTGCGTCGGGTATGTTGGGAGCTTCATGATCCTAAGATTCGGCTTGAGGGGGAGGAGCGTGGAATTGCTGTTATGCAATGTTTCCAGCCTCAGCTTGCGCAGTTCCAGATGCATTCGTTTGAGAAAATGATTTCTCGGATGAAGCCTACAGAGGAGGATAATGTTTTCTATATTGAGGAGAAGTTGGATGGAGAACGGATGCAACTGCACATGACGCCCGACGACTCAGTGGAGGGAGGACGGAGATTCGGCTTTTGGTCTCGCAAAGCCAAAGAATACACCTATCTCTATGGGAATGGCATCTATGACGAAAATGGTGCTTTGACAAGGCATCTTAAGGATGCTTTTGTGGATGGTGTGCAGAGTATCATCCTCGACGGCGAGATGATCACTTGGAATCCCGAACAAGATGCCATTGTCCCATTCGGCACTCTCAAAACCGCAGCATTGGCAGAACAGCGCAACCCCTTCTCCAATGGTCCTCGGCCAGTGTTTCGCATTTTTGATATCCTTTATCTCAATGGGCGAGATCTAACGAAATACACACTTCGCGATCGTCGGAATGCATTACAGAAGACCGTCCGATCTGTCCACCGCCGTTTTGAAATACATCCCTATCAAGAAGCGACTACAACTGCAGAGATCGAAACAGCGCTGCGAACCGTCGTTGCGGAGGCATCGGAAGGTCTCGTTCTAAAGAACCCTCGCTCTCCATACCGGCTCAACGAGCGCCACGATGACTGGATGAAGGTCAAGCCAGAATACATGACTGAATTTGGAGAATCACTCGATGTGGTTGTAATTGGCGGATACTACGGCTCGGGCCATCGTGGAGGCGCCCTATCCAGCTTCCTCTGCGGACTACGAGTAGATGAAACTGCCGTTGGATCAGAACCAGAATCCATGAGATGCTGGTCCTTCTGCAAAGTTGGTGGTGGATTTACCGCAGCTGATTATCAAGAACTCCGTCACCATACAGACGGCAAATGGAAAGAATGGGATGTGAAAAAGCCACCGACTGAGTATATCGAATTGGCTGGCGGGGACGCCCAGATCGAACGTCCTGACATGTGGATCAAGCCCTCCGACTCTATTGTGCTGTGCGTGAAAGCTGCGTCTGTGGCAGTTAGTCCGACATTCCGCATGGGATTGACATTGCGTTTCCCTCGCTTCAAGAAATTGCGGAAGGATAAGGATTGGAAGAGTGCTCTTTCTGTTCAGGGATTCCTTGATCTCAAGTCTAATGCAGAGCAAGAACATAAGGAGAAAGAGTTCTCTGTGGACAATTCTCGGAGGAAGCGAGTGAAGAGAACTACTAAGAAGCCGATGACTGTTGCAGGACATGATGAGAAGGTTAACTTGCAGGACCTTGGTCCTTCTGGGCATGTGTTTGATGGACTCAATTTCTGTACGGGTCTTCATTGACTTCGTTCTAGTCGTGCCATACTAACCTATCTACTAGTCATCATGAGCGAGTCAACTGTCCCGGAAAAGAAGACAAAGCCTCAGCTGGAACAACTCGTGAAAGCTAATGGTGGCAAGATCTATCAGACCAAGGCAGCCGCGGCAGATATGATCTGTGTCGCCGAACGAAGTGAGACTCAAGTGAAACAGTATAAGCAAGTATATACTGACACGCTTTATACAGGAACCGTCAAAGTAGCTTCCTTACAAAAGAGTGGAGATCAAAACATCATTCGACCATCCTGGCTTCTAGATTGTGTCAAGCAAAATGAGAGAGATGCAGGCTTGCCCGACTTCCTCTTGCCATTAGAGCCCAGGTATGTCTCGGCAACAGCCATGAAACATTAGTAAACAAATTTTAACAAGTTTGATAGACACATGTTCTTCACAATGAAAGACCAGGAAGCAGAGATCGCAACAAACGTCGACAAATACATGGACAGCTATGCCCGCGATACAAGTGTCGATGAGCTAAGAGAGGTATGACTCCATCTAGAATTCTTCGAGGGACTTGACTAACAACTACCCACCCATGCAGATCTTTAGCCAAATGAATAAAACCCAAGACGAACCCAACGGCTCGCTCGATCAAACCACCATCCAAAGAATTGAATCCCAGATCCAAGATAAAATAAATGCGGGCTACACAGCACCGCGCGGCTGGCTCTTCCGAGACCTCAACCTTTTCTTTTACACTCAACCCAACGAAGACAGCGGCGAGAAAGAGAAAAGAAAAGAAGACCTTCGTATATGCCTCGCTCAGAATACAGCCCGATTTGCAGGTGCTGGAAGTGCCGCTTCATTAAAGGATTCGGGAATAACGCATGTTGTGGTTGACACCAAGTCTTCACTCTCAGTAGATGTCTCTTCCATTCGGAAGTCCCTGGCTGAGAGTCTAGGTAAGAAACTACCGCATGTTGTCAGTGTTGAGTGGGTTGAGGAGTGTTGGAAGAATGGGACTTTGTTGGATGAAGAGAGTAAGTTTGACCACCCTTTTCTTCTTGTTTATCTCTTACCCAAGAGGTGCTCCAAGTAACTTTTTTAACATATTGTATCATTGTAGGATTCCAAGTTCGGTGATGCGAAGATAATTGATAGAGACATGAGACATAGATCATTTGACAAATGAATATACGAGGCCCAGCTAGTGTAGCGCCCAATCTGGTCGCCTCAAAAAAGAATGTGCATCTGTGATAGGAAATGGTGGCACTAGTGTAGTATTAAATGTTTTGAACATGCAACCCTTTTATGCATTGTTTAGGCCACGGTTCCCAACGCCTAGCCCGCGACCAGCCCATGTATCGCCAAGAAAGTGGTAAGTTAAAGATGTCCGGCCGAAACCTCTAGGTGATTCTTGGCAGTATTGTATTGAAACAAAAAAAAGGAGGGAAATTCTACTGTATATTTCTCTATTCGAACTAGAACCAACCCTCTTGGAACGGATTTTGTTGAGTGTAGCCGACGATTTCCGGCGTGACCCGTTCACTTGCTCTTTACTACAGGACGTGGTCACACTAGACAAAGGGCATGGCTGTGAACCCCGTGACCGTGAATAGGCTTTACGGTAAAAGATCAGAGGCTCATCAAGCCACGCGGGGTGATCTCATGGGCTGTACGATGATATCATGTCACAGATTGACGGTCGAATTAGATTTATGGTATACCTAGCTTAATCGACAGGATACATAAAAGTATGTTGAAATGAGTTTATGATTTGTTTAAATTTATGCCTAGGGTGATCAAGTGATCAATCAAAGGAAAAAAGGAGGGGTATGTAACAAAAGAAAGAAAAGTGTCGACCAGGACACGCTTATCCAGGTCCAGGTCCAACGCCACGCTTATAGAGAATCATCCAAGGGAAAGAAAAGGGGTGAGGTATATGCACGGGTTAGGTGGCCCAAAGGGAACTCCTGCGCTCTGCGCTAGGGTTGTCCAAAAGGTCTAGGGTCTAGGCTGAGACACCCACCCAACGAGACGGGACAGTGTCATTGTCATCACCGTCTTCGTATTGGCCTGACAGGCGGTTGTTGGCTTTCCGCGCTGGAAGCCAGATGCGAGCGCGAGTAGGAATGTCATCGCGGAGTTTGCCGCAGCGGCGCATGTTCATTTCCAAGACGACCACACGGAGGAAATTACTGTTCTCGCGAGGCTCACGCTGGCGTGACATTGAAGGGACTTCCGGGTCGAATGTGAACCGCTTATCACGGCTGGCAATGTGGAAATTGTTTCGACGGTGGCTACGGCCGCCGGTTCGGCGGTACGTCTGCATTTGGATCGAGACGGGGCATGCACTGGCGGCCTCGGGTGTTTCATGAGGGTGATCGTGATAGACATACATCTCAGCCGGGGACATAGGGGTCGGGTTGAGGTATCTTCGCAATGCTGGTGATGGCGTTTCCTGCATGGGAAGTGGGCGGCGGTCATCGGTCAACTCCGGGGCGATGGTAAAGAGAGACCGAGTGAGGAAGTCCTCTGGCTGAACGGAGGGTGTGGCAAATGTCGAGACTGAGTGCGCAGCGGATTTGATAGCCCGTAATGATGCAGTCAAATTGGACTTGAAAGTAGACCCGAGACGTGGGAAAGAACCGAACGAGGCAGATCGCTTCGTGGGGGCTGAGTCGGGTGAGACCGGCTCATTGTCATCTTTGATTTCAATGACTTCACAGTCATCAAGATCCGTTTCAAGGAGAGGATGGTCAGAAGCACACTCCTCGGAGTGGAAGTAGCGAAGCTGTCGCCTTTCCAGTGGGCTTTTCTGGCTACCCGGTGTGGGTGGCAGAGGTAGGCTAGGCGGCGATGCGAGGCCGTGTTCTAACGAGGGCATTGAATCGCTTGATATTGATCTCAGTGACAACGGACTTTCTTGCTCGGACTCGTTGCCCAGAAGTTTGTCATCTTCATCAGGTGGGCTGAGAAGGATGTCCAGAGGGGAGTTGCTGGTTCCATCGAGGAAGTGATCTTTGGATCGGACATTTTCCCTCAGCATCCGGTTGAAGTCCTCAACATGGTTGCCGCGCAGAAGTTTCCTTGGCCTGCGAGTAGACCAGTTTCGTCGTGGAACGGGGATGGCCGTCGCATCTAGCATGGAAGTGAATGACGTAGGTATGTGGCGTTCATTAGATGAGCTGGATGACGATCGACGAGAAACTTCGGATGTTTTCGAAAGAGCTCGAGACCGGCTGCCTTGACGTGCTGGCATTGTCCGCGAGCCTCGCTTTGGAGGAATCACCACCGGGTTGGTGCTTGTTGATCTGCGGGCCTCAGTCTTTGTGGCGGGGCGATGGCCGGGGTACTCCGAAGAAGGATACGGTTTCATGCTAGACTGGAAAGACTTCTGCGGCTGTGCCGAGGTGAACATGAATGCTCTAGGGACCATCATTTTATACCGATGTCACCCGGAGTGCACAGTACAGGTCGAGGCCTTTGCCGGATGAGGCACTCTGGTCGAGTGTCTGAGCGAGATACATGGATGGAGGGAGGAATGGTGGGATATTGAAATCTCCCGTCGCGATATCAGACGGGAGACGAGTAGCCAATCCGAATGTGGGTTGGGTTGGCCGAGGAAAGTGATGCAAAGCGGATGGGCAGCCGTGAGACAAGGGTATGCAGGGACGCACGCGACCTGATAAGCTGATAGGGCGATAAGAGAGGATGAAGAGGAGGAGATGAAGAGATGAGGAGATGGAGGTTGAAGTGTTGAGGAGAGGAGCTTGGAGAATAGAGGGAGTATGAAGAGAGTAGAAGAAGGGATTGAGGTAGATATGAAGGGAATAGCCCAGGGCAGATAAGGGCGGGTAAGGGTGATCTCAGCCAGGCCGTATTGGGCAGGTAAGGATCACGGGGAACTCGGATGACCGTATTTTACCAAATTACCGCTAAAATGATTGGGCAGGACTACAATGCCGTGTTCCGGTATGGTTCACCGTATACAATTCCCATTACTCATGGAACATTCCGCCGGTGGAGTCCGGAACACTGTGGGATTTGCCTATTTTTTCCTCTTTTTTTCGTTATTTTGCTAGATTGCGCAGTTTTACCTATTTTTATCAATGTTTCTGACACGTAGACTTACATTGTAAGATTTCCAATTGAATCCAATGCATATGAACCACTAACATATGACTCATTATATCATACTTATCCATGTACACTTGTACACTTGTACATGCACCTATACACTTAGCCGCGATCGTGTGTTGAACTCGGGTGGGCCCTTTAAGGTTGCTGTTAGTGCGGTGCCGGCAGATGCACACCGTTCTCCCCAGAAAATGGAAGAATTTTCTTCAAAGGGGTTTATTCACAAGATCATGGCACTATACATGTCTATTCATCCTTATCTCTATAATATCCAAAAAAGTAATGATAAATATGTCACATTGATAGATCGTCAGGAACCCCAACGGACTCCCTTCCCCCGGCTACTTTGATTATAAATGAAATGCGGGTGGCTGCAGATAACCAAAAGAGTAAGTCGAGACGTGGCTAGTGGGCCTTAGCGAGTGTGCGGTGAACCCCTATTCTCACTATATTTCTCGCCCTATGTTCTCGTGGCGTTTTGGCTTAGATTGCAGCCTAACTAGGAAGGAAAATAACAAAACAAGAGATTTGGTCTTAAGTGACTGATAAAGCCTAGGTTCTAACGAGTCTGTATATCAAGAATGACCTAGACTATCAACCATGAAATAAAGAATAACAAGGTATAAGAGACCCACAAAATTCCGCACAATATTCTAGTTTGACAGGCAATCTCACAGGGGATCAAAACAATACTGTAATGTAAAGTAGATCCTCTTGGCTTAGAAGAAAATTCCTAAAAAGCAAAACTCGAGAGGCTGGTGAGCCTTTACAACAAGTCACCGCCATAAGCGAAGATAATTGCGGTGAACTGCAGTTTCAGCATTTTTGTGCGCGAGTGGATACAGAGCAGGATTAGGCCTAGTCACGTGTTGTTTTTGACTGTATTACGAGTCTTCATTGTAACCCCGTCTCCGCAAGGGTAAATTCGGAGGAAAATACTATCCAGACAATTGAGATAATCCATTGTCCTTGAGTTACTCTTACTCTTACAGTAGTGATTATGTTTGTAAATCCAATAAGTGACTAAAAACTGAGTACTATAAACTAGACCACGTTCACCTGAGCAGGCTGGCACGTGAGATGACTAATGATCTTATCGAGCGCCCGCATCACATCTGAACAGCCATCCAGAGGCCTGCGATAGCATTTTGCATCGTTGCTCGCATCCAATCAATTCCAGTGTATCTCCAACTTCTCACTGCCGGAGCTCTGAATCCGATTATACATCTACCCCCGCCTCCACTGCGGGTCAAAATCGTGGGGTTGAATCAATCCTCATTATCAACCGGCCTGTGTAGATCATAGGTACGACATTCCCCATGCCAAGCACTTTCAACTTGTCGTCTGCCTCTGCAGATAACTTCTGCGATTTTCAGGAGCCATGGGCTAACCTCCTGCCAGGGCCATTGCATTACATCCGGCAAACTGTGATATCTGACTCATAGCATGAACCCCGGAAGATGGATGTAGCATGCATGGCGAGAATTGGACCAGTAATCGCCAGACACGAGGCTAAGCATGCGATGTGATCCCGCGGAGAAACATCCATCTACCAATAAATCCCTAGTCACGCCTATCAAACTATTGAAATTATGAGCGAACGTGCCCAACCGTCTAAAAGACGGTGCGTTAGCACTGCTTGTGTTGCTTGTCGCAGGAGAAAATCCAAGGTAGGGCTTTTACTTCCAACCTGGTTCGACGCCACATTTCTAACTTAACCTATGTGCAGTGTGATGGGAACTTGCCCAGTTGTGCAGCTTGCTCGTCGGTCTATCATACGCCATGTATGTATCTTCCAAGAGAACATATAGCACCAGCCCTAATAGTTGATAGGTGTCTATGATCCCAACTCGGATCATCGTCGTAAGGGTGTATACAAGAAAGATACCGACACCCTGAGAACTAAAAACACTACCCTCCACACGTTGATCCAGGCAATCTTAAACTATGACGAAGCAGATGCCTTCGACCTAGTCCGCCAGATCCGATCTTGTGATGACCTGGAAGAGGTAGCAAACTCAGTGGTTGCCCAAGAAAAGGGGCTTTTGTCTGCGTCTCAAGCAACAAGAGAGTCAGTGAGCGATGAGACTGAGAATAGTGTTGAGATCGACCAGTTCGAGTCAGAGCTCGCAGGTAAAATGAGCGAACTAATGCTCGATGGTTCTCGCAAATTTATTGGTGGAACCTCAAACCTCATATTTCTGCCCTCGGAGCTGCATGAATCAATATCAACCCCTCTCGATGTGGATCAGGTACACACCGTGAGCCGATGGACCGAAGTTACGAATGATGACTCGTTGATCAGTCATTTGATGACTATGTACTTCACATGGCATTATCCTTTCTTCACGATCCTTTCCAAGGATCTATTCTACCGAGATTATATCCGCGGAATTTCCAGCTCATACTGTTCTGCACTGCTAGTCAATGCCATGCTGGCCCTTGGTTGTCATTTTAGCTCATGGCAAGGTGCATTTGATGATACCCAGAATCTGGCAACCGCAGGAAACAATTTCTTCAAAGAAGCCAAGCGGCTAGTCTTGGAGAACGACGAGCATGAGAACGCAAAGCTTTGCACCGTCCAGGCCTTTGCTCTCATGTCTGTCCGAGAAGCAGGATGTGGCCGCGAAGGAAAGGGCTGGGTCTATAGTGGCCTTAGTTTTCGCATGGCATTTGATCTTGGACTGAATCTCGACTCAAAGAACCTCGGATCACACAACCTGAGCGACGAAGAAATTGATGCTCGACGTATCACTTTTTGGGGATGCTATCTAATCGACAAGTAGGTTTCCTCTCCCACGTCTCAATCCCAAACTAATAACAGACAGATGCTGGTCAAATTACCTTGGTCGTCAGCCACAATTAACCTCTGCCACCACTAATGTGCCCAAATTCGATGTCTTCCCGCTAGAGGAAACAGAGCTTTGGTCGCCGTATACTGATTCTGGCGTGAGCCCCCAGCATACGCAGGCATCTAGAACTAGGGCTGTGGCGTTGCAGATTTCCAAGCTGTGTGAGATCAGTGGTGATCTATTGGTATTATTCTACCACCCAGCTGAACTGGAGAAGTTCCAGCCCAAGCAGTCGGAATTAAAGAAATTGAGCGACGTCCACACTCGACTTGAGGCATGGAAGAAGGAATTGCCCAAAGAACTGGAAGCGAGAGACGGACAACTACCTCAAGTGCTTGTCATGCAGTAAGCTTACTAACAGTCCACGGATAACCCATGCCATCTTACTAATTTTTGTCCAGCATGTTCTACCAACTCCTGATCATTCATCTATACCGTCCCTTCTTGAAGTATACCAAGGCCAACACACCCCTCCCATCTCACGTCTCCCCTCGCAAAATATGCACACAGGCCGCTGCAGCTGTATCCAAGCTCATGCGCGTCTACAAACGCAGCTACGGCCTCAAGCAAATCTGTAACATCGCAGTCTACATCGCACACACAGCATGCACAATCCACCTTCTCAACCTCCCCGACAAAAACGCTCAAAGAGACGTAATCCATGGCCTCAAGAACCTTGAAGAGATGGCCGAAGGCTGGCTCTGCGCCAGACGCACACTCCGCATCCTCGACATATCAGCCAACAAATGGCAAGTAACTCTCCCACCGGAAGCAACATCGATCTTCGAACGAACTCACACAAAATGGGGCTCATGGGGCTCTTGGGACCAAGCAAACTCACCATCCGCATCAGACGATTCCTCCCCAATGGCTACATCAGCAACCTTCCAACCAGCCACAAGCCCAAGCAGATTCACAGCTGGGCCACCCCAATATCAATCCCGACGCAAGGCTGATCCATCATCTCTTCCCGCAAACATCAACACAAACACAAACACAAATCCTGTCAGCATGGTCGGTCCGACATCACTCAGCTCGCAATACGCATCTACATCTTCAGTCCCACTATCTTTCCCATCAATGGCAGCACACCCCTCTCTAGCACCACAACCCCAAAGACCAGAGTTCGCCCCTCCAGAACCGACATATCTGTGTCCATCAGTCACATACCAATTCCCTGCTATGACAGCTAATGCGCCCTCCCCATCATCCCCTCATCAAACATGGTATGATGGCGTCGGTACTCAAATACAAGGGCAGAATACAACGCCTGCCTCTACTGCATCACCCGTTTCTGGATATGATGGTACGGAAAATCTAGTTGAGGAAAGTCATGATTGGTGGTCTAGGAATGCGGCTATTTATAATAATATGGGGGTGGATGGGTGGGGTGGGGCTTGGAGTTCTCCTGGTCAGGTTCAGGGTCAAAGCCAAGGTCAAGGTCAGCCTTCTGGTCCTGGTCTTCATCCTGACCAGCAGCCGAGGGTCTCCATTAGTATGTCTGCCGTTGGATCTCCCGTTGAGTCTGGGACTCCTTGTTATGAGGATCGGTGGCCGTGATTTTTGTGTTTTTTATCTTGGGGTTTATGTGTCAACGTTTCATCTTTGGTCATTTGGTCTTTTGTTTTGCGATACCACCAATTGGGAGGGGTTGTTGTGTTTTGGCGATGTACAATTATATATATATTGCTTGTCTTACGAGCTAGAGATGGAATCATTTGAGGCAACATAATTCATGACTTTCAGTGCCTGAATCTGAACAGTTTCTTAGGCTCGCTGAACTTCGAATTTATATCCACTCATACGAGGTCTAAATAGTTCATCCTTTCGCAACCCCCAGCTTAAATCTAGATGACCAACCCTAGGCACTTGAAAATGACCAAAAAATGTATCAAATAGTTACTACATAAGTGTTCATTTAGAAACTTTATAGCACTGTGGACAGATACATGGCCCCTGTTGTATTTCGCACCTCCAACCATTCATACTCCCGGAGCTACCGCACAATCACTCAGTCCTCTTCATGATCTTAGGCAAAAGCAACCAACTAGTAGCCATAACCCCATAAAGCCCAATACAAATAGGATGCAAAACCATAGTACCAACATTCTGCGCAAGGATACCAGTGAAGAAAGGCGAAACAGCACCACCACTACTCCCAAGCGCAGAAACAAAACTCAAACTAGACATATGCATATTCCTCGGAACAAGCTTTGTAAAAACAGACGTCGCACATGGATAAACAGCCCCGAGCAACAAACCAAGAATAGCAACAGAAACGGCCTCACCAATGACATTCGGAATAAGCCATGTAAGCAACTGGAACGCCACAGCACCGGCTATCATGCCCACGACAGCGATCTTCTCACCGAGCTTCGAGGCCGGGTGTGTGAGTAGGAATCGGCCTACTGTGATGCCCGCCCAGAATCCGGCACTGACGTAGCCTACTCGTGTGGGATCACCCTTTCGGTAGCTGATTAGGAATGAGACGACCCAGCCTGAGACGGAGACTTCGGCGCCTTGGTAGGCGAATATGAATAGGGCACCTAGGAGGGTTGTGCGGTCCCGTAGGGATTTCTTCAGAACCGTTGCTCGGGATAGCGGCTCTGTTTCTGAGGCTGTGATGTTACCTGCTCGAAGGGCAACCTGTGCTTCAGCCGAGGCGTCGTCTTCGAATTTCCAGAAAGCCCACATAGCGAAGAGCAGATTGATAGCGGCAACAGCCAATGTAATCGCATAGAAGAACGACCACCTTATTCCCGCGGAGACCATCGCAGTAGCGAACAATGGAGCAACGATACCCCCAATACCATAAGACCCCGTGAAAAATCCCAGCGCAGTCGTTGCGTCAGCCAGATTGGCACAGTAGACATTACTCAGTGCGAGACTAAGCGCCATCCCGAAACCAAGGAAGAAGAAACATGCCACGACAGCCGGGAAAGGCGGTTCACAGACGATAACAATATAGCCTGCGATTTGCAATGCCAGGGCGAAGGCATAACTTTTTGCGCGGCCGAACTTAGCCTCAATTGAGTGCGTGAAAGGCGCTGCTAGGATAAAGCCGAAAGCGTTCGTTACGAAGATTAGGGAGACGATTGCGTAGCCTATTGAGTAGTGTTTTTCGATGTAGGGAATTAGGGCTCCGGGCGCGCTATCGTTCATGCCGTTTCCTAGGCTCATGAGGCAGACGCTTAGGAGTCGCCATTTTGTTTTCCAAGTGCTTGCTGTTCGGTCTGGGGCCCATTCTGCTGGATTGGGTCCGGGGTCCGGTGCAATGTGTTGTTCTAGTTCGCTTGGAGTTGGAGAGGGTGGCCTTGTGACATTCTCAATTATGTATGGGTTGGTATTGGCTGGTTGAATTGTGTTTAGCTCGAATCCCGGTTGGACTTTGGTGCTTTGTCTGTTGCTGTGCACTGCTGGTGGCGGGCTGGTGATTCGAGATGTGCTCTCAATCTCGAGGAATGCGTTGAAACCCGAGGTCGCCATTCTTGAGAATGTTGATATGGTCAGGAGCAGCGAAGGAGGGATAGAAGAAAATATTTCGTCCTACGGAATCCGTAGGGGCTCTTTATTTGGGTTAGCTGGATGCTCTAGGGTATTTCTAATCAGCCCTGCAGTCTTTGGAAACCAAATTCCGCATGTCCTAACATGAGGTGTCCGGCTGAATTGAACATGTACAGACACTTCGTGTGCTACTAGAATCAATGACTTTTATCACCAGAAAGAAGAAATGAAGCAAAAGAAGGACCTTTGTAGTTTATACTCCGAAGTTGCGGGCGAGAAGTCCCCCCCCCCCGCCGATAAGCTCAAATTTCCGAAATTCTTCTCCCACTGCACTCAACACCACAACTACACCAATCGTCTCTACATTCCCCTTCTTTACCACAATATACCAATTGAAAATGGGTCCCCCGCGCAGAAAGATGCTGGCAACAGCTGAAGGAACCCTCACCCCCCCGATTCCCTCACGGACACCCAACAAATCGTGCGCGCAATCAAAGCCACCGGAAACAACATCTACCTGATCGAACACACGGACAAGAGCCAAGTACTCGTCGAATTGCCTGCCCGGTTCCGCTCTACTATCTGGATCAAGCGTGGCTCGTATGTCGTTGTCGATACTCAGGGACAGGAGGAGCGGGATAATAAAATTCGCGGGGAGATTGTCAACGTGGTGAGGGATGAGAAGGCTTGGAGGAAGGCTCCTTTCTGGTATGTCCTCTGATGTGAAAGATCCCAAGGGGCATTGTGCTAATTGGTGATATAGGCCTAAGGAGTTTGTGAAACAGCCTGCTCAAGTCGCTGCCGACTCTGACGAGGAAGAGTCTCGTGTTGGTCAGATGCCTTCTTCCTCGGACGAGTCCGAATGAATTGCACGATGGTATCCGCGCATTGGCTTGGCTTGGCCGCTGTGGTTACAATGGGTATTTAAGGTACCAAGGCCGGTTCTAAACTCTGTGTGCCTCGGCTATGAACCGAGGCCGGGATTCTTCTTCATTGGGCTCGCGCCTTGCGGCGGCCGCTCTTATCACTCTTCCCATCTGCCTCGCCTAACCCATTGAAATATACACCAATTATTTGAACCGCAAGCGACAACACCACAATCGCCGAGCTTGCGCTGGAGCTAGGGAAAACGTTCCACGCCCATTCCTGCAGCGCCCACACGACATATATCAAAACAGGATGCAGACCTGCGCGCCATAGCAGGAACGGAGTGGTCCACGCGAGATACGCAAAGAATTGATAATGTAGGGACCTGGCACAGACCAAGCCTATGGCCAGTGAGCTCAACATCACGGTCATGATGAATGATTTTGACAGGAGGGCTGTCTGCTGGCGTCCTTGGAGAGTATCTTGAAGGAAGTGGAACATGTTCACGCCGGATGGTTTCAGCCATGTTCCGACGAAGATAGCCAACAAGGATATATGCAGTACTAGCAGACCCAATGAGAATTCCCTCGACAGGAAGGTTTCTTCGCCTACGAAGCGCCAGTTGACTGTCCATTTGAATAGGAATTGTCGAGATAGCTCGAATGCTCGAGAGAGGTAACCCGTAGCGTTTGCTTGGAGGAAAGGGATTGCGAGGAGGACCTGTATTTTTCTGTGTTAGCTAATGGTTCAGTGTGCAATTGGTATAGTGAATACAAAACTAACCTGGATAAGCACCGCGATAGCCCCGAGAGAGATACTCCGCGCCAATCCCAAGCTGAGAAGAGTAAGAACCGCAATGGCCGGCACAAACAACACAAGCGTCATTTTGATGGCCACGCCGAATGACCATACTGCAATTCCAGCCGTCCACTTGTGTCGCAGACACAAGTAGATAGCAACCCACATAGCAAACGCAGCAACGCCATCATTGAACATGCGCAAGACGAAGATACTATGCAGCCGTTTCGACAGCGCAAGCAGCGGGAAGACATACGGAGGCGCTCCGGTCTCCCTGTAGCAGGCGACAACAACAATCAGCGTAGCCAGATAGAGCACGGCGAACAGTGCTTGGCCGAGGAGAATATCGCGACCTCCATCTGTGAGGTGGAAGAGGAGTGTGTAGATGTATACGTGGGCGGCGGGGTAGACCAGCGGGCCTGTCGAGCCTTTGATTAGGGTGTAGTCACGTTCTCCGGAGATGTATAGTGAAATCTGTTGCATGTATGTTGTCCAGTCGATCTCAGTGTCTGTGGGTAGGGTCGTGGTTAGCTTGATTGTACTTTGCGATGGACGCGACGGCTGGACGCAGTCTTACAGGCAACCTTCCAGATGACGAGGGCACAAAGAAATGCGTCGCCGAGGATTAGGAGTGGTGCTATCCATCGTGTGTGTCTTTGGTTGGTGAGGACGTCGTAGGCGAAGCTTTTGGCTGTTAACGCCATGGCGAGATGTTGACGGGGGAATGTTCAAGGTGGCCGGAGTTAGTCCGCTAGTATACGTACGCTTGTTGAGCAATGTACATTTGGGGAACAGAGTTGTCTAGTATATCATTTTTAACTGATTTTCTGTCTATTTTCGATAGTGTTATTGTTTTATACATCTCACTGTACATAGAGAATAAATCGGTCTAGCTCGGGACCTCGAGCATGTTTTTCCCTCCAATGTCCGCCAATCCAATCGAATCAATCCGCACTGTCACAGTCCATGGTATCATTAAACAAGGCAAGAAACAAAATGCAAAAGTCAGGGAGTGTGGTGCCATCATCGATCTCCCTCCGACATGCCAGTGGCTTGGACATTTCCTTGAACATCACGGAATCCAAGCAATTGGCCTAGCACACCATTTGGCTTGGGAACAGGGCATTCCCGATTGATGTGTGAAAGTGTTTCAGCTTCCTCTTGCATTTGAAGGAAGGTCGAGACCTCCTCGTCGACCGGACCGGCTGGTGTCGGAAGACCCGGGCGACCGGTCTCAGGGTCCATTTCGACCTCCTTCCGCCTTCTGCGTCTGATCCGTGGTGCTTGTTGCCCGTCGGCTGTGATGGTCATTTCTGAATCGGCAAAGGTGCGTCGTGGGGCCGGGCAGGGGAAGACGTGCGGCACGCCGACCACGACTAGGGATGCGAGCAGGGTGCCGGCGAAGAGGCCCATCGTCGACCGAGACTTAGGATGAAGATAAGGAGGCATTGTGTAGGTGGTAGAAGGGGTGCCGATGACGAGTATCGAGGGGAATTGGAAGTGAGGTGGGCGTGGCCAGGTGTTGTAATTTTTTCAGGCCATCGGAGGACCTCGGTATATAGGTGTAGTCGAATAGCGGAAGAGGCCAAAAGGAGGACAATTGGCAATTAGAGCGGATTTCTTCAGATTGACCAACATATAAGGGTGTCAATGGAGGTGGTGAGACTAGAAGAAGAAAAGAGACAGCGCAGGCATCTAATCTTATCTGGGGCCCGCGTGATTGGATGTTCCGCTTCAAGTCTCTTCTCTGCGCGACGATGTGTCTTTCAAGCTCCGATTGAGCCCATTTGATTTCTTGTTTTGCGAGGGGGTTTTTATTTTCTGATACCCAATCTAACTCCCCTCCTCCGCTCCGCTCCTTCATCCCTCCATCCTTAACAAGATGGGCGACCTGGACCGGTATGCCTCGCCCGTGTCTCATCGTTGATCCCACTAACTGTGTCTGACAGGGCGATCGAGCAGCTGCGGGCCTGCCGCCTGATCCCCGAAAGCCAAGTTCGCGAACTGTGCTACAAAGCGCGCGAGCTCCTGATCGAAGAAGGCAATGTCGTCTCCGTCGACGCGCCCGTCACCATCTGCGGTGACATCCACGGCCAGTTCCACGACCTGATGGAACTATTCCGCGTCGGCGGCGACGTCCCCGACACAAACTATCTATTCATGGGCGACTTTGTCGACCGAGGCTTCTACTCTCTCGAATCCTTCCTCTTACTACTCTGCCTGAAAGTCCGATACCCCGACCGCATGACCCTGATCCGCGGCAACCACGAGTCACGCCAAATCACAACCGTATACGGCTTCTACGATGAATGTATCCGGAAATACGGTAGCGCCAATGTCTGGCGCTACTGCTGCGAGGTCTTCGATTACCTGGCCCTGGGCGCGATCGTCCTCGGCGCGAGCTCAGAGCTCGAACCCACCGCATCTAACATCCCACAATCCTCAATGCCCATCGACGACAGCGAGCTAGAAACAGAAGTGCTCAACTCTAGAGGCGAGGTTACCGGAAGTACTTACCGCCCCCGCCAGCGTTCTTCCTCCGACGCATCTACAGACTCCCGAAACATTTCCCCGCCACGCGACATCTCCGCCGCTCCAGGTCAAGCTGGCGCGCCGTCGCGAACAGGTGCTCCAGGGACAGGTGCAAGTAGCGATGGAAATGGAAGTGCCACGACCAGCCAGACCGGCGCGGTACTTTGCGTGCACGGTGGACTATCACCGCTCATCGACTCCGTCGACAAGATTCGATTGATCGATCGCAAGCAAGAAGTGCCGCATGAAGGTGCCATGTGTGATCTTCTCTGGTCTGACCCGGATGAGATCGAAGGTTGGGGTCTGAGTCCTCGTGGAGCTGGCTTCCTCTTTGGTGGTGATATTGTTAAGCAATTCAACCATCTCAACGGACTCTCTCTTGTTGCGCGTGCCCACCAGCTTGTCATGGAGGGTTATAAGGAGATGTTTGATGGTGGTATCGTGACTGTTTGGTCTGCGCCGAACTACTGCTACCGATGCGGTAACGTTGCTGCTATCCTCGAACTTGGCGAAGACGCTAGCGGTGGCGGAACTGTTGCTCGCAGTAACGGTGAATATGGCCGGAGCAATGGACTCGCTGCGCAGAATAGAGTAGTCAGTCCTGGAAGGAGGTACCGTGTCTTTGAGGCTGCGGCACAGGACACAAGGGGTATGCCTGCAAAGAAACCCGTCGCTGATTATTTCTTGGTAAGTTTCCCTTGCTTCCTTTCTATCAGCTGGTTGCCCTAACTAACATCGTCTAGTGATACCACCGAATGCACTCTCTTTTTTCGTTTTATAGGGTTCTCTTGGAAGCAGCATTTTGCGTCTTGGTGTTGGTATGTGATGATAATTAATGATCATCTATGAATATTTTGATACTCGAACTTCATCTCATCTCATTCTCGATCTTGATACTTATTAAACGTAAATATGCAACCGAGCTGCACACCTTAGAATGTGCCTCACAATCATCCAGGGAGACAATGACTTGAAAAGATTAGTTTATGAAGTATTAGGAAGCTCTAATCTTTGAGCGCATCTGTGACCCTCCGTAAAGCCTCCATCAAATACTCCCGAGGCTGGGAGAAGACAATTCTAAACCATCCAGGATGCTCCGATCCGAACAAATCACCGCTGGCCAAGAAAACTTTCCTCTTCAACAAAACTTGCATAACTTTGTCACCAATGTCTTCAATACTCTCCTCGGGGTGAAGTTGGCAGTACTTTCCCCCCAAATTCACCCAAAGGAAAAATGCCGCGTTACAACCTTGTGCATATTCAATATCATGATTCCTGATGTACTGAACTGCACAAGCATAGGACTCCGACAACTTCTCCTGATTTAGCCGTATATATTGATCAGTGAAATCAAAATCTTCTAGCAGGAGCGAAGTTAAGTAATCAGAAACTCCAGATGCGTAGGAGTATAGCGAGATGCCTTTTAATGCCTCGTGGAGGACATTATTGGACTGCGAGATGATGACCCCAAGTCGAAGTCCATTTGCGCCAAAGTCCTTACTCATGCCCCATAGTACATGAACAAGTCGAGGGTCAATGATACCATTCAGATCAATTGACAAAGCCGATTCAAACACAACGGGTGGATGACCATGCTCGTCCACAGTGTTTTCCCAGACAGAGAGCGCGTATATTTCATCGCTTATGAGGTGCATGTTGTATTTCTGACACAGATGCATCATTTTAATAATCACTTCTGTGGGATAGCAACGTCCAAGCGGGTTATGAGGGTGGCAAAGCATGAGAGCTTTGACATTCTGGCGTGTTGTCCGCTGGAACTCCAGCAACGCCTCCTCGTATCTGTCAACCGCCTCGATGCTGAATGGATCACAGTCTCCAAAGCTGACCTGGATGACAGTGGCACCGGGTCGCAACGACATGTCCGGTATGAAAGTTCCATAAAACGGCTTTCCCAGGAGGATCCCTTCGCCGGGGTCTGTGAATGCCCACGAGACGTGCTCGATTGCGGGAGAGACACCGTTTGTGACAATTATGTGATGAGGGTCCAAATGAACTGCGGGATGTAGGTGGCGGTTGAGGAACTGGCATAATGCTTGTTTCAGTCTCAAGGACCCGGATCCTCCTTCGTTGTATGTGAGATATTTGGCCGGCAGGTCGAGTTTTTTATTGATGAAACTCAAGAGTTGATCGTGCATGAGGGAGTTCTCAGCTACTCCAACGTTGAAGAATCCATCTGGGTTGGTTGATGCACACCATAGATTGCTCAGCACGTCCCACATGAGGTTCTTGGACCCTGCTGTAGATGCATCCTGTGCTCTATGAGACACGACTGTATCAGTTGGCTGTTTCATGTTGTCTTTGTCTACAAGCAAGGGTGGGATAATGAAGGCAAAGAAAATGACGAGGGGAAAGCGGTAAAGAACAAGCCCAGAAGGTAGGAGGAGTCATAGACTCTCCGCAGCATGGCAATTGGATTTGCCTGTTATATACCTAGACCTGTCGGTTATTCCCGGCTAAGACGAACTGCATGGAGCAGAATTCAATATTGGAAAGAACTGGCACGTGTACTTTAACGTACGTATTTCCATGTATGATTCTCAACTGTAAGTCAATTCTACGTCGGTAATCCCAAACAGGTAAGCTACCCGACTTCCAATCTGTCATGCTAATTTGGACATTCAATTGCTGCGATCTTTATCTGGGAGAAATGTTTAAAGCTGATTGGAAGTGGAGCAAGGCGATGATCCGGTTGATTTGGAACCCCCAAAGCCAAAAGTTTATATTCGGCGTTTGGGCTCACTATCAATCACCGAAGGCCGTGATCGACATGAGCATTCTCTAGGGTAGTGATTGGGTATAGGGAGCTGCACATGTGGCCTTGTAATGCCATATTCAATTGATTACTCTTGATCGCCGACTTGTAAACCATAGCCCCAATATAGTTAGTATCGATAGGGTTCTCGTGAAGACGAGACTGGGCGATTAAAGAGCCAAGATGCCACTCTCATAGACATAGTCAACATCAAAATCACACATCAGGCATATTTTGCGTCAGTATTTTCAATCAAAAAGATGCCTATATAGGTTAAGACCTCCGACATGACCAATAGAACCCATGCATGAGTACAGCCCATATCCATATCTGTGCGTAATTTTTGTGTTAACCACCAAGTGGGCTACTATTTGAGAGCTGTTTTGTTGTCCAAAGAACTCGAAGGACTCAGCCTGCGCCTAACAGACGGAAATATACTTGCAGTACATGCCAAGCAAGATAACCCGAAAAAGGTGAGCGGGGATGACAGTCCAGAAAGAGCCGTAAGAGTAGAACGCTGGTTGAGAGGCTAGCTTTCCAAAAATACTCGTGGACTGACACTCGATAATCCAAGTGCCTTGTGTACGGCACTACCTATACGTGGTCGAAGGTAAGCTCTCAGGTGTCGTATTTGTAAGATGTTACCGAACTTATTCCGACTTGGAGACAGGCTGTCTCTTGACTTCGCCTCAAACGTTCCATGATCACTTCAAATCCACTTCGTACTCTCCTTCTTGACATGACAAGAGCGTGTATTTCACGCATTGGAAAATGAATCTTATGGTAATGATAGTACAAATAGCACTGGAAGAACTGGCCATACAGTGGCCGCCACATCCCAACTTGTGCCGAACCGTGTAGCGACCATTGTCAAAGTGATATCCGAGTGCGAATGGATAGTATCCATCTGGCCGATATCTTTGGACCGGCTCCTCCAAGTGGAGAAGGCTGGTAGGTTAGCAGAATGAGCGAGATCCATCTTGAAACAAAGGATTGTTGTAGTGAGGGAGATATGAGTGTACCTTTAATCATGAGGTGAGGAGGTGAGTTAGTATAAAGCGCCTTCCAGCTCTGGAGGGCTGATTCGAAAGCTTATCCCATGGCTTGCTATACATCTGACATACCTAATGTTGATCTCAGATAAGATTGGCCAGCAGCGGCACTAGTGTGCATCAACTTCCCTGCCAAGCCTTAGTGTGGATCCAAAGACCCCTCCACAGCTGCATGTGACAAGGTATCATTCACTTTATATACCACTGTACAGAGTACAGTGGTTGTCTTTTTACGCCTATCACAATGATATTGAATAGTTACAAAGTAAAAATCTGGATATGATCTGTGATTCCGTAACCTCAAGAATGAAGTCTAACTACTTCCCCACAGCCGCGTAGATAGCGACGCCTTGCTCGGTACATCATCTTAATGATACGTTACCCTAGTCACGAAGCACTGTTCCTCTCAGCTGTGTCAACAACTCATTTGATCGTACCTGCTATTTTCTTACACCCTCAACAGCGCTTCACCAGGATTCATTTCCTTCTCACGGCTGCTCTAAGAACTCACGTGCTATACTTCAACGACACCTTACTAGGTATCATGCTATCTCTTTCTTTGGGCTTGGTTTTATTCTCCCACCTACTTTGACCTATGAACCAGTACTACCTTACTTCTTCAACCAAACCTTATTAGGCATCATCTTGCCTCTTTGCCAGCATTCACCATATCTCACTATTACACAAATAGCGACAAACGCTGAACATTAACAGACTGCTCGCGATGTCTGTTCAGGACCCTTACGATTCCAGCTGTGAGAGCTGATTCCACTCTTATGGTAATCTTTAACAGTGGATGAATGAGAATCGCCGCTTCACAATTCAAGATGGAATCGACGTTGATTTCGACCAAGCTTATGTTCTGTAAGCGAGAGGGTTCCATAGCAAAGAAACAATTTACTAACAAGTCCTAGGAATGGGCTTCACATCACCTCATCTGCCTACGACCCAAATGTATCTCCACATGCAAGCATTCGCTTATCGACACCCGCTTTACGCAGCGAAAATGCTTGATACGTCCTGCATTAGCGACTCAAGAGCGGCTCGCTACCCCTTGACACAAAGATTGAAGGGGACAAAAAGATGTTACAGAAAGAGAAAGAATAAAAAACAAAAAAAAGAAAGCTGAACAAGACAATAGCAAGAGAACGGATCATTAGAGAACGTCTCGCAGCGAAAGACGCCCGACGTGCATATACTAGTACTACTAGTACCGGTGGCAATTCTGGTGGAACAGCCTCAGCTTGCAATAGCGGCTGGCTTCGTGAAGCTGATCCGCCTCAAGCATACGTGAGGAGGATCAATGAGTAGCAAGGAGCTTGACGGGTTCAATGCATGGATCGTAAGTTGGTTTTGTCCAAGTTTTTGCATTTTGTTGTGGATGAAAGTAGTGCTAGTAGTGTGTGTATAGCATGACGATACAATTGAAGGAGCTACGTACAAATCTTTCTGATCGTCTGTCTCGGAGATAGGTGTGTTCTGCAGAAACGATTGAGCTACGAATTTGTATAACATTACAGATGAGGTAAGTATAGCTTGAAAACAACTGGTATCAGTGCCATATTGTATCAAGAGGGTAGCAGTGATGACCATGTGAGATTGAGCGGGATAGATACCGGAGTGTTCGCACTGTGTATGTAAACCAATTATAGAAATGTTTACGCGTTATACGAATAAGGATTAGCGTGGTTTCGGTACCAGCTGAACAAATGTGTGCCCAGTCTACCTCTCATGCATGCTTATGAAATTGTTTGTGGGATCAGGTATTGCTTCATTGAGAAACTGTACGGCATGATGCATATGGCTTAGAAGGCACTCAGTAAAATCTTAAATTGATATTCACAAACGCCATGGAACATTGAAAGATTGAAGTGTCTTATACAAGCCATCCCCCGGCCCTATGGAGAACTGTGATCCCTGATCTACAGTTCGGGCCGAATCGGGGGTGGAATTCTATTAGATACATATTGGTGTCTAACAATCGTGTCTTGGTGTCTAATCTACATGTGCATACGATATCGATCTGGGCCTTCAGAGCGGCCTAGCTCTAAGTCACTATTTACCATGCATAATACTAGAGATGGGTCTGTGGCTCTTTTCATTAGTGCATTTCACCCTTCAAAATTGACTTAACAGGACACCTTTGAAGCCTATCGAAAATGACAAAAGAATCAATCGCAAAAATGGGTTAGATCTCAACTGTTTTGATAGGTGTGTGTACATTTGAGATATGAGACAAGTGACATCAATGAGTCGGTGATTCCGGTAAAAAGGCAGAACCCAAGAATAATGCCCAGCTGAATCTAAGACCTCAACCGATCACTGACATGCCCCTCGTGATGTATGCAGCAAGGGGTTAAGTGGCACGATCTTCACTGGATCGGTCTACAGAGTGAAGCGGTGACACTGAAGATGTCTCGCGGTGATTCCGATCTGGTGTCCGACCTGGTGCTCGATCTGTAGAACTTGGAATACAGGAAGCAAAAGAATGTAAGATCGCATCTCAGAAACACGTAGCAGGTTAACAGTAGACATCTGCAATGAAATATTAGAGTAAGAAGCCTTCACGTGCCCGGAGCTGTCAATGTAATATACTTTTCGCCACTGTTATCGACCGATTGTGGGTTGGATGCCTTTTGAAATGGTCTGAAATTGATGATCCAGATCACCCTTTCTCTTTCACCATATTTGATCTCTTTCGAAAGCCCTAGAAACCCTTCAAACCTGGTGCAGGTCAAGTGGGCGATCATTGCGGGCAGATTGTCTCACATTTTCCGAAGTGGCATTACCCGTGCCCGTTGCGCCCCTTGTCAACAACAGCCCCGCGAAACCCTCTCCCACCCACACCACTTCACCCTCTCGACCTCGCTCTACATCCTCAGCCATCATGGACGGGGACGAGCTGATCGCCTCGGTCGCCCACAAGATCGAGCGGGAGAAGGCCCTCATCACCGCTGCGAGTAACATGCGGCAGTCGACTGACAACCCCCTCGTGCAACAGAGAGTCGACGCCAACATCCGCGATGGCCGAAAGAATATCGCTTACCTGGAGGAGAAAATGAGAGAGCTGCAGATCCGTCAAATGCAGCAGGATGGTGGCTCACCCAGCCAGCGCCCGCATGGGGGCCCGGCTCCCCCACCAAAGGACTACCCCGGACAATCTGGCGAAGGCGATTATGGCGATGGCCGCAACTACCCCCAGGGTGGTTCTGGCTCGATGCCGTCCGGCGCTCCATTCCCTGACCCCCGACCTTTCGCTCCGATCCCGAAGGCTAGGCCCAACTACACGAAGCTAGGTGCGTCAGATTGTGATCCGAGATGCAGATTTAGACACCTCAAAAATGTTGCGTTAAGCTTAAAATTGTTCAGAATGCTGACATGGATGGCTATGTCTCAGATCTTATCAAATATGACACTGCATACCTCGGGCCGAAGATTCAACTCATGCTGTCCCAACTGGAGTTCAAGCTGAGTGTCGAGAAACAATACAAGGCGGGTATCGAGAAGATGGTGCGTTTGTACCAGGACGAGGGCGACCGAAAGAGTCGTGCCGATGCCGAGGGTCGTCGCATTGAGAGCAACCAAAAGATCCAGCTCTTGAAGCAAGCTCTGAAGCGATATGAGGATCTCCATGTCGACATTGACCCTACCGCCGACTCACCCGATGGTACGCAAAGCACTTCTAGCCTGGTAATAAGGATCACGTCGAGTTACTGACTGGTGGCACAGATGAGAGTTTAAGTAGCCCGAACATGCGCAAGCCGCTGACCGGTCTATTGACCATGCGCATCCATGCGGTCAAGGATGTTGACCATGCCGCCAGCTCACGATTCTCGCGAGGCCCGGAGACATATGTCGTCGTCAAAGTGGAAGACACCGTCAAGGGCAAGACCAAAGCAACCCGAAACGATAAATGGTTGGACGAGTCATTCTCCATGGATATCGACAAGGCCAACGAGATTGAATTGACCGTTTACGATAAGTCGGGAGATCGCCCAACTCCCATCGGTATGATTTGGGTGCGGATTTCCGACATCGCAGAGGAAATGCGTCGCAAGAAGATTGAGACGGAACTCAACGCCTCTGGTTGGGTATCTGCCGATAAGATGGCCGATGGTGGATCGCCTCGACATGACCACCCTGGTTCCCCCCAGGGATCTTCCCATGGCCCGGGCTCTGGACGACCGGGTACCTCAGGCCAAGGCGGGCACCATGGCGGGGAGATTTCAAATGTTCCTCCCACTGTGATGATCGATTCATGGTTTGCTCTGGAACCCGTTGGACGGATTCAACTCCAGATGAGCTTCGGTAAGACCAGTTTCATCCGCCTCATCTTTTGATATACTAATTCTGGGCAGCCAAACAATTGAAGGACCGCCGTCCCTTTGACATCGGTCTTAATCGTCAAGGTGCCGTCCGTCAAAAGAAGGAAGAGGTCCACGAGAAGCAAGGTCACAAGTTCGTTACGCAGCAATTCTACAACATCATGCGCTGTGCGCTCTGTGGAGAATTCCTCAAGTATGCCGCCGGCATGCAGTGTGCAGACTGCAAGTACACCTGTCACAAGAAGTGCTATTCCAAGGTTGTCACCAAGTGTATCAGCAAGGCCAACTACGAGACCGACCCGGACGAAGAGAAAATCAACCACCGCATTCCCCATCGTTTCGAAGGCTTCTCCAACATCTCCGCCAACTGGTGTTGCCACTGTGGTTATTTGCTGCCCTTTGGGCGCAAAAATGCCAAGCGATGCTCTGGTAAGCATATCACGACAATTGATATTCGACTTGGTATATACTAATCTTTCATACAGAGTGCGATCTCACGTGTCACGCTCACTGCACTCACCTCGTGCCCGACTTCTGTGGCATGTCGATGGAAGCGGCCAACCAAATTCTCGAGACTTTGATTCGCGCCAAGAATCACAACAAGTCTGCTTCTGTCAGTTCCGGTCTTAGCAACCGCACCCTTCGACCAAGCGGTCCGCCGCAGCCCCCTCAAGACAATGCTGCCCTCTCCTACCCCCAGAAACCAATGGAAGGTCCCTATGGGGCTATTCCTAGACAACCCTCTGCTGAAGCGGTAAGCGCAGCCACTAACTCCTTCATGACACCACAGTCACCAACAGCTTCTGCACAGGCCGCACAGCGCCAACAGTTGCCTCCCAAATCCCCCACGGGACCTTCCGCCGCCGCCGCTGCCGCAGCTGCCGCTACTGGCATGCGCAGCCCCCAGCAAACCCCAAGTATGCACCTTCTATCTTTTTTCAATGGCCTTTTTATATTAATACATGTATCACAGCTGAAATGAACCGTCCTATGCCACCTCAAGCTCCCCAACAGCCTCAGCACGCTCACTATGATCCATCTGCTTATGCCAACTTCCCTCAGCAGCCTCCACCTCAGGCCATGCAAAAGGCTCAGCCTTCGTCTTATCCGATGGCACCGCCGCCACAGCCTATGCAGCAACAGATGCCTCAACAAGTTGCGCCGCCTGCTAAGGACGATGCCGCCCTGGCACAGGCCAAAGCTCGCATTGGACTGGACCACTTCAACTTCCTTGCTGTTCTCGGAAAGGGTAACTTCGGTAAGGTCATGCTGGCTGAAACCAAGAGCACCCGCAAGCTGTACGCCATCAAGGTTCTGAAGAAGGAATTCATCATCGAAAATGATGAAGTCGAAAGCACCAAGTCCGAAAAGCGTGTCTTTCTGATTGCGAACAAGGAACGTCATCCCTTCCTTCTCAACTTGCACGCTTGTTTCCAAACCGAGACCCGTGTTTACTTCGTCATGGAGTACATCAGTGGTGGCGATCTTATGCTGCACATCCAGCGTGGCCAATTTGGTCTCAAGAGAGCCCAGTATGTATTCCTGGGTAACGATGATGAAGGTCTAAACATGCTGACTCAATTCATCTAGATTCTATGCTGCCGAGGTTTGCTTGGCGCTCAAATATTTCCACGAGAACGGTGTTATTTACCGTGACTTGAAGCTCGACAACATTCTGCTGACCCTGGACGGTCACATCAAGATTGCTGATTACGGTCTTTGCAAGGAGAACATGTGGTACGGTTGCACGACCAGCACGTTCTGTGGTACTCCTGAATTTATGGGACCCGAGGTATGTATTGCCGGACTAAGTGATGAAGAACCCCCAATTGACTTTTTCTAGATTCTACTGGACAAGAAGTACGGACGAGCTGTCGATTGGTGGGCGTTCGGTGTCCTCATCTATCAGATGCTCTTGCAACAATCTCCCTTCCGCGGTGAAGATGAAGATGAGATCTACGATGCCATTCTCGCTGATGAGCCTCTCTACCCCATCCACATGCCTCGGGACTCTGTATCGATCCTCCAGAAGCTGTTGACTCGCGAGCCCGAGTTGCGTCTCGGCTCTGGTCCCACTGATGCCCAAGAAGTCATGTCCCATGCCTTCTTCCGCAACATCAACTGGGATGACATCTACCACAAGCGGGTCCCTCCGCCTTTCATCCCCACAATCAGCAGCCCCACTGATACCAGCAATTTCGACCAGGAGTTCACCAGTGTGACTCCTGTCTTAACGCCTGTGCAGTCTGGTAAGATTTCTTCTTTTCCTCTATACAAATTGTAACTGACATTCTATTTAGTGCTTTCCCAAGCCATGCAGGAAGAGTTCCGTGGCTTCTCCTACACTGCCGACTTCGCCTGATCCGGCCACGACCACCATGATTATTATTCACTTGGATCCCTGTCAAGATTCGTTGATGGAGGGGTTTAATGCCGACACGGCCGGTTTCTTCAGGGCGCCGCGGGTCACCCGCCCTTCCCAGCACTTCTTGCTCTTCCAATTGCTTCAACATACCCAATTGCAGCTTCGTTTTAAGTGCCGGTGTGGACGCCGGTCCGCTTGATATGCTTTGTTCGGATACCATGGTTATTGAACCCTCTAGGTTGCCTTGCTTTGTCAATTTCCCTTTTCATGCCTATCTAAATTGCTTGTTTCTATTCTTTCTTTCCTTTTCTGTCGAGTTCTTTTCAGTCCCAATGTGTTTCTTTTCCGACTGGTCGGTTTTATGACTCTATTCTATGTCGGGCAGTCAAATGTTCAAAAAGGAGAGGGGTGGACTTGAGGAGTTTTGGTCCAAGGAGTATGAGAAATGACGACGTTTGAAGATCTATGAAGATGGCGTAGGACCTGGAGCCACGCTTTATGCGTATTATGTTCTAATGGCTACCCTATGGAGATGCAAATACGATATCCATCCTAAATGCGATTTGGCTATGCAGTTGTAGTTGAACTCATGTACTCATTCCTTTCCCATCTCCCCCATGTTGATATCTCTTTTGTTTACAACACCTTCTTTTCAAGTTGTTCTCATCTTTCTCTTCTACACGTTCTCGTTTCCACACAACTGCCCTTGCAGCTTTCATTCTTTGTTCCCAACATAGATTTCCTTTGTCAAGATGTTCGTGGTATCACGGCTCAAGCGCCTGCTTCGCCGACGCCCTCGAGTCTCGAGTCCCGTGAATACCGGGCCCTCGAACAACAAAGAGTGTCCACCCCCAGTCAACAAAGAAAAGTCGTCTTCGGAGAACAAACAAAGCCCGTCTTCGGACAACAAAGAAACGCCATGCACGCGCAGACCAAAGCAACGATTCAACCGAGCCCGTGTCGAGCAATGGGCCAGACAGCTCACTGGGCCTCAGGGCGAGTCCCTTGTCAATAACACTCGGCCAGAGGTTGACAACATCGACTACCACATCGACTTTCCCGACAGCTCAGAAACCGGATCTCCTCCGTCGTGCTGGGGTGATATCTGGACCTACGACCCTGAGATCAGCCGCTTCTTGTGGGAGGACGCGGCCCCTATTGAGCGTGTTAACCAGACCTTTCGAATCTTTCATAATACGCCTGTTTACGGGCCTGACCCGATTATTCCTCTTTCGCCTTCTTATTGTCCCTCTTCCTCCTCTTCCTCTTCCTCCTCTTCCTCTTCCTCCTCTTCCTCTCCTTCCTCTTCGCTTTTTTCTACCTACCCTCCTTCTTCTTTCGCTTCTTCTCCTTCCTTCTCTTCGTTTTATTCTCTTCCGTCACCAACCCTGAATCATCTCATGGGGCAAGAAAGTTCTTCTCCCTCGGCGAACGTGCCTTCGGCCATTGCTGAGCACAATGATGAAGAAAAGCTGGTAAGTCTGATGCTTTATTCCATCATCGTTCTTTCACTTTCATCTCTCTTGCCTCTCGTATTTCCCTTACTCTCCTTTTCACACTCGTTTTCCATTCTCCCACTTTCATTTTAAACTGATTTGTCTCAGGACTCGGCCTCGCCAGTCGACGGCGACCTAAAGCCCGAAGCACCAGCTGAAGCCGTTCAGAAACTACATTTGCCAGTCGGCGACAAGGACGCGAAGCCTGACTCGCCAACCACGCAAATTCAGGAACGAAATTCGCCATCCGAAGACGGCTTGGAGTCTGAGTCGCCAACTGCACGAAGCCAGAAACGGGACTCGCCATCTGACGACGACTTGAAGCCTGACAAACCAGTCAAGCGAGTCAAGCGAGTCAAGCAACTTGATTTCTCAGGTCTCGGCAAAAAGCGCAAGCGAACTGAGGACCCCGACCTCGAGACTGGCAGCGATACGGAAGCAGATCTAAGTGACTCGGATGTTAGTAATTTCACTCCAAGTGAGTCTTCTTCTCCCGTATCAAGTGAGGACCGGCCACCGTCGCCAACTCTCAAGCGTGGGAGGAGAAATCCTCTGGACCCTTCATTCAGGGATCCCAACCCTCGACGCAAAAACAATAAAAGGAGGAAGAAGGCATCAGATACGGAATACACTGAGCACGACAGTGAGGATGATATTTCCTTTGTCCCGAAGTACGAACGCAATCAACTCTTGGACATTCAACCTAGAAGGAGAGGAAAGCGTCAACTCGAGCCGGAGAATCTTCCCATTAATCCTGACTTGGGGCCGCAGGAGCAAGCCCTTGCTGCTCAGCTTCATGCCTGTTCTAAGAAGGCCTCGATTCCCCGACACTGGCAAAAAGACTTTACGACTTTGCCAGAAAAGTTGTTCTTTGCCGCAGGCAATGACAAGGACGCAGATAACCACAGAGACAAACTCAAAGAAGGTGATTTTGTCCTTGGGGCTCATAAGAGCTCTGAATTCTATGCAATCCGAGCCTTCCAAGGACTGTTGCAAATTTGCGGCCATGTGAGAGATTTCTGCAATGTCCTTCGTTCTCCACCTGAGCCTTTTATCAAGAAAACAATTGAGAAGTATCTTCGCTGGGCAGTAATCGACGCTGGACTTACAGTAGAGCCCTCCAACATCCCCATGTACGTCATTTACACCAAAACGGATAAAGAAGACTCACAGGAAGCCATCACCAAGTTTTACAAGAAATTGCAGAACCGAGCAAACGACTTCAAGAGATATGCTCTTCTCGCTCCTGCTACCGACAGCTACTGGCCAGCCCTGGTAGGCTTCTTCGTTACCGGGCCTATTGTTTCTGTAGTCACCCTTGACACCACCCCTCAGCCTCTAGATGCCAATCCAACATCTGAAGACAAAGGCACTAAACCTTCAGGCGAGGATTCTTCTTTGGGAATCAACCTTCTCATGTACATGGACCTTTCTGATATGAATCGAGATGTCTGGGGTGCCATGTTTCTCGCAATTCTCATTGGACATATCAAGAATACGATGGTCAAGCTCGCCGACAACTACAAATCCATATGGGTGGCGCATGCTCCTGGGCCGTATGGTTATTCTGGGTATTTCTCAGATCGCGACCAATAGTGCATTGGTTTCGGGGAAGTCTGAGGGACTCGGCTTTTTGACTCTGACATGAGGCAATCCTGCTCTATGTCAAAATGTTGCAATGTCGCTATTTAGCGTCTTCAACTGCCGGAGGAATGGCGTGCTTACGCTAAGTGCTAGTTTTTGCCTGCGTGGGTGATAGGTCTACCGGGGCTGCGCGGCAGTGGAGCATGCTGCTATGGGGCAATAGTTTCCACGATGCGACCGACTGCAAGGATTGATTTGTTGTTTCAGTCCTCCACCTCATGCAGATGAGAACTTGTTTTTCTCCTCTTCAATCTCTCTTTAATACTCTCGATGAACCATCATTCGGGGTTGAAGGGAACATCTCGTGAACAGAAAGCACGGAGCTCGCCCTAAAAACTCTTCCATGATGATCTCAGAAAACCAACATGGGGCCACAGAATCGTCCCCCTTGTTGCGTGACATCGACCATGAAGCAGCAAACAGAACAAACAAGTCAGGATGGCAGCAAGAATTGATGATTATCTCAAAATACACAGCCCCGTTGATGGTCGCACTTTTGCTTCAACATGCATTGACCGGGTCCAGCATTTTCATGGTGGGCCATCTGGGGAAACGGGAAATCGGGGCCGTGAGCTTGGCTAACATGACCGCCCAAATCACTGGATACTTCGTCTTTCAAGGCCTTGCGACGTGTCTCGATACTCTATGCCCACAGGCATATGGCTCGGGAAACCTGAAAATGGTCGGTCTGCATGTTCAACGACTGACGCTGTTCATGCTCGTTCTCATCATCCCAATCGGAGCCATGTGGTACAATGCGGATCGCCTTTTCATGTTAGTTCTCCCGGCTGAATCCCGCGAAACTGCCGTTCTCGCGGGATTGTATCTCAAAATCGCCATCTTCGGAGCTCCTGGCTATGCCTGCTTTGAGTCCGGAAAGCGATTCTTCCAAGCGCAGGGTTTATTCGGTGCTAGTTTGGTGGTCCTTCTGGTTTGCTCCACGCTTAACATTTTCATGGGCTGGCTCCTTGTCTGGGTATGTGGTGCAACATCGATCATTTACTTCATTTACTGACTTTTCTCCGGCAGAAACTCCAATGGGGCTTCATCGGCGCTCCAATTGCAGTCGCCATTGCTAATAGTCTTCTTCCAATCTTCCTCGCATTGTACGTCATCTTCATCAGAGGATCAGAGTGCTGGCACCCTATTACTGCTGAAGTCTGGCGCGGCTGGGGTTCAATGTTAAACCTTGCCATCCCAAGTTGGTTAATGATCGAAGCCGAGGTCCTCGCTTGGGAGTTCATGACTCTCATCTCCTCTCACCTCGGAGAAACCGAGCTTGCTGCCCAAGCTGCCATCTCAACGCTGTCCGACTTCGCATTCCAAGTATCCTTTTCTATCGCCATCGCTGGTGGTACGCATATCGCCTATCTGGTAGGAGCAGGCCTCATCGACCGTGCGACAAGAGCAGCTACAGTTTTGGTCTTCACTGGTCTTGGTGCTGGTTTGATGAATATGCTCATTGTCCTCGCTCTCCGAGGAGTGATCCCTGGCCTGTTCAGCGACATTGGCGAAGTTTGGCATTTGATCTACTTTTTGCTCCCATTGGGCGCCGTTCTTCAGATTCCTGATGCCGTGGCTACATCACTTAATAGCTTGCTGCGGGCTGTTGGGCGGCCTGACTTGGGCAGCTATGTGCAACTCTCAATCTATTACCTCGTTGGATTGCCATTGGGCATCGTTTTTGCATTCTGGTTGAAGTGGAGCATCTTTGGACTCTGGAGTGGAATCTTGATTGGACAATCAATCATTGTCGCAATTGAGGGATTTTACTTTTGGAAAATGGCTGACTGGGCCAAGGCATCGAGAGAAGCGGTGGAGCGCATGGAAGATGAAGAATAAAAAGTATCGAGCAGGGCGTGGGGGATATGATTATAACAGCATAGCCCTGGATTTCTCCGATAAAAGAAGCACCTAGCGAGACAATATGTACTACAATCAATGTTTTCAACTGACTTTTTCTTCGTAACTTGCGCTTGATATACAGTATTTTATCTGTCACATGACTCGGCCCGCTGTTGACGCTATTCCCAACACGCACTCTTCAGAAACACCTACATCACTCAATCGCCCACGATGGATGCTGCCGAGGATCGAGACGTAAAGCTCCAACGTGCATCGGGCGATCTAGTGGCCGAGTTCTCAGCAAAGCTACCTTCGCTATTGTGGAGATCACAAAATGGAACACCCCTCCGCACCCCACGCAAATGGGCACAGGTAACGAAGACAGAGAAGCTCGTCAGCCTTGTAAGATTTCCCAACCACAAATTAATCTCCAATCACCCCCTGATTCACGGTTACTGATACTTCCTACAGCTTGAACCATTCCAAGAGTGGCCCCAACTCTTAGATCCACACTTGCAGAAGCTGCTGTCCCCTTTAGTGGACGCTTTCCTGGCATATTTGATCAAGCATCGCGCCCAGTATGACACTACTTCGCCGCTACAATCTCAGTTTGGAGCTTTGTACCCACTTCCAAGAGCTATCTGCAGACTCTTGTATACATTCTGCAAAGTCCGCGGCGTCAAGGTTATCAGCCGGTTTTTGAACAATGAACCTAAATACCTTGAGTCAATGCTGCGGGCTTTCATTGAATGGAATTATGTGAAACCGTCTAACGCAGAGGACATGATTGACTCTGATCCGCAGCGGTTGATCTGGGAAGAGCGCTATGTGATGCTTGTTTGGCTTTCTCATCTGCTGCTTGCTCCTTTTGATCTTTCGTCGTTGTCTTCTGACGATATTCCCGTACCTTATGACAACTTGCAGGGCTTGGCTTGGTTGCCTGCTAAGACACCCATGGTTGCAAAGTCTCTCCTTTCCTTGTGTCTTCATTATATCAGTGCACCTGGTAAAGAACGTGAGGCTGCTACGGCTCTTTTGGCACGATTGGCTCTACGTGGAGATATGCAAGCTCTTGGGGTCCTCACTGGTCTGACAAAGTGGGCGCTTGCTACTATTAAACCATCTGAGGGGGCTGGGTTGCCTTCTGTCTATGCTTGCATTGGTATCCTCACATTTATTGCCCGTCTCGGTGCATCAGGACATGTGGACGATCTTGCACCTTTGATCAATCAGATCTTCCAGCGGACCCTCAGTGTATTTCAAGGACAGTCTGCGGTATCTGCAACTATTAAGGCTTCGGCCTTGGCTAGAAAGATTATCGTCAAGATTCTTCGAAATATCACATTAATGGCGCTGTCTCTGAATGAGCGTGGTGATGGATGCATTACATATGACGAGATATCTACCATTTTGGAAGATGCTATTGATAATTTCCTGGTCTCGCTGGCCGACAAAGATACACCCGTGCGATTTGCCGCAAGTAAGGCACTCAGTATCATCACTTTGAAGTTGGACCCGGAAATGGGAACTGAAGTTATCGAGGCTGTTATTGGATCACTGGGAGAAAACATCCTTTATGAGAAAGATGATGGTTCTCTAATGACTCCATTTGAGGCGCGAAAGATTGGAACTCACACTCTCAAACGCAATCTCAGCGCCGTCGACGCCCAACGCTGGCAAGGACTAATCCTGACACTATCACATTTACTCTTCCGCCGCGCACCTCCAATTCAACAACTTCCGGAGATTCTCCAGTCCCTTGTATCTGGCTTATGCTTCGAGCAGAGATCGTCTACTGGTAGCTCTTTGGGCACCGGTGTACGAGACGCAGCCTGCTTCGGTGTTTGGGCTTTATCCCGGAAGTATACCACTCCAGAGCTCCTGGCACTTCAATCCCAGGTAGTGGCCTCACCATTCGGCCAGAAGGAGGTTGATGTCCTGCAGAAGCTAGCCGTGGAACTTGTCTGCGCGGCTTGTGTCGATCCATCTGGAAACATTCGCCGTGGTTCTTCGGCTGCTTTGCAGGAACTGATTGGTCGTCATCCCAACACCATCGCCGAAGGTATTCCGCTTGTTCAGGTGGTTGATTACCATGCTGTCGCTCGTCGGTCTCGCGCTATGATTGACGTTGCAAAAGCAACAGCATCTCTGGATCAGATCTACTGGAGTCCTCTGTTGGATGCTTTGATAGGCTGGAGGGGCCTTGGCTCACCAGATGCCGAATCTAGAAGACACGCGGCTAAGTCTATTGGAACACTGAGTACCCAGGAGGTTTACAAGACCATGCAGTTAGTCCTGGATCTTTTACTGCAAAAATTCTCTTGCACTTCTCGAAGTGATGTTGAATCACGACATGGTTGTCTGTTATCGATTGCTGCTACAATTGATGCGTTTACTTCTCACTGGGAGAATTCAGTGGAGACAAGAGACAGCCAGGAAGCTAGGGAGGTATCCTCTCGAGTGGCCAGGGCCTGGGAGATCTTTGGTTCTTCATCAGGTCCCACAGACGACGACTTGACATTCCAGACATCACGCCCGGAGTTGACAGCAGAGGCATCATCGTGTTTGATCTCCTCGCTATCACGATCTATTATTACGGTCGGTCTGACACATCCTTCCGAGACACTTCTCGATCGCACACTCCAAATCTTATCCGTTTGTGCATCTCGCAGTGATGATACTTCTATCGAGACGTCCTCAACTGCCTTGTCGCAATTATTCCCTCTTCTGTCGACATCGAAGCAAGAGGAAACAGTCCGAATATGGTTCTCCCATCTTCATACTTCATGGCGGCTGCCAACCGGCCGCGGTCAAATTTTGGCTCTTGGTGCAGTGTTCAAGCAGCTAGAAAGACAAAGTGATCTTCAAGACAACATTGTCACCGAGCTACTTCGGTACACCGGGAAAGAGGAACTTATCGAAAAGCGAGTGGCTGCTGTGAAATGCTTGTCCACCAATATCTTGCCATACATGCGTATGCTAAATCTCTCTATCAACTTCTCGGTATCCAAAACTAACAAAATATTAGGTTCAACCGATACAGTTGCGGCCAACTTCCTCGAGTTCCTGAATGACTATACCACAGACAGAAGGGGTGACATTGGATCTCTAATCCGAGTGGAAGCAATCCAAGCAGCAGGCATCCTTTTACGAAGAGAATCAGGATCGACGCCACGTCCACCCTTAGTGCAAAATCTAGTCGGTAATCTTTGCCGTCTTGCATCCGAAAAGCTGGACAAGGTCAGACTCCACGCCTGGCTTTATCTCCAAGTATTCTGGGAGTCAGCACAAGATCTTCCTCCGCTTGAAATGTAACCCGTTCGCTCTATTATACTGGGGAATTCCTACTGATTGAAGATAGGAAATTCGAACACTTCAGTCACGTCTCGTCGCAGGAGTATTTTGTACAACTACTGACCTTGCAAAGCATTGACTGGATTCGTCTCCCACTACTACAGGGATTTGCTACCTCTGCTATCTCAGGAGCAGAAGGTCTCGTCCGAGCGTCTCGCTCAGGGTTGACACAATTCCTGAGCAATCAATCAGAAGCACAACGGCAGGAAATCTTAATGGCTTTCTTGCACGATGTTTCTACGGTCTTGAGTGACAATCTGCAAGATGAACGTTTCGCCATTCCTGCCGTTGAGTTCGTCGCTTTCTTGGTTGATAGCTACATCCCTGTTGTCCCCGAAGGCACGGATCCAAGGTGCGTCCCTCAGTCTTACGATTTTTATATATTTGAATAATTTGCTAATAATCGATACTTTAGCTTCCGCAAACTCTTTATTCTAATCCAAAAATCACACCTCAGATCGGCCAACATGGCTCGATTGGAAGCTGCCATTAAAGCGTATGCTGCATTAACAAGAATCGACTCCCTAAGAGCTGATGTTCTGAAGAAGATGTCTGGGCTGCTTTTGCATCCATTTCCAAGGGTAGGTACACTCACCATATTCTTTTTGGTCCTGAATAACTAATCTACTGGTCCTTTTGTTAGATTCGGTCGAGTGCTGCAGAGTATCTGTTTGTGGTGACAGACACTGAAATTACCAAGTTCGGGGACTGGTCTGCTTCGCCTAAGGAGTTAAAGCTGCAGGTTGATAGTCTACGGACTGTTCTTGCTCAGCAAAGCTAACTTAAACAATCAATGAAACCGGTTGAATATTGGGACATGATCTTGCTACATAGCTGTAAATTTGTTTCTTCAAATGTACAACAGTTGCCATAACGCCATTCACCACCCCAGCTTAATTGATCTAGATGATCGACCCAAGACACTTAAAACCAGCCAAGAAAAGAGCTGAAAAAGGAGAGGCCAAGTTAAGTCCCTAGAAGCGTATCAAGTAGTACAATCGCTTCGATCGTTTGACATGTTCATGCCCCCTGCTGCAGTACACATTCCATGGTCATACATATGGGCCAGTATTCAGTACAACATTTCAACCTCTATGCAAATCAATCAATAAGCTCCCGTGTCAACCGCACAGTCTCATCGATTCTGTTAAGGAAGAGCCCGCAGTCTTCACGATCCACACTGCGTGGCAGCCATCATACCAAATTGAGCCTCTTTCGGCACTGCACGATCATCAGTCGTGACGATATAAGCCAGCCACCTCTGATAAGTAAGTCGCGTCCGCTCGGACAGGATGGGGCTGGGGCGAAGTGAAGAGCAAGGTGGCATGCGATTCAAGCTCTGTCACCGTGGACTGGGCCAATGCCGACTCAACATCCGCAGCAAAGTGGGTGGTAGGGTCGTCTGCGATATTGAGACGACGGCTATAGTACAACAAGTCAGACAATGAATTGACTTGTACCTGAGGGGTTTTACCTGATCTACTAGAATCCAAGGGGGGGCACATTTCCGCCCTTTAGGCCTGTACAGCTGGAGCCTTCGGCCATAACGACGGCTCTCAAGAATAACAGGCCGATCACACCACCCGCTTTGCCTTCTTGTGTTCGCCGTAACTTGGCGAACCCTGTAGCTGCAGCTGCTCTAGGCATACCTGCATAGGAATGCATAGATAGCAGGACATCTTTGCCCTCATCCTCTAGCAGCAGGCGGAGAATAGTGCCAATGGCATCGGCATCAGCTTGGCAATCGATAGCAGAGGGGTCATTGGGATATTAAGATGGGTAGCCAGCGTAGCGAACCTCGTAGCCAGCTGTCGTGACAGCTTAGATGAAAGGCGATGCTACTACTGTCGCTGCCGGGCTGTTTCATTTCCACTTGCAGGAATCGCCCGACGTGCATATAGTGCGTGCATAGATCGGGCTAAGCCACGCTCGTCATTGGATGTTGCAGCACGTATGCTGTCCCTCTACCTGACAAAAGTATTCCCGGTTTGATTTCAACACCACAATATGCATAGATATCTACACATACATATAATTGAGATATATTCTCGATCCATTGTACACGGCCGGCCTTTTCACAGATCATGTCTACTCACTCTCAACACTGAGCATAACCAGTGACCAACAGCGTTGTAGTAAGGATGAGATAGAAATTCTCTCACGCGTCCAGACGATATCCAGAAAAGAAGTCAAAAATGTACTCAGTGGCATTAAAGACATACTTCCCGAGAGGACATTGACTAGCCAAACGCTCATAGTCATCATTGCCAACAGTACTAGGCCAGCAATGACCATTCTGGCCTTCACGATAATGCTGAACAATACCGGTCTTGCTACCACAATCCCAAGAAGCATGCTTAACGAGCGGGTTCTCAAACACAGTCTCGTTCCTAGCCCACTGAGCCTTCTCACCACACCCATTTCGATCAGCCCAGCCTTGCAGGATATCAATGACCGGCAACTTGGGACTCTTCTTCGTATTCCCATCAATAGGCGCAGTGGTATCCGTCGTGCCATGGAACTCAAGGAAAGGATATCCCTCGGCGCGCTCAGCAGGCGCACAAGGGCCCACGCCTTCGATGTCGTCGGTGTCATACCATGCACCACTGACAGCTGCGAAGGCGGCGAACCGGCTTCCCACGGTGGCATTGCAGGCGATGACGCCGGTGAAACCACCGCCATTTGATTTGCCTGCTGAGAAAACCCTGCTTTTGTCGATGCAGAGTTTGTCTTCCATATGGGTTAGGAGCTCGTTTGTGAAATCCAGATCATTTGGGCGTGATATATCTGCGCTTGGATTGGAGAGCCAGTATCCATTCTTGCTGTCGGGGTAGATGGCGACTCCATTGGGATTGAATTCTGGATTGGAGAATTGCGAAAGCTCTTCCTCTTCTAGCATGTCACGGCTGGCGCCGTGAAAGGAGAAGTAGAGCGCTGTTGGAGTGCTTTTGTCATAGTTGGCTGGGATATATAATCTGTATTGGCGGTCCGAGCCTGGAAGTTTGAGGCTCGTGCTTGATCCCGGGGTTGGGAATTTGGAGGGTATATTCTTGTTGCAGCCTGCCGATTGGGCGGTGCTCATGCTGGCCAGGGCTGTAAGGGACAGGAGGAATGCGATCTGCATGGCGGTGGTTGGTGGTTTGTGTTTGACAACATGTGTGCAGAGGGGGGGGGGGGGTCGGCTGATTTAAATGGACATACTCAGTTCCAAAGCTGAGAACAGAGCCCCATTAATTAATAACCGATTAGCAAACGAGATCTGCGATTCTTGGACGAGTTCCCCAATCAGGAACAATGTTCCTACATGCAAATCCAATGGTGGCCCCCCTTTGATGGGGGCTGGATGGACACCATCCCCTTCAAGTCTCTTGGCATCTGGCATGCTCGCGTTCAATGATTCGCTATTTTCGAGTGAATTGTAGGCTGAGCCTGGCTGATCGCCTGCAAAGACCTTAGTTCTTGCTGAAGAGGGGACTAACCAGGTGCGACCCACGCGGTGTCCCCAGAGTTGGTCTATGTTAATGCCACACACCCGTATTTTAGTTAGCGGCTTTTTAGCTTATATCTGCCTTAACTGTACTCTACAACAGTATAGATCCCAACATTGATCATATTGCATGGTACACAACTTTACTCGATTGTGAAGGACCTTATAATAGCATCTGACGACCCCCCTGCTCCTCGAATACTCTCGAAAATGCTTCTGGAGAAATCCTGTTTCTAGCAAATGCACGTTTCAAGGATCTACATGTACACGGGCCGAGAACAGCTCCCAATGGCCCCGGCATGCTGTACTTATGCATGATTCCATGTGAGTAAACACCGCAGATCCGACATGCTGACGTTGGATAAAGCGGGTGATCCTCGCAATTTAGAACTAGCATCTCGAACTGCCGGGCGCTTATACCGATATTGATTGATAAACGTGCAATCCCCTCTGCTTTGTTGATTCTAACTTATCATGCAACCGCTTTGCCGTCATGCTGCTTGACCTTCATCCCCATAGCGTGATAGCCGTGGGTGTACTACTACCAATCCTCGCCTCAACCGCTGTTGGATCACGATTCTATTCAAGGCGCAAGCTTGGCGTCTCTCTTAAGGAGGATGATTGGATGGTTCTGGTTTCTGTGGTGCTGGTTTGGGGTTTAGGCGTCACCAATATCTCCGGTAAGCTCGGCCTAGCCCCGCCCTTGATTGATCCCAGAGCGACCGTGTGGATGACAGTATTATAGGTGCTGCCCTCGGGGCTTTGGGGGCTCATTCAGAGCCTGCGGGCCCTGATGCGCCTCATCACAATACGATCATGCGAGGACCCAGGGATGAGATTGCTGAGCAGGTATGCTTTGAACACGCCTGAAGTTTTTGGTTGCCAATGGCTACTGATACACCCCTAACTAGATCGTTCTAGGATATAGCATTGTCGAAAAAGTTGCATTTGGCGTTATCAAAATCAGCGTTTTGTTGGCATATAGGCGAATCTTCCGCGGACCGGCATTCAATGTCGCTTCACTTATTATGATCGCGATTTGTGCGGTATTAGCGATATCCTTTCTTATAACCTCAGCTCTCCAGTGCCATGTGCGAAACTGGAGTCTGCAGTATCTTGCTTGGTCGCATCGAAAACACTGTATCCAAGCCGAGATCTCATGGTCTGGCTATGCCATTGCAGACGTGGTCACAGATTTAGTCCTGCTGCTGTTCCCTGTGCCATTAGTATGGCAGCTACAGCTCACAGTCTCCAAGAAGATCAGTGTGCTTTTGGTGTTCTTGCTAGGATCGTTGTCAACTGCTATTGGTATCACGCGGATGGTCGTGTTGTTATACTTCACCTATGGTTTGTCTCTCATTAGCCCACAAGAAGGATATCGGCTAAATGATCCACTAGGGAGCTCTGATGGATATCGTGATCTGTTGGATACTATCTCGACTGCTCTTATATGGAGTCTGACAGAAGCTTCTGTCGCTATCATTGCTTCCTGTCTTCCTAGCATTCGCCCACTTATCCATCGTTCTTCTGCGAGTGAAATACGAGTTCAGTCCTCGATGCAATCACTCCGGCATTCTCGATCAAAAAGTGCTGCGGGCGTGATTAAACAGCCTCCCCTTGAAGCGTTTAACAGGATTGATGACCAATTCTTGACACGTAGCTCGGAGATAGTGTAGTATGTGATGACGGGAGGGGATCTATTGATGTACAAAATTGAGGAATTAGCGGATTATCAATTGACGCGTCAAATTAACTTAATTTCTAAGATTGGCAACGAATATAGCAAAACGATAAATGCCTAGGGAGCAAAATAAAAAAATTTGCAAAAAGAAATGTGCATCATCCGTGAATCGAACACGGGCCTCGTCGATGGCAACGACGAATTCTACCACTAGACCAATGATGCTAGTTGATATATTCTGCAATGGTCAAGTGCTATATGAGCCAAAAGTTCCTCTCAATCTCATCTCGCCGCTCTGGTCACGCCGAAGCTCAACCTCGCTGTCCCGCAGAGCTCCAACTGTCGCAACCATGGCAGCCGTCTCTACAGCTGGCATTCCTGCCAATTCCACGTGAGTCCTCATTCATCATTCACCAAGGTCTACGCTAACCACTGTCGCAGAGTATACGTGCGCATCCTGTCCCTCCCCTGCTATCAGCAATCCGGTCCCACTTACGCATTCAAATACTAACGCTGTTGAAAACCGATTAGGTCAAGAATCTAGATGAGAGAATCAAACTCGAGCAGTTGAAGGAGGCTTTGGAGGAGATTTTCTCGGAATATGGCACCATTCTCGAGATCATCGCAAAGAGGAATCTCAAGGCAAAGGGCCAGGCCTTTGTCGTCTTTGACAACGTCGACTCCGCTACCCGCGCTATCGAGGAAATCAATGGCTTCGATATCTTCGACAAGCCTATGGTCTTGGACTACGCAAAGACAAGAAGTGATGCGACGGTCCAGCGCGAAAGCGGCGTCGACGAGCTAGAGGCTCACAAGCGGAGGCGCATGGCCGAGAAAGGTGCGTTAGACGGCCTTGTTCAATCAATATGGAATGCACAGGCCGATGCTAACTACAAATGTTCTACAGAGCGGAAACAAGCCCAAGAAGCACTCGAAGCGCAGAAGAAACTCAAGCGTCCCGCCGCCGCCGCCGAATCCACACGCCCAGCCAAGACAACCAAGGGAGCCGGTCTCAAGCCGACCTCTGGTGCCACAACCGCAGTCGTTCCAGACGAGTACCTACCCCCCAACAAGATTCTTTTCCTGCGGGAGTTGCCCGACGAGGCAAGCGAGGAGGGTCTGTCTGCTATCTTTGGCCGCTTCGAAGGATTCCAGGAAGTCAGATTGGTGCCTGGCCGAAAGGGAATTGCGTTTGTCGAGTACCAGGACGAGGCTGGAGCAATCAGCGCGAAGGAAGCTACATCTGGCATGCCTATGGGTGAACAGGGCAAGCCGATTCGCGTCACCTACCAGCGCCAGTAGTCGCTGGCGTGTTGCATCCTACAAAATATCCCTGTCTCGTTCTTTTCGGCGTTTGGAAGGTCTCGTCTTAAACATGTGTGTATTATGAATACAGAGAGCATTGGCCTGGCTCTCTTGCTGTCGCAATGCATCAAGGGTGTATCACATGAAATTCAATTCTTCCTAAGTAAATGAACAGGAAGCCATTGGCTAAAATATAGGCGCAAAGTGGTACATGTCACTGCTGGAAAAGGAGGAAGCTAACGAGTAAAGAGTATCTGTAAGAAGCACAATAGAAGGAAGCCCGGGGCCTAGAAGATAACGTCGTTGTCTTCCTGCTCTCCCAAAACATCTGTCGTCTCTGCCTCATCTGCTTGGGTCAAGATAGACTTTTCTTCTGGGTTTGCTGCTTGCTGCGCCGCCGCCTTTTCACGAGCTGCAAGGATCTCGGCATCTGCAGCAGCAACGTCTCTCTGCTTCTTGTTCGAAACCTTCTTGAGACGATAGAATTCCTCACGATCCAATTCATCCAGCTCGGAGTTAATGTCTTTGGAAGTTAGCCAGTGAATCCCAAGCGAGGCAGACGGTACAAACATTTGATGGTGTTCTCAGTTCGGGGAATGATAACATGCTCGCTTTAATATATTAGTATCCAAACAGTAGGCCAACTTCAATATTTGGCTCTTACATGGCATTGACTATAGACAAATATTAGTTTCCATAAGCCGTAACGGTTCAGATGCATAACTTACCTCGACGGTTGACAACCTTAATAACCTCATCCAGAATCAAGAAGGCAGTCTGTCACAGATAATGAGCAATATTTCACTTCATTGCAAAGTCCAGTCCTTACCTGCAAACTTGCCAGTTCTACCAATGTCTCCACAGCCCGTGCATATGTCTCCCGGCAGCGTTGGATCTGCTGTCCACCCTTGCCCAGACCGGTCAGACCAAAGTCATTGACACCTTCCTGTGTGTAACTCTCGAATTGTGGCAGGAAGACACCGGAGACGTTCTCGTGCTTGGCTCGCACGCGGAAACGGGCTTGCTTGGCGGACTCCTGGATCTGGTATCCAATATCGCCTCCAACGGCGTAGCTCACTTCAGCGAGGGAGAAGGCTGCAATTTGCATAACCCGGCCCATCTTTTGCTTAGCCTCATCGATACGGCGTGTGATTTCTGTCGAAGATTAGCGCCTATGTAAGGCGGGGGAACGGGAATGCGTCGGTATACATACCTCGGAAACGTCTGTTATGAAGATCGAGGGTCAATATATGGCAAAACAAACAGGAAGAATAGAGATGACGTACTTTGTTAAAGCTTCACTCTTTCTCTTCAGCAAGCTGTGTCCAATTTCGGCCCCCTTCAGCTTGCTCTTCATCAACCCCAGTGACTGGCGAGTCGGGAATACTGCCTCGCGGCCCTAGAGGTCTGTCAGATAGACTGATTAGAAAGCACCAATCCCATGTAGACATACTACGGCACCCGACATAACTGTAGCTCAGCGCAAAGCACAATAGAGACCTTGTTGTTCAGCTGGTGTAATGCGGCCACCTTGATATGACGCCGATAAAGATCTCCACCGCCCGCCTGATACAGACTTCCCACGTGACCAGCATACGACTACATCCGTCAACGGTTTTCCATCTAGACGCGCAAAGCAAACAGCCTCCTATTTATGCGCCCTACCTCCATGCTGACACGTTGATCGTGTAATTGGATCCCGCTCGACTGAGTGGCGCAATGCCAGGGACTCTCTTGCCCCCGAGATCGCACCGGCAGCACGCAGAGATGGACCGACCGTCTGCGGCCCGGCCGGACCTCTATTTGATTGTAATTTTGTCCCATTGAGCTTTTGGGACCCAAAGCTGACCCCGTATCCTCGAACAGACCGATCAGGACATCGTTTACGAACAAGATTTGCTTCGCGACGCCGGCAGCGTCAAGCCATGGCTCGCCTATATCGAATTCAAGCAGCAAAATGGCACGCTTTATGAGCAAGCATTTGTACGTCGCCACCTCCCACGAACGCCCTACGATAGACCATACTGATAAAACTGCTTTCCCAGGTCATGGAGCGTGCTTGCAAACAATTACCGCGGTCATACAAGCTCTGGAAGATGGTGAGCCCGACCCTCCTCATATTTTTTTTCGGCACGAATAATTGACTTTAATAGTATCTGGAATTTCGTACGAAGCACCTGAAGGGCCGCAACCCAACGGTATATCGTGCCGAATACCAGAAGGTGAATGCCCTCTTCGAAAGAGCTTTGATCCTGCTCAACAAGATGCCGCGCATCTGGGAAATGTACCTCTCCTTCCTACTTCAACAACCTCTCGTGACCCAAACTCGACGAACCTTCGACCGCTCTCTACGTGCTCTGCCAGTCACCCAGCACAATCGAATTTGGAGGCTTTACAAGGGCTTCGCTCGGTCTGCATCTGGCCAAACTGCCGTCAAAATCTTTGCGCGTTACATGCAAATTCACCCAGAAAATGCCGAAGAGTACATTGAACTTCTTGTCCAAATGGGCGAATATACGGAAGCCGTGAAAAAGTTCATGGAGATTCTCGACAATCCGCGTTTCCAGTCCAAGAATGGCAAGAGTCCATTCCAGCTTTGGACAGAGATGGTCGATTTGCTTGTTTCTAAGGCTAAGAAGATTGAAACGGGCCCGCAGGTCGGAATCGATGTCAATGCCATCCTTCGGAGTGGTGTTGAACGTTTCGCTGACCAGAGAGGCAAGCTTTGGGCCGGTCTCGCCACATACTGGATCACCAAGGGCAACTTCGAGAAGGCGCGGGATGTCTTCGAGGAGGGAATTACTACTGTCATGACAGTTCGTGATTTTACTCTTATCTTTGACTCCTATGTCGAATTCGAGGAGTCTATCATCGGCAACTTGATGGAAAGTGCAGCGGTCCGGTCTGAAAAGGGCAAGCTCGACGAAGAAGCCGATTTTGATCTCGATCTCCGTATGATGCGCTTCGAGCAACTGATGGATCGCAGACCGTTCCTGGTGAATGATGTGCTCTTACGGCAAAACCCTCACAACGTCATTGAATGGGAGAAGAGGGTGGCACTTTGGGGTGATAACAAGCAAGAAGCTGTTCAGACCTACACAAATGCCATTGCAGCAATCAGCCCTAAGAAAGCTCACGGGAAATTCTCTGAGCTTTGGGTCAACTACGCCAAGCTCTATGAGAACGGCGGAGACTTGGAAACCGCAAGAGTCATCTTTGACAAGGCTGTCAAGGTTCCCTTTAAGTCCGTGGCTGAGTTGGCTGAGACTTGGTGCGAATGGGCTGAAATGGAGCTGCGCGCCGAGAACTTCGACAAGGCAGTTAGCATCATGGCGAAGGCGACACAAGCACCCAAGAAGTCTACTGTGGACTACTTCGACGAGAATTTGTCTCCACAACAAAGAATCCACAAGAGCTGGAAATTGTGGAGTTTCTATGTCGATCTCGTCGAGAGTGTTTCTTCCCTGGAGGAAACCAAGAAGGTCTACGAGCGGATCTTCGAGCTTCGCATCGCGACACCCCAAACTGTGGTCAACTATGCCAATCTTTTGGAGGAAAACAAGTACTTCGAAGATTCCTTCAAGGTATACGAGCGCGGACTGGATCTCTTCATGTATCCAGTCGCCTTTGAGCTATGGAACATGTACTTGACCAAGGCTGTGGACCGTAAAATTGGCATTGAGCGCCTCCGAGACCTGTTTGAGCAATCCTTGGAAGAATGCCCACCAAAATTCGCTAAGTCCCTTTACCTGATGTACGGAAACTTGGAAGAAGAGCGCGGTCTTGCACGACACGCCATGCGCATCTACGAGCGCGCAACTCGTGCTGTCTCCGACGAGGACCGGTTCGAGATGTTCGAATTCTACATCACAAAGTCAGCCTCGAACTTTGGTCTCACATCCGCAAGACCCATCTACGAGCGCGCCATTGCCGCCTTACCCGACCAAGAGGCCAAGGAAATGTGTCTCAAGTTCGCCGAGATGGAACGACGACTCGGCGAGATCGACCGTGCCCGCGCTATCTACGGCCACGCATCCCAGTTCTGCGATCCCCGGACAAATGCTCCCTTCTGGCAGAAGTGGGAGGCCTTCGAAGTCCAGCACGGAAACGAAGATACCTTCAAGGAAATGCTTCGTATTAAGAGAAGTGTCCAGGCTCAATACAAGTATGTATTGATTCCACATGCACGATTGCATCATTTGCTAACCTTTCCCGCAGTACCGATGTCAACTTCATTGCATCCCAGGCAATTGCCAGAAGCCAACAACCCCAAGACGGCGAACAGGGCGAAGAAAGCCAAGACCGCGCAGATGCCATGGCTGAGCTGGAACGCCAAGCTCGCGCCCCTGTCGGCTTCGTCGCCGCCAGCAGCGGTCCAGAGGGTGGCAACCGTCCTCCTCCTGCGGGCAAAGCACCTGCTGCCGCCCCTGCCAACCCTGACGCCATTGATCTTGACATGGACGAGGAATAGAGAAGGAGAAGGCTTCGTACGGACTATCTTCTCCCAGAGAAAGCGAACATTCATGACTTCTTCATTTCATCTTCATTTTGTGTTTCATCTGTCGACGTGTATACTCTTGCTATGCTATCTTTCTTCACTCCTAGTATAAGTATCATCTGCGATGGATTGTCTTGTCAATCCCATTTTTCATTGGTCTAACCAACCCACTGCATTCCAAATCATGATTTTTCTTTTTTTTTTTCTTGAGCTATGAACCTGGATGAAAGGCTTTTGCCGCATTTCCATTGTTATCTGCTTTCGTTTTACTTGTTTTGGGATACCTGATTTGATGTGGCGCTCTGTTTTAGCTGTACGTGTATGTTTGTATAGGTTGTTTGATGGAATGATACTTTTCGTGTCACCTCTTGTCTATCATCAGCCAATATACGAGGAATTTCTATTCCGCATTAGTGATAGCTCTTTGGGACTTGCCATAAGGCTGAAAACTAGTAGTCGTACGTAAGCTTGACCATCAGTACCCGGGTAAGATATAATTGAGATCAAGGGTTGAAATTATCGTTACTGTTTAGTTTTATCGACTGTATTGTAGTCACTTGCATACATGGTAGTAAATTCACCAGGGATATGAGTGACAGGTTGCTTTTTGGAACACAGCACCATAATCAAATTGAACCTATATCTACATGGGAAATGGGGTAAAGAAATGAGACTAGGTAATGGAAAAGGTACAGTACAGCATAGACCCTAACGCTATTCTAGATGTAAATGCAAAGACAACCGAGAAGATAAGGGAAACATTATGGCTGAGGATGAAGGCCGCGGAAATCATCAGAAAGATAGACGTTCCCACTACGAAATACCTTCCTGGACTTCCTCGGGAGCAGGTTGGTCCTCGGTGTCAGCAGTCTCCTTTTCTTTTCCGGCTTCCTGAGGGGTATTATCCTCAGTCTTCTTCTCTGCCTCCGTAGGTTGAATTGGAGAGGCGATGACAGAGCCCGGGCGGGACGTTTCAGCTTCCTGAGAAGCTTCGGGGAAGACCTCAGTGAAGAGGTCAGGTAGGAAGCGGCCCAGGCGCTTACGGGTCTCGACCCAGGTTTCTTCCTTGCTTGGGTCTTGCGATGGGGAGACTAGGTAGCCTCCATCGGCCATCACAAGGAGGATGTTTTTCAAGCTTTCGGGAACTGCCTCTTCCTACAGGATTGAAGAAAGTGCATTAGATCGACTGTGGAGATATAAAGAATGCACGATAGAAGGAGACTTACCAGACTGTCACCTTGGCCACTGTTCATCATGCGGTCAAGGATGTCCAGAATCTTGAGCCAGAGAGGAAGCATGCCTGTCCTGTTGGGAAGTTGGTCAAGGAAGCGCAGGAAGATCTTGCAGACCAGAGTTGCAGCCTGGAATCGGGTCTCGCTCATGCCAACAGGATCGGAATGGTAGACCTCGGGCTTCAAGAGAAGCAGAACAAGGGGGAACAAGACTTCATCGAAGATACCGGCCCACTCGTTATCGTCGCTCGAGATCAGCTCGGCTGATAGAAGAGACCTTTGCAGCGTGGAGATGGCATGGTGACGAATATCGCGACATGGGTTGATACATTGGCTGGTTAGTGACTGGAAGATGGGAGACCAGTAGGCAGCCCAGGCTATTATTGGATCATGTCAGTTCGTTTCAAGCTCGTTTTCAGGAGCCCTTATTTACCTTCAGTCTCCTCGAGGTGGGATTGCTTGATAAGGGCTGGCACTCGGCCGGTCAAGCGGTAGATCAGACCAATTGCCCTGACACCGCGAGTAACGACTTGGTTTTCACTGCACAAGTAAGTATGGAGAATGGCGGAGAATACAATGTTGGCATACCTTGACTTGGACTTCGTGCCCTTGTTGCGGCGTGCCTGGGCATCTCTGTGTCGCTCCTCGATGGATCCCACACGTCCAGCACTGACAAAGTCGTTTGCCAGACTAACCACGAACTCGTAGTTATCAGCAGTGACAATGTCGGGCATTGACTCGATAATGCTTTGAAGAAGATCAAAAACTAGGGAGGCAACTGCCTCGTGCTGGTGGAGGCGTTGCAAAATTGACCAGAAATCGGGCGAGATTGTGATCTCGTTTCGGAGAAGACCAGTGTGGCTAATACATCTTGATAGGCCCTTCACAGTTGGAGTCGCAACGGTTTCGAGGATATCCTGGTCGAACCCAGAAATGGCATGAAGCACGACAGGTACCCGCATGAAGTGCTGGTCCTGGAAAATGATTAGTTAGGGAAGAGACCAACGCAGCAGCATTCTGGACAGTACTTACATGGCTCAGTCGCAGAAGGTTGAGAAGATAAGAAACGACGCGAGACACAGTCAGGGGATGAAGATTCTTTGCATCGCGCACCAGTGTTTGGAGGGTCGTTGCCAGGTTCTCGCCGAGAACCTCCAAGGTCTTGTCATCGCGAAGAGTGAGCACAGTGGCTAACTCCAAGACAAAGATCATCGAGGGATCGTATTTCGGCGAGTTCGGATCCACTCTGTTGCCTGTCATTCTAGATGTAGGCGATGGGCGTTCCGGCTTAACCGCAATAACTGCCGGCGCGTTTTCCTCTGGTAGCTGAGATAGCAAAGCCTCCATGAGCACCTCCAATGAGGATAGAGGGAGAGATCTAAGTATTCGATTAGCACTATCAACACAAGATCAGAAACAAAGCCTGTCCACTAACTTGAGATTTGATAGAATTTCAGGTATCGAGCATGCCGTCACACAATCAACTGTGCAGAGTGTGTTATCAAGTTCCTCATCTGAAGGCTCGGGAGGGTCATCTGCCGCATAGCTCGAAAGATAGGACGTGAATGCCGACAAAAGTCCAGAGTCATTGTTTCGTCCATCCCGGTCAACTACTTGAGATGGAGGCTGCAGCGGGATCGGAGAAACATCAAGCTCAGACGTGAGTTCAGCATCGAATGGCGGTGTGAGTGAGTTGATGAACAAGTTACTCAGGATGCGAACAATATGCTCCCAGCCTTGCTTGACAGTGGCCTCGTTGCCCGATAGGACTCGGAAAAGCACCACTGTTGCCAATTGAGCTCTGAAATCTCTGCCGAATTTGACGGCAAGCTCGCTCACCATCACGCTCTTTTGACCTGCCTGGACCTCCGTGTTGAGGGCTGTGCTTGGAGGCTTAGCAGTAGCCAGAGTGCTGATCGACGCAAGTGAGAAGACAATGCGGTCGAATGCCTCAGTGAGGCCATATCGAGCAGCAATCTGTGCACACTGATCGAAGCCATTGACAACACGAGAATACACGGCATCGTCCGATGCAGACATGAACACATATGAAAGAGTCGAAACCACCGGTTTCCACGTAGCTTCGAACATTTCGGCATCATACACGTTGGTCTCGCCTGTTACCATCTCACCGGTAGTTGATGATTTCAGCAGCAATTCCTTCCAAGCATAATCAAACGCATGCTTGTTCTCGTGCTCGTCGGGCAGAATGATCTCGTTGTTTTTGATGGAATCATAGATCTCCTGTAAGAATTCCTCTGCGAAATCCCCACCTCCGTTCACACCCCGCAAGTTTCTGGCGAATCCGGTGCAGGTCATACGGTTTTGTGACTTGACATTAGGGTTGTAGAGCTCTGTATTCAGCATGATGATGGCGTAGGTCAAAATGTAAAGTGCATCCTTGTCAGCAATACCGGCGGGGTTGACTTTTTCCATGTAGTGCTCTGCAAAGGTCGTAACGATTCGTTCAATAAGTGGCGACTCGCCGGGAAGTCGGAAAGAACTGAGAAGCTCTCGAAGCGCCTCTACCGCATTGCGTCCCGAAAAGTCTAGCAGATCCACGAAAGCACCCAAGAGTTCCTCGTTGTCGCGCTTGGAGATGTACTCTCCGAGGACCTTCTTGGACAACCGTGAGGTTCCTTTCAAAAATCGGGCGACCAATACTGGGTTCTTGGGGTCCTCGATAACACCATGACTGGCAAGAAAGGCAATTCCCTTCTTGGGCTCTTCATTGAAAATTTGTGCGCCCTTGATGATGATTTTCTTTGTCTGGCGCTGACTCTTCAGGAGCTCTTGCGGGGGATAGTCTCCTTGGACTGAATCATCATCCAATCGGTCGTAAATAAATTGCACATAACCCAATAAAGCATCCAGGCACAACGGGGGTACATTTGTCGTGCTCCAAGTTGCAGAGTCTGGGAAAGCATTGCGAGAAAGCAATCCAACCATGTCCTCACACAAATCGGCTCGGTCCACTTCGCAGTCGTAGTTGACGAATAGCTCAACCATGAAGCTGGGTATCCGGGACAAAACACCAATACTTTCTACCATGGCTTCTCGAGCTTCGGGCCTCCTTGAACCACCTTCAAGTCCGAGCTTTTGTCGGTCCTTGACGGGGACAGGCGTAGACCTACCACTGTTTGCTTGTGATGCCGGTTGCTTGACGAGTTTTGGTGATTGGGGAATGCCTTCATATAGTGAGGGGTCGATCCCAGGTTCACGAGGGATTTCCACCCGAGGGTGAAGACATGCCACGAGGTACGAGATATACAGCTCTTGCTGCAGTTTCAAAACGGGTCTGCAGGTAGATAGCAATGTACCAGCAACGCGCAGGGAACTTGTAAGAATGGCGATCTGTTCGGACCTGACCAATTGGAAGAGATATCGACAGAGATCATCCCTGGCCAAAACGGCCAGACTGGGGTGCCGAGCAATTGAGGGCCCTGCTACCTCCAAAGCCACATCAATAATTCGAAGCGCCATCACTCTCATGGCATCAGTATGCTGCCGATTATGGGGATCCAACAGGTCAATCAAGACACGGAACAATTCTCTTATCGATGGCAAGGAGTATGGCTGAACGTCGGCTTCGGTGTCATCATGCGGGCTGGGTGGTGCAGCTGCGGCACCACTGTTGTTTCCCTGCTCGGGCGAACCTTCGCGGCTTGTGCTGGGTCTGTCCACTGCCGCTGTGTCTGCGCTGATAGCAGATAGGTGCTGGGATGTGACAGTATCTCCATTGACGGATGGGTCCATTTTGAGGCGAGATAGAGGGTCCTTTTTTGCATCTTCGCCTGCAAATGGGTCCGGTCCTGCTGGCATATCTTGATCAAGATGCGACAGCCGCATGAAGATCACTTGGCACATTTTCACCATTGCCATTTCGGCAGATCTCCGGAGCACCTCTGACAGACGACTTTGGCAGCACATACTCAATCCGGTCTCCATCATCTCACAGACGCTCTCGTCTCCCAACAGCTCGCCTTCAGGTCGGGAGAGTACGCCCTCCATCAGTTTGAGGATCCGCAACAGGACAATCTCGTCCGCCGAAGAGTCGCTCGCTTCAAATCGACAGTGTGTAATCGCCGCGGACAGTAGTTGCATCGCCATGGAGAGTCGTGGGGAGTCTGGATTGATAATGTTGTATGAGAAGAACTTGGTGATGGCGACCAAGGCGAGGGAGGTAATTGCGGCGGAGGTCGAAGAGGAGCGGACAACCTGTAAGAATGGGTGAAGCAGGGCCGGAGTATCAAAGGTTCGAATGTCTTTACATCCTTTGAGGTCGCTTCGCAGTCGAGTAAAGGCCGATATTAACGGGTTATCCTGCATGCTCTTCCCTTTCTTGCCCCGGAGGCCCCACCGATTGGCCAAAGCATGATCATCATCGCGAGGAGTCGGTTGGGTAGACTTGCGAGGGCTTGGAGGAGCAGAAGTATCCCGCTCGTAGACACGAGAGGCTCCATTGCCGCCCAGGATGGCGGAGACCGAGGAGTGAGCCCAGCGGGCATGCTTGCGCATGGACGAGGTGACGGTGATACATTCAGTGGTCACCAACGCCACGGGGTCGATGGCTATTGGAAGACTTGAATCCATAATGGAATCTCGCATCACAAGAGATGCTGACGGCACCATGTTGGAGGTCGGAACAAAACAGCTGGTCTCTCATCATACTGCTGCTTGCCTGTTCGGGGTTAGCGTCTCCCCCGCCTGCTCACCGCCTACGCCAGGGGTAAGTTACCATACATACGATAATAGGTGTATTATGCAGATACTGTTGGCTGAGAGCAGTCCCGCTGGGGTAATATGGTATTCTCCGGTATTGGCATGCATCCATGGGTGGGATTCACTTTGTTGACACGACACTGTAACTATCTACTTGCTATGGGCTTAATATGTTGACTGCAATCAGGCAGCTGTGAAGGATATTCACATTCTGAGCTGTACAAGATCTTTGATAAAGCCTGTATTTTGCTTCTAGGTCGATATGTTTTCCAAGTAAACAAAGATCGATTTGAAATCGGTTATTATGTTTTAAATGACTCTATCCAACCTGTCCAGGGTATAATCGCGTTGTTACAATATGATCTAGAGTATCCTTTCTCTATGGAACGTGCCAAAATTAAGCTCGTGTAGCTATCGGAAACGAAAGAAGCAAACAAGTATGTAAGTGACGGAACCCATGTGCTCGAGATGTGACTGGTCACACTCCTTGCGGCGGTTGGGGATAACACTGCAAGCGTTGGCCGGACAGTAACAGAAACAATTAAAACAACGATGAAGCCCAAGACCAAAAAGAATCCAGAAAATCTCAGCTCCACCACATTCTCTTAGCAGGGCGCTAATACCCGCAATCGGGCTATCGTGATATCAACCCACCGCTTCTCTCCCCGCCAAAACAAACTCCCCTCAATCTCACTCACTTCCTTGCTCTTCTTACCTTTCTTTTTTCTGGACCTGTTCTCATGAATTGATTGGCCACTTCCTATCCTTCGGCTTCCATGGAGGGGAGCGCGATCGCGATCGCATCAACCATAGGATAATCCTATATCGCGAACTGTCATTCCCTCAGCCCGAAAACAAATCCTCTCATTAACACTATTGCGCCATTGCGCCTTCTTTCTCTCGCTACTCGCTTCTTGTTACTCGTTACATCGCGCCTGCTACGCCCGGCGGCGCATTCCATTTGTTTATCACGCATAGCGCCTTCTCCGCTTGCACCTCCACGTTTACACGTGCATCTTTCACCATGGCGACTATCGCACCTCCCCCGAGTCCTACGATGGCGGAACTACCCTTCGAACAACTTAGCCTTTACCATGTCGTCGACTCATGTTTATCGTCCATACTTGTGTTCTACGGTGCTGTCTCCACCGTCAATGCGACTGTCAGCAGCTCGCGCATTCAAGCCCATATCTTCACACCAGCCGGCTTTCAGAGTTATCCTCGAATTACGGTCTCCCCCGCTGCTCCCGTATATGCGGCCGTCAACCACCTACCCCGCGACAAACAAGGTGACGAGGTGTGTCGCGGGCTGGCAGTCAGCATGTTGAGATACTTCGCCGAGCTGTCAGAGCCAGTCAAGAACCGTCTGACAGGAGTGGCTCGTGCGGGGCGGGCTGGAAAGCCCCCAAAGATGTTTGATGAGATGCACGCGGCAGACTTGGCAAACCGGATGGTCAGAGTGGATGACTCGTCAGAGATAATTCGAGATATTCGGAGCGCATATCAGGAACGTAAAGTTCCATGGATTGATATTGATGTTTTGCTTCCTGCGGACACTATACAGCCATCCAAGCGACGCAATAGCGCGGGATCTGATATGGAGGATACCCAAGACCCACAGTATGGACCATACACACCACTCATCGAAGCACTTGGAGATCCTATGTTCTTGCCGACATCTCGATTAAGGCGTGCGCCCTCTCAACCGACCAATGTCAGCAAATCGCGGACTTTTGCGAGAAGTCAGAAAGAGGCTCTCCGTCTAACTATGTGCGAGCTTGTTGATACCGAGGAACGATATGTTGCCAAGCTGTATTCCTTGGTCCATGAGGTTGCAGACGAATTCCGCCAAAACGCTCATGAGAGGCGGCCATCAAGCACCAGCCCCTCCGAGGAAGCTTTGGCAGCATTGTTCCCACCATGTTTGAATGACATTTTGAATGTCAACCTTGGCTTCCTTGATGTCATTCGACAAGTACTTGATGACACAGAGAAAGAAGCCATTACAGATATCGGCCAGGACACGGAGCTTCCTTCCACGCGAGGACGCTCCAGAGACACCAAAGATGCGCTCGGAGCCGTGGCATTTGCCACGGCTCTCCTCGAATGGCTCCCCCGATTTTCAGATCCATACAAAGATTACATGCGGGCGCACACTGGGTTTACACAGACGCTGAATTCTTTCATGAAAGACAAAAATTCCAGCTTCTCGCGAAGAGTATATGAGACAGGAGAGCAGAGATTGCGTTCTTTGCTGATGGAGCCCGTTCAACGACTTCCTCGGTACAGTCTGCTTATCGATACTATGACAGGCTGTTTGCCCTTGGTTCATCCTGCCGTGCGAACTCTACTGAAAGCGCGAGATATCGTGAAGGACATCTGTGCATTGGATAACGATTCCCCTTCCAGCCATGCCCAAGGCCTAGAACGTCTGAGAGAGCTTGTTAATGGATGGCCTGTTAAGATTTTCCCGGAAGGTCGCTTGATCACGGCTGTCGATTTCAACGAGATTACGCCTCCATACAGCCTAGATACCCAGGCACCTGGACCCAGTGCAGGGATTATGCTCCTATACAAAAACTGCCTTGTTCTTCTGGCGAAGCCTGCTGAAAGCAGAGCTACCGCTCGTGCTTTGTTGGCCGAAATCGACAATGCAGCCTCACCAACCGCTGACAATTCCATGTCTCTACCGCAATCCGAACTCCAGGTTGTAAAGGTGTTGGAATTTCACAAGATTCGATGTATGCAATCCACTTGTGGCCGAATTTTGTTTGTTTTGCCAATCGCAACCAAGACCATACCAGCCGACATCAATACACCATCGGATATGCTTGCGCTGGAGTTGACAGCCATGTATGAAGGAAGAGCCAATCGCTTGATCGAAGAGATTTCAAAAGCGAAGATTGAAGGCCGATTCCCGGAAAGCGAACGAGAAGGAGGAAAGTGGTCCCTACGGAGTCCTACTGGGTTGGCCAGCAATGTCGGGATTTTGGCCTGCGTGTGTGAGGATGGCCAAAGTACCACGATGAGCCAGGATTACTCGTCTCAAATACGAGTTGTATTCGATACAACCAGGGCTGCAAGTGGTCAAATTTTGCAAAGCACCAATCTAGAGGTCGTCATCTCCATTTCCCCACCGAGTGGTGGCCAGTATAGATTGGATATCGAGACTGTGGTTGGGTCTGGTTCGACCGATCTGATCACAGTTGAGACTTTTGTTCCAACTCTCTCGCGGCGCCTTCAATATCTCCTGTCCCCATTACACAGTTCTCGAAACCCGGTATTGGCGGGGCCACTGATTCACTCCAATTTTGAAACCCTTCGGTACATCGCCAGCAGCTTGATCACACAGGTCAAGTCTTCGCGAGGATTCCGACCACCTTCGCCCACCAAACTGATTTCCAATCTCTTGGGGGGCAGTCGTGACAATATTCCAACGCTAAAAGGACCCAGCTCAGCAATCTTGACCGGCGAATTTCCGAAAATGCTTCCACCAAGAGGCCAATTGTCACGATCAAACACGCTGCCTTCCTCGCTTCCAGGAAAGGAGAAGGAGAAGGAAAAAGAAAAGGGAAAGGAGGAAAGCACTAACAAGATCTCCGTTGTTGGCGCTTCCGATTCTCGGGGATTGGATGCCCAGTTCAGCTTGCTGGAGCAAACCTTTGCGGCTTATATCCTGTCTCTGCAGTCTCGAAGTGGAAACATCCTTGGCCGAATGCTTCGTGCTAGAGATAACGCCGACCGAGCACCGGTCAATGAGCTCTATAACATTCTCCTCGAAGACCCAAGCAAGATCCAGGCTGCCGCTGAAGTGCCTGTTGATACGTTGTTTGTTGCATTTGAGACCTTCTTGGCGAACGCATGGAAAAGAAGTATGGGCCCTGTTCTGAGCTCGTCTTCTTTGAAATGGGTCCAGGACCAATTTGATACCATGATCCCACGCGACTTTGACGAGCAATTCCGCAGGTTCCTTTCCGAAATGAGCCCCCAAAACAGACGTGCCCTAGCTGCGATTATTCGATTGCTTGCCGAGCTGCTCGATGCATCAGGCAATGATGGGGATCGTGGTGCTCTGACCATGGCGTTTGCAGAGGTAATAACCGAAGATGGGGATCCTATAAATCACGTTTCTCTTTTGGATCGTCTGGTGGATGACTTTGACAATCTCTTTGAAGACTTCATCCCTGGTGGCACTTCAGTGGAAGGAACCCTGACCGTCAGTCAATCGAAGAACTCACATGGCAATACCGGATCTGTCGGCTCCAATTCCTCTTCTTTCCGCAAACGATTCGGCTTCTTGCATAAAGACAGTTCAAAGAGCGAGAAGAGTGAGAAGACCGAAAAAAGTGAAGGAGAAGGCAAGGTTGCTTCAATTCTACGGACATTAAGCAAGAAACAAAGCCCAGCAGGCTCGGAGCCCAATACCCCCAAGGGCTCCCTGATCCGATCCAAGTCGACCGACGTGGACGCCCGGCTGGGATTCCTTCGTCCTACATCCCGCGATCGCCCCTACGGCTTTGCATCTGAAGAGACTATCTCAAGACCAGGCACTGGTTATGAGAAGCCCCCATCGTTGTCTTCTGTCCGAGGAATATCTGATGATGGCGTCCCAAGGGTTCGTAGGAAACGCAGGAGCTCGCTCTCGGATCTGAGACCAAATACGGCATCCTCGGAATCATCAAATATCTCTCCCACTCAGCAACTCCGCCCGGTGACACCCTCTAGCCGCTCTCGTGGAGAGATTGTTACACCCACCAGGCAGCCCAGGCCTCAGAGCAGCTATATCCCAACATCGCCTTCGCGCGACAAGTCACCGGCGAAATCAGGTTCACCAGTACGGTTGGGATCACCTATTCGCAGAATGTCACCCAATCGACCGTCTACACCGAGCCGCAAGGAGAACATTGACCCTAAGTCACCTTACACGGAGAGAACATCGAAGTCTCGGGGAAGTGTTTCTGAATCCCCTGCCGACGAAAACAGACGGTCTCGTGCGTCTGGTATTCCCCAACGTACGCCAGGCCTTCGAGAGCGACCTACAATCAATGGCTCAGATAGCAGAAGGCCACAGTCCTCGTCTTCTTCGCAGAAGCCGAAAATACGGATGCAGAGTCCACAAAAGGTTTGTCCTGGCTTTCGCTATCTGACAAAGTTATTTCACTAACATTGGTATAGCTACGTGATCGTGTGCAGCAGGAAAAGAAGGATCAATCATCTACTCAATCAGGCTTCAAAGATGAGCTCACGGCACTTAGTGACGAGCTACAATCTTTCTCGTTTGCACCAACGAAACAGCTCAACTTGGACTTCAGTATGAACCGCGCAAACAGCTGTACATCTATTGATAACAGCGCAGCGCTTGAAGCTCGCATGCGCACCCTCGAATCCCGGCTCGATATGCTTAGTGGAGAGTACAGTGGCCGCACCTCTGCACTTGAAAAAGACTTGGAATCGTCTTTGATTCTCAGCGAGCGACGTGTGAAGAAACTCGACGAGCTTTACCGCGAAGCGAGTGCCGAGAACGAGGCGCTTTATGATCGATTCAATACCGAGCTCAGCAAGATTGCCAAGGACGTCCGCTCAGGAAATGGGGAGGACTCCCTGAAATCCCAGCTGGCAAGTGCTTTAGACGAGATCAACCGTGTTAAGAAGGAGAACTTCCGACTGAAACGAGAAGTTGGAGGCCTTCGTGCCCAGCAAGCCGCTGCTGCTCTAGTCAAGGCGAGTGATCAATGACCGATTTCATGATATCGAGGGTTTCCATACCTTTCCCTCATCTTTCCTTCAACACATCCATACACAGCCACCTGTCATATTTATTCTTTCCTTTCACCTTGTATTTTGATACTCCACAAACCTTTCCTTTCCTTTGAACACACCTTCATTTGCATATCATATCCATGATCCTTTCTTACTTGTATTCATTCGACTTCTTGTCATCCCCATACTAGCCTATCCGCACAGATGGCCATTGATAATACATGCATAGCTCAGGAAATCAAGTTATTACAGGGCTGGCTTTTTGTTTGTCTAACTGTCGTTGTCATGTACACGTACACTAAGCGTTTTCGGTGTCTTCAAGGGGCCAGCCCATCAGGCGTAGCGCCTCTGTGTCAATGTTTTTGTACATCCACTGCCATTTCAATTTCCAGTGCTTTCCACAATGCACCAATTCCACCTCCTTGCGAGAATCATATTCTGCTTCGTGGTTTTGTAGACGGCAATCTAAAGTCGGGAGCGCCAAAGGTTGGAAGTTCATCTGGTCAACTGAACTCCCTTTAGACCCAATCTCAACCTTTCCCAAAAGAGGAAGCGTAAAGCGCATCGAAGCTGGTACTTCAGTTGCCAATAATGCGCGCGTCTCTTCCCAAAATTTCAATTTTGTCGCATCAACAACACGTTCACTCTTCGGCCCCGTTCCCTCAGCATCCGCACGCATCTTCTGCATATCAGTTTGTGTGAAAGGTCGTAGGCAAATATCAACATTTTGTGATTTCCTCACTGCACGGATATCCAGTGCTGGGTCACTAGGCTCAAAATTGAACCTCAGCCAGTATCGATTATCCCATAAGGACCACGGAGTGAACTCGCCTCGTGGCGGGACATATAGTCGCTTGACGGGGTCTCGACCTTTCATGAAGGGTTGGCGGGATAGCAGCCATATATTATGACCTTCTTCGTTTGTAAGTGGTTGGAAGAGAACACCACCTAGGGTAAAGGCTTGTTTCTTGTGTTCGCCCTCATTGGTAGTGGTGGTAGTAGTGGTGGATCGAGAGATATCTGCGTCAGGGAAGACGCGCGAAACCATTGGCTCGTAGCTTCGCAGTGCGAAATGGCTGTCCGGGAATGGAGAGACCAGTTCTGTGATGCGGCGGAGGACGAGGGTTTGGATTTGTCTTGTTTGGAATGCGGATAGAGATGCGATTTGGGGGTCGATGGATTCGAGGCTTGGGGTTAGAAATTGGATTACTGCTGACCCGGCCCCGGGGTTGAATTCCAGTAACCTGCATTGGGATGAGAGGAGGGTGTTTGAGAGTTCATTTGAGTCTTCCAGGAGGTCTTTGCTTGAGCGGATTAGGGAGAGGATAGATTGAGATTGCAGAGCTCGAGGTAGAGAATTAGATGATACGAGGCTGCGGATGGCGTTGCGGGGAGTGAGGGTTGGGTCGAAGTTTGTGGGATCTGAGACGTAGGGGACTCGGTTCATGCGGCATGTTTCCACGAGACTGGTCTTTGGAAAGGATAGGAGAGGGCGACAGAGGAAAATACCGCCGCTTGCGATGTATGAAGGTGTAGGACTGAAACAGGATTCAGGTTTGTCGTTCTCTGGCTCAAGGCTCGTATCAGGGAATGTAACGGTTCCTTGGCTTCGCCCGATGAAACGAATCTTGGTTTCAGGAATGGTCTCTGGTTTCAAGGGCATTGATAGAATGGATCCGCTTTCAGAAACTCCATAAAGGCCATGGCATTCTGGGATTCGAGCCACTTCGGGGATGCCGCCAAGCCCTAATCCCCTTGCACCTGAGGAAAGTCGCCAAATGGTGGTCTCGACGTTGTCATCTTGATGATGGCCCAAGAGAAGTGTTCCAATGCGGAATCTCTGACAGGCCGAACCAAGGGCCTGGAAACGGAGTCGTCGGGCGTGAGTTTCAAAGGCAGAGGGCATAGGAACAGAGGCCTCTGATTTAGGGTATGTCTGGTTCTTTCCAGTTGTGTACCTCGACCAGTCCAGCCTTAAGACATGTGTTTTGATATCTGAGAAGATCATTAGACGTTGTTGCGCAAAGGAAGGCAGGCAACTGTACCCATATCACGAAGCCAACCAGCCACTTTTTGGGCTTCATCGGTGCTTTCTGGGCGAGCGCGATGATCAACCACAAATGCGGTCACATAAATTGCTCCAGATAGCTCCGGCGAGCGTTCCAGCTGCTTACACAGATACGCCAGAGCCATGGAGTCGGCACCGCCGCTGACAGCGATTCCTGTCAATTCGCATTAGCAATGATCGAATTAACGTAAAATTTTGGTTCCAAGGGCTCACCAATTCTTCGTGGAAGCTGGAGAACATCTTTGTCATTAACAGCTCCTTTCTTATAGTCGACATTTCCAGGTGTGAGGCGGGCCCGTCGCGACCCGGACCATGCTTGCTGGAAGCATCGCTGAAACAAAAACGGCGATACTGATATATTGCTTGAAGCCATATCTACTCTCTCCCCAGAATAGAGCTTATATTACCATGAACCCATGTCCATCGCCGATTTGTAGATCGTATCGCGCGCAGCAGAATGATATCGTCGGCCCGGCAAATTGATTTTCCTGAGAACGTGACCGGCCTTCGCGCAAGAAAGGCCTGGCTGTATAGGTAGCGTCACATTTTATCAATGCCTATATTTTGTAAGATAATAATACTCAGTATTACAGATGAGCGGTTCAGTGTAGGGGAAAGAAGAGGTCGTGATTGAGAGAAGAACTGTGGTGCAGTGATATGTATATTTGCATGAAATACATCAACAACGTAGGGAAATACAGATATTTCCAAAATTCCGATCGCAAAGAAAGAAAGAGACTCCTGTATTTCCAATATTATACAGTAATGTACAGATTGAATTAGTCATTGTTCGCCGTGAACCAATTTTATATACCAGGGCAATCAGGGAAAGCAGCCATATAAGCACCCTCAATCTCACGTCCCATACCGCCAACACCCTCAAAAATAACAGCCGACTTCATAGATCTCACAAGAATTTCCACACCGTGCCGCAACTCCTCAGTCAATCTTTCAACATCAGAAATCTCCGACGCAGGTCCGGGCTTATTGAGAAGATGGTAACAAGTTGCAAGCCGATCCGTCGCCATACAGGCGCGAAGCCGGTGCAATAGCATGAGGAGAGCATAACAGCCCTGCATACCTGAGCATGCAAAGACAGGAATTATTCTTGGATACTTCACAGAACCAAATGATGAATCATGTACACCCGTGGTTTGCCTATCAAGGCACATTGGAGATGGGAGAGAGCGGAATATTGATACTATCGCAAGTGAGGACTTGAGACAGATATTCGAGGATTCTTGTTCGGTGAAAGGAAATGGATTGTCGCTGTCTGTTGCCCATTTTGGTGTGCACATGCTCGGCGAGAAGCCGTGGCTATTTATTGATGTGAGATCGCAGTATTTGTCTAGAAATAAAGGGATATCCATGAAGGCTCTGAAGCGATGAAGCCGTACGCGAGCACTAGAATTGTAAGCTGACGTATAAATCGTGATATGGGGTTTACTCACGTATGGATGAATAGGCGGCTGATCATCCACATTGTTTGAGCCACAGATGCTTCCGGTGTCTCGTCGAATGTTGCCAGAAGGTGGCGGTCTGCTTCGGTCATCAGAGATACAATCTTGGCGTCTAATCGCTGTATTCGACCGCTGAAGTCGGAGAGGTCGGTCGTTTCATCTACACGTTCGATATTTTGCACCATTTTGTTGGCTTCGAAGAGAGCTTCTTGCGCTTTCATAATTACGGGCCATGGCTTTATGAAATCAGTGGGAGGACAATTAGTTACCCGAAAAGAAGAAATGGGCAAATACCTGTAAATAGACATCAAATTTAGGATATGGGGTCGTAATTCGTGGGTCATGGAAAGAGAGAATTGGGGACTACCATCGCGGTCAGTTGAAATCCAATGAATATAAGCGCTTACCCCCCATACCGCGAGATTGATATTTGATGACAGGTAAGTCGACCATAACTATAGAACTATTAGAGAAAGCCCGACGCATTTGAATGAAGATTCAACACACCGTAATCCACCAGACTCGTCTCTGTGCCTCGGAAAATTCGGTCATTGTGTCATCGAGACTATGGAGTGATATATCCATAGCCGTTGTAATGGCCTGATTGACCCGAGCCCGAATTCTGGAAACATTGCCACGCTGGATATACTCATAGACACCAAGAACAACAAGAGCCAGGATTGGTTCAAGCTGAGCAGGCAGCCGACGATGCAACGAGCTTCGCACTTCAGAAGAACCTGTATCAGGCACTGCACCCAATCCAGGAGATAGATCGTCGATCTCTTTCTCAACGGCAGCTAATGCTGTCTGAGCAAAGAGCTGAGCATATGACCGCCTCAGCGTGAGACTCGCATCGGTTGTTGGTAGTTGATCCTCAGAAACAGGTATTAGAGACAACATAGCAGATAAAGCCAGTGCCAGCGACGACTCTGGCCAATATGGCAGTTGTGACTTTTCTGCCTGGGAAATTTCTCCAAAAGGCCGGATAACCGTTGGCCGATCTTCATATTGGGGCACCACCGAGGGCGGTAGCAACGGAAGATATGAATGAAGATACAGGTAGTAGGCATTGATACTGTGCATTGAGTCAGTCCTCTGCTCTACCTTGGAATACTGTTCTTGCACATACATGTCTCCTTCGGAATGATAAGCGCGCATCATTGGTGATTCAGCCCCGGCTTGAGTAGCCGAGTCCAGAGCGCTGTCCGCGTGAGGAGTTAATTGGCCCCAGATCTGCTGAGCTCCATGTCCAACAGACAGAGCCTCTGGTGATAGATCCAGGTTGTGAATACCGGCAAATGGGGTTACCAGGCCGATCATGTTGTCCAGAAATGGTTCTAACCAGATATTAGAAAGTGACCCTGAGTTGAAAAAGAGTTAATATACCAAATTCCTCGGTGACATCGGAGATTGAAGTATTTGATGTGTTCGATTTGCGCTGTGCCTCTTCATATCGGACTCCTCTCCGAGGACCACCCCGGCGACTGGGCTGGTAATGGCAATCTCGTTTCTTGCCTGTACACTAATAAAAAAAATCAATAAGCGAATGAGATTCCCAAACTCAATTTTGAATTAGACATACAATACCACAGGGATGATGACCATCACAACGGGTTTTTGAAGATCGGCTGGGAGCAATGTTAGCTTGCAAGGCAACTAGTAATCAGCACTGAATATATTACTCACCATGGAAGGCAAGCAGCCTTCACAGGGGGCTTAGCGGCTCGAGGCATACTGGTTATTTCGGAAGATGTAAATGGCAAATTAAGGTCCGCGATGTATGAAACGTCACCAAGCACGTGACACGTATATACCCTGGTCGAATTCAGGGGATTCTCAAATTGGACAAGAAGAATGACTCAGGACCTGAATAGTGGACTGATGTAAAGACAAAGCCAATCAGCTGTTGCATGTTCGACATGAGTGGGCAAGTCGAAAGTAGGAATTTTCTGTTCGGCGTTTGATCTGCTGACCAAACGCCGAACCCCCCCCCCCCCTACCATTGGCAGATATCCGCCTTCGGGGATTGATCTCCAGTGGCTATAAGTCCTTCTACACCCGCATGTTTATATGATGTGAATAGTTCCTCGATGTACTTGAACGTCGGCGCATAGAGGGTGGACGAATAGATATTCAATGGCGTAGGATATCAGTCAGAGTAAGATGAATGTTTGAATAGATGTTGGTTCAAGTTGGTACTAAGGTGGGATAAGTTCGAAAAGGCAAGGATCTCAATTTGACACTAAAGGGCCAAGTAACGCTTCACAATTATACGCAGCTAGATCCCACTGATCACCACCCTTTCCTTGTAACAATCTTGCACATCTTCCATCAAAAATGAATAAGCCAAAATCCTTCAACAAACTCAATATCAATCTAACTCTTCCTCGTCTGTTCTCCCAAGAAAGCAAACCCACAATCTCCATCAAATATCAGAGCCAGCAACTCCACCTAAGTACACCCTGAAGCCCGGTTGCTAAGACAAACATCACCACCCTGGTCACTGCTTCCATAACCCTCACAAGAAGCACTAGTCTTTCCTTCAGCCTTAACCTCCTCATTGCAAGTCGTCCAAGTAGTAGCAAAGAACCCAGCACGAACATTATAGTTCGACCAACTAATACAGCAGTTTGAACCGCCATGCGATTCGCAGTGACTGCGCGGGGCCTTGCCAATATCCTGATTGAAACTGCAAGTTTCGCCGGAGATGCAAGCAAAAAAGCCCTTGCACGCCTCCCAGACAACCGCATGCGCAGCGCTAGTCGCGAAGCTGGATCGCTTTTGGATGCTGCCGTTGGTGCTACCACTGCTGATGGTGCTGTTGCCAGCGATGTGCGCTAGCAGAGCTTGCACATCGTTTGCCATGTCGGCATCGTTGTCATCGTATTGCTTCGCGTAGGCTGCTTCGGTGAGCATGCGTGCCTTGTCTTCGTCGCTAGCTCCGCTGTGCGGGTTCAGGGCTGTCAGCCAGTCCTGTGTTGCGGGTGTGTAGCCCACATAGCGGACATCCACGTTGAAGGCGCTCAGGTCGCTCTTTGAGTGCGGGAAGTAGTCGGAGGCGACGTGGTTGATTATGAAGCCATTTTGAGTGGCTTCGGTTGCTGGCAGGGCATGGCTGCATGGGAGCTGGGCCAGGCCTAGGATCAGACTGGTGATGATGGTTGAGGTGAACATTTTGGTTTGGTGGTGCTTGGTTGGGTTTGGGGTTGGGTTTAGATTATTGCTTGCTTGGGATGGTCTTCTTTGTTGTGGGCTTCTTGGGGCCTTTATAGCTCTTTTCTATCGGTAGGATTGTCATTGCTGAGGATACTGTCTTTACCGAATAGGAAACTCCTCTGTGGACGAGTATCTTGGTCATGATGTCTTCGTCCAAAGTGAGCATGCCTGGGGTTACATCCATGCAGGTGAGATAGACGAGATGCTATTCAGGGCTTAAAAGAATTGTATTTAGGCGCCACGAGTCAGGTCGTCCTCGTGGTATTGGACTGTAGGATATTCGCTAGTCAACATTCGTGTCGATGTTGCCAGTTTCCGCGCATGGTCATCAGCTGAGCGTGGCCTGGGGAGTGGAACTACCGAAAGGGGATTGTGGTCCTCATGAGGCTACAGCTTAGCAATGCTTCAACATAGGATACTAATGAGGTATACAGATACCCTACTCAGGAATGAAAGCCAAGAAATGAAGGAGACCAATAATAACCACCTTCAATACCAATTTCCCCTTTCTGCTATACGCTCAATTGTATGAGCAAGAATATCCCTCACCTAGATTATCAATCAAGGGCGTAAAGCATGGGGCGTTAGAAATAGTCTGCAGCCTTGCAGTCAGACTATCAGCACCAAGCCCCGATTCAGGTACATCAAGTCTACAACAAGCTTAGCCTCCAATAAACCAAAACAAGCTACAAGAAATATGCACATAGGGGCCAATAGAAACGCTCATTAAGCGGTAGAAACAATTTCAAAAATTTTGCCCGAGGGGAAGCTGACAAGACGAACTCCTGTTCCTGGCCAAGTCGGTGATCAGCCGTGCCCTAGTGCCATGTGGCGTTTCCCCCAAATCTCAGTCTTCCATCCATTCAGCTCCCCACACTGGGAACCTCATTCCTCAATAAGATCAGTGCTTCCGCATGATCGGCATTTCAAACGACGTCTGGCAGTATCGAATTCAAATAACGGCCAGTAACGAACGATAACGAGCACTATAGCCGGGATAGAGAGCATGTATGTACATGCCCGGAGCACGAACGTTGGAAAAGGGGCTGCTCTGAGACGATCCGCGAGGAAATCTTCGAAATAGGATACCCTGTTGTCGGTGATTGGGTAGTGACTCGTTTCAAGGCTTTGCGTGGTGCTGTGAGTCAAGGGAGATGTGGGGGCCAAGGGATGGATGAAAGAGAAAAATGGATCACCTGAGATCAACGTGATCTACAGTAGAGCAATGCCTGTATGCAGGTCGACATTGCGTTTTGTGGGCCGAAAAGCCATTTGCCTGCTCAATTGAAAGGCTCAACTAACAGGTCTCAGCCTCGGGATCTGCAATGCATGAGACTCGAATAGGAATTTCGTCGCCGCATGCAGGCTCGCCACATATCTGGATCTTGCTTCTACTTTTTCTATCAAGTAGCTGCAGCTCCTAGCATTTGGGGCAACGAGGGTCTCGGTAAACTCCATCGTGCTATTGGTTCCGGGGTGTACCAGTTGGGAAGACAGCAAGGTGCCGGTAGCGTGGTCCGCGGGCACGTTTGCTTTTCACAGACTTGGCCATTCCTTTGGCATCTCTGGTAAGTGATTATCCGCGGAGATCAATAGAATTGTACTATTCATAGCCTGCTAAGTCTTTCTCCCTGGCCTACTTAGGTAACTATATGACCTGAGACATCTTCATTTGGCAGTTGTCTGTCCTACCCACCTAAAATCAAGCAAGGTTCCCTCTTGGCCCCTATACAGTGTCAATGTGTCTCTATAATAGGCGACGGACTGCTATCAGGACTGGGTTGTCTCGAGTCATGTACAGGAGTGGACGCCAGATACGGCAGTACTTAGATGGAGCCCTAATTTGCTCAATGTACAATCGCCCAAGGGCGCAAGCAACAAACTAATATCCCACGGGCCTCTCAATCTTACGTGACCAGTATCTTAAGCTCGTGTCATTGGGGAAGCACTTGCTTCCGGTGATGCCTTGACATCTTTCTCGATGATCTAGGCCTTCAGTTCCTTCGGCCGGTATGGTGCCATTTTGCGCTGTTTAATCTGGTCCGTGAATACAATTAATCTGGCAAATGTGGGTATATAGCTGGAAATGAACGTTCTTCAGCGATATCCCTCGCGATATATTGTTAGCGCACCCTGGCATTATTCCTCACCAGTGAGGATGATGGGAACACTTCTGACGTTGAGATAGTTAGTCAAATTGGATAATATAAAATTACCCCGTATCCTTATTTATCTCATAATGCCCCGTATTTGCTCACAACGTTTAGTGCACAAAAAAGTGGGTGCACGATGGGTGGCATGATCCCACACCGGCGGGGAAAATAGGAACCTCAGGGTCCCATATATATTAGAAATCCAGTAGGATGTCTGAATAGTTACTTATCACCTGCGCCTTTCCATTGTGAGAAGAAACTATCAGATCGACGTCAGTGACAGTTGAGGATGGGATCCACCGATAATCCTGGGAATCGTTCGCAGCGATCTAACACAATGCAACAAAAGTACTGTTCTTCTCACAAAAGGAAATGGGACGGCGCACTTCAAGGTCGCCCAAATCCGTTGGGTACATTTACGGGCGGAAGAGCCTCGTGTGCAACCCCGCTTAATGCCAACTTCACTTTGCATCCCCTTCTCGCCACCTCGCCGCATTATAGACTCAGGATGCGGGCCTCCATCATGGACGAGTATCCCTATAATTTAGGGTCGTTCAAGAGGTCGATCACCACATCCAGCCCTGCCGCGCAGACCTGGTTTGATCGTGGCCTGACATGGGCATATTCCTTCAACCACAAGGAATCAGCCGCGTGTTTCAAGCAGGCCCTCGTGCATGACGAGACTTGTATGATGGCCTACTGGGGTCTGGCCTATTCCCTTGGTCCCAACTACAATCAACCATGGGATTTCCTCGGCAATGAGTTGAAATCCGTCGTGGAAAACACATACCGAGCTGCATGCAGGGCAAAGCAGCTCGCTGCCAATGCGTCGCCTGTGGAGCAGGCTCTCGCAAAGGCAATCGCCGCTCGCTATCAAAGTGACCAACCAGCCAATATGGAACAACTAGCTGCTCAGAATGTCGCATACGCGGATGCAATGCAAGAAGCATATGAAAGCTTCCCAGATGATTTGGATGTGGCAACTCTCTATGCCGATGCAATGATCAGCCTGACACCCTGGAAACTGTGGGACTTGGTCACAGGCAAACCAAATCCAGGAACACGCACCATGGAAGCAAAAAGGGTGCTTGAAAAAGCCCTCGAACAGAAAGGTGCCCTAAAACACCCTGGCCTTCTACACATGTACATCCACCTCGTGGAAATGTCACCATTCCCAGAGCTCGGCCTCCGACCCGCAGACTACCTCCGCGACCTCGTCCCAGACGCCGGGCACATCCAACACATGCCCTCCCATCTAGACGTCCTAGTCGGAGATTACCGCAGCGCCGTACGAGCCAACCAGCGCGCCGCAATCTCCGACGAAAAATGGCTCTCAATCGAAGGACCCTTTAACTTCTACTCAGTATACCGTCTACATACTTACCACTCACTGATCTATGCAGCCATGTTCGCCGGCCAAAAACAGGCCGCCTTTGACGCCGTGGATCGCATGGAAGCGACCCTACCGTATAAACTGCTCTCGGCCATGTCAGACTACATTGAGGTTTTCATGTCTGTGCGCGCCCACGTCATGATTCGTTTCGGCATGTGGGAGGAAATCATTGAGATGCAGATTCCCACCGACCCTGAAATATATTGCATGACAATAGCCATAACGCACTACGCCAAGGGCGTGGCATATGCGGCTACTGGACGGGTTCCAGAGGCATTACATCAACGCGAATTATACCGGGCAGCAAGGGCGCGGGTCCCGGATACCCGCTTGGACTGGCCTAACAAGTGCATTGAGATTCTTGGGGTGGCGTCGGAAATGTTGGATGGCGAGATTGAATACCGGCGCGGGGATTACAAGGAGGCATTTGAGGCTCTGCGCCGTTCAATTGAGTTGGATGATGGGTTGGGGTACAGTGAGCCTTGGAGCTGGATGCAGCCGACTCGCCATGCTTATGCTGCGCTTTTACTGGAGCAAGGGCATGTGGAGGATGCGGCGGCTGTTTACCGGGCGGATTTGGGTCTTGATAGTACGCTTATTCGGGCACGGCGGCATCCGAACAATGTATGGGCTTTGCAGGGCTATCATGAATGCTTGGTGCGTCTTGGGAAGACTGATGAGGCGAGTGTTATTCAGCCGCAGTTGGCTATTGCGGCTGCTGTTGCTGATGTTCCTGTGACTTCGTCTTGTTTCTGTCGGCTGGATACCTTTGAAATGCCTAATGTTGGGAATGGATGCTGTCAATGAGCGCCGGTTGTACATAAATTGTTCCGGTTAAGCAAGTTTCTTCTGTTCGTCCCAAACTATATTAGTGATTATTGTAATATACTTTTTTTTGGCCGGTTGGTCAATTCTATGATACTGGCGTCTGTGTGATATTCAAGACAGAGTCAACAAAGACTAGTACCAGGAGACCTTGAACAACAAACAAGTTCGATAATATTAACTTCGCTACAATTTAGCACAATACAATACAGCATAACATACAAAACATAAGAAAACAAGCAAGCACATACACTGAAAAGGTATCTCGAGTTTACGTACAAATGCAAGCTGCAAGGGCATAAAGCAAAGGCTCAAAGCAAAAGCCAAGCCAGAGGCAGAAGCACTACCAGATGCGCTAACAATACCAACAAAAAAAAAGAATCAAGAATTAACAGCAAATGCGTGCGATGAAGCAGACAGACAAGAAAACAAAAGAGAGAAAAGCAGCAAGGCCGAAGCTAAATTCAAATCCAATCCTATAACAAAGCAAAGATCTCCCCCATATGTACCGGAGAGCCATATCCATATTTCACTGGCCTACACCAGAGAGCGAATGTGCCATTTAAAACAAACAGACAAAAAGAAAAGTTGGGAGAAGAACCACCAGAGTTACCGTCTTTTCTCGCTAGGTCACGACGGAGCCGGCGACGGATCCTGAGTTCGTCATTGAGTGGATGCTACCTGGGGGTGCGTGGTCGCCGTTTGTGCCGTTGGAATCGCCTACGGGGGTTGGGTTGTCGTCGAAACCTAGTAGGGAGCGAGGCGGGTGTATTTCTTTCTTGCCGTTTGCTTTGTAGTAGAGGATCATGTCTCCTGAGGTGCGCCACAGGCATGTGCGGATTGTTGCTAGGGTCATGTTTGGTGGACAGAACTGGGATATTGTCAGTACATAAAATGGGAATGTGAAGAGCAGGAGGACCTACCGTCTTTTGGCAGTATAGCTCGAGATAATCTTCCGGTGGCATCCTAGACTCCTCGGGGTCATCGGGGTTTGCAGGATCGATGCGCTCAGCAACGTAAGCGAGAACCTTCTTGGCGCGAAGCATGCGGTTCGCATTCAATCGGGAACCATTGGTGTTGGGATTCAAGTTGCTTGGGGGTGGTGCGCCATTCATGGCGGGTCTACAAAGAGCGTTGTCAGTTCCATGGAGTGAAGTTGGTGGAGGGTGGAGACGGTTCAACACATACGGTTCCGGTTTGACGACTGCTGGCAGGGAATCATCGAAGGGTTTCAACACGAATGCAATCTTGACTTGTTCCTTGAAGGGGATTTGGTTCTGTGATGCATCATTAGCAAAGTATCATAGGGGTATCTGGGACGCAAAAATACCTTAAGAAGAAGCTCACCAAGCCAATGGGGAATTGATTTCTTGAGCCTCTCAAGATCCTCGCCGATTCGATCCACGCTGCCTCGGTAGAGATCGGAAGCAACTGCAGTATCACCTGTTTCCTCCTGAATGAAGACCGCAACCCGAGGAGGAACATCCAACCGGGGTGTTTCATTCTGTGGACTGGGTGTAATAGCTGTCTCTAACTCGAGGTTGGTATTTGTAGACAGGTATTCTTCATAGTCATGACGAATCCGATCAACAACACCACAGAGATTGGGCTCATACACCTTCTCCTTAACAGAAGAAACCTCAGACTCTTCAGCCTTCTCTTCGAGAATCTGAGGCTTGGTATCAGTAGAAGTACGAGTCAACTTCTTGGGGAAGTCCATTCGGAACTTCTTCGAAAAGAGAGATCCACCCTTCTTGCGCTCCTCTTTATCAGGCTCTGCGGGAGACTGAGGAACCCCCGCATTGGAGGCACCACTTTCGGAGGGCAAAGGTGACATGATAGATGTTTCGGTCTGCACCGTGGGCCTGTTTGAGAAGTAATCACTTCGATCCGAGAAGGAGGATGGCCCGCCATCAAGGTGTGATTGTGTAGGCCCCGAAGGCTCGGGAGTATCTGGCTCAAACATAGGGAACGGAGAGTTGCTCTGCATGGAAGTACTCAAGTAATTTGATGATGGTGTGCCAACATTGATGCCGATACCGGTGCTGGGACTGGCAGGGAAGTCTGGGCCAGGGCGCAAGGTCCATGTTGAATTGGGATTCGAGATAGGAATGCCAACGCTGCGCGGGATGTCGTCTGCCGGCACTGATGTACTGATGGCGTTTTGTCGAGCATTTTCTTCTGCCTTTGCAATAGCAGCTTGACGGTACTCGTTGTCTCGGCGAATTTCCTCCTCCACCACCGGAGCAAAGAGCCACCGCAAGATCCATTTGCCAAGATTAACTACGATTTGTCAGTAAACAGGACATGAAGGCTGACAACAGGAAGAGAAATCAGCACATAGAAAATGATACTTACTTCGCTGATCCTCTCTAAACTCGGCCATATCAGAGGGCGCCAAATCGGCGCAATCAGCATAGACCTCCGCATCGAAGCAACGATTCGGTTCCAGAATGACCGAAAGTCGACCAGTGCGTACATCGATCGTACACCAATGCGCAATACTCTCAGTGGTGTTGACTTCTGACGCAACATCATCAATATGACGCTTACCAAATTCCTTGACCGGAACACACTATACGATGTCAGTTGGCGCCGAATGCGATTGACCAGCTTTAAATTACCTTCAACAGATCCCAGAGCACAACTTCTCCCGCAGAGTCCTGAGTGAGTGTGTGCATGCGATCATTCAACATAAGACACTTGATCAAGCCATGCTGACCCTCGATTGTTTCTTCTGGTAAGGAATGAACCGGGATCGTTAAACCGATTGCTTCCAGATTGGGCTCTGGGGTGTTTCCATTAGGAGTAGAGCTACCAAGAAGTGTTGAAGTAGCCGAGAGCTGAAGAGCGGCATTGAATGGAATCTTCTTAGGGCCATCTTCCACCTTTTTGACAGGCTCCGCGGTAGATTCGATGGTAGGGGCCGGGTCCGGCGGCGGCTCGATATCAAGTGTAGTATCAACATCTCTCCAGCGATTGATGCTCGACTTGGGAGTTGCAGTCCAGATGTAGTCTCCTGCTGCCACGACCTTGACGACACCCTCGTGTTCTTGTAGTGCCGCAACGCAGGTTCCTTGTTCGGGATCGGGAGAACCTCGTGTATCAGTCTTAGCCACCAAACCAGATCGATCGCTGGAGTAGAACACTGATAAGTCGGGGTGGTCTGAGTAGAGAGACCACACGCTGTCGTTGTGCATAGTCAGGGTATTCATGCATCGTCCCGCTGTAAGGGACCAAATCTTAATTGTCTGGTCTGACGAAGCCGTCATGATCGTATCACCAGATTGATTGACCATAATATCGCGGATGTTATCCGTATGTCCAACAAACTTGGTGACTAGCTTTCCAGACCTGGGATCCCATACCCGAACGACATTCTCCGGACCACCGCTAGCAAGAACCGACGATACCGCACCAAGAGCATAGACAGAGCCCTTCTCAGTAGCATCCTCACCACCGGCATCAATACTCAATATCTCTCCACATCCATTCAAATCCCATAGATAGAGCTTATGATCCAAACCACCGGACGCAACCCAGGTAGCATGGCCACCCGGACTCGCCAAGGCCTTAACATAATCCGTATGTTTACCGATGCGCTCGGGGACATCGGTAGACTCGGAATGCGGGCGCCAGAGTCGCACGGTAGTGTCGGACGAAGCGGAAACGAGCGCGGAGTTATCCTCCGCCAAGACGATATCGTTGATCCAGTGGCTGTGAGCCTGCACCTGTGTCTTGAAGCCAGTCGGACTGGGCTTCCGTCTCGAGGTCGCAAGGTCTGTGGGCGCAAACGAGGAAGGGCAGGAAAAGTCGAGATCCCACGAGCAGATCACGCCGTCGCGGCCCGCGGAGTACCTAGAGAGAGAGAAACGTCGTGTTAGAATCCGTGCAACCCACGTGCTGGAGAACTAAATTTCCGCCGCCCGCAGGACAGACCGTTAAGAGTCTAGATCCTGAATCCCGGCAGACTGAGAGAAGTAAGTACTTACAGGATGGAGTTCTGACGGTCAACGGTCAGACCATTGACCCCCAGCCGATGCCCGCCTGGGGCATCTGGCAGAGGGAGTACTAGTATTTCACAGTCAGTATTTCAGCATGAAGAATGTTGCGATCTGGTTTACCATAGGTGACCCTCTGGTGGCTTAGTTTGCGTGCCATACATGCAGCGTTGCAGGAGTGAAGCCAATTGCGGAGATGAAAATGTGGAGCTTATCTGCCGTCGAGGCCGATCGTTCAGGCGGGGAGAGTCGACGTCACAGTCAAGAGAACAGCAAAGAAGTAAAGAAGCAAAGAAAAGCCAAGGCTATGAAATACCAAGAGAAGACAAAAGACAAGACGGGAGAAATGAGGGGAAATTTAACCAGAGTTGGAGGCGCCAGGGGCAGCCTATCGGCCCATGTTGTGCTCGTATTAGATCATCTTTAGATGCTAAAGTCTGGAGTTTCTATTTTACACTTACTGTCTACCTCAAATGATATTCGGCTTACTATCCGACCTCTCTTGATCTTCCCCCAGGCGTTCTCTGTACCCCATCAGCACACGCAGAAACAAACCATTCTAAAACAACATCGTCTCTCTCAGACAAGCCTATCATCACTTCAAATCCCATACATGAGTACTCAAGGAACACAGAGACTCTCAAGTCGGCTATCTACGGAAATAGATCCGCGCTTAGCCCCAAGCCACACGCATAAGCATAAGCACGAAGGAAACGCAGGCACCTAACCAATGATTTGACTCGTCTCATTTTTTGATCAGTGAGACAGGCTTTCGTGGTAACGTGGTTGACAGGTTGAGCTTGTTCTTCTTGGCTCTAATAGCGCAGATCATACTTTCTGCATCAAACGATCTCCCAATTGCCAAGTAGGTGAAATGTACGTATGCTGCCGAGCATATCATTATAATCCTAAGGATGGTGGAAGAAAGCAGATACCATAACCCGATATACAAGATCTAATTTATCTATACTCATTCCCAACCATATATAACAAATAATGTACAGAAACCCGAAGCCTCAAATCCCCTCCTCCCTCTTACCCTCTCTCCTCCCCTCAAGGGTATTCCAAGCATACTGATAACTGCCCAAGAAAATAGCACCCCCAATACCAATCCAAGTAACACGAGGTGTAATCCCTCTCCAGAAAGCACCAGGTCCCTCACGTGCAATCCCACGAACAATCTCCTTAACCCGCACCGGCGCACCGGCACCATCTGCCCGTCGCGCAAGCATAACCCGCGTCTTAATCACATCCAATGGAGTCGTCAACGCAGCCGCGATCGCTCCAGCCACACTACCGAACATGGCACTCGTCGAAGCTGGGATTTGCGTCTCGGAAATGGAAGATGCTGAGCTGGCTGGGCGCAGGTAGCGCTTTGCGTAGGCTTCTTTCATTGATTCCCACATTGTGAATTGCAGGACTGTGAAGGGGATTTCGCGTGCGATGGTTATTCCTGCGCCGCGGTAGAGTTCACGAAAGACTTGGCTGTAACCGCGTTTTGCGGTTGCTGCTGGCGCATTGCTGGTACCGGTGGTAGAGTCGGTGCCGGGGGCTGGCGCGGGGGCGGCATGGCGGAGGGAGAGGATATCCTTTAGAGCGGCAAGACTTGATCCGCCGAAGAGGCCGGCTTGGGCACGCTGCTTGATTACCTCTGTAGGCACGCGGACGGCGCAAGCGGCGATCTCGCCTAAGGAGGAAGCGAGGGAATGTGTGAGGATGATGTGGGATCGGGATTGGGGCTCTGTTAAGCCGGGGGGTGGGAGAAGAGTGCGCTTGACGCCATCGTAGACGATAAAGAAGGAGGCTGCTGAGGGGGCGGAGCCGAAGAGGACGGAGGGGAGGCCTGCGTAGATGCCGCGGACGGTTTGGCGGAAGGTGAGGCGGGCTGCTGCTGGAGCGAGGGGGTCGCGTGCTTTTTGGAGGCGGGTTTTGATTGTGTCCAGAGGATACAGGGAGCAGTCGACGGTTAGACCTGCGATTGCGCCGGACTTGATTGTGCGACATTAATGGTTTGTTCGATTTTGGAGGCTGGGATTGGGGGGTGGAGGTTGCTCACGATTAGGGATCTTGTCCAGAGGGAGGAGACCAATGGCTCCCCTTCGATTTGTTGGGCCATTGTCGAGAGAGAAGGTGTGTGAGAGAGGAGAGGCAGAAATGAGGAGAAGGAGAGAGCTGTGAAGGTGAAGATGTCTATGACAAAAACGCAATGCGGAGTAGCTGGGAGCTCCGGCAATTTAGTTTTGCTCCGCGGTCAGGCCATTCCGATATCGCCGAACTTCGCTACGTCAGTCTAGATAGTACAGAGGACAGCATTGGAAAAGAATTTATGTTCGAATTTAAATGTATCTACCCTCTCGGAAAAGAAAAAGAAAAAAAGGCATCCCCAGCAAGAGTCAAAAAAGAATGCTCCCAAAAACCCCGTCCCGTCGGCATACCGTTCGCATGCCAAAGTGAAGCAGACACCTATCAGCAGAGCCCAAAAGATTAAAGGAGAAAGAGGGTGCGTAGTAGGTTGGCAAGGAATGCATTTCAGGGATATTAACTCGGAAAAAAAAAGTATGGGGAGTGAGAGAAAAGGCGACTATCATCTACAGTATTCAACAGGGAATCAGAACGCGGGAATGGAAACGAACAAACAGACCATCCCATATTCACAAAAGGTCGGAAATTATGGGCACAGAAGTCGTACAGAGCAAGGGGTATTATTTGGCCTTGGCGCCTTTGCTGGCCACCGCGGGACTCTGCGACGGAGGCTCCAAGACATGAGTATGGCTGGGGTCGTTGTGGATCTCGCCAGAGTCGTCCTGCTGGCAGGCATGGATGTCTCTGACCCAGTCATCACTCATGACCTCGTCTAGTGTTGCTCGCTGGTTGGGGTTGGTCTTCAGCATGCGACCAATGATGTACCTGCTTTCCCGCGGCAAGATGCGGAGAAGGCGCCACGGTCCCTTGATGACTTCCTGGCGTTGACCAGAGGATTGTGAGGGCGGTTGAACGGGTGGTGCCTCTTTGCTCGTGGTGCGGGTAGGTCGATTGTTGGTGGTGCTAGTCTGACTGTTCTGCTTTTGAGCAGTATCGGGCGAGCGATCACCATCGTTTGCGGTACCGTTTCCGTTTTGCTCCGGTGCGGACTGGTCCTTGGGTTTGGCGGTGTCAGAATCGCTTGAGCGGTCACCAATACGTTTCTCATTGCCTTGAGATGGTAGATCAGGTGTCGACTTGGGCCGACGGTTAGGGTTCGACTCGGGAACCGGGGTGCCTGGAGTCGGACTGGCAACGAACAATTTGTATGAGTTGTCCGTGGTGCGCGGCTGCTTCCATGGGAAACGGCGTAGGGTCATGCAGCAGAAGATGATCGCCAGCGACCAAACATCTGTAGGGCGGGGGTCATATTTCTTCTCATCATACACCTCGGGGGCAAGGTATGGGTCCGAGCCGACAATTCCTAGTTTGGAGGTCAGAAATGATCGATTGTTGGCAGGGAGAGAATGTAGATGTATACATACCTGAAGCAGGAACGATGTCGTTCTCGAAGGGATAACGGAAGACAACCGCACTTCCAAAGTCAATCAGCTTCATGATACCGCGGTCATTGACCACCACGTTATCCAGCTTCAAATCCCGATGAGCGAGACCCATGCCGTGCAAGTAAGCCACGCCGCTCAAAATCTGTTTGAAAGAGCAGGCGATCTCCTCTTTGCCCATCTTGCCTGTCATGACAATGGCGAAGAGATCGAATGGAGCATATTCCATCACCTCATACCAGTGTGTCCCTTCCTGAATGATATCCAATGTCTCAATAATGTTGCCGTGATGCAGAGTAGAACCGATACAGAACTCTGCGGTGACCTTCTTGGAATACTCCTTCAAGGTCTCCCAGTTGTGACGGTCTCGGAATTGCTTCACGGCGAAGGTAACACCATCGCTGTTCCGTTTCAATAGGCGGACAGAGCCACCAGCACCAGATCCAAGTACCCTACCCATTTTGCCATATTTGGAGTTCAATCCATGGTCATCGGCGAATGGAACGTTGTCGGGGGCCATTTGGTATGGGGTGTTCTTTCCAGATCCTCGGCTTGACTTCTTAGGCATTGATGTCGGAGATTCACTCCGCTTGTTGCGATGGCCCATTTTGAAGAAACGTTTCAGTTCAGACATAGAGCCATGGTGATGATGACTACTCTGGTGCTTTTCATTGCCTTGGTCCTTCTTGCCAAATATGCTTCGCTTGTCACTGGGCTTGCTGAGGTCACTGGCACTGGCAGATCGGGGAGTTCCCGGGCGGAATGACCGCTTTGCATCCCGACTGCTAAAGATGAACCGAGGATCTAGCGCAGCGAGGTTTTTCGACTGAGGCGGGCGTTTGTTACGTGCATACGGGTCATTCGGTTCGCCTACTGGGGTCATAGCCCCGGGCGGAGTCAGAGACTCCCTTGGCGTAGCAGGTGGGCTTTCCTCTTGCGAGCTGGTATCGTTTCCAATGAAGAATTGTGCACGGTGCTTGGGGAGTTGCGTGATATGAGAGCTTCGATCTGAGGCCTCACTGGTTCTGTTGGGCAACTGATCGGTGGACGGGGGTCTAGAGGTTGAGGATCGGGGAATGTCGTGCTTATCGACTGAAGTGACTGGGGGTGACGCATCGGGGGTGAACTCGGTTTGGACATGAGGCCGGCTCTGAGCTTTTAGGGAGGAGCCCTCCGCTCTGCCTTCACGGGAATGAGTTGCAGCTGGTGTAAGAGGAGGTGATTGTACGGCGGAAACGGGGGGAGATGCATGTGGAGAGGCAAAAGAGCTAGTTCCATGCCCACTCCGATCGCTCGACTCGCGAGAGACGACCTATTGCAGAACTCCGAGTTAGCATGACAACTACTCCACAGTGCAAGACACTCCCAAGAACAGTCTAGTGGCTGTTCATCTAACTGGAAGGACGGGGCAATTGGAGCAACCGGAAGACAATTCCACAGTAGCTTAAAACTAGGAGTTACATACCCTCGAGGAAGGAAGAGACATGGGGTCGAAAGAGAAGTTCCGTAGACGGGCCTCCTGAAGCTGAGAGCTCTGCAGGTGGGAGCTCTGCAAACTCATCGCCAGCGACCGTAACGCCTCCTCGTCTGATTGCTGATTCAGTGGCTGCGAGTTCTGAGATTCAGGTTCCGGGGACAGGGTCTGCGATGGTTCAATCTCCTCCGTGATGGACGAGAAACGAACCTGGCTGGGCTGGGCTTTGGACTTGGCATCGGCGTCACCGGGCTCCGGAGCCTGGCCGGACATCTTGGCGGGGCTCTCAGTAGGTTGGAATCCTGTCGACAGAGGAATGCGTCAGATGGGAATTTACAAAGTACATCATGATCCAGCCAAGACATACCTGAGTTAGAGTTGGAAGTCATCTCAGACGTCATAGTCTGCACCAACTCAGAATGCGGGACACATGCCCCTCACAATGAAAGCCTTGGAGAAATCAGGGTCGCGCAACAAATGCCGATGGTCGCAAAGCGAAGAATTAACGATTGAAGCCGAAGTGAACCACGGGCAGGTCGATTACGTGGGAGGCGAGGCAAATCTCTTCCCGTAAACTTTTCGCCGAATCCGATAAGAGCCGTGCAGGGAACGTGAAGGAGAGGAGCAGAGCAGTGAAGCAGACACAGAATAGAGGTAGAGAACAGAGAATAGAAGCGGAGCAGAGAATAGAAGCAAAGCAGAGAATAGAAGCAGAGCAGAGCAAAGAGGAGAGGGGACGGAGTGGGGGTTGCCCAGGAGCCCTCCAAGTCCGGTAATTGTCAGCCTTGTTTGGGTGTCTCTCTCTCTTCTTTACTACACTTTGACACTTCTACACTTCTACTTCTTTTCTCTCTATTTTTTTTTCTTGTCTTCTGTATTGCTTTGGTCTAGTAACAATCCATGCTCTATCCTGTACCCCGAGCATCCCCGGAACACCGCGGAGTTTTGCAGACTCGATGATGTCGACAGTCCCGTCCGCATACACGTGCCGATTTCCCGGCGACTCCGCGAACAGGGTACGATTGGCGCTGCAAGCCATCGCTTGTTGCGGCTTCTCTGCATTCCAATCTGGAATTTTACCTGAATAGGCTAGTTTCATTTCCCCGTTTACATGTAGACTCTTCGGTCCAAATCTGGGGTTCTCATACCTGCCAAGCAGCATGATCAGCGGGGTTGCGTATTGAATCCTTGGCCTTCATTCTCGCCAAGCCCTTGACTGTACTGCCAGGCCAAGATCTCCGCTCCTCCATGTCCCCTAAGTCCACTGCTGAGTGATCAGGCTCTGAGGTTGTGTGATGCGGTGGTCACACTGCGTCTCGGGGTTCATACTGTATACTTTTGGCCGAGACCCGACTAGAATCCATTCTGACATCCTGTGATCACAAAACCTATTAACCATATTACCCAGACATGTCGGTGATTAGCCGGTCGCTTCGTCATACATATACAGCTGACCTTCAGTCTGACTGTAAGCGCCTCACCCGTGGACGTTACATCAATCCAACATGGTACGGAGTAGTAGACAATAAATGTTGCTGTATTGTAGCTGCCTCATTGCATGCAAAATGTCCATCAGATTGCTACCAATCGCTACGACATGCAATCTGAAAAAGAATCGGTATCGTACAGCAGGCGGGTACACCCCCCTGTCCCAGAATAAAAACGCCCAAAGATATCAGATATCAAAATCAAAACAAGTAGGCCCTGAAAGCGCTACCGCAGGCAATGATCGCCGGTAATTATACAATAAAACCCATCCCTGTAATCGATCATGGGAGAACCTGGATGCCAATAGACTTGGCCTGGGACATGACACTCTTGCACAGTCCCTCGAGCGACAAGCCCGATAACCGGGTCTCGGTCTGCTTGATCTTGGCAATCTCGTAGACATGCTTGAGGGAAATCTTGCCGCAGGTCTCGTGGCCGGGGTTCATGGCGCCGCGAACGCGGTTTTTCCGGGGCTCGACGTTGGCGGCGTTGAGAAGGAGGTAGGTGGTGGTCGGGGTGCGGAGGTCGAAGGCGAAGGATCGGTCCGGGCGGACTGTGACGCGTGCGGGAATGGGGACGCCGGTGTTGATGTGAGCAGTGCGGGCGTTGAATTCCTGTGATTGTCAGTTTATAGGCCGAGTAGGGTGGTGGGAGTATTCACCTTGCAAAAGTCCATGGACTTGACACCCTTACTACCCAGGGCTGGACCGACAGGCGGACTGGGACTGGCCTGACCAGCTCCGACGATGAGCTTGACGAACTGTTCCTTGGCCAATGCGTTGCGAGCCATGATGTTGTGATGTTATAGTCTGTTGCCTGATCAAGTTGAAGGACGAAGATTTTCTGGAAGGGGACGGCAGATGATTGGCCGCCCCGGCAAGCGAGCTGAACCCAACGTCATGATGCTCTCTGTCTGGAGCTTCACGTTCTCTTTCTTTGATCTTTGATTGTACTATTTTATCTTTGATTCCTTTGATTTGTTTTCTGATATCCTCGATCTGGTGTTGTTTGATTTCTATATCTACAGTATTAGTGATCTGATCAGCTCGTTCCATTGACAAACTAGACTTCCGGGCCCCGCGTCGATCTCTCCTTCACCTCCCTTTTTCTTTTTCTTTCCTCTGATCTTCTATCAATCATCAAATCTTCATCATGAACTGGCTCAAATCGACGTACGTTCCGTTCGACCCTTCTGTGCTGTGGTTACTGACCGGATCCATGCGGGCAGTCTCTCCGCCGTGGTGGGCACCGAGGAGCCTATCTATGGCCCTGAGGCCATCCAGTCTGTTGCGCAGCAGACGGAGACTACTCCTCATTCCGAGGTAAACAAGGATCTCTTGCGCTGGCGCGCATACTCCTACACCAATGTCGAGACCCAGACCTTCTACATTATGGCAGACAACGGCACAGTAGTCTTCGTCCAGGTGATCTACAGCAACATTGTGTAAGGACCCTTCAAGCCAGTGCTATATATCGTGATGATATACAAGCATCCCAAGCAAGCTTTTGCAGCAGCTGACTGATATGATCGGAACTTTAGCGGAATCCACACCACTGCCCAGTTCAACGTGAAGATTTTCGACATCAGCGGAAAGGGCGACAACAAGTGGTTCTCCGACCCTGTCCACAACTTCATGTTTGATGAGCACATGCTCTCTTTCGGTGCCGACAACCTGGCCGTGACCCTTAACGAGGAGGGAAACACCTACAACATCAAGTCCACCGTCAACAACGGCAGCATCGTGGACCTCAAGTTCACCCAGACCGCACCTGGTTTCGTCGTCGGCAATGACGGCACTTCGTACTTCGGAACCGACCCCAAGAACCCCTGGGGCTCTATGCGCCATGCCTTCTGGCCTCGCTGTTCCGTCGAGGGTAACATCGCCACCAAGGACCAGACCTACGATCTGACCGGTCGTGGTGTATTCATCATGGCTCTGCAGGGCATGAAGCCTCATCACGCAGGTAAGAAGAGCGAAACCCGATCAAGTCCGAGCTATCCGGAGCTCATCCGCTAACTAAAATATAGCTGCCCGCTGGAACTTCATCAACTTCCAGACCCCCACTTACTCCGCCATTATGATGGAGTACACTACTCCTCCCTCTTACGGCTCTACCAAGGTCAACGTAGGAGGTATCGTCAAGGATGGCAAGGTCATCTACGCCGGCACCACCAACGTCGTTACCCACACAGAGACCGGCCAGGACGAGGGCAGTGATTGGCCCGCACCCAACGCGATCAAGTGGGAGTGGAGCGGCAAGACAACCGACGACAAGGAGATCACAGCCGAAGTCGACGGCGCTCTCGGTTCCCGTCTTGATCGTATCGACGTCATGGCCGAGGTTCCCGGCTTTATCAAGAGCATTGCTGGCAGTGTTGCCGGTACTCGGCCTTACATCTTCCAGGTATGCATCCCTTTCACCTCATCTTAAACATTCATTTCTGACTTTCTTTGCAGTACTCCCCCCAGGAGAAGCTCTCATTGAAGATGAAGCTCGGCGACGAGGAGATCACCGAGGAGGGAACTATGTTCTCCGAGTCCACCTTCATCTCGTAAAGGCCTGAACCAACTCGCGTACATAGGACATGATCTCCCAGCGAGGTCTTGTTGGCGTTCATTGTTGATGATTTCGTGATGCTACATTTATGTCCCGGGATTCGGCTTTGCTGCTTCTCCTTTGTGCGGACCAGATAATCCACAGACTGTATACAGGATACCTAATGCTATTGACCATATTCTGAATATTTTTCTTGTAGCTTGTACGTTATAGTCTTGGGTATTTCTACAACCGATTCAAGGATGAATGTTACACATAGAAAAAGATTGGATGTAAAGTACAGATAGGTTGTGCAGATGTACCTCCCAGTCTTCGAAAAGTAAGAAAATGTACAAAGAACGACAATGAAGTACAAGATACATACGGTTCAATTCGAATCAAATAAACAACGTCGTCTCCAGCAGCTGTGGACCAGCCAGCAGTACAACAAATCAAAAAGAAACATGAAAAGAGTATGTAGAAATAACAAACGAAATCCCCCTAGCTATCAACCATCAACTGCTCCCCCTCATCAAGAAGCGTAGTAACCCTCGAAAGATCAGAAATCATCTTCCGTCCATGACCAACAAGCAACAATTTCTCCGCATTAGCAGGAAGACCAAGATAAGTAGGCGGTTCACGCTCCGGCAAACCATTAACCCAAGCAATGAAGTCACGCATGCTAGTCGTGCTAGGCAGAGTGAGCAGATCATCATTCTCAACGCCCGAGACGAGCTTATATTCGTCTTCGAAGGCGGCGGGCGTGAGGAAGCTCGTGACCAGGTTCTCAAGTTGCTGGTAGTCACCTGCGTCGTCGATTTTGCCGCCGTACATCTCGGTTATAAGTGTGCGGATCATTTCCCAGGGGATCTTGGTCGGTGCTACGTTTGATCGGCCTTGCGCTACTGTGTCGACCCAGTGGTCAATTATGTAGGCGGAGCATTCGTACTAGAGAATGTGTGTTAGCATGTTTGGTTGATGTGTGGAGGGGTTTTTGTATGTGGGGGGTACTTACGTCGCTGTCGTTGAACTCCCAGAAGCCCTTCCAGCCGAGACTGGGGGCGTAGCGGAGTCGCTCCTGGACTACGGCGTGCAGGAAGCAGAGCAGGAGGTAGACGCGGGCTTTTTCGACCGGTGCCTTGCTGGCTCTTACGCTGAGAGAGGAGAGTGAATCCTTCATGTTGGCGCGGACTCCAGCGGGCTGCTCGTACATGAGCACGCGCGATGCGCGGATCAAGTTGACTGGGATCTTAGGGCTGGACTCCATAGACAGGAATAGGCGGAATTCCTTGTGGGGCTTGAGGGAATCTAGTCTCTTTTCGAGACTCTGTAGCCAAGATGGCGCCAGGTGGACGTTCTTGACTAGGACCCAGTTACCTGCGGCGGCTGCGTTGCTGATGGCCTTGTCGGCGCTTTCGAGACCCTCGTTGGAGCCCATGGCGATGTTGGCGCAGTTGGCGTGCGTGCGCTCGACTAGGGCGTCGACCTTGTAACTGGCGTCGAAGCCGGGGCTGGAGCTTAGGGCAATTGGTCGGGTGGCGGTGACTTGGTCAACTACATCCTTGAGGTCGCTGCTGCCTTCGAAAAGCTCACGGCCGAATACAGCTTCGATGAAACGCTCGGCTGTTGGGACGAATCTGTCCATGCGGCAAAGTTTGACTAGGAGTAGGGAGCGGAGGAGCTGGTCGAGTTGCGAGGTGTTCTCGTCCCACATAATTGGGACGGCGTTTTCGGCAAGTTCTTCAGTGAAGAAATGGTCCCATTGCTCTCGGGTGACATTGGTAAGCTGCTCCTTGAAAAGAGACATATTGGACAGCTTGGCAAGCACTTGGTCACGGGCATCAACGGAAGTTGAAAGATCTACGCCTTCGACTGTCTCGTCCAGAACGCGGTCGAGGATGGTCCTGTCCATTGGGAAGGGTGTAGCTTGGGCAAGCAGGATGGCGAGAGTGATCCGGTCCTTCTGAACAAGACCCAGTGAGGTTCGCTGGTAGGCCATGATGAACAAGTCCTTGATGATGATCTGAACGCGGGCAGAATGATCCTTCTCCTGTGCAAGTCGCTTGTTCTGGTAGAGAACAGAGTTGAAAATGTCGACAAAGTATTGCAGGGAGAACTGATAGAAGTGGTTGATGTGGTGAAGCTGCTCCAAAACGGCAAAGACAGCACTACATGAACGAGCAATGATGCTGTACTTTTGGGTGACACTGTCCACCTCAGACATAACACCTTCGGTTTCGGCCATCTTCTTAGAGATATCAGCAGCCTCCTTCTTGAGAGTCTCGAGAGTCTCAATGACATTGTCGTCATCAAGAATGTTTCCGCGAGACTCGTTGAGAGCTTGCAAGAGGCGCTTCTCGAGTTGTCGAAGATGGACCTTGAACTCTCCTTGCATCTTAACGAGGTTGTTACGGCGTTCATCGACATCAGGTCGCTCGAACTTCAGAACATCGTTCAGTGATTGTGTCTGCAAACTGCTCTGGGTGACTGTGAAGTTGACGAATGTGGTACGACTGCAGATATCAGGCGGGAACGAGGCCGAGGGATCACGGGTTGAGAGGAATAACTTGAAGGAAGGCGAGAAATCGATCTCTTGCCTGCCCAACTGGATGAGGACACGACCACCGGTCTTTTGGTATTCCTTGTTGAGAACGTGGTTGAGAATGGGGTCCAAGTGCTCGGCATCCTGGATGAGAATGGGGTTACCGAAACGCAAGGCGCTCTCCAATTGCTTGACAAAGGAATCGTCCAAGAAGCTTGTGACGGTGAGCTTGCGCTCTTTGCTCTCCTTTTGCAGGAACTCGGTGATACGGCCCGATGGGTCGACGATCAGAGGATATCTGTTGAACTTCTTCAGGATAATGGCATTCTCCGTGCAGAGGTCGTCCACAGGGAGGGAGTGATCTTGCCAAGTCAGGCGCTCATCTGCGTTGGACAGATATTCCGTGATGGGGTTATGAGGCTTGAATGTAATGCCAGAGGCCGCAAGTTGGTGAACCCAGTCGTCAATCATTGCCCGACGGAACTGCTGATCGTAGAGACCAGCGTATGCAAGGAACGCAGCAGCAATGAGGACATCACCAACGAGAGTGTTGATTTGAGTCTCAAATGACTTGCTGCCATCTTCCCAACGTTCACGCTCAGAGGCCAGACTGTCAAGCAGACGAACACTGCGGTCGACCTTGAACTGGACACGGGACATCTCGGTCTTGATTGCCTGAGTCTCACTAATGAGAGCTGCGTACTCGGCCTTGTAGGTGGCAATACTGGCTTCGAGGCTATTGATGGTGTTGACGATAGCCTGGGCTTCAGCCTTGGTTTGCAGTGCCTGGTCCTCGAGTTGATCGACCTCCGCACGAAGAGGACCAACGCGGTCAAGGATCTCAGAGTAGGCGACTTGTGCTGTGACCCACTGAACCAGGGGACCACAAGCCTTACTGGCACGGTTGACTCGCTCATATGTGAAGTCTTCCTTAGAGAAGAACTCATTCTGCATCTTGACGCGGAGGCTGCGCGTCATTGAAACCTTACTGTCGTAATTCACGATGCTGGCAATGAAATCATCACGACGAACAATACCTTGGATGGCCTTCCAGCTGTCGACTCTGTGCCCAAGGAGAACACAAACAGCTTCTAGAGAAAGTCGGACACCTCCTGGGGGTGAAGCCATACCACGAACTTCAGTGAGCTGTTGACGCTTAATATTGCTGACACTCTGTTGGGCTTCCAAGACAGCGGGTTCAGCCTGAGCCAGGTCGTTCAACACAACTTCCTTTCTGGTTGCCACTTCCTTTTCTTGAATCTCAAGTGCTTGCTGAACCTCCAATGAGGCTTGCTTCCGCTGTTCGGCTTCTTGTTGATCAGCAACCATGCGCTGCAATTTCTCGTTCGCTTCTGTGTCCTTCTTCTCCAGCTGTGTCTTCTTCTGGGCCAGACTGACCCGCAGATCGCTGACCTTGTCGACAGTGTCACGAAGCTTCTCGAGACCAACGTTCAAATGGCGTTGTTGCTCCTCCAGGTCTTCGCGCTTCTCGTTGAACAGGTTCACGTACTGTGCAACAAAGTCGAGGTAATGGCGAGGAGTGAGGAAAGTCGCCCGGCCTTGCTGCTTCTGCAGGCGTCCGTTGAACCTGTGCAAGGAGTGGTGGATATACACCATGGAGTTGATGACAGCATCTCTGTGTGTGGCTGGCAGTGACAATTCCCTGTACGCCACGGGGATACTATCAAGCGCGACAAAGTTGGGCTTGTCCAGATCGACCGACTGTGTGAGCTCGGAGCCGACCTGGAACAAGGCCTGATCAGACCAGTCTCCCATCCAGTTCAGCACGCAACGGTTGAACAAGGCGGGACTAGTGGCGGCCTTGGAAGACAGACCATCCTCTGGTGGGTTCATGGTGAACACAACATGCAAATTCTTGACAATCTGCTGAGTAAACCACTTGTATAGTTCTTCCTGCGAGTCGAGCAGCAGGCCTTGGCGCTGAGCACCTTCTTTACAGGCGGTCATGAGGGAAGAGAATTCATCACCTTCGAACAGACCGGGTACCTCAGCGTTGGCAAGCAGGGTGTTCATGCGCTCAAGGAAACCGGAGTCAAGAACATTTGATTCGTCCATGATGAAACAAATCTTCTCGCCTTTGCATCCTGCCCGGCGAAGGACACTTCTCAGATCATCGTCAAAGTCTTCAGAAGAGTACTTTCCGTGAACCTTGATTTGGAACACCTTCAGACCGTTCATCCAGGCGACGAAGCGGGACAGTGTTGTTTTTCCACTGCCACTTACACCAATCAAGATCAGATGACCCTGGGGTTGGCGGAAGACTCGGTCAATGCGGAGCGCATGTTCAAGCACATCGTTGAAAAGCACAAGCGGAACATCCACCTCTTCCTCACAGAATGTCTTCAGACGGGCCTTGACAAAGTCACGCAGCTTCTCCTGCTCGACAGGCACGTAGTTCTTGGACAGCCAGTTGGAGAACAGGATGGGGCCCTTGAGTGCTTCTTGATCATCAATCGTAGGGAAGTGCTCCAAGGCGATGCGACGAACAGCATCTGCCGTCCAAGCTCTTTCATCCTCGGCAACCAGTCTGTCCTGGAACAGACGCAAAGCTTCGTGCGCCCAAATGCGGACCAGGCCCTCAATAGACAAGCTCTCCAGCGGCTTGATTGCCTCGTAGACACCCCGAACCCATCGGGTAAGCTCACGGGGCGAGTAAACATAATGAGGTTGAATCTGAGGTGTGAATCGGGTTTGGGATTCGAGATAGAATTGAACCATGGCCTTAGTGAGTGCCTCGGAGTATCCACGCAGCAAGGGAAGAATCTTAAGCACAGCCGAGTTGAAGGTACCATAGATCTGGTTGAGAGAGATCTCGCCGGGATAGTCTACCATGATAAGAGGTGCGTGACGCAGGAATCTCTCGGCCATGGGGGTACGACCAGCATCTGTGGGAGGGTTACAAGCACCAACGAATTGAATACGCTCCAGGCTGACCCAGCTCTTATCTGAAGATCTCCAGAAGCCGTTCTGCTCAACAAGCTGACGCAGGAAAGAGATTGCGCGCTGTGTACCGTATCGATCGGGGGCGGGAAGGTTAATCTCGTCACAGAAGATGACGAGCCAGCGACCAATCTGGTTAGGAGACATCACTACACCGTTCAGAGTCTTCTTGTACTCGCAGTATTGCTCGAAGGTCTTGATCAAAAGATCAGGGGGTGGTGGCGCTGGAGAAGTTGAGGCCAACGACTTCCATGTTGGGCAACTTTCTGAGCGCGGCGAACAATGTCATCGTCTTACCAGATCCAGGAGGACCACAGAGCAGTAAGGGCTTGTGTTCGGCAAGCCATGAGTAGAGCACATCCTCGTGACGGATTGTATCCACTGTGGGAATAATCACGTCAGTTTGGGTGACGGAGTGCGTGTTGATATCAATCGATGGCACCTGCGACTGCCAACTGGACCAGTCGGACTTGGGAAGAGTAACATCATAGTCAATGAGAGATGACTCTCCGTCGGGTGGCAGATCAATTGTAGACATTCCAGACACATATTGGCCGAAAGCCTTACGGTCACCGAGAGGACAATCACCGGTCAAAGACCAGACCAGTGTCAGGAGTAGCTTTTTCGAGATGTACGACTCGATTTGCTCGGGGTCCAGAGGGAAGTCGACGTGCTGGACATTGTACTCGAGAACGTTGCGGCAGGCCTTGTTCAACAAGCTGAAGAGAGTGTTGAGGGCACGGATATCGGTGAATTCCATGATATGGTTGTACTTCTTGGCTTCCTGAAGAGCCTTGAGGACAAGATCGTCGGCCTCCAAGAACTGCTTGAGGATGGTTGCAACCGTATCTTGGGCATCTTGAGTGCGCACAGCGGCTGTTCCAGCAGGAGCACTGTCTTCATCTAGATCCTCAAAGGTCTTGGTTCTAAGACTCTCAACATAGTTCGTAATCATCATGGTAGGGGTGACGGTATCCTCGTTGAACCAAACCATACCGCAACGACTGACGGTGGCAAGAGTGGCATACTTCAGGCTCTCGACTTCGAACATGATGCGAACATTTGAAGGCAAGTTGAGACGTTCTCCGTTGGGCAGAGTCAGCAGTTTGTTGTCATCAAGGACACTGTTCAAGTTCTCAACCCATTCGGGGTCAACGTCACCGTCAAAGACGATCCAGTGACGTTTGCTGTCCTCACCACGGAGGTTGTCCACGATCTTTCTCAGGATGCCAGTGAAGAGACCGTCAGTCCATTCACGGGTAGTGCTGTCGAGGTTACCATAAAGAGCCTCCTTGGACATCACCTTGGAATCAATGATGTGAGAAACGCCTTCAACACCTTCAATGCGTTGCATTGCTTGCAGAAGAATCTTCCAGGCGGCTGATTTACCAGACCCAGACTTCCCCACCATCATAACACCATGGTGAATAGTTTGGATCTGGTAAAGCTGCAGAGCCTTCGTGATCCACATATCGCTGTCAACGAAATGCTGCTCGTGAGCAATATCACGGATAGCCTGGGTGAGTTTCTCAAAGTTGGCCGGCACGTAATCCACGCCAGGGAAGTCCTCCACCTGGATATCCAGCATTGTTTCAACATCCTCCTGAACCAGCTTGGGGGCGATGGTTTCACGCAGACTCTGAACGATGATTTGAGGTTCAATCACATCATCAGGGCCTAGCTCTCCTGCGGCACTCGCAAGACGAGTACGCTTGAGGCCACCAGAGGAAACAAGCACACTCTTCAATGCACGAAGACCAAAGTCGTAGTGTGCTTGCTTGGTGAGGCGTGAGGCACAGTGGTCGAAGAAGGGAACGGTCTGCTTGGACAAGGGCTTGGCTTGCTTGAAACCCTGGGAGAAGAGCATAACTTCCGCAATGAGTTCTTTGTCTGGCTTGGACATGGCAACGCTGCGGAACAGCTTCTTCAAGTTGTCTGGCAAGTTTGAACGGCCAGCATAGCCAGGGTTCATTGTGATGAAGATACCAGTGTTGGCATTCACAGCAAGACGTCTGCCAACAAGCTCAATTTGAGACTTGCTTTCGTCTCCACCGTTCTTCAGACCAATCTGGATGTTCTGAATCTGCTGAGAAACAGCCGAGAGGATACGTTCCTCCAGACGGTTGAACTCGTCGAAACAACCCCACGCACCCACTTGGCAGATACCGAGGAAAATACGACCCATGGCCTGGAAATCGAAGGTGTCGTCACAACAGAAAACAAGAGTGAAACGACCAAGTTGCAGACCAAGTGCTTTAACAGACTCCGTCTTACCAGTACCAGCAGGACCATAGGGAGAACCACCTAGTCGCTGGCAAAGAGCTTGGGTAAGGGTGAGGAAGCAACGATCTGTAAGGGGAGTCCGTACGAGACGCTCAGGCACACCCAGGTACTCGAATCCATAGTTGAGCTTTGCGTTGGCCATGTGTACATACAAGCGCTGCAGGAAGTCACCCTCGGCTTGGTAAACATAACGCATCTGAAGGAGCCACAGGTAGTGCGTAGGTGTTGAAGCATTAAGATTGACCAGCTTCGAGATGCAGTCACGTTGGTGAACGAATTCTGTGATCATATGCTCACACTTCTTACGGGTAATCGTGTCAAGTTCACCAAGCACAGTGGCAGCAAGGAGTTCCAGGATTCGAACTTCGGCATCGTACAGCGCCGGGAGGCTAGCACCGCCTTCCTCCAAGGCTTTCTGCACGGAGTTGGTCCATACAACTTGGCTGGCAAGAACCACAATTTGGGCAGGGTAGTTGGCCAGGAAATCGCTGAAAGCAGTTCGGTCAACCTCAGTAGCGTTGTAAAGAGTATCGAACTGCTCGACAGCCTCGGCAAGAAGCTCTGCCAGAGTCAATTTCATGTTGTTCTCTAGCGCAGAGAGCCAGTCATTGATTCTGGGGGTCTTGACAAGGTTGACCTCCTTCTTGAGGCGAACCTCTTCGCCCTCCTTGGAAGTGAATCCAACGATGTTGTTATCGTCATCCATAACAAGGCCTGACAAACCAGCGAACATCTTCTTGAAATGCTTGGCGACGCGGAAGATGTCGTTGCTGTTACCAATGATCTCTAACAAATCCTCATCTCCAACGAAGTAGAAACGAGGGAAGGAGACACGCTCGCGCTCCAGGTATTCACCGAGAGCCTTTTGAATCTTGTTGAGCAATTCAGCTAGTCTCTCCAAGGACTTCTGTACGCCAGTGATGGCAAGCACATCCAAAACAAAGGAGGACTTGTATACTTTCTTCATGACAGCAAAGAATTCGGAGTTGATGTTTTGAAACCGGCTAGACTCCAGAGGGAGGAGATGCTTGATATCAGCGTTTCCGGTGAAGACACCTTCGAGGTAGACCCATTGGCGCTGGACATCAATCCAAACGTCAAAGAGAACATGGACTCGGTTCAACTTGTCTTCCCAAGAGGTAGCTTCTTCCTCGAATTCCTTGTAGTATGGGGAGTGACGCATGGCTTGAAGGGAGTTGAGGTTCTCACTGCACTTGGCAAACAAATCGTCGAAGCCTCGGATGAGACGGCATTTGTTCTGGTAGTTGACCAGGTCAAGAGAGTAGTTCTGCCAAGTCTCACGAACAGACTTGAGGAACTCTTCCAGTGCCATCTCACCCTGGGCCTGTGCGATGATGTTGCGAATGACAGTCTCGCTTGTAGTGAGCTGCAAGTCCCAAACATCACCAAGGGTCAATGAGACGAGAGAGAAACGCTTTCCGGGCTTGAGAGTCTTGTAGATCTTCTGCCAGTGACGTTCCTTGACAGCCTCGGACTTCATGTCGGAGAGAAGAGTATTGACCTTCAGTAATCCACGAAGAACATTCTGGATATGCTCAAAAGCGGCATACTGTCTCATCCGACTGGGCATCTCCTTGGTCAATTTGATCAAGTTGTCAAGGGCTTGGCGGAGCTTCCTGGGTTGCACGCTAGTCCACAGTCCGTCGCGAAGATCATTTAAGTTCTGCCAAATGGTTGACAGGGCACCCCAAACAGAGGTGAAATCCTGGACCTCTTCGAGAATTGGAGGCAAAGATGACTCGGCACTGGCGGGCAAGTCCAACGCTTCCTTGGCCTTGGAAACCATCTCAAACTCTAATTGGAGGGCTTCAAGGCGAGACTGGAAAGTCTTCAGAGTCTGGGATGCTTCCTCTGGTGGGATAGTTCCAGAGACAGGCTTCTCATCATTCCACTGGGAAATAACCTCGGCGATCTTGTCGCTGATGACTCGGTCTTCAGCGGTGATCTTTGCACGCAGGCCTTCGGTTTGATCATGGACGATCTTGCTCTTGCGAGTCAGTAACTCATTGAGAGCTGCCCATTCGCCATCGACATTCTCAACATGTAGCCAGTCACTGGGGAATTGGTAACGTTGGCGGGAGAGTGTAGTTTGACCTTGGCGGAACAAATCAACCTCAGGCTCCCAGACACGAGTTCTGCGCTTGCACTGCTGGACAATGGTGATGAAGGAAACAGCGTGCGCGGTCGAAGAGGCTTCCAGGGTCTGGCCCTCCAGATCGCGACGTGCAGCAGCAATCTCGGAATGGACCTCTCTCATACGACCGCCGAGCTTGGCGCCGAACTTGAGAAGGATTTCGTGCTGCCACTGGTCGTATTTAGCATTTACCTTGGTCTGGACTTGCTCGTAGTCGATTCGGATGTTGCCGAAGGAGCGGCCGACCTCAGAGGTATCAAAGGTGGCACGACTCTTTCTGATCTCCTGGAGTAATTGGAGCCATTGAGATAGATCATCACCCAAGATGTCGTAGACCTGCTCAGACCGCAGATCCCAAAGTGACTGGAACTGCAGCCACTTGTCGACATACTCGGACACTTCCTTTAGTCTGCTCTCTACAACACCGTAAACTTGGTTGAGCTCATCGGTACAGTGTTGGGGGAGGTTGGCAAAGCAGACTTCAGAGAGGCGAACATTCTTTTGCACACCAATGGAGATCTGGTAACGCGAAGGCTTAATCTTCTCTAGGTTGCAAATCACACCAAGCCATGTGTCAAAGTGAGAGAACCAGCTTGCCCGTGCGAATTGCAGTGGTGGGTCTAGGTGGAGGACTTGGTTCTTCATAGAAATCTCGTGGAAAAGATTGGGGAACTGAATGTTGTAGGCCATGGTCTCGCCATCAGCCGTCGCCGCAACTGTAGAGGTAGACGATTCGATCTTGCTTTCATGAAAGGCGCCAATCCACTCACGCACAGCGCGGTGAAGCCGCTCCCGTAGAATTGTTTCGATCTTTCCGTTAAGCTCAGCAACCCAGTACCCGAGGTTGACATAGTTTTCAAGGTTGAGCTTATCAACAGCAACCTGGATAGTGTCGAGGCGCTGCTTGAAGGCAGTAGCATCGTAAGCGCAGGTCTTAAGTTCGTGGATGGATTTCTGGATGTTCTCGTTGATGGCCGAAAGCACGGCAGTCTTGGACTGAAGCACGGACGCCGAGCCTGCAAACTCGCGGACAAATTGAACGTGCTTACTCTCGGTGCGACTAGGCATGGAAGTATCGATGGCACCGTTTGCCAATGCCGATTGCTTGACGTGCAGTTCATATGAGTGCACAAAGGACTCCCACCGGAGAGGAATACCCTTGGCAACCATTGCCTGCGAATCGTTCAGATAGCCATTGAGCAGGATAGCGACGTCTGACATGGAGGCAATTGTGCGGTTTGTCTGTAGCAGAGTCCGGACACTCTCCATTAAGCTAATGGCGTAAGGGTAGACACGCTTGGCCTCCTTGGAGATGTTGCTGACAGCATGAGGAACCTGGAAGTTGAGCCAAATCAAATTGCGAACTTCCTTGAAGAGGGCGATGATCTGTGCGTCAAAATTGACTGTGAGCTCCAGCGTGTTTCCTGCCGCGCGGTTGCGCACGACACTGAACAGTCGTCCAGAGATCGTGATATGGCGCCGCTGAACATCCCATAGCCACGACTCAAAAACCGGCCGTGTGTCGAGCTTCTTGCGGAAGAGGTTGCTCTCAGCCTGCAGCTTTTGTCCCTCGGTATGCAGATGCCAATCTTCACCAAGAACATTTTCCACCTTGCGCATATACCCATCAAGCTGTCGTTCAATTTGACGGGTCCAAATAATCGCACCAGACACAGGCGGAAGGTCACGCAGTTGAGCCATGGCATGAGCTTCCGAATGGCCATACTGTTGCTTGAAACGCTCGTGGAGAGCGCTGATGTCTCGCTTGACATTGTCGATCAACTGTGTTTGATACTCGCCGATGGCACCACGAATCTTGGGGCGGACAAGCAGTGCATTGAACTTAGAGAAAACACGGAACATCTCATTGGCGTTCTTGGCTGTAGCGAGACGGTCACGCAGGCGGGCAATGATGGAATTTTCCACACGAGAGGTGCGCTCGCTATACGCAATTTCCTGACGTTCCCATTCTAGAGATCCCTCGGGGGTAACATCGAGCACGTCCACGCTTTGGAGAGCAGCATAGGCATGCGCAACTTCCTCTACGGCGTCGACATCGCCAATCTCCTCCACGATGACAGCTCCGTCACCTTCGACAGTCCCAGTATCGGCGGACGAAGAGCTCTTTGGTCCGAGAACATTGATGATTGTTTTTTGGAGCTGTTCATGGTTGACTCGGAAGGTGTCAACATACTTGAGTCGCTCACGGGTCTTGTCGTGTCTGGCGTTGATCTTGATTGGAATGAACTTTTCGTTGCGGCGTCTTGTTGATTCACGAGCAACATTGGTAAATTCCTTGAGGTTCTCGTCCCAGGTACGCCAGATCGCTTGAGTCACCTTCATCAACGACCGGAATTCGCGGTAGTCCAACTGTAAAATAGTGTTTCCTTTGATAAGCTCGTGAATTTTCTTGTCAAGGTCTCCGGAAATGGCCTCAACGAGGGAGAGGGCACGCTTAATCGGGTAAGGGCAAATCTTCAATTTCTTGTTCAGGTGAGTGAAGATCAAGTTCAGAGACTCTTGGACTTTCTGCAGCGACGTCGCAGAAAGAAGCTCATCGAGAGGGAAATCCCGCATCAACTGGTTGTACTTCTGGACCAATTCGGTGGCATCTTTCAGCCCAGTGTCCGCCACGAAACTGAGAGTCGGTTGGTACCGCTTCGCATGACGAAGAATGTCCATGGTCAATCGTACACCGTCACTTTGCAGCTGAGTGTCGATACCTTCCAAAGCGGTCTCCATCGACAACCAAAAGTTGACCTCCGGAGATGCTGACTCGCTGTTCGGGTCGCGGGACATTTTGGTAATAGTCTGGATCGACCGAATCCAGCCATTCACCACATTTTGGATGCTATTAGTGAAAGCACTGCTCTCCAGTACCGTCGAGGGAATCAACTCCACAGATGGCTTGATTCCGCGTGTTTCTGCCTCCTTGAGAGCACCCTGTACAACTTCGTGAAGCGGCAGGCTCAATGCTGGAATCTCCACATTCTGCTGCAAGTGCATCAAACCAAGCTCCAAGTCCGCGAACTTCTTCTTCGTTCCTGGAATACCGGTTTTCGCCTCCGTATCCGTCTTCGATTTCGTGCCGCCGGTCGTCTCCTGGCTGCGGGTATAGGCTTCGAAGTAGGGACTGAGACCGTGGTGTAACAGCAGGTGTAGGATTTGGTAGGGCGACATGGAGTTTCCCTGCTGGCTAGGGGCATTGTTCAGCGAAGCGAGACCGGGCAAGTTCATGACCTGAACTTGCGACGCCATCGGAAGAGTCGGGTCGATAGGAGCGGGCCGTTTGATTATAGCTACCGAGGCCACGGTGGTAGAAGCGGATGAGATCTCGGAGGAAAGGCTGTAGAGGTATTGCACAGCTGTTTCTTCAATTGTCAGAGCCACATCGATGGCTGCACACTTGGAGGGCACTTACCCTGGTTCTCCGTCTCGCCATTAGCTTCCTCCGCCGCAACAATATCCTTTTGTACATAGAGCGCGACTTGCGACTCCGAAGCAAATCGCGTGCAGCGTTGTACCGTCTCGTTGTATCTCGATTCCGAGAGCAAGCTCCCAGCGCTTTCCAACTCGGACTTCTGAGCTCCCAGTGTTACCTGAAGTACCTCGGTCAGGTACTGAATGACTGCGCCGGAGTCCACCATAGCAGCCGTCTCTGGCGTTGAAACACCATTTGGCACACCTGGTGTGGCGACCTCCATATTCACAAGATTATTATGACAGCGACGTGCTCATCGGTGGTCGGGGAGGAAAGGAGTGCAGATTTGTTCGGAAATATTGGCGGAGATCGCGTCGGGAATCGGGCCGCCAAATGGGGGTAGAGAAACACAGCAAAAGCAGAAAGGAAGGAAGGAATCTAGATTAATAACAAAAATGAAGAAAGCAAAGATCAAATGTCCCCACTGCCGTTGTGTATGAGATTCGAGATAAAGAAACGCGGCGTGTTTGCTCTACTTCAGGGGATATACACTAGGCCTCATTAGGCTTAGCGTGACACGACCTATGTGCCAACTCATCCATGGCTCTGGTTCCTGAACCGATCCGAAGTATACAGTTGAGTCTCTTTGATATCCTCGAATCTAGCTTCCTTGGTCTTCGAGCTTATGGCTCAAAGTCACTTCCAAACATGTATGCTGAGGAACACGTGCATTAAGTGAAATTGAAAGAAAGATGTACTCCGTGTTACCACACTGCAAGATATATATTTCAACCGAACCACTGATGTTTTTTCCAAATTCATGGTTTGCTGCATAAAAACCACAACTGAACTAGAGTAAACTCAAAAAACCATTCCACCCTTTAATTTCCTCCCCAATCGTTCCCTCATACAGCAGTCCCGATATCCACAGCTTGGACTATCTCCTCATCATCCTTGCAATCACATTCGTACTTGGCCCGGAATTCAATTCGCGTCATGGCCTCAAGAGCCTCCAAGGCCTTCGAGCTGGCTTTGATTTTCGCATATCGACTGGATGTTGCAGCAGCTTTCGCAACAGCCTCACCGTGCACCATGACTATGGCAAGAATGGTAGGAGGCTCTCCATCTACGCCTGGAATCTCTCCAGACTTCAAGCAATAGCTATTGCATCGGAATTCCTGCCCAATCATAGCATGTAGGTAGGTCTACCAGGATACTTCAGTAGATGAAACTGATATTGGGGTGGACAAGGGAGATATTTACCGTCGGGTGCCTGTTTGCAAATGTATCATAGATCGACATATCGCTGAAGAAAGGCAGGACGTGCATTTCAAAGAATTTCTCAACCACTGTCAAGTCAAATCCTGAATCAACGAAGATAGCCCCAACATAGGCTTCGACCATATCGGGGAGAGCCTATAAAGCAACTTGGTTAGCTCTGCACATCATGAGTTCCCTAAAAGTGAGATACACTACCTTCGGAGAATCTGGCGCCGAGACCCAATAATCCATTTCTCCGTTACTCTCGCTCTCTGCAATTTGAAGGGCATCCGCATATCTGGTGGTTTGAGAGAGCAAAGGTGCACTAGCGTGTTGAAGGGATGGATGAAGATTCAACTTCACAGCCAAGGCTCCGAGGAACTTGTTCGAAACCATTGCCATCTGTTCAGCATTAGTCATAGCCATTTAAATAGGAGCCAACCCAAACAAACCTTGTGCTCAGTCAACCATTGCGGATCACGGGTTGGAAAGCGATGGAACAAGTGTTCCACGCACACCAAATCGAACAGTGCATCGCCCAAGAACTCGAGTCGTTGGTAACAAGGAACCTGTGCCCATGACGACGGAACAGACGGGTGCATGAAGGCAGACCGTAGAAGACGGGGGTATTTGAAGTTGTAACCCAGCCTCTCGATCTGCCGGGCGAGGTCAAGATCAACTGCATCTGGCCTGGAGATCTGATATGATGGAAGTTTGTAGGATTTGATGTAGTCCTCCCACCTCATCGCCGTGTGGCTCGAGTGATTAGCAAATAATGTGACGGCCTTGATAGACATGTCGAAACGATTATCGCTGCCCCCTGAAAGCAAAGAGGCACCTATCAATGCCTCGCAGACATCTGCCATGGTCTTCTCAGACAGCACATGCCTTCCTTCGCTTTCAATGAACTTGGCGTGGTCTCGGCCATATTCAAGAACAAGGCCTGGTGGGTACCACATGTGTCTATAGTCGAGTTTTAGTTCTATGCGATTCATCTCACTTGAAGAAGTAGACAACGTACCGAGAGAAACCACGACTACGAATCCATTCATAAACCTTCTTTTGGGTTGCAGTGGCGAACAAATTCTTGTTGCAGATAAGACACATTCTGTTGACGTGATAGTCGTATTCATTGTCATCGGGATTTTGAGCGAAAAGCGAAATCGACGTGGCCATCTTGAGAACTGAATCGCCCAGCAACTCAAGACGTTCGTAATTCTTTCCCATTCCTCGCTGGATGTGAATCTGTAGACCTCGGTGTTCTTCTGTATTGTCAGAATCCTTGGTGAAAGCTTCCAATGCATACTCAGACTTGATATCAAGACCTAGCATCTGGCATCCTTCTTGGACAATCAAGCAAGACTCAATCCGGCTAATAATTGCTGGAAATATGAGACAAGTTGTGGCCACAGGCAATGGAATCTTTCATATGTTGTTAGAGTCACTAGCCTGAAAAAGCTTTTTTGTTATGAAGATGGCCTACCGCAGAAATGCGCAATGGCTGAGGACAAATAACGGCCTCTACGTTGACGGATCTCTCTTCCTCGCTTGCCTTTTCTAGGAAGTTTCTCCGGAGACAAACGGTCTCTGCCTGTAAGACAGGCTGGTCCCAGATGCATTGTTCAAAGAACTTGGGGCGTGAGTTCTTGCTCAAACTCAAAGTCCAATTCATGATGTCTTTCATCCACTTTCGACCTGGGACATATGAGGGTACTGGATCTGTAGGTGAGAGTGTTTGATCAATAGAAATTGGAAGGTACCGATACTTTCCATTCCAGTTGTCGTATATGAACCGACTCAAAAGAGATTCCGGCTTCATGTCCGGGGACCACAGGCGATTTTGATTGTCGCTGGCGTACTTCAGAGCCCCCCAGTCAATAATATCAGAGATACTTAAAGAATTTGTTGGTCGGATTTTCTCTTGAGCCGGCGCTATCCAGTAAGGAAACCGCTCTGGCTCACGAGTATAGGTCTTGTGAAACAAATCATGGAAGACTGAAAGAGTAAACACAGTTAAGAGATCTACTTCCGCGGGGGAAACATTTAGTAAGCCTTCAGTGCCTGTCAAGTTTACTGTGGTCTCAATATCAAATTCCAAAAAAACTGGAAATGCCGGCATAAATGGAAGTCTCTCCCGGGTCAACAACACAATGCTTCCATGGTCTCGAGTGAGCGGCGTAGAGGATGCAATGCTAATAAATGTTGCGAAAAGACATTTTGGGATTGTGCCTTGATTTCTGGTCCAGACCGATGGCTTGGTACGCATGGCATACTTATAGGTCTTCTTGGCCGTGAGGGCCAACTTGGCATTTCGCATAGCCGGTAGACGCTTGTGGTAGACAGAGTTGAAGTGATCATCCAACAAGTGATTCCTTCGAAGCAGCAAACAAAGGTCAAAGGCAGCCGCCTGCTTAGCCAGTGATTTCTTGCTCTCGGGATTCCCTAACACTCCTCGAATTGGGGATTTCTCCGGAAGGATCACCTCGCAGCTGAACTTTTCATTCTGCGCTGCAACGATATAAGTGGCCTGGGCTGATAGCTCTTTCTCATATTGCTACAAGTTTGCAGCTGTTAGTTTAAGGTCATACAGTCAGCACTTTGGTATTATTCTCTTTTCACTCACCAATGAGCTGGCAAATCGACCCAGAACATCGATTGCATGGCGATATGTCAATTTAGCACCCGTTTCATGGATGGTGTAGGTTCTGTTGAGATGCGCTTCTCGGAGGACCTCGTCCAGATCATGTTCGGTTCCCTTTAACAACCGATCTTTTGGAAGCACATTGCAAAATTTTCTCATGAGAGCCTTTTGTTTTGATGTCAGCCAAGCCCTTTATCATGAGAATTGTACATACCTCCGCCTTTCGAACTTCTTGCTGCCTGCGCTCATGACTCTCGTTCCCAGCTTCGATCATGGTTGCGTACTGGAAATCAAGTCAGTAATGCAAATCAGGGACACAATGTCCAAAAACTAACGATTGAATCACTGTGTCTTGCCCGTCCACGGCTTTGGACATATTGGATGACTGTATTGTAGAGATCAAATCTTTCATCTGTCAGCTCAAGATTTCCAATTAAAATGACACAATAACTGACCTCACGACTAGATTGCAGTCCGGGATATCGAGGCCTTCTTCAGCGACTGAGGTTGCAAACTAGAAAATCAGCCACTGTCTCATTTTTGTGCCTGTATAGTAACTCACCAAGCAATTCAACCCTCCTTGTCGGAATTTGATCAAAGTCAGGAATTGGATACGGAAAGTAGAGTTCATGCCCACGGTATCTTCCTTTCGAACTCCGACCAGGACGTCAGGACGAAGGTTTGGAATTTGCAACCTTTTACACAGCTGTAACAAGATCTTGGCCGTGTTGCGTCGCTGCACGAACACAATGCACTTTGTCTCGGGTGCCCGTTTAAATTGCTCTTCCAACTTCTTCACTAGTAGTTGAACTTTCGAGCTGAGGTCTCCAGGTTCACTGGATTGATTTGCCATGTAGGCCTTGACAAACTCATTGGCATCTTGAATCTCTTTGATCTCTTTGGATGCCTGATTTGATGTTTCAAAGTTGACATCGGCGTTCTTTGCGATTTGGCCCTCAAGCTTGGGAAGCATTTCCGTTGCCAGCGCCAGAGGCCATACCTTGTCTGCACACCACCCTCCAAGCTCCGAGCTTGCATGCAATGCAAATTGGAAAAGGTTTCCCAGAATTGAAAGGTGCCCGAACTTAACTTTGAGTGCGCCATGTAGTTCAGTTTCAGAGGGCGAATGAAGTACTTGGTAAACCCATTCCTCCTCCTTTGGTCGGCTCACGAAGTGTCGCAGGAGGGAGAGATCTGCAGTGGTTGCGATTCGGCTGTCCAAAAGCGTCTCGAGTTTTCTATAGGATGTAAGTCAAGTGTACAATCACACCTTGCATTTTTCTTACGTTGCTGCCTCTGCTATGTCACATTTGGCATCCACTGGTGAGGCTGTCATTCCGAGTATTCGTGGGCGTTTTTCGACTTCCATACTCAAGTATGCTTCGCGGATAATCCTAAAAATTAGTGAGTAAGTATATCTGAGGTGATAATAGCAACCAAAAAGTCACCTGGCGTAGGGATGTTCCTTCTTGGCATGATGTGCTTCGTCAAAGATCAAAAGATTGATCTGGTCCATCCTGATGTGCCCATTCAGTAGAGCCTGATTGAGAATCTCCGCAGTGCACACTATGACCATATAGGTCTCGAGGTATTTTTTCCAGGTCACCTTGTCCCACAAATCAGCCCCCAAATCACCAAAGAAGTGAGCAACTTTCTGGTCAATGTTGTTGCGGAGGACGGCCGATTGTTGGAATACCAGAGTGACGCTATCAACGAGAAAGAAAGAGACTCGGTGCTGAGCCCCATTCCCACGGCCCATAAGTTCATTTTGGATAATGTGCTTTAATAAAAGCACCGCAATGAGCGTTTTGCCCGAGCCTGAATAGATTGGTTAGCTCACCCATATACCACCTAGAGCAAGAAAGAAGTCATACCAGTATCCAGAACAGCGATTGTATTTTGAGCTTTTGCTCTTTCAAAGAGCTCAATTTGGTACTCGCGGGGATCGAGAGCCGCGCCTCCGCCTTGCTTTGCCAGTAACCGTGCCGTGGAAAGCTCAGCATCTGAGATGGTTCGGGGTCGTTCTTCTGGTTGAACCAAATCGCTCAGCACATGCTGAGCGAGGCTTTTGTGAAGTTAACCTGGAGCCAGAAGTCAAGATATACTTCAGAAAGATCAACACTAACAGGGTAGAAAACATGACATTTTGCGCACGCCGCTGCGCCGTCGCCGTAATTTGAGGTGCCACCTCCTCATCAGAGGAGGCGCTGTCTTCCTCTTCCTCTTCAAGCTTCATATCTTGTACTATACTGAAGTGTTGATGAAAGAAGGAAGAGTTGGTTAGTAGAATTGTAAGATAATGTGAGAGAAAGGCGCCGTTTGAAGTGTAGAGTAACTGCGGTTCATCTTTTTGATTTCACCTTAACTGTATGAATAAGAACTAGACTGAAGCACAATAGATATGGTTTCAATGTGAAGTATTCAACCGTAATGGATTATTTGTGTCTATAATTATATTGAGATCAAAGTGAAGCTGAAAAAAATGCATACTTCGAATACACATTGAGAGACGACAATGATATTTTAGAAGTGATCCAAGCAACCTGCGCAAAGCCAAAGAAATTAATCAAACTAAAAATACAACCAAGCAGGTTCCTCAATACTTGTAAGTAATCCACACGCATCAATCGCAAGACGAACAAGAGAGAAGACGTTCATACTTCGAGCTAGACTTTATCGATAAGCTTATCTCTTATCAGCCTCCCCAAAACTCAGATCGCGGGGGCACGACCCTGCCAACTTTCAACTTCTGCATATTTCAAAGGATGGAGGAACCACAAAGCCTGCGGTCTCTGTTTGCATCAGCAAAGGAGCAGAAAGACAAACTAGGATCGCGGGGCGATACCAACACCGAAGCCTATCGAGATGACGTGAACGCGACGATCGCCAAATTCCAAGAATGCCAGCGCCAAATCAGCATGCTGTCTTTGTTCAGCTCTAACGAGTCACTTGAAGATGTATCAACCAATGATATTCAGTATGTCATCTGAGATAGGCAGAAACGAATCCATTTGACTGATATTGGTGTCCAGATACATGTCACTGGAATACTTTCTCGCCGAACTCATGCAGCGAGCTGCCACTTCAGACCGCGAAGCCTCCCTGAAACGCGCATTGGAACAATATGAGAAATTCCTCGGACGCTTGGACGAATATGAATTACTCTCAGGTGGAGATAAGAAGCTCTTTGAGCAGTACATGGCCAACCCGTCATCATGGACCCTGGCTCCGGCCAACGATGCCGCAGCTCGACGAGAGATCAAGGTTATACGGTTTAGAGAAGAGAAAGAATTGAAACAGAAGTTGGAGGTTTGTTCTCAATTCTGAGCTTTGTGACTCTTAGCGTCTTGCTTACCTTTGTTAAAGTACCTCGCTCGCAACGAAGCACGACTGCAAAGTGACGACGACGACACCCGATCTCTCTACCTCGCCGAGGTCCAGCTCTATACACACCAGACATTCCAAGCTTTGGATCTGCTGATGCAGGAGTTGTCGATACTGTCAGCCATGCGCAATGCCCCGCCCGCTCCACCGCAAGCCGACGACCCACGCCAGCGGAGCAATATTGGAGGATTAAATTATTCAGACCGTTTAGATCCTTCAATGTCTCAATTGTTAGGAAAGGGAAGAGGTGGACCAATTCTGAACAACAAAGGAATCCCTATGCAGCCATTTACGTTGCTAGGCCGGCGCGCGGAAATGCAGCAGGGTGTGTTCCGCTCCGGTCATAACCTTCCTACTATGACCATTGATGAGTATCTTGAGGAGGAGCATAGAAGAGGAAATGTTATTGAGGGAGGTGGAGAGGCATCCGGTATTAAGCCTGAAGTTGATGAGGATGATCATGCCATTGCCGACCAGGAAACTATGAAGGCTAGGTATTGGGATGAATATACCGAGGCCAATCCCAAGGGAGCTGGTAACACGTTGAACCGGGGTTAAGTGGGTTAAGTACTTATTATGAAGCAAAATCTACGACAGACCGTGTTTCTAGCGGATTTTTTATGATATTTACCGAGATGCAGACCGTGACTATAACAGAAATCCACTGTGGCAGGCATATGCGAGACTAGAAAACTCGCTAACTTCATTTCCAGGGTATCTGCCTAGTTACTTTTTGAGTCTATCTAACCATTCAGGTCGAAGCCGAGACATTCTGCTTGTTCTTGTTCTCCTGGATAGCTTCAAGGATAGCTCCGGCACCATCAGCGACCAAAGCCTTGGCCACAGTGACACCAAAGGCCTCGGCGCTTTCAGCGGAGTCGACATCGCCATCGATCTCTACCTCAGCGCACTCCCTACCATCCACACTGACAACAACAGAGCGCATGCGTAGCTTCTTAGAGCCAGCAACCTCAATCCATTCAGTCTCAACTCCCAATGGAGCACTGCAACCACCCTCGAGGGTGCGCAAAAGACTCCGCTCAGCCAGAATAGAGTAGGTAGTATCCTGGTGGCAGATCTTATCCAGCATCTCGCCGAGAATGGTATCGTCCTTGCGGATCTCAATACCTAAGGCACCCTGCCCGACGGCATAGAGCATGCCACTGTTCTGGGAGTCGAGGTATTGTGTAATGCGATCTGACAGATCAAGACGCAGCAGACCAGCAGCGGCTAGAATGATACAGGTGTAGGGGCTATCCTCGGCGTCCAGCTTTGACAGGCGGGTACCGATATTTCCACGGACATCCTGGACCTTGAGGTGGGGGTATTTGCGGGCCAATTGGGCTGTGCGGCGGATGGAAGAAGTTCCAATGACTGAGCCGGCGGGGATTTCAGATAGACTTTTGTATGGTAGGCCTCGCTTCACGACTAGGACGTCTCTGCTGTCTTCGCGGGGCATGGTCGGGCCCAGCTTGCAGGTGGAGGGGAGGAGGGTGGGGACATCTGAAGATTCCAGCAGCGTTAGTATTCACAAGCTCAACATGGGCTTTCTATTATAGGTTGTCGTACCTTTCAGGGAGTGGACAATCAGATCGACTGCCCCGCCGATCATCAATTCTTCCAATTCTTCTGTCCACAAGTTCTTGCTGGTAAAGTCTTTCAGCGCAATGGTGGTGTTCAGATCACCGGCGGTCTCCTTGGAGAGAATCTTATATTCATATTGAGGGAAGGCCTTCTTCAGGGCCGCGAGGACTAGATCTGTTTGGAGCAGGGCCAATTTTGATTGGCGGGTGCCGATGGTGAAGGTCTTGGGGGCGGGGGCGGCCATTGTGAGGAGCAGGAGTGTTATCACCTGGACATTGACCAAAGTACGCAGACGTAAGCGAAGGCAAGTGAAACAATAGAAGTTGCTAGGATCGAACAGCCGAGGAAATGTCGCGGGAGGCAAAAGTGGGCACCGAGAGGAACTCCGATCACGGGACACGTGAATATCAGGCAATGGAAACTGGCGCAATGCAAGATAATCAGACAAAAAAACAAAAACAAATGGAGATATAGAGATACAAAGTAAGCATAAAGTACCTTAATATAAACACAATGAGATAAGTTTCTCTAATCAGATCTTGATCTGCAGACTGACGTATACAACCTCGGCCCCGGGACGTGGAGACTGAGAGACATGCGACTCTCCTCTTATCTGCCCCGGACTTGCCCATCTTCGCGCTTCTGGAACCTCCTCTTTATAACCTCCCCGCATCCCCACCCCAATTCTTCCCCTTCTCTTCTCTCTTCTCTCTGATCTCTTACATCTCTAACTACTTACTGGATCCCCGTCTTTGCCCACTCCATCCTGGTACAAGATGGGATCCAACTCAAGAACCATCAAGCTACCTCTCGTTCCTCTCGCCAAGGGCTCGGTCCTTTTGCCCGGAGTGACTCTCCGCATTCCTGTCTCCAACCGCCCCGATCTCGCCAACCTCCTGTCCTCATTGGTGGACAAGCCATCGAAACGAGAAGCCAATAGCATCACCTTCGGATGTGTTCCGCTCAGCTCGCCGTTCCTAAGCCGTGATGGACAGCAGCTCCTCGAAGGCGAGGACTCTGATTCAGAGCGGAAGGAGGAATACGATTCTATTGATGCAGGCCAGGCGAGAAAGGAAGATCTCTTCCGATGCGGTGTGGTTGGCAAGGTCATCGGAGTTCAGCGCCGGGCTTACTCCGAGCCCTTCCTGCTCGTCCAGGGGTCACAACGATTCTCAATCAAGAGAATTATCCGAGACCGGCCATACTTTGAAGCAGATGTACTTCTTCATGATGAAAGCAGTAAGCGTGTTACCGACGGCTACGAGAATACGGCTAACTCTTCTGTCATTAGACTCGGGCCAAGGGGACGCGGAAGTCGCCGATCTGTTCCAACAATTGAGACAACTCTCCAGAGAGCTTCTCACTCTCTTGCGTCTATCGTCGCTGCTATCGGCTGCTTCGTCTCGCCTTTCACCGCTTGTTGCTCGGAAGTTTGAACTCTATATCTCAAAGACGGAATTGACGCAGGCAGGGAAGCTTGCGGATTTCATGGCCGATGTCTCTGATGCAAGTTTCGAGGAGAAGTTGCGTATCCTATCATCGTTGGATGTGAGAGAACGCCTGGAGAGAGTCGTTGGGATTCTTACCAGACAAGCCCAGCATATTAAGAGCAGTGTCAGAGTGACCTCAGTTAGCTCGACCTCATTCCCATCCTCGGGCATGGATATCAGTCAAATTGATCCCCGTGAGCGTGAATTGCTTGCAAAGCGAGCAATGTCGGGTCTCTCTGGTCTCACTCCCCCTGGGCCAGCCAGCGCGCGTGGCAACGATGAAGACAAGGAACCCAATGAGATTGATGAGTTGCAGCAGAAGTTGAAAGATGCAGAACTCAGCCCCGAGGCCCGAAAGATTGCCGACAAGGAATTGAAGCGTCTGCGTAAGATGAACCCTGCCAACGCCGAGTACGGTGTATGCCGGACCTACCTGGAGAATCTGTCTGAGATTCCATGGACCAAGGTGACAGAGGATCAGCTTGGACCTGACACATTGAAGCGGGCCAGGAAACAGCTCGACGAAGACCATTACGGCCTCGAGCGTATTAAGAAGAGATTGCTTGAATACCTGGCTGTGTTGCGGCTCAAACAGTCCAGCAACCAGGATGTTGAGCGCCAGATCTCAGGACTCTCTCGGGACCTAGATGCCTCGGCGGTTGGTGATGTTGAGAAAGATGTTCCTCTGCTGTCCGAGTCTGATCGGGCTGCGCTCGAGACCCGGCTTCAACTCCTCAAGTCCAAGCGTATGACTGACAAGTCTCCCATCCTGCTTCTGGTTGGACCTCCTGGCACCGGTAAGACCAGTCTTGCACGATCCGTTGCTGCGTCTCTTGGTCGCAAATTCCACCGTATCTCCCTCGGTGGTGTTCGCGACGAGGCTGAAATCCGTGGTCACCGGCGCACCTACGTTGCTGCCATGCCTGGCTTGGTTGTGAACGGTCTGAAGAAGGTTGGTGTTGCCAACCCTGTTATTCTCCTTGATGAAATCGACAAGGTTGGTGGCTCCAATTTTCAAGGTGACCCGTCTGCTGCCATGCTGGAGGTCTTGGATCCCGAGCAGAACCACACTTTCACCGATCACTACATCAACATCCCCATTGACCTGAGTAAGGTTCTTTTCCTTGCCACGGCTAACTCCCTGGATACCATCCCGGCTCCTCTGCTGGATCGTATGGAGACAATTTCTCTGTCCGGTTATACTACTGTCGAGAAGAGGCACATCGCCAAGCAGCACCTGATCCCTAAGCAGATTCGTTCGAATGGTCTCACCGAGGGCCAGGTCAATATGTCTGACGAAGTAATTGACAAGACCATCACTGCGTACACTCGCGAATCGGGTGTCCGCAACTTGGAGCGGGAGCTTGGCTCCATCTGCCGCCACAAGGCCGTTCAATATGCCGATGCCAACGATTCTGACCGTGTAGACGATTACAATCCTGTCGTTTCGCCAGAAGACCTGGAGGAAATCCTGGGAATTGAGCGTTTTGAGGAAGAGATTGCCGAGAAGCACGGCCGTCCCGGTGTCGTCACTGGTCTTGTCGCTTACTCCACTGGCGGTCAGGGCAGTATCCTCTTCATTGAGGTGGCTGACATGCCCGGTAGCGGACGTGTTCAGCTAACTGGTAAGCTGGGCGACGTGCTCAAGGAGTCTGTCGAGGTAGCTTTGACCTGGGTCAAGGCACACTCTTTCGAGCTGGGCCTCACCCACGACCCAAATGAGGATATCATGAAGAGCCGCAGCCTGCACGTCCACTGCCCTTCAGGTGCCATCCCCAAGGACGGACCTTCCGCTGGTCTCGCCCACACGGTTGCATTGATCTCCCTGTTCACCAACAAGCCCGTCCCCCCTCAGATCGCCATGACCGGCGAGGTCTCTCTGCGGGGTCGGGTCATGCCTGTCGGCGGTATCAAGGAGAAGCTCATCGGTGCTCACCGCGCCGGCGTCAAGACCGTTTTGCTGCCGGATCACAACCGCAAGGAAGTCAAGGAAGTTCCACAAGAGGTGAAAGAAGGGCTGGAAATCATCTATGTCAAGTAAGCTATCATCCTCTCTTCTATCTGAATCATCTTCTAACAATTGATTGCAGGCACATTTGGGAAGGACTGCGCACCATCTGGCCGGATGCCCAATGGCCCGGTCAGCACCACATGAACCTGCTCGAGAGCCGGCTGTAGGTTGTGCTCTCTATTAGTCCGGCGCATGTCTTTCATCTTGTCTAGCATATTTGATCTTCTATACTTTCGTTTTGCATAGCGTGATACTGGCTCCACGGCCACAGCAATGTACCTAATCGGCTTCTCTTTCGTGATGCGTTAATGCCTCTCAAGATTATTTCTGTCTATATTTCATTGAATATATCGCATCTCCACTTTAGCTCTGCAACCACTATCTACAAACCGCTAAAGTGCAGAAGGGGTCATAGGCTCGTATACAGTGTAAGTGGCAAAGTATTGAATATTTTCTACACGAAACCCCTCAAACCGAGCATATAGGTTCATACATTGATTTTGCCTTGCGTTGGCGGCTCTTTCTTTACCTCTTCTTTCGCCTCTGTTTTGCTCATTCTCAAGTGCCTTGGCTTCTAGTAATTTGGAGATGAGAGGTAAGTTTATCAGATAGCGGCGTCAAAGGGCTTACGACCGACCATTTTGTACATCGGATCTCTAGTATACTCTTGACCCTACACCCAGCTCCTCTAGACCACTACAGTCAAGAGCAAGACACAAGACACAACAGATAAGACGCCACAGTCAAAATGTATACAATCTACCCGAGTATAATACAAAGACCCAGCCAAAACAACAAAGGCCAGATCACAAGAGAAAAACACCAATGTCCCCACAAGACGGATGGAGAATAATGCAGAGAAAACAATCAAATCCAAGCCCATCTACCGCCTGCTACCGCGGCTCTTCCGGTGCGTGGTATACCACTCAGGCAACGAGTTGTTTTGAATGAACTCGCCAGTGTTCTTAACCTTGTCCAAGCCAAGTTTCTTCCAGGTCGGCTGCCACTCCGTTTCTTTTTCGAGGAGAGCCTTAGCCTGCTTGGCGTAGGCCTCGCGTAGTTCCGTGTCGGGTTCCTGGCCCTTGTTCGGCTTGGGCTGGTCCTTTTCTTGTTGGTCGATTTGCCATTTCTCGGCGGTTTCCCAGCCTTCCTTCTCCCATCTGTTGAAGAAATTGTGTTAGTGAGCAATCCTCATTGTGTTTGCGTCACACTTTTAGCAGGCACTGACTGCATAGGATCTCTCCGGAGACAGATGCCAAATACAGCAAAAAGTACAAAAAAGGAAGCAATAGAATAACAGGTGTTGAAACGTACGCGGTGAGATCCTTTGGCTCCTCAGGCCACACGAAAGGCTCACGCAGCTCGACGGTCATGCGCTTCTGCGACTTGGGCCGGCGCCATGGACCGTAACCCTTTCCATCGCGGGTGATACGTGTGATGGGTTGTTGCTGCACATAACTGCGGATACCGTGGACGCCAACGCCGTAGAGGTTCTGGAGGTAATCGCGGAGATCGAACTTGTTGAAGGCGAGGGGGACGCGGAATTGAGCGTAGTAAGGGGAGAGCTTCGGGGTGCGGATGAGAGCAATGCGGAATTGGGGACTGTTTGGAAGAAGCTATTAGCGGGTATTGTTGGTTGGTTGAATATGACCGTGCTCAATTGACACTTCTGGGTACTCTGGGTGCCTTTTGGGCATTCCGGTATCGATATGGGGATCCTTGGAGATTTTGGATGGACGTACAGGTAGACCGGCTTGCCCTTGGCGGGATGGTCGATTCTCGCGGGGCTGGCCTGCTCCTGGAGGAGCTTGGGGACGACCTTGCTCTTGAGCTTTTGTTTGAGATTGCTTAGGCGCACCATTGTGTTGGGGTTGAGCGATTGTCGTTGATGGTGTCTCCAGACTGCGCATCAAAACTGCGCTGGTCCGAGCTGGTCACGTGAGCACCAAGTATAAAGGTATCCACCTTCCCAGTTGGGAGAATAAACCACTTTTATCAACCAGTTAAGCAAAGGGTTTTCCATTTGTCGGGTGGATCTCTGCGCCTATCGTGTTGAAGAATACGGAAAGTATTGGCTGTGTGCTTATATCCGGCGTAGAGAGAGCCATTTGCGATCTTTCGTTATGTACGCTTCGGCTTGACTGGCTAAGTATGAACTGCCAGAAACAAATGTTTTTCTACGCCGCTGTTTGTGATACGAGGCCACTTACGATTAAAAGGGAGTAGGATGCACTTCCGAGACGCTCAGAGATGCCAGACATTCATTAAATGCCAATAGGAAAGTCCAAAACCTATATTACATGCTTGATTCATCGTAAATGGTCATTAAAAAGCCGGTCATTTTCCCTTTACTGCTCCGATGATCCCGAGACTCGAAGATCTTCTAACCGCTTGGTGCTGTCGTTGACATCTGCCGAATTCTTGTTCTCGGGAGTGTCATCATCCTCCTCGCCCTCCTCGCCCTCCTCCTCCTCCTCCTCGGATCCTGACTCTTCGTCATCATCTTCACCATCGCGACCTTCTCCATCACCGGTGGCTCCCACATCCTTCATGTAAGCTTCGAGCTCACGGGCCATCTTCCGCGAGAATCCTGAGGCTTCAACTTCGACATCCAGCCGCTTACCAGGGTTCTTGAGGAGCTTCTTTCTAGCATCGGCAAAAGAAGGACCTGGGATATCACTGACAAAATGGAACTTGCGCTTGAAGTACCGCTTGATACATTCCACATCACGGTCAAAGTACATCTCAGCGTTGGCATGGTCAACGGAGACCATCTGCGGGAAATCAATAAGAACTGGGACCAGCCGGAGATTCTCATCTTCATCTTCCTCGGTAACGGGAGCCTTGCCCTTCGCACTGGGGTCTTGCTCTTCCTTGATAAGAATGTTGAACTCGTTGAAATCACCGTGAATCAGACCAAACCGGGCAAGCTCCAGAATCATATCCATAAGCTCAGAGTATAGCGCAGCGGGTTCAGGCACTCTGGAAATCTGACGCAACGGGAAAGCATCAATCAAACTCATAACGATAGTGTGTCGATTCTGGGCAATGGGCTCGGGGACGGAGAATCCGTTTTCGCGTAGCGCCTTCATGAATGCAAATTCCTTCATGGCTGCCAATCTGGACATGTACATCCATGAGCTTGTGTGTCGGTGTCGTAGGTAGTCGCGGTTCGTCTTGACGGTTCGAAAAGAGATACGACCGAGACGGTGGATTTTGAGGATGCGTTGCGCTCCGCTGCTGTGAGCCACCACGATGATGTCGGATTCCTTTCCAACCCCGACTTGGTTGCCGACTGAGTAGACGACCTTTTGCTTCTGGTGCGCGTTCAATGCGAGATAATCCAGTCCTCCGTATGCGAGTCGGTATCCGTCATCTGCATCATGACAACCGGGTTAGCGCTGCCAGAATTGTGATATAGGTGGGTAGATCGTACATTTGGAATTCTTCACTTTGGCGATCAGGTTCGTCTTCGCAAGGTTCGAGATTGCGCGGTTGACACCGCTGCCACCTCGGAGGCCCGACAGTTGCGAGATCAACGGCGTGGGAACGACCTCGTGGTTGCGACTTCCGGCTTCAACCTAATAGCATCTTTTGCATTAGCACAGAACATATGCGCTTCGTCTATCAAGATAGACATCGCGGGGTACTCAAAAGAGGAGGGGCCGATAAGTACCGCCGCAAGAACTTTGAAATCCTCAGAAGTGAGGTAGCGAATGGCCTTGGCGTCGAGCTTCATTGTTGCGAGGAAGTAAAGAGGCTTTCTCTTTCCTTCCAATTTCCAGAAACTGATTCGCTGACTTGAACTTCGGGCCAGGTCAAATAGCTTCGATGAGGCGGAGGAAAAAAGTTGATAAGAGCCAAGCCCTAAGCCCTATTTCCTATCCGGGATGAGAACCTTGATAGCTCAGCATGCTAGATGCCTTTAAACGATGGTTTACTCGAGAATGAGTGTGCTATTTAGAGATTTGTCAAATAGACTGTAAGAATATGCAGTTTTATCAAGTAGTGCTACAAAGCCCTTGAAGGCCCTAAGATATGCCTGTCTACCATAGTTTGAACACTTTGTAGCATTTCAGACCGCCAAACCAATATACTTGTAAAACAAATCCATGCTATTGCTTATTGTTCTGAATACATTAGGGTCCTTCGATAACCCGATCACTATACGAGCCTCGCTGGCTGCGAGAAATTCATGTAAATCGGGCAATATCTAGTGTAGTTTATTCAGGGCTTTCCCAGTCCGGGTTCTAGAATATGTTAGTATTGTCGGATCTCAATAGCGTGATATGATTATGATCAAGACATACCTTGCGCAGAATAACCAATCCTTCGAGAGTGCTGCTCAGAGGAATGTATTGCTCATCCTCCAGCTCGGCTCTCTCACCGTGAGACAGAAGTACAGGCGTGCTCTGAGTCTGCCATCCGGTGATAGTCTTTGGGCGACCAGCCTGGCCGACCACATCCACAGCCTGACCAACGCGGACGTTGACGGTGAGAGGCTTCAGGTCCTCACCGAGGGTAATAAGGAAGCGGGGAAACATGGCAGTAATGAGGAAGTAGAGAAGGTAGTGGTGGTCACCAAGTATGAATTGCTTGGCGTCAATGAGGGACACAAGCACGGTGAGTAGACCGGCTGCGGAAACACGAGAGAGGACCTGGCGGTCGGTGTGGAAGGGGTTAAGGGTCATAGTTCCCTTACCCATGTGGAGGAGACCCTGGGCGATGCGAACCATGAATAGTGAGTTCTGGTCGCGGTGGTAGTAGCTGGCCAATTGCCGGAGGAGCTGTGCAAGACGGGCGTTGTTCGTACCAGCACCGCAGAGACCCATGGCGAAGATGGCGTTGATAGCAACGTCATTGTCGTTATCATGACTGTACCGGGACAGTGTGTCGTAAACCTTCATCTGGGGATTGCTAGGGCTAATCAAACCCATGGCGAGGGGAACCGCACGACGGATGTTGCTGGAGCCATAGTGCATGAGGTGACCGAACTGGCGGAGAATCATGTCCTGTCCGACGTCCTCGCCCATGGCAATAAGCGATAGACCGAGAACGGCGTAGGATTGGACAAGTTCATCACCCTTGTTCTCCTCCTTCTCTTCGATGATATCATTACAGATGTGGAGAAGCTCTTGCAGCTTCAGCACTGTACCGGTACCCGCCCAAGCGCACACCGAGGCAAGAACTGAGGTGGGCTTGGCCATGGGGTGGTCAACTGCCTTGAGAATGTCAAGAATAACATCAACCTCTTCCTGGCGCCCGAAGTACAGAAGTGCCAGACCAAGAGCCATGAACCTCGTCCACTTGTCTTTGAGCTGTTTCTGGCGCTCCTCATCCATCAGAGTGGTGGCAATCGCCTCACTGACCTGATGGTTTGAGGAGCCAACAAAGATCAGACCAAGCGAGACAGCCGCCATGGCGGAAAGCTGCATGTCGAGTGAGGCATCCTCCACGATGGGAAGAAGAACCTCGAGGAGCTCCTCTTTGTTAGAGCCAGCGTAAGCCAAACCAAGACCCATAATAGAGGCAACTTTCATTGGCGTGCTCTTGGATTCAAGGTTGTCAGGGTCACTCAAAAGAGCAAGAGCAGGGTCAGAGTCGAGTCGGACACCAGAGTTCAAGATACCGATAGCGAGGAGAGCACCAGCCTTAACCTGGTCTTCAGTTGCGTAGGTGAACTTGTCGATCTTGTCCAAGCCGTCCTCAACATCACGGTGCATCAGCATACCCAACGAAGCAGTTGTGGAAAGCATACCATCTTCCTTGGTCTTCCACACCCAGGGGCCCTTGTCTCCTTCCACAAGCATCATCTTGTCGGTACCAAAGCCGGCATTAGCAAACGAGTTTACGAATGCGCTAGCCAGGTTGTGTCTTGCGGAGTCGAGGTTGGTGAGGCCTGCGCCACGGCTGCTCTCCAGATGTGTCTTGTAGATATCCTCAGGCATCTTAGGTTCCAGGATGTTAAGTTCCTTGGCCAGTTCCTTGAAGTGTCTAGGGATAGAGGTATTGTTGAGACAGTCGGCAAGAGCCTCTCCCTCCTCATCATCAGCCGGGAGGTCAAGCCAAATCTGCTGGCGGGCAACAAGGAAAGCCATTTGCTTCTTCAGAGCCTTGTCAGACGTAGCGTTGATATCACTCTTGATGAGATCGGTGTCGTTCAACCGAATAGCGAGCACGATTGCTTGAGAGAGCTTGTTGTAGCGGACGTAGATTTCGTGGGCGGTTCGGAGGAATTGCTGATCTTCAGGGTAAGTGAGCAGGTTAACCATGCTGACCATGTACAAGCAGACGCGAGCATATGTGTTCTCGTCAACAAATTGGGGAATGTCTTCGATGATTTCCAACTCGCTCATAAGATCGACTGCGTCGGCTTCAGCATTGTGACTCAAAAAGTATGGCACCAGTGACAATGCGAGGTCCACTAGATCTTGAGTATCGTTCTCTGAGTTCAAGCGGTTCTGATATTCTTGTCCAATTTCCAGTGCGAGGTGACGGACATATTCATGACCCCAGGAGCCAAGGTCCTCCGACTTGGCCAAGAGACGGTATTTGATGGTCTCCAACTTCTCCTCGTCTCCGTAGGTCATTCCGAGGACGGACAGCATATCAGCCAACGAGTTCTAGGGTTGAGATGATTAGATATTGAATCCGAGCAAGGTCAAAACTAAACCAACCTTCACGGGGCCTGCGACCCATATCTCGTATAGCCCTGCCAGGTCATCGTAGTGTGGTCGGAGGAATTTGAGGGGCTTGGGGACAGCTGTCATAGATGATGTGGAGGTCTTGATAAAGTTCTTAATCGCGTCCAATGCAGGTCCGTAAAGCGAGGTGTCCGTCTCCTATTGTATGCAAAAAAAAAAGATGATCAACGTCATGGCATTGCGGACCAATATGAGAGAAGCCATACCTTTAACCGCTCGACGAGCATCTCAAGTTCACTCTTCAATTGCTGATCCTCTTCACTAAGCTCCTCTGTAAGATGCAAGAGTTAGCATGCGCTTCCAGTGCTGTCGTGGATCTTTCACAGACTCCAGATCCGTGATGATTTGGGCTGTTATCGCAACGTACCATCTGGAGATTCTTCGTCCTTCTTCTTTCCGTCTACTGGCGCTTTCTCTCCATTTTCGGTATTCTTGCTGTTGGGCTCGCGAACATCATCAACCTTGCCCTTGCCCTTGTCGGCGGAGGTTGGCCGTTCGCCCTCGTTCGCCATTCTTGTAGGTAGCTGGCGACCAAGTCGGGGAAAATCGAAAGGGTAGCACGGGATGAGGAATCAAATGAAAGACCGTCGAAGAAATTACGAAGCAGAAGTAGATGGAATTCTGCAAGTAACAAGTAACACAAGTGGATTGTAAGCTGGTGATGGATGGAGAGCAGAGAGCTGCACCAGACCGAGCTCCGGATTATATAAGCGCCAAGCCCTCGTCATTGTTTTGGCAATTCTACAGCTTTCTCCCTGCTTAGATTTCGAATATTTGCTATTTATGAAGGCATGATTACTAGATCGGCTTTCTACACATACTATGGCTCTGATGAAGATGCTAATAAGTTATAATAAATGGCTACATAGCTCCTGCTGAGATTGTACCCTGAGATCACTCTCCAACGCAAAACAACTCCGCCGAAAGATCAGTGTTTTTAGTACATCCTCCATAGTGAATACGGAACTGCTTGGCATATTCTTCTGTTTGTTTGTTGTATCCAGCAGTTGTGATCTGTTCACCGTCATATCCCAACAAAGGCATAACATCAAGATCTGGAAGACCGGCAGAGAAAAGGTCAAGAAGAGGCATAATGGTTGACGCGTGATTCAAAGGCTTCTCAACAGATCGCAATCCAGACGTGAATTCCCCTGAAAGTGGTTGTGTTGGGTCGACAAGATCTTGAATATTCTTGTCATCAAGGTTAGAAGTATGAGCAAATTCTTCTGGTGGCTGGTATAACTCAGTGTGCACCGTTGCAATGGCAGCTGTCTTGGTGCCCGGAAAGGAGGGATAGAGGAGATAATAACCCTTGGCACGAATCATCTCAAGTAGATGTTCCATGAAGGCGGGATATTTGTCCGATATCAACTTCCCATGAGGGGCCTTGGCAGATTGTGGCGTCGAAAGACGATTGGACAAGAATGTATGGAACTCGGCCCATGTATCACCAAAGTACAAAGCCGCGTTGCTATTTGGGGCTTGCCAGAGGAACGAAGAGAGGAACTGATCTTGGTTTGTACCGCTCATGACTGGTGCGGCGAACGACTCGCTGTCAGTAGTGGGCTTGAAAGCAGGCAACTCCAATGAAACTCCGATCATTCTTGAAAAAACGCGCTTGGCATGGGCGGACTGTTTGTAATTTAACGCAGCATACTTTAGGTAGTGATAGAACGAGGGTGCTAGCTCTGTCTGTGGTGAGAGCATGAGCAAATGGGTGACGTTTGGATCTCGTGGATAGAACGATTCCACTGTGCGGAGAGAAGACTCTACGGGGTCCATGGAATGCGGCTGAATGCGTCGCCGAATGGTGATATGATCTGCAAGCTGACCATCTAGATGTTGGAGGAACTGGAGCAACTGTTGATCCACCAGGGAGGGAAGCTCAATTGTCAGTCTGGGGGCAGCTCCCAGATAATCAGCTGCATTCAATGACTGCAGAAGCCTGATCACAGACCCCGATGACCGGGACGGTGCATGAACAACCATTTCAATCTGTAGATCATTCCATGCTATAGCATATATTGTTAGTGTTCGATATTCAGAGCTATATAGTTGTACATGTAGTGTGGCCGATTTTACTTACATCGAAGAGCTGTGGAATCCAGGAAAGCTATCCACAGAAGATCCTTCGCTGCAGACGCAAGACCAATATGTGGAGTGCCATTTTCACGACCATGAGCCTCCACGCCTTTCAAAAAGAAGTCATCTTCCAAGCTCTTGCCTTGCGTAATTACGACCTCTGGGTGAATATACGCCTGTAGAAGTTGTAAGCCCCCCACGATAGATCGTTCCATTCGGATATCGCTAGACTGAAGCGCGTGGTCTGGCCGGCCATCTGTACATTTACAACGGATCAGCAACAGTCCCCAAATATGGAGTATCAAATACCATACCATGCCATAGCACTGGACATTCATTATCTCTGATCCCATTGACCTGTTTAATTCCTTCTATCGAGACTTCTTCTTTGCCCATTAGAATGAAATGGACGTAACTCTGGCGCTGACCTGCCATTCGACATGCAAGAGGTAACATATCCGACACACTGCGTAGACTAGACGCGGCAAACAAGACTACCCTGCTCGCTGTATCTTTTGGATATTTCTTTCGAGGGAGGGATTGCGCCAACTTGTAGAACTTGACATCTCCTTCGTAAAACACACCCTTGCCCTCGGGCTCCAATACCTTGGGTTTGGACTCGGGCTCTGCGTTAGGAGCTGGATGTGGTTGCTCTGAGCCGGTCAATTGCGCAAGCGTCTCCTGTCGTAATTTGGCAATTGAAGGGTTGTATCGATCAGCAGCGGGTGCTAAGTCCGTCGGCATGTGCTTGAAGAACTCGTAAAACAGGAATAAGCCAAGCAAGGCGAAGAATATACGACGAGGTCTGGTAACATTTCGATGTCGCAGAGGTAGAAAGCGCGCTTCGCCTGGGGGACGGTGATCGTCGTCCTTCTTGCCCATCTCTTCGTCAGTGCGAAGGGGCATCTTTGCAGGGGCCATAATGTGCGTCAAAATGCAAGCTCCGTTGGAGCTGGAATAAGGCGTTTAGGACATAGGAGCAACGAGAGACAGGGTCCAGAAGAATGTTGGTCAAGAAGGCGCGGTCCAAGGCGATGATATCAGCGCTTATCGCCTTATCTTCTTATCGGATCTTGACAACCAACGCGCCTCAACCGTAACTCGCCATTCTCTTCTGGGTATAGCAGAGCTCATGATGGAAGACCAGATGGATACAGCGCCGATTGAGCAGCGCGGCACCAAGCGTGCGGCTGAAGAGACCGGGATTCAAGAACCCCCCAAATCGAAGAAGATCAAGGCAAGGAAACGCGTGTCAATTCCGTCTATAGAACAAATATTGATACTCTCTGCAGGCTCTGGACCCTGATGTCGTGAACAAAATTGCGGCTGGAGAAATTATCGTCGCACCAATGCATGCACTGAAGGAGTTGATTGAGAATGCAGTCGACGCTGGCTCCACCTCTATCGAAGTCCTCGTCAAAGACGGCGGCCTGAAACTACTTCAAATTACCGATAATGGCCATGGAATTGATGTAAGTTGAGAAACCCCCGGGTACAAGACTAGCAATTTTGACAACATGCAGCGAGACGATCTTCCAATTCTCTGTGAAAGATTTACTACATCCAAACTCAAGGAGTTCGAGGATCTCTCCTCTATTGGAACGTATGGATTCCGCGGTGAAGCACTCGCCAGTATCAGTCATATTGCACATCTCACGGTTACAACGAAGACGGCTGGTTCCAGCTGTGCGTGGCGAGCACATTACGGAGATGGAAAGCTGATTCCTGCGAAGCCGGGACAGAATGCTGCACCCAAGGCAACGGCTGGGAGGGGAGGAACCCAGATCACAGTAAGTCCATAGCCTGTTGTCTATATTTCAAGGCTGACATTTTATAAAGGTTGAGGATCTATTCTACAACGTCCCTACTCGACGTAGAGCCTTTCGCTCAGCAAGTGAAGAGTACGCCAAAATCCTTGATGTCGTTGGTCGATATGCAGTACATTGTCATGGGGTTGCATTCTCATGCCGCAAACATGGTGACTCTGGCGTGAGTATCTCGACTCCAGCTAGCGCTAGCACTGTCGACAGGATCCGCCAGATCCACGGCAGTGCTGTCGCGAACGAGGTTGTTGAATTCAACTGTGAAGACAAGAAATTTGGCTTTCGATCATCTGGCTTTGCCACCAATGCCAACTATCATGTCAAAAAAACAGTGATTCTGCTCTTCATTAATCACCGTGCAGTCGAGTCAACGACTTTCAAGCGCGCGGTCGAACAGACATATTCAGCATTCTTGCCCAAGGGTGGCCACCCTTTTGTCTACCTTGATCTCGAGATTGAACCCAACCGAGTCGATGTTAATGTACATCCAACAAAACGCGAGGTCAACTTCTTAAATGAAGACGAGATCATCGAGCTGGTTTGCACCGAAATCCGATCCAAACTCGCAGAGGTGGACTCAAGTCGGACATTCTTGACTCAAAGTCTTCTTCCTACTGTACCAACCATCCAGTCCCTACAGGATGACAGAAACGAGCCAAAAGAGGGAGCAGATAAAACAAGAGGAGCAACACCCAAAACACCAGCAACAAACAAAAAGCCCTACGAAAACAACCTCATACGAACAGACTCCAAAGTCCGCAAAATCACAGCAATGCTAGCACCCTCACCGCGAGACCCATCCAACCCCAACGCCCCAGACACCGACAACCAAATAACTTCCGTCCTAGAAGGAGGCCTCCAATACACAACAACCGACCGCCAACCCCTCCGCATAGCCCTATCCTCAATAAAAACCCTGCGGGCAAACGTCCGCGCCGAAATGCACAACACCCTAACAGAAATGTTCGCAACACACACCTACGTCGGCCTAGTTGACGAACAACGCCGCCTAGCAGCAATCCAATCTGGCGTAAAACTCTACCTAATAGACTACGGCCTAACAAGCAACGAATTCTTTTACCAAATCGGCCTAACAGACTTCGGCAACTTCGGAACAATAAAACTAAACCCAGCACCGAAGTTAACAGACCTTCTCAAAATCGCTGCAGACGAAGAAAAAAAACAGGAACACTCAACTCAAGGAACCCAAGATTCGAATCAGAACGATGCAGATAAAATATTCGCCAATGCACCCGACATGATCGCCCGCACGCTCGTCCAACGCCGCGAAATGCTAAACGAGTATTTCGCCATGCAGATCAGTTCAGACGGCCACCTCCTCTCCATACCCCTGCTGTTGAAGGGGTATGTGCCCGCCCTATCGAAACTACCTCGCTTCCTACTCCGTCTCGGTCCGTATGTCGACTGGGATAGTGAGGAGGGGTGTTTCCGGTCGTTTTTACGTGAGCTTGCTGCTTTCTATACGCCTGAACAACTCCCCGTTCTTGCGGGGGATGCAGATGTAGATGCAGATGCATCAGGGTCTGCATCGGGGTCTGAGTCTGGGCCTGCACCTCCACCTGCGCAGGCCGATTCCACGACCGAGCCGGTTATAGCCGATGCATCATCCTCGTCCGCACGCACGTCCGAGCTTGATGCGGAGGCGTTTGTTAGGGCGCGCCGGGCGCAGATCATTCGTATGTTGGAGTATGTTCTTTTCCCCGCTGTGCGGGCTCGACTTGTTGCCACGTCACGGTTGTTGCGTGGTGTTGTTGAGGTTGCTGATTTGAAGGGGTTGTATCGGGTATTCGAGCGATGCTGAGTGTTGTGTGTTGCATGTTGAGTGTGGATGTTTACGGCTCTTGAGCTGGAGTGTTTTAAGTTGGATTGAGTTGAGGGGGAGGGGATGTGGGTGGTGGTCAGGTCATGCTGTTACATTGCAGTGCATTGCAGTCTATTTCTGCTTTGTTACAAGTGCGGAGTACATCTGCATGTACCTGGTTCAAATATCTGCGTTTTCATGACTAAAAGGACGAGTGTCTGAGAATTGGCTGGTCTGGGCTTGGACTTGTTAGTCTATGCTACATCATGCTATGCTACAGTATGCCATGTCCGATATCTATATTGGGTTTCGATAACATATCTGGATTCTTTTATCAGCCTTAACAAGAACGCAAAACATGAATACAAACAATATGGAGACTATGGAACATTTTCAGTAAATCGTAGCAGGGAGAAACAAACACAAAGTATAAAAGTGGACAGAATGGATAGAATTAGAATAGCTAGCAACAACGCCTGCGATCGCCTAGCTTTCGCCACGCTATAACCGTGCCACATTCTAGATTAGACACACACACCCAGAGCTTTGGAAAATAGGACGGAGACGATATAAAATAAGAAATGAATTGGAAGGAAATTAAATTAACAAAGGCAGAGTACAGTGGTGCAAAGACATATCAATATCAAAACAGATGAATATGCTACTCTTGGGAGTAAACAAGACAACCAATCATCCTATGAGCCGCGTTGCAGACATGCAGGGCAATATGAAGAATGATACTCTTTCAAAGGGCAAATCATGGATGAAAATGCTGCGAAATGATATGGGAAGAAGAAGTGCAAACTCGGCTGAGGCCGGCAAATAAAGAACACGATGAATAATAGAGGGTGGGAAAATAGTGATAAACAAATAGACGTAAATGGTAAAAGAACAAAGTCAAAGGTAGCTGAAGAAAACAAAACAAACAAAAGATCGTTGCGAACAGAGATGAGGTTAAAGTGTTGCAATATTCAAACATGGTCATTGCAATTCATTCCCATTTCCATCAGATCTTCGAAACGCCGTGCGCCAAGATCCAATCTGAAAGTCATCTCTTGTTCGTGCAGTCGTTAAAATTCATTGTATCATGTTGTCTCTCGAGAGGCAACCGGAGAAATTAGAGTAAATCAGATTCGTCCTGGGGTAAGTGAAGCCGAGAACCAGCTTCGAACTTCGAGGTCCGACGTTATTCTTAGCCCCTCGAATAGGGCTTGTTGAGAAGAGCGATCTCGCGAGTGACGGTTTGCCATTCAAGTTCTCGCTTCACAGGCTCGTTTCGCTTTCTCATTTGGTGTTCTTCCCATTGAAGAAGTTCGTAACTGTAGTTCGTTGTCAGATGGGATAGACTGAAAGGTCCAAGTGAGTCTCTTACACAAAGCGTAGGTGGGGTTGAATGATGACATTGAGTCTCCTTGCTCGAACATAGCAGCTGGAAAGCATTAACATGGTCAATCGACGATAACAATATTCGGTGAAAACTTACTACGCCCTAGGGAAAGAAAGCTTTTTGCAGGCCATGACCTCGGCAATGCAGATACTGGCAGATCTTGAAACGCCAACTCGACAGTGAACCAATGTAGCTGAACCATCACGCTTGCCTTTTTCTGTAAATGGGTCAGTAAATTGGAACAAGGTAGGAGAACATTTGCAACCCATACCAATGAAATCTAAACAACGATCATACTCCTGACACAAGGGATCAATGCCATTGTCCTGGACATTGTCAATGTACATCAAGTTATCCGGCCCCCAGGTAGCGCGGTCCTCATCGGACCAATTAACAGCCTCGCCAATGCTGAGTACACGTCTGATGCCAAGCTCCCAAAGAAGCTCGGGGTTGTTGGCGTGTGTCAAATTCCCAAGGTACAGATATGGCAAGATGCGGCTAGGGAAGGAGCCATCCATGTTGTGGAACCAATTTGGGTCCCAGGTCCCTGCGACATCTGTAGCTTGGGTTTGAGCCGCTGGGCTTTCCTGCAAGAGGCGGCCCTGGATATGGCATAGGAATGCAACGTCTGTCTGGTAGGCAAAGAAGTTTCGCTTCTTGTCGCAATGTAGTCTGAGCCATGCTTCGTGTGCTGGCACGCCTTCCGCGAACATGAAGTATGCCACTGCCAATAGAGAGGTTTCGGTATACCCATCACCACAGTGGATTAAGACCTTGCGGTGCTTTCCACTCGAGCTGGCCATGGTAACGTCGCTGTCAGTATCGTGCTCATCCGCTGGGGTTTCTGGGTGCGCGAGATAGTAGATCCATCGGATGGTGTTGACGATATCCTCGACCTCACGGGTGTTGCCGGATGGGAGGATCAGAGATCCTGATGATGGGAATTCCATGCGCTGAGGGCCGGTCTCGAGTTCTCTGTCAAGCTTGGCTAGATAACGGGGACCAGGGATGTTGGCTTGGTCGCTTGCTTCAATTAACAAGTCGTATGTTTCATCTTTGGGCAACGGCGCCCCGGCCATTTGCATGAATTCTGGGGTAGATCCCAACCAAACATTGGCCGAAATCTCGGTTGCTCGAGACATGGTACACATTTCCCGTCGTTCCCAGTGGCCTGAATCGTTGTCAGACAAGATATTTGCATTTGGTTATTTCCTGACTCACCGAAATCCATGGCATGGTCTGTTGTTTGACCTTTTGAATCGACTGCAATAATGTCTGGGTGTTCTTTCTCCAGTTCGGAGAACGGTGCTAGACATGTCAGCTGAATACTGCTATGCACGAATTTAGAAACTGACTGGCAACAATAAAGGTGTTGTAAGTGGGTCGCTCTTGCAAGGGATCCATCTTTAATCTCCAGGCATGCTGTGCTGTCGCAAACTGATCTGCCAACGCAACAAGAGCAGCCTGGCTGCTGTCATCTTCGGCATACACAACAATATCGGACATGGCAGCCAACTTGGCCGTCTGAATATGGAAGTTGCGCACGGAGAATCCCTCCTGGGGATCGGCCATCAAGAACCGGGCGGAAGGTGCAATCACTTCATTAGGGCTGACGGCGCCTTTGATACGCGACTTTGACAGATCGCCCCCCAGTTTGACCACAGTCAAGCCTCTCCAGCATTTCGGTGATCGGCGTGAGTGACGTTTGCGACTTTGAAAGAAGCCTATTTGTAGGTGGTTGTCTGGATGAAGGCCATGTAGCCAAGGGAACATCTGCGATGGGTCGGGCAAGGGCTGCGACGCCTGGTGGTCCATCGCAGCGGCCAGTTTGGAAGCCTCGATGGCATATACAGCGGGAGACGGAGCCCGTCCAATGCGAAGTCGTTCATCTGGGGGATACAATAACGATGACGGCTGATCAGACCGGAGTACCGGAGATGCTGGTTGAGGAGGGGTCGATGGAGTCGGGCCCGGAGGGCATACTGGGATATGTTTGTTGGGGATGGGACTCGGCCGCCGGTTGACAGTCAAGGCTGATGGGAGGGGAGAAGGAGGAGGGGTTGAATGGTGCAACGACTGCTGCTGGACAAGCACAGTCGCCATAATGTCGGCTGTTCAACCAGTTTAACGAAGAATACACGTGGGTTGAACAATAACGAGGTTGGGAGCGTCAACAACTATCACATCGTTTGCGCCCGAGTCTGGAGGGGGGCTCGGGAGTGGATCAAGGATTATCACAACTAGGGCAAAGTTGTTAGTTACAGGAGATGGGGGAGATAAAAGAAAAGGAAGGGGGGTGGGGGGGGATACATACGAGAAGCGCAAGGGGGGAGAAGAATGAGAAACAATTGAGGAGATAAGTCAGATAAGTGTGCCCGAACAGCTAACTAGGGTGGACAGAACAATGTCTATATTACTCTCATCATCATCACTTATCGTCATTCCCCCGGAGTCCCGCCCGTGGTTCCACCCACTCCACTTCATCTTCTCTACATGTACATCTACGGAGTAACTTACACTGTGGGAGAATACACAGGGATCCTCGCCACTTTCCACGTCTCCCCCCCCCCGGGCACACTACCAAAGTCTATTGGGCCATCCACGGCCAACTCCCCTTCGGCACATCCAATCATCGCACAAAGTGTATTTGGATGACGCTGAGATTCTTTGATATCCGACTCGGTCCAGTTCAGTCTGTGCGTCTGGGGGAGGGGGTTTCAGACCTTAGACTCCACTTACATCCTTGACCTGCGCCTTACTACTAAAGATCAAGTCAAGATATGAGGATATCAAACCCCGCCTCGGATACGAAACCCCTACCAGCCGGATATTGTGCCAGCAGCTCGTGTCCATGGAAAGTCCAAAAGTCAATTTGATAGATAGCAGAGTTCCGATAGATCCATACTTGATCAGGATATACTTAGATGCAGACCGTGGGGATCGCTTTGCTTCTGAGATACGTCCACCTTACTGGTCATCGCAATATATTATCGAACTCTCCAGCAACGCATTCCCTGTTTCATAACAGAGATCATCAAAACACACACCAAAGTACCAAAGATGCACAGGGAACTAACCCCGGATCGCCACTGCGCTCCACCCGAGGTGGAGAGTATCCAACGGGATATACACCCCAAGCCCAATCGTAAACAACACCCAAACCGGTTAACAAAAAGGCCCGAGACATAGATATCAACGTTCAGCTGGGCCATACTGTAGACTGCAGCATAGAACTTAGATGGCAAAGTCTGCCCAGCCAAAACAACAAATCAGGTACCTACCGTTGCCCAAAACAAGCCGATGTACCTCGAAGTATACCGTGCAAGGTCGCACCATTATCTTTCGCGTATCGCTTGCCCTTTTCAGCCTCCTGCTACTGTCATTGGCTAGCAGATACATATATCCTGAACCGACAAGGTGTCAGGCGCAATCGGGTTCCGCTGATCTTACCTCGATCCCTCATAGGGCCGACCCTTATAGGCCATCTCCCACAGAAATCTCGGCAGCAGGCAACCCTTGCCGGAAAAGAAGTCTTGGCTACTACAACGCTCGCTAGTCCATTTTCTTTTCTTCATGTGTGTGAGACTAACGGGATGGAGGTTGGAGCACTGTAGTGCTATACTGTCGAGTCTGCTGTGCCTCGGCTTGTTTCACTTCTTTTTCTCCATTTTCCTTCACTTTCCGCTTTTCTTTCGGCGTAAGGCCATAGAGTGGACTCCCAACCTTCCGGAAAGCGCCCAGATGGAACTCCACCAGCCGGAACGTGCAGGAACTGCACATCAACGGGCGGAAACAGAATGATCGGCCTTGCGCGCACTTGCGCGCAAGCCCTGAACTCGACGCTAGCTGGACGCGTTGTCTGTCACCTGCTATCTTGTCTGGTTGTTTGTTTGCATCTTTGCCACCTCTTCGCTGATACTCTAGTGGTGCCACATAGTAATCCACAGATGTGGAGTTCGCTATGAATACTATACCTCCTTCTTGTCAGCGAGCACTTTCGATGTCTGCAACCTGTTTAGTTCGCAGCTCGTAGCCTGAAGAACTAAGTGCAGTGCGGAGTTGAGTTGAGTTGCTTAGTGGTTAATGCTGCCCACTCTACTTCAGTTGATACAATCTATCGTACTATACAGTATTGTATGATTTATACAACTCCGCACTGAAGATCATCCCATCAACATGAAACTCCCTAAATAAACCCTCCACCAGGCTTGAGTGGAACAACGACCTAATCCAGCCGCTCTTGGCAAATCGCAAATCCTGGACCAAGATGTCGTGTGAGGCGGGTAGCTGCCGTACCTTGTTTTCGCCGGCGAGGTATTTTTCTCCCAGTACACGGGCCGATATCAAACCCTTCGAAAAGTACCTTGGAACTGGAATTTGTTGTGGACACGTATCTTGTAAGACCCGTGGTTGGGGGCCCTGGTCGGATTGGCTTGGGTGTTCCTGGGTACTGGTTGTTGGGTGTTGGGGCATGAGTGTAGGGTATATGTACCGGGTAAGCAATAGGGCGTGGATAGGGCCTCTTTGCTTTGCTTTGCTTCCCCTGCAGTATATATTGGGATCTATTGTATCCAGGCCATTTATATCGCTGATTGGGGATCTATGCATGTTGTGTTCGGTGACTGTGATGCAAGGATTGGGCGTAGTTGTTCCAAGTGCTTACCATAGCAATAATAAATGCCATTGGGCCACGATACATTACATTGCAATGAGGACCGTGCTGGTGCTTGTTAATGTAGGTAGCCGCATTTAAAGACTACAATACACCTGATATGTGACATCGGTCACATCAGCCTTAAGACAAGTTGCGTCAGGTACACCGCTGGACCTTCAAGACCAAGTATGCAATGTATAGATCATTGATGGTCATCTATCCTTTGAAGCGTTTGAATTATTGTGAGTTCCGTTCCTTCTTATCTTGGTGCGAAGGTCAGAGTGTTCTTGAAAGATGGCTGTTCTGCAAATTTCATCCCAAACATTCACTTTGTCAGGTCGTATACCACCAGTGCCTTCCTTTCGACCAAAAATTTCACCGAAGATCCTCTCAGAGACTGCTTTCACTACAGACAGTATTTTCGTAGTGTACGAGCTATCTAGACCAGGTAGTAATGGATGCGCTATCCACAACTCACTGTTTGCGTCGCGGGCATGGTGGGCAGCTTTGGGGCTCTTCAGAAGGCCCTGCGCTAACTTGGGCGTTTCCACTTAAGCCCACGACCAGCTAAATCCCAGATTCTTGGTTTTACAGTCATCGATCATCGTTGCAGTGTCGCGATAAAAGGACGAAAGATGGAAGCCTGATCGTGGCTTATCTACGTCACATGGTGGACGTAGTTGGGTAAAGGCCGCTCGTTTGCCTAGTTATGACAAGAGGTAAGTAATCGCATTCCGGTTTCTTAGCAGAGTAACATACCTCACTGCAGCCTCATATCCTCGAAAGTGAAGTTCAGTGAAATCAAAGTCAAGGCGATAACCTTACAAGTGCGTAGGCGGTGGGCAATCAAGGTGTGGCCCAAGCGTAACCTCTCGCTTGCGACTTTGTCCAGGACTTCTCGGATATCAGATTCATCCTTCACCGCTTCGTCCGCGAATCATCCCAGCCAGTTCTCATTCCAAGAGATGTTACGGAGCCAGTGACGGGCAAAGAGTTGCTGGTTCAGCCCCCATCACTCGACCTCGCCCTAAGCGGGGTATCTCCGACATTCCGAAGATTGCTATCTTTTGCCCTCTACCAACCTACTGGCTACTGATCATGATGGCCATGAATTTCGTGACCTTTAACCAGGACTACAGCTACCTGGCTGTGGGTGAGTCCTTTTCCGGGCCGGACTGCGTCTGCAACTATTTACTTTGGTCGTCATTGCTGACTGCAGTTGTAGCAACATCAAAGGGGTTTCAGATCTTCACTACTGAACCCTTTGCCAAGAGCTATGAAGCTAAAGAGGGCAATATTGCAGTTATTGAGATGCTGTTCTCGACTTCCCTTGTGGCTCTGATCTTGTCTCCGAGACGCTTGCAGATTCAAAATACTAAGGTACGCAGAAATGCTCCCGATTGGATTGCTTGTGATGATGGCATTTTGATAGAACTTGAACTGACCATTTACAGCGGCAATGCACAATATGCGAGTTGACATTTCCAACGACGGTTTTGGCAGTGAAGCTGAACCGGAAACGACTTGTTATTGTCCTTGAGGATCAAATTTATCTTTATGATATTCAGACCATGAAGCTTCTGTCTACCATCGATACATCACCAAACCCTAATGGTGCGGATCCTTATGATATGTTCCGTTTCTGGGCTTACTGACGAGTTAACAGCCATTTGCGCCCTTGCGCCATCATCAGAAAATTGCTACATGGCCTACCCTCTCCCACAAAAGGCACATGCATCTGCAAGCCCGCCAACACACGCTCCACCCGGGACAACACATGTTGCTCCCACAACAGGTGATGTTCTCATTTTCGATGCAGTCAAGCTAGAAGCTATCAACGTGATAGAGGCGCATCGTTCTCCTTTGGCTCTCATTGCGCTGAATAGCGACGGAACACTGCTCGCCACTGCGTCTGACAAAGGAACCATTATCCGCGTGTTCTCCGTTCCTGATGGGCACAAGCTATACCAATTCCGAAGAGGTTCCATGCCATCGCGAATCTACAGCATGTCTTTTAACACTACGTCCACTCTCTTATGTGTCTCATCGTCCACCGACACCGTCCACATCTTCAAGCTGACCCAGCAAGGACCATCACCAGATAGACCTTCATCACACTCTCCACCGGGCCGTGACCAATCTTCTCCGCCTTATGGGTATTCTCCAGAAGATGATGAGATGGGGGATGCTGGGTCCGATGCTTCACGAAAGCACAACGGTACCATAATGGGGATGCTTCGCCGAACATCGCAAAACGTCGGCGGCGCAGTTGCAGCCAGAATGGGCGGCTATCTTCCTAAAGGTGTCAGTGAGATGTGGGAGCCAGCACGCGATTTTGCTTGGATTAAGCTACCCCGTGCAAATCAGGGTCCTGCTGGAATAGCAAACTCTGGACCGATTAGGAGTGTTGTTGCTATGAGCAGCAATACTCCCCAAGTCATGGTTGTGACTAGTGATGGCAACTTTTACGTCTTTAACATTGATCTGTCAAAGGGTGGAGAGGGAACTTTGACGAAACAATATTCGTATGTGGATATGGATATGCCGTTTGATTAGATCTATGCTCATCTTTTTGTTACAGTGTTGTTGACTCAAATGACAGGTTGGGTTACGCCACGGATTACTGAGTGTGGGCCTCTCTATACCACTCAAGCTAACCAAATTCTCTCCCCTGGACGAACTGAAAGAGCTTCGTTTGCGTTGATCTGGGGCATTCGCCTCATCATTTTCTTTGTTTGGCATGGGCGTTGACTGCTCCGGTACTGAGCTCGGTCTATCTCGACTCATTATTTCCCTCTTTTCTGAGCTTTAGCGTCTCCATACTCTACTTCGGCGTTTCCTATTATGAGTTCCGAATCTCGTACATTATTTTTCTCGGCGGGTCTGCGTCATCTTTGGCTGGTTGGTCAATTTCATGTTGCTTGAAATTTAAGATCCCCATCGCTCTTGTATTTGTTTTCTATGCCCGAGTCCATCAGATGTCCCCTCTAGTCTTTGCACAGGGAGTTTCGTGGGCCTTGGCGTCGAATTAGTCTTTCGATATCACACATAAATGTGTTAATTTAGCTGTATGAAGCTTATACCTAGAAGATCGCAGTCCACAAGGACTGTTCTCACGCACTATGGACATTAGCCCCCCGCGCGAGCCCAATGCTGCCATACTCCGCCATAGTCATGGGCCTAAGGCTGTTCTCAAACATCTTCAAGCACAAACAATAGGAATATCAGATTGTACCTCTGAGATCAATGGCAGCCAAATCAAACAACGAAAGGTGCCCAAAACAAAACCCGCGCAAATTTGGTACATGAACTCAAAAATATATACTCCTCAACAACAGAATTCCTTCTTCCGGATACCAGCTGAGATAAGAAGGACGACACACCTTGAGCTTAGAAGTGGTCAGCGAGTGCACATCGCATACCTCCAGAAACAGACGAGCCTATTCTTGCCGCAGCCGAAAGATGGGCCGTGGGAGTGGTAGCATAGTGTCTGTGCCTATGGCAAAGGGGACGGCTTCCCTGAGGACCCGGCTTTTGACTTCTGCCCTTAAAGGAAGATGGAAATGTTCCAGTAAATCCCAAGGTTGGTGGCGTGGAGTGGTTGAGGTTCTGCCAAATTGGGTAAGTCTTTATGATATTCTCACAATATAAGAACAACGGCGTATGCTATACTGTAGATATGACGAAGCGTTGGAATTCCTCTATGGAGCCCAATATAGCCATGAACACTTCTGCTACGCACGCATTTGGAATTGTCATGGATACTCTTTCTTTGTCGAGACTTTTTTCAACACGCTGTATTTCTCTTCTGACTTCCATGGAGACATTGCCTGATGCTGGAATAAAGGAGTATGGTTGGATGACACACTACACAGCGCTCCTCGCTTTGCTCGAGCAGAGTTTCCCCAGTGTCCAACGGCTACGCATATTGCTTCGAATGCCGGCGTCGGAGGAAACGGCTGAGTGGTTTGGCCATGAGAAGCCGACAAAATTTCTTGAGCCGTTAAAGAGACTCTTAAAAGACGGAGAAATGTCTCGACTTCAGCTTTTCGTTCCGTTGAATTGGCACGCTGACTTCAAAAAAGTCCAAAGGAACAATGCCTGATCAGGCCAGGTGGGAGCTTACGCAGACTAGAGGGAACGAACCTTTGGCGTGGGGATAGGAGCTCCGTCTGGGAGAGCTGATAGGGACTTGAGGATATTTGAAGGGTGATTCCTGTCAGCTATCCTGACATTCTATTCTCCGCACCATTATTCCATTCGGTGAATTGATATTCAGCTTTAAGCCTTCGGAGGAAACACTGGTCCTCGATGACCATCAAATCTGTAAGATTGATCTGAGCTCTTGATAGGATATGTCACTTCACATAGTGACGTGTTCGCAAAATTTGTTCGTCCATCCCCGTGGAATACTTGCATGGACTACTTTTACAAGTACCCCCTTACTTTGCCCGATACCAATTGACCTTAGATATCAAATCGTTCAATCCATATGTAAACGTGTATATGTACATCAACAAGAAGAAAAGCTATCTCGGCCTAGAAATTCCGGCGAAACTTCTGGGGAATATTGTTCAAAATAATCTGCATGGCCTCCAGCTTCTCCAGACGAAGAGCAGCAGCTTCTTCCTCGTCATGCCTGCGGAAATGTTCAATGTCCTGAGGGTGGATCAAATCCTCCTCGGTAGTATCATCGCCATGGAACTTCTCGAAGTGGTGAATCTCATATTCGTATTCCATATCGCCATGGTGCCCAGGACCAAAACCGACATCGGGCAAGCGTTTACCAGCAGCGATGCCCTGTAGCCAGTCCTCCTTGGTAATGAACCCAGTGTTTCCAGAATCGAAGATATCAAACACTGATTGTACGGCATCCTGCTTGCGAGCTTCACTCTTATCGGAATTGGATTCGTCGTCGATACCATATGTCTTGCGCACTTCGTCATGTGTCCAGAAACCTGATGAATCGTAGTCGTGCACGATAAAGAACGAGGGGGCGTCGAAGCCTTCGATGTGGTGTTCCTCTATAGAATGCCACGTCAGAATACAGATTCCATATCCGAGATCATCTACACGACGCTGTCTTACCCATCATGTGTCTCGTGGCCCAATCATCGGAGGGAGCTTTGTCTTCTGAATGCGACCCATGGGCATTGGCAGCGGAGCTCAACGCGAGTAGCCCGGCGGCAAAACCAAGTAACTTGTGCACCATTGTAAATGGCATTGTAAATGGGAAAGGAGTCTTTATAAAACAAGAAAAAAGTACGATTAACTACAAACATTCAACGGTGTTCAAATGCAGCCGGCCGGGGGTCTTAGCTTGTTTGCAGTGTTTGCACTGGATCCCGATATTTGCGGATTGCACGATTATTTCCGCATCGCATGTTTCCCCGTTCATCGCCATATACCTCCTACTGCCGACCGGGCTCCGAGAGGAGTCCAATTCATTGATACTCACCAAATTTGCCCTAATCATTGCTTACGAGCGATGCCCTGAGAATGCAGGGGTTGTGGTCCCGCGCTGTCTCGAAGCAGTCGTCCTGCCGCTGCATCGGGTGTTTGAGTACCACCGCCAATGGTGTCACTTCGAGATCGGCTACCGCTGCCAGCAAGCGGAAACTTCGAATTGGTAACTCTGTCACTGCATTATACACCAGCATCTTCGCCGCCGCCGCCCTTGCCGATGCCAGTGTGAAAGATCGACGCCGACATGACTGGGACGAAAAGATTGCCGCGGTCAAGGCGGAAGTGAGCGAATTGGTCGACGAGGAACAACGGATTTTGGCTTCGTTACAATCAGGAAGAGAGAACCGAGGTCTCAATCGGTTAATGCGGACGAGGGGATTAGGCCCTGTTGGAAGATTCCCGCCCGGAATCCAATCCCCGCCGGATATGAATCGCTCTTTGAGATCTTTTCATACTGAGCGAAGGCGATTGAATGCTGTGAATGCCCGCCTGTTGGATAGTTCGCCGGCTGTGGAAGAGCAAGATCATGATCTCGATCAGACAGACGAGAGTGAGATCTTTGTTGCACAAGAGACATTGCCTCACTGGGTTCTTGAAGATGACCTTCGTCTGAAGGCTATACAAAAATTGGCCTTGAGGCAGTTCGCTATTCGAATGCTGCTACGGCCTGCCATTGCTCACCGTTATTCCGGTGTTTCGATGAATTACGCGGCCGATTTTGAGACCCCCCAGGTTGACGTTTCCCAGCTCCTTGAAGAATTAAACACAATTCGGCACCGCATGATCACTTTAAAAACACAACGGGACGCGGCATTCAGCGACATCACCAAGGACTATGCTGCAAGCCAATTGGGCGAAATGCAAAGGGAGCGCGAAGTCCTTGATGCCGAGCTTACGAACGATATCAACTCTTACACGAGCCAGGAGATGTCCCTCCAAGAGCTGCTTCTAAGACTATCTAATAACATCTTGAGCTCAACAGACCCAGAACGCCCGACAGCTTTCCGACTCATGATCATGGCATTCACACGGACCCGTCAAAATGATTTGGTAGAGCTGCTTCTGCGAACATTATTACCAAACCGATTCTACATCAATCCTTCGCTAGTGATTACGATCATATCTTTCTTCAAGAAGTCGAAGAATCTCAAGGACTTTGATTTGTTCTTGAAGATGCTCGGTGGAGAAGGGTATTCCGTGAACTTGGGGAGCAGGGGCTATTACAAACACCGAAAGGTCAATGGGCTGGACATCATTGTGCCTTCTTTGAATAGCACCAATCCTGTCATCTATGCCAGCTTGATCGGCGCTGCTTTGCGCTTTGATCAACCCGAGCGAGCCGACGCTTGGCTCCAGGCTGCACGGAGTGGAGGCTTCTTTGATAGCTGGGAGACTCTTTTCACATACCTCCGGTTCTACAGTATTCGCCGAGACTGGGAGAAGGGTGCCAATGTGTTGAAAAGAGCTGTGACCTACCTCGTATCGTCAACAGATCATCGCATCGATTCTGTTGAGCGATTAATAGGAAGAATGGTGGGCCTTTGTGATTCATGTGATCGACTTGATACATCGAATGAATTGATCAAGGCTGCAATCCACAGTGGATTTGATCCCCAACTCCTGTCTCGACAGGCGGATATGGCACCTTTCGTTCAAGATGATCTCAAACGGTGGTTTGCGGCTGCCAAGTCAACACCAAAGAAGAATATCAATCGTCCTGTATGGCAAAAGTGCTATGACTTTGGCAACACGTTTGGTGAATATTTGAGCGACCTTGAAATGCCTTCAGAAAGCGCCTTCGCCCACCAAAATGCCAGAATGGCTGAACAGCACGCAAACAATGCCATGTCTGCTGCCCTTGGCCACGGCCGAGGAAAGACCTCCAAGCCTGCCGACAACACACATGCTGAAGACATCTCCACACTCAAAACCGAGGTTGCACAACTCCGCGAGCTCGTTTTTGAACTCCGCAAACACCACATCTCCGACTCTACAAATGAGCACCCCTCTTCCGACACGAAGCGTGATATCCCAAATCCTATCCCTTCCACCGAGACTAAGCCTTCCATCAACACATCAACACCGAAACCCCTCCCTGTAAACCACAAATTCACTCGAACCGCGGGCTCTATCACGCTTGACAGATCGATGTCTACATTGTCTCCTCAGATACCCCCCAAACGCAAGACGAGGCAATCTAAACGCGCTGCCAAGGCATCAGCGAAGACGGCTGTTGAAGATTCAACCACGCCTCCTCCCACTGAGGCGTAAATGGCCTTGATTTGGAAGCATTGGAAGACACAGATTTCCAGTCAGAAACTGAACTTTGAACCTGTTCCGTGAGACCTTGTATATTAAATGATTACCCGTGTTTTGAATAGAGCCACGGGAGTATTGAGGGCAACACAGATCAATGTAGTTCCCACATACATCCCTAAGAGCATTGGCGGCGCGGTGCATACAATTGAAATTCTAGAGCATTGGATGGATACCTTTTTCTTCTCAATTGTCATATCGGCGCTTAGTTCCGTAGCATATCAAATCTTAGAATTTCGGAATGTGTCGTTCTACAATGGGGGTCCTAAGTCTGTTCACAGTGCTATGAAGGAAGGAACTATAAGACAAATTCTGTGCAAAATCCTTGAAGCGAGTTTATCATTTCATGAATTACTTGTGAACCTGGGCTCTCTGGCCTCTCTTTTGTCTTCCTTTTTCACCCCCTTGCCCATTGCCAAGTATTTTAGGTTGATCATCTAAATCATTTGAATGTGGGGTGGTGAAAGGACTTATGGCCTCTGTTGTATATGTACAATTGCAGATCTAGAAAAAACAATGAAAGGCCTCTAAAAGAATATCACAGGGGAAAGCGTATGGTATAGCACAAGAAAACAGGCGTTTTATTCAATGCGTTGGCATCATAAGGGAAAGCAGAAAGGCGCAGGAAGAAAGCATATCATCCATGATTTTAGGCTGAGAATGTAAAGCAAATTGTCTAGCGGCGCTTTTCGGTACGCATCTTCTCCTTCCGAAGGAGACGCTCGGAAGCCCGGGTGAGGGCAGAGCGGATGTCGCCCTTGGGGAAGCTGTTAATATCGTAGTATGTAGGGGCAATGTCCTGTACAAGAACGGTTAATTAAAATTCACATTTAATGGACGGCTTGATGGGTGTCTTACTAAGAGCCACTCAGGCTTGACCGCCGTCACGGTACGGATGTAGTTCTTTGTTGTGAGGACGAACTCGTTGTACAGGACCCACTCGGCCTCATGGGCCAGCACAGTGGACGGGTGCAGGAGGACGTTTTGGTTGTCCTTGATGGTGAGGTACTGGCTCTTGCCACCGGTGTCCTTCTTGGCGACCTGCATGAAGAAACCGGCGCAGAGGGCGCGACGGATGTTCTCGTAGTACTTCTTGTCCTCGAAGGGCGTGGAGATCATCTCGAGATCCTCGCGCTCCATGATGCGGAGCAGTTGCGAGCGCACGTTATCGGCAGACTGGAGGGATCGCAGCGAGAGGAAGTGGTCGTGGCACCACTGCTTGGGGTTCGACTGAGCTTCATCGCCGCGGTAGGCGTGGTACACGTTCAGCATGGTCAGGTGGTCTCCGTCGGGATGAGCGAAGAGGTTCTTCATCTCGTCGGCACGCTTGCGCTGAGCAGCGGGGCGGACAAAGACCTGGGGCACAGACAGGAGGGCTGTGATGGAGAGGATTTCATTAGAGCAGTAGAACTCGGGAGAGCTGATGAGCATGACGGCAAGCGCTGGGTCGAGGGGGAACTCGGATGCCAGACGACCAAGTTGAGTAAGGTTTCCATCGTCATCGAGACAGGCCAGGTAGTTCAACTCCTCCAAAGCTCTCATCAGAGTCTCTGGGGCAGGGGGGTCCATCAAATCAAAGTGGACAAGATCGTCAATGCCGAGCTTCTTCAGTTCAAGGACTGTGGATGACAAGTTTGACCGAAGAATTTCAGGGTATGTAGACTCAATCAACTCCTTCTTGAATGCGCCCTCAGTGTAGAGACGGAAGCACTTTCCGGGACGAGTACGACCAGCACGACCAGCACGCTGTTGAGCAGAGGCCTTGGAGATGGGAGAAACCAAGAGTGACTCGACACGAATGCGGGGGTTGTAGATCTTCTGCTTGGAGAACCCGGGGTCCACCACGTACACGATACCATCGATGGTAAGGGAGGTTTCGGCAATGTTGGTGGAGACAATGACCTTACGGCCAGGTCGGCCGCCGGGGCGACGAGGAGGGGTGTGCAGGGTCGAAGATGCGCTGCTGCATGTGAGGAGGCAGACTACCATACAATGGGTAGACCTTGATAGGACCGGCATCAGCCTCTCTGACCATCTCGTCTCCTTCCATAGCAATCTTGCGTGAAGCATCTTCAATCTCTTCCTCACCAGTCAGGAACAAAAGGATATCTCCCTCTCCCTCAGTGGCGTGGATCTGCAGCACAGTGCGAACGGCGGCCTCAACGTAGTCTTGCTCTGGCTCGGGGGTGTAGAAGATCTCGACGGGGTGGGTACGACCGGGAACTGCGAGAAGAGGTGCGTCCATGAAGTAGCGTTGGAACTTTTGCGCATCCAGAGTGGCGGACATGATAATGATCTTCAAGTCGGGGCGACGACCCACAACTTCCTTCAGAAGACCCATCAGAATATCGGTGGCCATAGTTCTTTCGTGAGCCTCGTCAAGCATGATTGTGCTGTAGCGCGACAGGTTGTGGTCGTTCATAGCCTCACGAAGCAGCATACCATCAGTCATGTACTTCATGATGGTCTTAGGGCCGGTCATATCCTCGAAACGGATACTGTAACCGACTTCCTCACCCAGCTTGACATCCATCTCGGCTGCGACACGCTGTGCGACGGACATGGCGGCAACACGACGCGGCTGTGTACAAGCGACCATCTTGCCTTGGGTCTGGGGAAGGTCATCGAAGAGGACGAATTGTGGGATCTGAGTGGTCTTTCCGGAACCGGTCTCACCAACGAAGACCAGGATTTGCGACTGCTGGTAGAGTTGCAGGAATTCATCGCTAAAAAAAAGAGGGTCAGTATACCTTCTTACAGAATGGCTGTCAGGCATCACTCACCGCTGCGCATGGACTGGTAGGTCACGACGAGTCTTCAAGATCGAGAAGTATTTGGTAGAGTAGGGACGGCCACTGAAAGGGTTGATCTCGCCGTCCTCGGCCTTCTTTGCCATTGCGGCAGTCGTCTGGTGGCGTTTGAACTTTGCCAGGGACGAATTCTTGCTGGAGTCATCGTTCTCGTACATGTGAGCCAGGTAAGGGTTGTTCTTTGGGTCGCCGGCGTCCATCTTCTGGCGCTTGGCCCGGGAGCCACCTTCGGAGTCTGAGCGGTTATCAGCCATGGTCATTGTGAAAAGCCGAAGAGTGTTGAAGAGCAAACTCGGCGGGTGGAAGAGCTGAGATAGCGAAGAAAAAAATATCCGATAGGAAGGTCGGGCGAGCGCCACAGCTGCCTATCAGACTCACCGCCCCAGATATTCTGCCGCGCTCCACACAGGGATCGAGAAACTTTGGCTTGTTGATGTCCTGTTCCTGACTGAGCATCTCTGTGTAAGCAGATTTCGGTATATAGTCAGCGAGTACCATCTGACCTCAGGCCGAGCAGTTGCTCCGTTGCTCGTCAAGAGCTCCCAGTCGGCTATATCCCTAGTTTAAATTCACCCCCACCGTTGCGCCAGACTTCTCGCTCAGCATGGAGAACCATAATCACTCGGAAGATCCAGGACCAGCGTTTTGCATTGGTCACCATGAACACAACAGGCTGATCTCTGTGACTCCGGAGGTGATCCAGCAGGTGCATGAGAGCAATGTTGGTTCTATGTTCAACCCCAATGCCTTCTGATACTAATTTGATATGATATAGTATGACATGATGACTGTCCCAATTACCACATCGCATTTTCATTCTCGTGTACTGGGCCTGCTATCAAACTACTTGGCCACCTTGCAGTCCCCTTCTTACGATTCTATTGGGACAATGGCTACTACTCAAAACACTCGGCCTCTGGTAGTTCCGCCACTGTCCAAGGCAGACTCCTACTTGACCCCTAACGATGCAACCAGCCAACTAGTCGGTGTGACCAGCAGCTGGATTGATCTGTGCTCGCCAGACCCATTGATTGCTGACCTGTCTCGTCAAGTGTTAATGCTTGAGGTTGCGTACGCTGCATTCTGTGGAATTGGATATCTCTTGATCTCCGGGCCAAAATTACACCATGGTGCATTGCATTCCGAAGGAGTAATCTACTACGCGCGTACCGTTCAGGATGCGTTGAGCCTTGGCCCCTACATCCAATTCCACATCTGGCTGCAGATGGTTGACAACCCCGAGGTCGAGGTTGATACTGTGGGTGATCTTGCACCGCTTGCTAGAGCAGAGTACTTGGAGCCAGATGAGGGTGCTTCGCTTAAGGTCGATCCGTTTGGAACCTGGGATGCGTGGGATGCAATCCGAAAGACTTGCAAGTATCATACAAGACTATTTGTTGGTAAGTAGCTGCATTATCATCTTCTCTCAGAAAGGCTAACGTGGAACATAGCTCTCGCAATGCCTAAGCAGCTTCCATCTCTATATGTGCAGTCCCGATGGCACTCAGAACCTGTGCACCTGCTCACGATTGACTCTTCCTCATTCTTGAAGAACCAGAAGGGATACCCAGTCCTGGCAAAATCACACCAGGCGTTGATTGCCAAGATGATGCGTCTTCGAACCGCGCCATGGATTCTTTTGTGTGGTGTTGGTCCTATTCCTGGACTTGAAGGCATCGATAGCTCTAACCAGTCTCGACTGTCTGGATCTGATTATCCAAGTCTGTCCCAGGCGAACAAGAAGTACAACGACCCAACCCCCCATTTGTCTTATATTCGGAACCTTCAGCAACGCCAGCCTCCGCGCACTGCCATTGAGCGTTTCGGTGTGGGATACCAAGACTATTTGCAGGCACCTTTGCAGCCCTTGACGGTCAACCTGGAGAGCATCACTTATGAAGTGTTTGAGAAAGATCCCATCAAATATGAGTGGTACGAAAAGGCGATCACCAAGGCATTGAGGGATTGGGCGGACCAGAAGAAGCCCACATCCCACCCAGATGGCAAGGTAGTTCTCGCTGTTGTCGGTGCTGGTCGAGGACCGCTAGTTACTAGAGCACTTAAAGCTAGTGCGGCAGCTGGTGTCGAAATCGATATGTGGGCTGTGGAGAAGAATCAGAATGCGTTCGTGTTGCTGCAGCGCCACAACGAAACAATCTGGGATAACAAGGTCACTCTTGTTCAATCTGACATGCGCAGTTGGAAGGGCCCTCTGGTTCGCCCACAGCAGACCAAGGGTACTCAGGAGCCCGTCGGGGATACCTTGGGAATTGAGGACTCCTTGCTCTACACCCCGAAAAAGGGAGCAAATGACCCGGGCCGGACAACTGAATCCAAGGGACCGGGCATGACACACACCCATGTGGACATTATCGTATCGGAACTGCTTGGATCCTTCGCTGACAATGAGCTTTCCCCCGAATGTCTGGATGGTGTGAATGATCTCATCAACCCAACCCATGGAATCTCCATTCCAGCATCATACTCCGCTCACTTTACCCCGGTTTCTGCTCCTAAACTGCACGCCGATGTTGTGCACCAGACCGTCTCCAACCCCGCGGCTCCGGAGACACCATATGTTGTGATGCTCCACGCTATTGATTTCCTGTCCACCACGGATTCACCTACTGGTGGTGAAAGCTCAAACGCCAACAATGGAAATCGGGCATCTACCCCATCGGCATCATTCACTGCCACCGAATTCCCCACTCCGAATGTACAGACCGCCTGGTCTTTCTCCCACCCGAACCTCCACATTCCTCCCCAATCCCCCATGCAGTCTACCATCTCGAATGCACACAATGTGCGTCAGACCCGTCTGTCCTTCCCTGCCCAGAACCGTGGCGCATGCCATGGCTTGGCTGGTTACTTTGAGACAGTGCTTTACGGTGATGTGGAGCTGTCTACCAATCCCGTGACCATGGATGCCAAGAGCGCAAGCATGATCAGTTGGTTCCCTATCTATTTTCCCTTGAAGGTGAGCTTCAATTTACACTCCTTATCATGTGTCTTGCTTTTATACTAATGTTTCTGCCCAGACTCCTCTCAATGTTCCCGAAAATGGCGAGATTGTCGTTACCATGTACCGCCAAACTGATGACCGTAAGGTCTGGTATGAATGGATGGTTGAGGTATACGCACTCGAGCGCACATCCACGCCTTCGGTCAAGGCTACCCCTGCTGCGGGCAACTCGCGGGTTGGATCTCCCAGCGTCGATAACCTGAAGCCCAAGGACAACGCCGGAAAGCCAAACTCCCGATCTGGCTATCGCCGGGTGAGAGTTGGAATTAGTGACTTGCACTCCAGCATCAAGGATGGATGCTTAATGTGAAATGCGAGGGAAAAAGTATGACAAAGTCTTATGAGACTTTCGTTCGGTCAATACTGCCTACATGTAGACAATTAGGAAATTTTTGGTCCGTCCGAATAGAATCTCAATCTATATATGTAGGAGCGGAAACCTCGTGTTTGAGTTGGCAATAGAGTGTATCTGCATGGTTTGTAAAGATTGAGGTATACGGGCTGAGGATGCTAGGATATTGTTTGCTATACCCAAAGCATCATGTCTCAACCTAACCGAGCTCTACAGCGAGATCACCCATGGACAAGATGCATTATCGTCTATCATGTCTGGCTATGAGCCTTGAACAATATCCTTATGTAACTTGGTGCCAAGATATAGATATAACTAATTGAGCATAGTGAAATATCCTAGGCGTCTGCTGAGCCGTAAAATTTGACAGTATGGAGCGACATAGATGGAACTCATACCACCTTGATTTGCAACTAATGAATTTGCATAAGGCATTCTCTTGGCCAAATTCCGATGTCCAGGTTCAGGTAAAAAGCGCCTCATTTGACGCACTATCCCTCTAGTGCTTATGCTAGTCCACGATCTTTCGTTTCATTTAGTCGATATCTTCGATCTCTATTCGAAATACAAGGTGCACATCTGAAATCTCTAACAGAATGATTCGTCCATAATTAACAGAAGACCTCAAAACTTCACATGGGCCTGATATGCAAGGCAGAGAGAGTTTCAAGAATCCGGGCCGAGTAGTTCCCGAGGTTGGCCAAACTTAACAATACCAACCCATCCCTCTCTTCAGTGCAACTTCAAAAGCACATGAAAGTATCCTGCGATCTTCTCGGATGTCTCACTTGCTCTGATATCAACGGAGCATTCGCCCGGAATGAGTAAACTTACCGACCCACCCCACCGATGACCACGGTTTACCGATCGCCAAGCTCGATCATGTGGATCCGACGGTTCGTCATCGGCGTTTTTTGGTGGCTTAAGTCAAGCCTGTGATCTGAACTTTGTCAATCATGGCCTGGTTTGGGAGTATTCCCCGGGAGGCCGAGGTTCAGCTGAACTGACGTCCACGGTTTATCAATCGGGCCCTAACGGTTTGCACCGGTATCGCTGGCATATTAACCATGTGCGCGTTGTTTGATACCAGGTACGGCACCGAAAACCCGAGGATCATCCTCCACGAGGTCGAATGGCGTATTTTCTCCGCGCTCTTTTTCGGAGACAAGCCTTATGGTCCCGTGGAATCGGGGTAAATCCCATGCAGGAACTGTACGGATCCGCCGGTTGCGGAAAATGCAAGAAAACATAAAGTGGATGTTTCCCCGGGGCCATTTTGCTCTGCAGTCTCGTTCAATTACAGGCATTGACTCCAATTCACCATGCGTTTATCTTCGTTCACTGTCCTGTCCGCTGTGGCTGCATTGGGCTATGCCCTCCCGAGTGCTGTGCAGACTCGCGGTATGTCACATCTATTCCCTGCATTATACGTGACGATCAAATTCCTCACACATAAGCAGATGTTCCCTCCGATGAGCTGAGCCAGTTCAAGTTTTGGGTCCAGTATGCTGCGGCATCATACTGCCAGACTGATTATACTGCTCAAGTCGGCACCAAGGTCAGCTGTACGACGGGCAACTGCCCTGATGTTGAGGCAGCCGGTGCTACAATCATCTATGACTTTTCCAAGTATGCCAATCGCACCTTTACGCATAGTATCAATGCTTACACATATACCTCCAGCACCACTGCCACCGATACAGCCGGCTATATCGCTGTAGACGACACCAACAAGGCCGTTGTAATCGCCTTCCGCGGTTCTTACTCAGTGCGCAACTGGTTTGCCGACGCTTCATTCCCCTATGTCGACCCCGGTCTCTGCGGTGGCTGTTTCGCTGAGCTGGGCTTCTGGAGCTCCTGGACGAACGTCCGCGACGACGTAACCGCACAGCTCGAAGATGCTCTGTCTCAGAACCAAGACTATGATCTGGTTATTGTGGGCCACAGCCTCGGCGCTGCCGTTGCAACTCTCGCCGCCGCCGATCTCCGTACCAAGGGTCACGAGTCAGCCAAGCTGTACGCCTTTGCCTCGCCCCGTGTGGCCAACCCTACCCTGGCGAAGTTCATCACTGCGCAAAACAACAACTACCGCTTCACTCACCAGAACGACCCTGTTCCAAAGCTGCCTGTGATTGCTATGGGCTACGCTCATGTCAGTCCGGAATATTGGATCACATCTGCTGATAACACAACTGTCACCGCTTCTGACATCGATATTGTTGATGGTATACTTAGCTTGGATGGAAACACTGGAACTGGTGTGCCCTTGATCTCGGACTTCCATGCCCACCACTGGTACTTTGGGAAGACCGATGATTGCTTGAATGATGATCTGCCTTTCAAGCGCTAATTTTGGGATTTTATTGGTTTCCTGTTTGATATGATATAATGTTAGTATAGAGGGGCCATAAGATCGGCCTCGGTTTCTTGTATAGATATACTTGTACTAGACGTCTGCATATACCTTTGTTTTCAGTTTCAAGCTCATGTGGAAAGTCCATCTAGGACTCAGTTTGCTGATCTGCTGAGGTGCGTAGACATTGGCTTTCCCTTTTATGGAAGGAAGATTACGCGTGAATCAATGAACGTCACTTAGCAAGGAGGAAAAATACACAAAGCGGGCATCCAATGCCGAATGGAGTGACCTCATTCTTTCAATGCCCTTTCCAAAAACAGATATTAGGGGAGAAACATGCTCTTCGCAACGGCCGACTTCGATTCTCTTTCTATTCCATTTTCATAGCCATTTTTGAACGCGTTTTTGAAGCTGGAGGATTCAAACTACAGGTAGATTTAGCGATTAACCATTGCTATGGGCCAACCTAAGAATGAAAAGCAACAGCTTAGACATTGATAGCTTACGTTATGACACCGGATAGGGCTGTCTGATACGGCCTTCAGCTTAAACCTTTAGGTTTAACAGTGTAGTGGTGGAACCGGTGACAGTATAGGGCAGTCGGGTTGAAAATACTATGAAACGCGGTTACTGAATGACTATCAGTGATATTGACAACTTCGGTCTAGGGCTAAAGTCGCTTAACACTCAGTAGACATGTAGACCTACTAGGTACTTGATGCTTAGCTTCTTCATACACCTGAACACAATCAATATCTACCTCGGGATTCACTAGAAGATGTACTAGCTATATTAGCCTATTCAGAGCCATTTCAATTGGTTGCGGCCTTGCCTACAGGAAAAGCCTATGCAGGCAGTGGGTTTGTTAGTGTTTCTCCCTATGCTGTCAACCCGTCTGCATAGCCGGACTACTATCGAGCTATGCCTATTTCAATAAGACATATTACTATAGCTTTATATCTTAACTATCCACTATATGTAATTCTTCTAGTCAAATTGCTAAATAAAGTGTAGGTAATGAGTATTACCTAATCTTCTACTAACGTAGTGAAGCCTGTGACAGCATAGGATTGTTAACCTGAGGTAACAGTGCTTGGGTTTCATTTCGCATGCTAGTTACGATCTTAGCTTCTTCTTGTATCAAAATGATCAGCTTTTTCGCCCCAAGATTCCTATTCAGGATTAGTAGTCCTTCTTCAGCATTCTCCTACCCACTGTCACCCAAGGCACCACCCTGCTTAGACCTGTCGACAGCCAAGCTCCTTTCAAAGCAGTATCCAGACTGCACCTTGCGCTTGGAAGCATTTGCTGTGTGGGTATTTATAAGCCTGCTATCGTCCTGCCTGCTCTGTAAGATGGCCATCATACCAACCCCATTTCACCCTTCATTTATCGGGGCATATTGACTACACATACAGTATTAGCTTTCGTTACAATGCCAGTTATATTACTACTTATACTACTATTGATTCATACTTCTAGCTTCACTTCTGGCTTCACTACTACTGTCACTACACGCCTCAATATCAATACATTGAGGCAGGGTTCAAAAGGTAAGTTGGTTAAACCAATAATAGTACATATAGCAGTAAAAAGGCCAGTGAGAGAGCGGATTTCACCACCGGCGTATTGGACTGCCGTATACCGGAAATTTATTTCGAATATCAAAAAAGGGTTTACTTAATTGATTCTTTCCCTTGCTTATTTCACCCCAAGACACAAGCAATACATATACAAGCGAAGGCTTAAGTGACTCATGAATGATCAGGAGAGTGAAAGCAGTTTTTTCCGTGAATCTGAACGCTGATTATAAGCTGACTGTCTATAAAAAGTTCTCAGAGGTAATGAATGATAGAACTTAGATTCTTCCAACCCACACGCAGCACGCAAGAAGACCGACTTGCTTTGCCCAAGTTCAGAAGATTGACTCCTTTCCAACTCAACTTCCCCAACAATTTCTTCTTCTGCCGTTTTTACACCCTGCAACCGAGCTTGGCCAGGCCAAAATCTCGACATCAGACGTCTTCCGTCCTCAACCAACCTAGCGTCAAGCCAACACAATGTCGGACCCCTTCAAGTCGCCAACAAAGGACCTGTACACTGCGTTGAGTGCTGCTGACACTCGCCTCATCCTCTACGGAAGTATTTGTTATGAGGGATCTAAGGTTGGTACCCGAACACAAGATATCTGCCATCTGCTAACACGTTATTCTTCACAGCTGGATACCGAAAAACTCGCCCTCCTTGCAGGCATGAAGCCAATCTCCGCAGGCAGCAACTACTTGCGTGCCCGGCGTCGTCTCGAGAAAATCGTCGGTGGACATAGCTCGGATGCATCTTTACCCCCCACGAAGACCAAGAGTCGTGCCCCCGCAAAGCGACGGGCCACCAAAAAGGCTTCCAAGGTCACTGCTGCCGAGAACAACGATGATACTGAAGTCAGGTCTGAGAACTCTGAGAATCTTCTGACCACCACTTCTCCCAAGCGCCGCAAGATCGCTACCCCCGACGACAACACGGACGCCGAAGTCACCTCTCCTGCCCCCAAGCGCCCCAAGACCGATATCCACGACGAATACTACTCTCCCAACGAAGAAGTTACCCCTGTTCTTGAGCGCTGCAAGACCGCTATCCTCGCCGACGAGTACTTTGAGGCCGACGTGACCATCAAAGATGAATACTCTAGCGAGTGACTGACCTTCCATGACGACGCTATGTCCTGTTCTAGCCAATGAGAATGGGACAGCACTAAGGGCACCGGATATTTGATTTGAACGAACACAAGAAAATACGAATCGCAAAAACCGGGGGAACGTTAATGGAAACTACGGCTTCGGATGGGCATCAGATATCTTGTTTTGAGAGCGAGCACAAGAAACCAGAAACGGACAAAAAATGGGGGAAGCTAGTTAATGGTACCTATTGCTCCGGATCAGCACCCGATCTGACCGGGAAGTCACAGCCACGGAGGACGTGCGGAAATGGAGGACATCAGAGTTATCTCCTGTTTCAGAGACATGGCTAGGGTTGTATTGCTTAGGAAACAACCGCACCGGTAGTGAATCCACAGAATCGGTGAAATAACTTTCTAGTAAAAGCGAAGGAATGTAGCTCCCTTTCCCTTATCTCATTGCGTCCAAGGAACCATGATAATTGAATTCCTGGAGTTCGCAGTAAGATTCAACTATCCTGGTACCAGGTATACGTAGTCCAGATCCTTGGATTGTCCAAAATTCTCCGGTTTCGAAGCCGCTTCGCGGAAAAAGAATCGTAGCTGTAGCTTGGCAAGCAAGACAGACAACCGGGACTGGTAAGAGCACAATGTAAATAATGAATCGAACTAATTTTGTTCACAGTATATTAAAAGAAATTGCCCCTGTTGTGGACTGCAATTGGTCAAGACTCGAAGTCGCGCTAACAATGCAGTTATTCCAGACTCCCAAACGCTAGGAATGATTGCGGGAATAAAACTGACAAGGGTACGACCATGTAAAGCAACTGAAAGGCTGAGACGTTCTCCGCGATCATCGACTGTGGCGAAAGGATTCAGAAAATTTTTACAATCGTGGAGGTTGAATGACACCCAAAAAGTTCGCACATGCAGACGGCCCCGTCTCATCTACGAACACCCTGGTCGAAAAGTGGATAGTCACTAAAGCGCAAACAATTATGTTCCGGAACTCATTTTCAGTCCATGTGGGTGCTAAGGTTGCATCCTACATGGTTTGTGACAAACTGCATGGCTACGTGGGCGCCTTGGCTTGCAAAGCCAATAAGCCTCTAGAACACTGCGCTTGTTCCTTGGACCCAGTATAAGTTCTGATCTTTCTGAGACAAACTCTAAACTCCAGTTCGAAGGATGCTCAAAGCCTCATACAATATGCGAGAACAGCGCACAGCGTCCTTGATTACCTTGTCCCTCCCACAAGCGTGATGCATCCCGAATTGAAGAATACCTGGACCCCCGCAGTCAATGTCTTGACCTGGTTCATGCTAGTGACGGCGATTTTGAGTGTCTTAACTCGGCTTGGGACAAAGTATCTCTTCTTTCGCAAGTTTACCTTCGATGATGGACTTGCCGCGGCATCGATCGTCTTTTGTATCGCGGAGTCCATAGCAGTGTCTCTGGCGACGGCAAATGGCCTCGGTCAGCACTACAGGCTGTTGGCTGAGATCAAGGTGGACAACATGATGAAGGTACGAGCCCTACTGGGTCTCTTTTCATGAGATACTAATGTGACGGATGCCCTTAGTCTGAGTTCGCCGCGATCATTCTATTCATTGCCAGCATATGTTGCTCCAAACTGTCGTTGCTGGTATTTATCCGCAATCTGACTCCGGCATCCTTGGACCGTCGCTTTGCTCTTGTGCTGGGAATATTGATTGGACTCTGGGCCATCATCGGCATTATCACGGCTTCGTTTCAGTGCCATCTGCCGCGCACTTGGGACTACATGAACGGGACTTGCTTTGATCGGGTTAGTTGTTATGCTCTGAATCCCAGAGCAATTGCTAACGGTGCCAGAGCGCTTGGTGGAACTATCTCGGGATCACAAACGTTTTATCAGAGGCTGGAATCATTGCTCAAGCCTTGCTAGTCATCATTCGCATCCAGACAGACTTCCGCAGAAAGGCTGGCCTTTTCAGTGTATTCTTCATCCGAGTCGTGTACGAGGTCAAGATTGTTTTTTCCGATGAGCATCACTAACTAACCCTTTGGTTACCTATATAGTGTCGTTGTCGCGATCATTTGCCAACTTGTCTACGCCAGCAAGTCATTTTCGTCGGAAGACCCATCGTTGGATACCTGGACAGTCGCCGTCTCTACACAGATGGCCCAAGCATTGAGCATAGTCACGGCGTGCTCCCCACAATTCAAGCCTTTCCTAGACAATCTGCGGTCGTCCGGGATGAGTCTTGAAATGTCGAGCTCCAACGGCTATGGTAGTAAGCACAAGACCTACGGCATGACTACCTTCAGAGCAACCCGTCGGACTCAGGACACTCGAAGCGAGACCCATGAGCTCGTCTCAATGCCGCGCGAAGGAACCCACCACACGTTGGTCACATCGGCGCCGGACGACGATGCCGAAAGCCAGTCTAGCCAGTCTCACATTATCGTGGAGACTCGGACTTGGACTGTGACCGAGGACCTTCGGCAATGAAACCAAAACACGCAAGCGCGGACCAATATAATTTTATGGTATGAACTATGCATCGTGAAACGCGGGCTAGACTCCCTAAACCTGCCACTTTGTATATAATTTTTAGTAACAGAAATCCCCACAGACCACAATGTCACAAGCCAATTTGTAGATTCTAGAATACCCGGGGCTAAGGTACTGCAACATTAAGACAAGGATCTCATGTTATCCACTTGCGCTAGTCGCAGCGAAGGATCTAGCGTGCATATTTAGCGCCATCCGCTTAGCCGTTCGGGGCCGAAAGTCAGAGTTTCCTCTCAACCTTCCACCTGATTGGCCTAGGCGCAAACCCTCTATGCAATGGTTTCTGGGCGTTCCAGATCTGGCTATCCGTACGCCTTATGTTGCATCAGCTCATTCCACTGTGAAACCAATAATCCTAGTGGCATCTTGCCCTTGCTAGCTTTCTTCATGACCCCTGACCATGTGGACAGCGCATGGAGATGGCGTTACCCACATGCAAGCATGGTGCAGGTTTAAAATATTTTCTTCCTGCGTTAGACGTTCTGAACTTGTGACCTAGCTTTGCTTTTTTCTCTGACATCCTGGCATCCTCGCACTAAGGATGCCGTCTCAGTACTCTAAGCAAATGTCGACCTCGGGTATGCAGGAGATCGACCCTCCGACCAGCAAGGAGCTGGACGATGCCAATTTGGCACGGATGGGCAAGCGCCCCGTTCTGAAGGTTGGATCTCGTCGAGGACGTGAATTGTGATCGGGACTGACTGAAACAGCGAAACTTTGGATTGATGTCCATGCTTGGTTTCAGTTGTACAATTCTGATTACGTGGGAAGGAATTGTCGTGTGAGTGATTTTGACTCCCAGGATATGTCTATACATTGGAAGTGCGCTAACGTATACTCCATAGCCTTTTCTTGCAAGCATACCAGAAGTAAGGACCGATCCCGACCATCGCGAGCGCAGTACTGACGATGTTTCTCAAGTGGTGGCCCGGCTGGTGCAGTATATGGATTCCTGTTCGTGTGGGCAGGTGTCGCAGCGACATTTGTGATCCTTTCTGAGCTAGTATCAATGTAGGTGTCAAATTCTTCTCTTGTGGCGCATACAACGGAGACTAACTCGCTATAGGGCACCGACATCTGGAGGCCAGTACCACTGGTGTTCAATGTTAGCACCTCCATCTTGGATGAAATTACTGAGTTACTTGACAGGTGGGTTGGAAGATACAAGAGCATGATCGATCCTGGATTCTAACATGAACCACAGGCTGGCTCACAGTCATCGGATGGCAAGCAACATTCGCAACCTCGTGCTATCTGGTCGGTACCCTGATTCAAGGCTTGATCGCATTGACAAACAATGACTACAACCCAAAGAATTGGCATGGAACTCTACTATACTGGGCTGTAGTTGCCTTCTCTGTCGGCATCAACAGCGTCGGAGGCAAAGTTCTTCCCCGTTTTGAGGGCATGATTCTGGTCCTTCATATTCTGGGATTCTTCGCGATTCTCATCCCCTTGACCTACATGGCCGACCATGGTAACGCCAAGGAAGTATTCACTGATTTCCTCAACTTGGGAGGATTCCCAACTCAGGGACTTTCCTTCTTTGTTGGCACGGTCGGTTGCATCTTCGCATTTGCAGGGGGTGATGCGGCAGTTCATGTGAGTTCTTTCTTCTCTTTCAATCAAACTTCAGAGCCGGACTGACTTGATCGTGTCTCCAGATGTCCGAGGAAATCACCAATGCCTCGGTCGCCGTCCCGCGCTCGATCATGCTTAGTGTCCTGATAAACGGATCAATGGGATTCGGTATGCTGATTGCCATGCTCTTCTGCATGGGTGATGTTGAGGAAGCTCTCAAGTCAACCACGGGATACCCCTTCATGGCTATCTTCAAGCAGGCAACGGGCTCCACAGCTGGTACTACCGTCATGGCTTCTATCGTGACCACCATGGGTGCTACCACTTCGGTTGGCATGCTAGCATCTACATCCCGCCAATTCTGGTCATTTGCCCGTGACCGAGGTATTCCTGGTTGGAGAGTCTGGAGTCAGGTATGTTCTTATTTCAACCCAATTTCGCCCCTACCCCAATTCACACCCAGCTAATGATAGCAGGTCACCGAGAAATCAGCTGTGCCATTGTACTCAGTGATTCTCACATCCGTGGTCGCTTGCCTGCTGGCTCTTATCAACATCGGTTCTCCGGTCGCGTTCAATGATCTATGCTCTATGTCCATATCTGGTCTTTACCTATCCTACATGGTTGTCGGCAGTCTTCTTCTCTGGCGCCGTTGCACTGGCGGTATCAGCTCCAACCGCAGCAGTGACTCGGCTGTCGTCAACACCGCGGGCGCAAAGCTCGTGTGGGGTCCGTTCCATATCCCCGGTATCTGGGGCATTCTGATCAATGTCTGGGCTTTGATTTACATGACCATCGCTGTCTTCTTTACCTTCTGGCCAACAAGCTGGGTGGTGGATGTTCAGACCATGAACTTCAGTGTGGTTGGAACTGTAGGAACTATTATCCTCAGTCTTGTGTACTACTTTGTCCGTGCGAGAAAAGTCTATGACGGACCCGTCATGGAGAATGGTTTGTAAGAAAGAACAAAAGAAATGATACTGAGTTGCAGTATCTCGTGGGGCTCGAGCTGTACATAATTTGGAATCCCTTGGAGCGACGATACTCGTGGTCATGCTTTGTTACATGAAAAATGTTGATAATATCACGATGGTCTTAAGTCCTTCATAGACCTACCTCTATATAATCTAATTAATTCTCCCAAGGCGCTTGAAAATGAGTAAAAAGGAGGCGAACAGGAGGGCAAGTTACGGCTCAAACATGCATGCAATACAACGGTGGTCAAAAGTCCTTTCCCAGCCCTAATTTTTATGTGATCTGAATGGCTCACCCGAGGCTCTTTAAATATGGGTGGCAAGAAGTGGAAAAGAAGCATAAGAAGAGAGGCTAACTTAGGTAGTAAATAATGCATGAAGTGGCACACCCAGTTTGAGGATTTTGTAAAGAAATTGTCCAATACCCATTGCACTGGGAACAAACTGAGAGCTCCTGTTGTAGTACAATAACTACGATGGTCTCGTAAAGAGATTGTCTGACACTTCATAACACTGCCAGCAGGCTTCTATTGTGTGACACCTCGAACCAGACACTAATGGCATCATAACGAACCATAACAAGAGCCATACCAGGACATAAGAGGCTGCAACATAATTATCAGCCTTGTAACCAAGTGATATGACATATATCATCTGGATGGACAAAGATTAGAACAGTGTCAGTGCGTAAAGTCATGATGCATGCCCAGATGCAGATCGGCAACCGCTCCTCGGACGTTGACCGAGCTGCCAGAATTAAGGTACAAGCTTAAATTTTAGGTTCCCGAGCTGTCAGCATGTTAAAAAGATCAACAGAAATGCTTAAAATACCTGATTCCTTGACTGACATTAATTCAATTATCCTCGTTTGGCTTTGAAGACTGTGACGCCCGGTTTTAGACATTAAATTAATGTACGTACAGTGATCAAATCGCAATTAGAACTTTGACCGTCGCAAATTAATAGATCAATCTATCAAACCAAGATAGCCGCTCGGCTGATAATTACATTGCAGCGTTCCATGGTGAATGCAGATCTAGGTCTATCCAAATCGACTGGTTCTAGATGCAGGGCTAAACTTACTCGGGGCATTTTGTTCAAACTACCTGTTTGAACGTACTGTAGAATGGGTGGTAAGATGTAGTCTATTTTTGAGTGTTGTATAAAACATGCAATGAAATGTTATCATAGCATAAATTCACATGATGGACGTGTTTGCGTAGCCTGTAAAGCGCTCATTGCACAGGAATTTGTCTCGAACCGGCTTTTGCCGTAGTATCATGGTATGAAAACAAGAAAACAACATAAAAAACTGAAAACATCCAAGAAATTGAAACATGATTGCTCATCGATGCTTAGATGAGCGCGAAAAACGAAGGTATTGGTATATAAAAACACGCTTAGATGCAACAAAGGGTAGCGACTGGAAGGTACGCAATGCAAAGTCTCAGTGATGAGTAGATTGAAGGTGGCTCATACTTATATTATCGTATGATAACCCGTGCGCGGGAGGCCATGAGTACAAGGACAGTTCCTGGGAAAGAAAATCAGTACAAGGATTCTGGTTTTCGAGGTAAACATGGGTGTAACTCACAGGGCTCTCAGGCTTAGTCAAAATTGGATCCATCTCAATTGTCTCCGCAGTCCACATTGTAGGATTCATCTGCTGATGAGACAATGCGAAAGCCTCGGGCCTGAGGATGCTGCGGAGGTATTGGTCGATGTTAGTAACCAACTCGACGGGAAGACCCGAGGCAGGGTATTGAATGGAATGATCGGTATATGTATCGTTTGATAGCGGGGAGCTGGATCTCTCATTTGTGTATGAGTAAGGAGAACTGTGTCCATCGACCGATACTGGAGAGTGGCGCTGACTTTGAGCTGGTGAATACTGGGAGTATGTCATAGAAGAATCCATGCTTCCCCATGTTCGAGAGTAGCCGTTTGGCTCAAGCTGAAAAGGCATGGGAGATGAATGAATGGTGTGCGACTGCATCTCCTGGATACTCGATGGGCGAGATGATGTGTCGCTTTTCGCGCAATATCTTCCGACTGTAGGGGATGATGAGGAGCTGTCATGGCCATTAGCCTTCTATTTCAATCATAGAGCATCGCAGTGATACTCACTGTCGAGACATGTGCTGTGTTAAGTAGTCGGGACGGTGGAATGCCTTTCCGCACCCGGGATGTGCGCAAGTATATTGCCTCCTCGATTGGTGGCTGAGTTCATGGCGTCTGCGGTGCTCGGCTCTGGTAAAGACCTGGAATAGGTTAATACCGAGACCTATCAATTTTTTGGGCAATTACCTTTGGACATCCAGGGTACTCGCACATATGTACTCTCTTGCCCTTCAGAGCCCTGCTGACGCGGCTAGAATTTGATAAAGACGACGAGCGTGCCTTATTTTGTTTACTCATACATATTTCCGATTCCTGAGAGTCGCCGTTGAGGATCTGGGAAGTATCGAAAGGTCGAGTATTGTAGGATGTTAAAGGCGCGTCATAGGGGTTGGTGAGGGGAGACATGTTGGCACGAATCTCGAAGTATACAAGCTGCGTGGCTTGAGTCAACCAAAGAGGGATGAATTTAGTAAGGTTTTTAAGTTTAGATGTGAATGATGAGAGTATCTCTGCTGAGGAAACGACGAGAGACGTTGGCTTTATGATAAGAAAGAAATAAGCTGGGGGTAAAGCTCGGAGGGACCCGCTAGGAAGGAAGACCCACGGGCTAAACAGACCCCAAATGATCAATCTTTGAAAGCGAACTATCACCAAACAGTCAAGAGGAGTACGCCTGAAACGGACCCGAGAAATGCCTGGTGATTTTGATTTTCAGCCCACACGGTGATATCAAGTTAGAACAATGGCCGGTAAATTTTAGTCCTGTTGAACATGGGGATCATCCCCTTCCTAGCAGGCGATCAGAGCCTCAGACTCGACTTGGCTGCACATGTTGAGGTATTCTCATTGGTTCCCACCATACTGGTCGTACACTTTACATGTTAAAGATATAGGGTTGCGGTGTGAGTCTTCGTCTTTCACCTAGGCATCAATCCTACACATCTGAAAACGAGATACCTCGTCGTGACAACCAGGTCAACTTTGGCAGTGGGGCGATCCGAGTTCAAAATTATCAAACACGGCCCCATCTAGACAGCGCTTGTTATTACTATATTCACTGTAAAATCTGCAGAGCTGCGCGAGGCTGTGAAGTTATTTTTGCTTTTGGCAACACGATGGAGGACAGCCCTGTACAGCTAGTGTCGCAACTGTTACCAGCATTGATCAATGTGGGCTGAGTTATGAAAACCAACACTTAAAACCTGATCTAATTGGCTGGAACAAGCTGTCGGAAAAAGGGCGCGGTGCCCATATCGCTTCCGAGAGGTCGATCAGCGCCGGAATGGTTCAGAATGGATGATCTACAGCGGGTCTCGAGCATTGAGGAACTTCCAGAGGCTCAACACGCCCGGGCAAGGTCCACTTGATGTCCAAGTTGCATGTACGCGCAGAAACATAGGGGTATTCCGTGCCCTAAGTCGCGTCCCCACTTCCGAGCTTATGTCCGGTACTTCCGAGTCTACGAGGAGACAATACATTGTCTGCATTCTTTGCAGACTAAGATGGTCCCTCAAAGACCAGTGTGTCTTCAGCCTCTTGTGAGCCTTACGGGCTACAACTATAGGGGATTTCCAAATGACACCGACCCGCGATCTGCCATGACCCACGGGAACCGGATCTGGTGTTACATCAGGGAGGAGCCGTAGCCGTCGTGGGGGCCAAATGGACTGTTGGCCCATGCGAGTGCAATATATTTAGATATCCAAAATAATTTCAAATAGGAAAGAGACTTTTGTTCCTGTCATGAACGGCCATCGGCAATCATATGCAATTTTTCGTTCCGACAGGCATCTTTCCCAGCTTTGGCGGCCGCACCAAGCCTTATTTCGAGGGTTTAATAAGCCTTGATCAGTGCGGAAAATTAATAGGTTGATCGTCATAGCAATGATTGAAGTTCAAACATTGCCCCCTCCTCATGTTGATTCGGATTATTGCTAGCAATGCCTTCCTTGGGTCCTGACTCAAGCAAATTATGCACCACCTGAAATAACCCAGCATGTAAATCTTGTCAAATGCTAAGAATAGCTATCTTCAATAATTTACCATGATCTCGCTGCCTCAAAGTTGCGGCATCAAGATTAACGTGTAGATAAACAACCTTAACGTGTTTTTTTTTTTTGGTGGCTCAGCCAACTGTCTACTGTATCGATAGGGTTAACCAAAATAACCCCAACAATGAGGCCCACTTGCTTGCACGCGAACCTCGGAGAGTTTGATATTGACGTTAGAACCAAGGCAATTCCAAATGTGAACAAAAACAAGCTTCAATTACTGGCCTCAGAGACGGGTGAGTATAATTATTTCCCCCACATCCAAAAGAGTTTCGCTCATGCCAGAGGCTTGAGGAGGGTGGGAGATCAGCATCACTGGTCCTAGCTCAAGCAACAAGTGGGGTTAAAAATCGATTCCAGTGAGGCTGGTCCTCTTAAACTCCGACCCGGGATGGGGTTATGTTGGTTACCCACTTGACCGGCCTCTAACGGGGTTTGACGATCGAATCCCTGTGCTTTTGAAACCAAGGGCTTACCGATGTTGGAATGCTCAACTTCCAAATGGGTAGACCCCACGAATCAGGCCGCATCGCTCACTAGTCAATGCCCCAAATATGGGGCTGTTTATTTTTGACTCCTGCCTATTAGGGACGTTTGACACATGGTTCTCTGTATATGATTTTCATGTCACTCGATTCGGATCAAGGGTCATCGCGTTCTTTTTTTATCACTTGATGTCACGTTACTCAGCATTCTGCCTTGCGGGATGTTTCAGGTTTGTAGGGCTGAGTGGCCATGTGAGTGATAATGAGATCGAGCCCAGTTCTACTTGATCCTCGATCCCTTCTTGAACCCTTGATTAGATAAAGATATATATAGCCAATTGGACCCCAAATGACATCCCAGCGCTCTAATTTTCCCGCCTATTATCTTCTAACAATTCGGGCTGCGACTTCTCTCTAGCAAATGCCGAAGTACCGAATCATTTCCAAAGCCCGACCGTGGTCTGCATGAGATCATTTATTCAGGAATGCTTTCTTATCTTCTGATATACTAGTCGCCAGTGTTGCGTCCGGTGTACCTTCCATAGGCATCTTGACTTGTCTGCCCGTGGCGCTCTCGTGTTCCTTTTACTTGTACATGTGATGAAGCTATTTAGTATGCATTAGACAAGCGCAGCTTTGATATGAATACTTGCTATGTTTATGCCCCATGTAGACCCTGTGGTTTTTATGCTTGCTTGGTATTTCAAAACGCACATAATATTTTGCCCAAGTTCATCAATGTAGGCTAACACTTCGCCGACTTCGTACAAAACAGTCAGAGATATGTGTTGACACACGGCTGGAAGAAATATCGTAGCAATCATAAGCGAAATTTATACAGCCATGTGCTTTTTCGGTTGGCAGACAGTACCTAGCTAAGGACTCCTATACTTATAGAAGTTCTTGCTTTGATCATGAGTACATGAAAGGGTCTACCAGCTGAATGGTGTGATCTCTAGCCACCAAGATGCCATTCTCACCACCACGCTTGGCAGTTCTTAACCCCTCACAAAACTACCTAGAACTTCGAGATAAACATCACTAAATATTTGGCAAGATGATGCAACTTAGTGCCAAGCTGCTGGATGCGATAAAGTGCAAATTTCAAGGAAAGATAGACCGACAAATAACACCGCTAAGACGAGTATAAAGAGAGATAATCTGCGCCAAATCCAGCGCATCCTGAGCGCCCAGCGACGGAAATCTCAATAATACTGCCCTCGGTTATTTGGATTGTCAATATGTCGACGGTATACTCCGCGAAGAAAAGCCCCCAAGAATACGTCTCATCTGTTCTGGACGGGACGGACTCCTCCGCCAGCCTCGACATTGCGCCCCTTGGCGAGCCAAACGAAGAGTGCCGCTTCTGGTTCCAACGAGGAAAAGGTTATAACTCTGAGGCAGTGGCGACTCAGCCTTCAGTTTTTGACGACCCCGATACTGCGAAAGCATACCAGCCCCGCGCGGACTGGGAGAATTTGCATCGATTTGACCCATCTGCGCGGTGGACATGGGGCGAAGAATATAAGTTGATTCGGAAGATAGATGTGCGGATTATGATTTGGACTTGTCTCATGTTCATGGCACTGGAGTTGGATCGGTCCAATCTTCAACAGGCTTTGACTGATGATATGCTTCCTGAGTTGCATATGACTACCAATGGTAAGGCATCGATGCCCTGTTAGGATAATAAGGCGAATAAATATCTTTGCGCAGACTACAACCTTGGAAATACCGTTTTCAAACTCTCATTTCTCTGCGCCGAGTTGCCCTCCCAGCTTGTTAGTAAGTGGGTAGGACCTGATCGATGGATTCCCAGCCAGATGATTCTCTGGTCTGCCGTTGCGATGGGACAATATGCACTGAATGGACGAACTTCTTTCCTTGTGTGCCGCGCTCTTCTTGGAATATTACAAGGTGGATTCATTCCTGATGTATGTCAACTCGCACTTTGGTCATGGACTGCGCTAATATGAGAACAGGTCATTCTGTATCTTTCCTACTTCTACAAGCATCACGAGCTATCTCTTAGACTGGGCTTCTTTTGGACTGCCATGAATATTGCAGATATTCTTGCTGGATTCCTGGCCTTTGGTCTTTTGCACCTTCGTGGTGTGGAAGGTCAATCAGGATGGCGCTGGCTTTTCTTGCTTGAGGTTAGAATACATCTCCTTGTTATCATTTTTTACGACTTACAACGATCTCAGGGCCTGTTGACGCTTCTTTTCGGTCTCGCCGCCTTTATCCTGATGCCACCGGGCCCATGCCAAACCGCAAATTGGGCTCGAGGAAAGTCCGGGTGGTTTACAAAGCGGCAAGTCACCGAAAATCTGGACCTACAACTCACACCAGCTAAATTGATTAACAGTGAGGAGACTATAATCGTCAACCGAGTGATCCGTGACGATCCAAGCAAAGGCACCATGCATAATCGCGAGCCCATCACGCCAAAATTGCTCTGGAAGAGTCTCAGAGATTACGATCTGTGGCCTTTGTACATGATTGGGCTCACCTTTGGGACTCCAATGACAACAGCCAAGCAGTATCTTACGCTCACGCTCAAAGGTCTGGGCTTCAGCACTTTCGTCACCAACCTTCTAGCTATTCCCACCGAATTCCTTTCCATAGTATTCATTCTGATCTTGACTTGTGTTTCTGAAATCACGAAACAATTGACTCTGGTGTCAATGATCGGCCAAATCTGGGCACTTCCGTTCGTGATATATCTGTACGTTGTTGATATCACCACCGTCAATAAATGGACTGTCTGGGTGATTATGACTCTTCTATTGGCCTATCCAAATGGTATGCTCTCCTCCACAGTCTGGCACCATATAGCATTACTAAAAAGCCCCAGCACACGCCATCCAAGTCGGATGGAATTCTCGAAACTCAAACGCCGTCCGATCTCGCACAGTCTCAGCTGCCATGTATAACATGTGCGTTCAATCCTCGGGAATCATCGCTTCCAACATCTATCGCACCGGTTCGTCTTCTCTCCCGCTTACCACACGCTGTCATGAATTTTAACTTGGTGTAGATGACGCTCCCCGCTATCAGAGAGGCAACCTTGTCCTGGTAGGACTGGTCGTATCGAATATTTTCGTCTATCTATTGACCAAAGTCTACTATGTCTGGCGCAATTCAAGCCGCGACAAGAAGTGGAACGCTATGACCGACGGCGAAAAGGCCCATTACTTGGCAAACACTAAAGATGAGGGTAATAAGCGACTGGATTTCCGATTTGCGCATTAAGAGTGCTGGGTGATGCTAGAAAGGTAAATGGTGACGATGTTCGTGTGGATATGTCAAACATGACTCTGTCTGTTTGTTATTGGTGGCTGTGCGTTTTAGTTCGATAGAGCAATCAAGAGCGAGTTATTATATAGCACTATGTTTATACCGTATAAACCAAATGTAGCCTGCCACTGTACTATAGTAGTTGAATTATGCACTGAATTATACGATGCTACCCTTTTGTGTAGGACACGAGTAAGACCCTACATGACGTGCTTGGATCAGTATGAAGATAGCAAATTGTAATGAGCATTAGCGATAGCTGAGTAAGTAAGAATGGGTTAAATGATTATTTCGCTTGCAATGGAATGTTGTATGCAATTTGTTATTGTAGTTGCGCAACCTCCACTCAGAATTATCTCATTGCAACTGGTAATGGCGGGAAGTGACATGATTCCCAGGGTAAATGGCGAATATAAAACCATGAAAAAAAAACAAATTTTTATCAGATAAGAAAGACGTGATTCCATATGAAATGTGCGACAATTCCCACGTTCTAGGTCTGCGGGGATCTATGAAGTCTGGAAGGTGCACACGGGTATTCGGCATCGATAATAGAAGTTTGATGTATAAAAGACAGTTGTCGCTCTCAGTGTACAATTCAATTCAACACAAACTTTTCCATTTCTCTTAAAATCCACTACAATAATGGCATCCGCAACAGTCGAAATTACCACCCCGGTAGTCCCCATCATCAACGAGAAGATTAGCCTGAAAAGCCTTGCTCGCGAGCCCTTAAAGCAAACCGGAGTTCTTGATGCCTTCGAGTCTTTTGATGTCACTCCAGTTATTGGACGTGAGTTCCCCGATGCCAACCTGAAGGACTTCCTCCGCGCTCCCAACTCTGATGACCTACTTCGTGAACTTGCCATTACCAGTAAGCCACATTACCAACCACCTATGTGAACAGACTTTTCAAAGAAAAATACCAGTTTCGCAGCGAGGAGTCGTCTTCTTCCGCAAGCAAAACGACCTCGACAATGACCTGCAGAAGGAGCTTGTCCAGCGACTCGGCGAGCTCTCAGGCAAGCCAAGCACGTCCGGACTGCACATCCACCCCATTGTCAACTCGAGCCGTGATAACAGTGTCAAGGATGATGAGATCAGCGTGATTAGCTCTGTTGAACGCCAGAAGCTGTATACCAACTTCCGCCGGGACCGCAAGCAGACTGGCCGGAAGGAGTGGCATAGCGATATTACATTCGAGCCTATTCCTAGTGACTATACCCTTCTGCGTCTGACAGAGTTACCCAAGACTGGTGGTGGTAAGATCCCAAGATATCCCACTCTCTCAATACCTGGCCAGAACTAAGCATGTTCATCCTCTAGATACTCTATGGGCGTCTGGTTACGAGGTCTACGACCGTCTTTCCGAACCCTACCAGAAATTCCTCGAAGGTCTCACAGCAACATACGCCCAACCAGGCTTCAATGCCATCGCCAAAGAACACCATTTCAACGTCCATCCCGGTCCCCGTGGTGCACCCGAGAACGTCGGAGAAGAGCTTAGTGCTGTGCACCCCGTAATCCGCACTAACCCCGTTACCGGGTGGAAGAGTGTTTTCGCTGTGGGTGTACACGTGCAGAAAATTAATGATCTCTCCGAAGAGGAGAGTCGCCACTTGCTTGATTGGTTTGTGACTCTTATTGTTGAGAACCATGATTTACAAGTTCGCAATCGCTGGCAGAACCCCAATGATCTCGGTAGGTCCTCTCTCTTGGAGATCTCTGGTTCAATATCTGATTGTTTTATAGCTATTTGGGATAACCGCTCTGTCTACCATGCTGCGACGTGGGATTATGATAACCTTGGACCGCGCACTGGACACCGTGCTGTTGGTCTTGGTGAGAGGCCTTATCTTGATTCTCAGAGCATTGGACGACGGGAGTCTTTGGCGAAGGAAGAATATATGGGTCTTGCTTGAGCTGGATGAGCCCTGAGGTCTATAAGTCCTTTCATCGCTGTTTCAAAGGCCAGGAGTATTATCTGTCCTCGAGTATCTCTTAAAGTGATCGTCCAAATTAAATAGAACAATAAAAATCAAGTCATATATACACACTTCAAACTGTAAATAGCCCTCGGTCTCATTACAAATATCTTCGGATTTTACATACAGCGCTACCGGTGCCTTTTATAGTTCCACTCCTGGTTTGACACACAGAACACTTAACTATTGGCAAATGAGTAAGGAATTTCGGATTTTTGAGAATTCAGAACCCGAGTAAGACCTAGTTGATTACCAGCGAGTGATCCTTGAAGGCTGCAGTGAAGGGCTTCGGGCTCTGTTCTAAGACCCCTCGCAGGACTCCCATCAGACCACAGGCGTTGCAAAGCACTGATAATTTTATCACAAACACATTAAAGGATATATACATTGCCTCAAGCGCATAATTTGCCTAGAGCTCAGTAACCATTCTTATCCACACCATTCTCCTGATACACCTGTAGGCTGTATCGAGCAAATTTACTTCTCGCCCGGATTTGCTCACCGTATCTGTTAAATAGAGGCGGGACAATACAGAACACAGTTGCCAGCGCAGCCAGGATCGATGATGCGACGTTTGCGCCTAGCCCCTCATACATCTGCCTCGCAAATAAAGGGAAAGCAGCAGACATAGACGACCGAACGAGGGATAGGGCTGCAAATCCACTGGCAGCATAACTCAGGTAACTGTCAGCGAGATAACCTGCAAGAACAGAATCGAACTCATTTAGGGCGTATCCGATAAGAACAAGAGCAATAGTAGAAACAACCCAATGAACGTTAGTGACCAGAGGGGGTATCGTCCATGCGAACCACCATAGACCTATGGCCAACACAGGCGCACCAATTGAGAAGCCGAGAAGTTTGTGCTCTGGTTTCAGTGGGATTCCCTGCTCCTCATATTTGACGATGGTGCGATGATCTTGTATCCGGGTGAGCAGTCCCGACACCAGGCCGATACAGATTGCAATGAAAGGTAGACAGGACGATGTACTGGAGAAGCCCATCGATTCGTAGATTGGTGGGAGGGCCTCGGTAAATAGATAGATCAAGGCAAATGCGACTGCACTCATCGTTGCCACCATGAAGACGATAGGCTCTGTGAAGAAGAGCTGAATAGGACGGAAGAGAACCATTCGCGCAAACGTCTTCAAGTCCGGGGTACTGTCAGGATTTAGTGCCTGTAAGGTGTTGTTGCCGCTTTCCTTGCGGATCTTGGCAACTTCACGATCGAGAAGTAGCGACGGTCGTGATTCGCGTATTCCAAAGAGGAAGATGGTTATCACGGCGGTGACCACGGCGGCGACGTAGAAGACCCATTGCCTGATGCGGATAGTCAGCTTCGCAATCACACAAGTTATCATCCCACTAGCTTTCCCACTCACCAGCCGAGATGCACTGTGATATAGATACTCATAATAGGACCCAATGCAAGACCTAAGTTTGCGACCATGGCCCATAGGAATATCAGCCAGATCCGATCTCTCGAATTGAACATGTCTTCAATGCTGCCTGCCACGACGATGGTAGGTATCGCCGATAAGAAGCCCGAAAAAAATCGGCCAACCACCACTCCCGCAATAGAAGGTACAATGCCAACTATCACGCAGAAGATACTATAGAAGCCAGTGCTGATTATGTAGAGTTTCTTGCGGCCGAACGCTTCGGAGTAGGGAGGAAAGATAATCCCGCCTACCATTTGGCCCAATAGATACCTGCATGTACAATCGATTAACAGCAGGTAGAAGATCGAATTTCAATGAGACTGACACAGAGACGAAGACGAATAGAGCCAAGGTTTTTTCTACTCCAAATTCATGACGAGCATGGTCTGCTGCCGAGCTCTGTTCGAGGTTAGTCAATCGGTCGCGTGGCTTGGCCTTGTCTATAGCTCACTCCGGCGGTACTGATGGCAGTGCTATGGTGAGGTGTCTCGTCAGTATTAAGCGGACAGGGTGAATGAAAGGACATGGCTTTAAAAAGGGGCATACGTGAAGAGATCCAAGAATATAATCAAGCTGCTGTCGTAGATCTTCCGCAGAAGAGGCCAATTCCGAGGATGGTTTATGTTTGAAGCTGACCACCGGATGAACTCGCCGTCTGGGGTGTATTCCAGTCCATAGTTGTCCAAATGAGATTGGATGCTCGTCCGATCCGGTATCGGGGGCATTTGCAGAGGCTCGCTAGCCTTGGAATAGTCCATAGCTGCGAAGGGGCAATTGGAAGGGTAGACGGCAGATGAGGTACGAGATACTCAAGAAATGGAAGCAATCAAAAAGCAAAAGTCGAAACGCGAAAACCTCCAAGAAGGGGGGTTATAGCAAAAGATGAATGCGAGAGCGAAAAAAACCGAGGTGAGAACCCTGGCAAACCCCGAGAGTCACCAATGGGGGGCTCCACCACGGGCAGCGGCCCGGGTAGATCTCTCAGCCCCATCCGGTAGGACCACCTTACTTCAACATTATGATTCGTAAACGCCCTGAAACCCGGAATATCATGAGCTCATTGAAATTTTTTACTTGCGCTTTCAGTTGCCTATTAACAGACACTTGGAATATCTCTTCCCAGGTCGATATTCTATATGGGAATGTCCAGATGAAACCTGGGCTCCACAGTCTCCACGGTCTCCACGGTCTCCACGGGCACAGTCAGCGATCAGCTGCATATGCTAACAAGTGGACTGACCACCTGAAAACTTCCACGAATTAGCCATGAACAGCGGGTTACGTGCAATGATGTGGATTTGCTGACTGCACTAAATCTATTGTAATGTGGGCCTCCGCGCCTCCCTCGGGGGAATATTCAAGCGCTCCTGTCTAATCATCCGGGGCACGTAAGGGTTCGCAAGAATGCTACTGGAAATGCCCACTGAGGCTTACCATCCCCAGCCTCCTGTGCCATTCACTTGTCGTGTTCTAGAGCATGTCTTATATTGTATATACCCCTGACAGAATATACTTGTTATGTAACAGATTCCTGCACAGGTAAATGGGCTGAAAAATTCAAGCAGCAGAGCAGGTTTTCTTAAAAAAAATTGTGAGTACAATTTAAATATTCGGCATGCTACTCTGTCGAGGCGGAAATTGGTACAAACTCAACTTTCAGTTCTCGAAAAGATGGCGTTAGTTGGTCCCGTCTGCATTTTGGCTGTTGCATATTTTGTTTTACGAGCCTTGTTCAACAAAGATACAACCAGTAGGCCCTATTTCAAATGGGCCTCTCGACTCTTCAGTGAAGAAACTCCACAGTACCCGCAGAAAGAAGGCCAATTGAGACTACTGAACAGGTGAGATATCTGTGTCGTCCCGTTTTCAGGAATTATCTAACGGCTTGATCTATATAGACAAGATGTGGAGGGGTTCAATGAATCGACATGGCAACGACAATGTTACGATGCCTTCCAGACAGCCATTCTCTCGGAAGACCCAGTTGCCTTCCCCTGTATATATGCGACAAAAGGCTTCAAAGCCCGCGAGCACCGATACATCTTCATCGAGTCTGACGATATGAGTGATGATAAGAATATGAAAGTCATGGCTACTGCTTTGAAGAAATACCTCGAAACACCTCACTCGGAGCTAGGACCAAACACTAGCATGGTAGTTCTGTTCCCCATCCCCACCTCACCACTGAGTGTGAAGGACTACTACCAGAAATACTGGGATTGTCTGCGTGGCCTACGCGCACGAGATCCTAAGCCCTGGCCCGGCCATATCCCTACAGATACCGATACTCCTATGTGGCGAATGTGTTTCGATGGACAGCCCATCTTTAGTGCCGCCTTGACACCTGGTCATTCCAAGAGACGTTCTAGATATGCACCTTGCTTCTGCATCGTTTTCCAGCCCAACTTTGTGTTCGATATTCTGTTTTCTACCCAGCTGAAGAAACAGTCGGCTATCTCGAAAGTGAGGACTCTGTTGAGTGATTATGATGATGTGGCTGTCAGCCCAGAATTGAAGAATTACGGAGATGAGACTGGCCGGGAATGCAAGCAATATTTTATTATGGATGATAATTATGCCCCCGCGTGCCCTTACACAACGCTTGGATAATGAGGGGCTTCCAGAACTTCTGTACCTTTTGTTCGTCTTGTTTTTGTTGTTTGGTAAAAAAATAACATAATCCAATGGTTAATAAGTCTTGCTAGTGAAGCTGTGTCTGATTAGACCTTTGATAGCAGAACACAGTTTGGTCTCTGTGATGGACTCAGTTGATGTAGCGAAGGCAAGTTTATATTGATAACTTTAGTACAGGAGAAATCCGAAGTAATTCAATAGTTCGGTTAAAGCTCTGCTAAGATTTGTACTCTTCTCACCTGCTGTCTGCCGATGCAGTAAACATTTCGAAATACTTCCCTCCTCTCTCCATCAACTGTCCATGGGATCCATGTTCAACGATACTCCCTTGATCCAAAACATAGATAACATCCGCATTTCGCACAGTGCTTAACCGATGCGCAATGGTGATGGTAGTTCGACCTTGAGCTGCGTGGTCGAGCGCCTCCTGAATCAGAGCCTCGGACTGTGCATCAACCGCTGAAGTAGCCTCATCTAGGAGCAAGATAGTTGGATTCCTGACTAGAGCACGAGCAAGCGCGAGGCGTTGCCGTTGGCCACCGCTGAGTTGGTCGCCTCTGTTTCCGACTACAGTGTTAAAACCGTCTCTGTTTTGCGAACTATTAGATCTGAGGCCATCGTGCAGAATACTAGGATACAGAGAGACTCACGGCAGAGAGCAAACAAAATCGTAGATATTAGCTTGCTTGCAGGCATTCTCGATATTGGTGTCTGTAATGCCATCCCCTTGGCCTGCAGTCAAATTCATCCTGATAGAGCCGCGAAGCATCGTGGGTTCTTGATTCACTAAGCCGATACATCGTCGGTAATCTGTGACACAGAGCGAGGAGATAGGCTGTCCATCGAAGAAAATGCCACCGCTGCTTGGGTCATAGAATCTCTCAATCAGCGATATTATGGTACTCTTTCCACAGCCCGTGTGGCCAACCAGTGCCACTCGAGACCCCGGGGAAATAGACAACGAGACGTTTCGTAGTGCCAGATGGCCTGGTCTCGTTGGATAGATGAAGCTCACATTACAAAAGTCAATTTGGCCCTTTGGTGGAGTTTCGAACTTTTGTCCGTCACTGGAATCAGGATTGATGATGGATTCTCGCTGCAGCAATGCCTGGAGACCAGCGGCAGACCGCCTAGCCTTGCTGATGTTCGGAGTGAAAGAGAAGACTAGTCCAGCGGAATAAGCACTTGTGATGATGGAGGAGTAGACAATGACGAATTGCAAGAGAGTATATTCTCCGCTGAGAATCAGCGATCCTCCATACCAAAAGCCCAGCGCCATGCACGCATTCACTGCTGCTCGCCCAAATGCCAGAACGAGGGAGGCTTTCAGATTAGCTTTTGTTCCCTCCCCTGAGGAAGCTTCAACTTTCTTTTCGTAAGAGGCCAATACATCACTCTCGCGTGTGAGCAAGGCTACCGTCTGAATGGCGCCGATAGCTTCACCCGCATACTCGGCTGAAGCGCGGGTGTATTGTTCATTAAGCCTTTCAAATTCGTTTGAGGCCCAAATCCCGATGAATCCACTTGCAATCAACACAGGAATAACAGACGAGCATACCAAGGCCAATTTCCAGCCAAATGCAAGACCCACAGCCAATGCGGAGACGAGTGTCGAGATGCCAATGAGTATCATTCCCAGCGTACCACCACTGACACCTGCAAGATCTGCAGCTTCAGTTGATAAGAAACTCGAAAGCGCAGCTGCTGTATTGCCCTTCTCATCAAAAAATGCCATCTCCTGTCGGAGCATTTGGGCAAAAGCCAATTTACGTGCCTGGCGGACTAGCTTCTCGGAGCAGAATGCAAAAACGGAGCCTTGGATGGAAAACACGATCATCATCACCACGGCAAGCAAGAAGAACATCCATGCCCAAAAGCCCGCATCAGATCGGATGGTGTTCTGTCGGTCTAGGGGTTGCGCGATTGCAACAACGGCCTTGCCAAAGAGAACGGCCGACGCAGGTTCCTCTAGTCCGGCAATGACTGAACTTATCAAACCAATGAGGATCCATTTCCATTGCTTTGCGTTCAGACTGAGGACAAAACGGGTCATAGCAAGAGTTGAGGGGTGTTGGTCAGTGTTGGAGTCATCCGTGGCGACATCGAATCGCTTGGTTTCTGTGAAGGTTTCTTGTTTTTCAGCAACGAGAATAGCAGTACTCTCATCCACTCCCAATAATTCGAGCTCATTGTTGGGTTTCTCTTCGTCCTCACCAGACTGCTGCGCTTCAACGAGATGGAAGTACTCGCCTCGTCTGTGCATGAGTTCGTCGTGTGTTCCTTGCTCCGCCAATTTGCCGGCTTTCAACACAACAATATTATCAGCATCTCGGATGGTCGAAAGGCGATGGGCTACCAAAACAGTAGTTCGGTTCTTGCTGGATTGTTTCAGCGTAGCTTGAACGGATGCTTCTGTTTTGGTGTCCAAAGCTGAAGTAGCCTCGTCTAGAATGAGAATCTTCGGTTGCGCGACAAGCGCTCGAGCAATGGCAATTCGTTGCTTCTGACCTCCTGAGAGCTTAGACCCTTTCGTGCCCGTCATTGTCTGATATCTATCAGGCAACGCAATTATAAAATCGTGGGCGCAGGCAATCCTAGCTGCTTGTTCGACACGAAGTTGCTTCTCCTCGGCCGGTAGCCTCTCCAATGGAGATCCAACAAAACCATACTCGATGTTCTCTTGAATTGTGGTATCAAACAAAGAAGGCTCTTGATTGACAAGTCGCAGTTGCTGCCGTAGCCACCGAACATTGAGACTCTTGATATCGTGTCCATCGAGGGTAATCTGACCATTCAATGGCTCATAGAAACGCAAAAGAAGCTTGGAGATAGTGCTTTTACCCGATCCCGATGGACCAACCACGGCTGTTGTCTTTCCAGCTGGAAATGAGAGGCTCAGGTCTTCTGTGACTACAACATTTGGCCGCATCGGATACACATGCTTGATGTTATGCATCTCGATGTCCCCCCTTATACGTCCCAACTTGTTCCCGGAAGACGCGGTGGAATCAATTGGCGAATCACGACGAATTATTTGAAACAGTCTCCGAGAAGCAGCAGCGGCATTTGTGAATGTCTCGGCATTCTGACCCACGCCCAAGACACAGAAGGCGGCACTTTTGGTGATCAACGTGATAGCGACCACGGCCATGAAGGATGTCTGTTTGTCTACCAAGAACTTCGATCCTTGCCAGAAAGCCAAGGCCACATTCAAGTACCCGGTTCCCACTGTGATAGCCACCATAGTGCCCATGAGAGCCTTGAGAGTAAAGCCAGCAGTCTGTGAGACGCCAAGACAGCCATCGTAGCTGTCCACCACGGTCGGTTGCAAGCCTAGTGCTGTAGTACTCCGAATAGAGCCAAGGGCCTCTTCTGCAATGGAGCTCCCGGTGGCTTGGGCCTCCATGGACCGAGTGGAGTAATGGACGGCGATTCGATTACCAGCGTATAGGAGGGCCAGACTGAGGAAAATGGACCAAATAAGGATGAAAGTGAGCTTCCAGTAAAGTGCAAAGCTCACAATGTAGGTTGCCAGTAATGTACCGACGGCACTCAATGTGAGTGAGAGTTTGAAGGAAAGAGCATCCTGGATAGTATTCAAATCGGCACCCAGTTGAGCCAGCATTTGCCCGGTGCCAATATCGTCAAACAGCGCAATATTTTGACGTAAGATGGATTCCATGTACTGCACTTTAACCTGTGAGGCTACACGAGCTCCAGTGTAGCTGAAGCCTGCAATTGAGACAAACCAAACCACCAATGCCCCAATAGCGATATACACAAAGAACAATGAATAGTAGCTGATGAGATGGCTGGAATTGGGATCTGTTGACCTGCCATCTTCAAGGCCTGCAAAGATGTACGATAGTCGGCCAAAAATAATCTACGAAAAGTTAGCCGCCGATGATTGTATATGTTGGTACTGGGAAGCCTACAGGGGGAAGCGGAATGATAGCTCCTGCAGCCAGTGCGCAAAGAGTGCTGACTGCAATGATTCCGAGATCTCTCGTAGTCGCATAGGCAAATAACGAGAAGAAGGAAGCATTCACGGTCGGAACGTGAAGCTGACGATGAATGATGTCGAGTTCTTCCTCAGCCGTCGACGCGCCCGTAAGCTCCTTTTCTTCGTTCATGGTGGAGCAACACCTTCGTGAATTTTGATCTAAGCCTGCTGCCTTGAAGGCCCTGAATGGCAGTCAGAGGGATGTTAGAGCACTCACGGACCTCGAAGTTAGCACGGCCCGAGACTGTCGGCGATACGATCGAGTACACATTCCAGGTATCCCTTGTATTCAAGGCGCTCTGTGCTTGTATCAGGAGTCCCGTCGTTGCATTTTCCTGGGGACTGCGATTGGATAGAGCATGTTGCGGAAGCACACCCCTGCGAGTGGAGATGCTGACTGTAGCGCGGCCTCCATCCGAAAGCGACATGGTTGTAGCTTGAGGTGGCTGGATTTGACTTCCTCAACCGACTCTATCGTATCTTTCAATATTTCTTATCTTTGATAGCATAATGAAATGAATAAAGACAATCTTGCCAATGCCAATGATTATATGCAAGTTTGCTTGGGGCTTTGATTTCGCTAACATAAATCCCCCCCTCCAAGACCAACTGTTTAATGGGCCTGTCTCCTTTACATGAGAAATGTTTACACCAGGTCCGCTGCTACAACTCTTCGTAATCCCGGCATTGGCGATGTCAATAAGAAATACAGCATACATTTTCCCTTGGTCCCCACCTCCTTTACTACAATGGCTCAATGTAACTAGCTTGCACCGTCTCAGACTTTTTGCCTCGTTCAAGACGTGGCATTCCCACGAAGATAAGGACAAACCACATAGGGAAACGACCATGTGTCTCTTCCTCACTAATGTAACAGGTGGAAGTCACACGGCATACATAGCTGACGCGATCAACCCTCGCGATTGCAGCCACACAACATGTACCACCTGTTGCGGCACTTTTTTGTCATATATAAAACGCGTGAGATTCACCACACCCAGGGCTGGCTGATGGCCCAAATCTTGGAGTGCACAATATTCGAAGGAAAAGGAAGGTGGGAACACATCCTAGAGAGGGATCTGATTATCTAGTCCCGCAGAGTACACTATGTACGTCATTGGCAAAGATGCCTTGTTCATCAAGTGGTGCTCCTTCTACTATGCAGTCAGCGAAGGATTCCGCGGGTGGGCAAGACTCATGATCTGGCGCGCCCTTGCACCAATGGCTCCTAGATCGGGGCTTGGCATGTGAAGTAAATGGGCTAAACAAAAAGACACAGCGAGGTGTAACCCTGCAGTCATGCCGACAAAAGTACGAGAAAAAGCCTGCTTTGAAGAATCCTTGCAATGTCGCGGTCGCTGTTTCCGCAACCCACCCTTTTTCACCATTTTAGTGCTTATTTCTGGGGGTTTATGCATGGTCCATCTACTGTATCTCGGGACTAGCGTATTGAACTAGTCTGCGCCACTGGCCTAGGTAAAGAATTCAGTAATTATTACTGTGACAGTGAGAAAACTTGCCTTTATCGTCATTGGCATAGCCAGCATCAGTAAACAAAATAACCAATATTATCATTAACTTGTACCGCCAAAATACCTGCAATGTAATGAGGTCTCCTAGGTGTTGATAATTAGTTGAAGTCAATACGGTATAGATTGTTTCGATCGGGGGTCGGCCCGATCCGGTTAATCTCTCTTCTGTATGCGGTAAGTCTGTATCCATACTAGGACGACATTCGATGCTAAATTAGTGTGGACTGGGTGTCGACAAAGCCTAAGCGAATGACCCGTGCAAAAATTCTTCAGGTCAAAGAAGCCTCTATCAAACGTATTCTCACACCTGAAACTCGCCCAACCGGGGTCCAGCCAAGATCGCACGTGCGGGACCAGCCGTACAAGTGGCACTAAAGCTAGGAACTAAAGAGATTAAATCAATTGCACGTTATTAATGAGGGGATTGATATAGGATCTACTTGAGTCGAAATTATTTCTTTAATATAGTATACTCTGCCACTATCGAATCACATTTTCCGGAATTCATGGATGATAAGATTGACTCGAACCCGCAAAAGTGAGAAGAAACAAGCCTCTAGTGGTCGTGATCTGGACTCGGAATTGTGATCCCAGGATTTCTAACTGGTGGAATATTAAACGTGTAATCAATGTATGTGGCGCCATTGGATCAAGCATTTGACCAAGGATAGATCCCAAATATTCGCATTTGGCAAGATTTGCATTGCATGCATGAGCGGGTCAGCTAGGCTTGGTAGCCTACGCGGTCCGCCCAAATCAGCCCCCAACTCTTAGGCCACCCACGGCAGCTGGAAGGACTGGGGAACCCCGAACCTTGAAGGCAATTTAGATGACTAAAAAGCAATGATGAGGATGGCCGATACACGGGCATACAATCTCGAAATCCATTCCCCATGCTTGCCCAACAGATGAGCAGCACTGAGAAGCGCCGCATTCAGAACCGTGAAGCCCAACGTCGACACCGTAGGTCCCTGCCCCATAATCGGAGATTCCAGGCGAATGGAACTTCTTGAGATAAGGACTACGCTGACAATCTATTATGGTCAAAGGGATTTCATTGAAAGCCCGTCTCGCCGAGTTAGAAGCGGCTCAAGCGTTTTTGCAACGGCAAGGATATAGCTTACCAACGCAGATAGCCGCCCACCCCGGTATACCAGCCTCGCAGCCGTCCTTATCGCCACAAATCAATGCCTCTCTCGCGCCGGATTGGATGGATGGACATGGCAGTTTGCTGCCATGCGAGCTGACTGTCTCTCCGGGAACAGTGACACCTGCTGGGTCCGTCGAATCTGTCGATCCCTGCGAAAATGCTTCCTGGATGCGGACTCCTATTCAAGAAAGCCGCTACGCTCCTGTCGCGGCAAATTATTCCCTAGGATCTGCTTCGCCGGGGTGGTCGGGGGCATCGGCGGACGTATCAGAAGGGCCCGAATCAACATTACCCCCAAATCGCGAGCTATACGCATCATCACCAATATATTTAGGTGTTCCTGCATATCAGCAGGAACTAAAAGTTCCCAAGCCTCCTTCTGCTCCTTTGAACGCGCAAGTGGCCAATTTCGTGCGTCCAACAGTGTCCTTATCTGACCAGAGCACTTCTCAAAATATCTCACGCCCTAAGCAAGGCCGTAGAGGCCCATCGCCGTTACACATTGCGGTGCTGAACTTAAGTATAGCTAGTGTACAGGTGCTGTGTCAGCATGGCGCAAACGTGCATGCGCTTGACGAGCATGGGCGAACGCCGCTGCACCTGTGCGCGGGCTTTCCAGTGCAGCACGGAGCTCTAGCCTCTGAGATGGTGTCCCTGTTAGTTTCCTATGGAGCATCAGTCGATGCACGGGATGAGAATGGCGAGACGAGTATGCAACGAGCGGCACGGGTTGATAACTACATGACGATTTCTACATTGGCGGCGCTCGGCGCAGATGTGAACTTCCAATGATGGCTAGACGACGACGATGATGACGGCAATAAGGATCCGCTATATCGAGTAGAGCAAAAGTCAGCTGTTGATTTTCAAACTGGAACGGAACAATGTGTTGAACGGTGAATCACTTGAAGGTTTCCGCGTAATGTCCGAAATTTCACCAATTGCACTCTATCTCGATATCTTCAATACACATCCCTTCTCGCAACGCCTCAGCTACCTGTTCCACCACCGGACAGAAGCGATCTAGCAAAAGTCTTGCTTTTTCTTCGCATACCATTCGCGTGTGTGAGAATATCTCCACTCCCATTTTGTCGCCCCGAGGATAGGAAATCATATACAGGAAGAATGGCAAACGCCGATCATTTTCAAAACGGCGCAAGTGCCCTGTAAAGCCATCTTCAAACTCAAAGGGAAGATCTTCTTCGACATTTTGGTGCATTGTAGCAGTATAGATTCCCTTACCAGCCGGCCATGTCGTACACTCGCGAACAGCTTCTTCAAATCCAAGCGCGTCGGCATCACCAAGTGCTGCAAATTGATTTTGCACATCTTGAATGAGGTCCTTGACTGTCATCTTCGGCGATTTGAGAGAGACCCGAGCGGGGGACACGTTAATACAACATCCAACGAGTTCTTCGATTCCTGGCAGAGGCGCGTTGCGACCATTGATGAGACGTCCGAACACGATATCGTTGCAGTTCAGCAGCTTTGAGAGGAAAATTGCCCATGCGGCACTCATCACTGAGGCAAGGGTAATGCCTGGGTGTGTTCTGGGGGTGAGGATCTCGTTTTGGAGACGGTAAGGCACAGCTGTAGTTGGAGGATTCATTGGCAAGAATTGAGTGCTCATTTCTGTGAAGCAAACATCACCAAGAACTCGTTTAAAGTAGGAAATTGAACTCGGCCGGCGCTGAGAAATGTGGGCTATATAGTGAGAGAAGGTGGGTCGTTTAGCGGGTGTACTGCTGCGGTAGAATTCACCCATTGCTTTGAATATCAGTCCGATAGACACCGCATCGTACTGTGCGTGGGAGAGGCGCAGTATCAAGCGCATGCCCTGGCTTTGATGGCGGACGAGGGTAAAGCGAACAATTGTTTGGTACCGTTCAAAGATGCTGATATCCTCTAAGCAGAGAGTTGCTGTCGCATCTGGCAGATCTTGCGTGACATCAATGATTCCGAAGGGCAATTGTAAGATTTTAGGGGTGACTGCAAAGTGCTGACCCTGGTAAAGGACAAAGGTCGCCGTGATGATGGGGAACAATTCCATGATCTGCCGACAGCTGCTTTTCAACCGAGGGATGTCTACGTCTGGGCCAAGGTCCAGATAATAGTAGTCGACGAATTGGCGATTCTCAGTCATGCCGTCACGGATATAGTACTCTTGCATGTCAGTCAGAGGTAAAACCTCTGCCACATCGGAGTCCTTGAGGCCAATGGATGTTGCAATGTGGGCGGTTAGATCATCTCTCATGTCTTCATCAATGAAAGTAAGACCCAGGGAATTATGCGTAAGGGGAATATCAATTGAGAGGGCTCGGGTAGCAGCTTTGGACATCGCTGAAAGAATGGGGTTTTGGAATATACTTGCCAATGTCAAGAGCGACCCAACCTTTCGGGCTGCCCCGACAAGCTGCAGAGCGGACATGGAATCGCCGCCAAGATGGAAGAAGTCGTCGTCAATACCGATCAAACACTGATCAATGTTGAAAATATGTGCCCAGAGGCTCCGAAGTTCATCCTCCTCACGTGTTCGGGGTGGTCTTTTATCACTGGAGGCAGCTAATACAACCTTTTCCATCGACCAAGAGCTTCCAATCTCACGGAGACGCCTGCGGTCGAGCTTTCCGGTCAATGTCAAAGGTAGCTCTGCCATACTGAAGAACAGCGAGGGAAGCATGTACATCGGCACTTTTTGTGCTAAACGCGCAACAGTTTCTTTGCTGACATTGATCATCTCAGCGTCAGGCCCAGAAGTAGAACCTGGCATGCATAGAAACACAGCCAGAATGTGGCTTTTTGATTGTTGGGGCCGTATTGCTTCAGCCACCACTCGTGAGACTTCCGGCATACAGTCTTGCACTTCGCATTCAACCTCGCCTAGCTCAATCCTGTTACCACGGATTTTGACTTGGGTATCCTTGCGTCCCAGGATGACAATACTGCCGTCTTCAGAGTACATTCCAAGATCGCCCGTCTTATACAGTCGACCATGTCTTCCTGGAACACCACAGCCCCCTTCAATCAGCCATCTTGGGTCTTCTATGAATGTGGCTTCAGTCTTCTCTGGGTCGTTCAGGTATCCCAGCCCAACGATAGGGCCCTCAATTAGGAGCTCCCCAGGTTGGCCCCATGGGAGCAAAATGTGATGATCCTCCGAATCAACGACCCATACGACTGAGCCCTTCCCGATTCCAATACTAGCCAGCATAGTGGGACTGGACGCCTGGTAGTTGAGCGCGCTGTATGACGTACACTCAGTTGGACCATAAGCATTTATCAACCGCTTAACCCGTCCCCACCAAGGCTTTATATCATGATCTGTAATCATTTCGCCCAACAAGATCAATGTATCTAGCGTGAGGACAGACTCTGGATCCAATAGCCGTGCCACTGTTGGTGTCAAATGTACCAGCGACGCCTGCATACGGGTCATAGTCTTGGCCAGATTCTCAGTTCGATCAACGTCGCTGGGTATACACACGCAGCCTCCAGTCCACCAAGTTGCGAACATATTGTGAATGGTGATATCGAAACTGTAGGAAGCAAAATCGAAGACCCTTGATTCTGGCGTGTACCCCAGACAGGGGATCTGGTGGTGAAGTGCAGAGCACAAGTTTTCGTGGGAGACCATACATCCTTTTGGATTACCAGTGCTGCCTGATGTGAAGACGACATAGACAATAGAGGATGGGTGTGGCGCTGGATGGTCGTTTGGTAGAAACGGACCATCGTCGTCAGCTCCTAGTGATGGCCCGACCACAACAGGAGCGCCTGGAGACAGTCGCTCTGCTTGGTCTCGATTCGAAACTGAGGTCAAGATGTACTTTGGCTCCGACAGTTTCACAATACTTTGAAGGCGAGATTCGGGAAGAAATCGGTCCAGTATAACGAATCCAGCACCAGCCTTCACGACGCCCAAAACAGCCACGGCAGTCCAAAGAGACTTTTCAAACAACAGAGGAACAATTTCCCCTGGCTGAACGCCGAGGACGACCAATTGACCGGCTAGCTTCCTAGCTAACCGATCCAATTCGGCGTACGAGAGTTCTCCATCCCAAGCACATACTGCCGGACTTTGAGGTTGCTTCAACACCGTCTGAGCGACGCATTTATGCACATGATCATGAATCGTCTCTGGGACTGTGGTGCCCACTCTCCAGACCTTCTCCATCGTTCGGTCTTTCAGTAGTAATATGTGGAAGACTGTCTGTGAATACCGGTGTTGAAGTGGGCAAGTACAATATATCTAACAGAATCTGGCGGATCGATAGATAAACGACTCTTGCAAATCTGCCTATATACAACTGAAGCATCACAATACACATTCGTACACACGCTTTTCGGTCAAGCCAGTGGGAACTCGGTCATTACAGCACATCTCTATGTTTTGGTATTTTACGATTCCATGCATTCTGGTCAGCATTTCCACTCCTGACGCGCAGCCTTGCGAACCAGGCAAATGTGCAAGCATGAAGATTAGTCAGTAAATGTAAATCAAAGTAATGCTGACTGTGAGGAATGCCACTAATGCAAACTATTGTGGGCCAGCTGACTGTGCAGGTTGCATGAATCAGCCCTTGTTGCCGATCACTCCACGACCTCACGATTACCCGAGTTGCACGTACAGATGGCACTGTATCAGCGGTCTACAGCCACTCTGTTCAGTGAAAATGAAACTGAAATCAAAGATAACGGTTCCAAAAAGATTCACATTAATGGTATAACTTATGGGCCGTTCATGCGAGAACATACTTAAAACCCACCAGTAACCCGGACACCATTTTACCATAGCGCTTTTATACTCCATAAACACCCTTCACCATGACAATTCCACAGACCAATGGCACAGAGGAGGACGCGTCCAGTCCATTCGTGGTCACCCACCACGACCGAGTCGCGTTGGTTGAGTTCTCCAAGGGACACCGACAGAATCCCTTCAGCCAGCCAAAGATGCGAGCGCTAGAATCAGTCATTACACACCTCGAAGCAGACAGGAGTGTTGGATGCATTGTCCTCACCGGGGGGCAAGGTCGGTCCTTCAGCGCCGGCGGAGATTTCAATGAAACCACAACCTTCAACGGTGGTGACGAGGTCGATCACTGGCTTGACGATGTTACCAATCTGTACACGACCATCGCCGGTATCTCCAAGCCTGTGATCGCCGCTATTGATGGCTATGCCGTCGGTCTAGGTCTACAGGTCGCGCTCTGTTGTGATTATCGGATTGGCTCTGACTCGTGCCAACTGATGATGCCTGAGTTCCGCATGGGCATTGCTTGCAACTTTGGCGGCTTCATGCTCGAGGCGGTCGTTGGCCGGATTGTGATGCAAAAGATGATTTTCACGGCTGATAAATGGAACGCAAAGTCCGCACTCGCCGACGGCCTGTTGCACGAAGTTGTACATTCTAAGATGCTGGTTATCCGTGCCTTGGAGAGAGCCCAAACCATTGGCGCCTGGACGCCTGAGGCCGTTCAGCAAACTCGACCACATATCAACGCCAGTTTTGTCAATGGCCTGCACAAACTAGCCGAACAGGCCAAACGCTCCCATCGCTCAACTTTCGCCACCGGTGAATGCCAGGAAAACATGAAAAACATTCTCACCAAGAATCACCAGCAACAACCAGCCACGGGAGCTCCATCATGGATTCTTATAGCCAGTGAGCCGATTCCATCCCTCTCAAAGACCCTGAAGATCACCAAGCCCTCAGGCATTCATGTGTATGGCGAGGGTGCCGCTCTCAATTCCAAAACGTACTACTGGCAAGACGAGAGCTCCAGTTCTCGGGAGTTCTCCGAATGGGCAACCTCTTTCCAGATCCAAGGGGACACATTCCGCATGCGCACGGGTGCTATGAATGACCCTCCTTTGTATATTGTGCGTAACACAACCAAACGTGCATGGGCTGTGAGTACAGACGTTTTTGCTCTGCAAATGGCTCGTTCGACATGGGGAATGCCAGTTGGTTTTGCCGATCCCACCATCATCAACCGCGACGAGACGACTAGTTTCCTGGGCGTGTCACAGCTGCCTGCCCATGCTTCCTTCACGCTGCAAAAGGCAGGTAGAAGCGGCTGGATCTTCAATACCCAGGTCGACGCTGACCCGGTCGTGCTGGCTGCTCTCAACCCGACAATCCACGATTTTTCTCAGGCTGGCTCTGCCTTTATCACATCTTTGCAGACTGCCGTTATGGAATTTACTCAAGGCGAGACGGAGGTAGCAACCCTTTTGTCCGGCGGTATCGATTCCGGTGCTGTCACCACATTCGCCGTACTTTCGGGTCTGAAGGTCACTGCTTATAGCGCAGGCTCTCCCTGGGGCAACGAGCACGTCGAGGCAGCCGAACTAGCCAATGCTCTGGGGATCCCACACATTAAAATTGACCTCACCACGGATGAGTTGTTGGCTGCCGCCCCGGAGAGTATGAGAGCTCTCGGTACCGCCGAGCAGGAGCGCGTGGATATCGCTCTTACCATCACAGCGCTGATCCGCGGCGGATATATCAAGGAACGCCATGTGCTGACCGGTTACGGGAACGATCTGTTGAACCTGGGCCTGCCGCCTGACTCGGTTGAGAAAGACGCGCTAATCCAGGAAGTCATCGATGGCGTTGACATTACCCGGCACAGCGGCGAGTTCACTGACTTTGTCGCCCGACTGTATGGCAAAAGACTAAGCCATCCATACTGGCATCCTGATGTTGTGCGCACTGCCCTAGACATTGAGCCTTCACTCAAGGTGCGCGACGGCCGAGAAAAGGCTTACTTCCGCGCCGCCATGGAGCCTTATGTCCCTCGGACGACGGCGTGGCGCCAGAAGATTGGTATTCATCTCGGCGGTGGGCTGCAGGGGGGCTTGGACTCCACATTCGGTGGTCGAGACCGCAAGGTGGCCGCCTATAGCGATGCGTTCAAGGAGATCACTGCTCGTCTGCTGCAAGACCCATTCGCCGGCATCAACGACCTGATCCCTAAGTACCCTGGTGGTCCCCAGCCAACGAATAAACTCGCAGCGCCAATTCGTACCCTTACCTCATCCGGAGCGGGTCTGGTCCTGGATGGAACTGGGGCAACAGACGACGCTTCGCGCGCAGTGCTCGTCAAGACAATTTTGGAAAACTCCGCCTCGTCTCGTTTCGTGCTGGTCCGTAACTTGGACCTATCAGAAGATGGGTTCCGATCGGTTGTGCGTGCGCTCGGTGAGCCGGTGCAGCACAAGTTCCAGACCGGCGGGTCGGATCTAATGAAGCTGCCTGCAACACGGGAGAAGGGCAATGTTGTGCTAGGCCGCGGTATGCTGCCGGCACACACGGACGGACTATTCGTTGGCCATCGTCCCGATCTGTTGATGTTGTATGCGAGCGAGTTCAACGACCTGCCTGGCAGTGGCGAGACGACTGTCGTGGACCAGGTCGCGGCCATGTTGGAGATGCCTGAGCGGCTGCGCTTGGCGGTGGAGAATGCCATGTTTGAGTATCAGATTGTCGAGACGGGCCATCACATGAAGAGTCTGGAGGATAAGTGGTTTGAGAAACAGCCTGTCACAATGGAGCGTGGTCGGAAATGTCTCGCTGTGTCTTTGCCATTCCCCGAGGACACGGAGCGCAGCTGGAACATCCGAGTTAAGGGTGCGACTGACGAAGAGTCGGTGGCGCTGTTGGATGAATTGTATGCCTTCCTGTATCAGAAGCGCTACTTGTACCAGCACCCGTGGCAGGTGGGTGATCTGCTCATCATTGATAACTATGGCACTTTGCACGGCCGCACTGCAATCAGCGAAGATGGTAAACGCTGTTTGTTCCGTGGCCAGGTGAATTATCGGTGATTCAACAGTCTTTTGTATTAAGGGTCTCTCAATATAAGTTCATGTCCGACATTTTCTAGCGAATCTCAACGCCCGAATTCATTGAAATGAAATCATGCGTCATGTCGCATGTCCAATAAACGGCCTCCTCGGTGGGTTTTTCAGCCGTGCCATCTCTCAAGTCCACAATAGTCTCGATGTCTTCTTTGTCCATGATTTGTTTTATTTTGACCTCGTCAACGGGAACAGGGACGCCGCAATCCAGGAATTTCACAGTCTCGGCGCCATCCCTAAAACTCACAGATGTCTGCTCTGGGATAATAATACCCTGTCCAGCGAAAGAGGTGTCCAGGAGCGAATAACCCAGCGCAGCCAGAATTCCGTGCCAGTTAGGGTCTCTTCCATAGATCCCTGTCTTCCAGAGCACAGAGCGTGAGATCACCGACGCAATATGATGAGCCGCATCATAAGATGGTGACCCGCGTACGCGAATGGTAATGAATTTCGAGGCACCCTCGGCATCCCGAACAACCAGCTTAGCCATGTCAGCCATAAATTCGCTGAGCACTTGCTGGAACGCGACAAAATCAACCGAGGGCTCTGGAGAGATGTCAACCGCGGGCTGATCGGGAGATGCAGCAGCACCGTTCGCAAACATGGTGACCATGTCATTTGTGGAGGTATCACCGTCAATGGAAATGCAGTTGTATGATCTAGATGCAGCACCTTTGAGCAGAATCTGTAGGGCTGGTGGTGTCACCGGAGCGTCCGTACAAATGATCCCCAGGGTGGTGGCCATGTTGGGATGGACCATTCCCGCGCCTTTAGTAAGACCAGCGAGAGAAAATTTAGTCGCAGATGCAGAGGGCAAGCTGAAAGTACGCGAAATCAATTTGGGATATGTATCGGTTGTACTCAGGGCGACGGCGGCGTCGAGCCAGTGATCATGCGTATTTCCCATCGTTTTAGTCAATTTGGGTAGGTGATGCAATATATTGTCGATAGGGAGCCTATTTTGGGCATCAGTATGTCTGTTTGGGTGAAAATTCAATCAATGCAGTAAGAATAAGCCTACCGCTGTGCACCTGCGCCTGTGTGCATGACCATCAAAGAATTTCCATTATCAGCCGTCCCATTAGATATACATCTCGCCGCCTCGCGCCCCATGGCGGTTGCATCATCTAGTCCCGCCTGCCCGGTGAGGGTGTTGGCACACCCGGCATTTGCAACGACGCCTCGCAGTCCAGCACCATTGGTGTGGCGCATTAGCTCTCGGCTGACCGACACAGAAGCAGCACAGAATTCATTCTTGGTGAAGACTGCGGCACCTGATGCTGGGGTTTCTGACGCGACAATGACCAAATCTGGTTGGATGTTGCCGGCGGGCTTAATGCCGGCGCGCGTACTGCCTACAGTGAACCCCTGTGGATAGCTGCCCGATGTCGGGATCAATCGCTGCTTATTGGCGGGGATGGGGCGGCCCCCATACAGCTCGAATTTGTCGAATTTGGCACATTGCCTGGGCTTGGTCGAAAAGGCGCGGAGCTGCGGGTATGGCAGACGGACAGGCATCCTGGATGGATGAAAGAACTCGAAGAGGATGTGCGAATGGCCCCTCCGAGATAAGTAATTATAATACGTGTATTGACTAGAACGCCTAGAGTTGCGGGCCGGGGCCCAGGGGAGATCGGTGGAGTTGCTGACGGTGTACGGATCCACAGGGGCTTCGGAGTTCGACTGCAAGGGGTAAGGGAGAGCGGCGTACGGTACTGTAAGATTGTACTCCACACGTGATGAAGACTATATAATCACGCACATTTCTTGCTCTAGTCAAGATAGATCTAGGTATTTACTCTACCATATTCATATACAAATCCTTGCGTGATGGCTCTAGCTACTGGCACATTACAATGGGAAATTGATGCCACTGGAAAGTGTGGTAGGCTTCACTTTGTCTCCTTGAATATAGGCATACTCCTGCTAAGCCCTTCAAGGATTCGCTCAATGCCATTGGCAATTAAACCCGCCCCCCAAATATACGTCTCCATATTACACCCTAGATGTAATCTTGGTTCCCATATCAATAAGGCCCTATGATGTTTCCCCTCCCAATGGGCCGGTGATAGCTGGCGACGCGGAAAACAGCGTGATTGAACGTGCCATTCTGCAAAGCATCGAAGACTGTGGCACATCAATCACGGCAGCAAAGTTAATACTCCCCAGAGTCCACGGCTATGTCGTCCGCAACGACTTTTTCCACAGACGATTCCTGACCTGCTCGCTTGCCGAGAAAGTATTGGACTGCATTCCCTTGCAACAGTTTATACCTGCATTTGATGTCAATGCCAACGACGTACTCCAGCGAGGTATGAAGGGGGCGGTTGGTGCAATTTTACTTAAGCCAATTCCTGGGTTTAGCACAGACCTAGTAAAGTCCGCTCTAGCCATATTGGAAGAAGAGACAGATGCGAGGCTATCTTTTTCTTGGATCTTGGAGACACCATTGCCTAGGAAGCGCATTGCTATGATAGATGGTCGCCCCAACCCATCTGTATCCACTGCATCACAAGGCATCTACCGTGCCGTGCAAGCACTGGGGGTCGACTTGGTTGTTCTTGACAGTGCCGGACACTGGGTCCAAGACTCCACCATGGAGGATATGCGCGACGAGTTTATCCCATGTGACCTGAAAATGGACGAAGGGCTCGTGGATCGCATTGTGGCAGCCCTTTCAACCAGCAAAGGTCGAATTGATGGTATCACTACTTATACCGATACCCACATCTTGGCCACAGCCCAGGCCGCCAGGAAGATGGGACTGCCAGCTAATCCACCTGAAGCTCTTGAAATGTGTCGGGATAAGTACAAGACACGGTCATTCGCATCTTCTGGTGTCCCCGTGCTTTCTGTGACCAACATTGCCGATTTGGATGAACAGTTGCGTCAGCTCTCATCACCATTGGAGTTCCCGCTGATTGTCAAGCCGACGACCGGTTGCGCCTCAGATGGGGTTAGCAAGGTGACTTGTGAAGCAGAGCTTTGTGGCGCTGTGCAGCGCAACGAAGAAAAGTTCCCCGGGACGAATGCCCTGGTGGAACCCTACGTTTCGGGGCCAGAAGTGGATGCCAACTTTGTAATTGTGGATGGGAAGCTGATATGGAGCGAGATAAATGACGATTTTCCATCTTCGGCGGAGATGTCCACGTCAACATCACCATCAATGTCCTTCGCGGAACTTTCCACCATAATGCCCTCGATGTTACCAGAGTCAGAGATATCCTTGTTGAAATCGTCGTTGACGCAGACTTTGCTCAAAATGGGGTTCCGAAACGGGGTCTACCATCTTGAAGCTCGAGTCAAGGACAGCAAGAAAACCTACACAGATACTGGACGAGGCATGGAGCTAGCAGATAACACCGTTCAGTCGAGTACTACCAATCCAAGCGTCTTTCTAATCGAAATTAATCCCAGACTTCCTGGCCACCAGGAATCGTTCGCAGTGGAATATACATATGGCATTGATTACTTCGCGCTACAGATGCTGTTGGCAACCGCACCGCCGGTATCAGAAATGGAATCAGACAAGGGGAAAACGTTCAAAAACGCCATTCTCGCGCTAAGCCACCCACTAGCAGAAACCGCCCAGTATCCCTCTCATATTGTCTTCATTCCTGCCGATCGCGGCGGGACCTTCGGAGGTGCCAAACCGCTTCCTGGTGGAATTATGGATTATGTTCCTGAACATGCAATATTTACGCAGGCCGGGGAAGTGATTCCAGACCCTGAGGAAGAAGGAAAGTGGCCCTTCGTGGCTTATTTCCTGGTTATGGGAAAGATTGCTGGAAGGGGTTGGCAAGCGAGAGAGCAGGTCCGAGCTGTGGGAGATATACTGAGGAAGACCTTCATATATGAGATGGCATAGAACCATGAGTATCAACTTTGTTGGATGGCAGACAGTAATGTTGGAAGCAGGGTGGAAGCATCAAAGAAAGGCCCGTGCTACTAATATGGGCATGCACCATCCATCTTCCCATGAGATTATCAAGGAAACGAATCCTGGCGTTTGCGGATTCTAGCGGCTGATAATTGGCATTCTTTTCTCTCCACGGATCCCATGAATCTCGATGCTGAGCTTTGGTATCGACGGATGGTTCTTGATGGGGTGGGGGTCGGGATGGAATGGAGGGCCGGATTCGAGGGGATATCTAGGGAGTATGGGTATTGTTTGATATCAATCTCAATTTTCATTTATTTCCCTCTTCTACTTGGTTTTAAAAGAAAGAGACAAATGTCTGAATGCGTTTTGCATTTGCAAAACTCATATTAATAGCTGTTGAAGCTGGCCGTGGCCGAACGCAAACTATGGACATAAGGTGCAGTGACATATCACAATGACGAGAGACGACAAGACAACGGATAAGTGATATGCACTTAGAGGGTCGTGCTTCCATTCACGGGAATTTTGACAGTGCCAGCGGCGGTGTCACTGAGAGCCGAGGGGTTGGGCGATGGGCCTGGAGTGCGATCGACCTTATTTTGACGTTGGATGAGACCGTTTGTGATTCCGAGAACGGAGTCGACAATCACGGCGTCAATGCCTTCGGCCACTTGGTACTATTTGCGGAATTAGTGAATGAACCTAGAGTAAAATGGAAGAAAGAAAGGACTTACGTCGACGTTTTCACCGTCATTGTTCAGCGCTCCGTAGGAAACACATACGAGACCGGATTCCTTGACGATGCGAACCAGTCGCGGGCAGAGGACTAATGGCTGCGCTTGGCTGACAATACCTAGGAGGTTCCAGCGAGAAGCGAAGCGAACAGCTTCTTGTAAGCTGCTAGCGCGGATATCACCGACTGGGGAAGCGCCCGCGTCCGTCAAGAAGAGAACGGGTATGGAAGGCTGCTTGAAAGAAAGCAGGAGACAGATATCCGGGTTGAAACTGGAGAACAGCATGTCGCGGCCACCGCCGAGGTCATAAACCTTTGTCAGGATGGTGTCGACGAAGGAATTCAGTTCGACGGCGTAGGTGTCCATTTCTTCCTCCTCGCTCTCGTGGAGCATAGGGTATTCTGGCGATCATGGTTAGATCGACGGGGTAGCTGTTCTTTGATGGCTGTTATAACTCACTAAGTTCAATGTTGAAGCCGACGGGCTTGGGAATCTTCTTGAAAAGTTCTTCGAGGGTCGCGAAGGGGGCTTGGATGTGCTCGCCACGAGTGTTACCCTTGAAACCCTTCTTCTTGAAATCACGGGTGTGTTTGATCTTGTCGGTCAATTCAGCCGGGTTGTATTCCGAGCCGCCAACTGACATTGAGCGCTGGCGGGGACCGATGTCAAGGATCTCGCCATTTATGTTTACAGGTCCAGGGAGGACATTGCGGTGACGGCCCTTGCCCAGCTCGAGGAACTGATCTAACGTCAAAGTGTGAACGGGCGCATCGATACCAGTCTCGCTGACAAGGAAGTCGTGATAGATGACTGGAACGTGGTCCTTTGTGAGCTGCACGTCGAACTCGACATATGAGGCACCTAGGTTGGCTGCGGCGATGAATGACTGTATGGTGTTCTCACCCAATTGTAATGAATTGCGGCTAGCCATGTTCTTGCCCAATCCACGGTGACCAATGACCATTGTCGAGCTCATTGAGCGCCAGTAAGTTTGATTGCCGGTGATGGACATGTTGGGGTGCTTGAAAGGGGTGATGATGAGAAAGTTAAATGTCACAGAGCCGATCACCTCCAGAGTGTTTGCAGCAACAATGGGAACAGTGGAATCACCCTTAAGGTTAATCCGGTGGGATCCGACGGTAGGCTTAATGCTGGAAAGCAGAGCTACACCACGACCAACGACCTTCTCCTTCGATCCAGCATAGGTGGGAACAAGGTCGAAGAGAAGACGAACCTTGCTTGGATCGGTGGTGTGAAAGACGATGGGCTCGGTTGAGATATTGTCCTGCACAGGCAGGTCAATGACTTCTGGCTCGCCGTGTGCGCCGCTAGCTGTGATAACCATCGACAAAGAGGTGTCAAGCTGGGTGGCATGGGCGTTCTCCATTGGGATACGGTCAAGGCTGACAGTCTCAAGAGGCTTGCGCATATCCATGGTACCCAAGCTGACCAGGATCATGGTCTCGTCGGTGAGATACCGATGTCCAAATGTCTTAATAGGTTCAGTATTGCGTAAGCTAGAACTCCCGGAGGTGGGACCAGGCGCATTCGACCGACGGTCAGTGAGAGACGACTGAGCCGGTGGCGAGGAGGATTCGGAGCCAGTGAGGTTTGGGGTAGACGTTGAAAGGTCTGGCTCGATAGCGGGGGGTCCGGGGCTGACTTCTGCCAGACACTGGGCAATGTCAAGGTGACCTCGCAGAGCAGCGTGCTCCTTAGCGGTCCAGCCAGACGAATCGAAACGTTCCAGATCCGCACCAGCAGCAACCAGAAGCTTAGCCACACTCAGCCATCCGTCTACACAGGCAATGAACAATGGGGTCCAGCCATATGTCTTCTCAGTAAGCTCTGTGTCTCCTTTTTGGTACCTAGTGCCATCAAGCAGGATCTTCGCACACTCGTCATGGCCAAATCGGGCAGCGACATGCAATGCGGTTTCTCCTTGCTCATCCTGGTAATTGATATCCACACCGGCATCCACAAGGAGGTGCACGATATCAATAAAGTTGGCCTTGGTCGCAAGTGCCAAGACGGCGCTAGACTTGGAGACTTGCTTTCTGATACTGCCGACTTCCTGAGAATCGCCTCGGTTCTCGGCGTCCAAGAGACATTTGGTGGTCTTTGGGTGTCCGCCAACGACACTCAGATGAAGAGGCGCCCAGCCATCATCATCCTGCCACAAAGGGCCGTCGATTCCATCACTGACGTCAAACATGTCCCATTCTCTGAGGTGCTCCATGATCACTTCGCAGACCACCTTGAATCCATACTGGGCCGCATAATGCAGGGGTGTGCGTCCAGAAATGTCCTTGGCCATCAGAGACTCCCGCTGGTCTGGGCGCAGAGAGTCCAACAGGAACTGGAAGAGGACAACAGCAGGATCATCGCGACCCAGCTGCTGGGGCATGTGCTCCTCTTTGACCACAGCACGAGGCGGCTGCAGGGTAGGAGGCGCAGCAGGTGTGATGTAGCGGGTAGTCTCAGGAGGGAAGTTGAGCACCATCGATGCCGCGGGCTCAGAGTCGCTAGTTGGCTGTTCACGTCCGATGGAGATGACCAGACGGTGCAGGCAGTTACGGCGGTTTATATCATCGTCCTCCTCCAGAGTCTCAACTCGATTCACTAGCGCAGCCAGACAAGCCTGGGAACGGTGGAGGATCGAGCGCTGAATGAGGGTCTTCAGGACTCTGGCGTAGACGGATTCACCGGCTTCATCCGCAGAGACCTTCAAAGTCTCAAGCAACTCAAACAACACATGAGTATCATCTCTGCGCAGCGCATCATCAACCGCAGTCAGAACACTAGCAGGCAGGTTAAGATAAGGACGAGTCGCGCCACGCTTCAAAGACAAAGAAGAATGGGTGGAGCTCGCATCGTCGGCAATCTTATCGTCAGCCTTAGACTGGTCGGTAATAATAGCCATCCAAGAATTGATACGGTCCTGCGACTGGAAGACACGCGAATTGGAAGCAAAAGGAGCAGGATCAACCTTAGTCTCCAGATAACGCTTCTGAGCCTGCGCGCCAACTTTCTTGTCGAGCTTCTTGGTAATTTTAACAAAACCACGGCGATTGACTTCACCGTACCATTGTAAGCGGCGCAAATGGTACCGCAGATCTAGGAGTGCCTCGCGGAGGTCATGACGGTCCTCGGGTTCCAGCGAGTGGCGACCCTCCATAGAGTAGCCATACCGCTCTTCGAGGAGCTTCAAGCGGCGCGCAAACTCAGCATACTTCTTGTTGTAGAAATAGTCGACATCCTCGACATTTCGGTCGAGAGAGTAGAAGAAACCTGTAACACCAACCACCGGTCGTGATTAGAAGGTGTGCTCCACGATAAGAGCGCTAGAGCTTACCGGCCAAATCGGCTTCCTGGCCCGCCTTGATCTGCTCAGCAGCAGACTTGATAAGCTTCTTCAAGGCCTTGTACTTGATGTATGAGGCGCTCCACTCGGGAACGGTAAACTGAGACAGATTCCGGCCGAACTTCATGATGGCGGTTTTGTGTAGGTCAAATCAAATGAGATCAACGAAGCCTTTGTGCCTTTGTTCCTGTTTCCACCAAGCTGTATCTGTATGTGCAAGTCGAACTCCAATTCCAATTTCAAGTCCTCCACGGTATTCAATCGGAGGGTTTTCGCGGGGAGATCAACCTGAGTTCGTGGGAAGTGATCAGGTGAGCGGGCGAACGCAGGCAAGGGAGTGGATCAACCACGCCATTGAGTGAGGTGTGTGAGAAGGGAGAGAAGGGGAATGAGGAAGGGAAAGAGACAAAGCTCGAAGGTGCACCTGACTGTACCTGTTCTGAGTGGGGATTAGTGGATAGAATTGCGGTGAGAGAAGAGATTGACATACAAGGGAGACCGAGCAGAGTTACGAGGTGAAAGCTAAGGAGCGTGGGCCACCGAGGTGATGTGAGAGGTGGAAGAAGCCAAACCGAAGGTCGAAGGTGAAGGTGTGCGTAGCGGGCTGATGATGATTTGTCGATCCGCGGGGGCCCTCTCCACGGTTCCCGTCTTTATACTGCGAGCGTAGTGTGCCCTACTGTGTGAGCTTATAAATTTCGAATCGTACTTTTAAACCCCTATTTTTGTCCCACCTGAGGGTCCGTGAGAGGTCATGCCTCGGTTTCTTTGTGTCCATTTAGGCTTTGGAGGTGAACAAGTGCTGCAGACCTGGAAGTATATAGATCGGATCTCGGGATTTTGCAAAGACGCTTGTTTTTCCGATAGCAGTCTAGTTCCTGTTCCTGACATCACGTTAATCATGCCTACAAAGATACCTTATAGCTCGATCAATACCTAGCTAGGTATGGGGCCAAGAAACTTGCATGTGGAATGCTTAGTAAAGCTATCAGCGAATCGACGAGCGCCCGTGTATACTCCCGGCAAGTACCATGCCTCGTGACCTAGACGCATGCTTGGCCAAGCAAAGAAAGCTCGGGGTGCATGAAAATGAGGCTAAAAAAGCTACGATCTGCGAGTTCACGAGAATCCAAAAAGGGAGACTCGACCCCCGTGACCCCAACATCACTACATAACTACGGTCATGTGCTCCAAGGATGCGGAATAACCATACATTCATAAATTCTATCGAAACCATATGCAACCCCTAGCATTCTGTGCGCCGAATACCAGCCTGATCCGGCCCTAAAAAAGCAATCGCTAAGACCGTTACCGTGCGCGTGGAAAAGGTCATCTCAAACATAAGAAGAAAAGCAAAGAGCAAACTCCACTGGATCAACCGGTCTGCCCCAAAGCATGCAAAGGAAACGTAAAAGAGTTCTCGGGAGTTAACCAGGATGACTCGATGCAAAAAGCAAATTGGGTGTGGTATGCCCACTATTGGATCAGGGGTTTCAGTGCCTCCACCCCGGCCTGTAGCACGGCTTGGTTCGATGTCCTTTTGAGACATGCGGTGAGAATGTCAATTCCTCCCGCGGCTTTCACGGCGGCTCTGGCGCGGGTTCCGATGTCACCTGTTGCGATGCAGGTGAGATTGCGTACGCAGACTACGCCCCGGTGAACAAGGGCATCGTCATCTTCCTGGCATAGCCCGAGTAACAAGTCCACGCCGCGTGGTCGGTCCAAGACAGCGGCCATCGCGGCATCGAAATCCGTCAGCATGGCAAGGGCTCCACCGGCGGCTCGTCGCGTGGGGAAGTCGTCGGCATCGGTCAGGGCCAGCAGAATGTGAAGGCGCTGGGCGGCTGCCTTGGAGCCATCGGCAAATTTAATGACACCAGACTCACACGTCATCAGGTTGCAAACCAGTTCACATGCGGCTCGTTGGACTCGAGGATTGCCAGACAAGAGGAGGTCCTCCACGGCAGACCACCCTTCCCGAACAGTGAGTTCAGGGGCGGAGTCATCGTGTGGGTATGAGGCAAGGTTGGTCAGAGCTAGCAGGCTCTCGAAGACAGGGAGGAGATCACGAGGCTGGTCGACAGAGAAGGAAGTATTCTCGGTTGAGGATAGTAGAGAGAGTAATGGACGGACGGCAGACGTAACCTGAGGGAACCCAGAGGATGGGAAAATGTGTGCCGGATCAACAGAGATAAGGATGCGGGCCAGCGCATGGGAGGCGATGCGTGTTGTGTCGTTTGTGACGGGGCCAGAGCTACTCTGCTTCGGCGCCGCGAGACCAAGTAGAAGCTTGACTGCCCCTTGCTGAGCGAGTGCACCACGAGACTTGGTATGTCTTGTCAGTCCCAAGAGAATTTTGGCTGTGAGTTCATTGGTGGAAGGTAGCGCGATTCGTCCGCACTCTACCAGCAAAGTCATGATGCCTGTATCGATGACGGCGGCACAGCGTGCCAATACAGCTTCATCTTCATCCCGACTGTCTGGGGCGGTGCTAGGCTTTCCCTTGGACGCATCCGCATAGTCCTTTAACTGTGACATCTTCTTTTGCTCTTCAGATAGGTTGGGGAGGAACTTTGTGAGGTTCAAAATCACCATCAAGCCGCCGTAAAGAAAGGAAGAATCTCCGGCATTTTGTTTCAGAGTCGCAATGAGGTTTCGTAGAAAAGTGGGATCCTTGGCAAGTTGTTCTTTGACGGCTGGCTTCACCGAGGCATAGGCGAGTCCCTCAACGGCATGGGCATTGTTCTCGACCTTTTGTGCAGACATCAGTCCCTTGAATCGGTGAACGAGCTCAGACTCGCTGTCTTCCTCCAAGACCTTACCGTTGCCAGTCGAGGGATGATCGGGCTCGGAGGCCCGAATCTTCGCCAGAGCCACCGCTGCCAACTCGGAGCATTCATCGCTCCCGTTGGTCAAAACATGAGACAGCCACTCTCCAAATTTCTTAGAGACAGCCTCACGGCACGGCCGGTTAATGCATGCTGCATTGAGCAACTCGAGAACAGGAACCTCGACCTTCTTGCTCTTAGCATCTCGGGATGCCAATGGACCAAGAACTCCCATGAACTCTTCCGACAAGAAGAGACTGGCCGCTGCGGCAGGTGCCACCGGGAAGATAGCCGCAGCCGCAGAGAAAGCGACAATCAAATCATCGATGCGGCCCTTTCTAAGGATGGACATGATCATTGTCAAGAATTGCTTCTCGCCAGCCTCCTTAGCAACTTCAAGATACTTAGCAACAGCCAGAGTCGCCTGGCTCCGCACTTCCAAAGGCAGACGATAATCCAAAGAGGAAAGAATCACCTCAAATCCTTCATCATCAATCAGATGTTGGAGCTGGTCAGCATCGACCGCGAGTAGTCTTGTAATTCCCTTCAAAGAGCGACCATCAAGATCGTGACCTGACTCCATCAGCTTGGCGATGAATAATTGGAACAATTCGCTCTCGCAGTGGGTACGGGCATCTTCAGATGGCCACACACTGGGATCCAATACCACGGTGTCCAGACAGACAGCAGCCCCATCGCCTCGGTCATAAATATCATCGAAAAAAGCAGTCACGGAGATCTGGAGCTGGGCAGAGAAATATTGTCGAACGCTAGCATTCTGTCGCACCAGCCCGGAAATGATCTCATCCTGCGTCGTGGATAAAGAGTGCGGTCGCTGTGCGAGCAACAGACTCAAGGATTCCAAGCCAACATTCTCTGGGGACTTGAGACCATCTGTGCGGAGGTAGGCAGCTGCTTCTTTGCCTGCATTCTCGTCGTTCTGGGTGGCGTATCGGCGGCAGAGGTCCAGCAGTTGGTGGCCATCTTTGTCTTCGTGCTGAACTTTCAAAAAGGCCGCTTTGACTTGAGGATTCTCGGGGGCCAGCGAAAGTGCTTCTCGGAGGTTTCGAGAGGCTGCCTATTGAGTGGGTTGGAATCAGCCCCTCGTTCAATCTGGGGATAGTGGGATCACGTACCTCGCGGTGGCCCGCGTCGACCAACTCAACAGCCTCTTGGGCTAGGTTCACGGCGCGCTCTTCTCCTGTTGCGTGGACCATTGCAAGACGCGAAATGGAGTAACTATAAAATTACTCCTGGTGTGTGGTGTTCAGAAGGTCATGTAAAGTGGAAGTGGGATCCCGGGAAGCTTTTTTTCTGGGGAGCGGAGAGAGAAAGGGCGATAAGCACGTTGCGGAAAAAGTAAACGAAGTTGGGGATGTTGGGATGAAGGAGGATTGTTATATTTTCGGATTGCCGCGCATAGCTCTCAATTCCCCACGCGGAGTACATTAAGTTCGACTTTCTTCTTTTCTCAGTCTTACGCCATCCCATTCACGACCATTATCAATCGGTCTGATAAGACCAACCACAACGACCAGATCCGTCACGTTTCGGATAAGCATACTACTTTCAGGCATATACCAGGTAGACACTGGCTTAGATGACTCTTACTTGTGCTACATCTGGGCACTTTTAAGGCAATCCTAGCACTGGAGGCCTGGAGACCTAGAAACCGGCTCACTTGCAGGAAACGGACACTCTTCCGCTAACTCCGACGTGCAGTAAAGTGGACTATCCATTGATCTACTCCCCAAGCCACTAGGAAATACAATAGTAGTACCTTGGCGCGTCCAAGGGATATGCCAAGAGTGTTGTCCTCCTGCCTTTGAAATCGAGTGAGACTTCAACCTCTATAGAAGATGCTCATAAATGCTTAGTAGATTCAGTCACTAAGCGCCAGTTCCTCCGATTGGAGTCCGGCTCCGAGCTGTTTTCCGAATTGCTTCATGTGGAACCAGCCACATATCACGTTTGACCCATGGCCAAGATATGTAAGAATAAATTAGACCTGAGGCGGAGGGTAATCAGCTTGTGTAAAGTAGAAGCGCTAAGTCAATGCCTAGTTGTCTCCGCGTTCCGTATCTAGTATCACTTTCCACCTATATCACCTATCATCTTCTCGAATCATGACTTCTGGCCTTGTCAGACCTCTAGCTGTAGTATGCATTCAGTCGCAGTCTCAGCGACATATTAAAGCTGTCAGGAATCTCGGTGATGCATGGCAGAGCTATGCCGATCAGCCTCCTGAGTCTGACGACAAGTCTACTGTGATAGATACTCAATTTTGACTTCGTTTTGGAAATCACGAATGCAGAAGAGCAGAACTCAAACCCAACAATTGTTGAGATTACAACTTACGAGCACCCTATCTATACGTCAATAGAATCCCCGCGGCACTACCGTATCTTTGCTGACTACGGCATGGATTTTATTTGGCAGGGTCCCGATGACCTAAGGTCTGAAGAGGAAGATTGCATGCTAGAACCACAAGAAGTGCTCTCTTCATATCCTCCGTCGTCTTGGAATTATATGGTACGTGGGTGGATACACCAATAACTTCAAAGAAAGGCGCGACAAGACGCAGAACTGCAACGCCACTACTTTCTAACCGCATCCGAGGATGTGGCTTGGAACGTGGCTGGTCTTATGCTGGCCTGGCGCATTGCAATGGCGCCACAGGTTGGGAGAATCGAGTTCAGCACTGGTGATTCGAAGTACTTCACGGAGAAGGGAAAGGAGACCAGTGTCACTTCGGTATTCCTACAGGAACAGGCTGATATCGTAGCCAAAGGAATGTCTGTCTCCAAGCAGAGTTTGACGACTTCAACATGTTATGATGTTTTCTTTTGGTGTAGTAATGATCACTGCCTCAGGGGGAACTTGCGTCGCCACCGATATTTGACAGCTGCGTCGGGTACTACCACGAAAGTGAGTGACCAAAGTACTGAACAAAAATGACGGCACGGGTCGAGCTTTCTAGGCCTCAAGGCTCAGAAACTATTAACATACAGAGTTATAGCTCAGTGAAAGAAAGGTGGAGTAGAAGCTATAGTTGTTATCACCCCGTGACTGGCTTATCACAAGCTTAATCTTTGGTTCTCCAACTTCTTCCGCAAATACTCGAGCTCGAATCGCAAAGCCTCCCTATATTGAGAGTCTGTCATCAAGCAGCGCGTTTAGGCCTGCATTCAAGTTGGCCTGACATTTTTCAAACGCGCCTCACACAATGACTATCAGCCTCGACTGATCCGCACTGCACAATGAATTCCGTCGATGCCTCGGAACATTACGAACTGGGAGCCACTGGTTCGTCTCCTCGTCTACAGCTGCCGATATCCAAACTAACAATGACCACAATCCAGACCTGTCCCCATCCCTCCTCACAGTGATCATCGATACAAATCCGCACGCCTGGGCCCTCCTCGAAAACTCCCTCCCATTCTCCAAAGCAGTCGCCAACATCCTAGTCTTCATAAACGCCCACCTAGCCTGCAACTACGCAAACGAAGTAGCAGTGGTAGCCTCACACAGCCAAAAAGCCGCCTGGCTCTACCCATCTCAAAATGCCCCAACTAACCTGGCCAACGCCGACCAAGACGGCGACGTCCAAATGAACGGCAACACACCAACCCCGCAAACAAACAAGTACCGACCCTTCCGCATAGTCGAAGAACAAGTGACCCGCAACCTCAAAGACCTAATAGACTCCACAACCGGCGATGACCTCCGCAGCAACATGTCAACAATGCTAGCAGGTGCCCTAACACTCGCACTGAGCAACATAAACAGACGCACAATCGCCTGGGCCGAGGAACACGGCGGTGCAGCCCTAGAAGACGCAGCCGCTGAAGGCGGTGCAAGCGGCGGCGGCGGAGGCGGCGGAGTAGCCGCCGCGCCGAACAGATACTCCGCTTCCAACGAAGATGAACGCCTCCAAAGCCGGATCTTGATCGTGTCTGTCAGTGGGTCTTCCGATTCCGCGCACCAGTACATACCCATCATGAACAGTATATTTGCTTGTCAGCGGCTACACATCCCCATTGATGTCTGCAAGCTCAGTGGTGATGCGGTATTCCTGCAGCAGGCGTCGGATGCCACCAAGGGTGTTTATATGGCCCTTTCTGAACCGAGGGGGCTGCTGCAGTATCTCATGATGGCTTTTTTGCCTGACCAGCGCTCGCGCAGGCACCTAGTGCTCCCAACTCGGGTGGATGTTGATTTCCGCGCTGCGTGCTTTTGTCATCGGAAGGTTGTAGATGTTGGGTTCGTGTGTTCTATTTGTCTTAGTATTTTCTGTGAGCCGCCTCCTGGGGGTGACTGTATGACTTGTGGGACGCATTTGGATGTTGGGGATTATCATGCTAGGCCTGCTTTGCTGCCGAGGAAAAAGAAGAAGAAGAAGCGTGTTAATGGGGCTTCTGGGGCTGGGACGCCTATCTCGACGCCTACACCTGGTCCTTGATGCTTGCTTTCTTTTTCTTTTTCTGGTTCAAATTAGTGCTTTCTTCGCTGCTCTCTTCGCGATACGTCCCTGGCTGGATGGTGGCGTTTTTATGGGCATCGGTCTGAACATTAGAAATACAAGAGGTTCCCAAATTTGTTCAGTTCTATGAATGAGGGGACGAATTCTATCCAAACACCTCGAACTGAGTGTATCGTTTGATGCATTGTTTGTCTCCTTTTTGATTTTTTTCTGCCCATATTCAAGTGCTCTATGTTGATCATCTAGACCATTTAGCGGTGGGTGTGAAAGGAAGTATGGTCTCTGTTATATACACATGATCATTACTGGAGAGAATAGTGGTAATTTTTAGATTGCTAGCAATAAGAATACACGGGAAAAAAAGAGAACAACGGGGCTTAGTCGTGGGAAAGTGCTCTGGTCATGTTATCGATACCCGGTATCAAAAAGGGGGAATGTGTTTGGAACCCCACTGGACTCTCAGAAGAGATATTGGCATTAGGCTCGACCTTGTCGCGATGCAAAAGAAACGCTGGCGATGCAGAAGGGCCCGAAATGGTGCGGTGAACTGGGTATCTCGAAGTAAAAGACGAAATGAAGCAGAAACGGGCAAGTGGGGCAGAAGCCACCTGGGTCGATATGAGTAGGCGTTAGAAGCGGACGCGACAACCTCCCTGCAAGATGCTTCCTTTGGGGCCGCGGGACATCACGCACACGGGCTTTTCTCGGTTGCTGGCCATGGTGCCAATGACCTGTGGGTGTTATTAGCGATCATTTATACAGAGCGGGAGGATTGATGTCTCACAAAAGACTCGGTGTTGTGGGCAAAGAAGAGCTCAACGCCATAGACATCTTTTCTCACGATCAATGCTCCGAGAGAGCCAGAGATGAAGCTGTCCGCCACGGCAGGGTAACCTATTCGTAGCCTGTAAGTTTCTGCAGTAACCGTATCAATCAAAACGGGGCAAGCCAAACATCAGAATACTTACCGGTAAACTCATTCTTGAACATCTCAGAGATGACGACTTGGTCCACAGCCGGCTCAAATTTGCCGTTTGCACACTTCTTCTGGCCGAAGTAGACGCGCTGTGAGAGAGTGAAAGCCACGAAGGACGAGGCAATAAGCTCTCCAGTTCCAGATGTAACGCACGCAACCGTGGTCTGATCTGGGTCAGTTGGGTCTATTGGGATGATGTGAGTGCCAATGCCAATAAGAGCTGCAGGTCCAACTCGGCCACGGTGCTTCATGCCAATGCCACCAGAAGAAGATCCCGCGGCAATGTTTCCCCACTTGTCAATGGCAATGGCACCAACCGTGTCTGTGATCATATCAAGATCATCTTGGTCACTGGTGCTGAGCTTAGCCTCACTTTTTGCCTCGGTATCAGTCTCCACCTCGGGGCTACAATCGCGAGACGACAAGGACGAGACAGTCTTAGTGTCAGTGGCATGTCCTCCCGAGTAGGTTTCGCCCAAGTCAGACATCCCTTCCTCGGCTGCTTCACGATCAACTGTAGCTAATTTCTCGCGTTCCTTCAGCCGGTTGAGACGATCCTGCATTGGGGTCAAAGACCGATGAAGCCAAGGGGCAGTAGTCGTCTTGCTATGATAACGCTCATACTCGTCAACGTCATCTTTCCATTGTCGCCAACGCCCACCCGCGCCAGGGTGAACCAAATCCTCGTTTGGCACGACGGCCAGACCATTCTCCCACGCAAAGTCTCTGGCGCCTTCTCCAACGACGAAGTTGGGAGGCACTCTCGAGATGCCGACACTCCTGTTGGACTGATCATAGATCTTTCGGGCGAGCGAAATAGGGTTCTTCACGTCTAACCACCTATGTTAGGAACCGCTGGCTTTTACACTTGATCAGACACAACAAACTTACTGGGCACAGCGCCGGCAGCCCCACTTTTTCCTCGATGGTCGACAATCGAGGCATCACACTCAACCACGCCATCATGGTTCAAGTTGCTTCCATATCCAGCATTGGTGATGGGATCATCCTCGAGCACTTTCAAGGCCATTTCGACGGCGTCAACAGCAGTACCACCGCTCTTCAAGAACTTCATGGCGGTAGTGGTGGCCCTAATCATTTCAAGAGTTAGATGGGGCAACCAGATAAAAATGTGCCAATGAAACATACGCGTCACAAGCCTTCAGATGCTTGTGCTCGTTCTCGAAGCTGTGGAAGCCAGCCCCAGCGTGGACAAAGATGGCGCAAATGCCATCGTCGTTTGAAAGCGCCGCCATGTTAAAGGCTTTGGTTCAAGATGCGTCGACGGCGGCTCTTGGGAACAATCGCTCTGTGATTGAGCAACTGATTCGAGACTTCAGCTTGCGGTAAGTGATTGTTCGAAGTACGCGGCCTGGTGACCACGACGTCGAGATGATTGCGAGTTAATGGGTCAAGTGAACTTGACGAGGGATAGTTGGTGTTGGTGCAGTGCGTATAAACAACAAGCAAAGTTTTGAGATGAATGGCACACGAGCGTGCTTTGTTCCACTCTCAGACTGTCACTTTCAAATTGTTCAACCTGTGGAAAAGGGCAAACGACCAGAGCACTCCAGTGTCTTCAAATCAAATGACCACCGGAAACCAATGCTCTATGGCAATGGCAGACGTGAGTTCTGAAAGTAAAAAGAGCGACGAAGGCGATGAAGGCCAAGTAGGTTATGTACGTAGAGAACGAACAATACGGAAAAATAACGTCTGCACCACTGGGCACATGAGGATGGAATGATAAAAAGCAAATTGCTTAGGGGGGTGGGAGAATCAACAATCACAACATGAAAAAAGCCAGATATGCATTTCCCAATGCGTTCTTTCCATATTGAGCATTTGGGTCGTTCCTGCTTCTTGAATATTTTGTAGATCAGATAAAGTTGGAGGGCACATGATGTCGACGTGACCCAGGCTGGGTTATGTAATCCTGGACCTCCGGACCTCCATCCTCTCCCCCCGCCTTGTCTGCCTGTCCTCTCGGTGTCTCCAAATCAGCATATTGGCGACAATTGAGAGCTGTATCTCTCCTTCCTTTCTTGATTGATATATCCCGGGGATTTTCTGACCCCCTTACTGCGGATCAATTGTTTAAAGACCCCCCCCCAACCACCCGCCATGGCGAACCAAACACCAGCCGTTGTCATGGACAAGTATGTTGACAACTGCAAGATCCCAAAAAGTTCCTTCAAATGCTGACCTGATATTTTCTTAGCGGTACTGGCTACTCCAAGCTTGGTATGTACTCTCGATGTTTGGAGAACTCGCGATCATGGATTAGGCTGACATGGTCCCTTCACTCTTGCAGGTTTCGCCGGTAACGACTCCCCCTCGTTCGTGTTTCCCACTGCAATTGCGACCAAGGCCGGTGCTGGAAGTGCCGCAAGCTCCGGTGCCCGTCCGCCAGTCGCGAACAAGCCCTCGTTCCTAGGTAGTGGAAGTGGGGCTAGCTCCAACCTGTCTGCTAAGCGTGGCACGGAGGACTTGGATTTCTTTATCGGCGATGAAGCTCTCGCTGCTGGTGCTGGCCCAGGATATGGTGTCAACTACCCTATTCGTCATGGACAAATTGAGAACTGGGACCACATGGAACGCTTCTGGTCAAACTCAATCTTCAAGTACTTGCGAGTCGAGCCCGAGGACCACTACTTCTTACTCACCGAACCTGTAAGGCGAATGCGCATGCTTAATTCCAGCTGTACGTGTTGATTAGAGCTGATTTTTCTCTATTTTAGCCCCTGAACCCTCCCGAGAACCGTGAAAACACCGCCGAGATCATGTTCGAGTCCTTCAACTGCGCGGGTCTCTACATCGCCGTTCAAGCCGTTCTGGCTCTTGCCGCATCATGGACTTCTTCCAAGGTCACCGACCGGTCCCTCACCGGAACTGTCATCGACTCTGGTGATGGTGTCACCCACGTTATCCCTGTCGCTGAGGGCTACGTCATCGGGTCCTCTATCAAGAGTATCCCCGTTGCAGGTCGAGACATTACATACTTTGTGCAGAGCTTGCTACGTGACCGTGGCGAGCCAGACAGCAGCTTGAAGACAGCAGAGAAGGTCAAGGAGGAGTACTGTTATGTCAGCCCCGATATCGTCAAGGAATTCGCCCGCTACGACCGCGAGCCAGACCGCTTCCTGAAGCACACCGTCACTGCCCCCAACGGACGCAGTGTCAACATCGACATTGGTTACGAACGTTTCCTCGCCCCGGAGATCTTCTTCAACCCCGAAATCTACTCGTCCGACTTCCTCACCCCGCTCCCCAATGTCGTTGACGGCGTTATCCAATCCTCGCCCATTGACGTTCGGAGAGGTCTTTATAAGAACATTGTCCTGTCTGGTGGTTCCACTCTATACAAGGACTTTGGCCGTCGTCTACAGCGTGATATCCGCCACCTAGTGGATGCCCGAATTCGCGCCTCCGAGGCTCGCAGCGGTGGTGCCCGCAGTGGTGGTCTCGATGTTGCCGTTGTCACGCATAAGCGCCAGCGCCACGGTCCCTGGTTTGGAGGTAGTCTGCTGGGCCAGACGCCTGAGTTCCGGAGCTACTGCCACACCAAGGCAGAATACGACGAGATTGGTCCCAGCATCGTGCGGAGGTTCGCATTGCTTGGTGGCCCTGGAAGCTCGTAGAGGGAAAAGGAGTCGATCTTGTCATTAGATGCTTATCAGTCGATGTAGCTCAGCCTTTTGTTCATAGTTAGTAGCTCATTTTCTTTCTTTTTTCTTTCTCCGGTGGTTCTTTCCTCTTTTATCCAAAACGGCTTGGCGCCGGTGTTATCAGTTTTTACCTCTGACGACAATGTAAGCTTAGAAGAGTGGTATTCCTCTTTGATCTTGATTCACGGAATCAAATGTAAGAAAATATATTAAATAGCATACATATCCACCATCGCCGTCATGCTTTTTTGTGTTTGTTTCCCAAAACGCCAAAGGGTATGCAACATCAAACCAATATATAACTTAGTGCCTATGTCAGGCAGATTCCGTGTGAGTAGGGTCCACCTCAGGAGCAGTCTCCACCTGAGGGAATTCAGTGCGGTTCAAAATAGCCACACCTTCGACATGACCAGTCTGGGGGAAGAAGTCGAAGCCACGAATACTCTCAATCTCGTAGCGGACGTTCTTCTTCTCATCACCCTGAACCATAACAGCGACATCCCGAGCCTGGGTGTGAACATTGCAACTAACATAGACAACACGACGGGGCTTGAAGTCAAGCATCTGACGCAAGAAGTCATCCGAACAGCCCTTACGAGGCGGGTCAATGACAAGCAAAGTCTGGTCGGCAGGGTAAGGAACATCCTTGAAGAGAACAGCAGCATCAGCAGCAGCGAAGCCAGTGTTGGGAAGCTCGTTGGCGCGGGCGTTCTCGCGTGCTGAGTTGATGGAGTCGCCTGCTACATCGACACCGAGACTGGATTTGAAGAGGGGGGAGAGGGTGATGGTAAAGAGACCAGAGCCGGAATAGGCGTCCAGGAGGTACTTGATTGGGCGGGGGTCTTTGTCGTTGCCGGCAGGGATGGCTTGGGAGCGGATGAAATCCGTGAAACCGGATAGGATTGAATTGTTGTTTTGGAAGAAGGCGCCGGCCTTGTTGCTGAAGATGTAGTCATCAACGTACTCAACCATTGTGGCGTTGTTATCTGTGATGCAGCGCTTCTCTTCGATGTAGTTCTCGTGCTCGATGCGGATCACGTCGCCTGTGTCTGCTCCTGGGGTGGGGACGATCGGGCTGGCCTTGGATGCTTCGCCGTTAGAAGTAGTTGTCGATTCCTTGGGGACTCGCGTGGTTGACTCTCGCATCAGAAGAGTGGCGCCTCTCTGGTAAGAACGGATGTTCTCTGCAACTCTTTTCCGCTCGCTGGTGAGACCACGTCGAACAATGTCTGTCCCTAGGGGGCAATCTTCGATATCCATATCCAGGCGTCGGTTCTTGTATGTGAACCCAATGGGCGGGATCTTGACCTCCTGTTCTTCGTCGGGCTTCTTAGCCTTGCGGCCGCCGCCATTTTCGAAATGCGGTGTAAGCTTCGTGCGGTATCCAAACTGCATTGGCGAGGCAAATGTCTCTCCAATTGTGGGCACAAGCTCTGGGATTAGACCAGAGAAGTTAGCATAGGCCTTCTCCACAATGCGCCGCTTGTGAGCAAGCTGGTCCTCGTAAGACATCATCTGGAGCTGGCAACCAGAACATTCTCCAAAGTATTTGCACTTAATGCCTTCATCATTTCTCTGGGGTCCTGGTTCAATCACTTTCACGAAATCGGTCAAGCTGTATGACAACGCCTCGTGATGCCTGACCACTTTGACCCGCACGAGGTCGCCGGGGACTGTGAATGGAACAACGTATACGTATTTTCCGTTCTCTGAAAGTGCCAGACCATCACCAGTCGAGGAAAGCTCGGCAATCTTCACGTCCATCTCAGTGAATTTCTCGGGAATAGCATGGGGCGCATCGTCGCCATTGCTTTCGTCCTCCGACTGATTGCGCTTAATGAGATTGTTGATGTCGGCAAGGAGGACCTCATCGTGTCCACTGCTCTTGCTCTTCTCGACCTTCGCCTTCTTGCGCTGCTTGCCGGCGAAGTGTTTCCTAGGAGTGTTCTGCATTATTGCGGGGATTGGAGCATTGGCTGGTTGTGGAACGTGGAAATCGGAGATCGGCCGTAGCTGATTGACTCGGGGTAGCCAAGAGGAAGTAATTCGCCGGGCAGACAAGCGCACGGCAAACATGTAAAGGTGCGACGTGAATACGAAATAATTTCTGGACGAAAATCGCCAAATGGGAAAATTATTAGAAACTCATCTTTGGGGCCGCTGATTGGTTGGGGGCTGACCGCCCGCAGGAGAGAAATTCATACCTTCATCTCGGACTGCTTTAGTCTTTGCTCAATTGTCTCCGCAATTCGCGTTTGTTTCTTTCGGAGCTTTGAACCAGCTTATTGCTGGCCAATTGCATCGCCACTATGAGTCTAACACGGCCAGCCCGATGCCTTTTCTGCAACTTCACTCGTGCTGCCACCCCGGGCACGCGAGTTCCTCGTCGCCAATTCCATCCTACTCCCGCCTCCCTCTCGAACCGGAAACCGAAATTCCCCAATGTTAAGGGTCCCCAGATGGGCGAATTCAAGCCCTACACGGAAGAGCAAAAGGCCGAGCTCGCCAAGGAGTACTCCGAATCGCAAATGGCTGCCATCAATGCCGGCGAAGCGGCTATTGACCCGAAGGACCTGGCAGAGCAGCTCGAGGAACGATCTGATCCGATGAAGTTCAAGTATGTCGACGACTTCTCCGTGATTGAACCCGGTATCGATCGACACCAGCGCGCCCCGGAGTCCAACTCGGACTTCAATTTCAAGCTGAAGACCGACGATGATTTCGAGCAGGACTGGGGCCGCTACTTCGTTGAGCTTCCCAGCGAGGATCACGCTTCAGGATCAAGCTTTGTGAAATTCGCCAACAGCCTTCGGGTCACCCGCGGGAAGGAGGAGAACGAGCTCAACCCGCACAGTGCACTTGTTCCGGACCTTTTCGGGCCCGGCGAGACCATCGACGAGCCCCGTGTGGAAGAACGCAAGAGTGCCGCCGAGATGGGCCTGAAGGAGCGGTCAGCCGCGGCCGAGGAAATGACAGATGCGCTCAAGAGCCTTCTCCTGAAGACAGGCTACACTGAGCAGCAGGTTAAGAGTCTCCGCACCAAGACTCTTGTTTCACACAGCGTCACAAATCAGACCCGTCTAGGAAAGGTTCGTCGCGCATACCGTCTGTCTATTGCCGGTAATACAAACGGCCTTTTGGGTATCGGCGAGGCCAAGTCCGACGAAGCTGCCGACGCTGTTATTCAGTCGCAATACCGTGCCATCCGTAATATGCAACCCATTCCCCGTTACGAAAACCGCACTATCTACGGTGATGTCAAGGGCAAGGTTGGAGCCACAGAGTTGCAGCTTATGCACCGTCCCCCAGGTATGTTCCTTCTTAGCCTTTCTTGTCATAATAACTTTCTGACATAATCTAGGCTTTGGCCTCCGTGTCCAATATCTCATTTGGGAGATGTGCCGTGCCAGTGGCATTCACGATCTCTCGGCTCGTGTTGGTCGCTCAAGAAACCCCATGAACACGGTCAAGGCCGCCTACGAGGCCATTATGAGCCAGCGTAACCCCGAGCAGGTTGCTCACGCACTCGGCAAGAAGATCGTCGACGTGCGCAAGGTGTACTACGCTGGCAAGGTTTAGGGTCTTCCGGCCTCGGCTTGGTGTTTCGTACCAGCGTGTATATAATGTTTCTCTTTTTCTCCTCTTCTTCTAGTGTCTTTTGCATTGTACTTGTATAAGTGGTTGTTAAACATGAAGGGTCATCAATTCTCAGTATATCGAGTTATCCACTGCATATTTGAAAATTCAACGTTCTTTCCATAAACACCATCCAACATCTAACACCCCGGGTATAAAACGCGAGTAAACAGAATCATAAAACAAGGAGTCATCTCGCATACTTATTGGAACGTCATCTCTCCTTCCCCGTCATAACCTCCATATTGATACTCTTGGTCCTGGAAATGCTGGTCCTCATTTTGCTGTTGTTGCTGCTGCTCTTCATTTTCGTTCCAGATCTGTTGTTGAAGCACAATGCTGTACACACTAGCCTTCAGCAAAGTGCAAACAGTAGCAGTCTTGCGCTCAAGAAGACGGAGGCCATCGAGCGGCATGGAGGCGGGGGAACCAGCAAGGTCTGAGAGTTTGTCTGAGAGCTGTGCACGGAGAACAATCAGTATAAGGAGACTTGACAGTAGTCTTGAGTAGACAGGATCGACAGGGCAATTGCCATCAGGGATATATATCTCTTTAGATGTTCAGGCAGATCCTCGATCTGTGGAGGGGAACAGAGATCTCCGCGTACCTGATTCACATTCCGCAGCAAGCGAGCATATTCATCCAGTACCTCCTGCTCCAGATCTGATACGAGAGGGTTGTCGCCCAAGAGAGGATTGTTCGAGTGGCCTCGACCGTGCGAGGCGTCTGTATCGGCGTCCATTGTTTGTTCTTGAGGGATCGGAGGGGTAGAAATCACGGGGTCAGCTTCGGTGTTGGAGTAATCGTGAACGTCAGGGTCTTCGGGTGCAAAGGCGGACATGGTGAAGGTTCTATTTGAATTTTGCTGATGAGACAACTGAAGGCAGGGAGTGGTGTTTGTTCAGAGCTGTGAGCTGCGGTTTTCTCGGGTTCGGGACGCGCCTGCCCAAGCTTCCCGATCCCGATATGCCGCTCCATCTGTATACCTTTTTCGATCATTATTGGCTTCTTTATTTCCTTTTTACTCTTTAGGCCTTTCTGGATATAATGGATAAATTCTGTACTCTTACACATTCATACATAAAAGTGTACGTATGACTAAGCTTGGAAGAAATCGCTGGCGATGTTTGACATATATATATGTCTTTCTCTATGTATTTCTCTTCAGTTGAAAATGCAAGAAACCCTATCAGGATGCTCCGGGCATTAATTCCTGATTACCCGTATGCAATTCCAGCATACAGAAGAAATAAATAGAAATTGTCGCACACGGTGTGGTACTTCCCTGTTGTGCTGACAAAAACCGGGGAAATGACTACAATTGGAGACCGCGAGTAACATGATATAGATAATAATACAGTAAACTTGCAATGGCACAATATATTAGACAACCGAGACTGAACATCGATTTTCGTCTGTGTGAGATACCATTGGAATCGAGCATAATACAGCTCGTGTGCTAATTAAATGGCTCACGCCCGAGAGGCGAGGCTGCATTACCACGAATCTTGAAAATAGGCCCGGCCACATGACCACCGCCCCTGCCAAAGCTTTCCGCCATCAACGTCTACGCTTCTCTTCGCAACATGGCGCCAAGACTCCCTCGCTCAAAGCTCGAATTGATTCAGCATAGAATACAGTTTATAGATAATGATTACTGCGCCTGAACTCTAGGTATCATATATCAGCGGGCTGATTTGTATAATTTACTCTGCATATGATGGCAGATCCACTGCCATACAAATGAGCTGCAGAGAATGAGCCCAGTCAACCCGCGTGTTAGCTTTGTCGATGCACAGGGTAACACACCAGAACGTCTCGTTGTCCACGAACTACTTAACCGATATCTCGGGTATGACCTTACGTTCTCTGAGTTGGAGCTCCTGGAACAAGACGCAGTGATGGTCTAGGCATCTATCCACACCCACTAGGCAGACTGTGACATGTGCCTAGGGTGAGCCAAGAAGGTCGAGTTCGAATTCATAGATGTCGATAGCTACACTGCCAACCACGAAAAGCAGTCTCAGTATTGGTGTTTCTAGGCCACCTTGCCAACCATAAATAGGATGCTGGGTTGCTGTTTCGATATACTCTTGTTGGATAAAGATTTTAGTCTTTTGCCAACCGGGCATAAATCGTAACTCTCCCCCGAATCTTATATTCGACCAGAACTCTTCTAGATTCTCGAGGTTAATGCAGCCTATACTGCGCGCCTGGTCTGCAAGTGCAATAAGTTGATAACTATAAGAGGTAGGGTTATTATTGAGCATCGCGTTAGTGAATCGACGTGCAATAGCCTTAGCGGTTTCTATAGCATAGGTGATATTTAGTATTGAATATGTTTATAAAGATAGTAGATTTAAAACCTTTGTGTTTTCGCTTGCTAGATTTGAAGTAGCCTATAATGACATTGTTATCGTAGCTTAGAAGAAGAGTCTTAATATTCATAGAACTAGAGGCTTCAACAAGTATTATAGTATTGTCTAAAAGGGGTTTATAGAGTACTAAGAGGCCGAGAAGGCGAAGGTGGGACCTGCTTCGAGTAACTCCGGTTGATAGAATTAAGCTTGCAGATATAAGAAGTACTAAGAGGGCGTATCAATGGCGGATTCTATTCTAGATTGGGCCATAGCTCTCGAAGAAACGATATCCGGCTTTATTCGCGGTTCGGAAACATTGTTTCTATGGTTCAAGATCCAAAATAGGCACCCCTCGGCTGTATTTCGATATCCTCTCTAAGTAGGGGTGATTCCTCTCCACCTAGACACTGCATCAATTGTAAACTTGAGCGGAGTAGAGTAGTCTCTTGCCTATGAAGCTGGTATAGGCTCAAAGTATCCTGTACAGCCCTGAGGGTACTGGAAATAAGACCCTTTGCTCGCTTGAATTTCGCTCAACTCATACTGAGGTATTTCGTCACTAAAAGAGCAGAAAGCGAAAATGATGCCATCAGTCAGTACTTTGAGAGTCAGTCCCGAGCTACAGCTTCAAGTATGCCGAACCAAGTGAATCCTCTTGAGATCACGAGAAGGGAGCCGGTATATCGTCACAGCAGTGCTTTTGACGAGGCAGCAAGCCACCGCTGCAAAGCTAAAGTGTGTTACGATATTATTACCATTCAATAGGATGTTAAAGTTTCCTTGGTGTAATAGCAAGATATACAAGCCATGCTACGCCGCATTCAGCGAGCAAACCATATTTTCAATGCAGATATTGAGCCAGAACACCTCGTAGAGAACTTCCATTGTGACTACGATCTACAAAAATACAAGGAGAAAAAAGTATCTAGACTTCCAGTTCTCGAAATGCGGTCAAAAGCAGTCATGTATCCAGGTCAGCCACTAGTCCAACCTTCTCAGCTGTTCGCGTCCACTTTCGAATAGGCATTTTGACCTCATACAGGAGAAACCGCTTATAATGACTTTCATAAGATAACTCTATTCGGCAAGTCTCTTTATAGCAATATTCTATCGCCATAAAGGGTTAGCACCCCAGGCCCCTACAGAAGGGCAAAGCCTGTTCCACGCTACTATGACTTGTACCTTCTGAAAGTCAATAGGTTAAACATGTCTCTCAATACTACAGCACTAGCCGCCATAGAGGCTATGGAGGTGGCTGTGAACGCGTGGGAACCCGAGAACCCTGATATCCAAGATACCGGCTCGCCCCCTAGTACCAGGGATCTAATTGTGCAAAGTCACTCTTCTCAGCATAACAACTCAGTTTCACCTATAGAAAGGCCTAAGGAGTCAAAATTAACGGCGTTAAAAAAAAGCATCGTCAACGAAGCCAGTTAAGCAAAAGCTAGATAAGACGATTTCTCACGCTAGAGAGCTACGCAGCGCCATTCTGTTAGAAGAGGAAAGTAGATGGCCAACCCAAGAATGGCGGTATTTAGTAGCATTCTATCAAGAGACAGTTGGCATAAGTGTACAAGGTTATGGCCAAGTCTGATTCCGCGAAACAAGTTGTGGTAGAGGAAGTATTCTATAAAATTTCGCCAAAGTTTGCAGGAAATGTTCGAAGTCTTTTTTCCTCGCTAGTATAGTGCGGGGTCGTTAATAAACGAAGACACTTGCATGGGTTGGATCCCTTCTGTTCTGTCACCCTGATATGCACTGCTGTGCATTAGACTCACTAGGTCGTAACCACAGATATTCACAACAATACAACTGTCATGTACATGATACAAGGGGACGTGGATTTACCGCCCTTTTATTTGTATTCTTTGCCGCTACCTTTTCGAGTCTACTGCTGCATATGCTTGAATGGGACCGTCGGGGGTCCGGGAGATGCTGATCAGCAGAACAGGTCATAGCCGCTTCAACCGGATAAACAACCAGTAGCAGGAGACATTCTTATCTTTCAATATACAATTCACTAGCGAACCGTCCACCCAAGCGAGCCGTCCACCAACCTTAGTCTATCAATTTTAAATGCATTTATCTCAACCAAAGCGCCATTAAGTTTAATAAGCTACGCGTCTGTATGGCTCTCGTACGTGGCTGTAAAGGTGCCGGAGCCGGCCCTACCTCACGGGATACTTGTGCTAAAACTGCTCGCTCTAGCTGCGCTACTAAGGTTAGTCTGCACCAAAACCCGCACCCGAGCCCGCAGCGGGTTCAGGTTATACTTTTAGATTTGAAAACCCGCAAATAGCCTATTTCGATCTATTTTTCCATAAATCTAGCTCTTGGCGTACGTGATTGTACGAAAAGAGATCTAGTCTTTGCAGGATCAGCACGATAATAGTGGATTATCATCGACAATCTTAAAAGCTTCAGAGCTCTTAGGTTGCGGCTGAAGGCGAAAAAAAGGGACAATATGTGTAGGTGACTCGGCAAATTCGTCTGCGCATTCAAATAGTTACGCATAGCATAGCCGTTCCCCGCATAAAAAGCATCACCAACTACTAGATACCGGGGGTAATAAACACTATCACGTACCTACGGGCGTAGATCTAGCATTTGAAGTATGGCATTAATTATCGTTGCCACCGAGCCATGCTACTGAATATCCGGCTCGACACGTATACAATATGAAATTCCATTGATGAAACTGAGGGAGGGTCCCGGTAATGGATTAGAGGTGGTAGCTAGATACGCCATAAGTTCGAACTATTCCGGACTCTCTGGAGCCTTGGCAACCTCAACAACAGTTACATTATAGAAATGTACGTCTGCTGTTCTAGAATCTAACATTAGGTGATTTTCAGCATAGCAGATAAAAAAAACCCTTTATACACTCACCCATCTAGAGGGCTCAGATCAATGCTAACCCCATGTACATCTTGGACCTTGCAGGTAGGCAGGTTTCACGCCTAGGACAGGGACAGTCATACCAAGCACTGACAGAAGAGAAAAGGTTTGCGAGGTAGCACACCTACTGTGGAATTTTCACGATAGGGTTGATGTGGATATCTCTCGTAGAAACGGATGCTGTGAGCTAGACCAAAGGAGAATAGCCAGGGGCCAAATCATCTTGGCCTTACTGCATTACATGTCGTACTGTCGAATTTTCTCTTGTTGTTGAAACAGTAAATATGTATTTCTTTGGGTTTAACTACGTAGTATGAGAAGGTGGAAAGTGGGAAAGAAAGATAGAGCCGAGTAAGAGAGATGGGGAGTGGTCGCCCAAGGCCTTATATTGAGGAAGATCAATTTTTGGCAATGGATTCCTCGGTAAGCAATCGAGTCTCAAGTGCCGGGAATCCCTCAAGAAGCCGTTGATTGTGCTGCATTCGACGACTTGCATTCAATATATGACGGGAAAATCTTATAGATACCGCGAAATCGGGGATTTTATTTCTCCCCGTTTCATTCGAATAGGCGGGATTCTGACGCTCGCGGGTCCTCTTCTTGACTTTATTAACCATTCTTCAGCACAAACGGAACGAATGGGTGACAGGATTTGCAACTTGAATTCACTGGACACGGGCTTTGGAGAATACACAGGGGATAAGAACAGGAAAAGTTTTAGAGATAAAGCCATTCTTCATTTACAAGAATCGCTCTTATTCGATCCACCATCTTTGCATCCATTCTTGCAACGCTCTACTATTTCAATATCTCCCTTAGAGCCACCTTTGCAGTAGTAGAGGAAATAGTCATAATTCCAGTTTGGAGAACTGTAGCCGTAGTCATCAACAGCTTGCAGGATTTGTTGGTGGTAATCGCCTAGTACACGTTAACTCCATTCGGGCGATTGATGAAGTACACAACAATACCTTTTCCCAGAAGGCTAGTAGAGCAATACGTGAGATCTTTCTGGCAGTTCTCAGCAACTGCTAAAGATGCAATGATAGCGAAGGTGGGTAAAAAGAGCTTCATGTTTTAGGATCAAAAGTTGACGCAGGGATGGTAGAGTGCTTGATCCAGGATACAAGGGAATACTACTCTCCTTATAAAGCATTCAGATAAAAAGAATAAAAGAATGAAAGAAAGCGTAACTTGGATAGTTACATTATGCTGGTTGGCGTTGGCCCCCGACTGCGGTCTAGGTGAATGAAAATAGATGTTATGATCTGTGGATTCCGGCCTTCTGATCCTTCATCCGCACCAGAATCCACGGTGAATCTTCATGGCCCCGTTCACAGGGGCCTTGCTAGGAGCAGCGAAGGGGGCCAGCTCCTCCAAAGATCGGATGGCCCGAGGAGTATTTGGTGTTTGGGAAATGGCGGGCTTTCAGATCCGGGCCCGGGGGCGGGGCTGGGGCCCACGTCTCCACCAGGGCGTAGGAATCCCGAGGCCCCCGATATGTTCCAGGAGATCGAATAGTTTCATCAAGTGTTGCGCACGTTTATGATTATGTAATTTCCAAGGCAATACTGCCATTCGGTCTAGGTCTGTCTACCTTTATCATTGATCTGACAATAGTATAAAATTTTGGTTAAGATTCATAGTCCAGAGATGCGTTGTAAAAGAAGTCAACCACATTTAAATTTATACCAAGCACCAACCAGTCAGTTGTGCTTAACCTCCATTCTATTTCCTCCGAATACCTTCGAAATGGATAAATCAACCCTATTGCCATTCTCAGATACAACGATCAGACTCATTACTACCACCATCTTGGCATCCATATGGACAATTCTGAGTCTTGTGGATCTCGCCCTTGTCGTCACAGCGGTAGAGATAGTAGTCGTAGTTCACTAGAGAAGGGTCGATAGGTGGACTCGAGAGTCTCAAAGCAGCCAAAATTTGTTGGTGGTAATCCCCTATGTCCGTCAGTTGAAGAACTAGAAAACTGCTGTTCGGATGTTGGGGTATATGCATTACCTTTGCCCATCAAGGTGAAAGAGCAATAGTTCAAGGTGTTCTGGCAGTTCTCTGCAGCAGCCAAAGTGGCGAGGCAAGTGATGGTTGTTAGGAAGGGCTTCATTCGGGCAGTTGGTCTTTATCTTGTGGATTGAGAAGAGAAGATTTGCGTTGGTAGGGTGCAGTTCTATGACCAAGTGAGCTCGAAAGAGGAACATTCACTTTATATACACTATCAGTCACCCATAAATGCATTCACACGAAAATTCTGTAATTTTCGGCCCCAAATTGATACGTATTGAACTGGTCTTTCCCTTCGTCTTTGCTTGTATCGATTTGATTTCTTGTTTTTCTTTTATTTTGATACTATTAATAAACATACAATCTTAACCATGTGTATGCTACTTTGGATCCAGCCCCTTCGGATCCTGGAGCTCAGATTTGACGTATTTTTAGCTACCTTCGACTGTCAAGCTGTTGGCTCAAAATTCCCTCAAGCAACGATCCTCATTTCCATTAGAGATACGATCATGTCTGATGTTTCAGTTGATCGTATAGCAGTACGCCTCAAGGAATTAATAGAAAACGACCATGCGATTTAGCTTTGACTCCGTAGACTTTGGACTCGGTGACAAGTAGAGAAATTCTCCCGCGCCTCGTAAAGGCTTAGACTATAGAATATGAAGTCCATCAAATTTGCAGGCGCCTCTATCTATTTCTCTTGGAAGCTCATAGCCTTCATAGTTACATAACTCGGGGGAAATGAGGAATAACAAATCTTTTTATAATCACGACTGGACAGAAAGAAAGACAGAATATGGCCGTAGACCAAGCAGATATTCTCCATGCCTGATCTCTGCATGCATTTTCTTCGGTGTATTCACGATAGATGCGGCAGGGGAGATAGTATCCTACGGGGAGGATCACCATAGATGCGGTCGCTCTAAGAAGACTATTAGTTTCTCAATTTTGACTTAACAAGCCTTTGAATACTTTGAGCCACATACATGGGAAGTATCAAACCAAAACAAACATAAAATGTTTGTAGGACAGGCTCGAACCACGAGTATTGCCGCGGCGAGAACTCTTGCCCTGCCTGGACCGACCTTAACCAGGGAGTTGTCTTTTTCTCTGAGAGCGCCATGGTATACCATTGAAAATTAGGAATGAATCTGGATATCAAATATCGAATGAAATTGCAGTAGAGGGAAGTGAATCTGGGAGTTTCAAGAGGAGATACACGATCCTTCTCAGTTGGAGGATGAGGAAGTCTAGAGACCTGGGGGCCAACGGGTTGGTCATCTGAATAATACGGCAAATACACGTAATGGGGATGAATATGAAGGTGTTTAGTGGATTGGGTTTTGAAAATTAATACTAAGTTATTTTTAAGATCAGCGTCATGAATCTATCTTCTATAGAGTTAGTCGCTATTCATTTATGGAGAGGAGCGGATTAAAATAGAAGAAAAAAAGAGAATGGTACCGTGGAGCTCCTCTTGGGGCCAACAGAGAAACGAAGGATGTAAAGATGATGCAGGGGCGATGGGTCCAAAAGGATTAAAGGGATTCAGCCCATGTCCATTCATAAAATAGAACAGGCATTGCTTCATATGTTTGTACGTAGAGCAACGTGGTGTATATAAGAATGGGCTTGACTCCAGCTTGACTAACTTAACTTTCACACCATCTTGTACCGTTGGGGTTCTTTTACCTCATCACTGCTTTACCATGAGATTTCCGAGCATCGCCGCGGCGGTCCTTGTCCTGGCTCACCTGGGATTGGCTATTCCTCTCAATGAAGAAGTACCCGCCCTTAAGTCCTTGTCAGGAGACCTAATCCAGCCCCGCACTGTGGATGTCGGCACTGTGAATCGACAAACCGATAACTCAATGCAAGATTTCGTTGTTCGGGGTCTAAATGCTGCCGAAAATGCATTGGCCATCTTGGAAGGCCGTACTACAGCAACCTGCTGGGACAACAAAGCACTTCATTGGGTAGCGGAACGTGCTGCGAGGCACACCACCTACTTTGCATTGTATGTAATCTTACCTTCCTTCACCTTCCTTCTATCCCTTGATACCCCATGACGCTTACCATGCAAAAGGAGAACTTATTTGGTAGTCGGAACGGCATCAACTCAAACTCTCTGCGCGGCTCTTGATGGTGGTGTTGCCTGCCATGCAATTGCCGGTGTTATAGCTTCTGCACTTGGAGCGGTCTTGTTCGTGGACTCAAAGGGAGCCGTTTCAGCCATCGGAGTGAACCCCTCCAATGGCGATATTGAAATGGGACCCACGAGACGAAGTCTGCCTAGCCCCGAATATCACGAGAATCTTGTTCGAGGTCTCTCTAATGCAGGCCTCAACTACGACAACTTGGAACACGTTGATATTCCATCGTTGAACCATCAGAAGCGATCTTATGATGCACCAGATCTCATACACCGTACAATGATTCGAGGTATTGCAGTTGGCGATGTTACGCATGACTTTGCCCTCAATCATTACAGCAATGGCCACTCGTCCATTGATCTCGGAGCACCCAATGAAACCCTGCATTCCGACCCTACGTCCAAGCGGGCTAAGCGCAATACTTTCGGCCACAAGGGGTTTAAGATATCGTACACACGCAAGCGAAGCCCCAGTATCACCAAAGACGAATCCAACTACATTACTGGGCAGATTGCGAAGGACTTCAGCGAACAGAGTTTCAGTCAAACCGGCTGGCAAAGCTACATCGGACTTGTGAAGCAGTCAGATAATAAGGCGGATGTTTATTTCAAGATTTCAGCCCAGAATGCAGGATTTAGCCTGGATTATGATGATGTCAATGAGTGTGGACAGCTGGCCTGGGCTTTGACCGCTTAATTTTGGGATATCCCATAATCAAAAATTGAAATTAAATTATGTCCGTTGTGATAAGGTTGGTGTGGAAGTTGAATCTCAAGCTGCAAGCTTTTTCTATTTATATTTTTCTCGTCGACATCAACTGTCTCTAGCTTTGCAAGGGTCTCTCAGTTCATGTTGTGTATATATTTTACCACGATTCAGCTCTTGCAAACAAGAAGATCTCTTGAAATGGGAATCTTGTGGTATAACAAAATAATATTTCAAATCTCATGATGGCGTCTGGTCGTAAGAGAAAAGCCTATGTTTCGATGACGCTCTGCTTTATATTTTTAGAGGACTTTACTAATACAACCTTGCCGTCCGCCATAAAGGATGGTCCCTTCACATGTCCGGGTATCTTCATTCTCTGAAATAAATTCCGATTGGCGCATTTGTTACCATCAAAAATCTTAAGCTCTCGTTCAGAGAATAACCCGCGGAAAAACCATCATCAAATCATCCGATGTTGTTGGAATCCAGGGACGAGTCCACCGGGGGCGGGGCCCGATCCTTTGGGGAATACATTACACGGATATGGTATTGAAGTTCGCTCTTCAGTTTGGCCCCCGGTTAATGCCGCAATGGTAAGAAAGCCTTGGTGGGTCTCCATGGCCCCTAATCCAACAGCACCTGGCCCTACAGCTGAAACCGATGGGATACCACCCCTTGATCGCATTGGGATTAGCAGGGGCCAGGAATAAGAACTAAGATATGAAGTACACTCGATGGAAAACAAATCAGAATCAGAATCAACAAGGTCGTTATAGTCTGGACGCAAGCCATGTATAGAGCGGCCCCATTATAGTTACATCCTTTGGACTCAGCCTCGCTAGAAAATGAATTATGTAACAAGAAAAGAAAAATGGCAAAGCAATTAGTGTACATGGAGCATTATCCGATGATGAATGGACAGACCATTCCATAAGACGGCTAACATATTTAAACGTAGGAACTCCCAGCAAAGTTGGCTCTAATCACCCATCGCAACCATCCACTAACCTAAGCTTCAACCCAAACTTCAATATCCGAAAATGAAGCTATCTATTTTCGCCTTCGCTTTGACTCTCTCTGTCGCGATTGCGCATGACTGCACAACGGGCTTGTACTATTGCTCTTACAATTTGGTCGGTAAAGGTGGGTTTTCCCATCAGGTATTGTTCCGGCATCCGGAACATACTTTGTTATACAGTGATACTGACATACAAAAGGCAACTACCATAAGCAAATCGTGAGCGCTATGGAAACCTGGTATAATACTAAGAACCTACACTACCATAATGCCGACTATGCGGTGTTCAAGTGCAATGGCGCCAATGATATCATCCAGGTCAAGGACTGCAACAACATGTGCTCAAATGGGGGTGATGACAGAAGTGACTACTGCGACAATTAAACGCCTCAATTTTGGCAGCTTGATTGCGGTTACGGAATGGATCTGCTTGGAACTTTGGCGCTCATGGGAGCGAGTTGACTCGATGAATTGGTACTGGAAAATGGAGATATTTCTTTCTGTTGGCCATTTTTGAAGAAAAAATGGTAGTGAAAGCATGTTAGTTGCCTGAACGAAAAACGACTCGAGCAAGGCGGCTGTATAGAGAACTTAGATAACTGTGCTCGTGATAGCGGCTATCACCCGACAATATCACATTGGTTTAGGGCACTACTAAAAGGAACCCTTCTCCACTCATTAAATTTCATTAGGCCTGCTGCAGTAATTGTATTTCAAATGCATTGAGTCTTGGCAGTACTGATGCTTCGAGTATTGGAGTTTTGCCTAAATGCTAGTATACCTTTTGAGTACCTACATTCACTATCACTTTCGTGGTACATATAGCATCCTGCTTCTAATTCCTCTTTGATTTCTGAGTCAGCGGAGCATTAAGTATGTTCCGAGCAAGACCTAAAGGTGCTTCCATTTATTAAGAGGGTATATACGGAAAGGGAGTATCTTAGAGCTATTCTGATACTATACCAGTAGGAATCACTAAAAGTGTCTTTGTTTTACTAGGGGGGTGCATACTAAATAGAAGTGCCTTACAGTCATAACCTCTCCTTTAATACTGTTTGACCGAATAGTGCATTGCAAGAACAATGACTGCAACAGGCCTAATGAAGCTTAACAAGTGGAGAGAGGAACCGGGTACTTTCCTGAGGGAATCCTTTCAAAATGGCCCTATATAAAAGGCTGCACACGTCTCTGAAGCAGGTTTCACAACTTACCCTCCTCTTCACACTTCAGGCTTCAAGCTGACCCCAAGAGCTTCCAAACGGATCTCGGACCTACTGTGGGCCTTCTGTGTTAAGAATATATGCAAGTGGATTGTGCACCTTCATGAGCAACTCAAGTGACAGAAATTGGGGCCCTGGCTTCGCTATGTTCTCCGAACGGCTATAGAATAAGCCAACCAGGCCATTGCACGGTACTTGACATGTCTTTCTAGGAAGTTTATATTAATCTGGCAACAAACAAAAACTCTTATATGCTGGTTTAGCAGTTGATATCTTGGATGCCCGCCTTGGAATGTGGTTACTGAGAATTCATCCTCCCGCCAGCTAATCGACACTAGATAAGCTCTAACAGGTTAATAGAGCCAAAATTTCAAAATCAAGGACTCGTTTAATTATATCCACTTCATAGTATTTCCGGAGACAGGGATAATTCAGCGACTTTTTGCGAGAAAGCCACTTCAGGCTTTTTTCCTGTTGTCCCACCCACCCCTTCCACACGAGTCCCATGCTGCGTCCATTTCTTTCTAACTGCAATAATTCGACTAAAGGTCCCATGAAAATAATGATTGCAGGAGAGTACACTCACGGCCTGAGACGATCCAAGGCTAAATCGGGCATGTATTTGTTGACGTAAACCTATTAAGGATATCTGATTATAAGTTCTGTGTCATCGACCCAGGGGCGGTAGACACAGATCCAGACGCCGAATAGATTCAATAGCAGATTAGTAGTTAGCGATAGACTTCCAGAAATCTGGTTCTGGCATTTGGTGTACAGTACTTTCGGGTGCATTCCAGAACATTTCAATAGATTCTGGATCCTATGCCAGACTTTTTTGCGAAGCAACGAGTCTGTGTGTTTGGAAATTGCCGAATTGATATTTCTCTTAGTACCTAGGTCCAGTCTTCCCAAGCCAATATGAACTTAATTTCTTCTAGCCCCATATTCTCTGGAAATACTGCTGTCGGTTGTATGAGATACCGAGCTTTCAGGTTGACTTGAAAAGCTATCTCGGATTAGCCCCATACCAAGCTTGGCTCAACAGTAATTTCCTCATGTAGGATCATCATACTTGAGGCTATGTTTAATTTCTTGCCCTGATCATGGCACATAGTAGTCAGGTTCATCCATCTATCTAGTTGCAGTGTCCACCTCGGTAAGTTTCCTTTGTCAAAATAACAGCGCATATTTGCCACAGTAGTGACAATATACTGGGGTTCACTCATTCATCTATCCATCTACCAATTTACTCCTCGTACAGTCTGGCAACGCTACTAACGTGCTGGACGCCCGGGCCGGAAACGCTTATTGTATTGCTTTTTACCAGAATACCCAGTGTATCCACTCGCGACGTGGAAGATTCAGCCGGAACAAATGACATCAGGAATGAATTGGTTCACGGTTGAGCCATAGGAACACTTGGAAGATAAAATGTGATCATTTCTAGAGTCGGGTTATGTGCTTAGACCAGAAGCATCGATACATCGAAATAATTAATCTGGATACGCATTCGAGCACCTCATAGTTGATACCATTCTTTCAAAATTAGAGTCACAAGCCTCGGTACTTTCCGAACGTGCTTAAGACCTCAAAGCAAATCTCAGGCCTGAAACTCAAGGCACGCTACGTAGCACGAGACACAATCAAGGACTAGAGGGGAGATTAGGCATTTAATCCAATTAGTTCTGCAAAAGGAAAGACCCAGGTCGTATTCGAATTGTAAAAAATCGAATCCCTGGGAAAGGTGAAGTTAGCGCTAGATTCACACGCGAGCTGAGCTAAGGCTTAGGGCCATTAAACTAGAAGCCTAGCTCAAATATGGTTGCGACTATCACGTCGATAAATAATTCGAAAATTTCAAATACGACTACGAAGGCTTTAGGTAAAATAGCCGCCACTAACAATAGATTGCCTAGCGCAGAAACCGTTTAAGTTGGACTTCTTCCGGAACACGTGGACACTTGGACACATCTGCCCTGGTCGCACCCGCTAGAACAGTTGCTGGCTAAATAGTCTTCCCAGAATAGCTGAACCACCATGAATAGTCTACAGGCAGCAACCGATATCGGGGTTCACCGAGGTTAGAATATAACTCCTAATACATGAGACGCAGCAGGTTGACAATTTGAAAGAGGGGCGACAAACCAAACCACTGTCTCAGAATTGATTGGCAGAATCTTTGGCGGACACTATGAAACCCTTTTTACCGTAAAACGTGGGGACATGATTGAACCCTGGAACAAAACCAGGGGACATGGCAAATCAAAAAGTGGCGACTTTGCCCTAAGGTAGAGGATCCAGTACGTAAGTACGTACGGGGAGTACCACGTAGGACAGTTTAGCCTGTCACTTCAGCGGGGCTCGAGCGGCAAGAGGGGGGCGACAGTATATTTGCCTCTTACAGTTCACCTTACTCTTATTAGATGGGCGTTATGGTGACCCGTGCCTGATAACGTTGTTTCCTAGGGTTGCTGTGGGCACGTGCCAAGGCTTTTGCGTACACCGGCTACGATGCGAATACGAAGGAATTGCCACATGAATTTTGGATAATAGGGGTTGCAAGTGTCCTTTGGAGAATTCAAAAGACATATCGGGGACTTCTCAATACGATATTGCGAGTGAGATCGGCAGAGTAGAATGTTCTCGGTGGATTCTATGCATCTTTTGGAAACGTCCAGTACCCTAGTGGGGTAGAATCAACCATATGGATAGGGGGAAAGATTTAGTTTCAGCGACCTGTCCACTTCCGACAAGGGGCAACCAAAGTTTAAGCTTGATTTAGCTCGACATATCAGCGAGTGTGGTGCCTTTCCAGCCTTTGGATACGCGTACGACCGCTACCAACGCCATATTCGTCCTCTCTTCAGAGTCCACTCCCCCATGGAATACAACGCCCACTTGGGCCGCTTAACACTGCCCCCTTTGTGTCCCCTAGGTTGAGAGAAATATGTCTTGCAAGGTGGCGCTAGGTCTAGGTAGAAGAATAGATGGATGTTCCGTAAAAGGATATTCTAATATAATTAATTGGCTTGGACTCAATTGAGTACAACACCCCTCTATCTCCCTCAAAATTATTTCATATTGGTCCCAAATCAAATTCGTTCTTTCTTTATCTCTCCACAAACAGCTCGACACCATGGCCACCCGAGAGAAGGCCAGAGACATGGTCTTGTCTCGACGTGAGGTCGAAGGCATGATTGCGGAAGACAAGCTCATCATCATTGTCGACAACAAAGTCCTCAGACTCGATGCTTGGATCAAATACCACCCTGGAGGCGATATGGCCATCAAACACATGGTTGGCAAAGATGCTACCGACGAAGTGAATGCGTGAGTCTCCAAACATCCACACCACGTCTCCATTTCATGAGTCCATTATACTGACCAATATTCCCAAGACTTCACTCCCATGAAGCTCGTCAGCGCATGGACAAATTCCAAATCGGCCGCATCGAAGGAAGATGGACCAATTTCACGCCTCCCATCCAAGGCGGTCATTTCCGGCCATACTACGAAACAGTCGCAGGCGAGACCGAGAACTTACTGAACTCTGACTTCTCAGGTGAAGAAAGCTCAGCACCCCCTTCGCCAATTTTTGAGGCAGAGGACGACACTTTCGGCCTCCGGCGCAGACTATCAGTCTCAACCATCTCCTCGGCCCTCAGCGCAATCCCACCTCCAGCAAAAGAAGAAAGGCCCCGGGGCTACGTTATTGACGCCAGAACCCAAGAAGAGATCAACCTAGATCTCTCCAAATACCCAGCCCTAGACGCAAAGCACCAAGAAAACATCACCCAGAAGTACCGGCAACTAAATGAACGCATCCGCGCCGCCGGTCTCTACAACTGCAACTACTTCGCCTACGCCATCGAAATAACCCGCTACACAATATTCTTCAGCCTCTTCCTCTTCTTCCTGAACAGATCCTGGTTCTGCCTCTCAGCCTTCTTCCTTGGCTGTTTCTGGCACCAGCTGGTCTTCTCCGCCCACGATGCCGGTCACATGGGCATAACACACAACTACCAAGTCGACACAACAATCGGCATGATAATTGCCGACTACTTAGGTGGACTGAGTCTGGGCTGGTGGAAACGAAGCCACAACGTGCACCACATCGTGACGAATGCGCCAGAGCACGATCCCGACATCGAGCTTATGCCCTTCTTCGCGCTTTCGCATCGCTTCTTTGGGTCTCTGCGGAGTACTTACTACGATCGCATTATGGAGTATGATGCCTTTGCCAAGATCACGGTCAAATATCAACATTATATGTACTACCCGATTCTTCTTTTTGGACGCTTCAACCTCTACTTCCTCAGCTGGGAACATATCATCTGCGGTCTGGGTCCGAAGCACGGCGCTGGGTGGTGGCATCGCTGGTTTGAACTGGCTGGTCAGGTGTTTTTCTGGAGTTGGTTTGGGTACGGTGTTGTCTGGTGCAGTATTCCTAGTTGGTGGAGCCGGGTTGCGTTTGTGCTTATTTCACATATGGTGACTGCGCCGTTGCATGTGCAGATTACGCTTTCGCATTATGCTATGTCAACCGCTGATCTGGGGCCGCTTGAGTCGTTCCCGCAGAAAATGTTGCGGACGACTATGGATGTCGATTGTCCGACTTGGTTGGATTGGTTCCATGGTGGTTTGCAGTTCCAGGCGATTCATCATTTGTATCCCCGGATTCCGAGGCATAATTTGCGCAGGACCCAGGAATTTGTTAAGGAGTTTTGTGCTGAGGTTGAGATTCCTTATGCTGTTTTTACTTTCTATGATGGTAACAAGGAAGTTATTGGGCGCTTGGGGGATGTTGCTAAGCAGGCTAGGATGCTGGAGGAGTGTCGGAAGGCTTGTGCTGAGCAGGGTGTATTCACCGATCACCATCATTCGCATTGATTGCGCTTGATTGTAGGATAGCATTTGAATTGTCATATTTCTTGTCCCTGGGTTGCAGTCGTATCTTATAAATCGAAAAAGACTTACCTACAATCTAGACGGGATCGGACCCCATTGGTCCCAGTGCATGTTTATACAGTAGAGTGCAGCAGTCCCCCGCAGTCTACATTTAACTTGAGCTGTAGGAATGCAGAGCCCATGTAGCTTGTAACTTCTGGAATTGAAAATCACAATAATCAGTTGATCCGTACAAAAGCCACGCTGAAAGCGTAAACCGAAAACAACCAAAGAGTAGTCCCTAACGCCGTCCGCTGCAAAAAGTAGAGCAAATGTATGTCACAATCTTCAGAAACACGCAGGAACCAATGAACCTCAGGGGCCATGGCGCCAGTAGTGGATGGCAATGTGAATGCCAAGAAACTTTTGCCATGTGGTACCCGAATTGACGGATGAGACCGAGTGGTCCAAGGGCTTGAGCAAGGAATGAGGGATGCAAAGTGAAAGGATCAACACGCATAGTAATGAGATAAAAGACACAAGAAAGGTTAGATAGATCCGCCAAAAAAAAAGACCCAAAACGCTCCATACACCCAACGAGGATTGCAATGGAAAAAAGAAAGGAAAAGAAAAGAAAAAAAAAGCATCTAAATACAGTCGTTAATGCATCATGGGTCGTCAGCGAGCCGATGCAGATACGGCTGTTTCCCTCGTGTATCGGATAAAAGAAACAAGTTAGAAATCAAAGCATAAACAAAAACCCGGTGTTCAGTGATCACCCTCGTGATGCAGGGTGACACTGTTGAACTCCTCGAAGGGATCGTTGAGCTCGCCGTTCGGTGTTGCCAAACCCGAGTCCATCGGGACACCCTTCATCTTGGTGGAATCTGTGCCGCCAATATCTACGCTGGCACTCTCCCTGACGTTGCGGAAGTTCACAGTGTCTGTGCCGGCACGACCCTGGTGGGGGATCATAGGCGGCTTCATGTGACGAATGAGAGCCCACTGTGTCTGTCGGAAGAACGGGTGGGTCTTGACATCAGATGCACCAGCACGGGCACCTAGACGCTTGGTTTCATCCTTGATGAGCAGTTTGCGGATCAAAGACTTGCACAGGTTTGATGTCTGTTGCGCACCCGAGTGTTCAGGGAAGTTCACCTCATCCCGGAGAATACTGGCAAAAGTGGCATTTCGGTTCTTACCCTTGAATGGGGTAGTACCATAAAGCATCTCGTAGATCAAGATACCCAATGTCCACCAATCCACGGCACTGGTGTGACCACAACCCTTAATAACCTCAGGGGCAATGTATTCTTCCGTTCCAACAAAAGAGTTTGTGCGGAAATCAGCGATACAAGATTTGGTATCAATGGTAGGTAAAGCCGTGGTGGAATTTCCACCACCACTGCGTGCGGGAATCATAGTCGGGGCTCCTCCAGGGCCTGACTGCTTGGACAGATCGAAATCTGAAAGCATGATATGACCAGATTGGTGAAGCAGAATGTCTGAAGACAAGTTAGTGGGGCTCAATTGTAAGATGACAAGGTACATACTCTCTGGCTTCAAGTCACGGTAAATGAAACCCATTAGATGAAGGTACTCTAACGCAGCAGTGACCTCTGCTGCGTAGAATCGCGCGGCATCCTCAGAAATACTCTTTCCAGGGCGAGTTTGAAGAGCTGGAACTTAGGTCAGCAAAAAACCCATGATCCATGATCAAAGCAAACGTACTTCTAAAGAACTCGCCACCACTGCAATACTCCATGCAAAGATACAGATAGTCTTCAGACTGGAAAGAGTGGTAAAGGGTGACAATGAAAGGATGGTTGCTGGTAGCCAGAATTTCTTGCTCGGCCAAGGCACGTTTGATCTTGTTGCGCTTGATCATTTCCTTCTTGCTCAGCACTATTCAGAGGTCAGCATGAAACATCAGATCATCTAATAGACTGAGCTTACCTTTCATGGCATAGAGGCGACTGGACTTCTTCTCGCGCACGAGATAGACCTTGCCAACATCACCCTTTCCGATCAACTTGATCTTATCAAAGCTAGCAGGGCCAACCTCCACATTTCGAACCTTGATTGAATTGGAGCTGTAAGTCCGACGGAAAGAGGCGTTATCAGCACCAATTGTTGGCACAGCCAAAACAACATCTTTATCTGAAGCGGCCAGACCGACGGATCCACCGGGACCGGCCTTTTCTACCAGAGGTTCCTTACCCATCTCGGCCGTTTGAGGGCGCTCGCCATTCTGACCGCTTATGAACAGGCCCTGGGCATTCGGGGCGGAGGCCACACGGCGCAACTTGCGTGCCAGTTCCTCCTTGTTTGCGGTAGTGGCCTGCTCTACCGCTGAGACCCCAGTGACCTGCAACTCAGGGGTATCGGGAGGGGAAGAGGGCACAGATCCGTCATTGCGATGCCGTAATGCGGGCTGGCCCTGGTGCGCGAAGTATGGGTTGGCGGTCGCGGTAGGCGACATGCTATCGTCGAGGGGGTTACCTTCACTGGCAACGGTGGTCGAGCGATTGCGGCCGATCGTAGGCATGAATCGGGATTGCCTGAAGGCGGATTTCTCGTTCTTGGAGGAACTGCCATGGCTGTCCCGGTCTCGTTCGGGCTCGTTGCCTCCAGAGCGGGTACCAGGTGAGGAATGGCTGCTTGAGCTGTTGATGCGGAAGAAGTTCTTGATTCTCGTCGGAAGGTGACTCGATTCATTGGAGTGTTTTCGGGAGGGAAGGGAGAGGCCGGAAATCCCACGTTTCTCATTGTTATTCGTCACCGCCGACGACGGGCTGGAGCTGAAGAGCTGCGTCATTTTAGGTGGGTCACTGCGATTCAAACCGAGAGCGCAATAGTCTAAGATGTAGGCAGGATGATGCGAATGAAACGCTGCGCAATAAAAGGCGTGAGGCGACTGAAAGAACGGGGGCTTCGATGTTCCCAAGTGCCAAGTACCGGCTGGGGATATAACCGCGGGGGCAATTGTTGGTAAGAGGCCAGGTTGATGCGACGGAGGCCACCCAGGTGTGTAAGGACAAAGATCACGAAAGCAGCAATCACAGAACTAACTGCATAGCACAGCCAGACAATTAAAATAAGGACAAGAATTGAGAGACCAGGAAGAAACGAAACGAGTCAAGGAGGAATCGGAGTGGAGAATGGACGCGGAGGCACGCTTAGTCATGCGAGAAGTAGACAACTTGAATGTGTCGACTTTACTATCTCTGCATTAATGTCGAATATGCTAACAAAAGAGATGAAGAGAGAGGTGAAAAAAAAAATGATGAAAAGAGAATGATGAACAACACGCCCAAGTCCTGCATACGGGAAACTACAGAGAAATTTCACTTCTTACAGCAAAAAAATAGCCTGGCTGTTTGGTGGCGACTTTCGAACGCCTCCGAAGTCAGGGTCTGTGTCATGTCACGTGGTATCAATCTCCATTGCTAAGAATATTGCTGCACATGATCGCTAACTCCCTATTTTTTTGGTCTTTTCTCAAATCAAATCAGTAGACAACTTAACCCCCCCCCCTAATTCATGGCAAAGGATGCGTAAACCTCAATGTTGTTGGTCAAGGCAATTGCGGGCGCAGTGTGGAGAGCGTGAAGGTTGATCAGAAGCGACGAGAGCACGGTGGGGTCACTTGGCTTGATAGCTAGGCGGGGCCTAACGTGGGGTGCATGGTATGAGTTCAAAAGCAAAGGCATTTCTGACGTGCATGACGAGTCCGACAAGTCCTCCAAGTCGAATTGCAGCTCATTCTCGTTGACACTGCTTGCGCTTAATGTGTCCGTGAAAATGACAGTTTGACTGCTGATAGATTTAGATCGGTTTTGCTGTAGTCCGGACGTTTCCATGATAGATCCCATAACCATCTCGTAGTCCTGAATACCGCCATTGACGTTGTCGCTCGGTTTGATCGCACCATTATCTTTGTCATGCGCAATCTCGTCGGCGTGGTCACACGTAGTCGAAACGTCGTTACGTACAGACTTGATCTTGTCTCGCGCAGTCTCCTCGATGATCGCAAATACTCCCATCTCACATTCATCGTGGGATTCAGTCTCAGCATTGTCATGATCTCCACGTTTGCCGCTGCTGCTTTCACAGTTAGTATCGCGAAGATGGTCTGAACGGAGACGCTTACCTTGTGATCACAGGGCTTGAAACGGCACGACCCACTGCCCAAACAGCAGCAGCCTCATTGTCATCGTGAGAAAAGAACTCCGGACCAACCTCCGTGATAGTTTGCAATCCTGGGCCATAGCGAGGGCGGCCAAAGTTCCGGGGCACAGTCTTGCTGGATACCCTCTTTCGCAATGGACGCAGGTCTTTCAAGATTTCTTGAGGGATCCACAAAGTGAGCTGACCATTTTCCACCAGGAACGCGCCGTTACTAAGGTCAGTCAATTCTTTGACAATCTGCTCCGAAGACTGGGCGATATCAAGAGACAGGTCTATGCTTCCAGCCGGAACCGGTATACCGGCCATCTTGTCAATACCATCGTGAGCAACACCATTTGCTTGACTAAGATCCGCGCCAGCGCCATTGGCACGACCATCTCTCTTCTTCGCCTTCTGTGAAAGTCCTATCAGATCTATGGGACAACCAGTGTGAGGATCAATGATGCGGATTGGTCCAGTGGCTCTCGTGTGGCTCACAAATGAGGTATCATTTACACCATCGCTGGTGACCCCAGCATCTGGGCTCATATCTGGTGCACTGGTGTTATCCTGAATGGTTGGTCTGGTGAAATCTTCACCAAAGGTGCTCGCAATGCTTTCGAATGTTATGTACCCAGCCCGGTCCAGATCAGCCTGGATGTTCCGGATGCCATCAAGCTCTTCGAGAGCGGCCAAGATTCTCGCCCGCTCGTTGGTGTTGTAGATTCGATAGTGCAGCGATCGCCCGTCAGGCCTAGAACAAAGGTCTAAAGCCATAGCCCCGTTGATTTCCACGAGCCACTGCTCATGCAGACTCAACTTGTGTCGCAATCGCGTTTCAGCCTCTTCCCTGTCTGGGATGCCACAGATCCATGCACACCGAACATATCGTCGATAGAAATCCACGCCCACCCAGATATCCAGATTTCTCCTCCGGAGCACAAACCCTTTCATCATGGTCTCCTCTTCTTGGATTTCATAAGCCCATGCGCACCACCTTTCAATGCGTCCATCGCTGTACGACTCAAACTGCGACAAAGAGCTACTGCTGAACCCCAGTTGAATCGAAGGGCGCTGGGTTGGATCTGGAACAAACACCGAGGTTCCTGGAGCCTGTTGAAGCGGCACATCTTCTGTAATACGACTGTGTGGATTTCGGGGGGCAATACGTGGATCGAGATTCCAAGGATCAGCAGGGTGCATGGGCGCCAACGACTGAGGTGTCTGGCAATACACATGGAGATTATCCTCATCTGAAGAAGAGGAGTCCCAGTGCTGATCATAGGGTCCATCTGTCTGTTCACCAGCCACTACTTTGTCGCCAAGAAAGACACGCCCAACAACAGAAGGATCTTCATCCATCATGACCATCAGCACGGGTGATACGCCCTCAAGACGGGGCTTGCCATCAAGCTGGGGAGTCGGTGGCGTCATTGGCACGATTTTTCCTCCAGCCGTGACTCGCTGATTCTTGGGAGAGCTATGCTTTTGAAGAAATTGTACAAACCCTGCATCAGTGGTAGACATTGCTGGCACCAATGGCTTCTTCTTTGTGTCCTGGGTTGTACGATATTGAGGCTTGGCTTTCAAAATCGCACTTTTGCTCAATCGTAGCTTTTCTGGTTCGTTGTTTGCACGGTTTGAGGGATTCTGTGAGAGAACTGCCTTAGACTTGCCTATACTGCGGTTAACTTGGTGTTTCGATTACTTTATCGGGGACAATCAGTGGTTTCCTGTCATCTTCCTGCATGTATGAAGCAGGAAGTTCTCCAAGGCGCACGGTATCATCCTTCTGGGGACAGCAGCACAAACATGCAAACATGCTGAACCTCAGGCTCTCCAGAATCGGAATATGGGAGACTCACAATGGATTGCTTGGCTGGTCCACTTGCAGGGTATCTCTTTGCCATGGCGCAGTGCCAACAATGCTGGCATTGTGTATTTCATGTTGAGTGTTTCAATATGGTAGGGATGATGAAATAATGGGAACGAAAGAGAAAGAGAAAGATCAAGCATTGGTGGAAGGGCGGGGATGAAGCATGAAGCAGGTACGATGGGCATTGTGATATTGTAAGAACATTCACTTCAAAGAAACTACATCTTCCACGCCTTTTCTAGGAACCCATAATTCGAACATGGGTGACGACGAAATTGGCACCTTTGTCTGAATCCCCTTAAACACTTTCCCTAACTCTGACCGGTTGGAGATTATGCAAACCCCAGTCCTCTTCAGGGTCATCGAATGGAGATCTCACAACGCTATCTTGTTGAATATGATCCACCTCTCTTCCTTGCTGTCCCATTTCCCAACTTCCAGACCGTTCATGTCCCTGGACAACAACCCCAGCTGAGGCATCATGGGTTGAGTTCTCGGTCTTGGCATCACCCCAGATAGGGCTGCGGAACGCCACATCCGTATCGCTTGCCATCTTGTCTGTTCCTTTGAACCCACCCATACTCGATTTGCTCTCTCGGCGCTTGCGAACACCACACAACAGGAAGCCAACAATGGTGAAAATGCCAACCACAATCAGGGTCACAACTGCACCAATGACTCCAGCCACGGCCGGTGCCATTGTTCTTTTCTTTTCTGGTTTGGAGCTCTCGGTGTCCATTACTCCAGTGCAGAAGATAGCTGCAGAGTTGCAGACCGTGCACCATTCTTGGATGGAAGACAGAGCAAACGTTTCCAGCTGGGCACGGAACTCACTATATCGAACATAGGAGTGACTTGGGCTGTACCCAAACAAAGGATATGGCTGGAACTGGGTGGCGTCGTCTGTCCCATTGTGCAGAAGGAATCGCACATAAAGATTGTCATACCCAGGGTACGTGGGGTACTCTTCATCTTCCCCAAAGCTGTACAGCTCAAAGACTAATGAACCACCTCGCACAGGGCGAGAGAAGAAGTTGGGTTGGTGTGCGTTTGCAAGCCCTAACAGGGATGATAGGGCCATTACAGGCTCGTCGCCGCCAAAGAGCAAAGTCATCTTTTCTTGAGTGCCATCCTCTTGGATATTCATATCAAAAGACTCCATTAGGCTTGTGGCCAAAGTCTTACCCGCAATGGGACTGACATTTCTGATCATAGACCCATGCGAAGAATCTTGTTGGCTGTTTGTGTCGTATAGGAACTTATCGGCCAATGAGCGAGCGCGGAGGATGTCAGCGTCGTGGAGCGCTTGCTGGAAGGATTCATTGTGCGCAAGCTCGTAATCGATATAATCCGCAATAGGCACAGCGTTTGTATATGTCGATGATTCTTCATCCTCGAACACACCAGACAGAGCTGAGTGCCAGAGATTCACATAAAAGGCTTCCGTGTCGCGAATTATCAGGTCCACTTCCTCGCTGTCGCGATATTCACCCTCGGCGGCTTTGTGCATCTCACAGTTTGCTTGTCCCTCAACATAGAAAGACGCAGGATCTGAACCGCCGAGTGGGATAATCAAAGGATACTGGTATCCATGAATGGGTGCCTGTGCATACGAGCCATTTGCCAATTGAGCCCCGGTTGTGTTCATATCTACGGGGGGATAAAGGCCCTGCATGAAAGCCTGGGCGGAAGCAGCAACATATTGGTCCGCTGTCGACAGCACTCGCACGTCTTTTGAGTCCAGAATGCTTGGCGAAATATTCTGAATACCACTGTCTGAGGCATCATTGCCAGATGTCGATACATATCGATAGCGAAAGGCCGCTGCTGCAGCCGCCATCTCGCTAGCGCCGTACTCTGTCAGGGTTCGAGAATCACTTAGGACTTCCGGCGTGCTGTCTCCGAAGACGGTGTATGCAAAGACACCCCATACTTTCTCGTTACCATAGCTTTGGGCTGAGACCGTAGCTAGTCCCTGCAAGGCCAGGAGGGTGAAAGATACTCCCTTGCTCAACATGGCGATGGATCTGCACTGTGAGTTAACTGAGGTGGAACTTACTACAGAGCTCCAGAGCTACCGCGGGGGCCACTATGTAATAAAGAAAACGGACCCCGGGCTAGACCCAGGGGTGGTGAACCTTAGAGCTACAGGAAAATCAGGGAACCACAGGACTGAACGATTAATATACCCGTTTTCGGAAATACTCTCGCAAGATTCAAGTCTTAAACCGTGCAGAGTTTCGGCTTTTTCGGGTGGACATCGATTTTGACATGCCAAGGTTTGGTTTGGATGACATTCTGGAATGGAAATGGTATCCGGACTAACCAACCAGTATAAAAGTAATGCAGGAAAACCTTGGCTTCCTCTTCGCAAGGGGAGCTTTGGTAGCTCAGGTAGAGTTGAGAATACCGGATACTAAGGCTGTTGAGGTTAAGGTTGCACGCGCTTTAGGGATAGCGGTCGATGACGCGCACAAATTGTCCGCAGGTGAGATCCGAGAAAGATGTGAGAAAATATGCCATATACTCCAGGCAGCATGATGATTAGGTTATTTGTGCCCATGACCCTTGAAATAAGAATAGCAAGCAGCATTTACGGGGAATGATGAAGGTGATATTTTATGCTGAATATACAAGTTAAGTTGGGAGGCTGTCGTTAAAGCCATGGGGAAAAGCAGTTATGATGTGTCAATTATTCTACAAAAACAATAGAGAATTATTGGAGTTAGATCAAGATCAACCCAAGTATCTTTCATCTCTATTCACGGAGTAATGAGTGCAAGACTTGTAATGACCTGAATACTGATAGTTAACGAGGCGTGGTGCAAACAAGGTGCAAACATTGATAGATATAGTTACTGCCATATCTCACCGCATCGCACATCCGCCACATTTCCTGCGCCACATCTCTCACCGAATCCTTTCCTTTCTCCCCTCACTCACCGCCCGGCATAAAATTCCTTCGCTCTCTCACCTTCCAAAGCCCTACAAACGCGCCCTACCCCTAAGCCCTCATTTCTGCTCTCGGAAGTTGCTACCCCGACTTCAAGCTGTCTCTCCCGATGGTCGAAACTCGAGGCGCCCGGCCGTCCTTCGATGGCCAGGATACACCAGACTTTCCCCCTTTCCCTTCAGAAGAAGGCGACTTTGGTATGCTTTCTCTTGTTCCGATTATCCCGTGCCTCGTTAGCCTCGGCCACCCGCCTATAGCTAGCTACCTTTGCGCCAACCAATCTCAATGCATTGAATACTAATGTTGGGTTCCAATTATTTTATAGACCAAAAGCCCCCTCATACTCTTGAAGATGAGGAGCATGGCACACCTCCGGCTGCCAAAAAACGCCGTACGGACGCTGGTCCCGACGCCGAGCTTTCACTTTCCAGCGACAACATCTTGATGGCCGATCAGCATGGTCCTGGCCACAAGATTGAAGAGGAACTCGCATCGGCGCTTGGAGAGGGGGTTATCGACACCGTTGAACAGACCGACCGTACTGTCACCGACCCTGGTCCCCATGATACCTCCGGTGCCGCGGCAAGCCAGGACGGCAATGGTGACATTAACCCCGACGTCGCCTCAATCATTTCGGAGATCATGGACCATACCGAGCGTCAGGAGCAGACTGTTGCCATGGGTCCGCAGGAGATCCCGCCGTCCAACGAGTTCCCCGGCGCCAGAGGCTTTGCTTTCCTGAAGGCCAACTCCCACTTGAAGATCCAATCTCTCCCTATCTTGGACAACCTGGTTAGTATAACCAACCTCATGTTCGTTAATATTGCATCCTTGCTTACTTTCTCCTACAGTCTACCCAAATCCTGTCCTTCCTCTCCAAGAACACCTACCAGGACCTCACTGCCATGGTCTCCGAGCCGGATTCCGAGAACGGCCAAGCATATGCCACAATGCGCTCTTTGTTCGATCATACGAAGCGAGTGTATACCGTCAAACACTCCTTCCTTCAGCCCTCGGATCTTGAAATTACAGATCCGTCGCAGATCGACGTCATTCGCAAGGCGAACCTAGCTTCCTTTGTCTCGAGCATTTTCGGCTCTCAGGAAATTGGTTTCGCCGAGTTGAACGAGCACTTCCTGGACGTCTTTGTCCCGGAAGGTGGTCGCTTGCTGAAGGTCCAAGGTGCTCTGTACCTTGAGCTCAAGACACAGGCCTTCATCGCCGCCATGAACAACAAAGCCCATACCCGTACCGAGCTCCTCTACTCTATCTTCCCAGATGACATGGAGCAACGTCTGCTAGCTAGACGTCCTGGCACCCGGCAACTTGCGCCTTCCGAGACGGACTTTGTGAACCGTCTTACGTCTCGCCGTGATATTCTTCTCAACGACATCAACAACGAGGAAGCGCTCAGTGCCTTGCCCGATAAGTACCACTGGGAAGATTTTCTTCGGGACCTGAGTTCCTACATCTCAAAGAACTTCGATGCCATTAATACCCAACAAGTATGCGATACATTTCATCTTGCTTGAATATATGACTAATGCGGTTTAGGGAAAGAAGCCTATTAAGGGACGGCAACCATCAAGCTCGAATGGCGACGCGCATGAATCACCCAATACCACCCACCAGGGTCAATTCGCGCTCAACCAACAAGTTGAAGTCCCGGTCGACCGAAACATGCATGGTGATCTTGTGGCACGTGCTGCCCGAGCCGCGCAGATTGCCCTTCAGGGCCATGGCCTTCGACGGTCCCAACAGCAGTCTCAGTCGCAGTCGCAAGCACAGCAACAGCAACAGCAGCAACAACAACCGCAACCGCAGCAGCAACAACAACAACAACAACAACAACCGCCACAGCAGCCCCAATCTCAGGCCAGCCCATCTCCCATGCCCCATCAACCTCAACCTCAGCAACAGCAGCCACCACCACAGAGCCAGCCTGAGCATCAATACCTTCAAGGTTACACTGCTGCTCAGCAACCCCAATCTACACACCAACAATATCACCACAGCCCTACGCCACCTGGCGGGTATCAAACGCAGCAAGCCTCACCGCTTACCTTCCAACAAAGTCCGCTGCAGGCAAACTTCCAGCAGTACAACCCAAACGCGGCTCAAGCCATGCAGGCTAGAGCAAACGGCATGTCTTCCAACCATGGCTATATGCCTGGAATCCCTCATTACTCTCAGTCACAACCTACCCAAGTCCTCTATGAACGTGCTCGCATGGCTGCATCCGCCAAATCTTCCCCGACTAGCCGCAAGTCCGGCTTGCCTAGTCAACGCAGACCCTGGACCACAGAAGAAGAAAATGCTTTGATGGCTGGCTTAGACCGGGTCAAGGGCCCTCACTGGAGTCAGATCCTTGCGATGTTCGGTCCTGGTGGAACGATCAGCGAGGCCTTGAAAGACCGCAATCAGGTTCAGCTCAAGGACAAGGCTCGTAACTTGAAGCTTTTCTTCCTCAAGAGTGGGATCGAAGTTCCTTACTACCTGAAGTTTGTTACCGGTGAACTGAAGACCCGCGCCCCCGCCCAGGCAGCCAAGCGTGAAGCTCGTGAGCGGCAGAAGAAACAGGGCGAGGAAGACAAGGCCCATGTTGAGGGTATCAAGGGTATGATGGCTCTTGCTGGAGCTCATGGAACCCCTGTGCCCGGGCATGAAATGTCCGCCTCTCCCAGCCTTCCACCGGATGCCAACAGCCAGTCTGTGTTTGATCAAACGGCCGAGCAAAACCTGATGCAGACTCTCAGCCAGGAGGTCCACGGAAACCAGTACGGTCAGCACCAACCGACCTCAGACCATCTCGATCCACACATGCAGCTTGGCCAGTAGTTGCTATTTACTTTTTACCCTCATGTCGTTTGTTTCTTGTTTCTTAGCTTTTATTCAACTCTGTCTCGAGTCCTGGATTTGCACTTTACTTTCGGAGTCAGGGAATGGATTGTGGGATTTGTTCCTTCGGGAACCATTTGTTTTACTATTTGGATTGCACATTGCGCTGGAGTGATGATAGCTGTATGATACATAGCGAAATTAAACAGGCATAAACTTTGTCAGATAGAAGAGGAGAGTAGAAAGTAGACACTTTTACCCCAAGCCAAGTGTATATAAGTCAAGAGTGGTCCGTGCGTCCGTGTGACTTGGGAATCTCCTACCGTCCGCATTGATTGGGCCTGATGATTAACCTGCAGTCTCACAAACAAATTATATAGCAGGGTTACGCCAAATTGCCCAGAATGGCCGACTCTCAGACACCGCAACCTCCCTCTGGATCAGAGCATCTCACCTCAGCTCCGGTCACTGAAGATAATATTAAACCCGACCCTGACCTCGATGCCTCAATCGAACAAGACGTCGACATGAATACCGAAAACCAACCCGGCGCTAATGCCGATGACTCTGCCGCGCCTGGCATGGATCCTATGGCGCCGGTGCCGACGCCCTCCAAGAAGGAAACGAGCTTGCGCGAGTTCCTGGGCAAAATGGACGACTATGCTCCCATCGTGAGTTTATCCCACCATCATACCTGTTTCTCTTTCCTCCCATGTGTGATCATACGACGGTCGCCCGCGGTCGACACATCTCAATCTGGTCTAGCTTCTATCATCTGAGCTGTCTTTCATCTGAGCCATCAGATGAGATCCAAGCTACGAGCTATCGGCTATCAGCTATGACACGCGGAATCCGAGACATGAGACCTGGGCACAAGCAAAAACCAACGAAAGAATCAGAACATGCTAACCAACACACCCCCAGATCCCCGACGCCGTGACAGCCCACTACCTCACCCTAGCCGGCCTCCCACCACCAGGCACAGGACCCGGCCAAACCCCGCCGCACCTAGCACGCCTGCTAGCCCTCGCGGCTCAGAAGTTCGTCTCAGACATCGCTGCCGACAGCTACCAATTCGCGCGCATCCGCGCCTCAAACAGCTCCTCGGCCAACAACCCCATCGGCAGTCTTGCAGCAGCATCAGGCCTGAACGCTCCAGCCGGCGCAGGCGCGCCCGCTCCCGGCGGCGACGGCGGGAAGGGCGGCAAGGCTAATACCCATCTTGGTATTCAGCGACCTGGATTTGGTGGTGGTGGCTCTGGCGGCTCTGGGCAGGGTCGGACAGTGCTTACTATGGAGGATCTTGGTATGGCTGTTTCTGAGTATGGGGTTAGTGTTAAGCGGGGCGAGTTCTATCGGTAGGCTGAGTACATTTTTTTTTGTGCCCGGCTATCTTTGGGGCTTGTTTGCGCTGGTATATGGTTGTATTTCTTGTTTCTTTTATGGTGCAAGGCGTTGAATGGTCATGTGAGACCCTGGGATCATGACTGCATTTGTTGGTCCGGTTGGTGGTTGTATTGACATTCAAGATGGCGTTTTCTGTTCTTGTTCTCATGCTTTGGGCGTTTGTCCATACTATTTCTGCTAGGTGGCTTATCCCGTGCCAATCTGAGCTTAGTGAAATCACATCATGATATCTTATGACTATTTCCCTTCGTATCATGTCACATTTACAATGCCCTTCAAAATCCGTAGCTTGAGCAATGGATCTATGGAACCTACAGGTAGATCTACAAACAGAAACCACATTAAAAACCACTGGTGAACTCCGTCCCAAGTGTAGCTAATTCCACATGTAATCCAACAATATATACTGTACATGGTATGACGAAATAAAAGGAAAAAGAATGCAACACAGCTCTGCCAGTGCAGTTCACCCACCCGAATGCAAAAACGAGGGTATGAGCATTGATTTACACAGAGCACCAAGCAACGAACCGTCTATTTGTTCTTGGACTGCTTGTATGTGAAACGCTTGCGGGTACTAAGCAGCAGGAAAGAAGTCAGTCAACATTGGTGGTACCATATTATACCCAGACTCGGACAAGTGAGAACAATCTCCGAGGCGGAGGTCTGGGGAGAAAGGTATACATACGCAACGTATTCCCCAAGCTTGCGACCGACCATTTCCTCTGTCACCTGGATCTCAACGTAGGTCTTCCCGTTGTGGACGGCGAAGCGGAGACCGACGAAGTTTGGGAGGATAGTTGCTGCGCGTTTCGTGGTGCGGATTGGGGGTGTGTTCGGGGGAGGAGGGAGGGTGCGCGGGAGAGCGATGCTGTCGAGGGTGGTTGGGTTAGATTTTGGTTCTGGAATGGGATATTTTGGTCCGTATGGTAGGATTCAATGCTGGGTAGGGGTTCGTTTGCATTGGGTGTGGATTGAAGGTCACGTACGGGACAATGTTTGGGCCTGGTGGGAGTTTTAGCTGGCTGTTCCTTTTGATTTTATCGAGTATTATTGATCCCTAGGACCTGAAGAGACTCACCTTTCCAGACCGACCGGCCTAGCAGGGCGCGTGTGGGGAACATTTTGGCTTGATGATGTCCGTAGCTCTGATTTCCGCGAAGTTGAAGATCGAGAAGTCTCGGCGGCGAGATTATGTCAGCACTTTCTATATCCGCGATTTGAACAGGTGAGAGATGAAATGCAATGAATTGGCTACTCAATTGGGAATGTGGTCCAGCTAATAGGAAATAATCAGACTAACATATTGAACAATTTTGAGTTCAAGGTTGCCCGCAACCGTTGAAACATGCTATGCGCATCACTCTGCCATTCCTTCAAAGATGGTAATCAGACTGCGGATTCCCATGAGCATATTCTCGTCTGGTCCTTGTCCAGGTGTCCAGTTGGCATGTGCAAAGTCGATAACACGGAGGTCATGGACTTTGGGGGTATCTTCCTCGTCCTCATCGTCCAGGGTTGGCATAGGCATGGGCATGGTCTGTGGATCGATGCTGATATTGATGGCCTGCTGAGGCGTTCCATCGCCAAGCTGGATATCAACCAGCTGCATGGCTTCTTCTGGAATATCGAACTCCTGGTCATCCTCCTCATCCTCGTCCTCTTCCTCCTGAGAACGGCGTTCTGAAATCTTCTTCTCCTCCTCGATTGCGACCTCCATTGCCTCTGGATCTCCTTCGTAGATTACCAGCACACTAGCGGAGTACATTCGACTCTCTTCAGATGCAAGCACCTGCTGAACATTTTTCAATTCTTCCGTCAGACGCTGAGCGACCATTTGTGACCGGTCCACCTTGCCCGCTTTTGCACCAGCAAGGAAGGTCTCGAACCCTTGCTTGACATTATTTGCGTTGAAAGACCGGCCGTACCACTTGTCATAACGTCGATAGCCGTCCTTCTCAATAACTTCGCCCTTCTCGCCCTCGGCACCCTCGTATTTGGTAACATATGGATTTGTTAGTTCGCCTTCGTCGGTTTCGCCATTCTCCCCAGTCCAGATTTTCATGCCGGCAATGCGGAAACCCAGAATAGAACTCGTAGTATCTTTAGATACCGCGTCGAGCTTGTTGCGCTTGGCGGGTGGAGCATCGTCTGCCCATAATCGCGCGCCGAGCTTCACGTCCAGCACGTTTGGCCGACGGAATCCGCAAGCCACATTCTCCAATACAATCGACAGTCCAGTATCTAATTTTTTGCCACCGGAGGGGGTCCATGCTGCGTCTTCTTTGCCGGGACCTGAGGGGATTTGTTGCGCAGCGGCTGTGTGCGACTGCGGCTCGCTCGGAGGTCGGGATTCGGCGGCTGCATCACCGGACTGGGGAAGGAAAAGGGCGCCGGATTCTCGGGCAGCAGCAATTGCCAACGGTTGCTGCTGTTCAGCGGATGAGAGCGAACCAATATAGAGGGGCATAAACTCCTGGAATGCCGGGTGGAGGGCGCTCGACTCGTAGAATTCGACTTCTTGTTTTGTGCATGGCTTCGCAATCAGAGCGCCTGAAACTGTGCAGCGGACACCATCACTAGAAGACAGCAGAAGGTCGTCAGTATGGGTGGACAACTCGTGAAAAAAACGTCACTTGCGGAGACCAAACCCCGCGCGACCAGATGCGCTAAACTTGAAGAGACTCGCGTGGCCAGGCAGATCAGGGCAGATCTCGGCGGAGATACATCCGGATATGGAGATAACTTACTGTCCTGCAGCGACATGGTCAAAAGGTACCAAGTCATCGCTACCTAGTTGTGGTGTCTTTCGAGTATCGGGTTTGGATGGCATGTTGGGAATGCAAATGCGACAGCTTGGGGCTTTCACAGCATTCCAGATGATTCAACAATAGCGAAACAGAAATCACAGGATCTAAGCAGAAAATCAAAGGAGAGTGAGGTGTTGAAGGTCAGAGCTGACACGGGATGTCAATCTCCGCCTTATCTGTCCGATCTATAAGGAGTACGGGGTAGGGCTGCATCACTTCTTAGATCTGTATATACCTTTATTCATTACACTTCTTTACTTGATAAGAAAGACACTGATTCAGTCTATTTGCCGGAACACGTTTTATATTAACACCCTTAACAATTCATGTATTCATGGAGGGTGTTTGATCATTGATTGCTTCATCTAAACAGTAGCTGGCCAGAGAATTACCTCTTACTTTAAATCTATCTATATCTTATTTACCCCTGATCGCACCGGTCGGCGTTTCTATGGATGCTTACCTCCACGTCTTTCTTCGCTTTTTCCAGCTCGATCTTTCTTACGACCAACTTCACTGCCAATCATCAGGGAATTTAATATGGATCCCCTCAAATCAGTCTTATCAGGCAGCCTACCTTTCAGACCTGCTAAGTCTGTGAGCTTCCGCGAGTCCGATAAGATTTCTCAGTCACCCAGTGCAATTGAGATCAAGAAGACTGACGCTGGCGAGGTCAGTGAACCAGGAATTCTGCTGCTAGGCTCAGAAAGAAAGCCTCTTCTGACCTTACACATATCCAGATACCTCAATCACAGTCCAGCAGAAAGACCCTGAATGCTATTGATATTGAGCAGCTTCCCGCACACCAACGCACTACTATCATGGATACCAATAAACTGCCCGATCTTATTGATCGGAACGGCAATGTTTTTCAAGACGGTGACCCACAAGTGATCGAGAGACCTCTCATTTCATCAGACAAGCTTGCGTGGGCTTCAATCATTGGAGAGCAACCTACCAGCACTGAACAGGATGACAGCTCCGATCTTCAATGCAGCAACAAAGAATCTGACAATGCCAAAACCACCAATGATACCGATGACATTCTGGACATGGAGAGCCTTCCATATGGGGTCAAGCCTATCCCAGATGAAGAAAGGGCTCTTGCCAACGTGGAACTGGATGTCGGTGTGGCTAAGAAAAAGAAGAACAAGAGACGACCCAAGACGAAGAGAGGCATTGTATGTCTTATTGTCTACTTTGCTTTTGATGATCCAGCTAACAAGTTGATAGGATGCGCCCACCGGATTCGAACGTTTCTTTGCTGATGCGCCACTCACACCTGATGAGTTCCAAGAAATCAAGAAGATCTATGACCCGTACGTATACATTGTTGCCTTAATCATAGAATGTCACTAACTATCAACATAGGGCTCTTCCATTCCACATGTAAGACTTCAATCACGTTTTGATCAAGTTACTTACTAACATGTCACTCAGGCGATACGACGAGGCCATCAAGCGATTTCTATACAAACGCCGCCTTGAGCCACGCCGGCGTCATCTTTTTCTCAAATATCTGCAGTACGGCGGCGTGAACACGAACCAGAAGTATGGCCAAGGTGCGTCTCAAGAGCTGAAAGAAATGACCAAGGATGAAGGCATGGAAGCACGCAACTTCACCAGGGTCTCACCGGAATGGGCTACCAAAGAGAACATCGCTTTTGATACGGTTCTTAAGGGTTATCTGTAAGTGAAGCAATCCGAAAAAAAAAAAAAAAACACAACCATACCAACTGCTAACCTTGCCACAGTGGTGGCTACTACATTGACTACTTCAGCCCTGATGACGAGGAAGAAATCAAGATCGTGACCGGCACAATCAAGAACTTCCTCACTTTCCTGCTCTACCACGACGTCTGCCCCGAATACCAAGATGATATTCAAAAGGCCAGACAAACCTGCGATCTAGCCGCAAAGGAATTATGGAAAGTACGCCAAGTCGTACACAACGGCCCAGGAAACTTCAATATGGCCTGTTCCATGCTGTTCGGCGGGAACTTCTTTGATGCCATCGACGATCCGGAGGTATGGGAGACGGTTAAGTTTGCCGAACAAGACAGGATGACCCAGGGCAGTGCCCGATGGGTCCTGAAGTACGCCATGGCCGGAGTGGGCCCAGACGAGCGTGCTATCAAGTTCAAAGAGCTTGCCGAGAAAGAGCAGTTCAAGATTAAACAGATAGAGGACATTGATGGCTTTGAGATCGTTTCCATTGAAGAGCCAAGTCCCCTCACCGTGGGTTTTTACAAGGAATTTGCTCCCAATCTCAAGCCCGTTGGCGTGGCCCGAGCAAAGGAGTTCCGTGATCCTGCCAAGGGTGAATTCAATCTTTCAAAGCTTGAGGCGGAAAAGTGGAAACGCGGTCAAGCTCCTAGCTACGAGTTTGAATTTTTCTTGGAAATTGATTTGCTTGCACACTGCTTCCCAGGAATGAAAGCTCTCACTAAAGTCTTTGAGCTTAATTGTGGCATACACTTCTTTGACGAGATCATGGTTTGCTTGCCCAGTTTCTATGTCTTCCTTGCGAATGATCTTATGATCAACTACAAGGGACCGAAAACCAAGGAGCCCACTGATAGGTGGATCAACACAAGAGCTGAGCATAGAAAGGCAATGGACCTCCTTGCTGGGCCCAAGCTTTCCGCTCGCGAACAAGCTCGAGTCCTGTTGAAGGATTTGACGCTTGGTGCAGACTATGATGCAGAATTTGGTACCCGGAAGCACGTTCCCGCCGCCACCGAGTTGGGCTTTGAATTCGACGTTGCTCTGCAGCCTGATGTTCGGGCAGAGGATGAGATGGGTATCTTAGTTCCAAGATACGAAGGACAGAAGATGAAAGAAGAAGATCCCACCGAGGAGGATGATGTTGAGATGAGTGGAGTCATCCAGGGAGGTTCTACAAACCTGGAAGAGCCCAAGGAATGGTGGACACCTGGGCAGTGGTGGAGTGGTCAGGAATGGTATAGCCTCGTGAAGGACTGGAAGCCCACGATCACAACTCCCGAGGAACGCCCCAGCAAAAGATCAAGATCTAGCAATGGATGCTTCCCCTTTGACAAGGAGGAGGATAGTTTCGACCAGTTGAAGGAAACCATACGTGTCAATGGGGAGCTTATCAAGCGAATGGAAGCCGAGATGAAGGAGGCAACCCTCATTGAGAAAGAAACGGAGTTATTTAGCACCTGGCTGGGATTCGCGAAGACCCGTCAGACCAAGGATATATTGCACATCATGGAGTTGCAGGGATCTAACGTCCTGACTGAACCCCCGAATGAAAAGACCACCGCTGCCATTGTGGTCGATGTTATGCTCCAGAGAAGCCTGCAGTCAGATGAAGCTTTCCAAATTGAGTGAGACATACAGAAAATTGAGCATGAGAGATAATAAGTTAATGAGACAGATGGCTCTTGGTTGCTACAATCATGGAAAGCTGGGAACATAGCTGGGTTGAGGAGTAGATAGTATTCATGATCTAGCATCTGATGATCATAAACAGCGAACAATCTAGTTTCCAACCTTTATCTTTGTATCCTTAGGTGGATTTGGATACCGAGAACGGCTAATATACCCATACAACGCTACTCATTAACAAGAGCCAAAGGATTAGGATCCATCCTCTAAATAATCTTCAAAAACCACCCGGGTGATCCTCCCCGCAGCACAAGATACCCCTTATTCCGAGGGAGAACAATACTATCACCACAGGTCGACAAGATAACGTCTACAGCCTCAGCAGCCACATCTCCAGGCTCAAGAATCTGTTCGCGTTTACTCATAGACTGTACCATAAGCTTCTGCAAAAAGCCAGGGAATATGATTTTACAGCAGTCAGCAATACCCACCCTCGAAATAAACTAGCAAGAAGGAGAGACGAAAAAAGGAGAACTTACGAAGCTCTAACCCTCCTGGCAAAATACCTCCCTCGCAACTCATTCCCAAGCCCCTCGTGAAAAGCTAACGTAGCAGCCGTAAAGGCCGCATGAAACGGTTTGCACCTGTGAATAAAAGCTTGCTGTACCGACATGCCAATAATCAGCGGCTATGATAGCCGGCAGGAACTCCTGCGTGAGGGTAAAATGGCTTAGGGTGCTTACTTCGAAGATGCAGCGGCGATCGGAGTCGCTTTCAAATAGCATTGTTTGCCGTGTTCTTATTCTATACTGATTGTTGTTGATTTCATGGATGTTGGTATTGAGATGTCTATTTGGTAGAATTGAATATGTTCTGTGGTTGGTTAATTTGGTTTAGGGGGATTGAGAGTTGGTTTGTTTTGGTGGACGTAGATCTGAAGGTAGTTGGTTGATATTGAGGAGTGTTATTTTTATCTTGTGCTCTGTGAGTTTGCGTGCAATCTCTGCGCCTATTCCACTTGATCCTCCTGTTACTACTGCGAGTTCGTTGGGCCATTTCCACGTTGGGTCTTCGGTGCAATTGTTGAGGCTTTAGCGTGTGATCCATTCTTTTAATGCTCTGAATATTCTGAAGCCGATGATGCGATAGGTGGCTGGTATTGCTTATAATGGGATAAATATCTATCGTTGTACCACCCATGGATATGATTTTAAATAGTAGCGGAGAAAGATGCAGAGCAAGTAAATAAGATGTGAAAAGCGGGTATATGAATGTCGACATATTGATTTGAAGCAAGCTTTAAGCTAGTCAATGAGGGTACTAGGAGTATAGATACGATAAAAGAGGTCCAGAAATATAGCTGTAGGCTACAGAAGGATGTAAGTGGCTTGTTTTCTACGTCATACAACTAGCCTGGGAACCTCGTGGGGGCCGTTTTGCTTTACAAGAAGTACCTTAGGGCTTCGAAGGATTTCTAAAGCCCTAACCCGGAGATTATACAATCTATATTCTCAAATTGCATATCAACGCGTAATATACGGTGGAGGAAAGCAGGATAATACAGCTCTAAATCGGTTCTAGACCTCAGCGATGCAATTACAAGGGGTATGATGAAGTAGATGAACCAATCCAATCTCAAGCTATGACCAAAATAAGCAGACACCAGCCAATATAAACCCCAATGACGTTTCCCAGACAAAAGTACCACCAGTGTACAAGAATGTTCCAAAGTTGATACAAAACGAACACCCCCATTATACAGCCCAACGCTCCAAGTATACATGCCATGCAATGCAACAATATCAGATACAGGCCAGAAAAAATCCAAACCCTCCCCAAGAAAAGAAAAAGAAGAAAAAGTAAAAAAGTAAAAAGTAAACGCTAAACCATCACCATCACTCCCACCTCTTCCACTCGTCAACAGCCTTCCTCAACTCAACCTCACAATCATACCCCTTAGACTGCGCCTCCAAAAGTTCCTCCCTGCGATCCCGGAATCTCCTCTCAGCCTCAACCCGCCTGAGAACAGCAGACTTAAGCATCTCAAAGTCACTAGTAGCAACCGCCTCGCGGAACTTCGCCCGCATGCGCATAGAGTAAAGCTGACAACTAGCCTCCTGCTTAACACCAGTCCCATCACCAGGCAGAACACGCCTGGTAGGCGGGATAGAGCGCGCAATGGGGCGCTGGTGTCTAGCGAACGGCCACACAACCTCATCGAAACAGTCTTCGCAGATACACAGCTCCGGCAGGGCAGGTAGGTAATGCCACTTCGTGACGATCTGTCTGTCGAGACGGCAGTCACGGAGGGCGGTCTTGCGCCGGGCATAGGAGAGGAACTCATGCAGGTCTGGACGGGGCCGGGAGGGGTTTGCTTCTGCGCGCTCGACGGCATCGTCGAGGAGGTCGATGAATTTCATGAAGCGTGGGCTTGTGGTTTGGAAGTCGCAGATTCGTTCGCGGACGTCGGTGTCTGGTTCAAGGGTTTCGCGATGAGCTGGCATTAAGATGCGGATGTTGCGTGCGCAGCTGCTGCAGACGTGAAAGCCTGGGAGGTAGTCCTTGATTCTAGGGTCGTAGATTCGATGCCAGTGCTGCTCTGTGGCAGTGCGGCCTGGGCAAGGCCTTGTGCCTGGTGGTGGACGGGTCATTTGGTAGAGGAGTTCTAGACTGGCGTGGCCTCGTTTGATCATTTGGTGCCAGGCAAGTCGGGTCCATGGGCTTGAGAATGAGCAGCGGGTTGGACGGGAGGGTATTTTTGCTTGGCTTGGGATGAAGAAGTTGCTGTAGCGCGAGTGGGCGATTTGGCTCATGCATGATGGGCAAATGTCGAGGTGGTCCAGGCCTTTGAGGGTGTACCAGTCTTCATGTACTGTTGCCAGAATGGATCGTGGGCATGCTGTGATACACAAACCGTTGGGGTTGCTTCTTTGTCCGAACTGAGAGAGTGTCTTTTCGGGGTTGGCTTGTACTGTCAAAGCTTGGGTTGATGCTGGCTTTGGTGCCTCGAGTTCAGCGCGTAGCACTCGTGGAGGATGGCGCGATTCAGAAGACGATCGGGTACTCTGAGCTGTCACCGACGTTGCACGAGGGCGCGAGGGTAAAGGCGCACCAGGCTGAGCTCCTTCGATATCCGGGCCTTGAGGCGACCGGGAAGGCGAATGTGATGCTGAGACCGTGGCCCGAGGGACCAACGAGGCATTAGTAGGTCTGAGAACCACAGCCGGGGCGCTAACCTCAGGATCTGATAGTGCACCCCGGTCCCGCTGTTCTTCTCGTTGACGAAGCTTCTGCTCGATACGCTCAGCTAGAGTAGGCCCGTTGATGACCTTCTCGGCAGGTACGATTGGAGTCGGGGCTACAGGCGCCTGAGAGGTTCGCGAGACCCTGCGCGTGGTGGCCGAGTCAGACAGATACCCGGAAGTTGTCTCACGTCGAATGCGGTCTGGCATGGGTCTGGAGTGAGGCCCAGCTCGAGCACTGTTCGACCGAGCCAACGATGACCTGGCAGGTTGAATGTAGGTAATTTCGTGCACAGGGGCCGGAGCACGAGAGCGATCCGGCACACTAGGTGCAGGCGCGGCATAAGAGACAACCTGCGCTGGCAAATCGTGCCTGCTGTAGCTGCCTTCAAGCGAATGAGAATGGGGGCGAGACTCGCGCTGGGAGTTGATTTCACGAACAGGCTGTTGCGGAGCCGAAGGGTAGACTGCAACTTGCACTGGCGCCTCGGGCCGAGAAGCGCTTTCCCATGCACGAGTATGTGGGCGCGACTCTCGCTGGGCCCTTGGATCACGAGTGGGCCGTTGGTTCACCTGAGGTCGGCACGTTGGTTCTCGCGGTTGGTTGACGGCAGATGGTGGCGCACGCTTTGGCAGCTCATCAGTCTCAAATCTGACAGTGTTCCGGGTGACAGGCTCTTGCGCCGGTGGCGTTTTCGGTCCTGTACTCTCATCGGAAGAGACATTTGCAAGGCTAGGCACACTGGGAACACTGCCAGGGGAGGTTGATGGGGGAGGTATATCAGCATAATCTATGATCGGATACTGGTCGACGGCGCCTCTTTGCTTGACACCTTCGACCCCGGGCTTCTCTCCTATCTCGGACAGGCCTCCCTTTTCTCGAAGAAGAGCCGGAATTTCTTCCTCGACGCAGGGAGCCGGGGGCCAGTGGGAGCGCCCATGTCGAGAAACTCGAGAGGGACGCATTTCGAGGACTGAATTTGACCACAAACAAAAAGTTTGGTCAATACTTGTTTTGGGATGCTATCCTGGTGCAATGAGGTTTCGAAGAGAAGCGTGATGAGCAGCTTGGTTCATAGTATTAAGAAACTGGACTTGAAGAGTGAAACAGCAGGGCGAAGAACAATGAGACTGAGGTATAAAAAGGAAGAGAAAACTTCGCACGAGAAGACAAAGGAGCAACTTTTTAAATTGTGTGTGCGACCCGGGCCTACAAGGGTATATAAACATTGGCTGATTGTATCGGGCATCATCCTGGCGGTGCGAACTCTGATAGGTCAGTTTAGTGATTGGGCGAGAGTGCAAAGACCAGGAATAGCTTCAGGCTGAAGCATCATCCCGAGAAAGATTCAAACATCGACTGAAAACAACGGCTGAGTGGCCAGATTCAACACAAAGAAGTGGCTATGCCTCGTCGATCATTGGGCACGAAGTGGACCTGCCGGTTACTGCCGTTGCGTTTCACTTTATTTAGACTCGTTGGGCAACAAATAGAAATCTTTGAACCCACATGTTCTCCGGGGAGAGATCGATGAGCAAAGACTCGCGTGTCAAGTGTATGGCGGGGATGTTGTCTTGGATTGAGTCGGCGCCAGCTGAGGCGAAGAGTGTTCCAACAAGGATGCGCGTGATGCAATAGCAGGATCTGGCGTGGCAGGAAAACATGCCAGAAGTATGGAGCATGGCAGGATGACGCATCATAGGGCTTGAATGGTTCGCATGTCACTTTGACATGAAGTATATGAGGCCGAAACGCCAGCGCGGAAGTAGATCTGACAGTCAGAGGTCAAGCCACCAAGCATTCCGTGCATGGCCCCTCATTGAGGGGTCAAATCTGTTGGATGTCCGTCATCCTGAAAGTTGACGTAGCCTGACACAGTGGTTTTGTTAGGCGCTTGTCTATTATCTGTTTTCTGTTCTATACATCGGTGTTGTTCCGACGGCCCATCCGACGGATATGTCGTCATCGGATGCCATTAGCAGCCAAAAGCCTTGATACGAATGTCGAGTTCAGACATTGAGGCTGTAGTGTTATAAAAAAAAAAACTAAATTAGCTTAATTGTAATATTGGATAATATAAAGTATTATTAGCAATGGAAGTCGAAGAGAAAAGAAAAAGAAACGCGCAACAATTCCGTCGGAGGTGATGCGGGGAGATGACAAATGGAGATTGATCAGCTTCATCCTCAACTTTCTACAACTCTGCACCTGGCATGTTTCGCTCTCTTCTTCGCTGCAGTCCCCGGCTCACGCTTCTACGCAATCACGTCGTTCCCCTCAATCAATTCACTTCAATTCGCGCCATGTCTGTCCCAACAACAATGAAGGCCGTAGTGGTCGAGCAGACCGGCGGTCCTGAAGTACTCCAATTCAGAACCGCGCACCCAGTGCCAAACCCCCAAGCAGGTCAGTTACTCGTGCGCAACAATATCTCTGGTGTGAACTACATCGATACCTATTTCCGCACGGGTCTGTACCCTTCGCCCAAGCCTGAGGTTCTGGGCCGAGAGGGCGCCGGTGTCATTGCCGCTGTGGGACCTGAGACCTCCGGGTTCCAGGTTGGTGATCGGGTTGCTTGGCTGGCTACTCAAGGTTATGCTGAATATACCGCCGTGCCGGCTGCTAAGACGGTCAAGATTCCCGAGGGCATCAGTGATGAAGATGTTATGGCCTCGTTCTTAAGTGGATTGACTGTGCTCGCCTTTGCTAAGGAGACATATCCTGTCCAAAAGGGTGATTGGGTTCTGCTCCATGCCGCTGCTGGCGGCGCTGGTTTCTTGATGACCCAGATTTTGAAGACTATGGGTGCCAAGGTTATCGGCACTGCTGGTGGTGCAGAGAAATGCGCTCTTGTGAAGAGCCTCGGTGCTGATGTTGTCATTGATTACCGCAGTGAGGAGGGTAAGGACTGGGTGAAGTTGGTAAAGGAGGCGACTGGTGGTCGTGGTGTTGACGTCGTCTACGACTCCGTTGGCAAGGATACCTGGGAAGGAAGCCTGGAGGCTGTCAAGCGCAAGGGTACTATTGTCTGGTTTGGCAATGCCAGCGGGCCTGTACCACCACTCCCCCTTCCGTATGTTCTATTCCTGTCCGTTTGCTCGTGTTCAATGAGGCTAATCATCTTGACAGTAAACTCTCTCCCAAGTGTGTCAAGGTTGCCCGCCCAACTCTCTTTGGATACATTGAGACCCGTGGAGAGTTCGAGTACTACACCAATGAGCTATTCACTTTGTTGCAGTCTGGTCAGCTGAAGACCAAGATCCATAAGATTTACCCCCTAGAGGAGATTGCTCAGGTTCACAAGGTACGTCATCTGACTTATTTCTGTTCAGTTGCAGCCACCGCTAACCAGTCTCTGTCCCATAGGATCTCGAGGGACGGAAGACCATGGGCAAGCCTCTTCTGAGACCTTGAATTGGCATGTAAAAATATTACTAGTCGTTATATTGAAAATATAGACAAAAATTCCTTACTCATTATTAAGATCGTGTTTGATGAGTGCTAAACGTATTTCACCGCCGAGTGTTCCATATAGGTGAGTGGTCCAGCTAGAAACACCACCTTAAAAGCGAGATTTCATGATTATATATCTCAACAACTAATCTTTTCTATGATTCGAATTCAAGACTAGTATATTACCCTATTAAGCATAGGAGGCTATATCAGTTATATGTAGAGTAAATCAAAATTAACGATATAACCATAAAATTCGGCATCTAAAATTATATATCACTCGACATCGATGTCTTCAAATAGTCTCAGGTTTGTAGGTTAGTTAGGCCCTTACTTGTAGTGTATCCATGAAGTTAAATTTTCTATTAGACTTTAAGTGTAGGAGTTGAGGATTGTAATGTATAGCATTTAAGGTGTGTAATCAGCTGGACCACTCGCCAGTGCGGACCACTCGGTGGTGGAATGCGATATAATATATGGTCATCATCAGAATACTCTGCTAGTATACTGTCTGTTTCGTAAGATTCATCTTTTGCGATCGCAGTTCAAGTTACTGGTGGGGTTTTCTGCGAAACGTCATTGGGATTTGTTTTGACTGGGGTGTCCTGCTTACCTTGGTTATAGCTTGGAATGGTATTGGTTCATCTACTGCATCGTACACACTGTAATCACATCGTTGAGGCTCCAGGATATAGAAGCATAATATTTTGCTTTGCTCCATTATATACGACAGAGCCCATGAGACTGTTCATACTTCTCCTTGAGTGTATATAACCAGAGTAGAGATCAACGGCCAGGCTCTGAATTCAATTTGCGATAGCATTCATGTCAAACCTCACATCTACCGCTCATCCGTTGACAACTACTCCCCCGTTGGGATGCAAACTTTGCCCAGAGATAAAGCTACTATCCTGGCTTGCAAGGAAAACAAAACATGTTGCAACCTCACTAGGCTGTCCTGGGCGACCCATCGGTGTGCCGCTGAACTGCTCCTCGGCGGCAGTATTCATAGTAGCCGGAATGAGAGGGGTCCAGACTATACCAAGATTAGCTGCTGAAAGGATTGGGTATATGTGTCATTCGACTTACTTGGTCCAGGGCACACACAATTCACCCGAATGCCATTTTTGACTTGCTGGTTAGACAAACCCCGAGTGAAGGCGACGATTGCCCCCTTTGTTGATGTGTAGTCAAGCAAATCAGGACGGCCAATATAGTGGTTGACAGATGCACAGTTAATGATGGTTGAGCCGCTCTTGAGGTGAGGAATCGTATATTTTGAGAGATAGAAGATGGGGTGGATATTAGTGTCGAATGTGCTTTCCCACTGAGACCTATGAGATGTTGTCAATATAAGATACTTGATAGTATAACGGAGAAGATACATACTCTTCTAAATCCTTGATATCGTCAATCATCGTTTGAGTCCCCGCATTGTTAACTAGGATGTCAATGCCACCCAAGCTCTTAAGGGCTGCGTCAACCACCGCTTGGCAATTCTTTTTATCCCGAAGATCGGTGGCGAAGCAATAACAGCTTTGCCCAATTTCTTCCACTCGCTTCTTAGTCTCTTGCGCGTCTTTTTCTTCCTCGGGCAAATATGTGATCAAACTCGAGGCCCCTTCCATAGCGAAAAGGATAGCAACAGCTCGGCCAATTCCTGAATCACCACCAGTGATAATAGCTGATTTTCCCGACAGCTTCCCCGCCGCTTTGTAGGTCTGATATCCGCTATCCTCGGTTGGAAGCTTACTAGAAGTGGGCTTTGGATCTTCCATCTCAGCCTGTAAGCCAGGCTTTTTGTGATGCTCAATAGGGATTTGGTGACCTGTATTCTTTATGAAAACCGAAACAACTATGCAGAGTAGTACATGAGCTTACCCTGCTGGAACTGAGATTGAGGGCCCCGAGATGGTTTTTCCACTTCCTGCTGCATGTCGGCGATTCGTGTTTCAATCGTTGCTATGGGTCGCAATGGTACTGATATCTTGGTGTGGTCAAGACGTAGAGAAAAGATAGATCAACTTGACTGTGGAATGTTAATTTGGCCAGAATGAGGGCTGAGCTTTTAAAATGATAAAAGCTGTTGATCTCGTCAATGTGACGTTTACTCATGCCAGGAATCCGGAAAATATTTAGATTTCGTCCAGTTAGCTCTTTAACCGGCTTCAAAATCCTGCTGTATGTTGCTCGCTTGGATGATGTAAGAACGAACCCCAATCATGTTATTTTACTTTCAACCATCATAAAGCTAGGTATCTTTACAGTTACGGATTTAATTGTTGATCAAAGTCGTATCAATCCTTCTCTCCGCTTCATTTTGGTTGGCTATTTCTAACGTCACTCACCATGACAACAGCTTCCGCCAGAGATAATGCCCTGAAGCAGTTCCGCCGCATCGGGATAGTTGGCGCTGGGAATATGGGCACTCAGATGGCCCTCGCTTTCTCAGAAATGGGGTTCAAAGTTTCTGTTTGGGATGTCAATGAGCAGAATGTCAACGAGCTACAGAACTGGTCGCAAAATAGTAAGACTGAAGGTGAAATCACAGGATTTCGTGACATCAATGAATTTGTGAAAAGCTTGGAGGAGCAAAAACCGAAACTGTTCCTCTTTTCTATTTCGCACGGTGACCCGGCAGAGTCTGTGTTGGGTATGATCAAGAGCAACCTCAATGATGGAGATATCATCCTTGATGGAGGTAATGAAGATTATCGACGTACACAGAAAAGACAGGAAGAATGCGAAAAGATTGGCGTTCACTGGATCGGCATGGGAGTTTCAGGCGGCTACCAGGCAGCTCGTCGCGGTCCAAGTCTGTCTCCAGGCGGTGATGCGAAAGCATTGGAGACAGTGATGCCATGTCTCGAGCTATATGCAGCGAAAGACCCCAAAGGCAATCCATGCGTGGCTCGAATTGGTCCTGGTGGCTCGGGCCACTACGTGAAGATGGTTCACAATGGGATTGAAGGAGGCATGTTATCAACCTTGGCTGAGGCGTGGTCTTTCCTCCACTACGGCTTGGAACTCGACTACGACACTATCGCAGATATATTCAGCCAGTGGAATGGAGATGGTAACTTGCGAGGTACCTACCTGCTCGATATAGCGGTCGACATGCTACGCGCCAAAACACCTTCTGGTGGGCAAGACGGGGAGAATGACAAAAATGACAAGAAAGAGCATTATGTGCTTGACGAAGTGCTTGATAAAGTTGTGCAGGATGACGATGATACGGAAGGTACACCGTATTGGAACATCATGGAGTCGGCACTTCGGCATATATCGACACCTACACTTGCCACAGCACACTACTTGCGCATTGCGAGCGGAAACAGAGCGGAAAGGCTATTAGCAGCCAAGAAACTTAAACTTCCGGGGCCCAAGCCTATCCAAGGGATTAAAGATAAAGGCACTATTATCGAGCACTTGCACCAAACCGTATATTGCTGTTTTCTAGCCTCGTTCTGCCAGGGCCTGGAAATGATTACACGGGCTTCCGATGACGAGGGTTGGGGCATTGACCTGCGCCAATGCCTTCGAGTTTGGCGCGGAGGCTGTATCATCCAAACCGATGGTATATCCGAGCTATTAGAGCCTGTGTTATCGACAGATCATCACTGGACAAACCTGAAGCATGCCGATGAAGTCGCGGGAGAGCTGCACCGCACTTTCAGCTCTCTGAAAGAGATTGCGGTACAGGGCATCTTGTCTGACCAATATCTTCCTGCAATCTCTGCTTCTCTCGAGTATCTGAAATACGTGAGTGGCACATCGCTTCCAACCAAATTCATGGAAGGGCAAATGGATTTCTTTGGTGCCCACGGATATAATAAGCCCAATGTACCTGGTGAAGATCCAGGGCCTGTTGGGAAAGGACCCCATCACTACGAGTGGCGGCCAGCGAAGGAATGATTTGTGAATATGGTGGCAATCATGGAGGAATTAGGCAAGTAGATTTGCCAATCCTCGCAATATCTTAGGCAATCTTAGGCTAGCTAATGCAATTTTAAACTCAAGGGCAACTTGTCAGGAAATCGTCAATCGGGGCTCTGATATGATTGCGATTGCTTCATTGAAGTATATTGTATTCTAATCTAGTGTTTCCTCTTTCTGTTCACCACCCAAGCTCTAGAGCCTTTGTACAGCGCGTGTATGATCTGTCCGTCACTTATGTTTTTGTAGGATAGTCAAATTTTAGAACTTCACTCATTGTTTTCTCCTGTTGACTGGCGATTTCATCAGTATGACGGGGACTTAAGCAGAAGAGAAGCAGCCCGGTACGGAACCAAGTTTCGAACTGTCACTTTTCCGGGGTAAAATGAATCTTGGCGCAGATCAAGATACCTGCTTGTAGCAACGTCAATGACGAAACATCAACGTAATGGGCATATCACCGCAATCTCAGCGAACTGGCTTATAAGGTATGAAATCTGATCGGATTATCCCATTTGCACATAATACATACACTTTCTACAATGGCAAACGGAGTATTGCAACTCGTTTGCGAATGCAAGGTGAGACACATTTCCATACATGACTACGCTGGAAGAAACTAAAAATCCCATTCTAGCATGACCCTTGGGGCAAACAAGGCGAAAGCTCAGTTGCTGGCAGCCTTTGGTCGCACATGCCTGATGCGAGCAAGCTAGATGCCTCGGAGACATATTCTGAAGTGAGAAGTCCTCCACTCTGTACGCAATGAGGCAATGGCGTTAATATCACGCAGATGTGGATGGGTACATATCCTTCGGTGCCATCTCGGATCCGTTCTACTGGAAAGCTCCTCTCTGAGCATCTCAAGGAAAATCCCGATCTTGTTGGACAGTCAGTTTGCGATAGATACGGGCCTGACATCCCGTTTCTCCCAAAGGTGAAAAATTAAGTAAATGTAGTAGAGGTGACAAGTGGCACTAACTATGACCAGGTGCTCTCCTTTGCAAAAGCACTCCCCCTTCAGATTCACCCAGATAAAGGTCTTGCCGAGCGCTTGCATGCGAAGAATCCTGAGAAATTCGGCGACACCAATCACAAGCCCGAGATCGCCATCGCTCTGTCGCGATTTGAATCGTTTGTTGGATTCAAGACTCTCGACGACATTGCAGAGCTCATGCGGTTGAAGCCATTGCAGCAATTCGTACCAGCGCATAAGAGCTTTGATGACGGAGTTTTACGAAAACTATGCGAGACTTTGTTAAGCTTGCCCCCGGATACCGTATCTGAGATTATTACAAAACTCCAAGATATTCCTTTGTCTGATTTTGGAAATAACGAGCTTGTTCCATCACTCCTCGATCGACTCAGCAAGCAATATACAAAATTCGACAACGGGAACTTGGTCGCCGCTCTTCTAATGAACTACATGGTCCTGGAGCCTGGAGAAGCTGTCTGTGTTCCTGCCGACAGCATCCATGCGTACCTATCTGGTGACATCATCGAGTGCATGGCGCGCTCTGACAACGTCCTAAACACGGGCTTCTGTCCACGCGCTGATCGTGATGATATCGAGTTGTTTTCACAGGCTCTTACATTCCAGCCACATAGCCCACAAGACTCTCTTCTCCAGTCGAAAAAGAGCCCAATTGGACTAAAAGGAAAATCCAATGAATATAGCCCTCCATTTAGCGAGTTCAATGTCCTGGGCGTGACCTTGTCTCCCAAGGAAGCTGAAAAGCACCGGGTTCTTGGAAGCCCTAGTATCTTAATTGCTACTCAGGGCTCTGGAAAGATGGATGTGGGTGATGGAACAGTTCATGATATTGGGGAAGGGAATGTCTATTTTGTCGCAAAAGACGCTGAGTTGGAATTCTCGACCAAGATGGGGTTGACAGTTTATCGAGCCTATGCCACCTTCTAATGTTATTTGATTTTCTGTGGCGCTATCCTGAACATGTAAATTCCGTGGGAAACCTTTCCAGAGCAGATCTTCGATGGAGTGACTGTAGTGTCATTGCCGGTCACTGACTTCACCCTAGAAACAGGACTATCATGTTTTTGTTCTTGTTAAATAGAGTAATTCTACATCAATATAAAACATAAGAACACTAATGCCGTTTTCAGCCAGCGGTTTTTTAGTATGCGGGGACTAAAAGCAGCAACGACAAGACTGGCAGCGTCCCTTGCTATCACGCTGTGAGCATGCGCTCGATCGGGCAGACAGAGGCATGAGCACAGTTTTTTTCTTTTTCAACTGCTTGGTGCTTCATAATATCCTGAGGGAAAAGTTTTCCCCTTCAGCCATTCTCGATAGAGATACTCGTTAGCTTTGGTTGATTGGTTTTTATAGTAAACTTTTTGCCTTTGCATCTATTTCGTCTCAAACAATGAATAGTATATCCAATCAAACTGCATTGCTGTCACTCACTGGCGCAATTAGTTAACAACTTTTGCATACTCTGCATCGCCCTCTTTGCATAAGCTTCCAACTCATACTTTTTCCCCTTTCCTTCTGGCCCACCATCAAAGATTTCCATAGAGAACCACCCTCGAAATCCAGTCTTCAACACTGCCTTCGCCACATCTTCAATCGGCAAGTAACCGCCATCATAAGGCATAGGTCTATAGTCATGACTCCAGCGACCACGTGGCCTAAGTCCATCAATAGTTTCATTCTTCAACGAAGAAACCTTGTACGCATCCGAGATCTGCAGCAGATAGATTTTCTCAGGCGGAACGGTGCGAGCGAGCTCATCCATACTAGCGGCGAAGTTCTTTCGCAAAACATCATACGGTACCTCTTCGATAAGACCACATTCAGTCGTTGGGTCCGCCCATTCACTGCCCGCAGTCTGGAATGTGTCGAGACACAACCCGACATTCGGGCGGTCGACAGTCGAGACAATTGCCCATACGTCTTTCCAGCCCGGTGCATGGGTTGACCAGCACCAGTTCTCATAGGCCAGGCGAAAACCGTGCTTTGCTAGCATATCGGCTAGTTCACGGAGATCGGAAACAATTGCTTCACGGGAGATGGATATTTTGTCAGGTGGTGTATCTGTAGCTCCGACCTGAGGGACTGATTAGTCTACAATTTACAGAGTCCATCGCGACGCGGATTAGTTCATACCTGCAGTAGGTCTGTCCCGAGAACTCTCATGATCTCTATCCAACCCCTTGCTCTCGCAAAGGCATCTTCTCTTTCCGTTGATCCTTCAGGCCAGCCCTCGAAATTCGCGAACGGTTGCAGCATCATTACACTTAAGGAGTTGGCTTCGCAGAGCTCCCGGATCCCGTAGGCAACTATGATGAGTTCGGAGAAATTATCTGATGCAATTGGTTGGCCTTGTAGGTGTGCTGCATATTCCACAATGTCGGGGAATGAAAGCTCGATCGCGGTGAAACCTGCTTCGCTAATTGCTTCAAGTTTGCGAGGGAGGGTGTCACTAGATTTGCAGCCGATTGAGCAGGATGCATAGGCTAACGGGATTTTTTGGACTGAGTCGCGTGTTATTCGTGTCATTTTGAGGCTGTTTGATATGATCCGAAGACGAAAGCGGGAAAGGATTTTGATATCCAGCAATTATTATGAAAAATAATATCAGGACTTGTATGGACTGTGATTTTTTTTTTTATCTACTTGTCGTGCAAGTTCGACTTCTCCGTATTTGAAGGCTACTTTCGTCATCTCTATGTCATCTTCCCATAACAAGATGATGTGCCCTCTTACCTGTTTATCAACGGGGTAGACAGTCCATTGGTGAAACTTACGGCTCATGTCGTGTACAAACTACAAAAAAAGATACAGAACTCCATAGAATGAAAGATGCATTGCTAGATAAGTAAATGCAAACGTATGGAATCATAAAGCATAGCGTAACTCTCGTTAAAGCAAATAGATCGCCGTAACTCCAGATCCGAGCAATATATGCAATGCTAGAGCCGTGTAGGACTCAATAGGTATGTGAAAAACTAAAAAGAGATAAGCAGCCTAACCTACCAACCCGACCAACTCACCAGGCCAGCGCTTCGCCCAAATAATGGCTCGTGGAGGCATTCTTCCACCAACAGGCGCAAGGACACGAATTGTGCCATTCTCGGCGTTGACATCGGCGACATACAAGAAGCCCATGATGCTAGCGTCGCGGACTTCGGTGGGGGATGCGGTGGTGGGAGCGTGGGTAATGGCGAGGAGTGTGTTGGCGAGAGCAGAGGGGGGAGGTGGTAGGACCTTCTTCAATGGGACGTTGCTACCGCTGTGCTGGGAAGCTGTGGAGGTATTTGCGCCTCCAGAGGATTCGGAAAATGAGCCTACGACACCTGGCAGCGGTGCAGCACGGTCGGGGTCTTGCTTTGTTTCCTGAAGGTCCTCGGCGCCACCACCGGGGAGGAAAGAGTCCATCGAGAGCTGGGAGGGGTCGTAGTCGTCTTCATCTTCATCGTCGACTGAAGTAACGGTGTAGTTGTAAACAGGGAGAGACTTGAAGTCGAGTAGCTGCGCATGCGGGGAAAGAGTAACAGTAGAGGAGGAAGAAGCGGAAAGAGAAAGCGCAGTCGATGCAGTCGTAGACGAAGGGATGTTGTTGCCGAAGAAATAAGTGCGGATCTGGGACTCACGCGTAGCCTTGCGGAAGGCAGCGTCACGACCAACACAACCACCAGATTTTGTCAACTTGACAACGGTGATATGCTCGTCGAAGGCAGCAGCCGTTGCGCTGGAACTGGGCTTGCTATCGTACTGCTTGGCGACAGTGCTGTACAGCCTCTCCGAGCCGAGAACAAGGATAGTATCGATAGCGAATTCGGTCACGATATGATTGATCAGCTCCATGCTACCAGGCTTATCCGAGCCCAAAACTCCAGGCGTGTCGACGATGATTCCAGTTTCGCGTGAGTCTTCATCTTCAGCCATCCGGCCCGTGACGGATAGAGCAAGGCGCGAAATGATAGGTCGGTAGACGGCGCCTTCACCGTCGAGTGGGTTCTGCATCGGGTAGCTGTACACAAGGGGCAACTTCACAGGCACAGGGCTGGGACCGGACATAGGACTACTTCCCCAACCATCTTCAACATCGAGGATTGTGCGGAACGCAGTCGCAGTGAGGGTACCAGGAACGCCGAGCATACCCTCTGTCGGGTCGAGGTTGACGACCAGCGGCTGACGGCCGATCTTGGTCGCATACGCCGTGAGGATCTTCGCCACACTCGTTTTGCCGGAATCCTCGGGGCCGAGCAGGAGCACGCGCGGTCCGTCTTTGCCGATTGACTGTGCTTCCTCGCGCATTGTCTCTAACGCAAAGTGGACGTTGGCGTATTCCATCATGGGCGTTTCCTCAGCTGTGTATTCGCTCTGGCACCCGCCGGCTCCATGGCCCATTATCGGTGTGACGCCATCAGAGGTCGTAGACGTTGTCTCTGCGGCGCTGACTTCGAAGGCGCAGCCGTGCCAGGTGAAGATTGCGGCCTTTGTGCCGGAGAAGGTGTAAGTTTGCGACTCGGCGAGCTCTGTGCCGAAGAGCTCAGCGGTTCCATGAAGAATCTGAAGCTCTGTTAGCTAAATGAAGATGACCTTTCTATGTTCTAGGACATCAGACATACCTTGACCTTGATAATGTGCCCGAAGGCGACCTCAAAGCGCCATTCGCAACGCGCATTCAAATTGATCTGCGACGGAGGTGCAGTAACCTGCTGCCGCTCCTCCGAGGGCTGTGTCAACTCAAGGCCAGGCAAAGACATGACGCCAGGAGAAATACCAAGCAATAAACAAAAGAATTGAAAGATTGAAGAGCGAAGAGTAGAAGAGAAACAGGAGCTTGGTCGACATGTATGTTTGCACCGTATGCACAAACTACGCGCGTTTGCCGTGTTTGCATTCTCTTGATCTATATAATGCTCGCTGCTCCCCCAAAATGTGTCTTCTTTCTTTCTTCTTCAGCTCTCTTTGCCACATGGCTTAGATCAAGTGTAGTATCTGTTCTATTCAGTTTAATCTCTGGATGTTCCCACGGGAACACATGATTACACTTTCTTTGGATCCCGCAACTTGACCTCTGTGCTTGCGTATGTCTCGTTGCACTGTGTCATCGGGCTTACACTGCTCTCGATTGACGCGAATCCATTTTCATCAACTGTCTCGGCTTGCTCGAGTGCTTGGAGAAGAAGTACGCCTATTCATTTAAACGCCGCTGTGTTCACATCTACGTGCTGCCGTGATGTGTCAACTTCGTTGACGGCTGTGCGCTGTCACTGTTCCCACAACTGTGTTGTTTTGCTCAAGTGTTTGGAGGAGTAGTTCGTCGGTCTATTCCCTCGTGTTCCCGTTTACGTATTGCCTATCAAGCCTCAGCCTTGTTGACAATGTTTCGACGCAGATCCCTTTCCCTCGACCGTTGCCTTGGCAGACTGTTTGGAGAAGAAGATACCCAGCCTATGACCCAGCTTATGACTCAACTTCGCTAACTCATATTTGTCGTGTTGATTTGTGAAGGCTATGTCACGCCACGCTGGAGGTCTGACTCACACTGTAGATCTGGTTGACACGGCCAATCACGTTTTTTGAGTAACTTTCTTTGTACCATAAGCAGCAATTTTACGTCTCACGGTCTAAATCTACCGTTCCATCTACAAAGTCCCAATACTAGAAGCATCAAAGAAATCACTGTCATTAAGCGAAAATGGTTCTTAACTACGCAGGGGTAGTTGCCCAAAGATGGGTGGTAGGAGGGCAAGGTGGGTCTTGTATGAGGGGATATGGGGGTAAATGGAAGAGCTCAGGGACCATGCCCATAACCAAGTCTTGAGAGCAGAGGGGATAGAGGGGCAAGATATTAGAGAAAGTGTCAAATGACGGGTACAGTACACTGAGGGTCGCCGGCGAGGAATATATTTATCATAATGTCAAGGGGAATTGGGTAAGAAAAGAAATGGGGAGGGCTAAAAGTCGCATGCGACAGAGTAGAGGGGATGGAGGGTTTGTTCAGACTGGTCAGAAGGGGAAACATAGATTATGCTTAAAGGAAGTAGGGAATCGAAGCACTATATATTAGATTAGTATGGGTTGTTCTTCCAGGGAGTGGGTTGACTTACGCAAGGGCAAAGGCGACGGAAACACCAAAGATGGAGCGGTTGCGAACCCGCTCTTCCCGGAGCTTGTTTTCAAGCACCTTGGCTTTCTTAGTCCGCTGGGTGGACTCGGCTGAGGTTTCCTCATCGTCTTCCTCGGGCTTGCGCTTCTTTGTGACCTTGACAGACTCTGACTCGACAGCAGCGCCGGCTTGGGCCTTGATGGCGTCTTCAACCATTTCCTTGGCCTGGGCAATCATTGCTTCCGTCTCAGCAGCGGACGGGACTTCAGGGAGGCTGATAGGCATATCAAGAGACACGGTGGTTTCGGTGGTCTTGACCTCTTGTGGAGCATCAACTTTCGCTGAGAGAACTGCCTTCTCTTCCTTGTCCTTGGCCTCATCCTTCTTATCGGTCTTCTTTTCGGCCTTCTTCTCAGCCTTCTTCTTTTCCTTCTTCTCTTCCTTGGTCTCCTCCATGGTCTCTTCCTCGGGCTCCTCGGTGATAGCGATCTTCTTGCTCCTCGGCTTCTTCGACGGAGATCCAGCGGACTTCACTTGTGTTTCGCCCTGCGCGGGTGCCAGTTCTGGGACAGCTTCAGTGTCCATGCCACTTGCTGTGATCTCCAGAGCAGAGTGGAGGCTGGCGTTGGCAGCATTTGTAGAAGGAGTGCCCATGACATCCTTTCCGACGCGAGTCGTGCGGGACTTGCGAGGGGACTGCTTGCTGGGAGAGGCGGAGCGGCCGCGACGGCGTTGGGGCATTTCAGGCTCATCTTCTGGGATTTCGAATTTGGGCGGGGGAGTGATCTGCTTCTTTGCGCTGGACGGGCTCTGAACAATATCGGTGGGGTCCAAAAGGGCGCGGACCCAGTCGTACATCTTGTATTCCTTGGAGAGCTCAAGGGCTGGGTGATCAAGTCAGAACTTGTGTTGTCGATAGGGCAGTCTGGGATAACCTACCAAATGTGGGAGAGATCCACACGTTGCCAGCGACTTCCTCCTCGCTGGTGTATTCGCGGGCCTTCAGATAATCGCGCTCAACTTTCTCCTCGTCGGCCTTGGCCCAGGGGAATGCGATCTTAAACATTCCAGTGGCACTGACGAATCCGTCCTTGCTACGACGCTATAATCAGGTCAGTTAGCGATATTCAAATCTCAAGTCGGAGGTGCGTTCACCATCAAAAAGTAGGTCTCGGGGTGCTGCTGAGCGGTGTGGGATGGGAAAATCTCAGAGCCCTTCAGATCTTTGGGCAAAGGAGCGCGCAGGTGGGCATATTCGAAGACACCCAGGTTCTCGGGCTTGGTAGCATTTGAGGTACCGATCTGAGCAGGACGAACGGAAAGGTGTGTCTTTCCAAGACGGCGGCGCGCAAGGAGCTCCTCGTCTAAAATATGAAACCATTAGCGATGATGTCTCGGTCAGACTCGATGGAACACGAGTTGAGAAGCCGCAGGGCATGCGCGGTCGCGCGAGACACGCGCCAGACTGGAACTTACAAGAAGGAGACACCTCGGTGAGGATGAGCGGGTTGAATTTCTTTGGCAAAGTTCGCGACATCTTGGGTTGTATGGGGTGATGGGAGATGAAGATCTGGTGAAAGAGGGAAAGATGCGCCAAAGGCGGCCACGTATCAGGCGCGTCAAGCGAGAATGAAAACCGCGATCTTCCTATTTGGTCGAAGCTCAAAAACAAGCGCGCCAAAGAAAAACACCAATTGATAACGGAAAAAAGAGAAGAGCCGAGATAAAAAGATAAAAGACAGGGGAGAAAGAGAAGTCGCGACGAGAGTTGAGTCCGTTCTGAGCTTGACTCGTTCCGGTAAGGTCCGGTGTGGGGGGCGTCAGATGGTGTATTTGGGGCTTGTGGTTGGTCAATTAGCCAATTATACAGTATTGGTTCACCCCAGCAGTATTCTATTGACTATTTGGCCCCGTGACCTGGCATTCTTTCTTTGTTTGTGAATAGACACTCCTTCTATGAACATGTCCAAGGACATTGAAGTCGAGGGCAATGGCCGGCTTTCAATTGATTCAATTTACCATTGGAGTTATCTGAAACAAGGCGTCGACGCGTACATCCTCGAATCTGAGACCGAATCCTGAGCATTATTCGATATCGATATCGAAGACATACATACCATTCGGCGACAAGCCGGACTAACAACAGTCTGCCCTTTCCATGTTTCTGCCACCTGCAGATGTCTCGAGCCAATCCACCGGACTCCCCAGTGTGTATGCATGTCGCATATTAAGACAACGTGGGCAGATACTCCTGAACCCCACAGGATACCCAAAACCGGGGCCTAGATCGTCTCAAGTTAACTGCAAACTGCAAAAAAAAAAAAACAGCAAACCCCAGAGCAACCAAGATCAGTAGATAGCCTGCATCAAGTAGAGCAGATCCAATGTCAATATAACCGTGCAGGACCAACGGCGCATCTGCAATCTGCGAAATCCGAATAGCCTCGCCCCTCTCCCACCGCCTTTCCACCCCCACCAAACATCAGAGACGCTTTGTCTCTAGTTTGGCTGAAATCTGTCTCTCTTTCCCCCTTTTTCTTAATCCCCAATCCCCCTTTGTTCATCCACCTCACCTTTATCTCATCTTCCCCGGACTGCAGCACCTTGGTTCCGTGCCCCGCCTTCTGTAAACAATGGTCGACAACCACGAGGACGATCTCGCCGCCACCCAGACTGAGGGTTTCAAGGTCGGCGAGAAGAAGACCATCGACGAGTACAACCAGCTCGGTGAGTATTCATTCCATGACGATCTACCTCAATAGCTTGCATTGGCTATGCTGTATCCCCAACTAACACCTTATTCCCCGCACCAGACAAGGACGATGAAGCCATGAACCGCTGGAAAGCTTCGCTGGGCCTGAATGGCGGCGACCCTATCCATGAAGCCAATGACCCCCGCAAGTGCATCATCAAGTCCCTGGCACTCAAGGTCGAGGGCCGACCCGACGTCGTGATCGACCTCTCCAGCCCCGGCTCGGTCGACAGCCTCAAGGACAAGCCTTTCACCATCAAGGAGGGCGCCAAGTTCCACATCAAGGTTACTTTCCAGGTTCACCATGAGGTCCTGAGTGGTCTCAAGTACCTGCAGGTGGTTAAGCGCAAGGGTATTCGTGTTAGCAAGGATGAGGAGATGTTGGGTAGTTATGCGCCCAGCACTACCACCAAGCCTATTTACGAGAAGGAGTGTAAGTTTATTGTCTTTTCTTATTTGATCCGTGCTTTGGTTTGGATTTTGCTAATCCTATCTTACAGTCAACGAGGAGGAGGCCCCCTCTGGCATGATTGCCCGTGGTCACTACAACGCTGTCTCCAAGTTCATTGATGATGATGCCCACACTCACTTGCAGTTCGAGTGGTCCTTTGACATTGCCAAGGACTGGTAGATGTGGATTGAGAGAGCTATCTTGAATTCTTGAGCGGCTTGTTTGTTTTCAAAGCGTTGATCTTCTTTCTTTGACAAAACTTTGTTAGAGTTGCCCTTGCCGGGCCGATGCTTTGTACCCGGTTCTATTGTTTTATGCGCCATGCTGAGATCCTCGGTGTGAAATATGTTCAGTTCAGATGCCAAATAGCAAAACTCGCTGTTGGTGAATGCACAACTTTATCCAGAACTCCTGTCTAGTGCTAGTGGAAAACCGGGGGAAAAAAAGAAATCGTATGGTCAAACAAAACATTATCATAAACCAATGGGTATCACAGAAAATAGTCAACAATTGGACTCGGGCCGTCCTTGGTCTGCTGGGCCTGCTGTTCATTCCGATGAACATCGTTCTCAGGCGCAGCGTCGAATATATTGAAATACCGCTCGCCTGTATCACTCACTTCGAGTACACTCGCAAGGTTGCCGCAACGGTAGCAGTAGTTGGGGGCACTCCAGACCGTACTCAATTTGTCGTCGTAGAGAACCTGGTAGCCTTCCTGGCAAAGCTGGTGTGCACGTAAAATATGCGACATGCTATTGACCTCCAGGAACTTCCGGACAACCTGCGCACCGAATGTGTATCCAGCACCACGGGGGGAGAGCGAAAACTCATCACGCTCTGTATCTGGATCTGACCAGACGAGATCGGCCATGGGGCCTTCATGTGGAATCTCACGGAACCGGTCGATGATCTTGATTTGATCGATGGAGTGAATGGAGGGAGAAAGACCGCCGTGTACACAGAAGATCTCGTCATTAATCACGACGCTCAGTGTCAAGAAGTCGAACATATCGGTGAAGTAGTGCCACACGTTGGCGTTGCCGTACTTGCGTGCGCATTCGGTATAGAACCCGTAAGACTGGGTGACTCCGCGAGACTCGTGATTGCCGCGGATGAGGTGGACTCGGGAGGGATATCGTAGTTTGAGGCACACCAAAAGCGAGATGGTCTCCACACTGAACAGGCCGCGGTCGACATAATCGCCTGTATAGTCTTGTGTTAGCAACGACCCACGCCAAGAAATGTGGGCCGGAGAGGTTCCGCCCAAAGGCTCTTTCCTCTTCCAGCCCCAGTATCAGGCCGGACTAACCGAGGAAGAGGTAGTTTGTATTCGGACAGAATCCTCCAATCTTGAAGATCTCAATCATGTCGAAGAATTGGCCATGGATATCACCGACCACGGTGACCGGAGCAGCGATGTGGACCACATTGCTCTCCTTCATTAAAAGTTCCTTAGCCTTAAGACATATGGCTTCGATCACCGATTCAGCGAGCAGTTCTTTGCGGTACAGGCGGGCGATGCACTCATCGAGATCAACACTAGCTGCAAGCCAACAGATCAATATACAAATCCAATGTGAACTCAAATTCCGGGGTCATTGACATACTGGGTAACCCAGGCATTGTGAGGGTTGTAGGAACAATGCCGTTGGCAACAAAGAAATGTGCCCCTTTCTCCGCGGGGGAGATTCCAAATCACGGTGAAGGAGAGTGTCCTGAGGCTGGTCCTGGTGCGTCAAACAACGTGGTGGTGGGAACACAGCAAATCCAAAGGAAGGTGAGAAATGATCCGTTAGAAGGAAAGAGTTATAGGAGTGGTGGCGATGTGAGTTTTTCAAGCATCCTGACTGTCAAGCCAATCCTCGTTCCAGTGAGGGAAAGAGTGCTGGAGTTGAAGATCCAGGCACTATATGACGAACTGCGGGATGGGTTTACGCGCTAGACCTAGTAGGGCCACACCGCCCTGGCAGATGTTCGCCTGGTTTTTCAGGTTGTATATTCGGTTGTATATTCGTTGACAAGGCTCTGAGGCACTCGTAAAGTTAATAGTATTCCATTCCCCGTGACTTAAGCTCGTGTCTCAGTGGCTGATATCTCTTGGATTGTCGAAGAAACCAAAGCATTGCAAATATTGGAAGATCTCCGTCCAAAGCCCGGACGTGTTATGAATATATGTTTTCAGCAACGTGACCACAATTCTGATTTCTGTCCACAGCTAACATTGCAAACCACATAATATTTATATTTAATTTGACAAATCATATCCTAAGAAGACCAGAATTTACATTTGCTTCACAGTCTCAAGTATCTACCTTGAGAGCCCCCCACCGCGAGGTGTAAACCCTCCCATCCTTAATCACACCCATCACATGCTCTTCAACCTTATCCAAAACAGTAATATCCTCCAGCGGGTTCTCATTCAAAATCAGCAGGTCGGCAGCAAATCCCTCCCGAATCTGACCAAGTCGATCCTCCTGCATAATCAGACGAGCAGCATTGACAGTAGCACTGCGAAGAATCTGCAGAGGCGTCAAGACCTTACTACGAACCGAGAACTCCTTACTCTGAGCAAAATGCATCGGACCGAGAAGATCACTACCAAAACAAACAGTCACACCAGCCTCAACCGCCATCTTCATTGCCTGAAGTCCCTTCGCGAGAACCTCATCGTTCTTAGCAGCGCCATCGGGAGGTAGGAAATTCAATTGCTTGGACATGACGTGTGCAATGAGTGTTGGTGTCAAGAAGACATCCATCTCAGCCATTATCTTTGCGGTTTCAAGATCGATGAGGTTTCCATGTTCAATGCCGCGCACGCCAAGCTTGATAGCCTGTTGAATTGCCTGCGGTGTATAGCTATGACTCGTGACATAGGTGCCGGCATTACGCGCAACAGTGACAATAGCCTTGATCTCCTCGTCTGAAAACTGGACATGATCGATGCGGTCTGTGGGACTTGCAACACCTCCACCTCCCATAATCTTGATAAAGTCCGCTCCCTGGCGCAGTTCCTCACGGGCATACTTATAGCACTCTGCAGGGCCGTCGACAATCCTGCTGATTCCAGACAGTGAGCCTCCGCAGCAAAGTTGAGCGTCGTGACAGCCGCGCATGTCACCATGTCCACCAGTCTGGGACAAGGCATAGCCGGCGATGAAGAGACGAGGTCCAGGGAAGACTCCATCCTCAACGGCTTCCTTGATCGCTAGACTTGCGCCACCGCAGTCTCGGATTGAGGTAAAGCCACGTTCAAGCATAGATTTCAGGACGAGTGGCTGACGGAGAAGACTGATACGCTCGGTCATGTCCTTGTAGGCACGGAGATCGGCTTCGCCTGGGACCACGGCGATGTGGACATGGCAGTCGATCAAGCCAGGACATAGGTACTTCCCGGTCAGATCAATAATGTTATCTTCTGGTACATCTTCTGTGGCTTTAGTTGAGCCGTCGGTGACGATCTGGGTGATCTTCCCATCCGAAATTCGGACTGTGGCATTTTGAACCAGCTCGCCCTGAACCGGGTCGATAATTGTTGCATTCAGAAAGACCAAAACTCGTTGAGAACTGAGTTTCCAGGGTTTGATAACCCGAGAAATGTCCATCTTGTATAGTGCGCTGTGTTGTAGGCGTCGAAGGTAGTTGCAAAATGACGACAGCGCTGATGGCTCAGGCAACTAGATTATCAGGTAGGATTGCAGGAAAAAAAAAGCTTGACAGATCTCTGCAGATCCGGACAGTCCGGTTTTGTAGATAAGCCAGCGGGTATTTCGATTCCAACCAGCACTAACCTCGTCAAAACAAAGATGTCTATACAGATGGAGTGGATCCAATCTAGCCGAAGCAACCAGTCAGAAGCCGCGAGGTCCACGAAGGACGCGAGGCGATTGGCTATTTCGGCAGTGAGGCTCTCTAGCCGACGCTTGGCGTTCTGGGGAGTTCATCCCCCGCGTTCTTGACAGCAGACGGCAAGCCGAGATAGCTTGGGGCATATTCTGTGCCTTGATATTGGCTGAAAATTATGCCTTCCGCTGCATTGCCCCAATATTCCGGGGGTCTTATCTCTGGAGAAGCTGATCTGTCCAAAGTAGCCGAATCGGTATAAGTATGCAGACTGCTGTTTGTATCTTCACTCTCTCCTAAAAGATATTCCAGCTCACAATGGCTCACTCGGAGCCAGAATGGGGCCGGGATATGGAGCAAGCTCATACCAATGTGCCCACTACCGACGAATATTCATCTGATAACCTACCTCTGCTCCAGGGAGTGCGTCTCTACCCCAAGATTGTCGCGTGCGCATTCGGTCTTGCATTGGCATTCCTCCTGACCGGCTATGATACCGTTATTCTCGGCACAATCACCGCAGTTCCATACTTCAAACAAGAATTTGGCGAGTTATACAATGGGTCATACATCATCCCAGCAACGTGGCTGTCCGTATGGAGTGCCATTGGACCCGTGGGCTCAATGGTCGGAGCCGTCAATGCCGGCTGGCTTCAAGATCGTATTGGTCGCCGCTGGTCACTAGGCCTAAGCTGCGTGGTCTGCGCAGCTGGCATTGCCATCGCCTTCTGCTCCAACCTACCCAGCGAACTGAACTCTCGTCGCGGTGCGTTTCTGGTCGGTAGAACAGTGCAAGGGTGGGGAGTCGGGGGTGCCATGGCTTGTGCTCAGACTTATCTCTCTGAGACTGTGCCAACTAGCTTGCGAGGCTCGGCGATGGCACTGTCGCCGACTTTCATGTTACTTGGAGAACTGCTTGGCGCGGCTGTCATATATGGTTGCGAGAAGAAAGTATCGGCGGCGGCTTATCTCATTCCTTTCGGGACACAGTGGCTTACCACTATATTGCCTTTCATGCTGATTTGCATCTTGCCGGAGAGCCCGTCGTACCTGATCAGGAATGGTGAATATGATGCTGCTCACCGTGCATTGGCGTGGTTCCATACTGATAAAGTTGATGTCTCTCGACTTCTCGCCCAGATGCGTCTGTCCATTATGCATGAGGTGCAAATGTCACAAGAGTTGGCATATGCCGATTGTTTCAAGGGGACAAACCGGCGCCGGACGATAATTGTGGCCTTCTCTTTTATGGTCCCAAGTTTCTTCGGCGTGCCTTTGTTGGCTAGTGCCAGTTATTTCATGCAGGTCGTTGGCATGGGGTCAAGCCTCAGTCTGATTGTGCTCATCTTGGGTATTGTTTTGGGTCTTATTGCGAATGGAGTTGGTGTGTGGCTCATGAGTCGCGTTGGAAGACGTCACTTGATGTTAAGCACTTTGGCTGTCACGACTCTCATCTGGCTGAGTATGGGAATCGCAGGGTGTTGGTCGGGCAAAATTGTTGTTTGGTATGTCATTTCCCCAATTATGCTATCATCTTTAGCTAACGTACTCAATAGGTACACCGCTGCTTGCATGATGGCTGTGGTAGTAGTTTGTGGACTGGGAGCATGGCCCGCATCATATGCAGTCTCGGGAGAAACGTCATCCCTTCGTCTGCGAGCTAAAACTCAGGGTATTGGTGTTCTATGCTACATGTTGTCAAATGTCGTTTTCAATCTTGTTCTTCCCTACGTTTACAACACAGATGCCGGAGATCTCAAGGGCAAGACAGGCTTTGTTTACGCTGGCTTGTGTTTGCTCACCTTGGTCGTTACCTGGCTGATCATTCCTGAGATGAAAGACCGTACAACACTTGAGGTCGATGCTATGTTTGAAGCAGACTTGCCTTGCAGGAACTTCAAAAAATGGACACCCGAAGGAATTCCTCTTAAGGATGGGGCTTTGTGATTAGTTCGACATTTTTTGAAATCTATACAATTACGTATCAGAGATCTTGAATTCTATTGTCATTTCTTTCCACTTTAATGCTCCTATTCATCAAGATTGTTAACAGAACTCACTTTTCCTTGACATGCATATACTTCTTATTGAGAAGTTGTCGAATTTATAGAAGGTGATATTTACTTCGCACCGGACATTGGTTCCTCTATGGCTATCTATTGAACTCTCATAACAACCATACCATCATGATCTGGAGGTTGTGAACCTACCTTAGATCTTCGTATAATAGTTTAAACCCTTGATCCCAAGCCTGGGCTAATCTTCTCGCAACAGACAGCGAAAGTTTTGTTTAGCAAACAGCGTCTGCTAGAGAGTAATTATTAATACATTTAGTAGCGTGGCCCTGAAAAGAATTACTTTGCTAATGTCAGTCCCCGCAGCGAGAGGCGCAAAAGGGTATATATTTTTCCGGACTCATCCGGAGAGCCTCTTGCAAATAGGAGGCTTTGACATCATTCAATGACTTGTTGGATATCATTCCAGTCTGATCTGGCTTGAAGAGAAACAAATCCATTAAGCTTGCCAAATCCGGATTGCCATCTTTATAGTGAGTTATCCCTTGAGGTCCACCCCACCAATCAAATAACATCTCTTTTTTTATGGCTAAGCTCTCGAGCAGGTAGCTCGACATGAAGATGAGGTCATCTTGCATAGTTTTGGCTCCAGCCTGCTTTGGCTGACTTGATAACTATCCCCCTTTGTTCACTGATTTAGTCCGCTTTGAAGAATCTCAATTTCAATTTATTTTCAACATGATCAACTGGGTGAGTCTTGAAGCTATACCTACACCCATGTTTCCATGTGCTGCCACCTAAATGAATCAAAAGACTTACAAGAATCCAGCAACTTGCTGTTAGCTTCAAAAACGACTGGGTTTTCCTGGATAATGGCACGGGCATTCCTGAAAAGTATGTACATGTGTCGCATCCCGAGCACTGGCTTCTCCATTGATATTTATACCGACTACCATAGGATCGAAGATGTCTTTGTGAAAGCAGGCGTGAGTAACTTGGGGGACATCATTAGTGAAGCGAGCTTCCCACCCACCTACATCTCCTCGTATGTGAAGAACTGTCCATTTTGTTCTCATCCTGCCCGAGTGAAGATTGACTGAAGGAGCCAGATTCACCACCAACGATGATGTGACCAAAGAAGAGTTGGAAGAAACAGCTCGGAAAGGTCTTCCAGAGGGCTTTACCATTGACATTAATCCACGGGGGAATTAATCATAGCGGGCTGTGTTGCTAGTGAGAAGAATTCACTGGTATAGAACAAGGATGGAGGAAGAGATCAACAGGGTTATCGTTGAATTTTCTTGGGATTTCGGGCTTTCATACATTTCGCAAAAAAAAGCTATTCCGTATAACAACCAACACCATTCTTGATTAGCATTCAACGACTAACGCCTGGCAATGAGATAAGAGCCAATCTCAACATTCTCCATCGCCCCGCTGGTAGATACAAATTCTTAGTGCCGGGAAAACACCGCAGAAGAGCTTGCTTGCGCGTTAGGCCCACTTCGACTGCAATTAAAGAGAAGGGAATAGACTAGGCTATACAATCTAAATTGAAACGCGTAGTTGCGCTAAAAGTAGCCAAGAATCTTCTCCACTGAGGCTCTTTGCTGATATCTGATTTCATAGGACAACTGAGCTTAATCTACTGAGGTATTGAGGAAAAAATCAACACGAGAGACGCTCCACCGATACGTTAAACAGGTTCAGCTTTTCGTTTTTCTCTTGAGATCTGATCTTTGAACATGCAGCTATAGCCAAAGTCCAGCTTCCACACGTGGAACTCACTTGGCCCAGGATGGTAGATCTCAACAACTTCATTCGAATCTTATGCCTGGTGACAGGCGGGCAAACAATGCGGATTTCGATTAAAATCGACCCGGGCTTAGTTCAGGACAAAGTCCATAAACACGGTCAGTGTGGTATTTTATCTTCTTAGCGTGACTTTCTATGCGGCAATTTTACTACGTTCCGGTAAGTGTGACTGTCCCCTCGGAGACTGATGAAGTGACAGCTACAAGATGCTCCAAAGAAGAGTTTCGCAAAGCCCTCACCATCAAATTTGCTGAGGTCAAAATGTTCTATCTGGGTTTCAGCAAAACGACCAGATTCTTTTTTGGGGTTGCTACTGTTTTCTATTTTCTGGCTGTATGCTTGCAGGTGTTTGTTTACATCTGCAAAGGTAGCTACACTTATTGTCTCTCTCTGTGTCCGAGGAATTGACTGACTCTTTGACAACTCGAATAGCCTTGAGGGAGAAAAGAAGGATACAAGATCTGGACTTGGAGAATAGTGTTGAATCATTGGCCATCAAAGCTTGGGCGTTGAAGAGTGAGATGAAGTGCATTCTCTGTTGCATTAAGGCTATGTTTTCTTGATTGTTTGCCCACACGCGCTTCAAATGATCTTCTTATATCGTGCATATCTTCAACTCCCTGTGCTGGCTACTGTCTCATAAGTCTCATTCCATACAACATGGGTCACCTGTTCACGGTGCCATGAAGTATTAGACAAGTTATTGATAGAAATCTCGAAGTGAGTGTACCAGTTCATGCATAATTTGTGCCCTTACTTCCTCTCTCTTTTTCACCACTTAGTTCACCTTCTTTTTGCCCATTTTCACATGCCTTGGGTAAGATATTCAGATCACACAAACGTGGGGATGTGACAGGACTTATGACCACCGATATATATCCGAATTTCTCTATGATAGCCTAATACCAGCCCAGCTACTCCGTAAAATCTAGACCCTAGATTGGCATAGATCATCCAAGTAACTGCGTAGACTCTTTTTGAACAGCCTCGCTTTCGGAGTCCGTTTCTTCTTCGGATTCATCATCATCTTCTTCATCCTCGTCAGACTCCTCCTCGGAGCCGGACTCTTCTTCGGAGTCCGTCTCACCTTCCGAGTCAGTCTCGGATTCTGTTTCTGTTTCTTCCTCAGACTCTTCCTGTAGCCACTGGTCGAGCGTCTTTTTCCCAGCGGGGTCCGCAGCCATAGGTACACCATTTCTGTTCCGGACTGGGGCAACAGTGCTCTGGTGCTCCTTCAGAGCTTTGTCGAGACGGGCACCGGCAGTAAGAGAAGCCTGGGTGGCAGATGTGTCTGGCTTCACGTCTTCAACGCGGAGACTTGAGTCTGGCTCGTGACCTAGTTCAACCCAGTCTGGTAGGGTGGTGTAGCCGCGCAGACCGTGGTATCCAGCATCAGTGCCGACTACTAGTGTGGCAGAGCCGATGAGTAAATCCTTTCGGGTTTCGGACGGGCTTGGGGCGTGGGGAACTGGCTTTGGTGCCAAGAGAAGTAGGTTGGCGAGCTGGGTAGAAGAGGGTGTTTCTAGAAGGCTCTTGTACAGACGAGCTCGGTCGCGGAGGTCGTACGATGTGTCATAGCGTGCGAGAAGAAGGATATAGCGCCAGAGCAGGGTGATGCGGTCTTCTTCTTCTTTTTCTTCTTCTTCTTCACCTTCCTTTGCTTCTCGTGCATTGGCCTTTGGTGTGTGACCTTCTTCATGCGGCTGATCGGCATCTGGCGAGCCTCCGGTGCCATTGTCATTCCACTCGTTTTGGAAGTCCTGCTGCGGAGCGGACTTTTCTGGCTCCGTGGAAGATTCAGTTTGTTCGGGCTGTTCTTTTGGTGGATTTTGTAGAAGATGATGAAGATAAACTTTGGCACCAAGGAGAACAACCTGCTGCTTGACCATTTCAGTCTCATCTGCGAATCCCTTGATCAGAACGCGGAGGACATCAGGCGCAATATTGTTTTCTGGATCAACACCAGCAAACTCCCCGACTAGCCAAATGATCGTTGCTCGTGCATCTGGGTGAGTTGTGGAACCGAGGTGCTTGACCAGCTGAAGAACAGTGTTTTTATGCGAGGCAGGATCTTGTTGAATCAGGTGGCGAATGACAGTCAATGACTCTGACACAAGGTTTCCATCTAAACTAGAGATCTGGCCGAGTAAGATTCGCAAACACATGCCAGATGTGCTTGTATCTCCTTGCGCACAGCGGCCAATGGCCCGTACACTCTCTCGCACCAGATCCGGATCTGTGCCCTTAGAGAAATGCTCCAGTTCACCGATAATGACACCCTTCCAGTGTCTTCCACAATGCGGGAACAGAATGGTCAAAACCTCCAATTTGAGACGCCAAATGTGGGGTGGATCGTTGGCATGAACAAGGAAGTGGGCAGTGTATCGCGCGAAAGGCTTAGGAGTCCTTAAAGCAACGGCAACAATGTTGTACAAAGCAATGAGCTGCATATCTTGCGGGCTTCGTAAAAGGGCCACAAGGGGACCAATAGCTGACTCAATATATTCCGAAGGAGCAAGGTAAAGGAAACAGCGGACAACACTGACAATGACGGCAGAGTTTCGGCTCATAAGAAGATTCTTGCAGGCTCGCAGTAGAAGCTCGAGGTCAGGATCCATCACCGGTGCTTCATACTCCTCACCGTCATTTTGGTCATCCTGCAGATTCTCATCATCGTAGAAAGACTCAGGTGCCGAGGGCTTAACCATTCGAGTTCGACGAGGGAAGCACTTCCGTGCATAGAAAGTTAACAAACGCAAAGTCGCAAGCTGACCCCATTCATCCATGTCAACCAGCTTCTTTACCAGACTCCGGTAGTTCTTGTGAATCAAGTCGATCTCATCCGGACACAAATCCAAGAATGCCGCAACTGCGGGACCAACCACGAAGTATTGAGAATCACCCAAAAGTGTCGAGAGATATCCCATCAATTGCGGTAGAGTGTTGGGGTCCAGACGATAGCACTTGGGGATAGCCAAAGCAGCCGCCTTGCGCACATGAGGACTCATATCCCCACATCCCCGTTTGATAGCCAGCGAAACAATTTGACTGATCACTGGAACCCGGATGCCTGACATAGTCCGAAGCGCCATAGCTCGAACCTGAGGGTTGGAATCGGTCAAGGATTTCTGAATTGCGTTGATAGAGAGCAGTGCCAAATCCGGTTCAGCCTCCGCATGATGAACCAGATAGATGTAAACCAACTTCTTGACTTCAAGATTGGCACTAGCGACATTTTTGACAACCGCAGAGAAAAAATTAAGGGAGGGTTCGGAGTGGTACATCAGCTATTGCAGCGAATTGAGTCAGCCATTGCGATTCATATGGTACCTCAGAAACCCCATACCGAGATGACCCTGCGCATTCCATCTAGCACTTCCCGCTCATGGCGACTGTCAAGTAGCTTCTTGACATGAGCGGCACTGTAAGTTCGTGACGAGTAATCTGATTTCGAGCTTCGATTAATAGCAGCGGACTGGGCGGCCTCTAAAGTGAGCTCTCGGGCTGTTCACACAGTGACGTCTCCAGTCAGTCAGAGTCAGAAAAAGCGTCCTAACCAAGGCAACATACCTGTCTCCAGCATCGAGGATATCCTGGAAATTGTTTCCATCTTTCCAGTGAGGGCCCAGTCCGAGGGCGTGGGGTGAATCTGGAATGGGGGGGGAGGTGAGGGGAGGTGAGGCGGAGCTGCTCCGCGGAAGTGAAGGATGATGCGCTGCCCGCCTTCATCTGCAATTTTCCACCATCCTCGATATCTACACCATGACTCTTTTCAGCAAACACATCATGCACTGGGAATAATATGGCCAATCTCGACTCGATGACATCGGAGGGGTGATACAAGTAGGGGCTACAGCATATCTGAAATAATGAGTTCAGCTCCAACGATCGCTCTTTGCGACTTCGTGCCTGATCTGCTACAGCAACTCCTCGAGACAAATTCAGACGCGCATCTGATTGTCTGCGCGACCAAGGCCGAGTTCCTTGTGCAGTTGGCGGCCGCCATTCGTTCTCAACGTGCAGATCCAGATGCGGCAGCGAGCCATGATCTGCTCACGAAAACCATCGGATTGCTTGCAAGATCCAGCAAAATCAGGCTGTCATTCTGTCCTACGCTTGAAAGTCTTCGGGCATACCTTGCAGTTCTGACTACAACTGATGGGGTGACCACTGAGGATGCGCAGAGCTCCGGTGGACGACGTCTTCTTGCTGTACTGAACATGATGGCTTTGCATATTACGACTTCGGAGTTCTCGGCACAAGGGCTCTCGAGAACACTTGCTGCAGCTGTCGAAGCTGCATCTAGGGCTGAACTAGACCTTAGACTCTACGAGTGTGCAAATTCCCTGGATCCTACAAGTGTCGATTGGGGAAGGAAGCTATGGGATATGACTGTCCCTTTATTAAATGGATCCGTTCGGATGCGAGGCGACGAAAGCACTATGAGTGGTCGGGGTGTTACTTTGAAGCGGGTTGTTTCGCGCTGGTTCGAGTTCGACCAGGGAAACTGAACCAGAGGCTCATTGTTGAAATCGACATGATAGTGTAGCATAAAGAAACTCCTTATAATGAATCTGAACTGCCCGGGTATCCTAGAGCCGACCGTTGAACTCCTGTTGCGTGCACAAATGAAAGCTGATTTCTTATAGAGACTTCTCCATCTCTGTCATGTAGAGCTTGATATGTGACTCCAACTTCAGGTACTGATCGTGAGCCCCCTGGATCTCGCTTTCAATGTTTTCCTTCAGGTCGACCATCTAAGTAAGTGTTAGTAATTGCAAATTCCTGAAGGTTGGAGATCAACTGTACCTTCTTCTCTGTCTGCTCAATGCGAATACGCCTCCGCTCCATGTCACGTTGCTTCTCTGCACGCTCTTCACGAAGCTGCTTCTGTACATTGCGAAGTTCTTCCATACGTGCCTGCGCAATCTCCGCCTTCTCCTGTGCGTTCTTCTGGAGTGCTTCGATGCGCTCGACCCAACGAGCCAGTTGGCGCTGCAATAGTTTCTCAGTCTGTTCAACTTCACGGACGCTGTTGCCCCTGTCTGAGATAGCTTCTGTAGTTCTGGCGGCGCGGTTCTCCTCCTCGTCCTCTTTCTGTAATTCCACTGAGATATCGTCTAGCAGTTTTACGCAGCCCTGTACGTCGTTTGAGACCACAGTAAACGTGTCTGACGAGGTCTGAAGTGCCCGAGCACGCCTTTCCATCGCATCAATTGAAGCCTTCTCGCGCATCAGATGCTCAGATAGCTCAGCCAGTGACGACTGGAGGGTAGCTGGGGACTCGAGTACATAAGGCCGCAATTTCTCGGCCTCTTGTCGCGTGCGGACAGTCCTTTCTGTCTTCTCTTCCAACTGTTGTTGCCTTCGGGCCCGATCTGTCTTAACACGGTCCAATGTCTCTGCAACCCGCGACTGTTCTCTGCCCAACTCCAACAATCGTGCCTTAAGTTCATCGTTTCTAGAAACCTTCTCACGCACATGCGCCTCGTTCGCTTGTAGGTCCTGTCGCATCTCGTTGAGTCGTAGTTCCATTTCCTGATTCTCCGCGAGAAGCTCATCGATACGTGATTTCGTCTTTTCGGTCTTGTTGAAGTGCTCGTCAATGACCGGTGTTTGCGATTCACGGAAGCGAACAAAGTTGATCAAGTATGAGAAGATCTTGACAAGTCGCTCATGCGTCGGTTTAGTCAGATCTGTGAAGGTAAAGTCGTTTACACCGCACTGTTGGAGTTCATGAGTCAGCTCAAGGGTCCTCTGAGGGCGACCAAGGTCATGCAATTACCTCTGCCAATAGCTTCCGCAGCATAATAAAGAATCCCATAAGGTTGCGGGTGTCATTGGGAACGATATCAGGGTAGTCACCGCAGAGATCTTCGGCAGCTGCATGCATGGCGGGTTCCACCGTCTCCCTGGTCGTGTTCATGAGAAGCTCTGCGAACCACTCGAACACCATCTGGATTTGTTGCGCATTCGGTTTGGCCAGGTCGGCGAGGGTGAACGGGATTCCAATATCGTTAATACATCCTGCAATTTCTTTGTCCGGCTATCTGGAATTAGCATGAGCGGCGGCGAATAGCAAAGCTCAAACTCACCAGTCGCATGAGAGCGTCATTCTCATCCTCCTTCTTGCGACCTCGGCCATGCTGCTGGTTGCCGTGGAATTGTTGACTCATGCGGTTGTTGTAGCCAGTCGCCATCGAGTTCCGCGACATAATTGCTGAGGCCTATCAAGGCAAGGGGGTTATCGAACGGGTTGGGCAGCTGTTGTGATTTGGGTTGTTTACTTGGAGAAGCCTCACCGCCTAATTGCGGTTAGCGTGGGACTGGAGGGGCAGAAGCAAACAGAACAAACACAAATTCATGACTCTTTCTTTCATGTTGCTTTCTTTATTCGCATCCTCTACCTGTTCAACCGAAATGGCGAGTACTACAGAGAGCGCGGCTGCGGCCAGTGCCAAACCGTTCGAGTAGGTTGTTTTCGGCCCCCCGGAGCTCCACGAACTGACCATTCCTCAGCATTGTCGCAACCTACAATGAGCTCCTACGCTCCGATCCCGATCTTACCATGCCTATTGCAGCCATTGAAGCTTTGGTCCTTCTCCTCACACAGTCCGCCTCATCAACAATATCAGAAACCCTTGATCTGTTGGAAAAATCCACCGCCCACCTGAAGAAATCCATTCCGAACCCCATCGGTCTCTCCGCCGGAACCGATCTTTTCCAACGATACCTGATCACCACATTACAACGTCCTGGACAGCTAGGCCCAGCTGGTGATTTCAAGGCCATCCGCACACATCTTCTTTCAAACGGACGACTGTTCATTCGCCGCGCAAAGGAAAGCCGATACAAGATCGCAGACTTCGGCCGAGGCTTCATTCGCGACGGCAGCACTATCCTCACAAATGGCGGTTCTCGTGCTGTCTCAGCGCTATTGCAAAAGGCAGCTGACGAAGAGGGCGGTCCTTCTGCTGTGCGGTTCCGCGTTATCTATGTCCTGTCGTCAACTGCCACCACTTCCGGTGATTCAACCGAGGAGCCCGAGGGTATGGAAACAGTGCGCGCTTTGAGAGAAAAGGGTGTTCCAGTTTCGACGATCCCCGAGTCCGCAGTTGCATATTCGCTTGGTAAGGCCGACATGGTCATTGTCGGTGCTGAGGGTGTGGTGGAGAACGGAGGCATCGTGTCTCGTATGGGAACATACCAGATTGGTCTCCTGGCCAAGGCTATTGGCAAGCCTTTTTACGTTGTTGCAGAGAGCCACAAATTTGTTCGCTTGTATCCTCTCGGCCAGTACGACTTACCAATCGAGCAGCGCGTGCTCGACTTCAAGTCTGAGGAGGACATTGCAGAGAGCACACAGCAGTCTTCGGAGACCACTACGAATGAGGAACGACCTATCGAATTGCCTCTGTCCGCCTCTGTTGATTTCACCCCACCGCATTTGATCTCGGCGCTGATCACAGACAGCGGTGTCCTGACACCCAGTGCTGTTAGTGAAGAGTTGATTAAGATTTGGTTCTGAAGAGAAAAAAAATCTAATGTTACATGATAATCTGTTACCCCCTCTGATCCCGATTGGCAGAGTTTCAGATAGATGGCATTATGGAGAATGACTTGATGAGGCGCCTGTTCAGACCTGTTTAAGGTGGTCCCACATGGAAGCCTTTTTTGGAATAAGACAGGGGATATCCCTATTTACCTATGCCATAGACCTTCCACGCCCCTGACCTCTATATGATTAGAAGATCAAACCGAGGTCCCCGAAAATGGGCAAAAGAAGCGACAAGGAGAGGCGAAAGCACCAGTACAAACATACAGAACGCGGTATTGCTGCACTACTTTCGTATAGGAACTATTCAGCACTGTATACCATTGTGGACACTATCTCCTGCCAATCCTAGATTTCCTTTTTTGTTAGTGCTTATTCGAGACACGCAAAGTCCAGCATAAGTAATCTACAGAGTATGATTCTCCAGGATTTCTCTGAAACTCATACAATTTAGACAAGCGCAGGTATGTCATGGCGTGAGCATGCGGTACATTCAATGCCAATTACCCTCCTTGCTTCCATCGTGACAAGTAAGAAGGACCTTCCAGTAATATCCAACTTTCACAATGTATGAGCTAGATGGGAATAATGAAACCCAATATATCGATATACTGTGGCAGCTGATGAAGGCGTTTTGAAGTGATTTGAAAGCATGGTATACAGCATGCCTTCCATCCTTCATGGGCGTACTGTGGGCACCCACTCGCATCCAGAACAGGCAGTTGATGACCCACAGAAGGAATTCTTCTCTTCGGCAAAATGCCGGCAAGTCAAAGTATCCCAGCGTATGTCACTTCTGGTACCTTGATAGCCATACAGGATGTCATGGCTGTGGTGATAAACGCCAGGAACAACAGGTATCTCCCAGGCGATGGAGACAGAGTAACGAGAGACGAAAGCCAATACTGGCTTCATTCAGGTCGATTCGAAAGTGGGAGCGCCAGCATCCCGGTTGACACAAAAAGTCAAGTGCTTGGCACGGTAGAAAGGCCGTTGCTACCTAGGTAGTCTCGCGGTTGCCGTCGAGCTCACAAATTTGCACATGATATTTGCAAACTTCAGGCTGTAAAACCACATAAATAAATCCACGCATGTTATGTTGTCGACACAATCAAAATGCAATTCGATTTGTGACAAGAAGCCATTCCTGCACTTGCATCGTGGCGAAGGCATACAAAAGCAGGTAGCTTAGCGCGACAAATATCCACAAGGCGGCCATGGTCGTATAGCTACCCCGGGAGAAGAGTGTCGGTAAGTGCGGGTGAGTTGTAGTTGTAATGATAATGTATGGTGACTAGCGCAGCGTAGTGTGTGATGAGACAGGACTCGGAGAGTCAGACAACCAGGAAGTGATGCCGACTTACGCTTCGAGTATTGAAAGATATGTCGAGGATATGAGACATCAAACAATGCCAGCTTATCTCTCAATATGTAGAGGAAGAGAGAAGACGGAAATTAGAAAGAGATAAAGAAGAGGAATGCGATTCTCATTCGTATCCATGCTATCAGATGATTTTAAACCCGACCAGACCGACACTCTGACAGATTCTAGATTGAATTTTGGTTTTTTTTTTTTTTTTTTTTGGGTTGTGCTTCCCACGTTCTCTTCCGTGTTGTTCTATCCAATACGAGTGCGAGATGGTATGTCTTCCGTCCATTTAGAGTGCGTGTCGGATTATCGGACTGCAAAGATGCGGGGTTGGGACGATATTGGCACTTCTTATGCTCCACTGGATCCCGAGTACGCAAGTTGGGTGACATAACGGACTTCTCCGTTTGAGTCATTGATCGTCTGATATATGTTTGGGCATCAGGTCTGGTGTTGGGGGGTTTCCGCCAATTAGGGTCTGGGCATGATCAACTCAAGCGAGTTGAGAAGATATTAGGGTTTGCCTTTTGATGTTGGGTTCTACCTATTTGGAGTTAGCATTCTAAACGAAGAAATATATACATTTAGTCTTAGGAATACTAGTGAATAACGTATTTATCAAGATGAACTATCGACTTTATCTATCTGGACGAGCCAAAACATCGCTGATTTATGTAACCAGGGTTCGCTACGGCCCGCTCAAGGTGACCAAGCACCCTAATTAATCTAAAGTTTGTTGACTTCCCAATCCTTCACTGTGATCATGATGAACAATATCACCGAGAAGGATACAACAAAAACTCCTACCAGCCCAGCGCCAGGTCCTGAAGTATCAGGGTTGTGACTTTCACATTGTTTAAAATAGGCTGAGGCTATATTATACGCTGAGGTCGAAAACACGGATCGACAAATAACGAACGGTAGCCTCGTTGTCGTGGTAAAACCTGCTGTCGGATAAGACACTCCCATCTCCGTCAATGAGACAAGTGTTGCTCAGGAGGATTCCTTCTTGTAGTGTCCAACCCGATTCCAACCTTCTTTGACCTGTTTGGGCATTCTCGACCTCGTTAATTTAGGCACTTTGGTTTTAGGCTAAACCTCGTTGGTCCTGATCTCGATAACCAGTGACTCTTCAGATGTTTCCGCTGTTGATTTGTTGAGGCGCCAAGGCTCAGCTTAGGAGGTAATGTGATGTATCGTCGAGCGTATTCGATCGGACGACTGAGATCGGGGTTGATGGAGTCGTTGTATGAAACAATGCTTGATGTTTGATGATCCGTCCGTAAAAGATGATGGGCCCTAAGATGTCGTCTTGAGAGAAGGCGCGGTGGATCTCAACTTCAGGTCGGTTATTCTCAGGGCTTCAGTCCATGGCCACTGGTTACCTCTATGTATTCTGGATGGAAATTTGATGGAATCAAAGACAAGCTTAAGCTTTCATATGGTACAAAGTCACCACATAGCGAGTGACTTTACCCCCCTGCTCGTCAATCCACAATATCAGAAAGTAGGTCCACTTACTGGGCTCTCCTATCCCCTCTGATATAGATCTGCACACTCAAAACAAGATATCTGTTTGCCTCATATACGACGTGCTCTAGAACACTCAATAATCATGATACGGTGGAAACTACTGACAGAAACATCCATATTACATTCACATGCCAGACAATTGGACAATTGATATTCCATTGGACAAGTAACGACTGGATATACGAAGTACATTATTGGATATGATCAACATGACAGGCGAATGTTGACAACGGGCACGCGATACCTAAACAACTATTGTAAGTACGAACCCTTTGCACAATTCGGAGTAAAGAACTATCCCCAAACCAATAAATCAACAACAAAAACTAGCAGAAGAAAGGTCACCAGACTGCTTCACGATTGTGTCACTTGACCTAAATAACGTATTAAGCCACCTGGAAACAACCGGATGTCATCAGCAGCCAACCATTTCCAAGGCTTAGCCACCAAAAGAGGGAGCGACAGACCAAAAGCCTAGCAGACATCCGTACACAGTACAAATCGCAGTCCAAGTTCAAAGATCAACCAGCCCCACAAGTTCCAACCCCGCTCCCCCCGACCTTCATCTCAGATGCAAACACCCAAACTTGTACTTTAGAAAGTGAAATAACTTTTCCTTAAACCTATACCCTGCGCCCACGCGAATTGAAATCCAGTTCACCGGTTCCCTAGAGACACAGCCACATACGCCAGAGGCAGAATCAAAGCCACCACCACCGATCTGATCACCTGCCGCAGCATTCCGAGTCCCGTGTTACCGAGGGACATTACTGTGCCTACAATACACTACGCAACGCTGCAGCCTGAGACTATGGATGTCCAGCAGCTACCTACGAGACTCCAGCCTCACTCCCATACCTTCACCCGCACTCAGCACTTATCCCCGGGATCAGGATCGGGGGCCGGGTCCGCGGCCAAGTCCGATGCACGCGGTTTTAGCCCTGGCTCGTGGTCGATTCGCCGATTGCTGAGTCGACGGGGGAGTTGCAGGTATAGTGTGTTGGAGAGGGAGCCTAATCGGCTTCGGAAGAGGGTGAGCAATTGAGTTTCCCTAGAAGAAAGCATTGATGGGTTGGGCTGGGATTGATTGGGGTGGGCTGGTGCATATATATCTGAGTTGTCTGTCGGGATATTACCCGACATCGACATCGACATCGAGTTTGATTTCGATAGCCATTCGTTGAGAAACACCTGGCATGGGAGCGGAAGATGGCCGACGTGAGTTGGCAGATGTGTGTTATTTGTGGCATATTGGCGTTTGCTTTAGATCGGGTAGCGGCGTTGGTGTTCGGGGCGGTATTGTGTTGGCCGTTGTCTCTGATTTTTGGACTAGTTTCTTTTTAGTTTCTTTTTTGGCCAATTGTCAACTGTGTATATAAACTGGTCATTGGTTGTGATCAGTCGCCTTCGTGGCGAATTTCCAATGGTACATGCATAGTTGAATCGCCCCTTCCAAGGATCAGAGAGCGACCAAGAATAGATCAGGCATTATGCGGTGAGGGAGTCCGTTACACCCATACTGCAGGGCTTCAAGGGTGATCAAGTAGGAGTATTTATTCGGTAGTTAACCCCTTACCTTGATTGGTTAAGCTAATATTTTCAACTGTATGGGTTGTCGGTACAGAGGAGTTTGTCTGTTGGGGCATCTTCAAGGCTGACTAGGCGGTCACGAGAGAGAATAAATGAATGGCCCATTGTGGAACAATCTGAGACCCAACATGAGATTCCAAAGAGGGATGAAACAAAAGGCAAGGAGGGTTCTAGATCTTATCGAAGAACATGAGTGCATATGGCTTCCCTAACATGAAAATAATTGAAGAGTTACACAATCCTTCAATACAAGGATATTGAATAGAACTGGAGAAAAACACACAATACAAATGGGGAATCCACATCCCTATGACTCCAGTGGACTAATAGACTCGGCGAATTTCGCCGATCCTTCCACACAGTCCCAATCATTACCTGTTCTGACCTAGATCCTGTTCCGAGGAACTAGTCTCGCTCAATAGTGAGAGTTGAAGAATTTGCCGATTTCTTCTCAGATGACCTATGACCTACCCGGTAATATTGTCACGGTCAAAGATTGATTGTCTCTATTCCCGTGTCCAGAGAGGCTAAACCACTTCGGCTGGGTTCCACCGGGCGTTAACGGTGGCTTGGCTTCCCGTGTAGACGTTGAGCACGAGGTATGGTGAAGATAGTTGGATTGGGAAGCAATAAATCATGAGTTGGGGACCCGATTTAGGGTTAATAGGGCTCTGATGACCAGAATGACCCTGCCGATATTTACTTTGCAAGATGCAGTAGGGTGAATTATTCACCAATCCTCGCTGCGTCACTAAGTGGATATCCCCCACAGCTGCCAATTTCCAATAAACGAGGAATCTAGACGTGGTACGAAAGGTTCAGGTACCAGGTACCGTCACTGTTGTTGTATTTCTATAGGAATGCCAAGGCTCCAGGCCCTTTGTGTATTTTCTTTTCTTCCCTTCCTTTCCCTTTCCAACTCTCCTTCCTTCCCATGGCCCCTATCATTTCACTTTACTCCCACACTAGACCTCTTACTCTCCATGAGTTCAGTCAACCGGTCGTGTGACCCTGAGAGTGACTGATCATTTGGCCGTCATGGCGATATGGCCATTTGGCCGCAAGAACAAGCGGCATACCATCCAAGTCGATGGTGCCGAAGCCGCAGATCTCCAGTCGACGTTTGCTGAAGAGCCTACATTAGGCCGCAAACCTTCCCGTCATTCCAAACGCCCGAGCAACCGCACGTCAGCGGGTGAGGCCGCAGACAGCCGGCGCAGCTCTGCGCTCGTGCAGTCGAATCGACCTATCTCATCCCTGGACCGCCCTGCCTCCCTCGCCGATCACACGATGTCTCGCGAACATCCACCCTCTCGGGCCGCGTCATTACTCAAGCGCAAACCGAGTCAAAATGGTCCGAATAAACTTCGTCGGAGGCTCAGCAAGCGCAAGGCCCATGAGATCATGCGGGAGCGGGAGATTCGCATGTTGTCGTCTACCCCGATCGACATCCCTCCCCATTCAACCGACTATGGACTGGAACACCGCCGGCGAAAGGCAAACGGAAGACGTGCCGACCGGTATATGTCTGACATCAGCCTCTCGATCCGGGACTCCGCTACCTCATCCACGTCTGACATTTCTGACCCTTACACGTACAAGGTCAATGCCTTTGCCGCCCTGACTCCTCGCCCTGTTGTTCGCTATGTGGAAGCCCCGCGTCTGCAGACCGCTCGAAGCAGTAACCCCCCGGCGTCCAGTCGACAGGATAGGGAGCGTCTCAAGGCGATGACTATGTCTGAGGAGGATCTTTACTACTCGAAGCGACGCGTCAACGAACTCGCTGATTCATTAGATGCCGGTGCTCTCCGCGAATTACTCGACCGAGACCGTCGTCGTCGGGAAAAGAAGCAGATGGACGACCAGGAGAAGCTTAGGCGTAAGCTGCAGGAAAGAGCCGATGCACAACAAGCAGCCGATGAGCAAAAGGCCTCACAACCTGAACCGCAGCCTGAAACACAGCCCGAACCCGAATTACAACCCGAACCTGAACACACCCAACCACCTGTCGCCGAACCCCGGCCGACCCATGAGGTTATTCTCGAAGAAATGCAGGAGGATACCCAGGAGGACGCACCGGTCGAACGCACTGCTACGGAAACTGGGTCATGGTTACGGGGAGCTTCCAGGACCAGCATTTACACTGGACGCGACTCGCTGGACTCACGGGTTGTTGGAAACATGGACGATGGTTCTGTGCGGGAACACAGATTGATCCAGCGCCCCAGCTTTGCGCCGTCACACGATATCACAATGTCCCGAACTACTCTCTCGCCTTCCCACTCGTCTCTCCGGCAAGGGCTCAGTAGCCCAAGTCACTCCCAAACCTTTGGAGCCGGTTCCACATCGGACATCTCCAAGGGCGTTGACTCAGAACGCCGACTCTCTGACACCAGCGGTCGCCGGGGTAATGCAATCACCTCCCTGTTCCGACGTGGTTCCTCCCGTATCAAACGACGATACAAAGAACGCTTCCAGGACGCTTCTCCAGAAGAGTCCAACACCTCCCATGAATCTTTCTACAAAATCCAAACGCAATCATCACCCCCTCCGCCCTCGATTATCCCCCCCAGACTTCTCGTTCCCACCAACCCTATCAAGCGTTCCCAATCCAAGTTCACTGAACACTTTGGCGACGAGCCTCTGTCACCTCCGGATTCACGTCTGCAGTCGCCAGATATTCCTGAAGAAGTGTCGGAGACTATTGACAATGAAGAGCCAGCTTTGCGGGGTCCGACGCCCAGCGCCGCTGTTGACATTCAAAATCCGAAGCGACGTCACCACCGGTCATGGACTGCGGAAAGCTTTGATGCCGAGTCCGACAATGTGCCTCTATCACAATCTCTTGCCTCTATCGATTCTGAAGGATCTTGGATGTCAGGCCAGTTCTTTAAGCGGATGTCGCAAAAGCCCAGTAGTCCTGTCCGGACCAACCTGAACTCGTTTGGGCCAACTGAAGAGGATGGCCCGGAAGATGGCCTCGAAGCCGATTCAATTGACGAGTCTCGCCGTCCCAGCAGCAATGTTCTGGGCGAAACAAACTATCAAAATGAAACAACACCGGAAGCCAGCAACCTTGCCGAAACCTGGCACAACGAAGTTGGCCGTCGTCCAGTTCTTGTGAACCCTGCAGTCCGGCCCAAGTCCACCCAAGGAATGCTCCGAGGTATTCCCTCTCTTTCACCAATCTCGGCGGAAGAAGACTATGTCATGGAAGAGACATCCCCTACTGAACTGCAAAGAGTCCCCAGCGCCAAAGCTGAGATTGGATATGCAGAGTAGGCAGGGACGATTCATGTCATATTCCATGCAAAAGGGCCTGACCTACAGTCTGCCTATTGCAAGTCATTGATCAGTCAACATCTTGACTCGTCTATCTGACTAAATTGTCATTCCTTAAACATTTTTCCTTTGTCACTTTCCTTTGTCAGACCCATCTGTGATCAAAGTTGCTCTTGGCCATGTGTACGATTTCTGATATTCCTGCCCTGTACCCATTATTGCTTGGTTTGACTGCTAAGTGTCTTTCGATTTTGTTGATACCCCTTTCGCCCCCTGTTACCAGCACATGTTTCCATTGCTTTGCTTTAAATATCCCGATAAATTACCACTTCTTGCACATAAGTCTTGGCTTCGCCATCTTGTTTATCTACCTTTCTTCCTTGCTGATATTAATAAACATCTATCTATGTATGACTTAGCATGTTGTTCCACTATACGTATAGACGAATGCGATTTGCCACATGACGCCATCTAGAAATCTAATCTGATTACAATTAAATCCATATAGATCCTGACATATGGAATAAATCATATTGATCCTCTAGTTAAAACCAATGCTAAAATCGGCGGTACAACCTGTCAGTCCAGACACCGTCCAATTCGTAAGCACGATCACGTCATCCACCCCTGTCTCTGGCCTCCGAGAACTGGAACATCGGCATCTGGACATCTTCACCCATTGACACCAACCTGACAAATCTCACCATGACTACCGTAAGTCCTCTGTCACTCCGGAGTGCCACCTGGACCCCCATTGGCTATTCCCCCTACCCAGTCATCAATGCCCTATCCCGACTCCGACAGCTCCAGAGTCTTCTCCATTATTCATCTTACATAAGCGTTCCTCGCCGAACGTCATGGCCCTATAAAAACCCAGAGCCCCTCCGTTAGCCCCTCTTACTTAATTTTAACACAGTTCATGTCCCGCTTCTCTCCTCTTCTCAAGACTCTTCGTCCTCACCGTTCTTTCTCTACTACCCCGGTTACTCGCTTCGCGCCTTCTTCTCTCAAAATGGGTGTTATTCAGATCAAGACGTGAGTTCTATACCACTACCACCTCCCAGCAGCAACCCCACGGGAGTGATTTGCATGAGCAGATCATACCCAACTACCCCAATCCCACTCCCACGTCAAACTCCAAACACACACAGAATATAGTTAACAAAAATTGAACAATAGTCCTGAGGAGTACAAGACCAAGGTCACAGACGCCCAAGGCCCCGTCATCGTCGACTTCTTCGCCACATGGTGCGGTCCCTGCAAGGCCGTCTCCCCCCTTTTGGAGAAGCTGAGCGACGCCAACACCAACGTCGAGTTCTACAAGGTTGACGTCGATGAGCTTGCTACCGTTGCCGCTGACAACGGTGTCTCTGCCATGCCTACTTTCCACTTCTACAACAAGGGCGAGCGTATTCAGGAAGTCAAGGGTGCTAACCCTCCCGCTATCCAGGCTGGTTTGCAGGCTGTTCTTGCTTAGATTATGCCTGGCGAATTGATATGATGTGAATTGCGATATTCTTTTGTCTAGGTTTTTTGGGTTTGATCGAGATATTGAATACCATTTTTGATTACTGCCTATCTTTGTTTTGACCTTGGTGGGGGTTTTTTTCCGGCTGTGTCAAGTTATGTTGCTATTTAGAGTGGCGTTTCGAAGTGCGTAGCCATGTTGTTTGAGATCGTGTCGCGAGTACAAGGCCAAGTCGCGACAAGAATGGAAGTTGACTACTAGGGCACTGTGTTTTCAATTCTCAATCCCGGGGACTAAGAGAGTTCACAGTCTTATGCCGCCTAACATTTACTGCTTGCACTTGCATAAAACTCGTCTCGTGGTATGCACGTAGCCTGTGCTGTCGTGTGGATATGCAAGCTCGCAACAAGCGACAAGGATGAATACTAGCTCTTCTTTAATATCAAATCTTCAGTTCTCAATCCTAGAAACTGGAATGGAAAGAGTTCTCAGAAAGCATACAACTTTTGGGAAGTTGTTGCTTACACAAGTACTATCTTGCAGCATGCATGCAAGTCGTTCAACAGGACTGACCTGCATCATTCTGCATCGAAATTCCCCGCAATTATATCATACAGTTCACATTCACCAGCTCAGGTGTAAGACTCATACTCTAGAGATACATAGTGGCAATTGCCTCTGCAAACTAAGGCGCACTGTTTACTCTAGACCTCATATTTAGACAAACGCCCCATTTATCCGACGCATCCATCCACCAGAGGAGAAATACGAACCTCCCAACCTCACGACGACCTCGCGTCCATAATTGGTCAATTTCCCTAGAACAGATAGAACAATCAATCTAAATTTACTCTAAACCACCAGCCCCAAAACCAAGTAAACCCCTAAGGCGCCCGTCACCCCAAAGCCTCATAAACAAGACCAGAGCAAAATGATACATACAAACCTTCCAAGAATCATGAAAGAAATGGTTTTCACACCCTCCTCCCCGAAGCCACAATTCCCAAATTTACGAACAGCAAACCTAGTCACACAGGTGACTTCTCACCGGGACAGCCGTTCCATATTCCATATACTGTACCTATCTCACGCCAAACACGCCCACCTACGCACTCGCCATGCGATTGACAGGCCCATGCTAGCGAGGCCATGGCTGAAGTGAAAGAGTTCTTCGTGCGCTCTGTGGTGTTCGGAGTGATACCTCATATGCAGCAGTCTGTATACAGTACTGCACAGTGAGTGGGTGCAGTTTGCATTCCCACCGAAGTCGACCCTGCAAGCCCTGCAAGCCCTGCATACCTGTCGAAAGCAATCGTGAACTTTCTGCAGGTGGCAACAAACAGGCTGATAAGGTCACATGCCAAGGAAGGCGAAAGTGAGAGTGAAAGTGTTCGTTCTAGCCGACGCTACGATCGAATTTGTGGGTTCGGCGGGTGCCGAGATTAGACTGATCAATTCTTTCCTTTCTAATGTGCAGTACACTGGTAACTGGCAGTAATGATAGTATGTTTGTCACATTCCATCATCTATAATTATATAATTAATTCCATCTGCAAAGTGCAGTAGGTGGCCCAAGAGATATGCGAAACGCATTAAAGCGAGCGGGATAAATAAGAATCAAATGAAACAAAGGAAAAAAAAAAAAAAAAGGGAAAACGCCCACCGGAGTCCCGGAACTAGCGCGATAGATCGATCCCACTCTTCTGACTGGAACTTGCCGAATAGAAGAGAAATGGGTCTGATTTCCCTTCTTCTCTACCGACAAAAAGGTGATTTGAGGCAATCTCCACTAACTCAACTAGGTTGGTCCATCTACTCTTCTATACTATATATGATTTCGTTCTCTACCCGAGGTGTGACCCTAGCTGTGCTACCCCTGTCTAGTCCTCTCTAGTACTAGATAGTAGTTGCTCGGGGGCGGCAGGATCATAATCCCGGATTTCAAATATAGATCAATATATTATTTGTTAGCACGAACTGGTTTTTTTTCCTTGGCCAGCCATATACCCTGTCAGACAGGTTCTGTCCGAGGTGTTCGTGTTCGATTACTTCTGGCGATGTGATTTATCGCCGGATTGCTTTGACTTGTATATCCGGATGAACGGTCCGTAGTTGAACACGGACAGTTTCCAGTATGCTTGTGTGATGTGAGAGAGGTCTCCTCTGTTATCCATATTCTGAAATTCACAGACGTTGACTCCATCTACTTTTCCTTGTGGGGCTGGACTGGCGCAGCTGAGCTTGGGCAGATATAGATTAATTGTTCGGGCCATATTTACCCACACATTTATGATGATGATTCAAGTATGCTTCGGAGGTACCGATAGCGATAGAACATCAAGGAATTCACGGGGTTTCCACGGTTGCAACAATGTGATTATTAGATTCATAGTAGACGGAGCACTAGCCTGGCTATCAGCGCACGGGCATAGTTCCCATTCCGCCCGATCAGATCTAGATCTCGCGAATAGCATCGCCGCACTGACATGCTCGCTTCCAAACTCCACAGACAGCTGAGCAAAATGGATCCCCAAGCCCCATCCCATCACCCACGCTGCTGGATCAGATTGATTAATCCGAAACTTTTTTCAGCAGGCACCTCGGCATTTACTTTCTAGGGCCAGACTATAACGTTAGTAGCCTTGACAATCTACTGCCACGCGAATCTGGGTGTGGCCCTGGCCGGAGCTAACATCGCTTAGATCGAGGGCTCCATATGCACGTCGTACACGTCCACTCCATTCGCTGTGAGGCTTGGGTCGGAGGATTTTGCTGTCCCTGGAGCTAGAATCTGCGTGTTGAGGCGTTTGTGGAGGGATCCGGTTATTTGGTTCTTATAAGATGCTTACGCCTGGCTGCTTTTCAATCCCTACCTCCAGCTTGGATTACTAGGATCTTTCTTTTCTCTCACCCTCTCTCCATATACCGTATACACTCCCTCTACATGCTATTCTCTATGTCGTCCATTTGATATCTATATACCCCGCTCGAGTGTCTATTACGCCAATCTCTGGTTCTTCGTCCCAACCGATGCCCGAATAGGGCTACCATTTCTTCACTTTCCTTTCTTTCTTTTCTATACTCCAAATGTCGAACTCAACTCATCATGCGTCGGAGGAGCCGGTGGTTCATGTGTCATATCTGGCTGGGTATATTATCCTGTCATATGTGATCAGCGCTATGGGATGTGCAACCACACTGGAGCTTCTCCACCGGCGGACATCAAGATCCGGTCTATACAACTGGTTCGTGAATAACCCATGGTTCTCTACTTTGCCAGTGAAACCATGACTTCCAGTTTATATACTAACGCCAACAAGGTATCTTCTCCTCACATCTTCAATCACTATGGGCGGTATCGGAATCTGGTGTATGCATTTCATCGGCAACCGCGCCATCGTCCTCGGAAGCGGCGAAGGAAATATTCAAATCTTATACAACGTCGCCTTCACCGGTACCTCATTCGCACTTCCAGTGGCAGTACTATTATTCGCCTTCTACGCCATCGGCGTCGAGGAAAAGGCTGGATATATTCGAATCATGATAGGAGGACTGCTGACTGGCAGTTCTGTCTGTGGAATGCACTACGTCGGTCAACTTGGTATCTCCAATTATCGCTGCTCCTACCACCCCGCCAATGTAGTTGGATCGGCTATAATCGCCATCTTTTCCAGTACGACTGCTCTGGGCATCTTTTTCCGGTGGAGGGCGTCTTGGACGGATAGCTGGTGGAGACGTGGGCTTTGTGCTTGTCTTCTTGCTGGTGCTGTCTCTGGTATGCATTGGACTGCTGCTGTTGGCACAATCTATCGCGATCATGATCAGAATATCTCCCATGGGACGCAACTGTCCAGGAGTCAGGTTGTTATAATCTGTGCTGTTTTGGTACGTAGTGGATGGTTCTATGCTGAGAAGAGTGTTTGCTAATATTGACTAGGCCTGCGTTGCTTGTGTGATCTTGTCTGCTTGTGCTATTGTCGCCGGTAGCAATCGCCGAAAGTCGACTACCCGTGCTCATCAGCTTGTTCTCGCTTGTGCCTATTTCGACCCTACTGGACGAGTCATGGTTACACCTCAAGCTCTGTTCCCGACGCGCAAGATCGTTGATCATTATATTGGACGTACGTTCAAGGACGACGATCTCACTCGCACTCATCCTACCTTTTTGTGGGCTTTTAGGGCTACTCGCAACTGGCCTGTCATCAAAGATCTTGTTCCCTTCATGCGGAATCGCCTGGATTCTGAGGGACGCGCTATTCAGCAACATATGCTTTCTCGAGGAGTGTTCATGGACAAAGAGACTGAGTTGCAGACTGATTTTGATACTTTGTTCAAACAACTGTTCTGTGTCACGGCCCAAGAGCTTTCCGAGGAGCTTCGTCAGCCTCTACAGGATCTGGGCACGCTTTACGACGATGTCCTGTCTACAGCAATCCCCGTCTCACGTCTCTCCCGTGCAATGGGCCGGTCATCCCTCCGCACCGGCAAAGGTCAGTTGATGTTCACCGTCCGTCAGCTCCAGAAAAATGAAGCAGCAAGACTCGCCTCTCAAGGCTTCCGATTCGCAACAATTGAACACGTAACCTCAACGATCTCTCGCCGCATTCACGTCCCAGAGGCAAGCTTAACCAGCTCCCTCCGCGACATGCGCGACTACGCCAGCTCAAGCCGCGGCTTCGAAGAAGGCGTCCACCTAATCTCCTTCGTCATGCGACCCTCAATCCACGATCACTTCGAAATCCTTACAGTAAAAGGAATCGGCAACCCGCTCCCATCCTCAACTCTCCCGATAAAAAACCTCCAAGTGCAACACCTCGAACTTCTCTCGCACATGGAAGGCTGGTCAATGACAGCCTGCCTCCGCTACCTATCATCACCAGCAGCATCGCAAACCTTCCCCAACCTCTCCGAATTCCGCAACCACCTCTCCAAATCAATCGCCTCCCTCTCCAAATCCCTCCCACAAGACATGCGCTCCGCAGCTCAACTCTCCGCCCGCCCCCTATCAGCACCCTGTCGCACCCGCCCCTTCTCAGCCTCCACCTCCAAAGAAGAAATCCCCCAATCAAACTGCGCCCTCATTACCTTCTGCGTCGTCGGCACTCTAGACACCCAAGTCCCAAACCCAGACTACATCTTCACCCCGCTCCGCCTCTTCCGCGTGCAACAACAAGTCAACGACAACACAGCCGACAGAGAAGGCTTCGCACGCGAGCTAGGCCAAGAACTCTTCTGCACAGATGTTCGTTCAGGCAGTTCAGCCACAGAATCAGACATCGCCTCTTCAGCCCGCATGGCGATTTCCCGTCTTTGGCCTCATCGCGCTGGACACTCTCATTCGATGACGTCGCAGGAATCACTCGTCGAGCCTGTTGCTACCGCGCTTGGCGATATTACTGTTCATAAGGAGGTGCGCGTTGATGTTACTCGTCTTCATGAGACTAGTAATGCGCTGGGCAGTGAGGCGAAGACTATTGTTGCGGCTGGCGAGGTGCCTACTACGCCGTTGACTTATGTTGATGAGCTGTATAGTCTTTGTTATGCGCCTGGTTTGAGGTTGAGACCTGATTCGTCGTTGCATCATCATCAACGGATTAGTTTGTAAAATCTGCTTCTTGGGTTATGCGTTATGTGAATATATGACTGGATTAGGGCTAGCTTTGGATTGGGATTATCTACGGGGTTTTTTTCTCTTGTTTCTCGCTTGAGATATCAGCGTTTGGTTTGATTTGTATATATAATGCTTTGGATGGGTACATAACGAACAGCTCATGACAATATTCGATGTATCACTGTACACGTACACTGAGCTTGGAAAGTCTCGTTGGATTGTATATCACACTCGATTTAGGTATACAAAATTATTAGAACTCATATGAAAAAGCATAATATCGTCACACGTATCAAAACACATCTGGAAGAAAAGGACAGTCGCTCAATCCTAAATGCAAGAGATACAATACATCCTGCTCTCACCACACAACCTAACATCAGAGCAGCGAACACATCATATCATGAACAAGAAACACACACACTACAGGAGTCCCCATGCCATTCCATCCTCCAATCATAATCTCCAGTTCTCCAGCTCACGAATTAGCATTAGGATCCTGACGCTCCAAGAATGTGGGATCAACATCAATCCTCCGCTCAAACTTAGCCCACCAATCGCGGAAACTCTTTAGCGGCACAACATCCTGCCCCTTATCTGACTCTGCGAAACTAGCCAGGAAGTTAAATGCACTCCCAATAATCCGTTGCGCAAGCACCTTAGTCGAGATCTGCCTCTGTGCAGATCCAGAGCCCTGCATAACCATAGCCGTGGAGCTTGATCCAGAACCAGAGGCTGCGGACGCAATCTCTGTTTCAAGCGCAGCAAGTTGCGGCGCAATAGCTTGCACCTCTTCGATCGAGATTCCGAGTGTTAAAACGCCGCCGGCGCCATTGCTCCCGCCTTCATCGAGCATGTCGTCTTCTTCTTCGGCTTCCGTGCGCCCTGTGCCTACCGGGTTGGGTGGTCTAACAGTGAAGATTCCGGACGGCTTTTCATTTGCTAGTGCGCCTATGAAGCGGAAATCGGTTGGTTGGCCTGTTGTCGGGTCTGGGAGTTGGGCGTAGATTGCCGCGCCTGTATTGGGTGGGAGGATTGTTCCCGGCAAGAGGAAGACGACTAATTCGCTGAATGTTGGACTCAATGGGATTGTGAAGGCGAATTTGGTGGCTTGGCCGTTTGGTTGGCTGTCTACTGCGACTATGTCCGTTAGGCATGGTCGGCCTGGGATCACAACGGAGAACATGGTGTGGTGGAATGTGTATGTCGAGTGCGTGGGTTGGAGGGTGTCGGTGTGTCGTGGGCTTTTGTAAAGAGCTGTGAGGAGCTGTGAGGAGAGGAGGAAGCTGTCTTTGACCTGTTTTTCGGAGTGACATAAGAGAGGCCCTTATCGGGCTGATAAGGGCTTGGTTTGGCTTTGACTTCACTTGAGACAACTTTAGAAGACATTGCTTTGTATTGGCATTACTGGCATCATGGGCAAGTCGAACTTGGATCTGGTCGGCGAATGCGACAAGTATGGATCCCTCTTTCATTACCGTCATACCTAGCTAATGCCGTGCCAGTTTCCCCTACTATGAAGATGACCGTGTCGCATACACAGCCAACCTCACCAACTACCACGCCTTCAAAGTCGCCGGCTACGACGCAACCTTAGGCTACATCCTCAATGCAGTAGTCGAAAAGTTCCCCTGGCCTCAAAACTGCTGGTCAATAGACTCAACCGCACGCACCGTGACACTAGTAGCACCAGCAGACGCCGACCCCGCACACCGCAGCAAGCTCGTCGCAGAGAGCATCGCCGAAGCAGTCCGACAAGACAAATTTGAAGTTCTCCGCGGATGGCGGAACGAAAAATACCCCGTGTACGGCCCAGGCGGGGAATTCATCCTGGAAATGGAACGTAGTGCCTCCCCACTCTTCGGCATTGTCTCCTATGGCGCCCATATGACCTGCTACGTGGAAGATGAGGGAGGCCTAAAAATTTGGGTCCCACGCCGCGCAAAGACTAAGCAGACCTACCCAAGCCTGTTAGACAACACCGTCGCCGGCGGAATGTGCACAGATGAGAAACCATTCGAATGCATCGTCCGCGAAGCAATGGAAGAAGCCTCCCTCCCCGAAGCAGCCGTCCGAGCTGCCACTGTTTCCAGCGGCTGTGTGACATACTCTCATGTTCGGGATGCGCGCGCTGGCGGTGAGACGGGCCTGATTCAGCCTGAGGTGGAGTATGTTTATGATTTGAAGCTGGATGCATCGACTATTCCTCAGCCTGGCGATAACGAGGTTGAGGAGTTCAAGTTGCTTTCTATTCCTGAGGTTCAGGCGGCTCTTGCGCGTGGCGAGTTCAAGCCGAATTGTGCTAATATTATGATTGATTTCTTTATTCGGCATGGTTATCTTACTGCTGAGAACGAACCTGATTTCTTGCAGATTGTTGCGAGGTTGCATCGCAGGTTGGAGTATCCTACTGCTTCGCATTGTTTGAGATAGATTTGGATTGATACAGTACATATTGCATATGAATTTCACATTTCTTATAGCCGTTTTTCATGTTTACCTTTGCATTCCCTTCCTGCCACTTTTCCTCTTCTCGTGCCATGGGCGATATCTACTTATTTATCTCAAGGAGCTCCTTACACCCAGGGAATATGCTATTCTGTTTCGCTCTACGCTATAAACAAATCAGGCCTGTTTCGTATGAATCTGAATCTTGATCTCTGGTGGCTGGTACCCGATTTAGAGAGGAACTCGGATGACGAGCTATGTCAACAAATCCCTTGAGTGTTTCTTCTTGCGCTAAGTGCCCTCTTGGGATAATATCCAGCTCGAGATAGCAATATCTTTTGGTTCCATGTGTGGGCCTCTGAGAGTACCCATGAGAGCGGCTCTGGCGTCGCTCCTACTACCAGAGGTCTGGGATAGGGGTTATGAGGAGAGACCTGAAGATGAGAAAGATGAGGTTGGCATCGACTGGATCGTGAGCAAACTTGAAATAGCTAGGATCCTGGGTACATTCATTCCTTCCATGGGGCGTTGTCTTCTTCCTAATGTTGTTTCTAGATTTGGGATCATACAAACTTCGGGTCCTATCGAAACGCCGGAAGACCATATACCGAGAGACAGCTCAGAGGAGGTTGAGCGGTTCGACTTGATCAGCGATCTAGTCTCCTCGACAGTTCATGATGAAAACCGCATTCCACGGTCAGTCGACCCCTGTTTATTTCCGCGTAGGTCGGTTAATAAGATGAAAATATTGGTATCAAGATTTTGTGTTGTTATACAGCAAGACGAGGGTGAGCGCAGGGTGCTGCTAACTAAAAACCCAAAGGTCGTTCAAATGAAAGCATTACCACTGCGGTCAACAAATCCTCATGTCGCAACTGGACGGATCTGTCAACTGGATCTTCTTTTTTACAAGCTTGACTTGGGAATGCAGAGTGGGCACAGATTGAATACATTGTGGAGGATGTCTGGCGTGAACTTCAACTCGAAACTGACTGTCGTTAATAATTTAGAACTTATAATGAATGTTAAGTTTCTTTGTAAAGCTCAAGATTCATATCATCAGTTTCATGAAGATCATGTTTAGTTCGATGATGATCTATTGGTATATCCAAATCAAAATGCAAAAAAACGCCTGCGCTGCACCCGATAAGAACATGAACATCTCCCCTCGAATACATAGAATAGACTTTTGTTTCCAAGCCATAGCCTAGAGGTCAGAGCGAAGCCAAATTCATCCCATGCCAAAGACTTTACCAAAAGCGATGACCCCAAGAACCGCTACCTTATTTCTTGAGGAGCAAGTAGACGTGATCGATTCGGAGAGGAGCAAGCTTCTTGTAGGGACCCTCGAGATAGAGCAAAAGTCCTCCAAACGACACAAAGACAGCCCTGCAGATATTGATTAGTTTTGTTCCTCTTGAATCGAGGATCTCGACTTAAGAAAGCCGGACAAAGACTCACATAGTATCCTTAGTGGCTCCCTCCTCAAAACGGTAAACCTTGCCGTGGCAAACATAGTCATAGTCATCGGCGAGGGTCGCATCACCCATGCTGACTTCTCTCCAGCTGGCGCGAGTATCCTCTTTGCCGTCGAGAGAAAGAGTCGAGGCAATCGCGAGAGACAGCGACTCGCCGACGGCGCATGGGTACAGCTCGGAGTTCACATCAAGGGTAAAAGTCAGGGAAGCATCGTTGGAGGTACAGGTAAGACGAGATACCCGGTCGTACTTCTGGGCGTTGATCGCGGTGATCGTGAAGGTATCTTCGAAGAGGAGCGGGTCCGACATGATTGAGATTATGACCGCTGGCTTGTCGGTCTATGAAAGGTGATTTAGGCTTGCGGTCAACGTGCAAATTATCGCACGGTCGTTTTGGAGTCGTTTTGGGAGACTTCGAGGGCTGCAATGACGATCGCGAGGTGATGAAGAGAAGAGTTGGAGGCGGAGCGGAGAGGAGATCGGAGAATGGAAGCTTTTTTTTTTCTGCCGCTTTGGTCCCCGCCGATAACGAGGGGAGTTTGAACTACATATTGACCTTCATATTTCTTTTTTCTTGAATACTGCGCCATGTCTTTTCGCAAGAGAAATATTGGACTATCCCCCGGTGTTGACCGCACAGCTGTTCCCAATGCCGCAACACAGCCAGCTGCACCAGAGACGCCTGGCATCCGCCCCTCACCAGATGATGGTCGGCCAACAACCTCGACAGGTACCCGGTCTCTAGACAATCTGCTTGCAGGACATGCAGGTCTTCCTATGGGCAAACTGTTGCTTGTTGAGGAAAATGGAACAACAGATTTCGCAGGCGCATTGCTCCGATACTATGCGGCGGAGGGCGTCATTCAAGAACAGAAGATCCATGTGGTTGGAGTACCAGAGCAATGGGGTCGCAGCTTGCCTGGTCTGATCGGCTCCGCCGAGTCTCTTGACGAGAAGAGGTCCGACAGGCGCAAGGATGATCGCATGAAAATTGCATGGCGTTACGAGCGATTGGGCGAGTTTGGCGCAGGTGTCGCCGGTTCACGCGATGGTGAGCTTTGAAATACAAGATCGCTTCGAGCTTCAATAAGCTAATGGCTACAGCCCCTGCTACTCCTGGAGCCCAGGATCCAGCTACGAAAGAGGCACCCGCCTTCTGCCACGCCTTTGACCTCACAAAACGCCTCACCCATCCGTCTATCACGAATATGACCTTCATCCCGATCACCCCCTCCAAAGAATCGCCATTCCTCCCTATCCTGAAACGTCTTCAGACCGCAATTTCCTCCAGCCCCGCGAGTATCATCCACCGTATTGTCATTCCGTCTCTGCTCAATCCCACAATGTACCCGCCTGACGCATGCCAACCCGAGCATGTGCTCCAGTTCTTCCACGCCCTCAAGGCGCTGATGAGCGCAAACACCACTCGTGTCACTGCGATGATCACATTCTCTCTTTCTCTATACCCTCGGTCGTCAGGTCTGGTGCGTTGGATCGAACTGCTGAGCGACGGCGTCATTGAGCTTTGTCCCTTCCCACATTCTGCAGATGCCACGGCTACTTCGGGAGCGGCGACGTCCCAAGAAGAGCCTCCACAGGGTATGCTCAAGACGCATCGACTCCCGGTATTACACGAACGTGGAGGCGGAAGTGATCAGAATGTTGGACAAGACTGGGCGTTTATTCTGAGTCGTCGGCGATTCGAAATTAAGCCGTTCAGTCTGCCACCAGCAGAAGGAGACACTGAAGCGCAGGATGCCTCGGCTGCTGGCGGTATGCCCAAGAAGTCGGACCTCGAGTTTTAGACAACTTGTAATATTTTCAATCAATCGTCCTCCTCAAAGTGACGGCGGGTTCCTGGTTCTGCTAGCATGTCGTCCATCTCGATCTGCTCCGACATGGCGGGCCCGGAGTTGGCCATGGTCCGGAGGTAGCTCGCACCGTACGCGTCCAATCCAGCTTCGCGGGACCGAAGGCGGTTGCCGAGACAAGACGAAGCTGCAAGCCATGCTGGTTGGTGTTAGTCGGTTGTACTTAGAAAGCTTCCAGTTTCAGTCATCGGGTATAAGCGGTACTTACCCACAAACAGTAGGAGTGGCGCAAAGAAGACCAGGAAGAGCAAAAGTAAGAAACCCATAACTAGATATACAGAGTCAAATATAATGCCAGGAATCTAAGTCAACGATAGACCTCGAGTTGGGCAGTTCGCTTGCCAAGAACGCTAGTCTAAAAGAGGGCAAGCGTGGAAGCTGAGCTTTTCCTTTTCTTCCGCTTTTTGTGCCTTTTCTCTTTTTCCTCTCTGCAACTCGGCTTTGCTAGTCAAACCCACGTAAATGATGTTCTCGACAATCTCATTTTATTTCTAATGGTAAGCTCACAACCCCTCCACCTCCCCACTTCGCATGATTATGCAAAATACAAATCTGTCAATCCCCTGAAGCTCAATTAATATCTCAATTAAGAGCACATGTGACTGAGAAACGTACTTATAAATGATTCGCGAACTCCAAACACTTTTGGCATCTACAAACTTGCATATCGAACACGAGCTAACAGTTCATGCCACAGAATCCATGAATATTTCAATCAATCATCTCTCAATCAAAAATCAAAATGGCCTCCCAACCAGATCTTCCAATCCCGATCTCCTATGTATCCGGTAGATACCTGTTGTTCTCAATTGACGCAGTCACATACCTACGCCGCGAGCATAACATCTGCGGCGTGCTGATCGGGACACTCCCACAAATCCCTCAGCAAAATGTCTTCCTGGGTCTGCCGCTGGAGTTGATGCCCGAGGAGGCCCGGCTGTTAGTGGACAAGGGTGTAGCTTGCATCGTAGACGAAAACAAGGCGCACGACAGCATGAACACACTTTTAGAAGAAGATCGCAGGCGGTATCTGCACGACCTCCAAGCCCAGGGTCTGCATGCCTCGCGTCTCCACGCAGATCGCAAAGAGCAACAGAAGGAGCAGGCCTTGAAGAACAGATTAAACGACAAGAATGCCAACCCAAAGGCCAAGGCTGCTGCCGCCGCCGCGGTGCAGGCACAGACACCCGAGAATGTCCCCTCCACGCCGTCAAAGAAGGATGATGCTGTCGTTGACCTCTTCGCTGCTGAGGATCCTTTTACACCATCCAAGGATACCGCGAGCGCATCCACTCCCTCTCAGGATGCAATGGGCATCACGCCTGCCACTTCGTACCCGCCGCTCTCCATCCCTCCGTCGTCGAGCCACCTCTCTGCTCCCGCAGTGCCACCTTCCTACCCTCTCTTCGCCCACCTACACTCCCGTGGGTACTTCCTCTCTCCCGGCCTGCGCTTTGGATGCCAGTACACTGCCTACCCGGGTGACCCGCTGCGCTTCCACTCGCATTTCCTCGTGGTGTCATATGATTGGGATGAGAACATTGATTTGATGGACCTCATTGTCGGAGGCAGACTGGGCACTGGTGTGAAGAAGGGTTTCTTGATTGGTGGAGCGAAGAAGACTCTCGATGATGTTGAGTCGGAGGCTGATCGGGTGGACAGTGTCCGGACTTTCAGTCTGGAATGGGCTGGCATGTGATGGCTTGTCGTTGAAGACTTTTACAAGTCTTTTGTTACTTCAATCTTGTTGAGCCCGTCCGTGGCTCTGACATGACCTGACCCATGCAGCCAACCAGCTTCCCCAACTGCTGGTTTCCCCTACGTGCTCAATGCACAATATGTCTTGAAACCTTTGCAAGCTCTTGCAATACTTATCGGCATCGAGGCTTTTATTGCCGCATACCTTGGTCGACGCTTCGTGAGTGCACCAAGATATCAGAAATCCTTGGTTCGTCGCCTGGCGACTGAACGTGGATCAAAGACAAACGCATGTATAAACAGACGTGCGACTCGTCTCTAGGTAGACATATCCTACAAATAGCATTCTAGCATGGACTCATACTGCTGTTTGCACTACAATTCATGGATTGTTCATTCCACACCTCATAGTTTATTGTCATCATTTCGTACATGCCGTAGCAATTGTAAAAGAAGCGCTTCAACTAATAAGCCATTCAAGCTCAATGTCTTATAGATAATCAATATTCCGCCACTTGAACTTTTTATTAGCACGATCAACCGGCCGATTCTCAAACTGGCTTCCATGCAATTCAAAAACCAACGGCTTCGCCCATTCAACGGCGGACTCTTTCTGGTCCTGCTCACCCTTCGCCGATGCCGGCAACGGAACCGTGAATTTGAAAATAGTCTGCTCCTTCGGAATAGCTATAAAACTCGTCAGCCCAATTATTCCCATGCTCCCCCAAAGAAAGATAGATATATACTCACTCTTCATCTCATCCCCCTCAGTAACAAGCACAAAGGTAAACTTCGTATCCCTAACCACAATCCCCTTCACGCCAACCCGCCCAGCACAAGAACTCCGCACAACCTCAATCTCAGCCCCATGATAATCAGCACTAACAAGCTTACTACCATGCACAAGCGCAGAAACGGGCCCGGCACGCGCGCCAGGCTTTAGATCCAGGATTTCATGCATATACTCCACCCAAAGCTCATGCAGACCCTTGAAAATTGCATACTTGCATTCGTCTTTGGGTAGATCGTGCAGACCTGATTCGCGCTTCTCGCGCGCGGACAGCGGGCGCGGCTTTTGGTGTTTGAGGAAGTATTCTTTTTTGCGGAGGCGGTGGAGGCGGCGTCTGCTGCGGTTGTCTGTTGCTGTTGATTCTGTTGGGCGGAGATAGAGCGGTCTTTGTTTTATTTTTTCCGTGAATTGCGTTGCTGTGCTTTCCGGGGAGTGGGCGCGTGAGAGGAGGGTTTGCGCAATGTGCGTTTTTGGGGTTGGGGAGTCGGTCATTATGGGTGTTGGCCTTTTCGTTCAATAGATTTTTGGTGAGAATGTGTAGGGTTGATGTCGAGGGTTTGAGGCTTTTGTCGTGGAGGTTGGAGGTTGAGCTGTTGGAGTTAGAGAAAAATTGTTTGATGTCACTGCCCGATAAGAGATAACCATCTATAGAACTGCTTGAGTCACCGATATTTCTCGTTCAGGCTACATTTGATTTACTATGAACGATGAGATAGGCTATGCTGTTTTCGGATTTTGGTCTGTTTCCGAATTTTTATTTCGGGCTTGGTCATCCCTCGGTTCTTTGGTGCTTCCCCGCATGCATCTTGTTGATATATATCCAGAGTGAGGGAGCACAATCTCATTCCACACACCAGAACAGATACAAAACAAGACGCGACAACTACCACAAGCACCGAAGCTCATTGAATAACTATGCAGTCTCAAGTTGATCAGAAGCAAATCCCCAATAACTTCCCAAATATCCCACCCTTCCCGGACGATATCGCCACAGCACCTCTTCTTCGGTTATCACTAGGGAAGCTCATTGCCGGTGACCCTTCAGAGTATGCAAATTTATTCCAAGCTTCGAGCGACATAGGTTTCTTCTACCTCGATCTGTCAGACTCAGAACAGGGATCCTCGCTCCTCGGCGACGCAGATACCCTATTCAAACTCGGAGAAAGGCTTTTCGAATTGAGTTTAGACGAGAAAAAGAAATACGACTTTAGCAGACAGAACTCATACTTCGGATATAAAGCGCAAGGTGTGGCAGTAGTTGATAAGCAGGGGAATCTGGACCGGAACGAGTTCTACAATGTGGGTTTGCTACGTTACTGTGTTTCTACAGCAGGCTAATCTCGATGCTGATAGGTCTCGAAAGATGATATAATGGGAGTTAGTGATCCTTTGCCTGCACCAGAGGTCTTACAAGAAAGTCGGGTGCAGCTGGGATCGTTTATGCAGGGGTCACATGCGATAGTAACCCTAATCCTCGACATCCTGAACGACCAACTGTCCCTACCAAAAGGCACTCTACCCAATCTCCATAGACGACAAGCAGTAAGCGGCGATCAAGTCCGTTTTGTGAAAGCACCACCACAGCCAGTGGACGACAGACGCACCGCACTGGGCCAACACACTGATTTCGGCAGCGTGACGGTCCTTTTTAACCGACTCGGGGGTCTGCAAGTACTACCACCTGGAACGGACGCCGAATGGGTTTATGTTCGACCACTTCCTGGACATGCGATTGTGAACCTTGGAGATGCAATGGTCAAGTTCACGAACGGATTGTTCCGGTCGAACATCCACCGGGTTGTGGCACCGCCTGGTCTCCAGGCTGAGTCGACGAGGTATAGTCTCGTGTACTTCGCACGACCCGAGGATAGGGTGATGTTGCGTCGGTTGGAGGGGTCTGAGCGGATTCCGAGGATGGAGGATGGTCAGACTGAGGAGGAGATTAACAGTAAAAACTGGATCATCCGGCGGGCTTTAGGGAGGAGGGTTGACCTTGTTGATGATATTGATTACGAGAAGTCTGCTGGGACGGAGCAGATTAGTATGCGGATCAAGGTTTAGCTGTATTCTGTCATACGAAGACGACGTAAGGTCTCTAGTTAGGATATATATACTTCTGAGCACGTCTTTGCTGTCGCTGTGAGAACCATTCCCCGGCCACTCCGTGTATTGTCATCAAAATGCACTTGGCTGTATCCATCAACTGAGATCAGCGTGTCTAGACCGCATTCACTATGACCTATAGATTGTCGAAATGAAGAGCCCAGAGCTTTCAAATCCCGAAATGAAACGTCCTACGCTCCTTGGATTTCTTCAAATTGGAACATCTGGTGATAGCACTATCGATTCCACCATCGGACTCTTTACCGATTCATCTCAGGCCCGGAGACCAGACAAGATGACATCCCCCACCCAATGAGAGCTAGTGTATCTAAAATCGGACAGCTAGTTGAGCGAGGGACAAGGGGCAAACTAGTAGAAACCATCGAATCCAGACCTCCAAGGCCATACACTTTACCGCGGCAGAGGGCCTACTCTAAATCAGCCCCTTCGTAAGCAAAGAAACCTTAACAAGAACAAGGAAGTTAGTTCCTGCGAACCGGCAGTTGTCATCTGAATCGAAATTCGACAACCTCGATTTGAGACCCGCCCATCTGGTAATGACAGGCTGTACTGAGTGGGGAGACCCCGGAGGCTTTCCAGACTGGGACCGACCCCTATCTCACTTGTCTTATGCCGCTCAAAATGCGGTAAATCATAAATCATAATACAAGATACCCTTTGCACAATAATATCGTGCAATGCGGCACACCTCAAGGCCAAAGAATATAGCGCATTCCGACATCCTGGGTTGACGTGCCAAGACCCAAAAATGGCAGGTAGTTTGAAGCGTCAACTCCCCGAGCGGCTAACAGCCTAGACATTTTGCAACAATTTTGTGACGTGCTCTGAGATCCTAGTCGATCGGGTCTGCATCGATCTACGTGCAACTGACAGGTTACTACCCCAAGCCCAGCGGGCCTCAAGGCTTTGGGCCTGGGCTTGCAGTTTTTCCTTCAATAGCTCCACACCTTGAGACAGGTAAGACTTACAAACCAGATTGCACATTCCCGCCCTTACTGGAAAGCAATGTAATCGACATGGGGACTCGATTTGGCTAGATGGCCGTTGCGACCCACGATGGAATTCAGTCTCAACTGAGTTCCCTCCCTGCCCACCCCCTGCCCAGCCTATTAAAATAGCAAGATGATCAGGGTGACAGCGGGTATGAGCGACAAGCTATCCACCCTCATTGACCAAACGGATTCAACCAAGGTTCTAGCAATCCGGAACTGAGTTGTCCCCTCCGCTCCGGGTACTCCCTGGCGTAAAGGTACATGTACATGTACAGGAAGACGAAGTTCAAGGAAGAAAGCCGAAATCCTTGGTACTTTTGACACTGACACTGACAAGTCTGCACGATGACGATTGCGGGCGCGGCCAATTCACCCCCTGCGACCCGACACTCTGGCTCTGTCATGACACCCTTACCTCGGTCTCGGTCACTTGGACTTGGAGTCCGTCTCAGGGTATCATTGCAGTAGTTACTTTCGGTTACAAGAATTGCGAGTCATGAACATAATCTCTCAAATCCTTGACAGGGGTCGTGACTGGATAAGGTTGGTGTAATTTTAGTGGAGAAACAAGTTGCAGTGTACAGCACAACTCCATTGTAGGACACATCGGAGCCGACACATTTCGAACGGGACTATTTGCGGATTAGAACGAAAAGCTCCAATACGAGAATCGTCAAATTCCCGGTAGTCCCCAGCGGCCTGGATGTTTCTGCCGAGCCAATCAGCCGGGCTTATTTGGGCCTAACGCATGCACCGTCGAATACCGTAACATTCTAAGTTATTCGATGCTCTCTACCCATGTTCCTAAGTACTGTATAGACTTCAACAACGCAACCGAAACAATCCCTGTAGATATTCCCTTGTGAACGCAGATCAATAGCGAAAAGTACCAAGACCCAGACACTCTGGGTCCAACCCACAGCAAACGGCTCGGACCGTCCAAACGGAACCAGACGGGCTTTGCCATCCCACTTTTCTGAGTCGTGATGTTCCATGTTCCATGCCCCGCAAAAGGAAAAGGAAAAAGGGGACTGTAATTTATTCTTCGGCCGAAGCATCTGCTTTGCACCTTATTTCTCTGATGTGGATGGGTACCCGGAAGCGCCCCAGTCGGAAGACAGTTCAGTGGCGCTGTGCCACAGGAGTTTTCCACCGACGACAGTGCGATAAGCGTAGAATGTATATGTAGACGCAATTATAGTGATATAGTATATCGCTATAGTATATGAATACGGGGAGGTTGGGTAGTAATAGCTCCACAATGACATATAGTTATCTCTTTACAGTACTATAAATGCCCAAACCGGACAGCATCCGAGGTACATATCCCGGAAGAGATGTCGTCACGTGGAACACTTGGACAATTGGACCGATGACCATATCCCGAGTTTCAAGTCAAACCAGCGCACAGCAAATAAGGCCGAACGGGTCAATATGGATGTCTTTTCCACGTCTAGACTTGAGGGCTGTTCTAGAATAGTATCCACATCCACATCCCACATTCATATCCACTGGACTGTTCCAGGGGGCCGGGAGCAATAGAGTCTATTTTCGCACCGGGTTGACGTGGGCCTTACGACTGCTTCCTTGTTTGGCATTGACGCCGGGTTTCAGCTTCTGACAGCTGGCTGTGGGGTCTGACTTTGGGCGGGTCATATCTTGTATTCTTCTGCCTCAGGCGAATCCGAATTGAATATGTATGCATTGGGCGCTGTTTTCATGTCGTATGTTCTGGTATAGTGGAAATGGCCAGCAAACAATTTAGTTGCGTTCCAGTTGGCTGGGAGGAGGGGTAAGTTTCATTTATGTTGTTAATGCCATCCGTATATCTGGATATCTTGTTTCTTTGGACTGGGATACAGCAATTGAGATAGGTCAAATGGATATAGCGGATTTGAATACAAATCATCTGGAAAACAGGCTGTATCACGCAATATCAAGGCACATATGTCCGGTCAGGTAATTGGGTTTGCAGATATTACCATATTAGCCAGCTTCTCTTCGAGGCTCCGAATAACTCCTGGATCAGGTTCCTGTTTGATCTTCTTGGGTCTGTCAAAGTAAATAGTTAGCTCAGCCCAAAACCAAGCAAGGTAGAAGTCACACATACGGAACCCGTATCGTCTCATCGCATTTCGTCTGACCACACTGCACACAGACACGCGCATCTTCATGATAAGAAGTAGTGCAGACATGACAGATATAATGAACCCGTCGACGGGGCTTCTTAAACGTTCGATCTGGTGCAAGTTTTGGGGGCTCGACATCACCAGGATACCCATCTGGGTATTTATCAAGTTTGGCAGGTTGTCGTGGACAGCTCTTGCAACGATTATGGCGACAACTGGCGCATTGCTTTGAGCCTCTGGCAAACATAATTCCACATAGATGGCAGTCTCGTCGGACTCGCTGGCGAATAGGTTTGTTTACAAAGTCCGGTCCTCCCATGTTGGAAGTTCTTGATAATGGAGAGGCTGGGTTGCCGCTAAGCTTGAGATGCGGCGTGAGGTGAAGCATGCCTTGCTGCTTTGCGCGAAGTTCGTGGAGTCTGATTTTGGAAATTGATGGCTCTTCATCTTGGGCTTGAGCTGGTGGGAATCGGGGACATTTCTTGCATCGGAGGTGCTGGCAATTGACGCAGACTTTGTCGGGACCGAAAACTGTTTCGCAGCGATGACAGGCGCGGCGTACTCGCATGCGAATCGGCTTGGCTACTCGCGCAAATTGGTGATCGGTGGGTGATCTCTCTCCGGTGAGTTCGAAGCTTAGATTGTACTTGGAGAAGAGGGCTTGCGCCTTTTCGCGCTGCATGGCTTTGTAATCAGGGATAATTGGTTGCTCTGGTATAGTGGGCTGTTGCACTTGTTCTGGTGCTGGTGCTGATGCGCTGTGGTGGGCAGTGTTAGTTATACTATGGGTTACCGAAGAATGATAGTAAGTGTATCATACATTGACTGGGCCGTTTCCGCGACATTAGGTGTGTCTAAAGATTGATCTCTTGGAGCTGATCGAGGGCGTAAGACACTCTTCATGCGTCTGAAGTACTTGGAGACCCCTTCAGACCTGTCTTCGCCTGGGCGACCGGTGTCTTCGGAAGACATGGCTTTCGATTTATGCGAATCGGCGCAGGAATGTGATGGCGTATGCTGGGTTGATCGGTCCAAAGTGTCGGGATGACCACTTCATTCCATGTAGACAGTAAAATTGGTTGAAGAGAAAGAGAAGTATGTGGATATAAGTATCGGGGTTAGGTGTATACCAGAGAGCTGGAAATCCCCGAAGAGCAGGGAAGGCCCTGGGGGAGAGGCAATTATAAAAAGAGACGAACAAGAATATAGTTAGATTACAGGTATTGTATAGCGAGTGTAAAAGGCGGAGATATTAAAATATAAAAATCCCAAAAAAAGAAGATTTAGGGGATGCAACTTGGGTGGACCCCCCGGGCTCTCTCCACCTGGGCTTTGGCCTCAGCTGTACTTACAATACTGTACTCCGTGTATCCGGACTTGGCCATTGGTCTTTGTTCAAGCAAGACATCTGTGCTACTGTCCCCTGTAAATTTTCCTGCAACCCCCTAGAAATAATCCTAGGAGATCAGATGGTGTGGCATGCACTGGGGCTATGTACATCAGCCCGGGTGTTCCCGCCATTCCGGTTGCCTTTCCAGAAATAGTTAACTGACAGTCTATCAGTGGAAGGGGGATCTGAGAATCGAGCAAGATTGCCGTATTTGAGGGGCGACGCCAGTGTTTCGCTGACACCTGGGCAGTCTGTCGATCAGGAGAGCATTTGGCCGGGATTTGGATAACCGAGCAGATCGTGAACGCTCGGAGCTTAGAACGCTTGGTCTTTGAAATTGACAGGTGGACCACGGGGAATAATCCAATTTTTATTTACGGCGTACTGACTATCATATTAAAATCCATAGCGCCTACACGCCGTGCTGACAGGACTATTGCTAATATGTATACCAAACCGTCGGGTCTATGAAGAAATGCAAAGCCCAGACCAAGATCCGCTGAGAATCCTTGTCAATCTATGCCTCCCTAACACGGGCATTTGGCCGTCCGTGACGAGTCATGCATGGGAAATTGGAAAGCGCAAATCACCCTGTTCGTCAGTTAGCGGCGAAAAGAGTAAAAATCGGAAATTTGACTTTTGCCAATGGAGACACTACTGCAAGCTAACAACTCAGTCGAAAAAATCGCTTGAAATTTATTCCTCGCTCAACGGTTCTACTGCGTGCTGAAGGAAGAATTAAAACAAGCTGCAGATGACAAGTGTCAGTGCTTGACTTTCTTCACCTGTCAGACTGGGGATAAAGTGTCGGACAGGAGGAGTACATGTATACGAATATCCCCACCCCCCCCCCCCCAAAAAAAGGCAAAACACGAATATAATGATAATCTGAGAACCCACATAATGCAGGCTGAACCATTCCCCTGGAAAATGGAGTTCGCAAGGAATATGTTTCCTGGTCTGGGCTTCCCCTTGTCATCTCACCTAGTGGGGACTTATGCTGGACGATGATTGATGGAGGTCTGATCGCGTCTTGGCTTACAGTATGGTAAATATTATATGCTGGTTTCCCCTCAGCCTTCTTTATTTCTTTGATTTTGCAGAATTACTGTTTGCTTTTTTCTTATTAATCTACACATATCTAGTGCTCCCGTTCCGATCGCCCGATCTATAGCTTCGAGCGATCGTACGACTATTGCCTCTTCTAGACAAGGCTTCCCTGTGCTTCCTGTACAGTGCGCCGTGCCGTCTGCATGCATCATGTGGGAGTATATGTAAGAGGATGTTACTCCTAGGTGAAATTCAGGTGAATGCACCTAAATTATGACCTATGATCTAATGACCTATGATCTAAAAGTATACTTCGCACTTGTAATATGATCATATCATCGCCGGTAAAAGATGTACCCTAAAAAAGCAATTCGCCCATGTACTTACAATGTGTAGATATCTCACAACATTCCAACCCCTCTATGTACAAATATGTACTGCGCCCCCTTTGCCCTTCTAGACGTGCATCCGTCCCGACGCAACGGTAAAGCAACACACAGACATCAAGCCCTCGCCACCAAATACCAACCCGAATTTCGGCCCCTTTGTACCACTCTGCTGGTAACTGCTTGCATTGCCGAGCTGACTTGTTCCGATCTGGTAGGAGATACTGCTGATTTTCAAGCCTCAATTTCGAATTCGGGATACTGTATGGAATATGGAAGTATACAAGTCCCTGTGTGCTGCACCCAAGTATGGAGTACTGTACATGCACACCTAGGCACTGAATCAATCAAGGTGTATCCGTATCCGACCAAGAGATATTGCCCCACAGAATGATTTTTAGGCGAAAGAGATGCAAGTTTAAAGATATCAAATCATGGTGTTGAATATTCTTTCACCTGGGATTGACATACCCCGTAGACCTTGCTGCTCGCTCTCCCTTTTTTTGAGCACCCATTCATGTACGAGAATTAGCGAATACATGGTCATTACTGTTCGTGAACGAGGGAGGGGGTCAAGAGCCGGTTCATAGTCGGCGATCATATCTGTCTAGGCCAAGCAATTGCTGCTATTGCAGTCCATATTCGCTTGGGATTATAATAAATGCTAATGTTTCTGTGTCGCCTGTGATAGGGCTGGATTTCTTCTTCCGAACCTGAATCATGTCGGCTGAGATGATCATCACTGACCATGTTGAAAAGGTTTGCACGATGTGCCGGGACTATGCTGTAGCTGAACTGACTAGCTAGGGTTTAGGTTTAGCGGTGTAGATCGGCCTTGTTATTTACCAGTGGCAGGCGACGATCGAAACCAAGCTAGAGAGATCCTCATCAGGGAAGAGAGACTATTCGTGGTTGATTGGGACTAAACCCCTCGGGAGCAATACAGTCGTTCATTCAACCGTGCCAGCTGGCTAGTTTACCCACCAGCTGAGATGAACTCGGCATCTCCGACTGGAAACAGTTCACTTTCTTCGGGTAAAATGGTGTGAGGGCTGTGTCTGACTGGTACATACCGGCAAGATCTACCGCTAGCTGAAGGCGCCGGACACCGTTGCAAATCATCGGCATGACAGATCACAAATGCCAGTATCAGGCACTGTGGGATCGAGTCCAGCCCCAATTCCAACAATCCCATTCAACTCAGGCGAAAGTGAAAAGCAAAGGGTTATCATTCGACGCCCACATGTGATGTATATTTGTGCATGGGCGACATTCACAAGGTTCAACAGTAAGCCAGTCAAGCCGCTAAACGCCCTATATACAAAAGTACCAGATGTCCGTGTCTTGAGATACATGTCGGGTTGACCCGACCTATCGTCAGGGAGGCTCTGGTCATGCCATTCCTTCAAACCTGCTCGTCGGCTTAGTCCGATCCGGTCAGCTTGGACTTAATGCTGACGATGTCGTCGTCAGATTCGACCTCGATCACCCGGTTGACTTGTGCGCTGGTGCGCATCAGCTCCACTGCGTTGGCATATGACATCCGTTGCATCGGGTTGCAGTTCTCAGGGAGCCAGTAGAGGAGGACGTAAGGGACTGAGGGGCGCCCGTCTTTCTGTGAGGGGATATTGTTTCAGTATATCGCAACCTGATAGGTTATCCAGGACAGCTCACGGTTGTCAATGGGTAGCTGAGAAGGATGAATCGTGGGGAGGACTCTGGGAGGTCGTCGGCCAGATCCTCCATCTTGGAGTAGATCTCATCGTCTTGTGGCCGGATCTCTTGGGTCTTGCTGTCGATGATATCTGCAAGGTGCCGCTTATTAGCCTGATACGAACAAGGGTACCTGCAGATCTGATACAAGATCTCTGCGCAGTCATTTGAGACAAAGCCAGTGTTGTCTTCAGATGTGCGAGATCTGTCAGAAAGTGCAAAGCTAGGGGCTCGTACAGATGATAGCCTGCGCATCCTTCGCTCGCGACGTCCCAAGGCGGAACTTGCGCAGCTTCTCCTTTGTCTCTGGAGAGAAGGAATATAACCGTGAATCAGACTACTCAATATTAGCAATCTATCACGCAGGCACGCGAGCGGCGCTGACGTGGACACGTCAACGTGGTATGACATCTCACCATTGTGGACGATATATGGCAGAGCAGGGAGAGAAAGAAACCAAAGGACTTCTTTTGTGCGAACGTAGATATATGCTCACAGTCAACCCAACAACAGTCGTTCCTAGTAGAATGGAGCTGGAGTGTAGCGAGAATGAAATGCGAAATGCGCCATGCGGGCGGAGATTCCCCCCCCCCCCCCCCCCCCCCCACTTGATCTAATCCCCTTCTCAACTGCTCCAACACCAAATCTCCTGTACAAGTACCTCAATGCTCAGCCGACTGAACCTTCTGACCCGCCACCTCTCACGCTCATTCGCCTCCTCTCATCCCTCCGTCCCTCTCTCAACCCCGTCCTTGACTCCTCCCCTAGCTCCGTTCGCGATGACATCACGGGCAAAGACCATCCACACGGCTGCGTGCCTCGTTATCGGCGATGAGGTCCTCGGTGGAAAGGTGAATACTGTGCCAATGGACACTCATCCACGAGAGGGCACATATTCTAACAAATCCCATGGCAGACCATCGACACCAACTCCCCGTACCTAGCCAAGTTCTGCTTCTCCCTCGGCATGCAGTTGAAGCGAGTCGAAGTCATCCCAGATGACGAGGAAGATATCATAGAAGCCGTGCAGCGCATGAGTTCCCGCTACGATTTTGTCGTTACCAGCGGAGGCATTGGGCCCACGTCCGTACACCCAGATCCAGCCTCTCCCGGTCCCTTGACTGCGCGGTTTTCCCCAGTCCCGAAACCGGAGAACGAGCAACACAACCACCAATATCAAACGTCCAGCTAATACTAATACCCCATCCACAGACACGACGACATCACATACTCCTCAATCGCCAAAGCCTTCAACCTGAAGCTGCAACTGCACCAGCCTGCCTTCGAGCGCATGAAGCGCCTTTCCAAGCCACACCCCATGCAACCAAACTTCGACTGGGAAACACCCTCGCCAGGCCTCAACGCTAAGCTGCGCATGGTTGAGCTCCCCTTTGACCCTAAGATCCCCGCCGAAGACCAAGCCGTCTTCGTCG